ACATAATAATATCCAGGGCAAGGATCTAACTCGGCGTGCAGGGGTATGAGGTGTGATACCAGGTTTGCCCCATTCCATTTAGGAATTTGCTCGCACAGAGAAAAAAAACTAAGACCACACGGACACTATACTAGGGCATCCAAACCATCGGGGAGGGAGAGGTCATTGCGAGAGCAAACGAACGAGCGAGCTATAGTCGCAAGCTAGCTAGCTAGTTCATCCTTCGATACGAAACTACGGTGATCCCGTCGCAGTCGAGCCATCAACGTCGAGGTGGTTTCACACACTGTAGCAGGGGTTCGGGACCCGTCGACAGGGGATAGAGATTCCAGGCTGGACGCGCACGGGCACGATCAGCGGTGATCCCTGCAGCGCGACAGGGATAAATCTCAAATACTTCCCGCGTTTGATTGGTGGGTACCATTGATTTTGATATGTCACATCTCTTGGCTCTGGCCGTAGCTAGTTACGCAATTACTTGCCATTGACTAACTGCAGTGTTAGAGCCTACCGAACGGATATCCGGAGGAAAATGAGGGGGAGTATGACTAGTGGGCGGGTTGGCAATTGCTCATGGCTTTTTTTTGTCATACCGGCAGGTTGCTGAATGGACCTATGCTTTGTTTTTTTCCCTTCGTTGTTGTCTCTCCGGGTTAATGTTAATGTTGCAATGCATTCCAGGAGGGCGGGTTCGTCTTACAACGGCTTTCTGGCCCAGGAGTATGGAAACCCGATCGGTCCACACGAGGCGATCTCGCATGGTCTCGGTCATAGTACGTACGACTAACTGGTGCCCGGCCCTGGTTGCTGTTTCCCCCCCTTCCAGTCCTGGTTTTGACTCGATGTCGTCTCGGTCTGTTTCCATGGCTGACAATCTTTGTTTGTCGATGCTTTCCCCACAATCTACGAAACAATATAAATTAATCAGAAAAAAGGGGGGAAGGGGTGTTATTTGTTTGAAATACAAGCAAAAATAGCACAGCCTTAGCATTCAGCTCCACCACTTCGGGAGGGAGGGCTGCAATATGCCTCCGTGCTGTGTGGTCCATCGTGGATCAGATCTTTCTTGGACCACACTCTACCTCTTTGAGTAAACGGAGACCCCCATAGTGGAGGTACCAGTATCGCTGGGGGAGGGCCGTCTGGAATAGATTAAATATTGTCACGACTACCCCCACCTCCCAAGAGTCTGTCGATACCCAACCTAAGATCCCTACCAAAATAGGGACAATGACAAATACTTGGGCCAATTAGGGTTGGTGAAAGGGGTTCGTCACGGTGGGTCGCCAGTAGCGTGGGCTCTTAGGAGGGGAAGGGGCAATAATGACAGGCCAGTTGTATCAGGTATGTAGTACAGAGGACACGATATATTATACAAGGTTGTACACTTACAGATTATATACTGTGTGTATAGAGCATTGCAAGTAGTTTACAGAGGCTACACAGATGAAGAAGAGGTTGAGATGCTGTTTGCGCTGAACTTGGAATTGTACGAGTTTATTCGCTGTGGTATAAGGTATACTGTTCTCTTCAACGTTGTCTATACCATCCATACATCAATACATCTAACAACCGGGTACTGGTAAACCGTTCCGTTCTGTCCAGGGCGAGTCGTTTGTAAAACCATACCAAGCCCAAAAGTCAAACAATCAAGAAAAAAAAAAAGGTGTGGCTTTCGATTGTCTTTTTTCGTTGCTGTCTTTTCAACGGTTTCCACCGGAGTGGAGCGTGTCTGCTGCGAGCGGCCTAAACGGGTAATCCCACAGGAAGGCAGTCGATCTCTCTAGCCCCAATTCCGATTGAATTGGATCTATCGGGCTCCTAAACCATCTAGAGAACAGGCCTAGACAACCTGTGACGGGTGCTTGGCCCTAATACAATAGTTTGTAAGCCATAGTCGTCTCGAGTGGAAGAGGAGGATGGCGTTAGGGAGGAATAGCGCGGGCAGAGGGACGGGAAATAGATTGGTTCCCAGGGGTTGGTTCCGACAGCTCATTGCACGCAGCGTGCATCTGGACCAGAGCGACGATCGCCCTCATCGCGACTAGTAACTACCGCTCTCGTCCGATCGTGGATATTCTTATTTTTCCTAAGTTTTTTTCTGGATTTTTGGGTGTTTTTTTAATTTATTTTTTTTCCCCTCTTTCTTTTTCTTCCTCCCACCACCAAGCCGGCTATACATCACGTCACGACCAGGGATCGCCCCCAAACCGCGCGCGCCGTGACAGGTGGCAGGTGGTCCATGCACCTTGTCCCCGACCTTCTTTGCCCGTTCTGTACCAAGCAACTAGCTACGAAAGTGGTTATAATAATCGCGGCATTGCTCGGACTACATAAGCGAGAAAAGCCTCGAGTCCCTGCACGCGTCAACTATTGTGTCGAAGATTAAAATCTTCATATAGAATTTAATAGTCGAGAAGACAAAAGTGGACATCGGCAAAGATGCGTTGGAGGGACGAGCGCTGGCACGGCAATCACTTTGCTTCAAAACTTGATTGGAGAATAGAGAAGGGGGTCCAGGAGCTGCAAGGCACGACAGAATGAGAGGAGAAGGGGACGGTGGAAGTACCAAAAGCAGTCTGTACATACTACAGTACGGAGTACATACAGTAGCATAAGTGTATGTATGTCTGTACACTGGGAAGGGCAAGACAGACGTCCAACGCTCCCCCGTTGATCCACATTCCCGTCAGGCACAATAAACGTCGGACTCGGACATGCTCGGGCAGGAGCCACAGGACCACAAGATCGGGGGCCATGGGCAGGGAGTCCAGTGACAGACTTCAATAATGCCAAAGATGGAGCTACTGTAGATTGGATCGATTTCCTATTGTTTTTATTTTTCAGCTCCCGAGTTGAGGCTTGAGCACGGAGTTGCCGTTGAACCCAGCAAGCCAGCGCCGGCGCCAACATCAGTAAGTGACAGCGGGTCGCGCAGCGGCACAGAGGCACAGACAGGCTGAGCGCCATCGAGGATTATTCGAGGGGCGGTTGACTTTTCCCCATATTCCAATGGCCTTCTTCAGACCTAAGTTGTAGGGAATTTGTCAAGATCCGATCTCCACTGAGGGGACGATCCACCACGGTGGATTCAACCAGGCGGAACCTCGTTGAGCTCGCGAGGAGCCGCCGATAGGACCAATGGGAGGGTGTAGTTGGCCGATTGCACCTGGATCGGATACGATCGGGCTGCGTGTCGTGCATGGCTGGCTGAGTAGTGACTGGGGAAAATCATGACCCTCCTCTCGCTTCTCCCCCTCGGAAGCTAAGACCTGCCCCCTGGCTCGTATGGAAGAAGGGGGTAAGGAGCGAGGAAGTTGAGTCGTTGACTGGGTTGTCAGGGGTGAATGCGTAGTATCTAGTACATCTAGTGCATACTGTAGTAACTGTACAGTACTTTTACTACTGTAGTCTGTGGGTGGTGCGAAGCGAACTGGACTCTCGTACTCCGTAGTCCGTGTACAGGCTGGAAGACTGCGCTTGGACGAGGTTCTCTTTTCCCCTGATCTGCGAGAAGGCGTTCCTAGTTCCTTGTCTTGAGGGAGGTATGTGTGTTAACGTACGAAGTAGTATGTACTGAAGTACTCCGTAAATACCTTTCTGTTCATGTACGACCCTATGACCACGATCCTCTCTCCCCCTTCAACAGTCCCAGTCGGCATTCGACATTTCGGACATTGTCATCTGGGGTTGACTTTGGAGATCACCGTCCAGACCCAGACAGGTGCATTTGCATTGATTTTCTTTTTTTTCTTGATTTTTTGCTCTTGTCCTCGTTGCTTTTTTTCTGCGTCTCGCGGTGCAACCGCATCTGAACCGGCGCTTTGGGTCTCATTCCACGATCAAAAGGATTGAAGTGTCCAGGACTGGCCGGTGGAAAAGACCTCGGTCATGAATCATGCTAGTCAAACAGAATACTCAGTGTCGTCTATATTTTAATCTATCTTAGCCTGGCTATTTTATTCTTAAACCTAATTAGGGCAACCCAGATTCGGGCGTGTATATTAGTATTGATTAATGTTGACAAGGGCGCTCAGACAATTGATTATTTTATTTAAACAAAAAAAAAAAAAGAAAAGAAAAGAAAAGAAAATAGCTTCCTTTTAGCGCGAGCAGTGATTTGGAATTCCAGCAACGGGGCTCAGGGTCGATCCCTCCGATCATTACGGTATCTTCCTCAGCCCGGATTCCTGGATCGTACTGACGATCACCGGAGCATTTTTGCATCAGACACGATGTATTGGTCTCTTCGAGAGATTAGATATGTATATACTCAAGTGCATTGCTACTTTGTGCAGTATCTTCGAGCAATCTATTAATCTATTAATCTATTGTTTGATGATCTCTGAATCCTGACCTATGGTTGACCTTGTTGATGATTATCTCCTGAGGGGAAGAACCAGCAGGAGGAGAAGTTTGGTTCGTACGATACGGCTATTTGGTGTACACTTGAGATCCGAGAGGACTGGGATCTCCAGCGTCTACAGTACTGTAGTACGGAGTAGTGTATCCTGTATCCTGTAAAACTAGAATCTTAATTATCCTCTGAATAAAAGAGAGAGAAAAAAATACCACGCTAACCGTAATCACTGGAATCTCCATTTACAGGCCCATACCAAACAATACGAGTATTGTTCCGAACTGTCAGCTCCGAGATCGTGGATCGTGATCTTCTTCCCATAGCGTGTTGCGGGTGGAGCTGGGCATTTTATTTTTCTTTAGACCCGTCCCCCTGGGTTGCAGATATAATTGTCACGGTGCTGCTTGTCCGGTGGCTTGAAATCTGCCTGGCTCCATTCCAACTTACTTGAACCTCAACTTTCCCCTCCTTAAACCCATCTCCGAATCTTCCATATCCCCAACTTCCATCATCATCTACAACCTGATATACATACATCCTCCCCCCCCACCTTCCCTCTCTCTACTCGCCTAATCCTTTCGTATACTTCGTATACGTCTCTCGATCTCTCCCTTCCCCCCACCTCTCTCTGTCTTCCCTCATGGCTCCCTCCCACCGCCGTGGACCTTGGGTCCCCGAAGAAGATCAACTACTGCTCCAACTCGTACGCGAACAAGGACCTAACAACTGGGTCCGCATCTCTCAACACATGCACTATCGCTCCCCTAAGCAATGTCGTGAACGCTTCCACCAAAACCTGAAGCCCTCGCTCAACCGGGAGCCCATCTCCGCCGACGAGGGCCTCCTGATCGAGCGCATGGTCAATGAAATGGGCAAGCGCTGGGCTGAGATTGCCCGGCGTCTCGGAAACCGCAGCGACAACGCCGTCAAGAACTGGTGGAATGGAAGCATGAACCGTAAGCGCCGTGGCTTGTCCACCCCACCGGCCTCGCGCACCTTCAACGGCCGCATCGAGGCACCGTTCGCCCGTGCCTCGATCGTGAGCCCTTCTCGTCCTCGCTTTGCGACTCGCCCGTGGGAATCTTCTACCGATTCCTCCGAGGTTTTCTCCCACTCACGCCGCGAGTCCACCGTCTCCACCACCCGCCAGCTCTCTCCCATCTTTACACTCCGTTCTATCAACCGCCCCATCGAAACCCCCTTGACTTCGCCCGCCTTCTCCGAGGCCTCACATGCCACCTCCATCGAACCTCCCTCCATGGTCTCGGATCACAACTCGGTCTGCTCTTCTTCTCCTCGCACATTGCCATCTCCTCAACTCCTCCCAATACCTGTGGACGTGCGCACCCAATATGATGCCCGTCGGCCCAGCGTTGCCTCTGTTCATATCGTGGACGACTCTCCGCCCAGCTATCCTTCCCGCTCGCTGGAATCTCTTTCCGAAATCGCCTCCAAGCGGCGGTGGATGGAACATCAGCCGGCATTGGCCTCATGGCACCAACCGACAGATTCCCTCTCTAAGCCGTGGGAGACGAGACCAGTCGAGCCTCCTCGCGATAACCGGATGGGCTTGAACAATCTCCTCAATTAACGGAGAGAGTCGTCTCAAAAACTAATCGCCTACCCCTCATCATCTTTTTTTACTACGGATCTCCTTTGTCATGACTGTACGAATCTTCTTGTCTATTACCATCTCTTCTGTTCAATATTTTTCTATTACCCCTCTCTGCGGAGCCCAACCCTTTCAAGGACGGCTCGCGAGTTTGTACATGTCCAAAAAACCGCCCCCAGCTCGCTCTCCTTCTATTTGTTGTCCGCTCTCCTTTCTACTCTTAATTTGTATTACCACGGTTCGGATCTTCAAAATCCGGGTGTTTTCGGTCATGTGGAGAACATGTAATTTGGGGTCTGTTTGTTTTGGTTCCTCTTTCCCGCCCTAATTCTCCCACCCCTTCTTCCCTTTTTGCGTGTTTCATGGGTCTCGCGGCTTCTATGATCCCGGAATTTGGATCGGGTTTACGGCGAGTGTGGAGAGCGGGGGGTCTAAAAAAGGGAATGGTGAATGTGATCTTCTCTCTATGGGTTTTGGATTGTCTAGCATAATACCCCTGCGTATTGGAATTGACTGCTGTTTCGAGTTTATTAAGATCTTAGACATTCTACCATAGCAAGTAGTAAGTAGTAAGTAGGACTCAGTAGTTGGCAAGTCATACTCAATGGGTACTCCTGCATATTGTACTGAGATAAGACCTCAGCTACGCCCTTCAAGAGTTTTCATCGGCGAAGGTGGTAAACATGGAAATGCTTAGGATGTACATTTCAAGCAAGTAGTAAACCCATTAGGGGCACCACAGATCAACTTACTTAGTCTACAACCAGAACGTCAGTACATAGAGGGATTTATGTCTACGCAGCCTAGTACATGTACTCATGCATTGCTTTCTCTGCTCTAGTCCTTCCGATAGGACTCCTCTAACAGCCATCAAAGAACTAAACAAGGCACTACATACATCCACCCTATCATCTACCAACCTATCAACAGCCAAATCCAAATACCCAAATCAAGATTCGAGGGGAATAATCTCCAAGACCCACGGTTCACGAAGAATGCGCCACTTGAACGCTCACGAGGTCATAATGCAAGGGATGGCAGCAGCATGAGGGGGGACACCATGTTGCGAGGGAGGCAGACGCAGATGCAGAGAGGCAAGGATGGGAAAGAAACTTCCAGTTCTACTGTGGAGGAAGCCGTATGTACTGTAAGTAGCGGAGGAGAAGAAGCAGAGGTCCATGCAATCCATCTTCCATGCACGGCACCATTCGCAACCTGCAAGACCAGGCGGCACGTCACTGCATAATGACGAAGTCGAAGTCGAAGTCAAGGAATCAAGAGGAAAAAAAAAAGTACCATTTCAACTTTCCGTCCACATCTAACATTATTGTTCTCTGTCTTTAAAGAACCACCACCATCCCATCCTATCCTACCTGCACCAGCACTTGCCACTTACAGGCTAGCCCAAACCAAAGTTTAAACGAGAGGTTCGTCCGCGCCTGCAGCAGGCCCGTCGCTCAACGGTCCCCGTCACCAACCACGCCACTCCAATCGCTGGCTGATGCGACTCCGTGGCGCCCTTCGTTCCCCCCGCCCGCTGGGGACCCGCGCTGCCTGGCCAATCGTTGTTTCCCACCGTCAGACTGGTCACTTTTGACGGAATGAACGGCGGGGCTGGCTGCTTCCAGTGCTTGGGCCTTGGTGGGGGGGCAGGGGGCAGGGGGCAGGGGGTAACACGGCCTGCATAGAGCAGGTCTGTATGGAGGACATCGACAGAGTGACAGTGGTGGTTGGCACTGAGGATGCTTCGTGATGAGCTTCGACTGCTTTGCCGTGCAAGCCGGGATATGCCGGTCTCATTCTTTCTTTATCCTGAGCTACTTCGAATCCGAAATCCGAAATCCGTACGGAAGTTCTCTCTGCCACCATACGCAACACTCGCCAAAAACAACCACCTGCACCCCATCCCACCTGTACAACCATCAACGTCCAGACTTGATGCCCGACAGCCCCGGGAATAAGTCCTTACACTGACAGGCAGTCAAGCTTGCCCCCTCCCCAACCAGTTAGGATACCAGACAAGGCAGACATAGACCACAGCCGAGCGCCACACCGACCCAGCGCAAGCGAGATCTGAGAATCCCCATCGACAACGTTGGGCCGTTGCCGATGCAGTGGCACCCTTTTTTCTTCCCTGCACCCTCGTTAGGCTGGGCCCGCGGGCTGTGGACTGTGGTACCGCACACTGGACGGCTTGGTTTCAGGTTTTTGGCTTGTCCTGAGTGGGTGGCGGCGCGGGTGATCTGATCCACAATTTGATGCTTTGGTGGGCGCGTTCTTTGCCTCTGCCGTGCGATCGAGATTTATTGTGGGTCTTTCCCTCTGTACTCCGTACTCCGTATTGGCGATTGCCATGGCTAATTGCCAGCATCTGGCATGTTTGGTTCGGAACTACTGGGCATGGCGTGTGATGACGCTGCTGGTGGGGGCCTTCGGTGGTTGGATCGGATCGGTTGGATCCTGGAAGCGACGGCTGCAGGAGGGATTGGGAATTTGTGATGGGTGAGATGCCGAGGTTGATGATGGACGGGACTTTTGTACAGGATACTCCCGGCACTAACATGGCAAAAGATAACGATTTACTTCGGAAGGATTATGTAGGATTGCGACCTATCAGGATAGGAGGCTACGATACAAGTACAAGCTAATATCAAGATACCCAGCGGCTGGCTGTTCAATGTGGTATATACTCCGTGCTTGTTGACCATCGATGGCGAGACAAGGATCATGACTGCGCTTCAGCCAGTCTCTCGCCACTGGAATCAGCCAGCCTTTCTCAATGGAAGGAAAATCATTATCTTGTTCGTTGGTCCGAGTTCATATTGAGCCCCCTATGAATGGCCCTCGATGCACGACCTGAAATGAATGTGAAGAATGACATGGAATCGACGGTCGAATCAGCACTTTAGAATCACCCTTCCGTGTGATTGAGGTCACGGCAAATCAATAGTCGAGGGCAGATCCTGGGCTTTCAGGTCACCACCAAAATACCACCAAAAAATCATGGCGACACCAGCCGCGCCGATGTCTCCCTATTTCCCCATCGGCGATGTACTACTCCATACCTCTCGTCCTGTCCTCTGTGGTTCATAGTGCTGGAAGTACGCCGTACTGTAGGACCATCCCCCGCTATGGGCTATGGACACTGGATGGTCCGATCTCGACTGGTCAGAAGGGGGCATGACTAGTGTCCCAGCTCAACGCTAGCCACTAAAACCAGTTAGGGCCACCTGCCGGTGATTTGGAATTTGGAAATATCGTAATTGTCCGGTATTACGGGAGGTGGACTGTGTTCCCATCAGTTGGGACGGAATTGAAGGGGGAGACGGGACATCAGATAAAAGAAAATGGATTAATCAACAAAGATATCCCGGTGGGACGGTGGATCCGGGCGGGAGAAAGAGAAGGAGAAGAAGAGGAGAAACAAAGAAAAGATGCTCCATCCCAAGAACCAAGAACCCAAGAACCAGTGAAAGAAAGATTCCTTCGTTTCCCCGATAGACTGGTTCTGGACACTTTTGACTTCGGCAAGAACAAAGAAAAGAAGAAGTGATCCAGGATCTTGGAGACTACGACCGTTCCCAGTACCATGTTTCCCAACCCTTTCGGTCTTTCATCCGTTGACAAGAACACTAACACTAACTGGATACATAAGTTCGTCCTCCGTACTGGGAGTTAGACTGGGGTTCCCACTCGAGTGGACTATCCCCCCTCTCCCTGAACTACGGATTCAACCAATATGGCGTCAGTCATATGGACAATCCCTCGTATATTCCCTGTCAATATGCGAAAAATAAAAAAAAATAAACATTCAGACAAAGAAATAGAAAAACAAGAAAAAAAAGCAACCCTCCTTCTCCTCCCAGTCCCCATTTCCTGGTCCTGAACTCCCCCTTAGCCCCAACTTGACAGATCCGGAGTAGAGTTTGGCGGCGGCCACTAGTTCCTGACCTGCCAGGACCAACTCCCGGCTCCTGCGCGCGATGACGGGCAAACGGGTGCCAAGGCGATCAGCATATTCCATACGAGGATGGAGTACAGAGTACAGAGTACTGTATTTCTTACTATCTACCGTGTATGTTTACTCCGTCCTCCCCTTTCCATGGTCGAACCCACCGTTGAGACCGCCGTTGAGCTCGTACCAAGGGACTCGGGCCATCAGTCCACCGAACCATGGGTATTCTGCGATGGGATCAGGGGTAAAGAGCCCCCCATCTTTCCAAGCCAAACCCGATCTCCCTTTTCCCAACTCGTTCGATCCAGAAAGATTAATCGAGATCGATCTTTTTGAAGGGGAAGCTATGAAATGATGCAAGAATGATGGATGTGTATACCAGGTATTTGTAAAGGTATGTCTGTAGCATACCGTACTTTTCATGCGTACTGTACATACGCACTTACAGACGATACAACTATACATACCGTGTAAAGAGCATACGGTCCTGTATGTATCGTATCGACCGTTGCGTTCCAAGCCACCGGATCCTGCGATCGACGTCGCTGCTCACCCGACTCGGTAACCTTGACGCGCGCCCTAATTTTCGGCCATGAGGTGAGAGTTTTCGGGGCTTCTTTTTGGCTTCGATCATGGATTCATGATCGCATCGGTGGTCACCACAGTGTAGTATCCCGCAAAGTATAACTTGTCCCCGTACTGTCTACAAAACTGAGGTGGTCTCAATGTGGACGAGATGGGAGACTAGCTAGTCCGTTTTGATTCCCTTTAACAGTTGTACATCTTTTCCTTCTAAAATATCCAACTCCAAATACAACCACCATATCAATTATGATATAAGTTATGTACAAAATGCTTCTCAGCTCTGTATGGTAGAACAAAAAGCATTTTCCGGTAAAGACATCCATATCACTCTAAGTATAACCCAAAACAATAGCACACAAGAAACGTTCCGAATAAACAAGGGAGGCAAATGTGGCTTTGCCCCAGTGACATCAACAAGCCCCAGCTAATCCGAAATAGTACAATAGTTTAATAGTGCAAAATTCCACCATCAAGCTGCAGCTGTTACACGCCAGTCACTTTCTTTCCCAAATCCAAGACCCTGATTGGTCTACGGAGAATCTCGGTGCCATTGACACACTAGTCCATCTTCACTCTAGCGCAACAGATATTACCCGCCTGTCGGGATGCGCGTGTTTTGTATTTAGTAGATTTTTTTTTTTGAATCATTTTTCATATTTTCTCCTGCGAAGAACAGCAACCCTTGACTGTAGGAGCTTCTGAGGTGAGATTTTCCACCCTTGTTTTGTGGCTGGCTCTTGTGGCTCTAGCCTCGGGTCTCCCTTTCACGGCTTATCCGAGTGTGGGTGCGAAAATCCTGCGAGATCTGAAAATCTCTTTCCAGGACGGCATTTACTGTAAACGGGTATCCTCCGAGTTCTTTTTTTCCGCCTTGTCCACTTTATCCCGGTGCGCGGGTCAGGGGGGTTCCTCGGCCATGACCGAGAACGAGTTCAGCTCGGCATGAACGCCAATGCCATTGATCAGCTAGATGGTGGTGCACCGAGATATCTCGCTGGCACTTGACTCGTGAATATTCCATTCTGAAGACAGAGGCGACTTAGGCGAGGCAGACTAGCTCGCTGGCGAGCCAGCTGTCCCGTGGTCCCATCTCTGGCGTTGAAAAAGACCCTCGGCCCAGGGTCCAGGCGCTTCGATTCAGCCTCACGGTTGCCACTATTGACAACTATGCAGCGAAGACATCCACCCGTGGCCACACCCAGGCCTGGTTGAAGTCTGGACACACCGTTATACCCAGCCTAAACCAGCCCGCCAACTTCCAACCCTCCAAGGTCCCGCCGACAGCAAATCTAGGTACATATCTGAAACCATGTGAAACCGGCGAAGCTAGGTGCGTACCGTGGGTAGAATATGGGGAAAGCTTCGACATGAATTTTTTCAAGTGTGTGTGTGTGTGTCTACAGTGTATCGCGCTTATGTGTGTACGCCCTCTTCCGGGGCTGTCTTTATCATTGCCAGGTCTGGATTTTGAGGCTCGCGCTCGATTACTGAAAATGTGTATATAATGACCTACGATTGAGGTACGGCGTAGATAATTACTACCTACTTACTAGAGCTCGTTATCGTATACTGGGAGGCGTACCGTGGGGATGAGCGCTGGAGTCGTAAGCTATTTGACGAATTCCCCGTGAAAGATAGGCTCAGTGTAGAGAGGTGTGCCAAACTTGCGAGCTGGACTTCTCCTTGAGATAGATTATGGCCAAAGTCCAATGTTGGTCGAGATTTGCATTTAGCGACGAGTCTAACGATAGGTACATCGCGGGTAGCTCATGATTCGATCAAGTTCCGAAGCCATAGCTGGCTGTTAATTAGTTACACAATACGCTGATTAATGCGAATCATGCTGTCTGTCATCGAACATCCTACGAGATATGAAGTCCAATCAACAACTGTCCATCGCTGGAACCGAATGCATTCCCGACTTCAGTGAAGCCTATCGCAACCAGATGCAAAACAAAGACAATCTATATAGCAGCTAGGAACCGGGAGCCTCTTACATATCCCAGTTTCCAAGCATCCAAGTGTACACATCCCAGACCAGTCACAAACACAAGGGTCTCAATTTGAGGGAAAGAAAGAGGAACCACCGAGAGATGATCCGATAAAGAGAAAAATAAAAGAAAGGGAGGATATTCCAATCCCAATAAGAAAGAAAAAAATTGAGTAGAAACAAGATCATATGAAAAACCGGGATAGATCAGGGGAAGACCCAGGTAGATGCAAATCAAATTCCAGAGATGTCCAGTCCAAACCAAGTAAAGAAAAAAAAAGCGCTCAAGGGGTATAATTCGCTGTGCACATCATAACCAGATATCGCCTTCTTCGCCATTCACCCATTGCGCCCACACCGCCTCGTAAGCATCTTCCAGGTCGCGCACCCAGCGCGCCGTGTCAAATAGCTTGTTCTTGTATCGCTGTAGAAACAGCATCTGTCGAATGTCGGCCAGTCGGCCTCGTGCGCGGCCTTCGCCACTAGGCATGTATTGCAAATCCATGCACAGTCGGATTGCTTTGTTCTCGTAGTCATCGTCCGAAGTCGCAATGAGCTCCTCGCGGGCTCGATTGCCCATTTCGCCGCTTGGGAGCGCGCTGCTAAGAATGCTGCTGGCCATCCGCGAGCACATCTTGTACTTGTACCGCGGGAGGGTGAGCAGCGGTGTCCCACTCCAGAGAACGTCGGTCGCCGTCGTGTGAGCATTGCACTCGGGCGTATCGAGGAAGAGATCCAACACCTTGGCCCGCGCAATGTGCGCGTTCTTCGGTGCCACGTCCGTAAAGATAATCCGGGAGGCCGTTTGTTCTCCAGCCCATGCCTTGGCGGTCTCCCGAAGGTTCTGCTCACCCGTCTCGGGGAACCGCAGGAGCCAGAGAACAGAGTTGGGAATACGCGCCAAAATACGCAGCCACGTTCGAAATGTAGTGGGTTCAATCTATTGAAAAAGTTAGCCAAGCCGTTAAGAGACGGAGAGTAGAATATAAGAGCCCACCTTGTACAGCTGATTGAAGTTCCCCAGGATGATAGTATCATCGCTCAGCTGAGGAAATAGCTCCTTACGCATCCTCCAGCGTCGCATTTGCTCTTCATCCCAGGAGAGCGGTCGTTCCCCTGCATCTGGCGCACTCTGTCGATGATCGCAGCAAAAGAACGTGTCACGAGTGAAAACGATCTTCTCGCCGTAGACCCAATCTTCCAGGTCCTCACCATTGTCATCTTCAAGCATCCGATCCTCTATCCGCGTAGTGCGTCGTCCGGGACTTAGGGTTTCCGGAGGAATGGAGAGCTGGTCAGCGAGGATGTAGTCGCACCACTCTGCGCCGAGAGTACCAGCAAAACCCATGAATGACATGTGAATCGGGGCGGGCCTAGCGGCAAAGACTTCATTGCGTGCTCCGCGGGTATATCCATTCAAGTTGATGAGAATGTGAATACCGTCGTCAACGATCTGCTGAACTAGTCGATCGACTGGCCACCCGCTGGCGTCATGGCAGACGGGTGCTTCCTTCTCGATCTGCTGGCGGTGAATGGATTTGTCGCTGGCAGTGGTCGCGTAGCAGTACGCTTTCACCCTGTTGGGGTTGTGCAGTCCAAACACAGACTGCATTAAGTGAGCGAGAGGATGGTTGTTGAAGTCCGACGATACATAGCCAACTCGAAGGTAGGGTTTTGGAGGGGATGGTGGTCGATAGACAGTCGTCGGGAGCCATGGCAACCGCAGCGTCGAGCAGGAGATGCGTAGGCCATTGCGCTGAGAGATTTGTCGGATCTGCTTGGCCGACAAAGGGCAAGTGAAGGTATGGAACGGCAGAACCGTCGGGGCGTTTGGAGCCGAGAGAGATGTTGGAAGTTGAGGGCGACGGTACTTGGAAGCAGGATAGTCTTTGCCATAGACATAGCGATCCTGATACCACTGCCATGTGATTGACCGTATGGCACGCTCAACCAGACGGACAATACGGGAACCCTCCCATTTCTTGCCAGCCCAAGACTGAAGAACATTGGCCAGGGATAACCGGCGGTTAGAGCCTAGACGACCCGAGTCTAGTGCAGTGGCTAATTGAGCAACGAGCTGCTCGGCCGTGTTTGGGGTCAGCAGTCCCCGGCCCCAGTACTCGCCTTCACGCAATTGCCGGTCGACAATATCGACGACTCTCTTGATCCAGCCAGCTCCCGAGTCACTGCTTTGAGCATCTCGGAGCATACCCTTCTCGTCCACATGCCAGCGATCGCGGAAGCCACGGCTATTGATAATGCCTCCACGACCGACCCAGTTGCATACCGAGTTCAACGCATTAGCCAGGCCGCATACCGCCTCGGCAAAGTCGGGGTTCACCTTGACAGCGCGCTTGTAGTACGAGATGGCATCGTTGACGCGACCAGCATCCTTAACAGCGTTGGCCAAATTGGCCAGGGCAATGTCAAAGTTACCATCGCACTGAACGGCTTGCTCATACATCTTGATAGCGGCCTGGAGTTGGCCAATATCTTTGAGTAGACTTCCCAAGTTGGTATACAGGTGAGCATGGCGAGAGTCGAGATGCAGTCCGTAATTGTAGTATGCCAATGCCAAGGAGATACCACTGCCGGGCACAACGCCGGGTATATCAGGATGCTGGCTCTCGCCATTCGGGCGGACCAGTCCCCGGGCCGGTGGATTATTTTGAATACCAGCCAGCAAAATACCAACATTGTTAGCGGTTGATGGGCTCGGCTGCAAGGAGAGAGAAAGGTAGTAAAGAGCGAGAATATCCCGCACGCCAGGCGCAGACTTTGGGGCCCCGGATGAAACAGTCGACATGCCATCCTGATAGATCTTTGCCAAAGAGAGGAGCGAGTTGCTGGTGGTGGAAACGGCGGCGTTGCGGGAAATACCTTCGGCAACGTATTTCAGCCCAGGCGGTGTCCCGCCAGACTGGAAGACGAGTTTCGAAGTCTGAAGAGCTCTGTCAGGATACAGAAGAACACTCTCGTTGGAATCGGACTCGGGCTGGTGGTATCCGTTACTTGGTCGATGAGAGAAGGCAGCAAATATCTGCTTGATAAGGCTCTGGATACCATGCCGCCTTCTTCCAGCAGCAATCAGAACGGCATCTTCAAACGCAGAGGCAGCTCCCGCATTATCACCAAGGGCGTACAACATATTCCCCTTGGCATGAACGAGGGCCAGCATTCGTCCATTGTCTGAGCCAGGAATAGCGTACCCGCTGGTCGCAAACCCAGCGGGTGTAGAGGTATCGAGTGAACCCAAACCCAAGCCATGGACCCGCCCCATATCCTCGTCGTAGTCGAATGATGCCTTATCATACATGCCGACATCAGACACGTTGCTCTCGGCATCGCTTTCGGGTTCGCTGGCATGCTCATCCGCCTTGAAACAATCCCCATCCTTAGGATGACGGAGGGATGTTTGTACAAAGTCGATGATGTTGACGGCCTCTCTGCCACGGTGACTAGTGCACAATAGACCAATCAAATGCTCGACAGCCTCGAAGAAACTCGGTCGTAATTTCACGGCACGCAACCAATGCTGCAAAGCTTCCTCTCGACGATCGAGCGCTAACAGCGTTGCGGCGAGGTTGGAGATGGCTTCAACGTGACTGTCACAGAGTCAGCGTAAAACTCGGAACTAGGACAAAGGGAAAGCGGTATGACTTACGTAGAATCACGAGCAATAATCCTAGAATACCATCGCATAGCTTTGTGGTAATCACCCAATCCGTAGGCTAAGCAGCCACCAAGAAGCATTCCGTCGATCCATTCCCAATTGCTTTCCATGCAAAGATGAGAGAGCATTTCTAGAGCCGACGCCGCGTTATTGACGGGAGATCCTTCATTGAACGGAGAGCCTGAGAACTGAGACCCAGTCGTAGACGCCGAGAATCGACCAACATCTCTCATCTTCGAGTCTGAGCCTCTATGGTGATGTGAGAAATGGCTCAGCGATGGACGACGACCGTGAATATTGCTTTGTGAGAGTGAGGCGGAGTGAGCGTTCATCCTGTTGTTAGCCAGTAAGCCAAGTTTTTGCCGTTGTAGATCATATTGACTGGATGGGTAGCTATTATGGCGATGGATATCGGGGGCATTTTGAGAAAAGTCGAGACCCGGTTGGCGGGGAGGTTTTGGGTAGATGCTCGGTTTCAAAAACCGTTGGCTGTGTCCATCAGCACCGCTGTTAGAAATACTGTTGCGGCGAGCCTGGTGAATTGTGGCAAGCAAATCGACGTAGACACCATGTGCCCACGAGAGTATTTTCTCTTTGAATTCGATGTTGCCAGTGATCGCTGGGCCTGGGCCCTGGAAATTGGGTCCTGTCGAAGGACGGCCAGTCCAATTCATGGAATTGTTGTTAGAGGCGTTCGAGGCAAGCCCCGAAATGGATCGATTGACTCGAGCATGATAAGGTAATTGATCCGAATGTCGAGGAGGGAAAATAGGTTTCATGAGGGGATCATGCGTGGGCACGCTAGGTGCAGATTGGCCCCATGGAAAGGATGTATCTGGGCGACTGCCCAGAGGTATTTGAGATTGGTTGAAAGCCGGCTGATTTAGGTCGAAGAAAGATTGGCCAGTTGGGTGAGGAGAGCCAAAACGCGAATCACGTATTGCTGCAGGGCGATATGGAATGTACACGCCGTCCGGCCAATATGGACCATATGGGCCAGTGCCGGCGGAGGCAGTCGGTCCAACGCATTGTTGAAGAGTTGCAGGCAGGACAGTCGGGACGTAGGCACCGTTATGCATGACAAACCGTTGCGGTCCCTGCAGGGGCAAACTTTGATTCAAGACCGAGTCGATGCCGGGAGGATAGTTGACGGGACGCACCCAGCTGGTGCCGTTGGCATCCTGCACAAACTCTCCTGTCGCCAGAGGATTAGTTCCATCGTTCTTGAACACGGGTGGAAAGTTCATATGCTTGGGGCCCGGTTGGTCCAGGGCAGGCTGCGGCCAAATGTCTCCCGGTAGTCCTGCCTGGGGTGACAGAAACTGGATCGAGTCCATCGGCGAGACCAGGATGTGTTTTGTTGCGGGTTGAATGGTAGTGTCGCCGGGGGTACCATCGTAGCCAGCAGCCAGAGTGCCGTTCGGCGTCTTCCTTCTCAACGCATGTTCGGCCGTGGCATGCGCGTTGGAGCCCGAGGTTGTTGCATCGCGGGCATCAAGTCGTTGGACGGGTTGTGGCAGTGGAAGGCGTGATCGCAATACCGGATTATAGAAGGATTTGGAGGGGTCGTTCGTTGCGGGGAAACCGGGGTCATTCAGGTCGTAGGGGGATTGAAGTAGAGCATCGTGAGAGGGGTAGGGGTGCATATGGTGATGTGGATGCACCGAAGGAAACAGCGCGACGGTCGGAAACATCTTTTTTCACCTCAACAAGACCACGACGGTCCGTCTCGTGGAAGAGGGTCCGGTCGGGCAGAGAGGGGTTTCAGATTTGGCACGAGAAATTCAAGGTCGGTTGGACTCGTGGGCAATCAACAAGCATCCTCCTTGAAGCGTTTCCGACACCGCATTATGGGTACCAAACCAGTTCTCGACGGATGGTGAACGAGAAGGAGGGGCCAACAGCAGGGCGCTTGTGTACGACGGACATTCACGATATCGTCATGGAGAGCGCGGGTTGGGAGGAGGTCGAGTTGATGGGGCGTCGCTCTCGAGCGGGTCTGCGATCGTGGATGATAATGGAGGATGATAAGGGCGAGAATGCCAGGTGTAAGGATAAAGGATCCAGAAATAAAGCAATCTTTCGATGTTTTGGGGGACGCAAGGGAGAAGAGGAAGTTCAACTGGCGATCTGCTGGTGTCCGAGACGCGGTGGGCCAATAAAATGCGGGCGATCTTGGCAAGAATTGTGCGAGGGTCGCCAGTGATGTTCAGGAGAAAAGGAGAGTCGATGGGGATGGGGAAGAAGGAGAGGAATCTCTGATGAGATCAGAGAGGGTTCAAGAGAGAGGTCTCTAACATCTCCAGGAGCGGAGAGAGGAAGAAAGAAAGAGAAGAGGAGAGAGGAAGGTGTCGAGTGTGTCGAGGCCAAGACCAGAGTCAACCGCTGCATCCACAATAGTAAGGCAAGGTACTCCATAGTCCTCCAGTATGGAAAAGGCGCCCCATCACTCGACGGCCCGCTCTATGAAGAAAGGAAAAAAAGGATGTGCGGATCGCCCGCTATTTCTTTCGCTTTCTCCAGGTTCAATCTCTCTTCCTCTCATCTCCTATCTCGTTCCCTCTCCAGACCTCTCCCTTTTTCGTCCCCGTTTCTTCCCTCATGACTCCCGTCCTCTTCCTCCCCTTTTTCTCTTCAATCCGCCTTCTCCTCCCTTGTCTTGACTCTCCTCACTCTCTCCTACGCCTTGGCTCCTCCTCGTCGCGACGCAGCTCCACCCAGACCCACTCGATCCAACGGCTGAACCCTCCTCGGGGCTGGAGTCTCCATCCCAGCAGCCTACGTCAGTGGACCATTGGTCCCGTCCGGGCGACTAGTCATGGATCGGTGACGCCCCCGCCGTGATGATCGAGTCGAGCCCGTTCTCATCCTGCGCTGCGCGAGGTGGATCCGCTGATGACTCCAGGACTGGTCCCAACCAGCTAAGCTATGGAGAGTGGGCTGAACCTTCGCGTTCAAGTCGTGATGCTCGATGGCCCCCGTCTCATCACACAAGGTCCAGAGGCAAAAGGCTCCCACTGCGACCACCGCTGCGGCGCCACTACGCGCGCCTCCTCCCAGTCAACCCGAGACTAATTCACGACTCCGCATGGGGACGGACTAAATCCTGTGAGAGTCAGACTTCGCTGAAGCCTTTTCTTTCCCCCTCTCTCGACAGACCCTGGCTGTCAATTCGAAAAGAGAAAAAGGGAACATCAACCATAAGATAACCATTATTATTAGGATCACTGCAGGCAGACTCTGACTTGCTTTTCCACTTGGCTCTATCCCATGCAAGCCACCTCCTCCACCGACCGTCTCGGTTTCTCGTGTCCGGGTGACAGGCGCAGCAGCCCCCTGTTTGGCTGTTTGCCTCTCTGGCCGCCTCATCAATCTGCGATCCTTTCCTTCTTGGGCCCAATTTCTGGGGTTGCTAGCCAAGATTGCCCCCGGCGCTCTGATTTTCAAGACTTTCTCATTCCAAAGGTCCACTCCAAACAATTGATTGCTTGTATCACTTTGATATCATCTAACTTGGATCTCCTTCAAGGATGCTACCAAGGTAATGCATACAGTAGTTTACTCACTAATGACTACTCAGTACTCACAGCCTCCTGGCAATAATCAATTGCTGGAAAATCATGGCTCTGTCCTTTTCGCGGATCCCTCGTTCCAGATTGCTGGGCACATTGCACGGTCGTACTGGGGAATCATCGAATCTTCCATACTGGTATGCCTCCAAGTCCAATGACTACGTACTCCACTCCCCCAGTCCTAGCCCACGTATGCATCAAGATTCAAACGAGATAAAGAAGTTGTATATATAATGGAGATTCGTCAAAGTCGTTCTTGTGCTTTTTAAAGAACACACCATCCTCTTGCAAGCAATGCTCATAGTTAATTGTATTCGGTACAGTAGTATATTCCCAGAAGAATGTGCCCACCCCCATGGCTCCATCCGCAGCGATCGGCAAACTCACCTCCCCCACCACGGCATCCTTGGCCTGCACAACGTCCAAATGGTATGCGGGTCGGGTAGTACAGGACGTTCTGACTCCCGGCAGCTCATCCACCGTTTACACTTAATCCACACCGTTCGTTCGACGGTCTCAAAAGCATACCGGTTTTTAGTTGGGCTCAGTCTCCAGAGTTACATAGTGTCCTCAGTATTCTGCACTAATTGTTAGTCTAACCTTGCCAGAAACAAATCTATCTACTCACGAGAATCAGGGTCATTTATTGCTATACATTGACAACGGCAGACGCGCAAAAAGAGAGCGAAAGCACAATCCCCTTCCAGGCGTGGTCGAACCCCCCTTCCCTCCTTCTCCATACACAATTAAACAATCCAACGTCCCATGTCCAACTCAATGAACGAACCAACCATGTATATCCCATCAACCCATGATAAATAAAAACTCCAGTAAAATGATCAACAATTTATACATCCCACCAAGTATGACCCCCTCTCCCACCTCATTTGCCTATCAATATTCCCCGACCCATCCACCAAGGACACCCGTGCGCGCCAGCTCCAGTTGAATGCACCTCCCGACTCCCCATTCCCCACCACCCCAAGGCTCCCAGACTCCCAGTGGAGGAATTCAAACACCACCGCCTTACCAGGGGCGACCAACCAGCAATGATCGACGAGGGGGTGGAGTCGGTCTTGGGCCTCTTGGGGCCAGCGCCTGCGTTAGCTGCGTGGTCCATCGGTTTCGGTGGTCTCGGTGTGATGCTGACGGGTCCACTCGACCGACCGTGGTGAGATTGGCCGACGACGAGAAGAAGGATTGGAGTAATTATTTGAGTATGGTATGTACGTTGTACAGTGTGCGGATGGAGAGAGTGTATACAGTATGTTAACACAGCCGCGATATGGCCGGGACACACGGGCACAGCCTGCTGGGGATCTCCGATTATCGTGGTGCCTACCGTGGCTCGACACGTTGCTCGAGGCTGTTTGTTGTGTGACTTGCTGGTGTCGGTGGCCGAGTCTGAGTGTGATGGGACGGCCGTTTGGAATGTTTCAGAGTCTTGCTTATGTAGAGGGCTACAAATTCGCTGGCTTGGTCTAAAATAGTCGGCGTTGGCGTAAACAAGCTCATCGCCATATGGCGGTAGGGGGTGGAATCTCGTGCGGGCTCAATATATATCCAGTGCCCCCTGGACCTTCAACTTGGGTTCCTACTAATGGTATGGTATGTTGAGTACTTGGTGATTCTAGAACTAATGCAGGCTAAAAATCCCGACTTGAAGCAGGTATCTAGGTACTCCATGTACTCTGTGTACGGTAGCCGATCTACCAAAAACAAAGTGGTGTGAGATTATCTAAAACTCCACTACCCATTCATCACGCGATGCATCAGTTAAAGTTGTACGATGCTGTGTGTGGACGATCTCTGTCGGGACTTAAGCAGGAAAGTTGAGCAAGGCTCGATCCATTCGCCTGCAATGAAATCAAGTAGACCGGCGACGCCGACCTCGGGAGGCATGTAGTCTGAGATCATACTTGAAGAAACCCGCTGCCCGCCTATATATTTCTCACGCACGTTGCCTGCATGCAGAAGTACCGGAACTATGCGGACATCCGACAGCCTCACTCGAAACAAGGCCACCCACAGGCTAACGAGATGTACGCTATTGAAGCTGGCGATCTAAATGTAACGGCAAGAACCTTAATGGCAGAAGAAAAGGAGGCTCATGAAAGATGCGGTTAAGCATATCCTCTCTACTGGCGACTTCGGAGAAGAACTGGGCCCGTGATTATCGAGGTCGCCCCATTGGTTACCATGCTTCAGTGTCCTTACTACCCTTCCACTGTTAGGATGTTGTTTGAATATGCTTTGTCGTACGTTGCAAGCACGGAGCTTGGTAGTTGACATTGAAGCTTAAGATTGAGGACACGAAGGAAATAGGTAGGATGAGAAGAAATTCAATTATCGCTATATATCCACAATACCAACGGGATAGATAATCCCAGAGGCTTGCGACTACGCAACCAGAACCGAAAAGGTTCTCAATATGGGAATGTAGACCACAAATATGGACCACTGTAACCACAGCGACATAAATGCCACCAAGATTACCGCGGTGAGTAGCGGGTCGGGTTGCTCTTCGTTACTTAAAATAAGCGTAAACCACATTGGAATAATGCCCAAACCCCGTAGGGAGAGGACGGTAAGCGCCAGAGTGTTGTAACGGTTCCCCCAAGGGAGACTTAAAGAGATAGGGAGATGGAAGGATCAACCGCACCAGGAGGTGATCCATATGCCTTGATGCATCCTCATCGCCAATGAGGGTGAAACGAGAGGAAGCAGACCAAGGTCAGTGGAGAAGAAAGGGGGTGAAGATCATCTATACGAACGGGAGAGAAGAGCGCGGGCGATCGAATTGTTCATTCGGATACTCGCGAAAGAAAACGAAGAAAACAAGGTATCAGGTCATAGCTCATGAAATGGTATGTCTTTTTTGTTGGGAGGCAACGGTCGTATTCTGCAACTAGCTCCGCGTTTTTTCAGCAGGTATGCTTGTCGTTACAAGAGTAGATAGTTTCCTCCTCTTTTCCGTTCAAGAGAGTAATGATTTACTCCTCAGGAACTATTCAATCGTTAGTAACAGGGTCATCGACAATCATGTGGACAGGAATCATGACTGATCCGCGAGGAGATAACTTACCGTCAATCTCGCCAGCCTTGACGTCGTCAGAGACATCCTTGGGGCTGCGGCCATCGACCTGGCAGCCGACGGAGAAAGCAGTACCGAGGATCTCGAGAACAACACCCTGGAGAGACTTGGCCATGGAGCGGTGCTTCATCTGGCGGGCGATCTCAACAATGTCATCGAAGGGGACGGACTTGGAGTGCTTGATGTTCTTCTCCTTCTTGCGGTCACGAGGGGGCTCCTTGAGGGCCTTGATGACCAGGGAAGAGGCGGAGGGAACGACAGAGACCGCGGCCTGACGGTTCTGGATGGTGAGCTTGACAGTCACACGGAGACCCTTCCAGTCACCAGTGTTCTTGGCAATGTCTTCACCGATCTTCTTGGGAGACAGACCCAGAGGACCGATCTTGGGGGCGAGCGCAGACTGGGCGCCAACCTCACCACCAGTCACACGCAGGTGAATGACCTTCACCTCATTGGGGTCGAACTTGGGAGCTACAGAGAAAAAGAGGGATTAGTCGCCATTGTAGATATGACCCAGGTGATGATACTTACGCATGGCGAGTGCGAAAGGTAGTCAATCTGCCTTGGGTTGTCGAAGGGGTGGATGAAGAAGGAAAGAAAAGTTCCCAGTCGATTGCAGAAAAGTCAGTTGAGAGCTGCTGGGGATCCACATGGGCGGCTAGTCTAAGCGAGTGGGCCAACGAAAGAGGAGGGCACAACCCTATCACGTGACCAAAACAGACGCTTGCCCGTTTGGGGAAAGTGTTGATTTGCGACAAAGCCTCGGCTTGACGATTCTACTACAGCGTAGATGTTGCGCTACAAAAAAAAATGCCTTGGCATTAATCATTCAATCTACTAGGGACTATATTGAAGAAGTGGAAAAGTAAAAAAGGAGCTAAATCACCGCTAAAGATACACATGACCCTTAAGGTCGATGTAAGACCGCCCGTTGCTTCTCATGGCTTATCGTCTCGTTTCAATTAGCTCGTACCGGACACCGCCAGCCTAGTGGATCAATCAGCAAATGAACAGAATTCTGTCGGTGGAGAATGGGATACTCACTTCATCAGGTGATCCATGAATGTCTGCAGCGAGACGTCATCAGTGAAGATGGTCTGGGAGGACACACCACCACCATATCCACCAGTGGTGTGCGTGGTCGAAGGATTCAGCTTGGACAGCAGGAAACGGGCTTGAGAGCCACCGGCATCACAAACAATGAATCGAGGCAGGGGGAAACGGTCCGCAATGAGTTCCTGGGAATGACGTTAGCTAGAGAACGACCACCTGCAATCGACGAAAGAAGAAACATACCCTAGCATCCTCCTTGGGCTGCTCCAGAAGTGCCTTGAGGTTTTCGTAGCCCTCCTGCTCTTGGTACCCAGCCTTGCGCCATTCGGCAATCGTTTCGCCGTGGAAGATGAGGATGTGGAAGAAAGTATCGAGGAGGAGGATGTGCGCGGGCTGGATGGAGGCAGAGTCCAGCAGGACGGGCTGGCTACCCTCCTGCTCGAGAGAGTACGAGTCCAAGGTGGGCTGGATCATGACCAGCGAGTCACCGGCATCCTCGTGGTTCAGGACGTGGCGGTAGAAAGCAGTCTCGTCGGGGGAGTTGTTAAACACCTGCAGGAACTGGCTTCGTCGCAAGTGGAACATGAACTGTGGGTACAGGGTGAAGTTCTTCTCCAGGCGGAATGATGTTGGATCATCCTTGCGGTAGTCGGCGAACCGAGAGCACAATCTGATCAACATGCGGTCCACCCAGCGCAGGACATCGGGCCCATCATCAACCTCAGCCTTGAAGACGGCAATACGGGCCATCAGCACCGCAGCAGCCTCCTGATCGAAAGACTGAGCCAATGTGGGATCGCCAGCGGGACCACTGAGGGGTCGTGCGACAGTAGTCACACGCAGGTGATAGTGCCCAGAAGAGTGTTGGTAGTATGTCAAGAACTGCATCATACCCCGCTGAGGACCGGCCTGCACAGCGGCGGGGCCGCCTTGGTTGGCAATCTCAAAGTAAACGCCATAACTCGATGACGGGTCGATACCGCACATCTTCCAAGCGCAAGTGTTACCAATACCACATTCGGTCTCACCGACTGAGCTGGACTTCTTGTTCAAAGAGATAGCGTGACCAATGAGACCAGTCACCTTGAGTTCCTTGGTGGTCAGGACTTCTAGAGAGGCATTGAAGCCCATCAAGAGGTTGTCATTGGCATCCTTGTCAAACACTCGAATAAATGATTGCTTGAACTGAGACGAGGTGAAGCTGTCCGTGAGGAGCATGTGACCACCAGTGTAGTTGGAGAGGTTCTTCATCTCCAGAAGACCGACCTGGTCGAGACAGCCGGCAAAGATATCAACGATGTGGCCGTTGTTCGCAGCACGCTTGGCGAGAGCATCGTAGAACTTGACGGCCTTCTTGTAGTACTTGATGTTATCCCTATCAATGTCGTGGTGCGAACGGATGGGCTCCTTCAGCTCAGGTGAAACAACGTGGCCGGGGCCTTCGGTGGCCGCACCACTGAGGAAGGCCATGATACGGCCACCAGCATTCTGGAAGGAAGTCTCGAGCAAGCCGACGGCGACGCTCAGGGCGACACCAGTGCAGCGGAGGGGGCGCTTGTCATTGGCCACGGGCCATGGGTCGCGTTGCATTTGCTCGAGGACATTGGTGATCTGGAACTCGGCCTGCTGGACGGGCAGGAGGAAGCGGGCAGCGGGGCCAAGGGGAGGACGTTGCGGTTGCTGCTGAGGGGGCATGCCAGGACGCGGGGCGCCAGCAACGAGGCCCAGCATCTCCTGGACCTGCTTGGCGGTGTAGTCCTTGTTGCCTCGGAACACATAAGACTTGGCGCACTCGGCATAGCCAAGCTCGTGCACTTGGGTCTAAATATCCTGAAATCAATACCCAAGCATTTTGGAATATAAAAGAATGGGGGGTATTTCTCCTTACCATAGTGCCGTAGGTAATCAGACCGACGAGCGCATTGGGCGGCAGCAGAGACAAGCTCATGACGAGCGAGTCCCGAACCGCCTGCAGGCTGTCCTCCTCCTGGCAAGTATCGACAACGAAGAGAAAGATCGGGGGAGCCGGGGCGGGGCGTGCTAATTGGTACTCGATCGTAGTGCTAGTCGGGTGGAGCTCTGGGGGTATCGTCTGCTCCGTGATATCCTTATAGTGCGGCGGTAGGGGGTTGCGCATCAAACAGAAGGGACAGATCCAGACTCGTGCGCGGATGTCGACATTGCTGGATTGGGGATTAGCTCACCGCAAGATCCGGGGGAGGAGCCTCATCATGGCGGAACATACGCAAATGGATTGAGCACAGCCCGGCAGGGTTGCTTGCAAGTAACAGGCTCATATTGAAGGATTGGGGTGTCTGGCTTCTCCTTGAGAGGGGTGTAAATGGCACCAATGGGGACGACTAGCCGAGAAGCTTCCTATAATCATGTTTAGAGGATGATGCGACGTGGGGACAGGTAAGAGGGGTTGCCCCCGAAGCCAAACACGCACCATGCGAGAGCTTGGGAAGGTGTTCCAGCTGAGTCTGAGGCCATCACGGTCCTCCACATCGCTCCATTGATCCTTGAGCGCTTCGTAATCCATCGTGACGGTGGATGTTCGAGGTCGCGGCCCGGTGTTGACAAGGGGAGGGGGGTGAACGGGTCAAGTCAAGTCGCACAGGCACCACGAGATCGGACTACTCCAAAGAAGTGATTAGACAAAGGCACTTCACCAGAGCATAACCCAATCCCAAACAGAAGAGCTCCGGTGTCAGCTGTGAGGGGATGTTCGAGCACAAGGTGGAGGAGTATGTTGTGTGAGGATCCCGGTCCAGCACTAAGGCCAGGTTGCAGCACTACTGGTCTCTGCCGCCCGCCGGACCCAAACATCATTAAATCTCGGCGCTGTCCCGCTTTTCCTTCTCTTTTCTTTTCCTCATGTTTTATTTTACGCCGACAAAAATTCACATTACTGTCGACAGCTTCCGTCATTCCATGATGAAGTTTGTTTTCGCGTCGAGCGGAGATCGACTTGACCCGTTGCTGGGCACCTGGTCTTGAAAGGTCATTCCGATCCTTTCGGATTTACTGGGAATCAGCTGTGGTCACAGACCTCTCTTTAATTCTAAATCTCTTTATGAAATGAAAAATGCTATACTGTGCCATTATAACAATGATTCTACCTAAATGCCATTTGCAGTTGTACAATATCAATGTTCCCAACGCCAATTGGCCCTTGGAAGACCGCCGCACACGTGCTGGCGATGAGACCGACATAACTTCATAACGAGAAAATTTCACATGCTGGCAGGTCAAGCCTCGCCTCGGGGCGGAGCCTTGGCCAGCGTCTTGAGCAGATAGCTGCGCTTGAAATAAGTGTTTGGATGGACGATCGTATCCAGATCCGCCTGACTCCATGTCCCATCCTCCTTGACCTTCTTGATCTCGTTCTTGTGGCTCCATTCGAAGACACGGTTGCATGCAATGTGATACCGTTGCTTGCCGACGTCCTCTCGAACTCCGCGAAGTACCTCCTTATCATGTACCCCGGTGGACTGGAGGAGTCCGACCAGGTTGTCAACTGAGAAATGGCGGTACGGGCATCCGTGTGCTTGGCCAACGCCGACGTTGTTGTCACCCAGGATCTTTTGGCATGAGTAAGGTGGATACCCACGACCACGACGGTTCACGTCACCACCGACATCACCGTAGGCGTGACGAATGTTGTATTTGTATTGCGAATTGAACTCGTCATCGGTTTTTCCTTTGAAGGACTGACGCCAGAAGAGAATACACTCCTCGAGCGAGAGACCAATGCCTTTCAGGAAAAGCGTGTATTGAAGTCGTCCGAAATGTTTCAGGTGATTGTTCTTTCGCAAGTTGATGTGTAAGCTGCGCATGCAGAGGGGGAAGTGCTGGGAGAGCGAGTCAATGGAGCTGGCCGTGATAGCTGCGCCGTCAACATGGCCTTCGCCTTCGGAGTAGACTGATTCGGCACTGCCAAAGTTCTTGGAAAGGTGGTTCAAGATGGGGGTCAGGCGGTCATCCTCATCCAGGCGAGGTAAGGCTCGGCTTGTGAGCTTCAACTGGTTAGCAAAGAAATGCAGAAAGCGAATACTTTCACCCAAAAACCTACCTCCAATGACCGCTCTAGGCGAGCGGTGAATTCGGCCATGATCATGCTCAGCTGCTCCCTGCCAGGAACATAGGCTTTGCCCCGCTTCATGTACACAGACCGTCGCTCAACTAGTTCCGCAACTCTCTCCCAGTCGACTTTATACCAGGTCTCTTCATCGACGCGCCGCAGACCAGGAGTCGCACCGATCAGGTTCTCAGCAACCTGGTTCCGTTCCTCCTCGCTCACGGGCTCCCAATCAAGATTTAAACTCTCGATGAAAGATCGTCGCTCTCTCGAATCATCCTTCTGGAAGCGGAATTTGAATAGCATGGTCTCGGCGCGTGCGAACCGTCGGCGGAGATCCTCCGTAGCGGAGAAGGCGAGGCGGAGGATAAAGTGTGAATAATGGTCCTTTTGACGTTCATTTTTCAAGCGAGGGTCCGCTGCACCGTTAGGAGAGGCAGTATTCGAGGAAAGAGGGAGGAATTTCTGGAGTAGAGGTGTAATGTGGGATTCGGTGTCCGCGGGGGACTTGTTGCGATAGGAGCATGCTTCAATCTCGGCCAGGACTGTTTGATATTAGTGACTGGTGGGAATACCGATTTTTGATATGCTTTGCAAGTTTCAATACCCTTCAACCGATCAATAGCCCATTGCTCAAACTGCTCGAGGGTGATCTCCGCCGTGGGCGGCGTGTCGTACAAGTTCAGGCGATGCGGATAGTCTTGCTGCTTGTAGATCGGCGTAGCAAACTGTCTTTTCTTGTGGTCGATAGTCGCCCTGCGTTTAGGGTCGATCCGATGTGCATCTTGTCGAATCATTTTGTCAGTTATATGAAATTGGGTCGATGTTTTGCCCGACCTCGATTTGGAGCGATGCACAGGATCTCCCCGTTATCACTCGGCACTGAATTGATGGACGCGACGCGCGCCCACGCGACTGGCCAAGGTCACGTGCATCTAGAGCGTCAATTACTAAGTGGCCTTAGAATTCAGGCCACAATTAACCTGATGGTCAGACAATTACAGTTCTTAGCATGTGAACATGTGAGAGACGTTATGCCGAAACCCCTCCGAGTACTTCCTAATGGGTTGTATTCCTTCGTGGTGGTATATATTGGATGATATTGAGATATCTGATTGATTTTCCCATCTACATTTTTGTCCTCCACTATACGCCGTACTTTTGGTCCTCCCGTCGTTTGTTTCCCTCGGAGCTTTCCTCACCGGGGTCCGAAGAAAGAACCCGCAATACCAACCCCACAGAATCGGGAATTGGTCATATGCGCGAGACAGCTGTGGTGCTTATATTGAGCCTCTTCCGACATTCCCTCGTCCGGCATGCATCAACAATAGCACGAATTTCCTTCGTCGCGTCCTTCATCTCTGGATTGCTCTTATCTCGCCATCCATCCTAGCCCTTTCTGCCACGGGAGGGCCACGAAAAGGGTTCCAGGAATCGGGCTCGGAGATAATTTCTGATACCGAACTTATATACCCCAACAACATCACCCACGAGACATTCATTCGACATGTCGCACTCAACAAAGCAGCTCAAGAAGGCTGCGCGCATAATTCTTGTTGGTGCGCCGGGGGTGGGAAAGGGTACACAGTCAGAGCGTCTGCTGGCTCGGTTTCCCCAGCTGGCCTCAATCAGCTCGGGAGACCTCCTGCGCGAGAATGTGCGCCAGAGGACGCCACTTGGTGAGTTGCGTCTATAAATCTTCCCTGCCTGATCTCTTCCTTCGGGAGAAGCAATTGCATCTAACATTTCCAACAGGCCTTGAAGCCGAAGCCGCAATGCAATCAGGCAATCTGGTGCCAGACTCGATGATTCTTAGCCTGATTTCCTCCGAATTGAAATCCAAGGGCTGGCTCCCTCCCTCGTCACCTTCTGATTCCTCCTCCTCAAACTCTGTCGAAACCTCGTCCTCTCAGTCCTCCACCTCAACTCCTACCCTATCACCCTCCGCTTCATTTATCCTCGATGGCTTCCCCCGAACCGCCGTTCAAGCAACCAGTTTGGACAGTCTAGTCCCGGTGAACTTCGTCGTGAATCTCATAACGCCGCCTTCTGTCATTCTCGCTCGCATTGCATCCCGCTGGGTCCATGAGCCCTCGGGCCGTGTCTACAATACAGATTTCCACGCGCCAAAGGTGCCCGGAAAGGACGATGTCACAGGCGAACCATTGACGCAAAGAGAAGATGACTCCATTGATACGTGGAAGCAACGGCTGCGCAAGTTCGAGGAGACTAGTAGGGCTCTCCTCGAGCATTATGACCGTCGTGGCTGCCTCTGGCGTGTGGAGGGCAATTCGAGCGATGAAATTTCCCCTCAATTATTCGCGGAAATTGAGCGCAGGTTCTGCTAAGAGCATAATTGATCCTGGGCATGCAAACGCATTCTTAATTGGGCTGCATCATTACTAGGCGCGTGCATCACGGGGTTACCAGACCCTTGGTATTATTATTACCTCTCTTTATGACTCGGGGCCGAGGGGTCTCGACTTGAATACTTTGTATATTTACAGCGACTACCGCAATTGGTGTACGATATACCTACCTAAATCCGGATTGAACTGAATTCTATCTACCGTAACCCACAAATACTGCGTAAAATTACAACACGGTCATGATTCGTCTTATCATGTACATATCAAAACACATCTCCCATCAAAGAATGAGAGGCACCGACATCTGCGGCTATGATTTATTACCGCCATTGTCAGAGGGGTCACCCATTCCCATCCGATTCTTATACTCCCTCGGGCTTTCCCAATTAGACCCATTACGGTGATAATCCTTCCAGAGACCCCTGGACCGTGCTTTCGCCCACCACTCTGCGCGGCGGTACTTCTGTTCCAGCTTTTCGCCTCCAAACTCGGCGCCTACCTTGGCTTCGTATATCGTCGCCAGGCCACGCTTCAACATCTCATATGAGACATCCCTCCGACGGAATGGGGGAAAGTCAAAGGCGCGCCGGACGGATACACTAGCCACGACACGACTGTACTGGTCCTGACGGTGGACGGAGGCCCGGACGCGACGGCCTTGTAGATAGGAGGTGAGCCACTGGTGGGCTTCGCGGGCGAATGGTTGCTCGGGCCGGCCGAAATGCGCGAGTTCGGGGGCATCTATGCCTGCTAAACGGATGTGAATCTAGCAGGGAGTGAGGATGTGTCAGTTTGCATAGTTGATCGAGTTGAAGCTGCGTTGGCAACAACCAAATGGACAGGGATTGAGAGACGAACGGTATTATCTTTCAGCTCTTTCTTCGTAGTAGGAATTTTCTTCCATGGTAGCCAGCCCCATCCCACAAGTCGGCCACCAGGCGTGTGGAATATCCGGAAATTGTCACCATCGCCAACACTGGTCACCTTTCCGAAGATGGTGCGGCGCCGGAGGAACGAGGGTGAGATGCTAGGCGCGTCGGGGATACGGCGCAGGTAGGTGCGGTGAAATCGCACAGCTAACAATATGCCGCTTGTCAAGAGTACGGTCGATATGAGCGTCCTGGACTCTGTGAAGCCGGTCCAGGACAGACCCGAGTCGGACTTGTTTGTCGTCGGTGTGGGGTAGGTCGACGCGCTTGAGGAATTGGAGGTGCGCTCTGGATGTTGTTTATCGTCATTGCTTGACTCGGTACTCCATGGTGGCCATCGCATGACTACACATAGCCCTGTGGTATGGCAGGATGTGACGTCGAGCAGGTGGGAGTTATTCAAGGAAGAGTGGTGATCACCGCGGCGGAAGCTTTGAGTTGCCGCCGCCGATCGTTGCCTCAGATACGTACTTAATTGTATGACTGGAGTCCCTGGGCCCACCACGTGGTGCAGACAATTGGTTATTTATCCATATTCTTCCACTGGTTTTACTCTTTTGGCTTCAAAGAAAATTGGTTTGAGCATTCAACGGACCGAGTTAAGCTACAAACCGAGCATTTATGTACAGTCTATCTCAATTCCAGCGTATAAACAGACGCGTTTCTATTGCATCAGGCGTTCCCCATGATCAAGAGTCCAAATATCCCATGACAATTCAAGAGGTCCGAAACAAGAAAACAGAAAGGCCAGCACGCCATAGACCAAGACATGTAAAAAGTCTTCGAAGTAACATGTTAATGGGGCACAGAAGAAAAAGGACGTAAGTAAATGGGGGTACATAATCTATTTCAGGGTTGCAGGTAGGCTGGTCTTAGCCTTAGCTGCCGCAGAATCCACTGCCTTTTGCAGCTTCTGCTTCTTGATCCGCTGGAGGTAGGCAAAGAGGAGAATGAACATGAGTTCCATCCTAAAACAAATGTTAGATCAAAGCTTCAACACGGCAAAGAGATGGAAGACTTGAGAACATACCGCTCCTTGGTCATCATCAACAGACCCTGCACCAACAGACCTTTCGTGATCTGAGGGCCAATACCCTTGAAAAGGGAGAGCACGCCCTCATTCTCGATGATATACTTCATGACCTCACCAAACGTCTTGAAGGGCTTGCCTTGTCGACCAGGTGGGGGGCGAGACTGCAGACCGACCTTGGCGACGATGAGAGGCTGAGTCACAATGGTTGCGAGGGCCTTGGACATGGCACCGAGGACTACAATGTTTGTTAGTAGGGTTATACCCAATGGCTCCAGAATAGGGTACACTCACGGAAAGCCTCCCAAGGCTTAAGGTTATTCTTCCCCGGGAAAATGACCTCCTTCAGGCGCTGATAAGCTCCGTAGGTAATGGCGGGGTTGACGACCAGAATCAAACTGGCCTTGAGGCCGCGCCACAGGCCGGACCAGCCGTCCTCGCTGTCAACGACCTCCCGACCGGTCTCAATTAATCCCTTCTTCTCGCCCTTGGGCTGTGTCTGCTGACGAGTGGTGATCACTGCCACGGGAATGGTGAAGACCTGAGCGACGGCACCGGCCACTGCACCGAGAGACAGCTCGACCGCAGTGCCAGGGTTCGTCGAGCCCCTGTTGGAAGCCATATACAGCCCACGGACAACGCTGTACCAGTAAAAGTAGGCGAAGTTGGTCGAGGCAACTCCGAGCAGCGAACCGGCAATTCCAGAGTAAAGGCCCGTAATACCCTCCTTCTCTACAATCTTCGTGATGGCATCCACAGTCCCGTCATAGTGCTCGACTGCGTTTTGTTCTTCGGCGCCTTTCGTTTGCTTGACTTGAACCTGCAATTTCGTCTTTACACTGTACAAAGCGAGCGCGGTCAGTAAATTCTTGCGCTTTTGATAATCTTGGGGGCCCCTTCACTCAACCGGGGTGTTTCTCACAGGTCCAATGGGTATACCATGGCATTTGCCAGAACGGCGCCCGTTGCGCCCGCAACGGCGCTTCCCCATGGGGAGAGGCGTACAGGCTTGGATTGACCAGCCATGATGTATATTGAATCGACGCGCTCGACGACGTCTAGCAAGTGATGTAGGGAAGGAGAAGTCCGTTGAAGCGGCGGACGTGAAGGAGAAAGCGGAGCGGGGCCTCTAACCGACAGACGCTTGCTCCGAAGACGGAAGAAACCAAGGACAAATAACAGATAGGAGACAAGAGACTCGATCAGGGGGTTCGTAGAAGAAGATCTCGGAGCATCACCAGGATACTCAAGATCATAGGAACCGATGTCACCCGAAAAGAAAAGTGGCCGAGCCTCGAAACCGGAATGGCACAGGCGCTGGGCAAAAGCACCTCGGCGCTGCGGTGAAGCGCTGCGAGCCGAGGTTCCTTCGGAGGTAAGGTCGGCCTGGACAGCTTAGGTCAGCCTTCAATCCGGGGACTCTTGAGCTAGTATGCTACACAGCAGCATATCCTCCGGCGGGTCCTGGGTAAATTGCTCGGATTGGAACGAGAGTCTACTGAATTGTCTATCCCGAGATTCGACCACGTATCGGCGGTGATTCTGGTGGTGGTAGGAGAGGCCGATGGCTTTTAGGTCAGCCATTCTTTGCGGGGCACGTCGGCTTCCAACCACCGGCAAGAATCCCACTTGGTAGTTGACTCTCCAGCGAGGAGGATCGGCCTTCCCAGCGACCCCAGCGCAAGTGCAAGCCATGTCTAGACCCCACGGGGCTACGCTGAATTTGCATATTTCCCAGGCGTTGGTAAATATATGGCACCCCCTTCTACCTTATTTCCCCAGACTGGAGCAATGGAGCTGCGGAATGGCTAATCGGCAGTTAGGAAGCCGAAGGGGCGATAGCCTCCGCCGCCTCTCAGAAAGCGGCTCTGGAAGCTGCCATCAATGCCGCTGAACATTACATGAAGGCCTTGAGTCTCGCACCATCGAACGATAAGGTTCAACTCGATGCTAAATGCAAGGAACTCATCACCCGTGCCGAGCGGATCAAGGCGGCCGGAGACTGGCAATCGGCGGCCCGCCAGAAACCTGTCTCCAAGCTACAGCCACCCACGTCCAAGCGCAAGCTCACCACTCGTGAAGAGATCATCGTGTTAGAGGGAGCAAAGCTTAATGGATTTATCTTTCCACCATGGGAGCGCCCACCAGCATCAGCTGAATTCGAACAGCCATTCACGTATGTTCGGAACGAGTGTTGTTTAAACATTCGTCTTGTCTGACCCTTTTGACAGGGATTCTCCCGATCTGCAACTCTCTGGTTGTCAAGAGGAAATATTTGCTGGGTGGAAGCGACCATCCGATTTACTACATGCCAGAAATGTCACAAACCAGACACAAGATGCGGAGATGCCTGCGATGTCTGTAATGGGGACATCTGATCTTGTTCAAGATGTCTTGACCGATTGCTCTGTAATTGCAAGTCTATGTGCAACTACTTCTAGGTCAGAGCGAGGGCTGGGAAAGGTATGTACCCAGTCTCTGGTAGCACTAGGGTTAGTTGGACTGACAGAAGTAGCATGCTTCGCCATCCATGTATCCCCGTGAGCGTGGCTCAGACGAACCAGCTCTCTCCCCATCAGGGAAATACATTTTCTGTTTCTACTTTAATGGTGCCTTTCGAAAAGTCGTTATAGATGACCGGTTGCCATCCTCAAATACTGAACGACCACTTCATGTGATTGACCGCAATCACTCAAATTTCCTGTGGCCTGCCTTGGTTGAAAAGGCATACCTGAAAGTCCGCGGAGGCTATGATTTCCCCGGGAGTAACTCAGGGACTGATCTTTGGGTGTTGACCGGCTGGGTCCCTGAGCAAGTCTTTCTCCATAATGAGGATGCCACGTCAGACGAGATCTGGAGGAGGTTATACCAGGCCTTCTCCTATGGTGATGTTGTTTTGACTATTGGAACTGGCAAACTCACCGAAAGGGAACAACAAGGTCTGGGCTTGGTCAGCGAGCATGACTATGCCATTCTCAACATGAAGGAGAACGACGGACGGCGTCAGTTCTTGCTCAAGAACCCATGGGCAGGCGCAGAGCCTAGCATCGTCCATACTGGCAGAGTTGACCCTACAGACTCGGAATACCCACCATCCCCTCTGTCACCGGGGACTTTTTGGATGGACTGCGAGCAGGTCTTTCAAAATTTTGAGAATCTTTATCTTAACTGGAACCCTGGCCTATTCAAGTATCGTGAAGATATACATTTTACATGGGATCTTTCACAAGGACGGGCTCTATCAGGTTGCTTTGTTAGGAACCCCCAGTTCTCTGTCTACAGCGAAGAGGGAGGGACGGTCTGGCTGCTCCTGGGCAAGCACTTCAAGACAGATGACCATAACTATCTAAAAAGCGAAGGCAGAGAACTTGGTTTTATCAGCATCTATATATTCCAAGCGGGTGGTAAAAGAGTGTCCCTGAATGATGGTGCTTTACACCGTGGGCCCTATGTCGATTCACCAAACACTCTCATGAGACTCGAAATGCCTCCACGGACAACTTACACCGTCGTGATTTCGGAGCAGTCACTGCCATCAACCAACCAGAACTTTACACTCTCGGCATTCTCGACATCTCCAGTATCGCTGGCTCCCTCAAGAGACAAACACATGTGTGTGAGGAAAGTGAGCGGCTCCTGGACAACATTGACAGCTGGTGGCAACGCAGAGTCTGCACGATACTCTTCCAACCCGCAATTCAGTCTTGAAGTTTCTGAGAAGACCGACGTGTCAATTCTTTTGGAATCGAACGAGGCTGAATTAGCAACGCACGTGAAGCTCTTCTGGTCCAACGGCCAGCGCGTCGCCAGAGTTCGAAGCCGAGATATCATTGCAGACAGCGGCGACTACCGCCGCGGGTGTGCATTGGCTGAAACAAAATCACTCGACAGGGGGCTGTACACCATAGTATGCTCGACCTTCGCGCCCGATCAACTCGGACGCTTCGAGCTCTGGATCTCATCCTCAATTCCATGCGTGGTGCGACCGCTAGCCTCTGAATCAGCTGGACGCCGAAGAACGGTCTCTAGTATCGGCGTTCTGACACCAGGAAAAGACCGCATGCTGGCGTCTTTGCGAGTATCGCGGATGACCCGAATCAAACTGATTGCCAAGAGTAAATTGTCAACGATCGGGTCTCGCTCTGTTGCCCCATCGCCTGTCTTGATGACCGTGGAACTGGGCCAAGGTCCATACAAGAAGACACTAGCTGTTTCGGAGGATGGCACCCATTGTGATGCTCCGTCTGGGGTGCGTGTAGATGACTTCGATCTCTCACCAAGTCCCGACTTACACAGGAAGATTTGGATTGTCATCGAGCGCATTGGAGGGCCTGGTGGGCAAGTGGAAGATCATTTTGAGATTGAGGCTCTGGCTGAAGAGCGAGTGGAGATTGGTGAGTGGATTGTTGACGATGCTTGAATCTCAGTGACTCGCTGAGTATAGTGTGTGGATGAGCTGTTTACTTTGGAGGCCATTACAATGCAAACTCAACCTGCCTGCCAAATCTACTATTGCATCTTTGCAGACACGAAACGGGCCCTTGGGGTCTTAGTATGATGAGCTGTACGAAGCACTAGATGAAGATACTGCCTATCATCACCTCAGTCCAAACATGTAGTATGAAACTCTCGATATACGGTTTCGAAGCCAAACGGACCATAACGTTACAACTAATAGCCAGCAGGAGTGGTCTATAATTTCATTTTAGTAAAAAGTCAGCCATTCCAGAATTCAAAATCCCAGGGCCTATTTTTTGGAGTAAAACTATGCAATAGAAATGGATTAAAACCAAGAATCGCGTGGTTTATGATGAGTGGACCAGGAGCTTCCCAAAGCAGATAAGGTTGGTCTTTATCGCATCTCCGCACGGGCGGTGGGATTCCACTCCAAACGTCATCTGGCCTCGAGCTCTCTTTCCACCACGTCCCTGCGACAATCTCAACCATGGCCAGCAGTATTCCGGCAGCGCTGCGATCCTCTGATGTTGGGCGCTTTGCCATCAGGGCAGCGCAAATTGAAAAGGCAAAGCCTGTGGTCGCCTACTGGTGTGAGTGGTGCCGCTTTCCCCGCGATGCGACCCCCAACTGATCAGAGTCCACCATGCGATAGGCCATTATCATATTGTGAACCAAATAATCGAGAGAGGGCTTCACAACTCCGACGATGAAATCAAAACCTACACTACCAACCTCGTTGACAGTCTGGAGCAGGTTAGTCGAGCTGGCAACCCCCGCATCGCCTCCGCCCTCTGCTGCCTGCGAAACCTGGTGACTAACCACATGTTCACTGGAAATAGTTCAAAAGCAAGAACTCCGAGAACGAGGCTGTAATGGATAATGATGCGGCCAGTGCTTATGTCGAGCAATTTGGACTGGAGATTTTCAATCGCGCCGAGGCTGCTATGACCGCCAATAAAGTCACCAAGTGAGTGTCCAAATGCAGCCAGCTAGCTAAACGCCTACTCATATATACCCAGGCAAACTGCCGATACGTTCCAAGCAGCCGCTATTTTCCTCGAACTATGTCAGATCTGGGGGGAGCTGGACCCTGAGATTGCAGGAAGGATCAAGTTCGCCAAATACCACGCGGTCCGGATCGTGAAGGCCTTCAAGGCCGGAGAAGATCCCAATGCCACGAACCCCGCACCGAAAGCAGAGGAAGAAGAGGTGACAGTGGCCGATCCAGAAGTGCAGGCGTTTGATGAGTCCGTGGCAGAGCAGGCCTCGAAGCCACGGCAAGCATCCGTCGAAGAAATTCCAGACGAGGCTGATCGTCTCAGCCGCCAATTGGCACATCAATCTACCTTGGATGAGTCGTTGCACCCATCTCGGACCTCGTCAATGCCACGGGTCCCCGCCGCTTCGGAACTCGAGATCCCTTCTGTACCCAGCAACCCGCCTGGTACTCCGGGAAAAGCGAGGGACATTAACCTGCCAGAAGCAGGTGGACTGGACCTCCCATCCACACCCGGAACCATTGGTGGCAAAATCAGCGGTCCAGCTCCTGTCATAGATCTCCCAGATACGCCAGGATCTTCCGATCTTCATACCGCTCACGCACCGACTCATTCCAACGCCTTCCAGTCCTTCCCTCCTCCATCTGCAACAAGTCCATCCATCGAGGCCCCAAACCCCGGTGGTTTCTACAACCCAAGTGCTAGCACCCATATTCCTCCTCCAGCAGCAACTTCCTCGGTGCCTGCTCCAGTTGCCCGTGCCCCTGTTGCACCAGCTCCTGCAGCTCCAAGTCAGCCCTCGCACCTCGTGGATGATCATAACATCTCTCTAGCACAGAAACATGCTCGCTGGGCAGTCTCTGCTCTTACATTTGACGATGTGGACACGGCGATCAAAGAGTTGAAGAATGCTTTGAGATTTTTAGGCTCTGAATGAGCTGATGCATTGTGAAATCGAACAGTCTGATAATCCATGGTGATGTTGAGATATCTTCCATAACATGCATATATTCCTTGTTCTTCCTTACCTTCCCCATATTGTCCGATTACAGTACGAGGGGAAATTCTCGCTTTATCATTAAGAAGTCTCCTCGAAAGCTCCCTACAAGTTGTCAGCCATCGTTTTTGCCAGCCTTGTATGATACAGTGTTTCCGAGAAACGATTGTCACTGCCTACACTCTTTCATGTCTACCACTGAAGTACTTTTGGAGTAATCGGAAATTCCTTGTGATCTCGGCTATACATCTTAAAGTACCGGATTATTGAACATAAAAGAGGGATACATGGTGAAACTGTAGTGTGTCCTCTAGAAGCCTGTTCTCTTCCTTGGAGAACATTCTGAGATGGCGTTGATACTCCTACATAGCTTGGATGTTAGGCATGATTTATTGGTAGTATTTCAAGTTACGAGACAAACATCGTGTTAGAGGTTTTCTTGTGATATCAAATCTTTGGAATGACACTTGCTCTGGCAGTTACGAAGGTTAATGTTAGGCGATCTCTCATTGCCTCCAAGATCTCCTAGGTGGCTGGCGACTCTTGTCAATATTGTGTTTACTGTTTACTTCACTCACCCACAATCAAAGTCCCCAGTCAAGGTTGTCACCTTTCTTCGTCGTTTCAGTTTGCTTTACAGGATCTTACCATTATCGTATCCACATCTGCGCCCAAATTAAACATCGCGGATTAACCCAGCATCACCTTCCTTTGAGACCCTCCACCACCTGACCATGGAAACCCACAGCACGATGATCAACCCACCTCGTTCGACCCGAAATAGTATCCCTCCCTCCTTCCCAGAGGAAATGGATGCTCTGACAAGCTTCATCGACGACAAGACCCTGACACCGAGAAGCAAGCTGGACGAGTTCCGCCGCTTTTTTGACTTCAAATCAGAATTCTGGAACAAGTTCCACAGACAGATCAAGGAGCATGTCTTGCTCACTTCTACTTGGGCAGAGATGCAGCTGAGCGAGACCAACCGCGAAGCCGTTGCTGCGACATTTCTGGAACAGGTGGGGTCTGAGTTCTGGAGCAAAGAGAATCAGGAAAAGTATTTGCTTGAGGATCACATCAAGAATGGGCATGTTTGTGCCTACCCCCGAGACAAGAAGACGTGGGTGATACGGTCATGAGTACACGTTGCAAGAAGCGGCCCCTGAGCTGACGTTGACTAGAATGATCAAGGCCCTCGCATTCTTGCTGGAGAAAGACGCCAAGAATCGACGGGGGTCGGTCTCGCAGGACGTAAGCTTCCCTAATTTGAGGGTCTTGTTTCCTATCTGTGTGTTGTTGGTGAGACTGTTTGATGATAAACAAGATTAGGTACCCCAGGCTCAAAGCAGCAGCAGCCCTCTGCCGGACCCGCCTCCTTCAGGCTGTGAGGTGACTGCAACAGTGAAGAAAAGTAGCAGTCGGGCATCGACTCCCACAAGGTTGTTCAGAATACCCAAGACTCCCAAGACCCCTAAAACCCCTCAGGCCACGCAGAGTATGAGAAGCACGAGTGTCGCGCGAGAAAGCAGGACTCTCAACAGTCCAGCCCCATCCACTCCGACCCCAGTGACCCGGGGGCTTCTGGGCACAGTCGAGAATGCACGGGTATCATCGGCCGTTGCGACTCACGCCGCTCCCAGCCATGAAATCACCCAGCTTTGTTGCCAAGGTAGGTCGACTTGACATCATACATCTATGTGCAGTCCGTATTGCTCACTTGTTAAACAGTGAGCATGGGTCTGGCAGAGAATTTCTTCACTCAGTTTTCAGACATTGCCCCCAACACTCTCGCAACTTACTTCCTCGTGCAAGAGCAGGGAAACCAGGGCGAGCCAGTCTGCGTGCCCTTCCGGAATTTCGAGGACTACAAGACAAGCGACGAATTCCTGGACGAAATGGAGAAGCGATGCTGCGAGCATGACCCCAGTATGCTGCAACTTTTCGAGGACGTATGGAAATTCTCGCATGCAGTGGTTCTGCTGCAATGGTCGGGTGTTTCTTTCATGATGCGCCGCGAGACGGACGACCTCCAGTCGCTGGCCAACCGTATTGGTTGTGCGTGGCGGGCAAAGGAGAATGGGGAGTTGCAGGCATTTGAGTTTGTGATTCGGGTGACGTTGAAGAAGGATTGAAAAGCAGACCAGCTACATCCGAGAAGAGGGGAAGAGGCAAGAGGGATGAGTTGACGAGAACGAGGCCAACGGGTTCCGCAGGAATGCATATTTCCGCAGAAATGGAGCATGATGGGAGGGGAGAAGATGATGTAGCGTACTCCGTAGACAAGTCCGTCCAGTCGAGTAACCCCAGATCCGAGTAAAGTTAAGGATTGCACAGATGTTTGGGTCCGGGCAGATCCCAATCCCTTAGTTCCCTTTCGATCCAGTGCTACCAGTACCAGTACCATGGGGCTGCAGGCGCTGCTCACCCCGAGGACTTCGACGTCACTGGGCGACTCCGATGCGCTCGGGGGCTTCGAATCAGCGGCTCGCCAGGGGGGGGGGGGGGGGGTCTCCACTATAGCCCACTTAGCGCGGCGACTATAGATCACCGGCGTCGTTAGAGCGGTTGAAGCGGAGGCCCTTGGCAGGGGAGTGGGCTCGCGAAGTTTGGAAACAGCCAGGGAGTGTGATCTTCCCGAATTTTCTAGCGATGGCGTTAGCGTGCCCTCCTTTGGGAGTTGGTTCTTTGGTTCTGCCTTGGAGAGAGAGGATCCTGGTCGCGAAGGTGGATTTCACGGAGTAAAAGTGGAGGATGAAAGATGGAGATGGGGATGAAGGGGAATTCTGGAAGCTGGAAATTTCCGGTCAGAAAGGGAAAGGGGGAAAAAAAAAGGGAGAGTGTCCCCCCAAACCAAAACGCACGATGGCGATTTAGTCGATTTAGTCGATTTAGTCGATTTAGTCGATTTAGTCGATTTAGTCTTTGGCGCCTTTCCCTTTGCCCCCTCCTCCTCCCTAAACTCCCCTCGCTTCCTTTTGGGATTTCTCGATTCGTCCTATTCACAACTCTCCCTCTCTGCCTCTCTCTCAACCCCCCCCCCCCCCCCCCCCCCTTCTCTTCTACTCCTCCCCTTATTGCTTGTTTCCCCCTCCCCCCCCCCCCCTCCGTTTGGAAACTTTGGCTGCGGGCCGTTGCGATTGTACCACAATCCGTTCACCATGGCCGACGCCAAAAAGCCTGCCGTCTTGATCATCGGAGGTCTCGGTACGTATTGTTTCCTCCTCCTCCTCTGCCCTGTTTCGCCCGCCTCGTTCCTATTCCTAGGGTAAGTCATACTCTCAATACTAACCATGCTCGTCGGCAGGCTTCATCGGTCGCCATCTCGCCCTTCACATCCATGAGAACAACCTGGCCTCCGAGGTCCGCATTGTCGACAAGGTCTTGCCGCAATTAGCCTGGTTGGCGCCCGAGTTCGAAGAGGCATGCTCCAAGGAGAGGTTTGTACAGGCTGACGCCAGTCGTGAACGTAGGTTCCACCCCCGCCAAAACGACGACTGTTTACTGTTATCTGTGTGATTACATCGTCGGACCCAACAAGATGAACTTACACTCGATGTCTTTGCTACAGAACATCTACCCCGCATCTTCGACCGCGCCAATGGCGAAGAATTTGACTACGTGATCAACTGCGGCGGCGAGACTCGCCATTCCCAGCCCGACGATGTCTACGAAGCCCGCAGCTGCAACCTCAGCATCGCCCTGGGCAAGGAATGTGCTAAACGCAGTATCCCCGCCTACGTCGAGTGCTCGACCGCACACGTGTACAAGAGCGGATCCTCGCCGCGCAAGGAAGGTGACAAGGTGCAGCCGTGGCACAAGCTGGCGAAATGGAAACTCAAGGCCTCCGATGAGCTCCTGAAAATTCCCGGGCTGCAGTATTGCGCCCTCCGCCTGCCGCATGTCTACGGCGCTTACAACCCAGGCTACTTTGCCATGGCCATCTGCCTGGCCCGCGTGCACAAAGAGATGGACCAAGATCTTGAGTTCTTGTATACCAAGGATGTCAAGGTGAACACGCTTCATGTCAAGGATGCGGTCAATGCGCTGTTCACGGCAGCGGAGTGGCGCGCCAAACAAGGCAAGCTCGACCGCAATAACGGTTCAATGCCAGCGTTGTTCAAGGACCCCGCTATGCCCATTGCCTTCAACGTCGTCGACCACAACGACACTTGCCAGCAGCACGTTGCTAAAGCCATGGCGGAGGTATTCGACCTCAAGGTCTCATTCCTTGGCTCTCTGGCCTCGCAGCTGGCCAAGATGAACTTGGACAATGTGGTGGACGATATGAACGAAGTCAGTCTGCAAGAGTGGGCCGACCTGGTTGCCAAGAGCAAGATCGAGCGGCCCGGGCCCATCGGCCCGTTCTTGGAGCTTGATGTGCTCAAAGACCAGGACATGTCCATTGATGGCTCTCTGTTCGAGTCCACGACCGGCTGGAAGCCCAAGTACGAGCACTTTGGCGCCGACAGCGTTCGCGAGATGGTCGAGAGTTACAAGCGGATGGGCTGGTGGCCATAAACAGGTTCAACTGCCTTTCCTCTCATCTCGCTCACGGTCTATTGCATTCTCTCGTCTTTTCGCATTATTGTTCACGGTCTCCTTCCATCGTGGAGAGAGCCCTCGGTCTCCACCGCATCGCATCGCATTGTGTCTGCAAATACAACCATTTCCCTCGCTTTGACACGACACGACACCTTTGATGACTGATTCCTTGTCCACAACTCCACCCTTCAACCAGGCTTTGGCCCTTCTGCATTTTTCTTGGATTCCCAGATTCCCTTATATACCGACATGGTCCAGGCGCGCACGCTGGATCGCATATCTGATTCTGTACTAATGATCCTGATTCCATTGTGCGGGAATTTTTTTTTTTTCCATTTCTTGCATATATCCTCTTTTCATTCTCAATCTCAGTTTCATTATTCTGACCGAGCCTGCATTTCTGCATCTTGAGCCTTTCCTCCTTTTCTGTGGCCGGTTTATCTTCCATCATTTTTGGCCTCTTTGGGCATGGCATCGTGCCTGTATTGGCACTTCTTTTGGATTTGTATGTACTTTAGAATTTGATTTGAATACTGTCAGTCCTCATCTACTTCTTGGCTGGTGAATGGTCACTGACCCAAGACTATCTTAGTGCATCCAGTCAAGGATGTCGAAGGAGATCTTCGGGGGTCGGCCGTTCCTCGGGACTCATTTTCATCAACGCCAGCATAAATGAAACAAAGTGCTCTCTGACCTCCTGCTCCAAACCTGGCGTAAAGGCATAATGACATAAGCCCCGATCTATCCATGGAGCCAGCATCCTTAACCCTCCCTTCGGCATCAAATACGGACTGAACGATATCCGGATTCCCTTTCTCCAGTAACGACTTGGGGGAAAGGACCGAGGAGACTCACAATCTCTGCTAGATGCACTCTGAGCTCGTAATGACCGTCGGGAGGAACCGCCCCACTGAACATGCGTATCGCGCCGAAGAGTTCTGGGAGGACGGCACAGAGCTTCCACAGGTCGTCCGCTGTCCCGTACCATTTGCACTGAGAACCTTGAGGGCAAGGAACTCTTGCGAGTCGCATTCCCTGTACTTCGCTATCATTGCCATGGATAGATAGACGGACTACCAAAGGGCCAACTTACTCTCTCTGAAGGTCTTGGACAAGCCAAATAGTGGAATAGACACCGTATCTAGTCTTGTTTAATATCATATACCTATTGTGGTATACATCGCCGACATAGACTGGGTGAAATCCACCGGATCGGTGCGCTGTTCTTCCTTCTTCGATATCCCCTTAGCGGGCCTCCGCGGCCTGTCAAGGCGATGGAGACACGGGGAGATTCGACTCCTCAACAGTGGCCATAGCTACCGCTGCCAGATCAATCCGTTAGGTGCAAGTGATCGAAAGTCGATACAAGACGGGGATGTGAGCTGGACAAGATCACAAGATGTCAATACTGGCGGTGTGTGCCTGATGCCCGATGTATAGTTTTTTAAGTTAGCTTTGGCACCTGTCCGCTGATCTTTTTTGCTTGTCCTAGCTTTGCACCTTCATGAGATATCATGAATTGAACTATGAACTTTGATCTTCACCTGGCCGTTAAAGCGAAACCATAACCATCGAATCCTCTTCCGCGATCAACAGATCTGAGCGAACTCGTTATATTGGTTAGTTGTCCAGCTCTTCCCCTCGGAACAAAGACCGCTGCTAGCAGCAGTGGCAGACCTGGTAGACGATATTTCCATTCATTTAGGTAGTCAATCAAACATCTTGCTCTCAGCTTTTTGGAAATACTACATGGTTTTTGACAAATTCCGCGTCGCTGACGTAGGTTCGGCTGGGACGCACGAAGTAGTACCCTGCCCACGTCTCCTCTTCCTCGATAGGCTCTTGTTAGCACTTTGTACCAAAGTAGACTCTCTTAGTAAGTGATCGGGCTGCCATAACGGGTGCAGGGTCTCTCTGGTTTCTGCTGGTAATTTGGGATTCCAAACGTGTGCAGTTAAAAAAGGGACCGCGGTACCGTAGCTTCGTCTACTCTTTAGAAATTCATTAAGGACATGATAAAAATACATTGCGATCTTCCATTCTAGCCAGTTTAGGCTCCTATGGACGGATCAAGAAAGACTGCGCTGGATGCAAAGGCAATGTGGCAATCAAAACAACCGAAGTTCAATGCAATGCGACTTGAGTCTTTTTTTTGTAGGTGTTTTTGGTCTTTGTATATGTGAAGTGTCTCAAGAATGCCATAAATGGCATTGGGCGTGGACAATGTGATGTGAAAACCCCGGTTATTCCTCGAGTGTATGGACACGAAGGTGGATAAGCATTGAACCACCGGGAGAACCGGGAGTCATGCTTCTAGAACAAAGGCAATGAAAGAAAGGATGAACAAGGTGCAAAACAAAGTCACCTCTCCACTGTCCATGGCACGAAGAGGCGAAAGGTGATAGTGTACGGATAATCAGGACTGTACAAGGCAGTTCGATTGCAGGTGAAAGAAATTCAGAATTCCCAGTCCTCATCAACGGATTTGATGGCCCATTCGAACTTCTCACGGAGAGCCTTGGAGAAGAATTTCTCGATGGGCACGTTGAACTTCTTACTGAACACGACCGTGAGGCGAGGGTCGATGTAGTTCTTAAAGACACATGTTAGACAAATCCACAGTATTCTCATGAAATAAAAATCCAAAACTCACAATTTTTGAGGTACCCAAGGCAACCTCCTTGTTGTCTTCCTTATCCTGGGCCTGAAGCAACATTGTATCAATGCGCTGCTCCAGCTTTTTGATGTTGCCCTCGATTTTTTCGACAGTAGGACCACGACCTTCAGCCTCAACCTTTCCGGTCTTGTTCTCTTTGTTGTATTTCTTCTCCAGGTCTTTGACGGCACTCAGGCGTTCAGTAAGCTCTGATGCCTTCATTGCCTTCTCGCCATCCGCCACACGTTTCTCATTGTCCTTTTCAAACTTCTTCGTGATCTTTTGAGTTGTCTCCTCGACCTTGAAAGCTTGGTATTCCTTCACCCACTCGGTGGTCAAGTCCTCATCAAGCTCGAAGAAAGAAGCACCCTTCTTCTTCTTTAGGGAAGGCTCTAGGTCGAGCATCTGCATCTTCAATCGCCACCTTTCAAAGCGGAGTCCCTTGATCTAAGACAATGAAAACTTGTTAGACTCTCGACACAACAACTCTGGTTCAGGCAAGACCTACGCGTTCACTCATCTTCTCCATCTGATTGGCGTGAGCAGCTCCAACTGTCCGCTTGTGGTTACACAGAATGGCGACCCGGCGGTTAGCATCGTTGTAGGCCTTGATCTTCTCGGGAACCGTGCCAGAGGCCTTCAAGTCCTTGAGCAATTCGCTCATGGTAAAGGAAGCATTGTAAGTACGGAACACCTTGGCGGTAAGGCCAGTCATGTAGTTCTGCAAGTGCTTGTTGAGGGCGGAAGTCTATGATATGTTAGCCGAATCCATGAGTGTTGTTCAGAAAGCAGGTTTTCGCACAGTCAGACGGTCAAAGATCTCGTCTCCATTCTTCTTGGGCGCCTTCTTGAAGATCTTCAAGTTCTTGAAAACTTGAGGGTCAACCGTAACTTCATCGTAGAACCGAATACTATCTTTACCCAGGAAGTCGAAGACGACGGTCTGAGGTGGCTTTAGAGTAATGTTCTCGTACTTCAGCGAGCAGCAGCCGACGGTCTCTGCCTCGTCTTCACCCTTCTCGTTGCCAGCACGCAGAGCAAATTTGTCAATAAGATAGACCGCAGTTGCCTTCTGACGTTCCACCATGAGGTCGTTCTTCATGTTCTTCGTATAGTCCCTGCGAATCTTGTCGATGTGCTTCTTGAGCTCGCGGGCTTTCTCGAACTTCTTGTAGTCGCTTTGGCCCTTGACATCGGAATTGGCAGCCAGCATGACATATTTGTAGTTACCATTAATGTTCTCCTGCCACATCGCAAGCCACGTGCCCTCCTGGTCATGCTTCACCTCCTTCCACTTGTGACCGGGAGGTGGCGGGGGGACTTTAGCTTCTTTGCCAATATTGATAGTGACTTGCTCAGGTTGCACGCGGGTCTTCACGCGTCCAGTCTTTGGGTGTTCACCTCGGCCACGGAACAGCGAGGGCGGTTCCACACGGAAGTTGCCGACTTTTTGTTGACGCCCATCCCAAATGCATGTCATGTAGGGAGCTTCTTGTTCATCCTTCTCCGCCTTCAGACGCTTCTTCTCAGCTGCAGGCAGATTCCGCTTCTCCTCGCGCTGTGCATCATAGTACTCAAAAATAGGCTTGAAGTCACATTTGGCGAACTCTTTGATGTCGACCTTGTTGCCCTTGGAATCCTTGGCACCACCGGTTTTCTTGAGGATGTCTTTGAAATCCGTAAAGAAGTTCTTTTGGAAGACAGGGTTCTCCACGTTGTGCGTCGAGTTGAGCATGCTTCCGAAGAAGCCAGCAACTTCCTCGGCCTCGGGATGGAGAGTTACGGGGACACCATCGTACCTCAACTTGACATGGCTGGGCAAGGGCTCGTATGGCGGAGGGAAGACGACACCGTTGTGTTCAAGGGTCGTCCACTTCTTGGTCCCATCGCCATTGGTAGGGTCTTCCCACCAGCGATAGTCTTCCTCCCCTTCTTCCACATCCTCACTCTCTGCCTTCACCTTGGCTTTGCTCTTCTTCGGAGAAATCGGTTCGGCCTTGACTTTCTTCACAGAAGACTTGTCATTCCCGGGTTCCTTCTTGACGCCATTTACTGCCTTCTTGGCCGTAGCCACAGGTTTGGCTTTGGAGGCTGAGGGCTTGCGCGCAAGGGTGGCCACCTTCTCGGCCCGCTTCTCAATCTTCTTCTTCTGCGCGGTGAGTTTCCGCTCAATTGGGACGTCGGAATCGGATTCTTCGCCAATAGCGGTCTCAGAAGCCTTTGGAAGCTTCCGTCCGTTGAGGGCCAGAGGGACGTCATCATCCGATTCAGGGTCTTCATGTTTGACCGAGGTTCGCCGGCGTTTGCTCTGAGGACGGTCAGTCGCTGAAACCAAGAGACATCAAAGTTGCAAAATAACTGCTATTTCGGGCCAAAGTATATCGTACCAAGGGCTGGTCATCTTCGCTGCTCTCAGGCTCGGCATATGACTTCTTGTTGTCAATGCTTGCCCGAGACTTGCGCTTGCTCAGGGCAGGCCCATCCACGTCCTTCATTTCAACGTCTTTGCCTCGCACGGGGCCGAAGCGAACTGACATGCCGGGATCGAGATCGCCGTTTGTCATGGGAGACTTGGTTGAGGAAGTGGCTAGAGAGAAAGACAATTGCATATGTTAGTTTAGCTCAAGATCAATGTGACCGGGGATATGTATTATCAATGACAAGGCTGAAAGTGAGATGTAGCCGAGAGAACACGACGATGCAGGAATATGTGATGTGATGCGATGAAAGGTGTCCGCGAAGGCAATAAGAGCCGAAGGGTGTATATGCTGCGGCGTCACACGGGGGGTAAGGCTTACCATTGGCGCGGCCGTTGGCGCGCACGAGAGGAATGTCTTCCTCAGAGGAGCTCATGGTGTTGGCTCGACAGCCCAGCAGGCGCACAGTAAGATTGGTGTGAGATAAGCGACCACGGTGGTTGGAAAAGAGTCCTCGTGCGCCGAGTCGTGCAAACCGAGCCGCTTGATAGAACGAACTAGTAAGGGAAATTCTGACCAATGAAGACCAGAATCGAGTTCAACAGAGGTGAGGAGGCATCAATGGTGCGCAGAGCGAGGGGCGTGGGGGAAGAAACTCGAGGAGAAGGAGGAAGAGATGAGCGCGGAGTTGAGTAGAGAAGAGAGGGAAGGAGAGGAAAGGAAAGTTAGGAAGTTTGGGGGGGGAGGAATGGAGGGAATGGAATGGAAAACGAGGCCTTGACCTCATTCTGCCTGAGGCCACAAAACACAGTCCCAGATTTGCCCGAGTGGCTGCCTGGAAACTCAGGCATGACACACACAAAACTTGCCGACTGTTCAGGTGTCCTCAGGCAGTAAGGCTCCGAGGCCACAAAATTACGCCGGAAGTCGGGACAGCACACCGTAGACCCTCACCCTTTTGGGTTTAGCGCAGGAGCGGCAGCCAGGAGTTCGACTTCGCACTTCCCGACAGTCCCAGCATCGACAGCAAAGCGAGGCCTCTGCAACCCTGCCCTGCTCCCCCTCCCCTCTCTCCGCAGTTCTTTTCTGCTCTCTACCACCTCACCATCCTCTTCACAATGTTCTCCCGTACCGTCCGCCCGGCCGTTCGGGCTGGCAGCGCTGCTGTCGCTCGGTAAGTCTTCTTCCGATGCCCGCCTCGTGGGCAGGTCCTTTCACCCGACGCATTCGAAACCACCACCTCGATACTGCCCTCATTGAATAGATTATCCTACTCCGCAAAGGAAAGCTCAATTGATTACTGACGCATATTCAAGCACTGCCCCGACCAATGCCGCCAACTTCGCGACTCTGCGTGAGATTGAGGGCCGCCTCAAGTCCATCCGCAACATCGAGAAGATCACCAACACCATGAAGATCGTTGCCTCGACCCGTCTCACTCGCGCCCAGAAGGCCATGGATGAGTCCCGCAACTACGGTCAGACCTCCAACACCGTCTTTGAGCAGGCCGAGACCAAGCCACTGGAGGACAAGAAGACTCTTTACGTCGTGGCCAGCTCCGACAAGGGTCTTTGCGGTGGTATTCACTCCGGTCTCTCCAAGGCTACTCGCCGCCTGTTGGCTCAGAACCCCGAGGCCGACGTCGTCATCCTCGGTGAGAAGGCCAAGGCTCAGCTGTCCCGTGTTGTCTCCGACAAGATCCTCCTGAGCTTCGCCAATGTCTGCAAGGATATCCCCACTTTCGCCGACGCCCAGGCCATCGCCGACCAGATCTCCCTGCTGCCCACCGACTACACCAGCGTCAAGATCGTCTACAACAAGTTCATCAACGCTCAGAGCTACGAGGCTACCACCGTCGAGGCTTTCTCCGAGGAGGCTATCACCCAGTCTGGTAGGTTCTTTCTATGATCCATTAAAGCTCCCTGGTCTCCATGACTGAACAATTTATCTTTTCCAGCCAACATCTCCGCCTACGAGATTGATGACGAGGCTCTTGCTGGTCTCCGAGAGTACGCTCTTGCCAACAACCTCTTCTGGGCCATGGCTGAAGGCCACGCCTGCGAGATTTCTGTATGCCTCTGTCACCCTTTCCCTACAATGAAACTAGTTTCTGACCAATCATTAGGCTCGTCGCAATGCCATGGAGAACGCCTCCAAGAACGCTGGTGAGATGATCAACAAGTTCCAGATTCTGTACAACCGTCAGCGTCAAGCCGCCATTACCGGTGAGCTGGTTGAGATTATCACCGGTGCCACCGCCTCTGCCGACATGTAGAAGCCTTGATCTGCTTCTATGGGACGAAGTCACCTTCAGTGTAGACTTGTTGATATTTAGATCGACCCACCGTTTTTGTAAAATCAGTGTCAATCCATCCAATTTCTTTTGTGGCTTTCGGCCGATTTAGTTGGCTGATGGCCATCATCTACCTCTCAGATTGGCCAGATGTCTCGCCTTCATAGCATGTTCCTCTCTTCCTGGTAAAAGAGTAAGCTCAATTGCCGCAATCAACTGGGGTAGTCCTGTCCAGCTTCCTGGTCCCACGCTTCCGATCGTAACCTCCCCTTGCCCCGCTTGTCCCTTCACGACTCTCTGCAATCGTGCGACTTGATAACAAGCACTACTCTCACCTTTTCAAACTGCCCAACTCCTTGCGAGTCTTCCTCCAACCTATTCCTGTCTCCTTCACACACTCAGGTACGATCCGTCAACGTCCCAACACCGCAGCCACTGTTGTTGCCAACTCTTCAGCCTCTTTAAGATCACCAAATCCTCATCCAAAACATGTTTTCTACAACTCTCTGAACCGTCAAGATGTCGACAACAAAGTTCGTCGATTATTATGCTATTCTGGGTGTCACACGCCAAGCATCGATGAAGGAAATCAACATTGCCTGGAAGAGATTCGCTCTTCAGTATCACCCAGACAAGAGCCCTCGTAAGAACACTGATGAGAAATTCCGAAAGGTAAGTCAAACAGGCTTGACCACACAACTACCTCTCTCTCACAGCCCTTTGGATCCTCTCCATGAATATCGAGAGCTGACAGATTCCACATCACAGGGCCGAGAGGCTGTAGAGACTCTCCGTGATCCTCGACGACGTGACGAGTACAACAGAAGACTCGAAGCCCATCATCCCCTTAATCAGATGAGCAACACAGGCTGGGATTGCGGTCCACCTCAGACGTCTTCTGCCTCCTCCCAGCCAATGGATCCTCACTTCCAGAACTACGATGAGCCGAGAAACGGGGCGGAGCCCGAGAACAATCAAAACAAGGCCAGCCCTGACAACGGCTCCAACGATCCAAACGATCCATCTCGCAGAAGGACTTGGAAACAGATGGAAAAGATCTTCGAGACGGTGAAGATGAGAGAAAGGAGCGCAAAGCGGCAGAGGGACAGGACACACCCTGGGCTCCAGCTGAACCAAACTTTCACCAACCTGAAGCCGACCCAGAGATGCACTCATTCGAGAATGGCTACTACCCCTACGTTTATCATCAGGCGCAAGCTGAAGGGGCTCAGACTATCTATGGAAAGGGAAAGATGGCGGGCGAAATCAACGAGCCGGTTTCTCTGGGTCAGTTTCTGAAGAATTATGTCAAGAGGACTGGTACTCGCGGTAGACCAGGCATCGCATCTCGTCGTCGGTCGACTTTCAAGGGAAGTGTGAATACTTGCGTCCAAGGCAGCCCCAATCGCAGTTACCAATTCTCGAATGCTGGTTCTTCGTCCGGCAGCGATGACTGCTCGAACGAATCAGGTGGAGTGCGCCTTGCTGAGTTTGAGACTCAGGATGAGGGCGAACAGACACTCTATTCTGACTGTTACGATCCTCATCCTACTGTTCCAAATCTTGACCCGGCCAGCTCCAACCCTCGCTCCAGCTCAATGAGCACAGAGCAGCCTACCTGGGAGAGTATGCCTTCCGTCAACAATGACAACGCCCAGTGGCCCTTCCACCGATTCGTCCCGTACATCAAGGCCAAGTTGAATGACCCCAGTGGGCGTTACACGCCTGATGACATGCATCAAGAGCTCCGCGGTCTCGTTTTGGACCCTGTCTCTGTGTATTTGGAGAACAAACGTCTCTCTCGTTCCAACGCCAGCCCGGCACCCGTCACAGGCGGTAGTTCCACTTGCTCCCATCTCGGTTTCTGGCACAAAGACTTTGGTCAGCCTGAATGTGACAAATGTCATCTCTTGAAGCCCCTCTATACCCTGGTATGCCCGGGTTGTGGCTTGAAGAGATGCGTCCGGTGCAAGTTTGAGGGTTACGAGATTTAGAGGGTGTTTGAGTGAGTAGTTGATCACGAGAGCAAATGGGGTTCTGCTCAGTCTTGTGTAGAGGGCATCAGTTCGGGAACGATGGAAGGCTACAACGCACCTAGATTCGAGGGGGGAGATCTACTGACATTTTATGTCCTTGATATCTGATTGCGTGGTTCAAAGATCATGGTAGTGGTACTCCAGGATCAAACAATGAGTAATTGAACGTGTTTGATTAACTATTCCATGCCAATAATCAAAGCCTTTCGGCACAATTAATGTTATCTTCCATTCGACGTCTCGAGCACGCATAATGTCACATCCTTCTCGTTAAGTATCAGCTATAAGAATTAAATGTTCCCACCTCGCGACCTTGACGGATTGTTTCCCACTGTTCACTGTTTCCATATGACGGATCTTTGACAACTTGAACAGAGATACCACCAAGTTTTTCTTTAGCGACTCTGCCGTCTCCCAACTCAATGAATATCATTTCCAGACCGTGCCAAGCACACAAAGGTAATGTCAAGGGATTCTGTCAGCCTCGGGCTTTGTGCGTCATGGTCAGGCACTCTGCAGTCTCTGAAAGGACTGGTCTTGGGACCGAGTAGCTCCACTCATGGGTTGGTATCTTGTGGATTTGTGTGTGTGCGAGTCACTGAGTCAATATTTTCCTCATCGATCAAATCTGTAGATCACCAGCTCACGGTTCCGAGTCTCGCCTATGATGTACTTTTCACAGCCACAAAGTTTCGCCCGGCCATCAAGATCTATGGCTTCTTTACTGACTAGCGTCTTTTCCGTCTCAATCGTCAAGTATATCGAGTCTAGGTCCTCAGATGTCTCGATATCCGCGAAATGGAGGCGGAAGATCACGCCAGACAGAGGATCGGTGACTTGTGCGATGATGCTGTTCCAGGTGTCGACCATGTCCCACCCTTCAAAGAGAGGCATTTGTTGGAAACTATCATTGCTCCGATAGGCCGTCAGGATGAATCTGGGAGAGATTCGAACACTGGGACCAATTCCATTGACCGGAATGCCGGTCACTATGGTTTGAGGCACACCAAACGCTTCGGGCTCCTCATCCGCCGGGAAGATGCGAGCATTCTCGATGATGTACACAGCCTGCCCATCATCAGTGACTTCTAGCTGTTGTATACATGGGAAGCCCCTCTGTCGAACATTGAAGAATTCCAGATCTTGGTATCCGAATCGGGCGACAATAGACGGGGCCTGGTCTACCTCAGGCCCTTTCTGTGCCCCAGTTGGATCAAGGGATGGACGATAGTCAGATTGTTTTGAGATATCCCACACAAACAAGGACTCGATGGGCGCATCGTCATCGGCCGTGTATAGACTGCGGTTAGGCTGCCAGATGTAAATGACATAGTGCGTTTTGCTGTGTGCAGAGAAAAACCGATCTCGCTCACTGAGGGGATGGCCTAGAAACATAATTTTCCACTCGTTGCGTGGAATGATGTCCCACCCGCCGTCATCGTCGACCTTTGGGCTCACATCGAAGGAAGAGGCGAAGTGACGATGTACGCCATCGCTTTCATTGAGCCAGTGGAAGGCTTTAGGCTCGGCCCATTCCACGACCAGCACACGCTTCTGCAACCGTACTCTTCGGATGACCTTGCCTTGGATGATAAAGGGCACCATGAACTGCCTATCACTGCTCAGGTCTAAAAGGACGAGGTACTGGTGTTCCGCTCGGGGAAAGACGACCAGTCCATCTTCGTATGACCACATTGCTTCCTCAAATTGGCGGTCGACGTTCCCCAGATATTGACTGCCGTGTGCCTCCCACGGCTGCACTGGAAACCACTGCCGCTCCCATGAGGAACCCAAGTCGCCGCACAGGCGGTGTCTTTGCACGGAGCGGGGCTTGCCTCGTTCTAAGTGGTCATACCTGGCGACCACTTCATCGAAAGCATGGCGAATAGAGTCCGGGAGATCAGAGGTGCCGTCATATGTAGAAGATCCAGGTTGGAGATCCTTGAATTCTTGCGTCCAGAAGAAGTGCTTCTTGAACAGTGGGAGCAAGTTGTCTGGGTTGCGGAAAGCCTGGTTCCATGCCCGGGAGACAAGGCGACAGCGTACAAGATCCTTGGGCTCCAATAATTCAAGGATAAGCCAGAAAAGGTCCCTTGGCAGGAACGCAAGATCACGACAAGTGTCCTGGTCGCCGTAGTAGGAAGCGGTCATGGTAGTGCGGCATTGCAAGTAGTAGGAGTAGTATCAATCAAGGGAGTCCAGACTCCCAAGAAGGTAAAAGAGCCGCGGAGGTTCCTCATTGGAGAAGCTTCTCTCTCCGCATGCCAAGAGCTTCAGGACACCTTGCGTAATACCGCGCCTGTCTATTTTGACTGATCTGGCTTCTTTCCCTTCCTTGTCTCTCGAACTTGCGATGCTCGTCGGAGCGCCCGCATAGATTTTGTGCAGACTTTTCTTTACTGTAACCCCGATTCAACTTCAATATGTTGCCACAGAGCTCGTTGTTGCTGGTCGCTTCGTTGCTGGCCGCTTTGCCCGCCAACGCCGACGGAATTTACACCAAAAAGTCGCCGGTCCTCCAGCTTAACCAGAAGACTTACGGGTCACTTATTGCGAACTCGAACTATACTTCTGTAAGGATATCCTCTATCCGATATATTCCCAAGGGAATTAAGAGGGGATCCTGAAGTGCTAATCTCTAACTTTTGTAGATCGTCGAGTGAGCTCTCCCCGCACGGCCATACCACGTCCACTCCACAAAGTTTTCTTCCAAGCTAATTGACCTGTGCTCTCGCTAGGTTCTATGCTCCCTGGTGCGGTCACTGCCAGAACCTCAAGCCTGCCTATGAAAAAGCCGCTCAGAACCTGAACGGCCTGGCCAAGGTAGCTGCTGTTAACTGCGATGATGACGAAAACAAGCCCTTCTGCGGCCAGATGGGCGTACAAGGATTTCCTACCATTAAAATCGTGACACCGTCCAAGAAACCCGGAAAGCCGCGCGTGGAGGACTACCAGGGTGCTCGCACTGCCAAAGCTATCATCGATGCGGTGGTCGACCGCATCCCCAACCATGTGAAGCGCGCGACGGACAAGGACTTGGATAAATGGCTGGGACAAAATGAGGAGCGGCCCAAGGCCATTCTCTTCACGGAAAAGGGCACTACGACCCCCTTGATTCGAGCGCTAGCTATTGACTTCCTGGGCGCCATTGACGTCGCTCAGGTGCGCAACAAGGAGACCGCGTCGGTGGAGAAATTTGATGTCTCCGAATTTCCGGCACTGGTCGTTGTCTCCGGTGGCGACAGTGAGCCCAAGGTGTACGAGGGCGAGTTAAAGAAACAGCCTATTACCGAGTTTTTGAAGCAATTCGCCTCGCCTAACCCCGACGCTACTGGACAGGCTGCGTCCACCGCAGCTAAGCCCAAGAAGTCCAAGCCTTCCAAGCCCGCGAAGGCAGCTCCTAAGGTTCCTGTTGTCCCCGAAGACGAGGAGGAAAATGCAGATGCGGAGGCAACGCCAGAGGTCAAGCCCGCCCAGGTTCCTGTTATTCCTTCTATCCCTACTCTCGCTACCCCCGAATCTCTTGAGTCCGCCTGTCTGAGCTCCAAATCCACTACCTGCGTGCTGGCCCTTCTCCCAGCAACAAGTGAGCCGGATGCCGCACTTCCATCAGCAGCCACCGATGCATTGACCAGCTTGGCTGAAATCGCACACAAGCACGCCCAGCGTGGCACGCACCTCTTCCCGATCTACGGGGTCCCTGGGGCCAACTCTGTCTCTGAGAGTCTGCGTAGTTCGCTCGGCCTGGGAACTAGTGATGTGCTGGAGATCATTGCCGTCAATGCCCGCCGCGGGTGGTACCGTCGGTACGGTCAGGCAGAAGACTTTGGCCTCGCGGCCGTTGAGGGGTGGGTTGATGCCATCCGCCTTGGAGAGGGTGCCAAGGAGAAGCTACCGGAGGGTATCGTCGCTGAGCCCGAGGCTGAGAAGCCCAAGGAGGAGGAACCCAACAAGGAGGAGGAACCCAACAAGGAGGAGCCCGAGCACGATGAGCTGTAATGTCTATTACGGCCCGGTGATATAGTCCACCTTGGTAGTCTGTACAGTCTTATATCTCTGGTTTGATACCTATTATGCAGCCTATCTTATGTTACGTACCTTCAATTGTCAGGAGAGACGGTTCTTCGCGTTTACACTACCTGAAAAGGTAAAAAGATCACCAATTTTGGAGGAAAAGACTTATCAATTCAATGATATATACAAGAAGCGAATGTCCAGCAGAGTATAAAAAAATTGGACATCACCCTCTTCAAAGAGTACATATGGGTGGTAAAGCCGCAGGAACACCGTGAAAAAAATGCAGAGAAACGCCGTCAAAACACTGGTAATATCCCAAGAACATTTACTTTTTCCGACCCTCGGTACCCTTCTTAATGATCTTCTGACGCTTAGCGTCAACCTCCTTGTCGTAGATATCCCGCGCAGTCTCGCCCTTCTTGCGCTTGGACTGCTTCGACTTCACGCTCACGGTAGCGGCACCACCGGCGCGAATCTGCTTCTCAGCATCTTCCCAAGACGTGGAGCCGTTATCAATTTCGTATCTGGAGACTAAGAATCAGTTATTGTTCATCCATGGATTTAGTAGAAGCCAGTTTGAGGCTAAGGCTAGACTTACTTGTTGAGCGGAAGAGCGTCAATCAGAGCACGCTGCTTCTCGCGCAACTCCTTGTCGATCTCCTCACCACCTTCGCGGAGCTCATCTTCCAGGCCAGTCTCCAGAGGCTTGAATCGATCTTCGACGACGGCATCATCGTGAGCAGCAGAGGGGGCGGAGGCAGAGATCTGCTCTGCGGGCATGGTGTCTGCAACGGCACCCTCGACCAGACCACGGAAGTGGGTCGACATCTTGCGCATGATCTTCAAGAACATGGCAAGAAGCTGGGATGAAGGAAGGCTCAGCTCCTTCTCCAGATCATCCATGCTCTTACGCTGTAGGCCAATGGCCAAGAGAATTGACTGCTGCACGCCGGAAAGGTTGACCTTGCCGCCGAGACGGTTGGCAAAGTAGTACTCGGCAACTGCGGGTACCATATCCAGGATGACATGGTAGTCGAGAAGGTTGTTCGCATAGCTGTCGAGACGCTTCAAGTCGAACGGCGAGAAGGCGGCATCAAGGTCAATCTTCTTCAGAGTGCGCACGACGGCAGAGGAGTCAAGCTTAGCGCCAGAGTTGGCTGACTCGCAGAGACTCAGGGAGAGAACTGAGGGGAATTCGCGGAACTGGTAAGAAAGTAGGGCAAGGAAGCGGCGGTGGAAGTCACGAGAGAAGGCGCCCAACCAGCCGGCGTCGGTGGCACCGGTGGCCAGAGTGCGCAACATGACGCAGGAGTGTTCGCCGGTCAGTTCGTTGGGAGTCTGGCGCAGGTACACCGGGTGGAAAGAAGAGCGCTTCCAGAACTTGTGCAGAGTTGGGGTCAGGCCGTAACTGACACCGAGGTAGTCCAGACAATCAGGGCGACGCTCGCTCAGTTTACCGAACAATGGGGGCATAGAGCGGATATCGCGGACATGGACATTGTCATCGAGCAGGCTAGAGTTGGCAAGTTCTTCGTCCGTGACACGCACCATCTCCTCCTGGGGGCCAGCCATGCCCTCGTCGAGGCTAGTGAACTTACCCTCGTAGAAATCGGTGAGAAGCTCCAGGGCACGGGAACCATAACCCATGCCAACGTACTCGGGGTTGGTAGCGATACGAACAATACGTGCTCCAGAAAGACCGGCAAAGTCTTCATCCTGGAACTGCTGAGACACCAGCCAGGGGATTAGATCACCGCCAGCACGCTGGCCACGGCTCAGGCTGTTGAGGACGCTTTGTCTGCTGATTCTGCCTTCAAGAGCAACCTGAATCACACAAAGCGGCTCGGGGAGCTTGGTGGCCTCTTCGTCAATTGGTGGAACGAGCACATAGAGTTGATGAGCAGGAGCATCACTCATGAGCTGAAGATCATTAGGCGTGTTCTTGTAGTGGCTGGCAACGTACAAAGCCATCATTTGTTGCAAGAACTTCTCGGAGACAGGGTGGAAAGAGAACAGTGTGTCGCGGTTGACCTGGAGCAGCTGGCATTGGGACGGGTGGGGGCAGCCTTGGGTGTTCATACGAGACTTGGGAAGAGTGGCATCGAGACACAAAACCTTGTTCAGCCACTTCTCAACAGAGTCACCGGGGGCATAACGGATAGGCTCGGAGAGAGTGATTTCACGCAGTGACCGACCACCAAGGTTCTTGTCCGTGTTCTTGGAGATCTTGCCAGTGCTGCGGTCGGCAACATCGGCGTCGGCAGTCTTGATACCACCCCGGGCCTGCTCTCGAAGCTGCTGGATCAGCTTCAAAGAGAGGGAGCGGCCGGTTCCCTCGTAACCATTGATGGTGGAGGCCATGAACACGAGGTAAGGGCCCATCAACTTGCGCACAAGAGGCAATGGAATGGCAGCTGCCTCATCAATGACCAACAGTTCCGCCTGGCCCAGGACATGCGCATCCTGGGGTTGAATGTACTGAATAGTTTGACGGTGGTTGCGGTGAATGTTGACACGAACGATAGCCTTGTTGAAGTCGGGGTTGGTTGATTGCAGGATAGTGTAATCGACGTGGTCGAGGTAACCCAGAGCATCGAAGCCCTTGAACACAAACTCAAACAGAGTCTTCAAGTTCTCGGGGCTAGGAGAGGTAATGAAAATGTTGCTGTAGCCATGGGCAATGGCTGCGGCGATGGCAACACCAAGGGCAGCAGACTTTCCTCGTCCACGGCCAGCAGTGAGAGCAACTGTGCTCCTCAGGGTCTTCTCGGCAATTGCATCCACAAAGGTGAGGAGAGCCTTTGCCTGGTCAACAGTACGAGCCAAGTTCAACAGTGGCCCGACGGGTTGCGAATCTGCCAAGCTTTCCTTGATTTCCTTCAACTCCTTCTTGGTGCCGGAGCTAGAATCGTCCGTAGACTCGGGAGGAGGGAGGGGCTTGACATTCTTGCCGCCAGAGATGGGTAGCACGTTCAACTCATCGTCCACGACCAAGCAAGAATCACAACTTCCCAAAGATAGGATGAAGCGCTCATTAAAACGAGCAACCACGTCGTCGTGGGCCTCTGTGCGGTAACGGGAGTGAATATCCATGGACAAGGTGTACAACTGCTTCAGGCTGTTCATGCTCTTCAACAGCAGCAGAACCATGCCACCTCCTTCAACAGTCTCGACAGTGCGCGCCAGCAAGTTCGGGGTCATAGCCTCGAAGTCCTGCAGGATGCACATGCCGTATGTGTTACCCAGAATCTTTTCCGTTTCCTTGTAGTAGACATAACGAATCTGGTTCAAGGTAATGAACAGCTCAAAAGGATCCTCCTGGTTCGGCTCGCGAATGCCATGCTTGACCTCCCTCTTGATCTTGTTCTCGCGCTTCTTCCGGTGGCTCGTGAAGCCCAGCAGATCCTTCTTGTATGCCCACAGGACGGACTTGTTTTGCTTCACGTCCACGCTGGACATGATGTAATGGAGATGCACGATCACATCTTTAGCCCGGTCTCCAACGACCACGAAGAAACTGCGCTTCTTCTCCTGTACGCCATTTCGGATGAGGGCCGGAATACGCGAGTCAATCGCTTTGCGCGGCATATTTGGGAATGCGGAACTGGCCCGCGAGTGTCGTCGGGCTTGAAACGCTCGCTGTAGGATTGCCGGTCGAGGGGAAGGGTAGAATGGCTGAGTGTGATTCGAGAAGTATCAGCGATTCACCCTTTGAGATGTCTCGGTGAAGTCGAATTCGTTGATCAGAAAACAAGAGCGCGCCTGATTTCCCTGCATCCTAAAATGGCTCCAACAGAAAAAAAATCATATTGCTACTCTACACCGCCTACCATTTCAATGACATTTCTTCACCGCCTTCCGAAGCTTATGTCATACCAGGGTATGTCACGTGATAATCTTCAGGGTCCCGTCTTCGACGATGACTTCCTTATCGGGTAATCAGTCTCCATTCCGCATTTGATCTCCTCACAGCTCCATCCTGAACGACGCATGCGTCGACGTTGTACCATTTTTTTTTCTCCCGGATGAGTATTACCTTCCATTGTCCGGGGAAGCTGTGGAGGTTCAAGATGCCCTCACTGAGCACAAAGTACGGAGTATTAACTCGTGTTGATAACGCGCGCTCTGACGGTCCAAGTGCGCCAGGTGGAGCGCACGGGAGCTAAGACTTGATTCTGGCCGCTGATCACCCAGCATATTTTACTTTCCTTGATGCATGCCCACGCATAGGAATCAAGGGCTCAAGAGCTGGCTCCAAACTGCCCAGATCCGCACCTATCTCATTGGCTGAGAAAATGCCACAAGAAATGGAAAGGCCCATGGTTGCATGCTTGGCCAGAGTCCAACCGCCACCCACTGACGCAACTTGGTCCCCAGCCAGGAGCCAGTCAGCTCTGGGTAACATCAGCTTTTACTGGACTCTTGATTAGTTAGTTAACGTTATTTGCTTTCAACATGTCACAACTTGGTCAAAATCCCCGGCGGACCCACGATTCCTACATGTCAATCCCCTGAGATCTCCACTGGAGAGAAATCCTCCGTCCTGTTGCTTTTTCGCCATGCACTCCATTCTTCCTTGCTGCCTTCACACGTGTGACATACACTTCTTCTCCCTAGCATCCAATTCGATCGCAATGTGGCGCTAGCTTTTGATATAGACTGCGTGGAACTCTCATTAATCGGGCGACATAATGGTCCCATTCTCCGCCGACACCGGGCTGAGGGTCTGTGTAGGGTGAGTAGGCGTCGAGCAAGTACCCTGTTCAACCTCTCATGCTGGAGAGGAAAGAAAAGTGCTGATAATCGCGCTCACTTCAGCGTCTTCTTTTTGAGCTCCTTCTTCCTCGTGTCATCTTATAATTCCACATATGCCTTTGGTAAGTTGGTCTCATCTTCAATCAAGCTCATCCGGCAGCCGCAGACTGACTCCAATGCCCACAAAGACCGCCCGGTCAGTACGGCTGTTCTAGTATATTTCCTACTGGGAATACTCTTGTTGGCGATAGGCCGGTTTGTCCCAATAGTGTCGCGACCTTCATCGCCGATAGGAAAACGATCCAGCATTCCCGCCGACCACTTTGAAATCGCATCGCGGACCTCATCTCCGTCCTCAACTTTGGGCTCTCAGGGACCTCCACTAACTCTAGGTCGCCTCTGGTTGAGAGTTGGCTTGCTATTATGGATTCTTGGTTTGCGTGTCGAGCTGTTCCGTCGAGTTACTATTCACAACGAGTGTGCTCCTGCCGGATATGCAGTAAGACTATTCTTTTGTGTTTTTGATCTCAAGCTGAAGTTATTAATCGTCGTTTAATGTCCTCAGTATGCGATTCCATTCGTCATTTCGCTATATGACTACTGGCGACAACAGCGACCACATTCAAGGGCTGGCTACTCTCCGCTACAACCGTCCCAAAATCTGCCCTCCATTTTAGCCTATTCTATCTGTCGGCGGGGCTTGCACAGCCTTACGCAAAGTCGATTTAGGGGTATTTTTGCAGCGGCATTAATCTCAGTAGGCGGGTATGCGGCTTCGACGCTGCTCGCCGGCAGTCAGTCTACGTATATATGCCCGATCGTTCTCAACGGCTGGGCACGTCTGCAGGCTATGAAGGCTGCCAATGTGGTGATTGATTCAATTCTTCTCATTGGAATTGCTGAACTTCTCCAAAGCGGAGCCGACAATGATGAGTCCCGAAGAAAACGAATACTTTTCTCTCTTGGAGCTGGTCTTCTGGTAAGCCTCAACATCGAATTAATGTAGGGAACAAGATTCTGACAGTATCTGGTAGCTTGTTGCTGTGATTTGGACTGTTATTGGACATTACGTTCGGAATAGTCGTCCTGAACACAGCGGTCAGCCCTTTTTGGACACAAAGTACTCGCGCGGTGCCTTTGGTCAAGCGCTGCTCGTTATCATCTTTATCATGTCAAGCTGGCAAATGGTTGGCCCTCCGTCAATTTCCGTGTTTAATTGTATATGTACTAATTCGATATTAAGCTACCACACTTTGGGGTTCTTGGGTTATCCATCTTGGGTGGATTCGTTTTCGTCTTCTTGCCCGCAATGTCGACCCTTCTCTTCGAACGGATGCCCTTCCCATACATCTCCCAGACCCACGCTGCTGTCCCCGTCATTGCATCTTCGACAGGTGCAGTCTTGTTTCTTCTCTCAAGGATTTTGTCAGGCGAGGAATCAAAGCCTTTATACCGTATCAACATTGTGCTACAGGTTCTGTTCTTTCTTGTTGGTGGGATCGGCCTGGCATTCGCCATGACCAAGCTTCATTTCTCTCACACTCATCCCATTGATCTCCTTATTCACAAAGCCACGGTCCACTACGACAACTACCTTCTGCAAGCTTCCGCCAGCAAGAACCTGCAAGATGCTGCTCGGGAATATCGGAAGCGATACCGACAGCATCCCCCGCCTGGATTTGATAAGTGGTTTGAATATGCAATCAATCGGTCTTCGGTAATCATCGATGATTTCGACCAGATTCACGAAAATCTTCTCCCTTTCAGAGCCATTAGTCCTGCAACGATCCGGGATACAACACATAAGTTAGCCACAAACTCCTTCAATGACCTCGGAGCGATTAGTATTCGCAAGGGCCAGGTTAGAGTTCAAGAGGGAATCAGACCAACCCATGCGTGGATGGTGAATGGAGCGGCCGACATGATCGAAAATTTCGCCCAGCACCTGCCAGATATGGACCTTGTGTTCAATCTTAATGATGAGCCGCGAGTTGCGGTGCCGTGGGAGAAGATGTTGTTGCTGAAACAGGAGGCACAGGCACAGGAACCCATCCCTCAAGAAGAGTTATTAGACCGGTGGTCGGGAGACCGACAGCTTGGCTGGGCTCCGATTGAACCGATTGACCAAACAGACGAGACAATCTTCACGGAAGGTTCATGGCGAGGGGTCTTTGATCCCTATGTTAGCGCGGTCTGTCCGCCTTCATCCCGGGTGCGCACACGACGTGTCTGGAATCGGCGTGAGACCTGCTTGAGCTGCGCAGCGCCGCATACTATGGGCCAATTCCCATTGGACTTCAACCTCGCCACGCAGATATGCCATCAACCTGATCTCGCCTTTCTCCATGGTCTTTTAATATCGCCCGCGTCATTCAAAGTGTCCCAGGAGCTTGTTCCGGTCTTCAGCCAAAGTGCGCTTGCTGGTTTCAGCGATATTCTCTACCCTAGTCCGTGGAACTACAAAGACAAAATTGAGTACAAGCCGTCGAAGGAACATCCAGACCCAGAGTATTCAGAGAAGGACAATTCTCTGTACTGGGTTGGTAGTACAACCGAAGGCTACAGTCGCTTCAACGAGTGGAAGGGCATGCCGCGACAGCGATTCTCACACCTGATCAATAATAATACTCACGGCCAGGTCTCCGTGCTCTTACCCGCCGGTCATGGCATTTACCAGTACCAAATCATGGATGGATCTGCCCCAACCAAAGAGCTGAATTTGCGTACAGACGTGGCTATTGCCGAGCAAATTACTCGTTGTGGAGACTGCGAGACTCAGCGTGATGAGCTGGGAACTCGCTCCAGGGTCGACTTCCAGGCACACTGGTCCCATAGGTTTCTGTTTGACCTTGACGGAGCAGGGTTCAGTGGACGTTTTCTGCCTTTCCTCCGAAGTCGCAGCCTTCCTTTGAGGACCGGTCTTTTCCGGCAGTGGTTTGACTCGCGAGTAATTTCTTGGCTGCACTTCGTCCCAGTCGACATTCGTCTTCACGGAGTCTGGAGCACTCTGGCGTATTTCGCCGGCGTTTCTGATCCCAAGACTAATGACCAGAATCCTAAAAACCCTCAAATGCTGATGGATGCTCACTCGAACGAAGGCCGGTGGATCGCCGAGCAGGGGCGCGAGTGGAGTGAGATCGCACTTCGCAAAGAGGATATGGAGATCTATTTCTTCCGGCTGTTACTCGAATGGGGTCGTATCACGGATGACCAGAGAGATGTGCTGGGGTACAAGCTATGAGGACAATAACATTCCGAACTGTATCTTACTTGAATCAGATTTTAGTACATATGGGCTTCATGGTTCCGACGTGAGATGTATCACCCGACGTGCGCGCTAAACCCAACCTAAACATCCTCTTAATGACTACCTACCGATTAATCCGACCTTACGAATCTGGGGTTGTAGTTGTTGCTTTGGCATCAAAAGTATCGACTAAAACGAACAGTACTTTTTCTATTACAATGCACATGGAATCGCCATGCAGATGAATGCTTTGTGAACGAGTGTCAGAGGGGTATTTAAAACATCAACACGTCTCGTCCGAATCCGCCATAAAAGTCGTCCAAAAAAAAGCTGATATTCTGTAAACAGATACCATGTAGAAGTTCACAAAAGAACTCCAGCTAAATAAGAGAAGAAGAAGCAGAAAAAATCATAAGTCCTCCAAAAACACTAAAAAGGAATCACAGATTCCTCTTCTTAGATAGACCCAATCCTATCCAAAAGACGATCAATCGAATTTAGATGGCCCCAGTCCATCTAAGAATGTCCATGCTGGTGTTGGCCACGGCGGTGTTTCCAGGCCGGATGGGGCGCGGGTCGGACATACGGCGCAGTGCGGTGCGACTTGACTTCACCGATAGCCAGGTTGTTGCGGACATGCGCAGCGGCATGGGAGTGGATATCACGCTTAGAGCTGCCACTGTCCTGGTAGACCTTGAGCGAGTTGATGCGCCAGTAGGTATCGGTGAAGGCGGAAGGGTTGTTCTGGACGTAGGAGTTGCAAGTGCTGGCCTTGGAGGCACAGCTACTAGACGACCAGACGCCGCCGGCCCAGTCACCGCAGAAGGTGATGTCGAAGACCTGAATAAGTGATGTTAGTGAAAAGTCTTTTCAAAAATGTAAAAATGCTGAGAGAAAAGGTTGCAACGTACAATTTGCAGATTGTTAAAGTGTGAATCGATATCGCAGCTTCCCGAGAACGCGGCAGAGGGAGTCCCCCAGCCCGATGGGTTGGGGCTTCCACTGGTGATGTCCGATGGGACGCTCGAGTTCGGGAAAAACCAAATATTGATGCCAGAAGAGGTCCATTCGGTGGCGTAGACACCGCCACCGTTGTTGTTGAAGCCGTCGCCGTACGACTGCGAGCTGGAGCTGACGATGCCGCAGCCCGAGTTGGCGGATTGCCCTGAGGCCTCGACGTAGCAGTTGCTTGTCTCCAGGGTGCCGGTGAAGCCGGAGTTGGTTATAGAGCAGCCATCGCTGGTGTGCAAGGTCATCTGGTTGTTGCTTTGGGTATTGACGCCTTCGATAATGTCGATTTCGCCGTTGTTGGGCCAGTTCGAACCGAGCATCCAGCTAGATAGCATTAGTCTCATTCGTCTGGTTTTTAACTATTCATCGGAAGTGAACGTGGATTGACTCACAAGGCAGGCCAAGTGCCGCAAACGCTGCCGGGCATGTGCTCCAAATCCAAAATCACCAAGCCATGCGTATAGGTGTTGGTACTCGCCAGGCGAACGCTCTGGCGGCCTGGGCTGCTAGCGGTGTTGGTAGTGTCGACACCAATGTACACCGAACCACCGGAAGTGCTGATGAGGCCACCACTGCTAGCGGTCGAACGGTCGACGTAGCTCACGTAGCCGTTGGTGGGGTCGGAGCTCTAATACATTGTCGGGTTAGCTCTAATGAAACACTATAAGTGCAATACCACAATGTTCAAACATACCGTAAAAAAGTCGAACTTATCGAAGAACGAGTCAGTGGTGCCATAGTCGTCCTGCAACGTATAGGCAGCAGCACTGAGGTGGGCAAACAAGCCCAGGCTCGGAATGAGTGTGGAAAGGACGTGCATTTTTCCCTCGTGCTATATAGATCGAGATCGAAGAGAAGGATTGGACGCAGTCTATCAAAGACAAGCAGTCCTATGTAGATCGGATGCTAGCACTAGGCAAGCGATCCCAAAAGAAAGGAATGTAGAAAGAAACAGACCAAAAGGAAGGCGATACACTACCCTTGAGAGAAGGAAGGGACAGTAAATATCAAAAGAAAGGAATGAATGGCGAAGTATAAAGCACAGGATAGGGAGACAAAAGAAGGACTAAGCGCCGATGGACATCTTCAGGAACAAAAAATCCCCGACAGGAACGGAAGGGCGGACTTCTAATCTTTTATACAGGGCAAATTAACAAAGACCAGACAAAGCACAAAGGGCAAAGGAAACTGACCGCGTGGCGACAACGCAACGTAGGCCCTGGGCCCTGGGCCCTGAGTGCACCCACCCGACCCGATCTTGAGACTAGATGTGGGACATGCATGACAGGACCACACCCTGGGGGGGATCCACGTGAGAGATGCGAAACGACAAAACGCGGAGGAGTCTTCCCTCTACGGCAAGAGGAAGCCAGGAAATTTCTCCCAATATTTCCAGAAATCGAGGAATCCCTGCACCGAACGGCGGGTCCCGAGGCTTGAAACGCTTCGACTAGATAGGATAAAAGACATTATCAACACGACCAAAGAGAAGGGCTGCAGCAGGCCGCGTTATCAGGACTCGTAGTTTGGGCGTTCAAGGGCCGTGGAAAAGATAGCCACTGGCTGGATCTCCAAGGGTCTGCGTGGAGCCCGGAACCGAACATTAGAGAGATCCACGACGGGGAGGAGGGTCTAGCCTTGACAGACCGACCGAGTGAATCTCGCTGCTTCGCCCATTATTGCCAGTCTTTCTCTGATCGAGTCCTCGAGTCTGGTATGAGCCAAACCAGCTGGGGGCTCGTTGATGAATGTGGGTTGCGGATCATCTGCGCGGCGTTGACTATCCACGCACCATTATATGCATCAGATGGTAGGGACACGCCACCTCCTGTATGGCTTGGGCAGGGCATCAGCATGGGCTGCCGTTTGCTGACAGACTCGTGGAGAGAGTACCATTAATTTGCGGCATTCCAGCCTCTCAGCCTGTATCTTCTTTTCCGTGGCTTTTACTGTACATCCTGAAAGCGGTTAGTCCAGCACGACTACTCCAAAGAGAAGAGACTCTCTCAGTGCCTCATTCGGTACCTCGAAATCCACTAAGCAAGCTTAACCCCATCCCCAGTCCCTCCCTAGTTTCAGATTCAAGCGCTGAAAGTTTGCACTTGTTGGCCTGGGTGTTTCGGAAGCGCAGGGCGATCACTGCTCTGCGGCTGCTGACTCGTTCGTCCCTCGATGACGGAAATGGAAGAGCTGGTGCCAAGCGCAAGAAGATTCTTGCATGGCTTCTCACTGGCTGGACGGCGATGCGGCCGTCTTCTTTGTCTGGCTCTTTCGGGCCTCTCGGGTTAGCTCATCTGGCTCAGTCTGCCGCTGGGAGTTGTCGATCCCTGGCTGGTCTTGACCGTTGCAGGCTCGTCACTGGTTGTGCTCAGGTGCAAGGCCGGTCCAATCACACTGGTCTATCGCGGTGGCAAGGCATCGATCCACCAATCGTTCAGCGAGGTTGTGCTCCGATTAAGCATTTTCTCCCCTTTTGATTTTCGGGTTTTCGGCTTCAAAATTTATTCTGATCATTTTGCCTTCAAGGGGTTAGGTGGGAGTTCCATGGTTCTTTCGCACTGGACGGTCAGCAGAGGAAGAGATGAGAGGAGGTCGACATGGTTCGAGGCGAAAAAGGAAAACGGAAATATGAAAAGCTGGTCTGAACGAGGCCGATTTGCCCATCGAGACAGTGAAGCAATTCCCATTTTGCCTATTTTCCACCTGTTCAGGACAATCTAGACTATGGATGCTTGGTCAGTAGGAGTCTACTTTGTACAATAGAAATTTTCAATAAGAAAAGTACTGACGGTAAGCTGGGTGATGAATCTATCAGTCTGTGGCTCATTGCCCTATCTGTTACACTACTCCATACTACCATACTATGTGTCTCAATTGCTACGCGCCCACCTTCCTTGACCTCTCCTGTCCTAAAACACTTTAATAGTAGAAGCATACACTAGCACTATACACTATCCCACATCCGCTACGGACTACCACCCTACTCGCCCCTGGTCTAACAAGCACGATGATCGCAATATACCGGCACGCAGCGAAACCTACCGAAGCATCAGATGTACAGACTACAGTCACATCGGTCGTCTCCCCGAGATATCCGACCCTCGATTGACCCCTTTCGGACAATAGTTTAAGCTAGAGACTGATCCCATTCGGCATGGGGCCCGACAGGCGATCTAGCATTCCTGTGATGCGACCCGACACGGACAATAGGCACGCGTCGCAGATTAAGTAGATCAAACTAGTCTGACGATCTCGGAGCGTATTTCCTCAGGAGGGATTAGTTACCGCCAAGGTGGTCATTGTGACTTGCTTCCTTCCCCGCCCCCTGCAAACTAAGAAACTGACTAACAAGCAGCACACCCCGTACCTGGTTAGCCAGGAGGTTGTTAAGGACAGGGATCCCGGTCCATGTAGTATGCATTCTCGGCATTTCGGGCATGAGACTGAATCAGGAGACGTTTATTTGGACGACTGTTCATGGTATGTGACTACGAGATCCCTAAACAGGTCATCGGCTACGGGGCCAGTCCAAGAACAGAGTAGAGCCCCGAGGTCTACCTAAGTAAGGTAGGAATAAAATGATTACGGAGGATGAACAGACTGATCACCGTCGGTATGGACTGGATTCGTTCGAAGAGATGATTCGATTCCAGGAGGAAATGAACTATATGACACATCCACCCCATTCGTCACGCAAAATGCCACCTATAGAGATACCGTTCCAATGAGGACAGACACAGGGAAATGAGAAAAGGAACAAGTAGAGTCACATTAAAAAAAAAAGAAAGAACAGAGTAGAGTAGAAAAGATGCGCTATCGTTGCTATATACAAGCCGGACAGAACAATTCAGCTACCGGCCAGTCTGGATGCTCGCGTCGAAAAGCCGAGCCGTGTGCACCTGTGGGTCGATGAAGCCCACTAATGGCATCTAGAACACATTGTCGGTGATAGAGATGTCGGCAGGAAAACACCACCACCGGTTCAGTGGGATGCCCTTCCCCATCCACCCCAGTCCCCGGTCCCACCAGGGAATCATGTCCGTGGCCGACCGAGTGAGGCGTAGCAGCAGCTTTTCCTTTGCCCCTCTCGGACGCAGGATCGTGACCCTCTTCAAGCCGCTTAGCAATACGACGCTGGTGCTCGCTAGTCTGCCTTTGCTCCCACGAGGCCCACTGCGAGGAGCCCACACCGGGACCCCAGAGGCGCCGCCGGCAGATCTCGCAAACCTGCCCGCGCGGGCGCCACCCGTGCTGCCGCAGCCGGGTGACCTCGTCCACATGTACGAACAGGTCGCGGTCCAGCATTCCGTTGGCCAGCGTCAGGAGGGACTTTTCATAGGAATAGGCGGAGAAGACCGAAGCGAGAACGGCGCGCAGCTCGAGCAGGGACGGGGACCAGCTGGCAGCGCGGGTGAGGAAGGCGCGCAGGATGCGGAGGAAGGAAAGGTCGGTGCGTTCGCCGGTTGATTGACTGCCGCCTTTCACGGTGCTAGCGAGCAGCGAGGTGAAAACCTGCTGGACGAGCGCGCGGAAGGAGACTGTCAAGCGACCAGTGTCTTCACTCAGGGAGACGGTGGGCGATGTTGATTCAAGATCCTTGATCTGATGATTCCGCATCAGGGCAAAGACATTGCTTGCGATGCGAACCACGGCCTCGATGAGATCCAGCCAGAGTGTCTCATCAAAGGCTAGGGGCTGTTCAAGCGGTGGGACCCCCTTTTGGCCATTGGTGGCCGCCCTTGATTGCTTCGCTGTCTTGGTCTGGCCCCGACAGAGCCATGTTCCAACTCCAGCGTACTTGTTCAGAGATTCAAGAAGGTCATCGATCGCCTCAGCCGTGTTGGCAGTATCCGGAGCCTCACCCACACTCTGAAGAATACCGACTAGGCCCGACTCCAGCGTGGACAGGTGTGCTACAAGGCGATCCAAGGCAGCCCGCACTTGGCCCTGTCGAGCGAGCAGGATAACGGCGGCATCTATGGCCCCGCTCTCCTCAATGGATGGAAGAAGCTCTTCCAGATGAATGTCTCCTACCCGCAGGCCATCGACAAAGTCGGCGACATGGGATGGGTTGTACTTGCACAGAAGCTGCACATATCGTTCAATCATCCAATTCTCAACCGAAGAAGCGGGTCGGTTCTCGCCGATTTGTCCTTGGGGTTCAACCAAGACTTGAAGATACTGGTATTGGTTGAATGGATCATCTTCCAATACATGTAGGAATGAGGAGTGAGTCTCGGGCGCCAGATCCTGCATTGCCTGTGCAGCTCGCTTCACATCTATGGCGGCAATCTCCTTAGCATGTTGCTTGACTACATCAATCACGTCCCGCCTCTGCTTCTTACCAAGCCCCGAGCCGGAGCGAAGACAGTCATGTAGAGCTGTAAAGATAGCCGCTTTGTCATGCGGATCATCCAGATAGGTCAGGATCCACTGGGGATACTGTTTCTCCGAGCGATATGTTGACTTCAGGATACGGAAGAATCTCGCCTCCTTGAAGAGTGGCACCATGCTCTGAACGTCCGGTGGATGATAGAAAGAGAGCAGGTATTCCGCGCTCAACTCGCAGTCCTCGGCCATATCCTGTTCCGGATACTGGCACAGCCGTACAAGCACCTGATGCAGAGTGGTGCCCGAAAGAAGAATATACTGTGGGTATTTAGGAAGATTGCGTGCAACAAACATGTCCAGGTAAATGGTATCGGAACTGGCGAAGACCGAGGCGTCCATAACTTGAAGCAGGATGCTAATCAGGTACTGCCGATTGATCGACACCCCGGACGCGGGAGCCTCTTCAGACTCGGATTCATTCAAAAAACTGTCCTCAAACGCCTCGTTGAGCATGCTCATGAAGCTCGATGCATCGAACTTGAGCATAGCCTGCAGCTGGACAAATGATCCAGCCTCATTAGAGGAATTTGTAGACCCTGTGCCAGACAGGTGGCCCGAGAAGAGGTATTGATATAATGAGGTTTTAGCTCGTAACGCTTCGGCTTCATCCATTTCATCGCCCGTAGGGTAGATGCGGCCAGTAAAGACGAATGACAGGTAGGGAAACATTTTCATCGCGTTCGCGTGACCTTTCAGTTCAATAGCATAGTCTCCGTTGACCAATGGCTCCTCCGTTTGAGAGGGGATCAGACGTAAAAGTTCCTCCAAAGGCCCCACGTAGTCCATCAAACAGCGATTCCAGACATAAATGTATGCATCGTATAGGTTGTGCTGCTTGCAAAGGGTGGTGACTTGGTCAATGTCCATTGTTGTTGTATCGAGAAGGCAGATGATCTCCTCTAGTCGGCCAGCGGAATGGGTAACGATAAAATGGTTGATGAGAGCTTTGACTGCAGTTGGAGGGAGAGACCGGATGGTTCCGTCGACGATACGTGGCTCCAAGACGTCCAAGAAGACCCCTGCGGAGTCGTGCTCCTCGTACCAAGTGAACACTTCCTCCCACAGAAACTCCTCATCCAGCATATGGAGGCAAGCAGCCACAGATACCTCAGCAAGCTCCTCGAGCTGCTGATTCTCCAGCTGCTCATTGCTTGCTTCAGCATTGCTACCGAAGGCATATTTCAAGGATGCCGAGATCATCTCAAGCAGCTTCTCTTGAACAATCGGCTGCCTCAAGCCGTCCTCTTCGGGAAGGCCGACAGTAAGCCTCTCTGCGCTTCCTGTGTAGTATGAAGTCGCCAAACGTATAGCGCTGATGAAATCACCTGCCTCCATTAGAGCCAAAAGGCGATCGGCCCAGTTTGAAAGGTTGCCGACTTGGGCTTCATTATAACCAAGTAGGAACAAACGCCCTTTATAGGACCGAAAGCTCATGTAGAAGGCATCCGCAACCACGCCGTGCATGGATGTGTCTTCTTCATCGAGTTGCTCAACCAAGTTGTGGAGTTGTGAGGAAAAGAGGTCGGTGTGATAAATATGTCGGTTTGCGAGGTCGATGGAGTCTGTCACATGCATAGTATAGTCTTCCACAATAAGAAGGCGCTGGGTGATTGTAAGCACTGCTAGCACAGAGCGGCTGAGCCACTGGACGGCAACGATGGCCTCATCCGCCTTCCATCTGCTGCGGGCTCGGAAAACAAGACTTGGCGGTCGGTCTCTGTCCACAGATTCATCCGTCTCTGCTTCAGTCACTTCCAGCACGGTCAAGACGTTCGACCAGCAATAGACAAGCTTCGTGTTGGAAGTTTGACTGTCTTTGCCCTTCAGTCGGATCGCCGGGAACCAAGCCAGAGCGCCAGTCATAGCACTATGTGCAGGAACTTCTTTAGGGCGCGGCGCTTTATGCTGCGTTCGAGCGACGGGGGTAGTCGACACGATAACCAAGAGATACGGAGTCAACATGGCAACAAGGCCCAATGAATCAGACGGTTGCTCCACGTTCCCAAGCGGAAGAGGAGAAAACGCTAGTACAGAGCTGGGCTTTCGTTTACGCATCTCCTCCGGTGCAGTTTGTGGATATCGACCCAAGATTCGAGTGGATTTGACCGTCCGTCCAAGGGAGCCTGTACCTCGCGTTGCCAAATGCGAAAAGGCCATTCCTCTCGTATCTGCAGACACGATCGCCGTGCGCCGTGTTCCCAGAAAGCCCACATGTATCACTGCCGAGCCTGCAATATGACCATCGGATGATCGGGTCTCGACTTGATTTACTGAGATTGGAGGCATGTGGAGGAAAGGTCGCGCGGACCGTGCGATTTCCCAGGTGAAGATATCGCCGGATTCATGGCCACCAGCCACAGTCGAATGATCAGCCGATAAGGCCAGAGAGGTGACGGGTCCGCACTCAACAGCTGTTACGTGTCAGTATCGCATAGCCCCTAAGAGTGTCAAGGTAGTTGAGCCATAAACAAACCCTTTGTACCAGTTCCAATAATCGTCTTCAAGCTCTGCTGATAATCGAAGACCAAGATAATTCCTTTGGATGTACCAATCACAATTGATGTTGAAACCGCTAGACAGGTCGGCCTCCCAAAGTTGCGCTTCCCAATCTCCGAGAAAGCCTGCCCAGTGATTTTCCGCAACTTGGTCCATCGCACGACATCCCACGGGCTCGGTGGTACTTCATTGTCTGATTCCGGGGTTGGTGAAACTTGGCTCGTAATTGATGACTGTCGGGAGTGTAGATGTGCTAGAAATGGAGAGCCGGACCGCGATGCGCTAAGTGGAGACGAGGATAACCGGGACTGGAAACGAAGGTCAAATGGACGGTGGGCTGGGCTGGGGCTGACTCGTGGTGAACTCCGAAGAGCCAATGCACTGCTGCTCCGGGAAGACAGAATAGAACCCTAAAGTCATCAATAAGACGCCCATCCAAACGAAGCGCACCCAAATCCCCAAGTCGCAGCCACTCACATGTATAGACGGGGTATCATCGGGGGTTGAAGCTGTCTCATCTACACTTCCCGGGGTCGCATTCACTGGCGCTTGCCTGAGCGGCGGAGTTTGCGGTAGTTGAGGGCCATTTGCTTCCAATGTCTTCTCAGATGCCTCGTCCTGCGCATTGTCTATAGTGTCCAACTCCTCCGCCTCCGCTTCCACCAGCTCCGGCTTCTGTGGGGAAGGCCCCGGATAATCATAATCGAGGGAGCCATCATGACCGGGGTTTTGGAGGTCGTGCTCATCCTGGCCCAGATCAAGCTCATCCTCTCGTGCCCAGCCCTCACTGCCCTCAGCCATCGAGCTCATGAGCAAGGTCTCCGAGTGATCATTGCTGAAGGCGGGTCAGGGAGTGAGGCGTGGCCGGACCAGCTGGGTGCTCCGATAGGGTAGGCGATTCGATCGGAGCAAGAGATGTGCTGATGATAGCGGAGGTGATGCGGATAGGTGTGAACGGAGGAGGGGGTTCGAGCTCGGACGTAAACATGTGGAGATCGCGAAGAGTCGAGAGCAGCTCCGGTTGCCTGGTTCGGCCCGTCGGACGCTTTTGGGGGGGGGGGCGGAGGGCCTCAGCCACAAGTGGCTTTGGCATTGATTGATGATGGAGCTCTACTTTCTATTCCATTATTTCTACAGTAGATTCTCTTCTATTCCTGTATAAACTAAATGTTTTGTAATTTCTTATGCAAGGGATCAAATGTCGAGGTCTTCAGAAAACAAAATTATTACACCGTCGAGTCCTTCAAGCTTCCGACTATCGTTGCCCACCGCTCGTCGTACGAACTAAACTACACATGTGACGAACACACACACATGGATGGAAGATGGTTCCTGCAAGCCGATCTGAACTCGTTGGACAGAGTGTATCTTCTATGATTCACTCTCTAGCGCCTCCTCAACCCACTCAGTGGCTCGCCATCTCCAGCCGCCTCCGAGCACACGTCCCATTCCAGGATGTGCCCCGATGCGCATCACATCTCCAGTGCATCGGAGTCCCGCCTTTGCAAATCCTCCTGCACCCATCCTACACCATCATTGGGCGGGGCCGTCCAGCCCGAAATGCGACCGCAGCGAAGCTCATGACTTCATCCATCGCTGCAGCCCGTTACCAAGATCGGTAAATGGGAAAGCTCATCCCCTCAGCTAAGCTTCCTCCCTCCCATCGACCCCTGCCAACCTACATGCTGTCTTGTCATCCCGCCGGACATGCGGTTACATCGAGTCACAAGGGCGTTCGCGCTCCCATGTCCTATCATCACGGTCCGCGCGACCATGAGGTTGTGATCTTGTTTAGAACCTGTGTTCTCCTTTCTGGCTAGGGATCGTCGGCATGTGGAATGCTGGGGAGTTTCTGGTCACTTCTCCCCTCAGAGGGGGGTCTACATGACCTCTGGCCACGCCAATATATCGGTCACGATGTCCTATTGGAGGTAGGACGGTCCTGAGGGGGCGCTTAGCACTCTAAACTTCTTTAAAGAGAAACTCGACACGCTCTGGGAAACATCGTCTTTGTTGCTTCACCTCAGACTGTCAAGACCTCATCGTAACTCTTCCTGGTGTATCGCAAAGACCACATACGATGAGCCCCTTTACCCGAATAATGCGACCTCTGCTTGGTGTCCTAGTGCTTCTCCGGCCAGTACTTGGGACCCTGACAGCAGAGGTAGTCCCCCGAGCCGACGCAACAACCTGCAACGGGCGATCAGAGTTATGCTCACGGTCCTACTCCAATATCACCTTCGTGGGCTCGCATGACTCTGCATTTGTGGGAGAACTTCCCCAGCAGAACCAGAACATTGATATTACGGCGCAGTTGGAAATGGGTATTCGCTTCCTCCAAGCGCAAACACACCACTCGCTTCTAGGTGACGAATTGGAATTGTGTCACACGTCTTGTCTACTGGAAGATGCGGGGACCCTGGAGTCATTCCTCAGTACTGTGAAGAGCTTCCTAGATGCCAATGCGAACGAAGTTGTCACTCTCCTGCTCACAAATGGTGACTCTGTCAATATCACCGAGTTTGGCAGCGCCTTCTCAAGCAGCGGGATCGATAGCTACGCATTTGTGCCATCGGCGAACCCGTTGCCGATTGGCGACTGGCCAACAATCGGCGAATTGATCTCAAGCGGGAAAAGACTAGTAGTTTTCCTAGGTCTGTTAACGTCCCAAGTTCCTCTGGAAACAGGACAAACCCCTTGTGTCGTTTCCCACTTGCCTGTAAAGCCTCATTATCCTAACATCACTTTTGCATCATAGACTACGGCGCCGACACGAGCAAAGTAAACTACATCCTCGATGAATTCGCCTACTACTTTGAGACCCCCTACGACGTTACCGATTCGAGCTTCTCCAGCTGCAGCATCGACCGACCTTCTGGGGCCTCCGCCTCCGGCCGGATGTACATTGTCAATCACTTCCTCGACGTGGACATTTTAGGAGTGAAGATCCCAGACCGCGGGGCTGCAAGCACAACGAATGCGGCGACTGGTAAGGGTAGTATCGGCGCGCAGGCGGCAGAATGCGAGGGACTATATAGCCGGGCGCCGAATGCCGTGCTGTTGGATTTTGTGGACAAGGGAAATGTTATCGAGGCTCAGAATGAGTTGAATGGGTTTTAAGGACTGCTGGGAGAATGATCTTCAGCAATGTCTATATCATTTCAAGTTTGGATTTCGTCGGATCTGATGTTCATGTTCATAATGGGGATATCTATGTAAGCGCCAATGCTCCCTAGGTCTGCTGTCTGGTACTATGCTCGCGATCTCTCTATGCCAAATGCCAATATTCTGTCCAATGAGCACGTTCATTCCTCCAGTTCAACCTGCATCTCGCGCTCTATAAACTGTCAGTAATCGTCCCCTCAAATATGATAATCTTCAAGCATACCCCATATCTTATTCGCAGAGGCAACAATCGTCTCCGCCTTCACCAATAGCTTCGCAGCATACCGCTCTGCTTCGGTAGGATAAGGCTGATTCCTCTGAGTCTTGCGCGGATTGACCTAGAGGTCCTCGTAAATTAGCAGTCCGTCTCAAATGATCAAATCAACCACATGCACATACCATCATAAGCACTGGGACTAAATCCTTCGGATCCGCCTCCGCCAGGGCTCTCAAGTTCAGGAACCCATTCTCTCTTAGGCAGCGTGCCGTCCAGCTCTTGACGAAAGTGACCTGTGCCATCTCCAGCAGGTCCGCTCGCGCGCCAGCTTCTAGCCGGTCCCGCATATGGTCCAGCACAGCCGCCATCATGCCCCAATTCATGCGTTGGCAGAACCTGACGATACCGGCAGCGAAGCCATGGCAATGCTGGGCGAGGGTCTGGACCGTGCCACGGGGAATGCGGTATCGGGCTGCAATCGTGGAGAGTGGTACCTCATTGCTCAAGTCACGAAGTTGAAAGGCTGTGTAGGCGCGCCGGTATATACGGGCTTGTTTCTGTTGGGCTGGTGTATTTTCTTTGAGAGAAGCCCCCGATTGGACCCTAGATCTTCGATGAGGTTTTCTTTGTTCAGCTTGGAGAAGGGTGGAAAAAGGGAAACTAACATGGTGTTGACAAATCCTGGCTGTACGCCAACAAATTGCAGCGCTCGAAGGCCACTCTCGTCCAACCGGTCCAGCTGATCGCGGAATATCGGCCAGTCGATCGGGGTATTCATAGCAACTTGGAATGGTGTAAACATGTAAAATATGTGCATGTCACCATCCATGACAAATGCTTGTAAGGCACGCTTGAGTTCCTCATGCACGAAGAGCCCATCTTCGGGGGAGAAGGCTGAGGCAACGACTGCCTGGCCCAGCAGTGTTGCTTCATAAGACTCATCCTCTTTGAAGACAATGAGAGCCTCGTTGATCAGCTCCTGTAAAGCGGAATTCATAATGCTATATACGAGTTTCTTGTCGAGGGTGCGGTAGAGAAGTGTACAGCGCACATAGTCCTTAATGGCCTCGCCGCCGGATACTAAACCCGTTGCTATAGCTTCAAGGAGGGCCCTACAATCTGTAAGCGAAAGGAAATGGAGCTCTTGAAGTGATGACAATACCTTTTCAAGCCTCTTTTCTCGGGTGCCAAGCAGCTCTCGATGGCAGGCATATCAGCGTCGAGTAATTCGCACACGGCTTCCAAATCAGCCTTGATACAAATCAGATACGTCTCGCCCGTATCATCCTTGCCTTTGCGACCAGCTCGTCCGCACATTTGCCGTCTATCATTGTTAGTAAAATTTATCGCGACATCATACGGATTAGCACATACAGCATTGCGGGCCCGACCAACTCCCGGCCCATCCGTGCTCCATTGATGATAACCCGTCGAGCGGGAAGGTTGACCCCAGCAGCAAGACTGCACGTAGCAACCAGCACTCTCAGTACACCTTGATCGTATGCTTGGGCAATCAACTCCCGCTCTTCGGTGGTCATGCCAGCATCTCCAGTTGTCAATTAGATTTCAAGTTTAGAAGGAAAAGAATCACTTACGATGGAATCCACCTCCTTTGATGATTGTCTTCTCCAGGACTGGATCCAATCCACACGCGAGACTTCGCAACTCTGCAAGTAGATCCAAACGCTTGCTCAGCTCTTCCGTCTCATCTGGGGAAATACTGGGCATTGCCTCGCTGATTGTAGCAGCATGTATCTGACACGCTGCGCGACTACTGCAGAACACCAATGCGCCGTAGCCCGCAGAAGCCGTTTCAACGGCCAATGCCACCATGGAGTTGGTCGCAGCGTTACTAAGCTCCTTGTATTCAGAAACATCAATGAGTCTTTGCGGAGGAATCGAGTCATGCAATGAAGCTGAATTCGCGGTTGTCAATTTGGATGCCGTCTGGAATAGTTGCCTCGAAGTTGCTGCTGGGTAAATAGCATTTTCGTAAACGAGATATTCATCAATAGGAACTGGACGGTATGTAGAAATGAAGAACTTTGCATTCATCCACTGTGCAAGCATCTCCGTATTCTATTGTCTGTCAGTAATCAGCCATTGACTGAACAATCAAATGAAACACTCACGGATAGCGTTGCACTCATGCCAACAATCTGGATGTCCTGCTGGAGCAATAGCAGTTTCGTGACCATCAACTCCAAGAGGTATCCTCGATGCTCATCATCAAGCATATGCAGCTCATCGAGCACCACCACACCCAATTCTCCGATGCTACACTCCTCGATAGCAGTATTAATCAAAGAGTTGGCCTAGGACATACATCAGAACACAGATCAGCAGGTTCAATCATCCTTTGGCAACAAACCTTCTCTATTGTACAGACCGCAATGTCGGTATCCGCCCAAGTCGCCGTTGTCCGACTTCCACCAAAGAACCCAGTAACCCGAATCTGCTTCTGCAACTTCTTCCATCGCTTGCGTGGGAACGACGCATTATGGTCCTCACCATCATCAGGCACATTCCTCTCCACGCCCTCGACAATCCGACGCACCCATTTCAGCTTCTCCTGTACCAGCGCCACATACGGCAGTACCAGGAGCGCCTTGCGGCCAGGATTCTCAATAATGCGTTTTAGTAACAGCACATCGGCGACTAGGGACTTTCCGCCGCCGGTGGGGGCCGTATAGACCAGGTGCCGCTCACCCGAGAGTAGACCCTTTGCGAGCAGACACGATGCCTGCCATGGGTAGATATTCTTCACACCTAGAGCGGCAAAATTGGCCGTCAGTGCCGGCGGCAACCCGTACTTGGGGTTTGTGAGGGACAGAAGAGGGTTCTGGCTGGCGCCTGGGGCAGATGCACCCTTTGCCCATCCCTGGGCTCTTCGGGATCTGGTGCGCCCGCACCTGGACCTGGGCGGATCTTGCTGGGATGGAATCTGTTTAGACTGGCGAGTGAGGCTCGAGCGGACTCCAAAGGCGTTGATTCCTGGATGTCATCCACGAGGGTTCTGGGTTTGTGCTGGAACGTATGGTGAGACGCTCCTTGTTCTAGCTTGAGAGGCTCGGGGGACCTCGTCGATGATGTTCTTTTAACTCCTGCGACTGGCGCTACTTGATAGGTCTGGCGGCGGGCAATATCAATCGAGGTCTCGAACCCGCGCGACTGGAACGGCGGCTGGCCCGATGTCGACATGCCGAAGGCTTGTGCCGTTCATGGAGGCTTAGTTGCGTGGTTTTTGTCTCTCTGTGCAGGATTTGCCGTCATGAGAAATCGTCCATTTTTTCTGGTTCATTGGTTTTATTTGAAGTCGACGCGATCATCGCGTTGGTCAGGCAGGCCTGCCTCAGGCATATACGATGCACGGGGGCCTACAATGTGATTAGGTAATCGACTGCTCCTGAATCCAACCCGTGAGGTTAGACGGTTCCACCTTGATGGAAGCCCGAAACCTCGATCCATTATTCATGGAAGTGGCCCAACGATGAGTACATTATTGTTAAAGGCACACTTCGCTATATCAAATTTTGTAGGACACATCTCCCCATTGAAAGAAATTTTAGGGCTCAGAAAAGAGCCCCCTTTTTATGGAGATAAGGCTAACATATGTTGCCAGAGGCACTATACTATGTTCCTACGCCCAGATCTTTTAGCGGTCATCCTTTGAGGCGGCTTATGTATTCCTCGATGTTACATACATATACTGTACTAACCCAAAAATGGGCGGAGTGGCCTATTAGCAATATATTAATATTGTTCCCTACCGGAACTGGGATAATTGCCCATTGCAATATTGAACATTATTACTCATGCCATTACAGTAGGTCGAGTTCTGACCTAAGGTTCAAGGTGCGATGAGTTAGCACCAAAATCATTCGGGACTTGATTTTGGTGGCCATAATAAGTAACCCCTTGCACGACATAATTTGACGATGTAGTAGTGCATGACTTTATCGTAGAGAGCACTGATTATTGACGCATGGCTTAGCTTGATGGCCGTCCGCAGGAACATTCGTCCGACGACTCCACCGGGCCCCACAGCCTTGCTCTGCTTGCCAGTTTCAACATCAATGATTTTGTTGACTCTGCATCTGCATTGATCAAATGCCAGAGGATGTATATATGTCTATATTGATGAACCACTCAATCATATTCTCAGTCGTTATCTACCCATATAGTCTGTGTGTAAGCTCTAGGTTCCTACCACTGGAAAGTCCGGTTATGGTCGGCTTGCGCATTCTCCTTCTGAGACCCGGTCGCGTCGGGTCGACGGCGGGTCTGGAAAAAAACGTCCCTACTTAAAATGCTGGTGGCGCGTGTGGGGACAAAATTTTCATCCCAAACACGGTATAATTTGCAATATACCAATCGAGAGATAAGAGACCATATGTGGATCGACAGCCTGGAATTCCGGTTGTCGATATGCATTGCGGAGGAATGTGGGTGGCCGATGAAGAGGTAAGGAATATTGACCCTAATTATATATCTTACGCTGAGCGAGCTGACACCATCGATGAATTCAGTAAGCAGGAACCACTTAGCAAGTCAAGTGGAGTTACGGTAACCTCCTTTGGTTGGACTGAGCTCTAGGCTGTATAGAACAACGTGGCCGAATCACACTAGAGTTACCAATGACCCTCTTTGTAGGTGTCGTGTGCGTCCAAAGTACTCCGTAGTAGTAGGACGGATTAAGCGGCGAGCGTCCCGTATAGGTATGTAATAATTACCCCCCGGAGAGGTCTGATCACCCTGCATCACAAGATAGCGTCCGGCACTCCCAGGAACCAAATACGATCGCGGCTTTTCAGCTTACGGTACTCTCTGATCATATGTACTCCAGTTGTACTACTCAGTCATGGTATCTTAATTCTTCTTCGGCCGACCTATGCTAAGCTACCGTTTCCCAGCCCTATCCTCCGATTTAAGTCCGATGGAGAATATTACTATCTCTGGTAAGACCCTATCCAACAAACTCCCCGCTCCTCCTCTGGGCTCTAAGCCCCAGTGCCCAGCACGTTCTGGAGCTTTGGCCTACCAGAAGCAAGGTGGCGACACGCAACAGCCGCCGGGAGCAAATCATCCTCGGCCAACGACGGATGAGTATTACTGGGCGCCTTCGATCGTCATTGGACCGAGTGGGCGGTAGAAGTTTAAATTAGGGAGAGAAAAGAGAACATTATTGTTCTCAGTAATTGGGACTTTGTCAAGGTTAAACAAAGAGAATACGGGGCATTTGAATAATGGATGATGATGATGTTGGAAGGTACTTTTCTTGCCTCCTTTCTTTATGATGCCTGTTTTCGCTGCCCTACTTTATAATCCTGTGATCCGACTGGATGAAATCTTCCTTTGCCGTTCGTCCTGTTGGTCGGCATTTCGATAGTGACCGGCACGAACCATCCGTTTCCCTTGCTTCCAGTTTTCTCTTTCTTTTTCATTTCTTTTTTTTCTGTTTCTTCTCTTTGATTTCTTGCTTATTTGTTCGACTCCTCGTTTTCTCTGGGCGGCTATACAATTTTCGTATCAACTTGGGGCGTGGCATTCCATATTGGATCTTATGTATTATTTAAGATGACGATATCGTCTTTGTCCACTCCTCTGCACTGTCCCCAGCATTCCGCGTCACACCTGGACGATCGTGGGAATAACGTACAACTACGCAATCATAGAAGTGCCTAGGCAGTCGCTAAAGTAAGTTGTGGAATCGAGGGATCCTGGTATATCTTCCTCGATACATACCTACTGTACCAAGCGACCATGCCTATAATAATTGCTCACTACAGATATGATTCGATATGGTTCCTTCGTTCCTTTGCCCAAGGGGGACGAGGGGACATGGAAAACCCGTGCTCGCTTGCGGTGAATGAGACGACGTGGTGGTACAAGACAAATCAAGGCTGGTATGGCGGCCCCAGCCAAACCCACAGTACGGGAGGTCCAGCGCGGTAAAGATCGTAATATTCCCAGCGTGGCCTGTAATTTTATTTTTCCCGCAGGGATCGTGGAGTCGCAGTGCCTAGCCAAGCGCCTAGTGCCCTTTGTGCTTTAGTGCACCTGCCCACCACGCTACGCTTCTTTACCACAACCTGTGTCCGATAATCTGGTATGGGCGTTTCTCCTCGGCTCGCTTCGTCTTGCCCTGATAACATAGGTAAAACCTCCAATTTCCATCTCTAAATAGGACATGGGGACTAGATTATCCACCGAGAGATATCCGAGTCGCCATCGATGCATGATGATGGTCCTGCTCTTGTCGATCGGTATGTATATAACCCCCCCGGAAAACCCACCACGGGATGGGCCTGCAAGTCGTCGAGCTCAAACCCGACCTCACACAACAGGGGCCAAAATATGGCACGGGTGCATAGAGAGATCGTACGGCCTGGCAAAGGACGTTATACGGGATAATTCATGATCATCCAAACTCCGGAGGGACAGAGGTGATCAATTATGGAGCAGAGCGAAGGGAAATAGAAATACCGATGATCCTATCCAATGACCCGGACCCAATTCCCAGTCGGGCCATACGCGCCTCCTACGTGACGGCATTCCTCATTCTTGACGGCCTTGGGGCCGCTTCTCATCACTGGCCCTATTATATAAACAAGATAATTAGAGTAATGAACTAATTAGTCGCTGGAGTTATGAACCGTCAGGCCAGTCCTCACCGGGCAAGTTATTATTGCGGCCTTATACGAAGTATTCATAATCGGGATGTGATACCTTGTCCTGCGTACCCGTTCAAGACTAGGGATAGAGAGAGAGTGTGTGTATGTGTGGCCTTTTTACGGGTTTCTCCAACGGTCCTGGTCAAGAGATCTCCGGTCGCCCGTTAGCCCGTTCAGTTTACCTTGTTAGTCTGGTAGACTGTCCCGATAGAGTTGCTGGCCCCCCCCCTTCGAGGTGAATATCGCATGCATCCCCCAGAGTGTTGTTCCGTCGAGATGGAATTCGTAGTGACCCAGCCCAAGAGATACAGTTCGTTCCAGACCAAGTCTGGCATCCCAGGACTGGGTGGGAAAAGGGCGGCGAATTGAATCACAGGCCGATTTGGTCGGGGGTCCTTGGGTCGAGTGGTGAGGATCCGTCATATTAACATATCGGGACTAGGGGCACGCTCGGGATCCTCGACGCTTTTTTCCATCATCAACCCTTCTCTCTTCCCTTTCCCTTTTCTATTATCCTCTCTTCCATCGTGCACCTTTCCAGATTCGCCCCGATCTCTCTCTCTCTCCCTCTCCCCCTCCATACTCTTCTTTTCCTTCCACATCCTTGCTTTCTGCAGAGTCCTCCCATTATTATTCCCTCGATATCCATCGCCCGCCTTTCTAGCCTTCTCCATCTTTCTCCTTCATACAATCCGTCCCCGTCTCCTACTTCCCGACTTGTTTCTTCCATCCAAACGGTTCCCATCCTTTCCATTATTACTCTCCAATTTGTTTTGGATCGGTTCTTCCCTTCACCCTCCATCTCGCGCCTCAACTTCTCCCACTTTGCTGGCCCCTACGTTCCATCGGTCTACTGGTAGGTACTTCTCTACTTTCCTTACTCGTCTTTGTGGGGTGTCCCGATGCCGATATCTTGATCTGCTCCAATGGTCTTGGTATCGGACGGGCATGATACATGATACCCTTTGGTCTCGATCCCTCCCGTCACTATCATTGCCCTTGATGAGTGATCCTCGTATCCTGCTGGCCCTCGTCTCTCTGATATTCCCATCTTATGCGATCCTGCTTCTACCCCAAATCCCCAAAATATCATCCCCATTGTCCCCATTCTCCCCCCCCCCATCTTGCCGTACTGGATCTCGCTCTCTGCCTATCTGTGTATCTGCCTTGGGCCCGCCCTACGATCACCAGCGTTCCCACGAAGGCAGAAACCCCTGCAGTGAATCAGATCTGACACGGTCCACTTCTTGGGTGCCCGCCATGCCTGCCTTTTTCTTTTTCTTTCCTCTTCTCTCCCCAATCCAATCTTCTTCCTGTCTTCATCTTCCCCCTAGATACTGTCTCTCTCTCTCTCTCTCTCTCCCGTTCGTGTTTCCCCTTGGCCATATCCCATTCATTTACCCGCCGTTTTCGAGATTTTCGCCCCCCGGTCCTTTTAGTGTTCCCACATTTCCACATTTCCACATACCACCCGCACCATCCACGTCCATGCATCCGCGCCACGTCTGATAGCGTGTTTGTCCCTACCTTTCCCTTCCCATCGTCTCTTTTTCCACCATCCACCCCCCATTCTCATCTTTCCTCCCCCAATCCACCATCCACCATCCACCGTCCACCATTCAGGCGCAATACTGACCAACCTCCACAGTCTATCGCTTGCTGGCCAAGCACATCAATCTCTCTCGCCTGGTCCTTGTCTTATGTCCTGCCGTGGATGACTAAGACTCGTACTCAATGACCACGAGCAACTCTCCGGAGCCTGTAGCCGACCCGGCCAGCGCCTCCGCCGCAGCCCCGTATGGGACACGATCTAGAGGCCGCAATGCTCCTCGGCCTAACTACGCAGAGGACCGGGACATCGAAATGGACTTTGATGTCGCCCCCGCCAAGCCTGGAAACAAGCGCAATAGTGGCGTGGCCCTGAACAACAACGTTCCAAACGGCTCCAAATCCGACAGCGAGAAGTCCTCGCCGGTGCAACCACGGAAGACCGTGACAAATGGCGCCGCTAATCCCGCGCCCAAAGAATCCATCCCCGGCACTTCGTCCTTCTCGGCGCGTCCCGACGACGTCAATGGGACCAGCTCGGCACGGAAGCGCAAGCAGCCTGCCAGCACGCCGAATTCCAATTCCACCAGCGGCGGAAATCCCGCCAAAAGAGTCTTCACGGCTGCGCCGGGGGATTCTGACAGCGGTTCTTTCACTAATATGATGAGCTTTGAGGCCTCCGGCCCACACCTCAAAGATGGCCAAATTCAGTCAGACGATGGCACCACATTTGCCGTAAATGGTGAGCCCGAACTTTTCTCGTGGTATTTTGGTGTTTATGCCCGAATTCCACCAAGCTGACAACTTGATAGATCATGTATATTTGATTTGTGAACCTCCTGGTGAGCCATACTACCTGGCTCGAATCATGGAGCTTTTACCTTCCAAAACCAAAGAGTCGGGTGTGATTGAAGCGTTGCGGGTAAACTGGTACTATCGTCCCCGCGACATCCAGCGCCACAGCGCCGACACCCGACTTGTATATGCGTCGATGCATTCGGATACATGTCCCCTGTCGTCGTTACGTGGGAAATGTCAGATTCGCCATATGTCCGAGATCGACGACCTGACCGCGTATAAAAAGACGCGAGATGCGTTTTGGTATGACAAGATGTTCGATCGTTATATTCACCGCCTGTACGATGTGATCCCGACGAAAGATGTGATCAATGTGCCGCCCAACGTCAAGCGCGTGTTGGATGATCGCTGGAAGTTCATCCTGGTGGAAATGGGCAAGAGCAAGGAATTGACGGGTGCCGTGAAGACGTGCAAGCGTTGCCACCTATTCGCCGCAAATGCCGAGTCTGTGGATTGTGCAGTCTGTCACTCGACGTATCACATGTCCTGCGTTCGACCTGCGCTCACGAAGAAGCCCGCCCGTGGCTTTGCTTGGGCTTGTGCACCCTGCAGTCGCGCCCAGGAGCGCAAACTGGAAGCCCGCAACACGCCGATCATTGGCGCGACCAAAGGGGAAGGCGAGGACGAGGTTATGGAGGAGGAGGAAGAGCACCATGCGAATGGTGTCGCCAACGGAACCTCAGTCAGTACCCCAGCCGCCATTGAGGACTCCATGCCTCAGCCAGAAACCGCAGAGCAGATGGCACAGGCACGGATGTGGCCATACCGTTATCTGGGTATGCATTGCCGCGTGGAGGATGCTCTCGACTACGATGACCGGATTTACCCTCGTGCCAGTTCTCGACTCGGGCCACGACACCAGGCGATCGTCAACCCCTGGCCTGGACGCCCAGTTGAGTATGTGAAACCTATGGAGCTCAAAAAGAAGTACTCAAGACAGTCGGGCGGTGCCAAGCTTGCACCCAAGGCTGTAATGGAGGCCATGAAACAAGAAAAGGCCACTCGGCCCAAATGGGTGCAGGATTCACCACCAGGCTATATTCAGCGCGGAGAAGACGAACCTGTCGCCATCACCAATGCAAAGCAGGGACGTACTGCCGAACTTATTTTCAAGATGCCGACTGCAGAGCAGCTCCCCACGCGAGGCGAAGACGACGCGCCCGGCTCTCATCTAAGTCCTGCAGACAGGGAGGCCTTTATTGACGATTACATGCGACGCGCCAAAGAGCTGGCACCGGATGTTGGAGTTGAGAAGACTTCCACCAACTTTTTGGACAAGGCGATTGAGCTGCTCTATTCCGAAGGCTTCGATGCCGACGCCGCTCTTGCCAAGTTGAAGAAGGTTAACAAATATAAGGATCTCAAGGAGCCCCACCTTCGACCAGAGGAGCTGAAATTGTTCGAACAAGGTGTGGCCAAGTATGGATCGGAATGGCGCAATATCACCAAGCATGTCAAGACTGTCCCACACTTCCAGATTGTGCGATTCTACTATATGTGGAAGAAGACTCCCCGTGGTCGGCAAATCTGGGGCAGTTACGAAGGCCGACGAGGCAAGAAGGAGGTCCGCCGGCAGAGTGTTGCGACCTCTAAGCTGCTCGACGACGTCGCCGATGATCACGATGATTCTGCCTTTGACAATGAGAAAGCGGCGACTCTGAAACGTGGGTTCCAGTGCAAATTCTGCCTGACTCGCAGCTCTCGACAGTGGCGACGCGCTCCTTTAGTCCCACCTGGCACCACCGTACCTTCGGACCCTTCTGCCAAGAAAGATAAGGGACCCATGCTCACAGTCTCTCTCTGCCTTCGTTGTGCCTTGCTGTGGCGGAAATACGCCATTCATTACGAGGATATTGATGAAGTCGGGAAGAGAATTGCAGCTAGCGGCAACAAGTCCTGGAGGAGGCGCATTGACGAGGAGTTGCTGGCCCAGATGATCGTGGCCACTGAAACCCCTTTTACTATCAGCAGCCTCACAGCTACTACTGCATCCTCCATTGGAATTCCTGTCGACATCAATCCTCACCTGCAGCAGGAAAGCAAGTTGGACAAGAAGAAGCCGCGTTCGGACGTTCCAAGCACAACCACTTCCACACCGACATCGGTTGAGCCCATGCCGAAGAAGAAGGAGAAGGTGGTTGGCGTCGAGAAGGTCGCTGCTGACGGGCCGCCCGTTGTTCCTGATCCACCCAGGGCGAAGACTCTTCCGTGTGCAATCTGTAACAAGGTCGAGCCATCTGGCGACGAGCATCTCTCGTGCCGAGATTGTCGGCTGACCGTTCACCGCAACTGTTACGGAGTGCCGCCATTCCGGGCTGGTAATAAGTGGCTCTGCGATATGTGCTCTAACGACCGCAGCCCCTCGATCTCGACCACCTACGAATGTGTTCTTTGCCCAGTGACATACACCGAGCATGATCTGATGGAAACCACAAAGAACACTAGTCGGAAGAAGTCTGATCGAGACAAGGAGAAGGAGCGACTCGAAAAGGAGATGGTCACCGAAGCCATCAAGCTCTATCGCCAACGCCAAGAAGCTGTTGGCAAACCCGTCGGCCCTCGGGAGCCTCTGAAGCGCACCGCCGGTAACAACTGGGCTCATGTTATGTGCTCCATCTGGACCCCCGAAATCAAATTCGGGGACGCCAAGGAGTTGGAGCCCGCCGAAGGCTTTGGTTCCATCCCCAAGGATAGGTGGCGCGAGGAGTGCAAAATCTGCAAGTCCTCCAAGGGGGCCTGCGTGCCTTGCCATTTCGTTGGCTGCAATACCTACTTCCATATTGCTTGCGCCTTCCAAGCAGGATACCGCTTGGGATTTGACGTGACCCCTGTGAAGAGCACTCGCAAAGACAATGTACAGACTATCCGTCTGGGCACCGAGCTAGGCGTTGCTACACCTGTCATCTATTGTCCCAGCCACACTGTGTCAGCCACCGTTCACGATATTGGCGAAGCAGCAGGCTCGGATGGCCTCAATGCACTCCAACTGTTCGCTCGAACATACAAGCAAGCTGATCTCACATTGACCGGAACCTCTCGAAAGGCAGCATACGTGCAGCAATCGGTCACAGCTCCCGTCCATCACGGCAACGGGGCGGTCCACCAACGGACTTCGACAATCACTGGATTAGCGGCTGTTACCAAAGAAACCCACAAGCCTCACCCTGCTCCTGAGGATGCCGCGGATGAAATGGATATTGACACGGAGGAGCATGCAGCTGCGCCCAAGCATGTGACCGGGGTATCGACAAACCGACGATGTGTGCGATGCGCAACAGATTACAGTCCTAGATGGTGGCCTAGCCAACGACGTGGCGATCCTCGAGCTCCATTTACGCCGAATGGGGTCGGCCTCAACTCCAATAGCCCATCGTTCCCCTCTCGTCGTCTATCATTTGCGCAATCCAACGGAGACGTTGGGGAGATGACCTACGAATGCCACAAGTGCCACTTGAAGCATCCACCTGTGCCTGAGCCTGCGCCTGCGCCTGCGCCTGCGCCTGCGCCTGAGCCCCGGCCCTCGCCCTATTCGGCTCCGCGCCCTGCAATGTTCTCAGCTCCACGCATGGCCACTGGTCACAATGGCCATGCTCAGAGTAATGCTCACGGTCCTGGTCTCGGCCACACCTTTGTGGCGCATTCACATTCGCATCCTCCCCCAACGGGCGTTCTTGGACGGCCTCTACCTCCGGCTCATTCTCACAGTGCTCTTTCCGGGTATCCGGGGTATGACCGAGCCGGTCGCAGCCCCGATGTCCGCAACGGCATGTCGCCAGCTGGGTATCCTGCGGGGCCTCCTCCTCCCCATCACTTAGGTAGCTACCCACCAGCTCATCCGACAGGCCATTCTTCATCTCCTTTCGGCACTGGACCTCCTCCGCCACCCCCGACGCAGGCGTATCCAGCTCATCAGAGCCCTTATGCTCCCATGTCGGCTCGATCACCGCATCTCTCACAGCCGCCGCGGGCGTACCCGGCATCTGTATCTCCGCCGATCGTACAAGCGACCGTTAACCGTTCACCTCAGACTGCTCTCAGTGCGTTGAACGGAGGTCCGCCTCCACGATTGTACTCGGGGGAGCGTGATCTGGGGGCTCCTTCCCATTCACCCCCATCCGCCCAAGCTCGCCTCGACCCGCGCGGGCCTACTTCTCCGACTCGAGTAGACTCGTCGCAATCCCTGGCTAGCATTCTCGGCGGAGCTCCCAATGCTCGGCGACACTCGGGCATAAATGGCACGAGTACTGGGTCTGGAGCGAGTGCGAGTCCGTCACTCAAAAATCTTCTCTCGTGATCTGTCCTTTGGCACTTTGATGTTTCTCTGAGCGTAGCATCGACTTGTATGATAGCTAATTTTTCATGTCTTTTTCATTTCTTGTTTTGCATTTTCGCGTCTGGTGTTGACTTCCAAAATGCCCAGGATTTTGTTCTTTTCATTTTCTCTTAAGCCAGATCGGATGAATACCCCAGTGTGGCGTCTCTTCTGGTTCAATCTTGACTGCTCATATTTCCCTGAATGTGTTTTTGTCCGTTTGGTGCCCCCTCTATCACTTCTATTTTCTTCACTTTTCTCCTACTTTCACCCGCTTCTTTTCCTTTGTCTGACATCTTCTCGGCGTCTTTTGGTACGGCTGGAAAAGCAACGGTGGTGTCCTTGAACTACAATGGGCTGGACTACACTGGATGGGATGGACTAGGGTGGGATCGTGGGTCGCATGGAGTAACGAGGCTGGTGACATTTATTTTTATCGTTGACAACCATGATGATTTGATTTATTACCATTAACATTGGCCGTTTTCTCACGGCTAGAAAGAATTGAAATACATTTGTTACCATCTCTTACTCGGCGTTCTATTTCCACGTTCCACTCTTTAGCTTCATAATTGATTTCCATCTCTTCGTAATTGAACCTTCAATCTTTCACGAGTCGGCACCTCGGCAGAAAAATTGACTTTGCCGATTAACCGTGACCCGCGACTTTTGAAGGACTGGGTTTGCAAGTGTGGATATCCAACGCCGACGGACTTTTGAAGGCTGACAAATTCACGTCACGCTTCACCCGCTGCAAGCGTCATTAGCTTTCCAAGAAGCTTCCCAAGCTTTCCCAAATACACTACTGAGACCCGCAGGATATATAAGAGATAAGATCCTGCAGCTTGGACTTTCGCACCCTCAAAATTACCCTCTCGATCATATCCACCACACAAAACAAAAGGAATGACCACCACAATGCGCGCGATCGGTACGTCATCTCCAATTCAACCCCTCCATTGTATCCCCCCACAAGGTATATCGCGGATATCAAACGGAGCATCAAGCATCAACCCCAATCCCCTCTCACCCTTTCGCCTGCATTATCTACCATCTTCGACCCCAATCGCTCTTCCTTCCACCCCTTCCACACATCCATGTAGATATGCTAACACCCACCAGCCATCCAAGGCGGCAAAGGCCCCGCCACAGCCATGCACGTCTCCGACATCCCCAAGCCCGTCCCCGCCCCGGGCCAAGCCCTCGTCAAGATCCGCGCCTTCGGCCTGAACCGTATGGATCTGCTGCAGCGGGAGGGTCTGTACCCGCTGCCGCCTCAGGCGCCGGAGACGATGGGCGTGGAGTTTAGCGGTGTTATTGAGGGATTTGGTGATGAGGCTGCTGCTGCGAAGTGTGGGTTTAAGACTGGGGAGGAGGTGTTTGGATTGGCGTATGGTGGTATGTTATTCTTCATGATGTTGATGGGGGGATGTCGGTCAAGCTCACGATGGCGGGATTAGGCGCTTATGCCGAGTATATCGTCGTCTCGACGAAGATGCTCGTTCACAAGCCGAAGCAGCTTTCGTGGGAGGAGGCTGCTGGTATACCAGAGGTACGCTCATTCCTACAAAAAATTTTTTGCTACAGTCTACGATTTACACCCCCGAGATAACGATACGATACGATACCTGGTGCTAATCTCGGTTTCTCTAATCGTCCCAATTCCAGACCTGGATCACAGCCTCCCAAGCGCTCTTCCTCGTCGGCGAATTCAAACCCGGCCAGTCCGTCCTCTGGCACGCCGGCGCCTCCTCAGTCTCCATCTCCGGCATCCAACTCGCCAAAGCCGAAGGCGCATCCGCCATCTACGCCACCGCCGGCTCGCAAGAGAAAATCGACTTCCTCGAAAAAGAACTGGGCGTCACCAAGGCCTTCAACTACAAGACGGATGACTGGGCCGGCGAACTCCAGAAGCTTACCAACGGCGCGGGCGTGAACCTCACCGTTGACTTTATCGGTGCGCCGTATTTCCAGGGTGACTTGAACGTTGCGGCGCGGGATGGACGCGTGGTGTTTCTGGGTCTTATGGGGGGTGGTAAGTTGCCGGAAGGAGTGGATATTAGGCCGTTGTTGTATAAGCGGCTTCGGGTTGAGGGGAGTACCTTGCGGAGTCGGGATGTGGAGTATCAGGGGAAGTTGAGGGATACGTTGGTTGAGCATGCGTTGCCCAAGTTTTGCGATGGGACGTTCAAGGTGTTTGTCGAGAAGGTGTTTCCGTTTGAGGAGATTGTTGCGGCGCATCAGTTGTTGGAGAGTAATCGGACCAAGGGGAAGATTATTTGCGTTGTGGGGGGTCAGTAGGAGTGGTTGGTTGGTTAGTTGATTGATTGATTGATACTCTGACTGAACAATCATGTCTTTTGATATCACAGTTAATCTGGGTTAGAATGATGAATATCTTTCCGGTTCATGAATTGACGATCCAAGTCTGGCTGATTCAAGCTTGGTTTTTGTTTCTCGTTATTTGTCGAGGGGGTTGTGGTGGTGGAGGTGGGGTTCTGTCTGACTCTGACGAGAGCAGTGCCCTGCGCTTGAGATTACGGATGATGAGAGACGGACTAGCTCGTCCATGAATAGGGTGTGAATGATCTGCTCGGGATAGACTATTCTCATTGGGGTCATCAGAGGAGGATGGATCGGACAATAATCGGCCAAACGAAATTCGATTAACTTTTGGGGGCGAGACTTGGCTTGCTGGCTTTATTGGTTCGAGAGTCCTGGACAAAGTACGGAGTACTGAAGTACATTTAGGCTCGACGTGGGGCTGGCATCGCCTGACTTCGGTGGTGGCGAACCGTATCGTCTGGGAGTAGTATGTACTGTAGTACTTACTACCTTCCTCATAGGACTCCTACGTTATAATCATAATACGGGGTAGTCCCAGATGAAGATCCATACTCCGACCAGGATACTGAGTTGGGGGACCCTGACCGATGAACCCTGCTCGATAGTAAGCGGACTAAGAACTGCCCCAATAAGCCGAGACCAATCAAGGGCAGTAGGTCCAAGCTCGGCTGCACGACTGTTTCTGGCGTTTTCTAACTTCTTGGGGTTGTTGCTTCGGCGGCTTCGGCGTGGGTTTGGAGGTTAGATTAGTGCTGGCAGGTAGCGGAGGCCTCATTGGCCCGTCACCCACCCCGTGAGATGGGATCGCCCTTCAATCACGGACGATCGAGTCGTCGTAGTGGGTGGGTGATTATTCAAGGATGTTGGTATGGTGCGACTCTTTGAGGAAGTTTAAATTCTTTTTTTTTTTTGGAGGAGGGGGGGGGGGGGGGAATGACGAGTGATGGGTTGATGAGCACTAAGCACCGAGCACTTAGCCCAGTTGATCAGGAACGGTGGCGTTTCTGCTCAGCGGAGCAGCTCAGCAGGGTCTCGGCATTACAGGCAGGCCAAAAAAAAGCAACGCATCCAGTCGATGAGATCATCGCAGACAGTCAAGCAGCCAAGCCCAGAGGATAAGAGATTCTGGAAGCGAGGATCCAGCCGAAGAAAGCAGTCACTAGTGTGTGTGTGTGTGTGTGTGCGTGTGTCACTGTGTGTGGTCCCCCGGGGGGGAGGTTGTAAAACAGTGTCCAGGCAGAACCAAAACCGCCCCCAAAGCATTCATCTCTCGTCAGTCGAGTGTCCCACTGCCGGTCTGTGCAGCAATTGGATTGCATTATTTCTTTGGTGCTTTTGCCCGGCGGACTCTCCGGAGCCTCGACGGGATCCTGCAGATGGAGCCAATCAGATAGCCCAACGTCGCTGGTTGTGAATCCGCAGGGGGGGCGCCATGGAACTTTCAGTGCGCTTACCTAAGACCGTGGGCCTTCTAGAAAAAAAAAAACCAGTCCTCCGTGCAAATGAGAGCGAGGCGTCATGGTCCACTGGTGGGATCGAGGCTCTGCAGGAAATTGGACAGAAAAAGATGCCCCCGGGGGGGGGGGGGGGTTGTTTGGTGGTGGAAAGTAGATCAAAATGAAAAGATCGAAGATTTTCAACTGGTAGAGTGCAAGTCGAGTCACGAGATCGGACAATCGAGTGCAACTGTACTGGTCAGAGAAGAGAGCGAGCGAGAGAGAGGGAGGGACGAGTCCAGTCATCGTGCAGAGGCGATCATCCCGTCCCGCCCTCGCCCCCCCTCTTCCTTCCTTCCTCTCCGGCCTTCTGGAAGGAGGAAAGAAGCCCCTTCCCCGTGTACTCGACTCCTCTTTACTACTCCTCCGACTACGACTCTCTCAACTCGGCTCGACACTACACTCCTCTACTCAACCTTTACTCTCCCCCCCCCCCCTCCTTCCTCCCTGCCTCCACTTCTGACTTTCTATTCCCCTTCTCTCTCTCTCTCTCTCTCTCTTTCTCGCTCTCTTTCCTTTTCCTTATCCCAATCTCCATCTCCATCCTCGACGCCTCCTGCTTCCGCTCGCCCCCCTCGACCATGTCGCCCTGATCACACTCCCTCCTGGAATCCCGACCGGCCTGCCGAAAAGCAACGTCTCTTTTCTTCCTACCTGTCATCTCTCCTACCGTATAAAAACACCCCCGCCCCCCCTTCCCCTCTCACGTGCCGGATATCGACCTTGAAAATCCTCGTCGTCTCAATAGAATCACCGGTCGGGCGGCGCGCGAACCACGCCCTCCCAGTGTGATAGAGCCCACTGCACTTGTCTCGGATCGTCCCAGTCCACAACGCGACTCGGGCTGCCTGCAGGGAAACAACTGCATTGTTTGATTCTGTCCGTTAGGGGTTGTGGCCGGCCTTTCGTCGTTCCTTCGCTCCCATATTCTCCTGCATCTTTTTTTGCGCCGTTGATTCGGGTTCGCTTCCATCTCCGACTCGCCGCTCATTATCGTCTCTTTTTTCCCCTACTCACTTCTTTGATCCCCTCCCGAAACGGCCATCCCCTACGACTCACTTCTCCCTTCTCTCTGGATATCGACCTTTCCGCCTTTCATCTTAATTGTCTCAATCCCCCTTCAGATTCGCCAACCGTCTGCTGCTTGACCCTCCTCTACGCCCCCGACGCCACATCTCCGGTCATTGGAAAACCATATGCGAAGCAGGGCAGATCCGATCGCCTCGTTTTCCTTTTCTCTTCTATACTCTTGGGTGCAGCCCTGTGATTCTGGCGGCAGAGCCTGAATCAGAGCGACCGCCTAACCCCCCTGAGAGTGACAGGATGGGCGACCCCGTGGAATGTATAGGCGTCTACGTCGACGACCGCGTCCGTTCGGAACGGTGGGTGCGCCGGAATTCGGTCGCTACGTCGACACTGTCCTCTGTCGGTTCCTTGGCATCCCCCGATGAGCCAGACGCTCTACAATTCGATGTAGAGCAACTGCTGGACGTGTGTAAGAAGAGTAGGTTCTTGACCCAGAGTTGCGCGATTCCATCGTATCCCGAAAGATCTGTCCAATGCTAACCGTTCCCCCCATCCCTCAGTCTACCTCTGTCACACCGGATTATCCTTTGCGACCAAGCTGGCCGAGCTCAGCGACCACTCCAGCAGCGAATGTGCCCCGATATTCGCTTTCTGTGGCATTGATTTTCGCACTGACGAATCTAATCTGGCCCGACGGAAAGCCGGTCGCGTCTCGTGGGGAGATACCGCCCCCCATCTCCCGGGTCGGTTCAGCGTACTTTCACCTTCTCCTCACATTCCGACGAAGCGCCAGGGTTGTCGCTCCTCTCTGGTGTGTCTACGGATATTCAAGTGCAAGATGGTCCCAGTCTTGTCGTTCCCATCGCCCTCCTGCGCACCGCTGGTTCGGATGCGCCCATCGGCGCCACGACAGACCCTACCAGCGAACCGCAAATGAAAAGTCCAGTCACCCTGGAGCACAAGCAGATCGCTCGATGCCTCGATGCGGGCGCGATGGATGTCTTGCTTACTCCACTCGATCAATCCCGCATCCAGGGGCTGGTGGTCCATGCGTACCGGGCGCGCCGAAATGCCCAGAAGGAGATGTCTCGCTTCCTCGCACGGAAGAAACTGCGCAAGCTGTCGTGGGTGGGTGTCCATGAAGAAGAGCCGTATTCGTATTTGAGAGAGGCCATGGTGTCAAAACTCATGAAAGGCATTTGCAACCCCGAGGAAATCATCGAGGAGTTCCAGGAACGCGATCTGCATGTGAACCCCGAACGCCAAGCTTTGATCAAGGAGCAGGTCGGAAGCTGGAATTTCTCTGCCCACGATTTCTCTGAAGACGAGTTGGTTTTTGGTGCCTGCCAGATGATCACGCATGCTTTCAGTCTACCCGGGCTGGAACATTGGCGGCTGACTCCCGGGGAATTGCAAACCTTCCTTCTCGCCTGCCGGGCGGCTTACAACTCTTTCGTCCTCTATCATAACTTCCGCCATGCCATCGACGTCTTGCAATCTGTGTTTTGTTTCTTGCTTCATATCGGTGCTCTCCCACCATACGAACCGATTGGCCAGAAGCCCGTTACGAAATCTCCCGTCGCCTCTCTTATTACTCCCTTTGACGCACTCACTCTTCTGATCTCGGCGATTGGTCATGACGTCGGCCATCCTGGAGTCAACAACTTTTTCCTGGTGAAGCTGAACGCTCCTTTGGCACAGCTGTACAATGATAACTCCGTTCTCGAAGCCTTCCACTGTGCAGCTTTCTCCCAAATCCTTCGCCGCCACTGGCCCGCTGCGTTCAAGGACAAGCAACTCCGGAAGCTACTCATCAGCTCTATTCTGGCAACCGACATGGGTGTGCATCAGAAGTTTATGGAACGGATGGGGACACTGCAAGAGAAGTTCTACGCGAACAACAAGTCGGTCGATGGCTGGAAACCCCAGGATATCGAGATGTACAAAACCCTTGTGTGCGGTCTTTTGATCAAGGGCGCCGATATCAGTAACGTGGCGCGACCGTGGACGGTTGCAGAGAAATGGACACAGATCCTGCAAGAGGAATTCGCCAACCAAGGTGAGATGGAGAAAGAAGTCGGTATGGAGACTGCGCTCTTCGGCGGACCACCGGAGCTGGGCAATATCTATAAGCTGGCTACGAGTCAGATCGGGTTCATGTCCATCTTCGCCCTTCCCCTCTTTGAAGGTATATCCGACCTCTTGCCACAGTTGCAATTCATGGGCGACCATATCCGTCGCAATCAGGCTCAGTGGCAGCAACATGCCAACCACGAACTGTACAAACAAGGCCTACACGTTCAAGAACGGGCGGAGATTGCGGTCTCGCCTCGCTCTCATAGCCCCGCCGTTCCGGCTGTCGAGTCCAGCGAGAGTACACCCAGGGCTGCTCCTGCCGATCAAGAGTTTGCTCCAGATGATCCCGATTCACCTGTATCATCAGATCGCACGGAATCACAGCCTCGCGGCTACAACGAGAACAACATCGAGCCCGTGGTGTCCCCAGACACTGCAGGTCCGCAAATTGAGATCACTGGAACTCCCATCGCGCCGGATGTGACATCCTCTCGAAAATCGTCCAGCGCTGTGCCCGATCTCTCATATTTCTCCATCCCGGCGGCGCCACAATCAGCACGGGGATCGAGTGCAACCCAATATCAAAATCCCATTACTGATAACACTACACGCCCTTCTGGAGACCCGGCCGTCTTGGCTGCTGCCTTATATGCGAACTCGACTACAAACAGCAACAACGCATCGGCAAACACCGAAAAACGCGATTATACAAACGATCTAGCAGCCAACGAACGACCGAGTAGCTCTCGTCAAGGCCAGCAACCCGGATCGACACGTCACCATGCGCACCACAGCTCATCCGTCCGAACCTCGGGCCCGTCAAGTTCCAACCGCAACAGCTGCACTCGTACCCAGAGTGTTAGCACCTACAGCAACAACATGACCCCGATCTCGCCTGCAACCAACGCTACCAGTTTTCTGCAGGTGGACAGCGGGGATGAGAAACGTGTCTCGGATGAAAGCGCTCCCCAGAGCGATCTTGGGGCTCCTGATGACAGCAGTACGCGACCTAGCACATCATATGCTTCCCATCTCGGAGATCAGGAGAGCAACTACAGCCGAAGTCTCAGCTTCACCAAAGACGTTGGTCATGAGGATGGACATCACCATGACTTCTCTCATGCCGCCCTGAACGGTACACGCAGCCCGACCCAGCAGTCCACCACGACTGGTGAAAGTATCAAGAATGAAAGTCCACAGGGATCTCCCGAGGACTCTCACAACAGTGTCTTCCAGCGTCTCCCTAAGCGACGTAGTCGGCTGCGGCTTGCATTTTGGAAACGGCGTAACCACCACCAGCAGGAAGTTCATGGTGAATCTTGATTGACGTGTCTCTCCTCTGTTGGTGTGTTTTTCGCCGGTTAGGTGGCTGTATTATGCGATCATGGTGTCACGAACGGTGCATTCTCTTTTTGTCATTGTTGTGATGAACGTCGAAGGGTCGACGCTGCTGCATGATTTTTCACGATCTAATCTTCTTGCCTTCTTCCTTGCCAATACTTTATCTGCCTTTGGGTTTGGATTTTGTTGATCCGGTGATTTCGAGAATATCCCATTGGAGCGATATAATTGAGGCCCCTTGCAAAAGCTATAACAACGATTTGGTCGTGCTTTACAAGAACCAGAGACCGTCTTCTGCGCTCATCCTGGTTCCACTTCAACCCTCTTGAAGAGGCTCAGACTGAGCTAGGTTATGCTTCAGATGACTAGGTGTAGTACGTATGTGCGAACCAAGCTCTGGCACTGGTGACTTTTGGTTCCTATTCTTCTTCAAGAGCCTGATTTTATCCGCCTCGTATTGCATCGAGTTTTGCACCCGCTTCTGCATCTCTTATGACGATCATGGATATATGTTGGACGTTTCTCCACTTGTCTTTTCTGTGTGTTTATCTTTTCTAGTTCCACATGCGTTGTGCTCTTGGATGCTGCATTTGATATGGATTTTGGGCCGGCCATCTTAGAACTTGGATCAGGGGGCTGGTGGCGTTGATTCCATCCCTCTTTTTACTCTTTCTTTATTTGTTATGGTTTTTTTTTTTCATTTTGGACTCATTTGGGTCGGACTTTGTGCCTTTTCCATCTTCGTGGACGGGAGGCTTGCAAGCCTCGTTTACGAATTATATTCTTCAAGATATATATTGAATTTTTGATGTCAAACTTTCATGTACTACTTTGTGTAAAACCAGTCTAGCAATCACCTGGGACGACTCGAGAGACGTTAATCTTCACTGCGAATATTGATTAAAGCCCAGATTACCCAGATGGATGACACCCTAGAGTTTAGGAAGGGTGAAGTATGTACAAGAAATAGGGAATCATATACACATGGATGATACCACCGATTCACACACTCGCATTTAAAAGTTCCACATCCTCATCCAAACTCCTCGTCAGCATCTCCAACAGCCCAAACACCCGCCCCGCCTCATCCAAGATATCCTGCTGTTCCTGAGCACTCAATACCCGCTCCACATCAGCCAGTCGAGCACGCAACCTAGCCTTAACCTCTCCACCACCATCATCAACATGCCAAAAAGACAGCCCAGGACAAGATGCCCTCCGACAAGAACTAATCTCCGCATCTGATAACCCCCAAAATTCAGGACCCGCTTTGAGAAGAAGAGCGCGGATATCCCGGCCCCCGTATAGCAGAGCTGAATACAGGATCCACACGTATGCGACTAGAATATGCGGTTTATCCTGGATGCGTTGGCGAATTTCTTGCCCGATTCGTTGTCCGGTATCCCGGTCTTTGAGTGATTGGAGTAGGACGTTGGTTTCAGGAGTATCAGGTGGACATAGCGCGGACAAGAAACGCAGATCATCTTCCAGTGCCTTTGTGCGTGGTAGCTCGGGCGTGTAGAGCATTCGCAGCATGTTCTGGATGCGAGTCGCGTTTAGCGGTGCAGAGGGGTTATTTTCTTTAGTAGTGGTAGTGGTGTCTTGGGAGATCCAGTCCACCGGGTCACCGATTATTGAGAGCCATGATGCTTCGATGCTGTAGAAGATCTCTGCATATCGTGATAGGCCTAGTAGGTAGAGAGATGGACTCTCTGTTTTTGGTGGTAGACAGAGTGGGATGCGGGAGAGATTTAGTTTGTGGATTAATGTATGTGGGTCCCTGTTTTTCTGTGGTTAGAAAGGTTTCTTCTTTTTTTTGAGCGAGAGAAGTAAAGGGGATGTGGTTGTTCATGTTGATATAAAATAGGTTGCTGGGTTGCTTGGAAAAGGTGATATGATGAAGTGATTGGAATACGGGGCTCTGGACGTACTTGATGGTTGCGCGTAACTTTGCGAGTAGATCACCAGTTGTCATGGCGGGATGTGGCGCCGCGTTGGAAGGAACTGTCGGGGGAACTATAGCCCTGCATGTGTGAATGTACTCCCTGTCCTCGGTTTAGGATGATATCTGATATCTCGGCGTGAGTGTACGGTAGGATGAAGAAGAAGAAAAGAAGTTGATGCACCATGATATTAAAATTCCTGGTTAACGGTTGAAGCGATGCGCCACTTTGTTCAGCGGAGATTTTTTTGGGGAGAGTCTTGGCTCTCGGAGGTTAGCGGGTGCGCCACACTTGTGGAGATGAGGAAGTAAAAGGGCTTGTGGTCTTTGTTCTTTGTAGAAGGAATCCTATGGTGGATTTGATGTTATTCACGAAGTAAAGTTTGTAGTTTAATTTTAAACTTAGTATACACAGGTAGTTTCCATTATTCTAATCCGATCTCTTGTCGCATGAACGGTCGGGGGGAACTCGGTTGAAACGAGGAGAGCGCAAGAGACGGAACGGGCCAGGCGGACGAAAAACTGGTTTTTGAGCCTGTTCTTTGATTAATGACATCCAATGATTTCTTATTACTTCTCTCACTAAGCGCTAGTGCACTCTAACTAGTTTTCCACAGTGCAGTAACTACGAACTAGCTATGCCCTTCCCCTTGCGGCATCACATTCTCGAAGCGTCAGAAAATCAATTCCAAGTTCCCCAAATTCATCACAAAGGAGCTGCTATACCAGCACAGAAGCAAGAAGCAACAATCTAGACCCTGCTTGATTCAAACTTGCTATCCAAGGAGCTGGAGGCTCTTTTGTCGTCAGTGTCACGTAACCAGGGGGTGGATACATAGAGCAATGACGAACAATGAGACACGACTCTTCCGATCTTAATGGACCCCGGCTAGATCGAAGATCAACCCCTTTTCTCGATAAGGTTTGCAAGCTAGATCGGATTTTGTGAATCTGAGGAACTTGTTTCTTGTCGATCGTGTTTGTCTGGGTAGATGATGGGATGAATTGGTATGGCGTTTAAGGATGGAGGAGTTGATGGGGATTGAGGTATAAGTAGGAGCATCTTTCTGGAGGAATCTGTACATATTCATCAAGCATCATTGCGAAGACAATAACTACTACACTTTGCTGAATTTCCATTCTCCAATATCTCTAAGGAACTACTATTCTATCACCATGGCCGACGACTACGTTACGAAGGACCAGGGCATCCCCGTCCAGGACGACATCCAAGACGTCGAGGATCCCGTTGATGAGGGCATGGCTGACTCTGATCAGCAGCTTGGTTCGTCACGAGTTCCAAATCTCCCTTCCCTGTAATATGTGAATATCCGCTAATTGATCAACCTGGTATAGCCAACGATGAAAAGGAGGCTATCGACCGCTCCAACATCATCAATGAGCGCACTCGTCACGCAAAGCCCCAGACAGACAATGGATACAACGAGGGTTCGGAGGATAATCTTCCTTAAATAGTCCTTCTAAATCAGGGCTTGTCAACCGGGAGAACCGGGTGAGAATAAATATAATTGTATGAATATCGTGTACAATATTAGAGCCAGATAAATGAAGGTGCTCAATATCTTTACACTTTCTCGTGTCTTTCAATTTCATTAAACAGTAGTCATCTCAGAGTGCTATTCTGGCCCAAGATCCTAAGAACAATCCTCGCACTCTTTCTTTTGCTCCCCTTGAGCCTTCTCTTCCTTCCTCTTCTCCTCTTCTTTCTTCAGAGCCCGATCCGTATGGCCCAAGTCCCGATTGGGAGCAATGATGTTTCGCACAAGAGACTTGAGAGCTTTGACCTCTGCATGTGTATCTCGATCAGCTACCAAATTAATCAAGGAAAGCAGAAAGAAATTGGAAAGAGATGGAAGAAAGAAAGTAATGGAAGGGAGAATTTTCGTCTCTCGTGTGCATACCGGGAAACCCGCCGTCTCGCTTCCGATCCCAAAGAAGAGTCTCTTGCGTCGTGACTTTTCCCTCCGAGGTAGTCGATCCTGTCGCATGCCAGATTGTCACTGTGAAGATACCACCGGTCACAGGGACGAGGGCAACTTCGCCCAAGTCTGTGCTAAATGTGGAGAGGAGTTCTTGGGCGAACTGAATAGGATTGCGTTAGCATTTAGTCGAGTTATATGTACGACTGCAACGATGGGATAAACGGAGTCTCATAAATGTCCATGCAGAAAGGGAATGAAGCTTTGGGAAACAGGGATTGGAAAGAGGGAGATGATATAAGAGACGCAAGAAAAACAGACAAGAAAAAGATACATACATACGCAGCGCGCAGCATCCATCGGCATTGAGTACAGAATTTGATCGCGATGCGGGGTAGATGGACACGCTCGAGGGCGCTAGTCTCAACATTCGAGGGCAGAGGAGCTGTAGAAGAAGAAGACGCTGCCACTGCTGATGCGAGACTGTCCTCGATCGGGGCCATTGGCTCAGTCATGGTGAGTCTAGATCCAGGAGACGGGAGAAAGTCCCAAGATCGATAACTCCAAAACGTTATGATATCCTGGTGGTGGAATTACGTTATATGCCGAAGAGGATTAAGTTGGATCGAGAGTTCTGCCAAGCCCGAAGGATTTCGAGTTCGAATTGGCTCTGATGCTGTTGTTGATAGCCAAGGACGTCGGTTCTAAAGGAAGGTTGAGTTTGGCGGCCGTTAGTGGGATGATGTCAGCGGGGGGTGTTACCTGATTCGGCAGTATTCGTCTATAATAACTAATCACCAGGAATTTCAGTACGGGGCCTACATGGTCTATCTGCATCTTCCCGGGGACGCGTAGGGGCTCTGCCAGTGGCGTGAGGCTGAAACACACTACCAGGTCAGAGGGGGTTTTGGGCCAGACAAGCGAACGACGAGACCATACAGTTGGAATTATATCGGTTATTGTATTTGGCCATTGGATGCAAATCGAATCTATGATACACGAATGGCAACCCAACTCTCGTGCGACGCAGAGAGGCTTTTGGAGGAACCCAGGAGAACAAAGGAAATTTGGCTTCAAAACACACAGGGACGACAAAGGGGGGGAATGGTGCTATAGCAGAAAGAAAGAAGAAGTAGAGGTAGAAGTAGAAGTAGACCACAAAGAAATTGAAAAAAAAAATTCAGGACGAAACAATAGAAGAGACAAGGTAGCAAGGTCGATCATATCGTCCGGTATGATCTACTGGAGCTACCATCCGGGGAGAGATGTGGATTGGGCCTAGTGACGATCAATCTACTCGCGTGATCCCGATTAAGGCGTAGGAAGTGGTTTCGTGCAGAGCCAGCAGACGATTTCTTCGGGCGCATGTCTTTTTCGCTTGTCCGCGCCCGGCAGGTGAGCGATCGGCGTGGTGGTTCGTCTCCCAAAGGGAGGGAGGTTATCGGGAGGGGGTCGAAGACGATCATCAGGGGGGTGGGTGGGAGGAGGAGTCAAAATATCCGGAAGAATTAGATGTGAGGGAAATAAAAGAAATCGTGTCGTGGCGATCGAGAGAAATGGTTCGTCATGAGGGCCATTACATGACGGTGCAGCAGCCACCCTGCTGCTGGGGAGCATAGGGGTCCTCCCGCTTATCGACCTGGGACGAATTGAGTTAGCGGGATTTGCGTGCATACGCTTATTCGGGAACGGTCGCATACTTGTCCCCATACGGAGGGCACCATGAAATCGCGAGTGTTGTTGCAATAGTTGATGAGCCTGTCGGGAAGAAATTCCGGGTCAGCTTGGGTCCCATTTTGGGTGGTGGTGGCAGTTGTAGTGATGGATAGAGTCACCACTTCGAGAGGGGGCCAAACTCACGAGAGAGCCGCTTCGGACACCTTGACCCGTGGACGGTCGAGATCCTCCTTCAGACGGGCATTGAGCTCAGTCAATCGGCGATACTTGAGGTCGGCAACACTCTGCTTCTTGTTCTTAACATCACCCCCGGAGCGAAGTTCGTAGGAGGGCATGGTGACGGTTGGCGAGTCGAGGTATGTGTGAATCTGTGTGTGTGGATAGAGGCGCGCGACCAGGAAAGGGGGGTGGCCGGGGAGGTGGCTGTTGTGTGGACAACAGGGGGGATCGGCCGGATTGCGGTTTCCAAGAAGGGGTTGAGGACTTGGAGCTTCGCGCGCACTTCGTTGAAGTGAGTCGACTCGACAAACACAGAACCAAAAAACGAGAGAAAGAGAGCGGCAGGTTCAAAGGAAGGGACGTTGATGATGGGTTTGGGTTGGGGGGGGGGGTGGAAGGGATTATTGGAGAGGGATTTTCCCCGTTGGCTGTTTGGCCCGTTTGGCTGGTTTGTTACTTGGTTTTGGGGGGGTATGGTACGGGGACACAATACAGGGGGATGACAGAGATTACGGGGTGGTCCGTGGGTCTTTCGCTATGGGGCGGTACGTAATCTGGTACGCTGCAGGTAATAGACGTATATCCATACAAGTCTCTCCCGCCAGCATTACATCTCTCATACACGCAACTCGTCAATAGTGACACTAGGTTCCGCCCGCCGAGGCACCCGAGTCGAGGTGCAAATCTGACCCATCTGAAAGGATGATCGCCCAGATGTGAATCGGACGTACTCAGCTGAACCGTCATATTATTCTTCCTACAGGTAACTTGCAATATCGACTAGCTGACATCAGGCCTGATAGTAAAAAGTACTACTTACCAGAATCATGGGTCCCGAGATCCTGGCTCTGTAAGCACTATGGTATGATCGTAATCTGGATACATCATTACAATGATTACATACAGTACGCTCTTCCTCGACCAACTCGCCAGCTTTGTCTCGTCTGCCAGCCTCAGGCAGAAAACTCACACGTGACTGCCCCATCGCTTAGCCCGAAGTGGGAACGCCGGGCAAATTTCGCTGGCTCGCGCACAACAGGCACTTCTCCCCCTCCAGGCCAAGGGACTTCGCGTGGCAGCATTTTCAACGTCGGTCTTGGACCACTGCCTGTGTGTGTTACGCCTGCACTTGTTGCTCCCCCTTTTCGACTTTTTTTGAATCCTCCAATATCCATCGCCCCGAAGGGCTACGTCGCCCAACATGCCACCACCACCTCACATCAAGCCTGAGAATGTCCTCAAGGTACGTTCAAGATCATCAACAATCATCTAAAACATCAAAGAAAAAAAGGTACTGGGAGGACTAGATTACTGACAGTTACGGTCATTTCTACAGAGGGCCCAGGAACTTATCGCCGTCGGTCAGGCGCCCGCTGCCCTGACCGTCCTCCACGAACATGTCACCTCCAAGCGGACCCGCAGCAGCCCGATCGCTTCGCTCGAGCCGGTGATGCTTCTCTTCGTTGAACTGTGTGTCGACCTGCGTAAGGGAAAGTCGGCCAAGGATGGTCTGTACCAGTACAAGAACATCGCTCAGAACACCAACGTCGGCACCATCGAAGTCGTCCTCAAGAAATTCATCGAGCTCGCCGAGCAGAAGGTCACCGAGGCCCAGGCCAAGGCCGACGAGATCCAGTCCTCCCTTGAGTCCGCCCCCCTCTTCCACCAACGTCGAGGACCTGGAGGCTATCGAGACTCCCGAGACCATCCTGCTGGCCACCGTCTCCGGTGAGCAGTCCCGGGACCGCACCGATCGCGCCGTTGTCACTCCCTGGCTCAAGTTCCTGTGGGAGACTTACCGTACCGTCCTCGAGATCCTGAAGAACAATGCCCGTCTTGAGATTATGTACCAGGCCACCGCTCTGCAGGCCTTCCAGTTCTGTCTCAAGTACACTCGCAAGACCGAGTTCCGCCGTCTCTGCGAGCTGCTCCGTAACCACGTCCAGAATGCCGCCAAGTACTCGACCCAGATGCACGCCATCAACCTGAGCGACCCTGATACCCTGCAGCGCCACCTGGACACCCGCTTCCAGCAGCTGAACGTTGCCGTGGAGCTGGAGCTGTGGCAGGAGGCTTTCCGCAGCATCGAGGACATCCACACCCTGTTGAACCTGAGCAAGCGCCCGGCCAAGAACGTTATGATGGCCAACTACTACGAGAAGCTGGCTCGCATCTTCCTCGTCAGTGAGAACTACCTCTTCCACGCTGCGGCCTGGAACCGGTACTACAACCTCCTGCGTCTCTCCACCATCGCCCTGGCTACCGGCCAGAGCACCAAGAAGGAGAACCCCTCCGTCACCGAGGCCGACATGACCAAGGCCGCTTCCTTTGTCCTTCTTTCCGCTCTGTCTATTCCCGTGATCAGCACCACTCGCTCCCGCGGTGCTCTGGTCGACGTTGATGAGGCCCGCAAGAACAAGAACACCCGCCTGACTAACTTGTTGGGTATGGCCCAGCCTCCTTCCCGCCAGGTCCTGTTCCGTGATGCTCTCAACAAGGGCCTGCTCAAGCGTGTTCGCCCCGAGATCCGTGATCTGTACAACATTCTCGAGGTCGACTTCCACCCGCTCTCCATCTGCAAGAAGATCACTCCTATCCTGAAGAAGATCGGTGCCGACCCCGAGATGGAGAAGTACGTTGTGCCTCTGCAGCAGGTCATCCTGACCCGCCTGTTCCAGCAGCTGTCCCAGGTCTACGAGTCCGTCGAGCTCAAGTTCGTCTACGAGCTTGCCCAGTTCCCCGACCCCTTCCAGATCACCCCCGCCATGATTGAGAAGTTCATTATGAACGGCTGCAAGAAGGGTGACCTTGCCATCCGTGTGGATCACATCTCCGGTGTTCTGACCTTCGACTCGGATGTCTTCTCTTCGTCCAAGGCCATGCACGCTGGTAGCGCTGCTGGCTCTGCCGAGAGCGAGTTTGGCTCTGTCCAGCGTCTCCAGCACACTCCCGCCGAGATTGCTCGCTTCCAGCTCGCCCGCCTGGCCAAGACTCTCCACGTTACTTGCATGTACGTGGACCCCTCCTACAATGAGGCTCGCCTGCAGGCCAAGCAGACCGCTCAGGCCCGTGCTTTGGCTGGTGCCGCTCAGGAGCACGAGGAGACTCTGGCTCGTCGCGTCGTCATCGACAAGAAGAAGGAGGCTGCTACCGATGCCCTCAACCGCAAGCAGCGGGAGGAGGAGACTCGCAAGCGTATCCGCACTCAGCAGCTCCAGGAGGCTGAGAAGCAGCGTCTTGCCGACGAGCAACGCGAGCGTGAGCTTAAGCGTGTCAAGGACGAGCAGGACCGCATTCGTGCTGAGGAGCTCAAGAAGCAACTTGAGGAGCTCAAGACCGGTGTCAAGGGTCTTGACATTAGCGAGTTCGATACCGAGGAGCTGGATGCCAACCGTCTCCGTGCCATCAAGCTGGCCCACCTTGAGAAGGAGAAGAACGAGCTTAACGACCGTGTGCGCACCACCGCCAAGCGTATTGACCACTTGGAGCGTGCCTTCCGTCGCGAGGAAGCTAAGCACGTCCCCGCCGATTACGAGGCCCAGAAGAAGCACGACTTGGAGCTCTACGAGGCCCAGAAGGCCGAGACTCTCACGGAGGCCAAGCAGAAGCACGCCGAGGCCGTCATCCTCAAGCACCGTCTGGGTCGTCTCGTGCCCCAGTTCTCCAGCTTCCGCAAGGAGCTGTCCGAGAAGCGCCACGAGGAGTTCGAGAAGCGGCGCAAGGCTGCCGAGCGGGAGTTCGAGGCCAAGAAGAAGCAGCGTGTCAAGGAGGTGCAGGAGCGCCGTCGCCGCGAGAAGCAGGAGCGCGAGGAGGAGGAGCGCCTTCGCAAGGAGGAGGAAGAGCGTGCCGCTCGCGAGGAAGAGGAGCGTGTGGCCCGCGAGGAGGAGCGCCGTCGTGCTTTGGCCGAGGAGAAGGCCAAGCGCGAGGAAGAGCGAGCGTTAGTTCATCACCACCCCCGTTTCGTCTTATGTTCAAAGCAGACTAACATTGACCTATAGCAAACTCGACGAAATTGCTCAAAAGCAGAAGCAGCGCGAGGAAGAGGCCGAGGCCCGACGCAATGCCCGCAAGACAGGTGGTGCCTACGTCCCCGAGCCCTCTACCGAACGTACTGCACCCCGTCTCAGTCTCGCTTCTCGTCCTGCTGCTGCTGCTGGTGGTGGTGGTGGTGGCTGGAGAGACCGGTTGGCTGCCAAGGAGGCCAGCGGTGATGCCGCCGAGTCTGTGCCCGCCCCTGCCCCTGCCCCTGCTCGGGAGGAGTCCGCGCCTCTCCGCAAGGGCGGCTATGTGCCCCCTCACCTGCGTGGCGCTGCCTCCTCTGGCTCCGCCCCGCCAGCTCGTGAGAACGGCCCCAGCGAGCGCTCTGACCGTTTCGAGCGTCCCGAACGTAATGACCGCTTTGAGCGCCCCGAGCGTACTGAGCGTACCGACCGTTTCGTCCCCCGTCACCTGCGTGATCCCTCAGCTGCCACCCCCGAGGCTCCCCCTGCTGCAAAGCCCGAGGAGTCCAAGCCCAGCGGTGGCAAGTGGGTGCCCCGCTGGAAGCAGCAGCAGTCTTAAGCTGATGCACGGGTGGATCTCTATGATTTCTTCTTTTCACCTAAACCTATAGGGAGCGAACCAAAAAAGTGACTCGGAAAGCTTTCTTTTTTCTATCCGGCGCATGTTTCTTTTTTCATGACCCATCTTGCAATGACCCTGTATCATCGGCCAGGACTCCTTGCCGCTCTCTCTACGGTGGCCCATTACGGTCCGCCGTCCCTCCTTTGATGTGTGTGTGTGGCTTTCTTGCGTGTTTCATGTTTCTAATTTCCCCACCTTCTTGTGTTTCTCTGGATGGGTTGATATTGGTCATCCGTGATGCCAAATATTATGCCCTGTTCCGGAGCCTTTTTTGTCCCGAATTGGACTTGGGATTTCAGTGAATGAGATCAGCTTTAGATGAGTCAAGACCTGGTTTAGGACAATTCTTTCCCCCTCGTAGTTCAGTATTGTCCCATCGACGGAGTTTAGCGGTCCAACGTTGCCAGGCGGGTTTAACGGACTTAGCCTCCAGCCCTAATGTATCTTGACCTCCTTCACAAGACCCAATACGTTCAAAGCATCGAATGAGATGAATGTCTGATGATTGTGCGTTTCGGTAATACACGCCCCTTGGATGCATAGTTCTCTTGTATAGTTTATACTCGTTAATACCCGGAGAGAACGCAATCCGAGTTACCAGCACAACAAAGTCATCTTGTACACCAGATAGAAGGCTATATAAAAGTCTCCATTCCTGAATCCCACTTCCTCAAACCAGCACAAAACACATCCTTCGTTCAAAAACCACCAGCAAATCTATCCACTCTCCCTTCCAACCGCCCAACATGCCCAAAAACCACGCAGCATGGCAAGACCAAGTCGGCGTCCCCCTCTCCATCCGACCAACTCCCTATCAAACCGACTTAACCCCAACCCAAATCCTCGTCAAACCACACGCCTGGGCTATAAACCCAGCCGACCATATCTTACAAGACAATTCCCTCCCCTTTGTCAAGTACCCCGTAATCCTGGGCGAAGATATCGCCGGCACGATCGAAGCCATTGGCAGCGAAGTCAGCACCCGCTTCCAGATTCACGATCGTGTGCTGGCCTTTGCACAGGGCGCAACGAGGGGGGTAGCTATGGGCGGGTTCCAGGAGTACGTCATCGTGGATGTGGCTATGACCTGTGCTATACCGGAGGGAATGAGTTTCGCCGAGGCGAGCGTTTTCCCGCTGGGCTTTACTACAGCGGCTCATGCGCTGTTCAACAGCAAGACTTTGGCGCTGCCGGGGCCGAGGGTTGATTTTATTCGTGGAAGTGCAGGTAAAAGTGTGGTTATTTGGGGCGGTGCGTCTTCTGTTGGTGGGAATGCGATTCAATTAGCTCGTGCGGCCGGGTTGGAGGTTCTTACGACGGTGTCGAAGACGAATTTTGAGTATGTGAAGAAGGTTGGTGCGAGTATGGTCTTTGATTATACTAGTGAGTCTGTGGTGGAAGATGTTATCTCCGCGTTGGACAATGGCGACGCTCCTTGTGTGGGTATCTTTCAGGCTGCTGGGTCGAACGACTCTGTCGGGCCTGTTTTGGAGATAGCTCGGCGTGCGAAGGGGGACATCTTTGTTATCACGACGACTCCGTTGCAGGGGGTTGTTGTGCCTGAGGGAGTGAGGGCGAAGATGTTGTTTGGAGCTAGCCATGATGATATTCTGCATATATGGCAGCAGTTCTTGCCACAGGCGTTGGAGGAGGGTATGTATATTGTGGCTCCTGAGCCGCTTGTTGTCGAGACCAGAGGGTTGGAGGGATTCAATTTGGATATGATATTCTGAAGAAGGGTGTTTCGGCAAAGAAGGTCGTTGTTCTAGCGAACTAGGATGGTTTGTTCACTAAAGCTGTTAGACATTTGCTTGTTGGTTGACCAAGATCTAGTAGTGCCAGTACATTTGGGAGCGAAACGAAGAAATCAGGGATTTTTAAAAGAAGAGTATATGATATTTCATAAGCTTTAGGCTTTAGAGCTATCTCTAAAAGTGTATATGGTAGGGATATAGCAATCTAAGCTTCACTGTAGGGGGAATGTGATATGAACAAAAAACACCACCTGGGTGACATGGGAATATATCACAGGACCAGTGTAAACACAAAGAAGAGAGTCATGGAATCAAGGGATATCTGACAAGAAAAGAGACCCAAGCAAAGCACAAGGGAGCCAAGGTGCATATCGGAAGGTGATGATAACCTTCCAAGAGGGAACCTTGGAAAGAATTGGAATAAATGTCATGGTAAGGGCTACGCAGCGGCCACTTCGGCGCCAGCCCCGAATAATTTCTCGCGCCACTCGCCGCAGACAGTTTCAAAACCGCTGACGACGTCTCTGCACTCCTGACCTGCCTCGCGAGCTTTAAGCCGACGGTCCCACTCGCCGCGCTCAATCCATCGCGAACCTTCCTCGAGGCTTTCTTCCTCGCGCCGGAGGTCCGCAACAAGTTCACGCGCAGATCGGAGGCGTCGAGATGCCGTGGATGTTAATTGGCGAGACTCATAGAGGGTGTCGCCGAGGCTGCGGAGGGAGGCGGTAATGTCGGCAGTCTGTGTGACAAGAGCTTGCAGAGAGACAAGGGGGTTGTGGATGTTTTGCAGCGAGGGAGTTGAGGGTCGAGAGCCTCTGCGGGGCGCCTCGGGGAATGGATATGGGAGGTTTGGCAGGAGGCCTTCATCGATGAGGGGCATGAGGGAGTCGATGGCGTCTTCGGAAAGGAGGGGGAATGGCGAGAAGAGTAGTGGGTGAATTAAAGATTGAAGAGTGCGTGTTTGGTGAGTGAGGTGGGATGTGATGGAGGAATGGGCGGTGATCAGTCTATCAATGAATGGTTAGATCTTTACTGAGCACGAAGCATCCTGCTAGAGGCACTTACCGCATGGCGCTATTTTCAATGCCACTCTGTCCACCAAGATCTCGGAGTGCCTCCACCGTTCGTTGAATGACATTATCGCTCTCGCTTCCATTGTTCTCAATGCCTCGGCGCGCCAGGCTCTCAATGTCGGCCAATTGCATCTCTAGGGCGGGGGGGATATCCGCGGCCTCATCGAGATCCGAGTCATTCCCATAATCCGATCCATCATAGTGGGATTCTTGTCGCCGGTGCTGCCGAAGCTGAGTGGCATGGAGTCGATTCCTGCGATCTGGTGAGTCCACCGTTGAAGACAGGGCGCGCATATCGTGAGCGGATTCTATGTACCCATCCTCTTCATCACTATGGTCCAGCTGCTGAGACCCTGCGGCCCCCATTTCTTGCCCAGATGCATAGTCGTAACCTTCTTCCTCCTGCTCCCACGCGTCGGCCAGTTCATCGGCAAGGTTCCCTAAACCAGCGCCGTTGGCTTCGGCGGAGAAATCGACGGACTCTCGGTGAGTCCCGTTCATGACGGTTGTGCCCCGACGGGAGGTGATGGGAGATGGCGGGGCAGACAAGCGAGGTGTAAGAGGTGTAAGAGGGCTATGAAGAGCAAAGCCATTGACTCCTCTTGTCCCGGGAGAGATTGGTGAGTCGTCCGTGTCCGAGGGGCGGCGGTGAGAGAGGTTCAGGGGAGATGGTGGGAGGGGCGGCATTGTGGCGGGCAGGGACAGTGTGGTCAGTTTCTTGCTGGAGTAGAGAGTGTATACGGATCAAGGTGTTCGAGGAAAGATATTCCAAGCCAAGGGAGCGCGAAACGAAAGAAAGAGACCATGAACACGCAGTGTTGATGGTCTTCCGCAACGACTAAGTGTGGGACGCAGTGGTATCTTCAAGCCGTCTATCGCGGCATAACTCATGTAAGGAGGGAATATGAGAGAGAATGAATATACCCCGTTGAACGGAAAGTCAATAATCCAGGAAGCGAACTCAAAGGGACCGACACAAGCTTGTTGTGCATCGTTCGTGAGTGTGCTGAAAGATAATCGTACGCCCGTAGACCAAGACGAGAGCAGAGCCGCGGACAGTGGTACCAACACGAAACATCGTATACCTAATTACAGTCAGGTTCCATTAATATTTAACCCCCGGGCCCCACTTCATTATTATATAATATTCTGCCTTACAAAAAGCTTCCACTAAGAGTCCAAGAAATTGATTTCCGTAGAGATGGATAGAAAGCTAAATAATATGAGGGAGTTATGTGTCTATAGGACTATCTGTACGCAAATTATTTGCGGAAAGTTGCGGCCTCATAGCGGTATGCTCAATCCGGGCTGTTTTCTAGCTAAGCGGATACAGTAGGCGGTAGGGAGTGTACTAGGCGGTGTGGACTGGGGGTTAAAAATTAATGGAACGTCACTGTAATAAGCACAATTATTGTAATTAACCTTGTTACCGCGTTTATGACCGCGCGCAGTCCCGTAGCGTTGCTAACCCTGGACCTCTACGGATAGCCTCGTATATTATTTCGTATGTAACTGCTGTGTCGGCGGTACCTTGGACTCTTGGAGCCAGAGAGAAAACATGAGTTTAAATACAATTGGTTCTGGGAAATATAGCCCAATACCTACAGTAGTGGTGAGTAGATCAACCCAATCATCTATTGGTCCCTGAACAGGGTTTAAGGTATCGTATTCGGGCATTTACAACGGAGGATGTATATCCAAAGATTCGGCAAAGCGCTTAATAAGGCAAGGTGCCCGAGTGGTGAAGGGGTTCGCCTGCTAAGCGGATGGCTTCGGCCGCGCGTGTTCGAATCACGTCCTTGTCGAATTCTTTTTTGAAGATATATTTTCGTTTTTGGCCCTTCTCATATACAGTACAATCAGGCAGCGGGTCACTGGGGCCCTACTGTTATTGAGCGCTCGGGTATGGAGTAGGGTGTGCTGGTATGACAAACTTTATGACAAGAATCTGAAGATTAAGCGCTGCTCGAGGGTGGTCATCGCCGAGGGCACTAGAAGTGCGACGTAGCTACCGTTAGGATTGAGAGAGTACTCCAAGAGATAATAAGGACAACATGTTCAACATAATGACAGGGTACATAATAATATCATGCTTTTGGTACGTAAACAATGGACTGCCAGAATGGCCGGTTCGTCACTATCGGCCTCAGATGGACTTAGTATGATTCACCTTGCGGGTGTATTATGTCACGAAGAGGCAAGGTGCCCGAGTGGTGAAGGGGTTCGCCTGCTAAGCGAATGGCTTCGGCCGCGCGTGTTCGAATCACGTCCTTGTCGTTTTCTTTTTCTACGGAGAGAAAAGTAACATTTTTTTGCCCTCCAGATAACCCAACCCATCTCGCATTCGGGTATTGTTTTGTCAATTATAACAACAACGTGATTTCAATTTCATCTAGAAAAATACCCGGCTCGTGATCTCGCTTTTCGAATAATAACCTTCAGCGGAGCGCCCAATACATCCAGCCAAGCCGCCCCTCCTCCCCGCCTCAGCAGCGAAATCCTATCCTCGGCTGCCCGGCATTCCGATTCTACCACCTCCCCTCCTCTCCCACAATCATAACCGCCCATCATGCAGGAACAATTTGAGCCACTGAAGAACGACTTGCTGCTAAGGGCTGCCCGGAGTATATTCCCTATCAATTGCAAGTCCCTACATGACCGCTGACAATCGTAGGTGAGAAGGTGGAGCGTCCGCCGATCTGGGTTATGCGACAGGGTGAGCTCATCCCCGCGTTCTATGTCTTTTAGCTCCCATCCCCGTGCAATTGGACCAGACAATCTAATTACCCTGCGCTTCTCTCATTATATCCAGCCGGTCGCTACCTTCCCGAGTACCATGAAGCAAAAGGTGGCCGAGACTTCTTCGAATGCTGCCGCTCGCCAGAAATCGCCTCGACCTTGACTATCCAGCCGATTGACCGCTATGAGGGCCTGATCGATGCTGCCATTATCTTCTCTGATATCCTGGTCATCCCCCAGGCCATGGGCATGGTGGTGGAAATGCTGGATAAGAAGGGCCCGCACTTCCCCGAGCCTCTACAGTCCCCGACGGACGGACAGTACGAGAAGGTGATGGCCAAGAAGGTGGACGTAAAGTCGGAGCTTGACTACGTCTATAAGGCGATTTCGCTCACCCGCTTCAAGTTGAAGGGCCGCGTGCCGCTTATCGGATTCTGCGGTGCGCCTTGGACATTGCTGTGCTACATGGTTGAGGGTGGAGGTAGCAAGATGTTCGTTCAGTCAAAGACTTGGGTCTACAAGTACCCGGCCGAGTCACAAGCACTACTGCAGAAGATTGCTGAGATCTGTGTGGAGTACCTGGCACTCCAGGTTGCGGCCGGCGCACAGCTTGTGCAAGTGTTTGACTCTTGGGCCGGTGAGCTGTCGCCCGCTTCGTTTGCCTCATTCTCCCTGCCTTACCTGCGTCACATCTCGGCCAACCTGCCCAAGCGGCTGAAGGAGATGGGCTTGGAGCCTGTTCCGATGACCGTCTTTGCCAAGGGTGCGTGGTACGCGCTTGACGACTTGTGCGAGTCTGGGTACAATGTTGTCGGTCTGGACTGGCTGCATGACCCTGCCGAGGCCTTCCGCATTGCCAACGGCCGGGCGGTTATTCAGGGCAATGCTGATCCCGGTATGCTCTATGGTGGCCGCCCTGCCATCACTGCTACCGTGGAGAAGATGGTTGAGGGATTCCAGAAGGGCAAGCAGGGCTGGATCTGCAACCTCGGACACGGTATGTGTGGCAGGATTCTTAGAAACAGGCGCCGAGATACTAATACTTCTAATAGGGGTCACCCCCTTTGTGGACCCGGAGCACCTCAAATTTTTCTTTGAGGAAGTTCACCGTCTGACGAAATAGGATGTCTACCTTCTCGTTTAATTGAATCGGGGCTTCTCTACCCTTCCTCCTAGGCGAGAGGCCTAGAAAAGTTTCACGACACATTAAAACGGCCCTGCGCCAGGTGATGGAATATATAGATATGAATTGATGCGGCCTATATTGGAGACCTCCGGATCGCAACTGGTCCGAAATATTTAAATCAACTTATATGATCTTTAGACGGCAATATCCTCGTTCCTATGCGGCACACACTTCGATTAGCAAAGCTTCTTCCATATGATCCACATTGGGACTTTTGGCCTCTAATAAGCCAAGACAAGCTCTACGGCCCCTCGATTGAACCGAATCGTAAACAGAAATTAACATGACTTACCAAAGCTCTGGCTTCTCCTTCATAAACTTGGCCATCAAGTCCTTGCACTCTTGGTTGTCCACTACAACGACTTCCTTGCCGCGGTTGAGCAGGAGCTCCTCCCCGCCCATGAAGCTCTTGTTCTCGCCAACAACGACCCGCTTGATCTTGTATAGGATACAGGCACCGGTGCACATGTCACAAGGGGACAGGGTGGTGTACATGGTGGCACCCTCGTAAGCCGAGGCAGGCAGGCGGCCGGAGTTCTCGAGAGCGGACATCTCCGCCTAAATATGCTGTTAGCTCGTCTCCATAGTTCCTGGACAGGAAATCACTATTCGACAGGGTATACTTACATGCAGGACGGGGCTACCCTTTTGCACGCGCATGTTGTGGCCACGACCTAGAATCTTACCATCCTTCGAGACCAAGCACGCGCCAATGGGGACGCCGCCCTCAGCAGCACCCTGCTTCGCCTCCTCCACGGCCGCGATGAAACCTGGGTCCTGCTCCATGGTGATTCTATAGCAATTGGTAGCAATTGGTAGCAATTGAGGTGGGTGCGTTGGGTAGAAGAGTCGGAGGAGGAAATGCTGACACTAGGGGCGGGGAAAGGATCACTCCACGGGCTTATCTAACTACAGTTCCAGCTACCTTTCGGAGAGGACCGATGACGATTTGACGCGAGAGTCCAAAAAGTGGAGCTCGCAGAACTTTTCCCCTCGGCTTATCGATAAGCGATGTGGCTGAGGAAGGTGTGGCGGGTGTAGCCCTTCAGCCTCATCAGTGGACAGTCCAGTACTGTACTTACTGTAGTATACGAACTAGAGAGTTGGGCAGTCCATATATAGGACGATGACTGAGCACGGAGACCAAATCACGGATACATCAGGACTGGATTGTTGTTACATCTTGTCTTGTATCTGAGACATGTGAACTATCTCCTTCTCTGAGATGATGTCTTGTTTGATTGATCTTGTGTATATTGGGTTACGGTATCGCCCATACAGTGTATCCCAGAATCAACATTCGCCCCCCCCCTCCACTGAAACCTTGGGACTATATCAGATCCTGCACCAGTTGCCACAGCCCATTGGGTATGAGTAATCACCGTGAAACTTTCGGGTTTTCGCAGTCTCAGTTAGCATGAAGGACAGAGAGTACGGAGTAGTTATTGGAGGATCTGTTAATTTTTGCCTCTTCCTCGGCAGTACTTTATCCTTTGATACTGGTTACCGATTGACCATGTTACAATACGTGGCGAAATTCAATTACCAGCAGACCCTGGAAGCGCGGCGAATTCCAGCGAAAGCCATCGAAGTCCGCAGAATCCCGTCGAACCGGCGCTCGGGCCAAATCAGCTTCCACAGCACCGCGTGGAAGAAGCCGCCAGAAAGCAGGCGGACGAGGACGAGATTGTTGTCGAAAAATAGAAAAAGCCTGTATTCTCAGTCTAGAATAGAAGGGATCGAAACACAAGTGATCCCGGTTGAGGTTGGTTCATATCCTGGGTTCTACTTAGCGAACGCATCCTGTACTGCCGAGTTGGGCCCTGGTAATCTATTTTGGTCGAATTACCGGCCCCGTACAGTACCTGGAAAAAAAGTTACTCAGCCATCGGGCTCCCTATTCTTCTCCAGTCTCGATTCTCTTATCCAAAAAAGAGATTCGTCTTCCTTCTATCTCCATCCCATTCCCCCTCCCCCCTCCTTTCATTCCTGGTTTCTTTGATTCTCCGGGCGTCGCCTTCTTCTCCTGTCGCTCTGAAGTGCCAGTGATTCCTTTCCTCATCTCTTCCCCTCCTCCACATTCTTTTGTCCGACACTATGGTCAAGGACACCAAGTACTACGAGTGCCTGGGAGTATGTTTAACCCTCAGCGACCTTGCCTCCGATGCGCATAGAAACTGACCGATCGCTTCTTTTATCTCATTTTAGGTTGATCCCTCGGCTACTGAAACCCAGCTGAAGAGCGCCTACAAGAAGGGTGCCTTGAAGTTCCACCCTGGTACGTGACTGCCCTAGGACCATTAGCCCTCCCATCTACCATCTATCATGACCCGGAACCATCCTGGCTAACGCGGAACGCTTTTGCTCCCATACAGACAAGAACAAGAACAACCCCGAGGCTGCGGAGAAGTTCAAGGAGTTGTCGCACGCCTACGAGATTCTTTCCGACCCCCAGAAGCGTCAAATCTACGACCAATATGGTGAGGAGGGTCTGGAAGGTGGTGGCGGTGCTGGCGGTATGAACGCCGAGGACCTGTTCTCGCAGTTCTTTGGCGGCGGTGGTGCGTTCGGCGGCATGTTCGGCGGTGGCATGCGCGATACCGGCCCCAAGAAGGCCCGTACCATCCACCATGTGCACAAGGTCAACTTGGAGGATATCTACCGCGGTAAGGTGTCCAAGCTGGCCCTGCAGAAGTCTGTCATCTGTTCTGGCTGTGAGGGCCGTGGTGGCAAGGACGGCGCCGTCAAGGAGTGCACAGGCTGCAATGGCAGCGGTATGAAGACCATGATGCGCCAGATGGGTCCCATGATCCAGCGCTTCCAGACTGTCTGCCCCGACTGCAATGGCGAGGGTGAAATCATCCGCGAGAAGGACCGCTGCAAGAAGTGTAACGGCAAGAAGACCGTTGTGGAGCGCAAGGTGCTGCACGTCCACGTCGACAAGGGTGTGCGCGATGGCCACAAGATTGAGTTCCGTGGTGAGGGTGACCAGATGCCCGGTGTCATGCCTGGCGATGTTGTCTTTGAGATTGAGCAGAAGCCCCACGCCCGCTTCCAGCGCAAGAACGACGACCTGTTCTACCAGGCCGAGATCGACCTCTTGACCGCTCTTGCCGGCGGCACCATTCACATTGAGCACCTTGACGAGCGGTGGTTGACCGTGAACATCGCCCCTGGCGAGGTTATCGTTCCTGGTACGTTTTTCTTCTTCCCTTTCCCGCGTCTTGGATCCCGCATTTGACTCGTACTAACTGTCATCCGCTATTAGATGCTATTAAGGTCATCCCCGGCCAGGGTATGCCCTCGTTCCGTCACCACGACTTCGGCAACCTCTACATCAAGTTCGATGTCAAGTTCCCCGAGAAGGGTCAGCTGCAGAACCTCGAACTGCTCGAGCAGGTTCTGCCCCCTCGTGCGCAGCAGAACCAGCCCCCGGCTGACGCCATGGTCGAGGACTTTGAGCTCGAGGACATTGACACCAACGAGAACTCCCAGGCCCGCGCCCACGGTGCCGGTTCCGCCATGGACGAGGACGATGATGACGTTCCCCCCGGTGCTGAGCGCGTACAGTGCGCCTCGCAGTAAACGCGGGGACTACGCTACCACGCTCGTGTGAATATTCGGGGAGGCTGAAAATCAAAAGCCCAAATACTTGGGCCGACTTGACGAAACTTCGCTTATGATACCATGTGAAGGGGCACCGGCCGTCCCTCTCCGTCCTAGAACCGATGAGGTAGAGATGCGTCCGGAGCCGTGATTCTTTTCTTTTTCTTTCGTACCCCCTCATGATGTGGATGGGACATCCATCCCCCGCGCCGACTCATATTTTCTGATTTGCAACGGCGTTCGCTGTGAAGAAATTTGAAGACCAATTCCCTTTTGCTTCGCACCGTCGTGTATTTCCTACTTTCAATCTCGAAACCTCGTTATTCATCCCAGCAGGCCATGAGACGACTGCCATTTCCTGTTTCTTTTCTCTTTCCTTTGTCCAACTTCGAGTTTCTTTCGGATGTCGGCGGGGGGTGTGGAGCGGAAGACATCATGGCTTTGGTCGCGGCTCATGACGGTCCTGCCAAAACGGATTTGGATGATACCACGGTCACAGATCAGGAGATTTGCGTTGAGACATGAGGAATGAGCGGCCTTTGCTTTCGTCGGCGTCCCATGGTCGGCTCGGGGGACATTGTGGAGTGGCCATGGATGTTTTTTTTTCCCTTTGATGTGCTTTTCCTCCTTCTCTTTTCTTCCTAGCATGCACTGATGACGACTCGGAATAGACATTGCGTTATTTTTGGTTTAATGCATTATTTACAGCATAATTCGTGGTTTTGGATGAGTAAATTGGTCCTCGTAGCTGTGTTTCGTAATTTAATGTAGGTGCCCGTGATTGATCCTATATCCTCATGGGTTGCGTGTGGGTTGTCCTATATACCCTGGAGATACCACCAACGTTGTTTTCATTAGCCTGGTCTTGCTGAGATCAGTTCAAGTTGATCGTAGAAACCAGACAGGGTTCGGCCAGTGAATGGTCATAAGTGTGTTCTTTCTCGCAAGACCAAAATCTCGGCCCTGTTCTTTTAGGGTGTGATCCTATAATGAAAGTGTTTTCGAGTAGCATGGAAGGGGAGAGCAACACAGGCAGCCTAGGAGGGAGTCTTTAAAGGGGGTTTTCCACTGTTAGCTGTCCTCGAGGTCCCCGCTCTAAGTGCGATATGGATTGCGAATAGCCCCCGGGTTCCTCAGAAATGGTAAGTAAGAACTAGCTGGACATCTTCACATTGAGGTATGGCGACTTGTCGCTATTGAATGAAATCGTGTATCCACGTTTTTGATGAAGGAACCGACCTTGTGCCGGGTCTTTTTATCTTATTGCTGTTGTTTTAGCTAATTTAGTGATTGTGCCGGTAAATTTGCTCTCCGTCCTTGGTCAATTATTTAAATACGATATAGGCTGGACAAGCATGAGTCAAGCGGAGGGGACGAAGTAAGTGATGGAATGTTTGCTAGAATACACCCCCCCCTCCTCGTGTGGTAACCTTAAGGCGCAGTATACATGTCAGGCTCGTGTGGACATGGTGCACTCTAGAGTATCCAGGTCCGTCTATCAGAGGTCCTTGGGCGCTATTGAACATGCGATACTATATCACATACAGTTAGATATTTGTACTGCTAGGGATTTCGGTGTGTACTCTTAGCAATCATAGGTCCAGTGAGACTCAGCTGGACTCGAATGGTATATTGCCGAAGGGGTCCATTGCCAATAGAGATGGATGAGTCTGTCACCGGCAGGATCAATTGAAATTTACAAGGGAGCGCACTTTTATTGAAAATCTGGCCAATGTCTGAATAGAAATGCGAAGGCGTATCCCAAATGGATGGTTTAATGGAAGCCTTATATCCAATGAGGTAGTGCTACGTGGTTGACGAGCGCTATGCAGATATATATAACCGTGCAAGGGACGGGAAGAAATGACGCCCAGTCGCAAGTGATACTCCACAGAGTAACGAGACATAAGCATTTATACGGCATTTATTTGTAGTAGATTATGATGTCGTATCACGAGGAATCCCTTACATCAACCTCGTGGCCCACGATGTCAGTTTCATAAACGCAGGCCACCAGCCCATTCAAATATATTGCCACAAGTACTTAGAAGCATACCGAAGACGTGCCCAACAGCAAGACGTAGAACACATGGCATTAGATATTCCACTGTATCCCCACGCGCGGCACCATCAGGTCTAGCGGATCGGATTGAGGGTTGGTGACGGCCAATTGTGGATTTAGCACTCCTCATACCAAGATCAAGATGCAAGAGTATCCTGAGCTACCCAAGACGTTCTGATATATACTGTGCCTTAAGGGATAAGTCCGAACGGAGTCCATTACAGTGGAGGGGAACAAAAAATATTCACAAAAAAAGGATAAATTATCGTCACCTGCAGGATTCGAACCTACGCTCACGAATGAACGCCCTTAATTGCAATTCAGATCGACCTCGGGAAAGGTTGATCAGGAGATAGCAGGGGCGCGCCTTCACCACTCGGCCAAAGTGACTTCGATGGGTAAAAACTCCTCTTTCCAGAATCATAAGACTATAATATTCCTTTTCCAATTGATTATGACTACATCACAATCGGATGTTAGGGAAGTATTTAAATAACAATAACCAGGCGTACTTTATTCTCTATCGAGAGCAGATTCCTCATAATGTATGATTATAATTGCATGAGTTACTGGGGTGGAAAGATCTGTCTCGAGAACTGTCTACTTACGCTACCCATAGCTACCAGCGTAGATGTTACCATTTCTCACAATTTTTTAGATTTATTTAAACAATCTCATGAATCCGAGCTATATGTTGAAATTAGATACGGTTGCGTAGTCAGACAGCCCGGTATTTAATTGACGTCAGATCGTTTCTCAGGATATCCCAGAAAGAACAAGTTTCCCCAAGAAGAGAAGCAAAGAGGAACGTAAATGACACCCATATAGCTTGAATTGAGCTCAGATGGCATTCAATACTGTCTTCTGTTGCTGAATACTAGGCGAGGAATAAAATGTTCCCATATTGCGTATTATGTTTATACATGCATTTATCGCACCCATAGTAGTGAATACCACACCCTCACTGCAGCTCGGGTTCATGTGAGATTGTATCATGGAGATATCGCCAGGTCTATCGCATGCTGTCCTGCCAGCTCGATTATGCTCATATCGAACTAGGTTGACATTTCACTCCGGGTGGTCCAAGCCGTATGAGGTAGACTTCCATAATTTACAACCTCAGGACCAGAAACTCGGGTTCAAATTTGCTTGCCCTGATATGAAGACTAGGAACTCATCTAAAACTTCACCATCTCCAAGAAATAGATGCCATACGGAGAACAATCAATACCAGCAAGGTTTCTCTATCTTACTCTCTCTCTCCATACACGCATACACAACGGCTCGCTACAATTCTACTCAAAACCCAGATTGCCTCTTAAACCAAGTGCGGTATTCAACATCCCGCCGAGCGTGAGTGCTTATTTGAGCGATATCTTAACCATATGTAAAGACTTGTATTTCCCTCGGCTTCATCAGGTTCATCCGGACCATTGTCTTCATGCTCGTCTTGGAGTCGCAGAGCCAGCATGCCTAATCGGACATCCAACGGATCTTCAACCGTGAATACCAGTCCATGGACCCGATTCAGGTAGTCGACCATGACCCTGTTTGTCTTGTGCTTTTCTCTCGCACCAATCCACTCATTGAAAGTCTTGCCCTCTTGAGGCTGGGCGGTCGTCTTGTCTTGGATCTTGACGGGGCTCTTTTTGTCTCCCCACTTGACATGCTGATATTGAGAGGAACAAGAGCCGCACAGGATTCTGCCTAATTCCTCGGTGGCGATCAGGTCATAATTCATAATCATCCAACGCTTTGCCCGCAAACGACCACATCCCTCGCAAGGAATTTTCAAATCTCGCAAATGCTCCGCGGTGATCCGATGGCAGCGGTGTTTCACGATGCATCTGTTGCAAGCGTTGCAGTACCACTGCTTCAATGTGGGATTCCAGCATTTCCTGGTCTTTCCTGTGAAACATACACCACAATTATGACAATCCGATCGATCCCGACTTAACTTTAGGCCAGCATCTGCTTTTCCCTTGTCATGACACTCCTGACAAGTTCGCGGTGTTGGCCATCCAGCGGATTCGGTCGTATGACACACATGGCACTGATACCACCCCCACTGTTGGATAAGACGGTTCACCTGCTTGACCCTCTCTTTGTTACAAGAAGGACACCGGTAATAGCCAGTTGGACAGCCAAAGGCATCCCGTACTGGTGACCATTTTTTGTTCTGTGCCTCTGATTCGGATTTCGAACAGCTGATGCAAACCCTCTCATATTGCTTCCTGATCCAAACATGCATGGGACGATCCTGTTTAAACTTCCAGAGCCACATATAGCATGCGTTGCAATGAACGTAATCAGCCAGTTTCAAATGCCATCTCCATCGAGTCGTGGTGGTTGTTTTGCAATTCGAACAAGGGCCATGCTGTGGGGGACTTGTCCTTTTGAGCAGGAATGAGGGCCTATCTACACCCATCCTCCATCTGTATCTGTAGCAGGCTCGACACAAGTAAACCGTCGCCACTTCAAATCTGTCAATGTCATAGTACCAGCCAAGAGACTGAGTGGTCTTGCAATTTCTGCATTTCCGTGTCCCTGTAGCATCATTGACGGATTGCTTAGTTGGGAGTGCCTTGTTGAGGGGCATGAAAAGGCTCCGCGGAATCCCACATCGTTCTAGAGCGCTATAATACACCTCCGAGGTGACACCCCATCGAATACGATATGTCGTTTTATCGCAGGGCATATACGAATCAAGTAGTAGCATCACAACCGTTTCAAGGAGACGAACAAGCCAGCCCGCATTAGCACAAGCTATACCGGCTTCGGGCAGCTCCTCAGGAAATAACGCAATGCGCCGAAAACTTGGCTGTAGGCCATATTGTTGCACTATTTGTCGGTGATAGTACCGCCCGTTATGGGAATTAAGGTTTGCCAAATCCCCTTTCTGGTGGTCCACCCGGACTTTGAGGTCGTCGGTGCTTGAGCCTGTGTATAGTGCTGTGATTGGAGGGACGGTGGCTGCTACACCTAGTGGCCGAGAACTGTCGTGTTGCGTGGCACAATCAATGTACACTCCAACCTTTTCACTGCACTCGGCGTCAACCAGAGGGAGAGACAGTAGATGAGTACTTGTTATATGGTCATGACCCAGTATGGCCATGGTGGACTCCGGAATAGCCGCCACAAATATTTGGAAGATCGCGCGAGCTATTGAGCGGCGCAGGGGTAGCCAGAATGCCAGATTGATCCATGTTCTTTCGCGAAGTAGTTGCTGAAGGGTGGTGCTTCGGGCTTCTTGCTGTAAGAATTCAATGACTCGGAACATCCTGTTACGAAAGTTTCGGATTCTTCGTGTCCTGTCGGGATCCAAGGAGGCTGATGAATTCAACGGAGCAGATTCTGCATGTAGTGCAGAGTCTGTTGAGCCATACTCTGTCTGATACTCACTATAACTTGTGGCTGCAGCTTTAGATGAAAGTACTCTATGTTCAGCTGAGGCCAAGCCAATCGACGTTTCCCGATAGCGGCTTCCTGTGTCGTCAACAGTCAATTGTGAAGACTGAAGACTCTCAATTAACTCCAAAATCTCGGCTTCCCAGTATTCATCCGTCTCGTCTTCACTGTCGTCAAGTGGGGATTTGCCGGGAGTTTCAAAAACACGCTCTAACGCCAGTGGAAGGAAGTCGTCTTGCTCGAAATCGTCAAGCAGTTGGTCACCAGGGTTACAGGTATGTCGAGTCCCAGATTTCTCGCAGGAATCAGCCTCGTCAGGCTTGTTCTTTTCAGAAGAACTCTCACAGGTGTCCTTTATGTAGAGTTTTTTGCGCGGAGAGGCTTGCTCATCACCTGAACCAATTCCCTGGCAGTCTGAGCCATAGGGACCCCTCATCGTGGCAAGCTTGCGTCGAGCCATGGTAGGTTAAAGTAAAGAAGATTGAATGAGGCAATTGTATGAGTGTTTTCTCCAACAGGAAGCCAAGATAGTAAGAATTTGGGGAGAAATAGAGAACATGTTTGCTTTGTCCCGTTAAACTTTCCAGCATTCACTCTCCGAGTGGAGATTACCATGTTTATCTGTTTCTATAACTTGCTTTGTGGTTGTTATAGCAAACACTGACTCTCTTGGGATCGAACAGTGACAGTTGAAGGTATCAATATCTTTTGTCGAAACACGAGCGAGAAGGAAAAGCCAATCGCTTATGTGTCTCAGTAATGATCCGTGTGTTTGGCTTAATTTTGTAGCTGCTCAATCTTCTATACCTATGTGGGATTCTTCTTGAAATACTATCGCCTATGTAAGGCACTCAGGAATTTATCTTTAGGTAGGTATTTCTACAAGAGCCGGGGATATACACTCAACTAAACCTGGTACCCTGGATTCAGAAGAGTGGACAGCTATGTACCTACGAAAAGAGTAGCAGCAGGCGATAAACTTGGATATCTCAGAAAATTGATGTCATATACTCGAATCTGTTCCCCTTCGCCATTCACTTATCAATCATGCCCGAAATTGTGCATTCATCCCCGGACGGCTGTGCAGAGGAGCTGAGAAGCATCTCCTTTTGGAAGATCTAGTGCTCAGTGTTGGATCTGCTTGTTTGATGGCTTGAATTAGCCGCACGTCCTGTCAAGGACACCCAGCATACGATGGAGATAGGGTGAGCAACTCGCGAATAATGAGCCGTTGATAAGTACACCCTCGAGGATCAATTTTGACAACATATGATTGGATGGCCTCCCAGTATTTTATCTGTCAAACAAACGCGGACAGTTATTACGGTTGCTCAGCCTATGTAGACATACAACTGGGCCTTTTTGTTATATTGCAGCAGGAGAAGCTAAGAATGGAAACTTGCTTGCAATAGCACCAGCAATGGCCCTGGTACTATCCAAGTACTCATTATTATTGCTGTCAAGACATAGCATCGTCATTAACGTAGTTGGATGTCCTATCTCTCGAGAATGATACTTTGATTTGTCGAGGCGGATGACGTTGTGAATCTTCGAAAAACCATACATATGTTCATGCAGACGTTCCCAACCTCAGTCATCAAATGTTCTCTTCCGAAGGTTGCCCAGGTTGTACAAAGTGTCGTCAATTGCCTTCTTCTGCTTGGCATCCAGTGTGGCAGGAAGATCAGAAGTACCACGTGCATTGATGCAGGCTGTCCTTGACTCTTCATTCACAGTCCACTTCAGGCTTCCGTCAGAATTGCTGGCCTGCAGACATTCCGTGAGAATCTGAGGAGACACCGCACTCGACTTCCACATATCTGTAGAGCCAGGCTCTCGGACGGCATCTACCGAGACGAGAACAGAGCCATGTGAATCAATGCTGGCAACATCAAGCACATTCCCAGATAGCTGAATAACACCTTGGGACTTGAGTGTATTGTCGCTCTCAAGAGTGTAGCAGAGGAGCTGAGGGGAGCTATTCACTAGTTAGCAGGAGTTCTTGGAATTGGCCACAAGATGATACATACCCTTCCAGACCAACAAGAATTACGCTAATAGACCCAGCGGTACCAGCATGCTGGTCAAAGAGACATCCCAGATTCCACTCACGATAGAATCCTGGAACGAATCACTCAGGGGAACACTTTGGTGCAGTTGACCTTCACTCCAGTTCCATACAAGCAGCTGGCCATCGCCCCCACCAGAGATCAGGACACTTGGCGCCCACGAAGGAATGCAGATCTTGCTAATAAGCGAAGTGTGACCCAAACAGTGTCGTTCAATCACGTGAGCCTGAGGGATACCACGAGATACACGAATATGCTCATCACGATCCGCAGTCAAGATGTAATTCCGCGGGCGACTGCCCGGAGCGCCAGGTAGAGACACGGCGATGACATCAGTAAGCATCGAAACATGGCCAAGGATAAGCTGGTATTCAAAGTTGAGCGCAGCCTTCTCCTCCTCTTGAACCTCCTCAGCCTTTTCAGCCCGCTCGGCATGGAGGTGCTGTTGCTCCAATGAACGAAGGTTACGCTTCGAGTGTACGGTGAGCGTGGTCGCGACCGGTTTAGCCTTTTTAGCTTGGATCTTCGGCTTAATGTACTCCCCGGGGATTAGAGGCAAAGAGTAGACATCGCCAAACTTGTCAGCACAGAGGATAGTCTGATCATCGTGGGTCAAATCCAATGCGCATGGCTTCTTAGCCATATTCCTTCATTTCAATTTAGTAACAGTTGCAAGATTGAGCGTGTAAGAAGTACGTACCGAGAGCTGAGCTCCTTGAACTTTCCATCGTCACTCAAGCTGAACACTCGAATGCATTTGTCCTCGGCGGTCAAGGCGACTACATGCTTGCCATCAGACGTTGCCAAGACCTTGGGGATATTGGTCCAGGCAGGAGACTTGTTGGTGGGACCGTCCGTTGTCGTGCTAGGGTTGTCTTCGGACTCATTCTCAGGCGATGAGAGCTTTATCTTCTTCTCAGGAGGAGCTTGGTCATCCGATGTGGATGCTGGAGCAGAAGCAGCTCCGCCGCTGGTTTCTATATGTTCGGGCCATACGGCCAGGCGCTGGCCGCTCTCGGCTGCATAGGAGTAGATATAGGGACCCGCAGAGGTCACCAACACATTAGGAAGTCCTTGAGACTGCCGCTTGACAAGTTTCAAGCTTTGAAAGGGGTGCTGGAAGCTGGTCATAGTGAATATCGGCTTGATTAGATTCGGCAAAATTTGATCGGCGCAGAAGGCCGTGGTGAGGGTTTGAGGACGATAATCCGGAGTCAATTGAACAAGACAATTGGCGAAACCAAGATTCAAATGAAAATAGCGAGATTTAAGATTCAGATCGGAAAACCTGACAATCAAAAGATCCTCAGATCTCTCCATCGGTCCTCAACTTCTCAAGCGACAGCACCGCGACCCCAATCTCACGTGACCCACACTAGCCGAAGCCGCACCAAAAAAAGTCCACAAAACCCAGACCTCCGCCGCTTTTCTTCTTTCATCCAACCACCACCAATTCATTACCCTTGTCCTTAAACAACCTATCTTCAGGTCCAATAAGAAGAAATGGGGGGCAAGTCCGCAACCAAGGCCGCTTACTTCGATAAGCTGAAGGCCCTGCTCGATGAGTACCGCACTGTCTTCATCGTCGGTGTCGACAATGTCAGCTCTCAGCAGATGCACGAGATCCGTATCACTCTGCGTGGCCAGGCTGTTGTCCTGATGGGCAAGAACACCATGGTCCGCCGTGCTCTGAAGGGTTTCGTCACCGAGAACCCCGAGTTCGCGTCTCTGATGCCTCACGTCAAGGGTGAGTTCCACACTGCCATCTATTTGCTTCAACCAGTGGAATTTTGTCAACTAATCCGTGTTTTCTTCCTAAAGGCAACGTTGGTTTCATCTTCACCAACAGCGACATGAAGGATGTCAAGGAGAAGATCCTTGCCAACCGTGTCGCCGCCCCCGCCCGTGCCGGTGCCATCGCTCCCGATGATGTCTGGGTCCCCGCTGGTAACACCGGTATGGAGCCCGGTAAGACCTCGTTCTTCCAGGCCCTCGGTGTCCCCACCAAGATTGCTCGTGGTACCATCGAAATTGTGTCTGACCTCAAGCTCATTGAGGCCGGTAACAAGGTCGGTGCCTCCGAGGCTGCCCTGCTCAACCTGCTGAACATCTCTCCCTTCACCTACGGTATGACCATTGCCCAGGTGTACGACCAGGGTCAGACCTTCAGCGCCGATGTCCTCGACATCGACGATGAGCAGCTCCTCAAGACCTTCAGCCAGGCTATTGCTACCATCACTGCTCTGTCCCTGGCCACCAACATCCCCACCCTGCCCGCTGTCATCCACTCCCTCATCAACACCTACAAGAAGCTTCTTGCCGTTGCTGTTGAGACTGAGATCAGCTGGCCCGAGATCGAGGCCCTCAAGGACCGCATTGCCAACCCCGATGCCTACGCTGCTGCTGCCCCCGCCGCTGCTGCTGCCGCTCCCTCCGGTGGTGCTGCTCCCGCCGCTGCCGCCGCCCCAGCTGAGGAGTCTGAGTCCGATGAGGACATGGGCTTCGGTCTCTTCGACTAAGCGCATCTTAATTGATGTGTTACGTCGGCCATGTACTAGATACTTTTATTTGACCTAGCTCTGAAAAGGGATAGGGAATGAAAAAACGACTATGACTTGGCAACGAAACTTTCTTGGTTCGATATTTTGACATGTTTCCTGGAACGTAGAAACCACGCTCCAGACTACCTGTCTTGATCCAAATGGTGAGTTGCGCAACATTTCATCCCTTTCCTCTGTTTGTCCTTTTCATTCAAATCACTCGATTTTCATTTCATTCAATCTGGCGGATGATTAAACATTTTTAACCCCGAGCAAGTGTCTCCCGTGAGACCGCGCTGACGATTAAAAACGCAACAACAACACTCTAATTTTTTGCTGACGCCTTGCCTTGTTTTGCTTTTGCTTTACATCATTTACTTCTACATATTTGGAGAAGCAATTGCTAACTATTTCTCAGCTTGTCAGGTTTTTTCTCATGAGTCAGGGTACTCTCGTAGTGGTTCTGGTATCCACCCCGTAGCTACTCGTAGTGCACTTGGACGTTGAGAATGATGGGATTGGGTAAGGCTGAGCACCTGCTGAGCCTAATTACATTTTACGATATCAAATGGAATGTCTCATGTGTATGAATTCGCTCCCGATTTGAACGTTCCTTCTTCAGCTTCGCTGGTAACACGTCGACGTAGACTTGAACAAGGTGAGCAAGTAAAATCCACAGATTCTATTTGTGGTATCAATGTTTAATCACAGAAATATAATTAACAATCCTCATCCTCAAGAGTAAGACAAAGAGACAAGAAGGTATCTTAATACACACAACCTTTTACTATCAGGCTTACGCTGCATCATCAGCGCCCCGACCAAACCGACTCCCAAAGCTACCCAGGTCACGGCGGAAGAACTTCCCAATGTTCTTCAAGTTCTCGTTAAGATTAGCAGCAGCAGTCGATTCCGAGGGAGTATGAGCATGGCCAATTTGTTGGGCAGAAGTAGTCGTCGCAGGAGAAGGCGTCCCGGATGTACCTCCGAAACCAGAGCCGGGCGGGGGCGTGCCTGTAATGCCAGGAACACCGGAAGCACCCAGTGCGCTAAGACTAGGATTTCCGAAGCGGTCAACACCGTCCTTGGCTGCGGACATGATGGCAGAGCCGAGCATGGAGGCATCGAAACGCGAAGGCATCGATCCAGCACCGCTAAGGCCCAGGCCCTGCGAGACTGACCCTGTGGTGGTAGCAGCAGCAGGTGCTTGAAGGGCAGTAAGGATCGGATTGCTCTGCTGGAGATTGGATGCGTATCGATCGGATGCACGATGTAGCTGGAAGAGCTCGACGAGATGGTTCTGCTCTTGTCGGCTGCGAATGCCTTTGAGGTCGAGAATTTTGCGGAAGTTGTTGTTGTTTCGGTCCGCAATGTGGATGAGGTATGCCTGCACCAACGCCTCGGGGGGCGATGGCCGGACTTGTAGCGTTTTGAGGAGAGTTTCGACCTTGAAGAAGCTGGTGTTGACGCGCTTTACGAAGCCAGCTGGGGCAGGGGCCGGGAGGAGGGATGAAAGGCCACTCTTAAGAGTGTATGAATCGAGAAGCATCTAGACAGAAATGTTAGCTTTGGGAAGGGTATGGCATAATAAATGTAACGTATAGAAAGGCATACTTGCTCAGCGCCTGTCTCCGAAACAGGCTTGCACTGGAAGACGTTGCTGATGAATAAACTTGACATCAACTCAACCAGGTGATCGGAGAAGGCTCGCGCATACTGTTGCTTATGCAGCAGTTGCAGGATCTCGGAGGCCTTTGTTTTAGTGCGCGACAAAAGCTCGCCCACATACGAGCTCTGGTCACTGACAGCCTCAATTTTGCTCCAGGGCGTGTTGCGCATTTCTCGCCAACTCGGTTCTAATTCAACCTCAACCTGCCGAACCAGACCTCGGACAGCCGCAGAAGCAATGCCCATGAAAGAATCTGCCTGACTCTGGAGATCCACTGACTGCTTGAGAGACTCATCCAAGCGACCTTTGATCTTTTCTTCCAACTGAGTACACGTGGTGTAGCAATAATCAGCGGTATTGAGAACGGAGACAAAATCCTCAATGGTTGGCACCTTCGAGGGGGTGTGACTGCTGGGTCGTTCACTGATATAGTTGAGGAGGACCTGCTGTGCGTACTGGTCCAAGTACTTAGCAAACACCTTGGCCAATTCGGCCAGACTCCCACCAGTCGAGAGTTTGGCGCATTGTTGCAGAGCATGACGATAAAAGGCAAAAAGCTCAGTTGAAGAAGAGATCACTATGTGTGAGTTGAATTCCTCGTCAAGGGGCCGTAGAGGCTGCTGGCGGTACTTGGGTAACAACGCGGCAAGCTGCTTGTCTTGTGCATCCACCCAGACGCTCAAATAAGGCTCGAAAGCCTCGGAGATAGACTGGCTGAACACGGGGTTCTCGCTTGAGGAGGTAAATGTGTCCGTAGATGGGCGCGAAGGCGCGAATCGGCTTTCGAGTGAATGTTCGAACTCAAGTGTTTCTTGCAAACAAGAAAGCAATAGATTGACGTCAATTGTCTGTCCACTGCGTACTGACCGAGACAAAATGCCCTTGAAATCATCACGAGTACCTTCACAAAAGACATTAGCCAGGATTTCATTCACTCTCCAAGCAGCCGGGAAGATGGCTGCATTCTCCTCATCGTAGATCTTCAGGATGCGCCGGAACCAGGAGTATCTGCGGGAAATATTGTCCAATGACCCGGCTTCTTCATTGTTGCGGAAGACCTGACGGTACTCGCGAAGCTGTGTGTTGCAGTACCAAGTGACCAGTCGGGATCGAGCGTGCTCGCCTAGCGCATCCACGACAAGACAAGCCTCCGAGAGAATCCCGCGCCTCTGAGCAACTTCACCTTTGGCAAAGGCAATCTCAAAGTCTTCACAGACTTGCTCTAGAAGATCCCGTTGTATGTCCGCGACATTCCGACTCAGGATTGCGATCTGATCAATCGATCGGTATGACTTGAAATGGGCCATCAGCTGGATCACCGCCTGGAGAAGCTGCGCGCATTCTCGGTACTGTCGCGTCCGGCTCAGCGCTTGAAGTTGGTCATAGGCAGTGGTGAGCATCTGAAGACGTTTGAGTGCTGTCATGGACAGAGTGAGATTCTTTTTCGCGTTGTCCAATTGTTTAATGTCCGCCGTCATATCCGTGATGGCCTGCTCGGTCTTCATCGCGCGTTCACGAACGTCGTCGATCTTCTTGAATAGCTCTGACAGATCAGCCTTGGCTGTCTGGATACGTTCCACACTGTCGGCATTTGAAGTGACCTGCTCTTCGACCAGAGCGCTGATATTGTTGTCCAACTCATCCTCGTAGGCGTGGAGGGTGCTGGTGACCTGGGAAACGGAGGAGAGAGTGGATGGATGGGAGAAGATGGCATTGAGATGGTCGACCGGGTCATAATCCACTATGATTGCACCGTACTTGGTCAGTCATTTCTGTGTGTAGAGCAATGGGTGTTGGTCCGTACCTGCATCCAAGGCGTCCTGAGAGGACTCCTCGTTTGGCGGCATGTGGCCGGTGGTCGGGACAGTAATCGCAGTCATCCCATAAGCACTTCAAGAAAGACTCATCCTGCTGACGCCCCGGAGACAATGCTGGTGTCAGGCCTATGCGAATTGTGTGAGGATTGTGGCGGCGGGAATTGGAGATGGCGAGCGCTGGTCGCATGGCTCCGCGGGCCAGGTGGCCCGGGGGCTAGCTTGGCATCTTACGCAACCCCAACAGCGGCCTTTCGGGGGAAGTATAACCAGGAACCCTCCCAACGGGGCCATCTACGATACGACGTTTAACAGTAGAGAATATCGTTTGGTTCTATCTTACAGTTTGGAAGTACTTATGGGGGTGAAATTGATATTTCTCATAGTCATGACCACGTAGGGCTTATGTTTAGATACTAAAGTACATATTCGTGAAACCCTTGCCCATTCGCCTGAGCAATGCAAAACAGAAAGCCACCTGTACTGCCATCATTCCTTGTAGCATACAACTCCCCGGTGACATGGGGATTGACCGTAGTCACATGTAAATCTATTCCGTGATGGAATAGAAGCGAGATTGAGACCCGAGCTGGCGATCGAGTGAGAGAGATCGCCTAGGCCACTGAGAGGAAAGCGGTGGCGGGCAGGTTTCCCGATGCCTGGACACAAATAGGTTAGTCTTGATATTCCGGAAATTTATTTCATCTAAAGATGCATACCTTGAGTTCTTCAAAGTTCTTCCACGCGGCATCGAAATTCCAGCCATTGCCGGACAAAGCCATCTCCGAAAACTGGAGAGTCATGCCCGACTTGGCACTCATTTGGGCCACCATCTGCTCCTGCTGGACTTGGGCATCGGTTTTGCCAGGAGCAGGGGCACCGTATCCTTGGGGAATACCAGGCTGGGCGAGGGGCGCGGGTACAGGGGCAGCAAGAGGCGCGGGTGCAGCCACGGGTGCAACAGCGGCGGGAGCTGTTGCGTAAGGAATAGCCTGGTTCTCCGGGCTCCATGCTTCATGACCACCGTAGGCTCGGAGACACAAGATGTCGTTGATGACCCGAATGCCGCCCATCCCACCACCGGGGCCAATCACGAAGGTTCGGTCGAAGCTACGTGTCTCGATCTTTCCTCCGACGCTTTCCTCAAACTTCCCGTGAGTCATGATCATAAGACCGCCCACACCGGTAGGACTTTGTCCAGTAGGGTCGGGAAGCCCGGGGACGGGGTGGCACTCGATCAGGTACTCCTCTGGGCGTGCGGTCATGTCGGGGTGACGGGTTTGCGGGAGACCCTTCCATAGTTCGAGGATCTTCTCCGCACCCTTGTAAGCACGCGACATGCGAGCAGGAAGGTGGCTGATTTTGAGGAGATTTCGGCTCTTCTTGATGTACGGGTCCCAGCCTGCAGATTCAGTCTGCTGGGCCTTGGGAGCCGAGGTATTCACGTTCAGAGTGAATTCGGATTGATGATCGTAGACGCTCTTAACGAGTTCGTCACGATTGTTGTCGTAGCGAGTGAAGAAGGCGCGAATGAAGTTCTCCGCGATTTGGCCATCGTCCTGGAAGTGGGGTGCTTGGACTGGAATGGGCGTCTTCTTCTGAGCTGCGATTTCCTCGGGGGTGCGGACGACCACGTTGTTCAGTGTTTGCAACTTTGGGAACCATTTCATCATAGTTTCTTTGAAATTAGGCTCAGAACTGAACGGGTTCTCTGTCAGATCGAGGAACTCGAGATTGCGGAACTTCCAGCGCCATGCGTTCATCGACCGGTAGTCCTTGAGGTTGTTGTGGGAAAGGTCCAGGTTCTTGATATCCGGGAAAGTCTGGGAGAGGGTTGTCACCGCAGTGATGGCTGTGAGTTGGTTGTGAGCCAGACTGACACTCTCCACCGCCTCTCGTCGCTGCGTCGTGTTGGTGAATCCCATCTCCCAGACCTTCATCAGGGCAGGGAAGAACTTGGACTCGGTCGAAGTCTGGTTAAAAATGCCCATGGCTACCAGATCTGGGTCGGATGAGAGTTTTGAGAGGTCGAGGAGTTTGGTATCCGGATAGTAACGCTTGGACAGGATCATTGTCATCTTGGACTTGGTATCCGCAGTCGATGGGGAAGTGCCGGTGGTGGTACCCAGTTCACGATCAAGAGTGGCGCTCGAGGAGGGGTCGTAGGGCTCCACGACGAGGTGAACTCCAGCGAAAAGACTGTCATTGAGTCGGAGCATCCTGTCCGCCAAGTCGGGACGCACAAACACCACAAGAGAGTCGCCTTCGACGCGCGACTAATATTGAATGTTAGCAAGGTACGAAGGACCTTGTGAAAGGAAGTCATTGGAAGAACAAGAAAAGCCAGCGAGGGCTAAAGTACGGTGGCCGCCGATCCGCCATCTTTGGAAAAACACAGGAAACGTCGGATCGGGAAATGTCGAGATTGGTGATTGGTGATTGCGCCTTCGGATGTTGAACATACCTTTGTGATTCTCGCGCGGGGTCCTGATTTGGTGCTGGCGTTCATTCGTCTCTCGAGAAATGCGACAAGGTTTTCGACGCCACCGTCACGATGAGATGAGACCTTGCTTGTCTTCCAGCCACGAACGCTGAACGGCTCCAGGTTGCTTGCAGCATTTGTCTTTCCCTGTCGGAGGTTGATCTGGGAATCCCGGGTATTGGAGATTGCTTTTTGGATCGCCTCCAAAGTCTTGTCGCGTGCCTGAGGTCGATCACCGCCAGAGCGTGCGGGACGACCAGCTCCAGCGCCAGAGCCGGAGCCGGAGCCAGATCCAGAGCCAGTCGGACGACCAGGGCCACCACGACCTCTCTTGCCTCCACGGGCGCCAGGTCCATCCATGTCCATGTCACCATCTCGGTCGGTGCGAGTCGGGCCCCGTTTGCGAATGCCCCCGCGGTCACCACCCGAGCGGCGGGACTTCATGGTCTTCATGTTGTGTTGGAGATTGAGAAAAGGTCGTGAGAATGTGAGGGATGTAGGTGTGGGAAGATGAATGAAGAATGAGCGTTGACCTGACCGGCCTTTTCGTCGACTTGACTGCGCGTTGCGCGCCTCAGATGAAGTAGGAAGATGTGAGTCGCATGCAGAGATATTGGGGAGAGTCGTAGGAGGGGGAAAAGTTGGAAGGAGGAAAAGAGAGATCGCAGAGGTGAGGAGGTAAGTATTAATAGGAAGAGGAGCCGATATAGGCAGCGAAGCGTGCCTTCAGCGTCTTCAAGGCAGTCGCGAGGAGAATCGTGAAGCCCAAAAAAAGTGACGCACGGGTCACGTGGTTGGTTGATTGAGGATAGGCAACAGTCAGGTGACTCGCCGGGATGAGTCAGCCCGCTGCCTGGGGCAGGCAGCCAATGAGCGATTGTCCTCTGTCCTTTCAGCGTTTGGCTGGGCTTTCAGAATACGGTAATTCCCATACAATTGGGCCCGCCCTTGGCTCCGAGTATACGACGGACGTCGATCTAGCCAGCTTGCAGTATCTCAGACGGGTTCGAGGACGAACGGGGCAAAAGAGTCAATTGAGTTGACTCCTGCTTGGTAAGTGCATTTTTGGAAGTTCTCTGAGGCTGTTCCTTTTTATTTTGTTGTGGATTACTTTCCCCTCGTTTGCCCATGAAGCTTGCGCGTTTCGTAAAGCCCTAGCTAACTTCTCCCCACGCCTTTGTCTAGGAAACCTGCTCGTCGCTACAACACTGTTCTTCATTCATTTCTCGGGTCTTCGGATCACTCTATGCTTGCCAATTGCCCTGCAAGATGCCCGCAAAGTCGCGATTCACGAGGCTAGATGCCTTCGCCAAGACCGTCGAGGATGCGCGCATTCGCACCAACTCCGGTGGCATTATCACTATCGCTTCGTTGTTGGTAGTGATGTGGCTTGTCTGGGGAGAATGGGCGGATTATCGCCGAGTGGTCGTTCAGCCCGAGCTCATCGTGGACAAGTCGAGAGGTACGCATTGGCAGCTTGAATATGCTCGAGTCGAGTCGATGTGGGTGCGCAAGAAAGCTGACATGGAGGGGTTGCATTGATATAGGAGAAAGGATGGAGATCCATTTAAATATGACCTTCCCACGGCTACCTTGTGAACTATTGACCCTGGATGTCATGGATGTGTCGGGCGAGATGCAGGTCGGTGTTGCCCATGGCGTGAACAAAGTACGCCTGGCCCCCGCCGCGGAAGGAGGTCGAGTGATTGATGTCCAGGCCCTTGACTTGTAAGTGTCTTTCCTTGGAAGAAGATGCTTCCAATTGCAACAATAATCCGCGCAAAAAGTTGATCACGAGCTCACCTGGATCTTTCATTGTTATCTAGGCACTCTCCAGCTGATGCCGCCGCACATCTGGCCCCAGACTACTGTGGTGAGTGCTATGGAGCGGATGCGCCACCCAATGCGATCAAAGCAGGCTGCTGTAGCACCTGTGACGAGGTTCGTGAGGCATATGCGAGCAAGCAATGGGCATTCGGCATTGGTGAGAACGTGGAGCAGTGTACTCGTGAGGGATACGGCGAGAAGCTTCTGGCCCAACGGCGCGAGGGCTGCCGCATTGAGGGTGTCTTACGAGTCAACAAGGTCGTGGGCAATTTCCATATCGCCCCGGGTCGCAGCTACACGAGCGGAAACATGCATGCCCACGATATGGACAATTACTTCATGCGGGATGCGCCCTCGCCCGAACAGCACACCATGACCCACGAGATCCACGAGCTTCGATTCGGCCCTCAACTCCCTGCGGAGCTTGCGGATCGCTGGCAGTGGACCGACCACCACCACACCAACCCGCTGGACGATACCAAGCAATCCACCGAGGAGCCCGCCTTCAACTTCATGTACTTCATCAAGGTGGTTTCGACTTCCTACTTGCCTTTGGGCTGGGACCCGAGATTCTCGTCGGCGATTCACAGCGCCTACGATAAAGCGCCTCTTGGCTCGCACGGTCTCGCCTACGGCTCCCAGGGTAGCATCGAAGCCCACCAGTACTCTGTGACCTCGCACAAGCGCCCTCTCGTGGGCGGTGACGATGCTGCCGAAGGCCACAAGGAGCGCATGCACGCCTCTGGCGGCATCCCCGGCGTCTTCTTCAACTACGACATCTCCCCCATGAAGGTCATCAACCGTGAGACCCGGCCCAAGACCTTCACCGGTTTCCTGACTGGAGTCTGTGCCATTATTGGTGGAACCCTGACTGTGGCAGCGGCTTTGGACCGCGGTCTCTACGAGGGTGGTATGCGTATTAAGAAGCTGCACTCCAACTAAATTTTGCGCCCCTTGTCTCCCAGAAACGAGGGACATTGAGTGCATCGCATCCCCGCTAAGACGACCTCCCTGGAAAACCAAGAGGTAGAAGGTTTAGTGGGCATTTTGTGGCGTTTTTGGGATACCTTTATACATTGACTTTTGTTTTGTTGTGTCTTTCGATTTGGGTTTATGTACGTATCGATTTATCAGAAAGTACTTGTTCAAGGTTGCCTTGTGCAACGGCTATTGTTATGTTTCCTACCTTCAAAGTTCGATTTCTGAGTGCGTCGTGTCTATTGTCTAGAATACTACCTCTACTTGAGAAGACAGCAGATGAATTCATAGCCAGCGAATCTTCGTCCGTAGTGACTGGCAACACAGTCTAAATGACTTGAAAGTTTCCAGGGCACGAAGTTAAACTCTGGATAACTTAGCCTTTCTGTAACTGCTACTTGCAGATTTAAACCGCCACTATACGAAGAAGCTGTGAAGAATAGCCTGTACCAAGTATTCCATTCTGTACAACTTGTGTCAAACCGATCTAATCAAGGCTACAGACAAAAAAAAGAGGATGTAAAGACTTAACAAAAAAAAGAAATTTAAAACGAGTCGATAAGCAGCAGTCAGCGTTAATCCAAGAAATAATGATGGAATGAGAGGAAAGCAGACCGCATGTAACAAGAAAAGGAGAGAAGCGGACCCCATTGCGCCAAAACCAAATCTGCAACTCCATTCTGATGCGCAATGCAAGGATGAGGATAAACCACAAGACAAGTAAGGAAAATGATAGTGCGGACGAAGGAATGCGACTGAACATGAAAGGAGAGGGGAAAAAAAGACAGGACGAAAGACCGAGGACCGCAGAACTGTGCAGAAAGTCTAGATCTAAGGTGGGATGGGATGTATGCAGATTCAAGTTTGGACAGGAAAGGAAAAATGCTGGAAGGACAGTGGCGTTAAGGAGTTGGATTGGGCGCCAACTCATTGGATAAAAGGGATGAGATCGTAATTGCTTATGAATGCATGGTGTTGTAGTTTGCAGGGTAGCCACCCTGCTGAGTAACGTGTTGACTCTGCTGGTAGCTGGGCGGGCCTTGCGAAGCCTGGGCGAGCTGACCATACCAAGACCGTCGTCGGGGTTCATCCGCGCGGTTCATTTGGTGGAGCGCATCCCAAGTCTGGCTGGCGCCGGGGAGATTGTACATCCCATCCCGAGTTGGGGGTGGGTATACCGAGCCGGCATACTGGGGTGCGTATTGTTGCGGGTGCTGCATCATCTGCTGCTGCTGATGCTGGTATTGCTGCTGATGCTGGTATTGCTGATGCTGCTGGTATTGCTGATGCTGCTGGCGCTGTGCAATAGCATGCTGTACCATCTGGTTCGACATCCCCTCTTTCATCTCCCGTCTCTCACGTTCACGTGCATCGATCGTTGAGACAAGACCCATAGGATTGACTGGCGGCGGAGGCTTTTTGGTGCTTGTCGACATATCGAAGAATGAAGAGCCAGTCATGCGTGCGACATGCTCTTGCTCACGAGCAGAAAGATGATTTCCCACTTCGTTGTAATTGGTGATCATCGTGCTGGCACCACGAGAAGAGGGGCGGTAGTTGGCATCTGGATATGAAGTCATACGAGAGTGCGGTCGAGCTTGCTGTGTCCAGTCTCCCGATACCGGCCGTGCCGGAGGTGGGCTGTTGCTTGACGGGACACGCTGGTGCATGTGCACTGGGGGACTAGGTGCAGCTCGCTGCTGCACAAACTGCTCCGGGGTGAGACCGCCTCCTGGAGTGGTGGGACGACCGCTGGCCATGCCGGGTTGCCACAGAACGCTACGTCGACGCTCTTCCTGGCTCGGAGACCGAGCGTGACCACGCTCCATAGGACGATCCATAGGGTTGGTTGGAACAAAGAGCTTGAAGTCGGACTCGTTCCGATGATGCGAAGCCTTTTTCAGAGTGTCGCCCGTAGTCGGGCGTCCGGTGGTAGGCATGTAGGTCAATGTTGGCCCGAAATCAACAGTGGGGATATCGGGGTTCGGCTCAGCCGGCTTGTCCCTCGTATAGCGAGTATCGCCGATGACAAGGTCCTGCTTAGCTGGTTCTCCCACAGTCTTCTTAACGCCCATTCGCTTGGCAGACTTTTTACTATAAACAGACTCATGGGTGCTCGCATAGTCAGGCGAGACGGTAGACGCATCATCATACACGCTCTCCTCCTCATTATGAGCCGGGGAAATCGGAGACGGAAGATAAGTACTAATCCGATTGAGGACATCTTCATCCAAGGTGTGGCGCAGGTCGTCAAAGCTAGGTTCTCCACCATCGGGTGACAAAGGCGACTGACCAAAGAGCTGTCTTTGCGGAAGAGGTTTCCGTTTGACAGCCTTGACAGTGTCGATTTGTGGATTTCGCTGAGGCGAAGGAGTGCCCCCAGTACCGGGAGTAGCTGGACGGGGCTGTGAAGTATGTACTTGACGCGGAGGGAAAGCAAGATCGATGCCCTCGTCACTGGATTGGTTTCTCAGTGGAGATCCTCTTGCTGCAACAGGTTGCGGAGAGTAGTTCTGGTAAGGGACATAGTTCTGAAGTCGTTGATCCATATTGGCCTCGGGGTGCGGTTGATGATCCTGGTATCCACGTGCTGCACCACCCATGTCCATGCCTGTTTTCCCAACCTGGTGGAATTGCATCAGAGTCGTGTGAGACATACGGTTATTAGCCAGTCTCTGCTCATGGCTTGTTTTCGGCCGGTTGGAAGGCATTTCTCGCGGTCCATGGGCGAAGGTGGGCGGGTTGGTGACCGGGGCCGGTGGCGTACGGGGAGGAAGCTGCTCTTCAATTTCGAAAGGTTGTCTGGGCATACTCGAATTGCGATCACTCTCAGAGCTGGTCCGTTCAGCGATAGGCCCAGCCAATGCTTGCGCCCGGTCACGTAGCACCAGATCCTGGGCCGATGAATCAGGCGAGCTTTCCCTCAGCGACCCATAGCCGACTCTGGGCCCTGTCTGCAGACCTGTGGTATCCGACATTCCCCTAGCATGATAGACCACAGGATCTTTCCTAGGAACTTCGTGAATAATGGCCTCTGCAGACTGGTTAAACTCGTGTTTGGCCTCCAGGGGAGGTAAATGTTGACGGGATCCGTTCAATGAGCCTTCACCTAAGCGGCTGGATATGCTGGCACGGTAGCGAGGTTGACTGCTGTTCACGCTGTTGGTTCGACTCCTGCCGGTGCTCATCCGCTTTTGCGTTGCATCCTTCAATTGTTTCCTCCATTCGCCTTCACTCCAATCCTGGCTCCCCGGAATCTGGAGAAGATTGGTGATATCCAAGACATCCAAGTACCCGTAGCGACGCTGCTTGGGGAAGGCAAACATGATGCTCTTGATGTGGTTAATATCGGCCACGAGGCGAGTCGGACGGCCGTAAAGGTTGAAGGTATCGAAAGTTGGGAACAGGAATCGAAGCATCATCTCGAAACCGGAAACTGCTGCGTGTAGTTCTGGCATGACAAAGACAAAGCCTTCCGCCGAAGTCTGGTTCGCCGAGTGCATGGTGATCCGACCTTCCAACTTCACCAAAGTGGATTGATCAATGAGCGCCTTGGACTGGGGGTAGATCGCATATGCCGAGTAAACGTTCGTCACTGTCGCAATTGGCTGGGCCTTTTTAGTCTTTTTGGTTTCGTAGAACTTGATGTTTCCGGTGACTGGCATCGTTAGGCGGTCATAAGCAGACTTCTTCATTAACTTCCTGGCCTTCTGGAGCTCCTTCTCATCTGGAGGGTTGATGACAAACCAGCACCGCCTCCAGGGCGTGCCGGCGCCGAATCGCACTCGCGCCCAATCTTCGTATTTGAACTTGGCAGGTGCTAGAATGGACTGGATTCCATTGAGCGTCTTGCCTTTGGCGGCAATAAGGGAGCCGGTATACGCTTCGTACAGCGCAGTATGTTCGTACATCGCAAGACGAATGGCTGCAGTCCACTGGGTCATTGAGTGGAACGAACTAAAATGCAGTAGATATCGGTTCTTCCCCGCGGAGGATAGACTAAGGACATTTTTCAACGGTTGCACGGCTCCGTTTCTGATTGGGAGCGTTTCGATCTGTAGCCAACGTGGGCGATATTAGCGCATACGTTGCGACCATCCGTACTTGATTGAGAAAGCATACCATCTTAAGCGACGCGTCCGCCAGGTTGATAAATGTCGCGGGAACTTCTTCTCCGCCTGCTGCGTCCAGCGCAGCAGCCTCCCAAAGGGAAAGGACAGTGCCGACAAGCTGGGCGTAGCATTCTATCCACTGCCGATCGGCGCAAGGTCGTCCATCTGCGCATCTCCATCAGCCAACTATTCCCCCGCACACGAGAAGAAGGGACCATGGAATAAAAAGATTAGCGCCAATGTCGCAGGGTTCAAACATACGAGAGTCCTGATCATTCAATTTCAAAAAGTATCCTTCCTGATAGACCTTGTTGGTGTGGATATTGAGAAAGGAGAAGATCGGCGACAGCTCCGCCGGGGTATCCTCCTCATGGGGCATCAACGGTGGATTGCGCGAGAATATCATCGACGCTGGGCGCGAACCAATTCCTTCGCCTCGCGGATTCGAGCCACCGACAGGCGACAAGTCAGACGGCGGGGACGGGGTATCGGGCGAAGGGGTCTGCCACCTCGGGGGTGTATCAACGGGCGTCACATTGCGCGAAAATCGCTTACTCTCCTTTCCAGAGTCATTGTTCTTCGGGCCTCCCCAGGTTGATATAAACGAAAGGACTAGAAGGAGGACGCAAGGGCGAGTCAGTAATGCGGTCCTGCCGAAAGCTTGCGACCCAGCGGGAGGCGATCAATTGTTCACTTACCACGCGAGCGACCCATGACGTCGGGCGGATGAATCGGTCACCAGCCAAAACCTCAATCTGGTCTGCCACCAGCGCTGCAGGAGGTTGCGCAACGTCTCCGAGGGGGAGAAGAGCGAGAATCCGAGAAGATGCCAGGGGGCAAGTGAGAGTGTGTCAAGAAGGAAGCCGGTGGCGCACGGTCTTGGTTGGAGGAGAGAGTGGTGGAGCTAAGAAACCCGCTAGAACCGAAACACGGAGGAGCAAATTAATCCATGGAGGTTTGATGCAGACAAAGGGGGGTTCTCCTTGGACAGATTTGAGAGGAGGAGGTCACTGGAGATGTGATTGAATCAGAATGGGGAGTACTGAAGAAGGACCAAGAGGAATCGGACGTGGACCAAGAAAGTCGGCAGGCCGTTTTGCAGGACAGGCGCCGCCAAGCGGGTGTGATGACGTTGCGGCCTTGGGGAAAGTCGGTTTGGGCAGCGGGTCAGTGAGTTGGTCACTGGTGGAGGGAGGAAAAAGAGGAAAAAGAGGGGAGGTTGGGGAAGAGAGTGAAGAGAGTGAGGAGAGGTGAAAGATAGAAAGCATGACCATATGGAGGAGAGAATAATAATAATAGTACTAGTAATAATAATAATCCTTCTTCCGGAGGATATGATGAGTGAGTACTACACACAACGGATCTTATGGAGAAGAATGCCATCGAAGAGGCAAATGGCCGCATGGCCGTGGGTCTGGGTATCAGCCAAAACCATAATTACCACGCTCAGGAACCAGGCCAGGGTTTTTTTTTTTTTGAAAGAACTGGCTAGTTCGGAGCATATTAAGGAGTGCCTCTGACAGAAATCATGATCTTGGAGAACTCATGGTCTCTTCTCCTTGATCACTGACCCTGGAGTATCGTCACTAGGCAATGACTATTGGCAGCGGGTGGGCCCTAGCGACTAAGTTTACGAGATGCTGACCGACTAAACAGTAGTACCTAACTTAGTTACTCTATTTGAATGCACGGAACAGGTTACGGAGTTAGTCCGCCGTTAGTATGGGGTCACTACGATAATTATTAATTAGGATGATTCATTAGGAGACGAGTAGTAACTCCTTTTCTCTGTACGACCATCACCTGTCTACTACGATACTCACAGTTCCTTCGTATTTTGACACTCTCATGACAAGTCAAAAGAAAAGAAAAAAAAAGCCAAGGCTGCGTCATGCTGGACCCTCCCGTGGGTGGGATCGTCGGGGACATCCTGTCTTAGTCCCAAATTTAGCAGTGTCTTAGCCAAGCTCAAACTATACGATTGTCGGTTTCTGCTCCTTCCTGATGCCACGCAGTATATACTGCTGTAGTCACACGGTAGCCTTATTTCCCCCTTTTTTGAACTATTTTAGGCACTCCCTTACTGTGTGGAGTACTCTACATTCTTTCGATGGAACATTCGATTCCGCCACCGGCCATTGCTCGGCACCGCCTCTCCTTTTCCTCGCCACTTTCCTGGCCAACGACAACTTTGATCTGTTTCTTACAGTAGTTACTACGGAGTACTCTCTCCCAGTACAAACCAAGTTTTGCCGGGCTTCCCCGTGCAATCTCAATTAGCCAATGATCTAACAAGTCCAAGTCCAAGTCCAATGATGGAATCACAGCGGGTCAGCGCGGCCCAAGACCCAGCGCCCATTCTGTCCTTGTTCGTTCTGCCGGGACGCGCAACGCTGGCGCGGCGACGGGCTTCGCATTGGCCCAGGCGCACACACCGCCGGGTCCTGCGCGGCCCAAGTTGCTCTTCAGAAACGAGTTGATTTCAACTTTACCCGCATGCTGGGCCTACCTCCAGGTCTCTGCAGGCATGCAGGCAGATCAAAAGGCTCGGCGATCTATCTGAGGCCCGCCGATGGCTAGCCCGTTGTCCGTTCCGCCCCCCCCCCCAAAACCCGCCTCGCCGACCTGAGATCAATACTGTACAGTATTCCGTTGGTCGCCTCAGCTTGGGATGCGAGCATCCGAAAAACTCATCACCACCATGCAGGTCATTCTTAATCCCTCCAACTGGCATCCTCGGGCTTGCCTCGCCTGCATTAGACCTCCGACCCCTCCAGCCACAAATTGGGGCCTCCGGTGGAGTCTTGGCACTCTTGGTCGATAACCGGCATTTCATGGCCAGGTGGTTCCTCCCCCAGTTATGATGTTATCGTGATTCATCCAGATTTGCTGGTCATTAACCTTGGGGGATGATGGATCGAGATCGGCTCCATTGTTTGCTGCCTCCCCCAGAAAAAAAAAAAAGAACCCTGCCCCTCCAAGTCCAACCCAGTCGATAGTTGCCCACATTCTTGACTCAGGATGCCCAAGTATTTGTGGCTAAAGCTCCCGATGCGTCGTCATGCGCCATCGGTTCGCTACCGAATAGGGGTCAACGGGGGTTGACTGACTAGCCACCCTATATAAGCGTTGTAAGCAACACGTAAGTCAACATCGTGGCGTCGGATAAATCCCGTTAAAGTTAGGCGTCCGACAAGCCGAGAAAAAAATTACGATTTGCCCTTGTTGATGGGGTATTTCCATAGAATCTTTGTTAGTTGGTTCTTCGATTCAATGCAATATTAATAGTCAAGATTACTATTACATATGTATGAGTGATTCTGCATTGTTGTCTCAGGTGAGACGCCGAGACTCCCGGGGTTCTCTGTCCAAGCCCCGTGGTGGACCTCGTGGTGTCTTGGCTTTTGGCTTTAGCTCAAATAGGGCCCTGTCATGAGGTTCTTGGCCTTCACTCAGGGACACCCAGTCACCCACCCGGACCACCCCTCCCCTGTCCCCATATTAGGGCCCGAGACCCGAGCACATGGCCCAAGGGTGGATGAATGATCGTGCAACGTGGTATTTTCCACTGGATCGACGAATCGGCTTAAGGCTGTGGGGAGCATATTCACATCACGCGTTGATTCTACATAGATTTTCGAGAGTATTCAATAATGAACTACTAATATGTATGTGCACTATGTGCTGAATTCGAGAACTTCTGCTAGCGCTCGCTTTCCCGGTGCAGACTACCTCTTACTCATCTGCATGGCTATACATGCATTGCATTCGGAATCTAATGCTTCATCCTGTCTGGCTAAGAGTATACAACGTATCTTATCAATCGAAAACAGCGATGGGTCACAATCTCGTCGTCTCTAATTTCTTTGAGAGTTAGTAGTCATGCTCCTTTTTCCATAGTTAGTTACAATTCTGGTCATCGTATTATCATTTATAGAGGGCGATTGATTCGACTTCAATAGACGGAGCAGAATACTTATTGAGTACAATATCTTATTCTCTGGAACTTGGAGCCCACTCCACATAATCATTTAAATCTCCTCAAATGCCCGAACAATAAAAGACTTTCCTTGGATAACCACCTTCTCCCCAGGAATCCTCCAAGAACCCTGGCCCTCGCCCTCAAATCCAGTCTTCATCGACGGCAAAGCAGCCGCATCAGGCCCGACAACATACTTCTCTTCCCAGCCAGAACTCCACTCCTCTCGTCTCGCGCTGACTTCAGCACCAGTTCTCTTCAATGACCAGCTACCGTCCGAACCCTTCTCTTGAGAATGAATCTGAACCTGCTGGAACGCCATATAGGTGCCCCAGATTCGACCGATGAACAGTTTAGTCACGGTCACCTCGCCGTCGGTCTCGGATGGCTTGAGGTCACTATCATCGGACTCGAGAATCCACGAGAGACCCTTCTTGGCACCCTCCGGGCCCTCTCTGAATGGCAACTCGCGCCAAACCTCCTCAAAGGCCGTCATGGGCGCACCGGGGAGATCGGCGCGGGGCATCTCGCCAGTTTCGAGATCGTCGCCGTTGGGGAGAGGGCTAAAGCTGGCGGGATCGACCATGCCGATTTCATTCAGTGAGCACAGCTCGCGGGTGAAGCGCACCTTGACTGTTCACTTTGTCAGTATTCATTTATCATTTTCATGCGTGACGGTATCTAGATTGATGGGTAACATACCCGGTGTTTCACCTGGGTTCTCCACGATTCGAGTACCGGCCATAGCCCAGTCAATCGCGCCAGATGCCTTGTCCATGCGCAAATCAATGAACCATTCTCCCACGGTGAGAACAATGGTATCGGTCGTCTCCTCTGGGGGTTCGGGCACCCATCGGAGAGAGATACGGGTTGAGAAGCTGCTGGACGAGCCCAACTGAGCGCCGGTAGCCGCCATGGTTGCACACGGGAAGATTTGGAAGCTGGTAGTCAGGAATCAGAATTTCCTATCGGACAGGCGGGGTAATATCTGGTTTCTTACATTCCAACTGTGGAGAGCGTCGGAGAGGTACTGGGAATCGGCCGATTGGACGAATCGGGAAGTTGGAAGAGACGGCGTGCACCCTTATCGCTTATCGCTTATCATTTATCGCTCTTCTGTTGCCCTCGGCAGGTTTGTGAATGTATTCTTTCTGCACTAACCTTATCTAGCTAGCTGTTATACCTACTAGTGAGATCTTTTCATGATCTATATATTAGGAGAATATACGGAGTAATTGCTGCTCTGAAGAAGGGTCGGGGGCAAACACATTATAGAAACACAGAAGATATAGAGAATGTGGCGGATTCGTGGATCCTCTGCGCTTCCTTGCTGATCACTCAGCGTCGAATCCAAAGAAAGTACAAGTTTACGGAGCTCAGAATCGGGGGTTGGGAGGAATAAAAGACTATAGTTTGCAGCGGCGGTGCTTAAAGTCTTTAGCAAACAAGTTAGAGTATACTGGACTCATTGCAGAGATCGATAATCCTAGTCCGTTTCGCCTCCTAACTTCCATCAATAGTTGGACGCTAAGCCCAATTTGTTCCCCGCTGAACGATACGGAACTTGCCTTTCGCCCAGCAAAATAAAATTATAAAGCCAGGAGAGACACGAGCAGTCTTTGCAGAACTTGATTAAGACAATTTAGGCCCGTTCTAAGAAGAACCGTCTTTACAGTGCAGATATCCCAACATTCTCACCAAGCCGTCGCTTTCAAAGTTGGCTACTGACCTCATGGAGCACATGCAAGGTTCTCGCGACACTACTCCAAAATACCAGCCAACCTACGGAGTCCGTCTCTCGAACGAAGAGATAGGCTGTATACTTGAATGCCTCATTCCTGGCTGCGATGTCTTGGATATTAATCGTCTTGCTTCCGGGAAATCGTTCAACAATCGCATCTACTTTTTGAAAGTATACGTTCTTAAGGGCCTGCCGCTACGAGGCTTGAACGAAGGTACTGTCAATGACCTCGTTCTGAAATTAAACGGAAGATTCTTCGATCAGTCGAAAAGCGAAAACGAGGTATCTTGCTTGTCCCTTCTTGATGCTTTCGTGCCTGAAATACCCTGTCCACGGGTCATCGCCTGGTCTGATAGTCAATCGTCTATCGTCCATAGATTGGCGCCCAACGGAGCTCTCTCAAGATGCGAACTTCGGCTTGGATCTGAAATTAGTATGCAATATCGTGGATGGATTCTCATGACTCAGGTTCCTGGAATCCCTCTGTCAACATTAAGCCTGAGTGCGGACGAGCTCAAGACAATCGGCGAACAACTAGCAGATCTAGTTTTTCGCTGGAGAGAAGGACTACCTGCCTGGACAGTTGCTGGGAACTTTGAGTGTACGATCACTCACGAGAAATCTCAATGTCTTAATTGCATAGAGATTTCTGGCTTGCGAATAAGGTCTTCTTCTAACATGCCTGGCTTCGGCATCAGAACCACTGAAGCTATCATCAATGAGCTTCAGTACTACCGAGTGAAACTCAAGACAAGGCTCCAGAAGCTCCAGGAACTGGAGGTTTTCGAACGAAACAGGCATTTGGTTGACCCTATCCGTGAGTTCATCACTGTTCGACTACCGCAGCTTGAAATGTGCAATAGGCAGAGCCCTTTCGTGTTCACGCACTACGATCTCGCACCCCGCAATCTGTTGATATCAGTGGAAACCGCACAGATTACCGGCATTGTTGACTTTGAATTTTCTGGTTTTTTCCCGGAATTTGATGAGTACGTCGAGAGCGGAAATGAATTCCCAGATGAGTTCTACAAAGCATATCTGGATAGGCTTGAAGAACACGGCTTGAGAACCCCAAGAAAGGGCATCGATGAGCAACTGTGGAAAGAGGTTTTGGGGCTTTCTCAGCTGGAAGAACACATAGCGCCCTGGTGGCTTGAGAATTCGGAAAATCTGGCGGAAGACGAAAAAATAGAGCTCTTGGAGGGTCTTCAGAAGTCGGAAAAGATGGTTGTGGAAGCGATGCAGGTACTTGGTCAGAGTTCTTAAGATGTTATACATAGATGAAAGGGAAATGTATATCATTGATAGATTGATCCGGCGCTTACACATGCTTTGGTTGTACCCGGCCGCCGGCTCTTAGTCTACTCCAGTGGAGGCCTACTCTGCTGTAGAATTTGAGATATACTGGAACTCGGTGCTACTTTCTTTAGTTGAGGTGTAAACTGCACTCATTGGACCAGGCTTGCAAACCGGATTCAACATGGGTGCAGCTCGGCCCCGTGAGAATTGTTCCACATAAGCTTGAGACCTATTAATACTGCATTAATATTTATGATGGGGTCTTGCAAACTGGATCCAAATATGTGACCTTTAATTCAAACCACCATCCCCGCATTTTCCACCGAGAGTCCATATTCATACGACGCCAGCCGAGGTCCCCGGGCCCCGGAATTACCCAGTTTGAGCTCTTCGCCCCACTGAGAGCCCCCACTCGAAGCATCCCCCAGATTTTATACTCCAGACCGTAGACAATACAGCTTCAACCCCCAGACATTGTGTATTTTTCGATGAATATTGCATTTCCCTTCTCATAATGACGTTCCAAACTCCACCCCCACCAACAACCATCTTCGAACTCTCCTTCCCCAGTCCGGGAGTTCTGCTCGCGACAATCAACCGTGAGAAGCGCATGAACTCGATCCCTTTACGAGGTCACCATGAAGGAACTGCTCTCTGGAACTGGCTTGACAATGAGCCATCAATGCGGGTAGGAATCATCAACGGCAAGGGACCTAAGGCCTTTTGCGCTGGCGCCGATCTTATCGAGCAGCGTGATATCAGCCGAGGTGACGAGGCCAGACCTGAAAAGGGTGCGGAAGGCGGCTTTGCAGGATTGAGTCAACGACGAGGAAAGAAGCCAGTCATCGCTGCAGTCAATGGGCTGGCACTGGGAGGTGGATTCGAAATCTGTCTGAACTGGTTCGTGCTTGAGTTTGATTATTGCAGCCATGTTTAAATCACTAGTTCATTTGCTAATCGGGGTATTCAACTTGCGTTAGTGACCTGATCGTTGCCTCCCCCAAGGCTGAGTTTGGTCTACCCGAAGTTCTTCGCGGCCTATACGCTGGAGCCGGTGGACTGTCACGTATTGTCCGCGACTGTGGAATGCGGATTGGTAGTGAACTGGCATTGACTGGACGCCGAGTACCTGCAGAAGAGGCCCTGAGGCTGAGATTGATTAATCGTATTGCCAAATCCCCAGAGTCTGTCTTAGATGAAGCCCTGGAGCTCGCGAAAGAGATCGCTAGCAAATCCCCTGACGCGATTATTGTCTCTCGGTCGGGCCTCCGCGAATCATGGGAAACGGCGAGCACAATAGAAGCCGACAAGATCACGGCAGAACGTTATGGCAGGGCCTTGCTGAGTTCGGAGAACCTGAGGATTGGTCTTGAGGCTTTTGTAGCTAAGAAGCAGCCGCAATGGGTGGCCTCCAAACTCTAGACATCGAGTTTGATCTACCAGTTTCATAATATCTACATGCTTCGAGACTTTCCTCGTGTGTCTCAGTTGATAGTCAAGGACTGAAAAATATCTATTGTTTAAGATAAGTATACAAAGCTATGTACAGATACGTATTCATGGATGTCGACGGTTTTAAATCTTAGAGCCCACGATTTTGAATGTGTTTCTCCCTGTGTCCCGGTCCGAGTCCACCCAGATTGGCTTTCCTACTTGCTCACTTGCTGAACCAAGCTCCTTCAAAGTGGAACCATCAGTTGTGACAGCGATGAATCGAGAGCCATTCTCATCCAGGCGACCCAAGATAAAACCCGCAAGAGGTGACCCATCGCGATCGTATTGAACCGTGTATGTCTATTCATCATTTCGGTCATCAGAAATCCTAATTGGACTATCAAGGCACAACTTACCTCAATCCTCGCGCTTCCTTGTACCCTTTCGGCAATAGGCGGCTGAGCATCGCTCACATGCTGGGGAAGAGGGTTTCGGTTCGGATAAGGGGCACCGTCGGATCGTGGCCGTCGAGACAGACACACTGCATGATGATGGGACAGAACACCTCCGTTAGCAAGGACGAGACCGATGCGGTCATTACCTTGCCGGAGCTGGCGAACCATCTCCGTGATAGCCTGGTTAAATTAGTTGGGTGCATTCAGAGTATCAAGAATATCGAACCAACATACATGCATAGAGTAGTTGTTACCAGCTCCGCCAAAGGAAGTGAGGCCACCGAGCAGAGTCGTCGGCTTTTTGCCGCCGTAGATCGGGATTCCCAAGTGCAGAGAGGCCAACTTTGGAACTATTGGGAAACATCTGTGTCCAGTTAGTGGAGCTCTCCCATGCAAGAAGCGTGTTGTACTCACGAATAGAAATCGAACAAATCAATGTCCTCCGTTTTCACGTTTGACACGGCTAGGGTCGCATCAAGACAAGAAGACAGGCTCCGGCTGGCATGGAACGAGCTACGCTCCCAGACTAAATACTCCTTTGTCAGAAACCCTGAGCCAATATTTTGATCATATTGGAAGTCTCTCACAATGCTCATGGTCATGAGTACCTGCACCTCCAAGAGGAAATATCAATTGAGACTCGGGGATTCTCAGTTGTCGTGCATGCCCAAGCGAAGTGATGATACACGCTGCCGACATATTCACCGTGTTGAATGCATTCATCACCAGAGGATCTATTACTAGTCAGCCGAGACGAACCGCCGCATTATTCAGCCTATGCGAGTACTTACAAGGCAGACAGATCATTCGGTTTCTTTTCGTAATCTTGCCAATAGTCTCTGCCGTGTCGGGCTCCTTCCCATGGGTCCAGGCAATAGGGTTCTTTGCCGCTACACGCGAATACTCTGCATAGAGTTCACTCGATTCGCGATGATTCTCGGCCAGGCTCTGTCCTCGATGTGCACGGAGGGCAGCTTCGTACATTGGATAAACCTGTATCGGCAGCCCGAGTCCATACTTAGTGGCCAAATCTAAAAATGGTCAGCTCTTGTTAATGCTGCATTGAATGGGCAAATGGCAATGTTGCATACTAGTCTTGCGTGTCCGTTCCCAAATAGAGGTAGTAACATCCACATGCGTCCAATCCGGAGGAGGGAACTTCTTCGCAGCCTGAAATGCACCCACTAGGTTTCAGACGTTAGCCATCATGTTCGAGCACAATTGATCTTGGTCCAAGGTATGGGGAAAATCTACATGATGCAAGGGCCTCTCCACCCGTGACGACGGCGACTTTGCTCTGTCCGCTGGCGATACGCCGGCTTGCTTCGTCAAACAATTCGGCCGGCGCATTGCCGCCATGCCCACTTTCGTGAAGATAAGTAGCTTGGCAGCCTAATTTGTTGACCAGGAGCTCTGGGGTATTAGGATAGGGCCACGTCCAATTGGCCACGACGGAGATGCTATCAATGCTCTGTTGGAGACTCTGTGCATCTTGAGTGGATATACCAGTATCTTTCAGAGCAGCTGCAATGGCCTGTAGCATAAGCTCCAAAGGCTCGGCTGCATCTTCCAAGCGATTTGAGCGGTTCTTGATGTCGCCAACGCCGATAACGACGGGGATTGCGTGTGACATCATAGACATTATATACCTGGGTTGGGGTTTACAACAACTTCACAATTGAGCGAGCTCAAGGAAACGGGACAAAAAAGATGATATGACATCTTCTTCTCTCCCCTGCCTTCGGCTACTATTATAACCCGCGGCGATGTTGCTGGGTCCTAGTGGGGAAGAGATCGCCCAAGCGTGCTAATGAATTCGGCAAGACGCAACATACCGAGGGTAAACGGCATCCCCTCAGCAATTTTATGGGCTTCCACAACCGTGGAAAGCCCTCGGGCTTCACATGACTAATCTGCCATTCATAAATCAAATGCAAGTAATAAAAATCCGGTGACCTCTGCAATGTATATTAGCTGCTGTTCTTCTTGTGGGGCCTGAAGCTAACTGTGTGTAGTATACCTACCCCAGTGCTTCCCTATTCGGTAAAAGTAGATGCCAAAACGATCAAGTATGTTAAGGTATAATCAGATAGAATTGGACCACTATCCCTCCGATTCTCTGGCAGCTGTCAAATACGTACATATCCGCGTTATATTGCACATCCCCAGTGAGGACTTGAAGCTGACGTCAGAGATCAATGCCATTGAGGCTTGACTCGGTTGATGCAGTAGAAGCCCTCCAGGACCACTTCGTCTTGACTGGGAACCAAAACTGATTTTGTTGTTTATACCATCATTTTAGCCATTGAGAAGCAACCCAAGTTTTTAATTCGATGAGTTTCGACTTTTGTATCTTTATTGAATCGACGGAGATGGCGCTCGTTGCTGCGTTGAGATTTCCACAGAAGCCTACTTAGACGATAGCCATTATTTCAGCAGACAAGACGTGAAGACAAGTCATAGAACGATTTGACCATCCTATGTCCAGGAGTGACGAATGTGTCTTACATGTAAATAGCTAGGAACCCAATGAGCGATTGTCGCTGAACTGGCTTGTCACTCGATTGATTTTGTAATCTTGCTTCTAGACAAGATTATATTGTCTCTTTAGATCTTTGCATGAGGGAAACCGCCGCAAACAATAAAGTTGACTGCTAGCGTGTAGTTCTCGCCAATACACATCAACCACGGGAAAGATCAACTGGCGGGTTAGCCGATTGGACAGGCATGGGAAGAAACTCCAGGATATATGTCCGTGGCTGTGTTGATACCTTAATCGTAGCTCGGTATATTGAATGAAGAAAAAAACAGCCGAGAGCGAGCTCACTTCAAAGCTTGTAAGCTGAGCCAGAGATATCTTCAGCTCAACGATATTTCTCCACGTAATCACATGATGGGCTGCATCACTCATGTGGGGCCCAACCACCCTACTCTGGCCTTCGTTAACCTCTGAAGGACAGGGTATCGAGGACACGATCTCAAGAATGCCACCCATCTGGCTCTCGGCTCCGCTTTAGATGTCAACTGCCAATAAGCCAAACTTAGTCGGGACTCCTTAATTCATGAGCACATGGATCCGGACCCCTGAAGAGGATGGGCGGCAAACCTTGGACATCAGGTGGCTGCAGGACGTGCAAAAAGCGCAAACTCAAGGTCGGTAATTTCGATGATTATATATGCGTGGAATTCTTCTTATTTTAATTCCTAGTGTGATGAACAGAGACCCAAATGTGCTCGATGTATCAAGCGTGGAATTGAATGCCTCGGATACGTGGACAGGCGCATTTTTGTGCATCAAGCCTCCACGCAGACAGAGACGCTACACAATGATACACAGAAGCCTACACATGCACTTCAATATTCTCGTCGGGCACGAGAGTTTGTATTACCCGGAACGCCCAGTGATAGTCCGGTGTTTCGTGTTCAGCTCTCTTCATCATTTCTCAACACATATTTTCCTCTCCATATGGAGAAGATTGCCGGCGTCGACTCTTGGTACTTTCTGTTCACCAGCTGGGTAACACTCCCCAATAAGAGTGAGCTTTTGGATAGAGCTCTGTCCGCTCTTGCTTGCACCTGTCTGGGCAAGACAAATCAAGATCGAGGACTGTATCATCATGGGCTCTTGCAATACAATAAAGCCATAAGACTCCAGTCTGTCATGATCAACCGTGGACTATGCACTGAGGAGATGTTGTATTCTGCACTCGTATTTGTGGAAACTGAGGTAAGACTGTGACGACTGTATTTACATTGGACCTCATACCCACTAAGAAAGAGTTACTCCTGTCCCGAGGGCATGGAAGCATGGTATACCCATGCAGTAGGGGCTTATGCACTTATCAAACGGTACCGTGGCACAGCAGAAACACCTAGAAGCCCTGCAATGTCTTGTCTTTTGAATACATTTGCGAAACTTCTCATGGCAAGCTACCCCATTCTTGCGCTCTTCGGGACAACATATCTAACGACAGCATCATTAGATACTCATAATCTCATCGCTCAATGTTTCAGGTGAGGAATATAAGCAGATCGTGCAGTCTTGTCACGAATCGCCTTTCGATGGATTGGTCAAGCTATATGCAGACTCTGCAATAATTGCCCAAGCAGCAAACTCGATCAATCCCCTTGACTATAGAGCCTGCCGGTTACTGCTCCACCATAGCATCGCGCATGAGAAGAACATTGCTGCATGGTATGAGCAGATCAAGCAGGAAATAGGTGGAGCTCCCTGGGAATGCGCCCAGGGGGAATTATTATGCAGTGGACTTGGTCGTTCGGATGATCTATTCGGGATCCCTTTTCGATTTTCTTCGCTTGAAAATGCCAGGATACATATCCTGGTGTGGAACTTACTACGAGACCTTCAGCCATACATTTACACAGCCCGGAGTCTCGTGAGATCATTCACAGATGATAGTCTTCCCAAAGTCGAACTCAGATGTGAGAATCAGCAACTCGCGGGATACTATGCGGATCAAATGGCAAGAAGTGTTTTGTACTGCCTGCAAGACGAGTTCAAGTCATGTGGCGTCCAGTGCTTGATATTTTGTGTTTGCCAAGCTGCCAAAACATGGATTGGTATCAGAAGCGCAGAAAAAATTGCGTGGTCTCGAGAAGTTTTTGATTTCGTATCGGGCTTAGGCTTCGACTATGCCAGCCGATTGAAGGAGACTCTGATGTCTCAATGGACCCAGGGAGAAAAGTCCAGTTCCGACCTGATCCCTAGCAAAGAGCCGCCGGAGCACATCGGTGAAGCTCGTGATATTGCAGGCATATCAGAGCTCTCAGCTCTCCCGGGTATGCTAGGCAAACCATCCATGTTAGACGTGCCAGAGCTTTCCAGCATGTCACCGACGGGAAAGCTCCCAGATGCCAGATTTGCTGTAACGGTACCTGTACGAGAAAGAAGGGTAATGCAATGACCATGATAAAATGATCCCGAATGAAATAGAACATACTGCAAGGAAAATTAATTATTAGACATAACAACTTATAATGCCCGTGATGCTGACAATAGCCCAGCTGCCTGACTAGTGAACGAAGATTCTCAACTATTGGTCGATGAGGCTGTGAACATTGCTGCTGAAGGGTCTCGAGTACCAGGCTCAGGCTGTAAGTTGTAGCCCCATTTCAGGAATTACTATTTGTAGATTTTATTGGGTTCGAGTACTGACTTTCAAACGACTGAGTTTAAGAAGAAAGGATGTCACGGGCATGAGATAAGGTGAAACAATCAACACATGTGTGGTATTCAATGAGATATCGTAAGGTCGTAAATGTGGTGCTCAGACATGAAACTTCTTAAAAGATACAAGGGCCAACGAAACATGAGCACAAAGTTTGGAGACTATCAAAATAGTCGTAAATGTATCCCCGCTGACTCATTTCACTCTTCCATCAGATAATATGTCTGAGCTGGGTCCATTGAGGCCATCTCGTTGTGGCCAGGTATCATGGAATCCATATCTCTCTCCATCTTCATGGAAAAATCGGGTTGCATCAACATTTCCGGGTCTAGCGTGGTCTGCGACTCAGTTGGAAGAGACATATTCGTCGTACTAGCAAAGCTCTGGTCGAATTCGAGACCGTAAATGCCGAGCGCGTTTCCTCCGGGGCCAGATTGATCAGACAAAAGGGCCCGCTGCATGAAAAGAGCTTGTACTTGATCCTCGGAACAGCCATGCTTGGCAGCCATGTGTACCCACAGGTCATAGTCACGGTGAAATCGATGCTCACAGGATTCATAGAAACAAGCGATGTGGCGGCCTGTTTCTTCCACGTAGCCCTGGCCCGTGAGAGCTGCCAACGTCGAGATCTGGTGGGAATTGCTAGGCTTATTTGTCAGACCAAGTCTTTCACGCCGCTCTGCCTTGGAATTTTTGAATCCCATATGTGACGTGCGAATATGTTCCTCGAGAGCGAGCTTGGTGCCATAGCGCTTGCCACAACCATAACCGTCCCAACCGGTCACTTTGTTGGAGGCAGAGAGATCTGTCTCGCCACATGCAAAGCGCTTCTCGCCTTCGTGGAATGTTCGAATGTGAACAGTCAGGTTGCCCTTTTTGGTAAAGCTGCGGTCGCAGCCGTCCACAGTGCAATTGAAGATCTTCCTGTCTTCAAGACTGACGTCACCGTGTGTGACTTCGAGATGGCGACGTAATTCACGAGATGTGGAACAAGTAATGGGACACTTAGGACATTTTGGAGGGTGTGCCGTGCGAATATGAGCTTGTAAGAGCGCGTAAGTGGGAAACGTGAAAGACTGATCGGGTAGATTCCCAGTGAAATCCACGTTTGACGATTGCTCCTGGTGGCACCCAAAGCATTCCGTACAGCTGAAACGTTTCTCGGTGTGTACTCGGCTCCTGTGGGCTCGGAGATTCCCAGCAGTGTCGAATGCCATTTGGCATTGCTGTCCAGTGTGCTCATCGACATCAGTACATGGGAATGGTTTTTGGTGCAGGTGGACCATTATGATGTGCTTTTGAAGGGTAGAATGCTTTCGGAAAGTCTCGTCGCAAGGTGGATACTCGGTACAGCGGTATTTGTCTCGACCATCATGCGCGGCGAGATGGCGACGAAGACGGGATCCAGTGACGAAACTCTTCCCACAACCTGGGCGATCGCAGACATAATCACGGACTCCAGTATGAGCACTCTTCACGTGATGTTGGAGGTGAGAAGCACGTAGAAAAGTCTTGTCACAATCTTCAAAATTGCATTGGAAGACTCGCTCATTATTATGCGACCGAATGTGTTCTTGAAGCCGGGCAGGGCGATTGAACGCTTTGGAGCAACCTTCGAACGGACAGCGGTGAGTTTTCAGCTCAGACGGGTATCGTGAGGATGTCGTGGAGATTGGTGTCGCAGGAGTATCGTTAATGTCATCGCTAATAAGGCTGGGTGTCTCCGATCCCGAGTACTCAGCGTCGGAATGCACTTCCTCATAAATTGGATCTGTTGTGGATTGTCAGCAACTCGACGGGTCTTATCGCAAATCCGTAGTGCCTTTTACCATCATGGTCCAGAAGAGGCTGTTGCCGCCGTTTGGTCGGAGAGACCTCTTCTGTGGAGGCCTTTCGTTTCAAGGCCATAGCTGAATGACCCTCGGAGCGACAAAGCCATTCACCAGCAAAGTAAAGGATGGATGATGTCGTAGAGTTCGTGTGCAAATAAAATTATTTTGCCGGTGTGGGCAGGCGGTGGCGACGAGAACGGACTAGCGTGGTGGAAGATTTTCCGCCTTTTTTGCATCGCGAACCTTCACTTTCGGTCCTGCGCTCAGGGTTTCTCTCTCATTGATCCCCTCGGACTTCATTCATTACCATTCAACATGTCGGACTACGGTGGCGATAACGACGCTGAGGAGAAGTATGATTTCCCGCCAATTGAAGCGTCAGGAGGCTACGCGAGAGATCCTTTTAGCCTTCGGTCACCATGCTTTCTCTAAGAGCTTTGAGAAGAGTGAAGCGCAGTTGCTAACTTGGTGCTTCCTGCAGCTATGACTTCGAGCCTCAAGAGGAAGTCTTCGACGAGAACGAGCCCGAGGATTTCATTGACCACGAGGGTCTCGAGGGCGACGATGGTGTCGAAGGCGGGTCGTACGAGCCAGCTGTCAACGGGGAGAACGTGGTTATCTCAGGCGATCCCAATGCTGGCTACTCAGGCAAGGTGATGGAGCAGTCGCGTGAGAAGAAGGTGCCGAATGACAAGCGCACAACTACTCCATACTTGACCAAGTACGAGCGCGCCCGTGTGCTCGGCACTCGCGCTCTGCAGATCAGGTGTGTTTACTCGGCAGCATAGCCGACTGGTTGCCATAAGGCGAGGCAGATTCGGCCTGAATTAGGCGTAGCTAATTTCTCGTGCGATGCAGTATGAATGCGCCCGTACTCGTCGACCTCGAGGGTGAGACCGATCCGCTGCAGATTGCCATGAAGGAGTTGAACCAGAAGAAGATCCCTCTGATCGTGCGCCGGTATCTCCCCGATGGATGGTAAGGATAGCCTGGACTGTTAGCGACGGAGCGAACTTGACACTGATTTTGTCTAGGTATGAGGACTGGTCTTGTGAGGAGCTGCTTTAGACTGATACCACCCTTCCTGCCTGGGACTTTTGGGATTCTTTTTGCTTTTGGGTGGGTTCAGCATAGCGTTTGGAGTTTTGGGAGTATAGAAACCGAGGCTCAGAACAGAAAAACTCAGGCGCAATGCGCCGTGGACATGGGCACGAACTGTACATGAGATCTACAAAGACCAAAAAATAGTAATGACGGTTTCTACAGTATTTCCTGTGATGTCGAGTTCTGGCTGCCTCTATCCATACAAAACGCTTACTGCTGCAGCTAGCTGCATATCATTTAATGCAAGTGCGGCTTACATAGTGGAATACCTGGTATTTGTACTCTGGACCCTGCCTTGTGTGTACTGTACTTCGATCATTTATCATCAGCCATTTCCCAATTATCTCCGGGGAGGGAACATTTCAGAAGCCGAAGTCCCACTTTTCACCCTTTGGCTCGCCCCCTCCCCTTCAAATTCGCGGCGCTAGTACTACCAAGGGACATCGTGATTCGACTTACAGTACTTCGGAGCTTGCTTGCGGCAGGCATCGCACATATCGGTCCTGGACCCCCTCTCGCCTGGGTAATCGGCACACCTCCCCAGGACCGCCATTGGTCACGCCCTCGACTTGACATCCCGCTGCTTACTTCAGCCTCGGGGCCAAGCAACATGGCTTGGCCTCAACCTACCCCATGGTCAAGGCAAGTGGATGCAAGTGGGCCACTCTTGCCTATAAGCTGCTTCTTTTCGGGCTCTTCCGTCCTTCCAACTGCTTTTTCTCTGGCGCCCCGCCTGCCTGGCGACTCGGGCTAGTCCAGGATTTATAATCTAACCTGTGGATTTTTCTTCAAATATACGACATTTTCCAGTATGCCGATCTTGTGGCTCAAACAGCTTACTTTTCTCTCCTCTGTGCCTCATTCACAGGCCCTCTGCGTCATCTGCTCTTGAGAGACTCTCCCCCAAGAGCCACGGCCAGCGTCTGTCCGATACGCCAAAATGGGAGAGATGAGTCCAACTAATCTGGAAAAAGAGCAGAAGATCGTTGCGGACGCTTCGATCACCAACGATGCGGAAAAATCAGATCCACTGGGGACCAATTCCCCTGTCGCAAAGCCGATTGAGGAGGCAACATTCGACACGGGGATGTTCGCCTGGTTGCAGGTCTTGGGATCGTTCTTTCTATTCTTCAATTCATGGTCAGTTGCTCTCCGGTGGAAAAGGAAACTCCGTCAATATGAAGCATGCGCTGACATAAGACTTACCAGGGGTGTGATCAACACTTGGGGTGCATACCAAACCTACTATGAGCAAAATCTACTTGCTGGCACTTCGTCATCCTCCATTGCATGGATTGGATCTGTGCAGGCGTTCCTTTTGATGCTGATCGGTGTCATTACGGGTCCTCTTTTCGATGCTGGCTATTTCCGCGGGCTACTCTACTTTGCCAATTTTATGCTGCCCTTCGGCCTGATGATGACCAGCATATCGACCAAGTACTGGCATCTTTTCCTCGCGCAGGGTATATGTTGCGGACTAGCAGCCGGGTGTCTGTTTGTACCGTCGGTTGCCATTCTACCTCAGTATTTCCGTCAGAAGAGAGGACTTGCCAATGGTCTTGCTGCTAGCGGTAGCAGCATCGGTGGTGTGGTTTACCCGATCATGCTCAGCGAGTTACAGAAGAAGGTTGGATTTGCCTGGGCGACTCGTGCACTCGGATTTCTCAGCTTCGGAACTATTCTGATCTCATTGAGCATCATGCGCATTCGTTTTCCGCCAAAGGAGAAGCGCAAACTCGTACAACTATCTGCCTTCAAGGAGCCTGGATTCTGCCTGTTCGTTGCATCAATGTTCATAGGCTTCCTGGGTTTCTATAACTTCCTATTCTTCGTGCAGTCGTTTGCTATCGACACTGGCATTGTGGATAGAAACCTGGGTTTCTATCTGCTTTCCATGCTGAATGCGGGCTCGACCTTTGGCCGTATCGTACCCAACCTCCTCGCCGATCACATTGGCCCGGTCAACGTGCTCTCTCCCGCTGTAGTTAGCACCGCTGTATTAGCCTTTGCGTGGATTGGAGTGCACAATGTAGGAGGGATCATCACTCTGGCTGTCCTCTATGGGCTCTGCTCCGGCGGTTTCGTCTCCCTGCCTCCAGTGGTCATGGCTAGTATGACGCCCGACCTTCGTGACCTCGGCACTCGCCTCGGGATGCTGTTCGCCGTTACCTCTATTGGCATATTGATCGGCACCCCAATCGGCGGTGCCATCCTAGCTAACACGAACAAGTATCTTGGCGTTCAGCTATTCACAGCTTGCTGCCTTGTTGCATCTGCGGGGCTTATACTTGCCTTGAGGTTTTTGCAATCTGGCCCGAAGCTGAGGTGCAAAACTTGAGAGAATCGGTCTTGAATCACGATCTGGATTGTGTGTTGCAAAATCATTTGCGACAATTGTATTCGATGTCAGCGCCTCAAACCTCTCGTCTGCTCTGAGGAAGCCGGTCTAGACACACCCATCTCGTCAGTAGCCACAAAACAAATCAGCTCTCCACCTCTCGGGCGATTCTAAGTGGGTCCTCTATCTCAGCCTACTGAATTGCTCTTCCAGCTTCACTATTGCTTGGTCCTGCATGACCCATGTAAGCAGTCCTTGTCACGACAATGCCCCATTGAATCCTCATGGGGGCAGATCACGCTAGGCGGTCCTATGATGGAGTACGAGTCCGGTGAACGTTGCCATCGCATATGTATATACGAATACAAGCTTCTCATCAAAAATGCGGTGGCTCTATCAATGAGGTATATGAGTGATATGCAATCGCATGTGCATTCCGAACCACCCCGTAAAAGTCCCTAAGAATAGACCATATAAAAACCTTCCCAATTGTATTACCAGAAATGCATTGTTTCAATCGCTCGCCATGTCATTCAGAATCATGAGACGTCCTCCGGGTTCACAAGGAACTCCTCGCCCTTGTCGCGCACATGCTCTAACTTTTTGTCCCGAGTACACGGTTTGCGCATATCGAACGCATCTTCGCCAGTTTCTGACATACCCGATGGATCGTCACTGTAGTAGCTCACGACTCGTCTGAAGACCGAGTATCTGTAGGCGTCATTAGCTCGCAAGCTCCTTCCATCCACTGTCTCGCCAGACTCTGAACTCACCCCATGCCCTTATACATATCCACCGCTACCTTGTTCCCTGCGCGAACATACAGATCCACGAACCAGGCCTTATTGATGTCAGACCCTTGCTCCAGCTGCTCGGTCAAGCGACTGGCGTATCCGAGTCGGCGCCAGGCCGGCGCAACGGTCAAGACGGTGATATGGCCATGCCACGGGGTGTAGTGTTCTGAGTGCCTCATGGAGGGGTGTTGTTCTTCGAGTTTGCCCATGACTGTAAAGTGTTTAGCTTGAGATCTCCCACATCATTTGAAGAGGTCTGATAGATATCCATACTGTAGCCCACGACGCCCGCATCTCGGTCTTTCACCGTGCTGAACAGTGACGGCCATTTAGTCAGGTAGTTGAGGTAGAAGCCGAGATCATAGTTTTCGGTCAATGGGTCCAGGTTGGTCAAATTCAGATCCAGCAGGTCTAGCGGGGACATGCGCGTAATGGAACTCATCTCGTCGCTGACTCGTCGAAGAGAGCTTGAAGCTGTGAGGAATGTGGGGTTGGGTCTAGAAGATACATTTTCTGCCGGGCGGTGCGTAGTTAGCGGTGATAGTAGATACGAAGCAAATTAAGACTACTTCTAACGGTAGTAAAATGAGATAAAGATAGCATTAGGTCGGAAGGCTATATGCATTTAAATAGAGAGAAAGTTATACTCTTTGTCTATGAGAAATGATTGGTGTTAGTCCCGTTGAAAAGTACCCAATGAACAGATTTCAACGAAAACATTCTACTAGGACTGCCTAGTATCTAGAACGTTCATTATACGCATTACTTAGTTAGTTTATATCGCAGGCATGACTAAACATGAATGTAGTTATAATTGATCTTTTGAACATTTAGCTTAGTATATATCGGAGTACTTCATAACAGCAAATAGTTTTGTATCCGATAAACTTAAGTCTACCTCCAGCTACACTTGCCCTAAAAAGTTCATCAGGGCCCGATTAAAGGCTAATATAGTCCTTGGGGTATAGAGACGGGAATGTCTAGCTCTATAGATACTGTAAGAAATATATTCTCAAAGTCTGAGGTAGCGCTCGTTTTGATCACCTTTCCCGTCCACTTCCTAGTGCCAACCACGAAAGGTGAAACGGGGTTCATATTCCGCTAACAAGGCGAAATCCCCATCACTCAGAGGGTGATCATCAAACTGGTGGAATTGGGCCTCCTGAACATGGATGGCACTTTATCTGTGCCGCCTCCATTCACCGTAGTATGGGGCGACACTTCACGTTTCTGCAGCTTGTCGCAATCTGAGACTATCACCATTAGATAAAGGCTTCCGCAGGACGAAATGGATTTTCAAGATGTCTGTCTTCTGTATAAGAGAGTGGCAGGAGATTAGAAGTAACTACCCGAAAAAGACACTTTACATATTGGAAAAGCTTTTGAATACCTCGTGAAGCGGCAATCGAGGTCGAGCATAGAAAGCAAGCATCATAGGTTCTAAAAGTTGTTATTGATGGGGATGATTATTACTACTAGAGGAAATTATAAGGGCTATCCATACAGGGTATGAAAGTAGAATTGAAGTAGAATTACAGGTGGATGAGGTCGGGTGCCGCGTTCTTGACATATATTTTATTTGGATGAGTTCTATAGGAAATCAATCAAACCGATATTATGTCTTAATGAAGTTCAGCCTTGGAAGGAATCATAGAACAAGTACTGAATAAAGTTCAGCTGCTGTCAACATATGCTAATATCCTCAATGATCACAAAATCGAGATCAAATGTCAAGAGTGGTATGGGAATCCCACGATTCAAGCAGAATACCCGAAAAGCTCATCCTTTCTCATCCATCGACATCTTCAAGGTCAACTTTCTGATTATACGAAAATTTTCTATTGAATCTGGTGTAGTTCAAATTGCTGAAAATACAGATGTGATGAAAGCCCAATCATTGATATCCCAGCTTCCTCCGTTTATATCCCGTTACATATGCTCTTGGCTATCTTGCCAGATATCCCAGGCATGTTTGCACAACTCGTCCCCTCGAGGCAGAGTGAAAATAATAAGTAGAAGTTTTGTCTGGATCCAAAACTCATGGAACAACCAGAGATGTATTATCACTTACCCCACGATCACGAGGCCCGTCTCATCATCTCGCATATTCGAGATTCGAAAGCCCAGACAATGTGCAGTTTTCTCGGCATAAACTGTAGATCTAAGTGTGACCACCGGAGCAGCAGCATGACGATAACACGTGCCCAACGCATCAGGGTTGCCCCACAAACCGCGTTGTACGATAACACCCTGCATATGCACGATGCGGACATCCCGATCCAGTCCCATGCCGAGCCTGAGCAACTGGGCTCAGGCTCCTTCCGCCACTAACCTGACATCATCCCACAGAAAATCAGCATCACAACAGACTGAGTAAGCCTCGAACGCCCCGACACTATACAAAGGACAAATAGAGTAACCTGTACCGAGTAACGGGTCAGCCCGTAGACTCTCGCGGATGGCGCGGACTAGGGTCACGATGGCATCAGTTGGTCGCCACTGACTGGCCAAAGTACGCCAACCAGGGCGAGGATGGTGTGCACAGCTGAAGCTTGATAGACTGGTCGACCGTGCGCGGGGGCCAAGAGGAAAAGGTGAGCTTGTTCGGTGTCGTGATCATGGCCGCATGACGAGTAAGCTCTTCGTATTCTTGCGGAGCCATGAGGGAGAAAAAGAAAATAGAGAAGATAGAAGGATAGGAGAGGGAAAGTATAGACGAGTCTGGTATGGATATGCCTTGGACGAGGCGGTTGAGGCGGCCGAATAATAGAGAATGGGAGGGTCGTTAGGTCCTCCATACCCGAGCGGGAGCTTAGTCGAATGGTAGTATGATCATTTTCTCCTATAGCTTATAGCTCATATTGGGCGTCGTTAGTAAAAGCCACCACCGAGTTTTACATAGTCGTGTCCAGCCACTCGCTACCGGGATATAGCAAGGAGATCGATGTCTGGACCACGGGTTGAAAGTTAAAGCTTTCGGCGCGATGCGTCTCGACGATAACTTTATAAAGTAAAAAAGAAAGGGCCAAATTGATCATTTGAATGTCTAAGAGCCCACTTCCCCGGGACTCCATGAGCTAAATCTAATTTCAGATACATCATTTCATCGAGAAATCACATCATCACCGCACCACTCAGCTCCAGCATCATCTCCCAGGCTCCGCCTAACTAAGCTAGTGACAGTGAACAGCCACAACCAGTTAAAATTTATTCTTGTAGTGTTATTAATTATTATTGCTTTAGTTAGCTTCTCTGTCATTTAAAGTTATGAACTGCAGCCGCGATAAGCTGCATGACGTGATTTCGATCTGGATGGCGACTTTGCTCTCATGTACGGAGCGGAGACCAACCCGTTGGACGACTCAGCTCAGCTGCAGACATGTGGTGCACATGTAGCACAGGAGTAAAGTCAGACGGGACAAGACTATGGCACCCGTTGGTTGCGTGCAATATTTCCGAGGCCCCACCGTTCCATGGCCATGCTTGGATGTTGGCTGATGTTCTTGTCGGGCGATGCTGCAGGTTTCGAGATGGGGAAACGGTGTGTAGGAGCTACAAAATGTACCCTACGTAATGAGCATTATATGAAGTATGGTAGGAATCAAATAATCATACTACTACTACGGAGTATACAACTACAGTAGACTTCGAGGCTGAGGACAGGACAGTATACAGAACGAGATCAGGTGACCTCGGAGATCACTACTAAACTTGTCGCAACTGGCTTGTTCTTCCTCGTCCGTGGCCTAACAAATAGAGTAGGGACTGCCAAAGTCCACCCCTGCCAAGCGCGGACGGAGAGTGGACAGCAGTTGTTACTTGGACTGTTTTTTCTTGCCCGTGCGTTTGCTTTTGTTACCTGGAGCGTCAACGGGCCACTAGGGCAGGACCCCGAGTGGAGTCCGCATGTGTGTACTTTCGTAAATAATTTTTCATTTTTTTATCCTTCAATTAGAATCTTAATTAAGATTGTATAGAAAATAGTTTAGTTGAAATAGCAACTAATAAATAATTAATTTATATAATTTTTTATAATAATTTCTGTAGATTTTCTTCACACGGAAAAAGATACGAAGGGACAGATTTTAATCTTAGGGGGGCTCCACGTCAGTTCGGGACGGTTGAGCTTTTCCCAGAGAAGAGGAGAGCCAGAATGTCACTGACGGGAAGGTGTAGCCAACGTGTGTATTCTTTGAGCATATTTTTTTTGGGCGATATTATTATTCAGCAAGCTTATTAACAAGGTCAGGCTGTGAGAACTTCTGGTGAGGAAGTTAGAGACGAAAGGAAAAAAAATCAGATTCGTCAAATCAGCATCCGCAAGCTTCGCAGGCGAAGTCGACTTCCACGTTGGATCTTTCACCATCGGCGCGGGAGATTTCACCATCAGGGCCGATGCTGATTGGCTCCGCGGGCCCCGCCGTCGATCGGGGGCGTGCGCCTGCGTGGCCTGATTCGTCATGGGCCGGCTCTTGGCAGGATTATGTCAGCAGCGCGGTTCCCACGTTGCGGTTAGCGACTTTGAGTTTATTCTCGGAGCAGAGGCACATCAAAAGATCAGATGCAAATCAGATGGACAGTGATACCCTGAACTACGTGTACTGGTAGTAAAATAATCAAGGGAAAAAACCCCCAGTGAATAATCGTAATGAGGAAGTATACACTATCGCATACTCTTCCGATGGACCATCCAATATCTCTTCTCGAACTGTGTCCCCCAGCGGAAACTCTGCTCCACGCTCCGTCGTCATCAGAACCCATCGCTTCCAGTCCGCTTCCACACCGTCCGCCAGGTTCCACCCAGCACTTCCTGCTGTGCAGTGCGATCTTCGGTCTATTGGTGGGCCAAAGCCCCAGGGCACCGCGACGCTCGTTTCATTCTTATGGCAGGCGACCTCCTCGAGGTCCTTTTTGACTCTTCCCATCATCTCGGCCCTGCCAAAAGCAAAAAAGACAAAAGAAAAGCGACCTTGGCGGGCCTGTGCAGTCCCCGCCGCAGATACACACTAGCCCAACGCCAACAGCCCACTACTTGATTGTTGGAAGTGAGAAATCTGGGGAGCTTTGATATTACGCCATCAGCTCCCAAATCACGCACAACGCCTCCACCCGGCCTTGGTGTGCCCCCTTTTGTGCTATCGTCGTGTTGCCTTGCATTTTTGGTTCTTTTCTTTTTCTTCTAGTCATTGGCCTGGTCGCCAAGCGCAGTGCGTGATTGTCAAGTTTCCATCACCTTTCCCGTCCTTTATATTCTGGATCGTCGCCACGTTTTCTGGAAACCTGTCAACTGAGATCTCGACTATCCCGGACAAACTACCTGCTCTCCCGCTCGACCTTTTGAGCCTAGACCGGGACTTGGACCCTGGAACTGGATCGAAAGTCGATATCTCTGCACTCTCTTCTCTCCGAGGTGCTATATTCGACCTACAGCCCCCTCGTCGGCGGTCATCCTCATCATCCTCCACAACATGGCGGGTGGTGAACGTGCCACGAAGCTGGGCCATGCCCTCGCCAAGGGCTTGGGCATCAAACTCGCCTACCGGGACCCTCTAGGTGCCGATGCTGACCCGGTCACCCGTGGCGAGTCGACTTTTTCAGTCGGCACCGTCGAGACCTATTCTTACACCGAGCCCGAGCCCACCAGTATCGAGTGGATTCGCGAGGTTACGCCCTCGGGCCAGCAGGTGCTCAATTACATCATTGGCCTGTTCCCTTTCCTCAACTGGATCGGCCGGTATAACGTGCAATGGCTGATTGGTGACCTGGTTGCGGGTAAGTAGGCGACGGCAACATCAAAGATGAAACAAAAATCTCCCAGGAGCCCTGAACTGACGAATCTGGAACAGGTATCACTGTCGGAGCAGTTGTCGTGCCCCAGGGTATGGCCTATGCTAAATTGGCCGAGTTGCCCGTGCAATTCGGTCTGTACTCGTCCTTCATGGGTGTCTTGCTCTACTGGTTCTTTGCCACTTCCAAGGATATTACCATCGGAGTAAGTGTGGATCCAGACGGCCATGAATGGCATCTCCTCGCAAAGAAACATGTCGCTAACCGAATCTGTTACTCAACATAGCCTGTGGCCGTCATGTCTACTCTGACCGGCACAATTGTTCTCGATGTCGCTGACAAGCTGCCGCACGTTCCCGGCCACGAGGTCGCCTCCTGCTTAGCGGTGATTCTGGGTGGTATCGTTTGTCTCCTGGGTCTCCTTAGACTCGGATTTATTGTGGACTTCATCCCCCTCCCCGCCATTTCAGCCTTCATGACGGGCTCTGCCATCAACATCTGCGCGGGTCAAGTCACGACCATGCTGGGCCAGACCGCCACGGTCTACACCCGCGGTGCAACCTACAGGACCATCATCGATACCCTCAAAGCGCTCCCAACTTCATCCCTCGGTGCGGCTATGGGTGTCACGGCCTGTGCGATGTTGTACATGATCCGAGCCGGCTGCAGCTATGCAGCAAAGAAGCAGCCGCACCGCGCGAAGACCTGGTTCTTCATTTCGACCCTGCGCACAGTCTTTGTCATCCTGTTCTACACTATGATCAGTGCTGCTGTGAACATCCACCGGAGAGACAAGCCGGCCTTTAAGCTCCTGGGCAAGGTGCCTCGTGGTTTCCAGAATGCTGCCGTGCCCAAGATGGACCCAGAGGTCATCAAGGCCTTTGTGGGCCAGCTTCCCGCTGCTGTGATCGTACTCCTGATCGAGCACATTGCCATTTCCAAGTCCTTTGGTCGTGTCAACAACTACACTATCGATCCCTCGCAGGAATTTGTCGCTATTGGCGTTACTAACCTACTGGGTCCTTTCCTGGGTGCTTACCCCGCCACTGGTTCTTTCTCGCGTACTGCGATCAAGTCCAAGGCTGGTGTTCGCACTCCTCTGGCTGGTTGTATCACCGCCGTCGTTGTGTTGCTTGCCATTTACGCTCTCCCTGCCCTCTTCTTTTACATTCCCAATGCCTCTCTTGCGGGTGTTATCATCCATGCTGTGGGTGACCTGATTACTCCTCCTAACACTGTTTACCAGTTCTGGCGGGTTGCCCCTCTTGATGTTGTCATTTTCTTCATTGGTGTCCTCGTCACCGTCTTCTCGTCCATCGAGGATGGTATCTACTGCACTATCTGTGTCTCATTGGCTGTCCTGCTTTTCCGCCTGGCCAAGGCTCGCGGTCAATTCCTCGGCAAGGTCAAGGTCCACTCCGTGGTCGGTGACCACCTGCTTGACGGTGATGGCAAGTATGGCTCGTTCGGGAACACCCGTGCTTCATCTGAAGACGAGGACCATGCTCATCGGTCTATCTTCTTGCCCGCCAACCACGCCGACGGGTCAAACCCCGACATTGAGATTGAACAGCCTCACCCAGGTATCTTCATCTACCGCTTCTCCGAGGGCTTTAACTACCCCAACGCCAACCACTACACCGACTACCTGGTGCAGAACATCTTCAAAAACACCCGCCGCACAAACCCGCACGCCTACAGCAACCCCGGCGACCGCCCTTGGAATGACCCCGGCCCTCGTCGCGGCAAGGCAAACTCCGAGCTGGAGGACCAGCGCCCTCTCTTGCAAGCCGTTATCCTGGACTTCTCCTCTGTCAACAACGTGGACGTCACCTCGATTCAGAACCTGATCGACGTTCGCAACCAGCTCGACCTGTACGCCTCCCCGCTCACCGTGCAATGGCACTTTGCCCACATCAACAACCGCTGGACCAAGCGTGGCCTCGCCGCTGCCGGCTTCGGCTACCCCACCCCGACCTCTAGCGAGGGCTTCCACCGCTGGAAGCCAATCTTCAGCGTTGCCGAGATCGAGGGCAGCTCTTCTGCCGCCGCCCACGCGGAGATTGTCAACAACGAGCGCGAGCACCACCTGCACCACCCCAAGGATGTCGAAGCCGGTCTGAAGGATCAGTCCGCGACGGTCGAGAGCGAGAGACATGGAATTGAGACTTCGTCCGAGGACAGCCAGCCAATTCACGAGGACAAACTGTCGCGCGATCTGACGTCTAGCCACGCATACAGCAACAACCGACGCAAGGTCGCCATTGTGCAGGGTATGAACAGGCCATTCTTCCACATCGACTTGACCAGTGCCTTGCAGAGCGCTGTGGCGAACTCGTCCAACGAGATTCCTCATGTTTAAAAAGGAGAAATTACCTCTCTCTACTTCTTCACCATTTCATCTACCGATCGATCTACATGTCCCACTTTCGGATCCTCTTTGCATTGCATATTACCTGCATCGTTCATGGATAACTCCCTGGTTTGGAAATCCATTTGATATGCCCAGATATGACCTGTTAATATCTTTGCTCACTTTTGTTCTTTCTTCTTTTCTTCTTTGATTTGGGGATGATTGTACTCATACTCCCCCCTATTCCCGGCGCAATCAAGTTTGTTGAATTTGTTTTTCTTTGGGCTTGGATGGATATGGATTTTCAATTTGGCTGGATGTGCTGGAATCAAATCGGGTATCTGATCTGTTTGTCTTTGCTTTTGTTTTCTGGTCGGATACGCCGTTTCTGATACCTCTGCCCATCTTATCTGTCTTGCTTGGGCTTGAGCCCGCTTGGAATACTTGCTAGGGATACCCTTGAACCTATAGAACGCTTTTTGACTCTTAATATCTACTTTTGTATTCTTATTTACTTTATGGTTTGCATATGGTATAACCTGGTACAGTGATTCTAAATGTAAATACGTTGTAGATGTACCGTGGTGCTCTACGGTGATGAAACTACCACAAAACTCCAACAGAACTGATGAAAGATATTCACGGGAGAAGACAAGAGCCTGACGCACATGTATAGATTAGTGGGATGGAACTCCTTTTACATCTGTTATGGGTTCGAACCACCTTGTATTTATTGACATGGCTGCGGTGTCCCTGGACAGAACGAATTGGATTTCTGCGAGAACGAGTCTTGCAGTCTATCATTGGAATAGCCTAGTCCTGCATTCCATCTGTCCTTTCCCCTACTCTCAAACGGAAAGCAGCATTCGATAGCATCGAATCCGCTCCTTAAACCGACAATCTCCGAAATTTTTATGCGCTTTCTCGGCATTTGACCAAGTTAACCAGGTCTATTCCAGACCACAAAAAGCCCATTAACTAGCATATTTCCCAAATCTGCCAATTGCAGACTCAAAAACGTCATCATATTCACACAAATACCCCCTGTGGGGCTTGTTGGAAATTCCTGGCTAGCTATCACTCGTGAGTAATGGGAATTCAATTACCAGGTTTATCATCAAGTTTGACAAAGCTATAGGGTGATCGCAGCTGAAAAGCCCCCGCACTTGAAGGCGATTGCTCCTTGGGAAGGATTGGGTGATTTCCATCGTGAGAGTATCTGCCGTGGTGGGCATTCCTAACGCTATGTTCTGGGACCTCCGGATGAAGGGATTCAATGGCAAGACCCAACGCGAGGATGTTGCTGCCATGATCGAGAAGTACCCGCTCATGAATGCTTACTGGGAAGACAAGAGACCGCGCCTGCAGGACATCAAGATCCCTATGTATATCTTGGCTAGCTATTCAACCGGCCTACACACCGAGGGATCTTTACGTGCCTGGAAGTATGCCGGATCGGATGAGAAAAGGGTGAGTTTTTGTGGCATTCTCCTTCCATTCAATCGTCAGCTAAGCTTTTACATTCAGGTTACGTATTCATCCTACCCAGGAGTGGTTTGAAATTTACCAGCCAGTTGCAAACGACGATCTTCGGCGCTTTTTGGATCATTATCTTCTTGGGAAGAACAATGGTTGGGAGCTTACGCCCAAGGTCCGTCTCTCCTTACTGAGATACAACAAGGCTCCGATCAGCTTCCGCGCAGAAGACAGATACCCTCCGTCCCGAATGGAATACAAAACTTTCTATTTCAACGCCGCCAAGGAGAGTGGAAGCGTCGCAGGATTCTTACAGACTGAAGCTCCTACCGAAATTGTCACCACCTCGTATCAATCTGACATGTGGGAAGACGATGGCGCTTACTTCGCACTCAAGTTCACGGAACCAACTGATTTAATTGGCAGCTCTCAGGTGGGCAAACTTCTGCTTTTAGAAAGGAAAACCTTGCAGTGACTGAGAAATCGCAGGTCAAGCTGTACATGTCATGGGCGGATCTCGACGACATGGACGTATATGTGATTATCCGGAAGCTCGATCGCACTGGAAAGGCATTACTGAACTATAACATTCCCTTTGAATACCAGAAACCCGGAACAACCCCGGATATGATTGACGATGAGAAAATTTACAAGTATGTTAGGCCAAGCAGACGACTCCGCGTGTCTAAGCGAGCTGCGACAACCGAAGAACCCGACATGCTCGAAACCAAGAAAGAAAACCAAGAGCCCACAGAGCTTTTCTTTCCGCACGACAAGTCAGAAAAGATCCCACCCGGCAAAGTTGTAGAGCTCAAGATTCCCATTTGGGCTGGAGGAATTGCCTTTGATGCAGGAGAATCTCTGAGACTGGAAATCAAGGGTCACGACCCAATCCTTCCGGAGGATCCGGCATTGAGAAAGGGGCCTAAGAATTTGAATAAAGGTCAGCATGTGGTGTACACCGGTGGAAAGTTCTCATCTACTTTGATAATTCCCTTGACCCAGGTGTGAAGACAGAGCAGGTTTGATGGTCGTCGGAGAGGGTTCAATAGGAGTGATCTAGGATGGGTTTATTATCTTATAAAAGGAGTCAAGAATGAACTTTCAATTTTAGCGGTATAGCGCTGTCGTGCGAGAAGCCTCATCCTTAACGACAAGGTGGAGTTGGCGAAAAAGACTTTCGCTGCTTCTCACTCCAGTAGTGTTTCAGTATCAAGAACGCCATATTCTATGCTATCCCAATTAACTCCCCGCTCGCTATCCAAACGAGCATGCGTGAAACTTATTTTATCAAATCACAAGCCACTTTTCAGTGACATCCTTGGCGGTAAGCGTATCACCACCGAGTATATGGAGACCTTGCAAAGCAAATGCAGCCTCACGTGAAAAATCCTCCACAAAATTCGGCCCCAAAGTCACAGCCCCGTCATTTGCCCAGTCCATATTCACATCATCACCGTCTGTGGCGCTGGTGGACTGTCTCAAGGTCTGTTGCTGAATTTCTTCACCTATTTGGAGAACTCGCTTATAACCTTCGACGGCCAGGTGGGATAGGTTGAGACCGTGATAGACACGAGCGAAATTGAACTCCACTTCTTGATGCTCTTGCAGCGTGGCTCCGTCCTTCTCGCGAACACGGCGGTACTCATGCATAAATGAAAGACCCTGCATGATAAGGTAGTGACGGTTGTCGCACTGCCGCTTATGGGAATGGTGGATGTAGCAGAGCGCAATGGAGAGAAGGACAACTGGGTTCTGATCATCGAGAGCGTAGGCACGGAAGAAGTAGTTCAGAGCGGGGTAGAAGCTGTTTCCAGAGTAGAGGATGTGGCCGTAAAGCACGAGCAGAGCGATGTCTAGGTCATAAGCCGGGATGTCTTTGCCATTCTCATCTTTGGTTGAAAGGGCGGCACGTTCTCTCCAAACAGACTGCCGCGGCGGCTTGGGCTTATCATCCGCATCGGGTAGAGTGAAGTCCATAGCCTTGATTTGGCGGAGCATAAACTTCATGCTCGGAGCGGAGTTGAAAAGGGATTTCCGAGGGTTGCCCGCAAGGTGACTCAGCATCGAGAAGAGGCGATACGTATCTGTGACAAATTGATACTCCTTCACGAACCAACGAGCCTCGCTCGTGAGGGCGTCCTCATCCTGGGCGCGAAGCGCACATGCTGTAGAAATATTAGCTCTAAAGCCACGGTTTGTTACACCTGATGAAGGACTCACTTAACCAGCAGACATGAATAATGCGGGATTTCCGCTTATCATGGAACCAAACACTAGCGGTCGCAGCAGCTTCGAGGGCTTCGTAAGCCTCAATTGGTTCACCCTGATCAGTGATGGTAAGGGAATACTTGAGGAATATGTCAAGCCACGCATCAAAAGGAATGCCGTGATATTCCGTTGGAACAACGCCTTGTAATGGTTCCTCTACTTCTTCATCACCTACGCCTTACCGTTAGCTCAGGTCCAGTATCTGTTGTGCAAGCAAAGCTTACCTCTCGACTTTTGCAAGCGGCCGGCTATCTCTTCCATCTCATTCAAAAAGACGCTGTTCTTAGATCCGTTGGCCTTCCGTTGCGCTTGGCTGGAATAACCTTGAAATTCGGTCGTACGGGCCATCGGATAAAAGATACGATTTGATCGGAACTCGCGTAGCAAGGCATCAGCAATATCGAGCCAGTCCTCGGTGGCTTCAAGATTGCCATCCTTGACTTTGGGCTCGAGTTGTTGCATCATTGCATAAAGGAACTTGATATCATCCGTACGGGCAGCTTCGCCTCGCTGCACAGGCTCCAGTTGCACAGGAGTGGTCGCGGACCAGGCATCAACTGGGCCAGGTTTGGGCGCAAGGGGCCTGAGAGTCACAGGTTCAGACCTCCTAAACTCGGCAGCAAGCTGTTCCAGTCGAGCATCTTTTCTCCTCCGCCGGGTCCTGTTTTCCTGTCGAGTAAGCAAGACAGCCTCATTAACGTACTTGTATGCTTGATCGGGCATTCCAAGGCTGTCGTAGAGCTTTGCAAGCTGTGCACGAGACTCTAGGTTACTCGAGTCATGGTCGGCAACGGTGAGATAGCAGCTTTCGGCATCCTCTATCTTGCCTAGTTGCATGCAACAGTCGGCCATAGCCAGAAAGAATCCAACATCAGCATAGTCCGAGGTCTGCTGGATAGGCTCGTAGAACCGAAGGGCTTCTTCAAGTAAACCAGCCTCTTTCAAAGCGTCTGCGACTTCTCGGAAGAGATCACCATAGTCAAAAATCCGAGCCCCCTCAGAGGTATCGTCAGGATTGAGATATTCTAAATGTTGCTAGATAGGCCCAGTGGTGGTTAGATGCAGAGGTTTCTGATATAATAGTGGGTGGTTGTACTCACCATGGCTTCTTCGTGATGTCTGTCGCCCATCTTCAATCGGAACAGCCCCATTTTAACCCGAAGCTCGAGGGGAAGCCCGAGTCCATAGCTGTCTCGAGGCCAGTGGTTTGGAATATATCCATTGGTTTTGATTCGGCGGGGTGAATCCTGGGAGTCCCATTCTCTATCATCGTCCTCAAAATCTGCCCACATGATATCATCCTTGCGACCCAGCATCCACCTAGAGAGCGATTTGAGATGGTAAAGGCCTTCGCTGGGGCGGCTCACATATCCAAAGAGCTCTGCATAAATGTTGATATCGGACCAGGTAAAATCTCGGACTTGGTCCGGGTTAAGCGAGAGGAAGTGGTTGACACTTTTCGACCAATGGGTGATGGCTCGCTCAACGTCGTTGAGATCAATGAAGATCTCTGCTATGTGTCGCAGAGCTCGTGTGCTGTACGGCTTGTCGTGCAGAATACGCTCATACTCACTAGCAGCCTTACCGTTGTGTCCAAGCTCCCGATAAAGAGCTGCTCTCTGGAATCGAACGTTGTAGTTCCCAGGCTGGATATCAACTATGCGGCTGTAGCAATAGATCACGTCATTCAATGCACTCCCACGACTTTCACCAGCGCGGTCCAGAAGAAGGCGCGCAACTTTCATCCAAACTGTAGGGTCTTTCGGTCGAGTGTGAGCACCATTCCAGAGCGCTTGCAAGGCCCGAACTTCGTCTCCTTTTGCCAGCCAAATTTCTGACAGCAGCGAATGGGCTGGGAACATTTCAGGGTTGATCTGAATGGCCTGGTTTACAAACTCGTGGGCGCGATCGTAATCGCCATCAATGAAAGCGGAGGTAGCTTGGGAATGGAACATCTTGAACTCTGGTCCAGGATCCAGCGCTTTGCGCGGTCCTCGTTTGATGCCCTTTCCACCACGGGCGCCATAACGACCGGAGAAGCGTCCTCCCCCTCGGCGGCGGCGCCGTCGTGCCGCGGCAGAGTCGTCGGAATCATCGTCTTCGAGAGACTCGTCCGCCTCGTCACTGCGGATTGTTGTCAATCTAAGAACGGGATTGAAAGGAAATCGCGGAGCAAGGCATACCTGTCACTTTCTTCTTGCGAGGACTCATAGTCAGGTTCGTCATCATCCATGTCGTCTCCATACTTCACATGAGGGAAGGCTTGACTATCCCCAGAGCCACGCCTAGCTTCATGGTTTGGATACCCATCTCTGGCGCCGTCGTTCGGCGCGTGCTGAGGAAAGAGACCTTGATACAAGCGCGGGTCGATCACTGAGTCAGCATGATTTCCCTGTATGGTACGAGCACCATTCTCCCGCCAAGGGTACTGGATGGTCTCGTCGATGTCCGGGTACTCATATGGCTCTCCTCCCGGAGTGGCATAGTCCATAGGGGAATCCGGATCTGCCATGATGATGACACTGCACGGGGCCGGCGGACCATTCAAGCAGAGATTTTGAAGGGTGATATGAAGAAAAAATCTCCTCCGTGAGCGTGAGTGAGTGACAGCGACCGTAACAATGTCGTCGTTGGCACGTCTCTAGAATGTCACTGATAGGCGACGTGTGTGAAGAACCAGCACGCTGGGACTGGGGGCCCAGACCGTACAGTCAGGGCGTGGCACCGAGTAGTCTCTCTCTCCAGGCGTTTCAGGTGCAGCAGCCCTGCTTATTCATAGTAACAGCTCCACCACGAGCGATGCGATGGATGAATCAGAAAAGAAACCGGCGAGTTGAGAGTCTTTTCGTCAAAGGTGATCAAGGACATTGGATGAACAAGGAATGCAGAGTTAACGTTTCCCCATTCCCTCATTCCCGGAGTTTGCGTTGCTGAACCCCGTGACCCTGAAACAGAAAAGCCTCTTCGGCGGCCGCACTTCCTCCTCCGTCCTTTTTCCACCATCCCCAACTTTCCATCTCACACACTCTCTCTCCTTCTCTCTTCTCCTCCTCCTCCGCCTCCCCCCCTTGTTTTTCCTTTCTTTTGGGTACTAGGTCTGGCTTGCTGTGTTTGACACACTATTGCCTCCTGGTCCCTGACTTTCCTTCGTTCCAGTCCCCTCCCCGCCGCCGCCTAATATTTCGGAGCCTTTTGCGTCTGGGTTTCCCCCCAATCCACAACCTCTCCCAAAACTCGAGGTGCAGCCCACTGGCCTGGTCTGTGCCCGCCCAACTGTGGTCGCCTAGTCTCAAGATATAGGCTTCGCAATCCTTTTCGACCTCATCCGTGAATTCTCACGCCTGGGTCCATCAGGTTCTTTGATTCTATCTTGTTACGCAAACTCAGCAGGTGCTGCAGGTGTTTTGCAGTAATCTTTTCCAACCCAACCTCCACTGTATTTACAATTTCCACTTGCAACTCCTCGATCGTCCCACCCTCCCGGTGAGCCATGGCCAACCATATCATCGGCAACCGCAACAGCACCCCGGAGGCCGCTCCAAATTCTTCCCTGCGTCCCCCCTCGTCTGCCCGCAACCTCGGATCGCACCAGCTGCGGGCATCCGCCGACATGTCCGGGTTCCCCTCGCCACTGTCCTCCCGCAGCATGCGTCCGTCCTCCGAGGTTTTCTTCAACCAACAAGGTCAAAACTCAACGGAGGATGCCTTGGATCGGGCCGCTCAGCAGTGGCTGGCAGATATCGATCAGTATGAGACGACCCTGGAAGAGATGGCAGCTGCCACTCTCGACCAAGACTTCAAGGATGAACTCAGCGCTATTGAGCAGTGGTTCCGTGTTCTGAGTGAGGCAGAGCGGACAGCAGCTTTGTATGCGTTGCTGCAGCAGACCACCCAGGTGCAGATTCGATTCTTCATCCAGGTACTGCAGCAAATGTCCCAGGGCCATCCTATGTCTGGGCTGCTCTCTCCAGCCAACTTTGGCGAAAAAGGTAAATTGAACAACTCAAACTTCCATTCACCCTTCCACATTACTAACACTTTTGGTTTCCGTTTCAGATGCTATGTCTAGCCGCTTGAGCGATGCAATGTCAAAACTCAATATGGACACCTCCCGGAGTTCCTTGGGCCGGCCCCCACCATCCCCGGGCGCGAAGCGCAACTCGGGTCTCGACTCCTCTACCATTAATGCCATGTTCCCGGATGCCGCGGCTGCTATCGCGAAGAAGAAGGCGGAGTTCACACAGCAGACCGGCAATGCCCCTCCATCAAACCGGAACAGTGCGGTCTTTGGAGATCGCACCTCGTTCGTTGCGCCCACTATCTCCGGCCCGGACAACGGATCGGACAACCTAGGTCAGCCTCCGGCTTCCCCATGGGGCCAGCGTGGCGGTCTCGCGGACACTCAGCCCCCAATTGCCCGCCCCAAGTCTTCTTCCGGACATCAGCCCATGGGCCAATTCAGCCAGTCTGGCATGCGTTCTCCCCTGCCTCAGACTGCCACTATTCCCGCCCCCGAGATCGAGCCGCCACTGCTTTCGCCCTACAATGTTGGCAACCATAGCTGGGCGTCAATGACCAATACCCCGATGACCGCAACCTTCGGACAGCAGACCAACGGGCCGAATTCCCAGGCTGACATGGTGGCAAATGCCACCGCGATGAAGCTGGCTGCTCTGTCCACCGTCAACAATCGTATTGCGCTGGACGATGCTCGTAAGTACCGCCGGGCTCGCTCCAACGATGGCCAGGGTAAGAACTCGGCTGCCAACCCAACCATCTCGCAGGGTTTGCACAGCCCCGGTCTGCACGGTTCGATGGCCAGTCAGCTACTCAACGCCCAGCAACTGGCGGCGTTGCAGGCTCAGCAGCAAGCCGCCATGGCAGGACGACGATCCCGCCCAACCTCTCCCGGCATCGCCATGCAGGGCGGTGGCCTCAGTGCAATGAGCTTCACATCCCCGCAGAACAACGGCTTCCTTGCTGCCTATGATCCGAACAACCCGCTGATGGGCAACGGACTGGGCTCGCTGGGCATTGGACAATTTGGCCTGGGTGGTGAGGGCTATCTGTCCGATCACTCGGAGGTCACCCGTGGACGGTCGCCGCGTGGTCGTCGTGGCAGCTCGAAGCCGCCAGAGGACCCCACGGATCCGGCTCTTCTGAAGGACATCCCCAGCTGGCTGCGATCCCTTCGACTGCACAAATACACCGACAACCTGAAGGATCTCAAATGGACGGAATTGGTCGAGCTCGACGACAAGGCCCTGGAGGAGCGTGGTGTTAACGCACTGGGTGCGCGGAACAAGATGCTCAAGGTGAGTTCACTTCTGATTTCATTCGGTGGCCAGTACTAATCCATCTCCAATGTAGGTCTTCGACCAGGTCCGTGAAGCCCGCGCAGACGGCAAGCTCGACAATCTTTCGTGAATGTGATTCTCATTTTGATTCGGAGTATGGCATGGGGCTTGGTTCAGGAATTCCTATTCTCTGGCTCCAATATTTTTGCCCAGCGATATCGTATGATTGGCATTCGCATTCCATCATGTGTGGATGTTGTTTCTTCTGTCTTGGTTCCTTGTCCCTTGTTATTTTCTTCTTCTCTCTTCCCCCTTTTTTTATTTCCTCTGCTTCAATCGTTCTGTGATCTTTTGTTCACCCTAATACGATGGATGTGGGATTCGACATGTATCAAACGCAGTGATGTCTTCAAGAAACGGCTTCATGATGAGGGAACACTTCGGGCTACTGAACATTGAAAATGGCTGGGCTAATCGTAGATATGAACATGATTTTGATTTTGTGAATTCTTTCCCTGCATGACAATGATATTCTATATGGTTCTTTCAAATAGCACAGTTAGTACTATAGACTTGAACTCCAACATCCACATGGCCCGTGCGCTTCTCGAAACCCGCGCCCAAACCTCCGAACCTCAGCGCAACCTCGCCTCATCTCCCCACGCTGGTGAATCTCATCCACAACGACTTAGTGGACGCCCCCGGAATTTTCCAATCCATCAATCCCGATCGCTAGCCATATTTTCCCTACTTGCGAATCGGCTGGGAATCTAAAACCCCTGAATCGAGTCACACCAACACGCCGCCTGCTTCATCCCGCCAGCAAGAAGCACAAACGTGAATTGTTACGAATCTACAACCTATAAGCTCCAAGCTCGATCATATAGCACAAATAAATATGGCGCCAACAAAGCAGGAGCTCTCCCTGCTCATCAACCCCCTCGTTCCCGAGGCCGTGCAGCATAATAACCGGGTACGTCTGTCTCGATGGCTACCAACATCCTCCACCAATCTACAACCACCAGTCCCGCTTTCCCTATACACCTTACCCCCTGATATCGATAATATACCATTCCTCCACATACCCGCAGAGAATCCAACTATTTCGATCCACACAATCAACTAACACGCAACAACCAGGTCCTATCCTCCCTCCACTCCCTAACCGCCTTCCTCCTCGGCCTGTCCGCAGGCATCCTCGCCCTCCAATCAACGGCCGGCTTCGCCTTCTACTTCACCGGCACAGTCCTCGTCTCTGCCCTCTTCCACGCCGTCCTCCTGCAGCGCTCCTCCGGCGCCGGCGCCGGCGCTTTCTTCCCCGGTAGCAGTGGCGGCGAGATCGAGGGCCGCATCAGTATGGACGGTGGTGCCGTACGGATGCAGAAGGATGGGAAGCGGGGTGGGTTTGTGTTGCGGAAGGGTGCGTGGAGGGATGTTTGGTTTGGTGGGGGTGTGTTGAGTGAGGCTTTGAGTGGATTTGTGTTGGGGTGGGCTGGTGTTGGGGGTGTTTTGAGGTAGGGGGTTTAGGACTTATTCTTCTGGGGGTTGGTGAGGGTTTAAATTGGGGTAGCCTGTTTTGAGTGATCGGCTGCTTCAGCTTGCGGGTGTCAAGCCTTACTAGGCAGGTGCATTTTAAAATAGCAGCCAAACTGCGGCGGACGGTGTCTAACGACATGCTTTCTTTCTTCACTTTCGGTCCGGTTTGACATATTGGTTCAGAATTGGTCCAAAATTTATATAAAAATGAAAAAAAGAGCGTATTAGAATCAATTCGTTGATGTTTTCTTACAAACTCGTAATGTATTAAGATCGTTAATTATGTAAATTACATCTTGCTGGACCGAATATCCTAAGAATACCACTGGCCATCCATTTGCCCCCAATCCATATCCGGAAGCAGCTCATCTAAGTTGAAATCACACATCATGGTAGGCTAAAGAAGGCCAAGCTCCTCCGCTGATGAATCCAAAGCGGTAGGCATCATAGTCCCATATTCATTGATGGGATCGATAGAAGGACCTTTATTCTGGAAAGCCATCTTCTATAAGTTGATCACAGTGCCTTTATCAGTCGATGCAACGCTGGGTCTATGAAGCTCTATTTGCAAAAGGATTTCCAGCATCTGAGACCCTTGAATCGCCAAGGGAGTGCTCGAATTGGGGTACTAAATAGCGCTGATGCAGTAGCGGATCAATCTTCGACGCTCGGTGACCTGCGTCGAAACCGTTGCCTCTTTGAAGCAAATGAGGTGGATGGCTAGGTAGACACCCGCGGCTAATGTTGCTGCTGAGATGATCCTATCAAATCAAAATATTAGTAACAATATTACATTCTCTCCCTGTGGCTGAAGTTCGATTTTCTAATATCCAAAGACATACCAATGGTACTGATACAACCGTGGGACCGGCTGCTGGCGCATATGCAGGATTTTCAGCGCACTCTTTAACCCTCTCTCGATGATAGGTTCCGTATTCGGTCGTCCCATAAGCCATAGAACCAAAGAAGCCCGCGCCATGGTCACTGAAAACATTTGGATCATGTGTCCAATAAGATACTCCTGCGCTGCAACCCAGCTGGGAGTGTTGTCTGACAGGGGTATCGTTCGACGGGCCATTGATCGGCTCTATTGGGCCTGGACAACATCTCTTCGGTGTAGCGTAGTCCAAGCGAGAAGTTCTCCTGCTTGAGAGGGAGAGCGGGCCCCACTATCGTGAAGGAAAGAACAAGAATCAGCCAGCGAGTTGTTTGGACATCACCGAGTATGGTTACCAAGGAGCTGTGCGGGAATGTGGTTAACGAAAGACCAATGGCTGTTGATCTGTTGGCTCAAGAACTTTCCAGCAGCAGGCTCAGCGTAATGGTACGCGACCAGATACTCGGGTCTACATATTGTTAGCAAAAATTGGCCTACGGTATGGGGTACAGGTTGGACTAACATTTTTGACAACGCGAGAACAGCATCTGCTAGACTGGCAACTGTGAGTAGGATCAAATATCGCCCGTCACCCCGCTGAGCGACCAGGTGAGACGATCTAAGAATTCAAATACCACGTTAGGATTAAGATCCGTTCGGAAAGCTTGGGTCATACACTCTTACCTCTGATGAATATCGACCAAGTTTAAGCCCTCCTTCCTGATAAGCGAAGCTTCGCCCTTGCTCTCTGCCTCTGATACTGCTTTCTTCCATGCGGTATGCTTGGCATCAGCATGACTTGAATGCATGTCACAACCTTTGTTTAGACTTTCTCGTGCCATTGTATCAATGAACTTGTCTTTAACCCACTCGTTGATGATTATCAAATCTGGGGCATGGGGTGACCTCCCAGAGAACGCAAGATGGGCTGAAAGGATATGCTGGGCTGCCTTTTCAACGTCCGCTGTACGGTCAATAACCGTAACGGAGCGAAGATTGGGTAAAGGCCTGACAGCGTTAGGCGCTTCGGTTATACCCGTCTGATCAATGATCAGTGCTGTGAAAAGCATATCCTGATCACTCATAGGACCTTGAACCAGGGCGTATAGTTCCCAATCCAGAGGCTGGAACAAGGATGCGAGCAAGTCATCAACAGCGTTCTTTTCACACTAGAAACAAGTAAGCGTCAGCAAGTATTCTAAAGCGATCTCCATTCAATAGCATGCTCACAAAAGCATACCTCAACCACAAAGGTATTTCCAGCAGCAATAGCGCATGCCACAGCCGACGTGATGGCATAGAATAGCGTATGAGTTGTAGGTTTCACCACGACTACCCCATGACCGACACGGCGCTCAATGTTGTTTTCTCCTCTTGCAATCTTATATTCATTTGCAATTGACTGATCCAAATTGATTGCTTCGTAGTTTTGTCTGACTTGGGACGGAAGTTCCCTACACTGGATCATCTGGTGATGCTGTGCCTGTCACGAAGGAGTGGCTGCGAGTGAGCTTGCGAAAGGTGACCACCGAGAGCCCATATCACAGAGAATACCTCCCTCGACGAGAGTATCGATCGATCAATGTTCAACCCGTTCAGAGCAACGTGGTTTATAAATGTGACGTAGAGATGTGGCCTACCAACGTCGTTGTTGAAAAGGGAGGATGGGTGGTGCTGCAAGTGTCATCGGCCGATACTGAGCCCGGCGTAGGCCTTTTTAAGCACAACTCTCCCATTGACCGGTATGTTCAAACCCCATTTTGCGAGTACGTATGTTCTGACGAGTGTCAATCTACACAGGCTTGCTTGGAAGTTCACTGGAGTTAACAACATTCACTTCGACGGGCACGAGAACTACCTGTTGCTCCCTGTGATTCCGTGATTCCCTGACTAAGAAGGCCAGCATATCAGCAATGCCACTTCAAACCCTTCACAAAAAGTACTGTAGAGCTTGCGCTATAGAAATTGACATCAATCCTTTTCAAAATCCGAATGTATATTCAATAATAGACTCAATCAAACAGACGCTAGTAAGTAACTGTCACCTCAAGCTTTGCCACAATTAGCATTTTAGCAACCATTTCTACAATACGACTATGCCGACACACCTATATTAAATGACAGCATTGTACATTGCATTAGCGCTCCGTGGAGTCTCATGTTTATTTGAATGCGTTTAGGCACGCATAGTGCGACGTCATCGTGCCTAACCCCCCGCTCGTCGAACACACGGAATTTCCCGACGTCAAAGGAGACGTCAACCCCACTGATCATTAACAGAGCTAAATCAGTCGATGTGGGGTTTATGGCCTACATCATTACTACAAACTGTTTAGTACTGGCATATGTGTTGTATTCGTACACGTCGTAATGGTAATGTATGTATACACGAAATTCATGGCCGATGTACACGAAAGTAATCATAAAGTCGCAGTGGTTATCGAAGGAGGGACATGCAAACTTCGAATAAAAAGCAAAGGCTGTATCGATGTATCCAGGCTAATCAGCGAAAAAGAGAGAAAAAGAAAAAGAAAAAAAGAAAACTCCTTGGCATGCAGGCGTAAGCAGCGTCCCCGAGAGTATCCGCATTAGAAGAAGTCACAGCTTCAAAAAACGGCTAGAGCCGCCTGTTATTTTGAATAACTCTTCGGGATGGAAAAGTATTATGGCGGAAGATAGAAGGCCGATCTGCAGGTAGCCAAAAGCAGAAAGACCCTGCTCGACGTCATGGGCTGAATTATCATCGCCCTATTGCCCGCATATGGCGCTTCAGCCGCCTCTACCAAGAGATCGCCTCAGGTGATGATGGCATCTCCGTCACCGTAGATGTCCGCGTCGTCAAAGAATACCGCTGACTGGCGCCGCACCTCCTCCATAAAGCTGGCCCGACGGGTGGGGGTCTGAGGGCGAGAAGAAGCAGAAGCCGTTGACTGGGACATGCTGTCGGAGACATCCACATAGCGCGAGCCCCCATCCTCGTGCCGTTCAGGAAAGCTTGCGTCCAATCGCTGAGAGAGCGCATCCGCAGGCTCAAGTTCTGGAGCTTGCATCCGGCGAGACAAGATTGGGGAGAGAGAGCGGCCTCCAGTCGTGGAACATTGCTGAAGGCCTCTCATGATGGCATTCTCGATGTTGAGGCGATTCTTGATGAATTGGAGTTTGGGAAAGGCACTTTGCTGACCAACATGGATCATGCGTGCAAGTCGATCGGGTGTCGGGTCAGAGAGAATGTGAAAGAAATCACTGGGAATGGTTTTAGGCCACAGGGTCACCGTACCACTGAATTTCTGTAGCCAGATCTCACTCCAGTCTTGGCCCAACGGCCGCGGGAGGAGCTCTAGATGCCGTAAGACTCGAAGCCATTTATTCAAGTCGAGTTTGATGTACTGCTCTATAGCACTTCCCAGAAACCCGCCGCGCCACCCTCGGCCTTTGCGATGGGTGACAGGACGTCCCACTGTTCCTCGACTGCTGAAAAAGAAGAGGTTGACGTGGGGGTTCACCTAAAGAGGAAGGTTAGTAGTGAACTGCATAAATGGATGTGGGGGGGGGGAGGCGATCGACAAACCTGCGATACGATTGTAAAATTAACATTGAAATGCAAATTCAACGCTTTGATAGGGACGTCGGTGCGCAGAGAGCCGTCTTTCCATTTGTGCCCAAAGGAGTAAGGAGCTAGCGTGCCATCGCGCCTTTTGGTCATCAAAACAACAGGGTTCAGTATGCCAGGCACTGCAGCCGAAGCTAAGACCGCACTCCAGATAACACAATCGGGGCTGGTCAGGTAGTTACATAGTATGGTAGGACTATGTGGGTCAGATGGCACGCAAGAGACGTTCAGGATACGGCCAGTCCGTTCATAGGCTTCTCGAAAAGTCGTTGATCCCCGGCAGAACCAGGAGCACTGCCGGGCCCAATCCATGGTGTCAAACCTCGCACCTGTCCTCCACCATCGGCGAATCCATGTTCTGAAGCCTTCATGGCATGCCCGAATTCGATGTGCTAGGGCCGGCACTAGCAGCTGCTTCAGCTCTTCATCGGTTCGGGTAGCCACTAGGCCAGCTACCAGCGCCCCTCCTGAGGTACCTGTAACGATCTCTGGGAGGACACCGTTATCCAGCAAGGCCTTTACGACTCCAAAATGGTAATACGCAAATGTCGCACCCCCAGAAAGACATAGCGCGGTGCGGCCGAAGTTGGTGTCGAGGTGCTTGAAGTGCTGGTACTTGACCTCACGGTCGATTTCGCGGCAGTCTCGAACCAGCTCGATGCATGTATGTACCTCATCAATATATTCCTGTACCAAATCTTTCGTCCCGGAATAGGCCTCACTGTACATCCGCGGATTCTCCACGCCAGCAAAGTTGTTCTTGACACAAGCTTCCAGCAAAGCACAGAGCTCCTCGATCGCCGGTGTTTCGCTGGCACCAGTTCCACTGATCAATTCGCTCTCAGCATCGTATCTCACTCTCTTCAGCTGGTCTACCACTTTGGTGATGGTAAGGTGATCATAGTAGGCGTATTCATCGGTCTCCTTCCACTTCTCATTTCCCAAGTAAGCGTCCAGCGCCTGCGCAGCACCCAGCCAGCTCGGGTAATCTTTCTGGGCCCAGAGTTCTCGCCTGAGCCGCTGCCTCTTTCCACGCCAGGTAATCCAGTGCTCATAGAGGTAGATGTACGTACGGACCAGGACGTAGCCACAGCTCAACACGGCAATCCAAGCAAACACGGTGAGCAAGAACGGCCATTTCAGCACGGTATACAACACGCCTTCCCTTGTTTCATCCTTGCTTCGCTTCGGGGTCTTGCGACGGCCGCGGGTCTTTCGAACGCGCTGATTGATCGGACGCCAGTCGTTGATGGCCACCAATGGAGACGCCTCGGGGGCATTCAGTGCTTTTTCGAAACATTGTAGCTCTTCCGGTTTGATGAATTCTCGGTCGTAGTCCGGCAGACCGACCGGGTCATATCGGTCATGCAGCACTGCTTTCTCCGCTGTGGGCATGGTTCAACGCATCTTGTAGGAGATCGTAGCTGGCCACAGCTTGTTGAATCCGGTTGGGGTAGCAGCTTCCTGGCGACGTCAGCGTCACGTGTATCTCCATCGAGCCACTCCGCTGTGGGGTAACAGTGGCTCATGCATGTGGCTGATGTGTTTCGATTTCCGCGCCCCACGATTCTTATCTTGAGGGGAGATAAGGAACCAGCCCTTGGGAGATATCCATGGTTCGTGCAATTAGATCAGTTTAGGTTGTTCCAATCACTCCAGACCGCTATCCGCCTCGAAATACGAAGTCGAGTACGGATGAGTAGTATGTGGACAATGACTCAATGGTGAAGCACGATAATCCAATTGAACCGATCAATTCTACAACGCCCTCTCCCGCCGCGGGGCAGCGCGGTAGCACATTCCAGGCAAATCTGTAACTCTCCACCATGCTACACAGCAACACAGAAGTTGCACTCGCATATTTACTTGCATTTGCATTTGCAGCTTACAATTCGCGCATACTCGCTACAAAGTCAATCTCGTGGCGCAACATTGGCCCGAGTGTTGCTACTCGGAATGGACAACCCCCCTTCGTCGCGATCATCTCCATTTACCTCGTTACCCCTCCACAACCCTCCAAGAAAATTTCACTGGGGAAAGTCAATCTTGCTCACACGACGATCTATTTTGTCAACATCCTGGAGGCGGCGTATTGGCATAGAAATAAACCTAGAAAACAACAGCTTCGGAGCAACACGGCAACCATGGAAAGCTTCACCGCTAGATGGTGGTGGGGCCAGTAAACTTTTTCCTTTCCTTTGTCCTATTTGAGTTCCAAGGTTGGTGGTTCAATCGGCTGTAGAGGGACTGCCCGGAAAGCAAAATAGGTATGGGCGAGGTGACGTCCGCGGGGTACACCATATCATTTTAGCCGCCACTGGGTTGGCGATATCGGAGAGATTACAAGATAATCGTTGTCGGATGGATAGATATAGGGGAAGACGGTGTAGGAATTTAGTGCCGGCCAGGTGATAGGATGATTGTCAGTGGTCAGTCAACCTTGGAAAACTCGGTACAGCTGTCAGTATCTAGTTGTTGAACGAGCTCGATTAACATATTTCCAGCTGCACATAGGTTTCGGAGATTCCATGTACCGTTGCAGAGTTTCCCATATGACTAGGCTGTGCGACATGAACCCTCTTACTGTGCCCCAGGCGTTCAGATATATTTAAATAGTAATGTATACCTAGTATCTATATCTTACTATTACTATAGACTTAATGTTCTAATCATGACCTATCTATATGGGGATATGGAACCCCATCGGAATTAAACCCCAAATGATGTGCAGATGTGCACCACTCCATCGGGTGGGATTTGTTGCTAATTTGGACTGGCTCAGTTCCCAGTCATATGCGCCCACTTGGCGCTGATCATGCTGATCCACGAGATAATCGAACAAAAGGGGAATAAAAAGCAAACATTACCTGAGGGCTGTTGCCTCCAGTGGCTCCGTTCAGATCTCAATACTTGGTAACAGATTCGGCATCTCTTTTTTAAAATAATAGATTGTACAAAACGGCTGCGGAATGGAAATTGAACACATTACCTATTTTTAATTGTTTCGGTTGCGCGGTAGCCGCGGCGCGATTTTAGGTTACCTTTTAGCTCACTAGTATAACTCGCAACCGGGATGTGAACAGGGGGTGTGTATCAGGGGGTCGATCGCGATGGCACATATTACAGTAGTAGCGGGCTGGTAATCATGGAGGGGCAAAGTATGAAGTAAAGTGCAGTACGTACACATGTAGCGTTTCAGTGAGCATCTTTTACTCTTTGCACCCTTCGACCCCGTGTAACCGGACTCGAAAGGTATATTCCGAACATATATTGGCTGTATCTTCCACTCCGCCAGCCTCTCACAATCAAGCACCTCGGCATCCAAACGGCTCAACTCCAATGGTCGCTTCCTCATTTGGTTCGATGCAGATCACTAAACTTCCTTTGTACAAGTTGCTTGCTGTGGCGCCAGGTTGAAAGTCACCCCCGTCCACCCCGCTCACAGCGATCATTTACTCTGTCATAGTCCCAGTGTGTATGAAATGCCAATGAATGGTCAAACCGCGCAAGACAAGAGGCAAAAAACAGTGGGGAAAAAAAGAAAACATGGGAAATATGCGGGCTCAGCGAGCCACACGCGGGGCTTGGCTGATTGCGTCTCGCAAATGACCGTGCCGTGTCTTACCCAATAAGCAGGCCGCCCGCGATAACACCCTTTCTGATCCTCGTGCTGTATGGATAGCCCACAGCGGGGAGCCAAAGAGAACTGGTCAACGCCCGAGGGCGTCTAATTTCTCACGTTGATCCATTGGAATTTATTGGATGCTTCCAACCTTCGCCGTATATCTTTCCTCTGGCGATGCCAACTCTCCTGCTTGATCTGGTTGTAGAAGGCTGATCGCATCAAGATATCATGTGTTTTCTACCGGGCAAAAACCCCCGCCCCTTTTTGGGGTATTGACCATTCCCATGTGCGCTGAGCATTCTTTCAGCTGGGGGAGGGGGGCTGAGGGGGGGTCCTAATTAGGGAAATCCGACTCATAGTCAAGGTCATCATGGCAACTCCATCATAGTCACGCACCGTGGGCGGCTGAAGCATCTGTACAGCTCCTGTGGTGTTCGAGTCGTAAGATTTCTGCATCGGTGAGTCTAGCAGAGGCTCACCGATGCAGGTAGCTATATCTACTTTTATATGTACTTTGCTCGATATTCCTGCAGTATACTTCATGCTTGCACCAGACATACTTCCTACATCAAGTCGCTTAATATACCCGTCAACTGTGCATTTGAGGTATATTCTGTCCGAAGTAACAGTAGAACATACGTAGACACACGGGACCTTCGGCTGCTGCAAGGACAGACTGCATGCGACCTACTCCTGGCCAGTGCAGATGCAGCGAGGTCGGGAGCAGAGGTTGGACCGAGCGCTCGGCGCAGGAGCCCAGGAATGCTGGAGGTAAACAGGCCGACAAGCGATGATTCCCTGTTCATAATCAAATTGATAATCTATAATCAATAATCTATAATCAAGGGCATCTCGCTACTGGACTATTGTATTTAGTTAGGGTCAAATACCGAGCGAATGTCTAATTTCCATACCCCGCGCTCAGCCAGGGATCGCCTCCAGGGATCAGCTTTGACGGTTTCACCTGGGAACAAACCAAACACCCGTCCAATGTCATCACAGGTACACATTGGAGGTACATGGTCGATACTTGGATTCTTCGATACACAATCCCGGGCTCTGAGCTACGAATGAAATTGTGTACCAAGTTATGCTGAAATCCTAAAATCTTGCAACCCCCCCCCCCTTTATCAAACAACCTCAACTCCTGAAACAACGACCAGCCATGGTCTGCGCAACTCAAGACAAGAATCGATCTATCACCTGTCTTGCAGTGATTGATTCGTATAACCAGCCCCCGCTTCCTTCATATGTATGAAGTTAATGGAGATTTGACAATAAAAACATTAATTATTCATGCGCAAAGGAGATGAAAGGCTGAACGAGTACCATGGCTCGGATTCCCGTTGTTTCCTTGTCTTCTTGGTTGCCCTCGGGCCGGGAATTATGTGGGAGCGGTGTGACTGATCCGATAATGAGCAGAGTGATGAAAATGGTGGACTGGAGTTGGTGAAGAACAGAAAAATTCAGCCCATCACGAGGATGTCGATGATGGAATGTGTCTTAGATTTCTCGCGAGTATCCGTTCTCCATCGTTCGTCCCCCATTTGATGTCATTCGGACCGTGCTGATGGATGACTATCCCGAATCAGGGGCCCACTGGAGGCCCTAGTGGAATGTCAGATGTCAGTGCGAGCTGACTGGGTCCTAGGGAAAATCCACGAGCCCGAGAAAGCGCCCCATCGACACGGAGTCCCATTTGCTAGTCTCATCATTATTATTATCCTCCCTTTTGGAGCAGGCAAAGTTGGCTATCCAGTACGGTGGCGTTCCCAACTCCCGACCATACTTTATCATAGGATCTTCATCTGGATATTTATACATTTGGAGTCATCACGAAGCGTCATGTCTTAACTATCTGGAACGATCACTAGAAAAGGCATTAGGACAACGGAGGAAAGAAGCTGGAGACCAAATTACTACCTCCTGCCCATATTGTTTACGTGTCTGATTTGAGAAATTAGACTTGCTAATATAGATAACAACAGCCTAGATAGATACCCGGCTCATTGGCCCGTTCATAGTTCCGCAACTCCTCCCAAAGCGCTAAATGGCCCGTCTGTTTCTTCCACTGGCCAACAATTCCATTCTCTGATCTCCAGCAATAGAGGACATGATGCACTCATGTCAAGATTCAAATTTGCTCTTCAAGGTATCACTCTCGGCGACCGGATTGGCACCCTGGAATCCTGCGACGCAGATATCCTCTGCATCTGCATCGCGACTGTATGATTGGCCCCGAGCAGCAGAGCTGTGTACACTGCAGTTGACCCAACAGCATCCGGTAAGGACCGACTCGGGAACACAGCGCTACCGACGCGACCTACAGGAGACGCTCCGCTGGTCCTGTACGGGCTTTTGATTATTGCGGCACCACTCAATGACTACGGAGTACTCCTCCCGTCGAGGGTAAAGGAAAAGCGGGCCAGGGAGCACGGGGCAACTGCGGCATTCCCACCTGGGCTGTGCGGTTGGTCTGTGGCTGTCAGGATTTCAAGGGCCGGTGGGCTAGCTGAAGCAGCATGTACGATCATGCTCAATTCATAATCGGTCAAGAGAAAGCATACACATGGATAGACGTATAACCAGAGAGGTATATCCGTATCTACTTACATCAAATACAGTACACCGATTCAAGTCCAAATGTACAACTTTTTTTTTTTGGCCGATCGGGGAGGGGAACGGGCCAGGGAGCCCAAAAAAAAGGAGACTAAAAAGACTAAAGCGACTAACTCAAGGACCCACTACGTAGCGTGATTGTAGACAGCTTCCTTACTCGAGGGGATCGCCTCAGAATGCGGCCATCCCACCAGGCCATGCAGGACGAGGATCGAGAGGGTCATCACGGTCAAAGAGGATCAAGATCATCCCATCGGGCGGGGCATTCCCAAGAACGAAGTTCCTACTTTGGAGGAGTAGTTGGGGATCTTCTTTTTCTTCTCATCCGACCACCACATCTCCATTCAACGACGGACGCACGATTTTCGGTCCATCCAACCGAAGGGTCTGATAGACGCGAGTCGCCCTAATGCGACCTCTCCATAGGCTCCTCCATAGGCTCGCCACTGGCCACTCGGCGTTGCTGCACGATAATTCGTAGCCTATTATCATGATCGAACTAATCACGTTAAATCGCTGGGATCAACTGTTACAAGTTGTAAATACATACCCACGGAACCATCCCGTCCCCTCGCCCGTTCCATAGAATTCAAATAAATTAGGTAGATGTCTGCTCGAGGGGTATTGAAGAAGGGGGTGTGCTGTTTTGTTGACGTGAGATGACAGCCTCGACGTGAGGGGAGACGTCTCAAACCATCAGGAAATGAGCAGATGCGATCAGACCACGGGCGAGGGTGAATTATGTATTTATAACCGAATCTTTCTTCATATCCAGAGGACTACGACAGTAGTGTATGGCCATGGGTGACCGTTTACGGAGTAGATTATTCTTAGTGTACAATAATCATCTTCCTAATCTTCGTAAAAATAATAATCCCGAATTAATCCCACCCCCCTAAACCCGATGAAACTTTAGTCGTCCGTCCGAAAAGTAAATAATATCGTAATTTCTGGCGTAAACATCGTACCCTATCGTAAATACATACCTTCCCACCCCCCAAAATCCGAATCCGATCATCAGACGTCGTATGTATTTAGCACTTACCCCGTGCCACCAATTTCTCTGTTCCCTCTCCTCCCCTCCCTTCTTCCTTCAACTACCATCCCCCTGACCCTTCATCGAAATCTGAAGATTTCGATCTCTTGGGCTCCTTTACGTCGAACTCGCCGCGCTCCTTTTTGACGAGGTATTTGCGTCTCTGCTTCCTCTCCCTCTCAACGGCGCTCAGAAACCAGCACGCCGACCCCCCCCAAAAACGGACAAAATACGCTAACTCTTCTCATCGCCTAGGCGACACCGACGACACGTTCCTTTTCAATCGCATCTGGTCGCACCAGCAAAATGTCGACTCTCTCTGATACCCTCTATTGAGCCATCCATCTTCAGAGTTCTCCGGGCTCCTCTCCTGCCTCGCTGGATCCAGTATCCGCCATGGAGAAGCTAAACACTGAAGATGGACAACTCTTCATCAAGGTGTGTCCTGCCCCACAGCTACGATCAATATTCCAAATTTCAACACTCTGGCCCTCGCCCTCTTGGTGAACGTGTTTGCTAAGCCTATTGTTTCTCTCGCCTACCAGAACCTTGCCAGCTTCGTCCGCACGCACGAAAAGGCGCTTGCAAACGCTTTGCAGCTCCGCCGCCAGTCCAAGAATGTCGTAACCCCACAATCGCCCACCAGTTCTTCGAGCGCTGGCGCCTCCTTTTCCTCTACCTCCCTGACTCTGGCGGCAGCATTGTCCTTTGGCGCATTGAAATTTACCTCGCAAAACATCAAGCCCGCCAAACTCACCCTGACCCCTCACCACCTCTTCTACCTCCTGTCGCGCTTCGAGGACCTGTCCATTGCGGTTGGCCCGATGAATGTGCGGCTCGAGAACATCCATACCGAAGTCTCCCAGTCTTATGTCTCCTTCTTGAACAAACCACAGCGGTCCAAGGGCGATGGAGCGTCGATCCACTCCGTCTCTAGCGTTCGTAGTGTCATGTCTGGCATGAGCGGCCTCTGGTCCTCCTTCGGCCTTGGATCCAAGGACTCGATTTCCAAGTCTGACAAGGCCAAGGTCGCACTGGAAGCAGATCTGAAGTACCTGTACTCGGCCTTCACCAAGATCCCCTGCCTGCGCCTGGCCCCGGACCACCGCGCACGCTTGATCCGTGGTTATGAAGAGTTTCCATTCGATACGGCTGTGCCGCTCCATTCCTTCAAAAACTTGAGCGCTTTAGAGATTATTGACATAGATTACCGCTCCTTCTATGGCTGGGACCGTCTGTCCGAGCAGCTGCGCACCTTGACCGTCAAGCGGGCTCATTTGGATGACCCGGCTGATCTGTTGACGAGGATCGTGCTGGACGACATCGACAAGCGTCGCCGTCGTTCGGCCAAGTCTCAACAGTCCCCGCCGCTGGGTTGGACCGGCGGCTCGGGCACACAGCCAGTTCATACCCCTGACCATACCTCCATCTCGGCGCCTGGCTCTCCCATTGCTGAGACTGCGCTTGCTAGTAGCACCAGTCCCAAGTCTGTCCCCATGATGCGAGCCGGTTCCGAGGGGACAAAGATCCGCGCTCGGGCGGAGAGTATCTCGCCTACTCGGCCGTCCACGAAGCATAGTCACCGTCACAGCCGCGGTCAATCTGCAAGGATTCGTCGCACCGGGTCCGGTAGCTCGAACTCGAGCGATACATCCGGTGGCTATCGGACTGGCGGCTCGGCGACTCTTCTGCCTGGTGTTCTCCCTCCTTCGAAATGGCGGTTCTTGCGACACCTGGGGCTTCCGGAAAACTCGTTGACCTCCATCTCGGCTGCCAGTCTTGCTCCCGTGGCCAATACTCTCAACTCCCTCGATCTGTCGTCAAACCTCTTGACTGAGATTCCCGACAGCTTGGCATCGCTCATGGCTCTGCGTGCGCTCAACTTGTCCCACTGTATGATAGATTCCTTGCACTCCCTGACGCGCAACCCGCTCCCTGCGATCACTGCTCTCAACCTTCGTGGCAACCGACTTCGCTCACTCGCTGGTATCGAACGTCTCCTTTCCCTGGAGCGCCTGGATCTCCGCGATAACAACCTCATGGACCCGACGGAAATGGCACGACTCACCAGTCTCCCTGAGATACGGGAGATTTGGGTGTCCGGAAACCCGTTCGTAAAGACTCACTCCGGCTACCGCGTCATCATCATGAATCTCTTCCGTCGCACTCCTGGCTACGCCGAGGACATAATTGTCGATGGTCGTGGACCCGGCTATACCGAGCGCAAGCAACTGGTGGACCGTGTGGCTGAGCCCGAGGGTGCTCCAGTAGTTCGCTCGAGTGCGGCAGACCAGTCGGTCATCGTGCACAAGCCCACCGGTGCCATGGTATCCCAGGAAACTCCCCCACCGGTGCCCCCAAAGGATGAGATGGACATTCATCCAAAGAGTGGTCAGCAGCAGGAGACCGAAGGTGGGACCAACCGTCGGAAGAAGATCCAGCGGCGCCGCATCGTCGACCTCTCCACTGACAATCCATTCACTACCGATGGCCTAGGAGTCCCTGGGCCAACCATGCCGGCAGTCCTCCCGATGCAGCAGCTGGACAGTCCGATCAACACTCCTGTCGTGCTTCCATATGAACATCAATTACGGCTCGACAGCGGCACTCCATCAGGGTCATCCAGCATTCAAAGCCCGGTCAAGCATGTGCACTCCCTAAGCCCCCAGGCTGCGGTGGTTCCACCAACCCCGAGCAAAGACTGGACCTTGGATGAGGAACTCTGCCGGCAACAGTTGGAAGACTTGCGGCAGGAAGTGGGACATAGCTGGATCAGTGTACTGGGAGACCATCCCTGGGACAATGCGCAGAAAACCTTTGCTGCGCATCATCTGGCGGGGGCTGGGCTGGATCACGCAACCCTTCCGACAGCGCCCCTTGTCTGTGCAAATAGCCATGCTATCTTGAGTGGAGGCCATGTGTTGGGTGGTTGAACAGGATGACCATACCTTGATCGCCTCTCTCTCTCTCTCTCTCTCTCTTGATACCCTCTTGCATCTTGCATACATTATTATTATCTTACCTGGCCTCTTCACCCCCTCCCTCGGCCAAGGCACATTATTCCCTTTGCTCTCCGACTCTCCATCGGCTGAGCAGTCCTGAAAAAACACTCTCCCCCTTCAGACTAATTTCTGTCGTTTTGAGCAAGCGTCGTGCTGCTCCTCATTTGCATTTTACCGGCGTTGGATGACTTACGAAATATGGCGGGTTGGATGTATGAACAATTTTACGGCCTTGCGTTTTGCTTTTCTTGTTTTTGGAGGGCTCTTCGTTTCGCGTTCGTTTCGCCTCGGCTTTGCCAGCCTTTGTGCTGCTGCATTCATTGCCCGCATTAAACTCCCATCTTCCTGCGGCTTCTTCCTGCTTGTCATCATCTGGACGGCACCGTGAAAGACGATTCGATTCTAGAGCGCACTGATTGTACCTGCTTTTGATTTCTTGCGTTGTGTTTTTTTTTGTTCGGGTATGCTGGCGTTTGTGGCATGATTTCTTATTCCCCTCTTGTCTTTGATCCTTATTTTCGCCTTGAGTGTCCCTATTTCGGCGGGTGTCTTTGTCATTTTCCCATCCTTTGCAAAGAGCAATGGCTATCGTGAGTGATCAGCCAAATCAGAAATAATTTCTGTCTCGATCCACGTCTCCTCTTTATCATGTAGCCAACATGGGTTAGCTCTGCTTGCTAAGCCTTTAGATCACTAGCAGGTCAGTTAGCCAATGAAGCAGTATGAAGTCCTGCAGACCCTGGGCCCGCGAGTAGATGCAACTAGTTCCCCACTATCAAGCCATTTACGCCCGCAAATAGATCCAGGTTCAACCATCCGGGCGATGGGTATCCAATGGAAGGCCCGGGTTTGGGTCTGTAGCATGGTCCAGCTGGTCGCGATCGTGCCGTGTCGACTGTACAAAGACATTCACTGTGATACCATATGGTCTAACGTATCGTGAAGAGTACATCAACATGGATCCCAGCGGGGTTTTATGCTGGTTTGGTGCTAGGACCTCTGCGACTGCCTGGTGAGGAGGGCCTCGACCGACAGCGACTGCAGAAGCCCCTCCACGGTGACGCCGACACGGTGGTAATGAGGGTGGGAAGAAAAGGAGAGAGGGGAAGAAAATACAGAACAAGAGCATGGATTCAGAAATCCATGCTTCTTTCTTAACTGTCTCAATTTTGATCCGAAGAAAAGACAAAAGTGAAGACGAGGAAGGGGTTCGATCATAGGGCGAAGTATACCGCGCGGCAAGCCAAACATCTGCAAACACAAACCCGACCTTCCCATTCCCGCTTCCTCCTCTCCCTGCAAGATTCTCCCTCCTCATCCCGTTGAGGCTCTCACTCCCCCCTCCCAACACGCATCAACCCGTTGTCCTGCTACTTGGGAATCTTCTCTTGTGCCACTGTTCCCCATAGAGAGAGTTCTTTCTCCCTTGCCATCCTCTAACCCCCTTTGGCACTTGACTGCTACCCTGCCGGAAAACTTCGATCGCTCTCAGACAAACCCCCTCCCTTCATCCCGCTCGAATCAACCATCGACTCGCGATCGGAATCAACTTGCGCCCTCAATCTTCTCGAGGCGCTCAGGAGTCTGCTCACTGCACAGGCTACCCTCTTCCCTTCATTTTTGTCGTTATTTTCAAGAGGTTCTGCTCTGTCCAACACACCTCCCCGTCTGGCATCCCTGCCAGAGCCTTTCCCCCAACAACACGTCGCGGCCGTAAGGCCTCATCGTTGATTCTTTGGTCTCACTGAATCTCATTTTGGTATGTCTTCCATCTTTCTCATCATCCTCTTTCTACATATCTTGTCCAAGGGGAACCTACACGTCTGGGCAGCAAAAGTCTGGACCCTCCCGGTCAAGGCAGAAAAAAATTCCTTCGGAGACGACGCGCCTGGACCCCCCTTGGATGCCGATTTCACGATTTGAGAATCGGACTGGCATCCCCGTCCTCTGTGAACTCATCGCTAACCGACTGTCATCCTTGGGGTCGTTATAGAATCATAGCCGCCGCGTCATCAATTCTTCACTCGTCCCGGAAGTCATCCCTTCCCCTCGCGCGTGCTTTTTCGTTTCCCCTTTCCTTTCTTTCTCGTTCCTTTCCCCCGTCCTTTATTAGAGGCCGCCCGTCATGGCCGACCAGGAAGTGGATTTGGATTCAATCATCGATCGCCTTTTGGAGGTGAGGGGCAGCCGTCCTGGCAAGCAGGTGCAGCTCTTGGAATCGGAGATTCGTTATCTCTGCACCAAGGCCCGTGAGATCTTCATTTCTCAGCCTATTCTTCTGGAGCTCGAGGCTCCCATCAAGGTGCGTGTTCTGTGTTTATGGTCCTTGGATCACAAGTTTTTTTTTCTCCCTTTGTCTATCGCCGACTCGCGTCTCTAACGTGTCTTGTTTTGATCACAGATCTGCGGTGATATCCACGGTCAATACTACGATCTCCTCCGTCTGTTTGAATACGGCGGTTTCCCCCCAGAGGCCAACTACCTTTTCCTCGGTGACTACGTCGACCGTGGTAAGCAGTCGCTCGAGACTATCTGCCTGCTCCTCGCGTACAAGATCAAGTACCCCGAGAACTTCTTTATTCTGCGTGGTAACCACGAGTGTGCCTCCATCAACCGTATCTATGGCTTTTACGATGAGTGCAAGCGACGATACAACATCAAGCTGTGGAAGACCTTCACCGACTGCTTCAACTGCCTCCCCATTGCTGCTATCATCGACGAGAAGATCTTCACCATGCACGGTGGTTTGAGCCCGGATCTCAACTCGATGGAGCAGATCCGCCGCGTTATGCGTCCTACTGATGTAAGTTTTTCCTCGACTATCTTTGAGTCCCTTTTGGACACGGATTCCTCGGCAGGTGTGCTGTTGCTTTACGCACGGACTCGAGAGCTGGCAGGCACCTTATACACAAAGAGCTGTGGAGCCTCCGGCGGCTTGAAGGCCAAGTTAACTAACATTTATGATAATAGATCCCCGACTGTGGCCTCCTTTGCGATCTTCTGTGGTCTGACCCGGACAAGGATATCACGGGTTGGAGCGAGAACGACCGTGGTGTCTCTTTCACATTCGGCCCCGACGTGGTGTCGCGCTTCCTCCAGAAACACGACATGGATTTGATATGCCGCGCGCATCAGGTTGTGGAGGATGGATACGAGTTCTTCTCGAAGCGGCAGCTGGTCACGCTATTCAGTGCGCCCAACTACTGTGGTGAATTCGACAATGCGGGTGCAATGATGAGCGTTGATGAGTCTCTGCTCTGCTCGTTCCAGGTGAGTGGATCTCGTATCCCACGATCCCTCTCCGTTTTTCCCACTTCTAAGCCAGCAATTCTAACCTCTTTTTTTCTTTCGATCTGCAGATCCTAAAACCAGCCGAAAAGAAACAAAAGTACGTCTACGGTGGCATGAGCTCCGGCGGGCCCATCACTCCTCCGCGCAAGCAAAAGAAGAAGTAAAACAAAAAGAAGAATCAATACGAGCTTTCCCATGTGCAGCAGGTTCGGGCGGAGATAAGCCATTTTTGCGACACCCCATGTTCAACTATCGCCTATCGACACATACAACTATCACCCATAACCACCCGCCAAATCCGCTGTCCATGTCCAAGCCATGTCCCACGCCTATTCCTCCAACCTCCGCCGCGATTTCAAATCCCCCCGCTCACAACAACCTCCCCCACGAAGCGATGAACGACCGAGGATCTTTATCTACGCCCGGGTCCAGCCCAACGCCCACACTTTCCCCGTTCTCACCCACAATCGCCGCCAACTACAACAATCCGATAATCCACCTCCTTTTTCCTCTCTTCCGATTTCCGTTTAGGGCTGACCCGGCGCGCCATTTGACTATTTTCTCGTCTGTCTTTCCCCCCTTCTCATTTCTTCTGGCCGGTTCCGGATCACGCGACCAACATACATGTACACCCCCCCCTTGGGACGGACGATGATCTCGCTTTCCCCCGTTACAGTTTCTCTATTCCACTTCTTCTTTTTTGACTATTTTTTTTTCGCAACCCATTTTTGTTTCCCTTTTGCCCTTTTCCTAGTCCTTCTCATCTACCTGTTATTGCCGTTTCTCACCTTATCATCTGGACGGAATGATTACTCTCGGCATTCTGGAAGGGCGGGGAAATCTGGTCTATCTTATCCTTTTTTTTTCTTTTATCTTCCTCTCTGATTCGTTCTGTCTTATTGGTCGAGTTGTTTTGAGTTTAAATGGAACGCAGATGTTTGCCGTAAGTTTTTTTATCTCTAATTTGTCTTGCGTGTATGGGAGGGGGCGTAGCTTAGAAGTTCGGACAATTCGGTTCTTGTCGGATGGATCTTGCTCGTTCTTCCGAGGTCCTTACGGGGTACGCTGCGCTCGTAGGCTCTTGCCGCCTGTGTATAACCTGTGGTAGCGAAGCCCAGAGATTCAACTTGATGGCACAAGTAGAAAAGGCACCATCTACATGTCGAGACCAACCTCTCTACACCTCTATAATGATAGTCCAGGTATGCCAATCGAAAGCCTCTCGTTTAGTTCTACTTGTTTCCCTTTTCTGCGCACCAGATTCTCCACATACGTGCTCAATATACCTCTCTCAAAGAGTACATTATCCAAAATACTACGCCCCAGTCCGGGCCAACTTGTAGTATAAACCATTGTATTCAGCGAGACCCAAAAAACTTCGGCTAATTGGCTATAGTGTAGGGACGAAAGGCGCAACGCAAAAGCATAGGCGGAGAAAAATAAAAGACATGCATTGGGGGACTTGCGGGGTGGTTACAGAGTGAGGTTTGGGTTGTGGAGCTGGGCGTAGGCCTGGGTCTGAGTCTGGAGGAGACTGGACCTGGCTTGGCTTGGCTTGAGCGGTGCAAGGTGCTGTGGCACGTTGCGATAGAGGTATTTGTGTTGGAGGTGTGGGATATGGAGGGAGGTGTAAGGAGGGCTGGCCCGGGCCACCCATGGCCGTAGACATTGCAGAGATATGGGTGGGAGTGGAGTGGAGGGGAGGGAGGGCTGGTGGCTGTGAGAGGGGGGTTCAGACTAGACATCGGACTGGTTGACGACGTTTAGACGTATTGAGACAGCCAGCGGATACCCTCGCCGTATCCTGGATGTTGATGTTAGCTACCCAGCTTTCCCTATAGATTGACCAGATAATTCTGCTGTCTGGTTTGTCCGGGACTCACCTTGACGCATGACAACACTGCACATGAACAGCTCAATAGGCCGGATGCCCTCGAGAGGGACCTTGCCCTTACCAGTGGTCTGGTACAGACCGAGCTGGTGACGCAGCTCATCCTCAGAGACGGCGTCGGGGTGATCGATCTTGTTGCCGAGCACGAGGAAAGGCACCTTGGCGAGGTCCTCCATGGCGAGCAGGGCGTCCAGCTCGACCTTGGACTCGGGGAAACGCTCGTAGTCCTTGGCATCGACCAGGAAGACGATGCCGCTGACCTCGGGGAAGTAGTCCTTCCACAGACGGCGGGCTATACTGGTTAGTTGCATTGGTTCTTTTCTCTTAACTCGGTCAATCGCTCGCGATAAACTCACCCTGCTGGTGACCACCCAGATCGAAGGTCGTGAAGCGGTTGTTACCGATAGCCAGCTCCTCCGAGGTCGGGTGGGCGGTGGGAGACAGAACGGCGACACGGTCGTTCTAGATAGTGCTATCGTCAGCTTATCCATCCAACATACAACCAATCCTTTATCAATCTATTCCCCCGCGCAGAATCCATGCAAGTATATCGCCCCAAACAGCGGAAACACCTCGCAGCCATGCGCCAGGACCACATAGTCTCGGGATTTGACCTCGGCCCTGTCTCGTATCCCGCCATCCGCGCAACCATTCGCCCTCACACCCACAAACTCACCTTCAACATGTGCAGCAGGGTCGTCTTGCCAGCATTGTCGAGACCGAGGAACAGAAGCTTAGCGTGCTTGTTCAGGAGACCAAGCGAGGCCAGAATATCGTAGACTGCAGCGAAAAAAAGTCCATCAGTAAACGCAGTTTTGCAAAGGTCAAACCCGGAATCACAAGCGCAGCAGCCGCGGCATTAGGATAGACAGATTCGACTCGGTCCTAATCGCTGCTGATAGTCTCCAGGTATACCGTAAAGGTTATACTGTGAACTGGAGGAGCTGCTTTCCCCCGGTTTGTCCCCCTTTGTATAGTGTAGTGTCCGGGGTGCGGGATGGTGGACTCGGTCAGGCCACGGGGGTTCGGGAGGGCGACTTACACCAGTTGACGATCCACATGGCGAAGGCGAGAACACAAAGGGTGACTGTGGAGAGGTCGAACAAAGGAAATCGGGTACGACGAGGTCGTAGACGAGAGGTAGGCGTCGGAAGTGGATGGAGAGGGGGAGAGGCAAGAAAGTCAGGACAGGTTGATGTTGTTTTCGGGATCGGCCAATGGCTTGGGTGCCTGAGGCAGCAAGGGATCAACGGTGGCGGACTTTGACGAAATTGAGAGTCACCATTTGCCTTCCGAATGATGACCCGAATACAGTAGCATCGGACAACATTATATATTGAACGTTTGAGAGATTACAATTTATGCAAGCGGTGATAATATGTTTCAAGCTCATTGGTAGTCACTAGCACTAACGTTGAAAATAAGGCTAACGACGCAATTCATTCCGACCCAGCAACCTCCATAACGCAGCAATTTCAGCTAAGGGGTATCCGCTCCGCAGCTATGCAAGATGAAAAAAGAAAGTGGCCTCCTCAGATAAGCGCTGGAAAAGACAAGGAAAATATGTACTGGGGAAAGAATAATCAAGAACAAAATATTGGAAATGCAAGGACAATTTGTTTCCCCCCCGGAAGGATTAGAAGAGGGTATCGTAAGTAGATAGTAGGTAAAGAGGATCGAGAAGCAGATCACATCACAGAAAAAGAAAAAACCCAGTCAAGTGGATGACATGAAGTTGGTTAAGTATGTATCAGCGAAAGGCACCCAGATCGCTAACTGGGTGGGGGAAATAGTATGTAAAAGGAAAGAGGTAAAAAAAGGTAATGTATGTACAGAAATGAAGAGTAGGATAGGGTAAATTTGGGTATTGGGGGAATGGGGGGAAGATAAAGACAGACAGTGCAACAGCGCAGTCTAGTCCTTGGGGAGCCTAGACGGATAGGACGAGCTGGGTGTCTTCAGCGACACCGTAAGCCCTGCACCTCTCAGCAACTTCGAGGCCAAGCTCCTTCATCCTTTCAGCTCCCTTGCCGGGAATCGGCCGCCGAACCATCTGCTCTTTGGCAGCTTTGCGGCAATGTTGACGCCAGAACTTTTCTTTACGTTTCTGGCGCTTCTTTTCGAGACCCTCGACAATGTCGATGGGTCCACGGGTATGCATTTCGCGGGTGCGAGAGTGTTCGTGCTCGGGCGACTCGGTCAAGGGTGGAATGCCGTGCCACCGGTGCGACTTGTCCAAGCTCGTGAAGAAAGGGTTGGGCGTGCGCGGAAGCGACTTGGTCCGGGTCAAATGCGGGCGCTGGACCAAGTGGCTGATGTTCAGTCCCTGTGGCGACGAAGACTCAATGGCAGGCAGATCCTCTGAGAAAACTGGCCGCGTGGAAGGCGAGGGAGACTTGGCTCGGCAGGCTCGTGAACGAGGAGGAGGGGACTTGAGACGCTTGGGAGAAACCCGGCCGGCTCGGCGAGGTGGGGGAGAGACCATGCGCTTGGGGGAATGACGAGGTGAGGCCTTGCGAGCTGGATCCTCCGTGCGGCCACGGGATGGCTCGAAGATGAATTCATCGAAATCACCGTGGGAGATATCCTCCAGGTCGTCGTCTTCATCCTCGGGGTCGCTGGTGGGGAAGCTAGGATCAATGTCTTGCGGGATGAGAATGTGCTTTGACATTCGTCGTTGCTCCATGCAAGACTTGTAAGCAATCTCCATGGGACGATCCTCATCGAGTGTGCCGCAAACAAAGTCGGTGCTATCCGGCAGGTTGGGAGTGCCAGGGCGCATGATATTACACGCCTTAGAAGGGCGATGGCCAGCGATCTTTCGAACGGGAGCAGGTAACCACTTCGGGTGGTCATCGGTCATCGAGTCGAATGAAGTGTTGGAAGCACGGCGCTCCATGGTTGAAGGGAGGGCATCGAGGGGCTGAGTACTGGATTCAGGCACAATTGCCGAGGGTGCCCAAAATTCATACTCTGAGCCGTCGTCATCACTCTCGTCAGAGTCAGCGAAACCAGCCTCATTGTCGGACTCGTTTCCATCATCGTCAGAGAAATGCACAGTAGAGTCATCGTCGGCGAGATCCTCGGCATCGTCATCGTCGTCCTCCTCGTCCTCTTCATCCTGTGCTTCCTCCTCGGCCTCTTCGCCCAGTCGTCGAATTGCAATCTCTTTCTTCATGCAGTCATTCAGGGTGATCTTCTGGGCGTAATCGGTCGATTTGGTCACCCACTCGTCATCCTCATCCACCGAGCTGGCAAATTCGTGGAACCGAGTCGCCTCAGATTCCTCAAACTTGCCTAGTCCACTGGTAGGAACACCTTGAGGGACGCTCTTTGCGGGCATCTTCTCGTTCTGGTCTCCGTTCACACGGTCCTGAGAGGACTTGCGAGCAGCGGGAGCCGGGGAGCCGCGACAGCGGTTTCGGAAGGTGGGCTTTCGACCTGGCGAGCGCTCGCGTGCGATGGCAGACAGGCGTCCGGGGCAGGCGAATGTGAGGGCGGTTTTGCGCTTGGGAGGTTCAAGTGTAGCTTGTGTTGATTCAAGTTGAGGGGTGGGTGGCGCAGAAGGTTTTTGGGTATTTGAGGGTTCGGTCTGGCGACCACAGGCAAAACTGATGCACCGCTTACGACCCAAATTGGCCTCAACGGTGGTCTCATTGGCGACGGAAATCTTGACCTTGGGAGTGGTGTCTCTCTTGCCGTTCATCGGGGCAGCCTTGCCCGTCATCTGTGGTGGCAAAGGCGGACTCGGAGTATTGGAGAGAGACGGACTGGTCAGACCCCCATCGCTGGTCAGCTCTGCCGTGGAGATGCCACTGACGTTGCTGTGAGGATAGGACCGGTAGGAGTATGTAGAGTCGTGGAGGGAGGGGTGTGGTTCGATGGGGGACATCTCCGGGCTGCTCTTGAGGGCGCGGGTGAGCAAGGATTCCTTTTGGTGGGCGATCGTGGGTCGAGCGAAGACTGTCTCATCGTGGTGGTGTAATGAAGTCGCGTGAAGGATATGTTGTTGATCGGGGGGTTCGTCCAAGTCCTCGGCCAGGTCGGCCTCGTCGTGGGCTGGCCTCGTGGAGGCATTTGGCGCGATGAGCATCTTGAGGAGGTTGTGAAATGAGAATGGTCGTTCTCCACGGGGTTGTGCCATTTTGTTCTTTGAGCAAAGCAAGTATTCCAGGAGAATCCCTGTTGAACAAGGTCAAACAGTGGTGGCGAGGTTCACGAGTGTATCCAAGTAGGTTTGTCGTGACTCGCGCGGCGATGCTCTCTCGATATCGATTAGAAATCGCAATCGATTGACCCAGTGGGCAGAGCAATAGTCCCGTGAAGGACAGCGGTCATGATATGAAACGCATGACTGGAAAGGGACCAGGAAGCAAAGTCAAGAGGCGACCAGAGGGTTGCCAAGGATAATTATTGACTCTCAAGAATGGCCACTCGACAGAGCGCCGGGGCACGAGTACCTCTAGTCTTAGCGCCAAGCCTCTTTGCAGTAAAGGGCGTCCAGATCACAAAAAAAAGGAAGAATGCTGAAAAGATTCCAAAGTGGAGGAAGGAGAAAGAGGAGAGAAGGAGGGGAGAGTGGAGAGTGATAAAAAGGAAAGAAACGAGAAAAGAGGGTATAGAAAGGTAGTCAGTAGTTGGGAAGTCGTCGTAGTTCAGGGTCGGTCGTAGGAGGAGGGGGGGGGGGGAAGGACAGGCTTGGTGGGAGCAGCAGTCGTCTTTCGGTACCGTCCTGACCAAACCGTTCTGACTGTACGGACCATTCGTCAGTGTGCCGGTACGTGCTTTAACTAGGAGCCACCCATACTAACCAGAAGTCCCCTCGCTTGATGACCACTACATTGTGACCATACGGTGACCATACACGGCACGACGGCATCGTCGTCTTGGGTTTAGCGTCCAAAAAAAATCAGTTCTTTCTTTGTCTTTTTTTTTTTCCTTTTATTTTTCCCTTTTCTGTTGGCTTCCCCTCGCCACAACCCTTCCACGCTGTTTCCAAGGCCCCACTTGTCAACTGGTTTGAATGCTGCACAGTCCTGCGCCCTAATACTCTGATCATCCATACAGCCCCCAACGAGTTCTTTTTGCTATTTTAATCTGCTTTGTCAGTTTTGTTCTTTATTCTCCTGTGTATTATTTGATCTATTTTTTATCTCTTTGTCTATCGATCTTCTCTCATTTGTGACTATTCTCGCTGGCCTCGCTGTCAGTGCTAGGGTTTCATTCGTCCATAAAAACCGGGTGGAGTGTGATGACTACTCCCGTATTGTGAGTTGCTGGTCCGTTGGTGGTTGCCGCTGGACTATGACTATGAGGCATTTTGTGCCGGCTAATCCCCTTCAGGGCATCCACGCTAGGAACACCGACCTCCAGCTAGTAGTATTAAGTTACTTGCCCACAGGTCACTGAGCGATAGTCATACAATGTAGTAATATCATTACAACTCGACTGTTCTTGTAATCGTAATAATACGAGGCACTTGATCAACCTCGATATCAGAATATCGTGATTCTCGAGCTCCTCGATCTCCAGCATTCCTCCTAGACCACGTTGCTCGATACGGTCTTCCCCTGCGCCAGGAATTCTGCTTCAAGCATCTCGATTCCTCGAAAAGCAAGGCCGGCAAGGAGAATTTACTGAATTCAGCAGCCACGAGGGACGGCCGTACCCGTACCGTCATCCGACGTCACTGCAGCTACCACCACCACTAAACTAGCGCCGATCTGCGGTATTGTCCCGTAATCGCCCCTCCCCAACTCGGCACTCTCCAAAAGCGGCGTGGTGCCTGTGCCTGAACCCTCTCAAGATTTCGGCTCCATTAAATTGGCCAAACCCTAGCCCTCGCCGTACTCCGTACGACTGTACGTATATCCCTAGTCTACCCGATGGGTCAACCTAGTCAACCTCTGGAATATCTAACCTAGTGTCCTTGTTCTCCTCCAACTAAAACTATAAACGCGCTCTGCGCGCTTGGTGATGCTGTTTCGGTCAGACTGGTCTCGTCTTGGCGGGGTTGGAATCAGCCCTTTCTGGAATATAATAATGTTATATTTTTATCACCATCATCAATTCACCTGGCCCTTGCTCCTCGATGCGGACACATCTGACGTAACTTACATATATAGACATGACTCCCGCGAGGGTATCGGGGTACTGTACTAACGTCGAGCGCAAAGGGCGAGTTCAGACCTCTCCTGACAGAAATTAGCCGGAGGAAGTACGTGCATTATGGTTTAATGTTATTATATTACGCTTCTCCGTAGGCATTGAGCAGTCCTTATGATAATTATGAAACAAGACTATACCATGGAACAAGAATGGTTCAAATATAGAGGTAGCAAATGATACTCGAAAGGTGTACATAGTACTCGGTTCTCCATATTGTATCTCCACTGTAAGCATCATTTCCTCCCCCAGCTTGGCCCTGCTCCGTGCCAGACGATCAGGCTTGGTATACATACGTCTCAGCGTCACCCAAAAAACCCCCACCGTCATGATCCTCCGTGCATGTCATTCCAAAGCATGCCAAGTCCAAAGGTAGCGTCGGTATGGCGCCAAGAGCTTTTCCGTCTGCGCCTGCCCAGCTAGCCCAATAGTTGGCCAGTAGTACAAAGTACAAGAGGCTGTTTCGTTTGTACCTACAGTATCCATCCTAAGATGACTCTCGTAGGTAGGATCATCAGGGTTGTCGTCATCCGACGAGGCGATGCTTTAGACACATCTCGTATCGTGCAGATATCCTCTCCTCCACATGGATAGATTCAAGATTGATTTACTGTTCGGTCGCGTCGCGTGGTCAATGATCAGTCTTCCACGTACTGCCGGTCTCCGATCTGCAGTGGAACATCCAGTAGTAGTATCTGCAGCGCTGCACTCTGTTATTCGGGATATCAAGTAAAGAAGCAACTAGTGACTGTGGATGGATGCATGGTGCCCTCGGCCCACTCTACCGACGTATTCTATAGGAATATGTCGGTATTCATCTTTTAAAAATGAATTTGAATATCGACATCATTGGTGCCGTGCGCAAAACAAATGACCTCAGTAGGCACCAATCGTCAAGCAGAGCGACGGGCTGACGAGGGTAATCCACCTTGAAGCAAGAGGAGCGGTCAGCCGCAATCGCAATCAGCCCCCACGGCGTCCGCAATATAGACAATTTACAACCATGCCATCGCGTAGTTATTATTATGTATTCAGTCAGCTTCTCCATGGGTACCTAAATATCTGTACCTAAGCACTGAACAGTACCTATGAAAGTACACAGCTCGGTACTTCGGCAAGGGTCCTCCCCAAAGCACCGTAGATGCACACGAAACATCTCATCTCACGCTTTGATGCATGCTCCTGTCATGTACGTGCAGGGAAGACAACTCTCCTACAGTAGTCGATCGGATCTGACAAGTAAAATGTAATCTCCAGAAGACGATGGCGTTGAGATCTTGACAAGCTTCGCGAATCCAAGGAGATCACCCCACACTGCACCTATACGAGGCTTACGAGCAGGCATGCCCCCTGTTGGTTGCGCGAGTCCTCAGTGGACCGCGCATATTCGCCCACGAACCGGTCAGTCGTCAGTGTGAGCCCTTGGTCGTGTTTGCAATACCGGCGAAGCTTGTTGCCAACGGAACCGCGGTGCAGGGAGCTGCCGATCGTCTGGGGGTACTACTCGGTGAAGTTGAGGAAGGTGCAACACTCGACTTGTCAAAAGGAGATTTTCTCCGATCGGCGAGAAAGTTTGGCGAGGGAGGGTGGGAAGGTCTTGATGGGACGCTGCTGAGGCTCGTTACTGGCCAGCAGCAGGCGGCTTTTGGGGGCACGAGATCGCTTTGATCGGCCCTGCCGTCCAGTGGTTGCTGTTTCGCATTATGATTTGAGAAGGATACACCTCTCTTCTGTTTGGCTGCTCAATGCTCGTCAGTTATTCCATTCGCAAGACAATTTTTCCTCGGCGCGTATTGGAAAAAAAGAAGAAAGTGGCAATGTATACATGCAAGTGTACACACTCTATGTACCTCGGACTGCCAGCCACAGAGGACTATTCTCCGCTGTGCGCGACGATTTTCAGTAGTTGTACTAAATAAAACAGAAATGCAATCCTGCGCCCCCACCCAAGACCACCAGTACAACGAAATCCAAGTCCAATCACTCAATGCAATCGATGCCCGTACATTTGAAATTGTATAGGGACGAGGGGCCAAGAAAATCCCCCAATTCTCCGTAACCGCCCCCCTCAGAATACCAACTACTAATTACAAAACAATTCAAGATTCATACTCCAAATCACTTATCCACAACAGTTTGGAGGGGCCAAGAGAATTATCCCGCACCCAGCGGGACGGCGTTGCGCTCGTGGCACCAGACGGGACGGGAGTTGAGCTGGGGCCGTGGAGAACATACCCGGGCATTTATGAAGACTGAAGATTGAGACAACTGAGATCTGATTTGATCCGGTCTCCTCATGCTACCTATACTAGTTATGGAGTAGTATACATTTCTCCCGACCGATCATCTTTAGTCTCATGTCACGAGATTCTCCATCGGGTATCGTATTTGATTCATGTCCTGTTGTACGCCGTGTAATAAGGTGTGAACTGTGCAGGTGGACTCCAAACTAGGGCCAAGAGCTAGCACAAGAATGGGGTAATATTACACAAGCACCCAACTGAGAAAAATAAACTAACCCTTCGAGTCGTAGATTATGGAGCCAGACTCGGGATGTGTTGTACAAAAGGACATACATTAGATTTGAAGCACTCCTTGACCGGAGCACAATCGGGGGAAGTGGAGACATCGTAGTATATCGAATTGGATGCTGGGAATCCTCGCCAGAGAAGTGCAAGATGAGGACGGGGGCGAAACGGGTCAGAAAACAAACAATGCGAACCAGAGCAAGGATCGCTAGCTCGACGAGGCTAACCAATTAATGATTGAAAGATGTGAGTGTAGATGTTAGAAGTGCTGGTCAGTTTCTAGCTACAGTAGTTAACTAATCGCTGACCAAGTGTTCCGAGGAACCCATGACAGTAGCGCGCAGGAGATGGCGTCCCCAGCCAACCTACCACTGCTTTGTATGAGGCATTTTGGTCCGCTCTCCACTGCCCATCTGCGACGTGCACCGGAAACAGTAAAGCCACGACGGGTCAACATGAGGGGAAGAGATTTTGACAGCGGCTGTCCCGCTTGGCTTGGCTTCGGGTTCATGGAACCCCTCTTTGACGTTTCTTTTGCGAGGCTATCTTTGTTTTTTCCTTGCGAAAAAATGTTTGTTTGCTACGCGGGGCTGTCAATATGCCAATTGAGCATCTTGACGACAAAACTTATTCTCCGAGTGGCCAATTCCTCAAGGGCATGCGTTTCGTGTTGCGTTGGCCTTTGACGATGTCAGTACAAGTGTTGGGGGCAACTGGATGAACCTGCCAATTTGGTTTTACAATCATAAGTACCACCGTCATACTCTGTTCGGGTGCAGGTGCTGTGCTGTGCTCGGATACCCTGGTCAGAGGAAAGGGACTACTAACCCAAAGGATCCCCTTGGAACGTCTGGGGCATATTTTGCTTCTTCTGGAAAACACGGAATCTGATGACGTCCCTCGCAGACGCACTGTACGGAATCATTGGGCCATCAATGACTCTGAAAGTCTTTCTTGATGCCCGAATGCCCTCGACTATTGACTTTCATTTTGCCTTTGGTCAGTAGTGCGATTTTGGGGCATCTGAATGGCCGTCCCGACGGAGCTCCTGCAGTGTGGTCTCATCCATGCACAAGAAACGCAGTATCGTACTGTATGTACTGTGCAGCCAAGTACAATCCTATCACTTCCTGTCACTCAGGGTCAGGAACTTACGCAAACAACACTGATCGATGAGACAACTGACGATACAGGACCTATCAAACTCAATAATGCCCGTGACATCTTCAACTTGGCCAAGAATGCCGACGAATGTCACGTCCCATCCATGCACATATCAGTCTTAGATGCCAACAAAGCATCACTACCCAACACAGTGAGACCTTCGGCCAGTAAGTCACTGCCACCACCAAGCAGTACGCATTCCACGGGAAGGCTTGGCGACCACGACTGCAATTGTAGCCTGCCAAGACCTGGGCATAGCCCTCACGCGGCTTCAGAATGCGACTGGTGCTATGCGGACTCCGATATGGACGGGCCCTTGAGACCAGCAGAGTGACGATTGTCTCACGGTTTGAGGCACACTCGCAGAGTCGCAGCCAAGGCCAAGTCAGGGGTGGACGCCAATCTCCACCAAAAGAACAATACAATGACCCACAGATCTAAGTCTGGGGGCAGTGGAGTGGAACGACACGAACAGGCGGGCTCACTACCCCTTTCTGCATCTTGAAAGCCCAGAACTTGGCGTGTTGGTCCAGGAGCTGCAGGAGAAGGTTTAGAAGACAGAGGATCTCCCTCCCGCCGGTCCCTGCTGACGACGGAATTCGTAGTTTGATCACAGGGGAACACTGTCCGCTGGGCGCCAAGACATACACTGCCTCTACATTCCTTCTCAAAAAAGAAGCAGCAACTTGGCCGACTGGAGCCCGGCGGTGCTATTGGCAATGGCCTGCGCCAAGGGCGATCACGGCGATCACGGCGATCCTGCTGCCCCCGAGGCGTGCATGAAAGGGAGAGCTTGGCGTTCTCTCCGGGCGACGAGAGATGACGATGTACTACTTTCAATGCCAAGATGTCGCACAGCGCGACAGAGGGCTGCTGGCCCAGTTTGTTATAAGTGGCAGTGCTCGAGAATCATGCCTCCTCCCGCCCGAGACGAACCCCGGGGATCGACTGGCTACAGGGCTTGGCCATGCAGAATGGGCATTCGGTCGGACCGATCGGGGCTGAGGCGTAACTCGGTGAATCGGGTGCAACTGCTCTCAGTACAATCAGTGAAGACTACCACTGCAGATGTTCATTCTCGGCTGATTCGGAGGTCGAGTAGGTCGAGTTCCGAGACGCAGACTTGTAAGACGAATCCTTCGTTCAAAGTATACTCCTGCTGCGGTATCAGGGATACAACACTTCACCGCATCTTGTGAAAGGGGCGTTGTTGCGTCAGGTAGAGCCAGGTAGTCCGTTGGGGACGATAGGAGGCGATACAATACCTGGAACCATTTTGGGTGGCTTGCTAATCTCACGACGTATAAATATGTACAATGAGACGGTACGTCAATGTACGGTGGCCGATAGCGGCCAGCCTCGGCAAGCGGCGTTTTTATCGAACTTCAAGGGCAGAAAGCCCTACTTGGCCACATAACTGCCTAACTAAGCTATATAGCTACCTGGCAACCTAGGATAGTAGGCTACTTACACGCAATATCACGCACAAGGAATTATGATTCTACGCTAGCTATACTAAACGGGAGAAGAAGCCTCTAGTATCAATGTCGAAGAATTTACTTAGAGCTACTGTACTATAGCGGCCGGGTTTAAATCGTTATTCTTAATAGAGGCTACCGCGCTAAGCCACGTAGGTAGAGAGAGTTATAGAAAGAGATATAGAAAAAGATATTGGAAGAGAGAGGTATAGAGAGAGAGGTGTAGAGAAAGAGGGAGAAACTTATGGGGTATTCGAAAGTAGACTAAATTACCTACATATTTCGGGTATGTTAATGCCTAGTTTATAAGGTATACTGGCTAGGCAGTATAAAACCGCCAATTGCCCAAGGGTCGCCACTATCGGCCGCCTCAGTCAATAGCAGGCTGAAATCGGCTGGCGTCGATGCGGTTATGAGCCTTCCAATCCATTCACTTAACGGTCTGGTCATCACGTCTAGGTACTTTCGCCACCGCGTATACGATCCACAGAGACTGTGATCTCTTATGTATCTAAAGCTGTTCAGAACTCAATGAATAATTCGTCAGATAGTATCATAGCTCTTTATACCATGTTTATTCAGAAATAAAAATCCAAAGTTGCAGAGAAAGTGTTCAAATCTTACACAGACAAGCGTCTATTCCTTATTCAAAACACGGTAGTATATGTTTCCGGTTTTGCACAGCTTTCCTTTTTTAATTATCGCCGCTTTGTGAAGGCGCTTAAACTCAGGTTCAGGTTCTCTGAGTTAATTGCTAATTTCTTTGTATCTAACCTTAATGCTCTCTATAATAGACACTCTGGTATGTCTGTATGGAATAGGAATGTCTATAATAGGAAAAGGTACGGACACAAGGTATCTTACTTCTGTGCTCTACAATAATAGCAGGGCTAAGTAACAATATAGGAACACCTGCATAATGTCGATCATTGAAGATCCTCGCAATACCAACATTGGTGCTGCCCTGTAAGCATTTTGGCCCTGGAGAAGTCATCCAAAGGGTGAATATCATTCGAGCATTTTTTTCGACAGCGTCCCGACAATATGTCGTAACAAGGATTACTTGCTTCGATGATGAACTATGTGAAATACACCATGAGGCGCACCGTGGCTTTATTAAATCCTAGCAAGAAGAATTGTAACGCTAATTGTGCCGTAAATCTTTGATACCGACATGAATCTCCAATTTAGACTAGCTAACTGCCTGCCCCCTTCCGGGGAATGAATTATTTCCTATCAAACAGCAGCTAATTCAAGTTCTAACGGCTGGCGTTAGGTGCCAAATTTAGCTGTAAACAAGTTGGTGCGAATGCCACCGTGCTAAATTTACCCCTCCGACCAGCCGTGAATACGAGCTCGCTTGTGACAGCCTGAGGGGTAAATTAACGTCACTCAAGCGTTTTTCTTGAGAAATTCGAGGCAATATTTTATTTCAAAACTTCTCACTCACGATAAATCTCTCCAGGTCTTGAAATCAGTATCATGGATCCCCTCTCCATTTCCGCCTCGGTGGCCGGCCTCATCACGATATCGACTCAAATCCTGAGCCTCGTTGGTGCGATCAAGTCCAAGAACAACAAAGGGCTGGAATCTCTGTCGCGTGAAGTCGTGGCCGTCCGTGGAATCCTCTGTCAGATTCAACAGATTATTCAGTTCCAATCTGCAAAGCCCACCAAAAGCTCAGAATGGCTAGAGACCCTTAATAGTACCACGAATAGTTTGGGAGACACATATCTCACCCTTCAGAAAGATTTGCAAGGGTTGCAATCAAACTCGAAGCTTGAGTCACTAAAGATGAAAGTAAAGTGGACACTAAAGGAGAGTGATATTCAGGACAGGTTGAGAAGTCTGGAAAGCTATAAGCTGTCTCTGGATCTATTGCTTTCTGTCCAGACTAGGTACGTGTCTGTGTAAAACAATAGCTAATCTGTACTCACAATTTACAGTACTACTACGACGAATATCGAGGAAATTCTCGTTCAAGTCCAGAAGAAACTGTCGCTGAAACCCGCAGAATCTACTACTGTAAAAACGCCGCTATCATGGAGAAAGAAGCTAGCAGGGCTCAATTCAGGACCGCCTGACGAGCAAAAGAAAGATGATACTGGGGAAATCTCTCCTCCACTTGGGAGTAGTGCTAGCTCGGTGACTTTGGGTACTGACTCGTCGCATGTGATCCCCAGCCCGAAGACAACCGGCTGGGATGAACCAGGGTTCTACGGTATCAGTCGAGACGAAGGTCAACAAGCTCCAGATCTTAACAGCCCTGATCTGACTTCCGTCTGTGAAATGTAAGTACTAACGCAAGTTGTCTATCAGATCTATCGGACACAACCGATACTAACAATCAAATTGTAGTAAGATTGGAAAGCAGAACATTAGTCTGGTCTGTGGCTGGGAGGAACCATCAGTAGCAAACGAATCAATCAGACACATGCAGGTACATCTGTTATTCAAGGGACCCTCAGTGGGAGATCTTTACTTCATGCAGCTCAAAGACTGTAAGTCAGACGACACCTTCGAAGAACCAAGACTAATCCCTCTCAGCATTATCGATAATAACACTGCATCGCTTTTTCACACCAATTGGGAGGTCCAGTCTCATAATTGGACGGTGTGATTTGAAGGGCACCGCCTGTGACCTAGGACAGGAGTCTCCAGAGGATCATCATCTTGCACTGGGGGCATATGCCCTTAAATCAAGCGACAAAATCGAGCAAGTACTGGTGAATTTTGAAAGTCCTCGCGGTATGTCTACTTTCTGGCTCGTAGACTGGTGAAATACTCACGTGAGATCACAGATCGCGAAGAGTTCATGGGGCATCTGTACGCCGCTCGATACTTGCAGCGTATGGAGCTTGCATTTGGCATGCCACAAAAGCTGTACCATGATTCAAATGCCGGGAAAAGGTAATTTCTATTGGAATTGATTGGATGAAACGGAAAGCGATCAGAAAGCTGACAGCCTGAGACAGAGCTCAGCATGTCCAAGTAGGATATGCAGACGGCAAGGAGAAGGCCTTCATTTATCCTTATATCACCGTAGAGTACAACCTGGAAGATCGAGCTCCCCGACTCAAGTGTACGACAAAGCCGACTGATCATGTCGGTGTCTTTAAAGAGGATTGTGAGTGCAACCGTCCCGTACTTACTCTAGATTCTATTCGAGATCTGATGCAGTCCAGTGCCGAGCCTCGATATTCAAATAGTAGGCAGTGAAACTATCGTCTGCAATGCTCCAGATGGAAATCAAATTCGCACAATTTCGATGACTTTTGGATCTCTGAGCGGTAAGAGTAGCATGTCAATACACTCTGCTGAGGTAACTAATTTCGCCACAGAGGTTCTGCAGATGTACTACCGCCTGCAAGATATCGTGCGGGAGTGGACCGTGATGAGCACGAAAAATGTTGGCGAATTTAAAGTTAAAAAGGAATGGTAAGAGTTTCTTCAAATCTTTTTGAGCCGTGTGAACCACGTATCTGAGTACTGCTCGCTTTAGGAAAGTCAAAAACTTCGAGTTCTGGAAGGAATCCAAGGCTCCTGGGATACCTTTCGGTAGTGTCGTTGTGGTGGCCAAAACAGACCGTTCCCTCAAGAGAATGATGATGGATGTATACGATGAGACGCGAACTGAGAAGCTGGCATGTTTCTACGGTATGTGCAGCAGCTGGCCAATATGATCTCATGCATTTCCTCTCTGGGGTTTTACTTACGGTTCGCAGTGATGATCTATTCTATAATATTTCACAAGCGCCACATGCGAGCATCATCCCCTGATTTCTTTGGTTCGCCGATTATGCAGACCGGTTTCTGGGACCTCAGGAATAGGGGTGATACCTCGCCAGAGAATTTCCATGCAGGCCAGGTGAGATTGAAAGGCCCAGGTGAGAAGCATATATGCGATGAGCTGGAGGAATTCGCAGAGGCCATGATGAAGGACAGTCAGGATGCCCAGAAGAGGGTAATGATTGAAATTAATCGGGTGTGAGAAGGGAACTCGACTATAATCGAGGGAAAGCCACTCAGGCTGAGTTAAGAAGCACAGAGTATGTAGTTAGCATATTCTTCCTATTATCTCCAACCCCTGAGATCAGCCCCAATTTCGTGACAGCGGATCCTGTATCTTTCCTATCTACATTATTGTCTAGATACTGATTCTGACTAATTTTGACCTTCAGTTCCAGGATGGCTGCTGTAAATTCTAGATTTGTCCAGCATTTTGATACCTGAATTATAAGGCCGCGACAGCCTGTCGGAACAGCAAGATAGGTGGATCCCAGGGAAAAGGAAATACTAAACACCCGCCTAGCTTAGTCATGTTTTTGCCCATACAAATTGCCAGAAAAGGGGCATCGTAGCAATTCAGACTGGTTGATATCCGATTGGTGCGCAGTATGATTTACTAAGCAGTATTCCGACTCAGCCCCAATTTTGGGGCAAGGCACGTGAAGCCTCGCAAGGGAATGATCAACTTAGCCCCCAAACCTCAACGCGGAAACCGAACACATTCATTCATAATGGGCGGGGCCCCTTGGACATCAAAAGGTTGCAATACTTGCAGAAGGAGAAAAGTAAAGGTATTTTCCTCAAGAATGCAAGCGAAGTGGGAGAGTCTAACTCGCGTAGTGCGATCTACAACACCCTCATTGTGCTAGATGTCTCCGCGGCGGCCACCACTGCGAGGGGTATGGGCGACCCTCAAAATTCATAGTACACACTTTTTCCCATGAGGATAAGGAGCCTGAATGCATGACCACACGCTTCCAGTCCAAGCAGAATATTAAGGGTCCTTGTCTGCCGTCAAAGGAGCCGAGTATTGCCGTCATCAACGTGAATGCTCAGATCCGCTCTCAACTTTTCTCATTATTCATCGACTCTTACAATCCATCTTCGCCAAATTATCAAGTCAACTTCAGATTCAAAAATGCGGCAAATTTGCTCGAGGCCTTTCCGTCCATGGTGGATGGCAAGGATAGCCAGTTATTGGACCGGGCGACATCAGCACTTGCATCTGTCTTTGTCGGCAAGAAGTTTAAGAATGAACAGATGATTCATCATGGTGTCGCACTATACAATCAAGCTATATGTTCCTTCTCCCGCTTAATATCACGCCAGAGCCTGCCTGTTCGAGAGGTTCTTTGCGCCAATGTTGTCTTCCAGTATTATGAGGTTGGTTTAAATCTTAGTTTCAGCTATGTGTTCTAACGTTCACAGGTCATCAACTCCACATCGGGGTTCTCTGGGTGGATGGCACATATGCAAGGTGCCAATGCTGTCGTCGCACAGCATGAAAAGTCGTTAGAGAAGGATCAGGTATCCGTTCTGCTGTTCCGCCAACTGAAATTATCAAATGTAGGTAATATATGGCTTGGAATTCTTCAACTCACAGGCGCTCATTGGTTTCTTAGATTTTTCACGCTATTGGAAAATCTCGATCTGCACTTTACTTCTGCCCGATGTGGCAATCCTTAACGTCATGTACCGACAGCCATGGCTGGGCTGATCAAGTTGATGAAATTATCGACATCCTCATGAGCTGCACACTTTTCTTTGAATATATCGACAATCTTTGCTCTGGTCATGATACAAGACAGTTGATGAATCTCTGCAATCACTTGAAAAGGCAAACCGAATCATGGTACGCGAGGCAACAATCCGCATCGTCAAATCCACTGTATACGACCATTCCCAACAAAGCCGATATCCCGAGATCACACATCACCAAATCACTCTTCCCTGAAACATACAATTTTGCCTCTATCGAAATTGCAGAAGCCCATATGCTATACTGGGCTGCCTCACTTATCATCTACACCCTCTTCCAAGAGATTGAGCGTCGAGGAGAGTCTCCTCATGCAGTTTTCGATGGATCCCATAGTTCAAATCACATACCTCTCTCGGACAAAGGCAAGCCTAACTCATTTATGAAAACTGCCGAGCTATATACCGACGAAATCTGCCGTGGCGTGGGGTACTTTGTTCAACCACACATGCATATCTTGGGTGGGCATCATTTACTCTTCCCCGTGTCTATGGCGGCTCAATTCTTCCATCGCAATGATATTCAGGATCGCTACATTTGGTGTCAAGAAGTCTTTGCTTCCCTTGAGTCGCTTGGGTTGGGATTAGCCCGGGTCTTACAAGGAACACCTTGGTCAAGATACAAGTCAGGCAGCACTTTACAGTCTACACAATCTACATAGAATCGAAATATGGGTCACTGTGTGCGGATGGATATAACTTCGTTGCAAACTATATGAACGAAATATATCATCATTTAAAATGATTCCAATCTCAGATGAACGTGATGAATGTTATAATAAGGTCGCTATCAATGAATTGGCCCGAAAAAGGAAGAGAGCTCAAGTTTCCATCTTTGATTGTGAGACCACAAAATCACTCAAACGTTCTCACTCGTCTTCCTCAGTCTTGCGCTCCTCCCTTTCTCAGACCACGGAAAATGAACTACAGGAACAACAAAGAAGCTGTTGCTATCATCAGCAATACCTGCGAAGGCATTGTACCAAGCCAAGAAAGCCCCCAGAAAAGCGAGGACTCCACCTGCTTTCATAAGACCTTCATTTGGCAGGTCCTGAGCGTTCGGGAAAAAGTACGATAGGCTGATGAGAAGAATTGCGATGTCAACGACGAAGAATAGGGAGAAGAATGCCACTGTGGATTTGACGGTGCACAACATGATCATGAAGGTGAAGATGAACCACGCCTGGAGCAGTTAGCTTGAATTATGAAGATATCATAGAGTAGTCACTACATACCATAAGATAGAGGGCAAAGGAATTGTAAAACATGATAGGTGAACCCTTGTCAGCCTCCTCAAGGGCTCCTATAATACCGAAGCCTCCGGGAATAAAGGTGATGGCAATGGAGATCCAGAATCCGCCGTAGGAGGAGAGGACAGTAGCACCGAAAGTATTCCCGGCAGCCATTTCCCTATTTAAGAATGTTAGTCTTCGTATGAAAATCGGATGATGTTTCCGATAACATACCACATCCCAGAGAGTAGCTGGACCAGTCCGCCGTAGGCCAAGGCAGGTCCAACAATGAAATTTGGCTGAGTGATACCCCTGACATTCATTTGAATGCATCCGAGCATGAACGTTGTGAGAGCAAACCCACACAACCCAAGGGGTGCTGGATTGGCAATCTTGCGGTCTTTGGGCGATCGGTAAAGACCTGGTTGGAATTCACCTCCAAAGGCAGGAAGTCGACTTTCAGCAGTGTTGATATGGGCCAATGGGCCATAACGACCGACTTCAATGTCATCGGTGTTGGAATCCGAAGAAGACAAGTTATTGCCAGTCTTGGCGTTGTTATCGTAAGTCATGATAAATAATCTGGTGGAATTGGGAGATAATAGAATGAATTTCAGGTGGATTGAAGGAGACTAGCTCCTGGAAAAGATTATGAAAGTGTTCTCAAGAAGCTGTGTGTCGGTAAAGTTGACTCCCATGACCTCGTTATATAGACAACATTCTGCCAACCTCTACAATCTATGACGACTCAATGCCAAGCGGCAGTTATCGTCGGGAATCTCCACGAAAACAAAAGGGACCAATCAAGGGCCATCAATTGATGAATGGAGGGAGCCAACCCCCGATAATTGGAAGTCAAAGTTTCCAGTGTGAAACAAAAGCTCCATCGGTCCGTCGGTCCACACATAAATTCCTTGATCCCCCCGCCCGAGACATTATCGTAAACTAAGATAGTAAGATCTGCGGTTGGCGGATCTCCGTTCAAGCTTTAAGATGATGCGGGGAAACCCCGGATTGGGCCACTTACCTTGGGGTACGCATCAAATAGAGTTATCTTGTGGAGATCGGAGCAAAATTCGGCACATCATCTTGCAGGCTTAACTATGGGAACCTTTTCCAGTCCGACTTTCGGAAACTCTGTGGATGCCGAAGATGGAGCCGAATTCTTGATTGACTTTCTGGGATCGCCAGTTGAGTGGATTGACGCTGCATATGTGGTAGATGACTGCGTGGAACCATTTGGGCCCCATCCACAGTTGCTTACGGGGCTGCGGAAGGCGCGGTACGAGATTCCGCGATTCGATCGAATTTATTGGTAGACACTTTTTCCTTTTAGGGACATACTATATAGTAAAGTGGAACGACGAACGACCACCCATGTGAAGGGTTAAGGGTTCATTTAGGATTGACTAGTGCAATGAGAATCAACTCTCGGCGGAGGTGCTTTTCCCACGGCGAGCATGGTCTCCACGCTCTCTTTAAGACGAGGATGCTCCTCATCAAGATGATTGCCATAGGAATTGATGAATCTCAGCTATGCTGAGGTAGCTTACGATCATTCAGAATGTGTGGTACCAGATCATCTTTAACCTAAGGGTGTCTTCTCCCTAACGTAACATGGAGGGAAATATCAGCAAGACTTTGACTTCATGTTCATGACCAATACAAAGTGTTTTGAAGAAAAGTCATTTAAATTTAATTTAGAAGAGGGGAACCTGTGTTGGAAAGGAGATTTTCATTAGCCCAAGTATGGGTGATCAGAGACTAATCATGGTAGGAAAATAAGGCATTACTGGGTTTACCAGTCTAAGCCAACATGATAGACATAGAAAACAAAAAGAAAAGAAAAAGGAAAAACCAGGACTCTCAGTCGAATAAGGCATCGGGCAACGGCGGCACCAGGAGGGAAGAGTCGGATCCTGGAGAATTTGGCGTCGGGCGACGTCGCCGCCAGGGAAAGGGAAGAGTCAAATCCTGGAGAATAGGTGCCGGGTAACGCCGGCACCATGAGGCGATGAGTGTCGGGACCTTGAGAACCGGGAGCTTAAGTCGACCCAGATGGGCTCTGGAGGTCGACAGAGCCGGGGCGGTGGGGAAGGACCTTTGACTGCCCTGAAGAGGCCAGGGCAGGCGCAGGAACGGCCGTAGCCGAGGCAGGGAGGTCTCCTGTTCTCATAGTCAGCTTGCTTCGATGAAATGTATCGAAAAGTCATCCACAGTGGAAAAATCAGGTGAATTCTTACTCATCTCATCATCCTCATTCTTCTTTCCTGAACGAGAGGCCAAGATGCCGTCGATCTCGGCAAGAACCGCCATGAGACGGTCGACTTCTGCCCGGAGTTTGGCGACCATGCGGGCACAACGCTCGCACTCTGCTTGTAGCTCTTCATTGAAGAAGAGTAATTGCTGCTCGTGTGTAGGGGGTGCCTAAAATCGGGGTCAAGGCCATGTAGTGAGGATGGTAAGGATGAGGATAAACCCTACTTACCTTTTCTAGGCAGCGGCGCCGGATCTAAGTCTAGTATGTTAGCACGTTCCTTTAATAGACTCACGATGAACTTGAACTTACTTGACGCGGGGGGAGTACTCGACGTGAGGGGAGTTCCCTGTCGAGGGCGCTTTTTGCCCTTGCCCTTAGTAGAAGGGCCAGGGGCAGAGGGAGGGGAGGGGGAGGGGGGGGGGGGGGAGGCGCGGGAGCGCCATATGCCATATCGCCCAATATCATATGGAGCTTAGGGCAAGCATCTGTGAGGTGCTTGCCATAGCAGATACTGCAGGACAACTCCAAAGTGTTAGCTTCCAGTCAATCACAGTCAGGATTAGGGTCAGGGCTAGGAGGGTCAGGGGAATAGTGAGGGTCAGGGCCAGGATGAGGATCACAGCCAGGATGAGGATGAAGATGATGAGGAGATGAGGAGGTGAGGATGGTGAGGATGAAGGCTATTTACCTTGTCAGCCATGATGGTGAAGTTGGGGAGAGGGTCTGCGATGTATTGTGTTTGGTCACTCTTGTTACATATTTGTACCTCCCAGTACATTTTGTCGCACCACAGGATATCCGTACGCATTCGTATTGAGGAACCAATTGAGGTGGTTGACATGAAGAACTGTCGAAACATGGAGCGGATAGTCATCTGGGAGGTATTAGAACCTTCCCATGGCAGTCACGCTTTTCTTCAATCAATCAACTCAATAATTCTGAATTGGTTCCGTTTGACCTCAACCTCGTCCCTATTCGTCCAAGAGGATTACTAGCCCATACTGTCATAGCTTGCTCTGACAAGAACTTAGATCGAGTTTCTGATTACCATACAAGTAACGGGGGAATGAGTACACGCTGAATAATAATGTTCCGAACAGCGTTAAGTAGTGGTATTTGACCAATCCCTCAACACATTTTAGACAAGTGAGACTATTAACAAACCCGGACACGTCGGTTATTAGAGATTCAAACTCTTTCAGTGATGTCATTATTACATAGGCCAAATGTATCACTCCGTGCGAAACCTAGGTTATTTCGTATGGGTCGTCATAATCTGAATTTCTCTATAAACCTAAGCACCGACTTACATATTCGCTAACCATGGAGAAGCAATATACAACAAGGAAATTCACTGTTCAGGGTGAGCCGACGACTGACCACAAGAGCCGTCTCCAGCGTGTGCTTCAAGAGGAGGGTAAGATTGCCGAGGTCGATGAAGTGGGGGCCGACGATGAGCAGAACGCGTTGATGTATTAGCTCCAGTCAGCATCGGGACATCGCCGCAGACCCTGAAGTTAGATTTTAATACGGGCTAATCAGGTATCCCTCGTCTCCTGATCAAAGTTCCGAAGTTCGGGAGGATGGTCTGAGGATAACCTTCAAACGTTTGCACACTAAACCACTCGGTAGCTCTGGTCGACAAGAATCTAGACGCTGACTGTAGATGACTCTATGATACCCGTAATAAGACTGAGTGCTCATATCCACTATATATCAAGTGGCAATATACTAATACTGCCCCAGGATACCGACTTAAATCACTCATATAAAACACCCTCGAAATCTCCGTAATAGTAACCACCATCAATTTTTTACCTTGAATTCTATTAATCATTCTACCTCTCCTACCTTTCTACCTTCCTTACTACCTAATATCTACACTCATAATATTTACCGTTTTGCTATCTCATAATGAACCTTCTACTTCTGCTCCTAACTTTTATCTTCTAGCTAGTTGCTTGCTAGGGAGATCTAGGGCACCGCACTATCGCCTACCTTGCCCAGAAATATCTTAGCAATAAGGCAGCATAGCTTATAGATGTTCTCCTGCCTAGTAGTGACGGGGAGGATATCTCAGATGCGGTAGTTTAGGCTAACGTAATAAGGCCCTACTTTCTATTTACTAGGCCGTGGTATTTTATTAGTATATTGCAGCAATCACTCCACGACTAATACTAAAAACTGATCTTTATAGATGCCTTGGACTATCTACCCGAGTCGTGCCAGGTTTCCTTTACGTCGGATTGTAGTAGTCCCGGATATATAGTATCCGCTATTCAAAACATAGTATATTGACCCGACCGCTATTTATATCTAGCCTGTTGAGCTAACTAAGTCGTAGACAAACCGGGTTAATAATAATAAGTTAGATAAGGATAAGTAAGCCGAAGCGCTGAAGTTTCTTATTTATTTTTTCGGCGATATACATTAACCGTTATATACGGAAGCTCTTGATCGCGGAGGAAACGAGATCTGTTACGATGTTAACTACTTGCAGGGTAGTAAGCCTGTCAACTAGGTAGGAGAGGATAAGCACTAGGTTGGATTGGAACAGAGACTGTTTCTTAGGGAGCTCTATCTTCTTCTCCCTAGGCTGATCTTATATACATCCCCCATTAACAGAAGGAGGGGTAAACAGGTAAACGTATCAGTCCGCATAAGAAATATGTCGGTCAGCGGGCAACTCTCCTCCGACGAAACAGCGGTGGAAGGGAGATGAGAGGTCACCGAACTGGTGCGTCATCGCCAACCTCCGGGGTGGCCTCAGGCCGAAAAGTGGGAATAGCCTCACAGGGGTCAATACCATAACAAGATCTATATATACTTCGACGGTCGGTGTAGCAGAGAGGAGAACCTCTATAGTATCTAGGATATAGATATTCCTTATAAAATTAACGGCCTAAAGTATAATCTAAAATATAACGAAGAAAAAGAGCCGGCTGTATAATAGGTAGCAAGCCTTTTTTAGGCAAACAGGTTTAGACCTCGTTATGTAGAGTGTTTAGATATTTAGAATCCTTTAGAATATGCTCTGCTATAGGTAAGGGAGACGAACAGACTGAATTGTGATTATGTCCTGAAAAATAGCGTTAACTAGCTTGAAGACAATAACCTTAGTAGTGACTATTACGTTAGCTCGGCTCCTATTGTGAATGAATAGATCTACAAAGCTAGAGTTCGCCTAGCTACTTAGCTGAACGCTTTAGTAGTATAAAGGTTATCGATTAGAAAACTTATCAAATAAGGTAGAAAAGTGAGAGGATGTTTTAAGCTCTAAATATTAGTTATATCAGGTCTGTAGAATTAGGAAGTAAGTACGAAACCGCTTCTTCCGCTATGAAGTCTTTTCTCTATTCTAGAGCAAACTAAAAAAATAGAGAGTAGGATAGGAAATGTTCTTTAGGTTGCAGTATTTGACTTAAAACTCGATTTCTACTTTACTTTCTAAAAAGATTTTAATATGTTTACCTTTCCTCGAATTGCTAAATATTATCTAAAAGTACCGCGTATTTATTAATTCATTTCCCTATTATCCGTGAAGAAATCATTTCAAAGTATACTTATTCCTTACCTCTGGATTAATAGGGGCCGTATTTATCAGAGATTATCCTTGCTAAGAACTTGTGTTATCTCGTCGTAAGGGGCTAGTGCGATCTAAATAAGATTAAAACGTGAGTCTAGGTATTGAAGCTTGCTAGACTAGCCACTACTATCCGCGAACCCTTTTATGCTAATAGCTTTTGCGATATCGGAAAGGTTATGATATTCCTAGCAAATAAGGACATCCCCTTCTCCGCGATACGCTTTTACTGCCCGAGCGATACCTGCGGCGTCGTCTTTCTTAATATCTGTGTTGAATTTCACACCGAAATCCTCTAAATCGTGGGCCAGAGGTTGCACAGTTTCATACGGGCGTCCTCTGGAACTATCTAGATAGGTTTGTTAGCTTGATATAAAGCACAAAACATTCTATTTGCAAAGAGCGAGTGCTACGTAGTGGGTAGAGACCGCCACAAAAGAGACTTAAGGTGGAAGGAGTAGCTCAGACCTTTCTTAGGGTGTTCGGTAATAATATAGCTAATATCAAACCCGCTTTCCTTTCTAAAAGCGTTACGAAGGCGCTGCGTTCTTTCTTCCCCTTGAGCAGAGAGATTATTTGCCCTATCACCTGGCTTTTCTCCATGCCTAATCATGTAGATATTTGGTGCAGTCTGCGTGAGGTTTCAAGGAGGTCAGGAAGTCTCTTTGAGATACAGATATCTCATACGAAAATGAACTAACCATCGTAATCTGACTTTCCGATTAAAAATTGACTTGCAAAAGGCGATGTTCCAAGCAGAAAAACAATTAGTCGCGGTGACGGGAGCTACTTGACAGGGGAACTCGGACGACCCTGGGAGATGAGTTCGCAGCATCCAGACACCAGAGGAGGCTGGAAACCCAAGCCCCTCTCAGCCCTTCGTCGTCCTTCCTCCTTCCTCAAATCCTCCAGCCCCGCTACTCCACCCAACCGAACTACCCCACAACCGAACGACAAACCTCTCCACCAAATCCCTATCACCTACTCTACTATCGCTGCTAGAGCTCTCTCATTCCATAACCAAGTGCTCACCGACGTCACCCCTGTCCAACTGGCCCAGAATGGCTTGTATTGCAAGCTTCTCTCAGGCTTTGGCGGCACCGTATGTTGTTTTGCCTGCGGAGCGACTAAGCCCTTATACAAACTCTAGAGAAATTCTATCGAAGAGATGCAGCAACTTCACCTAGCAGATTGTATATAGCAGATCATCTGTCGTGATCTAAAGCCCGCGTTCGAAACGCCCGTTTCTGTCCCACCGTCAAGCACCGCATCGCCATCACCCCAACAGCCGCCGCAGGGAGTCGCGCTATCAGTCATTCTGCTAGAGGAACCTTTGACTATAAATGTCGAGTCACCCGCCGAACAGCCCTCTGTAACACTCGAACCAGGCCCTCAGCAGCATCAACCGACCTGCTTTCCAGAGTCTTCTCGGCCTCCTCATCCTCCCTCTTCAACGCCCTCCGCTCCCCCTACACAAGACCAACGACCTACCTATGCCTCAGTTCTTCAACGCCCTAAATCTTCTCTACCGCAACCGAGTCCTATAGCCTATCACTCCGCACGTTATCCCAAACACATACTCACAATCGAAGATCTTTATCGTCGTTTCCATAATAAGCCATCGCCATTCAAACTCGACAAGAGAACCAGTCCACGCTCGGCCAATCGAGCTCGCAACAAAACCAGATCTACTGCACAGGCCCTAACCAGGGTTTTAATCTCAGCATTACCTGAATTCTCGCAACTTCTAGCGGAGATGCAGCCAGCCGCGGACAACTGTTGGACGCCTTATCTGAGAACTCACCATCGCCGCGCCATGAGGGCAGCCTAACGTCATAAATGGCAATAAGGCCACGATAGGCCTTACCAGGTGAGGCTCAAAGTTCACCGTTCAGGAAGTTTGGATCATTCTCAGTGGATCAGAAACCATGTATTTACATAGTTGTTGTAGCCTGCATATCGTTCGCGAAGTTGGATCCCAGATTAGGTAATGTATAAGTATAGTGGCAGCCTATTAGGCTGCCACCAATACTCTAGGCAGAAGGCCGCTACTGTAACTACAAATAGCTGCACATACTTGCCTAGGTAGAAGATGATCATCACACTTGTACTTCAATCCAGGGTTTCAACTGGTTATGAGCCTCTCTTTCCAAACTATACTTTGGATTGATGCAGGTGATCAGTGATCAAAGCCCCAGACCCCAGACCGAGACATTCAGTTCTTAGCACCAGACATGACGAACTCCGAAATGGACGAAGTCAAAGCCGACCTCAAGCTCAAAGGCAAGATCAACTTCATCAGTTGGAAGCGCGAGTTTGAGCGTGCGGCCAAAGCGAATGATACCTTTGAGTATCTTACGGGCGAAGAAGTTGTTCCCTCTAAACCTAGAAAGGAAGACTACTTCGCGAAGCCTGGCGATGCCGATATACGTCGCTCTACCCGGACCAAGAAGATATCAACACTAATAGTTGACGACGGTGATGAAACAGATAATGCTCAGGCTGTTCTGATTACCACTAACAATAGCCTCCGATGGCAGATTGACTATAATGAACATAAGAATGCCAAAGAGAAAATGAAGCTTGCTAGCAAGTTGCTGGACAGTTAGGTCTTAGACGGTATCAAGATTAAGATCGAGGATTGCACTAATGCTAAGGAAGCCTACGATTTAATCAAGAAGCGATACGCCGTTACTCATAAACATGCGCGTGACAGCCTGTTGAACCAACTGAGTTTAATCAAGCTCGAAGACTGTCTCTCTGTGACTGACTATACGAACAAAGTTCGCTAAGTCAAGGCAGACCTTAAGACTGTTAAATATAATATGACCGACGATATATTCGCTACCGCTCTGCTTTATGGTCTTCCTCCCAGCTACCGCGCCTTTAAAGAAAAGTACGACTGGATCCGCTTAACTAAACCCGATGACCCTCCAGATCTAGACTACCTCTATAAGCGCCTGCATATTGAAGAAGTTCAACAGCTTCGAATGAAGGAGGAGAGGAGGGCCCGCGAAAGGGCCAAGAAGGAAACGAGCGGTAACATCGGCAACAGAGGCTACAGCGGCCGATCTAAGCCGAGCCGCGAGGATAAAAGCTACTTAAAATGCACCTATCCCGACTACGGTAGAACCGGCTATACCGAGGAAACCTGCTAGGTCAAGAACCCCGAGAAAATTCCACGATCTCTCAAGGACAAATTACCTGCCTATGTCGATAACAAGCTTATAAACGAGAAAGCCGGCATAGCTAGTATCGTTGAAACGGATCCCGCCTACGATAGAGATGCCTTTATCCGTGCTAATTCCCTAGGTATAGCTCCCTTCTCCACAACGCACGCAAACTTAGCTGACTCTTTGCTACAGAAGCGTAGCGCTGTGTTATATAAGCGAGAATCAGGGGGAGCTAGTACTAGGGAGTCAGGAATCAGGATATTGTCTTTCTCGAAGCGGGTTTTAGGAGCCTTCTTGACAGGCACTTTCTGTACTACAGATATATAGCTAGCTGACACTGGAGCAAATATGCATATCGTCAATAATACTAAGTGGTTTAAAGATAATACTTTTCATTCGTTCAATTCAAATATCAGCATAGCAGATAAGTCTACTACCCTTGAAATAAAAGGTAGAGGAGTCGTTCAGCTCATCCTTAAGAGCCCTGATGGGTTCCTAGTTAAAGTGTCGCTCTTAGAGGTTGCCTACGCTCCCTAGGGGAAATGTAACCTGTTCTCCGGCGGCTTGTTTGTTTAGAAAGCAAAAGTAATTGGTGTTTACAACGATAATTATATAACATAGATCAACAATCATAGACACACTATTGGATATGCCATTTTTGAGAAGGGGTTATACTAACTTAATACGACGAGACTGCCTAGGGGACACGATCTAATAGATGCTATTGCAGCCACGGTTAACTTTAATAACCCTGTTTGGAAATAGTATCGGAGACTCGGCTATCTCGGGTTTCAAAATATGTTGAGCTTGTTGGATTCTTCTACTAGAATAGAGATTACCGCAAAACAGATCAAGGTAAAGCTCAAGGCTGTTTGCCCTGTATATACTACTACACGGGCCCTAGTAAAGATTCCCCGTGATCCTGTAAAACGTCACGCCTAAGCACCCGGATAGATGGTGTATGTTAATGCGTAGGGACCGTACCTAATCGAAGGATTTGACGGTATAAGGTATTTCTTATTCATCACGGACGACTATACCCGATATACGTGGAGCGCACGATTTGATCGAAAGTCCTAGCTCTTTGAAGTCTTTAAATCGTTAGTGAAACTAATCTAGAACGTTTTCAATATCACTATCCGATGTTGTCGTTTCGATAATAAATTTGAAAGGGGACTAATTGGCAGATAGTGCGAATCTCATTCTATCGCTCGAGAACCGATCGAGCTATATGTATACTACTAGAATAGCGTAGCGGAAAGGACTAACCGCACAATACGAGAAAAAGCTGCACCTATAGTTCAGGAGATATCGATATCTGGCCAGGTTTCCAAAATAATTGCGGAAAAGGGCACCGAGCTCTTACGTATCTCCAAAATTCCCGAGAATCTTTGGCCTGAAGCTATACAACATACTGTGTAGCTTAAGAATCGAACTCTAGCACGTGCGCTGCGCAAGAAGGAAGCAAAACCCCTATACGAAGCCCTAAGAGGAGTCAGACCTACGCTTACGAGAGAGCGGATATAGGGTAGCCGGGTATACGTCATATATCCTCAAGAGCTAAGGAGCACGGCTGAAATGACAAAGTTATATAGCCCTCGAGGTTAGCTAGGCTACTTTGTCGGCTGCGAAAATGAGGCGATATATCATATTTATTCTCCGGAAAAACACAGGGTATATCGAATTAGCGTTGCCAGAGTTGAGGACGGTGAAGGTTTAGACGATCCTCAAGATGCACCCTGCTTGGAGGATAGAGTTCCTACCTAGGATGTTGAAGTCTCAAGCAACATCCTCTCGGAAGATAAAAACGAAATTTCTAGTGATACAGACGCTAAAGATGAATACCACACCGATACTCCAAGGATTCCTGTGGAACAGGTCAGTCAGGCTGCTGCTCGAAATAGAGATAATGTTTCAAGTGACGGAGAACAACCCGTTTCGGAAATGACGCACGAATCGCAAGACGAGCTCCATAAGTCCGGCAATGATAAGGCCGGCGAAACAAAATCAGGATCTAGAATTGTGTCCAAGTATTAGAGTCGATTCAATTACGCTGGCATAGCCAAACGCAAGTTTCCTGTGGACACGATAGTGGCACCGAAAAACAGCCGTCGAGCCACTCATGACCTTCGTAGCGCTAACGAGGATGTTTTATACTCGGATCTGTCAGACTCGAACGATGACTCATAGTACTATTCGGATGATAGGGCTGTTTCCCAAGCCTACTAGCGGTTTGTCGCAAAACATGGCGGGAATTATATGAAGACGTTCTTGCCCGATAATGATAAATATGACCGTTGTTTTCGTAATGGTCGAAGGTGCGATTCTGCTGAGAATGGGATACCGTGTTCAACCTGCAGGAACGACAACCAAGCATACAGACTACAGTCAAAAAGAACTAAACGGCTAGTACTCCCTAAGAACCGCCACAGACAGAAACAGATTGGAAGGTTATAGCAGGAGCAGCCGTGCAGAAGATGCTTCCAGACAAGCCGTAGCTGCTTCCTCATAAACCCTAATGACCTATAGTGCGAGGGATGCCAAAGGTCAAACCTACGGTGTAACTAGAGCCTAGATAGGGCAAGGAGATTAACCGCCCGCCAAGAAAAAAGAGAAGCCGAGCGACAGGCAAGGCATGACAAGCTTGGATTCGTCCTAGTACCTCGTGACCAGAAATGCTCTAGATGCGCCTCGAAAATAATAGCATACGATGGGAAAATTCTATGCAATAAGTGCAAAACTCTTCTCCAGCGTCTATCGTGTCGACTACAGGGGGTCGATGATTTGCCTGCATGCGATCAATACAGTTACAGGAATCAGAGTAGAAGTGGGAAAAAGTGTAACCGTGGGCGACCCTGCAAGGCGTGCATTAACCGAAAGTCGACCTGCAGTTATAGAGCCCAGAATGGTCTGCTGACTAGACTCTACCACGTCCCCGACTCACCTCTCCTAATTGGCTTCTCTTTAATAGGCCCACTAGGAGAAGGAGAGTCGTCCGACGAAGAATGCGTACGCTGCCGAAAGGGCAAGTTGAATTATAACGGAGAGCAGCCTTGTTACCTATGTGTCAAAGCACAACCCAGTCCCCACGTTGCTAATTGCAACTATCGACGCACTAGCGGGATATATGAATCATGGGCGATTCGTCCATTTGAGTTGAAAGCTCAGGGCGAGCCGAATCTCCGGGAGGATTACGAAAAGTACACGGGTCGGAGGAAGTCTAGAGTTCTAACGAAACCTCACAATATGCGGGAAACATCCGATACCGAACAGCAGGATAGCGACGAAGTTAACGCTAGATAGCCGGTGGCCGAAGGTAGCCGCAAAGGATTTAAGTTCGGGCTGTCTGCATACAGTGAGTACGCTCTACCGGCTCTCCGATTGAAGCCGAATAACACTTCGCGTGCAAAATACCACGAGGCTAAGATGGAAGAGTTGAAATCTCACGAAGATAAAGGCACGTAGAAGATCGTTCCACTTAAGCAAGGGATTAAACCGGTTACCTCACGATGGGTTACTACTGACAAATACGGACCTGACGGTAAGATTACTAGACACAAGGCCCGCTTGGTAGCCAGAGGTTTTCAGCAGGAAGAAGGTCTTGACTATGAGGAGACGTTTGCGTCCGTGGTTAAGCCGGCCTCAACACGCATCTTGCTCGTATTAGCGGCTATTTTTCATTAGTATATCTACTAAGCAGATATCAAAACCGCATTCCTGAACAGCACCTTGGACAAGCCAGTCTACATAAAGGCCCCGAGAGATATATAGCTACCTAGTAGGTACTGCTTGCTTCTTATTAAGGCACTTTATGGACTAAAGCAATCACCTCGTGCATAGTACCAAAAACTCCGGGACACACTGATTGGTTGGGGCTGGCGTATGTCAGCTTACGACCTATATATCTTTATCAACGACAGATTCGGGCTCATACTTGAAGTTTATGTGGACGACATAAATGTTATGGGCAGAAACCTTCAGGCAATTCTTTACTTCAAAGTTCAATTCGCAAAGTAATTTCCGATTTCCGACGAAGGCGAATGCTCCTGGTATTTGGGCATGCATATAGAGCAGAAACCTGGGGAAATCCACGTCTATCAAAAGCAATATATTGACCAAATTGTCAAAAAATATAGCTTCGGAGACGCTGCCCCGGTCAAGACGCCTCTGGACAAACATATCAAGCTCGCGAAACAAGACGACTACATAGCAGACGCCAAATTCCGCAAGATTTATCAGTCAAAAGTCGGATTGCTCAATTTTGGCAGTAATCAGACAAGGCCAGACATTGCCTTTGCTACCGGTTATATAGCGCGATACGCATCCAATCTAAATCAGGCTCACATAGACGCCGTGGATCGCATCTTCGTATACCTGAAAGACGACCCAGGGAAGGGAATTGTCTATTCGGACAAACATGGACTTCAGCTGATGGGCTTTGTGGATAGCGACTTTGCCGGGTGTGAAGACTCGCGCAAGTCAACAACTAGATAGGTCTTCACCCTTGCTAGAGGTCCTATATCTTAGTCATCTCAAAGACAAAAGACTGTGGCCATATCTACAATGGATGCGGAATATATTGCCTGTGCCGAAGCTACGAAGGAAGCTGTGTGGATCCGCAACTTCATTAATGACCTCCGTATTCCCGGGATATACATCGACACAGTTCCGCTTTATATCGACTGCAACTCGGCCTTGAAGCTTACAAGAAACCCCGAATTCTACAACAAGTCCAAACACATCGACGTCAAGCACTACTTCGTGCGTGAGAAAGTGGAGGAAGGGCTTATCAACACCCAGCGCGTCAATACAAAGGACAACTTAGCAGATGTTCTCACCAAAGCTTTGCCCAGGTCTACACACGAGGATCTGGTAAACCGTCTGAACCTCTAGTCAGGGGGAGATATTGCCTTGGGTTCTTCATCTTCGTCTAAGGCAGGAAAGGAGAAAACCGACTCGGATCTGGTATCCTCTGAGGTGCCTCGGCCAGTCGGCCCTTGGCACAGGGGGAGAGTTGGATCCCAGATTAGGTAATGTATAAGTATAGTGGCAGCCTATTAGGCTGCCACCAACACTCTAGGCAGAAGGCCGCTACTGTAACTACAAATAGCTGCACATACTTGCCTAGGTAGAAGATGATCATCACACTTGTACTTCAATCCAGGGTTTCAACTCGCGAGGGGTCAGGGTAAATGATTTCACACACACACACACACACACACACACACACACACACCCTGTACCCAGTGCTACTTTTCCGGTCCCCAGAGCCGCGCCTCGCAATTTTCTAACGTTCTAAATTGGCATGCATTCATGGTGGTATCGCCGCTTGAAGATGTTTGTCCACCAAGTCAAACCAAATTCTCTCATATCCAGACTCTCGAAATGCTCTGATTTGCTTGATGAATCCCCGAAGCCTTGTTGCACACATGCCCTGAACAGCAAATAAAAACACTCTGTCCCACAGACCCTCGCACAGCTCTTCGATTTCGATCATGGCCATTGTCAGAGGGAAGATCACAGGCAATGCTGTCGTCTCCTTCACGGCCGATTTGGCAAAGAACGACATATAAGACAGTATACCATTTGCAAATTCTCTAGCTGTCTCGTCTTCAACGCCAAGGGGATATCGAAGCCGATGGATTATTAATAATGCAGCAAGACGATACACTTTCGGATTCGAGAAGCACATGAAGGTATTGTTGAAGCATGTAACGGAGAAAATCCACCACTGAGATATCGCTTATATCCTATTCTAGCCAGATTTCAAGTAATACATAGATTGGATGCCGAGGTCTTAGGAATCCCCATTAGGATTCTCTTCCGAGTACTCAGGGTGCTCCTCGTCTGATGAGTCGGCCTCGTTGAGCAGATCCCATAACTCCTGCTCCGCTGGGTGGAGCTGTTGGTAGATCTCCTATATCTGCCGCGCATAGTCAACACGTCGCATTAGGTAAGAGCTCTGGGTCCAGAGTAGCTCTAGGATCTGGAGTAAGCCCCGGAGGCGGGCGGACCGGACCTGGTGGCAAATATGATGCTTGCGGACGCACCGGGTGCATTGTAAGTACGGGATATTGAGATTTCGCTCAACAGCACAGTAGCTGAAGCTACAAATCTCAGCTGGACGTTGTCCACCGGCAATCCACGTACTGTACATATCCCCGTGACGTGCCTCCACATACATGAGAGTCCTTGGCCCCGGACAACTAATAGCGACAAGTATGGGAGAGGATTGTTCAGGTGAGTTCTTAAAGTCCTCTAGAGTCTAGGCCTCGACGAAACCCGCAAACGGGTCCTTGGACGGTTAGATGGCCAGTGCAATAATCAGGCGAGCATTTTGCTACATGGAGAGGCTAATGGTCTGGCAGTAAATGCCTCTCCAGATTCATCTAATAATACATTCCTTGGGCTCACCCGGCCGGTTGACCCACTTTACATGGAATTACGTATTTGAGGGTGTATACCTCATTTTTCGCCGAAAGGAGACATCAGTGACCACAGGCCGACCGAGCTTGCCGCAGCACTTAGAAGCGAATACCACACCCACGCGCTTCCCGCATCCAAAAAAAGAACACTAGTCGGAAGACTATCCAAAAGGTATTCGGGGAGCTCCAGACAAAACACGCTAAACGGCATATTGCTCTCGATCAAGATCCAGAGGCAAAGAGGGTACAGAATCAAGCCGGAAGTGGCAGCGCCCTTTAGGAGATACTCCGCCACCACTATCTCCTAAAAAGCCAATTGAGGGCATATCAGATGCAGACTTTGCTGCTCCACCAGATACAGCTCTTTGGTTTATTGATGATCCGGTTGTGTTAAATAAGGATGTTAATTAGTCAAAATTGAGTGTTACGCTGAAGTGAGCGTTTGACTGAAGAGCACCTATAGCGCGGGCGGTGTAGGGGATTGGAGGGACGGATACTGTACTACATAAATCCTTTATAGAACTAGCAAGCCTTGGTAATATCAAATAATAAGATACTACTACTAATCCATACCAATTTATAATAGTGTATAGATTGTGTATAGATTACGGGGGGATATTAGTATCTGACCTAAGGTTTTTCCTAAGCTGGATTGAGGTCTCCATCTGAGTTTTTTTAATCCAAGGTCGTACATGCTTCAATATCCAAGGTAGTACACCTAGGAACATCCAAGGTAATGCACTTGGTAAATAACCAAGGCTGCGTATTAGGCCAGAACTATACCTTGATCTTAGATCAGATGAATAGCATGTCCAGAAAGTGTATTTACGCCTATGACACTATACGCACTATGTTTTTATAGTATTAAGCGTATACTCGATGATGAGCTCTTGATTATCATCCACGCCTATGAGACTATACATATTATACATTATAGTATTAAGTGAATAATTCTATGATGAATATACTTAAGGTCATATGCCTTTATGATACTATTCATCAAGGCCTACTGCATCAAGAAACAGGATTCTAAGATCTATGGTTCTGATTATAGACTTAAGGATCCTGAACATAAATACCCCCTAAAGCACCTCAGAAATTCCTACATTAACAATAATCTGAATTCACTTCAAGATTCACATTCAAGTCTCCTTTTCATCCCTTTTCGATCCTCCTTTACATCCGATCTTGATCTTAATTCCTTTTCATCCCATCTTAATCGAAACACCATATTTTGACCACAACTGAGGACAAGATGCCTCATCATCCTACTCATAATTATCCTAAAAATGTCAAGAAGCTTGACGCCCAAGATGGTACCCCCGTCACCGTTGCGGGCGTCGGATTCAACAGCTTTTTCTCATCTGCTATGCCGACGGTCATCGACGCAAGCACATCTGGAGGCGAGGGCAGTATCGAAGCCAACGTCTATATCTGCACTTCGACACAACAGGTGCTGAATTCACTGGAAATTGACGCTTCCATAGCAGTTAGCACTCCCTGGGCTTCTTTCAAGGATAGGCTTGAGTTTGTAAGCTCACTCAAAACCACCACGACCACGGTTGTCATATTAGCTACTGCAACTTTGGTGAGGGATTCGTCAAGTGTAACCGGGGCTACCTTCTATACCCCTTTTACCAAAGCCGCAGACCTTTACGCACGTGGGGGTGACTCGTATGTTTCGTCCATTGCGAGAGGTGGCCAGTATATGGCTGCTTATAGTTTCCATGCTTATGACGAGGAGACATTCCAATCACTCATCAATTCGGCTGATGCCAACTTTTCGGGCCTAACCTCTTCGTTCTCTGCTTCTTTTGATACAAGCATCAAGAATATCGCACAAACAACCAATGTAACTTCGCAGTTTGATCAGAAGGGAGTGGGGTTCTCGGCCTCCCGGCTTCCTACACAAGACAAACTCGTGGACTTTGTTCTCAACTTTGGTACCATGGAACTGGACGCTCCTGCTCTCATTTCGTTCGCCACTACGCCTTATCGGAGCATCCCAGGCTGCCCAAGTGATTTTGATCAGATCTATCAGTACCTGAATGAGTATATTGACCCAACCATGAGTGGTAATGGCTATTCCGATATCGAATTCCTGGCCAAAGAGAGCCTGGCTATCATCAAGGACGTTGCGCAGACATACAACTACTATGGCCTCGGCTCCATCGACCCGCGGTTTGACACCATTCCCTCCGACCTCCACGAGATCGTGGATTCGATCTCGACTTGGAGAAAAGAAGTCGACTCGAATCCGGTTAGCACGACAATAAATCCCCCCGCCATTAACACGGCAAACCTGCTACAGCCGACTGCCAACTTTGCGCTCATACCTGGCTCTTTTGTCGCTGGAGGTGACGGCGGGGGCCCATTCCAAGACATTACTCCGCACATGATACCATGGGGCATCGCTCCCGCGAGCATTACGATCTGGGGCGATTCTAGCAGTTGGCTCTCTCGCATCCAGATGACATGGGAAACGCAAGATCCCAATCAACCTTCTTTCACTCATAGTTGGGGCTTAGGCCAGCTAGGCATAGGTTATCCAACTATACAACTTGGGCCTGGCGAGAAGATTACCCAGCTTGGTGCTGCTTATTCTCGGACTCAGTACTTATGCCGACTCTCAGTCACAACAAGTCAACAGCCTACTATCATCTACCCCGATGGCAACTCTGGCGGTGGCATACAGACATGGACACCACCCGCCAACTCTTCCTTCGTCGGCTTTTCCGGCCGGGGGGGGGGGGTTATATCGACCAGATCTGCCCCGTCTACGTACAATTCGCCCCCGCGACCTGGACCAACCCCTACGTCTCCAGCAAGCTGTTTTCCCCAACGCAGCTGCCTCACTTTCCCACCCAGCTGACCCATTTCCCCCCGGAGAGCGATCTCGTGCCTAGTTATCCAGACCACCCCTCCGACCGCTCCCCCAACGAAGAAGAAGTCCTCTCACTCATCGGAAACTGGGCGCAGGCCAACTACAGGACCATACAACAGGTCTACCTCCAGCGCGGCGGCTGGGAGGGCTGGATGCAGGTCAACATCGCGATGCTCCTTAACGAATACTACCCCAACGTGATCTTGCAGCGCGAAGAGCACGTCTACACTGGCTCTAATATGCGCGCCGACCTGACCTTCAAGATTGCCGGTGAGCCGACCCAGGTGGTTGAGCTGAAGGTCGAGTCGCTCTGGCAAGACGCTAGTGCTGGCGTGAGCGGCTTCTTGGCAGCCTACAAGAAGGACATTGATAAGATCTCGAATAATCAGTTGGTGGCGAGCCTCCGGCCGGCGAAGATGTATGTCATTGGGCTCACGTGCAAGGATCAGGTGTTCCAGTATATGCGGAATCTGAGTAATTGGTATCCGTACGCGAACGCGTTTAAGTATACGTGCCTGGTGCCGACGACGGGAACGGAGGACGCGCTTTATATGTGGTGGGTTGTGAAGAGTCGAAGGGCGGGAGTGTGGCGTGGCGGTGAGAGGGCGGGGAGAGTAGAGAGGGAAGAGGATGAGGGGGTTTGATGATTGATCTGAAGCCAAATGGATGGAATGTATGTAGAATGAATGATGGCCTAGCTACCTACCTACCTACGCATTATAGCTCGTCCAGATTTGCGCATTAAGAAAAAAAAAAGAGGAGAAAGGAGGAAAGAAAGTATTTAAAAGGTTTCCAGTTGAGGCAGGTACGATGGAGGTATGAAGTCGTGCCTGCTTAATCGGGAAATCCAGACAGCGAGGTGCATGCACCAGACGGCAGACATGATGCAACACAGCGACAAATCAATCTGTCTGGCAGTCTAAGATAGGTCCAACACACTCTCGTACATACTTGTCCTTGATACAGATATCCTTCTATTGCTGTACTGACAGCTTGTCGCAAATGAGCGTCCACAGCGATGATGATGACGAGTGCCACGAACTCTCGCAGAGTTGTCGATCTCGAAGCCTTGAGTTTCGATGAGCTTACTCAGAAGAAAGAGCAGCAACCTTTCCGTTATGTCCAGGCATTTATGGACACCACTGCGACATCAAGTTGCAGAATCCGACGGACTTCAACTACCAAGAACCCCGGCCTATCGAGTCGTGGGCCGGTATTGGGGGAAGGAAGATGAACAGACCCGGCGTTGCGAATCTCGCACCTCACTTGAGCCCAGTCTCGCGCCCCGTCACCACAGCACCAGGCCTTCGGAGATTTCTCTCCACGAGGATCAATTAGAGTTATCTATGACTTGCAACGATCTTGTATAAGTCTTGCAGGTAATCATCATGCTCATTGATATACTTCTCCACAAGGCCGGAGATCTGGCACTCAGCAATGTCATCTTGGTCATTAGGAAATCCAACCGCTGGTGGTCGCGTTGCGCGCAAGGTCCTCCCACAACTGGCTATATCAAATCGCATCTCCGCAAATACCAATGCACCATATAATCTTCTCAAGCCTTCAAATGGCAATCTTTATTTTATTGTTCTAACAAACAATCATCTAGTTTGCCAACAGAACACTGAGGGTAATGGAACGCTCGCATCTCATCAAATCGTGAAGTTTCCGAGGCGCATCTCGACGAACATTCAAAGCATCTAATCGAAGACAATAGCCGCCTTGATCGCACTCTTGTTGCGCATGGCCTCCAAACACTCTTCCCACTGGTCAATCTTGTAGACTTTGTTCACGATACCCTCGACTTTTACCTTTCCAGAATCCAGATAGGAAATGGCAGCGGGGAACTTGTAGGTCTCCGAGAACGAGCCAATGATGGTGATTTCGTCACCGAAAATCTTCGAAGGAGGCCAAGAAACACGTGCAGCATCGGAGTAAACTCCATAAACTACCAACTTGCCTGATCTCCGGACGAAGTTGATAGAATCCTCGAGGATGCTGACGCTACCAGTGGCCTCGACGACGATATCAAAGCCGTAGGGGTTGTCTGCCTTTAGCTTGGCGAACTGAGAAGAAGAATCTTGGCGTGACAGCTCGACGTACTCATCGCCAGCACCCACTTTCTTGGCGAGCTCCATCTTTAAACCAGCAGGGGCAGCAACGACGACACGGCAGCAACCGTTCTGGCGCAACATCTGAGCCAACATCAGACCGGTGGGACCGGCACCAAAAATCAAAGCGGAGGAACCCATCTTCGGAGCAATCTTGTCCAAGCCGTGGGCGGCACAGGAAGCGGGCTCGAGGAGGGTGGCATCGACATCGGACAGGTTCTTGATCTTGAAAACGCGGCCAACGGGCGCTCGAACGAAAGGAGCAAATCCGCCATCCATCGTCACGCCACGAGCCTGGAAGTCCTCGCAGAAGAGTTCTTCACCACGGCGACAATAAAAACAAGAACCACACAATTCTGAATTATCGGCTACTATCCGATCTCCGATCTCGAAGCCTTGAACCTTAGGGCCGAGGGCAGCCACAACACCCACGATCTCGTGGCCAGGGATGAGGGGGAACTTGGCAATGAACTCGCCCTCATGGATGTGCAGGTCAGTACCGCAGACTCCGCATGCCTTGACCTTGATCTATGATTCAATACGATGGTTAGTCGAGTCCGTCAAAGGGTTGAGTCCGTCAACGGCTTTCCGCTATGGATTGATCCCGTTCGAAGACTAGCTAAACCATACCAGGATATCATTCTCACGCAGCGTAGGCAGAGGAACCTCAACGATGCTGTGCTTTTTGGGTCCCGAGTACTGGAGAGCTCGCATGGTCTTGGGAAGTCCGACGGTCATTGTGAATGTTGACTCTGGCTGGTCGAGAGCATCAGTGATGTCTCGACTTGAACGAGCGGGCACCAAGTTGTCAATTGGACGTACCTGGAAACTATGTCAGAGAAAATAAGGTCTCGGTCATGAGATGTTAAGGAAGAGAGAAAGGAGTATCGAGGTATCGAGCGAAAGAGAAGGGCGGGAGAGGGGGGTTAAGTAGCAGGCACAAGTCCAGAAAGAGGGGCAGTCCAGGGGTGTTGACCACTTTCATGCAACACGAATCCAAGACCACCGCCGTCAATACGTCCAACAGACCTCTCAAAAATGATGAAGTCCGGAACCCAATTGGCTCAAAAGTGGGTCTACGATCGTGTTGACACTCCTAAAGTCTTCCACGGCGGGTCCGACTCCACTATTTTGTTTGTGCCAGGCCTTGATCTTTTCTAGTGTTGTCTCTGGGTTGTGACCACCGACTTCCTCAGTGGCTTAGTGATGGGACATGGCTCTTTCGAGCTATGATTCCCAGCTTTTTACAGCTCCAAAAGCAGTCTCAAGACATTGCTCTGCTTTTTACTTAGGCCCCTCACCCAGCCCTGACATTGTCCAATGGCATCTGACGCCACGCCACGCCCGCCGAGTCAATTGCGCAGGAAGAGGGTCGTGTCCTCGCGCTCAGCCAATCTTTCCATCTGGGATATCTCGATCCTGGGCCGTGCCACCTTGTCCCCAAAAGAGTTCGTGAGCCTCGACGATGACCTCAAATTCCACTGACGCAGGACTACTCTAGGCTTGGGACATGACTTCATTCCCCTCCCACTCCACAGTCCCGCTACGGAAAACAAGGCAATGCCAAAGTCTGATTGGCCGACCCACTGAGGACCACTTTCTGACTGTTCACCGAAGCTCTTCGACGAGCTTCGGTCTCTACCCGAGTTTTGCGCCAAGAAAGAGCAAGCATTGTGGTCTCAGGATGTCATGGTCTGATCAGAGAGTAAGTACCGCTTGGTTGAGGAATTCGATGAGAGAGACACTGTTACGCGAATCGGAACGAGCGTCTGCTCGGTTCACCGCTAAACTCTGCAGTCTGCCACCCATCATTTTGTCAAAGAAGCAATCTCCAAACACTCGTGCATGCCCGGCGACGGTCACGCGCCTTTACTACATAGGCGACTGCGTACGTGGATTGGCCAATTCAACCTGTCGAGCAGAGCCGTGCTGGGCCTGGTCTCTTGCTGACCGCCGCGGAGAACATCGATAACATTTATTTAGTCACGGACCGAAGTGATAAGGAAGAGTCCGGTGATGAGAGCTGTCGAGTTGAGGCCACACAGCTCTGCGTTAGGGTGTCTAATCGATTGGCTTGATCATGCAAGCGCCAGTCTCTCGGGCGATGAGTGAGGCGCGTAGCGATCGGGTTACCTCGGATTGGCCGCTCGCTAGGTCTAGAATTGACTCTGCCGTACCCCGGCTTTTTGTCCGGGTGACACATGTCGATGCTTGGCTCTAATCTTACGATTCAAAGACTACGGAAAACTTTTCGGGCTGATGTGCAATTACCAATTGATCAACTCATTTACGACCGAATTTATCATTGATCCAGGTGGAATAGTTGTCGAAAAACAAATGAATCTAGAAATGGTGCTATTTACCCGCCCATTATCCAATGGCTCTATTGAGGACCATCTCACGTTCCTGGACCGCCGTGTTTCAAATATGCCCCTGTCAGGGCAAGCATCCTGACGATGATGTCGAGCCAATTATTTCACCATTATCGTCAAGTAGAATCCCAGAACCCCCCGAGTTTGGACAGAGTTCCATCTTACCTGGGCCTAATATTAAATAGGCGCTTGGGTGATCTAGCTCCGGTTTATAACATGAAGGCTCCATTTTTGCCCAATGATATTTTCCCCCCGGGAAGACATACAACCTTCGAGCTCTCAGCGTTAAAATACAGACCAAGTTCAATTCTTTTGCCTCCCAAATCACATCCAATATCTGCCTCATTGCTATAAGGTTTTGTTCGATCTTGCCACCGATCGCGAGTATGTCATTTTGCTGGCGTCTCTTTTCTCACGTCAGAGGGACGTATCTTGGAATGTACAGCGGGGCTCCATAAGTTTGAAACCCTCCAGAGATCTCAAGTCCATCTTATCAGCCATACCCTTGAAGTTGATGCACACTAAGATGGTCTTTTTTCTGGGCCTCCAGTCTCATACTTCTGAGCTGCCACTGTACAACCAGGGATGGTCTCTTTCGGCAGGTGATCTTTCATGTATAATTCCTCGACTCTAAGTCCTATTCCTGGCTTGTCTGTTCTCTGCTGAGACTTTTGTTGATCCAGAATACCGCATTCAAGACATAATGATCCATTTTTATCAACGTTCCTTCCAATGTTCATTCAATGAGCGGACCGGTTGCATATTCTGTCTAAATTACATCCTCTAAAGGTTGGGGGTAAGCGGCTAACACCGGGTTAGTATGGAGTCGAGAAATGATGATCAGAGGTTCCAAGATTAAATAACGCCAATTTTTGAAGCAATGAATAGAAATTTGATGGTTGTTGTTTGGTCTTTCACGGAAATCATTGTCTCGAAGATAGTGCAATGTTTTTCTTCTATAGATCTTTCAGCGCCTAATTCCGACATCTCAAATCCATTGGCAACAAGCTCAACCAATCTCTCTCTCAGGGTGCCCCGTACAAGGAAATATCAAACAATGGGCGGTTTCACATCCAATGCCTGGAACTATTCTAGTACATTACCCTTTTAATAGCCCCAGTGAGTCTCATGAAACCATTGAGCCTCCCCTGGGCGCTTAACACTTTGAGACTCAAGCGCCATGTGTCTGATTGTCTATATCTTCGGATTTCCACCTTCAATCCCAGACCCACGTCCAGACATTGCTTTTTCCGAACACAAGGCATAATGGCCTCTCTCAAACTTCACATCGATGAGACCAATCCCCTTGTAAGGGAGGTATATGGCAACTATTCGGACTGGACACTTTTCTGCATTCTTCGACGATATCTTGAGCCAAGAAAACGGCATCTATCACTCAAAGACGCGTCTATACTTATATATAAAATTCTCATGCCCGTGGCCCCTGGTTCTTCTATACAATACCCGGTGAAGGCATTCGGTTCCGTGGTCTTGAATGTAGCCGGGCAAATCCCCTACTCACACGCATCCCAAGATCGCCTCGTCCGACTTTTAGATCAATTTCACCAATTTATTGAACTTGAGTTAACAGATGAGCATGAGGTAGGTAGGCTACTCTTAGCAGCAGAATCTCTTTGGATTAGAGTAACTAACACCTTATGGTTTTGCTCTAGACGGAAATATTATTCCTGGTTTTGGATCAACTAATCTATGTGTTACGGAGGCGATATGATAGTAAGTCAAAGGATTTACGACTCTCAGCCTCCTGATCTAGACTAATCAAATGGCCATTGAATAGAAGCTTCGAACAACGAACCGCTTGAACGCGATTATTATCTAAATACAAGCGCATTTCTCGCCCGCCTTGCGTCTACTGGTCTACTAGGCTCCTCATGGGCAGTTTCAAAAATGAGGGATGCTCTTGAACATCACATTTCGGGGGATGACGAATCTTACCAGTCTTACATCAGTTCGGCGGCTCTTTGGATCCACTACTACGGTCCATGTCTCTTCTATGCAATAGCCCGCTCCCCTCTGAAAAAAAGCCGTCGCAATGAGCAGAGCTTTCGCGTTGGTCCCCTTTATAGCGGTTCTGCATTTGGCATCGAAAGATGGAACTTTTGGCGCAATGCTTTTGAGTTTGCAAGCGAACAAGGTAAACTGAACGTTGAATCTCGAGATCTTGCTCTGAATGCCTCATTTTTGATGGATGAGATTGCAGAAATTGGGGTTGTTGAGGCGAGTTGATTGCTCTGTTTTATTTTTCAATGGGCGAGACTTATTCGGAAGGTTTGCATTTTTAATTGTGTATAATTGTGTATGATAACGAGCGTTTATACCCATCTATTGGTACACCATTCTTTGATCTGCTTGCTCTCTAAACTCTTTACAACCGTGCCTTGCCTTCCTCCCGGCCTTGCAGGTTAGGATGGGGGTCTCGAACCGGTCGAGTAACTGCGTAGAAGGCAAAGCCTTGAGACTTGGTCGAGAACTGGGGAAAGGAGAGATATCAGTATATCAGTCAACGACTTATGACACATGATGGAAGTAAATTACGCAACAGAGACATAACGAACCTTGACTTTAGATCCAACATGGAAGAAGGCGAAATCTCCAGGAACCAGGTGGTGAGTAATTCCCGTGGCCTCATCCTGACAATGAGACCATACGTGTTAATAATTTTCGTTTCCAAATTGAAGGACCTTGGATGGACGGGCAGTAAGGAGCATACCAAAACGTCAATTTGACCACTCAGGACATACTTCGACTCCTCAAAGGAATAGTGAGCTGGTCTCTGAGGCCCAGCCTCGATCTTATAAAATCCCGACGTAATGTGGGCTGGGGCTTCGGTCTTGGTGCGGATAGAGTGAAAGTCGGCTGTAGTAGCGTTCTCGCCCTGTGGCAGAGGAATATACTCATGACCGGCGCCCTTGATGACGGTGAGGGGAACAAGTTTGCTGGACACTTCCCAGGGAACATTCCAGATCAGTTACACTTGATGCCCATCCAACAGCGCTGGAGATACCATTAACTCACTCTTGTTTTCGTTTTGGTGATTGTAGGTAGGACGTTTGAATCACCAAGTCAAGCCATCTATGCTCGACTTATAAGTAAGTTGTTCATCACGGGCGCCTTCCCGTTTTTTGGCGGGGATTCGTAACCTGACAAGGCAAATCTCCCCCGGCCGCATTGCCCGTATGTGGGGAACATGTCGGGTGAGCAGCCGATGTCGCTATAAAGGGTTATGCTTTCCATAGATTGCTGCTGCGTCTTCGGGAGACAGTCTGTATTTCGAGGAAGTAAAAAATAGCTCGGTGGAAGTCTATGCAGGAGCGAATAGTCCTTTGGGTTGAAAGGAATTGGGGTGTTTTGAACCAGTTTTAACCAATCTCAGTATTTACGTGAGCGGTTTTGAGTTTCTCTTTATTTTTAGGATGTTCTTACTCGCACGACAAAAAAATCAGCTCAGACGAAATATTAGGCCAAACTGGCATATTACCTAGAGAGAAAAACTAACTTAATTAGGCCTAACCTGTTGTGTAAGTAACAACCCCTTTTGTGTACACCCTGGACAGTTCATGTTGGTGTCTATTGAATAAAAGCTTCACGTTTGACAGCCGCAGTGGACACAAATATTTTCTTTCTTCTTATTTATCATCAGAATTGTTACTGGAGGAAATTTCAGTTCCTTAATGATGTGTTCCTCTCATGTTTATGAGTCAGTCCCCCCACCAACGAAAGCTGGTTATGGAACCCCTTACCCAAATGGGAGTCTCGATACCAGAGAAATCTTTAGGACTGCCACTCATTATGTACGTAAAATCTCCCCAGACTCAAGTTTGGAGATCTTCTGCATCTGTGGCACCATCGAAGTCTTTCGAGTATCTTCCTGGTCTGTAACACATGTTTGATGGACCGTATCTCTATGTCGTACACCCACTTGTGGAGTTGCGTTAGAAATTTAGATCTCATGATCCTGAAGCCCTCAATATTGAAAATTCAGAAAATCTAATCACCAATAGTCTTGAGATATTGTCTCTTCTCGCCGTGTTGTAAAGCATGATCTGACTGTACCTGATGGACTTTTTTTTCAACGGAGGACTCATATCTGCATGGCTGCTGGTCCAAACTCGCGACATCCTCAAGTGCTGGCTTTCGGTTTATGAAGCAGAAAAGTCCAACTTCTGCATTTGTGAGTACGGCTCCAAACCACATGCACTTCGGTCTAGGCCCGTATGCCTGCCCAGGGCGGTTCTTTGTATCCGTGGTGATAAAATTCGCTTTAAGCCGTTCTCTGATGGAGTATGACTTCCAGTTTGCCCCCAGCCGAAAGAGAAGGCCAAGGAATATGTTGATTGGAAATAGGATTATGTCAAATGTCTCCACACCAGTCTTTATCAAGAAACGGACTTGAAGCCTTGAATGGGCGCCTATCGTCGCAACTTAATCGTCTGAACTGCAGCGAGACCTTTCGTTACCTTGAAAATTCGCCGCATCAATGTGACTATTGATGGAAAATTATCGTCTTGTTAAATGACATGGTTTCTTTGCACTCAAACAAAACACTGAGATATCTAGTGGGCGATAAATTTTTCTTGGTATCGGCCCTTTCCCTCCAGCTACAGAACATAATTTTTAGAAAAAAACTGAAAAATCATTGATTGGTCTTCTGGTCGAGTGATACGAGCAGCGACGCATTCTCCCCGTGCTGTACTGGGGGAATCTCAGGCCTTTAAATCAAGTTTTTCTGTCCTGCTCCACAATTCCAACCACTCTTTAACAGAGTCACCAGACTCTGCTAGCTCAGCCATGCACATGTTGCGCACATCCTCGCTCCTAATTACTTTCAAGGCGTTGCGAATGTTATGAGGCGACGGAAACTCGAGGGCCTTTGTGACCCAATGCCCCGCTGGTGCATCCAATGCCAGCACAATAGGAAATGTCATCTCGCGGTTGTGCAAGTCCTTGGCAACAAGGCCCTTCAGCTTGGCATACTCCGAAGAATATACATTCTTGCAGTCGTTTTGCAGCTGCGAGTACCAACTGTATAACAGTTAATTCTGACACACGGGTCTCGATCAAAAGGGGCTCCTTACGCAACCGCAGTGAAAGTCTGATCCATGGATTCATTCTCGAGGACAAGGTGACCCAGTAAGCGGAATAAAGAACCTGTCTTGAGAGAGGCCATTCGTCGATATGCCGCAACTCTATCTTTAGCAGTGATGGGAAAGCCACTGATCCCATCTCTGCGCCAAACAAGTGACATGTCCTGCCCTTCGAGAATATCCCGAAGATCTTTCATCAACCATGGTGCGAGAGTGGGAAATTCTTTGATCGTCTGGTTAAGGATCTGGGTGACTTTGTAGTATGCCCGATTTGCCGTCTCCATGGGGCCGTAGATTTTATGTGCAGCAGGTTTTCCTTTGCGATAATCGCTTCCATCCGAGATCTGGAAATTATTCAATCAGCAATTTTCTGTACAATTATGCCAAAGAAGGTTCCGGGGAAATTCTTCCTCACGTCGTCCACTAGCATCAAGCAAAGATGAATGGCGTCCATGATTTCCAACACCATGATGTACTTGGAATGGTCGTCATTTCGAAGCTTCGGAGATAGCTTGTGAACAAATTGTGCCCAGTGGTACTTGCCATAAACTCCTCGAAGGTATTCGTAAGGACATTCGAGCCCAGTTATTTTCTCCGGGTTCGTTTGTCCGATCAGTTGAGCCTTTTTATTCAACCGCCGAGGAATGGGAATACGATCAACAATAAAGTAAAGAACACTGCTTGCTACACCCATGCCCAAAAGGATTCCAGCGCCATGATGGAAGAGTTCTGGTAGGGTTACGAAAAGGCTCATGATGGATGAGGATCTTGACTGAATTCTAGTTCGAGGAAAGCAAGGTCGTGCGCATGAAAAGTACGATCCTACATTTCACTTTATCATATGGGCACACGCAGCTAGTATTATGTAGTTGCTTCTCTTTCTGTTCGGGGATTCATTGAGGACAGCCCAGGCATTCGCGATTCATGTTGTATTTGCTGTTCTGACTTCGGCACTGACTCGTTATTACGTATCTGATACGGTGGTAGTTCTCTTGGTTGAGGGCTACTCTGTGAGACAGACACTTGCAGGTCGGCCTCAGCTATAGCGACACCACTCGTCCCCGGGTCCCGAAGAGATACATAGTTTTGAGACTTTTTTGTGACTAGGTGCAGACCGGGGGTTGCATCCAAGAGATATAGTGAAATCTATGCTCGTATTCAGCCCGCTATTTAAATTACAATTAAATCAGATGAATGTATGTTATGATGATTGTATATGTACTGGATGAATGTGGGCGGTAATTTTCGGTGGTTACTGAGGGGCTCCACAAGTCTGAAGTCCTAACAAAAATTCATAAGCAGTCTATAATTGAACAATGAACTGGAAAATATTGCCTAAACCACTAGCTAGCAAAGGCTGTCTTCAGTAGATTCAAAAAGATATTTGGAGGGAGCCTGCTGCCTGAAATGTAGCAGGTTTTAGTCAATATTCTCTCTTCGTGATCTGGTGGGGTCCTATTAGAGAGCCGTTTTCTTGATGTTTTCACGTAATAAGTCAGTATACCCTTACGTTTCGTTCGTCTTTAGTTGGTATCTATCATGTGCTGCCACTTGACCATTATGATGGCAGCATCAAAAAAATCAAATTAATTAAGGGAATAGAAAAGAAATTTGCATGCTTGTTCCACTCTAAGCATATCTGTAGTGAAAGAAACAAATCACGCATGACCACCAGCCCCGTCTAAATGCCAACATGAGTATCCGATATTATTCCATATGCGTCTTCTCGGTTACTGACCCACTAGCATGGGGAGCCAACAGGACCAAAGTTCAAGTGTTAGGATTTCCAAGGGACAGGCCCTCGAATCCATTAGCTATTTACAGCCCAACACCGTTTTATTCAATGAAAGTAGAAAACTGGAGCTTCGAGGGTCTTTCAAACTCCACAAGATGAGCAAGTCTAAGTTCCAAGTGATCATCGTAGGAGGGTCAATTGGGGGCTTGACGTTAGCACATTGCCTGCGAAAGGCGAGAATCGATCATATTGTCCTCGAGAAGTCGAGCAGCCCAGCACCCCAAATCGGGGCTTCCATCGGGATCCTGCCTAATGGAGCTCGGGTATTGGACCAACTTCAACTATATGATGACATTGAGGGTCACATCGAACCGCTGAGCACGGCAACTATCGGTCTTCCTGACGGATTCAGCTTCAGTAGCTCTTATCCCAAAATCATAACGCAAAGGTCACTATTCCTATAATTCCCTTCAAACCATGAATTAACTCGTCTTTTTCCAGGTTTGGATTTCCAATAGCATTTTTGGATCGCCAAAAGTTGCTAGAGATCCTATACCGAAGCTATCCGGATCATAGCAAGATCCGTCTGGGAGAGAAGGTGACGGCTATCGAGTCTACCCATGATGGTGCCACAGTGATCACGGCGACTGGCACAGTCTATCGAGGTCATCTTGTGGTCGGATCGGACGGTGTCCACAGCACAGTCCGCCAGGAAATCTGGAGCGCAAGCGAGAGATTTGGCTTAGTTTCGCAGCAAGAGAGATCCAGTAAGTTGAAGTTTAAGTGGTTTTCATGAATATGGCATTACTCTTATCGGAGCTGAAATATCACATATGATAGGCCTCACAGTCGAGTTTCGTTGCATCTTCGGTATCTCAACCGCGATTAAAGGATTAAACGTGGGGGAGCAAGTGAATGCGCTATTCAATGGTCTGACCATTGTCACGATCCATGGAAAAGGTGGCCGGGTGTATTGGTTCGTCATACAGAAATTGGGCAAGAAATACACATATCCCAACTGTCCTCGCTACACGAAACGAGATATGTCCGTGGTGGCGGAGGAACTGAGAAATATACAATTCTACCGGGGTATTACTTTCGGCAAACTATGGGAATCCCGGGAGAGTGCTTCGATGACAGTGTTGGAGGAGAATACCCTCAAAACCTGGTATCGCAACCGATTGGTTCTCCTGGGCGACAGTGTTCATAAGATGACACCGAACATCGGTCAGGGAGCAAACATGGCAATTGAGGACGCCGCAGCTCTGACGAATCTGCTCCGAAGATTGCTGAAAATCCCAGGCAGCTCACTACCATCAAATTCTCAGATCGAGATGCTGTTGCATCAATATCGCGAGCTTCGATACCAGCGTGTTCAATCTATTTACCGTAGCTCACGATTCTTGGTCCGCTTCCAGGCTCGAGATGGTCTGTTGAACGTACTTCTAAGTCGATACTATGCCCCCTACGCGAAGGATCTCCCGGCTGACATGGCGTCCAAGACCATTGCCGATGGGGTGATGTGTGACTTCCTGCCTCCTCCAAAACGCAGCGGAGATGGGTGGGAGAGCTACCGAACAAACGGCCAAACATGGGGCTGGCGGGCTCAAGCCGCGATGTATAGTCTTATTCTTGCGGTTTTGTACGCCTGGGTAAGGACTTGGAACTTGGGCTCAACGGTGTCTTTTGGCTGTGGCTTCCTGTCTGGATTTGAACAATGGTAGTATGTAAACAGTCTGACTAGATATTTTACGGTCATTATCTTTTGGAGAGGATCAAGCTTCCAGCAACCTTTAAGTCTATTCAGTTCACTTGAATATGTTTGCAATTGCACTTCTTCACTCATCTCCATTAATGCCTCAGCTACATAATAGACTTTCTAAAAACTCGCTGGATTTGAGAAGGGCAGAGAGAGGAGCGGAGGAGCTTCATTTCTCTTCAGGCAATGGCGAGTACGATTCACTAGGGGTTGCTTATCGATGCCTCGAATAATTTCGCGTGCTAGGTGCTCCAAAATATGTCTTATTCGTCAGTTGTTCCATTCATTTTGCAGAAGTATATTGACGCAGGCAGTATAGCTGTCGCGCTTGTTGCAAAAGTGGGAGGATCGTGCCAAACTGTTTTAATCAGTCCGTCTGTAAGCCGCAGACCATTGCAGCAGATTTATGCAGGGAGGTGTGTCAATTGCAAATGAAGGCGAACAGTTGTACAATTATGGAACTGAGTTCCATTCTTCTTTCAAATATTTTTTGTTGAGGCCAAGGCCCTCGATTGCTGCTTAAAGGCTCCCTCGACTATCTCCCACTCCCAATTTCAATGTACTAATTGGCATATATTCCATTTTCAAGTTTGATGCAACTCAGAATGTTGGAGATGACAACAGTCGCTCTTATTTCACTTTCTCTTTGCAGCGTATGCCGAATACTACCAGTCCTTCCAGATCGGCTGTATCGGTTTCTAATCCGCAATTGAAGAACACCAAGTCTCTACCTGGGCTACCTGGTCGGCTGTACTGCGGGTATACGTGAATTGCCTTAGTTGATCAATTCCTGACAGCATGCAATAATGTGTTCTTTTGGCCAGTGTTTCAGGGAGGAATGCCTGCCTTGCCGCCCTACCGGGTGGCATTCGCAAGCGCCTTAGTACCACTGGGTTGGTGGCCGAGACACATCGGTGCAGAAGTCCGTTCCCTGCATTAATAGAGGGAGTTGGCTTTCTGGTTACCAGTAAGATTAGATAGCCTCACTGGTTTCTATACGATAGGTTGTTATTTGTGACCGGCCATTTAATCTAATGTCTTGGCCCAAGGGTAGTGATGTCTGCGATGCTGGCATACCTGTCGACTTATGGCAGCAAGTTGCCAACCTCCAATCTGGTATCTTTCCCCCCATCAATTATCCTGGGATATATCATCCTGCTTGCATTCGCTGCATTGCCGGCCCCCGAGGTTCTTGCATATCATACAAAGCAGCAGTTATTGCAATCTGGTAGCTCTGGCCTTGGTACACCTCACTAACCCATGGGTTTATTTCGCTGCCTGGGCCATCCAAGGCATTCACGGTGTCAACATTTGAAAACAGTATACATCTTTGCCTTTTCATTATTCTCCACCTTTGATATGGCAGTTCTGTGATTTACTTGGGGCAATGCTGTTTCCCATCGTGTCTATTTTCCGTCAGCTCCATGGGGGAAGCCGCATATGACGGTTCTCAATCCGGGCGTCCTGCGGTTCTTACAATGGGATTATAGGGTGTCTGCATCTGCCCATGCTGATGTGAACAGGTGTTTCCTACTGCCAGATGACCCGAAACATAAGTCGTCGGCTCTCCTGGCCCTCACTGATCGCCGGGGTGGCCGGCGTGCTTTTCCTAGGGCCATGCAGCGTGGCGATGGTGCCGTATGGGGAGACATTGACGATGACTATTGGAATTACGTCGTAACCGATAAATGCGCATCATAGTGGACCTAAAACATAGATGCTGCATCCAACTCTACAACTCAGTAAACCATCTTGGGGGCAACGCGCACATGACATCCGGAGTTTCAATGCACGCTTTAGCCAAGATTTACGTGCTGTGGTATCATTGTGTCCGCATATCAGTTGAAAAGAAAATTTCTTCGTTTTTTGGCTTCAAAACCCATGCCCGGGGCCAATAAGTGCGATAGTATTGCTGGTATAGAGTCAATATGTAGAATGATATTCGACAAGGGCACTAACATACAGCGCATCATTGTAAAAATACGCAAACGCGATCATACTATTCCATCGATGGCGAATTGGCGTTGCACATGCAAGTATTTAAGACCCTGGCCATGCGCCCACGCTAGTGACAGAATGCATCGTTCATGCAGTCGTATCTGCATTCGGGATCCGTAATCCATTGCAGATCCCGCTACTTCGGTGCGTCTCCCCGAGATGATCCACGTCTCATGATTGGGCGTTGCGAGTTCTCTATTACTATATACAAGGGTCAGATGCGATGCTAATATAAAATAATACAATAGCTCGTTGTCGGTATAATATCATCGTTTCCTATGGACGCATTATTCCTTTATAGATCTTGGCCGTGAGCATAGAGTGTAGCCAGCAGCTCCGTCGAGTATTAAAATTACTCGTTCTCGGTTATACCAGCATACCGTTTTGAATACGATACAGTGACATATCGGAACTCCAAGTCCCGAGGCCATCTGTCAAGCAATGCTTCGGATTTATCTCTGAAATACCTTTCTAATTGTTATCTAAATTTATTTCTTATCGTCTCAGGTGGACTTTCTTATCCTACGATTAAATTGTTATTTGAGGGGATGTTCTTGAGTTGCTGTAGACTGACGGGGAAAATCACCGAAGATGGCTGGAACGTCAAATACTAGAATCTGCTGTAATAGTGATATGTAAATCTCGTATTTGAAGTATATGGCAACGGATGGCTGCTCAATATGTAGCACTAAATATCGAGTCCTCGACAGAGCGTGAATGTGCCTTGAACTCACGTGAGATTTCTGTAAGACTTGTCCAGAGCATGAGGGATTGTCATTTCTTACATTAGATGTCTTTTCTCGCTCTCAGCGGAGAAGAGATTAAAGGGTTTGAAAAACATGACAAGGGAAGAAAAGATGTTTCGCTTCATAGCAACGACAATTTTGGACTTCATTTCTCGGTATCTCCCACCTATCAACTACCTGAGCAGTTCCAGCTCGGCTGCTACTAGCCCTTATCGGAGGTTGGATTCGAAAAGATTTCAAAGATTTTGTGCGGAGCCGAATCTTGCACCGCACACGGTTGGGCCAAGTAGGGGGTCATGCCATGAACCGGACCAGGTTACTGAGCACTATGAAAAAGTATGATACCATGCTGGTCGTAGGGATCACTGTTCTGACCTCCTTTAGATCATTCGCGCTCCATTAGACTACCTATTCTCTATCCCTGGGAAGGATATCCGCGGCAAATTGATCATTGCATTTAATGAATGGCTTCAACTGCCAAATGACAAGCTAGCTATAGTAAAGGAAGTCGTTGATCATTTACATACGGCATCTTTGCTGTGAGTCTCAATTCCCCTGCCGAGGAACTTTTGCTAATCTCGCATAGCATCGACGACATACAAGACGCATCAAGAATTCGTCGGGGCCGCACCGTGGCTCACGACGAATCTCTGTTTGGCGTAGCTCAAACCATCAATGCGGCCAACTATGCATATTTCCTACAACAGGAGAGATTGAACGAATTTGGTGACCCGCGCGCATTCCATGTATTCACCCAGGCGCTCCTAGACCTGCATCGGGGCCAGGGGATGGATCTCTACTGGCGTGATGCAGTGGTATGTCCGACGGAGGAAGAATACATCCGCATGGTCATCTATAAAACCGGAGGGCTGTTTCAACTTGCAGTGGAATTGATGCAGATCCAAAGCACCACGAACACGTATGAGATCCGTGGGTTCTCTTTTGCCAGATGAGGCCAGACTAACGTGATCCAGGGACTTCTCCGGGCTGGTGGAGTTATTGGGCATGATTTTCCAAATCCGTGATGACTACATGAATCTTCAGAGTGGACTTTATGCCGAGAAAAAAGGGCTGATGGAAGATCTGACGGAGGGCAAGTTCTCTTTTCCGGTCATCCATAGCATTCATGCAGCGCCCGAAAATACAGAACTAGTTGATATCCTCAAGCAGCGCAGTGAGGACCAAGCTGTCAAAATACGTGCTGTGCAATATATGGAGTCAACTGGGAGTTTTCGGTATTGCCGTGAGACTTTGGGTCGATTGACTGAGCGGGCACGCAGTCACGTTCAAGAGCTGGAGACTTTCTTGGGTCCGAACAAGGGAATCCACCGAATCCTCGACTTACTCGATGTTCAGCCACCGAGTGAAAGATCATGTGGTTAATCTCCTTTTTATTTCTCTCTGTGGATAGTTCATCCATATGCTGTGAATTCGCACGGGGTAAGATCCCTTGAGCCAGCTGTGTTGAGAGAAACAACAGTGGGAACCCCTTGAGCATGCTTGATCCTGAGAGTCGCAGGCCAGAGGCTTTACTTTAGATCGTTCTCCTTGTGAATGTTTCATCCTCGCTTTATTATACTCGCTACAAGTGCAGCCTATATTATTAAATCGAGAACATTCGGTGATTCATGGATGATTTCCAAACCTGAGTAAGCTAGCGACATCGCCCCTGCATGTAAGACGATTTTGGCCCCCAAAAGTGCTAGCTCTCTGTCCAGTCGCGTATAAGAACACCGTCCAGGAGCCCAGGCCCGAGGCAACCCCAACATTCTTTAGCATCCCCAACTCCTGACTGCACTGTCGTCATCATGAGCTCGCTTTTGACAGCCATCGGTCTCCGCGCCCCCAATTCGCTCGAATCAGTAATTCCCAACTATTCTCCCTTCTTTCTAGGATTCCATTTTCTCTGGGCGTACGGCGTACTTTCCTCTCGCACGCTAAAGCAATGGTACGGCATCGACCATCAAGTATCTCCACGCGAAGATCTCGCAAAATATGGCGAGGCCGCGATACGAGAAGGGAAAATGACGCGCAAGCAACTCGACATGCTTAAGCGCAATGAAGCGGCTCATGCAAATTCGGTCGAAAACTACCCACTTCTCGTGGGCAGTCTGCTTTTTGCATCATATGCCGGGGTTCCTGTGCAGACAATCAACGCGGCCGGTCTGTCGTATACTGTCGCCCGCATCATCTATGGTGCTGTGTACATCTTTGTTGATACGCCCAAGTGGAGTTGGACTCGTGGCGTGGTCTGGTGGTGGGGCAATTTGAGCTGTCTCACCCTCCTATATCAGGCTGGTAAGCGTCTAAGTGCATGAGTTCTTATCTGAAGGAAGATCAAGGCTATTGTGGTATTTGATTCCACGCAACAGATAGAGCATCACATGTTGGCACAGTTAGTATTCCGCCCTACGGGCAATTCTGTAAAATTCTACTTCACTATTTGTTCCTAGCCATTCGTTATCTTCTCCTTTATCGTACATACTATTTATCTCATTTTTAAATCTCTTCTTTCCAATCCTCTTTCCAATTTACCAGCGGAAAGAGTTGCGTCGGACCCTAGAGCCGGGCGATAGCGGAGTGCTTTGCTCGAAAGCAGCGCTTTTGAAGCAATCGAGCGGTCTTACTCGCTTCATGTCGTTGCTTAATGTTTTACCATTCTGGAAACTGCTCTAATCAAATAGTGCTGCAGGCCACGCGAGCGCGGCCACACTTCTTGTCTATTGTCAACCTGATAAAACACACAAGACTATCCTAAAGCTCTCAGGAGCTAGTGGTAACGTCCATAGTCGTCGTCAGAGGCAGATCCCTGCTGGAAGAGCCAACATAGATGTTATAGCTTCCACTTTGGAGCAACCACTTCTGAGCAACAACATCCCAAGTACTCAAGTCACGACGAGTCAAGGGGAAAGTCACCTTGAGAGACTTGCCAGCAGGAATCAGGACTTTCTCGAATCCACGGAGCTGCTTTACGGGGCCACCAGGGATACCGAGGTAAATCTGAGCGACTTCAGCGCCAGACTTACGGCCGGTATTGCGAACATCGGCGGTGACGGTTGCGACGGTCTCCCACAGGTCGACAGCACCACCTTGCTCGATGGCTCCGCTGGGGTAGGCGGCGATTTTCTTCTTGGGCGCAGAGACCTTGAGGTCGGAGAAGGAGAAGGTAGTATACGAGAGACCAAAGCCGAACTCATAGCGAGGGGTGATACCGTGCTTGTCGAAGTAGCGGTAATCAGTGAGGAGGCCCTCGTCAAAGTCTGACTGAGGGAAGAGGCCGTAGGGAGTGACTGCGTTAGAGTGGAACAGGGTCGCGTAGTCGGACTCGTTCTTAGCAACGGTGTAGGGAAGCTTGCCGCTGAAGTTCTCGTCGCCGTACAACAGGTTCACGATTGCACGACCGGATTCTTGACCGGGTAGGTGGGCAAAGACAATAGCCGTAACATTCTCGTGATCAGCAAATTGGTCGACCAGGCGAGTTCCGGCGTTGTGAATGACAACAATGGTATTAGCGCAGGTTGATGCAACTTTCTTCACCAGGGCATCGGAGTAGTCTTCACGAAGTCCAGGACGGTCCATACTCTCGGTAGCGAAGGCGTTGATGAAGACCAAGCAGGCATCGGATGCCTCCATCAGCCCGATTGAAGAGGGGGACACAGAGGTATCCCACATTAGGACGGTGTTATCCTCATAGGCTCGCTGCTGCAGAGCATCGAGTGGTGCACTTAGATAAGGCCCACTGTTAGCACCGGAGCCTCCACCCATGGAGAGGGTGCCGTTGAATGCGACTTGGTAATAATCAGGCACGTCAAGACCAGTGCTTATGAATACTTCACCGGTCTGGTAAATTGCAGGTTCCAGGCCAAGAGTCCAGGGGTTGTACATAAGGCTCTGTCCGTTAGGCATCATGGTATCAGGAGCCTTGGCATCCCAACCAAATACAGAGACCAACTTGGGAGATTGTAGTGGTAGAGCATTATTGATGTTCTTGACCAGGACATGGCCTTCCACGGCACCTTCGTAGAGAACGGGCTTCGCATCCGGAGTGAGCGCATTAACAATAGTGTGAGGCTCACTGATATTGTAAGGCATTCCAACACCTGGAGCTGGGAAGCTCGAGTCATCTTGTCCCACTTGGTACCAAGCGGCAATGATACGAGTAGCCATATCATCTAGACGTGACACGGAAACACTGCCGTTCTTGAAAGCCTCGGTGAAATTGTTACCCCAGAAGGTCTCACCATCAGGCATCGCCATATCCAGACCAGAATTCGCCGCTGCAACTCCTGAGTGCTGCCCGTACCAGTCGGTCACAACGAAGCCCTGGAAGCCAAGCTCGGTCTTAAGCAGACCATTCAGAGTCTTGCTGTTCTGGCACCCATGAGAGTTGTTCACTCGGTTGTAAGAGCACCTGGGCAACAGCTCCTGTTAGCCAAAATATCCCTGACGTTTCATTTGAAAGTGCAACTAACATGATGTTTGCTGTGCCTGCCTTGAGAGCATCCTGGAATGGCCAAAGATACAACTCATGCATGGTTTTATCGTCGAGATTGCTGGAGACGGACTCCACCGTCTGGTTTTCGGAGTTGGTGGTAGGGTTGCGGTAAAGCTCTTGCTCGTTGGCGATGAAGTGCTATAGAGATTCGATTTTTAGTATCAATGCATAATCCACTGACTGCCTTGTAAATTTGAGAAATTTGAGACGAACCTTCACGCTTGTAATGACACCTTGCTCTTGTGTTCCCTTGACAGTAGCGGCGGCAATTGCACCACCGAGGTAGGGATCGTTAGAGGGTCCTTCGGAAGGTTAGAAATGACCAAGACATCTTCTTCTAGTAGAGGCACTAACCTTCCCAGTTCCTTCCACCAGTGACAACGCGACCCAAGGGGCCAACAACCGGACCCAGGGCTACCTGAACTCCCTTCTTTCTGAACTCTCCACCCATGTGCCAGCCGCGCTCGTAGGCCAGGGTCTTGTTCCAACTGTAGTGATTTTCGAATTAGATATGGCGGGCCAATCATCATGCCGGGAGATCTATAAGGCTCACCTGGCGCCAACGTGGATTCCACTGGGGTAGCTATTGACGAAGTCGGTTGACCGGACGCCATTTCCTGCATCCTGGAGACAGAGTCCGGTAAATCCTAGGCGAGGAATAGGCGGAATATTTCCAGAGCATCCATTCTCGGTGGTACTGATCCCGTACGTGAGGTTGTTCTACAGAGGCATCTCAATCAGTCTTGCCGTCGATATGAAAGTCCAGGCAAGTAGAACAAACCTTTTCTTCCAAAGTCATCTTGGAAACAAGTGCTGCGGCCTTCTCATAGGCCTTGGCCCAGTCACCAGATCCATTACCATTGGCTGTTTTGTGTTAGCTTGTAAAACCGCCTGCTTTCCCGAGAAGGAAATTCAACGTACGCGAGGGGTAAACTGCCTCAGACTGCCCATAGAAGTAAGTATCGGAAGTAATGTTACTCTCTGCGTGGCTAAGTCCACAGACAGACAGCATGGCTGCAGCCAATGCTAGTTGCTTTGTAGAGACCATCGTGCTCTAGTAGACTCAATCGAGCCGTGATCACTTTGAAATAAGTCCGTAGTCAACAGGGACTCTCGAGAGGTGGCTCAAGCTTCTCTAAATACTTTTTTTCTCCCTAGTACTCGCAACCAGAAGAGTCAAGACACGGCTTGCCTACCATCGATGATCACATTTGCCGGCAGCCCGAGCACGGTCTGGAAAGAGGGATCTTCCATCATTCTTTCCTCTTTTGCTGATATCCAGGGCATGGCTCCCGTCTCCAGAGTCGTAAACACGAGTCGTCGAGTATAGTTATTCTCCACACTTGGCATCATGGGGGTGAAGAAAGCCAACCCCGCGTCTGTGCTCTTGGTTTGGGTAAGAGGAGATGATGGTTGTGGAGGGACCTATAAGAGAGAGTTTGGGACTAGTGGCGTTTTTTACCTTTCGGGCTGGCTAAACTTCGGCGAATGCCACCCTGTTGTCGTGCTGAGGAGCGGAAATACGGAGCTACCCAACCTATATGAGTCGTATGTAGTCTACAGGATAGACACTATAGAAATACTTCAACTTGTATCTTCGCCTGTTTGAGCTATGGAGCAGAGTAGTATTGTAGTTCCCCTTCTACCAGACTTGTCGATCCTTCATCATCAGATCTATCCGGGGAACTTTTCACGCAGGCAACCCGCGAACATTCTAGAGCGACGGAGATTTATCGGATGTCCCTTTGGCTTGAACCTTTTTGGAAGGACTGTGGCATCCACTTGCGCCCGGTGGCAGCCAACTGATTCAACGGAAGACTGCCGAGGGCGTGGTCTCTACAACTTTTTAGCTCGTTTTGTGGAGGGCCCGGCTCGTAGAGTGTGGGGATGAAATGTGGGGCTTCATGCAGGACTCTTCGGAATGGGGTTCACAAATCTGGGGGATGTGGTAGGAGCGGAAGGTCGCGGCAAGGATATTACATTCAACTGTGCAGGGGGTTTCAAAAAATAATACGCAAATACGAACCAAAAGTGCATCGAGGACCTCACTTTATCACGGTAGCAGTGCAATTTGGTGGCGGTTGATATCTCATCCACGGTATGGTCGACGGCTCGCGTGGCCTGGGTACCTGGTGGAGTGGAATAGGGGTTTCCATGGTTTAAGAGGCCAAGCAGCCGACGAAGACCAACCTTAGTGGAGCTTATAAGCCATCTCAGCAAGAACATTATTCCCCTAACCCCCGCATAATTTCCTCCCCGAGGCATGCACGCGGGATCTCGGTGTGGATTTCTCGGTCTAGTGTCGGACTTAACATGGAAGAAGGCAAGGTTCTGCTTTGATGACTCGGTCATCGGTCAGCAAGATGCACGCCGAAGACGGACCCTGACTCGGTCATCGGTCAGCAAGATGCACGCCAAAGACGGACCCTGACTCTGGATTCGGGTTAAAGTCCGCGAAGAGGCGTACAGTGGTGTTGGGGGAGTCCGAAATCATTGAGTCAGGCTCGAGAAGACAGACCGAGAGATTAAAACATGAGCCAAGGAAGACGACCAGAAAGATATTGTAAAAGATATTGTAAAAGAGAGAAAGGTCAAGCAGATCTAGTTAGACACTTTCTCCGATCTCGAAACTTCAGACTCTGAACTACCACTCAGAAGACAGATAAACGGGTATGCGGGAGGAGGTCAAGAGATGACACTATCGGCATCTAGGGAGGGCAGCCGAGCCGAATGAACTCGGACCTTGCGATAGGTTGGGCCCGCGCTACCGCTAAGACCTCCATATTACTGTCGGTTTTACGTATTACGGTCTAATTCCTTCTAGAAGGTGGATTGCGGGGAGAGCGTGTCCCAACTTGACTGAATCGTGTGCCTTAGCAATGATTGAACCATAAAACGCCTCCCTGTGTATTTGGCGCTACTAGCAAGAGGAAAAACAACTTCTATTCCCCAATGCACAGCACTGAGCAAAGACATAGCAAACTCCTCTTTCTCTCGAGACACGCCCGTTCAAAAGGAATCAAACGTCCAGCGTCTATACAAACATCGATAACCAAACGTGGGGCGCACAGCCATGAGCACGTGCCAACAAATTCAGGAAAAGCCAAGAAAACGGGCAAAGGAAGAGATTATTTCAACCCAAAGCCCTCGCTATTCACAACTGCATCCCAAAGCAGCTTCTCAAGCTTCTCCCGAGAGCCGTAGCGGTACAGGCCGAGCATGTTGAAGCAGGTCCGTGCGATCGGATACCGGGAGCAGTCGTCTCCGAGGCATGCGAGCCGAATAGACAAACTAGTGGCGCCCATCGCCGGAATCCGATCGCTGCCCGTCACGAAAGACAGGATCTTTCGTTGGGCTTGGGGCGGGGAAGACTCGAAGAAGTCCCAGAACCATTGCACCGCTGCAATTGCCTCGGGTCGCTGAGCTGACCAATTATCGTAGGTAGCAACGGCCCGCAACGATGTCACATCGAGCGGTTCGTCGGAGCCGCGAACGAGCAACTCAATTTCCTCCGATCGGAACAGCGAGAGAGCATTACCCCCGCACACGGTAAAGAACCCCCGTTTGAACGGCTCAAACTGCCGAGCCACGGCTGTGTCAAGAAGGTAGCGAACGTACATGTCGACAAACTCGCGGCGATTCGAATTGGTCACAGGTCGCTTCTCGCCCCCAGCGCACAAGGGCACAGTCACAACTTCTCCATACCGGTCAACTTGCGCAACAAAGTCATAGCAGAACGTCTCCGCAACATCGCCATCGAACTCGAGGAGGCCCCGAAGTCCCTTGGCAAGAGCGGGTCGGAACTCGGCGAGGTCGTCCAATGTACACTTGAACTTTGAGTGGTGCGGGTTGGATGGATGTAACCCAGTGTTCTGTGGAGCGGCTGCAAGCAATTTCCTAAACGCAAATGGTGGCAAGTCGACATCTAGAATGGTAGAATTGTAGATCGCAAGGCCAAGCAGAACGCCAACCAAGTAAAACTGTTCAGAGGACTCAAAGCAATACGGATTGAAATAGCAATACTGGGAGTCGTCATCGTAGATGAAGAGACCTTTTTCCAAGTCAGTATACAATTGCAGATCCCGGCTGGAAAGGAATCGAATCTTGACTTACCGTGGTAGGGATCAAAGACCTCCCGCACAAGCAGGAGGAACCACTCCTTGCGAAGTCCACCAGCATCAACACCTTCCTCTCCGACAAATTCAATGCGGAGCCCCTTTTTGATTTCTTCGGATCCAGCCCCAACAGACTCACTCACGGCACGCAAGCTGTCTTCAACAAGACATTCTCGCCGCACTTTCAGAACAAGATATTGACTGACCGCACGGTGATTGAGGATGCTGCTGAAAAAGGCCTCGCGAGCTTTGACCTCCATCTGACGGCGAGCGTCATGCTCCATGATGTGGATTTTGGCCCAAATGCTCAAGAGGAAAGGATACTGGCAGAAAGAGAACTTGGAACCCTTTGACTCCCAAACTTCAAAGTCAGCAATGAGGTCCGAATAGTCCAGCAAGGTATTGTAGAAAGCACTGATGGGGACCATGTAACTGTCACGCCGTCCTGACTGCGCAGTAGAATTAGGATGACGCTGAGTCCGTGAATCCCTCGAATGCACATCGGACCTCCTAGATCCTTCCGTATTCGCGGTGAATAGCAAAGACAATATTCTTGATCCGGCCTTGATCTGCCAATCTTCCACATATACAATTGGAGCTTCTTTCTTCTTCTCTGGCTTTTTGTTCGGGCTGCGACGATTGTTGATAGCTGCATGAAGCTCCGCAGGGGTGTTACCAGCAGCGCTGGCGAAACTTGGGATAAGCTCATCCCCATCTTTGGTGATTTCCTTGCGCTTACGGCCATGCTGACGAGTCAATCGATAAGTAACGAAGCCACCTATCAATTCCACCATCCGTTCGAATTGACTGGGAGAAAACCGAGAGAGCCAGGAGACGAAATGGTGGTGGCATTCATTAGAAGCATTGGACATCAATCCCAGGATCCGCTTCACGACTCCATGGTGGTGACTAGTGCTTCCGTGACGGTTTTGATCTTTATGCGAAGATTTGCCGTCCCTTGTAGTGGGCCGCGGGCCTCCAATCGGATGGGATGGGCGTCGGCCATCACGAGGCGGTGCTTTTGCCGGCCGAGGGGGAGAATAAGCACCGGGAGATGACAACAAAGGGTTGGCAAGTAAGATGAACAACCACCTGGTATCGTCTGCTTTCTTGATCAGGCGCCGTGGGCGCTTCAAGAGATTCTCGACAGCTTTCATAAACGTCCGCTGGAGGTGTACGCGTGACTCAATGATCTCTCTCTCCATTTGAGCCAGATTCACCGATTCCCATCTCTTTTGACGAGCTGCATCGGCATCTGAACGAATATGGTCTGGTCTCTTGGCAACCCAACGTTCGGCCCAGGAGCTCCCGGCGGTTAGGAGTAGCTGATGCCAGCGTCCCACCTCAGCCCAATTGATCCGAGGAGACCTCGAAGATACCAAACGAGAATCTAGAGTTCCTTTCTCCCTAGCTGATGGAGCCAAGTGTCCCTCAGCCTGAGCCCATTCCGTCATCCACCAAGACGAATTTTCGGCCAAGTCTCCCAAAAGTAGAGTTTTTGCATCTGGCTCAAACACGGCCGCATTCAAGTTTGACTCTAGGACAGTATTGGGATCCATTTTCATCCTCGGAGGATTACCACTGCTAGCAGATCGAACAGAGAGTTGGTGTGTTGAAAAAGACGTATTGAGAACATCGATGCCTTTCAAAGAAGCGATCAAGTAGTTCTCCAGTCGCTCAAATACCCCATGGTGAGCTTCGCGGTCTTTGTTCTCCAAATCCGAATGGTGTGTGGGACGGTCTTGAGTACGACGATCGGTATTTGGGCTCGACTGAAGGTCTGAGTTGGCTCGAGTCCGGACTGGCGTATCCTTGCCTTCCCATTGAGCCACGTGTGGTGTCAGGAAAGTGGAGGGGTTCTTTGGCACACCAAGTCGTTCGCCAGATCCAGATGTGCTACGGCTGCGAGGGTCACGAGGGGGTGACAGATGGCCGCCAGGGCCACGGCCTGTCACTGAAGAATATTCTTCCGGTCTAGAAGGACGTGCTCGGCCGTTTCGGTTGTCGTCTGGTCCTGGACTTGACTTAGATCCATCCAAAAACTTGTCAAAGTACATCGAAAGACATCGGTCGATCATATCGCTCATGTACTTTGCTGACAATGGCATATCTAAGACGGCAATCAGTAAACCCAGATTCATGCAGGATTTTTGATATTTCAGTGCTCGCATACCCGGCTTTTGCTCTGGTGGCCGTGCAGATGGTGGCAGTGGTGGTAAGGGACGATCGTCAAAAGGGTGATTCTTAGCGCGCCCAGTCCGAGCCCGGTCTTCAGCATCTGGGTTGACGGAGGGGTTTGACTCATTCAATGGTTCGGGGTCCAGATCAGTTACCATCAAGCATGCAGAGCATCGAAATGTCTTCAAGTTCCGTGGCCACCGTACTGTCGAGTTGCATGTTTGACACTTGGTTTCTGCGAGATCTCCTCCAACTCTCGAGTCCTTGCGAGGGCTTCCATCAACAGTATCGGTGGGAAAGGTAATCTCATCGGAGTCCGAATCTGATTCCCACATGTTCGCTTTTGCCTTGTCACGCCTCTTCCCAAGTCCAGGAAACGGAAATGGATGGCTGATTGAGCGGTGATGCCCTCGACGGGAACTAGTGGGCGCGGAGCCATTCATCGTGGCCATCGTAGGCGCATTCTGACGCTCCGGTAACCGCTTCCTAGTGATATCTAGGGCAGGAGCTACGGGAAGCCCTCGGGGGAGGCTCGAGGGAGGAGCGGTGACGCTAGGGCTCAAGATCGGAGGCAGCGGAGGCAGCGGCGGGTCACGTCCAGGCCGGGAGGGCATGAGGGCGCATTTAGTCGACAGAAGTTGGTAAAATCACCTATTGTAAGATATTCAAGACAGTGAGCCTCTGTGTGTAGCTCGGTGTTCGTACTCGACGCATGCGAATCGACCGCGGGGAAGTGAGGTATAACGAGGACCCGGGAGTGTCAAGGAGGGATTCTTTGTCTCGTCCTGAAACAAGGAAAGCCACACAAAATAAGGGGACAAATTCGGCTTCAAGTGACGCAATAACTCCAATATCGCTTGCCGCGCGAGCGAGCTAAGGAGATGTCGTAGCTCCAGCTCATACTCGGCCACGTACGGATTGGGAAAGCGGATACTGAACAGGGCAGGGGCCGTGTTTCTGCCTCAGGCACGAGGCCCGTTCGCTATTTTTGGGCACGCTCAGTGGGAGTGTCTCTGAAGAGTGATGATGATTCGTCCGCGATGGAGTCTGACTGTCGGTCTTTGGGCTAGTATCTGGCATGATGATCTACTGCTGGTCAGCCTGGTTTGTTGTCTTGTTTGAGGTGCTCAAGTGTTACAAAATGGAGGCACCCGGCTGTAGCACGCGAGCACCCGCCAAGGCCTACTAAGGATGGATCTACAGGATACGGGTACAGCAACTTGATGCAGGACGAATCTGAGTGGATTCTTACAGGTTTTACAATTACGGAGCGCCGGTATGGAGTTGAACCAGTCATACTTCGTTAATCAGGGGGGAATTCAACATAAAACAAAGATGGCTTTTTGGCTAAAAACAGATCCTGCTGGTCTGCATTAAACTCGAACCCAGCGTAGATGAAACGGTCCGGGAGAGAATCGATCGAAGAGATAACCACATGCAGCCAATATTTTCCACCATAAAACACCAGACCTGTGCATTAATGCACTTAACGGTAACGCCAGTAGCTCTGGGTGTTGTGGAGCTTCCAGGTGTGGCGGCGGCCGGCCTTGGTGTTGTTGTAGCGGTGGCCCTTGTTGATACCACGGGACTTCTTGCCGGTAGCGGTGAGACCACGGGCCTCGCGGTGCTAGAAGAAAAATTTGAGTCAGTTTTGGCCGATCGATCCCATGGCATTGAGAAGAAATTTTCTTCGGGTCGTTGAAAAACTCACCTTGTGGACGGGGTTGCAGATCCAGTTGATGCGGGCGTCACGGCGGATGGCCTTGTGCTGGGGGTCGACACAGATGACCTCGAAGTACTTGTAGGTGGAGTCCTGGTTGATCCAGTAGGAGTTCAGGACGCGCAAGTTGGCGCAGCGGCGGCCAACACGCTCCTCAGCGGTAGCACGCAGAGCACGCTGGTACTTGAGCTGGTTGATACCCTGGTTGGTGGGCTTGCCGTAGGTGGCACCCTTGGGGGCAGGGCGCTTACGGCCACCGCGGCGAACACGGATGCGGTAGACGACGTAGCCCTGCTTGGCCTTGTAACCGAGACGGCGAGCCTTGTCGGGACGAGAGGGGCGCGAAGCACGGTGGATGGCGTTCAGCTGGCGGAGCTATATTGATGCACTCTCAGCAATGTTCAACGAGTGTATAGCAAGACACATGAGTCCCAAAGGGTCTCATTGCTGTGCCACAGTGAAAAAAACACCATTTCCGCCAAAGGAGGTTCGGTTCTGAGCCGTCCAGTAATACCAGGGATACAGGCATTTCCTATGGCTACGCACACGAGCGCTCGGCGGAGATGTTAGGCAATCGAGGGTCAGGGGGAGTTCTATCTTACCTCCCAGCAGCGAACGCGGAGCAGGAACCGAATGACATCGGACTGCTTCTTCTTCTGGATCTCTTCGACGTACTTGAGGGCACCCATCTGGAACAATTGAAGAGTTAGGAGACTGATGGTATTTTTGACGTGTGGGTTTCGTAGATTGAGGAAGGCGTAGGAGCGTACCTTGTCGGCTTCACGAGGTCGTTTGTCGTTGTCGCAACTGCAAAAAGTTCGAGCGAGAAAGATCAGTGAGAGAGATTGTGTGTGGGACGCTAGCGATTAGCCGAGCCTGGTTAGTGGGGCCAATCATAGATTTTCAGTCACGTGTAAGAAATCCACACCGACTCCGCCTGTTTCTCCCTCCTTTGGTGGCCTCAGGTGTCTAGTCCAAGCCTACATACAAATCATTCTATGGAGCGTACAAGCCTTGCTGCATGGAACGAAAGAATAGGAATAAAGAGTTATATTTTGTGCAAAATAAGGGGCAAGAAATAGGTCCTGATCAAAATAAAGTCAACTCAGCATCCTGCCGATGTAACTTTTTGATCACTTCCACTCCTGCCCTCAGACTGTGGTTCATGCTGAAAGATACAGGCACTAATAAAATCGCTAAGATACATATGCTGTTCGATGCTGAGTATTTGTACATTCCCTTTTTTCAGATGTCAGACTTAACATTCATTCGTCTTCATATGCCTGGTGTGGCTGGTATGTTGCCAGAGCCCGGTGCAAGAACGCTCATCTTGCACAACGGACACTCGCTGTTCCTTGTCAAGAGCCATGGATCGATACAACCATGGTCAAAGATGTGCCCACATGGGAGCTCACGCACCCTGGTGGATCCAATCATGAAAGGATCAAAGCATATTGCGCAATTAGTTTGGGTATGGCTCAGTCGATATGGATTCGCAGAAGCTACGACTCCTCTACTACCTGGATTTATGACGGCCGGTGTCGGTCTTCGAATGCCAACCACTCTCGGGGTATCTCGGGAGAGGTCTTCACGGGCCACCTCGGCCGGTAGCTCAGGAGATTGACTACTGGGATCAATCTCTGCCACATTGGATTCAACCTCGTCCTTAACGATCGAAGCCACAGATGAAGACCTTGGGCCTGCATAGGTGTAAAGAGGCAGTTGTTCGACAACTTCTGGGGGCACCTGAACTGGAGTCGTTGCTTGCATTGGAACTCCCTCTACATCATGTTGCCCGGCAAGTGCTGCTTGCAGGAGCCGTCTGCGGTTGACAGTCCTGTAGATGATGTACATTATCAAGGTCAGGCCAAAAATTGATCCGAGGATAATGAGCACGAAGCTCCATAGGCTTGGATTCGAGTCTGTCTGAGGTTCTGTAGTCCGAAGTATTAGGGTCTGGTTACGTACGGAGACTGGATAATGGGATGGCTCACCATTGGCAATCATTGTGAACAACCGAACACTACTATCACGTTTCTGAAATGATGGATAGGTTTCACCACGGCTCCGGTTCTTCTTTCCATTTGAGAACCAGGCAAGTTCATGCATCAGAGTTGTTGCTGCTGGGCCAGGAATTGCGTAGATGGGGTATTGGTTGTCTTTCTTCCACTGGTCACCGTCATTGAGATCCCAGCAAAGATTAGTCGCCGGAGGAGGGATCTCGGAGTCATTTTTATATGGCTGGAAGAATACTAGTGCATCAGACTCAACCTCTCGTGAGGCAGCCAGAAACGACTTGGTGCAATCCTCAGACACCCATGGGGCAATTCCAATTGTGGGATAACCAAAACTTGCCACATCCTCGTGGCGAGTCACATTCCTAGGCACAAACGGCGCCGCAAGATCATTGCAAGGATCGTGGGCAGCCAAGGTGGGCACGAATAGAAGGCCAGAGATTTGACGGGATTCTGGAACTCCGTTGGTGGAAAGGGTTTGGACAGTTCTATCCAAAACATAGCGAAACCCCACATTTTCCTATAGAGAATCTCGCGTGAGCAGTTGATTGCTGGAGGCATTCCAGGGCTGAGGCTTATACACACACTGACTGAGCCGGAGACATTGGCGGCGCTTCCCGGGCCAGCAAAAAGCGTGGCCACCGTGGACATTGAACGCGAAACTGAAGTACGAGACATACTTACGATCAATCGATCGAAGTATGTGGAATTTGGGGTCTGCACGAGCAGATGGTAGGGTTGGCAGTCAAGATCGGGATGCCCGCGAGGGGTCGCTGAAGACCTCAGAGGAGAAGAAATCCATGAGGGCGCATGAGGAAGTCTTTTGTTTTTGAGAAAAGGCACAAAAGTGACGACTAATCAATCGCATCGACGACTAAGCGCCGAGAAATCTCTAAACCCATCCAAATTCGATCACTATGACCTGTTCCGCAACAGCATCGGGCAAGGAATGCCACGACACGATCGTGTCCGTCACAAGAATGTAAACGGCGTCTCCGACCACGAGGCAAGACTGGCCCTTCGCCTTGATTCTAGACTGGGAAAATAGAAACATCAGCCGCAATCGCCATGCGATGGAGAAATAGTGTTTATTGTAAAATGTGGTGGAACGAATGTCAGCCGAATTAGGTAGCATGCTGTTTGCGGAGACGCTGTTTGCAGGGATAAGGGATTGCGGTATCGCCTTTCCATATTCATTCTACTTAGGCGAACAAGTAGTGGTACATTCTTCTTTGAGTGTATTTGAAAACTGCAGGTCTGGAATTGTGAAGAAAGCATCATTAACGATGGTCAATCTTTCCATTCGTTGCTAGAAAATTGTGGAGGATCGAAGGGACTCTAAATATGTTGTCGCCCTACCCAGTGTATTGATCCCACCACGAGGTTGATTGGGCATGTTCCAAGCCCGCATCCCTGAATTTTAGGACATCGAAATCGATACCTAGCAGGATATCAGGTACACCAATAGGGATACAGAGTACTGATTATTGGTAGATTTACAGAGTCACTCCCTGCATTTGTTACGAAAGGTCTGAGTACGGTAGCACTCCACCGCTCTGGGCAGAATTGAGATGATCATTTCACCGTCTTACTCGGATCTTTTGTTAACCCGAGATCCCGGGCGACCCGTTTCACGTGGGAATGCTGCCCCCGGACAGACCAGACAGAGTACCTCGCGACAGAGCTCTCACTGCCTGCATCATTTGTCATATCACATTGAATCCTCCGGCTCGTACAGCTAACGGTAGTGCAAGTTTGAGCGACATTCATTTCCGTTGGAGTGAATTTTGACTTTGCAGTTCCTGGCAGCATGCGTCATCCGACACTCACGAATGCCCTCTGAGAATCTCGCGACTTACATCTCGACGACTCTGTCTAGCTTTCGCTACGTTTGACCCGTTCACCTGTCACCGCTGTTGATCTCGTTCTAAACAGACAACATGCCTTCCGCTTACAAGAGCAAGGGCAAAGGTCGCGATGCGCGCCCGTCGCGTAGTCGCAACACAACGCCATCGAATGCGGGCGGTGCCGCTGCTGTTGCAGCACCGCCCATCCCAAGCTACCTTGAGAATGATGTTACGAAACTCATTGATCTGGCTAATGGCCAATACACTGATTTGCTTGATCTCGTGGCTGGCCCAAACATCCCCGATTCAAAAACCCTCGAGACCCTCGTGGAATACCTGAAGAGCCTCAGTGACATGGCAGATGCTCGCGGGGAGGCTTGCAATGCTGGGATGCGAGAGATGTCCCAGAAGAGGAAAGAAGTGATGGAAGACCAGGAGATTAGCCGCGAAGTTAGCGAACGTTCCAGGCTGAAGCGGGAGACGGAAGACGATGATGAGCTGGTACACAAAGCAAAGCTGAAGAAGCGGAAAGAGCGATCAAGCACGAAGGAGGAACGGCCCTTGAATCATGGAGCCCATGATGTCGCCCGGCAGGATGGTGCGGAAACGAAGGTTGAGGGAGGTATGTGATGCGACTCATAGCCCGACTACTGAGCTCCCACTCCACTTTGTTTTCCCCAGTACTCCACCTCCCACTTTTCTTCCTTTACCAGCACGACTGACCAACAACAGCGGCTTCTCCAGTTTCCAAACACGCAAAGAACGCAGCCTCCGACCGTAGCTCCTCGCTTTCCCCTCCCTCAATGCTGTCTCCGAACGGCGCTGCTACGGGAGCTGACGGCGCAGCTGCGCCTGGCTCCCCAGACTCGGATTCCAGTGAGGACTCCCACCAGCCCGAACCGCAGCCAGCTGTACCTCAGATCCAGGTATTTGGCGATAATCCGCTCAAGTTCGATGATCCCACGGTCTACCACATTCGCGACATCACACCGGACATGGGGGATGATGAGAAGAAGGAGATTTACAGCGTTGCCAGCTTCCCAAAGAGCGATCTTGCCCACATGATGGCCGGTGTGCCTCCGGACAAGGACTTCAGCAACGCCAAGCCGTCAAACCAGGTCAGCGCCAATACGTTCCAGACTTGGATTGAGCCGTATGTGCGAGCTCTTACGGAGGAGGATATCGCGTGGCTGAGGGAAAGAGTAAGCTTCAAGTTCCTTGCTTTCTTGAGTCTTCAATTCTGACAAAAAGTTTAGGGCGACCGTACGAACCCATTCATCATTCCGCGTCGTGGAAAGAAGAACTATCGTCAGATCTGGGCAGAGGAAGACGGGGTCTCTTACGACCCAAATCAGGACGAGAAGGACCAGCTCCCTTTGAATCAGGGTCGTGGCAACATTGACCAGTTAACCGACGACAAGACCGAAACCAACGAAGTTTCAATCGGACCCCTGCTCAGTCGTTTGGTCTCGCTTCTGCGCTACGAGCACCGCACCCTTCCCGAGGACAGCAATACCTCCACCAATGGTGATCTCCCTGCCACCGATGGCCTGAATGGTGACGCGATGGAACTAGATCAACCGAATGGCGCTCTGGACACCAAACCCTCCTCAGAGAACAAGCCACTACCTGCGGCTACTGCATTCCGAGACGCTTCGCCAACTGGCTTCAAGACCTCTGTTGCCAAACTCGACCACGCCCAGCTTGACGAGCGCGCCAAGGCAGAGCTGCGATACATCGGATTCCTGGGAGCCGATGACAACCCCGACTACGACGCGCACTACGATGATGAAGTGGCAGAGCGCCTGCGTCTCCTGCAGGGAGAGCTCAAGAAGCAAATAATCACAAATAATGCGCGCAAGGCCCGCATGCTGAAGATCGCTCAGGAGCACATGGCCCTTCTCGAATTCACGACCATCCAGGATGATCTGGATTCCCAGGTCCAGCAAGCCTATCTCAAGCGTACCCGTACCATGGGCAAGAGCAAGAAGGGCTCACAGGCCAAGCACCGCCCTGGCGGTGCTGGTGGTGGCGTTGCTGGCGCCGGTGTTTCTCGCCCTGCCGTCGGCGATGCTGCTAAGATTGTCATGGACCGACGGAAGCGCTGGAATGAGGCCTTCCTTCCAATTTTCGAAGATATTAAGACCACCATCCCGTCCGAGAACGAAACTATTTTCGATCCCGCCACCATGGCCGAGTACGAGAAGGCCGAATTGGAAGCTTGGGACGAGGAGTAAAGGTTCCATGTCTCGGATCATTTCTTCTACGACCATTACATTCTTTGCCTCATTTGCGCCTGTCATCTTGTGCAATTTCTGAACACGCCTTCATGTTTCCCTGATTTTTCTTTTCATTTTTTTTTCACGCACATGATATGATACCTGGGTACGACACGACTGGTATGACGGACACGGCGTTAACGGGAGTCTTTTGCTTTTGTTCTTTCTCTCAATTCGGCAAGGCTGAAGCTACAGAAGCGAAACTTTGTACTCGGCGCTGGTTCTTATGGGAGGTAGAGTCCTTTCCACTGCATAAAGGGAGGTACAAGGGAGACATTGTTCTATTATCTGCTTCTGGGCATACTCACATGGACATATCTACGTGGCTAGGTAGATGTTAGTCGAATGCCGGGGACTTGAATCAAGAAAGTATCTCTTTTCATCTCCCTTCCCTGATACTCAAATTAACTATGTTTAACTCAACCTCGGTCAATTTTGGGAAATCCTCATCCCATAAAGGACAGTGCCCTTCGAAAAACACCCAATAGACCTTGATCCTCCTTGGTTGAACGGAAGGCAGCCGCATCTAAATCACTGCTATCTTTCATATACGACAACAGGAGTTTGGCATACGAGGCAGCCGTTGCCGCCGCATATTCCTGGAAGCGCTTGTTCTTGTGACTATCCGAGTAATCACATATGCCCCTGATGACAAGACAAGGTAAAGTATTCATGATCCCCGCTGCTTCCATCTCGAAGCAAAGTACATCTCTCTCCATACTCCACCTGTCACGGAGTTTTGCGTCTTTCATGACTCGATTGCCGGATGCAATAAGGCCATAGTGTATTTTTGGGTGATAATCTGATCGACTTGGCCGTTTACTAACGTGTATTGCATTGCAAAAATCGCAAGTGGCTTGCTTATAATTGTGCGCATAATGGCTGGGGAATAGACGATCGTGTTCTGGGCCTGGGTAACGGTACTCCTTTCTGCAATCTGCGATTTCTTGGATGTATTCCTGAAGAGGAGCTTGCGGTAGATGGGGATCGGATTTCAGACTGCTGAGCGCAGTCATTACCAGTCGAGGAGGTGGCTGTAGAAATCCACTTTGCTGGAACTCGCCATTCTCGAGGGCCTTGCCCATGTCGTACTGAATGACACCGGGTCCCATGCTATTAGGCTTGCTGACAACAACGTCGCCGAGGCGAATGTCGTTCCTGGAAGATGGAACACCACCACCAATGCCTACCAATAGGCAGAATTTCACCAGGTGAAAGCTTCGTCTCAAATTCGCTGCAACATCCGCCGCAGAGTTCGTGCCATACTCTCCGTCTGGAAGACAGGCAGCAACGACCTTGTGCCGTCCCATACTCCCCAGAGCGTAATGATTAGAGTCCGCGGCAGACAGAGGGAGATCGGGGTGAGTTTGGTCGAATAAAGCACGAACGGCCAGGAGCTCCAACGGCAGCGCGCAGACAATGCCAACAGCGTAGTCCTCGGGTTTGAGTGACTCCAATTGCCACCTGGTAAATGATCGGACGAGAGGCTTTGGGTGTACTGGCTCATTCTCCACGACTGTACTGTCAATGGTGATATCGGTGGAGGTTGAATGGATCTGCGAACTCGACACGTCAAGGACATCACTGTCAGAGCCAACTAAGAGCGTATTGCTGCTGGTGTTTTCGACGTCACCTGTTGGTGAAAGCGAGTTTCTTTCGTTGTTTGTAATTTCGTCGTTTTCAGGATCTCCGGTATCACCCCATCGCCACTGAAAGTTGCGATTGTATCCAAAGACAACCGCTCCATCGCGTGCCAAGGTGGCAGTTTCAGTACGTGTCTCTGGCTTGACTGACAATGTGTCTGGTAATATCACCTGTACTATATCAGCGTGATCCGGGGTGGAACCAGCGCAGCCACATGGCTTCAAGACCGTATCTGAGTTGTGCCACACGAGATTCTCGCTCAGCCGTATGGGATTTGTCGTGAGGTCGCCAGTATATTCAAGAACCATCTTCAAATCTGATATCCCGGCGGCCAAATAGTACTGGTCTTTAGGAAGTGAAGCCCAGTATGGACAAGAAACGTCTGATGGCGCCAAAACCTCACCGAAATCGCGCCCCAGGAGATTTATTGCGTGAATTGAACGCGTGAAATCAACCCATGCCTTTCCCTTGAAGCAAAGGTCGCTCGCCGTGGATGGAGCGAGTCTAGTTCCGTGGCGAGGTCGTGAAAGTCCCAACCTTCGAAATGGGCCCTGGGAATAGCCTTGGAACTGTACCCCCTACCATCTGGCCCGGCAGCATGTACTTGATAATCAAATATTTGCTCAAGGATATTCAAAAAGTGCTCAACTCGATCTTCGAACCTGACCTGATCGTCTTTGCCTTCATAGATTGTCAGGGCCCGATTCTTGTGGTTCAAAAGAACCGCAATAGCAAATTCGGACGCGTTCTTTGAATCCACTGTTGCCTCTTCAAGACTTTCCCATTTGAAGTGACACTCTGAACTAAATGGCCCCTTGGTGTCATGCAGGATAGAGGCACGCACGAGATGTAGGAGGGCACTCGCTCCATTTAGCAACCATCCTCGCTTTGCCTCTTCGTCCCAGAGGACCACAGACTTTTGGATGATCCATTTGAGTTTCCGGAGGTAGCCACCTCTGGAAATATGAAGTGGCGTATCTTTGTATCCTACCAGGAATGGTGCACCGCCTTTAATCATTTGCCCGTTATAGATAAACGCACGGCTAAGAAGTCCGTCTTCCCGTATTCTTGGAAGATGGGAGCCTGATATACCATAAGCTGCATCTTGCGTCCCTATGAATTACGGATATTAGCAGAGAAGTATCGAGGAATTTCAATAAGCTATACCTGCAAGATGTCTTGCATCAGAACACCATCCAAGAATGTGGCGTGCCTGTGATAGATGCGAAACTGACAGTTCCTGAACAGGAAGCACTGTGCTGTCGAGGTATGATATTCTATCGCCGTGTTTGTTGTGCATCAAATGCCATACAATCATCTCTTCATGTTTCTCAGTTGGAATAAGCATAGAAGAAAACCCTTTGAGGATCACACTGCCCAGGAAAGTGTTCACATAATTCGCCTGTGCAAGGCGAGCCATCATGGACAGGGGAATATCAAGACCTTTCACCGTGCCTACTTCAGGTCGTCGAGATATTGGGAAGCCTTCAACAACCACACCGCTTCGAAAGAGATCGTGCCAGCACTCCCCGTTGATTCTGGAGGCAGATCCCGCATGTTTGACTGTAAATGAGATATCTGCACTGAATTCGGTAGCCTTTTGCTTCTTGCCATTCCGACTTCCATCAAGAATCGATGTCAGATTGCTAACTTGAGGTTGACAATATACGAGTTGATCATGATGGGGGGAAGAGCGAAGAGCCGATCCCAGCCAGGCGAGCTGCTCTCCAACCTCGGCGATTGAATAAGCCGAGCCTTTCACTTCAAACACGATCTTGTGATTGTTTGATGGTTCGGAGGAATCAAACCAAGCGACAAGATTTGTGCCATCAAGCAGGTCGCCTAGATCCCAATTAGCAGACAAGAAAATAAATGCCTTCCTGTGAAATAATATAATAGCACACCTGTGACCTTTTCTCCTAATTTGGTTCTTAACAAAGCTTGCAGCAACTTAAGCATCTCTCCTGCAGAGGATGACCACGCCTGATGAATATATTGTGAGCAAGTCAGCGCCTGGGCTGCTTCGCGGGAGCCAGTGAGTGTGATGACTAGAGGGAGTGCTTCAGAATTGCCCTCGCTGTATTCCTGATCCTCCAGAAAGGAAACCAAGTCCCAGTCCAAAGTATATGTCATTTTATAAGACGGTACAGATTCTCGTCTGCTGAAGCGGAGCTGGGAGGGTAGGCCTTGCAAAATTGCACTGGCAATGCCTGCCATAATATCTGGATTTGACGGTTCAAGAAGACAATGCCTCTGAATATCACCAAGGAGCCAGTCATAGGCTGGATTTTCGAGAACGCACTCCCGATATTTCTGTAGCCCCGGCATGACAGGATAAGCATCAGGATTGGATTCCTCGCCTAGTTCGATCATTGGAAACAGAAACATAAAGAGGTCATCATAACCAGCCTCGTCATCTTCAAAGTTGGCCGATGGAAGATCAGCAGTGGACTCCATGTCATGCCTCAACCATAGTTGCATCTTCTCATTCAGTGGCATATTGTCATCTGCAATGGACTCTGTTTCGGTGAATGGACTGTCCAGTGAATTATTGAATGCATTGGCGATTTCACTTTACAAGAATTGTCAGCCAGAAATATCATACTCGGACTCCGACAGGAAAGTAGCATTCAGGAACTCACTGTCTGTATTTGTGAATGAATACCGTCACATCTCGTTGGACCTGTTGAGACGAACTAGTACATCCAAGTCTCGATGAAAATGCTTTCAAGGAGCCAGGTATGGCCTCGGCAACACGCTTCATGGATGCAGAGTCTAATTTGAAAGTGGAAACGGCTTTGAAAAGCTCATGTGCGAGCTCATTGACATAAGCCTCTTTAATCGAGCCATCCATGGTCAGGGTATCAGAATATACTGTTCGTAGATCTTCCGTCTCCAATTCTGAAGATGTCGCAGCTGTGGGAGCTGTCGGCCCCGTCAAAGCAGTTTGAGTGTCCAGAGTAGAATGTGGACCCGCAGAAAATACTCGATCAGACACATATTGAGACCCTGACCCTATTGTGGCATCGAACTCTTGCTCGACAACGTAACTTTCGGTCAGAACAAAGTCCACGGCATCTAAGTCATCCCGTGATATGGGAACTCCCGAGGTTCGCGTAGGAAGTGTCTTAAAGATAGACTGCTGTCTGGCTCTAGGCACCAGATAGGGGTCCGGGGATAACGTCTGGAGTTCAAGACGTATCTTGCTATGCAGATGTTGCAAGTTCTCCTGAGCCTCTCGTGCATACCAAGGCAAAGAACCTGAACTTCTCTCTTTTCTCTCTGCAAATAGCTGGGCTAAACGGGAGATATGGTTGGCATATTCTTGACAATCGCTTTGACAAAAGCCTCGACCATGAAGTTTGGCTGCGGTTCTTTGAGCGGTCTCATAGGACTCGATGAGGAAACGGCTTGTGAGGATGAGCCACGTATCATAGAACCCAGCTTGATCCATTCCTATCGTTTCCTTCTGCTCTAGCTCCCACGAACGATTGACATCTTTCAGTCGCACCTCATCCCTGAAGAACCGCTGCAGCTCAGTGTGAATTTTAAGTTGACCAAACTCTGGGATTTCTTGTTCCAGAGAAATGAGGCCCTCCTGGTTATCATTCCCTAGCTCATCTTGTTGGTGTGAAAGCCCAACGGACTGAGACACGCTGTTCTCTGTGAGTGGTCTGGAGGCTTGCACTTTAGTACCATCCATCCGCTTAATCAGCCCATGTTGAATCAAAGTCTCAATTGTAGTATTAAGATCAGGGGGTTCCCCAGCTCGAGGTCTGGTCATGATATCAGCAGAATCGGTCACGCTCATTGAGTCGCTTCCAAACTCAATGAGCCGTACTGGAATCTTGTTGTCTAGGAAAGACAAAAGATGGAGCAAGTTCAAAGCTTGACGCTTCTCCGTACGGTACATTTCGTTGATGACCTCGCGGAAAACCCCAGTCTCAATCCTATTCGACTCGCTCCAATCAACATCCCCGATCGACTTGCCCAGTGCCTTGAGGTGGTGACCCATTGCGTGGATAGCCAATGGTAAACAGTCGTAGCTTTTCACCATTATGGTTGCGATAAATGCTTGCGTCGCTGTTGGTGTGTCTATTCCGAGAATCCCATACATAAGCTTGCAACCATCCTCGACCTGTAGTGGAGGGATGGCCAAATGGTATGATTGGAAAATGAGTAATCCAAAAACATCGGCATCAGTCGTCGTGTAGAGAACGCTGCCCTCCGGATTCTTTGGTATAAGGCATCTGAAGTCCCCATCCTTAACCTCCACCCCATCGAGGACTAGAAGCCAATGCTTTCGCCTCGCAAGCCAGTCAAGAGCGTCAAGCGCATCCGGTAGATCAGCAGGGTGGTCAATAGGATTGGATTCAATATGGTCGAGTAGCCCAGCCGCTCTGGCGATCTCTATGAAGCCTTCACATGTTCCTTGGAATGACCCAGCCCTGATCCAGAAAATTCCACCTGGGTAAGAATCGCGATGTGTGAAGACGTACTCCCGCGCCAAATGTGTCTTGCCAGACCCTGGAACACCAGTAATCAGAACCGACTTGGGGTCCTGACCTTGAGCCCTGGAATGATACAGGTGGGTATGTAACACTTCCAACTCTGCCTTCCTGCCGACAAAAATTGGGTTGGGTTGGAAATTTGGAGGAGCAACAAACAGCTGGTGGGCCTTCTTCTTATTCACATCTTCAGGGCTACGGTTCTTGTTAATACCTCGGCTTACAGCCAGATCTGGATTAGCAATGTCTAATCATAGTTAGTATTAGCATAACCCCTCCAGAAATCAGACGGGGGCCCAAAAAAGTAAATAAACCATGTATCGAGTGTTTTTGAGTTAGACATACCGGCATATTTTCCTGGTTCTACTCCAAGGGCATGAACCCTTTTTTCAATAGCCCAGCGAGCCGCGATCCTACGAGGGGCTTGTAGGGAGCAGTGAAGGAGAACTTCGGTCACGCCCGTATAGTCTAGCTCATCTTCATCGTCGAACTTGAAGATCTGGCCATGGTCTGCTTCAATAAATTCCTCGGCGCTGGATGATGTCTTGAGTTTATTGTCATAATCTTCCGGGGGCTGTGAGCCTTTGTCATTCAATTTGAACCTGAGGCTTTTGATAAGGGTCTCAAGTTGAGACCTTTTCTGAACCTCCATGTTCGTGGAAACACTCTGAGGGTTGGCCTGCCCCTCAAACTCTGACAATTTGGCGACATGAAATTCGGACTCTATCTTTTCGAAACGGCGATTTATTTGTATCAAAATGGCACTGATGGCAGGCAACGAGTCGATTGTTTGCGGAGAATGCTCTAGGAGACTCCAAGGGAGAATAGCAGAGCTCAAGTTCTGCAATGATGTACCCCATTTGGCGACATCAGATACAGTGTGCGGCGTGTTGAGAAAGACGATCCCGGCAGTCGACAGGTAATTGGATTGCACGAAGGTATCGGTCCCCAGGGCAGAGCTGTAAACTAATGCCTGTTTGACGACGATTCCGCCCAGCGAGTGGCAGACAAAGATGATCGGTCGGTCGAGACATCTTTTCATCTGATGATTTCTTGTTCAGCATTCACTCTGCGGTACCTGTTGAATCCTTGGCTCCCTCAGTACATGCAGGGCAGGTCCAAGCATTGAATCCCCAGGTAGGTTTCAATACATCAGATGCCAGAGGGCTGAGTATAGTATGCAAGTGACTCATCTAGCGGCTTATGTACACGATCATATGAAGCTGATATAACTTACTTTTCTCTCGGCCGCAGTGGCCTCTGCCAGGTCCGTTGCATGACGAGCAACATCGCCGTCCATAGTATTGCCATAGCTATAAGTAAGAATTCTGGGACGAACTGAGGCCAGCGTCTTTGGCCAAAGGTCCAAGGGCCAGAAGCAGCCAGACTTGCTCGTCCATGTTTTGTGAGTGCTACCATTAAGACCGTGCACAAAAATGATATCCACGGTAGGCTTTTCCTCCGGAGTATAAACTTCAGTCAAGTAGTGTCCTCGGTAAGTACGATCAGACACCAAGCCAGAGGGCCGCTGAATGTGTATGCTTCGTTTGGTGGTTGTGAAGTCAAAGCTCGCCGCGCCAGGGAGGCCGGGGTCCAAGGTATCGCCAGGGTCAGACATGATCCAGTCCGATCAGCAGAGCCATCGCAGAGCAATATGAAGCTGCAGCATCAAAGAATGAGAAGGGGTCCAAATAGAAGAAAGTCAGGATGAGGCAACTTCAGGTGATGCCTCTCTTCCCAGCCGCATCTGCTGCGGGGCTCTGCTCTGTTCCACTCGATCCACGTTGCGGGCCGAGGCGTGCTGCGCCACGGATCCAACTGCGACTAAGAATAAGCATGAGCGGCTCTGGAAAGAAGACCGAAGAATAATAGGGGTATCAATGAACTATGAACAACTGAAAACTATCCAGAAAATACGCCACGATAGCAACTCCCCATAAACATCATCAGCGATGGAGAATGAGCACCTCCCCGGGATACCTCTTCAATCGAGCCGTCAGCTCGCGCTCACTGATCTCCAACTCTGTACAAATCTGGTCAAAGCTATGCGTGCCATCAAGATATTTCGACAGCGTCCGATCATCAATTTCATCCTCCTCATCTTCAAAGACTCCAGACGGCGCACTCCCAGACCCAAGAACACCGCGGCTCCCACTATGAAAGGATGACGCACGTTCACGACTGCCATCTCGTCGGGCGGAAATAGGTGCGTCTTCGCCAACGCTTGATGCCGTGTAGGGAGTGTTATGCCCAGTCGTGGTACGCGAAGATGGCCCAGTCGATGCAGCTATGGGAGCGACAGATGAGGAGCGTGGTGTCGGTGCTGGCTGGCCGGTGGCGCAGGCGTATTTATGCACGCGGTAGAGGAAGCCCTTGATCACGCCGAAGGTAATGAATCGGCGGATATCGATGTTGGCAAGCTCACGGCTGTGCTGTGAGTACCACTGTTTCACACTCTGGCCCTGTTTCAGGGCCGCGTAGAGTTCGACAATCCCAACGCCATCCACTACTTGGGGCCCTTGGCCGGCGGGGATACTGTTATTTTCGGGGATATCGGGAATTTTGCGGCTGCCGTTGGGTGAGTCTTCGGAGTCACCCAACAAGGGCCATATCTCTTCTGCGTCGAAGCGAGACTCGTCACGAGATAGACTCGGGGCAGGATCGGTAAGCGGGCTTGATAGTGTCCCGGCACCACCAGGACTGCCGCCAATGGTTGCTGCTGTTACTGGCACTATCTGCGGCGGGAGGGGTGTATGAGGGCCGATCGGTGGGTGTGGTGCGAAGCGGGTATTTACATAGCGCGCGCACTCAAGCTGCATGGCTTCGTCTGAACCAATGGTGTGACTGAATTGAGCTGTTGGCGCGTAGATGGCTGAAAATGAAAAGATGTCCAAGAGAAATAGACATCCATAGTATAACAAGTGCCGGATTGCTCGGCATGTGAGGGAAAAATCGGCATCCGCGAGGATGGAGATGATACGGACACTGTTGACACCGTTGATATGTGGGACGATCTGCTAGATTTTAGCCAAAGAACCTGGGTCTCGTGTCCAAAGCTTCTCCATACCCGTTGCAATGAGAGATCCCAATTCTCGTCCATGAAAGCCTGGTATCGCACAGTGAACAAGGGTACCTGCCACGCCTTGACCGCCGGGGGCGAGGGATAGATAGGGAACAATTTGATGTTCAAAGTATTAAGCTCATCTGAGTCACTGTCAGCATCATCGCATCGCAATCGTCGAACAGCCACCATTTACCAATGGGAATCATGCACTCGCAATAATTGTTCAAATCCTCCATCAACATCTCGCAAAGACTATACACCTTTCCCTCGCCTGTCTTGGAGAAGTCTCTCGACAGAAACCCACTCTGCTCCTCCAATGCATGCATCAAGTCCGCTAACTTCTGCACCACGCTCTTATACTGGCTGAAATCCTCCTCTTCGGCCAGCACAATGCAAAAGTTGAAGATGAACTCATTGCGCGGATAGCGGTCTGACTTCATGCAGATGGGATAGCCTAAGATACGGTAGCCATTTATGCAGACCTGCAGCAGGTTGCCGCAAAGCTCCTGTCGGGGAATCACAAAGAACGAGACGTCGGAGAAGGTCAGGAAGAGGGGTTGCGCGGGCGCGGTTGACGAGGGGACGATGGCGCCGTCGGGGACTTGATGGACAACCTTTGGGCCTGGAATAGACTTCTGTTAGCAATTGATTAGGATGAGTGGATCTGAGAGCTCGCGATCTGACCCTCTTGGGTGTCGAATTTGCTGTAGAAGATTGCCTTGATCATCGTGAAGCTGGTGCGATCAAGCCAAGGGATAGTTTGAGCAGCATGCAGAGAGCCAAGGCAACGTTGACAGAACCAGTGAGGCGACTAGGCCTTAGCGACCCATATTATTGATCAGTCTTCAGCGTGATCGAGTAGCAAAAGAGGCAATATGGACCTCCGTTGTCCCAGTTTGATGGTCGTGGTGAATTCGGAGATGCGGGCGTCCAAATTGCTTATCGGCGGGTCCACCGCCGGAGCTTTGGGGTTGGATTCGTCCCCAGGCAATTAATTACATACCGCAGCGTTCTACAGAGAGAGTCATCACAACTCAAACTACACAATTGAGTTTCCAGAAATCAGGATAAGATACGAATATAGAATTCTGTAAGGAAATAAATCTAAAAAAAAATAAATAGAGAGCTCGAATGAATCAGCGACCACCAGAATGGCGCGGCAAATCGGGCGGAGGGTATTAAGTGAAACTGAAACTCAAGAGCCGTTGCCCAGAACGCATCACGAAGATCTATCCGCGCTGGAAGGAGGGTTTCCTCATTCCCGAGGCTCCGGGAGAGCTGTGATAGAAAGCAGCACAAATGAAAATATGGAGCAATAAGTAATACCCGGAAAAGGAACCAGTCCACTTCGGAGATAAGAATGCAAAGGATAAAATATCAATGAGAAATGCGCCAGTAAATGCAGTCCATGGGGTCGTGTCGAGTCGCTTTTAGAATCAGTCATATCGAAAAGGTCAAGGAGGCACGCAGTCAGCGTGCGGTGTTGGAAATGCGAGCTGTTGTTGCCTGCGGTGGGGGAGTGAAAGTGTGGTCCATCTCATCTTCTGCATGGAGCTAGTTCAGATGGTGTCGAGGTGTCGTCACATACGAATAGTTTGTAATCTCTGGTGGCTCTGGATATCGCGCATGTCGGGCTTCAGCCGCGTTCCTTGCAGCCGCAAGACTAGCAGATCGAATGGCTTCCTCTACTTGTCTCACCTGGACGCGTGGTCCAAAGTCATCAGTGATCGGGCTAGAGGGTGATGATGAGGTTGCGGCCTCGGGGTTATCCAATGGTTGGTTAGCTCGAATAGCCGCCATCATCCAGCCGTAGCCGCGACGCTCGTTGTTATCTTTCAGCCACTGTTCGTAAACCTCATCGACAGGCACGTTGACACCTTGAGCTCGTGCAGCCGTGGCAGCCAACAAACGATTGTTGAGGGCCAGGCCACAGCTCTCCACTTCCTCGTCGCTGAACTCGTCTTCGCCGAATGAGGGAGGGAAGTCGGCGAGAACACTGGAGGTACGTGAGCTGCTCGCGCGTACAGTGTCGTCACTCCCGGTCTCGAGTGTGTCATAGTAGTCCTCCTCTTCTGGCTCCTCCGTCAAGGTATAGAAGTCAGGATGGATTGTCACTGCAGGCGGAGGGGTCGGTGTTGCAACGCGGGTCGCATCGCCAGTCGTGTCCCGCACTGTGATGCCTTCCTCCAACTCATAGCGGTTGCGCGCGGACTTGGTGCCCTCCCAGCAGCATAGGTCCAAGATTTCCTCTTCAGTCAGCTTGAGTTCATCGAATGCGCGGAACAGGCGGCGGTGCCATTGGAAGCGGCTGAGTCGGACGCGGTGGGGTGGATAGGCATAGTCCAAGCCCGGATATTGGGCTTCAATGCAGTCGAGGGGTCCATAGAAAGAATTTGTTTCCACTCGCACCTCCGGGACAAGGTTACGAGTGATGTGGGCGGCAAAGGACCCAGGGTCACCAGAGCGCTGACGAGGGAAGAGCGTCTCGTACACAATCTCAGTGAGCGATGGCTTCCGCATTCTGAGGGCGATGGCAGACGGGAGTTAGGGAGAGGGAAGAGGGGAGATAGGTAAAAGGAAAAGAAACCGAAAATTCTCCTGGGCAGCGCTCAGCTGCAGGAGTGAAACGACACGATTCAGGCACTCAGGCGAGCCGCCCCTCTCGTTGTCAATGGAGAGAGTCCTTTGGGATCCTGAGTCCTGACAACTCCCGACAGTGGGGCGGTCTAGATGCTGGTGGGGGGAGAACAAGTCATATAGAGGATTACACCGATAGAAGATGGAGGCGGAGGAGAGGAAAGAAACGAAAAACCAGAGAAGATTCACGAGAACGACTGAAATAGACTAAGAAGGAAGGGAGTAGGGGGAGGAGTAAAGGAGTGCAAGAGAAAGAATGAAGGACGCGGAGGCGGAGTTAGACGTGAGAATGGAGAGAGAGCGCGCGAGAGAGACAGGAAATGTCACGAGAAAACCAAAAAAAAAAAAAAACCACCGTTTTGTTTGGACGACTCATCCACCACCGTCCCATCCATCGCACCATCTCTCGCCGACTAAGCAAGCGCGTCTCAAACGGCAACACAAACGCCCCCCCTCCACCACGTTGACATGGCACTTTGCTGTTGTCCCTCCTGCACGACCACTGCACCGCCAGCTGGACTCGGTGGATTCGCATCACAGCCACTCCACTCTCCAAGGAACAACACATCCAACACCCGCCTGGCACTAGCCTACCAGGCTAGTCCCAAGCCCCGGCCCCGTCATGTCAACCTTTAATGGGGTTCTTGCAGGTAAGCAACCCCCTCCTTGGTCTTTCTCTAACGACCCTCAGACACTCCCCGGCTGACCAGGCTGATTCTAGAGTTCCCGGACATCCAGGGTAAGTATGACAACCCCATGGAACCGAGTGAAACATTAAAGCTGAGATGAGCATCATCATCACCATCAAGTCGACTACTTTCGGAAGAGCGATGATCGTCCACCACCTTTGGCTTGCTTCCTCACCCATGTGCACACTGATCATCTCCAGGGCCTCGAGTCCTTCCGAGCGCCATTCATCTACTGTTCTCCGACCACGCGCGAGGTCAGTTCCAATGTCCGCCATTTTTATCCTGACACGGGCTCGAGGCGGGCCAACTGACCAAAATTGACATAGCTCCTGTTGCGGCTTGAGAAATTCCCCCATCGCATTAATTTCGAGAAGCGGATTCTAGAAGCTCGCGAGGTGACCTACAAACATCTCAATAAACTGTTGGTAAGTATCGAGTGGTCATGCGCGCAGAACCCTTGAAAGTCTTTGGGATTTAGCGGCTCGTTTCTTACTAACTTGGTTCAGCGCCCAATTCCGTTGAATACCCCTACGGAGATTGAGCTCACCCCAATCAAGAAAATTCGTGTCACTCTTATCGATGCCAATCATTGCCCCGGGAGTGTCATGTTGCTCATTGAGGGCAATGACAAGACAATCCTCTACACCGGCGACATCCGAGGTCAGTGGCCTTGTACACCAATTCTAACTCGACTCTCAAACTAACAGGATAATAGCGGAGAAATGGTGGGTCAATAGCCTGATTCGGAACCCATTTCTGATTCCATACACGCTGGCTGGCAAACAGCTCGATAACATGTATCTCGATACTACGTACCTGCGCCATGCCGGTGTACCTCCGGAGACATTCGGCTCCAAAGCCGAGGGCATTGCAGAGCTCTTGAAAAAGGTCCAGGGCTATTCCCCACAAACGGTCTTCCACCTCGGAGCCTGGACATTTGGCTATGAAGAGGTCTGGCTGACACTTGCTGCTGCACTGAGAACAAAGGTAAACTCCGCCAGCCTCTTCTGTATTTTTCGTATAAATTCAAGCTTATTTTCACTAACTCGTATCACCAGGTTCATCCCGACGCATATCAATTGGGGCTCTATCAGTCTCTTGGCCAGGCCAGCAGAGGGATCGATGAGTCTGCGGCCTACAATGGGTTCAGACTGGGCAACGATATCATCCCAGGATGCCTCACCAACGAAAGCGGTGACGCTCGCATTCACTTATGTGTGCCTCCATGTGGTATCGCCGCTCATCCCGACACCGTTCACATCAGGCCGTTCTTGATGCGCGAGAAGGATGGTTTCGAAGTGCCCGACATGGGCGCTGGAGGTGGCTCAGGCGATGTGTACATGCGACAGGAACTTGAATTTACGCCGAAGATGAAAGCCAAAGATCTAGTGCAACAATGTCATGACTGCATGCTATTCTCCAGTGAGGAGCTCCAGACCGAATTGGCATGCAGGTTACTCAATGACTTCGAGACCTACGGAGGCAGACTCTCACTCAGCAAGTATGGTATCTCTGTGGATGAAAATATCTCTCTCCATGAGCTCGCGTGCCTTCTTGTGCACCATGTCCTCCAGTACAATAGAGATATGGCTGCAGAGGACGAAGCAAAAGTCGTTGGCATGCCTCGAAGCAAGGTTATCGTGAGTCTCTCCTGTATCTTTCGCTAACTGCCGAAATTTCTCTCACTCACCATTATCACAGCGTTTCCCCTACGCACGGCACTCCTCGTACTCTGAGCTGTGTCATCTCATTAGCGTCTTCAAGCCCAAGGATATCCATGCCTGTGTGGTTGACGACCGCGACGTGTCGGGAGGAAAGGATCTTGTCGACGAATTCTTTGGCCATCTGCTTACTGGTCGAACTCATGACTCTAAGGGCATCAAGAACCGTGAGGTTCAAGTTGAGGAGACAAATAAGGCTTGGGCGGTCGAATTAGAAGCCCGGGAGAATCATGAACTCAATGGATTCCCAGAGCCTGCTCCCGTTGGTGATCCTCCTGAGGACCCGCAGCCTCACAATGCTCTGGGGCAGTTGGGATATGAAAGTCTACGGAGGATGAACAACCAATGGCTTCTTTTTGCAAACGTCGAGCACGACTTTTCGTCGCTCCCAATTGCAGAGCCGGGCCTGACTAACAAACCGCCCCAGGTTTGTGGTCCGACCACTCCTGATGGCGTCAAAGAGAAGCGTGACGAAATTCAACGCGCTCATGAGTATCTTCAAGGACAGACCGATCCCTCGGAGATGCAAGTGGGACCACTCCCTCCCACCTGGTTCGGTGGCCTAGACGGTGCAGACGCCTCCAAGACCGACAAGCAAAAGAAGGAGAAGCAAGTGAAAGAGAGCGCTGAGACCAAGAAATCGCTAACTAAATGGACTCCGTTTATGATCCCCAAGCGCCCCACTACTGGATCAGGGCAAGTCCAGGGAAGCTCATCCTCGCATGTCCAATCGCCCGCCGAGCCGACTTCGAATACCCTGCAAAGCCAGGCTTCAATTCCCGAGTCCATCTTGGCCCCGTCCCTGACATCTTCACACTCTGGAAATCTGACTCGCGAGCGACTGGAAGAGCTAGACGCTCAGCAGCGAAAGGAGATACCCTCAGCATCGCAGAAACGCGCTCGAGTCGAGGCATATCTTGCCGCCACTGAGGACAGTTTCTCCGCCTGGGCTGGGATGATCACTTCGGCTGGTGACAATCACGCTGAGGAGGAGATGGAGCTGTGATTGATGCCAAACCAAGCAATTGTTCATGGGATGTGCCTGGTCCCGGTGTGATGACCGGTGATGGTGGATGGTGGATAGTGGATAAGCCGGTTGCAATAGTTCCTGTCTCCGCCCCACTGTGTTGGTTGGACTTCAGAGATCTAGACATTGCGATGGATGATTGACGGGCTTGACGGTTGTAGCTAGGGGTGTGATTCTTCACATCCCGGGTTTCCTGTCGCCTGTTGATTATTCGTTGAGTGTTAGGTCTACCCAGAAGGACCTGCATGGAGACGCAAAATCACAAGCTTGCAAGAGCCATCAAAAATCGCTCTACATCATGATTGATGATTTATGATTTAGGCCTGGGGTTTCTATTTCAATCCTCGATAGCCAGTCCCCAGCGCATCAACGAAAATGATATCCAAACTAGTACATATGACGACTAGTACATATTCACGATCTAAATGTACTACATAAGGGCTTGGCCCAGTAGTTTCCTGCTAGAAAACGTATTTCTCGGCCTTTCCCGCTTAGAATCCATATTCGAGCATCCAATCTACGCAGAAAATCGGATGCTTCCGAAGTGGATTCTCGGCCAACGTCCTGAGAACCGGCGAAATCCGGCGGGTCTGAGCTGGCCGGCAGGTAACATTTCGGCGAATTGCTTTAACTAAGTTGGGTGCTGTACATGGCAAGCTCAACTGGTCAATTGAGCACTAATCCGTTGACCATCTATGTCAATATCTCATTATCCACATAGTGTAGATAGATGAACACTACCACAAACAGTCCAGTATTATCAAAAGCGAACCACCAACTACTACACCCGATCTGTACCCTCCTAAATCAATCCCTCGGAATCTCAAAAACCCCATCAACAAGCCCCCCAATCTCCGGCACCCCCAACCCCCTCAAAGCCCCTAAAATCCTCTCTAAAATCTCCCTCTTCACCCCGTCCTTCTGCCTCGAATAAACATCTATCCCAGCCGGTGTAAACAACGTCTTTGCAAAATACGTCACTACCCACATATTTCCCTCCTCTTGCCCTTCAGTTCCAGTTCCAGTTCCAGTCCCATTCTCGGGGTGAATGTCGTTTCCAAACCCTAATATCTCCCAATGCGACGACGCAATCACCAACCACCCCTTCCCACGCCAATCCCACGCCCCCCGGTTCGACCGCGAGGGCGTATCTATCCCGCGTACGCTGTGGATTTTAGGTTTTGATGCGTCGCGGGATTGATATCGGACTAGGTCGTCTAGCTTGGTGTCATTACCACTGCTAGCTGCTATCTTGGTGGTGGCAGTGGGAGGTATAGGCGTGTAAGTGATTGTGACGTTGCGTTTGTTTTTCCAGAGAGGTAGGCTGGAGTGGGTGACGTACCAGGTACCGGCGAGGAAGTCGATGTCGATGGATGGGGCGGTGGTTTTGGGTTGGTGGTTGGGTTTGGAGGCGTAGTGGTTTGGGGATATGGAGGATGTATTTGAACAAGGTATAGATGTATAGGGATATATATTGGAAAATGAATAGGGGCTGTTGGATGGACTTTTGATGTTGGACAGCGAAGGAATTCGCGGGGCTGGTGCTGATCGATCGATCGGGTTGTCTTGCCAGTAACCTTAAGGGCCCTCAATAAAGTAGTAGTAGAATGGAGGATTAAGATAGAAATATTAGCCATCTACTGACGTTTACAGTTTAGGTCAAAAATAAGAATACAGTACTTCAAGATGTAAATAATGTAGAAAGAAGTCATCACTTTCGTAACTACCAAATCACAAACACAAACAGATCCAAAAGCACAAGACAATGCGCTCTCTTGCTATGACGAAACAAACGAAACGCCCAGAATAAGTAGACGCTCGAGAGGTATATAAAAACCAGGCAATGCAGGGGGTGATAAATAATGGCAAGATAGTCAACAACGAGAAAGAGAGAGAAGCTCCGAACTAAGACAGAGACAGACGTCCAGGGCATGGACCGCAAGCCAGCGCTTAACATCGCACAGCTTCCAGCTTCAGCTCCAAACTGAAAGCTTAGAAGATGTAGTACGCCTGTGTCAGCGGTAACTCGGTTGCAGGCTCCGCGTCACACAGCATGCCATCAGCCTCGACGGTCTAGAATCACAAACGTCAGTACAAGCACCATCCCTTCATCGAGGACTAAAATCCAACTTACATAACTCTCCGGATCAACCTTCATCTTGGGCATCGCATCGTTGAACTTCATATCCTTCTTGCCAACAGTACGGCATCCCTTAACGGCCTCGATGCGCTTGCGCAGACCATAGCTCTGCACAGTGCCATTGTCGATAGAAGCCTGCGAGACGAACATGATCGAAGTACTCGGCAGACGGGCCTATTCATCATCAGCACAGTCGACAACTTGAGTGGAAGAGAAAACAAAAACATACACCGAACATGGGTCGAACAATCATCGGCTCGATAGTCGGGATCGAAGCGTTAGGATCACCCTATACACCAGTTAATAACGCACGCCGTAAACAATTGCGGGAAACAACCCCCCTGAAGGAAAGGGGAAAGGAAAACCATACCATCTCTGCAACAGCAATCATCCCACTCTTCAACACCTGCACCGGCTTCGTACCAAAATTGCTAGGCTTCCACAACACCAAATCCGCAACCTTGCCCACCTCCACACTCCCAATAAGATGAGCCATACCCTGCGCCAGCGCCGGATTAATCGTATACTTGCTAATATACCGCTTCACCCGGAAATTATCATTATCCGAGTCCTGGTCCTGCTCAAGCTTTCCACGCTGCACCTTATTCTTGTGCGCGGTGTGCCAGGTGCGCAGGATGACTTCGCCGCAGCGGCCCATGGCCTGTGAGTCGGAGGACATCATGCTGATTGCGCCGATGTCGTGCAGGACGTCTTCGGCGGCGATGGTCTCGGCGCGGATGCGGCTCTCCGCGAAGGCGACGTCTTCGGGGATGTTCTTGGATAGATGGTGGCAGACCATTAGCATGTCGAGGTGTTCGTCGAGTGTGTTGAGGGTGAAGGGACGGGTTGGGTTTGTGCTGCTGGGGAGGACGTTCGGGTGCTCAACGACTGAGATAATGTCAGGAGCGTGGCCGCCGCCGGCACCTTCGGTGTGATAGGTGTGGATTGTACGGCCCTTGAAGGCTTCAATTGTTTGCTCGACGAAACCGGATTCGTTGAGTGTGTCTGTGTGGATCATGCATTGCACGTCGTATTCGTCGCAGACGGCCAGACAGTTGTCAATGGCTGCGGGAGTAGACCCCCAGTCTTCGTGGAGCTTGAGACCGGCAGCGCCAGCCTTGATCTGCTCTTCAATGCTGATAACGCCACAATCATTGCCTTTACCCGTAATGCCGATGTTGATGGGGAGGCTGTCGCAGGCTTGCATCATGTTCTTGAGGTGATAAGGTCCCGGGGTACAAGTCGTTGCGTTTGAACCAGTGCTGGGACCGGTACCGCCGCCAAGGAAGGTGGTAATACCAGATGCCAGCGCTTCATCGACTTGCTGCGGGCAAATCAGATGGATATGCGTGTCGAAACCACCAGCCGTGACAATCTTGTTCTCGCCAGCAATCACATCCGTAGATGAGCCCACCACCAAGTCCGGGTGCACTCCGTCCATGACATCCGGGTTGCCAGACTTTCCAATACCAACAATCATACCATCCTTGATACCAATATCGGCCTTGTAGATGCCAGTATAGTCGATGATTAAAGCACTGGTAATCACCGTGTCCACGCACTCCGCCGCCGAACGTCCAGATGCCTGTCCCATACCTTCTCGCAGAGTCTTGCCTCCACCAAAGGTACACTCATCACCGTAACTGGTCATGTCCTTCTCGACCTGAACCCACAAGTCGGTCAAACCCAGGCGCACCAAATCACCCGTCGTAGGACCAAACATGCGCGAGTACGCCTCACGCTCCATCGAGAACCCGGTAGTCAGCGCGCTATCCGCCGTCGGTTCCGGGACATGCGCGAACCCGGCCGCCTGCAGCTTGGCGACAATCTCATCAGCCCGACTGAAATCCACGGGCCCGTTGGCCAGCCAATTGCCTCCGCGGATAATCTTGTTGCCCGCGATCTCGACTAGGGTAACGGTCTTGGTGTCTCCGGGTTCGAAACGGATAGATGTGCCGGCGGGGATATCGAGGCGGAAGCCGTAGGCTTGCAAGCGGTCGAAGTGCAATTGAGGATTCGTCTCGATGAAGTGATAATGCGATCCGACCTAGCGATATCAAATGATCCGTCAGCTTTGTACTCTCCCCTAACAAACCAACTGCCCTACACAGCATGCGTCTGTTACGTACCTGAATCGGCCGATCACCCTTACTCATGACCTTCAACCGAATTCGTTTCCGCCCATCATTCAACACAATCCGCGCATGCTTAGCCGGAATCACGGCGCCAGGCATCTTCTCAGGCACATAATCCTCAGGATCCGGATCAGGGAACGCTTCCCGCTGAGGAACGGGCAAGAAACTCCCATACAGCGCACGCTCCAGATCGCCCTCATCACTACTAATCGGATGGTGCACCGTGACCAGGTACGTACCAGTCGGGAATGTACCCTCGACCTGGAGCTCGACCAGGGTAGCCACGACGGAAGGCAGGACGTGTCGGCGACCTAGCATCGTCTTGCCGATGGACATAAGATCAGCGACGGAGTAGTGGCCATCGCGAATGAGCTATTAGTATCAGCAGATTGTTAGCCTAGTGCTTCTATTCTGGCATAGGACGCATAGCGCATAGCGCATAGCCAGCACAAGTTCAATCGCCAAAAAAATGGTGCAAATCATACCTCATGTAAAACACTCGAAATCAACGCCTGCAAGGTACAGCCCAAAAACAACTCTTGTCAGCCACAATATCCCAGCAAATAGACAAACACAGGCATCACTCTGAATCGCAATCGCAATCGCAATCCGGGGGTTTTCCAAAAACGTACCACAGCCTCAGCATGATTCAGCCTAACACCCCTCGCTAGACGACGCTGCGCCAGGAACCCCAGATGCACGATCGTGAGCTTGTCAAGCTATAAAACACGCGAAGCAGATCAGCATCATATCATCATCGTCATTGTCGTCGCGGCCAATCCCTGACTCCTCGTTCAAAACCCTACCTCTCTCGGAACAAGCTGCATAGCGCAGGTGGAACCCGGAGCTTGGCGTACAGCAGCAGGGGACCGTTATCGGGAGGGGGCGGGTGGGATGGGTGAGGGGTAGAAAGACAATACAGTAGAGAGTACAATATGATATACCACGCGGGAATCAAAGGGGAAGGGAAGGGATTGAAATGGGTAAATCTCTCAATATCCCATCAGGACACGAAGGGGAGAAGGAAAAGGAGAATAATGAGATAGAAATGGAATGTGGGGGTGGGATGAGTCGGGAGTTTGTCGTTTCCTCTTAATATTTCATCTCGGGTTATCTTTTTTTCTTTTCCCCCTCGACTGCCGGGCCTGCGATAAGAGCTGGGGCCAAGAGATAAGAAGCTCGCCGGTGGGCGATTGGGCGAGGCGCTGATGGGCCAGGGCCGGCGCTCGGCCGTGTTAGTCACGGCGTTGCTAAGCGGAATGGGCAGTTGGTGACTGGGTTGCTAGTGGGAGAGTGCATGATGAGGGGACGACAAAGGAGCGATGAATGGGACGTCTTATTGGTGGCATCTTGGGATGTTATCTACGGAGTACATACTACTGTACTCCGTCCGGTAGGGCCATTGCGCGAGGCTGGTTCGGATCGCCCCGCTCGATGTATAGTTAAGGATGGGCCCGGAAGTAAGCAACGGGAAAAGTATAAAGACCGCTAGACAGCCAGAAACAAGTACAAAGTGGAAAATCAAACGGTAAATCCCCATTCAAGTCACAGGCCCCATAAAGACACTTTTTGACACAAACGCCCTCGTCATCAGATTAAAGTCCCAAGACTTGCAAAGACAGAATGGTGAAACGAGACATCCTTCGTAGATAACCCGAAAACACATCCAACAGATCACTTCATATATCCTCGCCTCTTGCTCACAAATTTACCTCCACCCCCTCATTTAAGCCTCACTCTTGCGCTTCTTGGTCTTGCGCTTGGTCTCCGCAGGGGTAGACTTGACCGAGGCAGGTTCCGCGGCCTTGCGGCCCTTCTTCACGGGTGAAGCTGGCTTAACGGGAGACTCGGCCACCTCCTTCACGGCCTTGACATCGCTACGACGGCGCTTAGCACCGGCACTCTTAGGAGGGGTCTTCTGCTTGACGGGCTGAGGGGGAGAAGGGGACTCCTCCACCTCTTCCTCTTCAGATTCGGAGGTCTCCGAGTCGGAAGACTCGGACTCTGCGTGCGCGATAATACCAGCCTGGAGTTGGTCATTGGCAGCATCGTCATCGCCCGTCTTGCGACCGGCCTTGTAAGCGGCCATTTCAACCTTGTATGCCTCGTAGTTCTCGAGGTACTGCGACTTGTAGAGCTCCTTCTCCTTGGGATCCATGGTCTGCCAGCGACGAGTTCCCTCGTCGGCAACATCCTTAGGCTTGGCGCTACCACCCAGATCCTCAGCGATCTTGGTGCGGTTCTGCTGCATGTACAGGAAGTACGGAGTCAGAGCACGCTTGGGCGCATTTGGGTCCACTGGCGCACGCTTGCGCTTCTTCAGAGCGCCAGCCTCGACCTTGAGGCTGGGGCTCGCGGCGCGGGTAGGCTCTGCGTGGTAGGTCAGACCAGTGGGCATGGCAGGAATGTCGATGGTAGCAGGGCCACCGGTGATAACATTGTTGACGTGCTCCACGTAGGCCTTGCTCAGGTCGGCAATGTAGGATTGCAGAGCCATGAGGCGCATGATAACCTAGAGTGGATTGTTAGTGACATGTTGGCATGGCAGAAATCATTGCTCTAAGCGATGAGTTGAAAAGGTCCAAATGATGAATAAGATTTTAAGGGTTCATCAAAAAAGGTAACAAAATATGCTGGGGGGCGGAGGCGGGGGGCTGGATTCGGGGGTCGGCGGCTAAGCAGGCCGGAGGGTTTTACTGCGGGAAACATGACACGCACGGGATGGCCAGGGTCCCTCGGCGACGCGCTGCCCACACCAGATGGAAATAATAAATAACAAAGCTTGGGGTAGCCACAGAATAACCTTGCGACCAAGTATCCAAGCTCAGTTCGAGCTACAGAGCTTGTACGCGGGAATGTGGAAGCTCTGTTGATATGCGACGCGTTGGGAAGCGCGCCGACGGGAGCGGCGGCTCCATGAGGACAAGCAACGCGACCGAGGAAAACAGGCGCGAAAAAAAGGCATAGGAAGATGAGAATTAAGAGGAAATAATGGCTTACTGCATCCTTGGAGTTACGCAACTCCTCGACGTTGACGGCTACGGTGGCCTCGGAATCGTGCTTCGCGGTCATGATGAGTGGTGTGGGTGGTGGGTGATGGTGGTGGTGGTGGCGGTGGTGGTGGTGGGAGGGAAGACTTGGGGGGGGAGGGGGGTTAAGAGAAAAGAAAATTTGGTGGGAGGGTTGGGGGGGGGAAGAAAGAAAGGAAAGCAGGTTAGGAGCTTTGGGAGTTTGGGGGGGGGGGAGAATGGACAGGAATTAGGGAAGACCTTTCGGCTCGGAGGGGGGAAGTAGGGCCACTAAATACCGAGCGCCGTGCCCGTGCCTGTCACTCATACCGTGACCCAGTGACCAGTGACCACCAACCCTGGCCACACCCAAACATGCCCCCCGAAACACTGCCCCCCTCCCCCCAAGAGACTGCTGAGCCTGAGCACCACCCCCGGCAGGTGCGACGTCCAGTTACCCGCCCATGGCTGCTTTAGGCTTAGGCTGGCTGCCCCCAATGGTCGAGCCCAGCTGAACCCCCCCTGCCCCCTCTTCTTCACGGGCGCATAGTTTAACACTTTAACGACTGTGTTCCCCCCCCAACTCATCTTTGGGTCATGCGATCATTCCAGACCTAAACCTGGTTCGATTATTTTCCTTTCTCTCCTTCCCCCATTCCAGAAGTTAGAACCTGGAGGGCGACAGTAAGCCTACCTAGACCCCAGGTACCTAATCCCCCAACCTGGAAATCCCCCCGTGACATAAGGACTTGTCTTGGTTCCATTACCACCCACCACCTACGACTATAGGTACCAATCCAACCTACCTGGGGTACCTCTGGGCGCGGGGCTTTGAGCCGAGAGATGTGATATATTGTAGCTTGTATCCATCATGGTTTTATAGAATATACCCTGGTATTTATACTTAATTCATTGAACTCGTTCTATTCATTGGATATTCCAAATCGATCTGTAACAACGAAACCACGACGGTCTCTTCGATTCTACCTGAGGTAGCGGTGATATATATCAGCCCCGAGCGAGTCCAACGACCACTTAGATCCAGTTCTAAGTACCACCATCTAACTTGAAACACTAAAATACACATAAAATATCACTTAAATGGTACAAATATATTTCGCAGATATTCTATGGCATCAAAACCACCATCGCATAGACAACGGGCGGGGAAAAGAATCTGGATCACAATACGCGCCCACCCAAAACGGGTGACCAATGCATCAATGTACATCGCTTGTTTTTGTATGCGACTACCCTCTCACCTCCGCCCTCGCGACCGGACAGAATCTATTCTACAATTCAAGTACAATCGGCACGCCCAAGTCAAGTCCGTCTAGAACTTGAACACCTGCTCCTTGCTGTAACCCAGCTCCTTCAGGAGACCGGTCAACTCACCTTGGTCCTTGGGGCTGACCTTGCCACCGCTAATAGCCTTGTACATGCCAGGCGGGCCGCAAACAAACAGCTTGATGTTCTCCTCCTTAGGCTCGGGCAGCACAGTCTTCAGCAACTCCTTGGTGATGAAGCCCTTGCCACCGGCCCAGCCCTCGGGCGGGTTGTCCAGCACGTAGAAGGCGCGGAAGCGCTGCGGGTAGGTGTTCTCCAGCTCGTGCAGCTCCTTCTTCAGCAGGATGTCGTCTTCGCTGACGTTGCCGAAGACCAGAGTCACCTTGGTGCGGTCCTCGGGGTTCTTGAAGATATGGCGCGCCAGCTGGTACATGGGCGTGATGCCGGTGCCACCGGCGATCAGGCAGATGTGGTCGTGCTTGTTGGCCTCCCACGGGTACTTGGGGAGGGGGCCCTTAACCGACAGGCGCTGGTTGACGTTCATCGAGTGGAGGTGCTCGGACATGGGGCCACCGGGGTAGGCCTTGACCACGAGCTCGAGGTAGCCGGGGGTATCTAGGCGTGGGGTCAGAATTGAAGCGAATTGAAAGACACTAAGCGCGAGATAGGGTCTCACCTTCATCGCTGGTGGGAGTGTAAGGACGGAGAACAGCCTTCTCGGCACCCTCGGGCTTGTACTTGGTCAGGATAGCAGCTATAGTTTGGGTGTTAGCAGGGGAGGGGACCTGCACGAAGGGGAGGGTAAAACGAACAAGCAACAGGAAGACCAGAGACAGCCTCCTTGTCGTCAAACTCAAAGCGGAACCGCTTAGTGTTGTGGCTCAGAATCTCAATGTTGGCAAGCTTGAGGTCCACCCAGTCGCCGGTGAAGACTTTGGGCCGGTCCTCGAGCTTGATCGCAGCAGGGCTGGAGCTGGAGCTGCTGTAACGGTAGAGACCAGCACCGACACCGGCGAGACCGACAGCGACGTAGATAGGGGTGAGGTTCGACTTCTTGGGAGCAGACTCGGCGACCTTGGGGGCGCCCTCAGCAGAGTACTTGCGGAAGCTCTAGAGATTACGCAGCAAGCCGTTAGAGTGATTTCTTTGTTTTTTTTTTGCTCTTTCCATGGACAATTGAAGGACCAGCGCGAGACTTACCTGCTTCAGAGGCTGCGCACAGCGGGAAGTCTGGCGAGCGAACATGGTGACTTTGAATTGAACGGATGGTTTAGCAATTGGGGATGGGAAAGATGAGGGCTTTGTTTGGAGGAGCAGAGGGGGAAGAAATCGGAATTCAGGCGGACAGGACTCTCGGCTGTTCAACCCCCAGCGCAATGACGCAATAGCGGTTCCTGATGCAGGGCATATCACGAATTCGGCTCTTGCATTCTTGATGGAGCTGACTCTATCTAACGATCCACTATTATTCGGTTTAATGTACTAATTCTCTCCAGTTTTCGTGGCGGATTGGAGATTCCTGATACTCTGGGACCCGCCCATGCTTAGAAACCTCTCCAGACTTCCCGGGAGCTCGGGCTCGGACTCGGGCATGTTGAACCCCCGAAGTATCGGCCTGTAGAACCTGGCAATTGAGACTCAAGGGCAGGCAGCAGCTAGAGAGACAATCAATGGTGTAAGAATACATGTACTATATGGCCGGTCTAGACTGCTTCACCATAGCTGTCGCATACATAGCGGGTATGAAGATCCGACATACTCCAATTCGATCAGACTACTGGACTGGTTGCACAAGATTGAACTTGAACCCGATGATTTTTTGAATTTATCCTCGGACGCCACTACACGGGACTAGCGACATCCAAACCATCTCCCATTACTGGGTACACACAGGCCGTTTTCCGCGCGACCAGTATCTTTCATGCATGCTATTGGCCATATCGCAGTAATTTCATCCTCACACTCCATTCCCGAAAACCCCAAAACATCACATTTAAGCAAAGGTGGAGGGACGAGAGTAAGAGAACAGCTTCTTGCCCGGGTTGGCGGAGCGGTGGGGCAGGGGGAACTTGAGGTTCTTGGTGAGGAGCTGCTTGATGTAGGGGCGGCGGATGCTGTCGGCATCGGTGACCTCAACAACCTTCAGGATCTGTATGGAAAGATCGTTAGTACTTTTGACCTCATCATTGTTTCATGCAAGGGTCGAAACGTACGTGGATGGAACCGAAGCGAGCACGGTGGCGGGCAGCCATGTCCTGGTAGAGAGCCTCGACGGCCTCAGTGCGGGACATCTCACGGAACTCCTTGTACATGTTGTGGGTACCGGAGCGCGAGTTGTAGCGGAGCCAGACACCGAAGTTCTTGACCTTGAGGGGGCGCTTCTCGGTAATCTAGATGAAAAGAGGGCGGGTGAGTAATGGATGCGAAGAGATAAAGTCTGGATTGGCAGGTCTCTCCACATACGGTGTTCAGGCTGACAATCTCGCCGTTGGACTTCTTCAGCTTGCGGAGAGAAGCCATGAAGTACCAGAAGCGCGACTTGGCCACAACGGTGTTGGGCGCAAAGATGCGCATGCGGTACAGCTTGGGCGTGGGGTTCGCCTCGGTGGGCAGGTGACGCCCGATAACCTGGTACTCGTTAAGACGCCCTGGAAATCCGTCAGTCATGGCTCCGATTGAGTATTGAATATTGATTCCCGATGCTGATTTCCTCGTGGCGATGAAACGGTGCGCGCGATTGCGGAAGTGAATTTTGGACAGACGAAAGGGGGTAGACGTGTGGGTGATGCGAGTTGAAAATTTCGAGATAGACCCGTCGTATGCTCGACCGCCAGCGCTGGGTAGACTCCTCCATTCCAGTAGTTCTTGATTTAATTGATGACGGCTCCTCCATACTTTTTCGACTTTCCTTCAAACATCTCGTGTCGTCGTCGACGTTGTCGATATGCATGGAATTTCGCCGGACCGTATCGCACACACCGTAGTCGTCTCGAGGAAATCGCTGGAATATCGAAAAACGTCACTTACCCATCTATAATGATAAATGTCAGCAGTGGTCTCTCAAACGATCAAATAGGGGCAGCACATACTGTGATTGTCGCTGTGGTGGTTGAGTCGTTAGTGGTGCCGTCGGGAGAGAAATCAAAGATTGTGGTTGCAATGTGCTTAGGGCTACCGCCCTTCGGTTAAGCGAGTGGAGGCCCTTCCAATAACGCTAACCGAATCGGGCAAATATTGCACGAGCCACAATTGGGGCTTTGGGGGGAGGGCTTCACCGCCACATTTGCTTGCACGGCCACAGTCTGCCCCACACGGCCTGCCATGCATCGACGCAACCCAAGTGTACCGCGACTGGATAGCTTACTGCTTCATCGACAGTTCGAGTACCTTGCCCAGTTTAAGCGCGCTCTTCCCCACGAACTCCTCAAACGCTCGTGATTTTCTGCCCGCCGCCGGGTTATCGAATCATGCAGCTGGCCAACGAGTTTCGTGATGCCTACAGCATTGCTTCAGGCCCGGATCTCGCCGCGGTCTTGACGCCAATTGCGACCTCGAACGACCCAGACCGGTTGCGGTCCTTTTACCAGTACACGAACATCCAATACCTCACCAAAGACCTCCAATCCAACCTGTTCCACGGCAAGAACCTAAAAGTACCAAAAGCCGAACAAAGTGCTTGGGTTGACATCTTCGCGGCATACTGGGAAGCTGTGGGGGAGGTGCTCAAGTGTGAGGGCCAGCACCCTGGGGCTAGTGCAACCGCTATCTTCACTGCCTGGAAGAAGGTTGCCAATGCTCTTATCAAAGGTTACGCCGGCTCGAATGGACTCCCTGCATGGACACTGCCGTGTTTGTATACGGTCGGCAAGTTCTTGCGAACCTTTGCGATCAAGGCAGACTTGGAGGTTGCGGCACAGGGGTCCTCGGGCTTTGGTTTCCAGGATGATCTCGCAGTGGATGTGGAGAAGAATGCGAACCTAGAGGAGGCAGCCCGAATTATCAATCGGATGTTCACCCTATGTTTGAGTGATCGGTAAGTCGATACCTATATTTTAGAGTTGTATCAATGCTGATCGATGTAGCGCCCCCATTGAGGAGTCGCGGAAGTGGGGTATCTATGAGACCACCAACCTGCTGTTCAAGACATACTTCAAGGTGAGATGCCCAGCCTTCACCAATACTCTGCCACTCGCGATTACTAACTTGATATAGATCAACTCGGTTGGCCTTACAAAGAACTTGCTCCGGGCTATCAACGCGCAATCCCATGAGCTGCCACCACTTGACGCATTTCCAAAGTCCCACGTCGTCACATTTGAATACTATCTCGGAGTTATCCACTTCTTGGATGAGCATTACACACAGGTATGGAATCATTTTTGGCTGAGAGACAGAGAGACCAAGTCTAATACGATGTCACTCTTCCAGGCCGAAGAACACCTCACCACTGCTTGGAGAATGTGCCATCGTGATGCTTACAAGAATCGAGAGTGAGTAAAATTCTCTTCTTCACACTACGACTGTAGCTCACATGTCTTCTAGGCTGATCCTCACATACTTGATTCCTTGCCACCTGGTCACTACCCACACTCTCCCCAGCAATCAACTCCTTGCACCATTCCCCCGTTTAGAACAGCTCTTCCGCCCATTGTCCAATTGCATCCGCAAGGGTGACCTCGTTGGCTTCGACCAGGCGATGTCTGCGGGGGAAGCAGAATTTGTCAAGCGACGTATCTACCTCCCGCTGGAGCGTGGACGTGACATTGCCTTGCGCAATTTGTTCCGGAAAGTGTTCATTGCTGGTGGATTTGAAGAGCCCAAGGATGGCCAGCCACCTATTCGGCGAACCCGTGTGCCCGTGGCTGAGTTTGCGGCTGCGTTGAGAATTGGTACACACGCAACTAGTCGAACACGGGTGGATATTGACGAGGTCGAGTGCTTGTTAGCAAACCTCATTTACAAGGTCAGTAACCCGTACCTTCGAGAATGTTGAGACAAATTGACTGATTTTACCCGTTCATCAATTGCAGGGTCTTATGAAGGGCTATATCGCGCGCGAACGCGGCATGGTCGTTTTGAGCAAGAATAATACCGCTTTCCCCGGGACGGGTGTCTAAAAGCGATGTGCTCATAGTAAATCGCTCGCTATTCCCCAAGCTTGCCAATCGCGATTAGTGAGCGACTGTCTTGCCATAGCCTGCACCACTGGAAACTCCGCCAAACCATAGTCCACAGAGGACTCAAAACTCCCCGCCACAAGGCCACCGTCATTCTCGGCTTACTATGCATTTCATGGCCCAGGATTGATCAGATCGCATCCCGAAGATGTCGATCAATTAACGTTCTGAAAATACCGTCTCACTATCCGGCTGGCCCCATTTCTTATCCATCCTTGCCCCGCTGCCGGGGCAATACGGATGGTACTACAATTGCTACCTGCATATTGGTCTACGATGGACATTGATAGAGAAACGATCCAATAGCATGAATCTGCTTCCACATTCTAGATTCAGATATCTGCATTCCTACATCATTCTGCCTTACCATTGATAATATCATAGTTGTACACGGGTATAAACCATTAGGTCACTGCCACTGCAGCGGTGGAAGAAAAAACCTCAAACACCTCCAAATCCCCGCCAGACCCAAATCTCTCGAATCCTATCCAGATACAACCACGACACCCTTACCTACCACCATGCCCAAGCTCCGGCAGCGCGGAACTACAAACCGACATGGCCGACGGAAAAACATCATCCTATAAAACCAAAACCACAAAATTAGCATCAACCACCACCTACCAAACCCCCTCTCCAGAACTCCCAAAACTCACCATATGATTACACATCGCAACAAACAAATCAAAAAACAATCGTCCCCCCTTCTCCATCTCCACCTGCATAGTCCCACTCCTCTTAAAAGTGCCCCGACACCGAATAATAAGCGCCAAATAATGCGCCCGCAATCTTGACTCCGTCTCTGGCGTATGCGCATACGCGAACCGCGCACTGGCCAGAATCGTCCGGCACGGTATCCCCGCGTGCAGGCCCTGCTTGCGGAGGGCCAGGCGCGCGAGCGAGGGGAGGCGGTATGTTAGTGCGGCGCAGTAGACGGCTGTGTCGCGCAGGATCGGGGCGTCGGCGTCTTGGTGCCAGATTACTGCGGAGGGGGAGAGGCTGGCGTTTATGCTTGCGCTGGCGCCTGCGGTGGAAGGGTTGATGGTTGATGTTTGTGGTGGAGGCGGGATGTCGTCGTCGAGGGTCCAGCCTTGGGTGGGATCGTGGTGGAGGCGGGGGGTGTAGTCGCCTTTGTAGAGGTATTCGAGCACGCAAGAGAGGATTTCGGGGTGTTCGGTTGGAAGGTCGATGCGTTTGCTTGGGGTTGTGACGTGTGGGTGGGAAGGGGGAGGTGGGCTGGGCGTTTGTGTGGAACAATGCGCGGCGAAGAAGGGGGATGCGCTGAGGATGGACTCGTGGGCTGCGAAGAGGCGTTGCTGGGGGCCGACGCGGAGGATTACAGTGGGTGAGGAGGGACGGCGGGATGGGCTTCTGGTGAGTGGGTTAGTTATGGGCTTAGTGGATGTATTGGGTAGATGGATTGGAGTGGATTGGAATATGTCGTCTTTGAGATGGAAGATGCGCATGGGAATAGGAGTACGGAGTACTTACGATACATCTGGTGGACCCGCAGGTCTTCTCTTCTCCAAGCGTCTCGAACTGCTAGAGCTGGAGCTATCACGGAGAAGATTCCTCCTCGACCGAACAGCCGAGGCTTTCGCAGCTCGATACCTGGAGAAATGCGTGATTGGCGCAGGGGCAGGGGCAGTCTTTCTCGACAGCATGGCCCGTTTGCGATATCTTTCATCCATTGCGAAGAGAAAGAGATCCCAATAAAACTTCAGGAACTGGCACTGGAGCTGGGAAAGCAAGAGAATGATACAGAAGCAGAATCGTGCTACGATTCAGGGGCTTCGAGCAGCTATTTATACGTCTACGCCGAGCTCAGCTTGCACCCGGGCTGGGGACGAAGAAACTGGCCAGGTTCGACAGGTCATGTTCTGTCATGGTTGTACGAGACAGCGAGCCAGACGATGGTTATATACCGTACCTGCATGATGTACCCGTCGATCAACCCTGCTAATATAACCAAATTTGGCAAGAGAAGGCACCTCGACGCGTCATGACCGGTTTGAAACGCGTACAAAGGGCGATGGATCCCAAGTGAGGTGTCGCCAAATGAGCGCGTGGTCACGGGACCGCTAGCTCGAGTAGCGTCCTTGAGGGAGCCAGTCAGAGATCAGGTTGGACTGGAGAGGGGGGTCCTTAGGCTGCCTCGGCGGATTAGGGGGAAGCTGCAAGTGGAGACTTGGGAAATGAAATGTTGGTCTGGTGGAGGCTGATCATTTGGCATTGCCTACGTTCGGGTGATGGGTCAATAAGAATAAGAGTCCAGAAAAATAAATGACAGGTATTGAGATAGAAGAAGGAAAGAAAAACAGTGACGCGAAAGCTTCCAGATGAAACGCCGATATTCCCCACCCAAACGCCAGTCCAGAATTACTTGAAACCGGGAGACCCGGAAGTTGATGAATGGGAAAGACTAGACGAGCCAGCTCGTCAGAGGAACACCTTTCGGGCGTCTTTCATGTGGCTTTCGTTCGGGCAGTAGGGGCACTTGAACCGGCTGCCCTTGCTGAGTCGCTTGAGGGACTCTTCCGCAATGACGTGCCCGCAAGGCATCATCATAGGCGGGTTCTCATCAGTCGCCTGCTCCTTGGAAACGGGACAAACAAAGATTGAGTGGAAGAGGTATGAAGGTGGGAGTGGAATTTCGACCTGTAAGGCACACATGTTAGTCCAGTCACTCTGCGTCTGTCGCAGTCATCTCTATGGTCAGAACCTACCGGTAGCTCGTTATCGCTCGTCCACTCGGTGCGCTTCGCCTTCATAATTGTCTGCAGCTTAAGCAGAGTAGGCAGCGCAATCGCCCCGGCAGTCGTGGCAATGTAAAGCGGCGAGTCCGCCGACAACCCCAGCAGCGAGCAGAACTCGCGAGTGAAGAACTGGGCTACGTCATCCCACGCCGACGAATTGTTGAAAATCGCCGAATAAGGCGAGCCCTGCAAGTTCGGGCAAAAGGCCATCGCGCCCATCAACTGCTGTACCTCGCGGAGATATCGCGGTAGAAAGGTGTGGAATTCACGCTTGGCGTATGCCGTCGCTGCGCGCCAGTTCCCGGGGACATGGTTTCCCCCCGGGTTTTCCGACTCGCCATGATAGAGCCAGACGAACTGCAAGCGACACAGCTCGAATTCCAAATTGCTGCCGCGGGCTTCCAGTGCCTCGCGGTTCTCGCGAGACCATTCGATAGCAGGGAGGAGGTTCTTGCGCTCTTTCATTTGAGAGAGGATGTAGTACATCGAGGCGAACTCTTTGCGGATCTCATGGGACGGAACCTCATCGAGGTTCAAGAGGCTGGCTGGTTCGGGAGAGGCGGAGGAGGAGGACTCGCAGTGCTGCATAAGGGCTTTCTTCTCGGCGATTTCGGAGAGAAAGGTGGCTGCAACGGAGAATTGGCCTTCGCGGAGAAGGTGCATGGCGATGGCGCGGTTGATTAAATGTTCTTGTTCGGAGAGGGCATCGTGTTCGGTGCTTGGAAGGGGCCTATCTTTGAAGATCTGAGGATGGCGGGGGATTGTTAACATGCAGCCTGGAGAGGAGGGGGGGTTGTATAGGTCAGCGCTGAGAGGGCGTAGATACCTTATCAAGAGACTTGGTGTACTTGTTGAGGCCGCCGTGGGTCTCTTTCAAACTGTCGTTGATTGCATTGAAGGATGCTTTGACAGGATTCTGGAGTTTGGCCAAGGTCACCGCTGCCTGGTTGGGGTCTACATAGGAAGGTCGAGTTCAGTCAGTTACTAGGACTTCCCCGCGGCACGGTCTCTCCCGAGTCCCCCGCGATATTCACGACGGTAATCTCAACTGACCAGCGGCAATAGTGTCTCGGGCAGACTGGAGCAAGTCAATGGTGGCCTGAACATTATTGATGCCCTGTGAGGTTCTGACCCTCTTCAGAAGCCTGTCGTGCTCCTTCTCAACCAGATCCATGGTGGCGCACAGGCTGCGGAGTACTCGATGCGGAGAGTGATCAGGTTACCACCCAGCAAGGCATCCCAGTGCCATAAAGAGGAACCGGCAAAGAGGATGAAGGTACTAGCTAGCCTTTCAGAGTACCCTATCGACTCGGCGAAGCTTTCATGGACCTTGTTGTGTGTTGCTTCGAGGGGTTGTTGAGCAAATCGAGTTGAGAGACAATGGCAGAAGGTCCGGGCTTTGAGCTGTTCCGGATGATCGCTGGTTATTACGACATACACACGTGACCTACACTTCCAAGTCTTCCTCTCATAGCCATGGTTCATTCGACTGTAGAAAGAGGAGACTGTGATTGATCTGTCCTCCATGGTCTTGCCATGCACTTCGGCCGCATAGTGTACTCCCAGAACAAAGATCTAGCAGATTGTATGATAAGTCAACCTCGGATGAAGGAGGGCTGATTGCTGTCCCAAAAATGCACTAGTCCTCTTTGGGTGGAAGGCAACGATGCCGATGAGTCATCCAAGGGTCACGCCTCCCGTTATTTTGACCAATCATATGCCTTCTCAACCGGGACGAGCCCCACTCTCGCTTACGCTAGTGCTGGCGTCCGGCGGGTATAAATATTTCCTTCCTTCCTCCCCCTTTCCGCTTCTTTTTCTTTCTTTCTCCATCCTAGTGCACGGGTTTTACACGTATCAGTGAGGAGACATCCGAGATCGTGTTTTTGCTAGTTGAAAACTACCAAATTGACTGCTCTGCCTGGTCTTCGGATCGGGCAGGAATTTTTGAACAAACAAGTTGCCCCAAGTTCCTTGGCTGTCAAGTCATCGGGCTTGGATTCAGTGCTCGTTCAGACATGGCTCTCTCAGAGAGCCGGTCTGCGGGTTCTGTCAAGGTCTTCTTTTCACTACTGTTGCCACCCTGGTTGGTGGTCCTTAGAGAAGAGAGTCGCGTCCAGACCATGACGGGATAAGTACTGGTTTTTTGGGGAGCTTCCCCAGCGTTCGAGTAGTTTCGCGTAGACATAGCAACGTACCGAGGGCATCGCCCCTGGAGGAACCTATTTCATGTCGAGTAAACAAGCCCGTAGTATTAGACCACGTCTGATATGTTGTTTCGATACTCAATCTGGCCTGGCCTAGAAACCAAGCTCCTTGCTCCCCAAATCCTCCTTGCCTGGTCACCCTCACCGCCCGCATTCCAGTGACGTCGGGCTTTCTGCATGGTCCGGAAGTTCTCCAAGCTTGAATCCTCAACGTCAACAGGGTCTGCGACATCCCTTTCGCTTCTAACTTAGTCGTCGGTAAGAAGGCTGGACGATGCCTCAACAGCAAATACCAGGATATGCTCTTGTGGCCTCCACCTGATCCGTACTGTAGAAGGATCGGAACGAAAGCTTGGCGCTTCCCTGGTAGGTGACCGCAACCGTGGTGGCGGTGGATGTGCCTGAGCTCAAATGGTCCCCTACCTCCCCCTCTCCTGAACTGTTCCAAGTTTGCTTTTGGACTGCGAGGACAGCCGTCCGCAGTCCTGCCCGTTGATCAACAGTGGCCATGCAGTCCAACGCACCACCAGCGCCGCTGGTCGGTCGCGGCGATTCCAGCAAAGCCTCCGAGAGTATGCGTGCAAGCCCCGCATCAAACACAAATGGCTTGGACAATCACCCCAAGGTCCAGGGTCACCAGAAACTCATCTTCACCGACCCTGTCGCCCTCCGGTACCTCGAAGAAGACCCTTCCACCGATGTGCTACACCGCCGCGAGACCCTGCAGGGTTACGAAATATACATTGTTGAACAATGGACCTGCTCGCGCCAGCATCCTACCTTTGTCATTTCTACCTACACGGGGGATCAATCACATACAGTGTTTGTGGGCGTGCTCAGTGTCCCAACCGATGAGTCGACCTGGTCGCCTCGGTTGCGGATGTACTTTGATGCTGTAGGGCAATCCTGTGCGCGGAGGAAGGAGACTCCGCTTGGAACGATCATGGTTACGGACCTGGGTATCTTCCCATCGGCCCTGACCATCATTCCGGTGCCCGAGGGTGACATCAAAAAACATCGAGAAGATTTCATCGTCAACGAGGATTTGAAACGGCTCGGATGCGCTGGTCGCGCGGGCCTAAAGCTGCAGCCCCCGTCGGCAGCGACAGAAGCCAAGTTTCACCAGCTGTATCGCACGAGTGAGCGGGTCCCCCTCTATACTGCGGTGACTGAGCTGGTCAAACAATGCCAAATCGCGTTGATGGTGTTTGACAAGCTTGCCCCGGAGTATGTGGACGGTCTACTCTGTGATGTGACGGAGAAAGCCATTGGCGACTGGTGGGCTGATATCGGAACCGATCTGTACAACATTGAACCAAGCGATGGCGTTCTAGGACCAACCAGCGTTGCAGCATTACTAGGAACGCTACTGGGGGCTCGCAATCGACTCCATGCTTACGGTGCACCTGTGGGGAAGGATGCCTTTGACATCGATAACCTTAAGAGGGGTATCAGTGGGTTTCAAAAGGCACAGAAAATGCATCGGTCTCGGCGATTGGACCGGCGAACTCTAGACAGACTACACCGTGCGACCACCAAGGCTGCGAATGCAGAAGGATGGACCGACGCGATCAAGTCGACGATGACAGAACTAAGTGGACAAGGTGGTGAAATGGTCATGGGCATGGTGCGCGGCCGCGAAAAGGGAGGAATCGCCGATATCGAGACCCTCGACCTCGATAACTTTGTCCAGTATGTCTACGGCCCCAGGGCGAAATGGCTATGGCTGGGGAAGCCACGCAAAAGCGGACTTGATACTGGCTTCACGCCTGGCTCGGGCACGGATATGATGTTTACGGCTGATGATCAGGGGGGTTATGTGTGGACAAGTCGGAAGAAGCATTCTTCGGAAGAGCTGCATGCTGAGCGTGTGGCGTCTGGCCTTGACCGACAGTGGAAAGCGCCGGACTCATTGGTCACAGAAGAACGAGACCACCGCAAAAAGGGCGTGAGTGGTAGGGTCTCAGATGCCCGGGCTGGTCTGGGTCGGTTCAAGGATGCAGTCGGGTTGCCGGGCTTGCGATCACATCACCACAAGAATTCCCGCGATGGTGTGGATGTAACCCATGACATTGCATATCAGCCTCAGATCGACAGTGATACGGAGGTTTCTGCCCAAAAATCCAAGACTAGCTCTGGGCGCTCGGAAGTGAAGGTGGGAGAGGAGTTTGGAACTCGATCTGAAGAAGAGCAGAATGTCCAACCTCCCACCAAGGCCAAACCTGACACCGAGATCAAGCCTCCTGAAATTCATGTCGAGACTGCCTCGTCCACATTTGATGTAGAGGAGCAGTCGGAACAAGCAGATCAATTATCCGACCTGCAACCGATTCCAGCGATAGACGAGGAATCGGATATAGAACGTGTCCTGAGCCGGTCTACCGCTGCATCCAGTGAGCGAGGACAGGACCGAGATCATCCTAGCTCGAACTTGGCTATGATGGCCCTGCGACGTGCACAAAGCTGCGAAGACCTTCGAGCTATTGAGAATGAAGACCAAATATGTGATGGTTGCTGTCCACGACACCTGTCCTTCAGCAATGTCGAAGAGGTTTTACTCACCTGGGATCCACTGGGCACCCAGCCAACGATGAAAGATACGACGAACCTCGAAGAAGCCATTGTCCAAGAAGATATGCTTGCATCTGACGCGTGCATTTTCAGCACGCGGATCCTGAAACTCAGTGAGCATACCGCGCCGTGGGTCGAGCGCCAGGTGGATTCCGTCGATGGCCTGAATAACATCCTGTACGAGCGGCACGAAGAACTCAACGCAGTGTACCTGGAACGCTTTGGCGATTACCAGCGACTACGCGAACGGTCCAGCGATCTCGTTACCGACGAGCACGCTCATCTAAGTGACAGCGTGAAGCGTGTGGAACTGCTAGGAGCCAAACTGGACTACGAGCTGCACGTCCTCCAGTCCAAAGTCGAAGATATGGAAGAAGGCATAAGTGATTTCGAGCGCCACATTGTAAATGTGGAAACCCGGTTCAAGGGCTTGCTCCAGGGCGAGGAGGAACATGGCGTTTCCTGGATGACCTGGTTGTGGCGGTCAATTGGATTTACGGCGCAGTGACATTGACGTCTTGCGGCTGCACACGACACGACCATGGACGTTGTATGATAGGGGTATTTTCCCGTTTCCCATTTCTTTTTTCCTATTGTACATAGACATCGGCGTTCCGCGCCGATAGAATAATAAACGATTTGTGATGATATGACATGTGGTTTCCATCACGACACGAAAAGTAGACAATCCACCAGTCAACCGGACAAAGCTCCGAGGTGGCATCGAGTGGCATCGACTTGGAGCTCAGCCAGTCCTATGCTCCCCAGTGTTCACTCCTTCCCGCGATACTGTAGCTAGTATATCAAATCCGGGGGGTCCTTTACATGCCAAAGCCCATACCACCACCCTGCTGCTGACCAGCACCCTGCTGCATCTTCTCGCTGACCTTGATGTTGACGTCGAAGAACTTGGAGACGCAGCGGTCCAGGCAGACAGACTCGCCCTTGTTCAGGTCGCCCTCGCGGTAGTCGGTGGGGATGCACTTCTTAGTGCAGGACTCGGTGAGGCTGTGGATGGGAAGATTGGTTAGAATGGCTAGTCGCGAGAGGAGCGGAGGAGGAGGGAGAATGATCTGATTATCGGGAATTGATGGATACTATGCTTACCGGGTGAACATGTCGGAGATCATCTCGACTTCAGTCTCGGCGGCAGCAATCTTCTGCTCCGAGGACATCTTGGGCTGGCCACCGAAGAGGAAAGACATTGTGATGGTGGATGGAGTGTGATTTGGGAGAGGGTCGGAGCTGGTGGGTATCAGTATGGATGATCATTCGGTATGGCATAGATCAATGTAGTATAATCGCAGTAATTCTTACACGGTAGTTGAGCTTGTTGGAGTTGATTGTGATGGGATTTGATAGTTCACGCAGCGGAACCGGAAGTCCTCTCGAGGTCTCTCGTGAAGCTCGGGCCACTTTCCTTGGCCGCTTCTCCGCCCGCGCCGAGTTTTTCCTTTTCCATTTTCTCTTTCTCTGCTTCTTCTTCTTCCCTTCTCTCCTTCATCCCACGCAATGTGAGCGGGAGTCTGCGTCTGCTCTTCATGCATTCAATTCGCCCTCGGGTACTGAGAGGCCTTGCAGGTCTGCGGAGCAGGTAAGCGATTACAATTCTTTTTTTCTCTTGTCTTTTCTGTTTTCTGTTTTTGCATTTTATCATGATGAGATTATCCCCTCTGCTTCAGAACCGCTGCAGTTGATGTCCTTCGGGACATATGAACGAACCGGAACTATATTTCTGATTACAATTGTCTTCTTTTCATCCAATCGGATATCCTTAATTGGTGACAATCATAAGCTAACTCAGCTTTGCAGTGCAGGCCTGCGCCCTTCCAACTCCCGTATCCAGTCTCCCCTAGGGCTGGCTCAACTAACCCCCCAGCTCCAGTTCAAGCTTCAGCTTGAGTTCTGTCGTTTTGCAAGCTCCAATGCATCGCCCGAAAAGGCCTTCCAAGAGCGCGTGCAAGAAATCCGCAATGCCTGTGCCGAACCCTATCCCCGGCTGGCGGTAGACTCGCGCACCCTCAGTTGCGCCGAGTTCCGCTCTCGCTATGCCCATCTGAAGGATAATGAATCAGTAGAGGAAGACTCGGTGGTGGTCTCTGGTAGGTCGCCTGTTCCGGTTCTGTGGATCAGTCCTTGTACTTAGATTAGTTAGGTAGGATTCGTACGTATAGACTTGCCGGGAGCAAATTGATCTTCTTCGATATCGTGCAAGATGGATGCAAAGTCCAAGTCATGTGCAATAAGCGACAGCTCGAGGGCATTGAGGGTCCTGAGTTTAAGAAATTTTATCGCCTCCTGCGTCGGGGTGATGCATTCTGTATGTACTGTTGATGCTGATGCTCTGCTGCTGGCTCGACTGATCCTTGGTCTGCTGGACTAACGACGCTATGCAGCCGTAGCTGGACGACCACATCGCACTAGTCGTGGCGAACTCACCATTGATGCGACAGAGTTGCCCACGCTGCTCTCGCCGTGTCTGCATGATGTCCCCGTTCACGATAGCTCGCACCAATCCTCGCCCTATCCCCGCCATATCCAATTCCTGGCTGATCCTGCGACGGCGGATATCCTTCGAGCTCGAGCCTCTTTGATCCAGTACCTACGCCAATTCTTCGTGGATCGGTCGTTCATGGAAGTCAGCACTCCCATTATCGGGTCCGTGGCCGGAGGTGCCATTGCTCGGCCATTTAATACCTCGGCCACCGAGTTCCCTGATCGCCAATTGTCGCTGCGCATTGCACCAGAGCTATGGCTTAAGCGACTAGTCGTGGGTGGATTTGACAAAGTGTTTGAGATTGGACCCTCGTTCCGAAATGAAGGTATTACATGCAAAATCCGAAGATGCTAGAGAGAAATACTAATCTCCTCAATCCTCATGACAGGCATTGACAAGACACACAACCCCGAATTCACCACCTGCGAATTCTACCACGCCTATGCCAACCTAGAAGACTTGATGCACATCACCGAAACGCTCCTCTCCGGCATGGCCACTCACATCAAGGCCCTCAACAAAGAAGGCACCCTTAATCAAACCACCGCCAACTTCACCACTCCCTTTCGCCGCATCGACTTCATCCCGGGCATCGAAGCCCAAATCAGCCGCTCCCTCCCTGATCTCTCCTCCCCCGACGCCCTCACAAACATGCACACTCTCTTCCACGATCTCTCCCTCCCACTCCCCACCAACGCAACCCTCCCGCGCCTCCTCGACGAGCTCTGCGCCACCTACCTCGAACCCACCTGCACAGATCCAACCTTCATCATCAACCCGCCCGAATGCCTCTCCCCACTCTCCAAGTCCTTCATCCACCCAACAACAAAACAAGTCGTCGCCGCCCGCGGCGAGCTCTTCATCGAAGGGAAGGAGGTGGTTAACACCTATGAAGAGGAGAACTCGCCCTTCGAGCAGCGGCGCAAGTTTGAGGACCAGGTGAGGTTTAGTAAAGGGGGTGAGGAGGGTGTCGAGGTGGATGAGAGTTATTTAGAGGCGTTGGAGTGGGGGGCTTCCTGCAACGGGGGGTTGGGGCTGTGGTATTGATCGATTGGTGATGCTTTTCACGGGCGCGAAGAAGATTGGTGATGTCCTGTCGTTTGGGACTTTGAGGGCTGTGACGAGGAGGGTTGGTGGTGGGAGTGAGTAAGATATACGAGGACAAGGAGGAGATAGTTTAGTACTGTCGATAGTTTGTATACTTCATACCCTTTCCAGCTCAGTTGCATGCAACCTCTCTCGAGTACATTTGCGTACTTTATTTCTCTTATTTCGCTAGTCCTTCAGTTCCCCTGGTATTGTAGTATCCGTCTCTAGCCGTGGCTGACCTCGGCGCGGCCCGTCTGGTTGATCATCTTTTTTATCGTCTTCTGAAGCGGGGGAAAGATTCCACTTTGTGTTTCCCCAAGCCTTTGCTCAATCATGACTACCATTCAAGCACCCGTGGCCCAGGCGGTCACTGTGAGTCTCAAGGAACTGGAAGAGGGTAAACCATTCCTCTAGCAGTCCATAGCATGTACAATCGCTAATCCCCATCCAGGAACCGTCTCCTTCGACACCCTCACCGAGGCCTTTGGTCCCGCCTCCCTCGGCATCATCATCGTGAAAGACCTGCCCCAGCACTTTGTCCAACTCCGTGCCCAGGTCCTCTCGCATGCAAGCTATCTCGCAGCCCTTCCCAAGTCCGATCTAGGTAAGTGGTAGCAGTCCCGGGGACCAGCACCCGTCCTATCATTCTCCAATGTGGAAAGTATCCGACCAGCTCACACCCCGCAGAATCCCTCGAAAGCCCTGAGTCAAACTACCTCGTCGGCTGGTCCTGCGGCAAAGAAACTCTCAAATCAGGAACCTTCGACACCCTCAAGGGCTCCTACTACGTCAACTGCGCCTTCTACCAGGACGCCGCCCTCCAAAATGCCCCCGCAGACGGCTTCCCCGATCTACCCCAGTACACGGCCCCAAACATCTGGCCGCCAGAGCGCAAGTTGCCCAGTTTCAGGCCCAGTGTGGAAGCACTCTGCTCGCTGATCATTGATACTGCTGCGCTGGTGGCCAAGGCGTGTGATCGCTACGCCGAGGCGAATATCGAGGGTTACAAGCCGGGGTATCTGGCGCATGTTGTCAAGACTAGTCTGACGACTAAGGCGCGTTTGCTGCATTACTTCCCTGCGGATGAATCCAAAACCAACTCTTCCTCCCCCGAAGACGACGACTGGTGCGCCACACACGTCGACCACGGCTGTCTAACAGGCCTCACATCAGCAATGTTCCTCGACGAAGCATCCACCCTCCCCATCCCCGATCCCACCCCAACAACCTCCCTCCCCGAACTAGCCCAATCCCCCGACCCATCCGCCGGTCTATACATCCGCTCGCGCACGGGCGAGATTGTCAAAGTGAATATCCCCAAGGATTGCCTGGCTTTCCAGACTGGTGAAGCCTTGCAGTTGATTACGCGGGGCAAGTTCAGGGCGGTGCCGCATTTTGTCAAGGGGGCTAGGTGTGTGGGTGGGAAGCAGAAGATTGCGAGGAATACGTTGGCGGTGTTTACGCAGCCGAATCTGGGGGAGGAGGTGCAGGAGGGTTTGACTTTTGCGGAGTTTGCGAGGGGGGTTGTTGCGAAGAATTACTAAGGGGCTGTTGGGGAGTAAATAGTAAAGTGGGAAGACTATAGTATGTTTATGAATGTGAATGTTGAATGCTTGATAGCTGGCGTCTAGTTGAAAGGGTTGGGTCTCGTTGGCTCATTGACCGAGGATGTGAGATAAAATACTACATACTACATTGAAGTATGAATGGATGGACCTACCAGTCCATCTATCTATCTAGGTATTGCCTAAGAGTTCTCACATAAGTTCATTCTATTGTTTCGCTATAGTACATAAAGGGTCATAACTCATTAGAAATATCAAATTGCCTCCCTGCGCCGAACCAGAAATGGGAGCAGTGCAGACTCCAGTTTCCCTGCGAACCACTTGTAGAGTGACAGACGCCTGCAAACAAGATGACTTACCCTGCTAGAGAACACACTCACCGCGCCTGCCCGAAATCGCTGCTAGACCTTCAAGGCTTGTACTCCGGTCCCTCGCTTGGCTCCCGGAATGGAATCGATGCTATCAGCTCCGACTCCGAGAGATCCATATCCGACGGAGTACTTGCCCCAGGTCCCGCGGACCCTTCTCCAGCATCTTCGTTCTCGGTCACTGCACCCAGCCCGGTGCTAACGAGCTTGCTCAGCTTCCTGACCTCACTGAAGGTCTTCTTCGCGCGCGGACGGCCCCTAGGTGGCTTTGAAATTCCCAGATCCGCCAGCCGGTAGTCGGTCTCGGATGTACTTCCCTGCAGAATTCGAAGAATAGCCTGCCATCTCACGGGGTCATCACGCTGTTCCGCGGCTACTCCGACATCAATTCCGTTCATGGTTGCGAGACCGAGGGTTTCCACGCGGTTGTCGCCCCAGAAAAAGTCCAGGCCTGGCGGAATGCGGGCGTCAGTCTGGACCGAGTACCGTCTGCCGCTTAGGATACCGTGAAGGTCGTAGTCGATATCAAAGGTCCGGAAGTTCAAGAAGGTGGCCTCGGGTTCGTAGCATCGGCCTAGAATCATGCCCGGCGATACGACACAAGTCTTGCCCGCTGCAACACGGTACCACCGGCCATACACGCGCATGCCCACCTGCGAGAAGGCATTGTCGACCTCTCGAGGAGTGAGCTTCTCCAGGGGATCGGCGTCGAATGGCATAATCCGGTTAAGCCGCTGGGGATCGCGAGTGTACACTTTGCCGGCAATGTAGGGGACCATTTTCTTTGCAAGTTGCTCGTCATTCGGGTCGGCATTGCAGTCGTCGAGTTGCAGCCAGATCTGCTCAACAACCATCACGTCGGTGACAGTAAGTCCAAGGCCCTTTTTGACTTTGCCCTGGTTGTCTTCCATATCTTCGGCTTTCATACCGAAGGGCTTCAAGCGCGCTGCGTCCGAGATGGCAATAAGCTCCGTGCCAATGAAAATGCCCTTGCAGTCGATGCGGGCATTTGGCCAGGTTCCATGGAAGCGAACCTTATGCAGCAGGCTGTAGGAAGCCATGGTCATCATCGCATTCTCGACGGACGGATGCAGCTTCTCGCGGGGGTTGGCCAGAGGAAGTGCTCGAAGGCACCGAAGGGCTTGATGCACTTCAACGGCACGTACTTGTAGTGCAGCGAGTAGGACTTGTCGTCTTCAAGAGGGTCGGGGAGTGTCTCGACGCGGAATCCAGAGTACGAGATCGGCTGCTTCTTCTTGGTCTGGTGCGTGATGTCGAGGTAGCTTGACTGCTCTTCGGAAACTTGCGTGACAACCCCGGCACGCCAGTCCGGCATACCGAGCCACTTGCCGTCTTTGGCGCGTACTTCGAATGCTTGAGTCTCCGTGTTGTATTCGAGAGTGCCGTCAAGGGTAGGGGTCCAGAGGACGGTTTCGCCGCGCCGGGGGACAAAGGCTGGCTGGAGGGTGAGACGCACGAAGTAGTCGTCGAGGTACTTGTGTGTGAAAACCCAGTCCATATTCAGTGGGTGGTTGATCTTCTCGTCAAGTGTGCCCTTCTCCTTAAGATCCATGATATGGATCTTCCAGTAATCAGGGCCCTCTTCATCTCCAGGTAGCTTGGAAGAGGTGGATCTTCCGCTTCCGCTCGCGGCGGTGTTTTCGTTGCCCGACATTTTGGCCCTGTCGGCCTCCATCTCAGCTTTAGTGCGTCCTGAAATGGTGGTGAGGTGGTAAGCATCTATATTCTGAGTGGTGAGGGGGAAAGGTTGGATATAGGGAAAAGGCGACTCACGCTTTCGGGGTCTGTATTCTCCCACTGGCCTGGAGCCTGACTGGAGTTGCTTGGCGCAGAGCTTACACTCGCATGGTTGCGCTCGATCGGTCATCAACCAGTAGAAATGCACGAAAAAGGTGACACGAGACTGGAAGTATCTGCCACTTGGGTGCCCAAACAGGAACGAGTCTCGCTGTTAAAGAGTCAACTTATCTATCTGATCAGGGCCAAAATTGGAATATCCGACTCACTACCTTGTTGTCCGTACCTCCTCCTCGTGGGCGATCCATCAGGACATAGCCTTCAGGTAGCTTTTCCAGAATGTACATGATGTCTATTCGAAGTGAAGAATTAGCCCCCATAGCACTTGGCAGTGAAATAACAGATAGATGCCAGCATGATATATCAGCTTGGTGAAACACATTTCAATCCATATTAGAACCGGTCGTCACTGCATGAACCGGCATATAAAGATCAATGTCCGATAGAGCTAGAACACGCTAACGTCATGTTCTTCTCCGGAACTGACCCATAGTGGAGTCCTGCAGCCCCATGACCACTTCTCTTAAGACCGGATAATGACCCAGACATGATAGTAGACAAGAAACACAAGAAGAAGAAAACTTGACGCCACATACCGTCTTCTGGAGCACCCATTTGCTTCTCTACCCACATTTGGGCGAGACCGATGCGCCAACCCTCATCATCGCGTAGGCTGTAGACGAACCGAGAACCTTGATCGTTCGCCGGCCAGGTGGTTCTGTCACCATCGCTTTTCTCGTCCTCGACGGGGATGATCACCGTATTGGGATCATCCGACATCTCACCGTCATTCGACATCTTGAGATATCAAACACGGCAAGATGTGCAAGGGAATGGCGGGGCTAGACTGCCCCTATTGTAGATGATAGTGCCCAGGTGTGAAGTAACGAGGTCAGAATATGCTATTAATTTATTAAACGACGCGAGTGGAAAAAGAAAGGAAGAGTTGTAAACTGAGCATGCAGTTCAATTGACCAAACAATGAATACGCACGTGACGACCTCGAGATAATTCATAAAGCGCTCAAGTAGGGCGGTGAGTATGGATTTGCCGTCCTGGAAAGGCGGTCAGGGATGGCGGAAATTCTATAGAACACGTGATCTAACGGTTAGGGGAGAGATCATGCAATAGTACAAGTATGATGGGCACAAGTGCGATGGCTAAATGGAGTTGAGTTGGTTCATAGTTGCTGGCCTTTCTGAATCAAATTGACCTGGGATAAGCTTCAGGTTCAAGAGCCCAAGTGAGATGGGAATTATACATCAACTTACAAGTTCCTACACTCGACTACAAATCAATATAAAGCGCCAAGGCACAGCAAAAGGCGTCAAGGTGTAAATAGAAAGCGAATTTGCATTTAACGAGGCGCTTCTGGTATACAAGAAATCAAATCCTAAATCATTCAAAATCGAGACATCCATGTGTCTTGTTCAATTCGTAGTCTCTTCAACGGACGCCTCAACGGCAGTCTCGATTGCTGGCTTCGCATCTTCCTCTTGATAAGGAGGGGGAGCAATCTCCCCATCACGGGCCCAAACCTTGCAAAGTTCATTCTCAATCTCTTCCCGGCGCTTCTTCCATTCATCGACCTTGTCTAGACGCTTACGCAGCTCCTGGAGTTCCTTCTCAACCCCGAGCTTCTCCTTGTCGGTGCCGATCCTCTCAAACTCCCAACGCTCACCCTCTTCGCCAAGGCCTAGCGTCAGGTTGTAAGTGTGATACTTCTTAAGAGATGCACGGGTTGAAATAGTAATGAGAGTGATGCCGCGCTCCTTGGCTTGCTCGTAGAGCACGCCCTCCACGTCGGAGGAAACGGCTGAAGTGCCTTCGTCGATGAACGCGTAGCGAGGTTCATGATAGAATAGACGGGCCATAGCCATCCGCTGCTTCTCTCCGCCGCTCAGCACGTCCTTCCACTCCTTGCGAGCGTCCCAGCCACCTTCGCGTTGAGGCAGGTAGCCTAAGTGCGCAGCATCGAGGATCTTCTGCAAGTTTGCATCGGACTCACCAGCCTCGCGCATGTCGATCTCAGTGTGAGGATAGATGACTTGATCACGCAAGGTACCCACGCTCAAGTAGGGTCGCTGGGGGAGGAACATTATGCCGTCGAGTCCAATGGGGCGGGGTCGACTGACTAGGCCGCGGTAGACAGGCCACAAGCCAGCAACAATTCGGGGAATCGCAGACTTGCCAACGCCGTTGGGTCCCGAGATGAGGAGGTGGTCACCGGAGTGAACGATGAAAGAGAGGGATTCAATCAACTCATCGCCCCCCATTGGATAAAGGGAGGGTGCTACAATGGGAACTTGCTCCAGGCGAACACCATCGAAGCCGTTGTGGGTAGTACCCTGGGCATCAGCGAGGGAGTACAGCTCAGGATGCGAGCCGCGAGGTGGGTAGTAGGCATTGGCGTGAACGCGATGCAGAGTGGCGATCAGACCGTAGACTCGTGACGTGTACCCTGCCAGTTCCGAGATATCCTTGATACTGTACATCATACGGCCACCTGCGTCGGCCAGCGAGAGCATGAGCCGCTTGTTAGTGATGAATTCCTTCATTCTGCCTCGCTCACGGCCGACTCCTTCTGGTGCATCAGCCAACTCCATCGCACCACCCAAGCCGCCCCAGGCCGGAAGGAAGACAGGAAGAGAGGTCACCAAGTAGCCAAAGGCGGACCAGGAGTACTTCAAGATCATGTCCTCAAGCATGTTGTAGCGGATCTTGAGGCTATATATTCCCTCCATCCACCGCTGCAGCTCCTTGAAGCTCCTCGCGAGGAAAACACGCTCAGTGTCGGCTCCGCCGTAGAATGAGATCTCTTCGGCATTGGCTAAGAGTCTAGAGTGCAGGCCCCGGAAGTCACCTTCCTTCTTGCCCTCCACGGCTTTGAGTTTTCCGAATGGCGGTGACAGCTTCCGGAGCACCACAGCCGTACTGAAATAGCCAGTGAGAATTCCACTCAAGGCGAGAGGACCAAGCGAACGGTAAAGCTGGTAGTTGAATACAAATAGATCCACCATGGGTTTACCCAAAGATGAGTATAGTGATGCCGCGGCCGAGCAGAAGAGGGTGAGATCTTGCGTGATGAATTGATCAGGGCCATGGCCAATACCGCCATCCAAATTCATCAACTTGTAGTAGTTGTGGTTGTCGGTCAGGTATAGGTCATGGATATACCTCGTCAAGCGGGTCCGGAAGGCAATCGACACCTTGGACTGGAGGAACTTGATCATAGCGTTCGTGTACGAGGCGAGAGTACCGATGCCACACCATTTGACGATACCCCAGAGGAAGGCTTTTCCTTTGCCTGCAACCAGATCTCTAACAATCTCTCCGTCAAGGCGAGCAATGAGCAGCGACAGATACGTTCGTAGCAGCAGGAACACGCCGTGGCTCATCAACAGTCCAGTCTCCTTGCTGCCCCATCGTGGAACCATGATGCTTCCCAAACTCAAGAATTGATGTAAGAAGGCCAAATTTAGACCGGGTTTGGTTGTCGGCGGAGGAATCTGATTCGTAGATCCGTCTTCAGCACTGCGAGCCGAGGCCGGAGGGTTTAAGAATAATCGCCGGTGGGCATCAAAGGTAGTCGGCTTGGTCGGATGGATCAAGACCTTCGAAGTCCGTTCGCCTTTGTAAGGAACATAGATGGTACGGGACCCATCTTTCCCTCTAATACCCGAGTTTCGACGAAGCAACCGACGGCCTTGAGTACGCTCCTTGGCCCTCTCGCGTAACCAGTTGTATCCTCCATACCCTGAACCGATAATCGATAATAGCAGTGCTATGGTGGCAATCAGTCGAGTCGTTGGAGAGGTACGCTTTAAACGCGAGCGGAGTAATTCTGAATAGTGTAAGTAGAGCGCCAGGAGGGGGTCCTCCGGGCGCCGGAGTGTCGACTGGGCGGCCATTTATCGAGCCCAGATCGGCCTCCGTATTCACAGCGTTGAGCCCAAATGGCGTTTTAACATGGGCGATATTCCATCAGAAGCAGAGACCAGCTCCTAGGGCATATAGAGATTAGGATGGAGGAGTTGGAGAAGATGAGATCCCCCACAAGGACAACCAGTTTGGGCCAAGGGAGAGGCTTGCATGATTGCATGTGAACCTCGGGATTGCGGAGAGGGCACGTGCCCGGGGAAAGCTCCAGTGGTTCCACTGGAACAAAGCAGTGCTGACTAACCACGCTCTATCAAAACTGGGGATTTTCCTAACCTATCTGCGAGACTTTGGATTGCCAGCGCATGGTTGCTATTCAGAGAATAATCCATCCGTATGTGAAATAAAATCCAGAGTCCTGGAGCTGAAATAGGGTATTACAATACTTGTGGTGAAGTTTGATTCGAGCCGTTGGGGTCTTGAAGGACCATCTTTACAAATTCGAGGACCGCTGGGTACTGGATCAACTTGTCAAAAGACAGTACTGAGTGTTATGAGATATATAAGACAAGTGTATAATCTGAGGTGCTCAAAGGACTATAGAGAGCCAAATCGATACTGAACAATTTTACGCATTCCAAAGCCTCTCGACCATACATTCTCTACTTTGACTACCGAGGTCAGGGTAATAATGCAGAAGCCATTTGTTAACCAAAATATCGTAATACCTATCTATTTAAGATAGTATTGAATGTATGGCTATCGGACGAGGACTTGATTGAATGGTTGAATGATCGATATGGAAATTCAGAACGCAGGCTGTACACAGGTAGGTATATATATTTGTCTACTTACATCCTCTATCACAAATGCTATCCATTCATCATGTAGTGTATACTTAATCAGATTGTGTGACACTGTAGTGTAGATTGGATGATCAAAGATGATGGATGCAGTTATTCACTCAAGCGATTAACCTGCCACCATCATCTTTCAATTGTTTTGAACACGGCCTCGATTGCTTGTGTTTACAATAATCACCCCCGATACGAGATGACTGCCTTTCAAACCCAGGCAATCCTCTCTGCATATGAGTTTGGCATGGCTATTGTAATAGGGTCAGCAGCCCTTCCATCACCTCTCAATTGTATCTATGTTTCAGCCAGATTAGTAAACATTTAGCAAATTTCTATAACTAACTAACTAGTTAGTTATCGTAAGCTCCCCAGCCCCCTAAAAGCTCTTTCCAACTACCTATTCCGTGGTCTTCTTCCGCACAAAATCACGAGCACTATCAAATAATAAGACCTGATCATAATGAGGACAGAGAATAGAAACATAAAAATAACATATTAGACTGTACAGCACAGGGCGTACATACATAACACCATCCTGCAGCGTTGCATCTTGGCCAGGGATTGGGCACAGTAACATCCAATCCCATGCCTTCTGCAAAAGGCCCTAATTTCCGCCAATAGTGGCCACCAATGCCTCCACTTTGCCTAGGGCCATAGCTTCCTCCACTCCAGTGGACTGTTAGCTGAAGGGCTCGAAGAGCAAGAAAAAAAGGGGCAGACCTGGCCTGAACAACCCACTTTCTTTCCAAGTGGGGGCTGATTTTTGGTCCTCCGATTGTCTCTCACGAATAGAGCCACGAATTGAATCGTGTATTCTGTACGGAGTCGGACATGCGGAGTACATTCTGGTCCAGGCCCTACACTGATCATCTTTCGAGTGTGTTGCCCTCTTTCCCCCCCCTGTAGCGGAGTACACCATGCATCCTGGAGGGGCTGCATTGTACCTTTCTACTGGCTCTCACCTGCAGCGGATGAGATAGTTACAACCGATTAAACCCCGGCTTGGGGAGGGGACCCTCCAGTGTGATTAAAAGTGATAATCAGAGCTTAGCCGCCGAGGGCTGGCAATAGTGCGAAAGTTGAACACAGAGTCCAGAGTACTCCGCATAGAACCACAGAACATAGGACTTCAGTAAACGGAAGACTTCTAGACTCCAGCGTGACAGGGGCACACAAGCCAATCTGCGAGCATCGTGACTCTTCGAGTGACATCGCTCAAGCACACCCTGGACGAACACTACTACAACACACACTAACCCAAGGCCAAACGACTGCTTACGAGCAGAGCCTGAAGGCCTGAAGGGAATCCCGCCCAGATCGGCCCCAGTCATCCACCACGTGACATCCTCGACTCCTCTCTTGCCTCAGCCATAACATTCTCCCCCCAGGCATCGTTCTCGTCGCATTATCCCTCTCTGGTTGGGCTGCACTTGTCAGCCTTGGCCTGCTAAAGTTGCTGGTTCACTACGGGGTACGTGCAAAAAGAAAACAAGCCCGCTGCTCTACGGCCCGGTTTCCAGGAGGCGTGTTGACCTCGTTCTTAGCCGCGCCCCCGAACATACTGAGCTTCTGAGCGAGCTGCAACCCTTTGCTTCCTGTCTCAGCTCGCTTTATACGTTCACTGGACCCCACAGGTTCGTGCCATCTACAGCTAGCCTCGATGGTAGAACAAAGTACGGGGCAAGATCCCTCGTCAGCGTCAGCCCCCGAATCGGCGGGCAAAGAACCCATGAACATGAACTCCTCTGGTAGTGAGGACCCCAGTGGTAAGTAGTCCCACCTGGAGCAGATATCGCATGCCATTCTTGATGCGATTGCATTGGAAATTCCACGGTCGCTGACACTCCTCGCTGCCATCAGGTCCGGAACAACCCTCCGAACGCCCAGCCCCCGATGCTGCTGACATTCAAGGATCGACCGCTGGCGCATCCTCTCAGCTGGCCTCCCCACCGGTCGCATCGACACCTGGTGCGTCGGGTGCCACTGAAAGTGCCGAAACTCCCAAGAAAAACCGTCTGTTGATTCCAATCCCGTCGCGAAGGTCCTCCAAGACCGATCAACACTCGACATCGGAGAAGACTGCAGAGGCAACACAGGATGAATCTAGTCGGAGAGGATCCAGGGTCAGCATCTTGAAGATCACCAGGGATCGCAGTCGGGCGAGCAGCAGACGGTCGCGACGGACTCAGCAAGAAGTGGCGAACACGGAGAAGAGCCAGGAGATGACGGCTCCGACCACACCTGAAACGAACGGACCCTCCAAGCCTCAAGAGAAGAAAGGGCCCAAGCTGTTTGCATTTTTGAGCTGCTGCTCCTCGCCGGATGTGGATGGCGACGATAGCACTGTGCCTCCGAAGAAGACGTCAAAGCAGCCCCCGGTGTCCAATCGGCTGCCCACTCCAGACAAAGCAGAGGCTCATACTGGAGACTCGAGTACCGCTGAATCCAGAGATCCGGCTTACTTTGGGGACGAGAAAGCTGTCGCAGTGACAGCAGATCACCAACATCCTCAGGAGGAGGAGCGGAATGCAGAGGTCTCGACTGATACGCGAGGTGAGGGTGCTTCGGCTGCTGGTGGTCAGCCCGACGTCCAGTCCGTGAGCTCCAAGGAACATGAGCCTAAGGTTGCTGCGGCAAATGGAGTAATACCAGAGTCCAAGACCGAGGTTGCGAGATCAGATGAGCAGACTCCCGCGACTGAAAATGCCACAACAAACGAGACAACCCCCAAGAAGCCCGCGGGTGAAGGTGAGATTCAGGCGCACGAAGAGGAAGTAGTTCAAGCACCGGCCGTGCTGCCCCCTCCTCCACCACCACCTGCTCCTGAGGTGGCCATCGCATCGGAGGGTGAGCAGCAACAGTGGTTGCTTCCACCAGCGCAGCCACACCTGTCGAATCGCAAGTGTCTTGTGCTGGATCTGGATGAGACTCTCGTCCACAGTAGCTTCAAGGTAAGTAAAGCACTCTCTTATCTGACTCGATCGTTTGAGATGGTGATTTAACTCATGTCGCAGGTTCTCGAACGTGCTGACTTCACGATTCCCGTGGAGATTGAAGGCCAGTATCACAATATTTATGTGATCAAACGGCCAGGCGTGGACCAGTTCATGAAGCGGGTTGGAGAGTTGTATGAGGTGGTCGTGTTCACGGCATCCGTATCCAAGGTGAGTTGACAAGTTGATGAGATCATCTTCTAAGCACGTTGGCCCCGCGTGGGACCGACGACAGTGCCGCGACGACGACTAATCATTTCCTACAGTATGGCGACCCTTTGCTGGATCAACTGGACATTCATAATGTGGTGCACCACCGTCTCTTCCGTGAGAGCTGCTACAACCACCAAGGAAACTACGTCAAGGTTTGTCCCGCTTCATCCCCTAATTTCCATCGACGATCACTGTATCTAACTATCCATCAGGACCTTTCACAAGTCGGCCGCGATCTACGGGAAACGATCATCATCGACAACTCGCCCACATCCTACATCTTCCACCCTCAACACGCGATACCCATCAGCAGCTGGTTCTCTGACGCTCACGACAATGAACTGCTGGACCTCATCCCTGTTCTCGAGGATCTTGCTGGGGCCCAAGTCCAAGATGTCAGCATGGTCCTGGACATTACCCTCTGAAACGCACGTCTTGTCCGGATCTCTCTTACGCCTAAGATTCCCCATTAAGCGAGTCATTCCCTTGTTTGGTTTTTCTTTTCCTTTCGCGAGAAAAAGCTCTTTTTCCTTCTGCAGTCTCCGTCCCAGTTCCAGTATAACACCCCAGCTTTCAATTCTAGCATTTCTGTGATCCGCGCTTGCCCGTTTTGTTTTGCTCACATTACTTCGGGCTTCACTTCGCTTCTTCAGATCCTGGCCATTGACCCAGATCGGAACAGGTTCCAACGGGGTCATGGCCTATATGATGATGATGCATTTGTCGTCAATTTTGCCCCGTCACTATAGCCTGCGCAACCGGCCTGGCATTTTTGTTCCTTCATATTTCCCTTCTGGTCGTTTATCTTCACTTCTGTGTCTTTCAGATTCGGCATTGTGATCTCACTTATCTGACCGTGCTCCAAGTCCGCCACTTTACCATTCCCCTCCATTTCCTAGTATCACCCCCTATCCAAATCAATCGGACTCGCAGTCACGCCCCTTCTGATCTTTCCTTCCTGTCTTGTGTCCATTTCCTTTTACCAAGTCCCGCATTCTCCAATGCATTACGCAGGCGTCTGTTGGTTATTATGCCCTTCTCCCAATGTATCCCTCCCCCTGCCAAGCCTGCGTCCCTTGTTGATTTCCCCAGCCTTGCTACGCTGCGTCCAGCTTTTCCAATACAAGACTCCTGCATTTCGCTGTCTGTTTGTTCATGCCGAGTCTGATTTACCTCGGGGCAGTGTCAGCTAATAAGTGTCTTCCTGCACACTGCTCATGAAGGGATCGTTGGGAATTGCATCGTTTTCGTGCAATGTACATGGCCTCCCTTCGGCTGCGGCTTCGTGGCTCTCTATGCTGTACATAATCTTTGAGAAGACATTTCATCTGAAATAACAGAAGCTTGGCGCATTGTTTAAATAACCTTGTAAACTGAACATATCAGGCACACCAGCGAGAAGGGTAGATTTTCCGTGGTTGAGGCTGCGGAGAACCACATCAAGCACCGCCCTCGTGCCCGCATTGGGATGGATGTAGTAGTCAGCGTCCACGTTAAATCCAACCCCGACAAAACCTTCTTAATCCCCTCATATCCTCAGACCAACGTGATTCTCAACTGCAGAATCAATTGACCAGACAACCCACGGCAGAGACCACCGCCACTGCCATTTTTCAGGCATACGCCGGAACCTCGGCCAGCGCCCTCACAAAGCTCCCCGCAATCGCATCGCACCATCCCACTACTTACCGCCCGTCCGCCACCTCCAACTCTACCAACCTCACAGCACACCCAACATGAAGAACAAGGAAGGCTGGGACGGCAAATTACGAGTCGAGCCCAAAGCGGTCATCACGAATCCAGAGGCTCTGGAGGACTCAGATTACTCGGACCCGGAGGCACCGCCTGTCGAGGAGATCGACGCGGATGAGGGTAAGGTTTTTGGCGGCAGCGCACGCGCGGGTTTCTTACGGGATGAACACGGGGCTGATTGGTGACAGACTTGCTGGCGGATGAGGATGTGAACGTGGAGGTTTGTGAAGTCCTTGCTGGGGATCCTGGCTGTGCCTCTCGAGGGGCAAGATGAGGAGTGGTTTTGCTGATCAATTTTGTGGTTCCGGAGTAGGATATTGACCTGGTTCATTGTCGCGTATCGTCGATCGCTGCACTGCGGTTGGAACGGTTTACCAAGCTTCAGGTATCACCTTCACCTTCCCTTAATCGTGTGCCACATTCGAGGAAGAGAGAGAGAGAGAGAGAGAGAGGGACTGTGTCTAGCTACAGCGCTTCGAGTCATTTGCAGTGATGAGTCTTGTATGTCTGAAAACAGCAAGCTAACAAGAAGGACTTTTAGAGACTATGCCTCCGCCAGAACCAAATAACACGCATCAACTTCCCACCCGATATCGCCGAGTCATTGACGGAGCTTGATCTCTACGATAACCTCATTTCGCACGTGAAGGGCTTGGACGAGTTCCAGAACCTGACCAGCCTCGATCTTAGCTTCAATAAGATCAAGCATATCAAGAATGTGGAACACCTCAAAAAATTGACGGATATCTACTTTGTCCAGAACAAGATCTCTCGGATTGAAGGGCTTGAGGGGCTGGATAGGTTACGGAATCTGGAACTGGGAGCGAATCGAATCAGGGTATGTGAGGAGATCAGCAGATGATGGAGGGGAAGGAAACCTTGATCTTCGAAATTGACTTGTGTTGAAAGGAAATCGAGAATCTCGACACGCTTTCCTCTCTCGAGGAGCTCTGGCTCGGAAAGAACAAGATCACAGAGATGAAGGTGCGTACTCTCTACGCTCTCGAATATCACTCGCTGCCAGATGCCGTGCCGGTGAACTAACACATCCAGAACCTGGACGCTCTCTCCAACCTCCGCATAATCTCCATCCAATCCAACCGCCTCACCAACATCACCGGACTCTCCAACCTCCCCAACCTGGAAGAACTCTACCTCTCCCACAACGCCATCACCGACCTCTCCGGTCTCGAAACAACCACCACCCTCCGCGTCCTCGACTTCTCCAACAACCAACTCTCCCACCTCGAGCATCTCGGCACACTGAAGAATCTGGAGGAGCTGTGGGCGTCTAATAACCAGCTCACGAGCTTTGACGAGGTCGAGCGCGAGCTGAAGGATAAGGAGAAGCTGGAGACGGTGTATTTCGAGGGGAATCCGCTGCAGACGAATGGTCCGGCTGTGTACCGGAATAAGGTGCGGTTGGCGTTGCCGCAGATCAAGCAGATTGATGCGAGTATGTTGTGAACCTCCAAGCTCTGTTGCATTGTGGTCATTGATATGGATCCGGGCTAACACTTTATTTCTCACAGCGTATGTACGAGTTTGAGATGCAACATAGGCTTGGATTTTTATTCGCATGCGTGGCGGGGAATTCTGGCTTTGACAATCCTGTTGTCTTGTAATCCGCTTTAGCAGGGCGCATGCCTTATGAGAAACGAATACGACTGAGCCTTGCAGGGCATGAATCCAGTTTACTTGGATATACTACTCGTATGATGCGTGTCATTTCGTAGGTATAGTATCTTGATGCATAAATCAGGGTATCATTCTATATTCTATACAAGTTCTCGTCTTAAGATCCCTTCCAAGACCTACAAGCCACGAGTCCCGGCTTTGCGCAATCTGTCTGAGTGTCGCGTGATGTCTCGATCAAGGACGTCCACGGGGTATAGCCCAAGAGAAGCACGAGATGGTGTCTGGCTGTTTTTGTTTTGCCCACCAGATCGCAAGAGCCTCGCCAATTCTTCTCTTACAAGAATTTCCCAACCCAGCCAAGCGTGCAGTATCATCCAACATCCAAGCGAGTCGCCTGCGACTCTAACCTCCGACTAACCCTCTTCAACTGCGCCCTCGCCCTCTCCCCCGATCATCTCCCAAAAGGTCCTTGCCATCTCCCTCAACCTGTTCCTTCCCCTTTCCATTCCCCTTCCCCTCCAATTCCACCCTCCTTCTCTCCCTAACTCCCATTTTCCAAATCCTCGTCAAACTATCCGCCCCGATCCGCTGCGCATGCACCCTCGTCCCAAACCGCTGCGACGCAAACGTAACGCCCTTCGTGCGCTGCAGGACATCCGCCAATTCCGCCAGCGGGGTGGCTGTTTCCTCGCTGCGCATGTCGGCGTATATAGCGCTTTTCTTGTCGATGTGGAACATGTTGTAGAAGGGGTTGCGGCGGGTGGCGCGTTCGTAGTTGTGGCGGGAAGGGGAGAGGGTGCATGTTATTGTTGTGGGGTTGGATGAGGATGAGGAGGATGTGGTTGATGGTGAGTCTGAGGGAGATGGAGATGGAGATGGGTCTGAAGATGAGGATGTGGACGTGGAAGCAAAAGGATTCTTTGTAAAAACTGGTGCTGTTGGCTCGGGAAGTGTGATAGTCAACGGCGATGCGGCGATAGCGCGTTCAGCAGCATCGCTGGAGTCGAACATGGCGAGGAGGGGCCGTTCCCTGTCGGTATTGTTGTGAATGTCATACTATATCCCAAATTGTCAATTGAGCTTCTAGGCCGTGCAAGGGAGAGCGTGTCAGCGTGGTGCTAAAGATACCTTCAAGTTTCGGAAGCTGATGATCTCGCCGAAGCCCTGCAGTGCGGCGAAGATTTGCTTGCTTTCGGCTAGATTCCTGGGTGGTGGATTTGCACTGATGTGTATTTGGGAGGAGAGTCGGGTTAGAGTGTTGAGGGCGGGCTTGCTCGTCATTTTGAGGGCGATTGGGAGGGAGTTGGAGAGAGAAGATGATGGGGTGTGGTGGGCGTGCGGAGAAAATGTGAAGATCTCTTGGCGGCTGAAGATCAACGAGGTACGGGGCTCAAATTAAACGGGAGATTTATCGCCCACCTAAATACGAATGGAGTAATTTTGATTATATTCTTGAGATTTTGTATATTTACGGGTGCTCTGATGATGATTCAATCCAGTTGATCTATTTCATTCATTTCGTATGACACATGAGCCCCCGAGGTCATGAAGTCGGGTCTCGCTAGGGTATATACATATGTGTCGAGATTGTGCATCCTCATCCGTTCACGTTCCCCATGATCTAATAGCTTAGAAGATGGTAATACCCAGACCGTACTATTCGAGAGGTTAATATCCGACTGCAAGATTCCAAAGACACGGGGCCCAAGTGTAAACTTACGTTGAGAGGGTCGTTGAAGCGCAGGTTCTGGTTCAGTGCGCTGATGGACTCAATCTCATCAGCCTCCAGGTCAAAGTCAGTGACCTGCAGGTTCTGAGCCAAGCGAGTGGGGTCATTGCTCTTGGGAATGACGGCGACGCCACGCTGAGTAGCCCAGCGCAGCAGCACCTGGGCGGGAGTGCGGTTGTACTTGGAGGCGAGGGAAGTGATGGCAGCGTGGTCGAACAGGCGGGGGGTCTTCTGGGCATTCTTCACCTCCAGCTCGATGAAGCTCAGAGGACCGAAGGAGGAGTAAGCGGTGACGGCGATGCCCTCCTCCTGGGCGTAGTTGACCAGCGTCTTCTGGGTGAGGTAGGGGTGGTGCTCGATCTGCAGGGTGGCCGGGCGGATGCGGGCATAGCGGAGCAGATCCATCAGCAGCTGGGGGCTGAAGTTGCTGACGCCGATGCTGCGGGCCAGCTTCTTCTCGACCAGGGACTCCATGGCGGTCCAGGTCTCCTGGATGGTGGCCTTGCCGAGCTTGATCTTGCCCTCGGTGTTTTGCCAGCTGGGCGGGTAGCGCACGCTGGGGGGACATACTCCAGAGAGACGGGGAAGTGCACGATGTACAGGTCGAAGTAGTCGATACCCAGATCGGCCAGCTGCTTGCGGGCGATGGGCTCGACTTGCTCGCCGTCGTGGAAGCTGTTCCACAGCTTGGAGACGAGGAAGAGGTCCTCGCGCTTGACGATACCCTCCTTGATGGCACGAGCGACACCCTGGCCGACCTCGACCTCATTGCCGTAGTCTGGAAGGGAATCAGGTTAGCAGGCTACTCCTCGTTGGACTCCTTGGGAGGGAATTTTGCTGGGCGCATTGGAAGCACTTACCACAGGCACCATCGAACAGGCGGTAACCAGCCTTGATAGCGCTGTAGACCTGGTCCGCGCAGGTGTCGTTGTTGACCTTCCACAGGCCAAAGCCCACGAGGGGCATTTCGTAGCCGCTGCTCAGCTTGACAACAGGAGAAGACATGTTTGTGGAGGAGCTTGTTTTTGGACGGGGGAGAAGGGAGTTTGGGAGAGGAGGAGAGAAAGAAGAAGAGGAATTCTTCCAAATCCAAGAGCGAGTGCAAATCAATTTAATTCCAGAGACAAGAGACCACGATGGCCGTAAAAATCTCCAAGTGTTGCCCCGCGGGACAGGCTAAAGTCGTGGACTCGTGGACCTGCCCCTCCATGGGTTGCTCCACACTTTTCCCACGCGGTTCGAATCGGTTTGAAGAGAAGATTCCAGAGAGTCCGGGGACCCAGGCCTCGGCTAAAATGGTCTGCGGCTAAAGTCCCGCCAATCTTCCAATTTTCCCAATTTTCCAGTTTGCCAAATTTACCCCGTCAGAGTCGTCGAGGAGGACGGAAGTCCCGGAGAAAATGATTATGATTTGGCCACTGGTGGCGGGTCATTAGTCTCTTCTGGTCTTGTTCCAACAGTCTCTCGGGTGATTTGACTGCACTTCGGGTCATTTCCCCCCCCTCCTCCTCTTCTGCTCCATTACAGTAGTAACCTCGACCCGGGAGAAGTCGTATTTCCTCGAATCAACGTCATTCGGGAACGTTCCGGCACCGATGGGGATAATCCCGAGTCTGTTGGATGATTTGCTCGATCCAGAGGATAATAGACTTTGCCAGGATGGTGAGTACTGTACTATACCCGCCAGTAGTACGTACGGAGGACATACTTAGTAGTAATACTACAGTGGCAGTGCAAAAGTTTGAAACTATTTCCTACTCACCGCCTATTACCCACTAGTTATACCGCCTACTTCTAACACGCGACGCGTTTATACACCACATTACTATTCTACCTACTGTATTATCCACCACACTGCCTACTACACTACCTACTACACTGCCTATCCTATCTACTATTTTGATATGCCTCCTATCCGCGTGGGTAGGCGTAGGCCTACCCCTAGGCCTAGGCCAGCGGTATCACCACAACAAGCTCGCCGGCCAAAAGCCGAGCTTGATGCATATACACGCACAAAGTTCGTGGAGTTAAAGGATGTGGCCGGCTGGACCTTCCAGCAGATTGCTGATTATTATACCGACTATTCAATCAATACAATCAAGACTTCCTACTATCGATCACGTTCAAGAATCAATAACGAAACCTCGCCGCGCTCTGGCCGACCACGCAAGCTTAATGAAGCTGATAAAACTAAGCTTCTTGAAGCTATTGATGAGAATCCTCGTATTACGTACGAAGATCTTCTTACTACTGTCGATAACAAGGTTAAGCGGCACTCGATCTGGCGGCTTTTACACGAAGAGGGCCGACGCAAGTGGCTTGTTCTCGATCGGCCAGGCTTAACGCCCGCCCATGCCGCCCAAAGACTTCGGTGGGCACGCACCTATGAATATTTTACACCTAATGATTGGGCTCGTGTGTTCTGGTCTGACGAATGTACAGTTGAGCGTGGAATTGGCGAGCGCCGCGAGTATACTTTTACTCCCCGCAATAAACAAATTCAAGAGCGTGACGTTCGTGGAGTTCCGACGAAGGGGAAACAAGTGAAACAGATGTTTTGGGCTGCATTTTCTGGAGCTACGCGTCGTACTGGCTTAGTTCCACTATTCCGAAACCCAGAATCAAACCGCCGAGGCATTGATTCGACTGTGATTCGTGATCTATACGTTCGAGTCTTACCTACTTTGTTCCTTCATCGAGATGGTATCTTTCAACAAGATAATGCCTCTACACACACAGCGTATATCGTCCGGGATGCGCTACAGGAACTAGGTATCGAAGTTATGGAATGGCCTGCGAAATCTCCTGATTTGAATCCTATTGAAAACCTGTGGACATTGCTTAAAGATATGATCTATAAGCTACATCCTGAGCTTAAGACTATGCGCAATAACGATACTACACATACTGCTTTGATTGCTGCGGCGCAAGAGGCTTGGGATGCGTTAGATCTTGATATACTAGCCAATTTATCGGCTACGATGCCTCACAGGGTACAGGCAATTATTGAGGCAGAAGGGTGGTATACAAAATACTAGGTTAAGGAGGATTGGATCTAGCCGTTTTAGTATTTTTTACCTGGCAGAAAATTCTTGGCGTTGAGGGAAATAGTTTCAAACTTTTGCACTGCCACTGTAGAAGTATACTCCGTACATAGACTAAGATAGTACTACACTACTACTTACTACTGGTCCTGCTCGGGAGGAGAACGAGGGAAAGTGGACACCGGCATGCCGATACCACCAGTTCCGTCCTCCTGGTCTGAGGCTTCGGTGATTCTCCGAGGGCAATATAGCCGAATGGAAGTGTTAGTGTGACGTTTTTATTGAGGAATTGAATCTCTGGTGTTCTATTATTGTAGATTGGTCTGGAACAACAATGGCTTTGGTATAGATGCTTGGTGGTCATGTACAGACAAAACGAGATACAAGCTGAATACCCTACCCCCATCCCATAATCAAATATAGGTCTCGCTTACAGCCATGGACTACCTAGATAATACCATCGGCCTCCCTAGTTCCTGGAGTTATGCACTCCGGAGAAAATGAGAAATCCAGCAACCTGATTGCGGGGCACAGCGCCAAGAACCGAATTCCCCCCACGCTGGACTTGGACTTGACAGTGTCAACTAACTAGCGAGTAGTATGACTACAGTATGTACTAGCGAGTGGGAATATTCCCTCCCCTGGTCAACACATCCCAGTCGTCACCAAAGACTGTCACCGGATAATTGATTCAACCATGACAAAAACTATATTAGACGTGGTCAAGGATTGCGACAAGTAGGACCCACTACTCCCAGTTCCCGCACTCACTAATAACCGAACAGCTTCACCACCCCGGATCCTACACCACCCACGTTCTGGCAACAATACTATACCTTCAAAGTCAATGGCTGCACCGCAGTACTCGGTTATATCCCCCAGACCATCATTGGGAAAATCGCATGGACCAACGCCTGGGTAATCGACCATGCGTCGAGGACCGTCATTCTAAACACGCCTCCCACCGCAACCCGAGAAATACGTTCTCAAGAACTGACCCAGACTCTAAAAGCCACGCAAAGCCTCGGAGTAATATCAATGCTGCAGAAATGGCGAAACGAGACCTTTCCAATCTACGACTCGCACGGTGACGTTCTTCTCGAGGTTGAACGCTGCGCCAGTGCCCTGTTCGGAATCGTAACCTACGGCGTCCAACTACTCTGCTACGTGAATGATCGTCAGAACGGTCTCGGTCTCCGCCTTTGGATTGGTAAACGATCCCACAGGAAACAGACTTATCCAGGGATGTTGGATTGTACCGCTGCGGGCGGTCTTCCCACCGGAACGCTACCGATCGAGGCGGTTATGTGCGAAGCACAAGAAGAAGCATCTATACCATATGAGTTTGCGAAGGGCAATATCAAGTCTATGGGGCCGATTAGCTACTTCCACATTCGGGGGTCCAAAGCTGGAGGGGAGATCGGTCTGTTACAACCCGAGGTTGAGTATACGTATGCGCTGGAATTGGAGGCGGGGATGGTGCCGACGCCGAGTGATTCAGAAGTCGAGAGTTTCACTTTGTATACTGTTGAGGAGACGGTGGAGTTTCTGAAACAGGGACTTTTTAAGCCGAATAGTGCGGTTGTGATTGTCAAGTTTCTTATTGAACATGGGATTGTGAATTGCGTAAATGATCCAGATTACGAGGAGATTTTATCACATCTAGCTCGGCCTCTTGAGTTTCCTGTTGTGATTCAACCCTCTACTTGATTATAATATAGATTGGGACCGATTATGGTTCAACAAGAAAATGTTAAGATAGTATTTCCAGAGTCTTACCCGGCGATATCCAGGCGACGCTGTATCGACCTAAGTAAAGAAAAAAATAGAGATAAAAGAAGGAGAGAAGTAATGAAAGAGATAGGGCCAAGGAGAGATAGAGAGTTTAAGAAAGAGAGACAGTAAAAATGACACACAAGGTATAAAGAATAAGACAGATCCAGGAATAAGAATTATCATTACCATTACGTTGTTTTTTCTTTTCGCTTTTGCGCTGCTTCATTGAACCGCATCCACTGCGCCATTCTCTACGAATGGGGCATTAGCATGCTCAGGGCCTGCCCCGTGCATGCCGGAACCATTGGACATGCGCCCGACGATCTTGTCCATGATATCGTCTGGAGGCATGAGTCCATCAAAGTGGTGCGGCTGCTGCGACTCGCGCGACACGGGCACATGGTGCTCCGTTTGGAAGGGAATGTGGTGGTAGCCGTTGGCACTGACGTCTCCGGTGAGAGAGTTGGAGTGGGCACCCCACGAGGCCTGTCCATGGCTCAGATCATCGAGAGATTGGGCGCTGCCGGGGAAAAAGCCGTTTAGGACACTGTTGCTGTCGTGGAGATTGACGCCGTGCTGTTGCGATGGCACAAATTGACTGGCGTCGTGGCCCATGGCGTAACCAAGACTTGGGTGGGAAAGAGGGAGGTCGTGCATGTTCATCATCACAGAACCGCCGCTGGAGGCACCGAGACTGGTTGGCTGGGATGTTTCTGGGGCTAGGCTGGCGGAGAAGGAGTCGAGCACTGATGTTACAGCAGTTTTATCACCCATGCCATCCTCCGGCTTGGTGATTGCGGCCAGGAAATCGAGATGGCCGGAGGAGTTAAAGATATTAGCCACGCTGTCGTGGGAATTAGAGTACATCGGCCATTGTGATTGAGATTGGCCCTGGTGGGTGATGAGATCTTGCGGTTGCGGTGTTTGGTAGACACCTTGAGATGGCTTGTTGAGGAGGATGGAATCCAAGGACAGTGGGGGGAGATCCACCCCGGAGTTAGGGTGTGGGCTGTTGGTTGACGTGCGATCTGGGGGAGGGATCAGTCGTCGCCAAGTAGTGGTTCCGACCTCTCCAGGCCGAGTCTGGCGGAACTTCCAGACAAGAATGGCCATGCGCTCGCTTTCATCGCCATGGCCTTGGAACTGGTTCGAAAGACGGCGCGAGCTGGCTGGGACAGCACGTATCTCCTGTACTGCAGACAGGGAGCGGAAGAAGCGGCGGGTGCGTTCATCAGTCGCGTGGACGCTTTCAGGCTGCCCAGAGTCTTCGGCAATGCGCTTATCCTGCGTCAACTCCGTGAAGACTCTCGCCCACCAGGATGATTCGAACAGCGGCTTGACCTTGGTCGATTGAGGTTTGAGAAGATCATGGTAGGTCTCCCGAAGCTCGCGTCCATCTTCGTATAGCCGAGTGCTGCAGGTCCAGTTTTCCATCTGGCTCACCATGAGCACGTCACCGGCAGTGGGATGGCCAAAGTCCAGATCAAGTTGAATACCAAGTCGGGATCCCGAAGGAGGGAAGTCCGTCATCAGCTGGAGATTCACTTCCAGCATGATGATATCACATTCCAATGGCCCATTGAGCTCATCGATCAGCGAGGACAAGTGGGGAAAGGAAGAGCGCCATCCATTGACGTTCTCAAGGGGCATGGGAGGGGCAATGGGGTGGTGGAGGTCTCCCTGAAGGCGAGTATATGCGTGAAGGGCTTTATCAATGCGATTTGCCTGCTGAGGTGCGCTCACCCACATGTCGAAGCTGAAGCCATGGACATTCTTGGTTCCAGCATCTTGCATGTTGGAACCCAGGGTATAGTGCGGCGGCGGAAGGTCCCCATAAGCTTGCACTGCCCTCATGGGATTATGATATTGAGGATGCCCATGGGCCCCGTAGTGACTTGATGCCGCGTGGTGGTCCATAGCTGTCCGCCACTTGGGCCCGGTTGCTGATGCATGCCCATTTGATCGGTCTGTGGATTGTTCTCGCACAAGTCGCTCCCCTGGAGAAAATCGAGACTAAGGTTAGCAAAAGGGTGGTGGCACTATCACTCCACTCAAAGTTCTCACTCACAATCGGGGTCACCTTTCAGGAACGAATCAAGCACCTGAAGATGACTCGAGACCTGTTTTCTGGTCCTCCGCTTGCCTGTTAATTTGAAGATATACTCGGCAATGAGCTCGTTGCGTCCGTATGATTTCCCTCGCTCAGACCACTTCCTCCGGCCCATGGGAGGATTTGCTTCGAGAGCTATATTCAAGATTTTAGCATTCAGTTTAGATACCCCAACCTGGGGAAACAAGTACATACCTTGCTGGAAAGCATCTTCCAACACATCGGACCAGACTGGCTCCCCATCCTTACCGGTGTCTCGTCGAGGACGAGCCCGATATTCCAAGTACTTCTGGGACTTGAGATAGCTTCTTCCCCGTCGAGGAGCCACATTGGGCCCGACAGAGTTCAGTCGACGCAGTTTCCTCGCATGGAGCCGAGCTGCCACGGCTTGGTGGTTTAAGCTGGGAGCTGATAATGGGTGAGCGGCAACAGCATGTTGAGGATACTTGAAGGCTAGCTGCTGGAGATGATCCTCTCGACCAGCATCATTGTGTGTCAGGCTATCCGAATATGACTGAACGTTCCCAGAGGTATTCTGAAGCGCTCGATCCGAATGAGCACCCACTGCCTCCAAGGACGGCTGGTTCTGAGGCACGAGGCACTCGGGTTGCCAGTCAGCAGCCATGGAGCGTACCAAGGACGGGCTTCTCCCAAAAGAATGACAGATTCCAAAGAGGAGGGGAGTTGAGAGGCACCGTCAAATGCTTACTGCCTGGCAAAGAACGCAACTTGTCTGAAGAGAATGTCAGGACCTGGGAAAGAGAATGTGAGAGCGAGCACGACGGTGTTTATAGGTAGGGAAGCATACTTCCCCCGAGGGGAGGGGGGTTTGTAGTCCCAGTAGCAACATTGCTAGGTACGCCAGGTTTGCTTGGGCCTGGCATCACGTCCCTCGAACGCCAACTTCCATACTCCTAGGACAGGGACCCCTCCTCGACTGGAGAGCCTTCGGCGCGTCCAGGCACTCGGTGCAGAGTAGCATGGACCGACCGACCGACCGGCCATCCTTGCCGCAGCAAATCAGGAGTCAAGAAAGGGCTTGATATGAAGGAAGTGTTTCCGCACGCAAGGGATGCTCAACCAGCACGATCCAGTGATGAGCGGGTCGGAGATTTTGAGCTGCACGAAGTGACCTTGGAGCGCCATCGTGCAAGCCCGTGTTGACGGTCGTCGACTATCATCAGTGGCAAGATGAAGGTTGGCAGGAATGTTGAACAGTGGACGGTGTTCTCCTATTTGCCCAGGGCCAAAGAATGCACCACCTCCCAAACAGCAACTGGCGTTGGAATGTAGGTCCTCTATGACCGAGCTGATGGTTCGCGCATCACCTCGTAACACAGATAAAATAACTCATGACCTTATCCCAAACCTACAGTCTCGAGAGTCGGGAAGCATTGAACAGGTGTTGACAGGTATACAGTGAAAAGGGTGGTGAGTTAGGGCTAAAGTAGGGCGGTGGACCTTGAATGGAAGGGAAAAAAGGAACCAAGTTGTACCAAGTAGGAAAATCAAAAAGGCACACGAGTGGATCTCCACTGCAGGAGCCACAACTTGACAGCCGCAGGAACGTGTTCGGGGGTATCTCTTTCTCTCTGTCGAGTGCAGGTACATAATATCCAAAACCAAAAAGTGTATGCAAGAAATCGTACATGGTCGTCTCCTCCCCACCACGCAAGGGATGAGCCATCCTCGGCCAATCCACTGGGCAGGGAGAGCAAAAAAGGGTCACCGTTTACCCTCACGATTCGTCCTCCTCTCCTCCCCCTACAGTGAATTTCTTCCGCCCTCCGCCCGTAAGCTGCTGAAGCTTGACCCTGTCCACCTGCTCTCCTACCTTCTTTTCTATCTTTGCGATCTCCTCCTCGGGATCGACAGCCTCCTCGTTGGCGAATTCCAGCACCAGGCGGCGACCCAGGAGATGCGTGTTTTTCAACGCGTCGATGGCATTCTCGGCCTCGCGAGCACTGATAAAGTCCGCAAAACCAAACCCGCGAGCTGACCGATCGAACTTTTGAGGCACACGCACGGAGCGGAGCTGCCCGTAGGCCCCAAACAAGGACCGGATGTCCTTTTTGGTAACCTGGAACGGCAAGTTCTTGATGATGATCTTAGTCCGCCTGGCCGCGATTTTCTTGGCCGTGTCCTCCCGTCTCCGCTCCTCCGCAGCATCCATGCCCTTGTGAGAGGCGCGAATGACAAGCTCGTGCTGATCGAGCTTGTAACCATTCATGGCTGCAAGAGCCGCCTGGGCCTGGGCCTTGGTCTTGAACTCCGCAAAACCAAAGCCCATGCTGAGGGTTTGTCCAGGACGCTTGGGGTCGGGCTTGGTCTTGATCCGTCCGGTGACAAATCCATCCAATGGACGGAAAACCTCCAAGAACTTCTCGTTTGTGGTAATGAAGTTCAAATTCTTGATGAACAGGGTCGAAGTCATGCCAGTCTCAGGTTCATCTGCCGCGAAAGTGTCAGACGTAGAGAATCCTTGAGACTTGGCTTGAGTCTCCGGAAGAGCCGTCGTAGTTGCCGTGCCATCAAACAAGTTCTTGGGGGCCTTTTCCAAAAAGAGGATGGAATCGCCAATCTTGCGATAAGCGAGACCCTTGAATGCAGCTTGTGCCTGATCTGGCCTGGCAAACTCTACAATGGCGATGGTGCCACTAGGCGGCATCAGAAGCCGGAGGATCTGGCCGTACGGCTCAAAAAGACTCCTGAGTTCGGCGGACTTTACGCCGAAGGAGAAATTCTTCACCAGAATTGCAGTGTTTCCACGTTCGCGGCCCTTGAAAGCTTCAATATTCACTCCATTAGATGCAAAGTAGGCCTTGGTTTCTTGAATGACATGCGTTTCAGCATGTGCTTGCTTCACAGCGGCGTCTGAAGACGTGGGGTCTAGCAGTTCTGCCTTGCTCACGCCCAGTCTATCGGCCACTGAGGACATGACGGCATCGGCCTACGAGGTTATCAGTAAATAGGGCTACTCGAGGGACGAACAAGGCGACTCACATTCATGTAGAGAGAATTCCAGCTGAAAGACGATGAGGTAGCACCCAATTTGCGTTTGATTTGCTTCTGCTTCTTCAAGGGAAGCTTCGATAGCTCAACCTCGTCAATCTTGTACGTCTTCTTAGCGGCAGCTGGAAGGACGTGCAGGAGTCGACCCTGGAAATGCTTTCCATCGAGAGCTCGGTAGGCATCGACGGCCGCATCCGCATTCGCATACTGAACGTAAGCGAAGCCTTTGCTAGTCTCAGTTCGAGTATCAAAGGCCACATGTATCTGGATTATCATTAGCACTTGACCGGACACAAAGTCTGTAGATAAAATGTGCAAGTGTGTTTGAGTGTCGCTCATCAGAAAACCGAGAAGCATCTACTAAAATCTCTCGCCTGGTGACATCATTTGCTTTTGCATAAGCTGTCCCTATCAGGATGTTCATCATACGAGCACTCTGCTAGCGCATGTGCGAAGGCACATGGTAGCATGATTGGCGGGGAGGATGAGATAAAAGAAAATAAGACGTAACTAACCTCGTCGAGTTTTCCAAAGGGAGTAAAAAGAGGCTGGAGATCAGCATCGGTGGTGTCGTAGGCGAGATTCCTGAGGAACAAGCGGGCAGAACCACGAATGAGATCAACATTCGGGTCTGGTCGCTCGGGGGTTGTCTCGACTGCATCCTCATCCTCATCCTCAACAGCAGCAACGTCAGTCTCAAATTGAGGAATGGTATCATCAAAGGCAGCAGTGCGAGATTCCTCGACGTCAGGACTTTGAGACTCGGCTGGTGCAGCAGCTTTTTGTTGGTCGAATTCAGCCTGTTCATCTTCATCCAAGAGACCAAGGAGACGACTTGTCTTCGACCGAAGCCAGTCGGAGTCGGATACTGGGCCTGCTTCATCCTGTGTTGCCTCTGTATCCTCTTGTGCCTGTGTGTCTTCCTCCTCGTCCTCATCGGATCTGTCCACCTCCATAACCTGGGGTTTCTCGGCGTCACCACCAGCTGCAGGTTCCTGTACCCGGACCTTTTTCGGATGGGAGGGAAGTTCCTCAGTTGAACTGTTATTCTGAACTGATGTGTTAATTGGAGTTGCAGCCTGCTGAGAAGCCATTGCCATGGCCGTGCTATCATCATTTGCCCAAGTTCGGGTCTTGGAGGTCTGCATCAAAGCAAGATACTCCTGCAGCTTGGGGTCTTCTGGCTTGGAGTCGGCGTCTCTTTTACGCTTGAGAGCATTGTCCGAGGACGCGTCGTCGGCAGCATCATGCTTCCGTGTAGGATGAGCTTTCTCTGTGGGCTTAGAATCAATCTACGATGATACGGGTCAGTCTCAAGAAAAACTGAACTGGTCAGCGGGAACGCAGGCAAAATGAAAAACAGAAGGAAGCAACAAGCCGACAGCAGGCGTTACGTACCGGTCGAGCAAGATCTACCAAGATCTTAGACATCTTCATATATGTCCTGTTGAAGTACTTGACAGCTTCCAGGGCCACTTCATGGCTTTTGAACCCAACAAAGCCCATCTGCCTTCTAGGCAGTACATGAGCATCTGTCACAGTGAAACGGCGTGCAAAATGATTGCGAAGCTGGTCATTCGAGCAAGAAGGCGGAAGCCCACTGACAAACACCCGAGTGTTCTCCATTATGAGTGTTTGCAGCTGCAAAGCCTTGGCGAGTGCAGATGCAAAAAGTTCCCAAGAATTTTTTTTTCCAGTCTTGTATGTGCCGAAGGCGGTAAGAAAACTCCAGTGGGGACATTCGAACATCCGGCAATAGTCGCCTGGCAGAAGGCGGTCAGTCAATGGCTGGACGCGCCCCATCGCGCAGCTACACCAATCCGAACATCCTCCTGCCACCCTGACGATATCCCTGCACTAACACTTACCGAGCTCTTGAGAAACCGACCGCAACCATGGCCACCGAGAAGAAGGATAAGATGGAGGGTCAGTATTCCCAAGTCGAGCTAATACCCGTCTGCTAACCTTCTTGCGCAGCGCAAATCAAGTCTGTTGACATGGTAGAACGCACTGACTTCTACAACCCCTGGAGAACTAGCTCTGACACTCTTTATTAGACGGAGGACATGCAGCAAGAGGCCATTGCTCTTGGTATGAGATCAGATATTCCCCTGGAGTTGAATTGCAACTGATGTTTCCCCCAAGCGATCGAGGCCATGGAGAAGTACCACATTGAGAAGGTATACACCCCCACAATCGCTCCAAGCGATGGCCCAGCCGAATATGATGCTGATGATTGATTTCCACAGGATATTGCGCAGTACATCAAGAAAGAAGTTCGTTGTCGCCCTGTCCTAACCTATACCTCGATGATCCGCCACTGATAACCCCTCCAGTTCGATTCGCGAAAGGGTGCTACCTGGCATTGCGTTGTTGGCCGGAACTTTGGAAGCTTCGTCACTCATGGTCAGTGTGATCTGTCTCGTTATGCCCAATGAGACCTAGCTAACACTTTCGACAGAGACTAAGCACTTCATCTACTTCTACCTTGGCCACTGCGCCATCCTCCTCTTCAAGACCCAATAAGCGGACAAATGTGCTTGACAGACGCAGCCAGGGAATCCGACAAGGAGCAGCCTCGTATATTTGCCTTTTCAAAGCGATCTTTTTGTCTTCGTGTCATGACTTTCAGCTTTTGTGCCGAAGCGCTTTCTACATGAGAATTATTACATTCTGTACACACTGTTTATCTACCTATCTACCCAAATATTGACGAGTTGAATTCTTGTGAAAGAAGATTTCTAAACCAGAGCCAAGTCCATTTGTAGAATGAGATCTAGATCGGTATACAAATTATACAAAATGTGCTGAAGCCTGGATCTTCGATCACATGGCCTCACGTGCCGACCGCCAAGCAGCCAAGCCACAGCGCCGCCCCAAACGCCGCTGCCTTTTCCATGCACCTTTCCTATCTCACTTTCTCCATCTCTCTCCAACATTTGCCGTCATCATGGCGATCTGTATCACCTTTGGCACCCATGGTAAGTGATCATCAACCTCGAGGAAATTTCAGACACCGGCGTGGTACTTGCCCTTGGGACTGCTCGCCGTTCGGTGTTTACCTGACGAACCTTGATCCACCCATCTTTATATTGCGGGATACTAACCTACGCCACAGAATTCACCTCCATGCTGGAGGGCTACGAGAATGTCCGAGCTTACTGCTACAACTGTGAGTGCACATCATTCACTGTCTAATCTTTTTAAACTGATGCTTATGCATTTGAACCGTCGACTAATGAAGATCGCTCCCCACAGGCCAACACTGGAATGGACATTGCCTAACCCGATGGTATGTCACTGATATGACCCTTCCCCACGACCGAACAAGAGACTAATATTCTGACCTAGGCCCTTCTTCACTGTGTGCTTCATTGTATGCTTTGATCATTAGATCCCAACTTGTTGTATATGATGACTGATGATTTACCTTGACCAGCCCGTGATCCCGCTAGCCACACATAAGTACAAGGTAAGTACATTGTCGTCGTACAGTCATTCTTGCATTTCTTCATACCTGTTACATCATGTTGGCAAATAGCAGTGGCTGATATATTTCCAGGAGGTTACTTGCTACACTTGCCGCTTTACTCAAGACCTACGGTAAGCCCCAGCATTGTCACAGCATCGGGTTAACCTTTTGGTTCTCTTCTCATAACAATATAGGGATCGGCCTGATATCACGCCGGAGACAAGACCACCTCCACATATGCAATGGGGTCCCCAGCCTCCCCCTGGCGCTCAATGGCAGCAACCTCAACTGCAGTCGCCTCCAGTGGCTCACGGAGCCCAGCAAATGCCTGAGAGCTACAAGTGATGCTGTAAGCAGGGCTCGTTCGCTCGTTCTTTTGAACGCTCTGCCTGAAGGAACAGTATCAAGGCAGCCCTTCACAGAGAAGTTTATGGGTGTGAGGGGACGAGAAGCATGGTTTTCAATTCACATTATTTGTTGGGGAAGGACTCAGGCGTCAAGGTTTTGTTGTTTTGTTTGGTTTCTGGTTTTTCGTTACTGATGCCATTCGCTGTATCAGAGGAGTATGCTTTACATAGGAACAATCACACCGTGAACAATCTTGTCATTATGAAACAACTATCATAGTAAGGGGTATAAGATAACGCATGGGTCTCGTCAATTAAAACAGACCGGAACAAGCAGACATTACAAAGGCCTCATTCAATTAAGCAGAAGCATCGCCAGCCTCTTTATCCTTCTCCCCAATCTTCTCCGTGGGCGTCGCGATACCAGAAGCCTGCGCACCGTCCGTCTTGTGGCCCCGATACACCTTCGGCTTGCGACCCATCATATCCATGGTCATCATCCGGACAACACGCACAATGCTCTCCCGACCCTCGTAAAGCGGGAACACAACCACACCGAAGAGAGTGCAGAACAGCCAGATCAGACCGACAACAACCCAGCCAGTGAAGAACTTCTTGCTGAACACGTATGATGATCCATACATTGGGATGGGCCACAGAATCATCAGGGCAAGAGTCATGAAGATGGTCAGGGTACGCGAGTACAACGCCGCACGGTTGAGTTTGCGTGTCTCTTCTTCGGACTCAGTTGCGGAGGGACCGGTGCCTTCGCCGGGGATGAGTTCAAGATCGACGTGTGCTGCCGCGGCAACATCGGTGTCGTCGACTTTGCGAATTGCGCGCATGGACTCGTAGTCGTAGTTCTGGGAGCCGAAAACGAAGGTGAAGATGGGGACGAAAACGACTGGGCTGAGCAGGGCAGCGACGTTGCCAGCGAGCATGGGGTAGCTGGGAGAGAGAGGGAGTAATCAGTAATGATACTTTGATGATTAACATAGATCGGATACTCACTTTGCACCGGTCGTATCGACGGTCAAGACACCGTACTCCTTCTTCGCAGTCACCAGCCAAGCGATCAGAGACACTGCCAGACCAAGAGGTGGCGACGCAGCCGCAGCAATCCAGTTCTGACCCTTCCAAAGCAGAGTCATGGCACCAGGGAACACGGCAGAGGAGATGATGACGCCCATGAGGAGATACAGATAACCCATACCAATACCAGCATAGAACAAGCCGGTAGCAAAGCCAGCCATGATAACAGCGTAGATAATGCAAGACACGTGGGAGATCCAGACGAGCTTCTTGCCCTTGGCAGCGGGGTCGACATATGCCTGGTAAATGTCATAGGTGAAAATCGAAGAGACGGCGATCAATTGAGCCGAGAAAGCAGACGTAACGGCCATGAAGATCATCAAAGTAGTAGCGACGGCACCACTGTAGCCGAGAAGCTTGACTGCAGCAAAAGGAAGGACCAGTCCAGCAGTCACATCCGAGCTACTCATACGCTGAGACCCTTCAAGCGCCAACGCGGAGATACCCATAGTGCTAGCGCACAGCCAGGGAATGGCGAACCAGCAGAGTCCACCAATCACATAACCGGGGAAAGCATGAACAGGGCTTGCGGCAATGGCTTTGTTGTAGTAGCCGTTGTCGAGGAAGACTGTACCGAAGTTTCCAATCAAGTTGATAATCCAGAAGATGCCTCCTTCTTTCGATCTCATGGTGAGATAGCTTCCTTCGGCATTGCCTTCAACAGGATGCGCCTTGGCCGCGGCAACGAGAGCGTCGTACACCTTGCTCGGGGAACCGAGCTCGGCGTTGGTCGCATAGGCCGAGAAAGCGAAAAGGAAGATCACGACCAAGATCACCACGGTGTGCATGTAATCCGTGATAAAAGTGGCCTTGATACCACCGAAGAGTGTATATAGAACGACACCAATGGGAAGCAGGAAGCACGCAGCAGCAGTGGGTACTCCAGTAAGGGAGGTCATGACGGCCGATCCACCAGTGAGCAGCATAGCCGTGACGAGGATGTTGGTCATGAGACAGAAGACGATGAAAACGATGTGGACGGTGGTTCCATAACGGGCACGGATGACTTCGAGGAAGGTGTGAGCATTTGGAGCGCGTCGCTTGAGCTCAATGGCGATCGTTGCAAAGAGGAGGATCTGGACAGTTGCACCTATTTGCCATGAGTTAGTTTCAGTCCTGTCTGGTTTCTGTGTATACCTGGTGATATGAAGCTTACCAGATGCATAGTAGAAAGGCCCCGAAACTCCATATTTGTATGCCACAGCCGAGGACTGGAGCAGAGTTGCAGCCCATGTCCAACTACTCACGACTGCAGCAGCGACCAGACCTGATTTGACGGACCGACCTGCAGTCGAGAACATTTCGGATGTCTGGACTTCATTCTGATAGCTAGATTTCGGGGGGGAAGGCGTTAGCCGGCCTGTGTTGGACCTAGGTAGAGGAGTACTTCTTACCGTTTCAGTGCCCATGTGATGAAAATCATCAACAATGCAAAAGCAAATCCCAAGCCTAGGATAATACCATATCCAAAGCCCTGTGTCAAGGGTGCTTCGAATGTGGCCGCCCCTTCCGACATGATTATAGGGAGACGTTCTTTAAGCCGATAGAGGCAACAGAAGAAAGAGAAAGCAGGGACCAGACAATTGCCAATATAGATGAAAATATGACGTCTAGTAGATAATCGACAACTCGATTGAAGGTATCACAGAAATTCCTACCTCTAAGGAACCTGAAACAAAGAGCCTATAGAATGTAAAATAGCCTCATTCCATGCCGGGGACACAAGCATAGATATACGTCCCGAGCAACGCTCCCTCTCTCCATGTCAAGCAAGACTGTCAGCTCCGAATTCGCACGCGTCAACCCCGGAAAGAAACGAATGGGTCCCTTGAGCTTAGATAGCAAAGATACGACCCGCAATTGAGGCGGCGATAAGGATGGCATCGCTCTCGTAATGGCTTGAGCTTTGTCCAGGGTTAACATCGGGGGGCGCCGTCGGTGGAGACCCTTGTTATCCACTCATAGTCCCCTACTCCAATCTCCATCGGCGGGAGGACTCCAGGCACACACACCACCTGGCCCTATGGCAAGAATGGGGAACGAAGGGGGTCTTCCTCCCAAATCCCAAATACGAAGTTGTATGGAGTAGAACGGAATGAGCCTATTATCGTGGTGGATGGCCTTATCAGGCTCCGCTGGGCTGGGAGCTGTGATTGGCTTCGAATTCTCGAGATAAGGCACCCTCAGCCGATGGGCCATTCAGCGATCGTGGAAAGATCTTCGTCGACGATAAACCATCTTGGGTTTAGTCGCTTGGTGACGGTCCCTTTGTGGAGAGCGCGTTTTCTATCTTGTCTCGTAAATACCTAAGCATATTATATCACATATAGCAGCTGCTTGTCTCTAAGATTACTGATCTCGTAGTCCGTCTGTCTAGTCCCTACTCCTTGGCACGCGGTATTCGCGCCAGTGAGCATGATCACAACATAGACAAAAGTCCATCACAAGAGATTTAGTACTAGTTAATGCTATCGATGATGACATCTAGAGATTGCCAAACCGGTCTTCAATTTGTAGTCATCATCCATCCTGACTTGCCATCTATCAATCCAATCCACCCTCAAGACAAGCCATTCTGAAGCGTATTCCCAGCATTAGTCGGAACACTCGTCTGGGCCGCAGAAGCCGCCCTTGCGCTTGCGATAGTGAGGCCAGTGAAATTCGAAAAGAATTCAGTGTCCACCCTGGTAAAGCTAGACCCATCATTCGTCTGAATATTCGCCACACAGTCCCTTCCAAGATAGTCATCACAAGCTTTGTTCGCAGTCTCACTGGGCGAACTAAAAAGCTGACCAACAAAGTCATCCACGACTATCCGGCTGACATTGTTGAAGATACATCCCTCGAAGAGACCTTGGCCGTCGTCGGTCCCCTCGATAGCGTGTCCGTTGTTATTCTCCCAGACACTGTTGACGGCGTGGAAGAGCGTGCTACCGCTAAGTGCTGGGCTTCGGCCAGAGGTGCGATACACATAGTTGTCTAAGTTTTAGACGTTAGTGACCTTTGGTGTTCTATTGATTGATCTGATGAGACTTACTTGAGAATGTGATTTGGTCGTCAGTGCCGACCAGCTCTAGCCCGTAGGTTTGCCCATCACACGAAGTTGAGAAGTTGGTTGCACCGTTTAAGAAGCTGTTAGAGATGGTGATCAGAGCTTTCGGTTCGCGACCAAAGGAGTAGTGCACATGGCCAGTATATTGGGTCTATTGGTAGTCGAGTCAGTATCAGCAGATGGGGGATGATATAGAGACCTCGGGCTCGGGCTAACCGTAACATGATCAATCCAAATTCGCGAAGTTCCAGAGAGAGTAAAAGCATCACCACCCCAGACGAGCTTCGGATTAAGATTGATCATGATATTCTGAGCAATAATGTTGGAAACGTCGACCATTCGCAGTCCCTTGCCAAGGAGTACACCATTACTTCCAACGCCAATAATCGTCTTGTTCGAGTGCACATATATTCCCGTCACTCCAGCAGTATCCCATTCATGGGACTCCGACTCGTCATCACCACATCCTTACCTGGTGTCTATGATGGCCTGGAATCCATCTTCAAAGGATCCCCATGTCTTGCAAATGGTTCCCTGGGTTGTCCCTTCTGTCCCGATGAAGTCGTAAGTTCTGTCGATGATGATGACTTGCGGTTCATCAGATCCTAGCAGTACGATCAAATGAGTGACATTGGTGGGATAACCTGGAGTTGCATCTCCGCCTCCTGTGACCCCGTATGCGAAACCTGGAGGCTAGCCGGTGACTGAGATGGCATCAGATCTTTTGGAGGCACTCTGTGTGACTGTTGCGAGTGCAAAGAATAGAGTAAAGCCGGGTTTCATGTTCGATACAGGGGCCTGCCCTTAGTAAGGTTTGTCTGGCAATAGGATCAATCCAAACGGGCGAGCACCGTCAATAGAGGACGGCCACATCTTATACATTCGACTTGCCAAGATCGCCAAGATCGCAAGTCACCCTTGACGAAGCGGATTAGACCATGTCTCACAGTTGAACATGAAAATATCTATTCGAAACCAACTTGTTCTCTAAATAGCCCAACCTAGGGGGTTGATTTTGGCATCCTCATTGGGGTTCGAGCAGTATTGACAGCAGCCCGCTGCGTGAGAGGAGATCGCATCATAATTTGCTAAATCCAATACGAACAGTAAGGTTCCTGCATAGAAATCAAGCAACTTTCATATGGGTGTTACCTGCCAGTCGCCGACTTTTAGAATCTTGATTAAGGGGCTGAACTATCGATGGGCTCTAACGGCGAACTTCTGACAGTTGAAACATACTAGATTAAGAATCACAATAACCCGCTCCTTTTTCCTCACTTGAGCTCGCTAGAGTCTATACACTGGACCATGAGCATGGCGCGTTAAATATTTCAGTATGCCGAGTTTTGTCAGATCTAGTAATCACCCTTCTAGCAGTAGAATTTGCCGCCCTTGTCTTAGTATCAAAGTCTGATTGTTCGATCAAAAGGTGATGAATGTATCTAGGTATTGATAAAGCCTGTTAAAATTAGAAGTATCAGACCCTAGATGGATCAAGATCATAACGAGGCCGTGGACCAGGAAATATACTGACCTCGATGTCGATAACCTTGGGTTACAAAGCCCCAATATCAAAATCAAACCCTAACAAGTGAACTCAAGCTGTCCGTAACAATAATCCAGAAGCAAAAATTATGTGCTCAATGAAAGATAGTCATTCAATAACTCAATTTACCGACGATGGTAATGACGAGGAACTCAGACCTCAGAAGACTATGATTCCGCGAAAGATTTAAAAGTCCGATTCGAACTAAACCATCATATTCTACGCACTGAATACCAACGATATTGTAAGCTAATAGCTGGACTGGCCAATTTGAACAGGGTAGATGGAGACATCTCGGGGAATATTTTAGGCATCAAGACTATAAGCCGTGGAAAGAAAAGTGTCAATCTAGTGAAAGATTGTAGACTGTGCCCATTAATATTTCAATGCAAGACAATCGTTTCTGGTTATTATGGTACAGACAACGCCAGATGCCACCTCGCCACCCGGGTCTTCCTCTCAGTCCATGCAGGGCCACCGCAGCTTACAATAGCGCGAACCCCGTTATAGACCAAGAGACAGACTCAGATCCCCAGCTCAATGTCACCCAGCCCGACCTATACAGCGGATAGGTCATCTCACGCTCGCTCATCGGTAGAAGCACCGCCAATAAGGTAAAAGAGAAAAAGAAAAAACATCACAGATGTCAGGAAAACGGAATCACACCAGCGTGGCCAAAACTGGAGATCCTCTGCGCCGCCACCGACCAGGTTTCGAAAGGACTAAATTGTCATGGGGTATAGGAGGAAGGAGTTATTGCGAATGAGGGCGGCAGTTTCACGCAAATAGTCGAGGGTCAAGGCGCGAGGCCTTTGATTTCGTGGATTTGAGGTATTTAACGGAGGACTCGCTTATGCGGAGAACTTGCGGGTGACCTTGGCAATGACTGCAATAAACGAGTTAGTCTATCAATTCACGATGATCAAGCATCTTTTACATAGTGATTGATTCTTACCGTGGAGACCAACGACGGAGAAGATGAAGCCCAGACTCAGGACGAGCACAACGACGGGGTCAACGCGCAGACCGGGGCTCTCATCGGTGTACAGCTTCAGCATGGTGCCCGAAGAGCCACCAGCACCAGCGGAGCGGGTAGAGGCCGGGCGGGCATTGCGAAGAGATTCCTTGTGGTCGGCGGCGGCGCGACGGCGCATGGCAGCACGGGGGCCACCGGGGGGAGTGGGAGAGGAAGGACGGCTGATGGACGAGCCAGAGGCGGCAGCGGCACCGGCGGACTTAGAGTCAGGGCCGGACTCGGCACCTGAGGTGAGAGGAGAGGCAGGACGGGGAGAGGCCTGTTGGACATTGAGGGATGATGTTAGCTGTAACCTGGCATTGGTGGTTTGAAAAGGAGGTCTGTGGGGTGATGGATCGGTGGGCATTGGCTTGGGGAGAAGGCCAATCGAGAGACTGATTGCAGTTCAGAATGGAGACATACCATTGTGAGTTGATTGAGGTAAATGATTGAAAGAAAGAAAAAGAGCGAGGGAGAGAGAGAAGGAAGGGCAGGTTGGAGACGAAGGGGAGATGTTCCGAAAGTTGTGGAGTTGAGGCCACGATCGCGGTTTCCTGTTTGATACTAGCGCTGGTAATAATACGGTTACAATGTGGGGATTGGCACCACAGACCCAGTGTAATTTTGGTATAAGATACCCCAAGTCCACCAATGAGAGAGCTTTACGGTCGGGGCAAGTTGCCTTTGATCTTTGGCTCTGGAAGCTCATTGTGAAGCTGCTACCATGTACTTTAAAGGTTGAACGATTCAGATTATCATGATATATTGAACATTGTGAGATTCTTGAGATCCTGAGGAGAACTAAGTCACGGTCATAGGGAAATGCCAGCTGGCATCTGTCATCATAAGTGACATGGAATCAAACAAGGGCCGAGAACACACGCCCGGGAATCATACCCAGAAAAAAGGAACAGGAAAGAAAAGAATAACGCCTCCGGTGCACTTCGTGATGGATATGTCAGGGGAGAGGGGAAGGAAAGAGATGAAGCAAAGCCAATAAAATCACAGGAATTTTGAACCAGGGCAGAAGAACCCATGGTGAGAGGGAAAGGAAGGAAGAAGGGTAGAGCTTCGACGCTGGTGAGGTATCATATCGAGGGGGTCAAAATAATCAAACACGCAAGGAAGATTCAGGCTCAAATGATCAAAGGATCCGAGGACACAATTAACGAGTAGAGAGAAAAGGAAATGAGGAAACGAGAATACTGACTCCGAGATCCAGCGCCAGCCAACAGGTGATCAGTTTCACTCTTATGTAGAACATAGAACCAGTGCCCTTGACGGAAAGACTGACTAGTCAATCATCATCCGAGAAGGAACCTGGCCGTTGACATTATCGGAGAGCTCGGTAGTTTTCTCCTCGGGCCGGTCCTTCTTCTTGTTGATATGCGGCTTCAGGCCACAGTTGAAGTTGTGCACGCATATGCAGGAGATGACAATCGTGATGACAATCAGAATCAGGGTGATGATGGCGAAGAATGTCATCGAGGGACGAGCGGGAAGATATTGAGGGAATGTTGCCGGGGCGTACATGCGGAAGAGTTTGAAGCAGAAGTACCCCAGGGCCGCGAATAACAGCAACTATTTCAAGAATTGGTTAGGTCAAGGTTGCTGAACGGATCAAGACTGCTGGAGGACTTACGATAATGATGATCATGCCAGTAGTGAATTCGCGGCGGACGAACCAGGCACCGCAAAGCAGAATAATGATGGTCACGGGAACCGCGATGATGGTCAAGTAGAACTCGGCATCGTGCTTGGAGGAGGATACCACGACCAGGAACTGCACGGTAAAACCGAGGAAAAAGAAGAAATCGAACTTCAGCAGGGCGATGTAAATCTGGTAGGTAAGGTAGCGGCGCTTCATGCGGAGGTCTGCACTGATGTGCTTGTAGATGGTCCACGCGAACTCGTCGTACAGCTTCCATGCAACAAAGGTCATCAGAATTGATCCAAGCGCGACGATGCACGGAATAATGATCAAAAACGGCTCGGACTCGGCCCAGACGACCGGGCTGATTTTGTCGTTGACGGACAGGACGGCCACGGCATTTTGAATCTGTCGTACTTGAACGGCGCCGTAGATCAAGAGACCGAAATTGCATGCACACAACCCGATCACTTGAATGGTGTTTTTCATCCGCAGTGCGTCATACACAAGGACCAACTCATAGATAAATCCGAAACTGTAAAGAGCGAGGAAGGTGGGGATGGTTTTTGATGATGGACTCTCGTTGGGCTTTTCTTGGATCTGAAAGTTGGCGAAAATGTAACTACACGCGACCGGTTCGATTAGTATCGGCTCTCCATTCTAGGTGGCACGGGGATTCTCCTAGGCTAGAACTTACCATTCAAGGCCCAGCGTCACCAGGGCCTGGACCAGGGTGACGATGGCAAAGGACCACGTCCAGTGAGTGTTAGGCATATACATCCTGGGCGTCTTCTTTTTCGGAGTCACGTTCGTATATCCTTCACGACCACGAAACCCCGGGCGAAACGCAGGGTCAAACGAAGCCCCTCCAAGAAGGGAAGCACGCGACCCGTGTGAGAGAATCTTGCCGAAGTGCTCCGAAGCGGAGCTCGGGTCGGCGCGATGCTGAGCGGCGAAAGACACACTGACGGTGTTGACCACCGAAGGAACCGGTGGGATTTGCTATTTATGAGGAAGAGAGGGGGTCCAGGGAGGACAAGTCAGGTGTGAGACGCAGTGTAGCCGTCTGCTGGTCCCTGATACGTGGGAGGGTCGAAACGCCCAGAGGCTCGTGTGTCCGGTGGCTTGGCGATTTCGTTGGACAGGAGCTGGGACTGAATTAGACTCAAGAGTCGAGCCGCAGGAACATCGGACGGCGTGGACAGTTTGCACTGCTCGAGCCAGCCGAGTTGTGAACGAGCGAAGGTGGTGAATTGGAGATCAGGACGAATAGACACCCTCTCGTGCTGCCTTGAGATGTTTTCTGGTCCGGTCGCAGGGGATTGCTGGTGGGGGGATGGACGGACAATGAGGTCGGGGGATCAGCGATCGGAAGTCAGGCGAAGCTAGTCTGTGATTCCTCTTCCTCTCTTTCTCTCTCTCTCTCTCTTTTCTTGTCGAGAGAAGAGAAGAAAGCCGGGGGGAGAATGAACGAGTGACGAGGTGAAGGGAGGAGAAGAGGTGGAAAACAACGACAGCCTCAAAGGTGGAAAGGGCAAAAGGGGGATCCATCCGGGGTTCACCAGTCACGACTCACGCCTTAGGACCCCCAAGTCACTGGACCAAGACACGTCCACATACCAGCATCCGGCGGGTCCCCCAATATACTCTCCTTCACACACACACACACACACACACAACCACTAGACTCGTCTGGGCCTTCTTCTCCTCTTGCATTGCTTGGGACTTTTTTTCCACCCCTTTGCTTTCATTTTTTTTTTTCTTTCGACATTCTGGTTCTAGACACATGCAACTCGATGGGTTTCTCCAGTGACCCAGCCCTGGCTGGCTCTACACAGTGGTTCCTGGTTCCTGTGGGCCTGGACCCATTCGCGCGAAACAGGTACACCTAACCTTATTGGGTCAAGTCCGGATCGCTTTACTGGGTTATTATTGCTCGCTACTGGCCACGTCAATTCGCTCTGGGCCTCTTTTGGCGGCTGCCTTGCCTCTCCGGCGTGGACGTTTACTCCAGACTCATCCGTTGCCTTTCCTCCATCCAAAACAGCAGCTGATCGTCGGCCATTCGGTCATGACATGACGCCTCAGCCCCCCTTGTCCACTTATGCGAAACCGCGGGGCCGCTCGACATAGCTGTCGCAATCTAACGGCTCTCCAATTGCCTGAGGCACGGGACTCGACACCATCCAAGCCACACGCCCCCGGGACACAACAGGCCGGATTGTCAGCCGTCCTCCACCACGACCGAGAATGTGGCCTGTCAGAGTGCTGTGGCTGGTTCCTTCCGTGCAACATGCTGGAGTGGTGGCTGGGGTACGCCTGGGCGGAATTCCACCAATTGTGATGCGGTGGCTGTGGCTGGTCAGGCATGCCACGCGAAGCCTGACCACTCCCGTTCGATCTCCATGTGTTAAGCCCCCATTATGCGAGGATCAACTCCTTACTGCGCCAGTTGGGTTGGAAACATCCTCTGTAAGCTCGTATTCTCGCGAGCTTGGTCTGAGACAAAGTGACACTTGCTGATTTCTCTCATTGACCTCTCCTGTGGTCAGTTCGTCGAGCCAATCTCCCTAAATCACTTATTGCTAACAATTTGAGGAGTTGGCTTTGAGGAGTTGTCCAGTATAACTTAAAGCTTTCAATCGCATGCGCTTCGTGCCTGGGATTGAATGGAATTTCCCTTATGGCAGGGTTTTAGTCATTGGTGCTCCGAATATGCCTGGCTCTTTGTCCTATAGTACGAGCTCCTACAATAATACCTGAACTCCCATCAAGTTTCAACTCGAAGTAATCATTGGCGTGATGGTTCATGTACCACCAGGTATGGACCTACACATGCGGGAGGCTGGCCGATATATAGGCGGGCATATGCAGGGATCAGCCTAATCCAGCGGATGATCGCCTGAGCTGAAATGTCCAGAATCTATCCATCCATCACCACTCAATCAGCGAGGTTTCTCCATATAACTCGGCGGACAAGGAGGCTTAACTACTCCGTACAGTACTGTAATTAATCACTGAGTGGAGCGTGGATGCTTACTTGACTGTTCAGATAAGCGGCTAATCCCGCCATGTGGTGGGTAGCTGTGGGCCGCATAATCATTGCCACGATCGATGCTTGCTTGAGAATCAACTTGCATTGATGACTACCAAATGTAGCACGACCAGTTCCATGGCATACTCGAGGTAGTTGTCCCCAACGTACGTTGACAGATCATATTAAGAATCCACCGGCAACAACTAGATGGCGAAGTGAAAGCACTCGATAATGACAAGCTGGTGAGCTGACAGACCGAGAGCAGTATTATCGGCCATTGATCTAATAATACCACTTCTCATTTACTGCCTTGCCCACAATAATCGGCAAGACAGATGACACAGTCGCGGCAGCTGTGATGCATAAGGCCACAGCCTTATCCGCTGAGTCCCGTTCCTATTCCTGCAAAGAAGCCCAGGGGTAGCCCAGACCCTGCAGTAAAGGGCTACTGCAAATCCTAAAAATGAGGGATCCGATGAAGCTGGTCCTTGAACTTGCAAACCTTGAACTCCTTAAGCGAATGAATCCTCTGTCACGATGGAACAGTTCTCGATTCGCACTATGAGAATGAAGTGTTAGTTAAGACATGACCAAGGTTAGGAAACATACTACCAGTAGATGGAATGTATGATACCCAGCGAGATTACAATATGCTCCTCTATAAAACTCAAAAAACTGCGCCTTGGTCCTGAAACAAAACCGGCTATTTTAGATGACTGGGAAAACGCCGACAAAGTTCCAATTGATTGGACTTTCCCGATTGATAATCTCTCATGCAGGATATCTCTGGTCAAGTCCATTTGACGCAATCCGGCTTCATACTCGGGTTTGTGGGTTCAGACGGCAGTTCTCTAATTATCCGATGAAGAGAGGCCAGGGCAAGCGAACTGACGACTGCCGTACACAATTTGCTTCGCACTACACTTGCCCGATTCGAGTCTGATGGTATTTGTAAGGCCTTTCGCCGTTCCGGTTGGCGACTCTGTGTTAGCGGGGAAGACGATTTAGAAGTACAACTCACAAGTGCAAAATATCACAGAATCTGATGAGCCCTCTGAACAGTAGCATTTCACTTGGTAAAACATTGTCTTATCCAGGGACTCTAATTCGCATACTAATTATTTGCGCCGTCCCATCTCTTATCTTTCTAGAGTCCGACACACTTCCGTCGTGATAACGAGCAGATAGGCTTGGCAGGGGCCCAAATAACAAGCTTGGGTTGCAAACCACCCTGAAAGAAAGCTTCGGAGCCAAGCCTCTCGATGATGCTAGTTCTCACATCTCCTCTGACTGCCTATTTCGGGCTAGTTGCCAAATGCTATCGGGACCTCACCAAGCCATTCAGCGCGTACCCTACCGCCCTTCCCCGCACAGCTCCAATGCCAGCTGGTATCGGCTATGCTAAGTGGATCGACAGTTCTTCTCAAGCTGTCTTTTGCAGCACATATAAATTATCTAATGGCAACTCCGTTCGATTCAGAGCTCTGCTATAAATGACCAGGAAGCGAGCAACCTTTCCATATCTTGTTTATTCAGAAAGATTGGAAAGCTCTCCATTTTAGCGACAAAAACTGACCTTCCACTTTGAACACCACCATGCTCTCAATATGGGTAGGCGCCATCCTCCTCTTTGGATATATCGTGATCCAGGACATCATATCGCCTGTTTCTAAGGTGCCGGGGCCGTGGTATACCCGCTTCACAAGTTTCTGGATCAAGTATCAAGAGTTCACCGCGAACCGACGTGAATCTGTGCATCGGCTTCACCAACTATATGGGCCGGTTGTCCGTTTAGGTCCCAATGAGGTATCATTCACAAGCCTTGATGCCATCAGAGAGATCTATGCTTCCGGAGGGAGCGGCTACGACAAGACTGAATTTTATTCGCTTTTCAAGCAATTAAAGACAAGGCAAGCCAGATAAGACGACTCTTACCTTGTCCTTTTCTAACATGGACTATAGAACCATGTTTTCCACATTGTGCAAAGACGAGGTTAGTAGATTCTTGCCCAAAGAATCGCACGAGGTGATCTCAATCTCACGATGATGCAGCACAGCAAGCGAAAACGCCTTTTCGCCGAGCGATATGCGATGACAAACGTCATGAAACCGGAGCCTTTGGCAGCCATCAACGAGCGGGCAATGACTTTTGTCTTCAAGTGCCTCGAAGCTGGCAAGAAAAGCGTCGATGTCTATGTGAGCTTTCCCTGGCATATCGGATTCATTATTAACTTCCACTAACTGGCAACCCTAGGTACTTCTCCACTGCTATGCTGTAGACTGTGTTACTCATTTCATGTTTAGTCCTGGAGGTCTCAAATCACTCAATGTTGAGAAGGATTTTGAGATCATGGAGGAGCTTACTTATCATCAGAGTCTACAAAGTAAGCAATTCTCTCTCCCTCCACACCTGAAATTACTATATGCTGAACATTGGGTATAGAAAGTCTTCTGGCATACTACCTCCCATCGCTGGAACCATACTTCCCGAGTTTCCTCCATCCACGCAGTGCACCCAAGACTAACAAGTTTGTCCTCGATATGACCGCCCAGACCCATGTGGAGGAATACACTCTCCTGGAAAAGCTCAAGCGCAAAGAATCCGGCCTCGAGCTTCTGCAAGTAGCAGCAGAATGCAAAGATCACATGGCAGCTGGTATTGACACTACTGGTGATGGTCTCTGCTTTTTGATGTGGGAACTCTCGCAACCACAAAACATGGAGTTTCAGCACAAGTTACAACACGAGCTCAGAAATGCTTCACCTGATTCCTCGTTGGATAGCTTGGTCTACCTTGACGCGGTGATTAAGGAAGCTTTGCGTTGCTCTCCACCGATCCCGATGTCTTTGCCGCGTTATGTGCCCACAGGTGGGAGATCGATTGGTGGTTACTTCATTCCAGAGCATACGATCGTGAGCTGTCAACCATACACAGTTCATCGGAGCTGTGATGAAGTGTTTCCCGAGCCAGATCGATTTTATCCTGATCGGTGGCTCGATGAAAAAGGCGCTGCAGAGCGAAACAGGCATTTCTTCGCCTTTGCAACTGGTGGGAGAGGATGCACCGGGAAGAAGTGAGTTTTCCATTTGAGAGCTCGTGTTGAAGTTGCGTTCTAACCTTTCACAGTCTTGCGCTGGTGGAGATGAAGATGCTTCTTAGAGAGGTTTATTCTCGATTCGCTACCACGGTGGCACCTGACATGCATGGCTCTATGAAACTGGATGATCAGATCATCTCGGCGAGGCCAAAGGGACAGACGTGCATGCTGATTTTCACGGAAATTTAGAAGACTTTTGTTTCCAATTATTTTTTCTATAAGCAACTTCCACTATCATGCCTCATGCTTTTGGGTTAATGAATATCTTGCTCGGACGTCAAATAATATGCCTTTTCCATAATTTAGATACGAACTACGAAACAAGAGCTTGATGTAAAAAATTCTCTTGTGGAGGCCAGTCTTGTCAACGAGGCCTCACTATCTATTGAAATACACAAATTAGCACTAAATCCATGAATATCAACTATTTGAACCCTTACGTCCTTCTCGTATGCTTGATATCATCATGACGGCCCATATAAAACCTGTTTTGCAACAGCGCCTGGTCCTCAGGAAGGGGTGGGGACACCAATCATCGCGCCACCAGATTACCTCTGTTTCCGAAACCTCTTGGACAGGTATTGTTGATACAATGGATATTTTAGATTTCCTACCAAGCGTGGAAATCTGTTTCGGGCGAGCTTCTCGGACAATACATGCAAAGAGACCCGCACCATCTAAGAAGACCCACCGCAATTGACAGTATCGGACCGTTATCCGCCTGTGTAAACAAAACCATCGAACTATGGGCATTTCAGACTGGTTCAAATAAAGGCTTGACCAGGCTTGCAAGATCGAAACATCCTTGGTCACCAATAGGAAATTTGCGGCGAATACACTTTGATGTCCTTCAAGTACAAATAGCGATTCACTTCCTCGGCCTTTAGCCACTCCAAGCACTCGGCTTTGATATTCTTTCTCTCAGTGTATTCAAGTCTCTATCTGAACTTTTCCAATCGTCTATACTTGTGTCAGTCGAGATGTCCGACCCCAATAACCCCAACACAAAGTCAAGAAACACTCCGCAGTGGTCGCTTTATCGACGTGAAGCGTTTTGGGATACTAATCTCGGTCAATTTCCACTCTTCAACACTGGTAATGGGCCCTCTACCATAAGTTCTGACTCTAGCCAATCTCTAAGTGTTGTGCTGACCATACAGATCCGACCGAGGTTGAGAGACTTGCCAAAGAGAAGCTGTCCCAAGGAGGATGGTAGGTATCGCTCAAAAGTAGCTCACTGATTCAAGGTGAACTTGACTTACAATTCAACCTGTACACAGGTATTACTCCTCTTGCAATGCAGGTCTTTCATGGACCCATCTGGCGAATCGCCAGGCATTCTACCGCCACCGAATTATTCCACGTACTCTAGTCGACACCAACACCAGAGATACCGCCACAGAAATCTTCGGCCATAAAGTCTCCGCTCCGATCGGCTTTGCTCCCATTGGAATTAATCGTATCTACCACGCGACAGGCGAGCTATCCGTTGCAAAAATTGCAGAAGAACTGAATCTCCCTTACTGCCTCTCATCAGCCGGCAGTTATAGCATTGAAGACGTCGGCAGAGCCAACGGCAGCGGCCCGCGATTCTTCCAATTGTACCAAAGTCACGATGACGAACTGGCTATTTCAATGATGCAGCGTGCTTGGGACTCTGGTTTTGATGCTTGTATGCTTACTACGGATACCTGGGCTCTCGGATGGCGCCACAATGACGTGTTCACGGGGAACTATGCATTTTATCACGAGCATGGTGCGGGTGACATTGCTTTACAGGATCCTGTTTTTCAAAAGCGTCTGAAGGAGGCCGGTATTGATCCTAAGCAGAATCCTAAAGAGGCGGGCTCAAAGTGGATTGATGAGAATATTTGGCATGGACGGGCTCATACATGGGAAAAGGTCAAGTGGACGATGGCTCAATGGAAGAGAATCAGTGGTGGTAAGCCTTTTTGTTTGAAGGGTATCCAAAGTGTTGAAGCGGCCAAGAAATGTGTCGAAATGTGAGCTCCTGGCCTCAAAGGGTCGAGTTTACTTTTGCTGATCTAATATGCAGTGGAGTCGATGGCATTGTTGTTACGAATCATGCCGGTCGACAGGTTGACGGTGCCATCGCAAGCCTTGATGCCCTGGAGAAGATTGTTGAAGCTGTTGGAGATAGCATATATGTATGTATTCTTCTATTCCACACACTGCATTGAATTCCTCGACTGGAGACCATTCTAACAAGTGGGATTAGATCATGTTCGACTCTGGCGTGCGTACGGCTGCCGATGCTTTCAAAGCTCTCGCCCTCGGAGCAAAATTCGTCTTCCTAGGTCGTCTATGGGTATGGGCACTTAGTATTGCTGGCGAACATGGTGTACGCCACATCATGAAGAGTTTCTTGGCCGAATTCGATCTTCTGATGGAGGAAGCTGGTTTCCAATCGATTGATCAGATTGATCGCTCGGCCATCGACAGTCTTCCGAATACTTCTAGCCTGATCGCTGAGCATGCATGTATATAGATAGAAATCTGGCCGCACGTGGAATGATTCAGAGGAATCAAGAGATGGACTTTAGTTATTATTCTTTAGACTACATGCATGATACGGCCTACTAGCTTTCCTCGGGTATGGAAAAGAATCATTGTAGATGGACTCCATATCTTGGGTAATTCAGATCAATCTCCGCTGTTCTGGAGCTATACATAATCTATTGTTTCTGAGTATATTGAGAGTCATTGAAGTCAAGCAAGCGGAACCTGCCGCGTGAGGGGAGCCGTTCCAAAAGAGCTGCTCGAGCCGACGATGCGGGATGCGGGGCATGAGGGGAAGCCGATAAGGCCAGTGAGATCAGCCTACCGTTGCCAAACCATCTCCTCGAAATACCTAATTCGTCTTGGCTTCAAGTATTCATTGACCCCTGCGAGCCTACAATTTAGGCACTCGAAAACCACTGAAACCCGACTCCTCGGACGACACTCTTGAGTGTTTTCCTTCGAAGCCAAACATTACCTCTGAATTACACCAAATTATAACTCATTTCAACCATGGCCAATACTGGCAATCCCACTGATTCGGCTTGTCGCTTCTCGACGCGCATCTCCTTACGATGGCTTCCGGAGCCTGCGCACGAAACGACCGATACAATCGTCATGTCTGTCAAGGACTGGTACCTCGATTTGCGAATGGACAAGCAAACCGGTGAAATTGACTGGGCAATTGCCGGTCAACGAATCATTGAAAGCCAAGAACCTCGTCTGTCACACCTAGCACGTTCAAAACAATCTCCAATTCTGGCTAACAACTTATCCAGTGCGTGTATCTTTCACCCACGAACTCGACTCTCACGATGCTTTTGAAAGTGTCGACTGTGGTACATTCGTCACTCTCCCGAATGGCGACGACCTCGAGACGGGATCTATGCCTCGTCCTGATCTGCCCGGTGCGCCCGAGACGGAATACGAGGAGGTATGGCGAGAGCTATCATTCAAGGAAGACGCCGAAGGACCTGGAAAAGGGATGTCATGGGTTCTGGAGTCGGATGATGGCGAGCTAGAAGGGGAGGGCGAGGTTACTGTAGTTAAGACCTTTCTTGGCCGACTGTGGGGGACATATATGGCACTGCAACAGACCCAGACCCATACTCGACAAAGGAATTCGTCGGGAGAGTGGGTTGTGAAGAAGACGGGGGCTGATGTTAGTGCTAGGAGGGAGGAATGGAGCTCAGCGTGGGAGGATCGGTATGTGGTTGGATCGGCTGGAGGGATGCTGCCTTCGATGAAAAATGGTCTTGAAGGTGAAGGGCAAGGGTCGTGGAGAGTACCTGGGGAGAAAGTGAGCGTCGAAGGCCGGACCTATATTGTTCGAGCATTTGAGGAAATCTAGTAGCGATGGGGGTGGTCTGCTACCTTGCGAGCTCGGTGACATATTTACGACTTCCAACATCACCAATGAGCGATTTCGTCAGATAAACGAGCTGAAGTTACTTGTTGATAAATCATGCAAAGCTCAAAGTACTTCAGATCAGAAAGTATGGAAAATCTTAAATTCAAGGTTCTACCCATCAATAATGAGCCATAGCGATATCGAGGATAGTAGAAGTGGGATATTAAAAGCTCGTGCAGCGGCAGAATGCCAGGAACCACACTACTTCCTCAATCGAGAAGGCGGTCAATACACCCACAGCTTCCCATTTTCTTTTTTGACTCACGACTGGTCTCCTTCTCTTCTTCTTCTTCTCCTCCAAGCGCCATCCCCACCAATGCTGCGTTTCTTTGCTACACACGACAGCAGGTCCTGCCCTCTGTCCTCGGTACCCTGGGCCCCGCCCCAGCCCGAGAACCCTTGCAAATGAGAAATTCGGAGGAATCTTCAAAACCCCCAACCCGCCCTCTCTTCGTTCGCGAAGTCCGAGGGCCGGTGCTGCCCGCGAGGGCCTGGTGTGACCTTCTCGACACACCTGCATTCGGCATCAGAAACATCGGGGGACCCGGGGCTGGTTTTGACCAGTCTCGATACCCTATGGGAGAGTCGGTGCGGAGATTGTGTGTGATGACACTTTAGTGCAATACGCAGCATACTGTGCTCTTGTCTTTTTTTTGTCCTTCGGGGTGGGAAGAGATGAGAGCGGTATCATTCGATTCCGATCATTCTGGTGGGGATGGCGCTTCACCCTTTTTTCTTCTCAGGTCAGTATTTTACTTCCCCCGTCCACTTTGCTTGTTGCTGCTTTGTGCGGCCGGAGTGGGTCTGGAAAGGATTGTTTTTTGGCGACTCTGCTAATTAGTGGGGTTGCGGGCCATGTTCCCGTTAGGTCTTCCCTTGAGGGACCCTTGACGTTGCATGGTGGGTGGGCATTTGGAGACTGAGGCTGGGGATTAAGTGTGTGGGTGTGATGACTCGAGGAGAGCGTGTAGTGCCTTGACGTTAGACGTGTCGACATCAGTCTCCCACACCTTCGTACTATGTGATTGTCTTAGTAGAAACCAAAAATGAACTGGACAGTCTTCTCGGTGCAAAATTTTTCCACTTTTCGTGATAAGACAGGTGGCTGGGTAAATAAAATAGCTCGAGAGCCCTCTCGGGCCACTCGGAATGTTAATTGGAATAAACTAGCATAGTAAAAGGGCTTTGCTATCCCTTCTATTTCAGGACATGGTGCGGGAAAACAAGAAAATAAACAAGTCATGGCCTCCGTCAGGGGATCTCCATTATCGTAGGGGCTTCATTTTGTCTGGTCTCGACCAGTTCATGTGATTTACTCCTCATCGCCGATCTGTCAAAGGAACTGATTAGTGACGCTCAAAAAGACCAAGAAAGCAAATTTCAATTTCACATACTTTGGGGGCGAGGTAGAAGCGCAAGTGACCGCTGCCAAGAGGATACTCAACCAGCAGAGGCACCTCCTGGGACAGGTGCAGTTTTACCGAAGAGGACAGGTTGGAGGCCTTGCAGAAGTTGACAAGGTACTTGAGGGAGAAGGTCAGGGCAACGGGCTCAGAGAGGTCAATGGTAACGTTCTGGTCGGGCTTGTCGACATTGGTGTGCTGGCGGATGGTAACGGAGCCGTTACCAATGTCGCCGGAGCAGGAGAACTTGACACCCTCCTTGCTGGCCTCGATGACGACTATAGAGAGAGAGGGACGAATTAGCGTCATATCTCAATTGATGTGAAGCAAATGGACAGGGTGTACTCACCCGACTCGGAGAGAGCGTTCAGGTCCCTGCAAATACGCTGGAACTCCATGGAAGGCATCTCAACGGTAGCAGCATATTCAGTCTCGGGAATGGCCAGGTGCTCCTGGTCAATATCCATGAGCTTAATATCATACTCGCTGAGACGATCAGTCTCAGCACTCTCAAACATCAAGTTAACGGCATCGGGAGAGTCTTCGGCCTTCAGCGTCAAGATGTCTTCATTCTGAGCAGCGCGCAGGACCTTGGTGAGCGAGACCAGGTTGATACCGAGGGCAATGTTACGGTCGCAGCGGTAGGGCGAGAAACCCTCGGCACGGAGCAGCATGGAGACTAGGGCAACGTGCGAGTTATCCATGGCCTGGAGGGCGATACCGGAGTCATTGCAGTCGAAGTTACAGTCCTGGACGAGGTCCTTGATGGCGTCGACGACCTGGTAGAGCAAAAATTAGTATAGAAACCAGACGGGAGGACTAAGATGTAGGCTTGGGCGCTACTTACGCGCTTCAGGAGGGCAGCCTGTTCCAATCGTGCCTCAAGCACTGTTCCACCGTGTTAATTGGACTTTTTGCACCACGGTCGGCGATGGTGTTCATGTACTTACTGTTGATGTGGGGTTGTGATTGTGGGTTTTGGAAAAGAGGGAGGGATTAAGAGAGAAGAGGTGACGAGGACGACGGAACGTCTAGAAGGAGAAGGGTGATAGAAGAGGGGAGGAGGGGAATTGGAATTTGGGGGTTGAACGTAGCTGTGATGAAGGTAGAAGAGGCGGCGGTCTGAATCGCAGGCGAAATCGCGTTCGAGGGCTAGTGGGGAAACACGCGCGAACGCGTTTGGCGATATGCCCTCTTTCGGTTAGCGTGGCGCCCAAGGCGACAAGGTGTCTACATCCCCCGAGGAGTGGCAGGAGAAGCTTTTGAGACACAATTATATTACAGAGAATTGCTAATAATGGCGGCATTGGTAAGGTACACAAAGGCTGAGAGACAGATAGTGGAACAAAAGTCCAACCTCTTAGCCGCAAAAAGCCGGAAAGAAATGTACAGACGAGCGAAAGCCCCCGCGACCGATGATACAGAAGAAACAGGAAATGCAGACGGAGAGAAAAGAAAGCAGGTCCGAAGGACCTAAATAAGAATAAAAAAGGGACAAAAGGCTTCAATAACACCATCTTCGCCTGATCCTTCTATAACGTTCATGGGTATCATGTCAGCAAGCAATAGCAACGTGAAGCTATGCTTTGCAGTGGTAGCAAGAAAACAAAAAGAACAACTGAGTGGGTTGGGTGCTGGATTGACCCGGCGTCAGCACACAATTACATGCTGGTCACTCGTTTGGAATGGTTGTTGCGAGGTCTTTGCTGGATGACCATCTCCAGTTCCTTGAGCATATTGGTCTTTGCATTTGCCTTTTCCTGAACGGCCGCTTTACTGGCACGTGCTTCTCGAACGCGTGCCAGACGTTCATCTCTCGTGAGAGAGGCTCTCTTATTTCTCGAAGCAGGGAGTACGACCGCTTCGAAGATCTCCTCGTCCTCGAAACTATGCGTCAAGTCGGGACGCTCGCCGTTCAACGCTTTGAGTGCGTCGGTAGGACTTCCCTCCACGGCGGTAGTACCACCAAGACTAGGGGTAGGAGACAGTGGGAAGGCTGTACTCGGAGGCCGGGAGAAGTCTCCGACACTGAGGCGATGCTGACTGTTGACAAATGCAGCTTTCCCGAGCTCCCACTCTTGCAGTAGAGCCCTGATATCACTACCAATAGAATCATATTGGACCAAAAGACTCGCTTCGAATTCGCCAGTCTCGGATTGCTCGAGATTGGCGTTGGACTCCTCACCGACGATGTGCATTTTAGCATGCAAGGCACGAACGCCCTGCGATAAGGAGTTCAGCCGCCGGAATTGCGTGCGCATGTGCTCCTTGCTTGGAGAAGCGGACGGCAACGGAGATGGAGGAATAACGTCCCCTGTGAAGATTAGCCTGATGTACATGGTAGGGCAACATGGTATGAAGTAGATACTCACGGTCCTCCTCATTCAGAATGTTGGCCATTTTGGTCATGCTTGATCCGGTGACCGCAGCAAGCTCGCGCATCTCTTCCACGGCCGAACTCCACCTCGTGATATCAGATCCTCCTCCATCGGCACTCAGCGCTAGCAAACAGCACAAGACGCTTTTTCTCACTGTATACAGTTTCCCGAACGATTCACGCAGAGACCGTAATGAATACTGATCATCCATAGACCGTTGCGACAGAGTTGACTCGATTGTTTCGAGGTCCTCCAGCGCGATATCGTAAATATCGTAATATTTAGCAAGGTTGGCCTCGTCAGTAAGCGGCCGCAGGGTATTTTGTGATTGAATATATCGTTCAAGCATGGACCAGAAAGACTCGGATACTGCTCTTCGAAGTCTCAAGCACCTCCGGATTTGTACCTGATCCTCCAGTCGACTGATAGGAGGGAGGGGAGTGCTTCTGGAAATGCGATGTTAGTGGACGCTCCTAGAACCGGACTTTCTAGAATAAACTTACATCCGATAGCCTCTAGAGACCAGCTCCACCTCTTGTATAAAGACCACCGAGGCTGAAGCAGCCGAGTCAAACCCCTGAGCATTCCCGACGAAAGCCCCGGCAGCCTCCACCGCCTGGTGCCGCAAGTATTTCAACCACTGTCGCTTCGCAAAGGCATAAAAGAAAACCCCGAGAACCGGCATCAGAATCAACATGATCCCGAATTTTCGTGGATTTAGCCCAGATCCCGTCTTAGACCGGCCCCAGTGTAGTAACCACACAATCGAAAAGGAAGTTGACGCAGTGACAATGGCACCTTGCAGACCAAAAGTTGTGGAAAGTGACGGGAGCTCTGCGGGCTGTGAAGTCGCGAGCACATCTGCCGCGGAGGTGTAGGAGGGCGCGCTGTGCTCGTTCAAGAGCTGCGAGGCGACGATGACGTATCCGAATTGTTCTAGGAACCGCTCGTTGTCTCCTCGTGCGATGCGCGCGTTCAGGGCAGACTGGAAAATAGACAGAAGTCAGGATGGGGTCCAGAAATGTTGCGCAGTGATCATACCGAGCAGGCAGTGTATAGCTTCTGCGCGATGGCTCCATGCGGTGAGTTGCCGAGGTTCAGGGGCTTTGGAAGCTTGTTGCGCACTCGACTTTGAAAGCGAGAAGCTCCCCGAGGAGCGAAATCAGTGGCAGGGACCTCATTTTCACTCTCGCTGTTTGTTTCCGCCGCTGGCCAGTTGTCCTCACGTTCACCCACCCCTGAGAAGGTAAAGCGCGTCAGTATGCAGTCGCGGTGTATTCTAACTCGGCGCAGGACACACGAACCTTGGAGGTAGTCGTCCAGCGGTGAATCCTTAGGCACAAAAGATTCCATGGCCGAGAACCATTCCGGAGAATGAAACGAAGAATGGAAAGTGGAGAGGTAGTGGTGGTGGGCTGGGTCGAAATCGTGTGCGGAGAGGAGGGGGATTTTGCGGAGAGGTGTTAAAGAGCACGGCGCGTGCCGAGGGACATGTCGCAGGGTCACACTCTCTAGTCACAATAATCAAGATATCACGATCAGTAGTATGTACTGAACTCGAGCAAGAACCAAAGCGTGGCCACGTTGACGGTTGTTCGTCCGGGGAAAGGAGTCACGAGAGACTTTAATTGCGAGTAGCAGACCCACTTAGTAGTAACTCGCCTCCTTTTCTGGCGATGACATTATTATTGCAGTGCTCTAATCCACCAATACGATGACCCTGATCTTCACTAGTATGATTGGTACAGTAGGTCATACTTCTAATTTGCAGCCAAGTTGACTGATTACGCTTGGTTCTACAGCGCAGAGGCCAAAGGGTAGTGTGTAAGGGACTCTATATAGAGCCCAGAGTATCCGGCCGACAGCAGCCTGATAACGTTACATAGTGAATTTAGAAACTCTGGCTACGGATGGATGCAGCTAGACCCGGATAAAGACGGTCCTTGGGGCTTGGGGGGTGTTTCAAAGCAGAAGAATTGGGGGGTCTTTGACTGTTTGGCTGGTAAATTTGGGTTTCTGCTGCAGGGGGTCATGCACGAAGTATCCTTGGGGCTTGGGCCGCATACCCTCATCATTCGAGAACGTCACGTGATTGCCCCGCCATGATGAGGTAACCTTGGTTGCCCGGACAATGAGCCCTATCAACAACAACCTTATGAGCCTGGACCGAGATCGGGTTCGAGACGCGGTCGAGACGCCGTGGTTATCACTGGTCGAGAGTTGTGATTCAAAGCTCTTTACTCTCCTTTATCACATTCCAGCTCCATACTTCTGGGACAGGCTCTACTTGTTGAGAAACCCTCTTTCACCCCTCAACCCACACCGCCTCGACAAGATCAACAAGCTGCAAGGGTGGACTTGATATCAAGTCAATCTCGAAAGCACATTCCAACCCCGATGCACCCATAAACCGCCTCCCCTCCACCCAGAAGTGGCTCGATACCATGTCCGGAATCTTGAATGAAGCCTTCACCCCGTGTCCGTCCAAGTCACAATCCTCTGGATGGAGTGAACATGGCACCACCGAGTCGTTCGATAGCTTGGTGGATGATGACTCGGCCCTCGACGCCACGGCGCAAATTGAATTCACCACCAATGTGCGAGTACCGATATTGACTGGTGTTCGCCCCCGACGAGCTGGTCGGGTGGGTAATTCGGTCCAGATTTACGAAGACATCAGTGACAAAAAGTCAAGCCTGGCAGAGAAACGAAAAAGACCGAATACAGGACCTCGAAATCCTTCGGACCGCAAATCATCCTTGCTGGCTCAACCTGCTCAGCGATTCCGGCCGAAAGTCAATTTCGCTGCTAGCCCGCTACCCCGACAAGAGAGACCAGAGACTGAAACACACGACAAAAGACAATCGCTTCAACCGAGGGCAAATGATAGATCCCTATCTGTCTCGCGAACGACCGGCAATATATTGAAGGATCGGAATCATGACAACGAGATCAATAAGAACGTTCGACACAGCACAGAATACACCCCTCCTTTTATGGGACTTTTCAGTCCTCTCAAGGTTCCTCCCAGAAACACTATGCCCAAAGTCGTGGAAGACATTCAAATCAACACCCTCGAAGCTCAGATTGCAAAGCGACAGGCTAGAAAGTCGGTGGTAGTACATGCACGAAGAGGGCCTCTCCAACCAAGTACGAAGATTGCACAGGAAGCTGCATTCAGAGTGGATGTTGCTGGCAAAAACGGCGGGAAGGAGAATATTCCACCAGGAACAGTCCTTGAGATCAACAAGAAGAGCAAATTGGATCATGCTGTCCAGTCAAGGCCAAAGAGATTGAGCACCGTGAAGTCGAAACCAGCTCCCTGTACCACAAAACACCAACTGGCAAAGGCACATGCCACAGACTCGGTCATGGGAGTGACGAAGCAGCTATCGAAGCGAAATGTCTTGGGTGAGAAACAAGATAATGCACATGCATCATCTGGTTCTCTTCCTCATGGAACCAAGATCCGAGCCGAGTCACAGGATCCTCTGCGGAGCGCATCGGCATCTCTCAAGGCTCGTGCATCTGTATTGTCAGAACGGCTTGGTCAGTCGCAGAGTATGCGAGATTCGAAGATTGGGAAATCGACATCGAAGGAGCTAAATAACCAATACCCTCTGTTGACAGAGAACATTTCGAAGCCTGCCCTGTATGAGGATGATTGGCTCTCACACCAAGAAACTGTCATCACCCAGTTAATCAATGCGTTGTTTGAATGCACTAACCGGGAATGCACCGTTGCGGACCAAAATGAGCTTCGTTTGAAAATTCTTGAGCTCTACCACACTAAATACTTCACGCAACTATACCAGCGACTTCAATCATCCCTGTCTTACGGAGCTCTCACCATCCCCAAGGATATCAACGGTCGCAACAGTCGTCTTAAGCATGACGTGGGGCTGAGGCGAACATTTTTGGACACTTGGATCCAATCCTATGACCTTCGCGCATTGGTACCGGCTTTGGAGACCGTTGTGGGCCGAAGGATTTCCAGTGACTCGACTTTGTCCAACGTTCAGAGCGATACGACTTTTACAAATGATTTCAAGGCCCAAAAGGCAGTTGCTCAAATGGTCCGGGATTTCCTCGAAGCGTTCCTGCTGTGGAACGACGATATAATGCACCATGCACCGGGACTTAGCGACGTACCGAGGGAGATGCACGAACGGGCTTATCGTAGGACCGTGCTTCGAAGCATCATACTTGTCGTTCTTTTGGACCACGCAAGACAAAGCTTTGGCACAGGCTTACCGCGACGACTGTTTCTGCCATCCTCTCAATACAAGTCTTCAGCTGAGGTCCTTCAAGCCTTGGCCCGTTTGCTACTGCCTTCTGGTGGTGATATCACCAAGAAACTCAGTCACCTCGGCTGCCAGGTCACGTACAAGCAGCATCCGCTGCAAGAATATGACTACGCGATAGACAACATCGCAGTCGACTTGAGAGATGGTATCCGGCTAGCCAGAATTGTGGAGATTCTCTTTTACACCTCGGAGCACGTGCAAACAGGCCTCAACGACCAGAATGAAGTCACCCTCTCTTCGGGAGAGGCTCTTTCACTTCTTGGCGATGAAATGGATTTTCCGCTGTCTAAGCATCTAAGGTATCCATGCGTCAGCCGAGCAGCCAAAATCTACAATGTCCAAATTTCACTCTCGGCTTTGAGATCTATGAAGGGTGCCCACACTATTATTGGAGACGCACGCGCAGATGAAATTGTTGATGGTTATCGGGAGAAGACGTTAGGGTTCTTGTGGGCCCTTGTGAGTAAATGGGGACTTGATGGCCTCGTTGACTGGGAAGACGTCCGTAAGGAAATTAAAAGACTCCAACGCAAAGCTACTCTTCATCTTGGGTATGATCAGCCGAAGCAAGAAATTGGGTCTCCACACAAGGAATTGATCAATAATGACCATGCTTCCTTGCTTCGGCAGTGGGCCACGATTCTAGCCGCTTTGAAAGACCTGGACATCCACAATATGACCACAAGCTTTGCAGATGGGAAGATCTACGGAAGCATCGTTGATGAATACAAGCCATTCATAACTGGCAGAGGAACTGAAGATTGCGCTGTTGCGAACAGTCGTTTTGTTTCGATGTCCTTGGAGTCTCGTTTGCGGCTGTTGGGATGCAGCTCTCAATTTGGTAAGTAAGACAAATGGACAAAAGTAACGGGTCAATACTAACGAGCCATCATAGCATGCCTCATCTCCTCTGAAAAAGCGTCCTCTAGTCTCCTTGACGAAGATTTTACTCTTGGCACTCTTGCCTTCCTCTGCTCTCGATTACTTTCAGCTTCGAAGCGTACTCGTGCAGCTGTCGTCCTGCAGCAGGCCTGGCGGACTCACCTTGCGAAACGCAATCAATCTCGTCGAAAGATTGCCCGCGATCTTGCTGCACATTGTGCGGCTGTCGTTCAAACCAGAAACAAGATCATCTGGGCAAAGGATGTGATCACTTGCTACTGGAGAAAGTACCAAGCCCGGAAGCAGAGAGCGAATAACACGTCATATCGAGCCTTGGAAAAGGTCAAACGTCAGCAGCGGAAGATTGTTGGACGTCGACTCTAGTCACCTCTGTGGCTTAACTCTACACTGCGATTACTGTCGTTGCTTACCCCCCGCAAACCAGCACTGTTGAATTGGTGCTATGATGATTATGAAAGCGTTGATACATTCATTTCAGGGAGGTCGGGCCTGGGATTCTTTGGACATTGTTTTTTATAGATTTGTTTGGCGTTTCCTTTGATACCACGTCAAGTCCTAGTGTCAGTTTCATTCGTGTTCACATACCCTCGTTGTACTCTTAGCGGTCAATTCATGACACTTCATGCTCATTACAGTTCTGTTTTAATAACACTTAGAATGTGCCAATTACGTAGTATGTACTTGATTGTTTTATGTGCTTATTTTAGGAGTGGACATCCACCTTCTTCTGACCCTCAACAAAAGCTACGAGAAACTCATCGGTGCAAAAGTGAAAGACTTTGATTTTGAACATTTCCTTGTGAGACTTATATACAGTTTGTCAAATCAAATCCCTCCTCCTATCTCTTATGTGCATTTCCTTGTATGATCTGCTTTACCAGCCGCCGTGCTAGCATTTTGTTAGTGTTTATACTTTGGAACATGAGCGATTAACTTACTGAACCACCAGGGCCATGACCGTGATGGCCGCCAGGACCACCAGAGGGACCTCCAAATCCTCCAAGGCCCCCTGGACCTCCAGGGCCACCGTGAGGACCACCAGGGGCGCCATTGGGGCCTCCAGGACCTCCGTTATGAACACCAGGACCTCCGAAGCCACTGGGGCCACCACCGGGGCCTCCAGGACCACCGTGATGACCACCAGGAGGTCCTTGGTTACCAGAGGGAGGAGGAGAGGGACCGCCCTGGGGGTGGTCGTGGTGATGGTGATGAGAGAAGAGACCCATAGTTGCTTGTGAGGGTTGGTAGTGACCCAGAGGAATAAAGGACAAAGAGTGATATGAACGGAGAAATGTGATTTCAGGCCAAGACGCTGGGAGACGCGACCATATATATACCCTCAATCAAGGTCACAGCTCTATAGCTGCGTACGTGGATGATCGTCATGGCTTGTCTTTGCCAAGCAGCCCTACAGTGCCAAGAGATTCCGCAACTGAGAGACAAGGATGGTTGCCTCACTAGTTTCGACTATTAAGCTAGCTCGAGGCACCGGACGATTTTTTCGCGTGAGTGTTTAAGCTATCAGCGATCTTCCAGCCTAAGCTCAAACGACTCTTGAATGACGTTCATCTTCAACAGGTGCCGACTCAATGAGTATAGCAGCAGATTTGAAGAACAGTGACATCACTCAGTCTCTGAACTAAACGATGCTGAAACAAGAGCCGTTGGCCGATCCCGTAGTGGCTACTAATGTCCACGCAAGCAGCCCTACCCGTGCACCGGGAAATAGAGTGGAGCTCCATCGGATAGAACTCGGCATAGATTACGCGTCCCAACATACGCATAGTGAATAATAGCACAAGTCTGAGGCAAGCCGATGGAATGACTATTGAAGTTTGGTAAGGACCAGAACATGGTTGGGAAGAATCTATTGTTCGAGTGTGCTTCCAGTCCTGGGCCCTTTTAAAAACCGAACAGCACCGGCGGTAGTCCATACTTCATTTATAGATAAAGTAGAAGTATATTCTCCGTGTTCGAAATCATCAAGAGCTGGTTCCGGCCAGCCCAGGAGCCTGTTGTCGAGAACAAGTGGGGCGCCAATACAGTAACCTTGAAGCAGCCGAATAGCCCTGCTACTCCGGCCATGAATCAGACCGTCTCAGAGCAGCCAGTAAGCGTCCTGATTATCCTCAATGCCCAGAGAATGCTAAGTACTGAGTACTGACAATCCATTACTCCAGGGATCCCCAGAGTTCATGGGCGTCTACATCCATCCGTGGTGATGGCATGGATGAGGATGTTTGCTGCGGAACCTAAAAGTCACACCAAGAACAATCCACTGTCTAGTAAATTTGAATGCTCACGACGTTGAACTGCTCTTTCGGCTAATGTGGGTACTTAGTTAACTACTCACCCCAGACCTTGCGTCCACCGAACCACGTCTCCTTGATCTTCGCCTGTAGTAAAGCCTCTGCATCCCACTCCATATCCACAATCACAAAGTCTGCCAACTTCCCAACTTCCAAGGTGCCAGTTCGCTTCTCAGAAAAGACGCTCATTGCTGCACCACCTGATGCTGCAACCATAGACTCACACATGCCCAATCGGAAGTGTTCATTCACAACTTTTGCGTACTGAGGATCTCTCGAAGAACGTCGCGTCGTAGCAACATAGAGATTATGCATAGGCGCATATGGTGAGGTTGGGCTATCGCTTCCGATGGCCATTAGTGCTCCAGCATCCGCAAATTCTCGATACGCAAAGGCTCGTTGACACCGTTCTTCGCCCAACAACCGTGGCCATTCTGTCAGGATGGATGGGTCGGCATGTACCGGCTGAATGGAGGCTGTCAGGCCTAATTCGCCGAGTCTTTTCGCATCCTCTGGTGACGCAAGCTCGATGTGTTCAATGCGATGCCGACGACCGGGCGTGGCATTCTTCTCAATCGCGTCAATGGCAATCTTGATTGCCCCATCACCAATGGCATGGAGTGCAATCTGCAAGCCCCCAGTGTCTGCCTCTTTTACAACCGGGTGAAGGTGTTCCGGAGCCCAGATTGGTGGTGGAGAGCCGACAGGAGCGTATGGCTGTGAGAGATAAGCCGTACAGGCATCAATAATCCCGTCACAGATCACCTTTATCCCGACGATACGGAGATCAGGACTGGCTTCAGCATTGAAAACATTCGATAACTCAATTGCCCGCTGAACTTGATTGGAGTTCGCTTCATGGTTTGCAGTGGGTTTGATCAGCCAATATGCGGCAATTCGCAGTGGAAGACTTGGCTCCATCCCTCGTAGAGTAACAAGGGCATCCCATGCTTCTTCATCCATGGCCATTTCCACTATACCGGTGTACCCTGTAGAGTTATATTCTTGAATAGCTGCCCGTATAGCTTGGATACGTTCTTCTTTCGAAGCAGAAGCTGCCTGATACGGCCAGATGATAGACATCATGGCTCCCTCGTCAAGAAGACCAGACGGGTTCCCGTCAGAATCGCGATGGATAGTGCCCCCAGCCGGGTTAGGCATATTGGCGACGCCTAGCTCTTTCAAAGCCGCACTATTGCACCAGCATGAATGCTGCGAGCTCGCATCAATAAATATTGGTCGAGGATCAATATCATCCAGCATGGCCGCCGTGACACCCTTGGGTGTCATGACATGCATCCAATTTTTGCATTGAATACGTGGCACATTCGGGTGGGCAAGAGCATATTCCTTGATGGTTGTCTTGATATCCTCCAGAGATTTGCAGTTCCTGAGTTCAAGCTTGCGTAGCGATTGGCCCAAAAGCAGTAAATGCATATGACCGTCGATGAAGCCTGGCAGTACAGTCTGCAGTTTCAGGTCGCGTGTCTGCACATCTGAGATACTTCTGGAAGCAGCGATCTCGTCGTAGGATCCTATTGCAGTGATTTTGCCATTCTCAACCAGCATACTGTCTACCAAGTCTGGGCCGTCGTACTGTCCAGCGTTGGCCATGGTGAAAATGCGACCATTCCGGAACAAAGTACTCGCTGACATGTTGGGCAGCGCTTGATCGGTGGTTGAATGCAGACAAATCGTGAAGACGCACGAGAGGACGGGGAACACGGTTCAAGATGCGAACTCAAAAAGAAGCTTAGAGAGAGTGCTTTGCTGGCCTAGAGGTTTGCGGAGAACAGGAGAACATTCAAGTTAAGACATTGTGTATGATTGATTGTCTTTGCGGTCAGATGCGGAGTTGTTTTCAGACTACTGTGCTAGTGCAGCTCATGGTGGGTCCCGTCTCGAGTTTCCTTCCCGGGTTCCCATCTGTATCTATCAAATTAAATTCTACCTACGGAGGCTGACTATGAAGTGATCCCGGAAGGAAACAACTGAGGATTCCCTGCCAATGTCTGTAAGTGTAGTTAGAGGTCTTGTATTTCTTCTATAGTAAACCAAACTTTTTTTCGTCAAAATAAAGTAAGACGAACCAATCTGGGTCGACTAATTACAGTGGTGTTCTATAAGTTTGCAGCACCCATCTCATCAGCTATACTTTAAAGGCAAGTTGAACAAAAATGCGGGGAATATCCAGAAAGAGGGTTCAAAAGACATTCAGAAAGATCTGTTAAAACATAAAATGGAGGCATATTTAGATGACCTTTTGTCTTGGTCCCTGGGTTCAGACTTTTGAACTGCCACTGTGCAGGCACAAAAGAAAACACAGCTGCTCTTATCGATAAGGTGCTATCGATAAGCATGCTTGGCTCCACCGCACCCGACTTCAACCTCCAGCTACAACGCTCAGGCGAACCCACAATTCCTCAAATCTATCATGGTCAAGCCCCTCACATTCAAGGGTGACAAGCCTAAAAAGCGCAAGCACCGCGATCCAGATAGCGAGAAGACTCCCAAGACCCGCAAAACCGAGCTATCCGAGGCAGCTGACGATAATCCACCCGAGGACCAGAGCTGGGTCTCCGCGGACTCCCCAAGCGATATTGCGGGCCCCGTGGTGCTGGTTCTCCCATCCGATGAGCCGACATGTGTGGCCTGTGATGTGAATGGCAAGGTCTTCGCAAGTGTGCTGGAGAATCTGATCGAGGGTGCTCCGGACACGGCAGAGCCGCATGACGTACGACAGGTCTGGGTCGCGACGAAAGTTGCAGGGACAGAGTCATTTACTTTCAAGGGGCATCATGGAAAGTGAGTCGGGATTTCCCAGTAGTTCTTTCTGTCTATATAGAAGCTAACTGATTGTGACAAAACAGATACCTTTCCTGCGACAGCCACGGAATCTTCAGCGCAGACACTGCTGCTGTATCCCACTACGAAACGTTCCTCGCAATCCCCTCTCCCGACATTCCCGGCACATTCTCCTTGCAAACACGCGGTGGTGACACCGAGTCCTTCTTATGCATTAAAGAAAGCGCCAAGGCTACCGGAGGCGTTGAGATCCGCGGCGATGCGAGTGCGATCTCGTTTGAGACGACGGTGCGCATTCGCATGCAAGCGCGATTCAAACCGCGGCTTCGTGTTGCAAAGGAGAACAAGGCTTATGAAAAGATCAGTCAGAAGGAGTTGGAAGCGCTCGTGGGAAGGAAGCTAGATGAGGATCAGGTGCGGAGGTTGAGGAGGGCGAGGCGGGAAGGGAATTTCCACGAGGAGATGCTTGATGTCAAAGTTAAAGGGAAACATGATAAGTTTGCTTGATAGAGCTGGCCTTGTACTAATTATATCCTGACTGTGGACGCCGAAACGAGTTGAACGCCTACCGACTAGGTTTACTCGATTTGTCGTTCAAGATAGTAAGTTCTCGAAACCGCCCACAGAGGCTGATACTCACTGTCTAAGAATAATGTCTTGTTCCTGAACTCCTCGGCCCAGTCGGCCCGTCTCATGAAGCAGCCCCTAGAGTAGTCGGGCCTGCCTTACGTCGTACGCGGTATTACGGCAGACTGGCCTTTCTCTTGGTATTTGCATCACCATGGCCTATCTTACAGCCTTTTCGACGGCGTCCATTGCCAAATTGGTCCCAACCATAGCTATCACTTGTGGCGAAGATCCATTTATATCTGTTTCCCATATTCTTTTCAATGGAACTCCTACGAGGGTCACGGAATGAGCATTTCATTCAGCGACATTGCATCAGACTAGAAGGGGATCATCATCATCCACACTTGGCACTTGGATATGACCGTCGAAGAGTACCGGGCGGCATGGCAATTGTGCAGCTTTGGAATGGCGAGCCAGAAATATCCAGTGTGAGAGACCGATATTTCGACTAGGAATGAAGTTCCAGTCTATTGCTAATGCAAGTGTTAGCTCGGAGCTAGTCCACTTCTTCGTCAGGAAACCTGTGTTGAGGTAAACAGTGCTGGAGCCCCTCAACGCTGGTGAAGAGGATATTGGCTTCACGCGATCCAATGAACTTAATCAAGGACATATACAAGTGGTCTGGACGCCGCAAATATGAGTCGGTCCATATTGTCAGTTGGCACACGAGGGTCGCGCTCCTTCTTTTTCTGCATCTCCCACCCATCATCCTGCTTCTTCCTTCCTCCTCCTCCCCAATCTCACCCACCGTCGTCCGTCTGCCCTCGCCCGTGCACGCAGAAGAAAAAAGAATCATCGTCATCGTCATGGCTGGCTCCAGCCAGAACTCGTAAGTCTTTCGTCGATTTTCTCTCGTGCCCGATGGTCTGTTGGAGAGGAGTATCTCGCACTTCAGCCATCTCACCGCGCCCCATTATGACCTATCATCATAACTATCAAACTGTTTCTCTCTGTGGTGACGATACAATCCACTGTCGTTTGCGGGTGCCGGTGTGAGATCTCTCATGGCTTCGAATGTCTGCCATGAGAGGACACAACGACAACTGTAGTCACCTTCGCCTCCTGCCCCCCGTGCCCCCCGTGGCCCGGTCACGGAGTTGAGTGCAGAGGAGCTCGACCGGGGGCTCGAGTAGTATAGCCGCAGGATCGTCTGGTCGGAGCGTCGCCTTGCTCGGCTCCTAGACGATCTCCAGGCCCTCGAAGAATCGATTTCCTCATGTCGTTAGATGGCACAAACAATACACCCATAAATTCATAGAGAGTCCGGCTGTAACTATAATTCCCGTTCTAACATTTGCTATCTGAGCCATCTAGGTCAATCGCATCTATGAATCTAGAATAATACAATCACGCTGCTCATCCGAGCCAGACAGTAGCACTAGCGGTCGGTCTGCCCATCGGTCTTCAAGACTCACGCTCACTCGTCGGTTACAGTTCGCAGTAGCTGAAATAGCAAATACTCGTGTGATGAACACGAATTCTTCACCCGCTTGTATATCCCGCTCGACGTCACGAGCTATCACAGGAATCAGAGTCCTCTGATACGCTAGGTTTGTGTTCGCGTCCGGCTTGAGCGCCTGAGCTTTCGTTGAATATTTCCCAGTGTCAGTCCCATGCTGAGACGCAAGACCGCTAGCGCCTGCTTTCGACAACATTAAAATTGAATCAGATGTCTCTTGTACAACACCTTCATTGGTCCCGATTTTCATATCCCCACTCAACGCGCTGATCTCGGGGAGTGTTGACCCATCCCGAGAGCATCGACCCGGCACGGCAAACCCGCCCTCAACGGTGTGCAAACTGTGGAGTGCACTATTTACTCGAACCCGATGGATACGGACATGCCAATCCGGCCATATGTTTGTTGGTGGAATGAGAGTTGTGGAAACCTCTATACCTTTGTCCCCCCAGGGATACCATTTGACCGTTGTGGCAAGGACTGGGGATTTTCCTGCCTTAGTACTCACAGTGACTTCTGTGAAAATAGGCTCTGAGCATTTCCATTTCACAGCCCAGGTTTCTGCACCGTCTCTGCTAAGTGCAAGGGTGCAATCGGGTGCTATCTGCTGGATCAGGGGCCCAGTTGGCACTGAGAATGCAAAAGTAGACGAGTATTCAAATTTGGAGTACTTGGCTTGGGTTGCCTTCATTGGCCAGGCAACAAACTGTGCTGGTGATAGACAGAAATGGTGATTCCCTGCCGGATGATTGCTGAGTATTTGCCGAGGAGCAGGGACAAGCTGCGCCTTGAAGAAAGATGGATATAATTCTTCCTCGGTAGACCAAAACTCGTCGTCTTGTGCCAGTGAAACCGCAATTAAAGTCTTGAGACACCAATAAGGAGATTGCGGTGAGTTGTAATCCTCGCACATATACATGTTCCTGTAAGGATCTTATGAGCACTGTAAAGCATTCACAAAGTTCAAAGTCAACTCACGGGTAAAGCCATCCGATATTCAGAGTTCCATCGGAATGAAAAATGTCATCCGAGCGAGACGCCCACCACCGCAAATGTCGCAATAGGAAACCTTTCACTCGCCCCGGTGTTGACAATGGGAAAGGCATATTGGGTACAGGAGAGACTGCGAGTGCCGCAAAGAAGGCACCACAGGAAAATCTGTACGTGAGTGATCGGCCAAATGGTATAGCAGAGCCTAACAGGTATCTAGTCAGCACAGAGTCTAAATATCTGAAAGTTCTCGACTTGCGGGGGAAGCAACGTACCGTCAGAGTCAAAATATTGCCAAAAAGAAGCTCCAAATTCCCGAGCTTGTTGACGGTATCTTTCTGCTCTCTCCGGGTTCAGATCCTCGGCGAACTTCACATATAACAGTTGACTGAACTGTATAGCAAAGCTCCCAGAGTAATAATCCACCTGTCGTCCCTTTCCAACTGTATCTCTCCGCCGCGTTCGCTCAAACTCCGCGGCTTCCTCCTCTTCTTCCTGCGTAGTGAGCCATGGGCCATCACCACTCCAGCCGTCGGAGAGATAGAAAGAATCAAGAAGATCCAAATCAGCATTCATTTCATCGATGACCTCAGCCGCGGCCACACCACAGACTTTGATTAACGCCAGGTTTACGAACACCCGAAACCACCGCCAGTTGTTGTCTGGCATTGGCATCCCGTTGATTCCACGGAGCCACGACGTGATATTTCTCCGTGTCTTCTCGTCGCGACTGTGGAAAAGTCTCTCTGGTGCGGACAAAAGTGCGAAGCTGATGACCTCGGCCTCAACCATGCGCTGGTGTTCGCGCTCTCCGATTGAGCCCCAATATTCGGGATGCTCGGGGTCTGTCCCCGCAATAAAGCCTTCGATCCATGGTGTTACTACTTCCTCAATGGCTTCGCTGAGATTCCCACCGGATGCATTGTTTTTTTCCAGAGTGGACTGGAATTGTAGAAGAGATGCTACCGCCCACAGCGGCCGGACGAAGCCTTCAAGCTGTGCAGCGCCTTCGTCAAAATGAACGCCGGTGGACACCGGAAGGCGGATACGCGCAAAAGAGGGTGAGAAATGAGTTGTTAAAGGTCGCAACAAGGCGAGAGCGGCAGTTGCCAAATCGTCTCGTGTTTGGAGCGGGTTATCCGAGAAACCAGATAGAGGAGGCATCACGAGAACTGTGTAGGAAGGATTATATCGGTGTCGAATGAGTTTGTTTCCTAGAAAAAAGGATACATTAAATTGTCAATGGCTCTCCTCGGCCTGCGGGGTGACTCTCGGACATCGGGCGAAGTGTCGGCCGGCATTTAGGTACGACAACTACTCCGTACAGTAGTGTAACATCGCCGAAACTCCACTCGAGTGCTTTATATACGCACCGAATGAAGATTTCATTTTTCTTCTTTGTTCATATTCATTTCTTGATTTTTACCGCACGTACCAGAATGTCTCTCACAAACGGCGCTATGGATCATTCGAGTGAGAATTCGAGTCGGACCTTTAGTGATTCATGTCGATCAATCAGCCCGACCATGACCGAAGCGAATAGCGACTCGGTGGGAGAGGAAGATGTCTTCAAGAGGGCCCAGCCGTTGGCAGCCTCAGCACCATCGGCTATCAGCGCACGGCTGCATGAACTTTATGATGAGAACATCACAGCCAAGATACTTCGTGCTGCGACTACATGTCTAGAGCGTAATGTAAGCCGAGTTTCACATAAACGATACGTTTTTAAGACTCTGTCGAAATATACTGATAACTTTTCAGTATCCAATTACCGAGTGCCCGGAGTATGTGCTACAGTCGGGGCCCGATGCCGGGAAATACCAGCTTCGAGAGGCAGATTTCTGGACATGCGGCTTCTTCCCGGGTTCAATTTACTCGCTTCTGGAGCGCTGGATCAGATATCCTCAAAGCGCAGGCAAAGGCACCAACTCATCGCTGATCATTCAAAAGCTTCACGAGTTGGGCGGCATCTGGTCAGAGCCAATCCATCACATGGGCTCGAGAACAGATACTCATGACATGGGTTTCATCATCCAGCCATCAATGCGGCCGCGGTGGGAGGTCTTCCACGACGAAAAAGCTCTTTCCACCATCCTTACCGCAGCAGACAGCCTGTACACTCGCTACAGCCCAAGAGTCGGTGCCATTCGGTCCTGGGACCAACTGACGCAGAAGGGTGTGAATATCACTTCGATGGATCACGATTTTCTCGTCATCATCGATTCTATGTGCAACCTGGATCTTCTCTATTATGCTGCAGCCCATACCGGTCGGGATGAACTGTCCGTCGCCGCCACACGCCATGCCCACAAACTCCTGCGTACCCATCTTCGCCATGAGACTGGTGTCTACTCTGAGCGAAAGGGTTTCTCCGGACCTTTGTTCAGCACGCTTCACGTTGCAAACTTTGATCCCACCACCGGCAAGCTCAAGGAAGTTCGCACAGGGCAAGGATACGCAATGACCTCGACCTGGGCACGCGGGCAGGCATGGGGGATCCTTGGCTATTCGCAGACATTCCAATGGACTGGAGATGTAGAGTTCCTCACTGCAGCATGTGGATTAGCTGAGTACTTCTTGCTACGCTTGGAGATGTCGCCTAGCTGTGTCGAGCGTACAGTTTCTGGCCCCTACGGGAAGAGCTGTGGACGATATGTTCCCCTCTGGGATTTCGATGCTCCCATTAATGAGGAGAATCCTCTTCGCGACTCCTCTGCCGGGGTCATTGCTGCCAATGGCTTATTGGTACTAGCACAGTGCCTCATCTCACGCGGAGATCATGCACAAGGCCAGAGATATCTTGATGCCGCTCTTTTGCTTGTCGAGGATACGCTGGCCTTTTCTTTGGCCCAGGAGAAAGCGTCTATCGTGGTCAGTGGAAGTAAGGTCTCAGTTGAAGACACCCGACCAAATGAAACATTCGACGCCATCCTGAAAAATGCCACGGCAAACTTCAATGCATCGGATCATCGTCGCTACTGGGATCACGGACTAGTGTACGGAGATTACTATTTGATTGAGTTTGGAAATCGGCTGTTGAGGATGGGACTGGTTTAGGATAGTATATAGACGGTTTGCACTGGTACAAGTGGTTTCCTATAATTTCGAAGCCCAATCAATTTTAGAATTCAGAATTTCACAACCAAACTTGGCTTCTACAGTGTACCATACTGGAAGATCATATCAAAGTCATGTAGAATGATATTGCGACAATAGCCCATAAAAACCTCTCAAAAGAGATGAAGTTGAAGCACATCAGGTTGAAAGTTTTCCTCGATCTGTGGATCCAGATTTTGAGTCGTCACTGTACATTCGCTGTCTCAGTCGTGTTGAGAATGGCTACATCATGTCTGTTCCTGATGAGTACCTTTCGTGAGTCCAACTCGTGGCGAGATCGGGCCCGCAATTTTGTCTTTCTTGGAGATTAGATAGTCCTCCACATGAACCGTCATTCTCTTGGAATCCCAAGGCTGTTATTCTGCCTCTTTAATCTTCTGTACAGCTGATATCAGCTCAGTTCATGTAAAGCCCATCACATGTATATACAGTGGAAATACACCCAGGTAAATTTCACAGGCATGAAACTTTCCACACTGTTTATATAGCAGCTTATATCGCTGTTCAACCAGTCGCGCCATTCACTGACGCTGCCATGTTCGTGGAAAACATCATATCATCTAGACTGATCACGCGATCCATATCCATAAATCTTTGATCCAACAGCAGATATGAAATGTTGGAAAGCTCATCAGCGGGTGCCACACAATTGATTGAATAATCCACCCCCGGAGTGACTCCCGTTGCAACTGCTGGGCCTCTGCCAGAATCGACGAAATCGCTGGCCATTTGTCCTCGACTCAGATCCCCCTTATTCATAGCCCAAGGGGGCTCAGAGGAAGCTACACCTTGGCCGGTGGGAGTGTCTGTTGCACTGTAATTGGCGAACATAGCGGGATTCGCGTTGTATGGCAGCTCATCGCGGGACTGGTGGTGCTGTTCTGCAGGTGTGCGGCCAGACATTACTGATCGAGTGGCGGATTGGGTCTGTGGGTTTGAGACGACTGTAGAGTATCCTAGTACGTCGACACTAAAATGAGGAGCGGCAATGCAACGTTGGTGCAAATCTCGTAAGTGATCTGCGTAGGTGCTTGCGAGGCAATGGCCGCGACCTGTGCTTGATGGGCCCGCCCCAAGCCATCTGTAGGCCATCTGATCTAGACTGTTGACTAATTCCCACATTTCTTGGGCAAGTTCGGATCCATAATAACGCCAGTGAACTGCATCATTTCGTTAAAACCAGCAGACACAGTATTACATTAGGTGCTTGCGCTCTTACCTAGAAGAACTCTCGCCGCAACAAACACGCAAAATATGAATTGATTGCTCACGGGGGATGACTCCAATGTGTTACTGAGATACTTGGCAGTCATGTTTTGGATTTCGATAGCGGCGTTCTGACAAGTTTCGGCGCTGCAAACGCTCGGGAGTCGAACGATGTTGGCCCACTCAGCGGGTGGGTACGCGATGCGTTGGTGCAGAAGGATCATGGATGTGTTATGAGTGACGTGAGTAAGGGTCAAGTTAGGATCCATGTGAATCAACGTCGGTTGGCGTGATATGTTTGAGTCCCTCCATTTCTGCGGCAGGAACATTTTCCAACTAAATAAAGTTAGGAGAAGTGAGTCCATGTCAACATATCGGCCACTGAACATGATACAAACTTACTGCACTAATCTTAGATCTAACTCTTTGAATCTGGTTAACCAACTACTGACATCCCGTCGGTCCTGGAAGTTGATTTTCTGTTGGAGGAAGAACGTTGTGACCCTGCTCAGGGACTCAGTTGCTTCGATGCAATATGCAAAAGCCCCGACGGTCGACATGTCTGGCTGCGCTGAGTTGGGCACAGGATGAGAAATGTCTTGCGGTGAGCTGTGCGGCGAGTTGGAATCGGGCACAGGTTTAGGACTCTTCGGATTGTTAGAGTACTGAGCGGGAAGAAAAGCGATCGAGTTGCCAATTCGCGCTTCAGATCTATCCCAGATTCCAAAGTACGGCGTTGTTACTGGCTCTTCTCGATGCCACAAGCCACCATCCGCAGGTAGCCGTCTGTGTACATCATCTGCTGTGAGACTTGTATTCCAACTTCAAAGTCATAGTTAGCTTTTTTCGATATCTTTTACGGCCGAAAAAGCAAACGTACCCTGTTACAACAGAACAGAATCGATCCAAATTGAAAATGTTCCAAAAGACCCGCCTTCTTTCCTCCTCTTCAACCCATTCCTTAGAGGGTGGTAAAGATAGTAATGGCTTCAATAATCTCTGTGTATCATCATCCTCATCCTCGATACTCAAGCGGAGGTATTCCACGGTTCGTGTTAAAGAGCCAACTATTGACCAGGCTCTGGAGGTATTCCCATTTCCAATCTCGAGAAACGTTAGCGGTGGAATCATTTATGTTCAGCCATTGGTATACTCACGTCATCAAAAGCTATGATCGTCAAAGCCTGAAGATGCTCCACCGATAGACTGTCCATCGCATTCAAAACGACAATGCTCCTCGACTTTCTGGTCTGGGACTCCACGTCCGTTGTAGAGAGGCCATGAGCCTCAGGATGCGCAAAACGGATAGCTGCAACGATTATTGCATGAATCACAATAACCAACCGAGTCCGCTGCTCCGGATCATGTACTCGAGCTCGAAATCGCGTCTCGTGAAGAATAGGTATCCATGGTTGGACGTTGATAAAATATGCGGTCACGATATTTTCCAAAAGCTCTGAGGGAGGAAGACTGGTCGTAGCATCTAGAAGATCTTCCAAAGGTAAGGCAAGCTCGATTTTAGGGTTTCCGCAGCTATCAATCCGTCTTCGCTTTCGCGGCCGAGCATAGGGTGAACCGTGTATCTCATAGCCATCTGGCTGGGAGGGCGTGCCGACCGACTCGCCATTATAGGGCGGGCGAGCCATGGAGTTGAAGCTTGAGTCATGGGACCGGCTGTCATTTCGATTATTGAACTTACACAGCTCCATGCAAACAGTGGATAGAAGGTTAACAACGCCGTCCAGTCGCTCATTCCCTGGGCTCTGCGACCGGAATTCATTGCTGTTATGCCCACTATTATTTTCTTTTGCTTGTAGAAGTGCGTCCTCAAGTACTTCTAAAGTTGATTGGCCACCATATTAGTGGCTATTGTCTGGCTAGATTTCAATAAGTAAAAAGATGGAACTTACCGATACGGCGACTCAAGCTTTCCACAGCTCCGGTCTTCAACCCAGGCTTGCCTTTCTTCGCATCATAGACGCACGGCGACCCTAAGGATAGATACTCATCAGAATTAAATTATCAAATGGCCTCCTAGCAGGACACCCACTGATATTCGATGGTGGGGAGGAAACACAGGCATCACCATACCTAGCCGTTCACATTGGGAGCACGTCGGTGATTGCCGTGAGCACTTCAACTTGCGCTTACGGCACCCTTGGCAGGAGGGACGATCGGGGGCATTGGTGCCGCCTTCTTCGGACTCATTCAATGGATCCATTTCCGACGACCTGCAGTCCATTGATGCGAAGCAGAAGGCTCTTTCAGGCCGAACGCTGCGATAATGCACAGATGTAGCATGCAAACATGTTAATGCTGTAGAGCTGGTCAGGGTCAAACCAACTCATCGGATCATGTGAGTCTGGAAAGATCCTAAATTTTTGCTGGCTGGACTCTCGCGTGGGGTCTAATGCGGAGAAGCTGTGGGGGGACACCGAGCATTGGCCACGTTCGGAATTTCGTATCGTCTCGTTCCGAGCATTATCCCGACCCCGACGACCTTGCTCTCGAGCAGCGCTAGACGGTACGTCTGTATTAGCTTTCAGTAAAATGACATAAACTATGCCTGATAAGTCAACTGAATAACCAGAAATGTGCTACTGCAGTCGGTACTTGGTGATTACATGGTTGAAATTGCGAGTCTTCTCCGCCCAGGCTGCGTACAGTACCGTAGAACGGGATAGGCGAGGCCAGCCCCACCGGAATATTACCATTATTGATGTGAAAACAAGACATAACCCACTGGCAGCTCGTGACAATTATATTTCAACATCTTTCAATAGCACCCAACTACATCAGATAAGATAATTCCAGAGAAATCACATTGGAAGATAATCAAGACCGTAAGATCTATATGAACAAGAGCAATTGATTTCACTCCACCGGATTGCTTCGCCACTTAGATTTCCATACATTATCCAAATCCAAAAAGATCTTCAAACACGCTCCACTTGTTCCACAGCCAGCTTTGTATCTCGAGCTAACTCAACGGCGTTTTGTGCATTCACATCAAGTCCCAGTTGTCTCATGGCGTTCGCTCCAGATAAAGCATCTGGGCCGTCGAAAATCTCCGCCACTTCTTCCAAGCCGCGATTTTTGGTTTCGGGGAAGAAGAAGAAGATCAATGTCAGATTGATGAAAATGATGACAACCCATACAATATAGTAACGCCAACCAATGGCTTCCATAGCCACCGGGTTTGCGAAACTGTTATAAAGGCCTGCAAGATTTCCTGTCAGTTGGTACAGCATCGATGCTTTGGACCGAAGTGAATATGGGGTTATCTCCATGATATATGTCGGGGAGACAGGAGAGCAGGCGTGATAGAAAGCTGTGTAGACAAAGATCATAGCCAGGACACCGCCAGCATAGCCGTGGTCTTTGAAATCCCTTTCCTGATTGATCGCCGAGCAGATGGTCCAGATCAAATAGGCAATTCCCATACCACTCATTCCAATAAGATAAAGACCACGGCGACCGGCACGATCAACAAAGAGAGCAAAACCGCTGGCGCTCACGAGACTCCAAATAGATAGACAGCCGTTGATGATGAGCTGCGTCTTGTGGTCCGTGATACCGATCGTCTTGAGAACAACGGGCAAAAAGTACGAGGTTAAAGCGTTACCAGACCATTGCAGCATTGCAGGGATATAGAGAGCCAAGAAAAGACGATGTCTGTTCCCTTTTGTGGCAATCCATTCACCCCATCGTGATTGCTTTTGCATCTTCTCTATTTGTAGTGTCGCGGTGACCTCCGCCATTTCGAAATGTGCCAAGCGGGAGGTTGGATCACCGTCTCCATGATACTTGATGAAAATATCGAGAGCTTCTTGGCTGCGACCTTTGTAAATGAGCCACCGTGGCGACTCGGGTGCGAAGAAACTGAGGGCGGCTTGCACCAAGGAGAAGGAACACTGCAAGAGACTGGGCAATCTCCAACTCCATGACGAGCTGGACATTTGGAAGGTACCATAAGTGACCCATGCAGCAATGAGAGACCCCAATGGCCATGATACCAGGTAGAATGACACCAGCTTGCTTCGATGAGTAGGATATGCTACTTCCGAGAGCAGTGGTGGTGCTGCGACAGAAACCACTCCCAAGCCTAGTCCCAAAAGAAATCTCGCTAAAACGAACATGCCGTAATTAACAGATGCAGCCTGGATCACGGAGCCGATTATGACGACAATTGAACCTCCAAAAATGGGGTACCGTCGGCCTAGCCGATCACATAGTTGCGATGAGATCAAGACGGAGATCAACACTCCTCCAGTAGGTCCAAACGTCATAGCACCAAGTCGAGTCCCTGTAGGATTTCCGAAAGTCTCAATCCATGCCGGTAAAGCCTGCATACCGTTGATCATGCTTGCATCAAAGCCCTGAGCGGTTTGAGTAAGGAGTGCACACAGTAGGAGGGCATTCAACTGGATGAGTCGACGGTCTCTCCACCACGGCTTGTCACGCTTGGGAATGACATCTTTCAGTGTAACGCCGGTGAAGTCGTATTGCACATTATCGGCATGTGCTGTAGCCCCAGCCATCTCAAATATGATGCCTGATGGTGACTGATTCGGTGATTGTGGAAATGATGCTCAATGAAACAGCATGGAGAAAGATGGAATGTGGGGAGTTTATACAGATTTTCGTGAAGCTCTGCCAAGACATCGCGTGGAATTTTGCTTCCCCGAGCTATCTTACGAGCTCCGACAATAATCACTTCGAGGAAAGAAAATTGTAGAAAGTGCATTCAGCCACAGAATTCCCCGCAGTTTGCAATCGATCGAAACAGCGCGTTTCTGGCTCCCCGAAGAAAGAAAGGACAGAATCCCCCGCAGTTTACCCGTCTTTCTGGGGTTTGCATCGGCCCTCGGGCGATTATCCGGCCGGTTCTTGTGCCGCTTCATGGCTCCAAGGAACGGCACATCTGAGCCACATGATTATTATGGGCGTACCGGGGAGGAGAGCAAATCGCTGTTTCTGGATGACCTTCCCTTTCTAGACCCATATTATTACTGCATGGAGTAATTTAGAGGCCTCTTCCAATCTTGTTCTATTCTAGTCTCTTGCCGAGAAAGCGATAACCCTTCCAAGAGGTCTTGTCCGTTGGAGTGGAGCCTAGCCCCCTGATCCTTTTATCTGGGGGTTGCTGTTCTGGATGCTCGATCCATCGGGTAGTACGGAGTATAGCGGGGGCTTCTACGGAGTAGTTGCTCCATCTTCTCCGTCCATTAGGTTTGCTCGTGCGAACCAATCATGTCAGGCTGAGACAGCTTCATGGGGAAAAAAAGGGATACGTGACTAGTTTCCCCTTCTAGCCAGTTACCCAGGATAACTAAGAAGAGTTTTCAGAAGACGACCCAAAAGATGACCCAAAATATAACCTAAAAATGACTTTGACGAAACATAGCTTTACTGAAAGCGCCGTTATTCAATTGGTGACAAAATTACGTAATAGCAAAAGGAGCATCGACTTTGCAGCCTCCAAGGGTGCATGATGAGGAATTGAGACTGGCAGGTCAAATGATATTTTTTTGAATAGTTAGAATGGAATAATCTTCATCCTTAAATCATACACTCGAAGCCAGCTAAATGTTGGGGTGCGTGGGGCAGGAATAGCCTCGTGAGAAGTCTACTGAGCTCTACCGACCAGTGATGATGGGTTTTTAAAATGTAGAAGACTCAGGGTCTAGAGAGATTCACAATGTTTTAAAGGATTATTTTCAATATCAACCTGTCTTTCCGCGGCAGTGGTACGTTGTCAAAGCCCAGCAAAATCCGGGTAGAGTGAATTCTAATCCAACGGATGCTGTTTTTCAAAGACGTTGCTGAACTAGAATAACTATAAATCTAGTCATTTCACGTGTCGGCACTTTGAAAAACGGGGATTCTAGTCTTCAGTCGAATTTCCATTTTCCTATGACCATCGAGCTACATAGCACCTATTCCAAACATGCTCATTTCAAATAGTAACACCATCCACCTCGAAAGTCATCACCGTACCAGTCTCGAAAACCGTCGAAAAAGACTTTTCCGTGATTGTAATGTTATCAGCCCTCGCATAAAGCTTGTCTCCCGCACGGTTCGTGATCCAACTCCGAACTCGGGTTCCGTCTGCTGGGATTTGTGACAATGCAGATAGATCGAAAGTGAGGGTTTGGGTGGTATTCCAATTGGCCGCGATAACAGCCAAAGTCTTCGTTTTCTCATCAACTGCCGAAACGACATTGGTACTCGTTGTATTGACAATCTGCATTCCAGGAAGAATATGGCGTGTCAAGTGTGCGAGTTCGAAGTATTTATGGGTTGCGCTGGTGAGAGATTTGCTCGCGAGATTGCCAAGGATCAATCCCCAGCCCGGTCCATCGATTGCTTGCCAGTGTACCCAGGCCGTAGGCTGTAGGAACTGAATATCTCGCATCAGGTTCTGAAGAAGAGTGTCCCCGCTGGCGTCATTATCTCCGTACTCGCTGTCCCAGACTCCCTGGCCGATATTACGAGCGGCCTGCTGTAGTGCATAGCGTGGTCCACTGGAGCCTTGGTATCCATGTACATTCATCCGGCCGACGTATGTTTTCTCAACCTCTTCTGTGATGGTATTCCAGGAGCTTAAGGCTGCTGAAAACGAGTTCTCGTCGGATGCGGAAATAATGGTTTTGGCCAGACCTCGGATCTGCATCTCTCGATGAAGAATCGGGATGAGAGCTTTCTGGGAACTGGCGTCAAAATGACAGCCCTCCTGAGTACCAGTGGATTTCCACCAGCTCGCAGCAGGCTCGTTAAAAGGTTCGATGGAGTTGAAGGTAACACCCCAGTGGTCATGGGCGTACTTGGCGATCGTAGACAGATATATAGCGTGATTCTGGTACTGCGACGGTGGTAGATTATCTCCACCACTGGCTGATCCACTGGGGTTGTGGTTGTTGAGCTGCCACCACATTGGTGAATTTGAAAATAGCTCGAAGATATTTGTGCCTCGCGATTTGGCCTTGAGCATCATAGAGCGTTGGTTGGCGTCCACTGTCCAATCCCAGCTACTCGACTGAGGGTGGGCATTCACTCCATCGAGCCAATACCCGGCTATCTGCTTCGACACTGGGATCTGTGATGACAAGGAGATTGTTGAGCCGTTGACGGTACTCGACGAGCAAGCACCTGCATTGTAACGGACAATATTGAGACCAAGGCCAGGTAGTGTCTCGTTGCCAGGGCCCCAATAGGTGGATTTCTTGGTGAAAAATATGTCGGCTAGATCATCGCGTTCACCGAAGACATTCGCCCACCACGCCAGAGAAACTCCCCATCCTTCCCAGGCTCCTGGGTTTTGGTCGGTGGTGATTTTGGTAGTCTGGTCTGCATGGGCAAGGGGCAATATGAGCCAGAGGAAGGCCACTGGGGCAACGACTCGAGAAAATATGGCAGCCATTGAGATAGTTGTAGAGAATTGAAAAGGAGATTTGAACCCTGAAGATTGAATTTTCTAGTCGCAACTCTTGCTTTGTGTATTTATACTGAAATCCTGGTGGATATAGACAACTACAGTACAGTCCTCCGGTGATGAGTATCCGACGAAAAGGCCGAGTTCCGCGCCCATGTCTCGTAAACTCTATAGGATAGCTAATTTTTCAGATTGCAATATTTACTATTCCCTAAAGAACACACTTGCTTGCATAGCCGGATGTAATTGACGCAGTAGACGTGGGGAAATTCTCCACCCGCTCCGGCGGGGTTTGACTTTATGGTTAGTGGATAAACCATACAAGGGGTTGAGCGATGTGCAAGGTAACCAGCACGAACTGAGTTTGACTACCGGCCTTTGAATAAATTCTGTAACAATACTACCTACCAAGGCCGGACTATCGGAAAGGCTGCGTACAAGTCGTCTGAATGCCAGTGTCTGTTTGTTCAGACCCAGTGGACGCATACTGATCGGCCATTTCTGCAGTTTCTCGATTCGGATTTTTGAACTCCCTCTGTATGTGAGGAGAGTACTAGCAAACCTTTAACAGTGACATAGAGCCAGTGACAATTATACCATTCGGGTCTTTTTTTTCTAGCACGATCAGAAACAAACTTCATAACCACCACTCACCACAATTCGTATGAAACGAACCAGGAGATACAACCAGAGGATTCAAAATAGAGCATGGAGTATGAAGGGCTTAGAATCTTATCACAGAGACATAAGGAAAAGTCATGACAATTTCCCAATAAGACGTACACCAGCTTATTACATAGCCCGCCATTATCAAATCACACACTAATGTCATGTCCAATCTCAGAAATCCAGCAGCAAAAGGTCATGATAACCCAATATCATAAAGATGCACAAGAAGATAAATCAAAAGGCCAAAGCGCACTGCACGCAAAAACAACAATCTTAGATTATTCACACAGTCTGATCTGGTCATGTGAGCCACTTTTGCCCGAGTCTATTAATAATGAGAAAAGCAGAAGTGTAAAACGTGAACGCATACAGGAAGAATAAGTAATAAGTAACCGTATAAAGAATGTGCGGCCCAGTGAATGTAGAACGGACCTCTGGGTATGAATTCTAGATCTGAAAATCGACGGCGCAGACGAGGTGGTACACGGGAAACGCATTGAAGAAACACAACGAAAGGAAGAACAAGCAAAAGGGGGCCATATATTTGTTGCACCCAGTTCAGCACCGTTAGAAGCATTCTTTCGCGAAAAATAAGTTGGCACAGGACACCGGGAAAGGAGAACCGTCAGGGGAAGAGGAAATGATTAAATAGCAATGGGGGAAACATGGAAGGTCTAGCGGTGCGGAATTCTTTCGTTGCAGAGAAGAGGAAATGGAAAGTGAGTGAGGCTAGGGAGGATCATGGGCGGGATGGGGTTATACAATTTTTTGCAGTGTGGCATGATCAGAGAGATCATGAATTGAGCGATAGACCCTGGAACCGGCTCACCCACTCCCCCTGTGCGGGTGGCATCCGGGCTGCACCGTTCGAACCCATAGCGCCAACTTGGTAATCGGAGAATCCTGCCTCCAAATTACCGAAGCCAGTAGGCGAGTAGGGGGCGAAGGGGTCAGCGGCAGCGGCATCGACGTGCCGCGATGGCGGAGGGAAAGACGGATACGTATCTGCGTATGCGGATCGGATCATTCCCACTGGATTGGCCATGCCCTCGCGTCCAACGTCGTCACGTCCTCCGGGGTAAGCACGTGCATCGTGCTGTTGACGACGGTCAGGCTGCGCAGCATCCTGGCTGTAAAGAGGGTTATTCATCCCAGCGGGGGCCCCTGGAGACCTGCAGTAGGCGGGGTCACAAAGGAGGCTGGGTTGATAGCAGACATCCAGATCCGGGTCTTATAGATCTTGAACAGGTCGGTGACCAAGGAATTGAAGTTGATATACGAGTCAGCGAAATAGTAGAAGGTGAGCTTCTTCCAGTCCCTGTATAAATGATGGGGGTTAATAATTCATCCTAGGAAGAGATGAAAGGAATTACTTTCAACTTACATTTGGAACTCCGCATCCAGGATCTCCATGTTCAGTCGGTGCTCAGAAACCTTTTGCTGACAGACCCTTTTAGCCTTGGCCTCATTGCCTTCCTTGTCGCGCAGAGTGAGAATCTCGTGGTTCTGCGCGAGACGCTTGATCAGCTTGGGTTTGATATCAGTGGCGGTCTCCTGGACGCCATGAGCATGAGGACCCATGCCACCCGTGGCACTGCGAGCAGTCAAGCCTGTACTGCCGGCAGTCGAGCCCTCTAGCTGTCCCTGACGAGAGAACATCATGAGCCACTTGTAATGTTCCTCGGCATACTGCTGTTTCAGCTCTCGTGCCCTCTGCAGAGAGATGTTTGCATGTTGCACCGTGCCCAAGTCCGTGCCTCGGTCTGCTTCGACGATGACAAGATCACCAGCTTTCACCTGGAGGCCAGTGTCTTCTTGGATGTAGAAGACGTCGGCACGGTGGCACTTGAAGGTAACGATGTACAGAAGCTGGTTCTGATGACCGTGCGACAGAGCTCCTGGCTGACGGCCATACGCACCAGACATGGTGTACTGGTTAAGAGAGGCGGGGATCCCTGAAGAACCATCTCCGCGCAATGTCTGCTCGCGGGAATAGTAGGGTTCTATAGCAAATCAGAGTTAGTATGAAACAGAGCACCATTTACGTCTGAAATTCTTACGTTGTGTGGGATATTCCGCAATATTGCCATATCCTTCATCGCGATCTCCGAGCGCGGCCCGGGGGTCGCCGTTGCTTGTGAGTCGACCGAGCTGTGGCGCATAGGGATGTCGGCGAAGGAGTGACGGCGACTCTGGGGCATGTCAGGAGCGCCTGAAAACCCGAGCGAAGTCTGCCAGTGCGCCTTACGCACATTTTCCAAGGCGCGGTTCTCAAGGGGTGTGGCAAACGCAGAGAACTGTGGTTCAAGATTGGATGAATGCTCTGAGAAGCGCCGTCGGGTGCCGCTGCGAGCGTTGCCATAGCCTTGAATATCACGTAATTCACCCAGCTCCTCAACGGCCAGATCTTCTTCTGGAACACCCCCGCGGATGCGGTGACCAGAGTGGATACCGCTCACGACTGAGGCAGATGAAGCTGCACGATCACGGAATCGGCTATCCATCTGGCCTGCAGCGGCCTGTTGGCGGAGAATTGCATTTTCACGGGCCAGTTGTTCAATGGTGCGAGCTTGGCTAGCGGAGTAGCTGGTGTCACCGTCAGAGCCATTGAGGCTCTCATCGCCATCGTCGTCCTCTTGAACACGACCGAGCATGGCAGGGTCATGCCCGAGCTCACCGAGTACACTGGGTCGCGATGCGCGTGGCTGGCCAGATGACAATTGACCGGGGCCTCGGGGGCGGCCAGTAGGATACTGTGCACCGGTACCAGACTTACTGGCAACCATCCCTAAGTACTCGGGATCCATCTGCCCAACCGAGTAGGACTGCGAACGGTATGTCTTCGGAGTTGGATGCAGCGGGATTGAGAACGGAATAGCCGATTCACCGGAGATCGTTCGAGTGATTGGGCTGAGCATCTCCTCGCCGAGCGGACCACTCGTGGGGACTGGTGTGGTCATGGTGGGAGACGGGACGATCTCAGACAGGCGTGACGGAGGTTCCTTACGGGACTCTGAGTTCCAGATGCCAGTACCCCATGGGAAGGAGCTGCCTCCAGCTTGGTTCCAATTGAACGAGCCACTGAGCCCGGGGCTGGTGGTGTTTGCACTCCAAGGTCCTTGTTCAGTGGAAGGGCTCACGGGATTGGAGGGCGCAGATGTGAGCGGGCCTCCGGACAAAGAATGCTTGCGCTGGGCAGAAAGTGGTATCTCGTTCAGCCATGAGGTACGGCGCACAGGCTTCGTCGCGGGCGCCGTGATAGTCTGGGTGAGAGGGATGTGGTCTCCATCGTCGTCCGAGGAGGCCAGCGCATCGGAGTCAGGTGTCGAGCGGCGCACTCCTGGATGGCTTCTTTCGAGTCGTGCAGTGGCAGTCGTGCTCGACACCGGCAAGGTGCTGGACTGCATGATGGGGTTTTGTTTGTTGGATGGTGCAGCCATTACGTTTCTACATATGATTAGAGCATTAGCATACGTTCTGTAGAGAGAGTGGACTCGTGTCGAAAGTGGTCAAGTAATCTCGGAGTTTCGCGTCTGTCTTCGCGGAAGGCAATTCTCATAGGGCACAACGGCGCACAATCGTCGCACGTTTAGCGCCGATTCCACGGGAAGAAGTGACGGGCAAGTAACAGATGAGACGACTTCGCACTTCGGCGTCACTGTGTTGACAAACTACGATGCTTTTTGGGCAGAACGAGGTGCTATCCTCGCACCCTGGGCATCGATTCCTCCAAGTCAAGTGACGGGAAAATGACGAGACAAAGTGACGGGAATTGGGAATCTGTGATTTGGGCGCTGGGGGATATACGTACCGGCGATGTGTGATTATGTATGATAATCAGAAGGGAACACACTCTTCAGCGTGTGTATTGTGTATGCACCTAACCGGCAAAGGTCAAACGTCTAAACAAAGAACCAGTCTTTGTTCCACGCCCTGGCGATTGCAGGCAAGAAGATCAAGCTCGACCTTTCGAAGGACCGATGGAGGGCGGGAGGGATGCGCTATGTGCAAGGCTAGAGTGGCAAGTCAGTCATGTGAATTATATCGCCATCGAGAGAGTCTGCGATGGAAGTGACGTGGAAGTGCGAGAAGCTTTGCAGAAACATGTCTTGGTTAAGAGGAGGTAAGGGTTGGTGGCATGATGAGCCTCATTGCGCCCAGAGGGATCTCCGAGACCTGCAACGCGCCTGTGCAGCGCATTGCCAGATTGACTCTCCGACAGATGAGAAACTTGCTGTCGCACCAGTGACTTGAACCATGTGTCCTGCCGGGCAGGAGTACCCTGAGGATAGGACTGATGGGCAACAATGGGAAGAGCCGATCGCGTGGCGCATGACATACAGTAAGACAAGGTAGGAAATGGGAGTGAATGCAGGTTCTCGCAATGATGCTCTCTCTCTCCGGTTCTCTCTTCTTGACACCTACCTGGAAACCCGATGCTTTTAAGAGTCTATCTCGACCGTGGCCTGCCCAGAGAGACGCAGCGGGGAAATCGGAAAGATCAACGCAACGGTATATCAACGGAGGTGAGGTGGGAACAGCCGTGCAGTCGTATCTGTTGCCAGGCGAGGTCCCGCGAGTGTGAGTCTCTGGCGCATTCGAGAAAGACACGAGGGAAGGATAGCAGGCGATGCGCGACTCACCACTCTATCAGGATCGTGCCGTGTAGGGAAGCTATCACTCTATCGATGATGGAAGGCCAACAGATGCGCCAGTGCGGATTCGTGGGTCTCGTGATGATCGCCGACTCCTTTGCAAGAAGCTTCACGACTTCTAGTGTGATGAGATGTCAAGAGCGACCGCGGGGACTCGACCGAGGAGAGAGTACGCGCCGCGCAGGATGGACTGGGGGTTGAATGCGCGCGAGCAGGGGGCGTGAAGGGTTCCCGCAGCGATGGCGAAGCGCAAAAGGCAGATGCGAATCCGCGAGTCCGGGTGGGTATAGCCTTTTTTTGGTATGTCTATGAAAGATCGATTGATCGCCACCGGAGGAGGTGAGGGGATGCGTTCGGAAGGTTAAGAGGGTAGCTGGTAGCGTGACCACGGATGACGTTGTGGAGCAACCGAGACCCTTCAAGGGCGGCGCATAGTGTGTAGCGGGGAATTATGGGGAGGAAGAAGGAAAGAAAGAAAGGGTGGCAAAAGCTGGAGAGTTGAGAGGGAAGAAGATGGGACGGAAGAGGGGAGTCGAGAAGAAGAAAGAAATGAAGTTGAGGGGCGGGGAATGAAAGTCGAGGAGCAGACTGATGGAACTGGGGTAAAATTGGGGGGGGGGGAAGGAGGAGGGGATGCGAGAGAGTCTGAGAGAGGAACGGATCTGGCAACGTTGCCCCGATGTTCAGGGGACACGGACCACTACAGATGATTCCACGGCGTATGGTCGTACCCTCACGCCCGTCGCACTTAGGAGCCACTAGGAGGGTCGGGAGGTTCTGATATTCGATGCACGAATATTGTGAGTGGCGGTGGTCTTTTAGGAAGGGTTGAGGTTATTGCAAGTATTCTGGGTAGGAAATAGGAGTTGGATTATTGGCCATTTGGATACAGAGTAGGTACTAGTTATGAGTATCATCCACTTTATCTTTGATGCGTGGTAGACGGATGATTTCCTCCGTAGTATTCATTAGCCTCAAGTGGGATCCATGCTAGTGGCATCCAAAGAATCAGGAGGGCCCCTGGAGAAGAAGAAGAATATTTCGCTCACGTTCGCCAGGATCATCAACAGCTCTGGATAGGCCGATGCAGTCGATTCGGGACTACGCCCCAAGGAGCAAAAGGCTGGGTCAAGCGGGGCCTTTGGGGGTAGGAAGAGGAAGCCGACGATCGTCCGGGGTTGGGATTGGCGTGACAAGCGAAAAGGCACACTGGCCAAAGCCGCCTGCAGCCCCTGTCAGCCCACAGCAGAGTATGGAATACGAGAGAGAAAGAGAGAGATCATCAGATGGGATCTAGCTTGAGTACTGTAGAATTCGATCAAGAGGTAGTTCAATAGCTATCAGGTGATTATATTCGATAATATAAATTCTTTGTCTTCTACATTTCGTGGGACCACCAAATGTTATCCATAGAGTTGCAGTTGGTGGATATATCCTCTCGTCCTGTGCTGGATATCTCGCACGGCCCATGCATTGGCTCGCTCTTGCGGGGTTCGCCCCTCGTTTCTGTCCACCCCCTTGCTCCAGGAGAATGACACGGTAATTAGAATTATAATGATACTACTCATAATAATGACAAGAGAGTATATACACTCGCGTGTTACAGTAGACTCCTGAACGAACCTGGTCTTGGCGTGGTTACATATCTCCCATTCAGAGCCTATAGGAGTCTAGGTTGATATATCCATCCTCTCTATCTTAAGTTCTTAACGTCATCGCGTCACGTACCCCGGATTATTATTGTAGCATCCTTCCAGTCTCCATCAGAGAGGGTCATCTGGTGGGGGGGGAGCAAGATGCCCAATAGGCTGCCTCCACTCCCAGTGCCCCCTCCAAGAGAGGGGCTGATCCCTTCGGATGATTCTATCCATCTCGTCTAGGCTCTTTTCATTTTGCGGGGGAAGCTCATGCATTAGAGGCCTTTGTCTTTTCCCCACTAACCTAGCAGAAGTCCCCAACCCAACTGCAATCCCCTGAGTAGTAGTCCTCCCCCCTGCCCTAAATATCCTCAGCCTCGGGCTTGCTAATCTAACACGCGACTTGCTAGAGAACCAAAGCTCCAGATTAATTTCCCTCCTCCTCAATTTAGCACCAATCAAGTATAATACAGTAGACCATCCCAACCAACAGCCAGCAGTGGCCATTGTACCACCAAGCCCACACGGCCTGTCATACAACAAGTTTTACAAGTCCAACTCTACCATTCCTAGACGCCAATGTACTGTAAAGCAATGAGCAAGGACCTCTCAAGCGTTAAGCCCGCCACCGCCCCTCCGGCACCAACCTAGTTTTACTTTTCTTTCTTCCCTCCCGATTTGATTTGACGGTTCCATCCTGTCAGAGGGCAAGTCCAGGGAGTGAGGGGGGCACACACCATGCGGGCGTTACTTCCACGGACGGCGACGCGAATCAATCAACGCCCCGAGCCTCCGACCGAGAGTTATTATTATTACTTCCTGGTCTTGCAACACGGCCGAGGGCAGACCAGACTATGGCCAGAACTGGATGAGCTCCATCGCTGTCAAATCACGGGCCCGATGGGACCGGGGGTGAGGTGGTTGACGTAGGTGGGGGGGCGAGGCGATGTATGCATTGAGGTGCTAAACGTGGTAGAATCATCATTGATGAGGATTGCGAGGACAAAGAGATTGACATTCATAATGAGTACTCCGTATTCTTGTAAGAATGGTCTTCACCAAAGAGCGATGCTAGCTATGCTATTTCCGTGCTATTGGTGGAAGGGGGCTCAACGCCGCTACAAAGAAAAGAATTAACCCCCGCCACCCCACGATGGCCTGAGTTTCTAGGAATCAGAGCCTCTGAACCGCCATCATCAAAACATCTGGATGAAGCATTGTCCCCCTCATGCACAAATCCAACACACCTCAATGTTGCAAAGGGCCCGAGAGAAAGCCGCAGAGCGAGTTTTACTCCACCGAAACCCCTCACTGGCTAACATCACCGCCATGGACCCTCTTCATGCAGACGGTCCGGGTTCCCCTCCTGCGCTAATACAACTAGTTGGACCTGGACCTCAGTTGCCTACAGTAGATCACCGCCCCCATGCTGGAGTACCTGGGCCGACGACGTGGGCCTAGATTCTGGCATACAGGCGGCTTCACACGACTCCATACCTCGGTTGGCATCGGTCAATCGTTGCAAGGGAGTTAATGCATTAACAAGGTGGATGGATGCGGGGATAGACTAATATACAGATTTTGAAGAAGCCACATTGCGACATCATGAGTTCGAAGATACTCGGGTTCGGGCCAGATGGAGGGACTCCTTATGGAGCGTTGTCGATCGAGCTGCTGGCCGTCGCAGCAGGGCCCTTCTGCTGGCGCAACTTCTCCTCAAACTTGGCAAACTCGTGCATGGAAATCTCCTCTTCCTGGTCCATAACTTGCTCAACACCCTTGACCTCCTCGATCTAGAAGCGTACGGTATTAGTCAAGCGGCCTGGTAAAAATACAGGGGCCCGATGGGAACCCGCTGGAAGGAACTCACATAGTGCATCAACATCGACTCAATGCCATTCTTCAGCGTCACAGTGCTCGAGTCGCAAGTCCGGCAAGCGCCCCGCAGCTTCAGCATGACAATACCATTCTCAAAACCCCGCAGCTCGATATCACCACCATCCTCCTGGATCGCGGGGCGGATACGGGTCTCCAGCAGCTCCTTGATCATGCTGACAACCTCATCGTCCTCCTCGTCAAAGGAGAGAGAGTCGCTCACACCACCTTCCTGAGTGCTCTCCGAGCCATCGGACTCCACAGTGGTTACGATCGTCTCGCCGGCCGTCACGGCTTGCGTGATCAGGCTGAAGATCTCAGGCTTGATGTGTGCCCATTGCGCGTCGCTGGCCTTGGTCACGGTGATAAAGTCGGGGCCATAGAAGACGGAGGTCACGCCCTCGACGTCGAGGAGCTTGGCTGCGAGAGGGGACGGGTGTGGTGGAGAGAGCGTAGAGCGAGGGGAGAGGTATTCGAGGAAAGTGGTCGGGAAGCCCTCGGGAAGGACGCGGTGGTTAGGAATGAACTTCAAAGCCTGAATAAATGAAAGAAAGGATTATTATTAGTATACACCCATAAATTCGCGATCAACGCCACATGGGTTCAATCATACATCGGGGTTGGGTGTGTTTTCCGTCTGAATGAAGATGGTCCGCTTGCTAGTGGGAGACAAGCCGTTGACCCCATTCTGTACCACAGGCTGCTGGTGCGGCCGTACTGTCGGCCGGCGACGAGTTTCTGAGGCTGTGAGGGTAGGCAGACGCGAGGCGCTCGACACATTTCGGTATGTGTTCAATGCCGCAGGCCTGAGTGTCTCGGAAACGGGCGTAGTCAACCGAGCACCGGCCAGCGCTCGACGGAGCATGCTAGTGGATGTGGCCCTAACAGACATGTCTGGATATTGCAAATCACAACACGCGATGCAAATTCCTGTATGTAAAGCGAGGGGAAGATGTTTATGGAAAGACAAGAGGCGCTGGAGCCCGGACTCTGACGCAATTTGATAGGCACGTGATCTCGGGGAAGGGGGGATGATGACCAATGAAGTTCTCCGACGGGCCAATCAGAGATAATGCTTTTCGCTAATGTGCCGATATTCGGGACGGAAAGGCGATGCTACTGTAGTCTTCATGGAATAAATCAACTCTCATTAACAATACATACATCATATTACAGATACGGTACCGAACTTCAATGGTATACATCAAGAAGAGCATTCATCTCAAGCATCATTTGAAGAGGCTGGTCCTTTCTTCCCAGTTGCAGCTTCATATTTAGGCCAAATCATATCTTTCAAAAAGGGTGCTATTCCAAAGCCAAGCCGTGGAAGGCACATGAACACTTCCTGGCACCATCGATGTTTATCGTTGGAACCTTGACTGTGGTAGAACTGGGTTGCTTGACTGAAGGGAGCAAGCAATTTTTGAGCCCCCATGCCTTTCACCTGAGGCTGGACAAGAAACTTCGCAGAGCGACATATTAGATTAGCATAATGTTCGGCCACGCCGATGAGGTTCTCTGGTAAGTTATCCGCCAACGTGACACATGAGATAACCTGATCAAAGGAAGCCGGGACAGCCCACAACGTTAATCGGAGATTGCTTCGCGACTGATTGAGGAAGATGAGAAGATGATCTATTAAGGGGTAGAGGAGGATAAATGTCGTCCACCACATAATATGGGCTTCGGCACAGCTGATATACGGGTATTCAATGGCGTTGGGGAAGATGTCTTGTGGAATGGACTGATCAAGCTCGCTCCAAAACGGCTTCTGGTTAGGGTATGACCATGGAAATCCAAGTTTTCTTTGCATCTCCACGAATCCGAGATCAAGTTGGTCCTTTAAAGATAAACGTTCTTGTAGCAATTGCTCTCCTTTGGTGTATTCGCCTTGCACATTCCGGTCTCCGGACTGAACGAGGCTGTCAACTTGCTCCATGACTGCCGAGAATTCGATGATGAAATCTAGTATATCGTCAATTGGTTCTCGCCAGGGATTCTCTGACGGCGGGTCCCGCCAGAATTGGCTATAGGAGTATGCCGACTTTCGCGTTCCGACTGCGTCGCACACCTAGGCGATTGAGTCTTAGTTATTTGACACTTTCTGGAAAGCATTGTAGGTCACATTGTTACCGTAACAAATTTCAACTGCCGACAGAAAAGGTGTTCAGTCACACTGAGTGGGGCTGGACTTTGATAATGGGCCAGGATGGCATTGCTTCCCTGAATGTGGGCCAGCCACGCAGGGAAACCAAGTGGCGAGCAATTGATCAACTGAATAGAAGGCGAGAGAGTAACATTCGGACATTACTTGTCAGACATACCTCATAAATTTGAAGGATCACTGTGGCATACAGCACATCCTGTCCACACTTTCGCCCGGAACGAATCCGACTATGGACAATCTGCAGGGTTTGGCCATATAGCCTTTGACGGCGAAATCGCCGCTACGCAGATGAAGCCAGGAAGGAAGCAGGGAAAGTACTCATCAATCTCTATCTAGAGAAACCTCTAAGGGACAGGAAGAAGAAGACAGGAGATGGCCTATATAGGCCATCGAACAAAGCAATCTAGAAGAAACAGAAGGAAGAAGCCAGAAGACCCTCTGCATCATCCTGCAAGCAGGAACAATCGCTGGTCCTGCAGCCAAACGCTCGAGGCCGAGGCCAAGGGAAGGAGGAATCTCCGTCAGCCTTGTACTGTATACTAGCATATCACTGTCCAGTTTCGCCTTGGCAAGAAAGGCCACACTAAGAGCCGTCACCGCTTTGTCCATAACTGCACTACTGCCAACAAAGCTGGGAAAGGTGTCCTGAAGGTGCATAACGGCAGATCCTTTCCCATCCCAAATCACAGCGGAAGGTGAAAAGCAATCAATGAAGCTGGCCACGAATTGAGTACGTGTCTCGGGGTTTACGTCAAATCGGGGGAGATCCGAGTCTGCTGCGGAGGATCTGGAGCTAGATGCCTCATAGCTTGACAGTTGTACCGATGGATCTCGTGGCCGACAAGCAAGCGCCTGCGCTTTTTTACTTGTTCCATATACAAAGACACGGTGCCTCTCGTAGACCATGCACTCGTGTCCGTTCTTCAGGCACCGCATGCATTCTGGCTTCGTCTCATCGTACGAGACCGGGGTCAGGATTGGATGCTCTGCATTGGGCCCCTAGGCCAGCTTCAATCAGGATCCACGAACCCTGACTTTTCGTCGCCGACATGTATGGCACCCTTTGGATTTGAATGGAATACCACCCATTTCGGCGCTAGTTGATAACGAGTGTGCCGGGGTAATTCAGCAACCGCGGGAGAGCCATGTAGTTCAAGGCTGGCTGGGTGAATGTGTGTTTGCCATTGATCCTGAATGATCAATACAGGCAAGATCTCAGACAGTAGGTCACTTGAGGGTTGAAGCGACGGCCTGAGGCAAGACATGTCCGTTTTGGGAAACTTCGATGCGGGTCCCTTGTTGGCCTGAGGCAACCACAACGTCCAAGCCTCTTCTATTTTTGCCTGCGAGATTTGAAGATCTGCTTGTGCAAGCCTTGAGCCTCGTCTATCCGCCACAGACTCGCGGCTTTGACTGGCCAGATGTGAGGGAGACATTACAGAACGACGTGTTCTTGTCCTCCTTTGTCTTGATCGACAATATGCCCGGGCTCTGCGAGGTCTGTTCGTCGGAATCATCAAAATATCGTTGTCCGACATGTTCTCTTATGAGGTAGAGACCAGTTCCCCCGACACTTTGGTCCCGTCCCCCCGCAATCCATCTAATCGTGTTCGTCTTAGTTGTTCACTTGCCTGTACTCAGTCACATAAGATTTACTGCGCACCTAAAGCTACACCTCCGAACGAAGAGCCGAAAGGAACACCCGCGGCCGATGCTACTCCTACCCCCACACAAAATGGCGACTCAACTCTAGAGACTGCCGGAAATACAGCCAGCAAGAAGAACCAGACCTCTGCTGCTGCTATAGCTGCTTCGCCAGAGCTTCAAACCCTACTATCCCGCTATCCTCAGCTGCGCAACCAGCTACACGAAATATATCAGGCGACCGAAGAAGAGGAATGGCAAGAATGGTATACACCTCCCACGAGGGGGAGGCCATACGGCCGAGGAGGTAGAGGTCCTTCTCGCCGGAGTCGAGGCTCATGGACAGCCGAAAAGGGATTCAACCGCGGTTTGGGCAAAGTACGGAAACTCCGACAAGATTGTGAAGGAGGGACTGAGATCGGGGTCCAAGCAGAAGCTTTTACGGAATTTTTGGCGATGGTGAACAAGGACCGACAGGCTCAATCTCAATTGCCAGAATGAGCAGGGTTGATTCTAGCGAAGTTTCTCACGGAATTTGAGGACCTGATTCGGCCCTTTGTATTCTATTTACTTTACTCTTGCAGCTTTATTCATTGCTGGACAATGAAACGAGGACACGATTACAGAGCTGCACTCGCAAAGCTGATATATTAATGCGGGGTAAATAGATAGCCAACTAAGCAATGTGACACACTAATTCATACCTGAACTAGCGTAACGGGCAAATGGCAAATATTCGATCCCATATTGAGTAGTACATGGAGTTTAGCTACCGTACGTTTGGTCTGACAGGCCCAATTCCACAAGTGATTCAGGGCAACCGAGGCCGCGGGTCGGTGGGTTTTCGCGGTGCAGTAAGCACTTCATTAGCGTCTCCATCACCCAGTCCACCTTTGGGGCGGAGGCCTCGCGTGGCCAGAACGCCCCAAAAGAGCAAAGAGCGGGCATGAAGAAGGCACCGAAAATTGGATGCTCTGGCAGCACCGGGCGTCACAGTCGACGAGTCGAACGGCGCGGCCCTCGTGCAGGCACCTGCCCCCAACAGGGACCAAGGCCGACGGATCATGCGGCTCGTCTGGTTGGCGGCCACCATATGAACTCTCCAGGGCCTCGCGCCCTTTGTCCCGAACAGGCGATTCAAGGGGGTACCGAAAAGGAGAAGCACAAGCTTGTTCGGGGGTCATGCTGATCTGCCTATTTCTGCACGACGTGAGAGGCCTCCCTTCCTCCCATGGGGGCCCTGCCGGATGTGCCTGCAGCTGTACTGTACGGCTGAAGGGAGTGGACCGACTGGATGGAGGTGGGATGCTGTCGAATGGGCGAATCCCACGACGAATTGCGTCCGCTGCAGCGCCATTGGGTCTTGGCCCTCCCAGGGAATCACAACATAATGAGCAAGCACCACAGCTCTACGACCAGCGAGTACTACTCACAAGCAGGACCTGTGATGCCTGTCGACTAAGCGAGCTCCTTGACTCTCCCGTAAGCCGTGGGGTTCTGGTAGTGGCGGCGCCACGACAGCGCTCGTAGTAGATTCGCGTTTCTTGGGGAGGGAATATTGGAGGACGGAGGATGGGTGAGTGGTATTGGCGTTAGTCCTGCGTGGATGCATATGATTGTATCGAACCAGGGGCCTGTCAAACCCCAATTCAGCTCTGATCGAGCTTAGAAGGACATCAATGCTCCACGAATGACGAGGCTGGATGCATCTAGTTTCAGATTGTGGGTGAAGGATCTGGAGAATGGGGCCTTGGTGTACTCCAATGAGAGCCGAGCGTTCAGCTTTTGCTTGCCGAAAAAAAGAGAATACATACGTACGAGTATGATCTGTCTCCCTGCTGGGTTTCTTTCTTTGAGTCAGAGGGAGCCCTGTTTTAGACAGAGTTAGATCTTTTGTTCTCCTTATACTTCTCCAATCCTCAATTTATTTCGGTTGTATAGCAAAAAGCATTGGACTTGGGAGACACCGTTTTCCTTGGTTCAGCTGCCACCCGGTTCCACGGTTCCTACGCCGCCGCCAGCATCTCCTCGGACTGCCAGACTCCCTCCCCAAATTTATCTCTCCACAGAACCGACAAGATCAATTGCTGCGGTTGGTACTGATCGCGCCACAATCCAGTGCGACATTTATCAGTTCGTCCTGACCGTTGCTGTTCACGCCTCCTCCCACCGGATAACCGCCTCACCTTGCGACCGAATCTGAGAAATCACACTTCCCCCCCCCCCCGGTCTCGGAGCCGACAATGGATGCGAAGTGCGAGGTCTTCGAATTCACACAATAACTGGATCTCATCTAGTCCCGCCTCGTTGGTTCTAGCCATACCCCTTGCTTCCGAGCTGTCTCCGTCTCCGCCGCCATGAGCGCCCAACAGACTCGCCGCGCGCGGGCGTCGAGTGACAGAGCGCAGGTAATGCCCCCCGGGGTACCGCAGCGCCCCAGCATGGGAAGTCGCACCTCGTCTGCACCAGAAGGTAGTCTATACAAATTGGATGGAGGACGGAGACCGAGCTCTGCGGCAAAAGTCGGACATACTTTGTTGGAGGAGGATGAGGGATCTTCGAGTACGAGTCATGAGACGCCGAAGCGTTCGCGGTCTCGACACCGTAGTGATGAGGTATTGTCAATCCTGAGGCTGGATCGTATTGCAGATTGGATGGGCTTTGTGATGGGACTATCAATGGCTAACAGCAGTCCTTTTGCGTGCAGGAACACTCCAAATCCAATCTACCGGAAGTGACCATTGCCGTGGTTGGAGAAGATAATGCAGGCAAGACAAGCTTCATCAAGTCCGCATTGGACATGAAGAGTACCCCCTCATCCGTGTCCACGAAGAAAAAGATGTCTTTGGACGGATCGGTTTATATTGTGCGGTTGTTGGAGATTGACTTGAAACAAGTCACTTTCGACCAGGACCTAAATATCGTCTGGCCTGGGGTGGGCAAGGGTTTGGCCGCCCCGACCGTCGATGGAGTCTTGCTTTTGTATGATGCGACTCAACCAGAGAGGCTGGAAAAGACCGTTGAACTTGCAGGTATGTGCCTTCAGCTCCGTTTATGCTTCCGCAGCCTCTCCATTCTCGACCGTGGTGGCCATTCGCTTTTGCTTAAGAGTTGTCGTCGATTGTTGGCCCCTACGATACCCTATCGTGTGTTGCCTGGTTGCTTACCCAAGGATCCAAATCTAGATGCCCTGGGTGACACCACAGTCCCATGTGTGCTGGTTGCCTGCAAATGCGACCAGCTCCCCGAGGATGGTGAGCTTGTTCCGATCCATGAGCGACATGACATCTACCGTACTTCGCCCGAGTCACCACGGTCCCAGCAGATGTGCATCGCACTCGTGCTGCGGTCGGTGATCCGCCATCGAACAGGTGAGTTCTGATAGTTCTTGGAAGATCAGCCATGGCCCCCTCCTTGTTAGCTCTGTCTTTCTTTGTGCTTTGTTGGTCCGCCAGCAATCCCTGGAGTGAAGCGGATTGTTATGGGCTGAGCCATGACCCCTCCGGGCGGACTAAGTGGGTCGCTGGGCCGAGCATTTCGCTACTCTTCCCTCTGTGACTCTGTCAGAGCCCAGAGTCCACCGATCGACACGACCCCCAAGGACCAGGAGATGCAAAAGAAACAGAGCAACACGACAGATTTCGTGGCGTTTTTGTTCTCCATGACGGCTGACTTTGATTCTCATTCGCCCAGACCTGGCCGCTTCTGACCGTACTAATACTAATCCTCCTCCTCTTCCCCCGTCGGCTCAACCTCAACATCCCCCGGCCGCCCCTCCCCCGCCGCAGACGACTACCAAATCTTTTCAGCCCAACCCTTCTCCTCCCGATTGGCACCATACCCGCGCCAATTCAGAAACTCCATCTGTCTTCCTCTCTGGAGCCGCTGGCGGCTCAGCAACTTCGGTCTCGGATCGAACTGTCGATAGCAACGGCTCTCACCGTCTGCCCACCGACAAGGTCCATCCATCCAACCTGGCGCAACAGCATGCTTCAAGTTCGCCTCGAAATGCCAGGAGTAATTCCCACCCGGTCCGACCGCAAACTCCGCCAACTGGCGCGCGGTTGAATCCACGCCGACCGTCCGCTCAGGGAGATATTTCTCCTACCCAAGAACACATTCGCCAGCGATTGCAGCCTTCCTGGCGACACAGTGGAGGCTCAGACGCCTTCAACAGCTTTTTGAACATGGACGACGAGGTGGAGGACGGGGCACAGCCAGCAAGCCCCGGCGCCATTTTGCGCCCGAAGCCGAGCAGCGAGAGCAATTCCAGCGCAGAGTTTGGATTAAGCTTTGACGAACTTGTCGATCGCCTGGTCGCTTTGCCCATGTCCAAGCAAGACACGAAATTCAGCGCCATATTCCTCTGCCTCTATCGGAAATTCGCCGCCCCGGCTACCCTGCTCAATGCATTGGTCAGTCGATTTGAGAAAAATGAAACCAGCAACGCCGACCAGCTCGCCCGCATGGCAGATCAATTGCGCCTTCTAAATGTGATCGCCTCATGGGCCTCTGAATACCCCGGCGATTTTGCCAACCCCAAAACTAAAAAACGCATCAACGAGTTTGTTACAACCCTTGAAAAAAGCCATTTCTACATGTTCGCCGCGAAGGAGATTGGATCATTTCTCGAGACCAATGTCGAGGACGATGATATAGGATGGGCCTTTGGGGATGGTGATGTTGACGAATCAACCCTTACCGAGACCTTCTTTGACAACTCCGGTCGGAGCTCTCCTGTTCCCTTCATGACTAGTACATACGACGATGACGAAGATGACGACGTGGAGGAAGATCCCATCTATAGCAGCATGACCGCTTTGGACCTGAGCGAGGGGCCGCACGATTCGACATCACGCCTCTCTGGAACCCTTTCTATTTCCTCCAACACGGACAAACCTTCCAGCACTATGAATCAGTCCTTCACCCTCTTGACTGTAGAGGCTGCTCAAAAGGAAGCTCTGCGCCTCGAAATGACTGGTCGGAGCTCGCTCAGCAAGATCCAATGGCGGCATTTCATGGAGACGCCCGATGAAGAATTCGCTCGGGAATTGACGCGTATTGACTGGATCATGTACAATTCGTTCCGTCCTCGCGATCTCGTGCGTCACGTCAGTATCTCTGGCGTGGACAAAGACAAGATCAAAAGCTTGCAGAACGTCAACCGGATGATCAAGCAATTCAACCACGTGGCTTTCTTCGTGGCGAGTATGATTCTCCTTCGCGATAAACCCAAGCACCGAGCCAGGTGCCTGGAGAAGTTTATGAGCATTGCAGTGGTATGTATCTGTCGCCATGCTTCACGAAATACATGACATAATGGCTTACAATTTGCTTAGAAACTACGTCGTCAAAATAATTACAATGCCCTCGGCGCCGTGATCGCAGCCATCAATGGCACCCCTGTTCACCGACTCACCCAGACCAGGGAATTGATCCCAGTCGCTAGCCAAAAGGAGTTTATGCGACTGGTCATTCTCATGAGTACATCACGCAGTCACTCCGCCTACCGGCTAGCGTGGGACAACTCTTTCTCCGAGCGTATCCCCTTCCTCCCTCTACACCGCCGAGACTTGGTCTCCGCGGAGGAAGGTAATAAAACCTTCGTGGGTGAAAACAAATCTCGAATCAATTGGAAGAAATTCGAGGTGATGGGAGAAGTGGTCATCGGCATCCAGAGGAGCCAGAAGAGCCCTCACCCTCAAGCTCAAAAATACGATGATATCGAGCGATTGATTCTGGATTCCAAACTGTCCGGCGACGAAGAGGTATGCAATTCTAAACATTCCCAGTCCTTGATCATCATCCTAACGGTATCTAACTTGGCCCAAACAGGATCTGTATGCTCGCAGCTTGCAAGTTGAACCATCGACTGGGAGCGAAACTGGGCGCAGAAAGTTTGCATGGCTCCGTGCTGCGTAGTCCCAGACACCCTTCCTTTCATGACCCGGGTCAAGGCGACTGCACAGTCCGTTTGCTATTTGTTTGGCTTATTTCCATCTCTCTATCCACCGCTCTACTCGCCATACCCCCATCTCACGCCGCTACGCTCCCATGATCGATCTATTGGTTCAAACGTCTTTTTCTGTCCCTTTTATTAGCATATTTCCTTGGAATGGAATCCACGGCATGGGCAAGATGACCCCTAGAGCGAGTTGTTGACACGAAGCTTCGATATGATGCTTGTTTTGTACATAGTGTGCTTTCGTGGTTGCGGTGATGGTTAAGCCACGATGTGGTGCGGCGAAGAATCTGTACCTCCGGACATATCCTGATCACGATTCACTCTTAATTTGCTTAGTGAACAACGAATAATGACTTGAAGAAATCTACAACTACTTGATCAGCGGGATTACCCCCCTCCACTCCGAAGCTGTAGTTCCCATGGCTACATAGTCCCACGATCACGTGAACTCTATCAATCATCTCCACCCAAAATCCAAAGTCAAGATCCCAATCATACCCAGCCAACAACCCAAACCCAAACCCTCAACCTCTCACGTTCAAAATGCCACAACAACTCACCAACCAAGCTCGCTCTACCTACCGCGCTCTTCTCCGCGAACTCCCTCGCGCAAACCGCTCCACCCCCTCCCCCTCCACCAACGCCTCCGCACCGTCTTCCGCTCCCAAGAACAAACACCCTCCACACCATCCGCGCCCACACCATCACACACATCCTCCATCGCCTCTTCCACGCAACCAGCTCCCTTTTCGATTCCTTCTGACCCCGAGCAACGGGCCCTCCGCATCCAGGAGGCGGAGCAGTTGGCGCAGTATGCGAAGGCGCAGCGCATGTATACGGAGTTGCTCGAGCGGTATAACCCTGGCATGAATTTGGATGAGGAGGAGCGGATTCGGTTGACGGCGCGCCGGGTTGGGTTTGATTTGCCAGAGTTGCATAACCCTGAGGAAGGGGAGAATCAGAAGGAGTGATTGGGGAGTTTGAGATCCTTGCGCAGCATGATTGTCTGCTCTGCGTTTGCTTGATCGAGTATGTCATGGATTATTCCAAGGGACATCTTCGTCAACAGACATTGTCGGGCTTGGCTTGTCAATTTGGACTCCTTTGGTCGGTATTCTTACCGGCATGGTCTGCCTGCCAGATGGACAATAACAGGTTAAGCGTGCGAACCACCGGCGGTGATGTACCATCCCTTGCCTTTAGGAGGGCATCTTTCGGGTTTGCGCTTTGTACAAAATCTGGGCGTTACGTTTCTTCAGTTGGTCTTGTATACTACGGGACAATGTACAAATAAAATATAGAAGCATGTTCAAGGTGTATTTGGTTGTCTGAGTCTCAATGACAGATATGCCCTGCAGCGGCGGCTTGAATGAATGCCTGGATATCACAATCGACCCTGTTGGCCTTGGGATCTATTGGATCCACTTTGTGATTGAGCAACTTAGAAGCAGCACCGCAATCTTGTCAATGGTGGTCATTTAACTGATAGCAGCGCCCAGGTACTCCACATCTGCTAGGGCTATGGCAGCTCCGCAATGACAGAGGGGGCAGCGGCGTCTGATAAGTAGAGGCAGTCTCGCATGGAGGGCTACCTCCGAGAGCCTCTTGGAACCTGGCACTATATATGCTGTGTGGGCTGGTGGTATGGACCGAAATATGTGTAATCGTAGACCAGTACAGACCGTTCAACTGTTGGTCAATTGCGTCCGTTCCATCTGTCTCATGAGCGTCGAGCTAATCTCCTCATCCTCCATGCCGACACTGACTTCGATTGCAGTCTTAGGCCGATTTCGGTTCAGGCCATCCAGGAGACTGCATGCTTTGCAAATACGCTGACTAGAGAGGTATCCGCAGCGTTCGCAGTGGCCAAGAGTCTGTTTCTTGATAATCTTTTGCTGAGAGACACTCGAAGGCTGACCCTTGGGGAGGCGGATCTCTGTCTCACGGGACTCTGCGGACTCATTCTCGGCCAGTTCCTTCTCCATGGCAGCCATCTCACCACCGCTGGTACGTCCGTTCTGACTTCCACAGCCACCGATATCATCTTCGACCGCTGCCGTCGACCCGCATTTCTTTCCACTGTGGGTGATCTCTCGTGGCACGAGGGCAGCCATGTCCTCGCCACTCTTCACGATATCCAAAATCGAGCTGGGTCGAATCTTCTCCAAGTCTTTGATCAAGGTTCGAGCGCTGCCGCGGAATGCCTCTGGGGAGTAAATGCACTCGGTGGAGAAGTAGTCAAGTTGGCGGTGGTGAGCGTAGAGCACAATCTCTTTCTCATAAGCATACTTCAACGGCTTGCTGCGCTTGATATCCGATGCGCCGGATTCTGTCACAATACTCGTTCCGCGAGACAACCGAGGTAAATCAGCGCGAAGCAGGTTCATCATGACAGTCTCCGCGACATCGTCTGCATTGTGACCGGTTACGACGTGCTTGATACCCAGTTTCGCGGCACCCCGATCAAGCGCCTGTCGCCTGAAGACACCGCAGTATGTGCAGTTCCCCTTCTTGCCAATTTGTGCCACCACCTGGTCCATCGTCCACCCGTAAAGCTCTCCGTATCCCAGAATCTCTAACGGCATATCGTACTGCACCGCATTGCGCTTCACAGTTTCAAGACTGTCGTCGCGATAGCCACGGATTCCCTCGTCAATGGAGAGGAGACACAGATCCAGACCATATCCGTACCGTTCATTCAGTGTCTTGAGAACCGCTGCTAGCACAGTGCTGTCCTTGCCACCGCTAGCGCCGATGGCGACTCGTTCTCCGGGGTAGAACAGGTTTGTGCCGATGATCGTCTCGTGCACTTCGGTCTCGAATACTTCCAGGAAGCATGCTCGGCAGAGCTTATTTCGATTCTTTGGGCGGATGATGACCGCCCGGGCCTCCTTGCAGTTGAAACACGCAGTTGGAGCCATAGTGTTCGAGGTGGTTGTTGGAGTTGATGCGGAGGGGCAAAGAAAGAATTTATTTCCCCCGCATGGTCCGTGCGTTGACGAACTGGCGAGTTGGATGTATATAGATCTCATTTTGGCTTGAATAGCAGATACTTAGACTACTACACCTATTCACTACTTCCGACGTATATATCATAGCGGGTAGATACCGTTGAAATAATAATGGAGTAACAGGGCGAAGCCAGTGACTGACAAATATGGACAGTAGAAATTTCAAGATCTGCACATGAAGAGAGAAAAGAATATCCCGAAAGATTAGATGACAAATTGGTGTTTCGGTAAATCATACAGCAAGTTTCTCACTTTGAGCTTGATAGTGAGGTGGCGATTTGCCCTTTCGACAGAACAATCCAGCCATGCACACTGGGACTGGCAATTTGTTCTTCCTTACCATCTCTTTGGCCAGATGATGGATGTGGTGCCTCCTGTGGATCAGGGAATGATGATAAGGCTGGGAGCGATCCGTAAACAATTTGAGATGCCTCAGCTCTTCTGAACTAAGAGTCTCCGCCACCTGATCCGTTTTATCTTCTGAGAAAGCGAACGACGTCCCGATGATCTTGAAGTTTCGAGCCATATGGTGCAGGTTCGAGGAATGCCAGTCCTCGTTAGTCCAGATGGGCTTCACAGTCCAAGGCAGACGACGCTCGTTTTTGAATGCATTCCACCAATCTTCCAGGCGCAGTCTTCTCTTCTCGCCACTAACTGCATGGACACATCCACTAGTCCCAACAGCTGTGTGGAGAAGTAGCCGATCGACGACGACATCCACTGGCACTTCGTCAATTGTGGCATCTTGGTCGGGATTTTCACAACGTGTTGCGAGGACAATTTTACGACCCGGATGTAAGGCATAAGCTGCTGCGCAAGCTGTCGATGGGCTTGAATACGAAGTCGTGAAACCATGGTATGGGAACTCTTCAGCCGGCCCAACTACTGACGGCCGAATAATGAGTATCTTGTCCAAAGCATTTTTCTCAGACGCCTTGTGTAGGACCAGCCGCTCAGCCAAGTGCTTGGCGTATGCGTAGGGCCAGGGGAAGTCGTGTGTCTCGAATTCATGCGATGTCCCGTCCTTTTGTACCTCTCTCCAGATTTCGGGTGCGCTCTTGTAGATGTCTTCGCTGTTCCTGTCTAGAGAGTATACTCGCTCTTGGACTGGCACATCGGAAGACTCGCTTGTTTTCCAAAGATGCGCATTGACATAGGCGGTTGAAATAAAGACAAATTTCTCGAGGTTCGGGAATTTCAAGGCGTACTTCGCAAGGCAGAGTGTAGGCGCAATGATGGAGTAAGAGAGCTCCCGAAGAGAGTTTTTGAGCTCGATTGAACATGCAGCGTGAATAAAAATATGGACTCGTCTTTTCAGCATTTGTAGTGTGTCATCGTCAAGATCCATCGTTGCGGTGTCGCCCAATTCTCCATCCAGAATCGTCATGGTATGGCTCTGGATAAGAGTATTTGCAATGGGCGCCGGGAGCATGCTGCTCCATTTTGTCTTCGCTTTTCTGGTATGTCATGTCAGTAGATGTTAAATTTGGAAGTCTAGTTGGATGAAACTCACGAGAAACCACCCCGGCAAAGCACGTAGATATGCTCTGGGGATGCTTGGGTCAAAGTCCGGTAAAGTACAGCGGTACCAATAAACCCCGTCCCCCCAGTCACAAACAATATTTTCCCGTTATAATACTCCCACATCATACTTGCTGATATCAGATTTACTTTTGCACTTGAAAGTTTTCATAAGAAGTGAGGGACCTACAAGGAAGGGACCCATCAACGTGAGTGATCAAGGTGGGTCTCGCGTGGAAATATATCCTCGAACGAGTACGTGGTGCACGGCATCGGATCCTAGTCCAAAGAACTTTACGGACAAAATTCATTCTCTCCAATAAAGCTGGTTCAAGGTGATAACAAACATCTCATGGATCTCAGATGACCTATAATAGGGCAGACAGATGCAGGTTCTGCGGCGAAGATGAGGGGTTTGCAGCTTGTGTAACCAACCGTGAAGGGAGCATCCTAGGAGCGCGAACCATTGATATTGCGTAAACGCATCGAAGATTGTAGTCCATGATACAGCCATTCTCGAAATCGGCTTGATCGATACACACCGAGTTACTCTTTTCTGGCCCCGCAGCTAAGGCCTTAGCGCGAGTAAATTATTGGACTGGATACCGAAAATTGAGGACCGTCGGAAGGTACATCTTGTATGTTATTCTACGTAATATTAACTGTTCCATATCCACTCACCATGGAATGTATGGAACCCCCTGGATCTCTGCAAATCTGGCAAGGCGAGAACCACCTCCGGATAATGCCATATTGGCATCAGTTCTCCAACCTCCACGATATAAATCTTCTTTACTTGTCACATTATTATGATCGAAGCAGTAAAGTCAGACCTCTCCCAATCTTTCCTAGACCAGCATCGTTTTCAACAGGGATTTGAAATAATAGGTTGTGAATCTTCTTGAAATACTTTCCACATAATCTCTAGGAGGTTAACGGACTGCTAAGAATATAATAGCACTCACATGCTTATCCTCATATTGCACGTACTTCCTCTGACAGGTTATATAGTTACGGGATTTGCTACCGCTCCCTTCGCTGCTTGCTGTCCTTCACTTTACTAATTTCTTCCACTTGCTTACTGCTATATTTTGAGTAATTGTCCTTCCCTAAGGGTGGGCGATTCCGACCTGAGATAGCGTCCATCGATACTCTACCTAGTGTTTATGCCTAGGTTTCCGTTTTCTTATCATTGTCCTGGCAAAACCTGATCTGGTTTCCAAACGGGTCGATAACGCCCATCTCCTGCGATCCCGCCGCCGGACCCTCTTCAATACCTGGCCTCATGTATCGATAATGTTTGGCATTGAGCTCGCGATGATACTCCACGATTCCCCTCATCATTATCCGGACCTGTACACCCGGGCTGCCATCCCCGTGATGCTCACTTAGATGAAGTATCAGGTTCCCCCTAGAAATCTGCCGATATAGCGGCGCGTTGTCATCGAACCGATGATCCCAGTCGACCTTAAAGCCGAGATAGTCGAGGTAGAATTCGTCCGCCTTAGTGATATCAAAGATGCGGAGGATTGGGATGACTGATTGGAAATCGATGGCCATAAAGTCTGGTTACAGGTCAATCTTCTGTAAAGCCAGTGAAAGCAGTGAGTTGATCATGTAGCGTATCCTTACGATAGTAAAAAGAAACCGAGTAAATCAGGTCTGTGCTCAGAGATAGTGGAATGTATATAAAGATTTGGACGAAGATACGGAGGGCAGGTTTTTTTGGAATGAATGCCAGAGGTTGATGAGAAGTGAGCGGGAGCGGGGTCGAGAACAGAGGCTGGGCATTGAACCTCTAGGCAGATATTCCGGAAATAAGGCGGTAGAGTGTGCAACCAGATTGAAGCAAGTCTACGATGCGGTCGAAGAATGAAAATTTATCGAGTTTTCGTACGCATAATGTAATATTACGTACCTAGACACTGGAATGAATATACAAAGTGCATTTCACTGTGCCCCTCAATTAACGCGAGCAGCTCAATAAATGATCGGCGCCAAGGCTTTAGCGCTGGGGCCAGGACAGAGTAACTTAGTGTGTATTGGTCAAGCTGATTCGATAATGGCCGTATAAAAGGAGAATTCATTGCCCGTTGTATAGGCCGCTGCCAGGGCAATGCGACTTGGGCCATCCTACCGGAATCACTTCCAAGGCGCGGCCGGATGTATGACCGTATTCGGTCGTGCAGGGTCCAATGATCCTTGGATCCTGACTTGCAAGATTGTTTAGTCTTGAACAGATACCCACCCAGTAATCAATTCGCATATGGAAACTTGACCTCATGGCGACCTGTTTAGTAACTAACATGGGGTCCAGTCCTCACCGCTCCATGCAGCCGATAACCTGCTGTTCGGAAACAAACTTCGACGAACAGGGGTCTAGAACAAATTTAGATCATGGGCTAGTGCCAAAACTTTAGCCATCAACCGGAGGAAAGAAGGGGTTCTTACTTCAGGTTATCACATGCTTACTGATCTGAAGTTTCTCACTCAGTTGGTTGATCATATACCGATAATGGGCTGAACAAAAATACAAAGGATAATGGATCTGATCCACTCATATACTTGGCTGTTGAAATGTGCATCGCTGCTGTCAAAGACTTGACTTGTCATGTTCCACCATAACTAACGAATGGGGCAATTGCGACTTTTGAGGTGGGCCAGTGGATGGAGAAAAGTCCCAGAAAAAAGATCGACAGCCGTCAAGATGTGATGAAAAGTGAGATTGACAGTATTGATGTCGTCATAAATCAAGAATATATGAATATATGATGTTACATTTTGCCAAAAAAATATTAAGAACCTGTTTTGGTACATGGGTGCTAGGAGCTATAGCTCAACCTAGTGGATAGAAAATGTGAAAGCTCTGTGGACACTCGATGACTTTTGAGATAGATGGGAACATCTGACGATCTTTTCTAGAGTATGGATCATTCGATATAACTTAGTGAGCTTCTTTCGACTCGGTATGTACTGATTGTCGACTCTTCAAGCCTGCCGGCTTCTTTAGGATCTAGCTTCTTGACAACGAGCTCTGCATGTCGTGATATGTCCAACTAATTTGAACATCTCTTGAGAAGATTAGCTGAACAGAGAATATAGCTCAATGATGAGATATTGGTTAGAAAATCAAGGGTTCCCTCATCTTGCTCGAACTCGGAACCCCGGCATCTAGAAATTGCCGACTCGGCAATGCCTATCTGCCAGTTTTGCATCCCCGCAAAGTCTAATCTCGTGTCCATAATTTCGGCCGTGTAGCAAATACACTTTTACCAAAGAGTCAAGTCCACCCGAGCTTATCGAACCTCCCCTCTCAGAAGGCTTCCGCTTAACATCTACAAAGGGTGCTTTAATCCGGCAAGCCAAAGAAGGACCGATACACAGGATTGAGCCTGACTATCGTCTCTGTGCAGAGCGAGAGTACCGAAGAATGGAGTCGAGCTGTGGTGAACGCATTTATTATTTCGGCTCTGAGATTTCACACAATGTCCAACACCAAAATGATCAAACGAGCCTGTGACCAATGCCACTCGGTTAAGGAAAAATGCCGCCGCATCAGTACCGAAACTTCCTGTGAAAGATGTGACAGACTCAGCCAAATATGCAAAACTTGTCGAGGTGCCGTGAAGACTGGCAGGAAGCCTCGATTCTCCAGAGAGGTGGTCTATGCTCTTCCAAGCTCCGGTAGTACCAGATCTTCGACAATGAATACAGGTGTGTCTGATGGAGACCATCTGAAGTCCTCGGCCATATCCTATAATGCCAGATTGTCCAACAATGTGGTCAATTTCTCGGACTTTGATGATTGGGAACGGCATTTTTTGAACCTCATGAAAGACAGAAGCACACCCTCACCCCTCGCAAAGTTTCTCGTTGGCTCCAGCTTTTACGAAGATCATCATTCTTCATTTGTTCAAAATCTCATACAACCAACACCCATTGTCAGGCATGCGACTGTAGCGTGTGCAGCTGCCCTCCTTGGTGACCAATTCAACGAGTATGCTAAAAGAGGATTGGAAATTGGACATCAACGGGCCGCCCTGGCCATTTCGTCTCTCCGTTCACTCGAAATCAATGGCCAAGATGACCTGGTGACTTCTCTTATTCTTGGTGTTGCGCTGTTGACTTTTGCGATGCATGTGAGGGATGGCCAGCCCTTCCTGATCTGCCACTACACCTTAAGTCTTATTAAAACGCAGTATCCAGATTTATCAGGCTTAGACCCCTCATTGATGGACTTTCTAATGTGTCTGGTTAGCGCAGAGACATTTGAATGTCTGTTGCGATCCCAAGTTCCCACTTTGCGAGTGAACACCCACGGTCGGGGGCGCTTTGTTGACCGTTATCTCGGCCTCTGCTCACCGATGCTTTTCTACTTCTATGATATCTGTGAAGTAAGCAGCGCATTTCGATATGTGGCCAAAGACGATGACTCTGAATTGCTCAGACGACTGAATGGAATAAACCTCGCTGTTGAAAAATGGCAACCATTACCTCCACTGGACTTTTCCGAACGATTTACGCAGATTGAAGGGGCAACCATGCTTGCACAAGCTAAAATTCTTCGACTGGGGGCCCTCCTGGTAATACACCGTCTGCATCATCCATTTGGTCAGCAGGACAGAGAAGCGCTTCTATTTTCTCAAGAGATTATCGCCGAGTTCGAAAATATGCTTCACCTTTCCCATAACTCGATTCCATGCACATCACTGGCATACTTAGCTGCTTGTTTTGAAATCATGGATCAAGAAGCTAGAGCATGGGTAATGCAGCGCTGCACCCAGATAGTTACGTTTTCGAAACAGGCGCAAATCCGTTTCAAAGCTAGACTAAGTATCGTATGGAAGGCAAGGGACTCTGGAAATTCGTTCTACTGGTTTCAACTTTGTGAATATCTTCCTGGGCAAGAGATACAATGAGAATAAATGTCCACTCCTCAAAAAACCAGTTTAAAAGAGTGGAATCAAAGCAGCTTCAAACTGTTCGGCGACCGATTTGGTTTGCTGACATCTTCCGATACCGCGCGGCAGTTGCGATTCGTGCCTTCTTTCCCCAGATAAGAAGAGGGACCGGAATGAGATAGAGGAAAAAAGCCACAACTGCAGCAAGAATGTGGAGATTCCGCATGCCCATACCATTGACCCATGGCGTGATCACGAAGAGGATGATCACGGAGATGATATTACGCATGAAAATAACGCCGACGAGGGCATCACCAATAATCTTGTTGTCAATGTAGTTAGCGTCCAGCAAGACATAGAAAGTAAAAAAAGAGGAGATGGAAAGTACTTACATCCTGATAGGAATCCATGAGGTAGGAAAGTGAGACACCACTGACAGAAGATATTGTAAATCCAAAGACACCGAAGCCGATGGCGAGGCACGACCAATGCACTCCCTGAAAGACATTAGCTGAATGTATAGTCACAAGAGGAGCTATAGTATAACATACATAGGCAAGCCCAAGCCCAAACAACAAGATAGATGCAGGACCAAATACAACACTGGGAAGGGCCAGCCAGAGGCGCTGTTCTGGCTCATAGATACCACCATTCTTCTTTGAAAGCCACAGAATAGACTTATCACTCAGATATCCACCAACGGGAAAACCCAGGACGGCACCAACGAATGGTGCTAGATTCATGAGACCGATTCCGATCGCGTTGAAATTGTAAGGCGGCATGAGCATATAGGTAGCCTGGAGCGAAGTCATCATCGCAAACCAGGCCAAAGTGGAGCCGTAAGTAATGGCAGCATATGTTACAGCCGGGAACGTGAACAATGTCTCGATCGGCTGCCAGAAATGAGGAAGCAGTGATTCGTTAGTCGGGGTGACGAGAGCCATTCTCTCAAAGTAAGTTTTCGGTTTGATCTCCAAGTTAGTTCCGACACGACTAGCGGGTGTTTGCTCCGTCGTTGTTTCATGATCAATGGTAGACTTGGCTTTGGAGTCTTCAGATATATCGATCGCTTGAGCTGGGGTTGTAGAAACAAGGCTCTGACCGTTCAGCACAGGCACGAACTTTGACTCCTCAAAGAGGAATATCACACAAATTAGTGTAATTGCAAAAAAGATGACACACCACCACCAAATCCATCGCCATCCTTGCGAGTCCACGATATAACCAGACGCAACAGGCCCGAGGAAGGCACCCGCAGACTGGAATATGACAAACCACTCGTTCATCGTGGCATGCTGGTGCACGAAAAACATGTCTGCGACAGTGATTTGCGCGATGACCTCGGATATCGCACCTCCCAGGCCAGAAATCAGATTGGCACCGATAAAACTGCCAACGCTGAAGGTCTGCGCTTGCCATATACAAGAAGCAAGTTGCAATGCAGTGCTGAACAAATACATCGGTCGGCGGCCATACTTATGGACAAGTGGGATGAAGAAGAAGCATCCAATAGCAAGACCACCGTAATTGACTGCCGCTCCAGCATTCAGAATATCGACGGAGAAACCAAGCTCCTCTTCCATTGGTCCCCATGCTGTAAAACCTATGTCCAGTTGAACAAAGGTCCAGAGGACGAAGAAGCTGACGAGAGTGTAGTTTAGGATCTTGCGAGCGTTCGACCAATTTAGGGGATCATTGGGGTCGGCCGAGGGCGCAGGAACAAGGACAAGCTGGTCGCTGGTGCGGTGAACTGCATTGATCAGTGAACATCAATTGGGTGAAATTGAAGGAGGGCTTATTCTACCATCTTCGAGGGCCACTGTCCCTGGTGCCCAGAAATATTCATCTCGATCATCATGCTCATTCACCATAGCTGGGGATAAACGAAGATGGTTTCAATTTAGAGCAGATGTTCAGCTGTAAAAAAAGCAAATGACCGCCTCATCTCCATGGCTGGCCATGGCCCCCCTTAAAAGAACATTGCGAGGGCGCCTCCTCACGAAGGACTGCGTTTGAGCGTGCGGAGATACTCTGCGACTGAGAACCTTATCTCTTCGGTTGTCGAAGGGCTGAGTGGAGAAGACTAGACAGCGATAACCTCCAGGCGAATCAGAAGGCTTAAAACAGGCCGGCTTGGCAGGAAAGACAGATGGACATGCTCCACCCCCGCTTATCTAGTCCAGTAAACTTTCGAAGGCTCTCCTCAGTGATCAGCGGGGGCCAGTCACGATGCGAGGGCTACTTGACGTTGAAACCGGATCGCAGAGACTCGAGATGCTTAGCGGACTTTATTCCGCATACAAGATGAACGATATGCTTGTCAACGACAAGCCCTCGGCTTGCGACTCCCGGTTGTACCTGCCTATTTAACCCAAAGGTCAAAAAGTTGCAAGCTTTGAGTCTCGATGTTCAAGGGAAAGACCATCGAGGCTTGAGATCTGGTTCTCCCTGTCGTGATATCGTCCAGCGAAGGCTGAAAGCAAAAGAAAAAGCCAAGTGCTGTTCAAAGACGGCCTTGAAAGGCAAAACACAGAGTCACCTAGTTAAAGAGACATGTCCAACTTCTTCACTTGCTCCTTATCTTTGAAGTTTCCTTGCCACCGCTCGATGTCGGAGATCATGGATATTCTCGAAGCTGAAATTGGGGGTTGCTCACCAAATGTGATGGTATTTTCGGAACTCTATATCGGGTGTATCAATCGTGGCATGTCTATCATGAACTTCGCAAAGTTTTCAAGTCCACAAGGTATGTATTTTGTTCAGAACTTGCGAATCTGGCGATTGGCAACTGGCCGATGGCCGATCATGCGTTGAGGATGGAATTGAGAAGATCAAGCAGGCAGATACACTAGACTTGACGGTGAAACTAGACACCCAAAAGCTCGAATGAATAGAGCCCTCACCCGCGTCGCAACATAATGCCAGGTTGAGTGGCATACATCGTCGCTGCGTTTATCCCAAAATACTGCACCAAGACTCTGCGGTGTACTCGTAGCATAACTGAAGTGACGAAGTAGCGTCGTCAGTCAGCATAAGATAAATGTCATAACGATTGTCAATATACAAGTCGAGTATATCCTAGCAAATTATTAAATCTCAGCCATTGTGCCTGTTCACCACAAGCCCCGCACTGGATTCTGGCTACAGGCTGGGGTGTCGGTGGCGGTGGATTACTGGCGGCAACTATGAACTACCCCGCGTTATCAGAATCCGGCTCATCTACTAGTCATCTCCGTCGTTTCCCTTTTGTTTACACCCAAAAGAAATACAATAGACAGTGAACTAAAAAGGGTTGCGACAAAATGGAGAGAATCGACGTCCACGCTCATTGTGTCCCACCTGTCTATCGAGAGTGTTGCTTGAAGAATGATTTTGCGGGAAGAGGACACCCGGATGGGATGCCAGCAATCCCTGTAAGCTTCAGTTCAAGATTAGTGGTGTTTTCATTTCTAAAGCATAATATAGGAATGGGATCCCGAGACGCACATTGCAATGATGAAAGATCTAGGCATCACAACATCGATTCTTAGCATGTCATCCCCGGGCACACATATCTTTCCTGGCGACGACCAGCAGGCTCGGACTCTGACAAGAGAGGTCAACGAATACATGTCAGAGGTTTGCACCAAATACAAGCAACATTTCCAGTTCTTCGCCTCGCTTCCGCTCCCAGATGTCGAAGGTTCCCTTGCTGAGATTGATTACGCTCTTGACCACCTGGGTGCAGTGGGATTCCAGATTTTGACAAACTCCCATGGTATTTACCCTGGAGATCCAAGATTCAGTCGGGTATTTGACAAATTGAGCGAACGAAACACAATTGTGTTCTTTCATCCCACCAGCTGCAATCTTCAACGGGAAACAGGAGCGGTCGAGCATGTCAACCCAATTGCAGTCGTTCCTAGTCCGCTCATGGAATTCATGTTTGACACCACTCGAGCGCTCACGAGTTTATTTACATCTGGAACGGTCACTCGGTGTCCTGGCATTAAATTTTTGATATGCCACTGCGGAGCAACATTCCCACCCATTGCAGTAAGATTAGTCTGCCTGTGCTTGTCATTCAATCCCCCACTTTCGAAATCCACGCAAGATTAACTCAAGGATGCGAGGTTGGTTACTAACCAATCTTCAAAAGGCACGCATCGCGGAATTCTCCCAGTTCCTTGTCAAAGATGGGGACCCAATTACGATCGAATCTATCAAAAATCTACTCCAGACTCGTTTTTACATTGACCTTGCTGGTATACCATTTCCAGATCAGATTCATGGTCTCCTTCGACTTGTCGACTCCTCCAGGTTGGTCTACGGGAGTGACTATCCTTTTACGCCAGCTCCCCTTGCAGAATCTTTGGCAAAGAGATTGGATGAGGGTCTTGAGACCAATTTTGGATCCGAGACGAAAAAGCGGGTTCTACTGACGAATGCTCAAAACTTGCTTGACAGTTGACCATGAAAGGGTTCGCCGAATGTCAAAGAATCGACTTTAGAGGCAAGGCATGCAGAATTGTCATGTCGAGTTTCGAGTAGGAATGAAAGAACTTCCCCATATAAATTGATCTATTAAATCGACAGGCGTCGCACATAAACATAATCTGGCCGTTGCGGGATCATACTCACCTACATATTGTACGGGAGACAGATCCCACAAAATATCCTCATGCAAATGTCGATCGTTGGAGGCGGGATCTTCCTCCGCATCTCCCAGACTTTCGGAATGCGGGGAGAACTTCTCACTTTGTGACTATACATAAGCACTTGTTTGCGATATCAAGATTACTTCACTCATCTCATTTGTTCTATCAGAGCTTTGATGATCCTGGCTGGTGTCAAGCAAAACAAACCTTCCGCCATGGGAATCATATCCACCTTGCAAGGGCAGTACAGTGATTTGGCTGCCCTCGCCATTATTGTAGTAGCCTTGGCAATTCTCATTTCATCACTTGCGAGCGCCTTCAAACCAGGTCTTAGATCCATTCCAGGCCCCTTGTTCGCCCGGTTCTCACCATTCTATCGTCTTGTGAAACTATCTAAAGGCCATGCTCCTGTTTTTTATCGGAGGCTCCATGAGACGTACGGTCCTATTGTACGCACCGGACCCAATACGATCGATATCTCCGACCCAAAGGCAGTCCCGATCATATATGGAATTAACAGCAAATTCTTAAAGGTACGAGCAGTCTTGGTCTCAAAAATCTGGATCTCTTTATAACTCAATACCTCTCCCAGTCCGCCTTCTATGACACTTTCAGCCCGTTCTTTGAAGACAAAGTCATGCCAAGCATGTTCACAATTAGGGATCCCGTGGGCCATCAAGCTTTGCGACGACCAGTCGCTCAAAAGTTCTCCATGTCATCGATCAAGTCCCTTGAGCCATTTGCGGATGAGTGTACGAAGATATTCGTTGATGCGATGAAGGACCTAGAAGGTCAGCGAGTTGATCTTGGAGCTTGGTTGCAATGGTACGCATTCGATGTCATTGGGGCAATTACATTCCAACGTCGATTCGGGTTCATGGAGAAACGCGAAGATGTACAAGATATGATCGGCGGTCTTGAAGCAGGGCTGCATTATGCAGGGATTGTTAGTCAAGTGCCATCGTTACATGGGTGGTTGATCGGAAATCTTTGGGTGTCGAAATTTTTGGCAGCACAGCCTTTCTTCAAAGTGGCGGATCCCCTTCGAACTATGGTGCAGGTGAGGCCTCGGTTTTTGTATTTTTCTGCGATTTTGCTAAATGCTAATGACCGAGCTTTCGAAGATTACGCAGGAATGTATTGATGAATATGACCGCCAACCCCAAAAGCATGGACAGCGGCCCGATTTCCTGGCCTGGCTCCGAAACGAAGAGACCAAGGGCAAACCAATGTCTAACCGCGACATGATGAATCATCTTAGCAATAACTTGTACGATATTCTGGCTGCAACTATTCAAAGTGAAAAGCCTTGATTGCTGACTTCCTGCTTAGACTCGCAGGCAGCGACACTACAGCAATTTCCCTTCGCGCGATCATTTACTTCCTTGTTCAAAATCGATCAGTATACAAGAATCTGCAAAAGGAGGTAGATGACGCTGATAACATCGGGAAGCTATCAACTTACATCACATATGCCGAATGTCTTGAGCTCCCCTACCTGTAAGTGATACCACTCTTGAATCCTCGAAGAAGCAAGCCTCTAATTAAAACAGGCAAGCGGCAATGAAAGAAGCAATGCGCTGTCATCCTGGAGTCTCATATCCCCTGGAACGAGTTGTGCCTGAAGGTGGAACCGTTCTCTGTGGAAAGCACCTAGCTGCCGGTACGATCGTAGGTGTGAATCCTGCCGTACTGCACCACGACAAGTCTATCTTCGGGGATGACGCCGCGACTTTCCGACCGGAGAGGTGGATTGAATCTGACGAAGAGAAGATCAAGTTGATGGATCGCCATCTGATGACTGTTAGTGGAGCCTTTCTCTTGTTATACTGGAATTCTACTGATTAAGAAACTAGTTTGGCTACGGGTCTCGGACGTGCATTGGAAAAAACATCTCTATTATGGAGATGGGCAAGCTTGTTCCGCTTCTCATCCGCCACTTTGAGATTGAGTGGGCATCTGATAAGCCGGAGTGGCGTGTCGAGACATATTGGTTCGCTAAACAACATGGCTTGCAATGTCGAATGCGCTCCAGGGATGTTCCTGCCAGACTGAGAATCTAAGGAATGGGCAAATTGTTTAAGGTCTACGGATTTTAATTACGTGAGTAGATGAAATTTTAGGAATATAATTTGATTGCAAGCCATTTGAGAATTCTGAAAGATCAACTATTCTCTCTACCACCCCCTATTTTTTTTTCAATCTCGTAAGAAAGTCGAAGCAAATCTGGGTGCTTGTCTCAGACCAGGGCCATGATATCGTTCTTATGGGTTGCGATGACCTCGCCAATGGCACCGATTTGAGGCAATTTGTGAAAAATCCAGGCTTCTGCCTTACCGTGAACCAGCTCCCAAATAGCCTTCAACTCCGCGTTCTTATTCACAAGGAATCCAAGTGCCAGGAGAGTAGCGGCAACATTTGCAACTTCTGTGTTAAGGTTCTCGGCCTGAAGCAAGCGGAGTACCTTTGCTTGAGTGTCTGCCATATTGGATCCGAGGACATCAAACAAATCCTGCTTCCATTCCCAGTTTCCTTCAAAAGTTTGCAATGCCACAAGGGTATGTACCTTCGAGGTGTTTGCGAAGAGTGCCGAGTCCGCAGTGTTCCCCTCCTGCCGAGCAACAAGAGATGCCTTTGAGATTGGCATGGAAGACGGCGCCGCAGGAGGAGGACTTCCAAATAGTGAGCCACCCGTTGCGTATGGAGTCCGGGAGCCAAAAAGCGATCCAGATGGTGCTCCAAAGGCACTCGACTGGGCTGGATTTTGGGCTTGACCAAATCCTTCAAACAGACTTCTTCTTGCCGGAGGAGGATGGGGAGCTCCTCCAAAGAAAGGCTTTGGCGAAGATAGCGCTGAAACATTTTGTTGTAGTTGTATGGGGGCGCGGTCCTGTCCTCCAAAGAGAGCTGCTCCTGACGCTGATGGGGGCGGCGGCGGCGGCGGCGGCGGCGATTGGGCACAGAATAGGGGTGCTGACGAGTTGGGTCCGAGGTTCATAGTGCTAGCTCCAGATGAAGTATTTTGACGTGCTCGAGCTGTTGAGTTGGCTGCCTGTCCAGATCCAAAGGCCCCCATGTGTACCGGCTGAGGATTCCGAAATCTTGGCCGCATGCTTGCAAATGCGCCTGGCATTGCTCTCGCGGCAAAATTTCTCTGTGGCCCCCCAGAGCTGTACGATAAGTAAGCGTAGTTGCCGCCATGCATTGGAGCTGGTATGCGACCAGAAAATGGCCCAGATGAGTGGTGGGAGGTTTGGACTACCTGAACGAGTGGCACTGCCCGTGGCTCAGTCTCCTTCGAGGGCGGGCTCTTTTCGGGGTTGGAGGAATCATCCTCTTCCAGAGCAACAAAAGAACAGTACTTGCCAGTGACCTGGTATTTGACTCCAAGTCTCTGACACTCGCGAGCCGCGAGACGCTGCTGTGTACCTAAGTGAAATTGCTGGAACGGGTTCCCCGACTCATCACGAGTATCTTGAAGCCAGCCGTGATTTTCCTCTAACTCAATCACTGCTTTGCGGGAAGCGAGTTGATGAATCGTCTCCCCTGTGCCGGAGTCACTAATGGGGATTTGCAACTCCAGAGGCCCCAGCTTGGAGGTAGCACGGAATATGAGCGACTGTGGACTGCGATGTGCAGATCGTGGATCCAGCAGAAGGTAGACTGTGGTCCTGATGAATGGGTAAAGAGGTGGAATTTTGTAAGGTGCCTGCAGAGCCCGAGGGGGACGAATATTAGGAAGGTTCTTGTCATCTGCCTGTTGACGGGATCCAAATTCTGCGTCCGATCCTTCAAGGTTGGCATCGAATAAGGAGATAGGCTGTTGCGTGGGAGTCTGCTGAGACGTGGCAGGGGTTTCAGGTGCAGCTTCGGCCCCCGAGTCCGACGTGGGCACGTCGGAATCCACAACTTCAAAGTCGTCATCGGCCTTACCATCATATTGCACCTCGAGTGTGTAGTCAAAGATGTGTGGAGTGAGGGCGCCCTTGAGCATTCTTACCACCTTCCGATCCAGCTCCTCGTACTCAATAACGGACTGGGAGAATCCATTGCCAGCACGCGCAATGCCTTCGACAAGCGAATGGGATGCAGCGTCGCCGATTGCAAGAGAAAAGAAGCGAGCGTTGTTGTCGGCGGCGGACGAGCGAACGAAGTCGAATAGATACTGTTGGTTGAAAATTTGGCCATCAGTGAGTAGAAGTACTTCCAAATCCTTGTGTTTCAGACGATTTTCCACGGTGGCAACAACAGCTGCCTGCATCTCTGTGCCGCCCATGTTGGCCCCAAGGGTGGATACAAAGCTCAAGGCATCTTCCAGACTCGATGCGTCGTAAACTCTGCTGGTTGGCCAAAGGAAGGAAAAGCTGGATCCGAACGAGCAAATGTTGAAACAAAGACCGACCGGCAGGGACTTTAAAAATATCCGAAGGGCTTGCTGTAAGGTAGGAATTTTGTCATGCATGCTTCCACTTCTGTCAATGACGAAGACCACTTCTGGTTGAGCTGGTGGAAGGCTGAATTTGGGAACCAACGTAGCCATCAAAGCCCGCTGATCTGGAAGAGTGGAATGGGTTTCTAGCAACGCACGGGGATTATCGAGCCCATCCGCCTTGACGACTAGAACAAAGTCACGTTCTAGCTGAACATGGTCACCCTTGACGAGACGCAGAGTTGCAGAGGCTTTGGATGGGTCGAATGATTTGGTATCGGCAGGTGTGGAAGACATTCGACCAAGAGAGACTTTGACGGAATGACTTGGGGACTGTAGTTCCCGAAGGACCGAGTCCTTCTCCATAAGGACATCAACCGTGATGGAAATGCCCTTGAGGTCTGCAGATAGGCCATATTCAGTAGGGCAGCCGTGGGTATAGTCGTTGAAACCAAGGTTTCCGTATCGGGGGGCAATGGAGTTTGGCAACGTGTAGCGGATTCCATCGCTCTGCGAGTCTTGCTTGAGCTCGCCAACAAAGGTGATATCAATGGTGATAGTCTCCTTTGCAGGAACATTACCAAGGCGGATGGTGAAAATATCATTCTGACTGGTGGAATGATCCATGATCGCCGCCGTCTGCTGATTTGCAACAGCATCTTGGTAATCAGATTGAGCTTGTTCCTTGGTCTTGACCTTACTGTGGAGTAGGCGCGATCCCACGCGGCACTGAAATCCAACGACGCTTACGCCATCATAAAGGGGGAAAGTGTAGGATACTTCTTTAATGAGAGATTCGGAGGGGTTGATGAATGTCTGGGTGAGAGTCGTGCGGGCTGCAGAAGACAGGATCGTCGCATGGGCTTGTAGGGAGACCTGCGGTAAATACGCCCAGGCGTTGGTGCTCCAGTAGCAGCACCCACAGAAGCCCGACATGATTGTGGGTCTAGTAGAGAGAGAGAGAGAGAGAGAGATGGGATATGAATAAATCAGAGATGATATTTTGTGGCAAACTATTGTTGGTGATGTTGATAGTAAGAAGAAGGAAATTGAGTCATGAGAGTGGGAGAGAGAACCTTTTAATAAAGCACAAGGCAGACCAGGCAGCACTGACATCCCCAAAACGGAAGACTCCTCTCCGTCCGTTCAATAAAGGCTTCTAAGGTTTGCTGATAAATCAACAGGGAAGGCAACCGGGTTGATTTAGAGAATGAGCAAAGGCAAGAGTTCAAATTGGATATAGAACGTGAGTTTCACTTCTTAGAGCCCAGGAATGATGCCAATCCTTTCCAGTACTTTTGTTTCGGGGGCCGATCTCCCCACTGCAAAAGAACTAACTGGCCAACCAGCTACACGCTACATGTCTCCTTTGCCCCTGGCCTTCAGGAGAATACCCTAGCATGAATCTCTCCCGGTCGCAGACTTGTTAAAGGAATATTCCTGGTTTTTCCTTGGGCTTCAGAGGTGTCGAACATTAAGGACTCTATTTTTATTGTGACCTCTGCCTAAGAAAGGAGTGAGCAGCGGAAACCCCTTTGGCAGCAGGTGTCATTAGGTGTCTTTAGTCAATGCACGATTTTATCCGTACATCTAACCCATTCTAGCCTAGCCTCGTTTATCGCAACACCAATGTCTTGAGGCATAAAAAGGGTTATGACACAATATTTTGTTGGCCGCAGATGCTACACGGAATCCGCTTAAATTAGCGCCAAGTCCTGGACCCTTCCCGAGGCTTCGCGACTGCAACGTCCTTCATGTTATTTTCATTCCCCAAGCCCGCTTTTTAATCCTCAGTCTATCTGCAAACAACTCACCTAGCTCAATGGCGAGGGAGACACGAGCACGTTGAAGGCTCATCATGTCGAATTTAACCGTACCCCTTGCTGCACTCGCCGTAACAGTTAGCAGCCTCGTTAGACCCACGGGTCGAGCAACGCTGCTAGAAGATGTCCAGGCCAACATCAAGACCTTCTCACCCTACCAGTCCGCCGCCATTGTCCTTGGTCAATCTATCGACTTGATTAACTGGCGATTGACCAACATCGCGGAAATACATGCTAGTCTTTGGGCTCTCGCTGGCGTCCAGTTCTATGTGCCCGAGACCCAGTCCATGACATCGGAACTGAGCCATGGGGTACTGGTCACCTCGGCGCGTCGCATATTCCTCGTCGGAGTCGCTCTGCCTTTTTACCTTTTCTTGGTCATGTCTTCCTGCCACTGGATTATCAAATGGTCCACCACTTTTCTGCTTGCAGAAGCAGCAATGATTGAGCTGTCGGCTTGTTATTTGAAGGTATCGTGTTCCGGTGTCGTGTTCCACACAGACTGGCCACAGCACCCAATTGTTGGCAAACGATTTTTCGCCTCCGGCCCATGCCCAGGAAATCATATCCAAGAGCCCATCGAAAGAACCACTATTCACAGGAATAATGAGAATGGCAATGATCATGGTCAACACACTGCAGGGGAAAATCTTTGTGATAGGGTGCGCCATATCTGGTCCCCAGACACTCGTCCAAATAAAGAACTTCCCGTAGGACGACATCCTATGGAGAACATCCCAAACATCGCGCACATTACATCTCCAACCGGTCCCGTGTTGGTATCTTGGACATGTGGACATTGGCGTTGTCTTCTCTATATGCTCTTACGCCTTCCCGTCAAAGCACTCTTTTACTCTGTCGTGATTTTTGATTTCGCATTGGCAGCGTGGTTCTTGCACGACAACATGCAGACCGTTTCGATTCCCATATCTCGGTTTCTGTTAGCAAAGCGACTTCTCAATGACCTGCTCACATTCACATTTCTATGCGCGGTTCTCATTGTCGTGGGATTTACGATCTATCTCGTTTTGGTGGTATTGGTGCCTCGGATATTCCGTGCATTTGGCTTCTTTCAGCCGATGCGGAGATTTCGCGACATCATTCATGACCTTCCATCCTCGGTCAAAGGCGTTGGTCGATATGGAGTCTTCTGTATATCGATCTTCATGTCATGGAATGTTGCTCGCCTTTTAATGAAGCGCGACCCAATCCTGACCGATTCAACACTTTCGTACATCATCGAGCTCCTCGTCATGCCTCAAGTTACTCTGTCGATATATCGGCGCATTTTCGTTCCGCCAAATTCAGGTGATCAAATGCAAGACGCGAAGCAGCCCCACTATGCCTCTGAATTTGTGCCAAGTGATTTGCCATCCACGGGCAAGGTAGACGAGAGCGAGCAGTGCAGCGACGACAAGATTAAGCAGGAAGCCAGGGAAAAACGGCTCATATCATCCTGGACCACATTTCGCTTAGCCATACTCCTACCGAATGCCGCTATTTGGATCTTTCGCCGGTCTACAAGCACTGATTAGTATGGTCTTTAACCAGCGATCCAGACCTACGCTGAGCTATATAACACAGTCTCCGCGAAGGGCCGCGACTCGTTCGCCGACCAAGGCGAACACATTTGTATCTGATGGCCAACTAGTGATAAAATTGATGATTGATATGCACGACAATCTGAGAAAAGGTAAATCTTTTTGATGCGTGACAAAGCGACATCCTCTTGCCCATGGCGTCCCATCTTCTACGCAAGATCAGTAAGGTCGAGCGAAAAAGTACTTTCTTCTTCGGCCGTATTGGATTCGAATTACCAGCTTCCGAATAGGAGAGTAAATGAGCCCCATTAGTTTGAAATTGAATCGGCAATCGACCCCGGCTATTCACTTTTCCACAAAGAAGGCATGTCTAACCTATATCGCGGGGCGGGAGGGTGTTCGGATACCCCCCGACGGCATCGGAAATCCTCCGGTAAGAGTCATGAAGCAGCTACAGCCATCAATATCTGGACTCAAGCGTATATTTAAATAACTTCAAAACTCCATAGCTATTCATCTTCTCATATTGCATGACTATCGTTTGTGATATATTAAGATTATCCAAGTACTGTTCACCATGGGCTCAATCCAAGAAACGACTTTCACCATCCCCAATCCTTTCCGGACCCGCATTCTCAATGGCGAGATCACTCCTCTCTTGTCTATCAAATACATGGTCGGCAATGAAATTGCCATGATGGCCAAAATGGCCGGTTTCCACGCCGTCTTCATCGACATGGAACATTCATCTCTCGACATGCGCACCGTGGCCCAGCTCATCCTGGCCTGCAACTATGTCGGAGTTTCTCCCGTCGTTCGCTCCCCTTCCAAGTCTCACTGGCACATCAGTCGCATTCTCGACGCGGGTGCTGCCGCTGTCGTCATCCCCCACATTGAGACTGTGCAGGAGGTTCGCGATATCGTGCATCATGCCAAGTACGCACCGCTCGGTGCTCGCGGATGCACGAATAACCAGCCTGTTTTCAACTTCCAGCACGTCCCTACTCTCAAGCAGAATGAGGCAATGAATACCCAGACTATGCTCATTCCAATGATTGAGACTCCTTGTGCTGTGGATATTGCGGAGGAAATCTTCGCTATTGACGGTGTTGACGGTGTTCTGATCGGCTCCAACGATCTGTGTGCAGACCTGGGCTTTCCGGGGAAGTATGACGACCCGCGGTATCTTGACTCGGTTACCAAGGCTATCAACGCAGCCAATAAGTTTGGAAAGCCAATTGGTATTGGAGGTATTGGCGGACGACTTGACCTTCTGGAGAAATGGTTCTCCATGGGCGCAACTTGGTCGTTGAGTGGCGCTGATGGCGCCATCCTTCAGAACGGGATGAAGAAGATCGTACAGAACTATGGTGAAATCAGCTCAAGGCTGGAAAAGAGCAAGCAATAGCTGAGAGGTTGATTTGACTAAGTTTGTTCGTGTACAACTTCCATATACTAAGTATTGTTACATTATGATTTGCAAATCAAAAGGATCTTCCAAATACAATGTCGGTGGAGGGTCACCATACGCATACTCGTTCAAGCCAGCTTCCATGTTCCACAAGGCATCGTCCCCAAAGATATTCCAAGAAAGAACGGATCCATCGGATATGGAGGCGTCATTGTAGAGAGAATCAACTGCGCCATGCATCATTTGAGGATCCTCTAACTGAGTGTCGAGAAGTGGCAACCCTCCCGGGTTTTGTTCGGTGTGGTTTTGGATAGAGCCGAACCCGCCAAAGGAGGGAATTTGGATGTTGGGGATATTGTCCTCATTCCTTTCGTTGTGGGAAACCCCAAAGTTAGAAGCAGAGGATTGGTGGAAGAATGGTGTCGAAGCAAGAAGGCTATCCCCAGGTTGTAGATCTGACTGTAAATGTCGACTGTATTTGCGAATGACATAGCCGCGGAGCGCCTCGTAGACGGCGACATAGCGCTTTGCATCAGACAAGTCGACTCCCATCTGCTTCAAGATATACTCGCAAGTCGTCACAGCATCGGTTCCAGCCTTCATAGATGCAGGATCAAAATCCCCTACCACGGAGAGGCAGTACATGATAGAAAGCCCAGCGGTGAACAGCATTTGAAAGTAGCTCCGTGTGAATGTGATTCTCTTGGGCTCAAAGAGCTTCCAGAAAGCAGTTATTGCCCCAGCTGCGCATTGCAGGCACAGGGACAAAAGATCTCTTGGTGGAATGCCATTCCGCTTAGGCACCAAATCGATGGCCTTCCTCACTAGCTGCAGCCGCTCTCTGAAGTATAGAAGGTCGTACCAGTCTTGCATCTCGTACAGACTCCGTGGGTTATCAAATGAAGGAGTCGTACGGCGCCATCCGTGGAGTTTAGTTAAAAGCTGATCGAGTTCGGCGTAGATAGCTCCCCTGGCTGTAGTTTTATGCCGTGCATCTCTAGATGTTACTTTGTCGCCAAACTTAGAATGAATCGAGGAAGTGATTTGACGGAGTCTGAGGCAAGCGAAGAAAACAGACATCTCGGTGTTCGCACCACCAGACGGCGAATGGAGAGAGGAGGCGGCACAGAAGGCGTCCAGGTTGGGAAAAGACCCAGATTCATCCGCGGCCTCTATGTCTTCATCATTGGCATCCGCTGGAAATCCAATACGGATGTATTTGTCTGAAATGGCGCACGGACGGTCCAACGTGATAGAGCTATAACGGTCAATCATGTAGCACTCCCAGAAAACCCTTCTCTGAAGCTGCTCCTCCAAAAGGCTGCATTTGGAAGCCGGAGAAGGGGGTTTGTGGAGACCTTGCTCGATGCACAAGCGCATGCATAGACGAAGAATCTCCCAGATGGAGGTTCCTGATCAAATTTCTGAGCATTAGTTTTAGATCTTAGGATTCACGCGAAAAAGTTTCCTTACCGATATGATGGTAGATTGCAAACCGCCCAACAAGCAACAGATCTTGAATTGACTCGAGGCCCTTGGAAAGTATTGTGTCGTCGAGATACTTGATCGCCGAGAGATAATATCCATACGGATGATGTTCGATTATTCCGTTGCGATAAAGAACAACAGATCCCACTGCCAATATCATGAATGCACGAAATAAATCATGATCTGAGACATGCAGGGCCCGAACACCCTGGTTCTCGCTCTCGTTCCCCCTGATTTCCGACGGAAATGCGGCATCGCGAATCGTCAGCACTTCTCGTCGGAGAAAGAACGGATTCTGAACATGGGACCCATTCAAACTGATACAGTCAGTTAACAATATGAATCATAGTCTATCTAACGACTCTAAAGTCAGGAATAACTCACTAGTTGTCGAAAATCTTTTGACCCTCATCGGCTGGGGGAAGAGGATGCGGCTTGATGCCCGCTTCGGCGGGACCAGGATGTCTCGTCAGGTTTTGAAGCAGAGTTGGATCATGTTCACGCCATCCAGAATCTGCCACCAGATGTCGCATGAAGCTGCAGCATGGTTGTGAGCATTGGATCGTTCACGAAGCCGCCATCGACTAACCTTATGCCCCCTCCTTCCACAAAGTTAGGTGAATGGCTACCTTCCTGGTGATGAAGATTACTGGGGTTGAATGTTTGAGAGCTATGTCGAGGCTGCATTGGGCCATGGGCATCTTGAGACAAGACTGTGTTTGATCTGTCTCTTTCATAGGCTTGTGCTTGTTTCTCAAGTGTGCTGATCTCCTGCTCCAGGTCACCAATATATCTAACCGTTGGTTAGTGGAGGAGCTAAACCAAATGTGACTCTGGGATAGAGGGACTGACTGTCTACTGAACGTTTCGTTCTCATCTACTCCCAGGGTCGTGCATTCCTCATCATGTTTCACGCATAAGCTGCATTTTGGACGAGCGTTGTCGCACTTGTTCGAAGTTAGAATGACGTTCTGACTAGGCACTTATGAATGTTACCTTGGCTTTTCGTGCATGGCAGAATCGACATGCTGGAAGGCGCGGAAGCGGATTTGTGCCTTCAATGGGCTGATATGGCAAAGTCTCGAGGACTGGCGTGGTGGTCTCCATCTCAAAGTGAGAGTTTCATACGGCCATCTGCATCAAGTTGGAGTCGCAGGTTACATTGTTCATCATACATTGAATGTAACCATTTTTTTCATCCTGTGATTGACACAAAATGAGAAGCAGAAAACTTTGGGGTATAAAGTGGGAAATTCAGAGTGTTTGACTTGGTCAAAGAAGCTCTGGAACTTGGATCGGCCCTCGCTCCAGCGCCTAGAGCGACTCCATCAGGTGACCTCCCGATACAAATGCAAACATGCCAAACAGGTCTAGGTTGTACAGAAAGTTGACTTGAAGTTGACAGAGAGGTTTTACGGGTGGTTCAAAATCAAGGATCAATTATTTACTAACGAGTGCTACTGAGGTGACAAGTCATTCGATATTGGTTGTGAAAAGCCGCTGATACTGCCAACACGCTTCCGATTACACAATATATCTAAACCCATTCTGGACTGCTTTGCGCTCGTCCTCATCTAAACGCGCAATGAATAGCGCGTCAGTGACGTCGGCTTCATTGGCCAAGCTTTCAAACTTCTTGTTTGCACGTTGGAGCATAAAGCGAAGCGTTAGAATACAGCAAAGTCCTAGTGCCTGAAACGCCAACAGGCAGCCCCAAGACTGACGGTATGTTGGTGCGTATTGATCCAACCAAAAGTAGTTCGCAAACAACGAGGCGATATTGGCGCAGGTGTTCGCAATGCCGATAGCGACGGCTCGCTTGATGGGCGGCTGTGTAATTGTCGAAGAAAGCCACGCGTATGTAGTCGAGTAAACTCCGAATGTACCGCAGCAAACGAGGAAAGTGAAGGCATAACGAGCCCAGAGCGAGCCATCAACGGCGATCAAAAGAATAGTGCCAATAATTGCAACGCACTGGGAAATTCCGGATGGGATTGAGCGGGTTTGACGTCGATCTGCCGCCCATGCCCACGAAAGAGCCCAGAAAAATGCGACAAGGTATGGTGGCGAGGTCAGAAGTAAGACGGTGGTGCTGTTCTTGAACCCCAATTGCTTGATTAGGGTGGAGAAGAAATGGGAGTATGAGATAGATGCAGTGGTAGCCATCTGAAGGCAGGCAAAGATCCAAGTTCGAACGTCCTTCGCCGCCCACATCAATCCGCGAGTAATGGGCACTTTTTCCTCATCCAGCACGGTATCGCTACCAGCGTCGGCAGCTACGCGGCCCTGAGCCACGACCTTTTCCTCCAAGGTAAGCCATTTGGTGGTGCTAGGAAAGTCTGGCAACACAAAAATGGCGATGGTACCGACAACCACCGTAACAAGTCCTTCAATGATAAAGAGCCACCTCCATGATTGCAAGTGGCCAACACCGTTCATGCCAGACAGAATTCCCGCCGAGATCAGTCCAGCAAAGGCGTTGGAGAGAAGGATACCACATATCAGAAGAGCCATTCTGACACCAATTTCGCGCTTTGTGTACCAGCAGCTAAGGAAATATATAGCTCCAGGAAAGAAGGGAGCTTCCACGAACCCGAGGAAAAGCCGGACCATCAATAGACCAGGGGTGTTGTGAACGGCGGCGGTGCATCCACTAGTGATAGCCCAAACAATGATGCATGTTGGCTGGAGGAGCCATTAGCGTTGATCAAAGGAAACTGAAAAGGAGATGAGTTCACCAGGTAAATGGATGGACGAAGTTTCGTCATCAAAATGGTAGAAGGCAGTTGCATGAGAATATATCCGGCCGAGAAGATCGAGATTGCAGTTTGATATTGGGCACCTTTCACACCGGTATCCTCCTGGAGTCCGTACAGACGAGCCTGGGTGATGGAATTGCGATCCAGGTAATTGAACAGATAGATAATGACGACGAGAGGTAGAATTCGAGTATCGATCTTGCGACGTAGTCTCAGCTCAACATCACGGCGGAACTCGGGCTCGTACGAGTTGTAGACCGCCATCACGTCGAGCGAAGCATCACCCTCTCTATCTTCCACCCAGACATCCTTGCCACCCACTTTGGGGTCATCCTTGTTTATCGGAACGGAGCTGGGCATTTCAACTTGTTGTATGAACGAATTCAGGTGTGAATGCAGAATCAATAATAGAGCCCTGTACAGCGACTTGCCCCATTATTGTATTTATATCTCGGTGGTCGTGCTATTTCCACATTCATGTACTGACTGCAAGACTTTTCCCCAGAGCAACACTTTTTTCTTCCCCAGTCTTGGTATTTCGGAAATTCGCCGATGGCCAGTTAAAGTTCACTTTGACGCAGGTATTAGATTGACGGAGCCACACATTATTACCTCCAGACAGATCAAACTCAGGAATTATGTCGAAACAATATATGACCGTATAGACTAAGAATGTTGCCTATAGTACATTCTTGGTCTAGTGGTAATTTTTCCCTATATTTGCTTTGACAAATTAATCATGCCATTCCAGGATAAAGCGCGTGTTTGATTCGTAATTTAGATACACAGCCTTAAAAATCAACAGATGCTTCTGTTTCTTTCACCCCACCCCCGCAAAACCGATCTCAGTCAGCGAAGAGCTTTTCTGGGGTTTCGAAGAGCATCTTTCGCCATTGGACTTCCGATAACCACCCCCGCAACACCTCTAGCTCCTTTCCTATGTCCACCTGCGTGGACACCGTCCGTGAGTCGTCCAGTCTCTTATTGCTATCCACATGGGGCCAGTCACTACCCCAAAGTAATGCATCAGGCGCAGCCTCCGCCAAACTTTGAATAATTGGCTTCATATGCCGTATGTCGTCTGGACTTCGTCGATAGAGACACGAGATCTTGACATACAATCGTCCTGTCTGCAGCATTTTCAAAAACGCTTCAAATTGTGGCGTACCGATATCGCGGTGTGAGCAGCAGGCGACATGATCCGCAATAATGCAAAGTCGGAAAATTTCCGTGTCGTGGATAATAAACTCTGAGAGTGAGGCCCATGTGGCGAGGCTTAACTGAGCCGACAACCCCCAGCCCCATCTCTGAACTGCGTATGAACGGGCGAACAGACGAATTTGCTCTTCTAGAGAAGAAGAGTTGGGCACGGACTCCCCTAGAAAGCCATGTATACGAACATAGCGCACACCAAGCTCATGCAAGGCATCAATATCTTGGTTTGACAAAGTAGTCCAACTCTGATCCATGCATATGATTCCACGAGCAAATAAGTGGGGGAATTCCGTGCGAATGCGCTGAAGATGGTCCATCAAGCCATAGTGGCCATTTTCGATCGATGCCTGCACCAAGACGACTCGGTCGGCTCGGGTCTGGACGACCAATTCCTCTAGAGGAGCAGGAGGAGGTGTGTAAGTTCGTGTAGGTTTGAATGGATGACATTCCGGGTCAAGACAGTGAATGTGAGTATCCCACATCTTTAAACGATGGACTTCCATTATGTTGCTATCACCGTGCCATGAGATGAGAATCTCAACCGAAATATTGACTCTTGATATTCAATAAAAAGGTGGGGCAGATATAGAACTGGGCAAGGGCCAATCACAATTCGCCAAGATCTGGCCGGCATTCTTCCGTCGATGAACGTCGCAGGATTTCCGACGTTCTGCAACTCATACGATCATTCTGCTCTCGCCTCTGATTGCTGGCCAGACCATGAAATCAGGGAGTCATACTACAAGGATCAGTACACCTGGATCAACTCCACGATCCCGTGGTCAAGCGTGTGAGAGATGCTGGAAGCGAAAACAGAAGGTCTGTTAGGAGTGCATCCACAGAGCCTTTGGCAGCGGGCGGCATGAGGCGATTCTGGTCTTATCCACTCGGATAGCAGAGGCTAATGCAAAACAGTGCGATAGAAAACTACCGGAATGCACGGGGTGTATCGGGGTAGGTGTGCGATGCGTTCCTCGGAAATTCCCCATTGAGCCAATCACGAAGAATGGCGGCAGTCTGTCCCATGCTGCGGTTCCCAGGTCAGTGCTCACATTCGTCAGAAGTGTCTGTCTATACGTCGTTGCAGCCACTGAAGAGGACTGTAACAGCTATGTAGAGACATTGAAAAGAAAGCGCGATGATTTGGAGGCCCGCATACGATGCCAACGACCGCACCAAGCTAGTCAGCCACCTGCGGAGCCTTTGCATAACAACCAAGATGCACACCCCGAGGGAATTCTCGGCCAGCAAAATGCCACAGATAACACTGTCCAGGCAGCAATGGGCGAGATTGGCTTCCTGTCTCGCAGTGCCATGGCAGAACCCCGGGATGAGACCGGTGGCCTGTCCCAGGAACTTTCCATTGGACGTATGCTACGGTCGACGCTGTCTCTTAACGGAGCCAACCCAGCGCAATCGATCATAGATCCCTATGGACAAAGTGTAGCGGCGATGGTTGACCCATCCATGACGTCGAACAAACAGTTGGCTCTTCCATTCATCACTCGCTTTGTGGAGACAGTAGGAATGCAATTCCTTCACATCGACTCCAAAGAGCTACTGGAGGACTCTGAGAAATTCTTTGACACGTCAGACGACACCACCAGTGATCCTAAATGTCTTTTACCGGTCAAAAGATTCAATCTATATCTGTCCATGGCTACTGGCGCACTACTTTCTCCTGGGTCAGGTGGCCTCCAGGGACTTGCCAGTAATTATCATGCCGCTGCCATGAAGCTCTTCCCTGGAATTATCGAAAGTGGGACTAGACTGGATATTCTATATTGCATGTTGTCACTCATCATATACTCACTGCACAGTGCCCTTGGTGGGTCAGCTTGGCACTTGATGGGGCTGGCAATGAAGAAGGCAATCGCTTTCAGATTCCATAAAGACGTGGACGCGGATGCTCAAATGGCCCCAGGGATGTTGAAAGCCAGACGCAATGTTTTCTGGAGTCTTTATACCCTTGATCGGTGAGTCTCTCTACTTGGAACCGTCACAAAAAAGCTACTAAATGATATACAGAACCATCAGCACAATAATGGATCGACCGTTTAGCATTGAGGATGAAGATATAGCAGTCTTGGTGAGCCAACTTCTTCAAACTACTCTCCAAAATTCCTTGCTTATCGATGCTCAAGGGTCCCGAGGAATATGAGAAAACTGTGCCAGCTGGAGGCTGTGACTTAGCTTGTCACCTGGTATCGCATGCCAGATTCATATCGAGCATTCGCGACGCTCCTTCGAAAAGTGTGCTGTATCATTATAGCAACTTTTGTTATTGGAAGGACTGCGCTACTGGGCTCGATCAAGCCGCTAAATATCCACACGTTCATATAATGCGCCTTTCATGCCGGGCAATGAGCGAAATCCTGAAGGTGAAGGGCTCGATAACCATCGAACCTAGTCTGGTTCGCAGCTCCAGCAGCATTGAGAAGGATTTCATCAAAGCATGTGTGGACTATATCGAGGACGAGTACCAGCGGTCCGACCGTGGTGAATTTGCGGGGAGTTTTGTGGATGCCTACGATATTTTCAATGCGGGGGTGATTCTCATTTGTTTGACTGCAGGGAAACCGGCCTTGCCTCAATGCGAGGCCAATATTGTCAATAAGTGCACTGCTTTACTCACGCTTCTTGGGGAGAGGTTTTCTGGCCTGCGGGTCTTCCGCCGTGTGTTGTGGGCTCTCTCGGGTTTGGTCCTGGGTGAGTCCACGAATGACCCGATCATCTGTGAGCTTCCCCCGGTCATACCTGACGGTATCCGAGACTTGATCTCCGAATTCTTTTAATATTTTTCCCGACTTTCTTCTCCAATACTCCATTTCCCGCCTCCGGGGCCTGGGCTGGGGATGAGGTTGAGTTATCGGATAAGCTCCGATGCGTCCGATGGGGATGGGAAATGTCCGATCGCGTGAAGATGGGTGCAATCAGCAAGATGAATCATACTGTGGTATTGATTTATATTGGCCGGCCAACATCACTCGCATGAAAGTTATCCGTGTCGTCTATCCTCCTTTCCTGGTCTTCATTTTCCTCTTCCAGTTCCCTCAATACCACCGCGATGGCTCCTGGACTTGCTCATGATAGGGATCATCCCCCGACAAATGGCGCCACAAGCTCCAAGCCCACCGTCTACGTCCTCGATCAGTTCAACCCCAAGGCTATTGAACACGCCAAGACAATTTTCAATGTCATCCTTCCTGAAGATGAGGGCTTCTCAGGGTGGCGGCAGAAGGCATCCGCTCTCCTCATCCGAGGCTCATATTTGACTGCGGAGGACATCGCCAGCTGCCCAAACCTCGTAGCCATTGGCAAGCATGGAGTTGGCATTGACAAGATCGACCAATCTGCTTGTGCAAAGCGCGGTATCAAGATCTGTAACACACCTGGTGCCAACGCACGCGATGTTGCCGAGCTAGTCCTTGCGCTAAGCATGACCGTTGCTCGCGGTATTCGCTCCATCACTACTCGCCAAATGACCAAGCCCGTTCCAAAGGAAACATGCAATGGCCTCACGCTCCACAAAAAGACTCTTGGTATCATTGGCATGGGAAACATTGGCCGTACCGTGGCGGAAATCTTCCGTGGGGCTTTTGATGCCGAAGTCGTCGCCTTTGATGTCTTCATGCCCGACAATGCTTGGCCACACATCCCACACGATCGCGTATCAGACGTCCAAGAAGTCATCCGAAGGGCGGATGTTCTTTCCATTCACGTTCCATTGACCGACGAAACGAGGGACATGATCTCCTACAAGGAAATTCGAATGATGAAGCCCGATGCTATTCTCATCAACGCCGCTCGAGGTGGAATTGTGAATGAAGCAGATCTCACCAAGGCGCTTGCCGAGGGTCACCTTTGGGGCGCTGGTCTAGACTGCCACGAGCAGGAGCCCCCTACCTTTGAGAAGTACGGTGCACTATGGGAAAACTTGAATGTCGTCAGCACACCACATATTGGCGCAGCTACTACCCGGGCACAGACTGCGAGTGCGATGGCGGCAGTGAACAATTTGTATGATTATTTGACGATCATTCGAACTTAGATCTAAATAACCTTTTTATACTCAAACATGCTACAACAATCTACAACAATCTTTGCATCTTTTGGTCACTGAGCTAGTCATAAGATTTGTTCTCTATTCTTTACAAGTAACAAGTTGCTTCGACATCCATTAATGAGGTCTCAGTGCACCCCTGCAGTGCCACCTCACACACTGAATATTACCCTTCATACTATCTGTAATATAGATCGTCTTCCCATCCTCTCCCCCAAAGGTACAATTCGTCAGATTCTTTCCTCCTTCAGGCGCAGTGACAATCCGAGCTTTCGGCACCCCATCTGCATCAACTACAAAGACAGACCCAAGACTGGGATGGCAGATAAACAAACTTCCCTCTTCATCCACAGCCAGTCCATCTGGTCCAGCACAACCGAAAGATTGGAAGAACAACCCCGCTTTTGAGGTGGAGCCATCAGCGTGGAGAGGCAGTCGCCAGACAGAGTTGGAACGAGTCATAGCCACGTATAAGAAACGCTCATCCGGGGACAAGGCAATGCCGTTGGGAGATATACCGTTGTCAACGAGGCAATCCAGCTTACCATCAGGGCAAAGTCGATACACTCGACCAGTTTGATCAGTCATGCCCGTCTGCCCTTGATCCGTGAAATAAATCTCATTTTTGGAAGAAATGATCAGATCGTTGGGACCTTTGAAACGCTCCAAATTCCGACGTGTCAGAAAGAGTGAAATGGTCTTTGCGACCGGATCAAACAGCAAAAGGCCCTACAATTATTAGCTTCTTGGATTCATCAATAGAATGATAGGATCGCTACATACCTGCTTGTAGTCGGCGACAATCATAATTCCATCCTCACGCACGACGAGTCCATTTGGCTCCCCATCATAACGAACACACTCAGTCACCTGCTTTCGCGCATCGATTTTCAAAATCCGACCATACGGAATATCGGTAACGTATAGGTCCCCGTTGTTGAGGTAGGTAGGCCCCTCAAGGAAGATTTCCGATGGCGGACTGCTTGATCCACCTCTCCAGTCGGTAGGTTGTCCCGTGCATCTCAACGCATCAGGAATCCGCACGAATACCTCGGCCTGGATCACGGGGGGAACGGGGTAGAAGTTCATTCTCGATAGCCGGTAATGATGAAAGAAACTTTCGGGGAAATCGATCTCAAGAGACACTAAAATGAAGGTATGGCTTTAAGCAATGACCCCCGGCCATAGCGGGACTTTTTAAAAAGGGAAATTCCCTGCAGTGGGGACGACGGACAATAGCTTTTTAAGTTGACGGACATTTTCCGACGACACGTCGGGGCCTCGACTCTTCCCCGGCATTTGCAAATGTATCCCAGACCAGCACCATGCCCTAGTGGAGGGCCTGGAGGAGATAAAGAAGGAAAAGCTGGGGTGCTTATGACCCAGGGTTGCTTTTGAAGGCGTCTGCCGTCTTGTTTCGATTATTTCGTCATTCTGTCAGACATCATGGGGTTCATTGCAGACACGAAACAGGCAATTCGGGATTCTCCCAAGGGGATGTTCAATTGGTACGTGATGATGTGTACTTGTATCTTTGCCTTTTCTGGTGTGTCCAAGGGGTTTGATGAAGGTAAGGTCTTCTTCCATGGAGTCAAGTTATTGTCTCAACATCGCCTAACATTCAACCCCTGGAATGAAACAGGAAATATCGCCTCAATCGTGGTGCAAAGCCACTTCAGGAAAGTCTTTGGCCTCTCCAAAGAGTCCGATGCCCAGTATGCCAATACGAAAGGTTGGCTAGTCTCGATTGCGACTGCTGGTGCCGTCTTTGGATGTTTAGGGGTATGTCAAGCCTCGTCTGAAAATCTTGCAGAGAAAACTAGCTGACCGCAACGAAAGTGCCTACCCCTGACAGACAAGATTGGAAGGCGCTGGACCTTGTTGATTGCAACTGTGATTTATATGGCCGGCGTTCTCGGACAGGGTCTTAACGGTGGAAGCCTCTCTGGCATGTATGCCTCTAGATTCATCGCGGGAATGGGAATCGGCGCTACAACCGTTATTCCCCCAATGTATATCACTGAGGTGAGCTTTCCTACTCAAGATGATTTTACATTCCATATCTAAGCCATCCTATGTGTGAAGATTGCCCCCAAATCCATTCGAGGACTCCTCACCATCCAATACGCCGCCTGCCAACAACTCGGTGTGGTATTCGGTTTCTTTATCAACTACGGAGTAACCAAAAGCTACGCCGGCACAAACACGCAATGGATGCTTCCAACTCTACTGCAACTTCTTCCAGCCTCTATCTGGGGTCTCGGCATCTTTCTCTGCCCCGAGTCCCCACGCTGGCTTTTGTACATTGGAAAACGGGAGCAGGCCATGTCCAACCTAGGGAAGCTGCGCCATCTCCCTGTAGACCACCCAGTCCTCCTCGCCGAAGTCGCAGGTATGGATGCGCGGATTCTCCATGAAACAGAAGCAGTTGGGAACTCTGGGCTATGGGAACTTCTGAAAGAAACTCTCGTTCCCGTTGAAAACAGACGTCGTTTCTTCCTGATCTTCATGGCAACGCTCTTCTCCCAATGGTCTGGTGCGAACGCTATTACGCAGTACTCACCAACTATCTTTGGCTACCTGGGTATCTCAGGAGACGAGTCCAAGTTCTTGGCGACCGGTATCTATGCCATCGTCAAGTTTGTGAGCACACTAGCGTTCGCACTCTTCGTGGTCGACTTCATCGGTCGGCGCCGGTCGCTTTTGACAGGCATCTGTCTCCAGATTATAACCCTGGCCTACGTTGGTGGTTACCTGGGTGGAACGAAGGACATGACAGCAAGTCAAATCACCAACTCACCGAATGCTGCCCGCGCATCGACTGGTGCGATAGTGGCCATCTACTTCCACGCCGTGGCATGGAGTATCGGATGGTTCAGTATCCCGTACCTGATTGGGTCCGAAATTTTCCCGACAAAGATTCGTTCGTTCAATATGTCTATTGCCATGGGCTTTCACTGGGCGTTCTACTTTGGCTGTTCGCGGGCGATGCCAAGTCTGCTCGCTGCCAGCCAGAAATGGGGTGCCTTTGTTTTCTTCGGATGTATTTGCCTGATTTCTTTGATTTATGTTTACTTTGCTATGCCGGTGAGTCCAATCGTCCAGTTCTTATATACTTCAGTATACGGTCTTCTTACTAATTTGGTCAGGATACAACTGGGCGATCGCTTGAAGCTCTGGATGGTCTCTTCCAGCGGCCCTGGTATACCGTGCACCGAGTCGCCTATGCCGAAAAGGATGAGATCCAGATTGAACAGCTCGGAAAGAGAGATTTGGCTCCACGTGCCGAACATTGCGAAGAGGCATGAGAGTCTAGCCTCGCTTCTGGCATCAATTGTCTCAGAACGGGGCGTGGTTCGCATATTGATCGCCCTTAGCCGGTGTGCCCGGGCTGCCCGTGGCGGGCCGTTGCACGCCACATGTAAGGGATGTCAAAGACATTCAACTGTTGGCAGTACTTTGTCATGAATGTCTCAGCTGCTTAGTCGTACAGGAAAACATTGTGCATGTGAGTCAAGGACTGGGAGCAATACGACGTTTACTTTAAGAAAGATTGATGAGAAAAGGCCATACTGTAGTTGTAAAGTATCATTATACGTCCCAACGCCGGGACCATGAGATATTGGATAAATACATCCGTAAGGAGAAACGTGTCTAAAGGGCATCCTTTCCCGCCAAGCGTCCAAGACCACGCAGGAAACAATTCGAGAGAACTCAAGACCCAAGAACAAAGACCCCGAACCCAACCCCCCAAAAAAAGGCCACGAAATAAAAACACAGAGAAACGCCAATGCCTGGCCAGCCCATGAGATGGTTAAAGCGACGAATAAAGAGTGTAAGAGATTGAAACGAAGGTAGAGAGGAACTGTTGCACATCTAGATGGTGGACATGAGGATATGATAGAAAGTGGGCACGTTTGGCGAAAAAACGAAGGGTATTGTCACAAGAGATGCATATCAACGGGGAAATGCTTTTTGCCAAGAAGCAGGAATAAATGGCATATCAAGTTGAAAAGAAAAAAAGCTGAAACAAGGGAGAGATCCAGTTTGCAGTAAGGACTGGCTGTCATTGTAGAGTAAATTAGATCGGCAGCACACCAGTCACGACAGGAATCGAGGCCTGCTCGATTATGCGTGAGGCCGACCGATGCGGCTCCCCATGTATGAGCCAGTCGCCGAAGCCAAGAACCGCGCGACAAAGCCACCGCCGTGGCCGTGGCCTGAGACCTTCATCTTCTTACTAGGCTGGCGAACGGGCTCAAATTGCTGCTTCGAGTCGACATTGACAAAGCTGTAAGTCAATGAGGAGACAGACGGGCTAGTGTTGGTATCAGTGATCATCGTGACATCGTCAGTGCCGTGAGAGGAGCAAGTGCTGATGCTGGCAGGGGTGCCGCGGGAACTAGGGGCCGCGCTTGATGAGCGAGAGCAAAGCGAGTTGAAAGTCTCCGCGTGCGAGAGACCAGGGACATCCCGGATGGAAGGCGGCGAGATAGACCGCCCAGGTCGGTTGGGGGATGTGCGGTGACGGTGGTATGGTGTGTATCGCTCAAGATCAGCGAGAGACTGAGGGGAGCTTTGAGTGTTGTGCATGGCAGGGCAGGAGACGTGGCTAGGGAGCCGACGCAGGCCAGTGAGTTCGCCGTTGCGGCGACTATCAACGCGGGCCTCCAGCTTCTGACGCCGCAGGCGGCTGGCCAGCAGATCCGCGGGGGAACCGATACGTCGTCTGTGATAAATGTTAGAAATATAGACTCCAAGACAGATCTGGATGAGATCTGGACCATACCGGTGATGTTGCTTCAACTGGTTCTCTTCCTCAATTTTCCGCAGACGCTCCTGCTCCATACGGTGACGGATAGGAGCCAAGAAAGGATCCAGATAAGTCAAGAGATCCTCCTCTGTGACACGAGTCTCCCAGTCCAACAGGAAGAGCAGCTGACGCTCCATCAAGTTTACCTCGGGCAGCGAGAAGCCAAATGCGTCAAATCCCTTCACAACAGTATACCGAGCCCAATGCTTGTTCTTCGGGCTAGAGTCATTCAGATTTTTGGCGGCAAGGATCAGCGAAGCAAGGAAGATCCGGTGGACAGTGCATCGCATGCCCTTGGCAACGGGTGGCAGACGGGCCCCGGAGGCGGCCCAGGTACACGAGGGAACTCATCAGGGTAGGCACCTGGACCTGCGACCGGGCGACGAGGGATGCAATGAAGGCTTCTATGGAAGGGAGAGGTGGCAGGGAATCGGCGGCGTCCATGGGAGGTGTAGAGGGCGGCGTGGGTTGGCCTTGCTGGCTGACGGTGTTGGTCACATGGGCCTCGCATCGGATGACCTGTGAAGCCTGTTGGGCCAGGTACGTCACCATCTCGCGCGAGACTCGGTGCGTGACAAACTCCTCCAGAGCAGCGCGGTCGAGAGCCAGGTGAGCTGACATGTTGCTGGTTTGGCTCATTGAAAGCATGTAGATGTGAAGTGTTGTATAGTTTTACAGTGGCTCGTAGTAGTCAACACGACGATGTATCCCGTCGTTGGGATAGAAGTGAAGATGAGGGATCTGTCGTCACTTATAATTGAGAATTGATGTCTCGGGTGTTGCAACAATGAGGTTGTGTTCAATGAGTCGAGACAAATGTATTATACTAGTGGGAGTATACTTTGTCGACGGCGCGGGATGATTGTTGTATTGATGAGGGAAAAAGATGATGAGAACAAAGACCAAAAAGCGAAAGGCGAAAGTGTCGAATGAACAATGCAACGTGAGAATGAAGAACAAATTCCTGGCCAGCAGGATGATGGAGTCAAGTAGTTGCTGGAGAGAAGGAATGTGCAGTAAGGATAGTTGAGGTTGTCGTGTCAACCCTCTTATCGGCGGCGATAGCCCTAACTGAGAGAGACCGCAACAACTGAGACCTGCCGAAGCGGAGAATTTAAGCCGAGAGACAGCCCACTGGACTATGGCAATAGATCGGACAATGTCTGTGACCAGCGCACAAATTATTTAGGTGATTGCAGATTTGGATCCCCGTGGATATTGTCTGGGGTTCTTTGCTCGAAGAGTTGGGACGTGGTAGAGAGAGCGACCGAGCAAGAAGAATAGGGACCAGCTTAAAGGGAAGAGACACGGGGGAGTAAATATTAAAGGAAAGGATGGTGACGACGTTGAGCATGCGGATGTATCCCGTGAAGAATCCAAGAGGTCTCTCACTGGGAATACTTGCCTAGATATAATAGCTCCGGTATGTGCCAGCCGGGCGGCTGGAGAGGGGATGGCTGCAAGGTTGGGCTGGGGCCAGTCAAACAGGGCCGTGGGAGGTCAAGGGAGGGGGGGTAGGGGGCCCATGGATGGTCGCGGAGGAGCCAGAGTGAGCTTGCATAGTTGGATCTGAGATACTCGAACCTTTTTTGCTCGCGCGCGAACCTGAGACGACGACAGGAGCTGGGCCGACAGGATAGACAGGGTTTACGCGACGATGATTTGTCCAATCCAATGGCCAGCGCGTTGGAATGTGGTGGAGTGGGCGATTACAGGCCCAGAATGCATGCCTGGGCTAGCGTGTAAGCAGTAAAGTGTCCTACTACTACTACTACTCCTCCTCCTCGGATGGATTGTATGTTCTATACGTTCTATACGTTCTATACAGTCGAATAATACTGTCCTGTAGTAGTACATAGTTCATTATCTTCATCATGTCAATTAATACGGGGATATGCTGCGTTCATACTCAGAGACTAGTTCAACGCCCTATTGTCTGTACAAGAAAGTCTAACTGCGCCATTACAGAGGAAAGCAATGCAAAGAACCACCTCTCCCATACATAAGCTCTCGCCACTCACCTTTCTATTTGATCTCCGATTCTGGTTCATGGGCCACCACTATCCCTAGATTCATGCGTCTCTCCAATATTGCACGGCCGCGGCCCGATTTTCTCAAATCGCAGGTCAGAAGCCATGTATTCTACCGTACAGGTTCTTCAGTTTCGCTCTCAATAGTGGTGATGTTTCCTAGAATAGTTCTTTTCCCAGCGCTTGGAGCCGTCCAGCAAGACTACTCAAACCACCAGCCAGAGAAACGACTGGGGGCGATCACAAACTCAACTAGCATCCACTCGTCGCCTGCGAGGAAGATCAACAGCCCAAGGGGCCCACTTGTGTCCGCAGTGGAGTTCCGCTGGGTGGCCAGGGCCCACGAATCAACGCCAATGACCGCCCCTGTAACGGAGAGGGGACTCGACCATTTCCACCAGCCTCCCACTGATATACTTTAGATCGACCATGAAACTGGCGACCGTCTCACGTCTCTCCTGTCCGAGACGCGGGGGGAAAGAAGATAATCAGGAGAATACATACTTGATTCATTATGGCTAGTTCAAATTCCACTCCTTCTCTCCCCGTTCCGGAGAATGGCACGATCGGAGGGGCAAAAATAGAGTCTCATCGATAATTCATGGTCCTTGAACGCGCCCCCAGTCTTGAATATTCTAGGCGCGGACAGGACGCCCCTCGTATAGAACAGTCATGCACTACTACTCAATAAACTCCTACAACCTACCAAGATTTGCCCTAGAGTATGGAGACTGAATCCAGGACTAAGCCAGTGTCAGCCAGTTGCTTTCCAGCAAGGCAAAAACAACGAGAAGAGGCCATTATTCCTTCGAGGCTCAGGGTCAGGCCCAGCTGAGGGGGACCTTCACTATCCAGTGCAACCACTAAGCATGATCAAGTCGTATGGGCGCACAAAAGAAGAAGAAAAAAATGACCTGTGGCCTATGACCTCTTCAAACAATGTGGCAAGTCGCGTTTCAATTTGACGCCCGCGAAATATGGGGCCAATCATTCGCGCCAGCCTGACAGTTTGCAACCAGCACTATGAACTTCGTACAAAGTGGCGTCTGTGCACAAGTGACCTACGGGAGTTACTAGTCAGGCGAGCCCGACTGGCCGGATGAGGTACGGTACTACTTCCAGTAGCCTAACTGCCTAGCCGAACTGGGATGAAGCTATGGGTGGCTCTCGGATCTCTCTGCCTTCATGCCAAGTGACCCCTGTCACACGCCTAGACAGGAGTACAGATGGAAGTAGCGGGTCGCGAAGCGTGTTCGAGGGGAAAGGCCAACATGCCAGATGACAGGCAAATAGTGCCATCAGACACATCAGAAGGGATGACTAGGGCGATGAAGAGGGAGGAGAAAGAAGAGGGGTTATACGATTTTCTTTCACGGGATACACCTTCCTCGATAGATCCTTCGTCCAGACCCGTGGATGGCGATGGAATAGTTTGACCACCTCGCATGAGGGGGGTCATTTTTCGACCTGGATCTCAATCATCTCTCCGTAATGACCCACCCTTCTCTGAGTTCGACCTTCGCAAAGCTGAGAGTCGATCTATCGAGTCGCCCATGGCCCATGCCTATGCCCGCATCCACACTCTCCTGCTCATGCGTCCGAGCTGTACAGTACTACTCCATCTCTTGACATGGCCTCTCAAGCCCGCAATGCATGCAATTTTCCGACCGACTGGCAACCTGCATCACTGATGGCATCTAAAAAAAGTAACTGGGGAAGCTATTTTGAGCGACCGCTGAAATTCCAATGCAGGTCCATTCCATCTATATAAGCGCCCGTCACCTCCCCACGCCAGCGCTTACAACAGCGCTGTCGCCTACTTGTTTTCCTCTGTCCATGTTTTTGTTACCGGCTTCTGTTCGGAGATCAATCCTGATGGTGTTGCTAATTATATACTAAGCGCTTCTGTCAAGCTAAAGATACTGATAGGATAGCTCTGTTATTCTTAGCATCTTCTACGCGCTCAGTTTTGGTCCCGCTGATCGGGGCCTTGAAAAGTGCGCACTTGCGTCGACATTCTGATACTGTGTGTACGAGCGACACGAAGAGCCAAGGAGACGGAGCTGAATGATTGGAAATTACGAAAGTGATGCTCTTTGAGGCAGTCAGTGTCTCGCATCGTGATAACGTCTTCGACTGGGTCACTGGGTGCGAAAGTCCAGCAGGCCGTCCTTGGTGTGAAGTCTTGTGATTGGGTAATGCCCAGGTGGGTCGATTGATGACGAACAACAAGACGAACGACAGGACTCTTGAAACGCGGTCAAGTTTCAGGATGGTATGGTGCGCTGTCTCAACATTGGCTACGTCAAGGTCGGCGGTTAGAGAAGTTGGGGCCTAACCAGTGTGGCGGGCTGAAACGGATAGAAGGTCAGATTCTGCTTAATGGAAGCAAACCCACGACGGTTCTAATTGGTGCAATATTTATATGCTGTACCGAGGCTTATAGTAAACTGTTTAGATTTACGAATTGCATTGTCAGACTTTCTGAGTGGAACGAGATTCCGGATCCATTCCTATACATAGACTATGTACCAAATTCCCAATCCATTCTGGCTTCCTTCATACACTATCAACTTCGACCATCCTCGCATTTACGCAACAACGGCAGAGTAAGCGGAGGTAGTCAGCTTGGCAGTGCCAGTGAAGGGCTCAGTACCAGCCTGGACATCAACAAGGTACAAGCTAGAGCTCAGGCCCTGGTTGTTGATCAGGTAGGTGAAGAAAGCGAGCATATCACCGGAGAAGCTGGTGACGGTGGACTCGGCGACGAAGCTGTAGACAGTCATGGAGCCGTTGGGACCCTCGTACAGTTTCCAGGTGACACCGTTGATGGTGGTAGTGGCAATCGGCGAGCCGGTGGAGGAGATAGGGCCAGCACCACCCAGGGCAGCGAGCCAGACCATGATCTCGTACTCGTCCGAGCCGGAGGCACTGGAGCTCAGGAACATGTCGTAGGCGACATCCGCGACGATGCTGGTGGTGGAGTAGCTGTTGATATCGCATTCATGATTAGCCATTCCGCAAGTATACCCATATTGTGTGGTCAACATTCATTGCAAACAAACTTACCTCCACGTCCAAGAAGACTTAATGCTGCTGATGCTGCTCAGAGTCTTCGCAGTGAACTGCAGCGCAACATTGGCAAAGCTCTTGACCTGGCTGGAGGCGCCGGACCAAGAGTAGGAGGTGTGCCAGGCAATGGTGGTGCCGCTCAGCGAGTCAACACCAGTGCACTGGGTGCCGGAGGTGTCGGAGCTCAGGCCCCAGAGGTCATTGTAGACGATATAGCTGCCCGTAGTGGTAGATCCCCACTGGTCACAGAAGTCGGCACGACGAGTCAGCGATTTGGTTGGGATAGTAGCGGCATTGCTCAGACCAGCGAGCACCAGGGAGAAAAGAGAGAGAGGAACGATGAAGGATTTCATGGTGATGAGTTCGAAGATGAAGGAAGGCAGCTGACTAGCAGGAGTGATCGAAGGTGAATAGGATGAAGGAGAGTAGATTGATGGTCAGAAATAAGCATCAACGACGGTTATCAGGGCCTTTGTGATCTTCTTATATACTGCCTTGATGTGTTATATCTGGACGGTCATCCGGCCGGTTAATAACTTCGAGTGTGGATGTTTTGTTCCGTGTAGAATATGGGAGTGGTCCTGTCTCATATTGCCAATCGGGACTCCACAAGCCAGATATTTGCCAAGAAAGACTCCAGCAGAGTAGTTACTTTGAAATTTCTCCTAGTCTTTCTCCTAGTCTGAGAGAATTCGAGTAGGTGAAGTTCATCCGCGTCAGCTTTCAGCCCGATGTCGAGGAAATGATCGTCGTGGCTTCTGTCTACTCGTCACAAGCTTCAACTCACCCTGATTAGTTTTTCCACGACTGGGATTAAACGTTAGAACCCGGATGGAGTTGGAATTTTTCTTGCAGATTCGAAAAGATCTCCGGGCGTGGAGAGCCAATCTAAAACGACGGCGTCGGCTCGGGAGGCGGAGACGACTACTTGATTAAGCAACGGTGGAACGGTCTCGTTGCTTGTCCATCCGAGGATCCGCCGAAGAATTGCAGTTTCCATGAGAGTGAAGAACGTGGGTACTGTTATTCGAATGACATGAGAGTGTTCTAGAATCCCGCGCTCACTCAGGGGTAATATCTCTCCACTAGATACAAATATCAAATGATGTACGGAATAGGTCTACACCTACGGCAAGTCGACAAATTTTGCGGATTCCGCCAGCGTCGGTCGGAGAGAGAACGACAGTAAGAGGAATTTCTCCGAAGGGGGGAAATCAAGAAGTTCATGCTCCAGCTTGGAGATCCTCCTGTGGCTCAAGTTGGTCGTCATGTTCTGTACACCTGTCGTCTTGGGCAAAGATTGGTGGGAAACATTCAAAGTGGAGGGCTTTCAGCCATCTGTTCTGCAGCCTCCGGACATGCACCCCGCATCTTAGTCCTGAAGAAATTGGCTAGACCCCGGATCTCAATTATTTCATGACGAATTCCAAAGGTTTCGTTCAGCGGTGGCTTGTCAATGGCGTATGCAGAATCGGAGGATGTGCCGCTTTATACTCGGCGATGATCAGCAGGGCTGCATGATAATATCCGATGAACTTCCAGGATGATCTACTTCGAGCGAAATTGACGATGAATAATTTCTAGCCTCCGGAATCGGGTATTTGTTAGGCATTTTTGATTTACCAATGATGCTCTTTGTAATACGTGAATGTTCCGAGCTGGTTACATCTGGGGATGGCCTCTTCCATTGGAGCACAGATATATATTCCGAGAAACGGCTAATTCCAACCAGTGGTAGCGATTCACAAACACACCTAATAAAGAACACTCGCATTTATTGATCAAGTCATACCTAAGCCCATTACCAGCCCCTGTACGGAGTACTGCCGGACTAATGGAAGAAATAGGTAAATTTTCGAGTTTGTTATCTGATCTTTCGACAAAACAAATGGCCATCTCTGTGCATGACAAGCCACACGAGACCCAAAAGCCCCAGGGTCTTTTGCGAGTCTACACGGTCATGGATATCTTGCACTCTGACATCTTATTTACCTATACCTTAGACGACCATCTTTCTCGATTGGAATGCAGGTCAATTCATCGTTGGACTTATTCTACCTGCTCTGCCGCCTCATGTCCCGATCCTCTCGGCATTCCCCACGCTCGGCGCCCGCGGAAAGCGACACGGTACCTCACGATAGCAACCAGCAACTACTTTTCATGGTCAATCCCGCCAACCAGTCCCGAATCCCGTGAAGCCTCTCGGCAGCTCGGATGAGTAAGAGGGATCAAGCTGGAGAGCCAATCACAGTGGTGGTGATTCGGATTGGGTCGATCCGACATGGCGTGGGCAACGCCGCGCCGATGTTTTTGCGGGTTTTGCGGGGACGCGGTGCGCCAGGGGGCCCCGTCAGATAAATTCGATTTCAAGTTCATTCCAGGGTCCGACGCATCGACTACCTCACCACCACCCTCTCCCCTCCCCTCCCCTTTGAATCACGCCCTTCACGATGCCGTCCAAATCCTCCGCCAACAAACAGTCCGCCTCCGGCTGCGGCTGCCGCTGCTTCTCGCTGCGAAACTTGAGTCTGCTCGCGGTTTTCCTGGCGCTGTTCTCCGCCCTGTACAGCTTCCTTGACGCGCGCCTCAACCAGTTCTATATTTTTGACCCCGAGCATCTGCATGATCTGTCGCAGCGTGCTATCAAGGCTCATGGCGAGGATACCCGCTCCATTGTCGACTTTATTGTCGCTGAGCTGCAGGAGAAGGTTGGTGAGAAGTATCTGAGCACGGAGGAGGAGTGGGTGTTCAACAATGCTGGCGGCGCCATGGGCGCGATGTACGTCATTCACGCCAGTAAGTGATATTCGTTCTTGCAATTCTCTGTGACGCATGGGGAACTATTGTATCGCTCGGTTTACTCGACACCGAGCTCGGCACATTAGCTTCTCTCCGGCTCCCCCTTGACCTGTCAATCTCAGGCCAATTGACTAACGAGTACACCTATCTAGGTATCACTGAGTATCTGATCATCTTCGGTAAGCCATTTCCCTCCAAAATCCTCATTTCCCCTTCCTCCCGTTCGAATACTCATCACCGTCTCCACTAGGTACCACCATCGGCACCGAGGGCCACACCGGCCGCCACACCGCAGATGACTACTTCAACATCCTGCACGGCGAACAGCTCGCATACGTCCCCGGATCCTTCGTGCCCGAGAAGTACCCCGCTGGTACTGTGCACCACTTGGTCCGCGGCGAGGTCAAGCAGTACAAGATGGACAGCGCGTGCTTCGCCCTCGAGTACGCCCGCGGCTGGATCCCTCCCATGCTGTTCTTCGGCTACGCCGATACCTTCACCAGCACGCTCGACTTCCCTACTCTGTGGGCGACTACGCGCATTACTGCGCGCGAGATGGTGGGCAACTTGTTGCAGTTCAAGCTGTAAAGGGGTTGTTGTTGTTGATCGTTGATTCATTGTACGATTCGATTGTGGTCTCGGGACAGGTGGTGGAAGCCTGGAAGGGACTGTATATTTTACTGGGATGGAGAGTCGGAAGTCGTGTTGTATGCGCTTCTCGGTGCATTTTGAATGACCGTATGCACCGGCACCGACATTGGCATTGATATTGGAAATCTGCATCGGGTGGAATGGTAGATGGATTCGGCATAGAGCTAAAAGTACTTGGATAATCACCCTAATAAATAAATGTGTACCACGGCTTTACTCAAATCTTCGATTTATCCTTAAAAAACGCACCAAGCATCCTCATCGGCTCCGAAACCTCGCCCTCTCTCGTCCCAAAAGACTCCCCAAACGCCGTCACCCCAGCCTGAATCGCTTCATCCAAAGAAACATTCTCCCACGTCCGCATAAGAGCCTTCTGCCTCCGCACAGCCAAGGGCCCATTCTTCTCTAACTGACACACCCACTGTTCCACAGCATCATCCAACGCCTCGGGCTCAACGACTTTCTCGACCAGACCCCATCTCAACGCCTCATCGGCACTAATATTCTCGCCCAACATGAGAAGCTGCCTAGTCCGGCCCCATCCAATCAATCCAGGCAGAAGAGCAGCTTCAACAACGCTGGGGATACCAACTCGGACCTGTGAGAGCATTTATCAGCGATGACCTCCTTCCAGAAAGCTCTGTCCCCCTCATCAAAATAAGAATCCAATGATTAAATCAAACTCACCTCCGGCATCCCAAAAACCGCCCTCCTACTCGCAACCCGAAAATCACAAGACGCAGCCACTTCCAATCCCGCACCGAGCGCATACCCATTCACCCTCCCAATCACAGGGACCGGACACTCCCGCAAACTCCTACAAGCCTCCGAAACCCTGGATATAAACGCCCGCGCCGAAGCCGGCGAGTCCAGCGCGGCCATTTCGGCGATGTCCGCGCCGCCGATGAAGGACTTGTTTCCGGCGCCGGTTAGTATCACGCACAGGAGATCTGGGGTTTGGGAGGTGAGGGATTGGAGGGTTGTAGGGAGTTGAGAGAGGAGGGGGGTGTTGAGGGCGTTTAGTTTGGTGGGTCGGGAGATTGTTAGGTGGGCGATTGTGCCTGTTGGACGGCGGGTGAGGGTTGTGAGGATTGTGGCTGTGGATGGAGGCATTGTTATGGTTATTTTGAGATCTGTGAAGGTTGAGGTTTGGAGTGTTGTGCCGGCTGCATCTAATATCTGGTTGTAGGGCCGAGAATCACCGATCTTGAATGCGGGGAAGCACTGGGGATGCCTCGGTGGTTTTGGGAGTGGAGGTCGATCTGGGGGTTACATGGGAATTGAGCAGAGAGACTGACTACCATGGTATAGATTGACGTCTGGATGAGTGAAAGCAGGCCTGCGATTGATTTCAAGCTACAGCGACCACCGCCATGTTCTCTACCAGTCAAATGAAATGCCTCGACAACCAGAGCCAACCTCAATCCTCTCGTGCTCACATCTCAAAGTATGAGTCGACTCAAATGCAAAATATTCGTTATTCATTATGATTTCATGGCAAATCGCAAAACGGGGTACACAACGCTCTATCCTCACTCATAGCGCGGGAGCTTCCCAGAACTCCCTCTTGATCTTCATCACGGCGGATCGCTTATGCGGGAAATTCACCTCGCCCTCTTTATAAAAGCCCACGTCCTGAAGGTATTTGATAAATCTGGACTCATCATCAGCATCATCATCCAAACACAAAAGGGAAGCAAAGTGCAATCGAAGACTCACTTGATATTATCCACCCTCGGCTCCAGATAGACCGCCTCAGTCCGCATATCAGACAAAAAGCAGTAGTGCACCAACGCACTCAACCAAATAGCCACCCGATGGGGACCCCGGAACTCCTGCTCACCAACAAGCACATGGATACCCCGGTCATAATTCTCGATCCGATTCACCAACCGGCCCAATGGGTCTTCCTTCACCCAGTAAATCTCAAAGTACCCGAATGGCTTTCCGTCCCAGCAGCCGATGACGGGGAAACTGTGTCGGCTGGTGAGGTTCATCATGAGGAATTTCTCCTGGACTTCGCGCTCGCCGCCTTCTTTCCACATCGCTTCGACTCGGGGGTCGTTCATCCACCTATGCAGCATGTCCAGGTCGGATGGTGCACTCGTGCAGAGATGTTGCTCGACGCTGGTGACCGAGGAGCTCACTGTTGCAGTGGGGGTTGATGGCCGACTGTTTGTGCTAGGTCCCTTGGTAGCACCGAGCTTGGTCATCGGCAAGAAGGGTACCCGGAATGAAAGGAATTGGTCCACGCTGGGAATATGACGCACATAGAAGACCTCCCCTTGATGCGGGGGCTTGGGCCGCACAGGATGGCGCACGCCATTGGTGAACATGTACTGCGTAGGGGCCGGCGGATAGTATGTTGGAAGATGACTAGCCGAAGTAAAAGGTCCGGCAGAAGTGTACGTGCCGATGTTGGTTGTATGGAACGAAGCCTCCGCCGGCTGCAATGCCCGTGGACTCGATAGACCATCTCGTGCCGGGGAGGCATGGCGAGATTGGAATGGAGTCAGCGAGGGCGAAGGAGCCCCCCGTGGCGTAAGTGTGAAAAGGAACAGGCGCGGGTCGATCTGCCAGAAGCTCCGTCGACTCACGAACATATTGGACCAACTGCCGGAGTCGCGAGTCTCCATCGGCTGAAGACCGACGGAAGAGTCCTCGCTTGCAATAAGACCCATACGCTCAAGCTTCTGCAGCAAACTCCGACCATTGAAAATCCCCTCTCGCCTGATATTCACGCGCCACTCTCCCTGCGGACGTCCATCATGCGGCGTCGAGCTCGAGGCAGCGGTTTCCAGATGCAAGTCCGGCTCGGGCTCGTGGAAGTACCACCAGAGAGTAGCCCAAAGCATCATCGCAATATGGCGTGTAGGCGACCTCACCGGGTTGTAATCACTCGACGGGGGATTGACAATATACGAGATATAGAGGCAGTCGCGGTTCAAGGTAGGGGTCGTGAAGCGGGTGATATTGTCGCAGTCACCGCCGCTGGAGGTAGGACGCACATCTTCAGAGCCAGTGCGTCCTCGTTCTTCGGGTAAAGGTTTCTCGGGGGTCTTTCCACTATGTATAATGATTGTCCAGCCCGGTGGGAAGGTTGAGCTTGAGCTTTGCGACAGCAAGTCGTTCGATTTGAAGGTAACCCCGCCAAAGACGGGCGTCACAGTGAATGAGAGGCCATTGGGCAGATAGCAGACGGTGTTTCGCATAGTGACTGAGCAGCTCGGCAGCTTCTCTTCGAAGTGTGAAGAGGGTTGCCTCGAGCTGCGGAGGAAAAAGGTAGACGCACGAGACCGACTCGCGTTGCTTTTTTACTTTGCCCCTCACTTGCGCGGGGAATGGAGCAACAATGCACCAATGGCCTTTCCAAGCTCTAGGATATGGTCGCTAAAACCAGTAGTGAGACCAGAGGCTCTGACAGACTCTTCTGATGGAGGGAGGGGTCGAGGTTAAAAGAATGGGTGAGGATGGGGTGGCATGGTCAAGGGCAGAGTGTGTTGATTATATGATAGCGATGACGCACTTGGTCCCCGCATCATACCATGAGCCATCCACGCCGTGTCTTCTCGGTCAGCGAGACCACTCTACATGCATCTCTTCGACTTTTCAAAAACAACTCATATCTTTCGAGTTAATAGCTACATAATCAACCGAGATTTCCATGCACCCCACGAGAAATCGGACTAAATTGCCAAAATAGGGCAAAGCACATCAAATTGACAAGATCCAGACCAAAGGGTATAACTATACTATTACAAAGCGATACAAGATGCAAATCAAAAGTCCTCCACCGTTGTCCCGATTCCTCGTTCCTGAGCGAGACACACAAGATCTCCGCCCGTTACCAAGTCCATCAGGCCCAGCCCAACACTCTTGTAGATGACATTCCCGCGCTCCACCCACTCACGCAGGCTCTTGTCCTCATCGGCTGATTCGGTCGATTCTCCCTGGCTAGCCTTGCGAGCGGCGTGGCGCACCATCATCAGTTCGCCTAGTTCGACAACCTGGTGAGGCTTAATACCCGCCTGTATGATCTCGCCAGCCTCCTTCATGGCTGCGTCCAGACTATCCACAACGATAACCCCGCTGCGTCTGGTGTGCTTGTGGAAGTGACGGTGGGGCGGCGTGACATTGACCTCGTCTCGGAGGATATCGGGGTGAATTTCACTCATATGGTTCTTGTAGGAGCCCACTGCGCTAATATATCGGCCTTTCTGGCGTCCCTCTCGGGACGTCAAAAATTCCGCTGGGAAGAGCGGCGTGGACGACGGGGTACAGCAGAAGATAGCATCGGCCTTTCGAACATGCTCCTTCAAAATGCGGTTGTATTCGCCAAAGTCACTGCTCATGGCCGAAAATTTCACATCGCGGCGCCACTGGGCGTTCTCGGGCAAGTAGATTTCACGAAGGAGTTCCGCAGCGCGATCGAAGGAGCGGTTGACAATATAGACGCGCCGGATCTCATTGCTGCGCAGGATGAGAGCCAACCGGATGTGCCAGTATGCTTGGGTGCCAGCTCCGAATACCAGCACTGTGCGGACCTTCTTGCGCTTGTTGAACAGCATCAGAGATGCTAGCGCCGTGCGGAAGGCTGTCAGTTCGTGGGCGTTGATCAATCCAAATGGAAGTGACTCCGCGTCTAATAGAGTCACACTTCCCCTGGGCGAGGTGTCGCGAGTGCCTGCCCCCGGCCACGCCCCTAAGGTTGATGATATGTTTGGCGAAGTGACGGATTGTTGATTGACACAGCCAGTCAGGAGCGTAGAGCTATCGACGCTATCGCCCCCGCCACTGCTTGCCGTAGTGACCGAGGGGCTGATCGAGCTGTCATCTTCATGGGACGACCCCACAGACAAATCGCTCATTTCCGACGAGAGCGATGCGACCGAGTCCCGAATAGAGCCGCCGTGTGATCGGGAAGATATGGATTCGCCCTCAGGGATGTCGAATCCCCCACGCTCTACCGCACACCCCGCGGTGCCGCCGTCCTGCAGGGAGATCATCTTGATGCCCAGTGTCTTGCCTGTGGTAGCAGGCATGAAGAGTGTGGTGCAGCCATTTGAGCGGGTAATGGCAGTTCGCTGCGGCTGGTAGGTGGCTGAACAACCTTGCTCCTGAGAGCCTGTTGAGTATTCTCGGAGCGCTTCAGAGAGATTCCGTTGGAGTTCGGTAATCTCCTCCCGGGTAAGCGAGAGAAGCAGCTGCCGAAGCTGCGATCGGGAGAGAATGGTGAGCGGCATATGGGCGGTTTCGGAGCTCAATATGGTTCGGTCAGAGAGATGAGAGGTGATGGAGGGATGGAAAAAGGAAAGATAAGCTCGAACTCGGACTGCTCAGCCTTGTTATCTGTGATCCGGCCTTGCAAGTCAACACGCAACAATCCCGGGCCGCGTATTCGCCAAGATCCAAGTGAAACCGAGAGGGGCAGCTATAGCAGTAGTCTACCAAGATCTCACTGTGTGCACAAAGAACACTCAGCCCGCCAAGAGAGCCGTCGGGCAAATGGTGTGGGAAAAGTTCCAATTTAAATCAGCTCAGGCCCAATCTCGACGCTGGCGAAATCTCCGAAGATGACGACAGACGGGACTTGGTCGAGGTGGGGGAGCGGGGGTGATCAACAAGACGGACGCGATAAGAGGCGGAGAAGTGCGCCCAGTGCTTAGGCTGTGCAGTGCCCAGAAGACAGGACGATACCTTTAAAACGCAGGTCAAGGGTAAAAGAGAAAAGCACCAGTACGGATGGGAGGCAAATCAAAATGCGAAAAAGAAAAACATGCAGACGATCGGCCACTTTGACAGCGACCGATCCTGCCCGAAAGCGGCCATTGGCTTAATGCGGTCTCCCTCGCGGGTGGCCAGCCGCCGATCATGGAGAGCCTGGCTGCCTGAGGCGGCACAGCCCTAAGTATAGAACCATTTTATACCACCAACTATACTACCCCTCAGAGAGTAATGTTCCATGATCAGCTTGTGCGAGTAAGTCTTGCCCATTTTACCACACGGTTTGCTATAGCTGCGGTTGGTATCGAACTCGAATAGAAAATGAAAATTTACATAAGCTAGGATTCTGAAATATGGTGAATCATTCTGGCCTTAACACTGAAGATAACACCAACTCATTCACGAAGACAGAGAAAAAGGGGGGGAATCGTGGGGAGCGCAACGTGGAATATCTATACGGAGTTCTATCGTACAAGGTCCACTCTTCCACCGACAGTAAGCCCGCTTCTTGCATGTTACCTACCATATGCAGATTCTTTGCCAGCGAGAGTATTTATAGCTTGATGGTAGAGTCAGATCCCTCTAGACATTAATCTTGCAAAAAGTCCCGTCTGATATTGCAGGTAAGACATAAGTAAATGGAGTTGCAATCTTTACTCCATCTATATCTAGGGATATGCCATCGACTGAAGCTTGATAATTGTAGAGCATCGAAGTTGAAGAGTAAAATGTATGCTCAACATGCCGTGGATTCTATCTAAATCGGGAATTTCCTTGAATATCCGATGCTCGTTTGACTTCAGATTGATCACTTTTGCCAACCAGAGGAGATCATCCGTTTTAACCTCCCCTCTCTTGGACAACAAATGATCACCAGCTTCCACCCACCTAATTCTTACTCTTCTCTTGGTATCTCTTCAATTCCCCAAACTTGATCTCTGCATTCTGCTGTAGGGAACAGGATTGTTCACATCACACCCAAATAATCTTCTCTTTTTTTTCGCTTTCAGATACATCTCTCGACCTTCTCTACCATTCTCCCCCTTCGCCATTGGATGCCTAGATCACTTCGATCCAAGACATTCACTCGAAGGCCTCACACCCAAGACGGCCCAGCTTCAGAAAGATCACCGTTTCCTCTGCCATCCATAGTGAAACATTTCCCTCGAGAGCATATCTATCTCATGCTCTCTCGTTATTTCGAAATTTGTATCTGAGAGATCGAATCTCTTCTTTCTCTTTCCTCACGGCATACCCCATTTACCCCAATATCTCCTAACAAGCACCATCACAGAATCTCTCTATATCCGGTACGTATTCAAATTTCAAATTCTCATAACTCCTTCTACTCATCATCTACTCTATGTATTTTGACCACTTCACTGTTCCTGATACGCTGACTTTCATTTATCTCAAGCTTGACACAATCTCTTCACCAGCTATCACACCCAAACCCGGCCAATCTACATATGGTGCTACGATGGCAGGCCCCAGCGAGGAAGAGATTTTCCAAGAGTCAATTCAGAAAGCTCTCGCTCCAGTTCTCTCGGAGCTGTCAGCTCCCCAGCCGACGGATCTCGACATACATGCGAGTGAACGTGTTATCAAGGACCTGACGACAAAGCCTACCATTAAAGACATGGAAATTGGTACTTCTATCCCTGTCGCCAAAGAAATGACAGCAGAAGAGCGCGAAGTGTTGGTCCAGACTCTAATACACGGACTTGACAACCTTTTGGAAAATCAAGTTCTCTAGGAACCGGACGATAACACTGGCATTCCACTCAGGAGTGACACTGGCAGTCATAGATGGGTGACAGGCACACGCAGAGCGGCTCATCGACGGGTCACGGTTGGAGAAGCTTGTCGCCAGCTTGGGCTCAGGAGAGACCCGGTGACTGACTGGCCTCTATTGGACCCTGGAGATGCTTCTGGTGTCAAGGAATTTCCTTTACGGCCATGGTAAGCTACAGGCGTACAGTGGATGCTGCCACAAGAGTCTTAACATCCAAGGCTCGCAACGACACCAGAGGAGTGAGTCCCAGGGACGGTGAATTTGGCTCTCATGTAGTACAAACAGATTGCCAGAATTTGATATTCAAGCCACAGAGGGGTGAAACGAAATTATCATTATTTCTTCTGTATGATATCTCCTGTAATTGACGTATGTAAAATAGGAAAAGTGTGTATGAGAAAGAGGTATGAGATACTTGAGTGTATCATGAACTGTAGAAAAGGCCGAAGAAAGTATGCCCGGAACAACATTCCTGAACTTGGCAAACAGAGATCATAAAGAAGGAGACCCGGCAATCGGGCTCCCCCTTCATGGTTTGTTGACGACTTTTAGCCTTTTTCTCAGACAAACTCCTTCTCTCTTCCACCAACCTCACTTCTCGAAAGCACAATTCCCCCACAAACCCACTCCCAGACACAGCCTGTGCCTTGCCATACTCGAATAGCCTCTCTATCCATCTTCAGCCGCGGCATGTCCATTCAAATCTTACCTACGGAGATCCTTCTCCTCATCTTTCGCTTTGTTGGGAACAAGGAACTCGCACAGAACTGCGGTGTTGCAGTTTGCCAAAGATGGCATTCGATCATCAAGTCAATCTTGGTCAAAGACATTCGTGTGTCAGGCCCACAATTCATCAAAATCAGCGACCGGGACTTTCAGTATATGAAGATCTTCACCAGGGCGCTTGAAATCAACATGACGATTAAGCTCCCACCATATGAAATTGACAAGGCTTACGACGAGTTAGCCGACGACCGGCGCCGTCTGAGAAGACTCAAACAGCACCCCAAATTGGTTCAAAAACGCCTCAATCACTTGAGTACTCTGATACCCGATTATTCATCCCTGCGGTCTTTGGTCTTGCGTTTCGGGCGCGTTGGAGACGCTGAGGATGAACGGCAGTTTCCGACGTGTGGAGGTTGGGACCAAGTCTCATTCATCAAAGGCCTCTGGTCCACCAGACTTGCCCATCTAACAATCGAGACTGGCCAAATCGGGTACCCAAGACAGAAAGGGGTCTGTCGCATGATTGCCCAGATAATTCCATCCCTCATATCCGTGCGACTTCAACTGAGGTGGATTTGCGATGAGCTTCTGGATTTCACCCACATTGATGCCACTGAGCCGCCGCCACGGATCAAAAATATTATTATCAGCGACATCATGCATTACATAGTGGACTCTGATTGGTATTGGGAATACAGTATGCATGAGTGGGACATGAACTGTAGTTATCATACCTTGTTCGTGCAACTGGAGAACAAGGCTGAGGAGGCAGTACGACGGCTACCTACGCTCGAGGGCTTGTGGATCGTTAAGCATGAGGGTCGTTGGGCTCGGAGTGTTACGTCACGAGAATTCGTCACTAGGATCGAGAGAACTTATCCAATCGAACCCAGCGATGTGGACGGCTATGACTGGACGATGCCAACACCCTGGATTGAAACCATTGCGTTTTGAGTCCAGACGTTTCATTACGCCTCTATCGGAATGGCTCTTCAAGTCTGCTGCTGATTAGCGGCTTACATAGTCTTTGAATACCCATGATCTATTCCTAAACCCATTATCAGAATTTCTGGTTAGCTCTTCACGAAAGCTTAAGGGAATCTAGGTAGCACTTGAAAAGCGTGAATACGAGCGACGTCTTTGTAATTCACGTTGTGGATGCGGTAATTATTTACTTATTAGGCCTTTTGAAAATTTCCTCAAGGATAGGACACCATAGTTCATCATACGTTCACGTCCTCTATCCCCCTCCAGAACAATGCCCCACTCACTAGGACGATCTTATCATCTAGGATCTTGAGGTCCGGCTCTAAGCCCGAGACGCCCATCCTACCAACAACATTTAGCATGATCTACTTTCAATTATACGATTTTGCGCCTTGAAGAAAGAAGGGTTCAAAGGTAGAATCATCCAGATCTAATTGCACGTAATTCAAGATCATTTTTTATAGAGATAGCTTCATCCCGCCCTTTAATACATCGGCATCCCCACCCGAGGCATCGGACGCCCGCTCCGACCCCTTGCTTCGTTGTCCCCAACTCCAGACGCCTCGTCATTATACCAACTCCCAGCCTTTCATACAACCAGATTGCACAAAAATTTGCATCAATTCTGCGTATTGAATCTGCCAAAATGTCATATTCAGAACCGACTGTTGCGTTCATCGGATGTGGTAAGTCATCAAGTCCCTCACCTGAACAAAGTTAATCGACATTTGACTCATCCAACTTCGCAGGTAACATGGGAGGAGCCATTCTTCACGGCGTACTCGATGCCGCATTCTCAGGCCAAGTTTCAGAGTCTGCGAAGTCACGACCAGTATCCAAGTTCATTGCTTGCACAAAGACGGCCTCTTCGGCGGAGCGCCTGAAGGCGTCTATCCCTGCCGAGCAGCAGCCTCATGTCCAAGTGATATCTTCGCAAGCAGTACCCGTGGGTGTCATGCAATCTGCAGACATTGTCGTGCTTGGCTTTAAGCCATTCATGGCAGAAGATGTCCTGCGGTCAGAGGGGGTGAAAGATGCACTTGCTGGAAAGCTAGTCATCAGTCTGCTGGCTGGGCAGACACCCCAGAATTTGACCCGTATTATACGCGAAAGCGGGCCTGGTGTGGCTTCAGACCCTATTGTCGTCAAGGCTATACCGAATATGGGCGCGCAGTTCCGCCAGTCGATCACTATCATTGAGACACCTGAAGAGCCAATCCCCGCGCATATGACCGAGGTGGTGGAGTGGATGTTCAAACAAGTCGGCGAGATCAAGTACCTTCCTCAAAGCCAGATGGACCTTGGTTCTGTGCTTGTCGGCGCGGCTCTTGCAGCCATGACTGTTCCCATCGAAGGAATTCTAGATGGATGTGTGGCCGAAGGCCTGAAGCGATCTGACGCAATGGAAATGATGCTGGGTGGTCTACGGGGACTCTCCGCCGCTTTGGAATCCGGTATTCATCCTGCAGTTCTTCGGGAGAGTATTTCCTCGCCACGAGGATGTACAATCCAGGCTTTGTTGACTCTAGAGAAGGCTGGAAGTCGGGCAGATTACGCTGAAGCAATCATCAAGGGTACACAACACTTGAAGAAGGCAGATAAATAGACATGCGTATAGACCAGCGGAGTTGCACATGGTGAATCAAATTTGAAGATATGGTGAATGTATATAGACATCTGAGAGTTTCCTAGAAGTCAATTCTGCTTTCGGGGGTATGAAATAGAAAGGATTGCTGTCAACGCCAACTAAAGCACACTAGAAAATGGTGTCGAGCCTTGATCATCCCCAGACGTCACGATCATCCTTCACCAAATCGTCTTCATTCAATACCCGAAGCCCATTCTCACGCTCCTCGCGCCTGCGCTCGCGCTTGGTCACCATTCGTCCAGGTGTGAACGGCGTTACCGGTGTAAACGGCATATAAGCACTGTATGGAGTGGGCATGCCAGTAACGGGTCCGTTACGGTTCTTTGTCGGACGTTCCAGAATGGTAGTCTTCGTTGCCGGTGCACTCTGGAGTGGATATGCATCACGGAACGGTAGATTTGAAGGGGGCTGGCCCGCAGTGGACAGATTTAGTGGTGTTGGCGGGGCCCGGGATCGGCCAGAAGAAGGCATGATCTGTGCAACAGCGGACCCTGCACGAGGAGCTGTTGGAGGCGGTCCGGGATTGTAGTATCTAGGAGACAAGGGTGCTTGATCATGACCGTAGGACCGAGATTCATTCAGATCTGGCGAAGCAAGGGGCGATGATATACCCAGTTTGCGAAGGGGGAATCGCGGGGACCGTAGCTTGGCTCCGTCATGGGTTGAAGTTGATTTTGAACTGAACAGTTTGGAGAGGCGAGACCCAGTCGACTTGGGCGACTTCAACGGCTCTCTATATGAGGACTCCATAGCCTGTGACGCGTGTCGGTCGGTAAACGGGTTTGTATATTGGCTGTCAGGTGAGTTGGCCTGTGAGTCTGCATCTTTCATGGAGATATTGAGTCCCGAGGCCTTCTGAGCATCATGCTCCATAACTGCTGCGTATAGCATTTCCATCTGATCCTGAGCTTTCTGGCGATCTGATGCCACGACCGATTCGTCAACAGTGACCATACTACCGTTGACGGAGGTTTGCGAAGGACGACCACCTCGAGGGATGCTGCCCCACGAGTTATAACCGCCCGCAGTTGGACTAGGGAGACTGTGCACCATGGGAGAAACAGGGCTAGGGTCCATGCTGGCAGTTGGCTTAGCTGGCTGCAGCATTTCCATCTGAAGGGAGTAGTTGGAAGATTGAACCGTCCGACGAAGTCTACGTCCGACAAATAGCAGGAGGGCAAGAAGGATCGCAACAAAGACCAAGTAGGCGCCCGCAATACTGCCAATCTGGATTCCAAATAGTGCCTTATCCAGAGGAGGACGAGGCTCAGTAGAACGTTCAACTTGCTTCGTACTTGATCCGGAAACCAGAGCTATTTGAAAGACCAGAAGGTAAAGGAGTGAGGGAAAAGGGAGAAAAAAGCAACTGGGACAGAAGCCATTGCCGGCACCTTTTGTGACCAGAAGATCAATCACGGCGGGGGAGAGAAATGGGAGAGGTGAATCCAATTTCAAGTGCAGCGTGCAGTCAACTTGGGCCGATCGACATATCGGAGCGGTGGTGCCGTCGAATCTGGTGCGAGCGAGTGGCACATTGTGTTTCCAGAAGTGACGGGGCGGCAGAGCGGGGATGCGATCGGTATTAAACATGGTGAGCCACCGAGTGTGATGATGTGAACTGAGAGTCGGGGCTGCAGGTGAAGCATTTGCCTGTCCAGGCGAGTCGAGGCCTGTCGTTGGTCGCACGTAAGCGCCCGCATGCACGATCATCACCAACGGGCGGCCAGTCAAAAGCCGGAATGACAGTCTCCACAGTGATATCTTGGGCACTCGGGGGGACCAAGCCCTGGCCAATCAGATTGGGAAGATGTAGAGAAAATGATATCCAATGAAAGTGCGGTGCGATATCGTGAATTGACAAGGGCGCTGAAAAGAGTTTGGAGTAGTTTGGGAGTTGGAAGTTGGAACTGTGGAAGATGGGAATAGTGTCAATCACGTGCCCTGTATACTTCGAGCATTGCAGCTTCCTTCCTAATCTTTTCCCTGCCAAATGCGCATACTATTGCTCTTCCTCTTCTTCTCTAAACTCTTCTTCCTTCCTTCTACCATGTCCATCTTCAACCCTCCCCTTCTCCATCAGCCATGGGCCACAAGTTCTCCGTCGTGAAGGGTGTCAAGTCAGAAGATTTCTACAAGCAGGGGAACGCCATCAACGAAATTTGGGTAGGAGATTTCGAGATCATCTCCAGACTCCCCTTTGGCGATTCCGATATTGGCCAGGCTGGTTGGCCACTGGGCACTTGGCCCAAGATTCCGTGGCATCAGTTCATCATTCCTTTGAAACGAGATCTGAACACTGTTCGGTGCCGCAGTCTCAAGTGCCGTGGCAACTCAATTGCGAAGCCTTCGCCAATCTGCGAAAACCCGTTCCTCTTCACCTGCCTCGGACTGCTGCTGTTCCTTCTACTAGCGGCTGTTGTCGGTGTCGTCCTAATGGTGTTGAAACACAGACGAGCTCGTTCAACGCGCCGTCGGAATTTGCAAGCGGAAAAGGCATCGTCGGCTTTGCCTGCATGATCACCGGCATTACTGCACCTTTCCAGTCATCGGACTGACTGGAGACCCTTGAGAATCATCAAAAGAGAATCTCGCCATTCCTTTCGAAGACTAAGAGTACTCATTCAGCAAACCTTGCTTCATTTCTGCTCTCGACTCCACTCGCACCCTCATTCTTGCGAATCGCTCGTCCTGGCCACTGGAAGACACTCATATCCATCAAAATTCTACTCTGCTACACCGGAAAACACCTTCATGGATTGGTTCTTCACATCCCCAGATCTCGTTGAATTGTCCAAATTGCAAGCCTATGGCATCCGCGTGCATTGGGCTGTTTTACTTTCTACGACCAATGAGATCCTTATATCGCGCTTCTTGTTGGGTTCACCCTCACCTGGACCGGCCTGAACTTTGGCTTCGGGATGATTACTGCCTACCGACGACGTACCGAGAAGTATCAGCTCTCAGTCGAAAGCATCTTAAAAGCATATCAACGCAATCCGCAAAACACACTGAGAGGTCTTCAGCTTTATTTCGGATTCATGATGGTTCTCACAGCATGTGGAATTCCCGCCACTCTGATCATTCTTTGGGCAGGGGTCCCCATCCTGTTATACGGCGTACGCGAGCTAAGTTCCGAGGCCTTAGTGTGGTATACTTGCGCTTTCATGTTGATCGACATGGGGACTCGTGCTATCGAGGAGATTTTCCTGTTGATCTGGAGATACAGAGAGATCCGTGCCGTGTGTGTGTCTAGCAAGCCTCCAGGGTTGGGGGGGCGATGAGGATGAAAGGAAGAATTGACCCACGATCGTGACTTGTGGTGATTGAGAAGTCGAATCATTACTCGAAAGAGTCAAGACAAGTTCAGTTTCACCGAGGATTGGTGGACGTGAAAGTCGTGTCATGGCATTACAACTACATCTTCAACTCGGCCGCCAGGAGAGGAGAGGCTTCCCGATTCATATCGTACACACAGCACCATTTCGAGTGCCCCTCCTGTTCATCCCTATTCTATATTACTTATCCCTTGTTAGAGAATAAATCTCTCCAGAGTTCCTTCATTCCATAAACCTTGTCTTTATCCTCCTCGTAGACATGCGCTGACTGTGACGGGCCTAGTGACCCCAACACACTCGACCTTGGAGCAGGCACAGATACCGAAGGGCGTGCACGCTCTGTTGCGCGTCGTCGTATCTCCTCCGCCAGTTGTGGAGCAATATCGGCATAGCAGGACCTGAGCTCGCGGTCGAGATTGACATATGGTTTCTGAGCGGAGCGCGGCGCTTGGAGATTGTATGAGCGGGCAATGGTGTTGAGTTGTTTTACAGCAAGCTCGTGGTAGGAGCGTTCAATGGCCATGTAATTGTCATCGCGCAGTGGTGGAAGATGAAGAATATCCTCCACCTCTTCATTAGTAGAATCAGTCGAAGCCTCAGTCGATGCAGGCTTCGACACAATCCGTCCATCAGATGCAATCTCAGAAACCACATCTTCACTCTGATTATCCCGAAGTGCAGCTTCCATCTTCGCTTTCTCAACTAAGCGCGCCTCAGCCGCAGCATACCCCATAGCCCGCTGCATCTGCGCTTCCAAGGACCCGCCCTGGCTGGCAATCAACATCGCAGCATGTCTCCTCCACTCGGTACGTATCCGCTGTCGAAACCGGCTCAACTCGGATGCAAGTTCCTGCTGCTTCTCGATCCACGGCGGCACAATCTCCTGCTTCTGAATAATCTTGTTCATAAAGTACTCCGTCGTATCGATGAACGCACTATTCGCATTATGATCCGTCTCGGTATTAACGCCCTTCCCACGCTTGATTTTATCAAATTGTCCTCGCGCAATGGCGTCTTCGATCCGCTCGTTCGCGAGTGATGATAGGCCCTGGATGGATATGGGCATGGCGTGTGCGCCAGGCATTAACTTTTCTCTCATTTCTCGCCGCATAGCTGCACGTTGGTCTTCGGAGAGCCCGGGGTCTTGGCTTAATGCGTATTTAGACGTGCGATCTTTGGCGGAGGCGAGGCGGGAGCCGGTTGAGTGCTTGGGTTTGGGGGTGGGTTGGAGATTCACGGGTTGGGGGATCTTGTATGGTGTTCGGATTGGTTTGCTAGCGTCGTCGAGCATGCGAAGGGCTGTGTCTTGGAAGCTTTCTGTGCCTGTCCATCCTGGGGCTATAGCTGTCTCGCGTGTTCCTTGGCCCGCGCTGGCCTGGATTCGAGAGATGTGTACATTAGTTGTATAGATCAAACTGGAGGTTTGGAGGCAAGAGCGTACCGGCATATTGAGAACCGAATGTGCCGCTGCATATTCACTCTTGAAAGAAGCTGCTTTGACTCGTTCTTCCAGTTGTCTTTTCAGTTCCTCTGAGAACCCCGCATGCTCAATGTTGCGCTGCGCTGACCGTCCACCTTCGAGGATCGCATCCTCGGTCATCTGTGATAAGCGGCGGGCCATGGCCCCTTCTTCCTTCTCCTCCTCATGTGCGGTATCATCTTTGCGATTATCTTCTATCTGCGCCGAGGAAGACGCCGTAGTCTGTTGTCTTCGTTGACACGATGCCGAGAAGTGCCTGGCCGCGGGAGCTGTACCTCTTGATGCACGTACAGCTGCTCGACACAACTGAGCACTCCAAATTTGTGACGCCGGCATATCCAGAGACCTTGCACTTAACACTTTGTAAGCTCACTGAGGAGAAGAAAAGGTCCCTCGAATCTGGAAAAGAAACAAGTTGTCAAGTGGCAAGCTAAAGCTGGACCTTGGCCTCGGACTAGACTCCATGCTGCTTATGTCATCCACCTCCGCGGAGCCAAAACTTCGGACAGTTTTGGATTTGAATGTATCCGTCGCAGGCGCGCCATCCTTGATTGCAGTCCACGGAGCGAACCGCAGCACTTGAACCCGTTCAAGCACGTTTCTTCGCATCGAACCTTGTCCGGATCATCCACTCCCGTCACCATGGCTCCCAAGGGCAACGTTACGACCCGGTTGAACCCGCTCCGCCTGAACACCATCAACCACCTCCGTGTTCGCCGACCGAATCAACATGAGCAGAATGCTTGCGTTACTGTCATGTCTTCAATGCTGAGTATGTGCTCCCCTATCTCTGGGGATCGAGCTGGTAGAGTCATCACGATCAGTCGTGGGCGAAGAGCAACCACAGCCACAGCAGCTCCCGTATTCTTCGTCAAGGATCCCTTACTGACCCTGTCTTGCTGTGAACAGACTGCTGGGCCTCCCAAGGCTACGGCCACGAGGGTTGTGCCGCCCTTGAGGCGCAATTGCGCAAGTGCATGGACGCACCGGTACGTTTTCATCTCACCCAGTTACCCATCAATCCGAGGACATGCCGCTGACGTCTCCGTCTCGGTTACAGAAATCGCAAGAGAAGAAGAAGAACACTGTCAACTACCACCTGATGAGAATGTACCCCAAGGTTGTGGGACCGCGCAAGAAGGACGGTGTTTTGGGTTAAATTTCGCTTTCGGGGTGCATTGGCACGGCGTGTCCGTGCCTTTTAAACGAAATCTTCATATGGGAGTTTTGGGATCTCACACACATCTTCCAAAGGCTAGCTTCGGAGTCTGTGGCTGTGTCTGTGTCAACGAGTGTTGACGGTGGCATTTGCGGCACTGGCTACTGCCTTTACTGCCATGTTGTCTGAGGTGATACGGGAGTTGGTCTTGTTTTTTGCGCATCTGTACAGTACTTATACCTACGTGGAACATGGCATCGCCTTTGAAAAGAATTGATTGTATCATTATCATAGCTATGTGCATTCTTGAACCAGAATGATTCCCATGCTCTAATCGATCAGTCCTGCTGAATACTAGACTTTCTGGAACTTCAGAATCAGTTTCTCTCCTCGGGGATGGACAGTGTAAGCATCAACAGCTTCGATATCATCATCGTTAACGATAGTCGTGCGGAAATTGGAGTAAATAGCCGCAGCGACGAGTTTCGTTTCTAGTTGTGTCGTCAGCAAGAAGTTACACAAGCAATTAGGAGGAACGTCACTCCCGAATCCATACCTTGCAGCGCGAGATTACTACCCACGCACATCCGGCCTCCACTACCAAATGCCCAGAACCACCGGCGCCGCTCCTCCAATTCTTCCAGTGAATTCTCTTCTTCCAGCCAGCGCTTCGGCTGCCATGACTCTGGGTCTGGGAAGACCTGCGGGTTACGATGTAGGGAGTAGGCTTGCGCATTGACGCGTGTGCCTGCAGGAATATTCTCATATCCAGCTAAGCTGCAGGAAGGCTCAGGGGTGACTCGAGGTTGAATGCCGGGGATCGGGGCGTGAAGACGGAGTGTTTCCGTGACGATGGCTTCCAGCAAAGGCAGGTTATCGATGGATTTTGCGGGTGGCAATTCCGATGATCCTGGGAAATGAATGGGAGGGGCTAGTGTGAGTAGTTCCTTGCGTAGCTGCTCTTGGATCTCCGGGTTTCGGGATAGTTGCCAGAGGAGGTATGTAAGACCCACGGCGCTCGTTTCAAAGCCCGCGGTGAGTTGGTCGTACATCTCGCATGCGATATCGTTCAATTGCTGGGCTCGATCGGGCTTGACTCCCTCCTTGGCAGCTTGCTTGTCCAGGCTCTGCTTCAACTGCTTGTAGACAATGGGTTCCACAGCCGGGTCGCTCGAGTTGATAGACTGTTCAGCTTTGCCACAAAGATCCAGAGCCCAGGCATCTAGCATGTCGTTGGCTGCATCGCAGTACTTCGGAATCACACGAAGACCCAGGCACTTCATCCACCCGTTCAGGTACGGCATTTCCTGGTGGTAGAACTCGAATGGCTTTCGACACAAATACATGTGAAGCCAGTGTTTTCTAAATGAATGATCTTGGAGGTGATTGGTGCCATTTTGAAGACCGAAGAGGTAACAGGAGACAAAGTCCATTGTCAACCCTTGATTGAGGTCGTGCACATCAAGGGACTTGCCCGAATCCGCAGCTTCTTGCAAGATGGGTAGTAGACGGTCCAGGATGACTGCCTTGGAGACCAATCGCAGGTTGGGGGATGTCTGTAGCATTGACTTGGAGTAGATATTGGATAGCATCCTCTTGCGGACAGAATGGGTCTTGCTTCCAACCATGGTGAACATGCTCACGGTCCTGGTATATCAAGGACTATCAGAATCCAGTCCAATATAACAGAGGAACGACACCAGTGATGGTAATAACTCACCCAAGTGACCCAAAGACCCGAGGATACCAGTCATGCTTCTCAAAACCGCCCGTATAGACAGACTTGATACCACCATCGACGCAGTTCACCGAGATCTCAGACGGACCCAATCTCACAATAGGACCAAGTCTCTCATGCGCCGCCTGGATCGTCCGGTTATTCTGCATCCGAAAACGCCTCCATAACATCCACACCGGAGAAACAGGCACGCTCCAGTGTGCATTCGGAATCTTAGCCAGTGGCGAGATAAACGCAGGGTAGATAATACCCTTGTATACCACCAAAGCCACAAAGGCAACTGCCAGTAGAGAAGTCATTGACACAGCCATATTGCAGAATCAAGTGAGCCGATACAGAACGTCCATTCTCTGTGTGATGCTACCCGAGTGTGACCAACGTGCGCGGTCAGTAATGGCGCGAGCAGACACTTATATATGTCCACTTTGGATTCTGCAAGTTTAGGTAATTGAATGAGGACCCCGCGTGAGGAGAGAAGGTGTGGAATCGGGTCTGGTCCGAACTAGTAACTCGAGGAGATGGCCTGCGCCAGGTGGATCCGCTATTCGGTAGAGATTCCAGAATGTATCCAATCAGATGAGCCAGATTACTGCATAACCCCACCCTATTGATAAGGCCGATAAGCCAACGAGAAAATGACATAATCAGCTCGGAGACGGCCGCGGAGAATGCATTTCAGTCAGAGTAATGAAGCACGTGTACGGAGGACAGTCACTAAGATAATAGGAATACTTATGGACGCTGGTATTGAGAATAGCGTATAGAGACATATTTTTTGACATTTTTGCACAGACTAGAAGAAACAGGAGTGTGTGCACGTGAGGCGCAACGAAGAGACCAGCTACGTGCGCGGAGACGAGATATTCGAGACAGTCCCACTTTGGACCGGTGATTGAGTGGGGAAAAGAGAGAAGTGACGACAGGTATTCACAGAGAGCATCCCTTGAATTTTGGGAATACGTATCTCCCAACTCAGTTGACGAGCTTGCTGAAAATACCACCGGCTCCCTCGCTAACATCATCGGGGTAGACAAAGAATGCCAGTGCCAGGATGATATACCTGTAAGAAAGCCAGTCAGCGGATGAGAACGTGGGGGAAAAGCTGAAATAGAAGAGACATACATTCCCAGGCACATGCCACCCTCAAGATAATTCGACTTTCCATCCTGAATCAGCAGAGTCACGACCAGTCCAGAAATAAAGAAGGCGACGGTCTCAAAGGTCTGGAAGTGCAAAGTCATCTCGATGTTCATAATCCAACCCAGGATAACCAGGAAGGGAGTGACAAAGAGAGCAATCTGCAAGCTGCTGCCGATGGCGACTCCAATCGCGAGATCCATCTTGTCCTTATATGCAACCACCACCGCAGTAACGTGCTCGGCGGCATTACCAACGATCGGAATCAGGACCAAACCAATAAAGGTCTTGCTCATGCCAGTCGTTTCCACGATACTATCAATGCTGCCGACCAGGTAATCGGCGCAGATAGCCACCAGGATAGTCACCACGATCAGGGCGACAGTGGCAGGAATCGGGTTGAGCAGACGCTCCTCTTCCTCCTCTGCATCCTCACCCTCAGCAGTTTCAGCATCGTTGCTCTCTTCGAAGAGATAGGCGTGGGAGCGGAGCTGGAAGTAGAGGTACATCACGTAGATGATGAGCAGGATGATGGATGTGCCGTGGGACAAAATCAGTACGTTGTCACGTGCGCTTTGCTCGGATTTGGACAGGGCTGCGTAGAGGGTGGCTGGGATGATCAACGAGGCGGATGCCACTGCCATCAGGGAGGACATGGTGGAGGCGACGGTACTGTTGAAGGACTGCTCACGGTGACGAAGACCACCCACCAAGAAGCAGCAACCCAGGACCAAAAGGATATTGGAGAGAATACTACCCAGCATACTGGCCTGAACGACACGGATCTGGTTGTCCTTGAGAGCAATAATGCTGACCTATAGTAGCATCAAGTTATCAGCATTCCCTTCATCTCAAACCTAGCAAGCCATCTCCAAGAATTCAAAGACAAGCAACCGCTTACAATCAACTCAACAGCATTACCAAAGGTAGCATTCATCAAACCACCCAAGGCCTGGCCCATCGTGGCAGCCAACTCCTCCGTTGCAAAGCTCAGCAGGGAAGCAAGCGGAATAATAGCAAAGAAATTAAGCACAAAGATAGCACTCGAATCCCAACCGAGCGCCCCCGCAATAATTCCCAAGGGAACAAAGACCAAAAGAATGTTCACATAATCGCGGACCAGAGTCAACCAGGTCAAACGCACGACCTGTCTGGGCCAACGCACCCAGACACGATCATCCCCGGGATGATGGTGGTGACCACCATGCTCCGTCTGCTCATGCGGCGAGAGGCCAGAGAAGGAAGAGGAGTGTCCAATATGACCCAACAGGGCGGTCCGCTCACCAGCCTCAACGCCGCCATTGCTAGAGGAACTCATTTTCCTAGTGGGCCCGAAGCTATAGCTCCGCACTTGCGAGCGAAACCCAACGGACGCTAAAAGAGCGGGGAACCGGGAAGAGATATGTCAGCGAGAGGTGCAAAGGGTAAGTCGCCAGTTGCACAGGATCATTTGGGGGGAAGGGGCGGAAGGAGGGATGATGGTGGCGATAGACCGGACCAGGAGGAAGGGAAAGAGGAGGAAAGTCAAGTCCAGTCCAGAGGAAGAGAGGAGATGTGGACCTACACATATTCTTGCTTTTCAAACGTGAGCCACGAGCCAAGCCTTGAAACCACGTCCAAGGAAGTCAAATGGAGGAAATTGGCGGGGGTTCCAGCCACAAATCCGTGGTTCCAGTCGTTTTAATTTGCGACTGTGACGGTACCGAGCGGAGGAGGAATGCCCCGTGGTGGAAAAAGGGCAAGCGCAAGGACCAGGTTTGATGACGGAGGACTGGGAAGGTGGATGGGATGGGATTGGGAGCGATGGAGAAGCGATGGAGAAAACTGGAGGTGCACAGCCTCGATTTGTCGTTGCAGCATGGGGACACTAGAGAGCTTGGGAGGAATCAGATTATTGGAAACTGGAAAATGGAGAGCTGGGGAGAAGCTCGGACGCGCATCGGACTCCACTTGGGACGGGTTTGGACCTTTGGAGGGATGGCGATTGGGTCCGCTCGGGGCCAAGGAAATGCACTGCCACACAATGACACAAGCTAGACGATGCCAAGCAGTATACGAATCAGACAATAATCCACTAACAGTGATAGTATAATAATATGTGGCTGGTCATTTTGAGACGAGGGGTATTGACAAGACAACAAAGTATAGACTGACTGACGAAGCCAAACTATGCAGAGATAGGAACTATAGTAGAGGCAACATGGTATCTATCTCATAAAACCCCTCACAAACAAGAAACGAGTCCTCCGATCCATAGATCATCGCAAACAAAAAAAGACAACAAATAGAAAAGAAAGAAAAAGAGGTTGACTCAAAAGGGGGAGAATCCAAAGAAAATGAAAAAAAAAAAAAAAGGGAAGGGAAAAGTTACATCAAAGGAGTAGTAAGTCACATCAAGAAGAGAAGAGAAAGAAGGAAGGAATTGAAGAAAGAAGAAGAAGAAGAAGAAGGGAGCGTCAACATGAAAAGTCTGGGTATGTAGAAAAAAGAAAAGGTGGAAAGCTGTAACCAATACCGACACTACTACTCCTCTTGCAAGGTGCCGTTAGCTTTAAAATCCATACGACTAGTCTTCCGACCAACCCCCTTCAAAAGACTAAACCGCCGGAACACCGAATCGCGCATGCCATTATTGTTGGGTAGATTATTGACCGGCTGCGCAGACACCGACGCCAGCGACGCCCCGTTCAAGCTGCCGGCCAAGTCACGACCAGTGTGGGCACTGTCCCGGGTCACTGGGCGCGCATAATCGCGCGTAGAAGGGATGGTAGACCATCCTCCACTCGACGCAGGGGTTGGTCGCTCGGATGGGGAGCCGACAGCACCGGTGGCAGTTGGTCCACGATGCTGCGAGCCCGCGCGGCTGCGTCCGTCGTGGGACTGGGCGGCAGTGTCGCGGGATGCACTCCGTGAGGGACGCTTCTTGGGCGATGTGCCGTGAACCTCCTCACTGACAGCAGCCACGGATGGAGAGGAGCCCTGCTTAATCTTTTCTCCGCCGAACCAGCTGCGCCGCTTGTCACTCTTACCACCTCGGGATTGACTCGTGGCTCGGCTGTGGATAGTGGCGGTGTCGTCCTCGGTACCCTCCTCGAGGTCACCTGTGCCATTCTGAGCCTTCTCCGGGGATTGCTGGATGGTGAAAATAGAGTTCGAGGCACCGTGTGACCGCTTGAATGGGTTGATAATGCTGATCCGATGGCTGACCGACTGCCGTTCTGAGCGCTTACGGTTGTGTGTATTACCCCGGGATGCCCGGATAAGTTCTTGTTCCGGGCTGACGGAGCGCTGCACAGCCTGTTTAAGACGCGTCTCTGTTGAGGGGGACCGATGAGAAGGCTGTGTGGGAGTTGGTGATGAGAATTCCGGCGGGGTAGTCGAGAGGGATGCAAGTTCAGGCTCAAAGGCCGTCTCGAAACGACGCAGGAGCTCGGCCTGGGTAGCTTGTTGAGCTGGGCGCTGATAAAGGGAGAGCGCGTGCTTGATGGCCAAGGCATGGTCGATAAGAGCAACTGCAAGAGCATTCTCCATTGGGTCCATGGTCTCTGGCTCCTCCTCTTCCTCATTGATCTCGGCATCAGCGTCCTCAGTCTCTGCCGTTTCACCCTCATTGCTTTCCTTGGTACCTTGAGGACCACCCAAGAAAGCGCGGTAAACCGCAACGCAGTTGGACGGTGATGATCGCATCTCAAGCAACTGTTCCAGCGCCTCGGTCAAATTCGACAAGCCATTGTCCTCGCCCGATGCCGCCCGACGCTCCAGAATCTGCAATTCCTGTGTCTTGCGCCATGTCCGTTCGATGGCAGTCTGCAGGGGAGACAGGGCGACCTCCTTCACAGCAATAATCTCGCTGCGACGAAGGATATTCGGGAATGGCTCCGCAGTACTAAAGATAAGTTTCTCAACGTACTGCTCACGCACATCCGAGCTGTTGGTGTGTCGCCGAGAGGTGGCCGAGAAGCGAGTTGGCTCCGAGATCAGCAAATGTTCGCGAACGGACCCAGGCACCTTCGATCGTTGATAGACGGAATGAGAAATGTCACGATGGGCCGTGACACCGGTGATCTGAAGGAACTGGCCCTCGTAGTCAGGGATCTCACCCGACGACATGATCTGCGCAGTAGGGTGCTCCCGTTGCATACGATCCACGAACGATGCCATGCGCTCCGTGGGGGAACCTTCAAAGATGAACTCCTTATCCCGGAGGCTAGGCGGGAATCCGAGACCCTTGTAGACAACGCGGAAGTACCGGGGGAATTGCTTGGTGCCCTTGGCGACAGAGTCGTAGATACGAGCCATAGAGCTCTGCGCCCGGGATAACTTCGCAAAGTCCATTGTCGTGCTCTCGTAGTGTGCTGCGAGTTCTTTGTAGCAAGCCAACGCAGGGGACCAGGCCATGGCGTTCTCAAAGTGCTGGATGATCGAAAAGTACAAAGACTCCTTTCGCTCGAACGCAGTCTGTGCTGGGAAGGCCGGCGTCATCAGCTCGGGAAGAGGCTTGTTAACATCCCACTCGTAAAGGTCAGCGTGGAACTGGAGTGCCAGACCAGCCTCGGTGAAGTTGTCACAGGCGGCCTGGTGGTCGGCGAGTTCATGAACGTAACGAATGAAGATATCCTCACGACCCATGTCCTTCATGTACTCCATCAGCTTCAGTGCATGCAGACTTTGGGTCGAGGAACTGCTCTGTGAGGCAACCAGAAGGTCGAGCAGTTCATCAACGGTGGCAATGAGACCCTTGACAGCATTGAACAAATCCTCGTCAGATTCCACATCCCCTTCAAATAATTCCAGTAGCTCGCCAATAAAGATCTTCTGGCTGACGCTCTCGCTCATATGCTTGACCTTGAAGAGTGAGTCTAGACTAGAGATGATCTCGGTCTCGATGATAGAGATGTCCTGGTTCAAGTCCCACTCACTGAGAATCATCGTCCGGAGAATGTGAACGGCAACATGACGAAGACCCTCGTGCACGCTCAAACACAGTTCAATGATTGGGGGCACCAGATTAGGTACATACTGAACCTGATACCCACCCAGCTTCTTCAGACTGAATCGTTCTCTTTCCTCATCGGTCGTGTCCCAACCAATTGCATCCCATGTAGATTGCAAAAGGTCGGCACCCTGCTCACGAACATCACCCGCAATCTTCCAGACCGCGCGGCGCTTCTGCTCGGGGAATGTTTCCAGGGCTAGGGCATCACTAGAAATCACCTTGAGCACCGTCGTGAAGAATGACTCCCAGAGATTTGTATCAAAGTCGTCGGCGTCATCAGCATCAGGAAGCAATTTGTCAATCAGGAGCAGAGCAAGGTGCTCCAAACTCTTGATCGTTGCACGATGGTTATACACGTGAATACTGAACCAGGTCTCCGGATAGGCCTCGCAGTCGAGGATAGAGTTGTGGGCCTCGAGAGCCTGGCCAACAAACGTTGCTAGCTCCAGCTCCTTCAGGTTGGGAGTCTTGGGAGACACGATCTTAGAAATGGCTGCCATGATGGCCGACAACTCGACCAAGGCTTCATCGAATTTCTGAGGGGTCTTGGAGACCTTGACTTGGAAGGGGAAAGACTTGCTGAAGAGCAGGGACAAAAACTCCGTATCATCCACCCCCTCCGCAGAAATAGCACAGTAAGAGGCAACAATGCTCGGCATGAAATCGTAAAGCTGAGGATGAAGCTGGTTCAGCAACTGAGCCACAATTGCACTGCTGAGGCGAACCTGGTCGCGGTACTGGTCAGAGACGCTGGTAGTAGAACCCCAGTAGGGTGCCAACCAGCCCACACAGCTAGAAATTAGAGTCTGTCTCTCCTCTCCGGAGGAGAAGATTTCAAACTGGGTGTAGCTCTGGATCAGAACCAGCTTGTAAAGAACCAACATTCCCGTCACATCCTTGCAGGAATCCATGAAACTCAAAGCAATCATAATCATCTCATCGCGGCCAAGGACCTTGGAAAGTTCAGGTAGCCATGAGTGGAAGTGCTGCACAATCAAGGTCTTGCTTCCGACCAAAGCTGGAGAGGTGTTTTTCATGAGACTTTCCATAGACTTGAAGATCGTGTGCAAGTCTCGGTTGAAGGTCGACTGAACCGAGGTAATTCCGATACCCTCTTCCTTTGCTTTTTGCTGCTCGCGGGCATTAATGATGAACTTGAGCAGGTGTCGTCCGACCTTGAACGCGGCACGGAGATTGCGGGACTGGTGGACATCAGTGGCAGCATTCAGTAGGCGCAGGTAGCTCCGAATCAGGCATGGCGTAACAAAGGGGAAATTGAATTGCTCATCCGCATAGTGGTCAACCAGAGGGCCCAGGTTGAACCGTCGGTCATGAACGATGCCGAGTACAGTAACCAGGTTTTTGAAAATTAGATCTTCGTATTCTTCGTTGCCAGCATTCTCCACCAAAATACCGAAGAGTGCGTCGAAAACTCCACGTAGTTGCTTGACAATCTCCATTTCGGGAACGAACAGCAAGCGCTTGAGGGTATTAAGTACTTCGTCGACAGGCCGCTCTTTCCAGTTCATAAGGCTCAAGATGACCTGATCCTGTGAGTACTCCGTGCTGCAGAGGTGAGTCTGGAGGCGCAGAGTTGCCAAAGGTCCTGTAACCGCTTCGTCCTTGGCCGACTCGTTTTTGCCCAGGGCACTCCACGGAAGGTTCAAGTACGCTCCCTTGCCGTTCTCGAGGCTGGATGTCTGCTTGTCATAGGCATGGAGCAGCAGAGAATGCTGGCCATCTCGGATGAAAGCCTGCTGGTCCCAGAGAGGCATCCACGCTAAGGCAAACGGGAATTCTGGCGCATCGGCAACGCTCATAATCATGTGCGAGCCGGGAATTTTCTCGGTGGGAATGTTCAGGCGAATAGTTTGATACCAGGGCGTACCCCGTTCGGCAATTGTCGTCCGCCACGCGGTGTGTGAAGTATGGGCGGATGAAGGGTAGACGCATTTGTCCACCCGCGCACCAGACGCATCGCGAACTTCTAGTGTGAGCTGGAGGTTGCGAAGATCGGTAGTTGGCTGCAGAGGAATCTGGCCAGCTGTTGGGTGAGACAGAAGGGCATCTGTAGGGAAGACAGCTTGCGAAATCGTCACGTAGATATCTGACCGCGGCTTGGTGGGGGCCTTGGAGAAACCGATGCGGCGGGTCTGCACAACATCCTGAAGGATTGTTGGGTTCTGACGCACAAGGGCTTCCTGGTCGGTACTCGTGAAGGGATGCAGATTTATGTGCAGACGAGCGGTATTAGCACGTACATACCGACCGTTCGGGCTAGGGAGAAGGGTATGAAGTAGCTTTTCAAACCCATCAGGGTGTCCCTCGCCTTCTTCACCTTCATGGGAAGGAGACCAGATGTTGATGACAGATTCCGTGTCCCGGTCTTGTCGTAAAATCGGAGACACCTCCAGGATACCCACACCAATGGTCCGTATGGTAGAGCTCTCTTTGATAGTGGCAGGCTGGGGTGTGTTTGGCTCTTGCGGGGCGGACGAGCTGCTCGATGACCGCGGAGCTCCTGAGGTAGCAGACCTGGGTGTTTGATCCAGACTGGGAGAGCCCCGAGACTTAGGTGCCCACATCATGCTGCGCCGAGTTCGCAGACTGCCTTTGACCGATGGCTGGATTCCACCAGCAGCGGCTGGTTTTGAAGCACTGGACCCTTCGCGTGATATCGACGATCTTGAGACGGGTGTGTTATCAACGGTTGATCGAGACTCTGCTGCACGCACAGAAGCAACGACATATAGCTGGCGACCATTCGGGGATCCATCCCCGATATCCGTTGCAGCGAGTTCCGTGAAAAGCGTTTTCAATTTGTTGCTCTGTGTCAAACTGACAAACTTGTCAGGAGAGGGAATATCCAGGCTGTATGTTTCAGACAACGGATTGAATGCGCCAGAGTCGGACCGCGAATACAGCTGGATCCCGAGAGAAACAGGTCCAGGGGCATTGCCTGACACTGCGTTGATTTCCAACAAGAGGTGGTTCAGAGCAGTCGTGTCAGAATGGGTAACCGGGCTGCTATCGAGCATGCTCATTTCAGACTGGAGCTTTGCGAGTTGAATGGCCGAATCTTCACCCGTCAACAATCGACCTCGCTGCTCAGGATCCCGTACGATAGTATCCCCGCTCAACATTTTGTTGGCTCTCACAAGCTTCCAGACTGTCTCATCCCGAAGTGCCTCCTTCTCTTTACCAGTCAACACATTGTGCAGCAATTGGCGTCTAGCGAAATCCAGCTCTTGGACGATTGTCGACATTTCCTCCAACACATCATACTGGCGAGCCAGTAGCAGCTCGTGCAAGTTTGTCGAGTGCCATTCACGCAAGCAGGAGGCGATTTCGTCGACCAATGGCTCCGTTAGCGACGTGGGCGTCTCGTCGCCAACTTTAAGCATCGGCACGGGGGCAGCGGGCTTCGGCGCATCGGGGTCGCGGGGAGTCAAAGTCACGGGCGTGTGCGGTATCGATCCGGTTCGGAAGGTATGCGCAGATGGCGGATTAGATAGATCGGACTCGTCTATTTTGTGAATCACAATCTGTGCTGGTTTGCCCTTCTTAGCGACTATCACGTCCGACACCTCGCCGCCGGCCTGGGATTCGGTGACCGAGTAGGCCACACTGCTGCGCGACACTAGATCGGTCTCTGGTCCCGATAGACCTGGCAGGGTCAAACGATCTACGCTCTTCCGATCGCCATTGAGTAGAGCTTTATATCCTTCGCCGTCGCCGAGAACTTCCCGGATCTCGACACAGTTCCGCGGGAAGATACCCGAGAAGACGCGGGCCTCCAGTGTCTGACCCTTGGTACTCGTCAAACCCGCCAGCAATGACGGTGGCGCAACAAGATAACCGCGACACCATTCGCCATTTGAACCGCCCTGTTCAATAATATACAATTCATCGCCAAGTTCGAGGGGGAGGTCCGCGGGAGAAGAGGGGTGGAACGGGTAGATGGCCACCGCAAAGGCGATGCGAGGCAGTGGCCGCCAGGGCATGGCGGCGACGGCGCGACTGGTCTAAGCCGGCGCTATCTGAACAGACTCGGCCACGAGCTTCGGCGCTCAGGATTGAGATCCAATCCCCGCAATGGGCGGCGGACTGGGGAATTCCGATCGCAAGAATTCCAAATCAAGGGAGGGCCGGGGGTGGAGGTTCGCGAGTCACGACGCGAGAATGTTGGTCTGGTCAATGGAACGCGACATACAGGGAAGATTCCAGCTCGTTGGGTCCGGGGAAAGAATTCGAGAGGAATGGGTTGTGCGATCGAAGGTATGCGACAGCTCGAGAGATCTAGCGGGTCATTATTAGGAGGCAGGAGTTTGATGGTGGTGGTGGTGGTGAGTATGTATCAATCGGCATGGGGCAGTTGGGGGCCAAAGGGGGAGGAAGGGTGTTTGAAGAAGAAGCAAAAGCAGGTGCAGACGATCGAAACAGTTGGCACGATCCCTCGACACCGCAATCGACGCCTCGAAGGGTCCAAAGAGTCGCATTGGGTAACCGTGCCCCCCCCCCCTTGCGAAACCTTTCGCGTTGTGGAGACGATGGGCGAGGAACAGTGGGGAAGAAACCAGGGGCATTGCTGGAAGAGGAGGAGGAGACTCACAGTTGAACAACGGGCAAGTACACACACCGCATGGATTAAAGGAAAGAAGATCGAGAAGAATCAACCGAGTGTAAGAAAAGAACGGGGAAGAGACGAGAAGAAAGAAAAAGATCCCCGAGATCGCAAATCAGCGATCTTCACTTTCTCTCCCCACACCGACCGCTGGGATGACCAGATTCATGCTTAGCCCAATTGGCAAGCCCGTGAGTTTCGGCTGGAAAGGATAGCTACTGCTAGATGTGATCGCGACTGGCCCAGTGCAATTGGCCGGTTCTCATACTGATATTTAAGTTTCTTATCTGTCAAATGGGACTTTTGTGCAATCCCCGAGTTATCGCAAGAAGGTCGCTGGGAGGGAGTACTTCCCCTGAGTCTTCCTCGGAACAACCCCGTCCGGCCAATCTATGCTTCATGAACGGTCAATTACATATGCAGTCCTCTCCCGTAACCCTAGGATTCATTTTTGCCTGTTATCTACGGACTACTATGTGCAGTATCACTGGTTTCATCAGGGAGTACAATACAGAGGAGGCCAATTAAACTGCTCGTCTCGAGTCGCGCAAGCACAGATCAGAGCCTGCCCCTGAGATGGAGAAATGGAAACCGGTGGGCCGATCATTGGGCAGGCGCCCAATCATCATGCGCCGGGACGAGGAAGGACAGTTCCAAGGTTGGTCCGATGAAGAGTTTAAGAATTGGGGACTAATGACCAAGGATGGAGAATCCGAACGCGGATCGTATACGCTGGATGAAGAAAGCGAGGACACACGGCAACACTGGTATATCTTCGACTGGCTGTAAATATGACACGAAGAACGGCAAATCCCAATACGCCCAGCTGAGGTGACCCAAATGTCCGCTGCGATCCCCAAACATGACAAGAAACGTCCAAAGCAAGAGGGGGGAAAACATGAAAAATTTCTAGAGAAATCACAAGATTAATGAGGAGGGCATTTATTTCCGGAACATGGTCACGGCATCCTCCTTGCGCCATTCCATCTCCAACTGTCCCTCGTACACCGTATCGATAATGTGCCGAGTGCGGTCCCAGGCATCCTCGTAGCGAAGCTCGCACTCATGGAGGACCTTCAGCACCAGGCTGCGACTGAGACCAGGGTCATCGGCATCGCCAAAGTGCTTCTCAACTCGCTTCTTGAGCATCTCGACGCCTCGCTTGATTTCCTTGGCGTCATACGAGGAGAGCACCTTCTTGGCCACCATGCGGGAGTGGCTGGCGCGCGCGGCAATCTCTTCGGGGGTGCCATTGTCCTGCAGGGCCTCAACGGACTGGATAAAATCAACCAGTTTGCCCAACGGCCGATGGATGACGGCGTCGAGATAAAGTTTCATATGCTCGTCAAAGTCTTGGCGCGCTCGGTCCACCCACCGTTCGAGCACTGGCAGGCTGTGCACATCAACCTCCTCAACGTAGTGGTTCATATTCTCAATGAGTAAAATGTGGTAGTTCAACACCTCCTTGTCCTCGGGGTCTCCAGCGCTGGCAGCCACAACTGGAGGCTGACCGGGCGCTTCCTTGGCGATAAACTTGAGCGACTCCCACATGGCCCGGTTGATGCGGTCGTAAGCATCGTTGACGCTCACGCGCATGTCACCGGTCTCCGCAGCCGAGTTGGCCAGCATGTTTTCAACGGCTGTGGAGAAGTTGGGGAAGACTCGCATAAAGGAAATGACACCCTTTCGCTTGTTGACCTTGACCTTGGTATCTTCGATGCCGCGGATCTGCTCATCCACGAATCGATTAAACAAGCCCATCAATCGCGAGTGGACCTTCTGTAGGGAGTGAATGATGAACTCTTGATTAGTGTCGTCGAGGTCAGTTATAGCTGACTCGAGAGCGGATAGGATACCAATGCCTTGCCTAAAGGGAGGCGTATGCGTTAGCTGTGTGAACAGCACCCACTCAATGAAGAAGGTGGAGATCAAACTTACATCGGATCGGCTTGCACCGCCCAATCCACCATACTCTGCAGGTCATTGGGCCAGAAAGAGTAGATTTCATCCATGATCTGCTCAACGCGTTTCGCCATCTGGCGGTCGGGGTCAGGGGAATGTTTGACTGTAAAGTCGGGGCATTGGCGATCATATGGGCTTGCAGCAGCCACCAAATCCGAAAAGTCGGCGGTGGCAAGAGAATCGAGGTGGAAGAATTGGACAACAAAGTTCTGCTCGTCCGTAATCATATGAAGTGTCTCTTGTAGGCCTGAAGCAAATGCCTCGCACGGCTCCATTTTGCTGGTGGGTTTCTTTTCACTTGAAGCCAAGCGCAGCCCAGTTGCAGCTCGGATCGTCTTGCCGCGACGAACGGTCAACTTTCGGGCAGCCATAGTGATTCCTTCGCCCTCCTTCTCTTTCTCCTGGTGGGTAAAGAGAAGTTCCTGCTCCTCTCCGGTGGGCTTGCGGGCCACTTTCTTCCACGCTAGTGTGTTCTCGCGGAAATCATTCTGGTACGACGGCTTGGATTGTTGCTCGTAAAGCTGAACAAGGTCGTGCCATTCTGACGAGCTGACTTCCTTCGCAAAGAGCATCAACGGATTATATCTCCACACTTCTTCACGGAACTTCTGTCGTGCGGAGCCGTCCAGCTTCATGGGGTCTCTGGGCGAGCCAACCACGGCATCGGCTCGTTTCTGTTCCGCCGTCTTGAAGGAGACCGCCATGAATGGTTTCAGACGCTGAAGGAACGACAAGGCAGCTTGGCGGTACTCGCCCTTCCTCTCCTTGATGGCACGCATTTGGCCAATCTCGGTATTTGCGTAAACGCCCATGCTGGCGTCTGCTTGCCTCTTTTGATTTTGCCCGATATCAGCATCAATCATCAGCATTGCCTTATATAGGGTCGAGAGCGCGGTTTCAGTCTCCTTTAACCCATCCGGGTTGGTCAAAGAAGCCTCTCTAAGGGGACGGATATCGGACGGAGAAATCGACAGGGTTTTGAGCAGAGTTTGTAACTCGTTCTGAAGAAGCTTCTGGTTGGCAGTCTGCACCTGCAGACCTTGAGATTGAGCTTCGATGTATGCGACATCATCATTTAGAGTGTTCAATTCATGCGAGTAGAGCGTAAGCAAGCCGTCCAACTCTTCGCACTCTTCGATGGTTTTGTCGATCAAGACCGCCAGTTGTTCAACCTTGCCTTCTTGCTGTTCAAGGTTACCCAGCCAGCTGGTTGCTTCAACGCGGCCTATCTCCCGACGGACGTCGGCTTCCAAATCCTCAATCTTCTGCTCATCACCCAGTCGCCCATTCCATCCCAAATCAGTCAAGATATCATCGAAGTCAATACCGCATCCATCCAAGACATTGGGGTCGATCCCCAGAGATTGGCAGTATTTGATGGTGTGATCTTCGCGGCGTTTCCGACGACGAGCCTGAGCACCCGGCGAGGGACTTTTGGTATGGCTTTCGACTTTTGTGAGTTCGGACAGAGAATCTTTAGATTCTCCTGCTGCCGGTGCAGGTTTCGAAGGAGGGAAGGAATCCTCATCTGGATGTTGTGTGATTTCAACAGTCGGCGTCACGGGCTGCGGACTGACAGTCGCGGGTGGCGCTGATGCTGGTGACACTACCGATTTCTCTCGGTCTTCTATTTCGTCCGCAGAAATCTTCGTTATATCATTGGCAGATCTGGATGGAGCAGGAACAACCCCGGTGATACCATCGGGACCCATAGCCGAGGCTTGTTGTTTCTTGGCTGCTGCGAGGAGACGCTCGCCAGCTCCACCAGGGCGTGGTTTGAAGGCACCATAGGTATTGGCAGCCTTCCGGAAAGCACTGGCAATGTCCTTTGCAGATTTTTTCTTGATCATTGGGCCTAACCCAGGGCGATGTGCCTCTGTTTCCTCATCCGCTGCCTTCGAGGGACTGGTGACAGTCTCATCTTTCGAAGTTCCAGCTTCCACCATGGGGGGTTTGGATATTTCTTCAGACGCCGCAACAGGCGCAACCACTTCAGGCTCGACAACTGGTGGTGAATATGGAGCTTCTGCTTCAGGCGGGGGTGCAGGCTTAGCTACCTCCACAGCAGCTGTAGGGGCGGTGGTGGTATCTGGTGCAGGCTCTTGAGCCGCTGCAGAAGCTTCCTCGGGTACATCGCGATACGGAGACTTCTGACCAATGGCGCTTCCGGGGCTTGCATTGATGCCTCGGTTCTCACTGGTAAACGACCCAGGTGTCGTGGGCCGCAAAGCATCTGTACTGCGCTTAGGTTCCAAAGGTCTTGGTTCGGGTGCTCGAGCCGCGAGAAGTGATGGTGGAATTGCTGCACGGCCATCCCGCGAGGATGGAGGTCGAATTTCGTCTTTTGTATGGCCCTGCTTAGGTTCATCTCCAGCATGCAAGAGCGTCGTGGGAGGCTCTCTACTCTTCGGGTCCGCTCGCGGTGGTGTATTCTGAGGCGGTCCGAAGGGGGAGGGGGCTGGTTTTGAAGCAGTGGACGGACGGTTCATCTGTTCACGGCTCTTTTGAGATCGAAGAACAGGATCCTCGAATGGCCTTTGCTGAACCTCGCGAGCTCCATCGCGACTCGGATCACGGTTAGACGATGCTTGCAGCGCGGGTGGATGTTGAGGAGGCGAAGGAATCTCCGTCGAAGGCTCAGGACCACCCCACGACCCCGGTGGAGCGGGGCCTGAAGGCGCCGAAGGACCTGGAGAACCTACAAGGAGTTGTCTTTCTCTCTCATCAAACCCAATGAGGTTCGGCACTTTGCCTCCGGTATATTTCTTGTAGATCTTCACCAGACTGCCAATGAAGAACTCCTTTTCCTTGGAGCTTCTGGCATGCCAATAATACGGCTTGCCCACGCTCACCACGAATCCAACACTTCCAGCCCACTCCTTATGCTGCTGTTCGGCTGGTGACTTTGGTACAAAAGCGCTGTAAGATTGAATTCCAGTAAGATCGTCCAGCATCCACGTCTTTCCAATTGAGAAGGTGCCATCATTATTCTCACGGGCTTTGTGCATTCGAACACGGCCTGATCTTCGAACGGAAACTATAATGACGCGAGGTTTCTTGTTCACCGGAGCTGAGTCCGGTGGGGCAGGGGTCGAGGGGTACGCCGCATCTTCGATGATGCGGACGTGCGTAATATAGGATTCAATCACTACAAGCAAGCAGACAGTCAGTTGGCAAGTCAATAATACACTCCTTCTGGGTCCGGCGGTATCAAAGCATTTGTTGAGTGACAGAGTAACCACGTTGAGCTCGGCCGGTTAGGCTGGCTAGGTGCTCCTATTCCCTAGGCAGGGAGGGGGAGCATCGCTTTCGTGGCCGCAAAGGGGCAGATGGGGACTTTTCACGTACAAGTTCCATCAGTATCCTTCTTAGAGTAGCAACTTTGAATGATGCGCTTCTTCTCGTCCTCGAACTTCTCGGCCCTGGACATGGTATCTCCGGAGCCGGAGCCGGAGCCATTGCGAGAATCTGCTACGCGCCGCGCATCATTCGTCGCCGGTGAACGGAGACGCTCACGGCCGTTCATCATGGAGTCTCTTATCAAGCGGGGGGTCGCCGGGTTCGTTTGTATGATCCGCAAATTCAAGGAGACATGGTCGGGATATCGGCGTAAGTCTACCGGTAGTCTCTCTCGCGCGCGGTGCTAAGAGCTAAATTGAGGTCCGCAGTGTAAACACACAGGCCCGATGTTCAATCTCTGTGAGCAAGGGCGCAACGAGGTGTCTCGTTAGATGCAATGCCAAGTGGGAGGAGTCGGGGATGGATTAGCTCATTATGTTTGGGGTTGCGGGCCGGGCGGAGAAAGCTCGTGGGGACAAGTCATTGGTCTGGTCCGGCTGTCACGGAGACTTGGAGCTTTCGTATCAGCCTCACTGCGAGGAGCAAGAATATCTACTAGTCTCTCTGTAGCTCTCTTCTCTAGTTCAATTTTCTCTTGATCTTATCTTCTTAGTACCTCACTCATACACTTATACTTGCAACGAAACTGTCAGGCACCGCAGCACCAACACACAGTCACGTGCAGGCCACATCTGGATTACCGCCCGCCTGCTACTGTCTTATCCAGCAGTTCCACCAACCACCGTCTGTCATACGCTCACCGCCTTGGATATAGTTTTTTTCTTCCACTTTTTTTTGGTTCCTGGAAGGTGCTTTCTAAATAGTTCAATTTCCATCTTCGTGGCAATCTGCTCCACGGTCATTTCTATTGATCGCACAGCTTGGGACGCATTTCTCGTTTCGATCAGAACCCATGGCCCTTTCGAAGAAGGCTTCGACCAAAAAGGTGAGCAAATCCCCCGCTACACCGGAATCACAGCAGAATATTGTTCTAACTTTACTTTGATGGACAGGTCGAGAAGAAAACCAACGCCCTCCCTCCCCAGTTGCTCGCCGCGGTCGCTTCTTTCCTCTCCAAGAATGGCTTCTCTGCTACCAGCACTGCATTCGCCGACGAGTTGAAGAAGAATGGCAACGCCAAGGCCGATGCCAAAAATGCCCCGTCTTTGGTCGAACTCTTCCAGACATGGGACAAGATTTCCAAAAACGCCGAGAGTGACAGCAGCTCCGACTCTGGCAGTGACAGTGACAGCGACACCAGTGACTCCGATGTTAGCATGGGAGATGCTCCCAAGGCCCGATCTGCATCTCCGTCTTCTTCCTCTTCCTCTTCGAGCTCCGACAGTGACGCAGATGATGAGGAAGATGCTGCGGCTCCCACTCCTGCCCCCGCAGCCAAGAAACCCACTGGTGTGAAGCGCAAGGCCGAGTCAAGCAGCTCCTCCTCTGAGTCTAGCTCGGAGTCGGACTCTGAGGATGAAGCTCCCAAGACGAAGAAGGCTAAGGTCTCCAAGGCAGAGTCTTCGTCCGACTCTAGCTCTGAATCTTCGTCCGACTCTGATGCCGACTCTAGCTCCAGCAGCTCGTCCAGTTCCAGCTCTAGTTCCGATTCGGATTCCTCCTCCGACTCGTCCGACTCCGAATCTGAGGAAGAAACCACCAAGAAGGCCGACGCGAAGGTTCTGAAGAAGGCCATGAAGACTCCTCTTCCCGCGTCTTCCAGCTCTAACAGCTCCAGCTCTTCCTCGGATAGCAGCTCTGACAGCTCTGACAGCTCTGATGAGGAGAAGAGTGGTGGCGTTGCTGTTTCCGGTAACTCCTCCTCCGATACCAGCGCAACAATGTCTGCCTCTCCCGCTGCCGAGAGTAAGCCTGTGAAGCAGACACAACCCTCTTCTTCCAGCGCCAGCCCCGCACCTGGAAATGGACCGTCCAAGAAGAAGCACGTTGGCGCCCGTCCTACCCCCTGGCCACTTTGAGCCAGCAGCCCTATGAAGCCGTCTCCAACGAATATGTCCCTTATGCCTACGCAGAGCGCGCCTATGCCGATCTCTCGGTAACTCGTGGCAAGGGATTCACGAAGGAGAAGAACAAGAAGAAGCGTGGTTCCTACCGTGGCGGCCCCATCGATATCGCGGGCGGCAAGTCCTTCAAGTTCGACGACTAAACGATATTTCCATGCCGCTACTCCAATTGCTTTCTTCATTTGGTTATCGCCGATGCCAATACAGGCTCCAATAGCTTTCTTCCGGAACATTCTCAACAGCGGAGGTTGCTCTATCGCTGATGGGCTTTCATTCTTGTTTCCTGGTTTTTGTCTGAGATGGGTTCGACACGCAAGCGGGCTTACTGTAACGTGGTGTTACAGCCTTCAATGGTCATATCATGCCGCTAACTCACTTCGCTCCCCTTGGATAAATGACCCTTTTTACCCAGCATGGCGCTTACGGAGCTTCGGACGAATTTCTCTTATCCTGCGATTTGCTCTCTACATATTTGCTTGCATCAGCTAGAATACCACTAAAAGTTGAAAGTCTCTAGAATCATTTGGCTTTTCTTCATCTAGAGCTATTGAAATGGTCTATGCAAGGACGCCGTATACTCCTAACCATCCTGTCGCCGCCAGGCCCCGGGCTTTTCCAGAGCCTCCCACCGATGATCCCAACCAGTCACCACATTCCTTCGAACACCATCGAGCTCAAAATTCCAAGAGCCGTGTTGTTTCCTGAGCTTCGACGTAGTAGTCAAATCACGTGGGTCCGGTCTCTCATATCCCGCCACCGTGAAGAAGCTGGACCCATCTGCTGGTTTCATCTCTGCATCAAAGCCAAGATTGAGATTGCAATCATACCATTCCTTCGCTGGTCCGGTTAAATCATCCGTGGATGCAAAGTCAAGCCGGATGAGCCCGCCTGCTACGCCGGTATAGACAGTTGGGGAGGACGCCGAGGGCACGGACATGCTGTATATCGGGCCTCTGTATGGATAAGCGGCCACTCTACGCCGACGGGAGGTGATGTGTCGGTGGAAGACAGCGGGTGGCTGGGCAGAAAGGAAAATGTTGAAATCTTTGCTTGGATATTGACCGTGGTTATGGGCAATTGGTGCGTTGCTAGGGGCTTTCGGCCGAGGGCCTTGGGCTTCGAGGTAACTGTAACTGGTGCAGCGCAGGTCGAACAGTTTGATTAGGGCATTGCCCCCAGATCCAACCAGGAAACGGTCGTGTCCGAACGCGCGCACGCTGTATATGAAGTTGTCATCCGTGGGGTCTTCGTATGTTGTTTCGTAAGACCGGGGAGATCTAAGATCGTGAAGGCTGGACACTGAATCAGTTGACTATTCAAAAGCAGAAGAGAGTTATAGAGTCGTACCGGACAGCACGGTCACCCCATGCAGCGAGGAAAACATCACCGGGTGACCCAGCCAATGGGTGGTTGTTGAGAGGTGCGATGGCGCTGATGGCCTGGCAAGTATAATGGCCCAATTTGTCATCCACGTCCAGGGAAGAGATACCGATTGTATCTTCCGTGAAGATTCCGTCTTGTGCGATTCTTGAAATGACTAGAGAATTTTTGTCGTCCATAGTAGCCACGGCAATCCGCGATGATGAGAGCAGCTTCGCTTTCCGGCCGCGCGAAGATCGGTCAGGGCGAATCCAAGCGAACGGTTGGACATCTTCGGCGTCGGTACCAGTATGATAGAGCGCAGTCGAGCCTTGAAGAAACTGAGCACACAGTATCGGATTGGAACCATGCATCAAGTCTGTCTCATCGAGCTCCAACCCTTCGGTTCGAAATGTCTTTTTGTATTCGTAGCTGGCGTCGGTTATGGAGAGTGCGATGTGGCGAATATCGCCTTGTCTCCGTCCAAAGATGACATTCTCAATATCAGCCTCTTTTCCATGCTCCGGTTGCAAAACATGCAAGCCTAGGATATCTTCATGGCTGCTGGGCTCGTCCACATCGTTGAATAAGATCCAATCATCTCGGGGCTGTTTTCCGGACTGCTTGCTTCGCATCAAGAGTTTTTCGCCAGCACCCCATGCAAGAACTTCTTTCCTATCGGCCCAAGACTGCCCATTCCAGGTCTCGTATGAGTCGATGGGAGGGCGATAGCCCATCGTGGGATTATCCTGTCGGGTTTCCTCTTGGATTCCAATGCGGGTGATGCTCTTAGGCAAGATCACGAATCGCCCGATGACACCCAGTCGGTCCACGGCGCGTGAGCGCGATGTGAGCGCACATGCTGCATCTTTCCAGAAGGGCGGCGTGTTGATCGCTGGAAATTTTGTTTGGACGAACGCTCGGAATAGCCATGATTCTTCGGCGGAGATAATGTTATATATTCGGCGGCATGTCTGCGCCAGGCGGGTAATTCCATTTGCTGTTGGAATATGTAGAGCAATATTGCAGATTATCTCCGATGGAAGATCGGAGAGTCTCATAGTTAGAAATATGTACAACTTCTGGCTGTTGTTTACTTCCAGGATTTAATAGTCATGGTTGTGTGGGTTTCTAAGCTCGTGTTGGTGGTTGAGCCGCAAGTCATCGCGCAGTTTGGTATCGGAGGGTCGTATTTCATGGAAGACTCATTTTGGCGAAGAGTCACGAAAAAACTTGGCAAATAAAGACTGGCACAAATGAGTCAAGCGGAATAAACTTCTATCTGATACTGGTATCAGGCAGCTAGTTAGTGGCAAGTGTGGCTTTGGAAGTAAATGTGCGTTTACATCATTAGTTAAGGTTCCGCGGCGAGAGCGGTTGACTAAGCAAATCCGGGAAAATTGCAGACCGCAGTCCGAGGAGTTTCAATCGAGATTGGAATCTTGATCACGACCCAATTCACAGATTCCCGAGCCCCAGGGGTTAAACTCGCACAATGTCACCTAGGCTCAGTCTATTCACTGCCAACAAGGCGGCCTCTGCCCTCCGCCAGCCCTCTGCTGTTGCGCGCGCTCAGCGGAGCGTCGCTCTGCCTCTCCGATTCCGCGAGCAGTCGGCTCCCGCCCAGAAAAGATGGAACTCGTCGCAGAACAATAAGAAGGGCCTTTCGCCGGACGAACAAAGGTTCCCCACCCAGGATCCGTTGCCTCATGTTGGTGAGGAGGCTGCTGAGATGGACCGCATTATGAGCAAGGAGAAAAGCTGTGATGGCCAGCCGTCAAGTCCGGAGTTGGAACAAGGGAGTCCAGTTGCTGAGGTGAGTGGCCTACAGGGCACCTTTGCCCCCGGGCGTACTGCGAGACCGGTTCATTGACGATTTCTTTACTGGATAGATCTTGCAGCGCGACAAGGAGGGCTTGAAGCACATGCCCAAGGTCATGCAAGACCAATTGAAGAGACGCGCTGGCGGATCTCGCTCGTTCTCAACTTCGGCTCGCAGCCCTCAGCCCGATTTGCAGAATTCCGAATCCCAAGAAGATATTTCCGCCGCTGTCCTTGCCGACATGATCCAGCAGGTAAACGAGCAGGCTGCCGCCCGGCTGCCCGAGGGCCTGAAGTTTGATGTGCCGGTGATGCCAGCCCAAAAGAAGACGTTGAACTTCCGGAAACGCTACGACTCGATGCAGGAGCAGTTCACCAAGATGCTGATGCATGATGGCAAGTTGGCTCGCGCTCAAAAGGTGCGTTTAAATGGGTTCTCTTCGCTACATAACAAACTAATGTGCAATTGCCTTAGAACATGTCTATCATTCTCGACCACCTCCGTACCTCCTCTCCCCCCAACATCAACCCCCGTCGTCCTCTCATGGGTGGCACTCCTGCTCCTCAGCTGCCCCTTGACCCTGTCCTCTACCTCACTTGCATCATCGATTCGGTGGCTCCTCTCTTCCGCATTCGCCAGCAGAAGGGTATTGCTGGTGGTGGTACTGCCGTGCAAGTTCCCTACCCCCTCAACCTCCGCCAACGCCGCCGTGCCGCGATCAAGTGGATTTTGGATGCATCGGAAAAGCGTCGTGACGCACAGTTGGCCCACCGAGTTGCCAATGAGCTGGTAGCTGTCGCCGAGGGCCGTAGTGGTGTGTGGGACCGCCGAGATCAGCAGCACAAGATTGGTATCTCTGGCCGTGCGAACCTGGGACTTGCGCCTCGGCGTCGTTAAACAAAAGTCGGAACCGTGCTTTTATCTATTCAAGCCGATCAAACGTTTCTTTAATGGGTCTGAGGGGAGGGATTTCTCGTTCATGGGGATGTGAGCATCTCTTTTTCAGCATCATCTGTACATGTAGTATATCTAGTCTGGTCATATGGATTCAAATTCTGGTTGTAATTCGCTCTTTCTCTTGAAATATAGTCCGGATGCCAACCCGATTCTCTGCTGCTACCGAGCGCGTGACTTCACTCCCTTATTGGCCGATTAGTGGGCTTATTCTCTCTTCATTTGGAGCTCACTATGTTTAGACAGTTATACTTCCTCTCTCCACTTTTGGCTAGAAATAGCGGTGTATTGATAGGCTGTCCCGAAGTCGCTTACTCAGACATCTCCGACTATGCCCGATCGGGCAAGCGAGTTACTGATGCCATTCGCGGACATCGCGAGATCCTCCAGGAAACCCAACCAGCAAGGAAGATGCCTCTTCGTCTTAGGTTGTGTCTCGGAGAATAAGGAAAGAGCTTGAAAGCATTGTCGATCAGCCGCGCACCATTCAGTTCAGGCCTGACCATCAGTGCAACCCACACAACCTACACAACCGGCCCCAGCTGACCACGCCTTGATACGCCTGGCGCGCCCCGCTATATTTCCTCTTTTCTTCGATCGTACCCCTCTTTCCTGCTGGACAATTACATGACCCAGGCCGAATTCCCTCCGGCCCCCTAACGACGGTGGCTCCCCCTCGAATCGTGAATCCTACGAGCTCGCCGATTTCAACGCCGTTGGCAGACCTCCCGAGGCGAGACCAGCTGGGCTTGCAACTGCTCGCGCACAACGATTCGGAAGCGTCGTTCGACTCTTCGCGCCAGCCACCAGCTCACGGTCACTAGCAGGACTTGGTTCGGGCATAAACGGAGAGGCAGATTGGGAGAAGACAGCCTCGTCGGAACAGCGCCCACGGGCCTTCCGCTCTACTAGACTCAGGTTCTGGACTGAGGCCCTTCGACGCCGAGCTCATCGTGCGAAGCAGGCTCAGGGTGACGGTGATCTCGAGACTACCGCCAAGATGAAGTTCTCGCATAGCATTCAGTTCAATGCCGTGCCGGACTGGAGCTCCAATTACATTGCGTATAGCAATCTCAAGAAATTGTAAGTTGACTCTGCTCTATTGCGTCTTTCGAGAGGGCAGGTGACTTGTTTCCGCTTTGGGTGGATGTTTGGGATGTGCGCTCGTGGTTACGGCTCGAGATGCAACTTGGCGCGGGTGTTACATTGCACAGAGTTGTGTGGATACATGGATGTCGATGTGTGGGAGCCCCAGTCCTAGTTAGGCTGCTAATCTTGTGATTTGTTGTTCAGGATCTACACCCTCGAGAAGCAAGTCAATCGCCCTGAAGGTCAATCCGGTGCGGATGTCGAGTCCGCTCCGCTGCTGGGCAGTGCCCAGGTCAACAACCCCGATGGGATCTTCAAGCGCGCCTTGGACATGGAGTTGGACAAGATCTGTACCTTCTATCAGCAGAAGCAAGCCGAGATCTTTCAAAATACGGATGAGCTCATCCATGAGGCTATGGCCTACCTAAGAGAGACCGACGGAGTCAATATGGACCCAGTCAGCGAGACTGTTATCAAGGCAAGGACGTTGAGCTCGAGCTCGCGGCGAGGCACTGGAAGCGTCTTCCGCAATTATGGAAATGGCCAGCGCCGCCGTTCAAGCGTGATCAGTGAGGATGACGCAGATAGCGACGATGAACATGCGGCCTCGACAGCTCTTGGCCTGCGCCAACGAACCTCTACTGATGGCGGCTCTACGACCGATGAACCCCACGCGGGTGATATGGCAGATTCGACGTTCTTTGGCCAGCCAAGCAGTCGCTTCCGTCAAGACTCTGACCTGAGTGACCAGGCGTTCCTAGCGCTGTACAATTCGGGCGTGTCGCTCAAAGGGCGTCTTGTTGAGTCATACGTCTCCCTCTGCGGATTGAGATCCTTCATTGAGTTGAACAGGACCGGGTTCTCCAAAGCGCTGAAGAAGTACGACAAGACCTTGTTCCGCAACATGCGCCGGGACTATCTGGCCACTGTGGTATACCCAGCAGTCCCATTCACTGATCTCACCATGGCCGCTGTAGATAAACACATTGAAAATGTCGAGGGCATGTACGCTGATATCGTCACTAAGGGAAACCGTGAGCTTGCTATCCGCGAGCTGCGTCTACACCTTCGTGAGCATGTGGTTTGGGAGCGAAACACGGTTTGGCGTGAGATGATTGAAATTGAACGCCGTGCCCAGGCTGCGAACGTTGGTATCCGTCGAACCCTTCTGGGAGGCGACGAAGACCCAGCTACTGCCCGACGCCAAGGTGACAAGCAGGAGATTCGTACTCAAGAATTTTCTACTCCTCTCGGTCGAATGCATTTCCCTCTGTGGCTATGCAGCTTGAGTTTCGGTACTTTGGTGTTCAGTCTTGCTGTATTTGGCGCCATGCTCTCGGTGCCAATCATGGAATCCGTCGAGCAGCAGAACTGCTTGGCGATGCTCGTGCTGGTCAGCATTCTGTGGGCGACTGAGGTAAAAGTTCTTTGTCCAATTGAAATTTACAACGTGGCTAACTGACAATTTGCCAATAGGCCATTCCCCTGTTCGTTACTTCTTTGTTGGTCCCGTTCCTGGTTGTCGTCCTGGGTATCATGCGATCAGATGATAAACCACACAAGCGATTGGGTCCAAAAGAGGCCACCAGCATGGTCTTCGCATCGATGTGGACTCCGGTGATTATGCTGCTACTCGGCGGCTTCACTATCGCCGCAGCCCTCTCTAAATACGACATTGCTCGACGCATGGCCATGTTTGTTCTGAGCAAGGCTGGATCGAAGCCAAAGATTGTCCTGCTCACGAACATGTTTGTGAGCATGTTCCTGAGCATGTGGATCAGTAACGTTGCTTCTCCTGTGCTCTGCTACTCGATCATTCAACCGCTGCTCCGCAACCTGTCCCCGGATTCCGATTTCGCCAAGGCGCTTGTCCTGGGTATCGCGTTGGCGGCCAATGTTGGCGGTGCTGCTTCTCCCATCGCATCGCCGCAGAATATCATTGCCTTGCAGAACATGTACCCTAGCATCAGCTGGGGAACTTGGTTTTTCATTTCGTTGCCCGTCTGCATTATATCAATTTTCCTCATCTGGGGTCTTTTGCTGGTTACCTTCAACCCCGGCCGCAACGCAACTGTGATTCCCATCCGCCCTGTCAAGGACCGCTTCACTGGCATCCAGTACTTCATCAGTGCAGTCACTTTGTTCACTATCGCCCTCTGGTGTGCGAGCCATCAACTTGAACATGTGTTTGGTGACATGGGCGTGATCGCTATCATCCCGCTAGTCCTGTTCTTTGGAACTGGAATCCTCAACAAGGAGGATTTCAACAATTTCCTTTGGACCATCATCATTCTTGCCGCTGGTGGTCTATGTCTCGGCAAGGCCGTCACCTCTTCTGGCTTGCTGCACACCCTCGCTTCTGGTATCACCGCCAAGGTCGAGCATCTCAGCCTTTATAGTGTGCTGCTTGTCTTCTCGGCATTAATTCTCGTCATGGCTACTTTCATTTCGCATACTGTTGCCGCTTTAATTATACTCCCTCTCGTTCGTCAGATTGGTGTTGGCATGGAGAACCCTCACCCTAATTTGCTGGTGATGGCCAGCGCACTAATGTGTTCCGTTGCGATGGCCTTGCCCACGAGCGGTTTTCCTAATATGAGTACGTCATCTGCCAATGCCCCTGTTGTTTTTGATTCCATTGCTGACTTTCTTGGCCACTAGCTGCTATCATGACCGAAGTCCCGCAGACTGGCCAGCGTTACCTTCAGGTCCGCCACTTCCTCACCCGGGGTATCCCGTCGAGTCTGATGGCCTTTGTGGTGATCGTGACCATCGGATATGGACTCATGTATGTTGCGGGTCTGTAAGCAGCCTTGACGGATGTGGCTTTGTCTGTATTTTCTTGAGGGGCCGGAATCGCAACCTCGGTTGTTGATATGTTTTTTTAGATACTCACTGTTGGAAGTGGACAAGTTAGAACGGTATATACAGCGTCAATGGCGCTCCAATTTGCATTTTCTTTATCACTCTTTAGCGTGTTGCTCGGCCTTTCTACATTGTCGATGTCCTTATCTGACTTGGTAAATTTGCATCACAATGGGTAGACTGAAAAAATGACTTGTTTGCCCAATTGTGCAGATTTCGATTACCTGGGTAGTTGGGTCACTAGTAGATTTTCAGGGTGCGCTTCAAGTCAATACAGTACTATCATGTTGGTAATCCGCAACTACAGAGAGACACCCAGCCAATTATCTCACATGATCAGTGGCACTTGTCCCACAAGTCTCAGTTTGCTATATAGTCTGACTAACCAGATCAGCCAGCAGGGCCATGTTCCAATAGCAACATTTCCTCTCGAGGGAAATCAGACGAAATAGAAACATCTACACTACTACTCATCCACTCCGAATTCTTTCGTCTGGATCATGTGGAGTCTTCATTATCCCATTCGCCGAAAACCAGCTACTATACGTGGGAGATAACTGTACTGTACATCAAAATGTTCTCAAGGCAACACACGACCAAGGTAACACAAGTAGGAAACACATCGAGAACGTTTGACAAAAAGAAACAAGAAAAGAGATCAGGCCAAGCCATGCAGTCCTGAATCTTGCAAGCATCACCGTAAGCGTAAGCGTAACATAGAGAGTCGTTCATCGCGGGGCAGATCGCCCACAGGGCATGAAAATAAGTCGAGTTGGGATCGAAAAAGTGGAATGGGATATCAAGAAATAGCAGACAGAAAAAAGTCGTCTAGCTGCTATCCAGGACAAATTAATTCCTATCGGGTTAGTTCGTCAGTCAAAAAAGTTCTCGAACCAGATCGCATCTCGGATAAAGAAAGACATAAGAGGGGGAATTCGGAAGATGCAATAATGGGAAAAGCGAATACTGACAACAAGCCCAGGGTCAGATCACCGTGAATCTTCGCCTTCAACTGAATCTCAATATCGAGATTCAAATCCAGCCGCAACCGCAACTGCTCATCGCGACCACCTTCATCCTTCTCCTCCTTCTGTTCGCCGCCTAGAATTCCACCAACAGCTTTACCGGCTGACCCGGTGACGCCGTTCAGTGCATTACCTGCGGTATTCTGCACCAGTTGGCCAGCCTGGTCGACACCGCCGAGACCGCCGAGGGAACCGAGGGGTCCTCCTTCTTGTTGACCTTGCTGCTGCTGGTGCTGGCGGGTGCGGCGGGTGCGCTGGCGGCGCTGCTCGGGTTGACCGTCCATGTCGTTGCGGGGGATGGATTCAGCGTCTGAGTCTTGGGGGCGCTGGGGAGGGCGTGTCTTGCGGCGACGGCGTTCGGGTTGAGCCTTTGGTTGGGGTTCGGGCTCGGGCTCAGGGTCTTTTTGCTGGTCCTCGTCGTCTGAGTCGGGCTCTTGCTTGCGCGGCTCGGGTTGGTCCTGGTCCTGGTCCTGGTCCTGGTTCTTGTCTTCTGTCTGGGGCTGCTCGGACTCTTCGTGGTCTTGGTCTTGTTCGTTTTCTTGTTGGCCTTCCTCGGAGGGAGGAGGGGTCTGCTCTTGCTTGGCAGGGGACTTCTTGCCTAGCTTTGGAGGGACACGCTTGGGCTTGTTGGGGGTGGAGGTAGTAGAGTCCGGGTTGGAAGTGGAAGGTTCCTGGTCGGCCATGGTGGAAAGAAAAGAAGAAGCAGAGGAAGATATGAGGGGGGTACGAGGGGGAATATGAAGTGATCGGATGGAGACAATTCGGGGTTATGAAGGACCAAGCGTCACGGGTTACTTCTCGGATGCAGGACAGAGGTAATGAAGTAAAGCAGTCACTCTGTAATTGCACCGTACAAGGAGGAGGGGGGCTATGATGTAGGCGGATCCTCCAGTCCACGCTTGTTCAACCTCGTTTATATCATGAGAGCCACCAGATGAGAAGGAAAACCGGTGGTAATGGGGATGCAAGTGGCGCCTCCGACGTCAGACGATGGTCTGGGGGTACCGTTTGATGTTCTATAATTAATTTGATAATTTGATAATTTGATTAGTTTTGTCCTGTCCAGCTCGTTGGGGGGGGGTTCCGTGGCTGGGGGGACTGAGTAAACGTGTGCAATTGCGCTGTCACAACAAGTCGAGATTCGTTTCAAGTGCCCACCGATCTGGAAAGTGGAGAATGCGCGAGGGATGACGTCGGGGCTAAATCAGGCTAACAGACTTTAAACCGGAACCTGGAACGGCTCCGTATGGCGCACAGGCTTGACGGGGCGTGGACTCCCCCAGTATTTTCTCCGAGACCGTGGTGATCGGCAGGCTCAAATCGGACTGTAACGGGGATTTTCCTGTAGGATTTGCCTTATTGCCGTTCAATGGACGGGACGTTGTATGCAGGCAATCCATCCAGATTGCCTACTCTGTCCGACCTCCTCTTATTCTTGGAGTCTGTCATGCAGGCTCCACACGCCAATCATCGTGCCGCCCGGGCCATTCTGGCACTGACACCAGCCTGGTGCTCCACTTGTATAAATGAATGTCGACGTAAGAGCCGTTGCAAACTGCGACAGCAGGATGGACAAGCGCTATGCCCATGACGCCACTGAGCAGAGAGATCCCCGATTTCGTGGCACAAGTCGTACAACCTGGGTTCAGCCACACGAGAAGGGTTGGATTGGTATGCCAGCTTGGCAAGATGGCCGTTTCGGCTGAACTACATGACGAAGTTAGACCAGAGAATAAACCAGAATATATCAGGAAATCGGAGGAAATAAACGAGAATTGGTGGATGCGTTTGGTGGAACTGGTTGGCCTGGACTGGTTAGGGCCACGAGGCGAATGCTGTTCCACGGGTCTGCCCCAGGGGGAATAGCGGCGATAACCAGTTTGACAGGAAGAATAGTGGGCTTGAAAGTGACTACGAGGGAGTGACTAGCGTAACTATAGTTTACGCGGCGTGGACTCAGGTATACGACAAGTACCACAGTGTGCTCCATACTCTGCACGCTCTGGCCAGATCCCAAGTTTTCTTGGACATGACGTGATGCTCATCTCGAACATTGCATTTGATTCGTTCCATGCATTTTATTGATTTCAATTGTCACCTTTGTTTTCTTGATTACATTCGTTACACCCGTTACCAAACCCCTCCAAGTACTCAGTCCATGGTGGAGCTGCAATGCACCCGCCGCCAACGTCATGGCCAGCCTGCTGAATGATGCCGATGATGCTGCTTCCCCCCCTTCACTATCTCCCCTGATCCTCGCTGCCTTTAATTTTATGGTATATTCAATCAGAATCAATATCATATCACCGCTTGCCTCTTTTCCAATCTTCTGCCTTCTCGCTAGCTGCTCCCTTCCCCCATTCCGGTCGCTGCAAGATACCCATACCTCGTCGCTTCCATCCTCTGCCTCTCCTCATAGTCTGATATCAAAATTAAAGACACACCCCCACACACAATGGCGACTGCCGAAAAGACCAAGGAGCAGCAGAAGCAGTTCCAAGTCCCCGAATACGATTCAGAGGAAGACTACGACAGCGCCGACGACATTGAATACTCCGAAGACGAGAAGGAAGACCAGACGGCCCCCAACAAGAACCAACAGCTCCAACGCCGTCGGCGGCCACTGCAGCAGCAGGATGATCCCGACGACTACTCCTCCGACGACTATGATTCGGAAGAATACGACGATGACGAGGATTACTCCGACGACGAGATCATCCAGGGCAAATCCATGCAGCCCTGGTCACAGGGAACTACCTCCAGTATGGCACCCTCAGGTGGCATGAACGTCGTGCCGCAGGAGCAGAAGAAGAGCCTTGACGACGAGGAAGGCATGAAGTTGAAGCTCGAATTGAACTTGGAGATCGAGATCGAACTCAAGGCTCGTATCCATGGTGACTTGACTTTGGCTCTTATGTAAGTGGTTAATCCCCAACTCAAGATCCTTTTGCCTTTCCCTCCCTCCCCCCAAATACCATTCGCTCAACGTGAATTAGGAGTTGATTGGACCCCCAACTACAGTGCCTGAAACATTGCACCCATTCTCACGTCCTTCGCCCTTTTTCCAATCCTGCTCGACCCGGCTTCTTCGAAACGATTGTTCCACGCTCGTCTCATGCTTTCGAATACCTATGATTGTCACGATCGATGCCTCCCTCTGTTCTCTTTCTCTGCTCTTGCTGCATCTTGCGTCCATAGAGCCTTGATCTTGATCGTTTAATCTTTGCTTCCTCTTTCTTCCTTTTGAATTCCACCGGTCCTCGGTCGTTTTTTCTTCTTTGAAGCTATGTGTGATGTGTGATCGGCGCGGCGCAGGAGGCCGATTTACCAAACTCTGTACTTCTTACTCATCCCACACATGTATATATCTCCGCCTCAACAATGAAATGATGTCGGTATATACAGATGTCACGTTCTCGACGTTAAAAGATCCAATAATGCGAAGTCTATGGGGTTTTGACTTTCGACCGAATATCATTCTTCGTGTTCGTGCGAACTATATACCCTAGTGGCCACTCTTTGCGTTGCTGTGCACATGTTGAAGGGCCGAGGTCCGGGCTTGGCGCAGATCGACGTGGCCGGAGAGGTAAGCTTTCGCATCCCCTCCGGCTCGACCTTCACCCTCTTCTGCTAAGCACCTCCTCCGGTCCTGATATCCAATTCCTCTCTCAGTTCCGACTTGGAACTTTAGAACATCCATCCTCCAATTTGATCCAAAGTCTAACCCTCCAACCACTGCTCCACCCAAGATGGCGACCAAAGACTTCATCATCAAACACATGAACGCCGACCACGGCGACTCCCTCCAACTATACCTCCAAGCCTACAGCGGCATCAGCGCCCGCGAATCCCAAGGTGCTACCCTCGAAGACCTGACCCTCTCCAACCTCATCCTCCGCGCCCACGGCGCCCGCTACAACATCCCCCTCAACCCCCCAATGAAAGACTACACCGAAGCCCGCGGCCGCCTTGTCGCCCTGCATAAAGAAAGCCTCACCAAGCTGGGCCGCTCCGACGTAACCCTCACCGAGTACCGCGCCCCACGCGGCTTCCAGGCCGTCATCTTCGGACTAGTACTCTTCACCTATGCCACCTGCTGGCGGCGTATCAATCTCTTGCCTGGCACATTTGTCTACGAGAATATGGGGTTCAAGTTTGTTCCGGACTTTGCCCATTTCATTCATACTATTTGGCCGGTGTTTTTCCCGTCCGTGCTTGGGATTCATGTGCTGGAGAGTGCGGCGTTGGCTGTATTGCGGTTGAGACCTTTGGGTGTGCCGTTTGGATCGGGGTTGTGGTTTACTTGGATGGGATCGTGCTTTATTGAAGGGTTTGGTGCGTTTGTGCGGATTCGGGAGATTGTGAAGGAGGAGAGGGCGAAGAAGGGTGGGAAGAAGGAGTGAGTTGCCTTATGACAGGAATGGGACGAGGAAAGAGAAAGTATATAGAGAGGTAGTTGTGGTGTATTTGGACATAGTAATCCGAGACTTGATATTAGAATATAGAGTTTCGAGGTCCATTATCCTTGTCCGTATAGGCGACAGTAGTGCAGTACCATATCGCATGCGAATAGCAAGCTCGTTTCGATTGCAGTGGAGGTGCCATGCTTCCAGGTAGTATTTCTAGAATTTTTGGATAGTTGGTTTGATGGAATTTTTGAAAGTATTTTGGCAGGTAAATTGGTAGTGACTCTGGTAGTATCTTCGAGAGTGCGGCGAAATATCGCCAGAATCACGGCCAATCTACCTGCCAAAATACCATCAACTAAGCCATCAAAACAACCACCAAAAGTCCACAGAAGTACTTTCAGAGCATCATGAGGAAAATTTGCAGCGGCCAGTGTTGGCAATGGCTAGTAATTGCCAGCAAAGGTTGTCTCGAGAGTCTAGCAGTAAGACTTCTCGATGGTCGTTGGAAGGGGTTGAGACAAAGAGTCGCCCCAGGACCACTTTGTTTCTTTAAGATCACGTGATACCAATTGACGCGGTCTTGAGACTGGCAGAATGTGATGAGTCAGCAAGCAGGTCCCAAAGTCACGGGACTGCACGGGACTAGAAAACTCTGCGCTATCCCCTTCTGGAACTAGCGTCAGTTAGGGCAACCGCACAAGCGAGCAACACACTGGCCCGGCGAAATTCGAAGGACTCCACGACCGCAACTCTCAACGACACCTAACGACAACCTATCCGTGTTCTTTGGTGAAGGGCCACAGGTTAGAGGTGAGTTTCAGCAAGACGCCTCTCCAGTCCCTCAATTCTTTTTCTTCTGCTTTGTCCGGGCCGCACATTCGGGTTTCTCGACAAATTTCCACTTTCTGGGGCCACCTTGAATTCAAGATCTGAAGATTCGTCTCGCCTTCGCCCACAACCTCACACGACACATCGCCAACCATTTTCATCCCCTTGGAAAAGAATTCTTTCGATCAACCCCGGACCGTCGCTTGGAACGAAACAGAAGGATTGGAATTGGGAGGAATATTCGCGCAGAACGAGTCGAGTTCTAATTTTTTTTCTTCGTCCTTGATACAGACCCCTCCATCAAATCGCAAACATGGGTATCTCTCGTGATTCTCGCCACAAGCGCAGCGCCACCGGTGCTAAGCGTGCTTTCTACCGCAAGAAGAGGTACGACATATCTGCCAGTTGAAGTTTGGATTCATTGCATTTTTCGAGGGGGAGGATTTCTACTTGTGCGACGATGTTTGAAGGGGCAGAGGCATCGAGGGCCCGCGCTCGATCTATGTTTTTTGGGAACCAATTCTTACCTGTCTTTCTTGTCCAACAGAGCCTTCGAGAAGGGCCGCCAGCCCGCCAACACCCGTATTGGCACCAAGCGCATCCACCTGGTCCGCACCCGTGGTGGTAACCAGAAGTACCGTGCTCTCCGTCTCGAGTCCGGTAACTTCTCGTGGGGCTCCGAGGGTGTTGCCCGCAAGACCCGTGTCATCGGTGTCTCCTACCACCCTTCCAACAACGAGCTGGTCCGCACCAACACCCTGACCAAGTCCGCCGTTGTCCAGATTGACGCCGCTCCCTTCCGCCAGTGGTACGAGGCCCACTACGGCCAGGGTATCGGCCGCAGACGCCAGCAGAAGACTGGTGAGATCACCGAGGAGAAGAAGAGCAAGTCCGTCGCCAAGAAGCAGGCCGCCCGCTTCGCTGATCAGGGCAAGGTCGAGGGCGCCATCGAGCGTCAGTTCGAGTCCGGTCGTCTGTTCGCCGTCGTTTCTTCGCGCCCCGGCCAGTCCGGCCGTGTTGACGGTTACATCCTGGAGGGTGAGGAGCTGGCTTTCTACCAGCGTGCGATCCGCAAGTAAACGAAAAAGCAAAAGGGAAAACCATTCGGTTAGGAGAGCCGCATGGGTTGTCGTTGCACGGGTGGTTATCGGAGTTTCAGCTATGTTTACCAGAAAATTTTCATGATCTGGGCATCCACGGATGCAATGTCTGTAGAGCTCTGAGCCGTCAATTACATGGGAATGATTCCTGTTTACGTTTACGTGCTGTTTCTTGGTTGTGTTCTATTATTTCTTACTCTTTTTCCTCCTCGACAGTGAAATATACTGTTGCCTCGTAGAAAAAACTCACGTATTCAGCTTTGTCTCGATTTGGCTGGTAAGGTTGGGAAATTTCGCTGACGTTACTGAGCATCGCCCTCCGTTCCCCCGCCGAATTCCTCTCAAGTCCTCAAACCACACTCTCTCCCTTCCATGACAGCGTTTCTGTCTTCTGCCGTAAGACTCCCCTGCTTCACTCCTAGATCCTTCTCGACAGCCACCATGGCTTCCTCTGCGGGGATCAGAACCCGAATCTGCATGATCTCCGACACACACACCGCAGCCCCGTACTCCCCACTCCAGACCTCATATGCCTATCGCAGCCCACTCCCGAAGGCCGACATCCTCCTCCATGGCGGCGATCTTACCAAAGTCGGCTACAGCGTCGAGCACGAGGCCATGGTCTCGATGCTCAAAGCCGCCGATGCTGAACTAAAGCTCGTCATCGCCGGCAACCACGACATCACCCTCGACGAAGAGCACTTCACCAGTTTCGGATATCGGCGACATCGGCGACCAGAATGGCTCGGCGGCAAGGGCATTCTCCTCGAAGATGACGAACAGTCCCTAACAAATCCGATTCGCGCCGGCGATGTACCCCCAGCAGATACAATGCAGGCGTACGTCCGACGCGTGAAGGATATGTACACGAACGAATCAGCCCGCGCGGCGGGCATACGATACCTCGAAGAAGGCGTCCATACCTTCACCCTCTCCAATGGCGCCAAATTAACCATCTACGCCTCGCCCTATCAACCGGAATTCTGTCGCTGGGCTTTCGCCTACCCTCGCTCCCAAGATCGCTTCAATTCCCCCCTCCCCGGCTCGTCCAACCCCGCACCCGCAAACCCCGTCCCCGACTACCCCAATGTCGATATCATGCTCACCCACGGCCCTCCCGCACACGTCCTCGACCTCGTCGGTCAAGACGAAGGTCACCAGCAGCACGTCGGCTGCCAGAATCTCCTTCGAGCCGCCGAGCGCGCCCGGCCACGCCTGTACATGTTCGGACATATCCACGAGGGATGGGGAGCGATACGCGGCACATGGAACGCCTTTGCAAACGGTGGAATCAAACAAGAAGAGGTCCCTACTGACAAGGAGGATATGTTGGAACGTCGCGCGGCATATTACGATATCAGCTCTGAGAGTCCGCGGCCTTTGCAGGTTGGGGCGGAAACGCTGTTCGTAAATGCTAGTATAATGACGCTGGGCTATCATCCGTATAATGCGCCTTGGTTGGTAGATTTAGATCTTCCGCGTGCGGATGGGCAGACGCGATCGCTTGTATGAATATGTCGCTATGAATTGATGAGAAATGAAAATATTGTTAATATAGACACTGGTGATTTCTACTTGTGCCCAAAGCTTTTCCATAAGCTAGTCGTAAGGTAGCTTTTTATTCCTCTCCATGATCGTCACAATGCATATTCTAGAAGTGTTACCTAAGTAGCATAGGTTTAGCCAGACCTTAATTTGAACTATCAGCCTGACTTTGCTGCAAGATATATCCATCCATGGATTCGCTGGACTTGACCAGCACAGCTGCCAGAGATATCGAACTTGGGCTGAGGCACGTAATTTGCATGAAGTAACTTTTAGTTTCAATTTGCATCGATGCATCCCATAGTCTCTCTCCTCCAGTCGTTCTCTTTCCCACTCACATGGTGTTACCACGGGTATGTTCCGTGTAACCTAGAGTTGTTGTGTCATCTGGACTGATTTCACCGCAATGCCGTGCCGCAAATATATATCTGGCCCTCAGCCGAGCACTCCTGGAGATGCCCCAAATACTAGTTCGCGTCCAGGTGGACCCGACAGAATTTATTCCCACGGCTGAAATTTTGAAATCAGTTCTTGACAATCGTCCCCTAGACGGGTCGCCGGCTTTAACAGCATTCGTGTTCTCTATGTAGAAAGACGGATGTACAGGCCAGCTAAATTAACAGCACAGAGACCGAAATAGTAGATGAATAGAACATTTGTTTCCCAAGGAATATCTAGGTGCTTTGACAATACTTGCCATAACCGCCTCATCAAAAAAATATATACCCGAAACCGCAACAGCAAATATGCTACGTAGAATAGCCTCATGTAGAGGTATCGGGGACTAGGACCCACAGCCAAACGAACACCGGCCTAAAAGCAAAAGCAGAAAGCCAACCAACCAAAAGAGAAAATTGTTCCAGAAACGAACCAACCAGCAAACGAGCCACCGACGCCGGTATAGAAGTATATAGCACAACAATAACAAAGACTTGAGTCCCTTCAAGGTCCGCCACCGAGACCTGAGTTGAATTAGTATCCGAAATCGACTACAGTGGGTGGAGAGACTTACCAGCAGCATACGCAAGGTACCAGGTACGGGAAGCACCACCATCAATCCAGCTGTAGTCAAATTGGGGCTGAGCAAAGAAGTCCCATGATGCCTGCGGATCGATAAGGGCGAGGTTTGCAAACAGAACACCCTTCCAACCACCATCAACAGCAGTAGCAGGAGTTGTAGCGTTAGCGGCAAACATGGCCTGCCACTCCTCAGCAACGAACTGCTGCTGACGAGTATAGCCAGAGTTGGGTAGCAAAGGCAACATGTGAATACCCTGAATGTACTCCAGGTTGTTGCCGAAGTAGGTCGTGTGATCCACCTTGTTCTCGAACAGGATACCAGTCACCTTGTTCGCGATGAAGTTGTGTGGCTGGTTAGTGTTGTTGCTCTGCATGAGGAAGTAGTTGTTCAGTGAGCGGCGCAGGATGGCCAGCATCATGTTTCCGCGAGCCTCCATGCTGGCATCGCCAGTAGTCTGGCCCCACATCTTGATAGCGTAGGCGAACATGGTGTCTTCAGAAGTAGACTCTTGGTCCTTTCCATCGAAGGATTCAAAGAGACCCTTTGCCCATGAGTGCCCATTGAACCAGTCAAAAGAGCGCGAGAAGGGGAAGTAAGGGTCATCCTCGACAGAGTTGCCCGCATCGCGAACAAGCGTGTTAACCCAGTCCTTGTTTTGAGCAAGCCAGGTAGGGTCCAGCGAACCAATGATAGCGGCGGCCTGAATGAAGTAGCCGTAGTGGAAGTGATGGTCATTGTAGGCGGTATTTCCAAAATCGACGTTCAAGTCACCATCATAGCCGGCAGTTGACACAACGCCCTTCCAGACTGAATCATAGGCAAGTGGGTATTGCTGCTGATTCTGCACAAAGCGGGCAAAGCACTTCTTGAGTTCCACCAAGGCCGCATGCGCAACATCGGTGTTATTTCCCAGGTTGCTGACCGTCCAAATCAAGGTCGCAAACTTACTCAGGGCCTTGCCACTGTAGTACATGCTGTTTAGGTTGGTCTGGCCATCGATATCCTGCTGAAGCTCAACAGGAGCGATTTGGACGATAGCTCGCTGGGCATCGGCAGACAGTGTGTGAACGTTTCCATTGGTAGGCGACCATGGAGCGAATCCCATTTCCATTGGCAGATCCGGCTCAGTCATGATCCAGCTGTCGCCAATCACGGCGGTTGCATTGCCCTTGGTAGTAGTGCGAAGTTGAATGTTGGTGGCGCGACCACGAGTGCTGTCATCAAAGGACTCGACGTGATGAGGTAAAGCGAACATGATGAGGGGGGTTCCAGTGGCATTCTTGCCGGCCTTGGTCCATGACAGGCTATAAGTGCCGACAATGCCGGTAACAGCACCAGAAACGGCGCCCGCAACAGGGTACACGCCAGCAGAGTTGTCATAAAACTTCTCAACATCCTTGCCTGCGGGATTCTTGGCGACTTGAATGGTCCCACTAAATTCAGAAGGACCTTGGAAGTTAGAGTTGGAAACAAGCTTGAACTGAGGGTCTTTTCCATCATCAGGGGTAACGTAAAGCAACCAGACGGTGTCATCTTCCAGGAACAGCTGGTACTTGAAGATACCCGGCTTGGGGGAACCGGCATCGATAACCTTGCGGAAGAAGACTCCACTCTCAACGATGGGCTGCAGATCATTGTACACGCCAGTCACATAGCCCATACCCTGAATAATGGGGAATGTGATGCTCTGTGCGGAACCACCAGATCGCTTGAGAACAGCGTTCGCCGAAAATGCCTTGGGCTCCTCAATGTCCAAAACACTGGATTCATCTAGCTCAGATGCCGACAAAATGACGTGCTGAAGACCGATTGGGTTGATGTAATAATCGACTGGGTTTCCGGGAATCTTGGAATTCTGAGGACCGAAGGCAAGGACATTAGCCTCAATATGAGAGACACTCATTCCCCAGCTCTTGAGGTTTCCCCCTCCTCCTGACCAGGCGAGAGAGTAAGGCTGAGTGAAGCTAGCATTGGTTTGCGAACCCAGGAGAAGGCCAGCATAGAACTTGTTGGTCTCAATCGGATTAGTGGCATTTGCCTAATTCGAGATCAGTATTGTGTTGCATGACAGCTACGATCAAAACATCTCACATGTTTGTTTTGAACTGGGTGATCATGGCGAGTCTTGATGCTGGCAGGAACCACACCAGTCGCGACGGGTTCGAAGATGTTTTGGTTATTCATTGGACCGGCAGGCATGGTGGGAGCAGAATCTGATCAATGTGAGTATGAGATGGACTGGCACAATTGTACTTGTATGAAGCCCACCTGCGACGGAAGATGTTGTGTCTGGAGAGTTCTCGTTCGATGTGTCGGTGGGCTGAAGTGCAGTTGGCAAGGACGTAGACGGGGGCAACAACAACCCGCCGATGCCGTCTAGGATGCGACCAACGTCGACTGTTGGAAAAGGAAGCTGCGATGGGTGACCACTGATATCAAGAGCGACTCGATAATCCTAATGACGGACATTAACATTGATTTGTAAAATCTTCGGACACGCCAATTGGCGCTTAGTACGAATGACATACTGGTTCCGCTGCCGGTATGGCGATTCGCTGGTTTGACGGAGGATATTGAGTCTTCAAGACCGTCTCTGGATATGTTGCTGATTGTTGCAAGATTTGTTCAGCAACAGTGCCCACTGGCTGAGGCAGGCAGTTTACCGAATCTACAGCGAGAAGCCATGTTAGCACGGCTGTTGTTTTCAATATGGCAGCCATGTTTCTGGTGTGAAGTTGCGCCGCCAAACAGGCCAATTGATTGGGTCCAAATCAAATCAATTGATATTGAATGCATTAACATAAAGCCAGTTCTATGCTTCGATTTGTTCTCTATTGAGACCACGGACTGAACAGCAAATTGCAAGCTTCTGGGTTGTCGAGAGGGCGAACCAAATACACCAAAAGAAAAGAAAAAAAAAAGCAAAAACAATGAGGCGCACAGGACGGACAGGGACTTACAAGTACGCTCGATAAATTCCAGGAGATACAGTCCGCTCCAAGTGAGTTCAGACTGGATTGTTGTCACTGGCCTGCGAGAAGAATTCCGGGATTGTCGATCCTCATGGGACTGGAGCTCGTGTGCGTGGACTTTCACACCGTTCAAAACTGGGTGGCCGGTGCTTCCACGGGGTACGCAGCCCGTGTTTATCCAGCAATGTAGGGCGTAGGAAGAAGACTAAACTGGCTCTGCGAGATTCGCGATGCACGCCCCAGCCGCGGATGTTGTCCCCACTACGAGGAATGTGCCGCGGTGGGGTGTAAACAGTGCGTCGATCTGCGAACTGACAAGGTTTGGCGTTGGGTGTAGATCTTCTTCGAGTATTCCTGTTGAATTTTCTTGTCAAATTATTAAAAAGGGAGCTTAGAAATTTGACGAAGAAGCGGCTCGTGAGCGATATGCAGGCCTGATGTAGTCGCAGGAGCTGTAGGCAACGATGTTGTTCCTGGCGATGCCAAGGATGTGGATCAAACGGGACCACGGACAATCCGCTCGCAATGCTGCGAGAGTTTGCGATGACTAGAAGCCGATGAATCATTCGGCAGTTCCATGGCACTGTTATGACGGGCCGAGTTGCTCAGCCATGAGGCATGTCCTGATGAGCGGGCTGGTTCATCGAGTACCGCGGCATTGAAAGTCGCCATGGCAGGCAACATTCCAGTTCTCAGTCGAGGCTGGTCCTTCCGCTCTACGGCGCCTCCTCGTCATCAGGCGGATACGAGATGGAGTAGCCCGGTGACGGCATCCCGAGCCATGAGAGAAGGCTGGGAAGGTAGACTGTGGTGGATGATGGATGATGGAGGGTTAGTTCTACGGAGTGGCTCAGAGAAGACCATTTTGTATGTACTATACCGTCATATTCAAAGCATACAGGTATATGAACTATGGGAGACTATACGACGAAGCAAATCATCCAGGGTCGTACATCATGGACTTTCAAGGTTGACCATGCATCAAGCTTAATCCAGTTGAAATCTAAATGGTATTCTTTTGGGGTAGGTAAGCACTGTAGCTGACTAGACTCGGCCAGTAAATGCAAATGTATAACGATTGTACATGTCGGCAACAAGGGTATCGTGGCATGTCACTCTTTCTATAGAGTAGGCTTCTCCATAGGCTTGATGATACCCTGCTTGATCATGACACGAGGCTTGGTGCTGGCCTGGTAGGTCTCCTTAGTAGACCATTCGGGACCAATGGGCATCCGTAGCGACCGCTCGTATTGCGCCTTCGTCTCAAACTCATGAGGCAGCTGGCGAGCCATGTACTTTTTGTTCTGTAGCGAGAAAAAGTCAGTACTGGAGTGTAGGGTGGTTTAACTAGTGAACCGAGACATACCTTTTGAATCCGCTTCTCGTTGATAATGACACGAGAGAGCTTGGCATCCTTGCGCTTCTCGGGCTTGACGCCTTCCACCTTGGTGAAGTTGCGCTTTTGCCTCTTCTTCTCTCGGTTGCTGATACCATCGCCGGCCCAGCTGCCCCAGCCCTCAAGGGTATTGTCCACGACCTTGTCACCCTCCTCTGCAATGGTGTCCATCTTCTCCTGCTCAAAGTCTTGCACCACCTCATCACCGGCAAATGCTCTCTTCACAAGATCATGGTTCTTCAAGAGGACAGGCACATTGTTGTCGTCATCACTGTCATTTCCTTCACGTTGCTGGGAAGAGACTGCTTTGACGGTCTTGCCCTTCTTGGCCGAGGTCTTGGTCTGGGAGACCTCAGGTTGTTGAGAATCAAGTGAAATGTCGATGGTCTCCTGAGCATCCGTGCCGGTGCGTCGGCGATTGGTCCGCTCAGTTTGAACAAGCCAGGGGTTTTCTTCTTCGGCCGATGGCTCTTTTTCTTGACTGAACATCTTCTGTGTTGACCGGGGAGTAGCCTTGGAGGTAGCCGCGGCAGCAGACTTTTGCTTTGGAGGACGGTCGACAATGATATTAACATCCTGTTCGGGTTGGCGCTGACGGCTCTCGTCGTCCGAGTCAATTGCGTCTTCAAGGTCATCTTTGGGGAGAACTCTAGCTTGAGACTTGGCCTCTGTCTTTTCAGACTGGCCAAACTTGCGTCGTCCAGTCTCCGACTCGGCATCCGACTGCGACTCTTCACCATGTAGTTCGCGGTTGAGTCGACGAAGTTCGGCGTCATTTTGTTCTTTCCGAGCGGCTTCGGCATTCTTCATGAACTTCATGGAGAAAAGAGCGGAGTGAGGACCCTTAACCTCATCATCAGAGGCGTCACCCTCCAGGGCCGCGAGCTTCTCACGCAGCTTGCGATTCTCTCGGTCTTCGGCATCTGAGGCCCATGGATCCTCATCCTCCGACTCCGAGCTCGACGATCCCAGATAATCCTCGTCTCCACGAGACACACGCTTTCCTTCAATGCGCTTCCGCAGTTCCTCTTCTCTCATGGCTAGATCAGCAGCGCTGTTACGGGCTTCCTCGTCCCAAGCAGTACGGCCAGTCTGCTTGTTGCTCTTGGCCCATTTGCTGTCGCGGTGCTTGGAACCCATGCGTGCCTCAGCCCTCTTTCGCTCGTTCTCATCCCGCTCCGCCTCGTCAAGGTCTACACCAGCTTCGAGAAGAGCCTGGCGCTCCTGCTGCTCCAGCCTTTCACGCTCCTTGCGGTGAACACGGCGATAAGCTTTGCTCTTGATTTTCTTAATTCGCTTCGCACGAACCTCCTCTCGGAAGAGCAAGTCGCGTCTCTTTCTAAGCTCTGCCCGCCGGGCCTGGATTTCTTCGATAGGCAGCGTGCGGGCCTTGAGTTCTTCAAAGCCTTGGACTTGGTCTTCGGCGGACTTGCCATTGGCTTCAGCCAATCCACTCTCAACCAGAATCTCTTGAATGGTGGTTTCCAGATCGGTCTTCGGCTTGGCCACATCAAGACGATGGAACTGTTGCACGTCTGGATCGGGAAGGGGGAAAGTGAGGTGTTCGGCTTTGCGGTTGGCTTTGACCGCCTCGAGCCATCGATCAAGAGTTTCTTTGCTCTTCTCATAAGCGGCGGCGCGGTCGAGTTTATCCTGTTGACGCTTTGCCAAAGGTGCATCCAGTTTTCCCGGAATGCCCGACTTTGTTGCTTGGGGAGCAGCATCGACATGCTTGAGAGAACTCTTCAAGCGGGAGTCCGTAATGGAGGGCAGGAGATCGGCGACAGTCAACTTTCGAGAGGAAGTCAAGCCGTATTCAGTGGGCGTGCCCTGCTCTTGCGATCTTTGCTTGGGCTTTCTAGATCCGTCGGCTCGCATAGAGTTGACAAAGTCCTGAAGCTTGGACAATCCACTTTTCTGAGCCTCCGCATCGTCATCTGAGAGAGACAGGTCGGTATCGTCGTCACTGGGACCATCCTCACTGTCGCCCTCTGATCCTGACTCCTCGTCACTATCCTCGGCCTCTGCAGCCCTCCTTGTCTTGTCTGCAGCTTTCTGAGCCGCTTTTTCCTCAGCTGCCGTGTTCATGTCCCAGGCGGTAATAAGATCAATGCCGTCTTCATCGTCCTCATCATCTTCTTCCTCGTCGGACGCTTCCTCTTCAGACTCGTCGACATCTTCAGACAGGCTGATCGCCGCCCGTTTCTTCTTTTCGGTTTTCTTGGGCTTGGGCTTCGATTTGTTCGAAGAGCTTCCGCGGAATGTGAAACCCTCGAAACGTTCCTCGTCACTTGAGCCTAGCGCTTCGTCGCTGTCCAAAGATTCATCATCGTCACTGTCGACTTGTCCCAACTTCCATTGGTGACCTTCGCTATCACTGCCGCCTTCGTCCGATGCATCGGTTCTGCGGCGCTTGTAGTTCGGTCGTTCCTCGTTGTCTTCGTCCTCCTCGTCGCCTGTGGGCCTCTTCCGCCATTCTCCATCGTCGTAGTCACCTAGACGGTTGCGTCGAACGCCCAGTTTGGTTGGAATCTGTTCCTCCGCTCGGGAAAGAGCATCGAGCCCGCGGCCCTTGGGGCCCCTCTGAGCTGGTGGCTTCCGCGCACCACGGTCTTTCGGAGCCCGCGATTGTGTTTGTTGGCGGGGCATGATTGTGTTGAAGTAGAAAAAGTATCAAACAAGAACAAACAAAAGCTCCAAACCCGTCACAGTAAAGGTTAGACCTCGTCACTGCGAGTTTGGAGGGGTTGATCTGGTAGATTGTTCAACTTGCGCGTACCAACTTTTTTTTTTGCTCCAGAAAAAAAGTTCTTGGCGCGGCGATAAGCGCGGCCCGACCGCCCGAAGTTTCGTCCTCACATCTTAACGGACACTCGCGACAGTCGCTCTCTCTTCCCTTCGGGAACGTCAAACCTCGACAGAATGTTCAAACCGTCCCAGCCAATGATGGCGCGCTTGCGCCTGACCACCAAGCAGGTCAATGGCGGCTACTACAAGGGTAACCGGACAGGTTCGATGGGTTACTTCGACCACAAGGGCAACTACGTGATCGACTGGAAGAAAGTCCGCACATATGTTGTCCCTGAAGGCCTTGACACATTCAAAGTAGGCTCATCAACTTTTTCTATCTGTGCCAATGATCTGAGAGTTCTTGCTAACCCCCTAATAGCTCACTCCTTTCGTCTCCAAACGCGTGGACTCGACGCCCTCCGCATACAAGAAGCAGATCGAACGCAACGGACGGACTTATACTGTTATTGACAGCCTGAAGGGTCCTGATTTCCTGGACCAGTGGTATTCCAGCAATCCTGATGAAGTTCTGGCCCGCGAAACGGCTGAGCAGGAGGCCGTGGACGAGTCCAAGGCCTCAAAGCAATAATGCAAGTGCCGAACCAACCATACAAATATTGGCTTGGAGCATATGCCACTGCTACCCCAGTGTAAGTTCATAGTAGTTTTTTCAATTCTTAGTTTGAGATCTAACCGGTCCTCGCTCCAGTGGTTGAACATCCAACTTTGTCACCTGCATCTACACACCCGACGGCCACATACCCCTCAATCAACCATTACATCGCTCGCCGGCCGATCGCATCCTTTATGTATTATATGTACAGCATACTTGATTCAAGTTGGGCAAAGCCCACCATCATACAGCACCTCCGGATGTCTTGTTTGCATATCGTTGATCCGAGTCCTGCTAATAAGGAGTTTGGAAGGAGACCATGGTATAATTCTGGCAATCCTTGCTAGTTCTCAAATGCACCTCATGCAAACCTGTCTATTCATGGACTACTTAGAATATCCTTTTCCGTAGTACTCATCACTACCAATTGCCTTCTACATAAACCCCGTGTCTGCCCTTGCCGAAACCTGCAATCTTTGCCGCGTGTGTAGCCATAGTGTGGCAATATCCCGGCGCCCAATGAACTGGTGCGTGGCCCGTGCGCTAAGCCCGATAAGATCCCCCATGCGCGCCCGTATCGGACCAGCGTATGTCATAGTTCTTCACATTCGCTTCCATTTGCCCAGTGGTGCGCTATGGGCTTTTCTCTCCTGTGTTTCTTGCTTATCTAGCGCCTTTTCTTTGCATAGATCACCTCCCTCGATATCCCTGCTGTGTCCTAGGCCGGGAGGCCCTCCTCACAATGTTTCAGTCATTCACCGGAAGCTCTCGCCGTCCGAGGCAGGTCAACCTCAGTGGCCGTGCTAATAATCCTTTCGCTGCCTTCCCAGGTAGCTCCGCCGGCCGAACTACCCCTCACGCTTCGAATCCACAAAGTGCTGTTGCGATCGCACAGCAAGAACGCCTTCAAAGACAACGAGAGCGGGAGAAACAGAATGCCGTCCGGGTCGTCCAGCGAGGGTGGCGGGGCTATCGAAGCAGGAAATCTACCTATGATATGTGGAGGACGGACTGGGATAACAATGAAAGGAATATGACAGAAGCCACGGAGTTGATGGCGGCGACCAAAGGCACTGCAGAGGACTTTGTCTTTGCGTCGCACCCTCCTGCACCATATGCAACCGCAGACCAGTGCCTCACCCAACTCCGTCTACTCGTCCATTTTGTCTCAACACGGAGGCATGATGACATTCTTCGGCTTCTATATTTTGTTCGTGCCTTCGAGCAGACCTTTCGAACCCTGCATACAATCGCAGCAGAGGGTGAATGGACTAAGCTTCTGAAAAGGCTTGCCAAGTCAGTTCTTCATGTGCTGCGCTCGGCTCCCAGTACCTTCATTCCTACTACGACTATTGAGATCCTTTTACGAGCAGTGATGTTCCTCACAGGCTTGATGCCGAAGCAGATGGCAACACTCGCAGAAACATATTATGACACCATGGCATTCCTGACAACTAATATGTCGAGTCTCCACCGACCTAAACAGAGCAGTGGATTAGATCGACCAGTGGTTAATCCTGAGCTCCTCCAGGAAGCTGTTCTTGCCCTCCTCCGGCCGATTACCTCCGAGACCATGTCTGCTTACGAGTCCTTCGCTGTTTCGTACCTCACTATTCCAAGCCTCGAGAGCTACCTGGGCAACATGGATGGATTGGCTGGCCAAATTAACTACAGAATGCTAGCATTGGCGATCTCAGCTCGCTTGGGATCCAGCATGCAAGGTTCTGGCGTTCTAGAAGATATTCAGGCACGCACTTGGTTGTTATCATACTTGATATACTTCCAACAACACACCTCTGGCACTCAGAACAGCTCACATGCCCCGGAGCCGGAGTTTGTGATCGTGGTATCTGATCTGTTGACTTCAACATCCACCTTTCTCGTGCAGGGCTTTGAGGCGGAGGACTCAACCGAGATGGATTCGCCTCGAGGTGTGCAGCCTCTGCACCCATTTATCAAGGAACAAATCAATAGCCTCATCAACCAAAGTAGCGTCACTGGACTGCTTTCTCGTATTCGATCATCCCCTCTCCCCCGGACCGACTTGAAAGACGAAGATTCCGAGGCATCCAAAGAGGCTAGAGTCCTTGCAAAATACGCCCTCAATTTACTGCGGATCTTCCCCCGACGAGGCGATGATATCCGAATGTGGTTGTATCTGGGCTCGGCTCCATCCGGTGAGCAGATTGCTGGCCAACCAGATGCGAAGATACCAGCTATCAAGTATTTCTGGCAGGCGACTAGTTCTAGTCGCATCTTCCAGATAATCAGCAGTGACTCCACAAAGGTGCTCCCACTGTTACTGTTGCCACAGCAGGCGAAAGAAGCTGCGGAAATACCCCAATATCAGCGTGATCAAGAGTGGACGACCATACTCCTCTTCCTTGAGCTATACACCTTTGTTTTGAAGGTCATGGATGATGATGAATTCTTCTCCAGCACGACACCCTTCACATCCTCGGACAACACCAAGATATCATGGACTAGGGAAAGTGCATTGCCCCTGCGTGACATCAAAGACATGACGATTTTCTTGAAGAATCTCGCATTCACACTCTACTGGAATGCGGTCGACTTGAGCGAACCAGAGCTTGGACCGACAACGACCAGTTTGAGTAGCTATTTCAGCAGTACGACCTCCCCACACCGCTCCTCGGAACCGGTATCGGGTACTCAAGACCTGGAATCCAGAACCCCAAGCAATAATCTTGCTGGGGTGACTGGAATTCCGCTGGAGTACTTCAAGGGCCTTGTGACGGGTCTCTTGCGAATGTTGCATGAACGAGAGTAAGGCCCCAAACGAAACTATATTTTATGGGTTCCAAGCTAATATACCTTTAGTTCGCGCCGGAAATTCCTCCCCAAAGATCACTGGCTCATGACTAGCCGGTTTGATATGGAAGGGTTCATTTCCGCCGTTGTTGGAGAGGAGGAGAGAAGACATGAGTTCCAAGCCCGAGCAGATGAATCAGGTGATCCAGACCTGATGGACGAGGACGAGAACATGCCGTTTGGTCTAGCAGGGACCGGTCATGCTCAGCAAACCATCCGTCTCGAGTCTTTGCGGCGTCACCAGCAGCGAGTCGCTCGAGGAAGGGTGCTGGCCGCCATTGCACCCCGGCTTGAGATTCTTCGAAACATGCCATTTTTCATACCATTCGCCACTCGGGTCCAGATCTTCCGCGAATTCATCTTTCATGACCAGCATCGTCGACGACACGGATTTGTCGATCCTGACTCCTGGCGTGCCTCTGTAGCTCAGGCTACCATGGGCCAGATGATTAATGGTCATCCAGCTGTCCAGGATGTGCTGGCTCGCCATCAAGCCGAGATTCGGCGTGAAAACGTCTTCGACGATGCTCTTGCTCAATTCTACCCTCTAGGTGACGGCCTTAAGGAACCCATCCAGATCAGTTTCATCGATCGATTTGGGGCCATGGAGGCTGGTATTGATGGTGGTGGTGTGACCAAAGAATTTCTCACTAGCATTACCAGCGAGGCGTTCAAGACCGAGGATGATTTCAGCATGTTTGTGGAGAACGATCAGCATCTTCTCTATCCCAATCCCACAGCCGTCGAACAGTGCAAGGAACATCTGCGTGAGGCTGGAGTGAGCGAGTCCAGTCTGAACTGGTCCGAGCAAATTCGGGATCTTCTGCGTCGGTATGAGTTCCTCGGCCGTGTCATAGGCAAATGTCTCTACGAGGGAATCTTGGTAGACGTCAACTTTGCGCCCTTCTTCCTGCTCAAGTGGGCGTTGACTGGTGGCACTGGATCGGCTATGAAGGAGTCTTCCTATCGAGCCAACTTGAACGATCTGAAGGATCTTGACCAAGGATTGTACCAAGGCCTGGTGAGTCAAGGGTCCTTCCGTGTTCCGTTCTCTACTAACCTGTTTGCACTAGCTTCAACTAAAGAACTACCCGGGCGACGTGGAGGACTTCTCCTTGGACTTCACCGTAACTGATACCATTCCTATGCCCGGGTCAGCACATCGTACGGCGACGAGAGAGCTGCGGTACAATGGTTCAAAGACGCCCGTGACCAATCAGAATCGCCTTGTTTACATTTCTTATATTGCACGGTACAGATTGCAGGTTCAGCCCGCCATGCAGACCAACGCCTTCCTGCAAGGCCTTGGACAGATCATTCAGCCCGCTTGGCTGTCTATGTTCAACCAGTCTGAATTGCAGACATTGGTCAGTGGCGAGACCGGCGATATCGATGTCGAAGATCTTCGGCGCAACACACAGTACGGCGGCGTGTATACCATTGGCGACGATAACCAGGAACACCCCACCGTCCAGCTGTTCTGGAAGGTGATGCATGAGCTGAACAACGAAGAGCGACAGAAGGTGATTCGGTTCGTAACATCGACACCACGTGCGCCACTACTCGGATTCAGCCATCTCAATCCACGCTTCAGTATCCGGGACTCCAGCGACGATCAGGAACGACTTCCGAGTACAAGCACTTGCGTCAACCTGCTTAAGCTACCCCGCTATGCCAATGCTGAGACCTTGCGGAGCAAGCTACTTTATGCGGTGAGCTCCGGGGCTGGATTTGATTTGAGCTGATGTGATTCATTCTCTTTCTCTCTCCGCATCGAATATCGACTGCAGGGTTTTCTGTCTCTTTTCCTTACTATCTGTATGTATGTACACAGTGCTTAGCTGCCTGGGATTGCATAGCATTGGCGTTTCACAAATGAAAGGCTATTTTAATAGTACTTGAGTGTTTTTGGAGAGGAGAATACGACTGTCTTGAAGTTGTAGTTTGATAATTTCTTTCTAGCATGTAGCTCGGGTACGGTAGCTGGTCCGATTACATCTGCCTCGTGGGCAGGGTTGGAAGGCTAACACTATCACTGGAGGCATGCTCCTTTCGCTGCCACCATTGTCTTCCAGGCAACATCAATGGTAGTTTCCCTTTTTCATCTGCCACCAGAAATTCCTAACGTGCCTTAACCCTTTAATTGCCTTCATCTTCCCATCTTTAGCCCTTTCATACTTTCCGCCCCGTGACTCTCACCCGGCAAGCCCTTAACCCAGGCAGCACCGCCTACCCCATTAGGACTAGCGCGTTTCCCGCTCTTTCCTCTGAGTTTTCCAGAACGCCTTCTTCGCGGGTCGACTTTTTTTTCTTCTCTTCATCCCTCGATCTCCTACAACCCCTCTCTCTTTCTTAGGGAATCCTTTTTTCCTTTCGACTTCTTCTCGAAAGCCTAAAAAAAATCCCCCAAAAAAACCCGGAAAAACCCCCTTGAAAAAAACTCACCCATTTATCTTATCTCACCCCCTCCTCATTGTGCGGTGTGTGGAAGAATTTCATTCATCCGCCTCTCTCCTTCCACTAAGGTTGGTCAACGCCCCCCGATCTCTTTCAACACATCACATCACCCATTTCACTCGTCCTTGCCCTCGCTTCACTGTCAGTGGCTCGTGTCTTCCGACACCTCGTCATTGAGTCTATCTACCAGGCCTGCTCAGATTGGTACAAAGCCTCAAGCTGCCCTTTGTTGCGCGGAAGCACTCCTCTGTGTACGGCAACAGCCACATTCCCTTTGAGACTGCTGCCCTTGACTACACCCCCATCTCCCGAACCACGAAATTACCGTTCTTGCCAAAGAGACTGCATGACCTGCAGTGTGACATCGTGGAATCTCTCTCACACCTCTCTCCACAACCAAATTTGACGAGTCCCCGCTAAACTCTCACAGTAAATCCAAAAAAGAAAATCTCAAAATGTCTGCTGAGACTGCTACCAACCCCCCCGCCGCTGAGGCTCCCGTCAACGGCACCCCTGAGGCCAACGGTGCCCAGGAGACCGCTCCTGCTCCCGAGACCACCGGCGAGGGCGCTGCGGCTGCTGCCAACAACCAGCCCCACTCGGCTTCTCTCTACGTCGGCGAGCTCGACCCCTCCGTGACCGAGGCTATGCTCTATGAGCTCTTCTCCTCCATCGGTCAGGTCGCCTCCATCCGTGTCTGCCGTGATGCTGTCACCCGCCGCTCCCTAGGCTATGCCTACGTCAACTACAACAACACTGCCGATGGTGAGCGTGCCCTGGAGGATCTGAACTACACCCTCATAAAGGGCAAGCCCTGCCGTATCATGTGGTCCCAGCGTGATCCCGCTCTGCGCAAGACTGGCCAGGGCAACGTTTTCATCAAGAACCTGGATAACGCCATTGACAACAAGGCTCTGCACGACACCTTTGCTGCCTTCGGCAACATTCTGAGCTGCAAGGTTGCTCAGGATGAGTTCGGCAACTCCAAGGGCTACGGTTTCGTTCACTACGAGACCGCCGAGGCCGCCAACAACGCCATCAAGCATGTCAATGGCATGCTCCTGAATGACAAGAAGGTCTTCGTCGGCCACCACATCTCCAAGAAGGACCGCCAGAGCAAGTTTGAGGAGATGAAGGCCAACTTCACCAACATCTACGTCAAGAACCTTGACCAGGAGATCTCCGATGAGGAGTTCCGCATCATCTTTGAGCAGTTCGGTGAGATCACCTCTGCCACCCTCAGCCACGACCAGGAGGGCAAGAGCCGTGGCTTCGGTTTCGTCAACTACTCTACCCACGAGAGCGCGCAGGCCGCCGTTGACGAGATGAACGAGAAGGATGTCAAGTCTCAGAAGCTCTACGTCGGCCGTGCCCAGAAGAAGCACGAGCGTGAGGAGGAGCTCCGCAAGCAGTACGAGGCTGCTCGTCTGGAGAAGGCCTCCAAGTACCAGGGTGTTAACCTCTATGTGAAGAACCTGACTGATGACGTCGATGATGAGAAGCTGCGCGACCTCTTCAGCGCCTACGGCACTATTACCTCCGCCAAGGTTATGCGCGACTCCCTCTCCGACCGCACCCCCTCTCCCGACTCCGAGAAGGAGGGCGAGACCAAGGAGGAGGGCGAGAAGACCGAAGAGAAGGAGGCCGAGAAGAAGGAGGAACAGGCTGAGAAGAAGGAAGGCGAGGAGAAGGAAGGCGAGGAGAAGGAGGGCGAGGAGAAGGAGGGCGAGCAGGAGCAGGAGTCCGAGAAGTCCGAGAAGAAGCTCCTCGGCAAGAGCAAGGGCTTCGGTTTCGTCTGCTTCTCCAGCCCCGATGAGGCCTCCAAGGCTGTTACCGAGATGAACCAGCGCATGGTCAACGGCAAGCCCCTCTACGTCGCTCTTGCCCAGCGCAAGGATGTCCGTCGCAGCCAGCTCGAGGCTAGCATCCAGGCCCGCAACACCATTCGCCAGCAGCAGGCCGCTGCCGCCGCTGGTATGCCCCAGCCTTACATGCAGCCCGCCGTCTTCTACCCTCCCGGCCAGCAGGGCTTCATCCCCGGCGGCCAGCGCGGTGGCATGCCTTTCCCTCCCCAACCCGGCATGGTCATGGCTGGTATCCCTGGTGGACGCCCCGGCCAGTACCCCGGCCCCTTCCCCGGTCAGCAGGGCGGCCGTGGCATGGGCCCCAACCAACAGATTCCCGGTAACTTCCAGGGCATGCCTATGGGTATGCAGGTCCCCGGTGGTATGCCCAACGGTATGGGCTACCCCATGCAGGGTCAGTTCGGCCGTGGTGCTGGTGGCCGTGGTCAGGTCCCTGGTATGCCTATGGGCCAGGGTATGCGCGGTGGTTTCCGCGGTCCCCCCGGCCAGATGGGCCGTGGTCAGGGCCGTGGCCAGCCCGCCCCTGCCGGTCAGCCCGGTCGTGACGAGGCTGCTCCCGCCACTGGTCTGAGTTCTCAGGCTCTTACCTCCGCCCCTCCTGCCCAGCAGAAGCAGATGCTTGGTGAGGCTCTTTACCCCAAGATCCAGGCTCAGCAGCCCGAGCTCGCCGGCAAGATCACCGGTATGCTTCTGGAGATGGACAACACTGAGCTCCTTGGCCTGTAAGTTTTCTTTTTCTATCTATTCACCGACGATTGATGCCATGTACTGATGTTAATTAGGTTGGATGATGAGGAGGCTCTCCGCGCCAAGGTTGACGAGGCTCTCAACGTCTATGATGAGTATATGAAGAACAAGGGTACCGATGGTGAGGCGGCCGGCGAGGCCAAGCTCCCGGAGACCGCCAAGGAGGCTTCCTCGGAGGAGAACAAGTCTTAAGCGACGTGTCTCGACCGCTGAACGCCTCGCAGACAAATTGTGATTGAAGGCTCAAGCTCGATTTTGCTCTCTGCACCGCTCGGAAAACTTTGGACGCACGTTTTGATGACAATTTCTTTTTTTCTTTTCTTTTTTTCCTTTCTACCATTGACCACCCCCCTATCTCTTGCTCTTCCCCTCCGAATCCTGATATCCCTCGGTTTGAAAAGTTCTGTCTTAGGCAGTGGCACCTACTGGTGTTTAGTGAACGCGGCACGACATTCGATTTTAATTTTTTTTTCTCTCCTTCTCTCGCCTCCTTCGTACACTCCTTACACTTCATGACCCCTCTTCTTTTCCTTAACCCCCTTTCGCCTGGATTTGGCGGTTCCAGGGGGAAGCCGCGCTGTATATGGGGGTCAGTAAAAAGTTGGTGTTTACCTTGAGGCGCTGGGCGCTGGGCGCTGGTCGCGGACTCTTACAGCCTACCATTCTCTCTTTCTCTGTTCTTTCATTCTATGGCTTGCTGGGTGGGAGTTGTGATGTCTTCCACTTTCTGTCTTTCGATTTGTTGATTCACATCGAATTGGCCTCGTATTTCAGACCTTTCATCTCTTACGATTGTAACATAGAGTTTTACTTCTTCCTCGCGAAGGACCTTTTCACTTTGTCCCTGTTGCTGCACTTGGGTCCGTCAGTGTTACGCTTGTTGAGAAATGGGACCGCTGATGGCCTTCTTTGATTTTCAATGATATTCTATTTGCCTTTAATCCAAACGTTCGCAATGTAGCAGTTTGAAACTTAGCAATACTCCCACAAAGGTTTGCTCTGGTGCAGCCCTGGTGGGCTGATAGTTACATATGGAGCTCAAATTGATGACTCATCATCACCTTCGACATCCAAACCTTAGGACCCGGAGAACCTACAAAGATGGATGTAGTCCTCCATAAGCCGTCTCTCATCAAGTCATCGGGCGAGTGGTTGGGGCTAGGGTGCAGTTGTTTGAACTGAACTCACGGTATGGCCATGCCATTTCCAAAATGGAGCGTCCAGAGTATTTACCCAAGACGTCAGAGATTGGCTCTCTGACAGCTCATTCCAATGAGGACAGCCAGTTTGTCGGTAGTTCCAGCGGCGTCTACTTTATAAACACAGTCAAGAGGGCCTTCTCAACTGGCCTCGATGGACCAGGGTCTCCAGAGACAGAGTTCCCCACTGCTGAAGATACATTAGTCGGGGCAGACGACTCGCCCCGGCATAAGAGACCTCGCGTCGCAGCTTCTAGCGCAAATTCCGTCACCTCGCCTGGAGCGGGAGAGTCCCCTTTGCAGTGGAAATATGATCCTCAAATGGTGAGCTATTTGGGTGATGCCCCGCCATTGGACCTGGCGAAGGAGCTGATGATGGCCTACTTCAAAGTGTGGCATCCTCTCTTCCCCTTCCTGCATGGGCCGACCTTCCTACAGGCCATGGAGAGGTTTTATTCGAGCACACAGGAAACAAGGCCAGGCGAGGGAATCGACTCGGACCACCGAAGCGCCTGTTGGACGGTGATCTTTCAATGTATATTCAATCTTGGAGCTCTACTTCGTCCTGACTTGGAGCTTCCGCCCGAATGTCGAATTCAGGCCCCTGGCAGCATGACTGCTTTGTTGGGGAGCCTTTCAACACGACATGACATCACCACACTGCAGGCACTCCTTGCTGCACAGGTCTTCCTTGTTGCAAGAATGTCGCTCAGGCCGGCGTCCACATTCGGCGGGTGTATCCTGCGGTCGATGCTCCATGCTGGATTACATCGTTGTCCCTTCCGCTATGCCCAGCTCTCTTCGCATGACCGGCAATTACGGAAGAGGATCTTCTGGTGTGCCTATGCCATCGATAGATATCTGAGCCAGGCACTTGGCTTGCCGCTGGGTATCCAGGACTCGGATATTGATGTTTGTTTGCCGGCTGCACCGGAGATGCACTCCCCGCCGCGAGTCAGAAGTTCGAATGCGATATCGTCCACTTCAAAATCAATAGACGAGACTCTGCATGCAGACGAGGGAGTTGCAAATTTATCTGAAGATAGCGTCATCTCTGCCCGGCCCCGTTCTGCGAGTACCGCACGTCGGGAGAGCCATGTTGAGGATCACCGCAAGAAGGAAAGCGTTCTGGCCAGTTACGTGGACTCTGGTACCCTTACGGGGCGAGCTCTGGAGCTATTCCACAAATCCATTCTCGTTCGTTCAGTTTCTCGGAGTGCGGTACTGTTCTTGGTGACAGATGTCCACAAGTGGTGGAATAGCCTCCCTATCGAGTTTCAAGGAAAGTCAGCAGGGCCTGACGAAGACTCGAATACAGTGCTTACGGATCATCCATTTGATTTCGGACCCTTCTTTACAATCTTGTATCAGCATCTTGTCTTGATTATCAATCGACCTTCACTCTCATTGGATCCTTTGACTGCGGAATTTTCTTCTGCGCTACAGACGTGCATCGGCGCGGCCCGCGCCATCCTTGCCGCATTGAGGCTCCAACTGGCCAGCCAGCAGGCCTTTTTCTGGCCCGGATTCTTGTCGGCTGCTTGGATGTCCGGGCTTGTTTTAGCCTTCGCCTGTCAGCTCAAGCAATACGTTTTGGGAAAGGGGTTGCAGTAAGAACCCCCCTATTATGCTAGATTGGATGCGCATCCGAATATACTAACGCCCTCTAGGGAGATTGAGGAATGCTCGGAATTTTTGCGCCGCATGTCTACTCAGTGGGAGACTGCAAGGCACTGTCATTTGACTTTGTTACTGTTGTCCACCAAGATAAAAGAAATTGAGAACGATCCAGATCCAGGAATGAGCTCACATTCTTATGCGCTCAGGAATACGGAGAGGGCAAACGATTCTCTGAAACCCCCGAGTCTACATGAACAAGACCTTAGGGAAGCACAGGGTCGATCTAGTTCTCAAGCCGAGCAGCCCCATCCTACCGTCCCAGGAGCTCTCCGAGGATCAGAAGGACCTGGGATTGGTCTGTTGGCATCTGAACATCCAACAAATTTTCATGCGGATATACCATCGACTGAGATATCCCCCACATATTCTGGGATTCCAGAATATGGAGACGAACTACCTTGCTGGTGGTTCGAGCTTTGATCTGAACATGGTTGATCTATTTGGAGGCTCGAATTTCGATTCATTGCTCGATGTGATTGGGCAGCAATATCCCAACTTCTAGGTGTGTATTTATCATCTACATGGCAAGTACCCTCGAGTATTGATTCTCAGGCATATCTCAGGGGCTGATGCCGTTCATCAATGAAACACAGGTCAGATGCCCGAAGTCAATGGAGTCGAGTTATAACATATTCAACACGAGACTATTAACATCGCTGGAAGGTGAATGTCAAATCAGAATATCAGCAACCTTGCATGACATTTCTTCCCTTCAGTAGTCATTCCGTTCACCCAGACTCTCTCACTGCATAGCACCCCGTGATGACTCTTTCGGCGGAGCATACAGCCGCAAGGTCGAGTTACGACAGTGAACCTTCCGAAAGACAACATCCTTTTCAAAGGGCAGTCCCTCATCACGTACACGACCCAACCATGCCACTACAATATCTTTAGCTGCACTCAATACAGCCCATCGGTTTTCGAAGCCACCATAGCGTGACCGTGCGTTCTCTGCGGGGCCGACCACCTCAATAGAGACCCAGAAAGGCCCATCAGCGCACTGCGGCTTCATGGTTATAGTGGCCTCCTGGCTCTGGATTGCAGACCGCATCTTGAGCAGGAGTCTGTATCCGGTTAGGTGGCCTTCATGCTCGGAGAATCTAACATTCACCCAGCGCACATTCGGTCCCTGGTAAAGCTCCTGTCTGTCTCGGGTATTAGTTTGTGTTTCCACTTCTTTCACGGCCGCCATGGCCTTCATTTCGTTGTACTGGCAAGGGCCATGCTGGTAGATATCTTCTTTTTCGTTGGAATCGTCCAGGCCCACCTCTGTTTCGTGAATGGTGATGTTGCTCAACTGATCGTCACTGTGGTTTCTGCTCATGCCGCTATCGTCCAGGGTCTCCATATCACTATGTCCCTCGTTGTCATCATCGTTTATTTCAAGGCTCTTCGCTTGATTGAAGATTTCCCCCACACCCATATTATCAAAGCTCTCGTTAATCTTGCTAGGGTTCATATGAATTATGGCCTGTCTAAAGCTTCCAGAATATTCGGACATTGAACAGGTGGATGTATCAAGAACAGAGATGGGATTCAACGAGAAAAGATATCAAGCGCTTTCGGGCGAGATTAAATGCCTTGAACAGTCGGTGGGAAGCCAATGCTGAGGTTTAAAATACTTTAAATACATTTTCCGTTTTTTAAGGAATGACCCAGCTGGTTACTGGACAGGTTCTTTGTATGCCCCGGGGCCCGATCTACTCGTAATTTCCATTATTGGGGGAAGCTTTGAGAGGTCTGGAACATGCCAGAGAAAACCCGCCTTACAAGTGCATTCATTGCTATTGTATAAAGTAAAAAAAGCATGATAGCTGAGATTAATAAAAGAGCTTCTGAACGGCCTGGGGACGGCTTCTCATCTTCTTTCTCTATGATTCTTTTACTCCATGGGAATATCCACAAGCTCTGATTGACCGCCAAAAGCCATATTTCAGATGATCAGACTTTGATCTTCTCAATCTCCGCACATACTGCGTCAACTACTCCCTGGGTGTTAGAGGTGCCACCCAGATCCGGCGTCAAAAAACCTGCCGCACAAACATTCTCGACGCAAGCCATTAGCCTCTCAGCTGCATCCTTCTCGCCAATCCACTTAAGCATCTCTGCAGCAGACCAGAAAGTAGCAACAGGATTGGCGATACCTTTCCCAGTGATATCGAATGCACTACCATGAACAGGCTCGAAAAGAGACGGGTTCTTGCGCGTGGGGTCCAGATTGCTTGATGGGGCGACACCGATTGATCCGGCCAGAGCGGCAGCAAGGTCGGAAAGGATATCCATATGCAAGTTGGTGCCGACTATCGTATCAATGGACTGAGGCTTGGCCACCATGCGAACGGTCATGGCGTCCACCAACATTTTATCCCAGGTCACATCGGGGAAATCCTTGGCAACGCTAGCTGCGATTTCATCCCAGAGGACCATTCCATTGCGCATAGAGTTACTCTTGGTCACCACCGTCAGCAGCTTTCGAGGCCGTGACTGGGCTGTTTGAAAGGCAAATCGCATGATTCGTTCAATGCCGACACGAGTGAAAATGGCCACTTCAGTGGCAGCCTCCCATTGCTGGCCAATATGCGATCGACCTCCCTGACCGGCATACTCGCCTTCGGAGTTCTCACGGACGAGCATCCAGTCGATTCCTTCCGTTGCGGTGTTCAGTGGACATTTTGTTCCTGGAAATGTTCGCACTGGTCGGACATTGGCGTATAGTTGGAGAGGACCTCTGATGGCAAGGAGAAGACCCCACAAGGAGATATGATCTGGGACATCTGTTTTACGATTAGCATACAAATCCCTAAAAAGTGAAGTATCTTGATGGGGCGTACCGGGTGCACCCACGGCACCAAAGATGCCTGCATCGAATTTGCGCAGAGTGTCTAGGGCATCTTCAGAGATATATCGCCCGGTCTCTTTATAGTATGCAGTTCCCCATGGAATATGGGTAAACTCAATTTGGAAAGTCCCCAATGTTTTCGCTAGTTTTTCGACGACTTGAATGGCGGCGCTGACAACCTCCGGGCCGATGCCGTCTCCAGGAATAGAGGCAATGTTATAGGATGGAGCCATGTTAAATTTTGCCCAAAATGACGAGGGAAAACACTCTAAACAGGATAAAACAAAAAGAATATATCAATTCAACACGCTATCAGTCGATCTGATCATATGCTTTAAATAAAAGCATGTCTTCTATGGCCCTCGGCGTGACTCGGCATAGCCTGAAGGTTCACCCCGCCATCGGCAGAACTTTCAGGCGATGAACTCACCCGTTCCTCAGTCTCTCACTTCTTCACTTTTGCATCCACCTCATCATTATTGAGACAGGAAGATGGGCAAAATGCAGATAGACAAATCATCTCGGATTACGGTTGCATGTAATGCATGTCGCTCAAGGAAGCAAAAGGTTGGTTATTCCAGTGTATGTACGTCCTGGATATGGCTCACTCGTTTTGAACCCGCTTCAGTGTAGCGGTGGAAAGTAAGCTTTTCAGGTATTTTATCCTCTGATTGGCGATATAAGCTAATTGGTACTTGCCATTTGCACCAAGACCAGTCTGTCAACAGTGCTTGGAATATAATCGGCCTTGCGGCTGGCCAGAACAGCTGAGACGGTACGTGGATGTTAACTTTCCGAATATAGTATTTCTCAACTAAATACATCGTCAAGAGGTCCCCCGAAAGGGCATATGGAAGCTCTGGAACACAGGCTACAGTTGACGGAAAATGCATTGTTGAGGCTGCTCTCGCAAGTCTCAAACACCCAATTGCTGGAGGCATTTCCAAGTCACTCATCATCGGACAGAAGCCCGAGTGGATATGTACCTCTCGCGAGGATTGAAAAGAAGGGGATTGAAGACTGGGCACAATTTCCACTTGACACAGCCGACAACATTCGCAAGTGGCAGAGATTCTACACCGACCAAGATGCGGGTTGTCCCTCCCAGCAGGTCCTTGGAAACGAGAATCCTTCTATTCGCTCGGACCATACGAGTGACCGGAAGCGAAAACATATGGCACTTGACGGACCTACAAATGGGCCCTTTGAAGAGCATGTCAAAGGATCATCAGAATCTGATTCTCCGCATGAGCATCAACCGTGGCCTTCGTCTCCAACTGCTCTTTACCGGGCGCAGGAGCGGCCATACCTCCATGTTGGCGTTCATCAACATCTAAATATCAATGAAAGTGAGCACAATGAGCCGGGGATTGTTGATACTGGAGCTCATCCACCCATGTGGGAAGATAAAGCTGTTGCTACGCAGATGGCCAGCTCCTGGGATGGAGCACCTTCTCTCAATTTCCAGCACAGGTTTCTCTGGTAAAGAAAGATAGTCAGGAACATGACTTCTGAAGAATCCCAGACTCCAATAAAAGCTCTGACCATTTTCTGCCAAACAAGATCCGAGAATATTGTTGGATGATAGGAGAGATTTATCTGCCAAGAGTCGGGTTTTCTATGGCATCGGAGAGAATGGCGATTCGTCGCATCCCCGGAATTACCCCGAATGCCCCCGCGGGGGACGACGCTTAGCTACTTTCGCCTTCCCCGCAACAAAGCCATTTATAGTTCGACTGAGCTGGTTTGTGCAGTGATGGAATCGACCAAGTGGGAGAGCCCCACAGCGTGGAGGGATGGGGTGTCGTGAGGGGCTTTGTGATTGACTGCTCGGGTTTGGTCTGGGGGCATCAGAGGCTTCGGACCACTCTCTTGATAAACTCATCAATGTCCCGCCGACGCTTTGCTACGTATTCATCAACTCGTTCCTCGAAAAATGGCCATCAAAAAGGTACATCCATCTGCCCTCTGGTGGCCAATCCCATAACTAAACGCGTCTTGCTGTTAGGTGATCGTAGTCGGCGCTGGGCCCTCGGGTCTGATTCTTGGGATTTTACTCGCCAAACAGGGCATTGAAGTTGAGCTTCTCGATGCTGGTGCTGAACTTGACAATCAACCTCGTGCGGCTCACTATGCAACACCCGCAACATACGAACTAGCACGAGCTGGAGTTCTTGATGACGTGAGAGCTGTGGGCATCCCATGCAAGAGCTTTGCATGGAGGAAAATGGACACTACTTTCATCGCTGGCATGAAACATGACGTGCTACCCGCAGATTATCCATACAGCATGGTTGTGCTTCCACTCGACCGATTGGGAAAGATCCTGTACGAGCATATCCAGAGACAACCTACAGCGACGGTCAAATGGTCACATCGGGTTGTACGTATTGGCCAAGACCAAGGGATGGCTTGGGTCGATATTGAAACATCCAAAGGCACTGTGCGATCTGAGGCAGACTATGTTATCGGCTGCGATGGAGCTAGCAGCACCGTGCGGCGTGAGCTGTTCGGCCCAGAGTATCCGGGGGAGACTTTGGATGCACAGATTATTGCGACAAATGTCAGTGACGATTTCTCCTATTGGGTTTGAAAAATGGAGTACTAATTATTGTCATCTCTAGGTGTACTATGATTTCACCAAATACGGATACTGGGATAGCAACTTCATCGTCCACCCCAAGAATTGGCACATGGCAGCACGCATCACCACGGACGGACTATATCGAGTATCTTACGGTGATGTCCCTGGACTCACTCGGGACGAATACATTGCACGCCAGCCACAACGATACGAAGAGATTCTTCCTGGAAATCCCAAGCCCGGCGATTATACCATCACCAACATAAGCCCTTACAAGCTCCAACAGCGGTGTGCCCCCAGTTTCCGGGTGGGGAGGGTTATCCTGGCAGCAGACGCAGCCCATCTATGCAATCCTTTGTGAGTCAAGACACATATACTGCTGCGGGATACACATGAACCAATAGCTAACGCCGATAAAGTGGAGGGCTTGGGCTGACAGGTGGAATCGCCGACGTGGGCTGCCTCTACGATTCATTAATCGGTATGCATAAGGGTCTAGCAGACGAGAGTATCTTGGATACGTATAGTGAGGTTCGCAAGCGCATCTGGAGCGATACCATTGATCCCATGTCCCGCGAGAACTTCCGCAGACTGCACGACCAAGATCCAGAGAAAGCCCGTGACAATGACGAGTTTTTCAAGATCCTCATCGAAGCGGAGTCAGATACAGAATTGGCGCAGGAACTGGCACTGGTGAGTTTGATCTTTTTAGCCAAGTACTACTTTCTTGGGACGGGAACTAATCTCGGAATCAGGGACTGGAGGTCTTGCGACACGACATGACGCAGTACTATAAGAAACCATCCGAAGAAGCTAAACTGTAGATTAGTGACCTCGTTTACAACACCCTTACATTGAGTGGATGCTTGTCGCAGAACAAGTTGCGCTGTACTTTGGATAGACAGATAAGATATACATTGAAGTCAGGACTAGACAGGGTTTCGAAAGTATCGTCTCTATTCTACTGTTCTACCAGCATTAGATCTCTACCCCCGGGCTTCAACTCACCACATCACCACTCAGACAATTCGACCCAAAGTCGACGGTAATTGGCGGGTCTCATCTCGGTTTCATCTGACAAGGCTGCAGCCTCCTGAAAGCACACCGCCTTTGACGGCAACACGCGACACCCCATTCAAATCAGATTTTGTTTAGTCCAACCACGACTTCTCCTCATTAATCGATATTTCATTGCTCTAGTCCTTCATGTCGAGATGGGCTCCAAAACACTTGAAAACGAAGGCCCCAACGGCGGCAGTACGTAGAATCCTGACCACGCAGTGGTGTATTCCGCTTTCCGATCAACGCTTACACTAAACAGGTGAGCCGTCGAGCCCAATCAACGCAAATGCCACCGGTGGAGAGCCACGCGGAGCGCATCTGTCCCGCGACGGTGACGGTAGCCTTGGAGATGACGGCGACGATGACGGAGATGATGACAATGAGGCCGGCGTTGCTACCATATCGCTGACAGGCCAGCCTGCACCGGAGACCACCTCCAAGAAGAAGAACAAAAAGAGAAAGAAGTCAAAGAAGAAGACTTCATCAGTGAAGCAGTCGTCTCCCCCACGTGTCCCGTTGGATGACCTCTTTCCTTCCGGCCAGTACCCAGTTGGTGAGATCCAAAGTTATGCACCGGTGGACAATACTGCCCGCACCACTTCCGAGGAAATTCGATACAACAGCCGCACTCATCTCGAAGATGACAGCTTCCTGAATGACTACCGGAAGGCGGCCGAAGTACACCGTCAGGTTCGGCAGTGGACCCGGGAGACTGCTCGCCCCGGGAAGACCCTCACGGAGATTGCCGAGGGCATCGATGACGGCGTGAGGGCTTTACTTGGCAACGATGGACTTGCGCCTGGAGCAGGCCTTGTTTCTGGCCTGGGATTTCCCACAGGCCTAGCGCTGAATAATTGTGTTGCTCACTACACGCCGAATCCGGGCCAGAGGGAGATTGTCCTCCAATCCAGCGATGTCATGAAGGTCGACTTTGGAGTTCATATCAATGGTTGGATTGTCGACAGCGCATTCACCATGTCATTCGATCCGACCTATGACAACCTGCTCGCTGCCGTCAAGGATGCCACGAATACCGGCATCAAGGTAAGTCAAGAGATAATCTTCCCCACTGCTGATGACCCGGACACAACTGACCACGCTTAGAATGCTGGAATTGACGTCCGAATCAGCGATGTCAGTGCCGCCATCCAGGAGGCGATGGAAAGTTACGAGGTCGAGATCAATGGGAAGATATACCCCGTGAAGCCCGTGCGAGACCTCTCCGGCCACAACATCAAACAGTACCAGATCCACGGTGGAAAATCTATCCCATTCATTAAGACCAAGGACCAGACAAAGATGGAGGAAGGGGAGATCTTTGCCTGTGAGACATTTGGCTCTACGGGCAGGGGCTCGACCGTCGAAGGTGTACGTATTGAAGTAACTCAAAGCACGCGAAAGGAACGTAGGACTGACGCTTTATCAATCATCCAGCCTGGCGTCTACGGGTACGGAAAAGACCCCCACGCGCCGAAGAAGATTACCTCGCACCTGGCCTCGGCTCGATCTCTCTACCAGAAGATCAACGAGAACTTTGGCACTCTCGTGTTTTGCCGTCGATATCTCGAAAGGCTCGGTGTTGAGCGGTATCTGGCAGGAGTAAGAACAACAACTGCCACTTATGGAAGCATTGCTGACCATGATGATAGATGAACAACCTCGTTTCGCAAGGCGTGGTTGAAATGTACCCGCCTTTGATGGACATTGAAGGGTCATACTCGGCGCAGTTTGAACATGTATGTTCGGTCCCTCTACGTGAGTATCCCATATCTAACATTTGCTAGACCTTCCTGCTACGCGAATCGGGTAAGGAAATTATTAGTCGCGGAGATGACTACTAAAGTCACTTACCCGGGATCCAATCTCGCCCGGTGTGATTCGATTTCAGATGTATCGTTTCTAGATGCCATCCAACATGGACATCACGCAGAAACTGCTTTGTAGCTCGCTGCCAGGCACTATTCAACATAGTGTGGCCCGCCCTGTTAGAAGCGTACTCTCCTTTAAATTAGCTTCGCTCAACATTGTTTTTCACTCTACTGCCACGCTTCTGTACCACGTTGCCCATACGTTCCAAGAGCTACATGTGACTATGCCCCTGGAAATAATAAGGTAGAAATAAGGTTCTAGCCTTAAGCTAGCACTGTAATTGATCATCAAGCTATGTGAACATTCGGTGCCACCAGCGGGGAATTTTGGGCAGCGAAGACATGCTATTTGGGGGCGGTTTAACCGCGTGGCCAAGGAGAATGAATGTAGACTTGCCCAATCAACCACGTTCCAGCAGCTCCAGCATCCATCAAAACAGCCAGTCAGCCATCAAATGTCGACGCGTTAATTCATCCGACCATGGAGATCTCTCCTTCACGCAAGCGGCCGCGCCCGGTAGTGTCCTGTCTCCGATGCAGAGAGAAGAAAATGAAGTGCGACCGGGCGGCCCCATGCCAGAACTGTCGTAAAGCAGGTTGTCGTGCTGAGTGCAAGTACAACCAGCACCCTCACTCCAGCGACTCTCTTCCGACAGCAAAGCGAGTTCATCTGCCCGTCGAGGAAGATGGAACTGATCAGCAAGATCAAAGATCCCAATCGCGACTCGGGACGGGCATCATTGAGGATCTTCAGCAGCGTGTGGTTAAGCTGGAGGAGTTCCTCGCTGTTCGACCTCATGCTAGCAGTTTTCGCCAGATGAGAGATGCGCCTGTCCAGGGTTCATGGTATGTTGACATGATTTTCTTATTCTCCAACTTTTATCTCTTCTCCCATCTCTTCTCCCATCTCCTCTCCCATCTCCTCTCCCATCTCCTCTCCCATCTCTTCTCCCATCTCTCCTTTTCGATCTTCTCTTCTCATACTCTTCAATCAGGCCCCAATCTGACTCTACGTCGTCCACCTCACCTTTCCTCGGGACGTTAGTCGTCAAGGGGTCGCGAACTCGTTATCATGGGCAAAACAATCGCGTCACGCTGCTCAATCAAGTAAGCCCTCTCGTTTACTTGACTCCCGCAAAATCTCCGTTAACTGACGCGTCACAAGTTCCCAGACGCAAAAGCGTTCATCAACCACTGTTCTGAAGACTCTGAACTCGTAGGGCTGGCCAAGGAAGTCCAGTTTCTTCAAACAAAGTCACTGGCGCAAATCACCTCCCCCCAGTCCCTCTCGGGGTTGGACAGCTTTCCTGAGCTGCAACATCTTTTCAGTTCTTTTCCCTCAAAGGCAACCTGTGACAAGCTGTTGAAGGTTTACACCACCAACTGTGAGAAAACTCTCAGAGTTATTCACGTTCCTTCTTTTCTTCGCCAGTATTCATCTTTCTGGCAAACCCCCGACCACCAGTCTGCGTCCACATTTGTACCACTTCTGACGGCAACTCTGGCCGTCGCTGTGTTCTTTGCTCCCCAACCAACTCATCCCGATGAATCATCGTCATGGGACTATCTGACGCAAGATGCCATCGGCTCACTGCAAGCCTGGTTGGTCAAGCTCCCACGAAAGCAGCAGGTTGATCTGGCAACCCTACAAATTGAAACATTGCTGTTGCTCTCCCGCCAACTTCGTCTTAAATCTCCAGAAGAGCTGTGGAAAGCTAGTGGTTCTTTGGTCCGCTCTGGTATGGTGATGGGGTTGCATGTCAACCTTTCTCAGTCCACCAAACTGTCTTTCTATCAGGCAGAATGCCGTCGACGACTCTGGATTACCATCGTCGAATTGGATCTTCAGGCATCTATCACGTCTGGCATGCCAGTGATGACCCCGGAGCTAGACTTTGGGCCTCTCACGCCGTTGAATCTCAACGATCCCGACTTTGACGAGTCAACTTTAGAGCCGCCATCACCTGCCTCTCTCAGCGAGGCGACCGACTCGCTGGCTCAAATCACTCTTGCTAGTTCATTGGCTCATCGGATCAGAGTGATGAACACGGTACAACATACAAACCCGCATGACAGCCTCACTGAACGCGTCAAGCAAGGTCAAAAGCTCAAGCAATATATTTCTGACGTTTCAGCCCACTTGAAGCCAAATCAAAACACGGAAAGCACGCGTCTCGCGTGTGTTTTGAATCACGTCCTGCTGGACATCTTCCTCCGACGCCCGCTTCTTTGCCTTCTTCTACCTATTCTCTCTCACACCTCACACGATAACTCGTCCTTCCAAGAGATACAGGAGACTTGCCTCGAGTCCTCACTTGCCATTCTTTCTTACCAAGACTACTTTGACCCTCATTTTGCTGACCTTGATGTGAGCAACCTGACTGCTTACTGGGATATCTTCCACACATTCTGTCACCATGACATCGTGTGGGCAGCTCTCAGTGTATGCGAGTACATGAAGCTACTTGCCCCCACATCAACAGCTTCATCCCCTGCCAACTATACCAGGGAGCCAACTGGTTCCCTAAGCCAGATCCCCAGCAAAACTAGCCTCATCCGTCTCATGGAGAACACACTTGACAGCTTCACACGTCGGGTCCACCACAAAGGAAGCAACATCAAAGACCTCATTCTCCTCAGCACTGTTCTTCAGTCTGTGCGCGCTCGTGGATCAACAGAGCAAAGGGAGCGTTTGATGCTACAAGGTGCCAAAAACACCCTTACTGCCTGCCGCCAGCATCTGCTGTCGATAGCTACACAGCAGACCTTCTCATCTGATATGGCAGATCTGGCACAAATGGTACTTATCTCTCATTCAATTTAGATGATTTGCTTACAATTTTACAGATCCAACCCTCCGAGGCGATGACCCTGACACAAAATATGGGGCAACGCCTGTCCACTTCTCAGTCTCAGATATCGGACATCATCCAACTGCCACCTGAAGCCACGACTGAGTTTGAGAATTTCGTCGGCGATCTCTTTTCATTTGATGATGAATCATTTATGTGGAATATATGAACGGGAAAATCCGAGCCCAACACAGCCTGGAGAAACTTCACTACATTTAGATTAGCAAAGCGGCGTGGAGGCACAATCCGCTGGGCGATGAAGCACAAGCGGTGAAGAAGCACCGAGGGCCTGTGAAATACAAGGGTGATCGAGCACCACATTATCGGTTCAAATGTCATAAACAACCCTCATCTGATTCGAACAAAAGCGGCGTGGAGGCACAATCCGCTGGGTGATGGAATACAGCGGTGAAGAAGCACCGAGGTATATGGGCTATCTCAGGGTGACGAGCACCGATCTCTCATGATACTTCCGTATTTATATTCTCCATGGCTCTAGGAATTTATTGGCTCTTCCCGATTCTCAGTTATTCACAGCATTCTTCAACGAGATTAGTTCGTGATAACTGGCGCAGTATTATCCCAGCGTGACTCCTCAGCTGCATCCACAAGAAAACAAGCAACGCTCTTGCGACTCGCACTAGCCATCAATGGCACACCTTTCCCATCATGAGGCCACTCACGCACCGTCATAATATCAGTCTCCACCAACCGAGATGGCCGAACCATCACATAAGTGACACCACTAGCACGAACCTCCCTGTCGGTCATATTGTGATCCTCATACTGATAACTCATATTGGTCTTGCTCATCAATCCACGCAGCAAGCAAGACATGTTCGGCCATGACGCTCCTACGCCAAACGCTTGCATGATGACCACCTTTTGGACACCATATTCCTTCATGGCTGTTACCACGTTAGCATTGCTATCGGCCATGAGTCGCGGCGGAGATATCAGTGCGGCGAAGGGGCTGTCCGAGGCGCGGGGGGCATTCAGTGTGACGATGACAACGTCGGGGATGCGATCTTGGAAAGCTTGTCTGACATCGGAGACTTGTGTTGGCGATCCTGAAATTGTATCAGCTTCTGTTTAGGTTTCTAAGTTGAACACGGTGTTTACCTACCTTTGACGATGCTGATGCCATCCATTCCTTCCATTGTGGCTGGATCACGGACGAGAGCTGTAACGCCGTGTCCTATCATGAAATTAGTCTGGGATTGAAGATCCTAAATTGACCGTTTGATCTTACCGCGTCGCAACAATTCGTTGACAACGAGCTTGCCAGTGCGGCCATTTCCACCAATGATCAGGGCGTGCATGTTCGGATGTTGGATGCTATCGTAGATGGTGTAAAGTCCAAGATATGGGGAAAGATTGACTGTTATTTGTGTATCAAAGTATGCGAATCTGTTTGGAGACAATGACGATACCAATAACAGGAAATGCTACAGGAATCACCGACGTTTAAATATGCGTTGAGAACAATCCGCCCGGAGATGTGTATACTTCGGGTCCGGGCTCGGATCCGGAGCAGTTCAATTGACTGAAGATGATTCAAATAACAACCACGTACAACCATGAATTGTTCGGTGAAAAGACCGATCTGGATTAATCTCATCTCATTTCAAGATAATTTCCAATACTAACTCTCCCACTGGACTAAAATCAGAGGTGTAGTATACAGCGCAACATTATCTCCGACCGCGTCTGTCTTTGCATAAGGAAGGTAGATCTCGTTCTGATCGGCCGGAGAGAGGCCAGGATTGGCTTGTAAACTATAAGCCCCCAGAGAAAAGTTTCCATTGACTCCAGAATAAAAATGAATGGGCTCAATCCAAGGACCCTCCGGTGCGGGTGCAGTCGTGATGAAGAAATCTGCCGATACGGATAGACCGGCTTGGCCAATCCATACATATGACTGCCAAGGTTGGGAGTAATAGTATGTATCTGGGAGTGTAATCCGTCCGGGTGATGACCTGGAAAACGTAGCCCTCTTGGTCCTGATAATCAGAGGCGGCTATTTGACCGTAGAATGCAGACGCATAGCTTGCGAGAGAGACAGCGCTCAGGAGAATTGGGAATTTCATATTGGCAGGATAGACTGTTCGAAGTTTTTGAGCAGGAAACGCTGATGTTTGTAGGTAATGTAGAATCGTATCGTATGATGTCTAGCTAAAAGTTCAGGATAGCAGGATATTATAACACCCATCGCTTGTCCTCCAAGTTTCTGTGGCACAGTCTTACCAATATTTACACCGAGACTGGAGTGGCACTGTCTTTGCACATTTTTGTCTATCTGACGAATTGTTTTGAGAATTCTACTTTATAGGCTCTAGTGACCTTGAGCTCGAGACCGGTATGGAGAATGGAGATAACTAGTCAGATTCAGCAAGACATTCCCTTTACGAGGGTGGAAATGAAAATTGTATTACAATTCAAGCTCAAGGCGGTCTTGCACCCTCATGCTAACTTCCGAGTTGGCTAAGTAGGGTAGTGTTCGGCAAGGAGTTGATGACCACACTCTTGAGCTTCCTTCCACAGGATCCGACCCTCAATACCGCAAGGGCTATCCAGCCATAGTAATGTATTCATTATGTGTATGAACCCTTCCCAGCTGATAATTCCCATGTCCCCAAGCTGCAAATGCAATCGCTCGGAAAACCACACCCGAGTGGTGTATCAAGGGCCGCGATTCCACCTAGCGTCAAACTCCATAGTAGTAGTGAGGACATCGCAGTCCACACCTCATCACGGATAGATTCCAATTCATATCGTAGGAGACCCGCCAAAGTTGGGTACGGACTTGTCATCAAGGGGACGGGAAATAAGACAAGCATGCTGTAGACGATCAGCGTCAATCGAAGTGACTCGTATATATGTGACACAGTTCCAGTATCTGCAAATGTAGCAGCAGGAATAGACAACACGTGGTAATGGAGCAGGTTTCGCAATTTGAGTACATATCCCAGATCGAGATTAAAGACCCGTCCAACGGCATACCCTTCCAATAAAGAACTGTATCCACGGAGGGCATGGAATACCCACATCACGGGCTGGGGAAACGTTGTATAGAGAAGACAATGTAAATTACCAGTCACAGAGTCGGTGTATTCAAACTTGGCCAAGAACTCAGCAGCACTGTCAAGCTGAATGTTTGTCAGAAGCGGCCAGTAAGGTCTTGCCAGAAATTTACTAGCTGTGATAAGATCCCAACTTTCAAGAATATTAGCTAAAGTTCTTGAACAAACTCCATGAAAAACTCACGTGGACAATCCTTCGGAAAGCCCTGGCATCTTGAGCTTTTCAAATCCGCCTCTCGCTTGCACAAGATAGCGTAATCCTCGAACATGGCCGTCCATAATCACAATGTCAGTGAACCGGGTCAACCACTGCAGGTTTGAGAGAGGGGCCATTTTCATCCGAGAGCTTGCGTCTTGGTCTCGCTCGTGTGGATGTAACGCCAAAGCAAAAGCAGCCATGACAATTTCATCCGTGATCTTGGCAGGACAGCCGTCATTAACAACATCCTTCAACGCTGTAAGAGTTTCTTGCCGCATAAGAAGCAACTCATAAATATCCTTCCCAGTCGTAGAACATTCGGCCCCTCCAGATGCTCTCCGCCGGATGAGAAGGTGCTCTGCGCCTGAGTGAAGCCATGCGCTGGAAAGGGGTGGGCAATTTAGGGCTAATTGCATCCACTCGTGGGTAAAGCTCTTTCCCTTGTATAACAGGCCGGGGAATAGTCTCGGCCACATTTCTCGAATAGCTGTAGTGTATCAGTAAGGTGACAGCGCTTTTCTGCGGAGGGTACCGACAGTAATGAAAGGTTCGGGTGATAGTCTCCCGGCTCAGATTAGATGGATAAGTATGGAATGGGTCCAGGTAACGGTGGCTATCGTGATCGATGGTCAACGGACTCGGCGCCCGTCTCACGACAGAAAGTCTTTCTTCAAGTCCTCGACATTGCGAGGAGAGCGTCTTTTCTTTCTTCGGTGCGGTGAATGCTACATCGTCTTCGCTATCACCTTTGCTCGGCGAATTCGAAACTTTTGAGCAATTGCCCTCTACAGCGGTTGGGGAGGATCTAGGAACATGATAGCCTCCTACAGAATGAGCTGAACGTTCAAGTGACAAGCTAACATATGTGCAAGTCATCCCGATTCTTTATTCCTGTGAGTCAGAGGCGCATAAGCAACCTGTGAGTGACTAACTTACCGCACACAACGCGAGCAAGATGGTATATCTCTGCTGCATTTCCTTTTTCCATCCCTACACCTCAAACAGGATAGGCTTGATTTTAACCAGGCAAGTCCTGTGGGTTCAACTTGCTGAGATTGGCTAGCGCTAGAAGGCCACTGTGAGACACATGGAACGGATCCTCAGATTGGTAGGGTGCTGGAAGACACGTGCTTGGATTCAAATTCCCCCCCCAATCCTCAGTCCCAGGACTTCTTTTGGACGCGACTCCTTATCATACTGACAGCTCTGATACACGCTGTGCAAATCAAATGTTATCAAGACATTCCCACCAAGAATCAGGCTGTGCTAACCATCGACACCTCGTGCAAGCGGGAGGAACCCTGTCACATTTCCTTTTTTTGGACCTACACCCCACACATGCCTTCGCAGCGAATTCTCTGCCGGGTGGAGTATTGGACATTGTTGCTAAATCCGCCCTCGTGGTAAGTGGTAAGGGGTTGTAGAATCCGGAGGCGGATGCACATGCGGAAGGTGGAGCAGCCTTTATACCAGTACTGTAGAAAGCATGCAGAGAGAGAAACACTGTACTATACGACTCAAACTGGAACGTGGACCTCAGCTCATCAGTTTCCCTCAGCCCATGGTTATGCGTAGTTGCCAAGAGCGTTAAATGACTACAGGAAAATAATGTACATAATGTCCGATTATTGCCTCGCTCCTGTAAAGGTAAGGTACGTGGGTTCTCATTACTTGGCACTAGTCGAACTGCAAAGCTAATAACTAGGTCTAGCATTAAGTAGTGACTCAGAAGGGAGAACACAGTAACTTAATATCTTTCTCTTCTTCTTCTTCCCTTCCACTTCTCCGACTGCCAAGGAAGGCTGGGAAAAAACTCAGTTCACCATGGAACGTCCCGCCGCTAACCAAATCAGGAATTTGTACACCCGCCAAGCGCTTCAGCCTCAGCAATTATTAATACACTATGTATTTTCACCTCATCTAGAGCAGTCGATAGTTTGAAGGACGTCTCCCACCAAACCTCGGCCCACCACAAGTAGTATATCATTCCAACCATTCGTCGTAATGTTTTGTTCGGCGTGGCAACGGTTTCCCCAAATAACGCCTCATGACCAACATCTACACCCGCTGGGGACCAACCTCTGTCGAATCGGTCACCGCAAAACTGTCTACACTTCATTGGGGTGTGAGCACGTGATGGGAGGTGAGCAAGGTCGGCCGGGAAATCAGAGGAAATCAGCTAGTGTTATGGAACGCTTGAGGCTCCCACTCTTGGTAGCAGTACTAGGTAGGCAACTGGTGAGGGGCCTACAGTTTTGAACAAGGCGATAGCCTATCTCTGCGCTTCATCGGGCCTTTATTATTGGCATTGGGGCCAGTTGCGAACGTGGGTTACTCAACTTGACTTGCAATTCATGCGACCAAGAATCTGGAACCCATCTTACCATCGCTGCATCAGGATTCGGCTTAGAATCGCCCATCTGCCAAGTTGGATCGATTTCACAAAGCGTGATGGCTTCCGGTCATGGCATATCTTCTTAGTTACCTTTCTTACCTCTCGGGCTCAACCACGTTGACAACGTTGTACATAGTACAGCGGAGTGGATTGACCCGATATCGCCGCAAAGTCCGCATTAATATCGAGATAGCGGGGATTAGAAAGTCTAAAAGATGTGTTCCCTGAACTTTCCCTCGGACTGAGGCCGCTGATCGTTGGGCTGATTGGTGGGCCTACCCAGGGACAACAATAGGTCCCGCGACTGTTACACCGTTTTGTCCTGTGTGCCCTCTCCTCGTGAGATAATTTCTGACTGTCATGTCTCTGGTGAAGAGAGTGGCGGAGTATTGTGGTCGAACTGGAGGTGGTAATTGGCTATAGAAGGCCAGCTTCTAGAAGCTCGTGTGAACCTAAAACAGCGGGCACCCTTGAGTCTGACGTCTTGATCTTTCAAGCCTTGTAGGTCACTGATGAACTCGACGGTTGCATTGAGCCATTAACCGTGCAGATTCCTAACGGTAGGCGATACGCATTCCACATGGGACGAGGCATCGGCGACCGGAGTCCAGTCATCGTCGGCTAGAGCCGATGCTTTGCTGGATAGTTCGTCGTCAGTGCGCCACGCCCCCGAGTCGGCATTGAAAGGGGTCATCTTACGAGTACCGAATTCTTGCATGTGGGGCCCGGGGATCTCTATATTGCTGTCTCACGGGGACGTTCAATTCTCATCATTGACTAGTATATCTCTGGGCGCCATGTTCAACACGTTTGTGGGTATCAACCACAGTGATACGACTAAAAATCCATCCGAGCGACGGCGTGCTATCGTGGCGAAGGCTTGCGTGGAATGCCGAAGACGAAAGACCAAGTGCATTGGAACACAGCCCTGCACTGGTTGTCTAGCATGCAATGTGGAATGTGTATTTCCGGAGTATCGGCGGCGAGGTAGAAAGTATGTCGCGTTACTGTTTCATTGTACCTGCGACCACATTTGACGTTGTGTTCCTCCAGAAGCCAGAAGGCCCTCCACAATGCCAGGAACCTTGACTGTGAATCAATTGTGAACCTCCTTTTTCCACACACGCCTGTGCAGTCACTCAAGGGACTTTCGCGATCGGATTTGTTAGATCGTGCTAAGTCCGTCTGTGTTGAAGAGGATAATTCTCCTTTGACAAGCAACCAAAGTTCCTCAATCGCATCACCAGACATCACAGTGCCCATAAAGGCAAGAGCTGTGCCAGATTCGGAGGCCAATGACAGGCTATACAAACTCCAGTATAGAGGTTCGACTCTCTTTGAATGGGACGAAACTTCTCCAAAATATCACCACTCTGTGGAAGACGACGTGAACGCTCTCTCGTTGTCGGCCGATCGAAGATCTTCTTTTGTGGGAATTTCATCGGTCGCAGCAGCGATCAGAGCCCTGACAAGCATCCTGCCGGCGCAGCTCGTTGATCAAAAACCCACGATATCCACATCCTCCCCGAATACAATAGAAAATCCCCCTGCAGCCACGTCCTTGACTCTTCCTTATCGAGTTGTCTCCTACCGCGATGAGCAGCGCCTGATCGACGCATACTTCACTAACATCCACGTCTTTGTTCCTATTATTCACGAGCCAAGCTTTCGCAACAAATACTTGACCAGTCGTGGTAGCCAGGATCGGTCATGGCTGGCACTTCTGAATATGGTCCTTGCTTTGGGAAGTGTTGCCACTTCACCAGGCGATTCTGACGAGGATTTTGAATATTATCACCTCGCCCAACAATACCTGTCACTGGAGAGCTTTGGAAGTGGAAGGCTAGAGACATTACAAGCTCTGGTGCTTATGGGTGGGCAATACTTGCACTTTCGCAATCGACCAAACATGGCATCTGCTATCATTGGAGCATGCTATCGAATTGCGAGCGGTCTTGGCTTAAATTTGAGAATACCCGAAGAGACTAAAGGCAAATTAAGCCTTCAAGAAGAGGTGAAACGACGGAACTGGTGGGCTATTTACGTGCTGGACACATGGGGCTCTACAACGCTGGGTCGGCCTTCGGTTGCGCTGAATAGTTTGATTGATACGCCGAGAAACATACTTGATGATCAGGTGAGGCTACGACTTCTCCTAATTGCAAATCCTTTGATTCAAACGCGACGTGGCTAATCATTTTCCAGCGCGGCGAGCTTTCACCAAATGAGCCAACGATACACGCCCCTTTGATCCATAATATTCAGCTATGCAAAATCATCAACCGCATCCAAGACCGACTACTTGTCAACTCTCTTCTCGATGACCATGAAATACAGTTTTATGATGATATGTTGCTATCCTGGTTCGAAACCCTACCGCCATTCTTGCGCTCACCCGATCCAAATGTGCCGGACCTTCAAGATGCCCGCTTGGTTCTCAAATGGAGATACCACAATATTCGATTCCTTTTACATCGCCCCTTGGTTCTCGATACGGTCGTTCGACAAACACCATTCCATTGCCTCTCTACGAACGAACAAGCTGTTGTCTCCCGATGTCGCGACATTGCAGCAGAATCCATTCTCAGTATCCAAGCAGAATGGCGCCCAAACAAAATTTGCTGCTGGAATGCAATATGGTTCATGTTTCAAGCCTGCTTAATCCCAGTGATGGCATTAGCTCTTGAGCCTACCGACCATGACGAGTATCAAAGTTGGTGCAATCAGGTCCAGATTGGGATCGCAGTCTGCGAAGAAATGTCGGGATTCAGTCCCGTTGGCCAAAGAACGAAGTCGTGCTTGGAGCAATTATTCTTAGCTGCTATCAAGGGATCACCTCCGACGTTTCGGTACCAGCCTTTGAGTAGACAACCTCCCTTGGATACCGTCATGGGAATATTCGCGAACGACTGGGACCATCTAGACGGAGATGAGCTATTCTCCCAGTTTACTACTCCCGGCGGCTCATACATAGACGACCAATTTCTCCTCGCACAATACCAACCATACCAATGACAACTCAAGTTTCGCCTTCCTAATCACTGCAATACAGCACAGCTCATCCCCCTACTTCTCCAGCAACTTTTCTTTGTTTTCCAGCCAAAATTGGCTTTTAAGCAAGTTGTCTCCCGACCGGTGTCTTTGAAATGCCGAGGAACAAATCGCTTATCCATAGTACATGATCGACTTCCCGCGGAATCAAACGAGACTCTCGGTGAAGCTGACATTATCCACCTGCCCCGAACTTTCACCGGATAATAATCCGTGCATACAGTATGTACTTCTGGCTATGTACATAGTGGAGTCTTTACCCGAGCCATGAGTGGTCAGCGGGTGAAGCCGACGGGCTCAATTAGGCCAATGCTAAACTGGTTCGGGGTAAAGCCACCCGGGCCTGTTGCAACGTCATGAGTGAGCAGCCATCGGTGCCGCCTCTTTTGCCCCGCAGGGTCTCCGAAATTCAAACCCCATTACGATCTAAGTTTGGAAAGCTTGAACTGTAGGAGAAACTATTCGAGACGTCGTCCCAATCAATTGAAACTGTGCATGTTCTCACCATGAGCTTGTTCAACTTAGGCTCTTACTTTATCATCCGCGTCATTTGGTCTTCCCAATCTGTAACGCGGCTTCTGCGGGGCACGGCGAATACGAAGAAGTGACTCATGATGGCATCTGTCGGCCGCAGCACTTATGGATGGATTTACCAGCTTTTATTTTAAAGGGTCTCAAGAGGACTGACACTTCTCGAATTCAGCCCATATAGGACTTTCTTGTGTTCAGCGCAAACACTGTAAATCAACATGGCCTCCCAGCTCGACCCCGAGATTGTGCTGTACGATTTGGCTTGTTCAAAGGGCCTCTGCTTCTCCCCGGTAGTGTGGCGCATTCGCCTCCTGCTCAACTATAAACAGATCCGTTACAAAACCATCTTTCTCGAATTCCCCGATATCGAGCCTACACTGAAAGCGCTGTAAGTTGCGTTTGATAACTTCTGGGGAAGGATTTGTTTCGAATCTCTTTCGACAGCAAGGACCAGGACTTACCTATCGCACACGAACCCCTCTTTCTTCCTGCTTTTGACTTCTTCTCCAGTGGCATAAAATCCGAGTCCAAATACACGGTCCCTACTATCCATCATGTACCGAGTAACACTTATATGATGGATTCCACACCCATCGCGCAATTCATCGAGTCTACCTACCCAAATCCCCCAGTCCCGCTGACGTCAGAGCTGGGGCGTGAGGTCGAAACGAAGGCGCGCGCTGTTGTTAGCACGGTCTTCCGCAACTCGGTAATGCCACGTGAGATAAACATTCTCTCGCCTCGCTCGCAGGAGTATTTCCGACGGACTCGTGAGGCTGCACTTGGCCATCCGCTTGAGGACCTTCTTGAAAAAGAAGAAAGCAGCTGGAGCTCCTTAGCGGATGAAATCCGTGCTGTGGGGGAACTGATGCAAACGAACAGGGATAAAGGGCCTTTTGTATTGGGTTCTCGCCCGAGCTATACTGACTTTTTCATTGCCGGTGCCCTTCAATGCGCGAGGATGGTGGACGAGGGTGTATTCCAGAGAAATATCAAGTACTACGGTTACGCCCAGATTTATGAAGCATGTTTACCTTATATGGAAAAGAAAGATTAATTCAGGACAAAGAACATTGCGCATCAATTATCTCATGTTATCATTTTTGTTTCTGCCTACGAATAAATGAGCCAGGCGTGCTCGTGCCTGTGCTGGTGTATTTATCCGAACCCTGCATGAATGTTTGCATAGCAGGCAAGCGGGGCTTTCCCCTTCCCTGTCTGCTCTCGAATCAAAGATCCTTGCTCATCTGTACAGTCTATCGGCCCCATTTGACAGCTCTACCATCCTTCATGACATAATTTCTCCGTGACCTGGCAATCAACTCCATTTCTGGTAAGTTAAACAAGTTTCCCCGCATTTCGACTGGAAGTCTTCCGTACGTCCGTTTGGATAAGAATCAGGGTCTCATTTTGCCCCTCTTTCAAAGCGAGGAATATGCATTAAAAAGGTATTGTAACTGCCTCGAGTCATTCCGGGGATTATTTTCTGTAGAAGTTGACCCTTATCTCCATCTAGACATTAGCAATGCTTTGGGCTAACATTCTTGCCAACATAGTCCTGGTACTTCCTCTAGCAGTGGTTGGACGTCCTTTGGACAACGGCAGACATTCTCAAGACCCAATTGTCGATCTGGGATACGCTCAGTATGAGGGAACCGCTCTTGAAATTGGAGTCAATCAATTTCTCGGAATTCGATATGCTGCACCGCCTCTAGGAGACTTACGGTTCAGGGCACCGGAAGATCCTGTTGTTACTCACGGAGTTCAAGCGGCCAAGGAAGTATGTACTTCTTCTGTACTGTCGTTGTTTTGATAGTTCAATATTCTCAATCAGTTCTAGTTTGGAGCAACCTGTATCGGGACATCTGGATCCGGACCAGCACTCAGCAATAGCACCAACGAGGATTGTCTATTTATCGATGTCTTTGCACCAACCAATGTGACGCCGCACAAGAAACTGCCGGTCTGGTTTTTCATTCAGGGTGGTGGCTATGCTGCAAATTCAGACAGGAACTTCAATGGATCAGAAGTTGTCGCAAAGTCAAATTACAGCATGATTTTTGTGCAAATAAACTACCGCGTCGGTGCATTTGGGTTCCTGGCCAGTGAAAAGATACGAGAAAATGGCGATCTGAATGTCGGGCTTCTTGATCAACAAAAAGCCCTGAAATGGGCAAGGCAGAACATTCATCTTGTAAGACCTGGTTTTCTTATAATATCTGTTAGTAACAAGGTATTACCCAAGGCTCTCACTAACTTAGTCACAGTTTGGAGGAGATCCTGACCACATTGTCATTCATGGAACATCCGCTGGTGGTGGCTCAGTGGCCTACCATCTCACTGCGTATGGGGGTCAGGAGAAACTTTTTGTCGGCGCAATAGCAGAGTCTCCGTTCCTTCCTACGCACAAGACCGTCGCTGAGTCCGAGTTCCAGTATCAAAGATTCGTGGAGGGTGTCGGGTGCGGGGAACATGAAGATTCTCTCGCCTGCCTTCGATCCCAAGATACAGCAACACTTCAGTCTGCCGATGTGGCTTCTCTATTCCCTGGTGCAAGTGAAACTCCATTATGGTATTTTTTGCCCGTTATCGATGGCACGTTCGCCCCGGATGCACTCTATAGGCTCTTCGAACAAGGCAGAGTGACCAAAGTCCCAGTAATGGTTGGCGATGACAATGACGAAGGAACATACTTCACTCCAAACGCTACCACCTCTGCTGAATTTTTGGACTTCATGCAGGCCAACTATCCTCGACTGACATCCACTGACCTTCAGCTTATCAATGCGACTTACCCACCAGGTGCATTAATGCCAGATCATGCTCTATACTTTGCCCCAGCCGCTCAAGCTTACGGGGAAGCAACGTTTACCTGTCCAGGCAATGAGATAGCCTCATCTATCGCCAAGTACTTCTCCCCCGCAAAAACTTGGAACTATCGTTACAATGTTTGGGATGCAGCCTACGAGGATGCCGGGCTAGGGGTACCACATGTCACTGAAAAACCAGCGGTCTGGGGTCCTGGGTACGCAGGAGCATGTGATAATTGTTCTTATTTGACTTACAACAAGCCAATGGTCCCCATTGTCATGGACTATTGGATCAGCTTCATACTATCACTGGACCCGAATACATACCGGGACAGCTCTGCTCCCGAATGGAAGCCGTGGGGGACCGCTGGTGGCCAAAGAATGCGGTTCCAGCTGAATGCTACAGAGATAGAGCCAGTCCCCGATGATCAGAAGCATCGCTGCATGGTCTGGAAACATTTGGCTCGCACGATGGAGCAATGATCATGGAAGGTTTTAAAACCTCACGTATGGTGTCAGATGTGTGCTGTCCTCGGTTGTTCATCATATTTCTGTTCTGTGGATCGTCAAGTTTGCTTCAGAGTCATCAAATTTGCAGAAATCGAGAGAAGTTACGCCTTAGAATTTGCTCTAGCCACCGTACAGGACTATCCTTCCTTTATCTACTGTATTTCTCGCGTTCTTACCGAACATTTTTTACAAGACTTATTAATAGGCACATCACTAACTATGTACACGACAGAGTGACCAAGGGGAACAGCTGGATACTGAACAGTACCCACTTGCCCCAGGGTTCCCCCCTCAAAGAGACAATATCTCAATCGAAACCAAAGCCGGCCCTCATGTCCATCCCTTTGTTTTGCCTCCTCACGGTAATCCAATCTCGAGGAAAATAATATCCGCTGAATAACAAGGGGTCAAATCAATTACATTACTGTAGAGCCCTGAAAAGTGGACAAACTGCATGAGCTGAAGACCCTTTTTTGCCAAGGGATCAGCAAATCCACAGGACCAACCGCACTATTGAATTTGAGTGCATCGCCAAGCAATACTGTGTAACCATATCCGCCAGTCACCATCGACGATGCGAGGGGAGTCACAAAACGAAACCACGAAACAAAATCTACATTTCGAACGCCGGAGTATTTAATTGTCGATCCAGCCGGTATGCGGACATCATGAAGTGAAAATCATTCATCAGTACTTTTAATTTCTCTCCTGGTGATAATCATCGCTTTCTACCTCCACGAGCTTTCCAAATGCTTGTGTTAACGGTACTTGTGGGGCTCGCCTCTTTGGCGATGCCCACATTTGCTCTTCCTCATGCTACCCGAAATACCGCCGATGTATGTCTCGTGTCCTACTCACACATCCAGGCACAAACTGTCTAACACCATGCAGTATCGAATTCCTGACCACTGCTATCCCAATCCTTGTGCTGGAATCACTTCCCAAAATGACACCTATGTTTGTGGTGACCCACGCTTAGGGCCTGTCAAGGCACCCAGGAAGTTCCCTCTCGACAACGAGTTGCAAAGTTATGAGCGCTTTGGCTCTCTATGTCCTGTGGCATTCCTCGAGAAATGGGCCGGATCAACGAGTCCTGATGCTTCCTACAAATACCCACCCGCCAACGGTTTTGTTGTCAACACTGATGGGGCCCCGATCATTGGCAATGCCACGCTGTCTGTGGGCCAGAAGGTCGATCGCTTCGGTTCAGAGTATGGAAAATTCCTGGCACCGCTAGGCGCACCCTACATCCAGCGTGCATTACCACCAAGTAACTTGATTACCTATGATGGCGATCATCCGTTCAACTATTATGTATATGAAGTGACGAAGAGCTTCGTTGTAGGACTGGGGCCTATCGCGCCATGGTTTGAACAACCGGGTATGGGTACTCAATTTGTGACTTATGCAAGCGTTAAGGATCTCCTGGCTGAGGGATATCTGCAACGATTGACGCCGGATGAATACGACGACCCTCGAGAATTTTCAGATGACTATACCCCTGGCCCATCCAAATTCAAGCGCCATTGAAATATCGCATTGGTTAGAGGCTTGGGATGCCCTGCTGCGAAACTACCTAACAGACCCACTACATGTGACGCATTCATCTCAATCGCATCGGCTTGTTCCGGGCTAAAAAGATGTATATGGAAGGCTGTAAGCTTATTCAGATAAATCTTGGAAGGGAATAGATATCATGTCGAAATCGGCAGGAGTGTTAATTCAAAGCCTTGCCGTCATCAACTTCAAATGAAGCAAGATTGATGTTGCAGCAGAGCAAGCCCCATTTGCCTTCCTTCATGAATGCAATCAGTATACTCCAAGAGACCTTGAATGCTCAGCACCAAGATACATGCCGTTAGAGACCTCCAAATATAGAAAATTATCCATGTACAGCGAATTCATTCGCTACCACCATCGCACGCCTTGCCACTTGGATGTACTTCGTTGCATTTGTCGGCTCGTGTATGTTGTCTCCAGGATGGGCCAGCCTGGCACTTCTAGGCAAGAACAAAATTCCAGTCTGACTGTAAGCTCTTCTAAGATTTTCTGCTGCATTTGGAGCTTACGAGGATGATGTCGTCATGGATCTCAGACATATCGAGGATACCAGTCGATATGCGAGATGATGTGGCCGGGCTTAGGGCTACGGCCAGTACATCAGATCGATATTTCAAGATGCTCAGCCTCAATCAATGTAAGACTGGGTGGGGTGGCCTAATGAGGTCAACCACCATTCACAGTACAATTGTTTTGCGGGGAAGCCCTTGATAATCAACGAATTGCGGGTAGATCGGCCACAAGGCGTCGCGCCAATCGGAGACTTCAGCGCCGTATAGTCAGCCGCTGCTCACGCCTGAATTGGTCCTGAATTCGTCCCGAAGTGGCGATAGCCGAGAGATCTCGGTATTGCATAGCATCCCGTTTTCGGTGCCCAGTTTTCATCGGAAGGGTAGAAATCGTCATTTCTGAGACAGTGTCTTGGCAAGTTAAGATTCGCATAGTATGGGGATCCCCGCGTGATCGAAAGCCTGCCCTGTGGACTAAAATTAGGATGCTCCGACCATGGGAACAATACATCGGGCCCCTTTTCCATGGAACTGATAGTAAGTAGTACAGCTAGAATCCCAGATGGAATACGAATGGTTCGTCCCTCCAAGTTGATGAGCAATGCGGCTCAGAGTGATTTTCGTCTGAATTGGTAAAGAATTGGTAAATTGGATACGAAAAGGCCAGCCTTCTGACTGTTTCAGCTATTCGCGTGGTCTGCAGACAGGGAAAGCCAAGACTGTATGGTAGGTATACGTCACCATTCGTATCTCTGGGTAAGGCAGACCATTTTGAGGCAGTATACACATGATTGTTTCTATAATTGTCAAGTAGAGCTAAGAAATTGTGACAGCGAGGGTAGAGATTCAAGTATTTAAAGGTCCTGGACTTCCGTCGAATGGACTATCATTCCAGACATACAAACAACAGAATATCTATTCCATTCTCAATACTATCCATATCTACTTGCAACACTTATCACTTTCAATATGAAGTTCTCCGACGTCCTGACTCTCTCCGTTGCCTTTGCCACTGCTGCCAATGCCAGCCCTATGCGGCGCACTGAGGAGGTTGATATTACCTTCATCGGCGCTGCCGATGCTCAATTCTCTCAGAGCTTCCCCGTTGATGGTTCTCAGGTGTCAATCAGTGAGTTCATATCCATGCGAGTGTCCTCAAGCTTTGTGTGATAACGCTGACCTTCTTAGCCAATCCTCTGAGCATTTCGCACATCTCATCCAGCACCAATGGCGTCTTTTGCACTTTCCATGGCGTTGACAACAGTGTCACAGCCGTGAACGGTGCCGAGAGTGTCGACGTTGGACCTCCTCAGACCCAAACCTCCGGATCATGCCAAAAGTTGTGGCGTCGTGACACCGCACAAGTCTCGGTCAGCTTCATCGGTGCTGCCGATGCCAAATTTTGGCAGGACTTCCCGCTTGACGGTTCCGCTGTGCAAATCAGTGAGTCTGCACCTGTTCGTGATGAAGAGGATGGTATCAATTGCAGAGTAGAGGAAGCTAACTGTCACAGCTAACCCCCTGAGTATCTCCCACATCGAGATCGATGCTTCTGGCGCGTCTTGCACTTTCAAGGGAGTTGACCAGAGTGTTACCACCGTCCCTGGACCCTCCACTATCGACGTCGGTCCTCCTCAGACCCAGGTCGAGGGTACATGCAGGGCCGTCTGAGTTCTGTCATGGGGAAATCACCTGTGTTTTCGATCCTGTTTGAAGACTCTCCTTAATTAGCATCGGTTTGTATTTGGTAAACAGAGGTGGGAAAGAGACTTGGCAATATACCGGTTGAAGGAAAGCGTTGAATCCCGAAGCAATGTGAACAGATAGAAGGTAGGCCTGGAGGACGAGATGACAGGGGGTTAGTCACTCACTTTCACAAATTGGAATTCTGCTATGATATGAATCTACGTTCCGCTCTTTTGTTTGTCAAAGGCTACGGAATCTTGGAGCAAATAGAGCCAGACAGATGCCTTCTGGTTTGTTGTGATTCTTCTTTGCCTTTCCGTAGGACTCCGCCCCGTTTCCAGGCCGAGGGTTCCTTGGACTATTTAATCCCCTTCCGCTCCATCTCTTCCTGCTTCTCTTCATTTTTCCCATCTTTTCACCTGCAATCCCGCTACCATACCTCTCAATCCCACAATCAAAAACTCGGCACCCTGGTCTCTTCACCTGTATTGAAACAGGCTCTGCAGGCCCAGGCAAACAAGGAGAACATTCAGATGCGCCCAATAAAGCTCTTGATAGCAATCTTAGCGATAACTATGATTCTCAGCAGATTTTCGATGTTGATGGACAACTTGTGCAGATGCAAAAAATGGACCTTAACGACAAGGCTATGCCCATCGAGCTAGTCACTCTTCTTCAAAAACTTGATCAGTGGGATCAGGTTGTAACGGTCCCCCGGTCCTACAAGGACGTTATACCCAAGACGATAAAGCCAGAGATCGACGTATCTGCGTCTCAAGCTCCCTTTTCCGACCCGCCAGATGAGGAGGTCAGACCAACAGCTCCATCTGAACGTGTCATTGGCTTTGAGCGAGATACTATCTATTCTTAGCGCTGGGAAAGTTTCTGGCTGATGAGTGGGATGAAGTGGTCCACCGGCCTCTCTTGAGTCTTGTGTTCCAGGGGGTTGTGATCAAATGGAATGTGGAGCACCATCGGATTCTGGCGGAACGGGTTCTGCAACACACCGAGAAAGCCCAGGACCTTCTTCAGGGCGCCACACAAGACATCAATCTTGTTGTAAATGACTGCGCGAATGCGAAAATTTTGAGTTGGTACGAGTCCGATGATAAGTCTCTAAATCACATCTCGTTTTGCATCTCGATCGATATCAAGAGGGACAGCCGTGCAATCCAACAGGTCAGAGACAATTACATTATGGAAAGCAACTTCCATCTCAACATAACCGAACACCGGTCCCTCCGGTTTAACCCTATTGGAATTATGGTCGTGATGGCTAAAGATCAGAATTCACCCAAACAGCTAACGACATGGCTGATGCCCAATGGGAACATCTTGAAGACCTGGTTGACGATGAGGCTGATTATCTGGAAGAACTGCCATTCCTGCCTGGTATCGTTATTCAAGGCCACGAGTGGCATCGTTTTGCCACATCTTGCGATAGATGTTGGAAAGATGTCTGGTATGAACGACACATGGGCAATACAGCTGCTGGCACCCAAGAAGACATTTTGGCATGGACGAGTTATCGGCAATACAGTGACGCCTGCCCGCGGTTACTGTCCAACTGGTGCATGCCCTGCAGCACATAGGGGATTGGATCAAGCGTGTCTACTGGCCCTGGTTTAGGGCTAACGCGTTGGGCGTCCTCGGTGGTTAATCTACGGCCACAATCTCGGTTTGATTTCCCTGGCTGAGAAATTTCCATAGTTAATCAGGTATCTTGTGACTAATCATTCCTTGTTAGTTGAGTTTTGTTTCATCTGCTCGCGCGTCGTCCATGAGCCCCCGAGGCGAAATCCCCGATACCGCTCAATCCGTGATCGATAGATGACTACGTCTGAGTGACTGACCTAAGTTAGTCAGTGCAATTGCCTGGTTACGAGGTCAAGTCCAAGTCTTCTTAGTCCGTCTCGAATGAAAAGTTTCCTTCGTTTTTACATTTCTCGCCAGCAAATCTCCCCCTTGTTCTCGTAGAACTTGGAGGAAGAAAGAGTTCACTCCATGTGCTCGTAGAGATGGATTGATAGACATAATTTTTATGGTCAGGGGGAATATGATAGTTGACGATGAATCTCACCGCTACGAGAAGGAAGCCCAAGAAGCAAGAATACCACTAAGTTGGATCTATCTAGGAGAATGAAGGAAGAAAGAAAGGACAAGGGATAGGTGCAGGCCTAAATAGGCTCTTGGGGTAAACGGCCATCGGTGGTCCTGGGAATTTTCGAGGATGAATCTTCATAGAGATCTCCAGGGGGGAGGTTCCATCAACAATCAGAATGTGTTGAAAAAGCGTTCCATGTTGACACCTCGTCGGACTCAAGACCGCGCCAAGGTCCATGCGGAAGCCAAAAGTCTGCCTGAGCAGGTCCGGAGGCAAGTTCCACCGGCACCGGCTGTTTGCTTACTCATCGGCGCGATCCGCGGGTGGGTCCCGGGCACGTATAAAAAGGCCTCGCTGCTCCCAAAACTTTTCTCTTCTTCAAGCGACTCTACGTATGTGCTCCCACCCCCCTACAGTGGTTATTCCACTCCCGTTTGGAACCATCTGCTAACCTCTCTTGCTCCTACAGTTCAAAGAATCACTTTAGAGTAGACGTCCCACTTCTAAGCTCTTTAAACGAGCCACAGAATCTTCACCCTTGCTGATGACCGCTATGTCCTCGATGCCCTAAAGTGAAGCCATTTGGACTCCCGCCTCGACTGACAAGCGTGCTTCGGCGTCTGCATGTTGGTCCAGGGAGTGGTGATGATCTTAACCTGGTCTCGGCGTCTGACTTCGGTCGGCTGGTCCTGGTGGGTGTCGAGGAGGTCTGAAAGGTGCTTCGACGCTTTGTTGTTTTTCTTCCCTTTGATGTTTGGGGTTGGATTGCAGCGATGGGAGAAGATGGAGATGATACAGCAAAAATTTGCCCTCTACATAGCTCTAACAAATTTGAATCGAGATTTTCCGCACAGAATTTTTGGCTCCGAATTTTTTTCCCTCGTAGCATCCTTATCGGTTATCGTCACATGATCCATGTTTAGTTCCATGACCGTCACTTGTCGAGGCTCCTCTTACTTCCTGGCCGCTCCTGCTTTAGCCAACCGCCCTCGACAAATTGAACTTTGTTTTCTACCGAAGGATTCGTCAATGCATTGAGATCTCGCTCGACTACTCCTGTTGCCTGGGTATTAAGGCATACAGTGTGGGGCCAGGAACTTATTGCCCCCCTTCCCTCCGAAATGCGTCGTGGAGAACACGCCGATAATTCTGGTGTAGCACCCTCTGTCACGTGCAAGAACAGTCTTTCTACATCCATTGTTCTCATCTATCACTATTACTGCCGCTATGGCACGCTCAAAAGAGCTTACACCCGCAATACGCGAGCGAATATGTGAGCTACATGCCATCAACTGGGGTTACAAACGCATACATCAACGGTATCCCTCGATACCCATTTCAACCATTCGATACACAATCAAAAAGGAACCTGAACGTCGGGAAGGAGTATCGAAGCGTCGATCGGGTCGCCCCAAAAAAACGAAAGAAACTGATCAATTTCCCAAAGCTGATAATGATTCAAAGGCTGGCAGTGATCCAAAAACTGACGGTCCTTCGAAAGCTGATGAGGATCTCGTTCTTACCGATGTTACCGAGAGAAACACCGACTCTATAGCCTCTGGGGCCAGAGTGGATAGTGCATCATCATAGCCTTTGCAGGTTCCAAAATCGCACCATGGAATCCTTTTCGAGAGTCTTCTCACGCCCATAAAAATAACTATCAGACATCATTCAGCAGGCCCATGAGGTGCCCAGCTGTTTCAACCTGAGATAGTTCTTGACACTGAGGATTAGAGCCTGTTTCTAAGAGCATCATGCCACAAAATTCTGCTGTACATAAGGACATATAATTACTTACCCCAAGTCCAGGTGAACAAGCTCTTTACACGGTCAATATAAGCTGAAAGCCATCAATCCTTTTACCTACAGCTACCCAGTGAGTGTTGACAGAGATGACAGCTATTACCTGTTCAAAGCAAGAATAGGAATAACAGGCAATACCCTTGCCTTCTGATTACGGTAGTCCAAATTTTAGATATTCCTTTGAAAATAGCTGGGCAACTGAGTCGCTCTCAAGGGAAAGGTGACGAGTAGTGAATAATGATCGACTATGGATACGGATGTTGACATGTCAGACATGGCGGAAATCTCTGGTGCAGGGTAGCTGATCTCCGTTTGTTCGGCCGCCTGTCGTCCATTATGTTGTTCCTACCGACCCCTGTCCATTAAGATCCCTTATTCTGGAATCAACTCAAGACCAAGACCTTGTCCTCAGTGCCGGGAATTGACACTCGTCAAATCTCTTCGCGATTTTCTTCTTTGGACATGGTTAGCGCGTGGCCTCGAAGCCCAGTTCATTCCAACCATACCCTCTCCTCAGACGTCAGTGTGTTAGAGATGTTTTTGGCTTTAAAGTGCAACAAGGAGCCTCTTCACAGCCTCAAATCTCATCCTCTCGGGTTCTGGCCAGCTAATACCAATCAAGTTATTCATGGTTCCCCCGAAGGGTGAAGGTCCAACTTTAGGCCCGTGTGGAAATTCACTGAGCAACACCACATAAAGACCGTAGTGCAAGGTCAAGTAGGCAACGGTCTGTTTGGTGGATAGCTCGATGAATCTGTTATTTGATATTCCATAACCGTGTGTGAGGATATCCCCAATAATGTTGCATAACATATCAGGGACATGCAGCACATTCTCCAAATGGAGAGTACCATGTGAGCTTGGGCCGAGCTTGACAGGGAGGTCGACAGTTCCAATTCCAATGACTGTTATTGGGTGGCCTTCGATAAGGCAGTAGGAGTTGAAGGGAGTGTAGTCATCACCGAACCAGGATCGATCTTTAGCCACGCTAATAAAGGGTTAGACAATGCTTGATCTTGTTATTCTTCAAGTCTCACTGGATGTTGGATATGTTTGACCAAACCCAAGCTGGGCAAGGAAGAGGGTCCTCGTCAGCGCTTTCATTTATTAGAGCCATATCGGAGATTAATATTGAGGAGAGAAGAAACGGATATTGGAAATTCCTGAGTCTTGCTAGGGAGAGGAGGAAGAAAATGGAGAAGAGAGTTTTAAGAGGCGGTTGGATTACCTCAAAGTGGAAAGTGCCGGGAACTCATATGTTCTGAGATCTTTAGTTTTTTTATTTTTTAGATTGACTCCAGACCTAGATTGGGCTGTCGGCCTCGACCTATGAAAAGGTCAACCACAAAGATATACACGTAGGTCCTTGGGTGCGCAATGACCTACTGGGCTCAAGTCAATATCACATGGATGATTGATCGGTTTCGGTTGGAATATATATTGCTGCCTTTAGTAGTACTACGTACTCGATGCGCTGCAGGTGGTAGATATTCACCCATTCAGTTCTTCAATATTTAAGGCCTCTCAGAGGTTTTTCTTCCCAGGCGTATATTTCTAATCGGCATACACTGACTCCGGGAATATTTTGATCGCTCAGTCTTTACCTCTATTCTAGAAGATCGAGAGCAGAAGCGATGCAATGCGCCCCACTAAGAGGCTAGTCAGCCAATCAACACCCCAGAAATACAGGCAAATCTTTGCACGTAGATACCCACCAATCACAAGCGATCGCTAGGAATAACCTCACCCCGGGGCCTCGGAGATCGCTGGGATTGGCTGATAAAAGATGAGTATGGCGAGCAACGGCTCCACTGGACGAGCACAACCAAACAAAAGCCTCAGGGCCGAAGTGGACTCTGTGGATTGTGTGGTTTTTCGATAAGCCTTGCCTCCCAGCAAAAGATTTTGCCGGATGGCCTCAGCAATTGCCCCTGTAAGCAGGAAAAAAAAACGAAGCCGCCGTAGAACCACGCTTGGTACAAGCCCCCTCCATCCAAGCACGACCATCACCATGTCCCAGGTTGTATATATCACCCTCGAACAACCCACGCCCAATCATATAGAGTATATCCTTAAATCTCAGACCGATTGGATTCATCCCCATTTAATTGAAAGCGTCGACCCGGTCAAAGGCCGTCAGATCCGGGCCTCGGAACACATCCCGAAAGGCACCTGCGTGCTTATCGACCACCCCTATGCAATAATTCCAGTCGTGGATGACCCAGCGACGAACGACGACCTCATCTGCAGCAATCCAGCTTGTAATCGTCGGTCTCCGCGTCATTCGGGCCGTTTCTCATGTTCCAATTCCTGCATTGCGGATGTTGCGTGGTGCAGTAGCGCTTGCAGAGACGCTGACAAGGCCCGCCATGATTTTGAATGCACATGGCTGAAACGCTATGCCGATCCTATTCGAAAGAAATGGGGCGAGTACGATTTCGGCATGCTATGGGTGATTGTTCGGCTGCTTGCTTCTCGGCATACGGAGCCAGAGCCACAAAAGGACAACGTCGTACCGACGTCGCAGCGATTGAAACGTGGCTGGGCTGGTATTGAGTCGCTATGCGGATCTGTCGACACATGGCCTCATGAGCAGGTCCGATCCTGGACCACATTGTTGAAGAAATATCTCCAAAATAGCCCTGTTCTGCCTCATGGATTCAGTTCAGACCAGGTGTTGCATCTGGTCTGCCAGGAAGAGGCCAATTCTTTCGGTCTCTATCCAAGAGAGACGGGCATATTTCCACCTCCGCAACCCGCTGTTGATCGAGGGGAGCAATTCGCTGCAGCAGTCTATCCTACTGCAGCAATGGCAAATCACTCCTGTGTACCCAATGTAAGCAAGGCTGGCTTTCTCCACCTTTTCCCTCGAGACTGACCGCCATTAGATGACGCATAAGCCCGATGAAGATGGCCGCATGATATTCACGGCTTCTCGCGACATTCTACCGGGTCAAGAATGCTGCATTTCCTACTTTGACCTGACCAAGTATACCGACTTGGCTTCGCGCCGCGAGCATCTACGTAAATCGTTCAAGTTTACTTGTCAGTGCGATCGATGCACATCTGAAGAGCCCGTGGAGGAGAACGATGACTGGACTTCAATGCCAATGATGGATCTATAAGCGGATTGCAATTGTTTTGACGAGACGCCTGGGGTAGATAACGACTGATATAACGACATACTCATCACGATATACACAGACACATACATCTTCAAGTCTCGATGGATGATGCATCCTGGCTTGAATTGGCAAAATTACATATACAAGCGAAAAAAAAAGATCTTCTCGGATATCAATTCTAGGTATCTATCACAGTCTATGCTTTATGTAGTCGTACATTTCGCTCCTATCATGCAACCACTCCTTTCTTCTTCAGCTCTTCAATGCGCTCCTCGCTTAGACCCACAACACCTCGAAGCAACTCGTCCGTGTGTTCGCCCAATAAAGGAGGTGGACTACGAATACTTGGCTCTGCATTCGAATACTTGACTGGCGGGCTGATCACCTTGATCGGCCCACAAGCTGGGTGGTCAATCACCTGGACCATCCCGCGGGCTTGTACTTTAGAAACAGTTAGCTGATATTCCACTACAATCTCAGGTTAAATCATGCTCACCATGTTCATGGTTCATAGTCCCTTGAATATCGTTGACCGCTGCATATGGCAGACCACTGCCTTCGAAAATTTCCTGCCACCTCCGTGTGGTTCGCTTCATAAGCTCCGCTTCGATTAAGGGTTCCAGTTCAGCACGATTTGTCACGCGGTCATTATTGGTCATGAATCGGGCATCATCCTTCCACTCAGGCTTGCCGATCCTCTCACAGAGTATGCTGAAAAGACGGTCATTTGCGCCGCCAACAAAGATATCGCCATCGGCGGTTTTGAATCCTTGATATGGCACGACGGATGCTTAAGACGCCCCAAATGTTAGATAAAGTAGCCCTATCAAGGAAAAGAGAAGCAAATTGCTTACGGTGAGCAGTTCCCCATCTCCCCGAGTCTTTCTTCCCACTAATCAATACCGATTCTCCCATATTAGCCAGCGTTGCAACCTGGCAATCGCTCAGACAAACATCAAGATGCTGTCCTTCCCCCGTATTTGCCCGCGCTAGTAGCGCCGCCATGATTGAATTACACGCATATAACCCCGTCGTAAGATCTGTCACCGCGACACCGACCTTAACAGGTGGCCCGTCACGCGTACCCGTCAAATGCATCAGTCCAAACTCAGCTTCGACCATGACATCGAAGCCGGGCCGGTTGCTGTATGGTCCCGTTTGACCGTACCCCGTGATACTTGTATAAACCAGACGAGGATTGATTTTTCTGATGGATGCATAGTCGAGGTTATATTTCTTTAGAGAGCCTGGGAGGTAGTTTTCGACAAGGACGTCACAGTCCCGGGCGAGTTGTTGTATGATTTCGACGCCCTCGGGGTGTGCGAATGATAGACCGAGTGACTTTTTATTGCGGTTGACCTTGATTCAATTAGCCTTGAGTAGAGTGCCCGCTGGCTATCGCAAGACTTACGGACAGGTAGTAGGCGCTTTCGCCATTACCCGTACGGCCGTCTGTGTATGCAGCAAAGGGCGGGCCCCACGCGCGGGTATCGTCGCCTCGAACAGGGTGTTCAATTTTGATAATCTCAGCTCTGAAAATATACCCAATCAGTATCTTTCTTGAAACACGCAGGACGTAGATAACTTCAACCATACCCCAAATCGCCAAGAATCTGCGTGCAGTATGGCTATACCCACAATCAGCATCCCTCCATAAAGCGTTGCCAGCAGCCAATTAATCATCCCACATACCCCTGCCAGTACTCGACTCATGTCCAATACTCGAACCCCTGCTAGCGGGAGCTTGTTCGTGCTAGACGACTTTGCAGCCGTGGCTAGGCATCGCGGGAAGTATAGGTTGCCAGGCCTTGCGAGGGTAGGAGTGGCCCTGGCCACTAGAGCTACTCGTGACAACAATAGACAATTCATGATGAATGGAGAAATGACAACAACCCTAGTAGATCATGTAGTCTCTCAGAGAGTGAATTAATCTCCAATCTGCACCATTATCAATTCCGCATTCTGGTCGTGGAGAGCCCCACTGCCCACTGCTCAATCTGTAGGTGGGTTCGACCCCACATGAGCTCAAAGCGCAGATGTGGTAGATGGACGTGAGATGGATGGGCTGAAAGGGTTCAATCGTCGCCCGATAAAGCGATAGTACCATAGAAGTAGAAATAGCACGTAGTTAGGTTGAAGTTGAAGAGAAAAAAAATAATCAATTTTCGCAATCTACAGGGAGTATTGACATGCGCAAAAGAAAACACCGTATCCAAAACATGAAGTCTAAAGGGTTTATATCTCCCTATGCAGTTACAGCTGCATAGGCTTGAGGTCCTCGGAGACCTTGAAGGGAGCGGCAGTCTTGCTGCGGATCTCCTCAACGGTGACGCCCTCGGCGTGCTCGATCAGGGTCAGACCCTCGGTGGTGCTGACGTCGAAGACAGCCAGGTCGGTAATGATGGTAGAGACACAGCGGGGGCCGGTCAGGGGGAAGGTGCAGTCTGGGAGCAGGGTTAGCTCTGTGGTTCTGTAGCAGGTCGAAGAGAAGCAAAATCTTACCAGCCAGAATCTTGGGGTTACCCTTCTTGTCGGTGTGCTCCTGTAAATCACGAACTTAGACCTGAACAACCAAGTGGAGCGTTGTATTCGGAACATACCATAGTCACAACGACCTTAGTCTTCTCAGGGTTGGCAACCAGATCCATGGCACCACCAATACCCTTGACCTTACCGGGAAGCATGAAGTTGGCCAGATCTGAAGGATGTTAGTTTGGAAGAGTAAAGCGAAGGGGAGATTTCTTTCAACGTACCGCCGTACTGGCTGACCTGGAGAGCACCCAGCATAGTGAGATCGATCTTGCCAGCGCGAATCATACCGAAGCTCTCGTGGGAGCCGAACAGGGAAGAGCCACGACCGAGAGTGACGGTCTCCTTGCCGGGGTTGATCAAATCAGGGTCCTCCTGACCGGGCTGGGGGTAGCCACCCAGACCCAGGATACCGTTCTCAGCCTGCAGGACGACCTCGACGCCCTCGGGAACGTAGGAGGGGGCAATCAGAGGAATACCAATACCAAGGTTGACGTACATGCCGTCCTTGAGTTCCTTGGCGGCACGCTTGACAATACGTTCACGGCGGGCAGTCGCATCACCGGAGCCAGCAGCGAGCATCTCAGAGGGGTCCTTGGCGTAGGTAACCTTCTCAATCTGCTTCTTCTCAGTGCTCTTGATGACAGCGTCGACGTAGATGCCCTGCAGATGGATGTTCTCGGGGTCAATCTCGCCAACCTCGACGATCTCATCGGCCTCGACAATGGTGAACTTGGCGTTCTTGCCCATAGCCTCGTTGAAGTTGTTCATAGCCTTGCGGAACTGGCAGTTACCGAGCTTGTCGGCCTTGTGGGCCTTAACCAGGGCGTAGTCACCAAAAATCGATTCTTCCAGAAGGTATTCCTTGCCGTTGAAAACGCGGGTCTCCTTAGGCTTGGACTTTTCAGCCACAGAGCCATCCTTGTTGTACCGAACGGGGAGTTCACCAGTTTGCACTATACGGAGTAATCATTAGTTACACTCCGTGGCTGGCCAGTCGAACTATAGAAAACTCACCGATAGTACCAAAAGCAGCGGGGGTATAGAAAGCGGGAACACCAGCGGCTCCAGCAGCACACTTCTCAGCGATGGTGCCCTGGGGAGTGAGCTCCAGAGCCAGGTCACCGGACAGATACATCTTCTCGAACACCTTGTTCTCGCCGATGAAGGAGGCGATCATCTTGCTGATCTGCTTAGACTCGAGCAATTGGCCTTGGGGGAGAGATCGAAGTTAGTGTACACTCTAGTAGAAGTGGATATTGGTCCAATTGTAATTCAATTGAAGATGTTGGGTAACCTACCGAGACCAGCGCCGGGCATACCAGCATTGTTGGAGACAACAGTCAGATCCTTGATGTCGGGACGATCGCGCACAGCGTTGATCAGAGTGTTGGGGACACCTGAGAAACCAAAACCACCGACCAGGACGGTGGCCGGGCCCTTCATGCTCTTGATCGCATCAGCAGCAGAGCTAGCGCGCTTGTCAATGGCACGCTTGGAAGTTGAAGCAGAGAAGTTCCGCCGCCAGACGGGGCGGAACACCGACACCGCAGGGAAAGACCGCGACATGATGACTGTCGACTAGCCTTGAGAGATCACTGAGGAGTGTGCTTTCTGAGCCAGCAGAAAAAGAAGAAGAAAAGAGAAGGCCATGATCGCGAAGTTGACATCCACCAAGCCCTTCGGCTAGGAGCTGAGCCATAGAAGCCGAAAAAAACACTTATCCGGGCCTCAACAGGCGGTGGCTACCGCCTGGTTCCCCACACATCGGACTGGCAGTGCGGCGAGTCCCCAGGCCTTTTGCCGCCATCGGAAGCCGACCCCACAAGCCTACCCGAACTGAGGTGGATGTGGGCATGTGCTCTCGTGATGGAGAAGGGGTCATGACTGCGGGGTGGAATTGGAGGGCGTCGAAGGAATGTGGAGGATGGGCATCGTGGCAGGAGCCGCAGGACAGTTTCAGTACTCTCGTTGTTGGAGATTTAGTTGGAGGAAAACGAGTGACTCGTTTTTTTTCTCGAGACTTCTCGTATGGTGAATGGTAAATTCGCCGTATTATTACCCGTAATTTACGCCCGGGACTGGCATCGGCAGGGGACGAGAAGCATTCGGGATTGCTCCATAACCGAACCCGATCCTCCCGGTCCATTCATTCTCGACCCTCGATTCCGAGCAGCGATAATTCATTGGCTTGGTGGCTGAGTATGGAAGGGTCCAAAAAGTAGAGATTTATGAATGCTTCCAGTCTCTTTCTCATACCTTAAATTGGCTTTTTGGGTCGATGCCTGCAGATCAACGGGCGGGGCCGTTCCCCTCACCATCTCCGCTCGCTGTGCATCCCTCCTTCTGCACTACTGTATTCCACCCCTTGTTTTGGGGTAATCCCGTCTCGCTAAGACACTACGAATCAGTTTCGGATACATGGATATATAGTATACTACTGCATGATTCTTGCAATGCGTCGTCATCCTACAATTCCTGTCCAATCGGTTTGGGACAACAGCGATGGGCTGCGGAATTACCCCCGAGCACTTTCTATATAGGAACACAAGACTGCGAGAAAATGCACAAACTCCTAAACATTATCTGTAAATCTTCTGATATATTATAATGGCTTCCAAGAATACTGTCTCTCCAACGCCACTATTGTCTGAGAAGCATAATGGCATTCCAACCAGACTATTTGTAAAGGCTCAACAAGCCAAGTCTGCCATCTTCGATATTGCCACCAAGCCCCAGAGCAACAGGACCCAGGTGGCTATACCGCAGGGCATAAGCGAAAATTCATTCCACAAAGCTATCGATGAACTCAGTGCAGAGCTGGGTGAAGAGCATGTGGAACTCGTGACAAAGCTGATCGATGGCTGGTATGCCTGATACATCCATACATATTCCAAGCCCCTATAGCTAATCATGACCCTCTAAGGTACATGGAGAGTCAGTGAAATGACCTTGATATCTTGATCGTCATAAGTTTACTGCTCACCCTGTCTAACTGACTTGTAGATCCCAACACTCATGACGGAATGCATGTGTCGGAGGAGGATGACTTCGTCGCATCGGCTATAGTCTATCCGAGCACCACGGAAGAAGTCCAGGAAATCGTTCGCTGGGCAAACAAACACTGTATCCCCATCTCTCCAATCTCAATTGGGCGCAACTGTAAGGACACACCTTCCTTTCTGCCCGCAGATTCAGACTTTAATTTCGACCCATCTAGATGGCTACGGCGGCGCCGCTCCTCGAGTTCGCGGTGCTATCGTGATCGATCTTGGACGCCGAATGAACCGAATCCTCGATATCAACCCCGACAATTGTACATGCCTGGTTGAGCCAGGCGTGACTTACTTCGCCTTGTACGAGGAGATCAAAGCCCGAGGTTTCGAAAATCTATGGGTTGATGTGCCCGATATTGGAGGTGGCTCCGTTTTGGGAAATGCCATGGATCGGGGTGTTGGCTATACTCCGTATGGCGATCACTGGATGATGCACTCCGGGATGGAAATTGTGCTTCCCACTGGCGAAGTCATCAGGACAGGAATGGGAGCTCTTCCGGGGAACAATAGCTGGCAACTGTTCCCTTATGGCTTTGGGCCGACCGCTGAGTGAGTATGTTCGTTTTTTTCTGTGGATGCTAGCTGACAATCTTGCAGTGGATTGTTCTCTCAATCTAACATGGGCATTGTGACAAAAATGGGGTTTGGTTTGATGCCTAATCCAGGTGGCTATGAAAGCTATGTAGGTCTCTTCGGTTTGGCTGTCCTTCATTGAAACTAATCGTAAAACAGCTCTATACATTCCCCAAGGAGGAAGATCTCGCCCAGCTGGTAAGTGAATGTGATATAACCTCATTTCATATATTAATACTCATTTTTTCCACAGATTGAGATTATCCGCCCTCTTCGAATTGCCATGATCCTCGAAAATGTCGCTCAGCTTCGACACATCAGTATGCAAGTTGCGTTGGAAGGGAAGCCTCGCGGTGCCTACTATACTGGAAAAGGACGAGTCCCAGACAAAATCATTCACGATGCTGCAAAGACTCTTCCTCACGGTGACTGCGCCTGGTTATACTACGGCATGGCCTATGGGCCTGAAGATATTCGCAAATATAAGCTGGACATCATTCACAAGGAGTTCATGAAAATTCCCGGCGCACGGCGTATCGACCCCGCCGGCCTCCCGACCAACGATTATTTCTGGGTGCGTGATCGAGTTGCCTCTGGTGTGCCGGACATTGAAGAGCTTCGCTGGGTGAATTGGCACCCGAATGGGGGCCATGTTGCATTCAGTCCAGTCTCACCAGTTCGAGGACAGGACGCGACCGCTTTGTGGGATATTGCACGAAAGCGCTGCGATGAGTTCGATTTGGATTTATTCCCAACATTCTGCGTGGGCTTAAGGGAGATGCACCTGATTGTGGAAATTGTTTTCAATCGCGATGATCCCGTTATGCGGAACAAGGCGCGGGCATGTCTGCGGGGGATGATCGACGATGCTGCGGGGGAGAGGCTACGGCGAGTATCGCACCCATCTAGCGTTTATGGATCAGATTGCGGGCACTTATAACTGGAATGATGGGGCTTTAATGAAGTTCAATGAGCGGATCAAGGATTGCTTGGATCCTAACGGAATTTTGGCGCCTGGTAAGTCTGGTATCTGGCCGGCGAGGTATCGTGGGCGTGGCTGGGAGATGAGTAGCAGGGATGAGACTTCTGAAGGACGAGGGGTCGTCCCGAATGCGGGGTCTACTAGACTCTAACTTGATTCATGTCGCATGTGAATTCAGTACCAGCAGAAACATAATTGAGATTCAGACTCATAAGTTCTCTACCTCGATGGAATCCTCACCCCACAACATGATAACGAGCTTTCTTGCGGGGTGGTCTATAACGAAGTTAAACAACAGGCATGAGGCGTGCAACTGTTCAAGACAATGAAATATTGTGTAAAGATCTTGTAAACATGTATTTCTGACCAGATATGCGAAAGCAAACTATAATGGTCGTCCAGGGGTGCGGAAAATGCCCCACGTCCATGCGGAGCAGTCTCGGAGATCTCCATACGGCACCAAACTTATGCCCATTCGTCTGTAGGCCAATCATTCACAAAATATTCGTGAGACACTTCTCTTTACTCGAGACCTCTAGCTTCACAAAATGCTACGCAGAACGGCCGGCGAGCTGCTCAAAAAGAGCCCGAACGATGTGGTTATTCTATCCGCCGTGCGAAGTCCCATAACACGGGCGTTTAAGGGTGGCTTCAAGGATCTCTATCCCGAGGAGATCTTGATGCCAGTATGTCTTTCATATCCTATAACCCTCAATAAGATCTCTTCATTTTCTAATCTCTCCCAGGTCATGCAAGCGGCCGTTCAACGAGCCAACATCGAGCCAGGCCAAGTCAACGACGTCCTCATCGGTAACGTCCTAGCAGAGCTGGGCTTCGCCAAAACCGGTCGCATGGCACTCAATGCTGCTGGATTTCCCAACTCAACCACCTTCCACACCGTCAACCGTCAGTGCTCGAGCAGTCTCCAGGCGATCACGCATATCTCCCACTCGATTCTCGCGGGGCAAATCGATGTTGGTCTTGCCGGCGGGGTGGAGAGTATGTCACGAAACTATACAACACGGGGAATACCCGTAGATGTGTCTGCTACACTCAAAGAGTCATCAGTGAAGGATGCCCGTGACTGTATCATGCCAATGCTGCAGACTTCTGAGAACGTTGCATCGCGGTATGGGATCAGTCGGCGTGAACAGGATGAGTTCGCTGCGGAAAGCCAGAGGCGGGCGAGTGAGGCGCAGAAGGCGGGCAGATTCAATGATGAAATTGTTCCTATTCGTGCTAGACATGTCAGCGAGGGCATTGATGAGATCACGTATCAGGTTGTGGACCGTGATGAGGGTGTTCGTCATGGAGCTACCGTCGAGAAGCTATCAACTCTCAAGCCCGTTCTGGAAAATGGGTTCAGCACGGCTGGAAACTCGTGAGTCCTAATCGCCTATAATTTTAAATTTCTTTAGCTAATTAGATAACCCATTGCAGATCTCAAATATCTGACGGCGCATCATGCACCGTTCTCGCTCGCCGGTCCTGGGCTGATGCTCATGCCCTGAAGCCTGTTGCCCGTTTTGCTGGTACACAAATCGCTGGCTGCGCTCCCGATGAGATGGGCATTGGCCCTATATTCGCCATCCAAAACCTCTACAGATATCTCGGTATCGAGAACAAGGACGTTGATCTCGTGGAGATGAACGAGGCGTTTGCCAGCCAGTCCATTTACTGCCTTCGAGAGTTGGGCATTGATATGAGCAAAACCAATTGCAACGGCGGAGCTATTGCGCTGGGTCATCCTGTGGGTGCTACTGGTGCGCGACAAACTGCTACCCTTCTTGCGGAGCTACGCCGACAGGATAAAGAAGTGGGCATCGTGAGCATGTGTGCGAGGTAAGTCTTGCATGTCCTGCTGCCTCTGCAGATTTGTGGGTTATTGAAAATGCTGATTCCTATGTCTGTAGTACTGGTATGGGAGTCGCATCCCTATTCATCCGCGAGTAGTCAACTAGGAATACCATAGATCTTAGGTGTGACTTACCTAGATTGATTTAGAAGCAGGGTTTCCCTGAACATTCCCATGACCATATCTAGACTTTTTTATTCTTAGGTGTAGCTCAAGATATGGAATAGAGTAGCTAAAATATTGTTCCTGTAGATTCGCGTCATTAAGAAAGCGGGCATTTGCCCCTTACCTAGACCCCAGAATATCACGCTTCTCGTTCAACAATCTAAGCACAAATCGGTTTTCTGCCTGCGAACACTCGTTCACAAATCTGGTCTCGAATCCGAGCCCCACAAGTTGCGATTGTTGTATGTGGGGTTAGAGCTTGACCGCAACGCAGAGCACGATCGCCCCATCTTCTGGCGGTGGACGATCCAGTGCAATCGTTCGCTATGACATATGAAACGGGCTAAGTTTAATTGTTAAAAGTCCTTGTCTCATTTCTGTATTGTTTCGAACAGCGCTTCTTTCAGCACGATGTCGAAGTTTTTGCGCCTGGCTGGGCTCCCTCGAGCGACGACATGTCGACCGATCATTGCTATTGCCTCTGCTACTGGACGCAGGTCGCTTGGTTCCGTGAGCGCAATTGACTCGAGTATCTTCCGCACGCTATTCGGTACTGAGGAAATTCGCAAGGTATGTTAACTAGAATGGCCATGGCTAGGTAATTTTCCCTGGGTTGTGCTGATTGCTTTCAGGTCTTCGATGATGCAGCATACATCCGTCGTTGCATAGATGCCGAGGCCGCTCTTGCTCGTGCCCAATCTACCTGTGGTGTCATCCCCAAAGACATAGGGCCTCGAATCACCCAAAAAGTGGAAGAGTCCAATTTGGACTTCGAGCGGCTACGACACGAAACCGAGATCGTCGGCTACCCCATCCTGCCTCTGGTCCGCCAGCTGTCGGCTATCTGTGGCGACGAGGCTGGCAAGTACGTGCACTGGGGAGCAACAACACAGGATATTATGGACATAGCGAGCGTTCTGCAAATGAAGGAGGGATTGGAAATTATCGAGCGACTTCTGAAAGATGTGATCAAGACTCTGCGGGGGCTCTCAGAGAAATACAAAGATACCCCCATGGCTGGGCGCACTCATTTGCAACATGCTCTGCCTGTGACCTTTGGCTACAAATGCGCTGTCTGGCTATCGGGTTTTCAGCGCCACCTCGAAAGATTGGAGGAGCTCCGAAAGAGAGTTCTGTTGGTGCAATTTGGAGGTGCTGCAGGTACACTTTCGTCTTTGGGATCCGGTGATGATGGAGTTCGCGTGCGGAAGGCTCTAGCAACAGAGCTCGGCCTTAACGATCCCTCCATTACATGGCATGTTGCTCGGGACGGTGTTGCTGAGGTTCGTTCTCTGTGAGGCCATGCCTATCATGAAACCCTGCTGACTATTAAAAAGGCTGCCAACCTTCTGGCTCTCATCGGAGGCACTATGGGCAAGCTGGCCCTAGATATCATCATCATGTCTTCAAATGAGTTCAGCGAAGTTGCAGAGCCCTTTGTGCCTCATCGCGGGGCATCATCTACCATGCCGCAAAAACGGAATCCCATCTCTAGTGAGGTGATCCTAGCTGCATCCAAGATCCTTCGGTCCAACGCAGGTCTGGTGCTCGATGGAATGGTCGCTGACTTTGAGCGCGCCTCTGGTCCCTGGCACTTGGAATGGGTTGCTGTTCCAGAGAGCTTTGTGATCGCTGTTGGAGCTCTTTCTCAGACCCAGTTTGCGTTGTCTGGGCTTTCAGTCAACACGAAGCAGATGCTGGACAATCTTCACTCCACCAAGGGACTGATCGTGGGAGAGGCTGTGATGATGGGCTTAGCTCCTCATGTGGGCCGCCAGCGAGCCCATGATATCGTTTATGAAGCATGCCGCGAGAGTATTGAGAATGATCGAACGCTTCTCGAGTGTCTTCTGGAGAAGGAGGAGGTTACAGGCAAAATGAGCCAACCGCGTCTGGCAGAATTGTGCAATCCTGTTAATTACCTGGGTTCATCGGCGAGGATGGTCGATGATGTTTTAGCTGTCAACTAGACTCTATCCTATCAATGAGTTACTTAGAGTACTTCGACTCTACTACTGTAGATGGCAGCGGACGGAGGGTAGTCATCTAGATTCCGTTCATCGCATACAAGCTTTCTATTCTATGGCATATCCCTGATCATTGATATGAATACCTCTCGACATAAAAAAAGAACAAGATATTGTTCCTGGTCCATCGCGAGATCAAGGTCGGAGAGCTCTGTATGTTTACCTGCTCCACATCCACATAGCCCCGCAAAGGAGAACTCATGACCCATGGACGGACAATCCCGATCGGCCCTGTGCCAAACCCGAGATCTCAATAGGGGGTTCTGGGGTCAATGTGGGTCCTGCTGTATGTGGGAGGACAATCACCGCGGCTGGTTCAGCTGCTCTCCATATGGGGTCTCCAGAGCGCGGAATACTAGGGGTTTCATTTACTAAAAGCCCCGTTATAAACTAACGACCATTTTCTAATACTCTCGTCTTAGACATACCACTTACGCTCCCCTTTTTTAGGAGTATAAGCGATAGCATCTGACTTTTGCCAGTTCAATGATACAGTCAACAACCATGTCAGCTCCACCAATCCAGCAGAGAAAGCCAGTCAAGGACCTACAAAAGGTCTTTCATTATACGGATACTATGTCGAGGAAACCCACCCGAGACAACGATCCATATGATTACCAAGCTGGGTTTGGGAATAGACACCAGTCAGAGGTTATACCCGGTACTCTACCGGCAGGACAGAACAACCCACAAGAGGCTCGTTTCGGCTTGTACACCGAGGGCATCACATACTCGGCCTTCGCAGCACCCCGTCATGCCAACTTCAGTATTTATATGTATAGGGTGCGGCCTGCTGCTGCTCACAGTGCGTTATACAATGACCTTGGAATTACCAAGAGCTTATCATGCTAATCATATGTTTATAGATGGCTACAAAGCGAATATCCCCCACAAATCCGACATCGAAAACTGCTTCCTGACCCTCAACCCGAAAGTATCGACACTAGCGGAGCAAGGTGAATGGGCACCCTTTCCACTGCCTAGCGACGACGAGAAGATCGACTTTGTCGACGGTTTACACACGCTTGGTGGAAGTGGTGATCCCAACCTTCGTGAAGGCATTGCCTTGTACGTCTTCATGATCAATTCTGACATGGACCATCGAGCATTCTGCAATACAGACGGCGACTTCCTCATCGTCGCCCAGCTAGGTAACTTGGACATTCAGACTGAGTTAGGCAAGCTGTTCCTCCAGCCCGGTGAAATTTGTGTTATTCCACGCGGAATCCGATTTGCAGTTGGCCTGGCCCCCGGCCACAGCGTTGCTCGAGGCTATATCACCGAGATCTGGGGATCCAGCTGGGTATTACCAGACCTGGGGCCTTTGGGTGGACATAGTTTGGCGAATCCGCGAGACTTTCTGCATCCAGTGGCGCATATTGATGATGATTTGCATGCGGACTGGTCGATTGTCAACAAGGCGAATGGATGTTACCATGCCATTGAGCAGGACCATAGTCCATTCGACGTTGTGGCGTGGCATGGAAACGTTGTTCCCTATAAGGTAAGTCGGCAGATCAATAGTATATCAAGTCAGATCTCATACTAAATTGGCTCTCGCAGTACGATTTGACCAAGTTCGCCAGCCAGAACGCGACATCGATAGACCACACTGACCCGTCGATCAATTGCGTTTTAACCGCGCCGTCTCGCGACCCGGTCACCCCACTGGCTGACTTTTTATGGTTCGGACCACGTTGGGATGTTGCCTCAAACACCTTCCGTCTACCTTATTTCCACCGGAATTCGGCCACCGAGTTCCTGGCAAGTCTGTACGGCAACGGTCTGGGACGGTCCGACGATTTCTTGCCGGGTGGTGGAAGTGTTGAGACCAGTCACACCCCCCATGGCAATTTCAATGAAGCATATGTGTACGAAATGAGGAATCAGGTCAATGAGCCTCGCAAGATCCTTGAAAGTATGTGGACGTTGCCCTGCGATCATTACAATAGACGTAAGGCTAACCGTGCAGACCAAATGACCATTATGGTCGAAAGCAGCCGATCATTCCTGTTCACCGAATATGCACGGACTGGCTGCGGAACTTTCAAGAACCAAGGCACAGATCCGAAAGTTTGGGATGCTTTGCCGGTATGTTGTCATTGATGTAAATAAAGGTCTTGTGCATATCTAATCCAACTCTGCAGGACAAATTCTCCTCGTATCCGAATATTCAGGAAATCCTCCAGCAAGTCAAAGCCGACAATGAGGCTCGGAAGCAGCGATTGGAGGCATATTATGACGATGACCGGCTAGCTCAGCTTGTGTGTCAATAAGAAGATCTCGGTTCTTTTTCCCTTCTCGCGATATGCCTGCTGACTTCGTGATTTTTTCTCGGTATTTGCCGAAATCGCCAACTGCCGGCATGAAAGGTTGCGTGGACCAATGAGCGAATCGGTATGCCCGCTGATTCAGCAGGAAGTCCCTGTGTCTTCCAGAAACGTGTGCTATGAGTATTGAAGAGTCGTTCGTTTTTGACCAATGCATTGAATCAGTCTTTTCTTTATTCCTCGAACTTGTAGCCCTGTATTGCACAGCAGACCAGGCTCGTCTGGATCTGCAGTGGAACGGTCGGCCCGTCATTTAGGGCTCGGAGCAGCTTCGCGTGGTTCCCCCCGTGGGGGAATTTCCAGTGGCTTGCACTAGCAGGGCCAGGCTGCCCGTGACCCGGTTTTGTAATTCGTAGGCATGCAGGGATCTAGTCCCGCAGCAGCCTGATTGGACGTGAGAAGCGGCACATCCTCGGCAGAAAGGTTCTTTGGAGAGCAGACCTCCGTAGTTGAAGACCAGTCAGGTCGAGGAAACGAGAGTGTCAGTTGCGGCGATCGGCTTAACCCCGGAGCTGACTAACCCGATCCCCCCTCTTGACCCAATCTTTCACGTCGGGGAGCTCTTTCTCCATCATCCCTCTGGAATAAACCATGAGATGAGTACTGTGATGTGTCGCTGACCCGGAACCTCCGTCATGGTCCTCCGAAAGTGCACTATATGTGACCGCAAGTTCAAGAAGACCGAGCATTTCAAGCGGCACGAACGGTCACGTCAGTACTCCCATCTGCAAGAACATCGACGAGGTCGCAATTCTAACTCGTCGAACAGATACCAAAGAGCGCCCTTACGAATGCAGTGTATGCCATAAGCGCTTCTCCCGGAGGTAAGCTCAGCCGAACTGGTCGCCCCAAGTCCGCGATTCAGCTCACAGCCAAACTTTTCTGTCATGTTTATGGCTGAAATTCTAACTGGTAATGACATGCAGCGATGTTCTAAGCCGACATGCCAAGGGCCATAATCAACCCAATGCCAGCGCAACTGCCGTGGCACAGAAAGATCCTGCAATCGGACAAGCTCCAGATCGGCGGGCCTCGTTGATCGCGGGTGCCACGCCAATTTTATCCGGTCCAGAAAATGGGACACCGCTTCTTCCAGCTGTCGGTCTCGAGGCGCACCAAATACACAGCATCCCCACTCCTCGCGACATGGCTCTCTCGGCGACTGGAATTCCACCGTCGTCATTGGACTTTTTGGCGGACGTGTCTGTTTTGAATGAGCAGCAGCCCTACTTTGGATGGAACGAAGTAGTGACTCCAGCGGATCAGAATGCGCAGCGCAACAGCATAACCTTCGACAGCGTACCAAACGATATTCTGCAGCTGTGGCTGGAGCCGCGTACGGGCACGGGATCCAATCACGGCTCTCTGGATATGATGCGAGATGGCCATTTCCCTATCATAAGCGAGAATGCAGTGGTCACGCCGGATCAACAGAACCGCAATTCTGTCGACAGCGGCAAATCGGGATGTGACAATATTCCCACAGAACGTTTCACCAAGGTTCAACGGTGTTGGCTTGCACCACCAAACCACACGGGCCGCCTGATGAACAGTCTGTGGCGGGACATTGTCTACACAGATACAGACAACCTCTTTTCAGTCAACTCGCGATATGTGGCAGAAGAAGCTGGCCTGCTTCAAGGATCTCGTTGTGGTGTGGACGATGATTGCAGAAGGCGCCTTCAGGAAGCGTTTGGCCAGGCCTTTGCCTACCCGCAAATGCAGTCACCATGCAACGAGGCTACTTCCCCTTCCACAACCGGTTCCGCCTTTATGTCATTTGCCAATTTCCCACCTGCAGAGATTCTAGACATGGCGCTAGACCTGTACTTCCGCACTTTTCACCCACTTGTACCTTTTGTCCACCTTCCAACCTTTTCGGCTCAGAAATCGCGTCTTCCTCTCGTCTACGTGATGTGTCTCATTGGTATGATGCTGTTGGGAACCAAAGGGACAGCTAATTTCGTCTCAAGAAATTTTACTGTAAGCACATCGGTATACTGTTTCTATGTCTGGCAGAAGATGCTAACGCCGGCTATAGCATATGCTCGAGAAAATAACGGCAGAACTTGCAAAGTGCACCATGGGAGTTGAATCTCCCGCCAGCGCGATGTCCATTTTTGCTACAGCTTTCTTGTTTCTCAATCTTGCTGTGCTCACTGGGGTATTAGTCACTGTTCTCTGTCAAATTGGTTACTGAGACTGATCATCATGTAGGAGAAACATCATTTGGAACAGTGCCAGATGCTCTATGTCAATCTCATGTCGGTGAGTGCATACCATCAGCAATCATTCGCTGAACATGAGCTAATGAAGTTAATTCGCAGATCACTCAACGTCATGGCCTCTTTGCTGCAACCGAAGGCCAAATTCTCGACATGAGTTTGTTTGAAATGGTACCCGACATCGATATGCGCTGGAAGGCATGGTCAAAAGTTGAGACCTGCAAGAAAATTATCATAGGGTTACTATTTCTGGACTCTTGGTATTCTGCTCTCCTTTCAACAAGCCCAATCATCGTTCCCGACTCGATCCAAATCATTATGCCCTGCAATGAGGCCCTTTTCAAAGCTCATTCATCTATACGCTGGACCCAGCTTATCCGTAGCGGAAAGCGGATCCTGATGCCCACGGCGCTGGCGCCGTCGGAAAATATCAACATACCCGCCCTCGAAGGGCCTATGGATGAGCTATGTATCCAGACTGTCCTGGCAATGATTCAACTCCGCCAGTCTGAGGCCTACCATCGCCTCCTCTCCAATCGTGCAAGCTATCCGTTTGCCCCGTGTCATACCTACGCTATGGATGGCCGCGCGAGATGCCTTCCTTCTTTACAGTCCCAGATCTCCAGCACCTACGGGGAAGCAATGGATCGACTGAACCCTAACGCCCTCGTGATGTGGCATCATATGTGCATGATGCTCACCGCCGACATCCAGATCTTCGATTTTGCGGCTGGTCGAGCTGGACCGGGCCCAGCACGAAAGGCACTCGATGATATTGCCGAATGGTCGCAGACGCCAGCGGCAAGGAGGGCGTGTTTACACGCCGCCCATATCTACAAAGCAATGACCAACCGCAAAGCCTCCGATCATCCCACTTTCCACTCTGTCTTCTCACTCTTCTCCGCGGCCCTCGTTCTGGGTTTGTACACATTCATGGCTCCCGCCTCTTCTAGCGGGTTGTCCAGTGTCGGCTCCATCGAGTTGATGGACGATATTGATTGGCAACAAGTTGGTACGGAAGGGTTTACGAGCTTCATGGAGCCGCGGGGAAGTCAGGCTTTCTCTCCAACTAATGATCCAGCTGTGAATTTTATTCGCAATGGTGCAACGATCTACTTGCGCGGTGTCCCCGTTCAGGGCGGTTATCAGTCTGCTCGGCGTATTCTTCTTGATTATGCGAATCTGCTTAAAGATTCGGGGAAATGGAGCGTCAAGAAATTCTCGTATGTGCTTCATATTATGAGTGACGTACTGATGGACGTTGAGTGAAGGGGCATTTCTCTGGGATCGTCAGTCGTTGGCTTTGTGTATACTATCAGAAATCCTGGAGCTTTGTGGGCGGCTGGATCGGACACGAATATGACTTATGAATGGATATAGATAATAAGAATAGGTAGAATATTACTCAATTATTGCTCCAGGGTTGAATCATGCGGTCTATATCTCATGCAAAATTCCTTTTATGTACAAGGGGCAAGTAGCTCACGACTCTAAATAAAATACACTCAAAGATTCGGTCTTCCACCTACCGATAAAGAATCTCATTAACCATCTCACCAATGGCCAAGCAACTCGTCAACCCAGGACTTTCGATTCCCAACAAGTTCACAAACCCAGGGAAGCCCTCTTCCTCTTGGACAATGAAATCCTGAAATCCCTGTCCCACATTCACCGCACCACCACGCCCCAATTTCGGCCTGATACCGCAGTAGTCCAGCGAAATGGCAGACGGATCCACGCCAGGCATATAAGCTAAAATCTCGGGAATAGCCTGCTCTAAACGTGCACTGTTAGGCTGCAAATCATTGGGGTCATCCACCCACTCCACATCAGGTCCAAACCGAATCCGTCCACCCATGTCCAGCGTCAGATGCGTGCCCAAACCCCCATGGCCCGGCATTGTTACCGGGTACACCAGCACCGACGTGCGAGGTCGCGACGCACTATACGAGAAGTACGTTCCCTTCGCATAATGCGGGACCCGATGACGGTCCGGCGGGAGCAAAAGATTGTTTATAGCGCAAGCACCGTGACCTGCGCTATTAATCACCGTTTCAGCAGTAATGCTGGTCTCAGAACCATCCTCATCCGACACCGCCGTGATTTTATATCCACCGCCGACAACAGGCTCAACCCCCGTCACGCGTGTCTTAAACGCGCAGTCACCGCCTCGATCTTCAAAGTCACCATGCAGATACGTCATCAGCGAGTGACTGTCCACTATGCCGGTAGTCTCGCTCTCGACGATACCTGCATCGGCTTTGACGTCGGGTTCTCGGGCGGTCGCTTCCGCGGCGCCGATGAGCCGAGTCGGGGCGTCGCCTAGAGCTTGGGCGTGGGCGTGGACCCGTAGGCCAGCTTCCCATTGTTCAGGGGTTTGAGCGACAATCCACTTTTTGGTGTTGCGGTGGGGAATGGCGTGCTTAGAGCAGAGCTCGTAGAGGAGATTGCGGCCGCGGATGCAGAGTTTTGTTTTGAGGGAATCGGCTGGGTAGTAGAGGCCGGCGTGGATGACCTGAGTTGCAATTAAGGTCAGATCGGTCTTGGTTTGGGGTGTTTGGGTGCCTCAGGGAGAGAGGAAGATCTCACCTCGGAGTTGCGACTGCTGGTCTCGGTTCCTGGTGCATCGTGTCGTTCAAGGAGAATGGTAGAAGTGCCCTCGCGGGCCGCTAGTTGTCTGGCAACTGAAAGGCCGACGACACCAGCGCCGATGACCTTTGTAAGGTCAGTTTCGAGCTCTCTTTACGTCCAGCCCAGCTGGCAGGCTATACTGCTATTTCGCATAGCTCTCGGCCTATGAAGAACGGCACTCACAGCATGTGTAAAGTCCGCGTGATAAACTCGCGCGCTTGAAAAGGAGCGACGCAGCGCGGGCGCTCTTGTCGCAATCCTGCGCACCGACATCACAGGGGAGATTAAGGAGTTGTAACAAACTAATGGTCCAACAATTGGCGACGCGATAAGGCGCTGGCCCCGCGGACGGGATCGCGCCGATCGCCGGCTCCGCCTCGAATCGGTTAATTCCTGAGTCGAAGTACGACAATTCGGACAAAGACGTTTACTAGTGCAAGCGGCTGCAGAATCGAAATGCTTATTTTCTTCAAAGCTGATTAAATGCATATGTTCAAAAGAAGGCTATCTAATGCTCGTAAGGCCCTCGCGGTAGAATTTACATGTCCCAGACGCTATGCGATCACTAACGCTTGCTGCAGTTCTTCAGCATCTCATCCAGATGCTATGGTTATAGTAAATTAGCATATCTGGATATTGCTCCACGGGGATAAGAAACTTACCTCTCTCTGTTCGACGGCTAATTTGCCGTTGGTATCCTGGGTTCTAGTCAGCATTTGGCAGTGGTAAACTTGAAGGACAGATCCAAACATACACTAATGATGGTCAATATCAACGAATAATTGTTAAACAGGAATCGTTCTCTCCGCTTTGCATCTGTCCCATTTCGACTGAGCTTCGCCAAGAGGGTATCAAATTCACTTCTCAGACGGGCTAAACTGTTCGCCACAGGCTCGTCGTCCCCAGCATCACTACTCAGCACGAGAATACCGTGAAGCAGCTGTCCGAACCGTTGTGTCAGGAAGTGCGGGGCCGAGGACTGCTTCAAATCATCTCCACCGGCGAGAGAAAGAGCGGAAACGGCGCTGCGTCCGGTGTTGGAACCAGCTCGCTTTAGAGATTCCCCGTGAAGATCCATGATCACCTGGAAGCGTGGCCAAAGATGCATGTTGATACCATTGACGTATGAGTCGGCGACGGGGACTTTGCGTCGCTGGAGCTCAAAAGCGGAGTGTTGGTTGAGACGAACACAGATCAAAACACCCAACGAGTCAGTGGTGTTGTCGATCAGCTTTTTAGTGAGGTTTTGCCCCAAGGCAAAGACTGTCTGGAAGATTTCCACAACCTTGCGTGAAATTTCATGAAATGTGAAAGGAGAGAAGAATTCAGTGAGGAAGGAATACTCGGCGGACACGTTGTCCACCAACGCAACGCTGAAATTCCGGAACGGCACTTCGATCCCGTGATAAGCGTTGTCTTGTTCTGCTAGATACGAGGATAAAGCTGGCTGGTTGGTGTTTCGGAGAATATCAGTGCGTCGACCGAGAGAGAAAGGATCATGGGCAGCAGAGCCAGCTCGGCCGCCCGGGAGAATGTTGCCAGTTCGATGAGTAGAAGGCTCGCCTCCCAGAACCTCATTTCGGTCACTGGGATAGACATTTATCTTCTCAAGAGCCTGCAAGTAACGGGTGAAGTTGGAGGTATAGTACCAGCGCATGGTGTTGATGTAGGCCTGTGCAATCTCCCCGGCAAGGGCAGGGTGTGCCTTGAAGAGATAAGTGAAAAGATCCTTAAACTTCACCAGCCGTTGTTGCTGAATGATCTGGGAGTTGATATTTGGCGATCGCATTGCTCGGATCTGCGTCACCAAATAATCCCGAATTTGTTCGATCGCCTAGTTTCACGGTCACTCCATGTTCTTCCATTTATTCCCCCAGCTGAAAAGGTGCTACGTACCTTGTTCTTCACATCAACCAAAAGAGGCCGGACATCTTCGATCGCTTTGAATCCACTCGACGAGGACGCCTTAGCTTCAATGCTAGTCGTGCGAGCATCTATCTCGTTCAATGCGCGCACCCAGTTCTCATCCATCGGGCCCTCGACAATCGTGCGCACGGTCTTGGGGGAAATGCTAATCTCCTCCACTGCTGGGCCCAAAAGTCGTTCCACGTTCCGTCGATTCTCCAGCATCGCATTCAATTGTGTGGAGCGCGTTTGTATGGTTTCAATCTCCGCGGAAACTGCCCCCAGTTCCGTCTGGAAATCATTCAAGTATAGCTCAACCGACCTGGATACATCGTCGCAGCCGGTAATGGACGTGTGCAGGTCCTGAAATTTGTCTCGCTCTTGTTCAAACTGCTTGGTTGTTTGTGCGTTGACCTCACTGCGTTTCGTCTTTCGCGTCGGGGGTGCCTCATCGTCTTTGGCGATGAACTCCTCTAGGCTCAGGCCCTCGAACTCTATCACCTCTATGAGCTCCGATGGCTTCGTTTCTGGTTGGGTGAACGATTGTACGGTATCTTTTCCCGAGTCGTTTGTGCCAATGATCCCATTTAATACCTCTAATGGGTCTGGAACGGTGGCCGGACGGGGCCGCTGTCCGCTTGTTTGCCTCAGTCCGGTGCCATTCGGTCCTCGTCCAGCACCCGAAAGGGAGGTCGTCGAGTCACTCGGGGTTATTAGTAGAGAGGTAGATGAGGTCTTGGGGATTGCGCCGGGTCGATTGTTATAGGGGCCGCGAGATAGCTGGGAGGAGGATCTCCGGGGTAGTGAGGGTGCGCGAATCACGCTGGAGGGAGTCGACTGGCCGGAAATGCGGTCGCGCCACATTGTGTACCGGCAGCGAGAAAGCGCATGAGAGTCAAGTGGAGGCCAATTGCGGTTGAAATGAGAGACCGGATGAAGCAAAACACGAGTATACCATCAGCTCTCGACCCCCGTACAAGTGAGAGGGAGTCCACTGGCCAGCAACCCAAACCCAAACCGCCCCCGGAGGCACTAAACCCAATCAGGACGTAGCGACTAAGCCCCCCCACCACAAAGCCTTTTTCTGTCGAAGAAAACTTCTCCTCTTTCCCAAACCCACCGTCTTGTTACATTCTTTCCTTCCTCCTCACCCTCCTATCTCCTTCTTACCCAACATCATTCACCATGGCTGACGAGGTACGCCTTTTCCCCTGAACTCTCGCCTTCTGCGCTGCTCTCCAATCCTCTCCCCAAATCGCTCGACTGGGTTGTTCACCAGCCCCGCATCTTGAACCTCCCCTCTTTTCCCAAGTGCAACATGCACATCCCCCTCTCCCTTCAAACATTGTCTCTCCTCCTCGAAGCGCAAACAACCCACCCTCAATCTTCCACCAACTAACGCTCTTGATAGCATGAGATGACCTTCGAGTCCACCGACGCTGGTGCGTCGACCACCTACCCCATGCAGTGCTCTGCCCTGCGCAAGAACGGTCACGTCGTGATCAAGGGCCGCCCCTGCAAGATCGTCGACATGTCTACCTCCAAGACTGGCAAGCACGGTCACGCCAAGGTCCACCTGGTCGCCATCGATATCTTCACCGGCAAGAAGCTGGAGGATCTGTCTCCCTCCACCCACAACATGGATGTCCCCAACGTTGCCCGCAAGGAGTACCAGCTTGTGAGTGTTTGCCCCCTCTTGGCCGTGCGCCGGTCTACCCCTCCACCCCGCCTTTCCATTTCCACAAACCCATTACTAACAACCCTCTCTCTAGCTGGACATCACCGATGATGACTTCCTGTCCCTGATGAAGGATGACGGTGACACCAAGGACGATGTCAAGCTCCCCGAGGGTGAGCTTGGTACCCGTATCCTCAAGATGTTCCGTGAGGAGGAGAAGGACGTCAGTACGTATTCCCCATTTATCTCTTTCTATATATTTTCGAGGGGCCAATGTGTTTCTAACTTGCCGTTCCAGACGTCATCATCCAGACCGCCATGGGTGAGGAGGCCGCCATTGAGGCCAAGGAGGCTCCCAAATAAACGCCCGGTCCTTGGATCTCTCACATGTTATGTCAACCGTTATGTTTCAAAAATGGGCTTCAACCCCCCAAAAAATTCATCTTCAATGGTTCAATGGAGGACATGATTCCTCGGGAGAGTGACCTATTTATTGTTGCTTCCAGGTCTGTCCATCATCTAGCCTTGGATGTAGGCTGGACCGACGAGAAGAATTGCTTTGGTTGGCATCATGAGTGTTGTCCGAAGAACAGTTCTGAGTCCCAGCATCTCATGATAGTGTGATGAATGAATAATCCCGTAACCCTTTGCTTGGGTTAAACCCTTTTCTTTCCAATGTTCATGAAAGATCAGAGAGTAGACGTAGATATCAACTTTACCGCAGACTTAGTTCATTTTCATAATTATTGACATTCAATGGTATGAGAAAAGAAATACTTCCCTGCGTGGTAATCTAGATAACCTCTTCAAGTCTACAAATTGGGCTTCTGTGAGCGATGGTAAGCTTAACTGCAAATGCAGTTCTGGCGGTCGCTGAAAAACAAGGCAGAAAAAAAATTATGTTCCGAGCAGTCAACTTAACCGCAACCAGCACCTCAATAATCGGACAGACAGACTTTCCCGCCCAACCAGCATGATCATATTGCCTCGGAATGGAGTATGTCACCCGAGGGGTCTGTGGCCAGGAGGGATGTCGTGAGCGACGATACTATCTCGACAACGGCCTCTGGTTCTGCCGGCGCGGCCACTTGCAAGAGGTATGCACGGCCCTGTCAAAACGTGCCCTCGTGCCTTGTTTGACAACACCCGGCATCACCCAAAGCCACAAAGCGGGGAAAAGCCCAGAACAGACATACTAAGTTTTCGTCCAGGGCCGACAAATCGAAGAAGATCCGGATGATTTCGGCACCCAGGGTAAAAAGCACCGGGTGAAGAAGGACAAGGAAGAGAGATCACAAAAGAGTACGTAGATCTACATTTGCATCGGTCCCAGTCATCGTTAACTCGGGTTATAGCATATCGTGGTCGCAAGGCGCATACTGTTTTCTTGCAAGCTTACCAGCTCATTCTTTGGAAACAATGTCACGCCTTGATTCATGATCATGGTTTCCCAGAGCAATTCGAGGTAGGTCTAATATTTCGCAAAGAGGTTACATAGATTCTCACGTGTATTTCAGGCGGTTTTGCGTGACCTCTGGGCCTTGAGGCTGCAGGACTTTACACTGAGAATCAACGCAACGACGGACGACGAGGAAGACGATGATAGAGAACTGTTTAGCTCTCAGCCCGAGACTGATAGCTCGGATGACTTGGGCTTCAAGTCAAGGGGAGGCCGTTATCTGGAGTGGCCGCGTTTGCTAGACTCTGTGGGCCTTTGTTATCTGGCGGCTATACTGATGCGACTGCCTGTCTGTGTCAGCGACTTTCATCGGTGTGTGCAATGTCAATGAGCATTCCGTTCCATCTCAGTAAGATCTAACAGATCTCATCCTGCAGCTTGATCATACGCCAAGACATTCCCTATATCAGGGTTGCAAAGTCTATTCCTCACGAGATGAGAGATAAACTTCCTCCTGAACTGGTTGCGAGACTCGACGTTCTTGTAAGGCATCGCTGTAATCTGTTCAATGCGATGGATACTTGAAACTGATGTCTACATCACAGCAACTTCCCAAACTAGAAACACTTCATCGCGCTTTTGTGGATCTCGTTCTGCAATACCAGCAGCGATTTGAGATCGCTCTTCCGCCAATCAATTCAAATATCATCTTATACCGGCATATCAAAAGACTTGCGATTCCAAGTATGAACCCAATCCATCATTCCATTACTGAGAATCTAAAGCTAATATATGCCCAGTTGATGTTTATGAGACTGTCAGGTTCCTGAAAGGTCTTCTTGGTTTCAACTATGCATTTGATGCAACAGCCAAACAAAAGCGCATTATCAACCAACCTGAAGTCCAGCTCATGGCGCTTATTGTTGTTGCTACCAAATTACTCTTCCCTTTTGATGACCTAGAAAGGCATCCTGCCACGGCCAAAGAACCTGCTACTCAAGCTATAAATTGGTCCTTGTGGGCGCGAGCCCAAACCCACTTTAATCGCCGTGAGAGCGCCAGTGGGAAGATTGGCAAAGAGCAGGTCATTCAGCTCACTGATAAAGACGTTCTTAACATGGCTCCCAGTCAACTCGACGAGTACATGGACTGGTATGAAAGCAACTGGATCGATAGCTTCCGCCTCGTGAATCCTGTTGCAGACATGTTCGCAACTAATCGGACGACTGAGACGCCCGCTCCGCCACAAGCCCCACCGCCTTCAACCCTGGCGACAGCTGCCGATCCGGAAGAGGCCTTGAACTCTTTGGTACATACGGTCATGCAGGAGTTGCAGACAAATGAAGTCAATCCAGATCCGGAGGAAGACGACCGTCGCCCAGGCTCGTGGTACTGGCGATATCGATGGGAATCGCAACTCACCGACACGGCCAGATCCTTTTACGAACTGGCGGCTCAGCTTGCAGCTGTCTCCTTACAGACCCTTATCCATGCCGTTACGGTCACTGAATATAGGATTGCGAAAACCATTGAAGACAAGCGGCGAGCAGAGTACTTTAGCCAAGTGATGGATCTAGATATGGAGGGCGATGCAGATGAAGACAGTATCGACGGGATGGACGAGTTAGATGAGCAGCTAACTGAATTAGACGTTGGAGGGGGTCCATGATTCATGATCTGCAGACAGCTGTATCTTAGAGAACCGGCCTGAATTAATTATCGCTTTCATTATCCAACATTGACCTCGTTCGAGCTTGAACGATTTTCACATGACTTCTGTATTGTCTTCAAAATAAGGCTAAATCTGAAGGAATCTGTGGAATCTAGGTGTGCAATCTTACTCCATATTAGCTGTTGCAAGCAGGTTTCTCAACCCCTGTATCCTCTTCATCAACTGCTGGTATACTTCGGATGACATCGAATCCCGAAATAGTTAGGGTGACCCACTCACGTGATTGTTCCCCAAAACGGCAGCTGCGACTAGGGTTTAGGGCAGTCCCGTGCCCGCGAATCGGCCCACCTTTGCTAAGCGAGAAACCATCAAATTGTCATCGCCTCCTCCGCCTCGAACTCAGCGACCGACCGCCGACACCAACGAAAACTCGCAACCAGTACGTTTCGCCAAACACCGTCTAAATGCATTCTTGTGACCGGGTTGAACCTACGAGCTAACATGTCCCTTTTTCCGCGTGTTTCCAGTGCAGATGTAGGTCACCCTTGACTCTTCGAATACCTATGACCCTCGAATCGTCCCCGATGGCCGGCCAACCCGCACCAAAAGCAACAGAAGTGAAAGGAATGAGCGTGGACTAATGCGGCTCGATATAGTTTCGTCAAGACCCTGACGGGTAAGACCATTACCCTCGACGTCGAGTCGAGCGACACCATCGACAACGTCAAGACCAAGATCCAGGACAAGGAGGGCATTCCCCCAGACCAACAGCGCCTGATCTTCGCCGGCAAGCAGCTTGAGGATGGCCGCACCCTGAGCGACTACAACATCCAGAAGGTACGAGAGTTTGGACTATCTTTTAACTTTTTGATGATGGCATGGATTGGATGGAGAATGGAGTGTATTCACGGGCGGGTTACAACTCGGCATACGAATCACATCGTTTTGAAATGCCCACCGTGATGCGAAAGAGGAGGGAATCCATCTATATACGCCAGATTCGAGGATACGTCATATCTGGAACTGTGCGGCTAACATGGGATTCAACTTTATAGGAGTCCACCCTTCACCTCGTCCTGCGCCTGCGTGGTGGTATCATCGAGCCCTCCCTGAAGGCCCTTGCCTCCAAGTACAACTGCGATAAGTCCATCTGCCGCAAGTGCTACGTACGTGCACCATATCTCCCTCTACGCGCCGAAGTCAAGAACATCCATTCAATATTCTTCGATAACCCTCTCCTGCGGGGACGACGCGAATCCACCATCTGACACGAGAATGCTAACATAAAAACGTACAGGCCCGTCTCCCCCCTCGTGCCACCAACTGCCGTAAGAAGAAGTGCGGTCACACCAACCAGCTCCGCCCCAAGAAGAAGCTGAAATAGACGACTCGCTTTTCGGTGTTGTGCTCGGTGTGTGGTGCAGAATCCTGGTCTGGGGTTTGGCAGGAACGCGACACGGAGAGGTTTACATATGGCGTTAGAAATGATGAAACAATCACAGCCACAGTCATACTGTTTTTAGTTGGCGCCTCCCGGCTACAAGTCGCAGTCCATGAATTGAAGTAAAAGTTCAAAACATTTCAAATGACTTACGGCTTTCTGGCTTTCTCATGATGTTCTTCCAACCGGCCAAGCCGAGAAAACGTAGTTTCTATTTTTGTAACATGCTCATGAGATTTCTTCTAGTTTGATAGGATATCAACCTTGCTCCTTCCAAGTTGTCCACCTCTGCTCTTGCCAATTGATCCCTTCAATGATGTAATAGGTGTCAGGAATGTATTAGGCTTTGGGCTTCTCCAAAATTGTGGTACGTAGGTACGGGTCGATATATATCTAGCCTGCAAAGCCTCGGAGAGCTATATGTAAGCCCACCTGCTAGTCGGACGGGTGCGTGGAACACCCGACACTATATATCTACTTACATCCCACCACGCGAAGGGCCCCAGCTTACCTAGACGATATATCGAGAGAGTAATAATAGGTCAATATTTGTACTCTACTAGGTTACATATGACCCGTGGATCTGTAATAAGATAGCGACGAAGAGGCTATACTCACTATAGCAGGGATGAGCAGTCGTAAATTGTAGATTGTGGTAATTTGAATAGACGGCTCGGAAGATACAGATTGAATACATAGTCAATGTAGAAGCGCCTGTGAGAAAAATAATAAAACAGAAGCAAGTGCTTCCTGAGCAGTGCCGACAATATCCAGACGAAAACCCCTAGAAGGCAATTGTCTAGCACGTCACAAAAATACCTTGTAGGTTCGTGTCTAGAACATCATCCGCTGCTTGTCTTCTTCTTGATCCTTGTCCTTGTTCTTCTTCGACACCGGGCTCGCGTGCCTAGAATGGAAGTCAGCTGGTGACAAAGCAGAAGATGTAGCGGGTAAACTCACGCAAAGAAGAGGATCTTGATAGCAATAGCCAGGCCTGCATGTAGAACGACAACCAGGATCAACAAGATCTTGCTAGCCTTGGCATCCGTAGCGTTCAAGACCGGGTACAGGTTCCGCAGAAGGAAGAAGACCGTCCACGCAAAGCCAACACCAACGAGCGCCCAGTTCAGCGCAGTCAGCGGGCTCCAGCTAACAAGGGCAACACCAATCCAGACCAAGTTCGAGTATCCGTACAGTGCCCAGCACTCGATCAGGTCAGCCGTCGAGCTTCCGAACCACCGCAGCGCACCCCACAGCGCAATGGGCAGGATGCCAGTGTACCCGTAGATCAAACCCGCCGCACCAGACAGCAGAGTAAAGTCATACTCAAAATGCTTATCATCGTTATTCGACAACCACTGCGAGATAGTTCCAGTCAGGAACAGAATGACCACGACGGTAGTCGCGATCCAGATAGGTCCGTAAAGGTCGGCGTGGCCCTCGAGAACGTCCAGAAAGTTTGAGCGCGGGTAGAGCGCAGCCATGCAGCGACGCAGCACCTCGTTTGTATCGACGTCGAAGAATCGTTCGTAGTAGTGGATTGACCACCAGCTGTGCTTGGTCGGGGTGCCGCCAGGGGGACCGGTCGCGGCCGCGCGAAGAGCTGCCGCCTAAGAAAGGCGTGGAATCGCCTTGAACTTTGGCGCTGCCTTGGTCATTTTCAAAGTCTGTAGATTACGAAGAGATCGATTGTTAGACGTTTTCATGAAAAAAGATATGCGGTGGCCTGGCGAGGGGAACTCACTGGATGGGTGGAATTCAAGGTCCTCTTGCAGGTCGGTATGCCCGAGGTCGCCCTATTGTTGTGTGAGAATCAAGAAGGCATTATAGAGCTGGATTTATGCTGTACTGACCTCGGCGTCCACGTCTACAACCACGTCGTAACCCCGGTTCGCCATAGTGGTGGATTTGAGTTGGAGAGTTAGCGTGTTATCGGGAAGGAAGTGTACACATCAGCTTTCCCCAGCGGAACGCCACCTTGGCAGAGCCACACGCTGCGGGCCGCCTAATGCTCCAAGGCCCATCCATGTAGGAGGACTGCCATATACAAGCTATTTTAGCCTACTATAACTTGATTCTATCTCTTCAAAATTTAACTGTTTAATAAAAGCTTTCAATCAGCTTTCATTTTGCCTCCTCAGAGTAGCCTCATTAGTGTACAGAGTTAGCAACATAAGCTAGTCGTGTCTATGGATTTTTTTTTGGAAGGATCCTCTTCTAGCCCTTGAGGATGGCCTGTAGCCGGCCGACATAGGACCATATCGAAGAGTCAAATCCCCTTTTTCGGATGTAGATGGATACAGCACCAACGAGAATCGCCAATGCCACAGATCCTATCGCCCTCCTGTGCTTCCAGCCGAATTCGAGAGCTTGCTTCCGGCGCTCCTCATTCCGCATTTGCCGAGCCTGTTGATGGAACATTTGTATGGCTTCATCGACATTGTAGGGACGAGAGGAGTCACGAGATGTCTTGAGGACACTGCAACTGGGAACTCGTCTCCATGCCCCGAGGGGTAACGACTCTGGAGGGTGATCTTTGAAGAGTTGGGCGGCACTTAAAATCAACCCATCTAGATTGAGTGGACATGGCAACTTGGACAATGTGAAGTGAAGCATCTCGGGTTCGTCCACAGGGATGTTCATCAGCTCCTTCTTTCGAGAGAGGATAATGGCCGCGAAGAGGTAAATAGCTACCACCGGTTCTCGAGCAAGAAGGAAGTCGAATAAACGGGCAATGTCGCTGTACTCTTGAATATCATGAGCATAGAGTGTGAGGGTCGCGGCCAGGGCGAAGAAGGGTTGAATATTTGCGAGGTGTCGCCACAAGGCAGGGTCAATCGTTCCGACGATTGCGGGGATCAGCTGTAAATGTTTCAACGCTGGCGCGAGCGAGGGTAGCATATAGTCCCTGATTCGGAAGAGTGATAGGTGAGCCATGGCCGATGCAGCATTCTGGCGACCAAGGACTAGAAGTAGGACTTGAACGATGTCATGGTATCCCTGAAAGTAGCATAACATAGGATAGTTCCTGAGAATTTGAATGATCAGGTCTGATAATTGATCTTTCTTTTTCAAGAGATCTTCCTCGGGAACTAGCCAACAGGTCAGTCTTCTTCGGTAACACATGAGCAGGGTTTCCAGTCTCACCATTGGGGTAATAGACAAAAGCACGGTTGACATCGAGCTGTACCTGGTCCTCGTCGGCATGTGGGGGGAGGTCTTTCAAAGGTTTGAGGTCCTCTGATTGTGACTTTGTGTCGCATTGTAAGAAAATCGGCCCTGGACAAACACGTTATTCTGGATCGTACAGATTAAGGGCCTTCTCTCATCATACATGCTCTTTGCCTCAATTCATCCTCCAATAATCCACCTTCGCTGGTAGCATACGAGACCAATGCTTCTACGTTGCCCTCGTCGCAAGCACGGAAAATTGCAGCTGCTTTTTCTGCTCTGGCTTTTTCTCGCTGCTGAGTGCCCAAAGATTCTTCGGATGGAGTTCTGGAAATGGAGGACTGCTTTTCTCCATCCGACGGCCTCTCTTCAGGAACGTTGTCGCGTGGGTCCGCGTTTGATGGGGCCATTGTCAATGTTTAGACAAGACAGAACTTCTCAGAGCCTTTCGAAGGCAGTTGACAACAGAATGATCAAGCGACAGTGTTCGTGATATTTAGTGTGATCATTTGATTGAGTGTGGTCTTCAGGTATCCTCCAGGAGACTACAGTGGAATGACTGTGGCTTCGCTGCAAGTTTCTACCCTTGAGATTTAGAAAGCGTTCCCAGGTAGTAAAAAGCTACCAGGGAGCACAATAATGGAGCTTCAAGACAGAGTTTCCCAGCGTGCTGGATTTCTGCCGTAGTTGATGCCACCAATGCACCTGTTCCTCTTCTGAGTTGGACCGACGGCAGGTGCTTGGGCGGTGCTCCGTCCGGAAGCCTGAGGCACCAAGAAACGTGATTCCGTCCCTCTTGCAAAACACCAAACGGCAGCTGGAGCTCATACGCTCTAATTTATCAACGGCTGGTCTTGAAAGGCGTCGCTGATGCGAGAGAGTGATAAGTGAACAAAACTGTTATATCTGTGACTTGTCTAGCTCCTACCTATAGGTCGGGTCACTCTCTCACCAGCTCTGCCGCATCACCCCGCAGGCGGTACGTGTTGCTCACCACCGGAGCCACAAACCCCCCAAACAGCCCATTCTTCGACTATAACAGTCCTGGTCAAGCTCTGGAGAGTATCGGGTCGAACAGAGTTGCTGATATGGCTGTGTAAAGTATCTTTCGGGTTCATACTGCTTCTCTTGATTCTCGGCTGTAAGTCCTTGGATATTGGATTACCCGCGTGATCGTATGAAGCAAGCGCTTGTTAATCTCGATTACAGAGCTCTACCTACGAAACTTCCCATTCTCTTCCAACCATTTGAGTTGCGAATGTTGAATTGGTCACTTCGGTCCTACATGACCTGAGAGCATCGTCGAGTGGCACGCCCGTTGAACTATGGTCCACCACCTACATGGACGAGGAACAGTTCTTCACGCGCCCAACGCGCGAGCTTACTGGCCTTTTCACCCAGACCATTCTTCCCAGTCCGGTTGTCCAGTGGATCATCCCTGCTCGTCTTCGGAGCAACCATCACAATGATGTCGTCTTTGTCGGCCAACGCCGGGTGCAGATCAAAGAGGCTTCCGCCGGCGGCTTCTTAGAAGATGTGACTGAGAAGAACGACTTTGACCACGCTATCATCGGAGCCAAGGTCATCAATGTGAACACCCAACTTCCGTGGGAGGCACAACTACGGACGGCCGGTGCTGATGATCAAATGCGAGATGACACAGACCTTTTGGATAGCCTTCCTTCTCAGCTTCTTGTGCTTTCACTTGAGATGAGAGAGCTTCAATTCCTGTATTGTTCAAGCTCCGGTGATGACAAGTTTGTTACATTTCGCCGGCCCTTGCCGGTTGATGTCGACCTTGCAGAGAGATTCGGAAAGCATATCGCGGTGGATCCAAGGTGCGTTTGAACCTCCTTTCGGTATTGTACAGGCAATAACCAACGAATTATAGATCACGAGCAGTCGCAGTTAGTGCATCGAGTCAGTATTTTGGACTGCTTCTACTCAAGTCCCCGAAAGAAATTCAGCAGCAGATGGCTGAAGGAGAACTCGATCCTATTAAAAGTGTAAGATTCCGCACATCTATCCGGGTTATATCAATTCTAATCATGATTTTTGTAGGAACATTTCTACAGCTGCGATGGAATTATCCAGTTCATGGAGTTTCTCTACCCCAAAGCCGCTGATGACAAGAGAATCATTCTTCTTATTGTCTCATCCCGCGCCGGAGGCTCATTTGCCAGAATCTTCCAATGGGATGATCGGGATGCTCAGATGCACCGTCCGGAAATTGTTGAGTTCAAACTTCGCAGGGAAGACAGGCTGCCCACAATGATCGTTCCCTTGACCAAGGAAGCTTCGTTCTTGGTCGTGACGAGCATCTCCATGGCAGTTTACCCCTCCGACTCTTCACATCCTCGACCCATCAGATACCCACTCATAGCACCCGATGCCACTTTCAAGGAAACCTCGTTGTGGACCCAATGGGCACGACCTTCCCGTAATTGGCTTTACAGTCAAAAATTCGATGGAATCTACCTCTGTCGGGAGGATGGCTGGATTTATTATCTCGAGTTTGGTAACGAAGGTGGGCTAGAATCTCAGACTAGCTTGGGCCAGCTTCACTGTGATGTCGATTCTGCATTTGATGTCCTGGATATGGGTCACGAGGGAGGTGATTTCATTCTGGCTGCCGGAAGTATGGGCGATGGTGGCCTGTTCATTCAAGAGGCGCGAGACAAACCTCAATGTGTCCAAAGGTTCCTCAATTGGGCTCCAGTCACAGACGCTGTTATGGTGCCATCGAAGACTCATGAGAATGTGCAATGTGACGTGTCGCGAGATCGTCTATTTGTCTGTTCTGCATCATCCGCCTCGGGGGGTAGTGCACTGCATGAGCTTCGGCATGGATTTGAGGCCCAAGTTGGTTTCTCAGTCCCTCTTGATGATATCTCCGGGATACGAGACATGTGGGCCTTCAGTGACGATGCGAATCAAGGCGTATACGTTATTCTTTCAGACCCCATGTCCACCCTGCTTCTTTACATGAACCCGAGTCTTGAAGATGGCATCAGTGCGCTGGATGAAGCCGAAACAGGCTTTGACAATGCACAGACGTTGGCAGCTGGCTGCACTCCTACGGGAGTCCTCGTGCAAGTCACACAAAAGGCCACACATCTTTTCGTTCACGATAATATTTCCTCCAATACTTCTATCCCACATCAGCCCAATTCTACCATCATCGCAGTCATCGTTGATAGCTCAAGCTCGGCTGTGGTTACCGCTGTACGACAAAACAACGAACTTAAACTTACGCTCGCTCGAATCGTGGTCAATGATGACACTGTTGGCCTGGACGTCATCCAGACGGTCAAAATCGACAAGGAGCCTGTATGCCTGTCCCTTCAGACATTAGGAGACACATCGTTCATCTTTATGGGCACCAACGATGGTACGATCATGGTCTTCCACATTGAAAATGAGATCATCAACTTTCTTTTGGATGTCAGTGTCTCCATTGACCGGACGGACGACATCTCTCGAGCAATCGACAGTCTAGCAATGATTCGACAAACTGACCACGGTGTTCTGCGCGCTCACCTGCTCTGTGGCCTCCGAAGTGGTGTGCTGGTACCATTCCAGGTCGACTTCAACGCCCCCACTCTTATCGGTATGTTCTTGCACCGAATTAAACCCTAGAAGCTTGTCATTGAGCCAGACTGATGCCGTATGCAGGTTTGAATCAAGTATCACCGAAGCATATCGGAATGACATCGCTTCGGCTCCAAAGTCACGGTGCATTCGCCATGCTTATCTGCGATAACGAGCTGTGGCGTGTATCAACCAGTGCCGATGGTGTCCCGAATGACTGCTTCCTTTCGCGGATTTGGATCACCGAGCAGAGCAATGTAAGTCTTGAGAACCCACTTCACCAGGCAGCTTTGCAACATTGCTAATTCCTAAGGTAGCCTGCGTATTTCCCTACAGCGATCCATGGATTTGGACTGATCAGCCAAACGAGTCTAGAAGCCAGTCTCTCGATAGGACCGCTGTTCTGCTTTGCAGACCGACAGCTTCTAATATGTTCACTGGACCGCGAACGCAAGATTGTACCTCGACGAATTGGTGTACCTGGCACCGCTAGGAACCTCGTTTATTCACCGCGCCTCCATAGACTCATACTAGCTTACGATAAGGCCGAAGTCGAAGAACCTAGCAGACCGGGTGATATTACGACGCGATCGTACCTGGCCTTCGTTCTCCCGGACGCACAGGAGCCTGTCAATCCACTAGATCAGCCGTCCATACCCCGCGCCTCACCGGGAGAGAGAATCACCTGCATGATGGACTGGATGTTCCAACGAGATGCCCACATGTATCATCTCATTGTGATTGGAACAGGGCTCCCGGCCACCATCGATTTCGGACCGCGAGGCCGACTCATTCTTATGTCCGCGCCACGAGATCCACAAGATCCCTCTAAAGTGCGATTTGTGACTAAACATGTCCAGGAATGCCTTGACGGCCCGGTGCGATCAATCGCGGCCTATGGCAACACCCTTCTCATCTGCACAGGACGAATCATTCGCCCCGTGGCGCCCAGTGGTGCGTCCATCAAATGGGCCTCCAATAGCTGGCAGGAACTTCCCTCCCCAGCGGTGGCTATCACTGTCTCAAAGCCATTTGTCTACGTTACTACGGCCCGGCATGGATTTGTGGTCTTGGAAGTTCTTGAGGACGGAGACGGACACCATCTCTTGAGGTTACGTGCTCATGATTCGAAGCCCCTTGACGGACTGACTCACTATGTGACCTCTGGTGAACCTTCTCTTGCCTTCTTAAGCACCCGCGGTGGCAACGTCCGTGTCGGGAAACTTTCGAGCAGCGTTGAACTCCGCACCACCCAAGTATTTGCGTCCCCTGCACCAGAGGAGGCCTCGGTATGGGATTCCATATTACAGTTTGTACCTAGCTCCAAGGGTGACATATTCCCCAAATCGTCCGTGGAGAGAGGCGGTTCAATCTACGGGATCGCTCTCAATGGATCAGTCTGCCGGTTCTCGATCCTACGAGAGGATGAGACGCGCCTTCTCCTCGCCCTGCAAGACCTGTGCCGAAAAGACGAAGCCCTGTATGCGTCCCTAGCTGTGCGGGGAAAACGCAAGAAGCCAACATGGGCCGATCCCAAGAAGGACAATTCCCAGGTAAATGGGGATATTCTGATACGCCTGGCTCGGCATAGGGCGGACTACCTGGAGGATCGAATTCATGCACTTGATCAACAGCGAGGCTCTCCAATATATGAGCCTTTCATGCGAAATGCGGCACTCAAGGCCTTGGGGCCTTCAGACAACTATCCTCAGCAGGTTGTGGGATGGCTTCGACAGCTGCTTCATGTCGACACCTGACAGTTATGAACGCAGCCAAGGCTACTTTACTTCACGTAGCTCTGAATGTGTTCTTTCTTTGGACCTAGTGAGGCTTATCATCACTCAACACGGCGCACGGAGACGAGGCTACTTGATATCTTTGAAAATACGAAATGAGCTTCCTTTACATCTGTTCCTCAAAGCGTAGAAATTAGAAGGAAATAAGAGACACCTGCATAATAACTACCAGTTTTGCTGTTTTGGCCCATATAATATATAAACAATCCTCATATAAAGCATACCAAGCTGGGAGGCGATATGCGGCGACTGTTGTGGACAGTGGCAATCTTGGAAGGCCTGCGGGTGAAGTTAGACTGCATTGTTCCATTCCCCACCATTCGATTATTCTTCCCGAAATTCTTTTCCTCACCCACCTTCTCCCCTCGGTCCACACCAGCCTTTCTCTATCGGGGATTCGAGATTGTAGCTTCAAACTCGTCTATCTTACACCTTTCACCTTTTTTTTTCGCCGTATTTTCACCTCGGCGACACGCAGCCCGCAAGTGAACGGTTAGCTCCGTTTGTGCGCCCACTGCGTCCCTCCGATCGCCCCTCGATCCGGACCCGAAGGAACCCCAAAGACCCTAAAAAGATATTTCCGACAAAATGGCGCCCAAGAAGAAGGGAAACAAGCGCCAGGAGGAGGACTGGGAGGCCGACCTCGGCGAGTCTGCTGCTCCCACCGGAGCTCCTGCGGAGGACCAGGCTCAGGACGACGGCGAAAACGGTGCCGAAGAAGAGGTTGGAGGCGGCTTGATGGCCGCCCTGCGCAAGAACAAAGCCCGCAAGGCCAAGAAGGGCAAGCCCGTTAACGACTTTGTTGAGGGCGAGGATGCCGGCGCCGATCTCGCCAGCAAGCAGCCGGAGGAGGGTACTTTCGACGAGGACGATGTCTTCGCCGGCAAGCCTAAGAAGCCTATCAAGGAAGTGGCGCCATCCCCAGCTCCCGCCGCTGGTGAGGGCGAGTTCCGTGTGAAGTCCAAGAAGGAGAAGGAGAAGGAGAAGAAGGAGCGTGAGAAGCAGCGTAAGAAGGAGCAGGTATGACTATCAACGATCTTTTCTTTTTCACCCGATTATAGCTCGAGATGAACTGACTTTAAATCTACTTTCCAGGCTGCCTCAAAGAAGAAGAACGTCCCTGCTTCCGAAACGAAGGCGGAGCCTGTCAAGGCTGCTGCTGAAGTCAAGCAGGACGAACCAGAGCCCGCCGCCGCTGCTAAGCCCGCTGGTAAGGGTAAGAAGCTTCCTGCTCACCTTGCGGCTCTTCAGAAGCAGCAAGAGCTGCTACGCAAACAACGCGAGGAGGAGGAACGTCTTGCAGCCGAAGAGAAGGCCGCATTGGAAGAACAAGCGCGTCTTGATGCCGAGGAAGAGGCCAAGCGCGAAGAGGCTCGTCAACGGAAGAAGGAGAAGGAGCGCGAGAAGAAGGAACAGCTTCGCAGGGAGGGCAAGCTTCTAACCAAGGCTCAGAAGGAGGCTCAGGCAAAGAACGAACTCCGCATGAAGCAACTGCTTGCCTCTGGTGTTCAAGTTGCTGGTTTGGAGGGCGGTGCCGAGAAGAAGCGTCCGGTCTACGAGAACCGTAAGAAGAAGGGTGGCAAGAAACAAGAGGAAGATCTCGAGGCTGCCGCTGAACGGGCTCGTCTTCAACGGGAAGCTGAAGATGAGCGACGAAGGAAGGAAGCCGAGGAGAAGGCCAAGGCCGAGGCCGAGGCTAAGGCTAAACCTGCTCCTGCGGAGGATGAGGACGCCATTGATGACTGGGAGAAGGCTGCGGAGGCTGAGGAGGATGTGAAGGACAGCTGGGACGTTGCCACTGACGATGAAGAGAAGCCTGCTGTGACCAGCGGCGCCAAGAAAGCCGCAGAGGAGGAGTCCGAAGAAGAGTCTGATGAAGATTCCTCTTCCGAGGAGGACTCTGAGGATGAAGAGCAGTCCGCCAACCAGAAGGCTATTGCCCTGCGCAAGGCTGAGGCCGCGGAGCGGAGAAAGAAGCAGCACGAGGAGGCCCTGGCGGCTCGTTCTGAGGACAACCTGCGTTCCCCAATTTGCTGTATTCTCGGTCACGTCGATACTGGTAAGACCAAGCTTCTGGACAAGATTCGTCAGACCAATGTGCAGGAAGGCGAAGCTGGTGGTATCACTCAGCAAATTGGTGCTACCTACTTCCCCGTGGACGCACTGAAGCAGAAGACTGCCGTCGTGAACAAGGACGGCTCCTTTGAGTTCAAGGTTCCCGGTCTGTTGATTATCGATACCCCCGGTCACGAGTCCTTCTCCAACCTTCGTTCCAGAGGTTCGTCTCTTTGCAACATCGCTATTCTGGTCGTCGATATCATGCACGGTCTCGAGCCCCAGACTTTGGAATCTATGCGCTTGCTGCGTGACCGCCGCACTCCCTTCATTGTGGCCCTGAACAAGATCGATCGTCTGTACGGCTGGAAGAAGATTGATAACAACGGTTTCGAGGAGAGTCTGAACATGCAGAGTAAGGGTGTCCAGAACGAGTTCCGCACTCGTCTCGAGGCCACCAAGCTTGCTTTCGCCGAGCAGGGTTTCAACTCGGAGCTCTTCTACGAGAACAAGTCCATGGCCCGCAACGTCTCCCTGGTGCCTACCTCTGCTCACACTGGCGAGGGTGTTCCCGACATGCTGAAGCTTCTGACCAAGCTGAGTCAGGAGCGTATGACCAACTCCCTTATGTACTTGTCCGAGGTTGAATGTACTGTTCTCGAGGTGAAGGTCATCGAGGGTCTGGGTACCACCATTGACGTGATCCTGTCTAACGGTATCCTTCGCGAGGGTGATCGAATTGTTCTTTGTGGTCTAAACGGACCTATTGTAACGAATATTCGTGCCCTATTGACCCCCGCGCCACTGAAGGAACTGCGTCTGAAGTCGCAGTACGTCCACAACAAGGAGGTCAAGGCTGCCCTTGGTGTCAAGATTGCTGCCAACGACCTCGAGCATGCCATCGCTGGTTCCCGTCTGCTTGTTGTTGGACCTGATGACGATGAGGAGGACCTCGAGGACGAGGTTATGACTGACCTGGAGAACCTGCTCAGCCGTGTCGCCACCGATAACCGCGGTGTCACCGTCCAGGCTTCCACCCTGGGTTCCCTGGAGGCTCTTCTGGAGTTCCTTAAGCAGTCCAAGATTCCCGTTGCCAACATCTCTATCGGTCCTGTCTTCAAGCGCGATGTCATGATGGCTGGAACAATGCTTGAGAAGGCCAAGGAGTATGCTGTCATGCTTTGCTTCGATGTCAAGGTTGACAAGGAAGCCGCTGCCTACGCTACCGAGGTTGGCGTCAAGATTTTCACTGCCGACATCATTTATCACCTGTTCGATGACTTCACCAAGCACATGGCTGAGCTGACAGAGCAACGTAAGGAGGAGAGCAAGATGCTTGCTATCTTCCCTTGCGTCATTAACCCTGTTGCCGTATTTAACAAGAAGGACCCCATCGTCATTGGTATCGATGTCATTGAGGGAAGCCTGCGCATGCACACCCCGCTCGCGGCGGTTCGCACTAACGCGGCTGGTCAAAAGGAGATTGTTGATATTGGCCGAGTGTAAGTTCCACGACCCATAACTTCTCATCTCTTCTATTGGTCTCTAACGTGACCCACAGGACATCCATCGAGCGTGACCACAAGCCCATCGCAGTCTGCAAGAAGGGCCAGCCCTCCGTTGCCATCAAGGTTGAGGGCCCCAACCAGCCCATGTACGGTCGTCAGCTGGAGGAGACTGACCAGCTGTACTCGCACATCTCGCGTGCCAGTATCGACACCCTGAAGGAGTTCTACCGGTCTGAGGTCACTATGGAGGAGTGGGCTCTGGTCAAGAAGCTCAAGCCCGTCTTCGACATTCCTTGAGCGGGAGGCAACTCCGCCATCACCTACAGAACCTGCTCTTGGTTTGAGGAGGGTGACAATTGACCCTGGCCCAGTTAGCATCGCAGTGCCTTGTGAGGGGTATTATCCTGATATGATTGACGCGGCATTTTTTCATGACTTTGCGGGGATGACTGAACATGTCGAATTCTGATTATTGCCATTACGAGAGCGGACAAAAAGTTGATCTGGTGGTTTTGAAAGTGATATGGACATACCAATGAACGACCACGATTCGAAAATGGACCAGGCTCAAAAGTTGATGCAAATGCTTTCTGTACATGACATGGGAAGAAGATAAAAGCGAGCGCTCCCCTCTGGCTGGTTCTTTTTTCCAGAGATTCACTTTTCTTATAGTTGCTTTTTAATGGACACAGAGTTAGACTTGAATTATACGTTCGCGGGTATTCACTGTCGGATGTTGTATTCTTGCAACAACCCTCATACAAGTTACTATAGTTCATTTTGGCCACCGTTATTTAAACATACACTACATCCCCATAACCCACTCCATTTGCTCTTAAAATACCTAATTCCATTCATCACGCATCACCACCCTCCCACCGCTCCGTCTTTCCCCCCTTCTTCTCCCAATCCAACCAACTCCCATCATAAACACCGAGCTGCTCCGGATTATACCCCGCCTGAACGGCCAATTGCGCCGCTGCCTTCGCCCGCACCCCGGCCTTGCAGTAAAACACAATCTGTTGGTCGGCATCCGCGCTGGGCTTCGGGAATCCGAAGCGCGTTTCGAATTCGTCCGCAGTCAGGTACATCGCGTCAGGCTGGGAGGCGAGCGGGATGTTGATTGCGCTGGGGATGATGCCGGTGCCGGTGAGTTCGGCGGGTTCGCGGACGTCGATGAGGATTACCGGGGTGTGTGATGGGGAGGGGGTTGAGGACGGGAGGGAAGCGTTGATCTGGTGCGTGGTTGAGGGTTTTAGTTTATTGCTGTAAGGTAGTGCAGGGCTCGATGGTGGATGGTGAGCTTCTAACTTACGTCTTCAAAGCCCCATTTTCGGAACACGGGGACATGCTCGTCACTGCTGGACTCGTCGCTGTTCCAGCGGATTTGACGGTGGAAGGTGACTGCACTGTGTGATTTCAGCGCGCATGTAGGCGCGAGCGAACGGCGGCTTTGGGAGATTGAGCTGAGGCCTCGGCTTGTTGCGGAGAGAGCTCCGCGCTGGAGAGCTGATGTAGCTGCGATGGTTTGACGGGCTGGCGCTTTAAGGGCCGTGGTAGTAAGTGTAGCGACTGAGCGCCTGACAGTGGAGTGTAATGATGCAGCCATGGTAGTTGTGGTGTGTCTCAGGTCGATCAAATTAAAAAATAGAGGGGAGTTTAGAGGTTCCTCGGAGACGAGGCCGACTTGCGGGTGATGCCGTGATGTCAGTGCCGAGGGACACCGCCTGCTGGGTTGGGATCAACGAACTAAGTTGTAGATATACAAACAACAACACTACGGGATTGTGATAATAGGGTATGGATATGTATATCCTTTGGGTTTCTTGCGTCATATACTTACTGAAAAGTCAGTGACAGTGGCTTGGCCCTCACTTGGCCACCGATGACAGCATGTTAAGCTTTGCTACTGTAGTATATCCGCCCCATGAGCCCTCCGATGATAAGCATTTGGGGGCCTAAAAGTGAGTGGTTCGTGGCTGGTCCAGGATATTCTAACTCTAAATTTATACTCCGTGAATATTCGGAAGTAAGACAGTCGTCCACCTCGAAATCGATTCAATCAGAACTAGGAACCATGCCGAGAAAGCTGATATCAACTCGAAAAGCGTGGCATGATACTGGATGATGGAGGCTTGCCATTTCAATTGAAAAGGATTAATCGAGGGGGCCTAATCATAAGGTTCGCCTTATACTTGGTGTTGGGGGCCAGGCAGTGTATACACCTATACAAGTATAGCAGGGGCTACACTGCACAATGTCGATCTTCTGCAGGTTTCGCAGCTGAAAGACTGCGGCTGAGCAAGCCAGGATTATAATTCTACCATCTTCTCCTCAGTCCCCTATTATCTCTTCCTCTACACTCTCTAAGGCCTGCTAATTACATTCCATCCCATCTCATCATGCCCATGTCCCCGCCAGGTTCGTCCTTAGATACCTCATGAACTCACCACAACCATGAAGCGTGCTCGTGCTGAACAACCCTACCTCCTCGCCACCCTAATCATTTTCCTCGCCCCACACGCCTTCTCGGAATGCTACTTCCCCAATGGCACGCTAGAGACAAACACTGCCTACCAGCCATGTCCCGGGTTCGACGGCACGGCGAGGATGTGCTGTGCCACGAACCGCAGTAACCCCTTCGGCGGCGCGGATACCAACGGCTGGACTGCGAACAAGTGTCTCCCAAATGGGCTCTGTCTAGATGGATTCACGACAATTGATCCACATGGGAAGACGGTTATGGTCCAGCAGTATTGGCGGGACTTGTGCACGAGTCAGAATTGGGATGATGGGGGTTGTTTAAAGGCTTGTGCTGGGGTTGTATGTGTCTGCGATTGTTCTCGATGCTTCCCGGCATATAACTTCCAAATGCTGTAATACGGCAATGCTAACCGATACGCTACATGTGATATGATAGGCGAACAACAGGACAATCAGGATGACACCCTGTGGTAACCCAAATACCTCGACGACATGGTGTTGCGGCGCCAACACAGATTGCTGCAATAGCTCCAACGCAGAATACATCGCCGCAACTCTTCAAGGATACATCGCAACTCTGACGACGACTTCCAGTACCACCGAGAACACTGCTATAACTACGTCCGCGGGGACCCTCGCCTCAGCAAGCGCTTCTTCAACATCTACGCCATTGAATCAAGCTTCTTCCCAGTCATCCTCGGGCCTGTCGACAGCAGCCAAGGCTGGCATCGGGATTGGCGTGGGTGCTGGGGCTATCGTTGTACTTGCTGGTCTGGCATGGATCTTGTATAAGAAAAGGAGGCCGAAGGCGGCGGTTGAGGAGGAATTGAGACCGTTTTATGCGCCGGATACGCCGCCGAAGGAGTTGGCGAGTACTGAGGTTGCGAGGGAGATGCCGAGTCATTCGACGAGTTTGGTTCAGGAGTTGCATGGGGAATGGGTGAGGAAATAACAGACTACAGTTTCGAATTAAGTATATAAATACCCGGCGTGTTGATGGTGGAATGATACACGGGTTAGGTGGAGTTATGGATAGGATATATAGTTTGACGGACAGCCTCGTGTACAAGTATCGGGACCCTGGAGACTGTGGAAAATACAATAATCAGAGCACTTTGTTCACTATGTTCTAAAGTATAACCAAAGCCAAACTAAATCATTCGAACATGGAAAGAAAGAAAAATAAATTAAAATTATTCTAACAATGGCTCTAGGGTCTTGCATGATGACGAGTGAAACAAGAAACAGAGACAACCCTGAAAAAGAAATGCTCAAGAGCAGCGGTCCCACACGGGCGGATTTATACACAAAGGGGGTATTAGGGGATAATCTCTGGGGAAAGGCTCTCCCAGCCTAGACGACCAAAAACCCCCAGGCAATGACGGTAACTTTTTTTTTGGCAAGTCCGACAGAAGGACCTGTTGACCATGCGCGCCGGATTGAGGCGAGAAATGAAAGGTGAAAATGAATGGCCCCTCCATCTCCAGGATAGAAAGGCCGTGCTGAATGTGTCACCGAGCCCGTTCTATCCGGAGGTTGGGGCTGGGTGTTTCCAGCTTGGTGCTTTTGCATTACTCGTCAATCAATATTTAGGCGCGGGGGCGGAAGGTGAGCAGGCAGTCATCCTAGAGATAGATTGTTAGCGATGAGTTTCCAAGGCGGGGGAGAAGAGTTGGAGGGTTGACGAAAGACATACCTGAGGGAAGATGGTGGCAAACACCTTGATGTCCTCGGACAAGGGAGTAGGAGTGTGCTCCCAGTCCATCTCCATACTGGCCTTGCCAATCATGGCCATCAGAGACAGCTGAGCATAGGTCTGACCCAGGCAGTAGTGGGGACCGGTGCCGAAGACCAGCCAGTTCTTGGTCTGCTGCTCGGCATCACCGGTGATCCAGCGCTCCGGGTCGAAGGAATCGGCGTTGGGGTAGGCCTCATCATCGTGAGTGGCGGGCCAGATGGAGGGAATGATCATGGAACCCTTCGAGACGGTGATCTTGTCGGTGATGGGGAAATCCTTCTTGACCAGGTAGGGGACCATGATGACGGGAGGGCGGTAGCGGAGGGTCTCCTTGACGACGGCGCGGGTGTAGGTCAACTTCTCGAGCAATTCCATGGAGATCGGGACGGAGGGGTCGCCGTTGCGGACAGCTAAGTTCTCCTCACGGACCTTGTCGAGAATCTCGGGGCGGTCGGCCATCAGCTGGAACAGCCAGGTAGAGGCGGCGCTAGTGGCATCCTGGGAGGCGAACAAGAAAGTGAAGACGGTCTGGGCAATCTCAAAGTCGGAGAAATCGCGCAGAACCTGGGGAGGCTTCTCAGAGGGGTCGACCTGGATTCCCTGGGCGATCTTTTCACGGTACTTGGCAGAGTCCTGCTGGGCCTTGACCCAGGCGTCCATGATACATGTAACCTCACCGCCGGCAGCCATACGAGCCTTACTCTTGGCGGTACACTTGGAGAACTCCTCAAGGACCATGTCGGCGGCCTTCTTGCCGTACCAAGTCTTGGTGAAGGGCAGGATGATGGGGAAGTTAACCAGCTCGAGGGCCGCGGTGATCAGGTAGTAGTCGTCGGCGACCTTCTGGACGGCTTCGTCGGACATGTAGTAGCCGACAAAGGTGCGGCACGAGAGAGCAGTCATCAGCTCACGGAAATCGGGCATCCAGGGAGTCGGGGTGTGGTTGGTAGCGGCGGACTTGGCGACGAAGCGCTTGAAGTACTCGTCGAAGACCTCCTCGGCACGGGGCAGGTAGGAGGACAGAGCCTGGCGGGTGAACAGGCCGTTAAGACCCTTGCGATACTCGACGTGCTCTTTGCCATCCAGGAAGACCCAGTTAGACTTGCCGAGCAGCTTGTGCGCAGCATCCACGACGCAGGGCTTGACGTAGCCGGGAGAGTTGAAGATCTTGCGGGACATGTCACGCGTGGAGGCGATAACGACGAACCTTGACCGGGTATGTTAGCAATTTGAGATTTGAAATAACCGTGTGCATTGAATTCCAAATTGTATAGGGAGGAATTCCATTGCCCGGTAGAATTGGAGAGGGACAAGAGTAGCTCACTTGTGGAAGACGGAGACACAGCTCAGCTCACCACTGTCCCATTTGGCCTTGTACTCGGTGAACTTGGGATTCACGGACTGGAGGAAGGGGCCCATGAACGGAATCTTGTAGGCAGGACCAATGATATTGCCCTTGAGGTAGTGGTACTTGACTGTTGTATCGCGGATAAAAAGGGGGGCGATCGTCAGCCATTGATCCGAGACGCGTTGAAATTTCAGAGCAAGCGAGCAGGCCTTGGAGAATTCGCCTCAAGGATTGGACTTACACTGATCGTAGATGACGGCTGCCACGAACAGCGTCAGGATCAGCTTCCAGACGGTGAAGCCATCCAGAATGGAGGCGACGAGGCCGGCGGGCGCGAAAAGTTGCGGCGAGATTGTCGCATCTGCGGACGGCGAGACAAAACTCCCAGTCATGTTGACCATGGTGTTTCCAGTTCGAGTCACGAGAAGGGAGGACCTTTCTTTTCTGAAGAATTTTCCGGTTTGCTCCTCACGTCAAGAAACTAGAAAGTAAACCAGTGACCCAGGACGTGGACAATGGCAGGAGAGGTGGAGAGGGGAAGAAATGGAAATCAGGGGTGGGCTTAAGACCAATAATTTGCAGTCGTATTCGCGATTGGCGGTTGGTGATTGGCAACTGGCCAGGGCCCTAGCCCGGATCTCTCAGATCCCGGCCTGGCAGGGGAAAGTGGCCGTGGCATGACTGGCCTACGGTATGTATATACAGTATCTACGGAGAAGATTCTCCTATTTTCTTTCTTTCTTTCTTTTTTCTTTTTTTTTTTTTTTTTTGCTTCCCTACTTTGAGGAGTCCTTCTGATGTAATCGTTATTTTTCTTGAATTTTAGGAGCCTCTATCACTCCGGTAATCTTTGATGATAACTAACTTATCAGGTCACTGTACTGGGCTTAATCAGACGATTAGATAAGGCACGCCTCCGCCCGTCTCGGAATGATGCGATCTACTCCGTACATATGGGCACTCTCGAGAGAAACAAAAAAACCCCTCTTCAAGCCAGACCCTCAACAACCCGTTTACGAAACACTAGCTATTGCAAATACTGTCCGAGGAATGATTTCTTTCTGCATTACCTCAAATAGTCACAGTTTTCATTGCTTGTCATCTCAAATAGCGCGACTTGGCTTGACGGAGCATCTCCGGCTAAATGGACGATGGACTATTGGCGCAAATTTCAACGAGGGCTCGCGAGGGCACGTGCACAGTTCAACCGCGCCTGACTAAGGGGCACCCGTCATTGGACCAGTCCTTGACGATAACTAACTACTCAAAGTGAGAGACAGGTTATGTATAAATATACGACGAGTTTATGCTAAACATTACCCCCAGTGGTCATAAATACACTGGTAACTTCGTCAAGCCAGAGATATACCAGGAAGAAGGCAAGGAGTAGACACCGTGCATAAAATCGACATGAACATATTCGTCGCCTAGCGAATCATAATAACGTACGCCGGTATGTACAAAGCACCATTCTTCACCGACCGCCAAACCCAAACCATCCCCGCTTCTTCTCTTCGGGTGCCGGAGATGGAACTGGCTCGGGGGCTTGCACAGGTGCCTGTCCAGGGCGAGGGTAGTCAATGTAGTTCCACGCCACGTCGAGGAAGAGCGGCTTCACAGGCACAGGCTGCATTTGCGGCGGATATGGCACCAGATTGCTGAGATCAGTCCCGGCACTGAACTGGTGCAGGCGCTCGACCAACGGGCGCTGCTGGCTTGAGCCAGACTGGGCTTCCAAGCGCTCCAAAGTCACCAGTCCACGGTATTGGGCGACAAGTCCACGAAGAGTAGAGGCCAAGTTGTTTGCCTGGGCTCGCGAGACATCGAGCTGGGGCGGGCCCTCGGAGCCAGCGGAGGTCTGCGGGGTGGCGGTGCTGGCGAGGTCGAACGCCTGAGCGAATAGGGCAAGTGCCTCGGTGGACTTGCCAAGAACGCCGTGAGATCGACCCAGAGCAAGGCATCTGAGCATACAAAGTGTTAGTCACATAGACCAGGGAACATTAGTGTCTTCAAGAAATAAGGGATCATACCGAAGCGCCCGGAAGTAGCGACGTTTCGCCTCAAGCTCCTGCACAAATGCTGTATCGGCAGCAACACCTGGTAGCTCCAGGATAAAGTCCAGGCTCTGCAAGGTCGAGTCATACAGCACAACACGTTCGCGGAGCTTGTTCAACTTCTTTCCATTACCCGCACTGTGCTTGGTGACCTTCCCACCCTGAGCAGTTGATTCATCTTCGAAGGTCAGACCGTCCTGTTCACCGCACAGTACACGGTTACGACCAACACGCCATCCGACAAGACTGTAGTTAACAGCCGTCCGGGTGATCTGAAGCGCCTGTATTCTCTTGTCACCAGGATCCACCCCCTCACTAGTCAGATCGTCAATGGCACTCTTCGTGGAATCAACCGCATCCTGGCTGGCAATGATGACATTATCGTATGCAGCGGCCCGATCCTTCGCGCTAGCAGACTTGCCTGCACTGGCCAACCAGGCACTGAGACCAGTCTCGGCAGCGGAAGCAGCTGCCAATGCCTGAGAAATCGAAGCATCATCCAGCGGGACGGTCCGAGATCTCCATGTCACAGACTCGGGCAATTGCTGCACCTCGCCCTCGGCAGTTCTCCGCGTTCCTGCAGCTTCTTCAGCAAGACAGGATGGGTCAATCTTCTCTACCTCGGCGCGAATCTCAGAATCAGCGGGGAAGAATTCGATAGCCAGCGACGAAGTTGGCTTGGACCGAGGAAGCTTCATCTGGTAAGCCGCATAGCGCAGGCTAGGATCGACGGTTCCCGTGAGAAGGTCGCGGAAGGAATCCTTCTTCTCCCGTTGTCCCAAAGCCGTATAGATCACTCGTGCGATGGCGTAGTCGTGTAGACACTGCTCCCACTTGCGCTTCTCCAACCACAGCGCACCGGAGACTGTAGCCAGGTAGGCCCGCGCTTCGAGAATGTCGATGTCGGTGGCACCGGTGGCCGACTGTTCGTGGAGCAACTTCACGAGATGTTGCGCATAGCCGGTCGCCTTTTGCAGTCGCGATACAATATGGCGTCTAGCAGCACCGGTGATGCCCTTGGCCGAGGGATCGGCGGAGTGTGTCGATTTCTCATGCATGGCCTGCGCCCAGGCTCGTTCGGATCCGAGAAGCAAAAGGTGAACGTATCTGGTGATGGGTGAGTACAAGTAATCATTTATCAAGCTATTCTCAAGAGAACACATACGACACATTGCTTCCAACATTCTCAGCCGTCACAGCTGGCTTAGCAGCGTACTTGCGGCCTTTAGGAGTGGCCTGTCCCAGCTTCTTGCGGAGTTTGTGTAGCTTGCGAGTGGCATGTGCCCGGTAACCATTGTAATCCCCGGCGAGGAGAACCTCCTCCCGCTCCTTGAAGATATAATCAGTGATCTCCATGTCTGGCGTTGAATTGGCGAAATTGAGGGGAGCCGAGTAGTTGGCACGTTGACTTGGTGGGTACGCAAAGGCGGTACCCCGTTTCGGCCAAACGAATGGCCCGACCTGCCCGGCAATTTCCAACCTCTCCGAATCTTTTGCGTGGTTGGCTTTCTGCGGCCTACTTTTCTGGCTTTGCTCTTCTTGACCCAAAATCGATCGTCCGACGACTGGGACACAATCTAGCAATTGCAATTTGCGTGAAGCTAGGCATCTGAAGCTTCCTGCTGCTAGATTGTACGCAATACGTCGCTTTTTTTCCCCTGCTCGGTACGAAAATGGCACCACCCTAAACAGCTCATCCCGGCCGCCAGGAACAACAAAAACACCACGTGAACAAAGATTTCTGACTTGGAATATCAATCCATAGGGCTGTTCGATACGATATGACGCAGACTGTGGATTATCTAAGGTGACTTCAGTGTTTGACGCCGCGACGATCGGGGGTAATGCTCGAACGGGCGGCGGCCGGCTGCCTCGAGAGCGCGGGACGGCGTTTTCTTCGAGATTCCAGCGGCACTATTCGATCCAGAAGGAGTTTGTCTCGTCATTTTTGGAAGCATAATGCCGCCAGAGGGGATATTGCGAGCTGTTTTGTCGCGTTGGTGCTGCCGCCCAGTCACCAACCGTCGACTTCAGCTTTCCTGTCTCTCGCTGAGAGCAAAGCTGCCAAAGACGGAGCCTCGCCGTTCCTCGACTTCCTCTATCCGCAAAGAACCCAGGAATTCGCAGTATCGCGTCTCTCCCGCCAATCCAAGCGACTGGTATTGCGCCGGAGGAAGAGAACAATGGTTGGCTTTTCGAGACCGTATACATCAAACGCTTCATCCACTACCACAGAGATCCTTATCGAGGCCCCTCATGCAACCGAAACGAGCCCACAGACGGTGGGAACGGAAGCAACCAGATCTTCCAAGGGTTATTTGATAAATTTGTTGGAAAAGCAGAAGGACGAGTTTGATCGAGCCTGGGTGCTTTACATCGCCGCTGGAAGACCATCCGACTGTCGTTCTGCGCTATGTGCCTATCTCAGTCGATCAAAAGATATTCTCGACAGGGATCGGACTTGGGAGGCATTTCAAGGAATCCCTGAAGAGATTCTTTCTGAAACCGACTTTTTGCGTGCCGCTGAATCCCAGCTTGGGTCCCGAGACCCCTCAAAGCTGATATCCCTATGCGAACAAGCCCTTGGACGGGGATATGGATCGAAGTGTTGCACATTATCATTCACGCGCTTTTGGAAAGCTCGTAATTGGAAGCGCGCTCTGGAAATTTGGCGCTTGGTGTCACAACACACAGAGCAGGCGTCTGACCTGGCATACCGGAGATTATTTGGTGAACTTGAACATGGACGACTTACTTGGGACGCTGTGGCATTTGGAAAATTCGTAATGCGCGAACAGTGTCATGATGCTCGGTCTCTTGCCAATTTCCTCCTTGACCACATTTTCCGTTATTCTTACATGCTCCGATCCGCCTCCACAGGTATACTCGTGGAAATGTTTCGGATCTATCACGACTTGGGCTTTTTGAAGCCTGAGCACTATCTTAAAACGATAAACACGTTTCAAGCGAGTGAGGCAAGGTCAATCTTCATCCGGACGATTGTGTTTTACCGTATAATGCGTCGACAAATGCCGGAGACGAGGCCCCCTCAGTCGTTCTTCAGTGCTCAATTGAGAGCTTTTGCCTCATTTGGGATGACCTCTGGTGTACGATTCTTCCTAGAAGAAATGATTGAATTCTACGGAAAGCCACATCTTCAACTCTACAAGGATGCTATGCAATCCTTCGCATATGCAGGCGACGTGGAGAAGGTAAATTTCTTCTTCAATAAGCTCGTCCAAGACCACGGGCCTCCACGGAGCCGGAAATTGTTGACTCCACTTCTCGATGTCCATGCACGAACCGGAAACGTTGAGGAGACCACGAAACAGTTCAAGAGGATCTCTGAGGAATTTCATCTTCAGCCGAACACGGTGTGTTGGAACATTCTCCTCAAGGCCTATGCCAATGAAGAGAACCTCGCTGGAGCCCTTTCGATATTTTCAAAAATGCAGCAAGCTGGAGTCCCCCCCAGCCCACACACATTCGGTACATTAATGGCTCTTTTTGCCAAACGGGGAGATATTGAGAACACTCGTCACTTGCTCAAAGAGGCGGAGAGTTATGGTGTGGAGATCACGATGCCCATGCTGGACATGGTGGTTCAGGCGTACTGCGCCAACGGATTGCTGCCCCAAGCAGAGCAATTTGCTATTGCTTGCCAGGAAATCAAGGTCCAAGGTTCACCTTTAGGCATGTGGAACACGCTTCTATTTCACTATGCATTCAGAGTGGACTTTGTGGCTCTTAACCGAATCTGGCAGCATATCAAGGCCGCCGGCACTCGTCCAGATGCCGTCTCCTATGCCAGCCATATGCTCGCTCAAGCTTTGGTTGGCAAAACGGATCGAGCTCGAAAGACCCTGAGAGACCTCCACAAGAAGCGGGTCATGCAAGCTACGGATCTTCACTACGCGATTATTCTGTACGGATATTTGAAGAGCCGCAACAGAACCATGGTACAAGTTATCTTCAAGGAGATCGAGGAGCGTTTTGGTCAACCTGGGGCCCGATCCAGCCTCTTAGCGCTCAGAGGTCAGATTGAGCACGATTTGGCAACTCGGGAAGAAACTGCTTTGCCTGGTGCCGAATTACGTTTGAAGAACGCTGAGCAAACCCTGTTGAACTCTCTTACGTCGATTGACCGCCTGACAAAAAGCATCAAGCTTTCATCCTTGAAAGCCCATCCTAGCGGCGCTTTCCAAGATTCCTATTACACCTACCGTATCAAGAACTTTGGCTTGGATGGTGCAATTGATGAGGCCCGACAGCTTTTCAAGGAGTACATGGACACAAAAAAGACCATTGGGTCTCGCGAAACAGGATCTGAGTCTGCCCCGATCCGCCTCATTTCCGCTATGATGCTAGCGCATTTGAGAGCTGAACAATACCTGGAAATGGAGGAGTGCTGGCAACTCGCTCTCACCAACACCGTTAAGATAGCAAGCCGAGTTAACCTCGACGACCTTATGAGTGTTGAGTCGTCAGCTGCGGTTGACATTGATGCCATGGAGCCTTTGTCGGCAGGCGACCAGCCGCCGTCACCTTCAGGTCTCCGGTCCAACGGCCAGGGCGAGCCGGCCGATTTACCCGTCGATCGACTGCCTCAACCACACCAGGAACCTGATATAATTCCATCCCAACGCTTCGCCCTCTCGCGTCCCCTATCCATCTACATGCGGGCTTTGGCTTATCAGAACAAGACCGAGCAGATCATTGAAGTGGTTGCCAAATTTGAGGATGCTGGTTTCCGGATGAGCACCTTCAATTGGTCAACCTACGTTCAGATGCTGGCAGCTTCTGATCGCTTTAGCGACGTTGTAGAGGCTTTCCGAGCGTTTGAGCATACGTTCATGCCCAATTTCCCCGACTGGAAGCGACTTCAAGTTGGGCAAGGACTCAAGCCGTTGGGTGTCCCGTTCACTATCCAGCAGCTTGAAGATCCCCGACACTTCCCTCCTCCCTCGGCGACCCTTGGCAAAGCTTCCAAATTGTATTGGAGCAACATTGAGCCAGGTTTCATGCAACCGACCTATGTCTCCATGGTGTACCTCGCTGCTGCGGTAGACCGCGCCCGAGATCTCAGCATTCTGAAGGGCGGTAAAGAACTTGAGCAGCTCCATGCTACCGCTCCCAAGACGATCGCGGAAATCGGCAGGATGCCTTACCTTCGTGACAAGTTCCAAGGTGTGCTTCTTCGCCATCGCTCTCACCAAGCCGACAAAGACGGGCAGAAGCGACCCCGTCGGCAGACTGTGGCGGCAAGTGGTATCCTGGGCGTTCGCCCTCGCAACCGCAACTTGGGGACCCCTGGCCGTTCTGGACGCGTTCAACCAGAGGAGGCACCAGTGCCCGCTACTGTGACGTTGTCTGCTGACCAAGAGGCCGAGAGAATGCGCCAGGCTGTCTTTGATTCCGACGTGCAGGAGGATCTCTTCTCAGTGGAAGACCGGGCTGATCTTGAAGATGCTATCCGAGGCCGTCACACTCGACACGTCTATCTCAACAAGCTGAGGGCAATCTCCAGGAAGACCAAGCAAGAGGTTGAACATGACTCGTGTCCCACTGGTCAGAAACCAGAGGAGTTGGTGACAGGGACCGAGCAAGATAAGCTTGAGGACGAGACTGCATTTGAGCAGGCCATTGAGGGTACTGGTACTCAGGACACAGAGCAGACGCCTGAACCCTTGGACGAGAAGACACATTGAAGTGTCTAACGTGTGTATAGTGATTTGTTTGTTATTTTAGCCCTGTATATCATGTCTATATAGATTCCAATGTATTATATCTCCATTTTCCTGACTGAATCCTGATAGATTTGCAGTGAACAAAGTGTACAATGACTTGATCGAGACCAGCTCAGCCTTAACATCCCGCCAGGTTGGGCACTGGGAGGAACAGTATTACATAAGCAGACGCGTGCCGCGTCGTGGGACGCGTTCCAATTTTGCCCGATCGGGCGAGCGCGCACATCCCAACTTTCAAGCTCCTCGTCTTCTCCTCAACTCGCTATCCCCCCGACCACATTGAGCACCGCAACCATGGACGGAATTCAATTGCGAGATGAGGCCGCGCAGGATCGCGTGCGCGCTGCCATTGAATTCCTTGACCCTAGTAAGTTCCCTCGACTGATGCGCTCACCGTACTCGTTCTAACGTGATCGCCTTTTTTTCTACCTATAGGTGATGAACGGGCACGCAGGTTCGTCGGGCTGGAGCCGAATAGATCTCATATCGCAAATCCTGACCGAATGAAATAGTTATCGAGTCGATATCGTGGTGATGCTGAATCGGGGACTGCGACGTTTGACTGTGCGTTTGTTTTTTGTTTCTCCCTTGAAATGGCGGGAGGAACGAACTGACAGTGGTATAGGTCAGCCTGGACGAAATTCGAGCACACAACCGCGAGCTCTCCGATGGGTAGGTTTGATGATCTTCTTATATGGTGAATATTGAATTGCTAATTAATTCCTTCAATCAGGCTTTGCATGTCACCTTTCGATTACTCCCAAGCCTTTGACCACGCCCTGAAGGAGGTGGTAAAGCGGTTGCCCAACCGCCCCGAGAAGGAGAAGCTGGATGAAGTGGTATGCATTTTGGAACAATCTGAAGCCTCTGGGGTAGAGCAGGACTAATGATATGCTACGACAGAACTACTATTGCGCCTATATTGGCGCTTTCGGAGATTTTTCTTGCAACCCCCGCACACTCGGTTCTTCGCACTTGAACCGCATGGTTTCTCTTGAGGGAATCGTGACAAAGTGCTCTCTCGTCCGGCCAAAGGTGATTCAGAGTGTTCATTACAGCGAGAAGAAGGATCGCTTTTTGTCGAGGAAGTACCGTGATCAGACTATGACTGCTAGCGGTGCTACGAGCTTGAATGTTTACCCCCAAGAAGATGAAGACAAGAACCCCGTGAGTACAATCAATGTGTCCTGCAATTACATGAACAGCTGTCTCATTTATATAGCTTATTACCGAATACGGCTACTCCACGTACATGGACCACCAGTCGATTTCGATCCAAGAAATGCCTGAGCGAGCCCCAGCCGGTCAGCTGCCTCGCAGCGTCGATGTTATCCTCGATGACGATCTTGTCGACAAGGCCAAGCCAGGAGACAGAATCCAGCTGGTCGGTATCTATCGCACCCTTGGAAACCGAAACGCAAGCTCCGGATCGTCTACCTTCCGCACCGTTGTCATGGCGAACAACATCATTCCACTCTCCTCCAAGGGCGGATCCGGCATCGCGCAGGCTACCATCACGGATACCGACATCCGAAACATTAACAAGATTGCCAAGAAGAAGAACGTCTTCGAGCTGCTCTCTCAATCTCTCGCTCCTAGTATTCACGGACACGACTACATCAAGAAGGCCATCCTGCTGATGCTGCTTGGTGGTATGGAGAAGAACCTTGATAACGGTACTCATCTTCGTGGTGATATCAACATCCTCATGGTCGGTGATCCTTCTACAGCCAAGTCTCAACTGCTTCGATTTGTTCTGAACACGGCGCCCTTGGCTATCGCTACTACCGGTCGTGGTTCTTCTGGCGTTGGTTTGACTGCCGCCGTCACTTCCGACAAGGAGACTGGCGAGCGTCGATTGGAGGCCGGTGCCATGGTCCTTGCTGATCGTGGCGTGGTCTGTATTGATGAGTTCGACAAGATGAGTGACATTGACCGTGTTGCTATCCACGAAGTCATGGAACAGCAGACTGTCACCATTGCCAAAGCAGGTATTCACACTAGCTTGAACGCCCGCTGCAGTGTATTGGCTGCTGCCAATCCCATCTACGGCCAATACGACCCGCACAAAGATCCTCACAAGAACATCGCGCTTCCTGATTCCCTTTTGTCCCGTTTCGATTTGCTCTTCGTCGTCACCGACGATATTGAAGATGCCAAGGACCGCACAATCTCTGAGCATGTTCTGCGCATGCACCGCTACCGTCAACCGGGCACTGAGGAGGGTGCTCCCGTTCGCGAACAGCTTAACCAGACCTTGGGTGTTGGCATTGAAGACCGTGCAGATGCCAACCAGCCCACCGAGGTGTTCGAGAAGTTCAACGTCATGCTCCATGGTGGCATGGTCAACACCGGCCGCAACCGTGGAAAGAACGTGGAGATAATCAGCATTCCTTTCATCAAGAAGTACATTCAGTACGCCAAATCCCGTGTCAAGCCTGTCTTGACCAAGGGCGCCGCCGATCACATTATCGCAGCATACTCCGCTCTTCGTAACGATGACCTTGCCAGTACTCAGCGCCGTACCTCTCCCATCACACCCCGTACCCTGGAGACACTGATCCGTCTTTCTACTGCACATGCCAAGGCCCGCCTCTCCAGCCGCGTCGAAGAGAAGGATGCCAAGCATGCAGAGGCCATTCTGCGCTTTGCTATGTTCAAGGAGATTCTGGAGGATGTGCGCCGCAAGCGCCGCAAGGTCACCTCCTTTGAGGAGTCGGACGATGAGAGCGAGCCAGAGCTCGATGATGACGACGATGATGATGCTCCCTTCCGAGGAACATCAGCCGCAACCTCTGGACGCGGAGCCACGACAAGGACTCGTGCAGCTGCCAGCACAGCAGCTCCCGATGATGACCCGGATAGTCTCTACACTTCTAGCCCACGGGCCCAGCGTCTCCGGTCCAGCCAGACCACCCGCACCCAGACTCATACAGAGTCCCAGATGTCGGTGGCTTCCTCACATCCTGCATCACAGCTGGTCCAGACTCAGACAGACGACTCACAGTCTACTTCTGTGTCGGCGCAACCGATTACACCTGCCCGTATGGCTGTCTTCCGCCAGACCTTGGGTCCTCTCATGGGCACCAAGGTATTCGCTGACGGTGATATGATTCATGTGGACGAGCTGATCGAGGCTGTCAACACTGCTGTGCGTGCGTCACCGCAGCACGGCGCTGCGCACGTCTTCTCGCGGCCTGAGGCTATCCAGGCTCTCAGTAAGATGAACGAGGAGAACCTGTTGATGTGAGTATACCCTTTCCCTTTGATATACAGGACTAAGATTAGTGTACTAATACCCGTGTAGGTTCCTCGAGGACGACGAGAACGTCTACCGTATCTAATCTTCGGTGCTATCTTTACAACAGGCTTTTCCTCCCCGTAGTAATGAGAGGAAAGCCGGGCTACCTATGGCCCTACTCATGAGCATGTTTTCTGGTTGCTGCATTGGGATGATATCATGTTTCTCTTTGTCTGGAGTATGGAGTCAATGCATCCGGAAATTGAAATAGGTTTACTTGATAAAGAACGTGGTGATGTTGAATGTGAACATATTGGACCAAACCCTGCTCGTCTATTCGTAGTACTCTTATACATTCGCTGAACTGGAAGCAAGCCAATCGTGCCTACTGCCCGTTGAACCTAGAACCATAGGGAACCAGAGACGTATGTTGAAGAAGGAAAAACCATCTATTGTTCATAGCAGTATATACATGTGTTTTTGGTCATTTGAAACAGCGTTATTTTGCCCATTCGCGGTGAACGAGCTTAAAGTCGGGAGTGATGAGCGAGCTTCATGTGGCGGTTGACATCCTTATAGAGCAGGTAGCGGAACTTGCCCGGGCCACCAGCATAGCAAGCCTGCGGGCAGAAAGCACGCAGCCACATGAAATCACCCGCCTCAACCTCCACCCAGTCCTGGTTCAGCCGGTACACCGCCTTACCCTCCAGCACATAGAGACCGTGCTCCATGACGTGAGTCTCAGCGAAGGGAATGACACCGCCAGGCTCGAAGGTAACAATGGTGCAGTGCATATCGTGACGCAGATCAGAGGGGTCCACGAAGCGGGTAGTTGCCCACGCACCATTAGTACCAGGCATCTCAGTAGGCTTGATCTCCTTCTCATTCAGGAACAACGGGTCAGGCTTATCGAGACCCTCCACGGGTTCGTAAGCCTTGCGAATCCAGTGGAAACGAGCGGTGCTCGCGCCACCATTGCGCAGGGTCCAGCCACTCTTGGGTGGCAGATAAGCGTAGCCACCCTCGGTAAGGGTGTGCGATTCACTGGCCAGCGTGATGGTGACTTCGCCCTCAACCACGAACACCACACCTTCGGCACCCTCGTCGAGTTCGGCGCGGTCGCTGCCACCACCGGGTTGGACTTCCATGATGTATTGTGAGAAGGTCTCGGCGAAGCCGGAGAGCGGACGGGCAATCACCCATAACCGTGTCTTATCCCAGAATGGCAGGAAGCTCGTCACAATGTCGCTGAATGTGCCTTTGGGGATGACCGCGTAGGCCTCGGTGAACATGGCGCGGTCGGTAAGGAGCTGTGTTTGGGGTGGCAGGCCACCAGTGGGCGCATAATAGGCGCCGATCTTCTTGTCGTTGCCCATGATGAGGGGTTTCGTTGAGGCGTGGATGTGTCGCGTGCGGGTATCTAGGCGAGTCCCTCTGGTCTCAATTGGACGATGCTGTAGATCCGATGATCGAATATGTTCGTCAAAGGATGTCGAGGTTTGAAGGTAGGTGAGGCTGCGCGGGGTATAAAAGTTAGCTTGAATGATAAGTCGCCAGTCGCCCGTTTAAAGCAAAATCTCCCAACTTCTCGGCGCCGCGGGGAATTTCCGGCGATGACCGAGTCACTTCGGGCCATCCCGATGGGCCCGCGGAGAGTCCGGGGTATCCCGAGAGGCACGTGACCGGGTGCCTAATCGGACTCTACAAACTGGACAATTTCACGATAAGGTCAAGCTATGGTAATATAATATTGTCGGGCTATCATCCCACCAACCCATATTATTATACTAGAAGCTTCCCCTTGACATTCACAACATGAACGTTCTTCGCAAGTCCCTTGGCCTGTACCTTGTCAACCACACCGTTATCGTCCCAAGAAAAGTCTACACTTCCACCACCCCGTAGACGAAGGCCTTGAACACTGCCACCTGCCCACGCCGGAGGAATAGCTGGTCCAAGAACAACAGTGCGCCGAGTAGAATCGGAGCTCGAGCTATCCAGAGGCATGTCAACGACGAGCATGCTGAGCACAGCACCAACATATCCAAAATTGGCATCGATCTGGAACGGTCCGGCGGGGGTATCTCCACCGCTGTATAGTGATAGGCCACTCTGTCCGATATTCTGATCAATTGTCAGACGAAGTTCGTAGTATGATTCCTCTGTATTGTTCAGACGGGCCCAGCACGCAGATCGCCAGACCTTTTCCCATCCAGCATTGGAGTCTGAAATTCCAGGTCCGCGACTGGTGAGGGAGGTATTGACGGCCTCTTGGATGGTAGCATCGGTATATCCATTCTGATACGATGAGACAGACCATCCAGGATACCAGCCCACCAGGTGAGATAAATGGCGGTGCTCGTCACCTTTGACATCGTAGCCGTAGCTATCGGGTATCTTCCATTCCTTGATCTCTCCCCAAGAGCCAATATGAAGACCCTTGTCGAGCTTCGCTAGCTTGCTTTCCACCTCGGCGAAGAACGTTTGATTGTTATCTTGTGCCACTCTTCCAACCTGCAGACTGGTCTCGAAGACTTGGTATATCAATTGTTGCCAGTGGGCGCAGCCAAATGTGACGGGGCCATGCTCTGGGGATGTACATGGATTGACAACGAGAGAGCCATCGTTCGTGAATTGGTCAGATTGTAACTGGGACAGCCAAAACTCCGCAACACCTTTCAACATCGGCCAGCCTTGTTTACGGAGCCATTCGCTGTCGCGGGAGTAGTCGTAGTGATCCCAGACATGCTGCATCATCCATGCCGGTGCCGCTGGATAGTCTGCAGAAGTCTGCCACGTTTTCATTCTGTAAACCAGTTTAGTCAATCATGTCAACCGAAAATATTCAGCAGTACAAGCCACGTACCCCGTATGACCAAAGATATTCATCTCGTCGTGCGTTACCCAGCCGTCCCCTCCGTAAAGCAGCTGGGCGGTTTCTGCCCCTCGAGGCATCCATGTTTGCTCCATATAATTGAAAAGAGATACAGTTAGGTCTCCCAGCCCAGTAGCTTCCGCACCCCACATATTCATTTGCAGGTTAATGTTGGCATGGTAGTCAGCACCCCAAGCCGCGCTCTGTGCTGAGCTCCAGATTCCCTGCAGATTAGGCGGTAGACTATTCTGTCGTGAGGACGAGATGAACAAATGCCTTCCATAATCAAACATCAGTTTCTCCAAAAACGGATCGCTCGTGGATGAATCTGCGCTATATCTTGTAATAAGTTCTGAGAACTCCACTCCGGACGAGCCTTGACGGTCCGGCAAGTCCAGGATGAAAGCGTTTGTCAACGGACTATAGTCGGCCACATGCGCAGCTCGGAGCTTCGACTCTGACAGTTTAGAAGCAGTGCTAGAGAGTTTTTGAACTTGGGTCGCAGGATCCTCGCCTCGGAAAGTGAATCCATTGGCTGCATTGCCTTTGGTAGCGTCGAAGTCTGTACCAGCCGCAATGACAAGTGTTAAAATTTTGCTACCCGACGAACTAATTTGCAGACGGCCTGTCGAGCTATCACAGGTACCTGGGAGGGAGCTTTGTGCGATGGTATCATACAGCATCCCAAGTGGTGGTCCTTCTTGGGTAATGCCACGCAGGCGAGCAAAGGAGGGTCCACAGGTTGTGTTATATAGTGATTTGGATTCCACGAGCTCATCAAACCAGATTGAGACGTTCGACAGCGTGACGGGAGAAGTAAGGTGATAGACACAGACTTGGTGCGGGTAGCTGCAATAAGTCGAAGTAGTATATGTCCCGTCCGCCGTTGAGTAAGTGGTTGTATGTATCCCGTTGTTGAGATCCAAGGATCGATTGTATCCAGCCACCCCGGATATGGCCTCAATATGGACAGTGAGGTTAGCTAATGAGTGGTAAGAGCCATAACCGTTCTCATCCCCATGTAGTCGGCTATCATCTACAACGAATCAGCGATTTTGCACATCTCGAATGTTGAGGATTCCTACTTCCAGTTCCCTTCTGCCAGATCTCAGAGCGGATATCGTTCAAGATGCCCACCATACTTGAATTTGGGTTCCCACCTCGATATTCCTAAAGTTCAAGAATCAGCATTAACAGGCCCACAAAGAGAATCTCTAGACTCACATCAACCTGGAATGGCCCTCCGCTCCACAGATCGTCGTAGTTTAGGTTGAGCTTCTCAGTCCCCGCCTCTCCGAACGGCATCACTGAGGTAAAGCAACGATCAGCAAGTTATCATGCTCAGGCTCAGCTAATACGCCTGCTTACCGCCAAGTTTTCCATTTCCAATAAGAAATGCTTCGTTGGTTGTATCCCAAGAAGCCGATTTTGAGGACCACAGTGAAGCAGCCGTAGCAAATGTGCTGCAACTCAATAAGAGCCCTAGATGCATGATGATGGACTAGTCTCTATAACAACACTCATATAAGGACTTGAGTGAACGTGGTCGACTATTGCCTTTCGAGGCTTTTATAAATGTTCATCTACTCGAATCCCCTCTCGGGTTAATTCACAAATAGAGAAAGATCGGCATTGTTGCCAGTTGCCCTAAGGAAGTATCTCGTCAGATCCCCGCACTGCAGCTTTGTACGGCGGAAAATTAAGCTAAGCAATCGGGTATTTCACTACGTTGCATCGAGAGGGTTGACGGTGAATGGAGAGTTCATAATTCCCGATAATTGGAAGGTATTTTTCCGGTGGGCATATTGTGAAGGTAGGATCTTAAGTTGTCTTGTTTGCGGGGTATTCCAGGAGATTGATGTGGAGGTGTCTGTGTGACATTGTCTCTTTGCACCAGAGCAGAAGTCCAAGTTTTTGGGATGTGTAGTGTACTACTACATCAAGGTAAATTTCTTGGAAATGATTGAGAATCGATGAGGTCAAGGAATTGGAAGAGTAGAAGCTAGAATATTGAGAAATTATGATTGTTTATTGTATGTAGGCCCTCGCCATCAGATGTCCTGGCTGATACTCATACCTTTTGATCATATCATGCCTTGGATGCTAACAAGGGCAACGGGCTGGCTTGGATAAGTAGAATTCACCAAGGAAAACGGGTAAATCCAAGTTATCCCCATTGATTATCCCAGGTCACTAGCTGATGACTAGATGGTCAACACGCTTGTTCTAGATCCAAGACGCTCTTCAGCTACTCAATTCTCGTAAAAGGCACGAAATGCATGACGAATGTTCAACGGACAAAACACGGATATCTATAATGAGGCATGTTATACCACAAACGCTGGAATTATTACAAGCTGGGGGAATCTCAAATCACAACACTGAACATGATATGAGAAAGAAACGACACCAAAGTACGGAAAGTTCGGAGGGGAAAAAATGTCACAGTCTAATTTGAGGGGTCCGGATCAGGTGCAGAAGTAGGGATAGACTCCTTGTCCTTCTCTCCCATCGGCAATATACCAGAATCGTCCGATGAAAAAGATGGCGTGCGAACACCCTCCCGGATTTGAGCTTGCGTCAGAGGCGACAACCCACGACGTAGCGTTTTGGAACCTTTGCGCTTCCGTTGTTGAGGGCTCACCTCTGGGCCTGAGATCGAGGGAGTGGTGCTTCCACGGCGGGGACGGCCAGATGCAGAGGAGCGGGAGGGAGGACGGTCATCAACATCGACCGGGGTGGAACTGTGCGAGGAGGTCCGAGAGTGAGATGATTCGGAGCGGGTATTGCGGCGGTGAGAGGGTGCGCGATACTCCTGATTGAGCTTTGATGAGACAGATGGGGCATGATGGTGATGAGCGCCAGGTCGGAATTTCGGCTCCGATTCAAGAGGTTTGTGGAGGGTGGCTGACACCAGGCGGCGGCGCTGTGAGGCGCGCCAGCCTAATCCAATACGCCAGAACCAACCGCCCTCAGCCTGAGCAAGCTGGCGCTCGCGCTCGCGCAGTTTGTGACGCAGCTGAGCTCGGCGCTCATTCTCCTTCTCCCAGAAGTCGGTACGATAGTCGTCCCAGTTCTCGCGGAACTCGGGGGAGAACGATTTGGGTAACAAAAGTAGTCGTATGTAGTCACCACCAGCACTGAGGTCTTCCTCCACCAGGCCGGACTCGCTGTCACCGCCATTATAATATTGCTGGTAGTGCTGCCGACTACGTTGCTTATCGGACGGATGACGCTCGACGAGGTGGAAGTTGCCTGAGGGAGAAGGGAAGAACGGGGCGGAAAAAGGGAAGAGGAAGGACACGTAGGAGAGTATTTCCTGCCACCAGGGCCCACGGATCACGATAATCTTGGTGTTCATGACGCGCAGGCCACGGTTAGTAACGGCGAGCCACCGACGAGGCCAGCGGATTCCGCGCTCCCATTGCCCTGTTCCCCAAACCAGTAGGGCTGTCACTACGCCGCCGAGCAGCGCAACTTTCTCTCCCATTTCAACCATCCAGTATACCGAGCCACCGACACCGCGCCCGTCTTCGCGGGGACGCAGGAACAATGCATATGCAAAGTAGGCGATCCACGCCGCAAGGAGCAGCAGGAAGAAGGTGTTTTGGCGGCGACGCTCGCGCAAGGCGAGGTATTGTGCACGAAGTGATGCTTCAAGAATCAGGAGATTCAAATAAATTTGAGGAGGAGACGAAGGTAAAGTGGCTAGAGGATCTGGTGTTGAGGGCCGTTGCGGGGACGAAGGGCCCGACGTTGTTGGTGCTCTCAACGGCTCTGGCGTGGGAGCGCGGGCAGCAGACGACGGAGCGCCCTTGACGAGCTGGTCCAAGGGCGAAGTCATGGTATTTTTTTCTCAATTTATAGAAACGAAATGCGACCACCCAAATCAACGGCCGTGGCGGCCCAGTGCGGTGGTCATGGCGGGTCAAAGAGGACAAGGAGGAAGGAGAAGATCGGAAGGAGAAGAGACGCAGATTGCGGCGACATCATCGCTTCCGCCTTTCCCACTTTTTTCGAACTTTGTATACTCTTTTTTCCTGCTTTTCGCGCTTGAGTTGCTCGACCTCGTGGATTCACCTTTCTTATACACTCGATTAACACCAGAATTTCCTCGAGGGGGTCTGCTCGTTCAGTCTATGCTCTTCGGTCGTCTTCCGTCGGCTGTTTATCCCTCCGATTCCTGCGGTTCAACGTATGCGCCTGGTTGCCTGTCGGGGTTAAGCGGCGTGGCCGATTTTGTCTCCGGTCCGTCTTCTTCAGTCTTTAACAGCCCATGAGCGTCGCTTCTCGGCTTCACCCAGCGACAGAACGCATTTGTCAGTTTGGCTCACGCTCAGCCAAACCTCTGGGATCGATCATCCCTCCAGTCTCGCGAGTTTGGGCCAAATCTGCGCACCCGGTAGCGTTTGCCACCTACTCTCTCCCACGGCGCCAGTACTCCTCCTCCATGGCCTCGGAGTCTTTGAATTCATCTCAAGAAGAATCGCATCAACTTCGAAGACGCTCATCAACAATGCAAAGTCAAGACGGGACTCCGTACGCTGCCCGCGCTGCTCCTGGGGCGGCGCCCAACAACTCGTTCTTTCCGTTGGGATATCGTGAAGGGTTTAGTCAATGGGTAAGCTAGCTAACTATGATCGACACCATACGCAACACCCTTGAACAACCTGCTGATTTATTTTTTTTCATCAGTGGGCTCGATTACCTGCCGCTGCTGCTGAGCACAAGGTTCTATCCTACCTGCCATATCTCCATCACGAGGCCCCAACCCACCTCCAGACCGGTAATACCCCGAGTTTCCCCAACGGTTCTACACCGGACAGCCTGCAGTCGGCAGACCACAACCAGCAAGGGCAAATCTCTACCAACTCCCTCAATGACCCTTATGGGCCTCGTCGATGGAGCTCGAGTATGGTGGAGCTGTCCGGGAAAGACCGGGCGCTCAACGAATTCTCAGTGGAGCGAGTGGGCGAGGAGGCCGACCAGCATTTGGTGATGCTTCACGGCTACGGTGCCGGTCTAGGCTTCTTTTATAAGAACTTTGAGCCGCTGAGCCGATTGAGAGGCTGGCAGCTACATGCCTTGGATATGCTGGGCATGGGCCGTAGCACACGGCCGCCATTCAAGATCAAAGCCAAAGAAAGAGAAGAGGCTATCCGTGAAGCCGAGGCATGGTTTGTTGATGCGCTGGAGGAATGGCGCATCAAGCGCAAGATTGATCGATTTACCTTGCTGGGCCACAGTCTCGGGGGCTACATGGCAGTCGCTTACGCTTTGAAGTACCCCGGCCACCTCAATAAGCTTATCCTAGCATCCCCTGTGGGTATCCCCGAGGACCCATATGCGATGACGGCGGATGTACCCGAGCCATCGGAATCCACACTCGTCAACGAGCTCACACAGGACCAGCGGGATATTGCCTCGTCTGCTGCAGTCCCGGGATCTTCCCCAAAAACAACCGATGGTAGCTTCATCACCGGTCGCAAAGCTGAACCGGGTGATAAAGCCGTAGCCCAGCCCCCACGCCGCAATATGCCCAAGTGGTTCGCATATTTGTGGGACGCAAATATCTCTCCTTTCAGCTTGGTACGATGGACTGGTCCGCTTGGTCCGCGGATCGTGTCTGGCTGGACCTCTCGCCGGTTCTCCCATCTTCCGGCTGATGAGGCAAAGGCGCTTCACGACTACTCGTACTCGATCTTCAGTCAACGCGGTAGTGGCGAATATGCCCTAGCATACATTCTTGCCCCTGGAGCTTTTGCTCGCAGCCCACTCATCCGCCGCATCCACGGCGTTGGCCGGCAGATGATTGGCGCTGACAACAGCCCGCTACCCAACCCTGCCACGACCTCTTCCACGTGCTCTATCTTCCCCAAATCGTCCGCCAAGTCCGCACTCCCTGAAACTTCCCCGGCGGAAGACTCCAATGCAGCTCCAGCTGAAGTATCAGCCCCTCGTCGCGAAAACGGCCTTCCGATTGTCTTCATGTATGGAGACCATGATTGGATGGATGTCTCTGGCGGCCATGCTGCTGCTGCTCGCCTAGAAGAAGAGAAGCGGCGAGTCCTAGCAGACGCTACGCTAGAAGAACGACAAAATGATCAGGGCTCATCCAAGGTCGTCGTCATCAGTCGAGCTGGGCACCATCTCTACCTTGACGGATGGAAAGACTTCAACAAAGCTGTTCTGGCTGAGATGGAAGAAGTCAGTCGGCGGGAGAGAGCGGCGTGAGTATATTCGTCTTGAAAGAGCGCGTTCGTCCACGAATAATGGACCATGTAATATTTGTTGGAGCGCGATTTGGAAGCTGGCGTGGATAACTTGTGTTTCTTGCGTCTTTGGAGTTTGTGGATTCGCCCCTCTTGAGATGATGCGTTTCTGTTTCCAAGAACACAGAACCACTCTCATCCAGTAATGTATTTATTAGATATAGATCTTGAACAGAGATCATTCTAGATTTTGTCTCCGTACTTATGTTCATTTTCAATTGATGCATGGAAGTATATACATTGGTATGTAACAAGCCCCATCAGAATGACGATCATCACCCAGTATGTTCACCAATAGTGCTGACCCTCGAATGAGGACCCGCAATACTCCTTCTCCGATGCCTCATGCTGGTAGGATAATGAGCCATCAGTCGCGTGAACCCCAGCGACGAAGCATCCCGATCCTCATTCGACACACCCGTCCCTGGAGTCGTGCACCCACTCCCACTAGGTGTATCTATCGCCGAGAGGGGAGGCATATAATGCGCCCCATTCCCAGGCTGCTGCAGGGAAAAGTAACCACCACTACTCCCAAGGAACCCAGAGCTCACACCATCCGCGGAGCGGGACAGGTGGGCGTTTGAGTAAGATGGACTGTTGGCCGGCAGCATACGCGTGGATGGACGTGTCTGCATGGGCGAGTATGGTTGTGGTGTCATGAACGGTGCGACTCGAGAGGCGGAGGGTGATAGTGCACGGCTATTGTGATCTGGTCGAGTTGAGAGCGCAATGGAGAGGCCACCTCCTGTGCGGCGTTCGAAAGTTGTCAGGGCTGAGGTTGTGTGGGAACGGTGGTGGTGCCGTGGGCCTGGATGATGTTGGGTATTGGAGTATTGAGATCGTGGGTTCGTCGAAGAGGCCAAAGCTTGGAGAATGCCCCCATTGCGAGTATCGATCACATCCGGGTTAGATGGGCCGTTCCCTGTGGAAGCTGAGTTAGACCCGGCTCCCAGCGTTACGACTTGTGATGGCAGTTCGAGGCGATAGTTCAACGATAGCCATGCAAGTTCATCGGCGTCAACATCTTTCTCTAGTTCAACCTCGCCGTTGATACTATGCGCAGATGAAGAGGATTGAGAGCTGAAAGTCTTTTCATGTGCTGAATGAGATGTACGAGGTCTCGGAACTTGCGATGTATTTCGATATGAGCGCCAACCGCCCACGCCTTCAAAGTCTCGTCGCTCATCACCGCTGACGGGGAGACCCAGGAACGGCGTATTAGGCAAGCGATGTGCCTCAATCATACTCCGGGCATATGATTTCTTCCTATGTTTCGTGGGTTCCTCACGCACTGCGGTAAATGCACCGGACAAGAGGGCGTCCTCATTGTTCTTTCGAGATTGAATCAGGCCAGGCCCCGAGTTGCGCCTCGAGTTTCCAGCAGCGGGGGTAACAGGCTCGGACGCAGCAAAGGGCAAAAATGACGAAGTCGATGTTGGGATCGTGAAGAAGCTGACAACAAGACCATATCCAACCTCAAGGTAGACCACGGAAAATTGCACGAGTAAGGTAATCAGTGCTAAAGAGATGGTGACCCAGGCCGATATCACCAGTGGAATGGAGACCAGCCCCAAAATCGGAAGCGCTACCAGCGCCGTGAAAACGGTGCCCATCAAACTCATGAAGCACACCTCAGGGAGGTTAGTACCCTCGAAGGAGGACGAAGTAAGGACTAAGTCCTCCGAGGTCATCGGAGGACTTGTTTTATTGTTCTTCATTCAGGCAAGCCAAATTGCGGAGAAAGTGCATGTGACAGCCCACTTACATCATCCAGACCTGACCGGCGATAAGATGACAGCTCCGAAGAAGCTCCCAACTCGCCTTCTTCTCCTCTTGCTCACCATGTCCATATCCCAGGACACCTCTCAAGATGCCGATGACTTTCCCTGGGATCTTGGCGTCTATGACGCGCACTGTCATCCGACCGATACAATGGCCTCGGTCGCCCATATCTCCGCCATGAAAGCGACGGCCCTCACTATCATGGCTACGCGGGGCGAGGATCAAGACTTGGTACAGCAGACGACGGTATCCCTCAATGGCGATACAGATGCAGCGTGGAGAGACCGAATCGTGCCAGCATTTGGATGGCACCCGTGGTTCTCACATCAGATCCTGGTTGATACAAAACCAGGCAGTCCGCAAGACAAAGATGCCCACTACACAGCCGTCCTAACACCCTCTCCAGCCGCGGATCCCGAATTTATACAGCGCCTGCCACAACCGAAACTGCTATCCACGCTAATAGCCGAGACACGAGACCGATTGAAACAGTTTCCGAATGCTCTCGTCGGCGAGGTGGGGTTAGACAAATCGTTTCGGTTACCGGGGGCCTGGACACAACAAACCCTCGATAATCGCGATGAAGAGATTACCCCCGGGTCGCGGGAAGGCCGGCGTCTGTCCCCTTACAAGGTCAAGATAGATCACCAGCGACTAGTATTGAAGGCACAGCTGCAGCTAGCCGGGGAAATGCAGCGCGCCATCTCGGTGCACAGTGTACAATCGCATGGAGCAGTCTTTGAGGTGCTCAAGGAGTTATGGAAAGGACATGAACGGGTAGTCTTGTCCCGACGGGAACGAGAAAAGTTACAAGATGCTGAAGGGGCAATATCCGAAGATGAAGATGACGAATATAGACAAGAGAAGCATCAAACCACCACCACCAACAGTAAACCGCCAAATACCCAGCGATCGCTCCCATTCCCTCCACGCATCTGTATGCACTCTTATTCCGGACCTATCGAGCCAATCCGGCAATTTCTGCACAAGTCCAATCCGTCGGATGTCTACTTCTCCTTCTCGGCGGTCATTAACTTCAGCGGACTATCCGCGCGGAAAGTCTCTGATGTAATCAAGGCATTGCCTGCAGATCGCATTTTGATTGAAAGTGATCTCCATACCGCCGGGCCGCAGATGGATAAGCTACTTGAAGATGCGGCGCGACAGATCTGCGAGGTGCGTGGATGGGACCTGCGGGAAGGGGTGCAGCAGCTGGCAGATAATTGGCGACGTTTCGTCTTTGGATGAGAGGGAGGTTAATGACTATCAAGCTTGGCCTTGTACATACGGGCTCGGGCAAGTGCATCGTGGCGCAGTTTGGAACGCACCGCATCACAGTCTACACAACATACTGTAGACTAGCGACATACTCGCATTAGCAGACAGTATAAAAGGAATCAAGTTGAACAAATGTGCATGAAAGTCTATATCCAACATCAAGATTGTAAAAGGTCCTTGCAATTATATAACATTGTACATCTCTATCGGAAGGTATGTGGGGGTGAGGTGGTATATGATCATTTTCGACATGGTATCGTGGGAGCCCCCTTTTTGAAGCATCTCGTAGTAAGTGCCCTGCGTATCTCGTCTCGTCGTAAGTCCACAGCGCTGTAGTAGAAAGGAAAATGGTCGGGAATGAAGAACTCAAGTTCTGGATCGGCTTGAGGAGAATTGCGGATAGTGGGGGATGGAGGGAAGGGGAAAGGTCGTTGCATATACAGCATTGAGGGGCCACTAGCCACCAGGGATCCAGCCACCATCTTGCATGAGGTCTGTCATGGGGGTATCTTGCCAATAGATCTGGCGCCATTCGTCTTCGAGTTCCATGAGACCTTCCAATGCCATGGGGACGGGCAGATCGGAGTCCGTGAAGGAAAAGAGCTGGCGCCAGTCGGGGTAGTCGCGAGACTGGTCCATCTGATCGACCTGCATGGCGGTCGAGTAAGGATCGTTGCGTTCCATAGGACCCACATTGAGTCTGAGCGGTGCTGTGATCCAGTTCTCGAAGCCTGGGTTTGCCTGCGGTGACATGGTAGTCTGTTGGGATAGCGTGGAGTCCGGGGTAGGTACGCCATAGGACAATGGCCGTGGAGTCTGCATCGTTGTTGCAGGAGCAGGGGACGTGACTTGCAAAGCCTTGATAGGTGGCGGAGGCGGGGGCTGGGACTGAGGTGGAGCGTATGGCTTCGGCCCGCCAGTGGTTGCCAAACGGAGATCCTCTTGAAGACGCTTCGAGTCCTCGAAGAGGCGTAGAATTGTGCCTGCGTGGACCCAATACCCGGCCAACTCGCGCAGAGAATAGGATGCGGAATCGAAGCGACGAAGAGCATTGATCGCAAGTACTGGGTTGGAAAACCGAAGCTCCACCCGGACTTGAATCATGGCCGTGAACAGATTATGGACGCCAGTGTACCAGAGGAACTTCAAGCGGTCGTTAAGCCTCAGCTCTTCAAAGATAGAAGCAATAACTCCCGCAGCCGCACTACAAATTTCCGCATCGTGTGGACCGTAATCATCCGAGTAAGCAGATGCTCTAGGATGTGGCCGATGCAGCAGGATAAGGAAATTGTTATACGTCAAGTGAAGCATAGCCGACCAGGGGTCCATATCGGATGCCCGGAGGCGCAGGTTATCGGGAAGCTTCAGAGACCAACTTGCGAGCGACTCATCAGCTTCTTGGAGAACTGCTTTGCGTCGTTCATCTGTGGCGCGAAGTCCAAATCGATCCCTGACCAAATATGAGATCATAGTGCAAAGCTCGGTGAAATGAATCACAAAGTCAGATTGCACGAGGGGTCCGCAATTTTCGAAATCAGCGAGTGTCAATGGAGAAACGTCTGAATCATCCAAATTTCTAGAGTTTCAGTTAGCACCCACCATCCGCAAACAACTCCCTACATCACATACATAGCTTGAGGGCGGCCGTATGACAGAGAGACCATTACGTCGAATTGAACCATGATGAACCAGACCCGTCTCCACATTCGGCGATCGCGAGTAACGAAACTGCTGGATACTGGATTACGGTGCATACCAAGTCCAGTGGCAATCCGTGCAGCTACACCGACCCAGAAATGAGCATCTGCAGCGACATCATCATCAGCACTGTCCGAGTGCCAAGTCAGTAGTAATGCTGCTTGAACGAGGATATCTCGATTTCGCTCAATGCGATTGTCAAAGAGGTATTTGGTACGGCGGAAGAAGATTTCTTTCAGCGTATCTCGCTCTGCCTTTGGACGAGACACGTGCGTGCCAACTAGAAGAATTGCTTGGAGCAACAGGATTGGCGGGGGATCTGCAGGGTCCCGATTTCGATACTGCGTCATGAACAAGTCCTCGTCGACAATTGGGTAACCCGGGTTAACGTAGGTAAAGTAAGCCTGTACTAGCTCATCCGCTAATGCGGGCTCGGGGAGTGTAAGCGCATCCATCAGCAGCTGATCATGGCCGGTCTTCATCTGTCGCCGCGGGATCTCGTTGCTCGCAAAATGGTATACATTATCGTCCCGATCTCGCTGCTGGCGGATCAGGAACGACATGTTGGAGTGTTCGTGACCAACGTAGAATGCGCGCACACCTCTCTGGATCTCTCGTCGGCCCGATTCCTCTTCGTCGATGAGTTTTACGAGGTGCTGTTCCATCTCCGTGTGGGCCTCGTGGGCGTGCGACAAGTCGTGGCGCCCGAATGCGTCGGACCCAGGATTCGTTTGGTATTCATGTTGGTGATTGCTCGCTAAGGATACGGCACCAGGACCGCTTGAAAAGGCAGTTGGGAAACTTGGGGGCAATGGTGTCCCCACTGTCGTCGGCGGGTTGGCGACACTATCTGAAGTTGGTAGAGGCCGAGATCGGATCGGAACGGGATCGAGGATCGACCGCACCGCAAGGCGCTTTTTCTTTTCATGAATGCGACAGTCGGCTTTTCCAGATGTGCGACAGTTTGTACAGGGTAGTCCGACAACACGGGCATCACAGCGAACCTTGCGCCGGTGGCAATGAACACACGCAGCCGAACCTAGAAGATTTCGAGTCACCCAGTCAGCCAAGTTATCGAGTCTCGGAGGGTTGGCCAGCCGGCGCTGATGTAGAGTATAAACGGCTTCTTCACGGAGTCTTGTGCTCTTTTATGTAGGAATTTTGACCGCGGGAAAAAGGTATCTAGAGTGCTTACCCTGCTTGCGCTTGCTCACCAGGTCGGCCGGGAGCGGCGAGGAGGCGTTATCGTTGACGGCAGACATGGCAGAAGGACCATCGACATCATTCCATGTGCAGATTGGCCACTGCTCTGCATTCTTTTGTGAGCAATTCTGGCCAGTAGTTTCAGGGCATCATGAAGAACATAAGCGATTGCCGAGGGTAAAAGAGACAATCAATGCGACTGAGAAGCGAAAAAGTTCGGGAAGTTGAGGGCTGCGGGATCGGGTCCGGTGGAGTCTCACGTGGTGCGGAGAAGGGCGCCGATTATGTAACTAAAAATGGTGGGATACCTTGAAAAAGACCCAGAAGCACACGAGATAAGAGTCGGAAGGTATAGGAGGCATTCGGGAATAAGTGCTTAAGTTTCGATAAGTCTCGCAAGTCTACAAATGAACCGCCCTTGGCACTGGAATCCCCGACAATTCGCAGCCGGTTGTAAGCCGGTGCTGGTGGCGTTGATAGGGGGCTTATCTGAAGGAGCGAACGATTGTTGCAAGCCTTCTTCTTCTACCGGGGATTATGGAAGGGTTCCTTGAGAGAGAGGCCAACATCCATAGATACACAGGTTTGCTCGATTCATTTGTCCACCCAATTGCCATAAAAACTCCAAAAAAGTAAAGGACGGCGAGTAGCCCCAGATGGAAGGGCCTCGCTTGCCCGTGAAAGCACGAAAGGACAAAGATGATAGGAACGAGTCCCCTTCTGTCGTGTCGAATGTATCCCAATCCCTCCGCCGAATCTTGAGTGAGCCCAAAGAGTCATCGGCCAGACGATCAAGAAAAGAGAGATCAGTAAAAGTAACTAATAGGACACTGGATAAAGAGACCCAAGACGCCCGCACGCCTCACGCTTCCACTCTTCAAATTTGAACCGACAACGGACTTGGTCAAAAACTTCTGCCAACATACTCAAGTACCGAGGTCAGGCAGTGGCCGACGCCTTCTGACAAGATCACCAGTGGCCCTAGGGAGTGAATGCCGCTAGTAAGACTCTCCGCCAGCACCGTTGTGCGGCTGGCCCACCATGGCCGGATATCCGTATGCGGCTGCATCTTGATCTGCTGGATCCAAACTGGGATTCAGAATGCTGTTCGCACCCTCGGCACCTTCGGGGTATCCAGCAGGACGACCTTGACCGGCTCCCCCGACGGGGCCACCAGCACCATACCCACTGCTGCTAGGGCGGCCCTGATTCTCGCCTCGGGCGGATTGAGTCTGTCAAAGAATTAGCATATAGGAGTTGACGTGACGTGTAAGTTTGAACTCACCTCGCGGTACTTGGAGAGGTAAATCTTCAAGGCTTCGGCGTAGTTCTCGAATCCAAGAGAAGTCATGGCGAAGAGAATATCCTCACCATTCACGGTCTTGCGCTTTTCCTGTTGACACTTTTCGGACGCTAATTTGAGTGAAGTCAGTCATATGATGGACTCTAGAATGAGATAAAAGCCGTCATATTTCTCACCTTCGCTAGTAATGAACGAGATGAACTCGCTCACACACTCTTGCATGCATTCTTTAGCTTCTTTGGCGATTTTGGCATTTTCAGGCAGAGCGAGCTTCATGATACGAGCAACTTTGAGATTCACAGATTAGCACGTGCATGATCGACAACGATATGTGTGTCATCTCATCGTTGGGCCAATAGAAGGAAGTATGTAATAGCAGGAAAGAAGGGATCTGATCGACGTCTCTGATAATTCTGACATCGAGTCATGTCGAGATCAAATTGAAAGGGGACATTGTAACATTGCTCTTCAGCATGTATGGTGGATCATGGCGGGGGAAGCAAGAGTGACTGGCCATTGCCATTCACCAGCAGTAAGGTACGCGCAAATCAGAACCAACTAAAGCCTGCAAGGAGACGCAACTAACCATTTGCAATCGGAAGCCACCGATCTTGCTCCTTCACCTCAAATTCACCCTGACCATGTGCCTGAGCATCTTGCTGGTCTTTGTCCATTTGCTCTTGGTCTTCGCCGGATTGCGCCCCGGGTTCTTCATGCTCCTTAGGGGAGTGCGACTGTGATTCCGACATGATTATGAGTAGTTTAAGATGCGCGCGGGATCCTTTAGGCGTCAAGCTTTGTTGTTCGCTCTGCTGGCAACGACCACGTCAGTTCGGTTAATCGATGGCGCGCCCACGGATTCCGAGGCAGCCCAAACCGGATCGGATGAAAAAGGAACTGTATTGGCTGGGTACAAACCGCTTCACAGTAGCCTCAGAGAGGAGAATGTCAGCCGAGTGGGGGATTTGGCAATAATGCGCGAAAGCTATCTGTACTTGCGACGCGCGCGCAATGACACCCGATTAGCGTAACCGGAATGGGAATAGATCGGATGAGGATTCGGGAGGAGTCAAGTGATCGAAGCGCGATCGCGTCGCACCGGCAGCTGCAGTGCGAATGGCAATTATGCGCGCTTCACACGTTGTGAGGAGGGAACAGGGAGACCTCGTGAGCGCCGAGCTGGAGGAGATGGTGACGCGGGATGCAACGCGGGAAGCGTCGCAGGTGGGTCAGAGGCTTGGGGAGGGGAGGAGGCTTTGAGCCCAACCGGACTCACGTTGCGCAGGGCCGGGGGGGGGGGAAAGGTAGAGGCTTACCTTTGGGATAAAAGATCCAGGGTATCGTGATGTAATTAGGTATATTTTCTGATTATCCCGATTCGTCTGTACAAGGGTCAGGGCGCTGCTGGGGGTGGTTGGGAGAAGAGGGTCCCACGTTCATCCAAAGGGCGAATTGGCGAACCAGAACTGCCCCCCGAACGAAGGCGCCGGTTGGCTACTTACCCAAGTAGATATGAGCAGGGAAATGTAGCGGTATCAAAGGCCACAACATCCACCTTCAGGCATTCACAGAGTCAATATAGCAGGACTTTTAGATTCCGCTGATGAATGAGGATGAGGTCGACAATGACAGTGACAAAGAGTCGAAGAGGGGAGGGAGCCCTCGTAAGTCGCATCCGATCACGGTCGCCTCAGGCTGTAAGGCAGGCAATTCAGGCATTAATTACTACAGTACCGTTATTTACACACATGCTGTTCCAACTGAACTGAAGTGCAAAGGATCACCATGTAATATACAGTATCATTAATACCATCACTCTTTCACAGGATCATGTTTCATGTCAACTGCCAAATTTAATCAAAATTTCAGGCTTAGCCCAATACCAGCTCTGTAAAAGTGAAAATAGGCCGTGTAGACTAGGATCCTGGAGGTTGGGTTGCTTAATGCCTGACAAACCAGGATGGCTTGGAAGTCAGGCACCCAGGCTTGCATGAACCAACATGCAAAAGCAACGAGAATTTCTAATGATGATTTGGCATAGTGCATCATAGTCCATGTTTTAGAACTACTTTTTTTCTGATTTCTATTTGGATGACCAGTGACATCATGGGCATGGCATCCATGCCAATTGTCAAAATCCAAAGGCTAACAAAACATTTACAAGGACCCAATCAACAAATCAACACTGCTATCTTTACGATCATCCATCGAACGTTATTCACCTTAAGATTATAGTTTTAGCGTCGCATTTCGTTATGACCTGAAGTAACTCATCCTAGGCTCTCTAGTTTTGGTGCCATTCCCAATAACGCCAGTAATCTCCTGCTCATGCGCTCAGACGTACAACTATAGGAAAAGGCCGGGTATCAAAATGCACAACCGGGTCACATTCCCTCAGGGCTGCACAACCTGAATGTTGTTCTTCTTCTGTAACGATCGAGCAAAAATGGTCAATATCACAAGTCCTAGAACTGAACGCTGTGCTACGCAAGGAGTACCCTTGGCATGAGCACCCGCTGATCGATACGACCTGAACTCACCTTCCAGTTATCCAGCTCCGTCTGTTTCGACTTGTATTGCTTCAGCATATCCTCCAGCACCTGCTTCAGGCCATCCGAGTTTGTCTTAAGTGTTGGCAGAACATCCTTCACCGTACGCTCGACAAGAACGCCGTTGACCATGCGAAAACATTTGCGATCTTGGGGGAGAGGGTCCAATGTCTCGATCACGAGTCTGTGCCAATTCAGATTGCATTAGCATCCATGGCGTCCAAAGGCGCCCCTCCGTCTCCGCCCTAAGGGGCAGGTCCCATTGCACGGGTTTCTCCCAGTATCTTGAGGTAGCGTGAGGGCGGTACAAGTACTGATAGACTTACTTGTGCTCCTCGGCCTCCTGCTCGATGTCACCGATCTTCTGTGCTAGCTGTTGGAGGGTGTTCTTGAAGTTGGAGTACTGGAGCTGCAGCTCTGTTGTAGAAGGATTGTGTCAGCCATCCTGTAGCCTAATCGAGACCTTGATCGGAGTCTGTCGTACCCTGCTGCTTCTTTGGGTCTACTTGCTGTTGGCTGGACATTGTGACGGCTGTGCTGGTATGGGACAAAGAGACACAGGAGGAAGCTCAAAAGTCGAGATCACGATGCGGGGCGTGTGGTGTTCCGCGGGCTCGGCAGCCGCAATCGAATACCTCCACTTAGCTACGCTGTTACACAGAGACAAATCTTTTGAATAGTAATTTCCTAAATTTTTATATCTGAGAATTAACTCGTTCAATATTCCTGCAATGTATAGCTGTATCCTCCGCGGGTTGCTTGTCAGCCTAATACAAGCAATATGAATTCCTCACGTGACTGATAACGACTTGTTTGCGCTGTTTGTCTCATAATTCCAACCAGTCGAGATACACCTCGAAGCGTCAAGCTCCCAACAGGGACTCGAGCCTAGCTATCTTGACCTGCGATTCAGGTCAATACTCTCGTCATGGATCGCAATGGAGCGGGTTATGGAGCGCCGCCAGCCAAGCGACAGAGAACGGGTCACTTTCAACACGATCAAGATCAGATGTGGCATCGAGAACAACTCGTGAAGTCGGGCCTCGCACAGCAGACTGGAATTCAACATGCGCACAACCTTGCCGAAGACCAAGATGATACCCGAGTACATTTGAGCGTACACGAACTGCGACCTCCCTTCCTCGATGGCCGCACGATTTTCACCACGCAGCTGGATCCTATTTCCGCCATCCGAGATCCACAGAGTGACATGGCTGTCTTTAGTCGAAAGGGAAGCAAAGTTGTGCGAGAACGTCGGCAGCAGCGGGAGCGGCAGAGGCAGGCTCAGGATGCGACGACAATGGCAGGCACTACATTGGGAAATCTTATGGGTGTCAAGGAAGAGGAAGAAGGTGACAGCGCGGCGGCTGCCCCCGTTGAGGAGATCTACAAGCGCGGAGGGAACAAGTTTGCTCAGCATCTCAAGAAAGATGAAGGCGGCTCTAGTTCTTTCAGCAAGAGCAAGACTCTGCGCGAACAAAGAGAGTATCTTCCTGCCTTCGCCGTCCGTGAAGATCTCTTACGAGTGATTCGTGATAATCAGGTCATTGTGGTTGTGGGTGAAACAGGTTCTGGAAAAACGACGCAGTTGACCCAGTTCCTTTACGAAGATGGCTATTCGAAACTCGGCATGATTGGGTGTACGCAACCTCGTCGCGTGGCAGCTATGAGTGTCGCGAAGCGTGTCAGTGAAGAGATGGATGTCGACCTTGGTGATCTTGTCGGATATGCCATTCGTTTTGAGGATTGCACCAGCGATAAGACTGTGATAAAATGTGAGTTGGAAGTCCTTACCATTGAGGTGGACAATAGTATACTAACATAAACCGGTGCAGACATGACGGATGGTGTCCTTCTTCGAGAATCTTTGGCTCAGGCTGATTTGGATAAATACTCTTGTATCATCATGGATGAAGCGCACGAGAGAGGGTCTGAACACAGATGTGTTGATGGGTCTTCTCAAAAAGGTTCTTGCTCGACGAAGAGACCTCAAATTGATCGTCACATCGGCCACAATGAATGCAGAGCGCTTCTCGCGCTTTTTTGGTGGGGCGCCAGAGTTCATCATTCCTGGTAGAACATTCCCTGTGGACCTCCATTTTTCCAGGTCTCCCTGTGAGGACTATGTCGACAGTGCGGTCAAGCAGGTTTTGACCATCCATGTCTCGCAAGGTCCAGGTGATATCCTCGTTTTCATGACTGGACAAGAAGATATTGAAGCAACCTGCGAGCTCATTGACGAGCGGTTGCAGCTTCTCAACGATCCGCCAAAACTCAGCATATTGCCTATCTACAGTCAACTACCGGCGGAGCAACAGGCAAAGGTCTTCGAAAAGGCCGACAAGGGCGTTCGCAAGGTCATTGTGGCCACCAACATTGCTGAAACCAGTCTGACTATCGACGGAATCATGTACGTCGTGGATCCAGGATACTCCAAGCTCAAGACGTACAACCCCAAAATGGGCATGGACAGTCTTCAGATCACCCCGATCTCCCAGGCCAATGCCAATCAGCGATCTGGCCGTGCTGGAAGAACAGGCCCTGGAAAGGCTTATCGCTTGTACACTGAAGCCGCCTTTAAGAATGAGCTTTACATGCAGACAATCCCGGAAATCCAGCGCACAAGTCTTGCCAACACAGTGTTGCTGCTAAAGTCTCTTGGCGTAAAGGATCTCCTCGAATTCGACTTTATGGATCCGCCTTCACAAGAGGTCATGTCTACGTCCCTTTTCGAACTTTGGGCCCTTGGAGCTCTGGACAACCTGGGTGAACTTACGCAACTAGGCCGTCGCATGACGCCTTTCCCCGCCGATCCAGCCCTTGCCAAGCTCATAATCATGGCTTCCGAGGTATACGACTGCAGCGAGGAGATGCTCACCATCGTGTCCATGCTCACTGTTCCACATGTCTTCTACCGCCCCAGAGAGCGCGAGGAGGAGGCCGACTCTGCGCATGAGAAGTTCTATGTCCATGAATCGGACCATCTGACTCTCCTTCATGTGTATACGCAGTGGAAGGCCAACGGCTGCTCTGACCGCTGGTGTACCCGACACTTCCTTCACGCGAAGAATCTGAGACAGGCCAAAGAAGTTCGGGACCAATTCCAAGACATCATGACACAGCAAAAGATGCCACTCATTAGCTGCGGCACGGATTGGGATGTCATCCGGAAGTGTATTTGCTCTGGCTTCTACCATCAAGCCGCGCGACGGGGCGGTGGTAGTGGCAGTGAAAAGGAGTACCTAAACCTTCGCACCAGTGTGTCTATGTATCTGCAAAGGTCGAGCGCCCTGTCTGGGCTGAGTGATGCGCCTCCATTCGTTGTCTACCACGAGTTGAGATTGACGGCGAGAGAGTACATGTCCGTTGTGACAGCCGTTGATCCTGAAGTAAGTTCTTCATGTCCTTCATTCACATCATTGGACAAGACCATTTAGCTGACTATATTAATCTAGTGGCTTGCCGACCTCGGTGGTGTCTTCTACTCCATGAAAGAAAAAGGATACTCTCAGCGGGACCGTCGCATCAAAGAGCGAGAAATCAACAAGAGCATGCAAATTCAACAAGAGATGGCGGATGCTCGTGCGATCGCTGCTAAGGCCAAAGAGGCCGAGAAAGAATTCGATTCTGTGCGACGCAAGACTGAGATTGAGGTTGGAGGAGCCCGGTCGGTCGTGCGTCGGCCTGCCGTTATTCAAGGAGGTAAGAGGCAAATTGGTGGCGTGACTGCTTCCTCATCTCCATCTCCCCGACCTGGTGCTGGAAGCAGTGGATCTGGGGGCAGCGTGGTAAAGAAACCCATTGGGCGGAGGAGGCCAGGTCATTTCTAAGAAAATGGACCTCTTGGCATGCTTGTTCAGCATGTCACTCATATCCATCATTGTACAAAAGCCATACAAAACAGAGCTCTGGATTGCGTGATATGCATCCAGAGTCATTGAATAAGATACCCATCTCGACTGTTTACGCGGGCTACTTGCTTCTTGAGCGGACCTCATTAAGATAGCGTCCTTCTCTAAACTCCATTCGCATTGGTATTTTATACAAAAAATCATTTAAGCGCAGATCTCAGACTCGGTGAAGCCCTAGCAGTATACCTTTGCAATTGACCCCTCAAGTACTGGAACCAAGTTGAACACCAGTCATCGAAGTTGTCCTGCCCTTTGTCGAACGGACCAGCGCCAAGAAAAGCGAAGAGCGAGTATCTTGATGCGATGAAAAAGCCGAGGGTTTTAGTTGATGAAGTTGATGCAGAAGAAGTGTAGGATCAGACTTCCAAAGATATAATCGGCGAACGCTCTATACAATGCATTAGTACCCCAAGTCCCAACGATCTAAACCCACAAGTCCACTAAGGAAGTAACTCACCTCTCGTGCGAGGTACCCGAGACCTGCTCCTGGTTGTCCTCATCCACGAAACGGGCATTCTTCCCCTTGGAGCTGGGCTTGCTGGATGATCCGGAACCGCTATCACTTGTCTGCATACGGAGACTGGCCGTGAGGACGAACTGGCCGACAGCTGCGCTGAAGCCACTGAGGAAGGCGTTGAAGGGCTAGTTTTGGAGACGACGGTCAGATTAAGAAGGCAAAGCCATTGAAAGAGAATCCAGATTTTGAGGGAGGAAACACGATTAACAAGCAACTTACATAGTTTCCGGCCAACACACAGTAAAGGAACTGGAGTCCACCAACGAGGACTAGAAAGGCCATGAAGGCATCCAGAAGCAATGTCCGTTGGGGAGTATTAGCAAGGTACTGCTCCCAAACATGTTGCGCAATTGCAGCTGCAGAAGCATTGGTCTTCAGGGTTGGAGGGCCCGAAGAGAGAGTTGCAGGCGCAACGGGCACCGGCGTGGCGGTGGTTGAGGCCGCGTGTCGTTTGGCAGGCATGGTTGCTGGATTGGGCAGGGTGTCGGGTTTCGGTGGATGAGAGAGAGTTCCGGTATGATATTTTGCAGGATAGTAAAGGAGTGCCGCCTTCTCGAACGCAATTCAAGGTTGTCGAATAACACAATGGCGTGGGGAAAGGAAGATCAATTGATGCCAGCTGGGAGCTTCGTTATCGGGAAGGGTCACGTGGTTGATATCCCCTCATTGGTGGATGTGGGAGTACAACCATCTACTTTCTTCTATTTATCGAACAAAGAGCTGGCATAAATGACTAAGTTGAGACGCCCAAATACTAATGCTCTGTAATTTTACACTATACACTTCTAGTCCATTGCTATTCCGAAATCTGAAGGTCGATGCGTTGAGATCCATGGCTTGTCGGTCGCACAAAGGCTGCACCATCTCTTTCTGATCACGCCAACCTGATACAGCAACCTGCCACGCTCTGTCGATGGTCTTGATCTCTGCTCCTCAAATGAGAATAAGCCTCAAATCTGGGTTCATTTCGCCACTTAGATATTGCGCCCTGGAGTGCTTTGTCGGTGATCTATTCTTTGCTCTCCTACGCTTGAGCAGAGGCTTCAGAATCGCGTCACCACTCCGCCAATTTCATAACCCCCCTGAATCACTCCTTCGGTGATCTTGATCTCTGACCCACATCGTTCGAGTAGCAACTACATCAACTCCACTTCGTGTTCCATGCAGCAACCTGCAAGATTGGCTTGGTGATCTCGATATCTGCAAGGTCGAGAAGAAGCTTCAGCATCGCCACTCCATCTCCCTTACTCACAGCTTGCAACCCAGATCACCTCTTCATTGATTTTTATCTCGCTTTCGTCAACAAGCGCCTGCACAGCCTCATTTAATCCCAGTGTGCTGCCCAGAACAAGGCTGATCGCCACTCCCACTGTCATCATTTTGACAGAGGTCCCAATAAACTAGATTTGCATTGTAGCCAGTCCAGTATATGGAGCCAGTCCCTACTTCGTACCCATTTTGCATGCTCCTACAAAAGATCAGTCTTCGCACAAAACACCTGATGTAGGGAGCGCATATTACCGTTGCCGCACTGTTTTGCTCCTGGTTGCCTTTGAAAAAGAAATAACATATCATGCCTGACGAGTCTTGGGCTGGGACATATTCAATCAAATGCTTGGTGAGGACAGCTCGATAGGCGAAGCCCTGACCGCAAATCAATGAGGGGCACTTCAGCTTCAACATTATGTGATTCGTTATCACTTGTGGTTGCTATACAGTATCTATAAAGTCCAAAATTTCTCGTGAAGATGATAGAAAAACATAGATCAACCTTAATTTCAGATCCTACAGACCTGCATGCATGCCAAGCTTCCAAAATCAATCTTAGAATATCAAACTATATACAACCAAATTCAACCACAAGCCCTCCTTCACCAATCCGTCCATCCAATCTACCTACCTCCATCACTTTCACCTCTTCATCTCCACTGCCCAGCATCCTCCACACCCCGGGCAACCCTCTTCGCTCCATCTTCAACCCCCGTCCCCGCATTCCCAATGGCATCGCCAACAGGTTTACCCGCACTCCCAGTAGCACTGGTAATAGTATCGCCAATACCGCGCGTCGCAGCGCCAGTGACCCCACCAGCAGTGCGAGTCACACCGCCGACTGTATTTCCCAGGGTGGAGGTGACGAATTTGGCGGCGCCCGTTACGCCCTCGTCTTGGGAGGAGGTGTTGATTGGCATTTTGGGTGTAGAGATGTAGTTGTAAGATGTAGAGCGCGATGTGATTTTGTGGGTGATTTAGATAGAAAAAACTGACTGATTGCTTCGCCAGAGTCAAACGGTATTTAATCTCGTGGTTGCAACGAGTGTAGTCTGGGGGTGTCGGTGACAGTTGGCGACGTTGATATAGATCTGGGCAGGGCAGCTATGATGTCATTGTTTACGCGGTCGATGATGGTTGTGGCTGTACAACGCGATCATCCTTCATTTATCACAAGTAGTGGCACAGCAATCTGATAGGCGATCGGACATGCGTAAGGTGGCCAGTTAATATAAATTGACTTCCATTTGCATCATTTGTCTATTGTTTCGTCATTGGGAGTAGCTTGGCAAGTATTGGTCGCCTAGGTGGTTACTGAAGCCTGCACTAGACGAAGTAGTAGACTGGAGAACAATCTTGTGGGTATTTTCATAAGAGAGAGGATAAATATAATAAAACACTGAGTGGAGGAGATGTAAAGCTTGTCCGAAGTTAAACCCAACACCTTTACACCGTATGTCGTCACGTCGTGATAATTCAACCCCAAAGCAAGGGGAGGTAAGAGCGTCAAAAACAACCGCGTCTATATTTAAACGCCAATGTTCCAGAATGGATCTGATGGGAGAGATGGAAGCCTCTCCAACGAGCATCAATCCGAGAAATCATGCAAACCATTCCGTAACATGAGTTCCCTTCCCTGGGTCTGTACCCTCGTTTTCGAGATCCATTTGGAAGTCGCGCATAACCTGATCCCATTCGTCCCAGCTAAGCGTGGCAGTCTCGGGAATGTTCACTTGGCTCATGAAGGAATCATTGTTCACGGGCGAAGTAAAAGATAATCCCGTGGGCACGTTGATTGCCGAGACAGGTTCTTGAGGTGGAGGGTTATCGAGAGTAACAGGGGCCAGGAAGTTGGTATTTGGGAAGATGCTCTGCAATGTCTCCCAAGGCCCCTGATTCAAATCAATGTTTAGGTCAGATCGCTCTTGGATGGGCTGATTTTGAGAAGGAGGAATCGATGACGGAAGCGTTGAATTGATTGGCATGTGTATTTGAGGGAGGGTGTGGTGGTGGGTCAAGGCAAAGTCAGTCGGACCAGGTTGATGGCCTGCACGGTTTGGACCAAACTTGGCGAGGAGTTCTTCCTGTTGCTTGGCTCGAGTTGAGGCGGCTCGTTTCATCAATGCGGCTAGCGGACGCCATAGCATGCCCTTTTTATGTGTTGCCTGACGCTCCCACTCCACGTAGATACCTTGGATTGCATTCCAAGCGCGATCGGTGACCGGGCAGATTGGACGAACGCACACCTCGGATAGAACGAAAGCCAATCCATGCCATTGCATGTTAGTTCGGAACAGCCAGCCCCATTTTGCGGTTTTGGGGTCGGTCTCCAACAACCGGCCAAACTCAAGGACCTCAATGGCAGTCAGAAACAAACTCTCGCGAGTAGCTTGAGATACATTGATGACGCGATCTTTTCGGGTCATCGGGTGATGCACGACCAGCCATAGCTTTGCAAGAATGAGACGTCCCACCGTGGCTATAGCCCAGTGGATGGGAATGTTCATGTCGCAGTGTTTGATGTAACGCTCCTCTACACGATTGCTGATGATCTGGATCATTCGTTCACAACGTTCAATCCCAGGGCCAGACTCGCCCAGGCGGAATCGGACACCAGGACAAGAGTAATTCGCGCGTCGCAGGGCGCTGGTAATCTCACAACGAATCAGACAGAACGTGACATCGGTGACACCCTCGCGTTCGGACGGGGTCTCGGTCATTTCTGGCGTGATATCGTCGTCATTGATATTCAACGGGAGTCGAGTATCATACATGTTCTCGTTAATCAGTGGATCCGTCCCGTGGTCCTCAGACGAACGAACATCCATCAGGCAAATGTGCCACCACAAGCGGCGGCGCATCTCCGTCTCAAAGGGCTTCAACGAAAAGTTGGTACCATCTCGATGCAGTCCCAGACCTTGAGCAAGGCGGAGAATGACCGAGTTCATGGACCATACAAACTTGGAGTCATCTTCCCGGCGAACGCAAATCAGGAATAGCACTGCCGCTTGAATGAGGACCAAGCTCTGGGTGTTGAGGAGACCGGCTCTCGATAGAGCTTGTTCAACGGCAAAGCGGTAGCGTTTAACCAAGACGCTACGCTCTTCACCAAGCCGGGCCATACAATTTTCAGGTGTCAGGCTGACAATGGCCGACAAGTAAATAGAGAACACGAGCGCTTCGTTATTCTTGTCCACAGAGTCCGGGTTCTGTGCTGCCTCGATCAGCAAGCTTCGGGCAGTTCCCTTGTGCACGATGGTTATCAAGGGTGCAACATTTTCTTGATAAGCTTCCCAAAGCATGGACACCTTGGGCAGACTCGGGTGGAACTCCCGAAGAGAATGCGACAGGGAATAGAATCCGAATAGGAAGCCGTCGTGGGAGCCGGAATGGGAGGATTCCGGAGAAGGGATATCCTCTTCGTCAGACGAGGAATGATCTAGAATGTCCTGAAGTTCTTCGATCTGATAATAAAATAGGGATATTAGCTAGGGTCGCACAGCTTGCGGCAAGTGGATGAGTGTGAATGCACGACATACCTCATCGCCAAGGCTCGCCCAAAGCCGATTGCTCACGTATCGGCTCCGTCCTTCATCAATGACCAGTCTCCCAAACTCATTCTCAAACTTCTTCGGCGCGAGATTCTTCGGATCGAACGGACAACCAGAGTCCTGGGCGGGCGAGGCTGCAGACCCAGAAGCAGTCGACGGCGCAGTCACGGCGGTCGGAGGAGCTGGAGGGAGCGAAAAGGTCGAAGCCGGCTGAGTTGGCGAGATACTCGATGTTGTCGACCCGGGATTCTCGCCGTTTTTCCCGCTCAGGTGTTCGATGACGCCCTCGAGGCGTCGCAAGCGAGAAAGCAGCTCAGCATCGGGCGGACGCTTAGATTTGCGTGGGGCCCGGCCTGGTGGGGGAAACACGCAGTCGATACCGGCCTTGACACAATTGGAGCAAGGCGAGCGCTTGTTACAGCGGACCTTCCGGCGACGACAAGTCACACAGCTCCGCGCACTGGCGATATCCGCGACCGGGCGCGGGGCGGTGGCGGGCACGCCAGAGCGCGCACTGTTCGGAGAATGCTCACTGGCGGGGGAGGAGTTCAGCCCCTCCGGAGAGGCAGAGTGGAATGACATGACAACCCAAGGGAAGACTAAGCTGCCCGCATTCTTTGGGCCGTCCAACTAGGCAGAGATTTTTTATTTGAAATCCCAAATCAGGGCGGTAAAAGGACAAACTGTCACCTCTCGAGGTTTGCCCGTATTTCCAAGGGGCCAAGCCAGAACAACATGTGACCCGTGACTCAGCCTGGGCCTGGCTCGTTTTGGGTAAATTCGCGTTATCCCCGAGAGCGGCAGAGGCTCCGCTTAGCGTATAGCTTTGTAGATTCATAAAAAGGGAGAGTCTTTTTTTTTTCTTACTAGCAATATGCAATAGTGGATTGGTATACACCATATGTATCTTCTTTTCTAGCTCCTCTTCCAAGCATTGATCTTGAAAAGTCTCCATTAAATGCCCGTTGGCTACGGGATATTCAGAAACCTCTTAGGTAAAACCCCGCGAGGTGCCCGTAGTAGCTCCGATAGCTCCGTCTTTAGCCGCTGGGAGCATATGGCTCCCTCCCTGAATTTACATATAATGTGAAATAGCTACTTTGGCTGTTTAATACGGCAAGATAACTGAATGAGCACGCCAAATGTTACTTGGAGGGGATGGAATAACAACCTTGAAATACGTGTATCTAGTGCCATCTACTAAAGCAAGGGTATCTGGCCATCAGACTTGGCACCCGTTTTTTTTAATGGATATGGGAACTTTACTAGTGACGTTGAGCATCCTTTCTAGACTAAGCCAGAATCGGGCTATTATTCTTCAAAACATTGTCACATTACTAATGCTTAGGCTAATAAAGTTGCCAAGCTATGCCAAGGATTATAGCACGTAGCCACCACCTCATTTAACTCGAGATCCACTTCTCACATGGCAAGTCTATTTGAAGTATGTATATTCAGGCGGCCTTGGAATATCTGCTACTGAGAGACTCGACTCATGAAAGTGAGTATATCATAAATGCATATGATTATGTACAGCGACTGTTTTGATCGACCTATCAATCAACACAGGTAACCCGGCCAAGTATGTCCAACATAAAATTCAACGCCATGCAAATGCAAGTAAGTGAAATGAGAAAAAGAGATAGGCAGAAATGGTCTCCGACCCATCGCGCTGGAATAAATAATGGACATATGCAAACATGCAAATGTATATGCTGATAAAAATGCAAAGCACGCTGATCAAGATGCATCCATGCGAACAAGAGGTTGGTTGTTGGCTGAGCGGATGGGCAGGTCACCCGTGCGCCAGCCTCGGCGGAGGAAACGCTTCACATTTCTTTTGAAGGGAAGGTTAGCATGAGGTGATGAGAGTAACAGAGCCTGTTTGATGGCTACTTACTGCACGTGCTCCCAGATTTTGGTGTCTTCGTTAAATTTGTGTCTGGAGAAGGGTGTTAGCGCAAGGATTCATCTTAAATAGGCATAAAGACATACCCCTGGAAATTCTTATTCGTCAGGGCCCTCGGCCCATACTCTTCCTCCAAAAGCAAGGTATAACTGTACGGGATCTTGACCGGCACGTCCTCGAAGTAGCTATCCCGCAACGGGAAGATCTGGCTTTCCAAATAGCGATGGCGATCCTTGCACATCAATGCCTCCGATTCGCCTCGCTGGCGTCGGGCATCATCCTTGCGCACGGCGGTAATATCAATGAACAGGCCGGACGAGGTGTCAATCCAGCGCCCGTCGATCACATTCAAAAAGTCATGTTCACTGCGCACGACGTAATGGGGATTGATTTCGAGTAGATATTTGCGGCCGCCGTCAACGCCGGGTAGATCGAAGTGATGCTCTGTCATGTTGTAAAACTCTGCGAGGAAATGGATAGTCGGCTCGGATATTTGAACGTCGAGGTCATTATCCCACGGGAAGATCTGGAGGGCCCCGCTTGTTAGCGATTTGCAGCCATGGGCCAGACCAGGGGGGCAGCTGCACGGTACCTTTTGATTCCACCACCAAGAAAGAAGGGTGCCGTGCATAATCCAAGTTTCGGCACCGATAGATGACATGGTCGATAAGTAGGTCTGAATGAGGGCGGAAAGGTGGGGGATGACTTGATCGTCGGGCAGGGGCTGAGCCGCGAAGCTGGCGGGAGTGTCAGCATGGGGGAGGGGACACGACGACGGGATCCATCAGCAATAATCAGGTATACATACCGGCCATCATAATGATAATGAAAGCTGCAGGAAGACTGTTAGTACCGTTGGATCACAATCGTATCCAGAAGATCAACATACGAGGATTCCGCTAAAATCGGGCCGAGCAGTCAGTAAAGAGATCGAAGAAGGGCCAGGCCCCCGTTGCCAAGGCCTGGGGAGGCTGACTCGGATCAAGCCGAAATAATGAGGCTTACTGAAGTATTTATCTGTTGGAATTTCGCCTTCACTTTCATAGTCCTTGGCGAGATTCTCTCGTACACTCATAAAGTCGGTGTCGCCACTGGGCTGGGCCACGGTGGGCACGGCGGCTGATAGGAGGCCATACAGCCCCAGGAGGCTTGGGGCCAGGAATCGCATGGTTTCGTGATGCCGGCTATACAGATATCGACAGTGATCTGTTCGGCTCGGAAAAGTATATACACGCAGCCCGTCGTGTAGGGCGCGATGAAAGGAGGGAGAAGAGAAGAGAGTTTCTTTTTTGGAGTCGATTCTGGCTGTGGGCACGAAAGGGGGCGGGCGGTTCGGAGATAAGAAGGCGAGTAAAAAGGGTATGGATACCACACCGCTAACAATTACCCAGGAAAAAGGGGAGATAATAGGAAGAGAAAAAGAACGGTCAGGCCTGGGATCTAATCACTATAAGACTAGAAAGAACCGAGACCTAGTAGTAGTAGTGGGGGAGGGGGGGGGGAAGAAGAAATCGGAAGGGAAAAGCAGAGAAATGGATAGGCGGGAAAATGGGAGGGAAGAAGGGAGCGGGAGTCAAACCCGTTTTAATCGGTTTCTCATGCGGCCAGTTGCCCGTTCAAGCGATGGAGAGATCGTTTCCACCCCCCGACACTTCCGATCTACGAATCTCTTCGTGGCTTGGTGCCATCAAGTCTTGGCTGGCAGGCTAATTTCCACTTGACCCATCTCCCGTTGGCTGTCAAGGTTCTCGGCTCTCTCCTTCCGGCCCCTGAGGCGGTGGAACGCAAGAAAATCAGGTTCAGGACGCTTCCCAAAGTCTTGGTAGTCTGTCAAGGGAGGGAAAGTGATCTTGCGAGTGGTACGACAGTACGAAATTACAGCGACAGCCCTTGGCGAAATGTCGTATTCGTTCAGCACGCGAGCTGGTTTCCGGGGAGAGATTCGACAACTGGTTGACGAGTCTGACTGGTTGAGCCCACCAGAAAAAGTCTGCGCTCGCCACCGCGTCAACACTCGTCAGCTTTGTCTGATTCGCGTCCTTTGCCGGGGAATTGTGGAGAATTCGAGGCTGAACATCAGACAAGGCCAGTACGTACGGAGTACGGAGTACTGTACCCTCCTCTATACGGGGAACCTTCTCTGTTGTTGTCGCGTGGTGTTCATCCCATGGATGTTTCTGAGACAATTCAAACTCTCCCTCCAGATCTACACCTAAGGTCTTGTTCATTGCTGATTGACCAATTGAATGAGATCATCCTCCCATCTCTAGTATACGGGAAGGGCTGTGTCTACGAAGTGCAAGGCGCATCGAAACCTCTGGTCTGTATGACCGTACTGGCAGAAGCGAACTATCTTTCTTAGGAGGATACATAATAAGTTAGAAGATAGTCGTATTAACCTAATCCAAAGGAAGCAGAGAGTACGACCACTGTAGTAATATCCCACCAGTCAGTCTTCGAACATGGGAATCAAAGCTCCAGTCGATCCTCATTCCCTCCGCCTCGTACACCCTCCTCCTCCATACGACCCGCCAATAGCCCGCTCCGCCCCACACGAAGCTGAAACACACTCCTGCGGCTAACAAATACCCGGTGCTACGGCTACGTACTCCCCAGACTGATCAGGTAGAGCATACGAGCTCTTGGCACATAGAAATACCCCAGAGCCTCATAAGAACTCCTCCTCCCTTCGATAGTATCATGCTCTCCATACCCGAATATTCACACTCTCCCACCAAATTGCCCACGCGGCCTCGATAGCCACCTTACCCGCCATATTGACACTACGCCGTACTCGCCGCGGGTCTAATCAAATAGCCCCGAGACAAAATGACGCGATTCGGTCCGTAGCCAAATGCATACGCGTCCCTCTAACCCCCCAGGGAGGTCCGTTCGCTCCGCCGCCTCCGCTAGTCCCAGCCAACGCTGGAGACAGAGTACAGAGGAATAATCACTCTTTAAACAAGCATACGGGACAGAATACTCCGTACAGCAACGCTAAAGCCGAAGCCCCATTCACCGCCACCGCCTCGTGGCACAATCAAGCCTCGAATAGCGCCGGCTATTGCGGCGCCAGCGTCCGTAAGCTTTTTGTTGCATGCCAGGGCCACGGAAAGACAGACTAGACATAAAGGAACTCGCGGTCGGTACTCTGGTTAATGGGCGCACCGCTGGTTATCCGTGCACTTCGGCGTCGCAAATGAGGCTGTCAGCTGCAGATTATTCAATTTAGCAGATGATCGCAACAGCACGCCGGACTACGGGGGGTGATCTTGAAAGAATGGAATTCGTGTCCTTGTCGTGTCGGACAAGGACCAGGATCCGGGTGGCTTGAAGGTTGAAGGTCCAGCGGCAGATCAGTCGCGCAAGACGGTGCCTAGGAAGTGTGACTTTGGCATTGTGGATGGACTGTGCTGTAGCTCGTAGCATCGATGGCATCGGCTCGATGGGCGGTTGGAGGCCTTTGGGATGGAAAAGGATGAGGTCTTGGAAGTTGGATGATAATGTTATTACTGTAGTTGCCGGGTAGGCTGAGGCTTGTATATGTTTAGGTCTTCACATTGGTCCCAGGGCCCCCCGCCTAAATGCCGAGACCTCTCCGAGCGGGTCTGCATATTACAATGTACGGAGATTCCCCGCATCGACTCGGTGACGGAGATCTCGAACCGTTCGAGTTTGCACCAGTGGAGGAGCTTGCTTACCTATGACTCCGTACATCGATAATGGATATGTTCCAAGGTTGACACCTGGTTCTGCAGGCATCACTGGCATAGTCACGCCGCCTCTTCCAAGGCTGTGTCTCTCGTGATCGCTATTTGCCCTTTTTCCTTCACAGTTAGGTCTTCATTTGAATACTGATACATCAATATTCCTCATTATAGATTTCTGACAGAACTGAAACAGCGCATGTGGGCACGAAAGCGAGTCAAACCATAGTGGTGAGTTTTTTGCCATTTCAGAAAGGGAGAATCTCGATAGAACAGTTGTAAAATGCTGGAAAGCAGGGAGAACCATGATATAAGAGCAAGGAAATATCCAATGCCAAACTTGAACTTTTCTTTGGACGTCTGCATTTTTCAAGCTGCCAAGTCATACCTACAGATTTCTGGTGACCTGGAGTTTGAAGAACAGCGTACAGGCAGCGGTGTCGATATATTCACGTTGCGGTCTCGCTCCTCGGCTATGGACATAACAGGCAGAACGCAGATCATGCGCCGTGAGACTGGAATGCATGGAATTTGGACATGGAAATGGAGATATTACGTACACCACCTTATTTTGAGAGAACATACTCATGAGCACCGGGCCGGCGCCATTCCACTGTCCCCCGGCCTCCCATGAAGATCCTGCGAGCCATCCACAGTCCACGGATTGGCAGGGTATGCAAATATGTATACCGTCAAAAGGCTCTAGTCCAACGGCCAACCTAACACCTAGGCCACAGCCCTGTTCGCTTGGCAACTTTAAATCGCACCATGATGCCACAAACTATGTATCTATTATGCAACTCCCACTTAGTGGCTCAATAGTACCATCCACCCGGCCCAGCAAACTCCACCCACATCTGAAGATCACGATAATAATAGTCCCAACCCGACGGGCGTCCACGGCATACCGAGAATCCAAGACACACCATCGCATGATCCGCATCTTAGGGCGTTGCCCCAAGTGCTGCGCAGCCGATCACATGCGTCTACCAACGACTGGGCAGCGCCGAGACCGCGGCGGGTGTGGCGTCGAAGGTCTGGATCAGCTTGGCGGGCCGTGACGGTGTGACGGTGTGCCTGCGTGGACTTTCCTGTCATTGGGGAAATTCGAGAAAAAATAAAGCAGGGACAAAGTCAATTCGTGGAGGGGGGATGATTTTGGAAGGTGCAGTCGAGGTGGAGGGGTGTCGTCTATTCTACTTGTTTTGGGTCGGGCAATCTGATACTGTAGTGTTGTTGTGGCTATGCATTGCTACTATATCATTTGAATGAGGGAAATACTATTGTTGGATGAGCTATCATGCTAGGGGTTTACTGCGATACTGAATGAAATTTAATCAAGCTATCCAGAGTATTTTGGCAGGGCGATGTTCAAGTGGGCATCTTAGGATCTCGGGTTCCCGAACACAACGGGGAAGCGAGATCCGCAAGCGAACTCGAGCAGTTCACAGCGAGAGGCTGACTAAGATAGTAAGTGATGCCACTGGTTCCAAGTAAACTAATAACATTCTACATTTCCTGACGGACCTTCAGGAGGTAGCCTAGCGCCCAGTTTTCAATATATGGATTTTTCGTTCCTTAAGAGGCTTAGACAAGTGGACACTCCACTCCAGTCGTATCACAAGAACTCTCCTCCGCCATGACTACTCCCGTTGGTAGAGTGTGTGTCGCAGGGGCACCCGATTTGGGCAATCGGTCGCACCCGTTAAGCGGGCTGAGGGGGATCGTTTCGTAAGTTGACTGGCGAACCAATCGAGGGGGGCCACTGGAACAAGCGGAAGAGTGGAAACGTGGAAAAAGTGGGGAAGCGACCTGCCAGAGGATCCGTGATTGGTCAGGTTGCACTTTAGGGTTCGTTCTGCGACTATCTCGTGAGATTTCTTTCGGGTCGGTTGGTGCCTGTTCCTCCCTATTTCAGCCACCGACCCGTGATTTGGTTATTCTTGATTATTCTGGCGCATTCGTGCGGACCCTGACGCCCATCTCTCGGTTCCTTGTGAACTGTGCCACTGCCAACGACAATCCGAAACGAAGGACCATGACTGCGGAATTGATTCCTCGGCAATCCGGCATCGCCATTGGGTCTCGGTTCCTGTGAGTTCGTTCCTGCTGATTCTGATGATGCTGACTGGACCCTGAGAGGGTAGCTCGTCCTGGATGAGAGGTGCCATTGGGGGCGATGCTCCTGGCATCCACATGTTTTCCACTACCCCATAGAAAGGGTGACAGTTAAGGTGGATCGTGGTGGGACGGCGCAACAAGAAAAATCACTGCGAACCGACCGCAACGGTCAATCATTCTTTGAAGATCCCTCCTGCGATCACTCGCCGATGGAGTCTGAATCGAACATTCTCCATCCTTACCCAGACAAGCCGTGGGAATTGCCAACCTGAATGTCCCTTTGAAGCTGGACCCTGTGGTCTGCCTAGGCTCCCAAGTCCAAAGTTCCCAAGGTCTGGTCCCCATCGCACCACCAACCACCCACTTACCTAACAACGCACCCTTTCGGTCACATCGACCCGGGGGCCAAAAGAGAACGGTGATTCATATTTCTTCGCAGATTTTAAGCTTCCGCGCCCTGAAGCACACCTCTTCTCGTTGGCGAGGCTCCTCTTTTTCCTCACATGCCACTTGAGACCCTCAAGCCAAGGCTGGCCCCTCTTTTTTTTCCTCTTCCAATCGTCCTTCCCCACCCAAAACCTCGCGCTGCCCTTCTCTGGGGCCATTATTATTAGACTTCCCTTGAGGCTTTTTCGTGTCTTCGCTAAAACACTAGTCGGACGAAGCCGTGGGTTCTTGAATTCTCCTTCGAGATCTGCAGGAGGTTGTGACAAGACAAAAATCTATGATTGCTCGTGAAGATTTGCCCGTCGATCGTCTTTTTGTTCCTTGCTCGGCCGGGGCTTGTTGTTCTTCCATGTTCATATCCATGCTCGCCGTCCCACCTGCAGTTGCATTCGATACGATGAGTCGAAATACCCAGTTGGAATAGTACCTGGTTCCATCTTTTCTTTTCCATCTTCTTTTTTTGATTTGCTCCTCTCCTCGGAGTTGCCCTTTCCTGCTTTTTTCAAACTCTTGCATGATTGGCCCCTTCGGATCCGAGTTCTTTGTTGGCATATTCTCCTCCCTCAATCTCGGCATACTTCGCATGGATCGGATCAATCATCGCGAGATATCTTTCCATCTCCATCGAATTTGCTAGCGTCCTTTGCTCTCTCTCCCCCCCCCCCCCCCCCAACTCCATCGTCACCTCCTGGCATCGTCCCACCGAAAAACCGTGTGAACATGTCAGAGACCTCTATCACGCCCCAAGGTGAATCAAGCTCATCCCAGTCGCTTCCGACACAGCAGTTGAACCGCTCCTGCGAGTCCTGCCGCAGCCTCAAGGTACGCTGCCTGCCCAACTCATCCACGCCGAACCAGTGCCAGCGATGTGCAAAGGGCAAAAAGGCCTGCGTCTTCGTGGCTCCTCAACGGCGTCGGCCGCGGAAACGCACCGACTCGCGAGTGGCTCAGCTGGAGAGGGAAATGCGGATGATGCGTTCTCTGCTGAAGGACCGTATTCGCGAAGAAAGTGAACCGGAGTCTCCCGAAGGCAGCGAGGGGTCTCTCGATGAGTCCGGGGAACTGGACTTGCACGACCATCTGGGCCCTATCCCAGAGGCCCCGGCCAGTGCAACGGGCTCCAGTCGGTTTATGGACTATTCGCCCGAGTTTATCAATACCGCTCATCCTGGGATGGGTGGGAGTGGTCCTCTTTCGGCACCGCCGTCCATGTCTGGGTTGCATATGAACTTTTCGCCCGATGCGAATCGACCTCCTCTGGAAGATGTGGTGGATCGGGGTATCATTTCACTTGAAGATGCAGAGCAGTTGGTGGCCTTTTCATTCATGAACTGGCTTCATTCTTCCCGTTGGTCGTTCTGCCTGCTAGCACCACGGCTGTACAGCTGCGGCAAATGAAGCCGATCTTGTTTCTCTCCGTAATATCTGCGGCGGCAATCTCGATCGATGCGGGACTAGCGGGTGTGTTGAATCGTGAAATGGTTCGACTGTATGCGGAACGGTTCTTTATCGAGGGAGAAAAGTCGCTCGAGTTGGTGCAGGCCTTGTTGGTCATGATCATCTTCTATTACCCGCCCGGCTCGCCCTTGAAGTTGCAGTTTTATCAGTATACCCATATTGCCTCGACAATGGCGCTGGAGATCGGCCTAGCCACGAAACGGCGGGTCTCGAAGAAAAGGTCCGACCGGAAGAATAGGCATGAGCCGCACGATGAACTTTTGGCTGAGCAGGCAAGGGCTGTTCTGGGGTGTTATCATCTAGGGTCAGCGTAAGTTTCTAGAGGTTCACTCCTGCATTCTGGGAGGGGGATTTGACTAACGGTATATACCATGTAGTGTGGCCATGAAAACCCGTCGACCTAATCTCCTCCAGTTCAATGACTGGATGAATGAATGCCTGCAGCAACTAGAGCGATCACCGCATCGGACAGATCAGCACCTGGCGGTCTGGTTTGAGCTGCAACGGATCACGGACGAGGCGATGTCTTCATTTGGCTTGGATGACACGAGTGCCTCTTCACCCTTGACCGAGTCGCGGGTTCAGGCTGTACTGCGATGGTTTGACAAGCGCATGGAGGCGTGGAGGAAAAGCACTCCAAACGATATGCTCACGGGTGAGTATTCATTTCCTCTTGCCGAACGAGACCCCACCATGATATGCTGACAACCGTCCCATCAACAGTCCCCATGATCCTCGAATATCGATCCGCCGTCTTAGCCATGTACGAACTCGGCGTAGGAGAAGGCTACCGCGATCCAGACGCTATCAAAAAGCGGTACTTCACGCTCCCAACCCTAGACGAAGACGGTAATCGGCCCCTAGGCCCGCAGATGAGCGCCATCCGCATTGACATCAACGTGAAATGGATGAACGCAGCGCACGAACTGCTCGACGCAGTCTTGACCTGCAGCGTGGACACGATGCGTAGAATGCCGAACCTAACGTACACTCGGTTCGGCATGGCCGTGACCTCCCTGCTCAAGATACATTTCTCCGTGCGAACGGGCGCCCTCGGCGAGGTGGTCACGCCGGAAACTGTGAACGTGGGCTACTACCTCGATGCAATGGCAAGTAAGCTGGGCGAGGCAAGCGGCGGCGGCAAATACAAGATTCCGAGTCGGTGGTATCATGTGATAGCCATCAAGGGGGCGGGACTGGCATGACCGATTGGAGAAGCGGTATACCGGGGGTGGTGCGGGTGATGTTGGTTCTGGGATGGTGTCTGAGAATTCATCGACGGACACAAAACCCATCACTTCGACGGGCCACCTATCAGGCTCACAGGACCAGCCTGGACATATGGACCACCCGGTCAATCCATCGGCTGTAGACTCGTTCGGGGTGTCAACGGGGTTACCGCATATGCCGCCAGGCATGGAGAATATGCGGGATGGATATGTGGCCATGAGCGGTGCAGGCATGTGGCCCATGGACGAGAGCCATGCTCATGGTCATAGCCATGGCGGACACGGCCAATTCTTCCAGTCCATGCCTGCAGGATACCAGCCCACGCATGCACCCGGGACGACGGTTGCCCATCAATTTGGATTTAATCCGCAGCGAATGCCTCCGCAGGGTGGAGGTCAAATGCCCGGTACGGGCATGGAGTTGGATGGCTGGCTTCCGGATGGGAGCATCTTCGGTATGCCTCCGCTGCCGGAGTTTTGATTGGCGTGAGTGAGTGAGGTTGATGTTATTCGGAGGGTATATTAAGAAACATGAGTTTCGGCGACTTGAATGGTCTCCTTTATTGGCATTGGACAGGAGCGAATGAGAATATGTTCACAAGATATGCGGCACTGGCTCTGTTCAGCATATACATCCCATATCAGCAAAGTGCATAAACAGACACAATGGGAAAGAACAGAAAGAAAAGAAAAGAAAGGCAAAGAATCGAAACACAGAAACATGAAGAATATAATCCATATCACAATATGAACATACTTCCAAATCCAAGAGGATCCCAAGTTAAACATTCACTCACATATAGTCTTCAAAAAAGCAGTCAAGTATAGTCCCACGACAAACGAACCGAAAAACCTTCAAACCAAAAAGAAAAGAGAAACAAAAACAAAAACCACGACGCACGGCGCAGGACCAGCATTAAAATACACTCAACAAACCCCCCCAAAGCGAAAAATAAAAAAGGCTGAACCAAACCTACAAATCCTCGCAATTCACAGTCCAGAAAAAAACCTAGAACCCGATAATCCTCTCGCAACGCAACGGAACGCCGGAGTAGGCATGAAGGCCGTGCAAGGTGAGTGGACCGGAGGATCGGTCGAAACGGAAGTTCCGCCTGACAGCAGCGCCCAGTGATCGGGTTGATCGTCGCGTCCGACGGGCGAGGCCCTGATGCGGCTAAAATGGCCCGGTTGGAAACGGGGAATACATTCAAATGGAAAGGATGAATGGGTGGGCGGTGGGGGGAAAATTGGGAAATGGAGTGGTTCTTGGCGATGGTGTGATTTATATCGGTCTTGGTTCGTTGGTTCTTTTTGTTTTTCTTGGTGGACGGAGTACGGAGTACACGGAGTTATGACTGTAGATACAGTGTAGTGGGGGAGGGTTTGTTGAGGAAACGGGGGATAAATGCGTATCTGCTCCGTATTTGTGTCTCGTTTTCGTAGTGGTTTAGGTTGGTAGGGCCATGCAATTACATGCATCGACGTCGGATTGAGCTACCTCAAGGAGACCGGGTTCTTTTTGTGGTACAGGTTGGACTTGAAAAGGTAATATGTAATTACGAGAAACCTTGCCAGCGCCTGAAGGAAAAGCAAGGTTCAGTTTATACTCCGTACCTTTTACATACTCCCAGGGCTGGTCCGTGTGGAACCGGAGAAATATCGATGTTTCTCGGGGTAAAGGTCCAAATAGGTAAAGGCCAAAATGACACATTGTTCATTTCATTCGTGCTTCTCGTTTGATCGTCAATAAGGGAATAAACTAAGTGCGCTTATACTATCATGACTAAAAGATCCAAGGAAATAAAAAAAGAAACCCAAAATCGGCGCCTGCTCATACCAATACAGGACCAGGACGGACCAGACCAGGAAAAAAAAGGAAGCAGAATGAGTATACAACGCCTGAACGACTGTGTTCCCGGAGGATAACTTTGGCCCGGAGGGGTTTAAATCCCCCCAAAAGAAAATGAAGAAGGATATCCAAAAGAAGCAAGACGTGCAAAGGGGATAATAATAATCACAGTAACGTAAACGCCTCCAGCGCATCCATGAACCCTGCAATTGCCCCGATTCCCGCCAATCCGCGTGTGGCACTGCGTGTCAAAGCTTTGTGTCGTTCCTTAGCTTCTTCACGTGAGGATCGACGGTGCGAACGGGTCGGAGACCGTTGCGCGGAGCGAGGCGGCGAGGGCCGGAGGCTGAAGCTGGACTCGGGCGATGAAGAAGAAAGCGGGTACGCTGAGGGATGGCGTCGGGGTTGCAGGAGGTTGCTGTTATTGTAGTTCTGCTGTCGAGACCAGGGTGCATCGAATTGTCCTGGTGGCGTGGCTCGTGGTGATGGGATGGGCATTGAGCCTGCGGGTATATTGGGCTGACTGTTTGGAATAGACCGCGGCGCACTGTTGGTAAAGTCTTGCGCTGGGTGGTATCGATAGGGCTGTTGAGGAGGCCCTGGAATATGGATTGGCACGGGCTTGCTCTGTGGAGGTCCTTGCGAGCGAGGGATAGATTGAGTTGGCGGCGGCGGAGGCTGGAAGATGCCGGTAGGATAGGTTGGTGGTCCTCGGTCTGAAACTGGACTTGGTGGATATCTGGACGAAGAACTGCGATTGTCGTTGATAGTTACCTTCTTGGGTGGTTGGCGAGACGTAGCTCGTTGCTCGCATTCGTCACTGGAATCGGTTATTTGCGGATTCTTGGAACGGGCTCGTCGACGTTGATGAGATTCATCGGCCTCGGGATCGCTTTCAAGATGTGCCTGGTAGCCGGAATATCGCTGGCGTAGCTCGGCTGCGTGTTTTCGGGCCTCTTGTGAATGAGGCTTGCGCCAGTCGTCCGTCGTGCCTTCTAGATAATAACCGTGAGAGCTGTGGCCATCCCAGTCAAGATCGTCCGAATTCTCGTCTTCACTACCAGACGAAACATATGCGCGCGGCTGACTGGGTTTCGCGGTATCTGGTGATGGTTTTCTAACAGTCGACAGCAGCGAAGAATCCAGTGCTGGCACCCAAACCAGCAGTAAGCGATTCATAGCACCCTCTGAGAGATGAACCATGTCCTTTGGTGATCGCTCCAGATTTGCCAAACCGAGGTCGCTGTCTCCGAAGGTCACTAGCGGAAGTTTCGAGAGATCCGAGCCTTTGGCTGCTGTGAGCAATGGTCTCATCGCCGAGGCCGTGTTCGAGGAATGATTGGAGATGATCTTCTGGTTCGTTGGGTCATTTGCAGCATCCACGGCTTCTTGCGCCACGAGATCCCATAGACGATCCAGACGTTTCAAAGACCAATATCTGACGATGATCATGTTCTGAGTTTCGGCCTTTTCTTGGGCAATGATATCTTCTGCCATAAGCCCCGGGGTTGTTGAGCTGGCGCTTTCTTTCCCTGGCTTGAGCAGCTCTCCCAGTTGCAGGATTCGCGTCATCACAATCAGGCTCAACTTGAGAGATTCCAGTTGCGCCAAGAGGTACGTGACATGCTGTTTCCTGAAGCACCACTTGAGTCTTTCCTGCACCGGGATCCTGTTCAAGTCCTCATGGGCATCCGTGCCTTGCAGTTTGTCCAGCATGTGCTCGATTTCGACAAAGACCATCTGTCCCTGGCTGGCAATTTCCCATGCTTTCTCGCTGGCCTCGGTGGTTCGCCCCAGTTCGGTCCTCTCGAGGGCCTGTCCAAGATGCTTCAGGGTCAAGGCAAAGAGAGAGATGCCCTTTGCGATACTGTGGATCTCTATCCTGGACTGTGCAAGTTGACATGCGGCAGCGTTGAGGAGTAATGACAGTCGAAAGCCAGCGCCTGCGACCCGGATGATGGAAGTCTCGGCGGCTATCGATGAAAGAGTTCCCCCCGTCAGTACCGTCTTCTTCAAGAGCGTATGAAGTGCAGAAACGGGGTCCATACCTTGTGCCATCATGGTAACGTGAATCTCTCACTCTCTATTCAACAAAGTGCTTCCAGTCACGTAGTAAAGAGGCAGACCGTAGTCACGTCGTGGAGAGAAACGATGAAACAAGCGGACGTGATGCAGAGGGCCCGAGATCCCTCGCCACGGGTCCAACATTAAATGTGGCCGTTGGCCTATTGGACCCCTGCGTAATCAACTGCCCCCCTCCTCCTCACCTTCTTCAGAGCCGCAAGTGTTGTGCATATCAAGTGACTCAAACCCGAGCGTCAGCGTCCGAGCCCCCGCATGACGCCATGGCTGGAGCCCGGGACGTTGGGGACAGCCTCTCTTTGGCCTGAATGGCCTGAAAATGGGCAATGAAGCCGATCTGGAGCCTATCCCGCGCTAGTGCAGGCGAAGACACTGAGATTCCCCGGTGATTAGACCAAGCCTGAAAGGCAGGCCAAAAGTACACCCGCGATGTGCACTGCCTCGAAAAGCAGGGAATAATTCAGAGGCGCTCACGTTCGAACCGTGATCGGCATGACGTCCCGCACAACAACCGCCTCGTATCGACGGCTGCGCCTTTATCAAGGCTGTCTTGCCCAGCACCCAGTACCCAAAGGGTGTGCACCATGCACTGGACACAGAGGGTTATCACCGGGGAGCCTCTGCTCGGGCCGATGCTTGAACATATCATCCTGTCATGATAAGGCTCTCTGTCTCGTGCGGTTGGGGTCGCACACGATGGCGATGGCGAAGTCGACATTCAAGGATCGACAGGCAGTCACGAAACCAAGAACTACCGAAGTGGCCTCCATCTGACAGGCAGTGCGGATACGATCCTAGAGATATTATTGTTTGGTTGGTATACAGTACATTCAGTTCCGGACATTGGAGAATAAGAGGCTCTTTTCATGCGTGGATTAGTGGATGCTGGAGCTATCTTAGCTGTTGGATTTGTAGCCACTCAACAGTCCCACTGGTCATACTTCCGCTTTCGGCACCTTTTCTCGGTCGTCAGTCGTGATCTCCGGGCGTGTCCCTCCTATTTTTTTTTTCTTTTCTATAATCTAAATCACTAGAGGTTTAGTTAGTTTAATGAGCCAAATTGCTCTTTTCCACCCTCCAATCGCAGGCTATCGCGATCTATCTAACGGGAATCTTGTTGATTGGGACGTGGTTCTCTACTTCCGCCCCGCCGCAATCCTCCCACCCCTCCCAAGTCACCACAAGTCACCACCTCCTTTTCCCGCGCACCTCGTCATCTGCGGAGAATCCCCAGTCCGATGACCACCAACTGGATTCGCCATCATCGGACCCGGGGGAATTTGACATAATATCGCCTTGCGCTGTGGGATTGCTAGTGAATTTCGGCCGGATGGGCGATTCCCCCCTGGTCGTTGAGCTAGGAACGTGCGAAGGAACCAAGGAATACCCAGAGAGTCCGGGATCTCGAAACCCCACTCGAGCTCGCCAGGGCTTTCTTTCCATGTGAAATCATGCCCGCAGAAGGTGTCACTGTTGGCGGCACCTCCGACCAACCTGCATCGTCGACCGCCTCCCTATCCACTACGCCGCAGCCTCCTGTCACGGGCGCGACCTCCTCCGAAGATGCTGGCAGCGAGAAGGAGGATATAAAGGCGCAGAAGGGGACAGAGTCAACATCAACATCAGATGTCAAAATACAGGAATCACAGGATGCACCGGAGGAGTGGGACGACTTTGGTCTTCCCATTCGATCGCGCTCAAGGCCCCAACGATCCCCCACTGATCTCTCCGAAACCGATCGCCAGTCCGAGCCCGAAGATAAAGCTGGCAGTCCGACGGGAGAACAAAAAGTGAAGGAGGAGGCATCGGAAGTGGAAGCGGACGCTTCCAAGGGCAAATCAGAGCAGGAGACCGAGGTGAAGGAGGCCGAGGCGACTGAGAAAGGGTCGGACACACAACCGGCCCAGGATGAGAAGAAGATCGAGTCTCAAGACCGCACTGCTGCATCCCATGAGGAGCCGCGCGACGAAATCGCTGATCCTCCACCTCCATATCGCAAGTCCTTCTCAAAACCAAAGGATACACAAGTCTCAGAATGGTCTCACCAACGACTGACCCAGCCTCAGAATGAGGTCGAGGAAAGTGAGGAAGAGGAAGAAGAGTGGAAGTCAATGCCTGCTCTGGGAGAAATGGACTACTACGATGACTATGGAAGGCTCATCGCTCGTGGCGCCAAAGAAGAGGACAACGATGCCGTGTACCACGGATTAGGTGGTGCTGGGAAAGGATATACTCGAGTTCAGCTTGACGAGGATGCTCAATCCGCCACCAGCATGGACGAGGACACGAGCTATCTTTTTCGCGAGGTAGCTGGCAACTCCGCAGGGTTCGACGGGGAGGAGCTCCGCGATACCGTTAGCCAGCTTCAGGCTACGAAGGACCTTCTTAACGAGACACAAAAGATTGCGTATGTGGGCGTGGTCCGCCTAACAATTCACGAGATGTATTTGGAGCTCGAGAAGCTACCCATAACCAAGGCAGCTCGCAAGGTCATTCTCAAAGCGCAAGATGCGCAGAGGAAGTGGGGTCAAACGATGATGGGGCGGTTATATATGCACATGGATATTAGCCCTGCTGAGCAAATTATGATCGAGCAGCTTGCTGAACATGGTGTACAGCCTGGAGATCTGGTCCGCCCGCTCATGCAGAATGCGCGTGTCAAGAACCCCATGGCTGAGAGCGACCCCAAAACCTCAACCTCTGCCCTCTCATCCCCTACCATTGGAAATGGATCCAGTTCTCGGGTATCTACAGAGACCGAGACCTCTGATCTCAGCTCTCCACCACCTTATAACGCCCATGCGGATGATGAAGATGTTCCGGAAGTCCACATTCCGTCTCAATTGCCTACATCTGCAAAGATCGATATCGACCTTCGATGGACGGTTCTATGTGATTTGTTCCTCTTGTTGATTGCCGACTCGACCTATGATTGTCGATCTCGGACTTTACTCGAAAGAGTCGGAGCGACTATGGATGTGACTTGGCTGCAAATCTCCCGATTCGAGAAACGTGTAACAGACGCTCTCGAAATGCAAGAAGAAGCTGAGAAAGAGACGTGGGATGAGTCAGAACACATGGAGAATCGCCGAAAGGCCAATCTGAAGCAGAAGTATATGATCATGGGCCTTGCAACCGTCGGTGGTGGACTTGTCATCGGTCTCTCCGCCGGGCTTTTAGCTCCCGTTATTGGAGCCGGTCTCGCTGCAGGTTTAACCACCGTTGGCCTTTCCGGTACAAGTGCATTCTTGGGAGGAGTTGGTGGCACGGCGCTTATTGCTTCGAGCGCTACTATCGGCGGAAGTGCCATTGGTATGAAAGCTTCCCATCGACGAACAGGGGCCGTCCAAACATTCGAATACCGACCTCTTCACAACAATAAAAAGCTGAATCTGATCGTGACTGTCTCTGGCTGGATGACTGGCAAAGTTGATGACGTCCGATTGCCTTACAGTACTGTGGATCCTATCATGGGGGATATATACTCGGTTCTTTGGGAGCCCGAGATGTTGCGCAGCATGGGTGACACGATCAATATCCTTGCGACAGAGGTACATCCTGAGCATATCAACATATCATTATCAAAGACTGAGAATTATGATGACTGACTGTTCTTTCTGTCTAGGCACTCACACAAGGCTTGCAACAAGTATTAGGCAGTACTATATTGATGGCTCTCATGGCCTCACTGCAGCTCCCACTCGTTCTCACCAAGCTTGCCTACCTAATTGACAATCCCTGGAATGTGTCGCTGGCTCGTGCCACTGCAGCAGGTCTAGTTCTGGCCGACTCTCTGCAGGATCGCAATCTTGGCAACCGCCCTGTTACGTTGCTCGGTTTCTCCCTGGGGGCTCGTGTCATCTTCTCATGCCTCAAGGAGCTAGCTGCCAAGGGTGCTCACGGGCTCGTCCAGAATGTTTATCTTTTTGGTTCACCAGTCGTGGCCAGCAAGGACGAATACCTCAAGGCCCGCAGCGTGGTCTCCGGCCGATTTGTTAACGGCTACTCTAAGAATGACTGGATTCTGGGATACCTCTTCCGAGCCACGAGTGGTGGTATCATGCGCGTGTCTGGACTTGGCCCTATCGAGGGTATTCCAGGCCTGGAGAACGTGGATCTGACTGAAACGGTCAACGGTCACATGGACTACCGTGCGGCCATGCCTCGTATTCTTCGGCATGTTGGATGGGAGGTTCTTGAAGATGAATTCGCAGAGATCGAAGACCCCGATCCAGACAACCATGCCGAAAGACAGCGGGAGCTTATTCGTGAGATTGACGAGGCTCGTCGGAATGCCGAACTGAAGCCCGAGAAAAAGCGCTTTGGCCTATTTAAGCGTGGCAAGATGGCAGAGAAGAAAACATGGGAGACATATGATGTCGATCGCAACAATTCGCCGAACAGCCCTGCCGAGCCGAGCAGTGTACCCGGCTCTATTCTCTTCGACATCGAAGCCATTCGAGCTGAATTGGCCTCCGAAGCGATCGAGGTCAAGCAGCTAGAATCTACACTTCCCCCTATGAAGCTAGATTTGAACCGTCCATCAGTTACACAACCCGTGACACCAGTTGAGAAAGAACAAACGCCAAAGGAGCCCGAGCCACCGTCTCTTCCTCGCACAGCGTCAGAGCCGCGGCTGCCCACGGAAGCGCATCCCTCTCGCACCGCGACTGACCCTGCTCCCCCACGCATCGAGGAGCCCGTTGAAATGACATTTGACACATCCTTCAACGACACACCCCAACACCACTTTGATACACCTACAAGGCCCGAATTGCGGTCCTTATCTACCATGCCTATGGGTATCGGCGCTACTGCAGTCGGAGCCATGGCCATGGAACCCAATGCCTGGGCCGATCCTGATCACGGCCATGGCCATGGAGAAGATGAGATCCAGATGACATTTGAATAATGACGGGGATACTCGGATACGCGGTTATTTTCTTTCCATTTCTTTTATCGGCTCTTCCTCTTTTGCTTTAAGGTTTCCATAGCTTTTACTCGGATTCTAGAAGGAGCATTGCTCTGTCTGCATCGGCGTTCGGGAAACTAACTGTGTATATGGCTGAAAGGCTGTCATGTATAGTGAGAATGAGCGAAAATAAATAAGCAGCTTTGATCCAAAGTCTCACTATTCTTCATCCTGTAGCAGCTGTACTCGTCCTTCGTGCTTAGTTATCTATCCTCCTCCGCCTTGTGGGGCCTGTCCCTTTGTTAGCGTCTCACGCGTTCCCCTCACGCATTGTCTTTCCTCCGTCCAATTCGCAATCCTCAGGGTCGAGTCGTCTTTCTGGTGGCATCGATACCTCCAAAGTTTTGATTTTTGAGTGCATTTCCCCGGACCCGGCAAATTCGCGTGATCGACGCGACCCGATCCCCGACCTCTTATCAGCACGCGTAACCGCGGTTCTCATCCGTTCCCAACCTCTCCCTCCAACGCTCTGGCAGCAACGTGCCCTGTTTATACGATGAGAGCGCGCGCAGCTGGTCTGAGAAAAGACGCCAACCTCCCGAGGCACTTGCTGTCGACGTTCAACAAAGAGGATGCCACGAAGATCGAGTCAAAATCCAAAACGGAGGCTTCAATAGACGACCTGCCGGCTTCAAGCGATGACGAAGAATTGAGCGAGTTGAGCTCTGCCGATATTGACTATGACGAGTCTGGAATGCAGGACCAAAAACAGCCACAATCAGAATTGCGAGAACCAGAACCCAGACCTAAGGATGACAACGAACCTGCGACTGAAGACGAGCCGGTCAGCTCTAGCGAGGACGAAATCATTGACGAGGATGTCGACTTTCAGAAACCAAGGAAGAGGACACTAGAGACGTACGAGGAGAAAAAGCTTCGGAGAGGAGACAGAGGCGGGCTGGGTGACAATGATGAGCCGTTTGCGATGTGGTCCTCTCAGAGCTCCAAACGAGCCAAAACCAACAAGTACGGGTCATCGGCCTCATTTTCTCGAACGCCTAGCTATGTTCGCTCGCCCACTACTCCCGATAAAAGCTCCCCCCGGGTCAAATCACAGACTCCCAAAGCGCAGGGCAAGAAGGCGATCAAAAAGTATACGTCCAACTCACAGCCGGACCATGACTTTGCTGTCCCAAAGGAAATTCATACTTCTTGTCCGAGGATATCCGAATCATCGCCTGGATCCAAGATCACTCCTACCAACCCCGTCAGTTCCATCTCAAATTCAACTCTAGCAGCCTCATCCTTCCAGGAACCGCTGTCTATGGACCTGGATGGCGAGGATTCGCCCCTTTCGTCCCTCAGTTCCCCACCAAGCTCTCTGCCCTCCGAAAACGAAGAACCAACCCAAGCGTTATGCCCAATGTGCAAGCAAGAAGTCGACCCCAAACTACTCAAGGCATTCCGTGCTCAACCAAAGCAACGGGTTCGAGAGCAGCAACAATTCTGTGCATCACATCAACAACATACGGCTGAAAAGGAATGGGAGTCACAAGGATATCCTACCATTGATTGGGATTCCTTCGAGGAGCGGGTCCAGAAGCACTTCCCTGCACTTGAAAAGCTTCTCGTCCCGGACTGTTCCTCTTATTATCGTAACATTCTGGATTCGGCGCTGAAGAGTGGCAAAGCGCAAAACTTCCGCCTGACTCTGACCGGTGATGGTCTTGAGACGATGTCCTGTGGTTATTATGGCACGAAAGGATCTGGGAAGATGTAAGTATACTGCCATGAAGACGGTGTCAATTGACAATTCCCGGCACAATATTAATGTTTGAGCAGGCTGCAAGTTCTCACTGACCGTTTCGCCGTGAAATTACGCCGCTTGGCCACGTCCGACCGCATTGTTAAGCAGGCAGGCGTGGTCGGCTACGCCCAGTCTGTCTTGGTTCCCGAATTGGCAGTCCGCCTTGTAAAGGAGGACATGGGAGTTGATGATGATGCCGCTCGTCAAATTCTCCGAGAGAGTATTTCCCTCGGCGAGAAGCTAAACCCCGCACTGGATGATGAAGTACCGATTCCCGAGGATCTTGCAGAGCCCTTTGAAGACGAATATTGAAGATGTCGCATCTGGGACAGTCATTTATACAACTATCAAGATCCTGGGCGAGCTTTGACCTACGTTGTGGTATCGGGCTGGGTTGCATTTTGCTTTTATATCTGTTTTCTCCATTTGGTCTTAGCGATTGTATATGATAGCACTCGTGATACCATGTCGCTGTATACTGTTATATATCGAGAATCAACGATATACATTCTTTCCGGTCTTCATTTGCCATGGTGGATATTTTGAATCAGAAGACGCAACAGCGTGATCTATATCTAAATCTTGATGATTCCTTTGAGGAATCGGCATCAAAGGAATCGGCAGAGCCGGACATACAAGCCCTGACTCGACCCGATCTCCACAAGACCCTCAATTATATCCCGTCGAGTATCATCCGACCTTGTTTCGCTGTAGAAGCGCAGAGCATCATGGTACAGATCAGGATAGTCTTGCGCATAACGCCATGCATCCTCCATCATCATATCGTATACAGGCGTTTCGTGCGATATCAATTGCCCATCCCCGTCAATGCGCAGATCGCTGTGGACGCCATCTTTGGCTTGTGGATCCATATGGTATCGCGCATAGATCGCATTGGAGTAGCGTGTTTCTGAAATAGCGGTACAATACTGGGTTGCCCAGGGTTCGGTTCTTAGGAGTCTGACCGTTTCATCGAGGACGTCGGAGACGCGCAAGTCCAGGAATAGCTATTCGGGCAGGGAGGATTTCATGACTCTGGTATTCGGACCAGAAAGGTGCAGTTTCAGAAACCAGTATGGATATAAGTAGGACGGTAATGCTATGTAAATAAATAAAATTATGATATATGTATTCTTCGACCTTCGAATTGGCAGCGAAAGTAGTAAAAAAAACATGAGAGGGACATCGACTGGACCTTTTCTTAGTATACAGGGGATGGCCGCCTTTCGTTCTGCCATTTAAAGCCATTCCCGATCCGAATTATCAGACGAGATGGGTATTTGTTTTCTTCCACTCCACTGACCTCAACGATTAGTATTTCTCCCCCATTTTCTGTTGTTTATCGGTGACGTTGACCATCTCTCAATATGAAACTCTAAAGAGGAAGGTGGAGTTGAAGGAAGCGGCCCATCCCGCGAGGCGTTTAGTAAGCCGATAACGCGATAAAGTGCGGAGAAGAGCTGATCGACGAGCTGCCCTTGATTCCTCTTTCGTTTTCTCTTCCTACATCCTGTCAATGATGAGGGAGAAAGAAGAAATGCCATACTCAGAGACAACACCTCTGCTCGAGGTCAATGTCGCACCGCGGCGGCCTCGGTACCCTCATAGTGCCCTTCGTCGGACATGTACCTTTCTGCTTGGCGCGCTGCTGGTGATTGTCGTCATCCTCTTTTTGATCCCGTCCGCCATCCTACCCCGCGAGCACGGTTCCATTTGGTCCTATCTACCAGGTGCTAACCCATTCCCACATGACGCGTGGCCTCAAGGCAATGGCTTGCCCTTCGATCAACTCCAACAAATCCTCCTCAACTCTCCGTCCGCAGCCAAGGCCCGTGAGTGGAGCGAGTACTATACCGCTGGGCCCCACTTGGCAGGCAAGAACTTGAGCCAGGCGCTATGGACCATGGACAAGTGGAAGGAGTTTGGCGTGGAGGATGTATCTCTTGCGTCTTATGATATCTACCTGAATTACCCACTGGACCATCGCTTGGCCCTGCTCAAGAAGTCTGGTGAAGATACTGAGGTAACTTTCGAGGCTACCCTGGAGGAGGATGTGTTGGAGGAGGATCCCACTTCAAGCTTGCCCGACCGAGTCCCCGTTTTCCACGGATACTCGGCCAGTGGCAATGTCACTGCACAGTTTGTGTATGCCAACTTTGGCACATACTGGGACTTTGAGGACTTGGTGAATGCCAATGTCACCCTGGAAGGCAAGATCGCTATCGTCAAGTACGGCAGAAACTTCCGTGGCTTGAAGGTGAAGCGTGCGCAGGAGCTGGGCATGGTTGGCGTGCTCATCTACAGCGATCCCCAGGAGGATGGCGAGATTACCGAAGAGAATGGCTACGAGGCGTATCCCAACGGACCAGCCCGTAACCCCAGTGCCATCCAGAGAGGTAGCACGCAGTTCCTGAGTATGTATCGGCCTAGTTACCACTGCCAACCCACAAATACAAGCACCTCCCAGCTAATATTAAAAACAAGGCATCGCTCCTGGTGATCCTACCACTCCAGGATACCCATCGAAGCCCGGCTGTGAGCGTCAGGATCCCCAAGGCTCCATCCCCTCGATTCCCTCGCTCCCGATCTCTTACAAGGAGGTGATTCCATTCTTGAAGGCTCTCAATGGACACGGCCCCAAGGCCTCGGATTTCAACGAGTACTGGCAGGGCGGTGCACTAGGTCACAAGGGTGTGAAATACAACATTGGTCCTTCGCCAGAAGATGTTGTTATCAATCTTGAGAACCAGCAGCAGTATGTGATTACGCCTCTGTGGAATGTAATCGGTGTCCTGAAGGGTAGCATTCCAGACGAGGTCATCATCCTGGGTAACCACCGCGATGCATGGATTGCTGGCGGAGCGGGTGATCCCAACAGTGGTTCTGCCGCCATGAACGAGGTCATTCGCAGCTTCGGTGAAGCTCTGAAGGTAGGATGGAAGCCGCTGCGCACTATCGTCTTTGCCAGCTGGGACGGTGAAGAGTACGGGTTGCTCGGTTCGACCGAATGGGTCGAGGAGAATCTCCCCTGGCTGTCAAAGGCCAATGTAGCCTATTTGAATGTCGATGTGGCTGCTACCGGCACCAACTTTGGCCCTCGTGCTGCCCCGTTGCTGAACCAGGTCATCTACGAAGTGGCTGGTCTCGTGCCACACCCGAACCAGACTGTCCCTGGCCAGACTGTTCGTGATGTGTGGGATGGACACATTTCGACCATGGGCAGTGGCAGTGACTTCACTGCCTTCCAAGACTTTGCAGGCGTGGCCAGCTTGGACTTTGGATTCGGCCACTCGAAGAATGATCCCGTCTACCACTACCACTCAAACTACGACAGCTTCGCGTGGATGGAGAAGTTTGGCGATCCAACCTGGTCCTACCACCTCGCATCCACCAAGCTCTGGGCACTGGCGGCCGCACGACTGGTGGAGTCGCCCGTGATCGCGTTCAGCGCTGGTGACTACGCTACCGGGCTGGACTCTTATCTGCAGAAAATTAAGCCGGCGGCCGACAAGCTGCCTAAGCATGCCCACTTTGACTTTGAACCTCTAGACCGGGAGATCTCCAACTTCCAGGCAGCGGCAACCGCATTCGATGCCTATGCCGCATCACTGACCAAAAAGCTGGACGAGGATGTCCCCTGGTACCACTGGTGGAAGAAGGTCCGTCTCTATTTCCTGATCCGCGGCGCCAACGATAAGTATAAGCGCATCGAGCGGTCGTTCCTGTACCAGCCCGGTCTGGACGGGCGCAACTGGTTCAAGCATGTTGTGTTCGCCCCTGGTATCTGGACAGGCTACTCGGGAGCGACCTACCCCGGACTGGTGGAGAGCCTTGACGACGGTGATGTGGAGAATGCCAAGGTAAGTGACAAATTCTTGACGATATGTGGGACATACGAGGGAAGACCCGCTTGGCTGACTGCATATTCTTTTTCTCCGTGCCCTATAGAAATGGAGTCGTATTATCCAGGAACGGATTGGTGCGGCGACCAAGCTCCTGTCGTAGTTGGGCGGGATTTAAATCGGAGGGAGGCCTCGGGCTCAGTGTCATTGGATGCCGATTACCCGGGGCGTCTCTTGGTGTATACATGAGGAGTATGTATGTACTTGCGAGTATATCGTGTGACTTTCGCGTAGTATGCCCCTGTTGATGACTGCACTTTTCAGTCTCTACGTCCATCTTGTATATAGTTTTGACACTGTAAACAAGATATGACTGCCCTGTATCCCCTGCCTTGTATGCGATGTGAAATGATCCCTTTAAACATGCAGTCCTCATGCATGTACAGCAGTTTACAGTCGTTCGGTGAATAAGATGCAACCCCACGACTGCTGACGCGCCAAAAGGCCCCCCAAGTGGAGACCCTTTTTGCCGACAGCCCGAATGGCTGCAGCCATCCCCCTCCACTCGTAGGTCTCGTATAGCAGTTGCAGTCAAAGAGAGACCTGAGTCTAACTCAGTCGAGCAAAGACTCGGCACCGATCAGGCAGCGGCTCGGACCCTCAACGCAGTCGCCGATCTGTCAGGACGCCATCCGACCCTGTTCCTTCCTTTCTCTTCTTCTCTTGTTGCTCTCTGGGGTGTTTTGTGCAGTTGTCGTTACAAAAAGCAAAAGAAAATCATATAACAACATGCAAAAAGCCAAGCTACCCGTGCGGCAGCTGGTCATTCTATGTAAGTTTTGTCTTCTTTTTTTCTCCTTCCAGACTGCAAATTTCTAAGCTGACGGGAATACTAGCAATATGCCGCTTCGCCGAGCCTAGTAGGTTTCCCCCCTGGCCTATGAGATATGGAAATCTTGATCGAGAGATCTACCAGATGGAGATCTATGTCTTCACTGGCCCAATAAGCAACAGCTAACAAACAACCTCTGGCAACAGTCGTCTTCACCTCCGTCCTGCCCTACTTGGTACGTCCCCCAACCATCCACGCCGCCGTCTTTTGAACCTCGGCCATTTCGGCGAGGTTGGACATTTTCTCTCCAACTGCTTTTCCCCTCTTTTGATTATACGATCGCCTCATTAGTTACCTAAAAGGAAACAAATCCAAGGCTAACATATTATCCAGCCTGAACTCATCGAATATGTCGGTGTCCCACAAATCGAGGTCGCCAAATGGGCCGGCATCTCGTCCGCGGTCGCATCCGTGAGCCAGGCCATCATGGCCGTGCCCTGGGGCGCCCTATCCGACTACGTGGGTCGCAAACCGATCATTTTGTCAGGCCTGACCTGCACGATGCTGATCTCCATCATGCTGGGCATGTCACAAACCCTGACGATGGTGCTAATCTCGCGCGCCTTGGTCGGCCTGATGAACGGCAACGTGGGCATCCTGCGCACCATGGTCGCCGAGATCGTGCCACAGCGGGAACTGCAACCGCGCGCCTTCAGCCTTATGCCACTCGTCTGGACGATTGGGAGTATCTTCGGCCCCGCGTTTGGAGGGGGCTTTGGCGCGCCCGGCGGAGAAGCATCCCGGTCTTTTTGGGCGAATCGAGTTTTTCAGAAACTATCCGTTTGCTTTGCCGAATCTTGCGTCTGCTTGTGTCTTTATCGTCGGTATTACGACGGGATTCTTGTTTCTGGAGGAGACGCTAGAGACGAAGAAGGACCGGTATGATCCTGGACTTGCACTAGGAAAGGCACTTACGAGACCCTGCATGTCGCGCAGGCAGCGTCAGGCCGAGCTGAAGGGCTTGGACGAGGAGCGCACGGCTTTGCTTCCCGGTGAAACACGAGTCCAGAAGAAAATCAAGAAGCCTGTCACCCGGCCGAGCTGGTCGCAGATCTTCACACCCCAGTCTAACCTGATTCTTCTATCATATACACTCGTGTCAGGACTCGGCATGGCCTTTGACTCGGTCTTCCCCGTCTTCCTGCACTACCCTGTCCAGGACCTCCACGATAATCCCAACGTGCAGCTGCCCTTCAAATTCGCCAGTGGTTTTGGCGTTGGTCAGTTCACCCCCCACAATCAGCCTTTGCAATAGCAACAATTAGGAAGTACCCAACTAACATTTTCATCCAGACGCCCCTCAAATCGGCATGTTCTACACCCTAACCGGCGTCATCGGCATGTTCATTCAATTCCTCTGCTTCCCACCCGTAGTAAACCGCTACGGCGCCCTAAACTGCTTCAAATTCTCCACCATCATTCTCCCACTAATCTTCTTCATCACCCCCTTCACCGCACTTGCCCCGGAGAACCTCCGCATCCCCGCAGTCCTCGTCCTGATGCTCGTCAAACTCGGCGCAATAGTCTTTGGAATCCCCTGCTGCACGATCCTGCTCACAAACTCCGCCTCCAGCATGATGGTTCTGGGCACTTTGAATGGCGTGGGGACTAGTGTGAGTGCGCTGGGTCGTGCGGCGGGTCCGGCTTTGATTGGGGCTGCTTTTTCGTGGGGTATTAAGAAGGGATATGTTATTGTGCCTTGGTGGTTGTTGGGTACGCTTGGGCTGGCGAGTGTTATTCCTACTTTTTGGATTGTGGAGCAGGATGGTCCTTTTAGTGGACAGAAGGAAGAAGAGGAGGAGGAGGAGGTTTCGGAGGAGGAGCCTCGCGTCAATGGATATGGTTCCGTTGCAGTGTCGGGGGATTCTACGAAAAAGGTTACTCGCGAGGATTGAGGGCAATTCTGCATTTGGAGGGTTGAGACTGGTGTTGTAATGGGCATATTTCGGGCGCTTATGGATTGTGTGCTGCATGGATGTCATGTCACGACTGGAAGATTTGTATATGCATGATGGTACTAGATTGTATAGAATGAGACATGTTGTAAATAACTTTGTTTGACATGGTACTCCTTAGCTATTGGTCTCACACTTTGCTCTTTGCCTAGAATCGAGTCTATTTTCATGGATAGCATTCAGAACAACTCCAAGACCTCTATACCATTCTTTACTCGCACATCAACGCAGAGTAAGATTTTGTTTCCTGTCTCAAATTTAAACTTTCCATTTTGAATCCCTCCCCACCATGAATTCGTTGTAAGATCTAATGAGTAGAAGTAAAACCGGGGGATATACTTCGGCCTCGGCTTTCCGAACCTCCGGGTCTGGACTCCGCACGCCATCTGACTAATGGGACTTTCCCCAGGCCCAACCCAAGGCAGTAGTAGCTAAACACTACCAAGTACAAGCTCCAAACACATCTCCCCTTCACACATCTACACCTCTACACCTCTCCAAAGCAAACCTCCAAAACAAAATCGCAGAAATGGTAACCCACCTCCACTTTTTTTCCCTTTCAACAATGCACAAACATTACTGACAACTACAACAGTCCACCAACCCGCTCCCCACAACCTCCGCTCTAGTCCTCTCCCTCCTAACATCCCTCGGCGGCGCAATCGGCTACGCCCGCACAGGCTCCATCCCCTCCATCGCAGCCGGCCTCTCCGTCGGCGCCCTCTACCTCCTCAGTTACCTGCGCCTGCGCGCCGGCGAGTCCTACGGCGAGGAGATCGGGTTGCTAGCTTCGACTGTGTTGGGGGGAAGCTCGATTCCTCGCGCGATTAAGACGGGCGGCAAGCCTGTGCCGTTGGGGTTGAGTGTTTTGGCGACGTATGGGGTTGTTGTTTTTGGGCTTGCGTTGAGAGAGAAGAAGGGTCTTTAGGTGTTTGTGGATTGGGATTGAGATTGGTGGGGTGGTTTGGGGATACTGTACTTTTGAGGATATCGTGCCACTCCTAGTGGGTGGGTGGGGAGTGGTGGCGTGATGGGGGTTCTGTTTTGTTTTTTAGTTCTTTGCTGTGTTTCTAGCCAAGATACTCTTTCAATGCCCTTGATTGATTGATCGGGCTTTTGTGGTGGTCTTCGCATGGTGAGGTTGTTTAAGATGCTAGATTGTAGGTGGTTGAATCTACGATTGCAAGCCGCGATGTAACAACATAGAAGAATGATTGGTCTAAATCGTGCATTGAATCCATCGAGGGTGCATTGCCTACCTCCAGAACGCCAAATATAGACAGAACTTACATGATAAGTGGCATGGCATCAACGACCCTGCAGGGAGAAGAACCCACCTTGTCCAGACCTGAGTCCAGATCTGAGATGCCACGGAACAAAAAAGAAAGATAGTAGGTAAAATGTAGAACAAAAAGGAGAGAAGAAGGAAAGAAGGAATTGAGCAAGGGCTGAAAGACGTACGGTCTGATCAATTCATAACAGCTCATCATCGGCAACCTCGAGAGTAGTGCGTGCAGAGCAGAGCAGAGGGAACACAGCCAATCCAATGGGACTCACCGACAAGCCACACGTCATCGCGCAGATGGAGGGAGCTCCTCAATGCATCGGTATTGGGAATCGCAGCGAAGGTCTTGGTCATGCTCATGTTCATGTTCAACTTTTCTTTTTTGCGCCAGAACTACTAATGGATCAGGGCAGGCAACAAAAAACACAACCGGCCAAAACCAAATGCTCATGTGTAGCTAGAAGTATGCGTCGAACTTAGCTGGAGTCCGTGGCCCAGTCATCCATCCATCTTCTCCCGACAATGTGCACGAGGCACTCTCGTTTTCGATGTCCAAAATCTGAAATATCGTGTATTTCCTTCTCGTCCGGCTTATTGGTCCAATTTTCGATCCGTTGCCATTTTCGATCCGTGATGGTGCTTGGATGAAAGCTTCGTTCATGGTTTCCTCGGTTAATGCGCCGGATCGACCACCTTGTCTTGGTCGCGGATCGTGCCAACGATAATCGATGCAGGGATCTCGCCAAGCGCTGTCTCCTGCTGGAAAGCGGGGCGTGAGAATGCATATCGTGCAAGCTTGGCCATTTTCTCTTCGGGACTAGTATTCTCATCCGAGTAAATCATCCGAGTGTTCTTGGTCTTATCTTTCTTAGCTGGTTTCTCCGGTGCAGCCGCTTCCTTGGCTGCGCTCGAGATCAGCTCATCAACGGTTGAAGATAGCTGTCCTGGTGATTGTCTGGCGTCGCCATTGGTATGAGCAGGTGTAGGCGGAGCTGGGTGGCCCATATGCATCTGCTGCATCAGTTGCGCGTTGATAGGTGGTGCGGCAAATGCAGGTCGTTGGGGGAGGCCAGCAAGTGTGGGCATGCTGCCGGGTCGAGGAGGGAGACTGGTATCTGTTGGAGGAGTTTGTTGTTGAGGGAAATGAGGAGGAGCGGCTCCATAGCCCAGTGCGGCAGATTGACCGGGGTATGGTTGAGGAGAATAAACGGCAGGAGCATATGGGGCAGCAACGGGTGGAGAGAATGCCGGGTAAACGGGGCTTGCGGTCTGTTGTTGATAGGGAGCAGCGGGAGGGACAGCGGCGCCTGCATAAGGCGGAGGGTAGGTGAGCTGCACCGGGGGCTGCTGTTGCTGTGCGGGTGAAGCTGTGGCTGATGGTTGTCCCTGAATAAAAGCCCGTCAGTTCCACTGAAACTATACCCCGTCTCGAGAATGCAAATCTTACATATGAGGTTGGAGTGGATGCAGACTGTCCAGCACCCAATGGCGTCGCCTCTCCACTGCTGCCACCAGCAGCAACCTCGGTGCGCTTGGCACGGTGCGCTGCCAAACGTGCCTTGAGATCGGAGACATCCTCCAACTTGGGCTTTTTGTTGGGCTGTCCACCAGCGCCACTGCCAGATGGCGGGTTACCAGTCACGGCTTGTCGCTCTGCCTCAGCCTGGTGGTACTGAGCCGCCACACGCTGCTGATGAGCCTGGAGGACATCCTCGGGGACACCTTCCATACCAAAGATTTCCACATCGAGGCCTGACCGGTTTGGCAGGGCATTTTCAATCTCCGTGAGCTGTTCCTTGTGAACCTGGCTCATGTGCACCGATAGACCTGAAGGCGCACGGTGTTAGACTTCAGGGTCGTGGATCCTGTCGCATAGATAGATAGAAGACTTACCACCAGCAGTATTTAGCCTGCGACCACAGCGCTCACATTTGAAGTGCTTGGCTTTCTGGTGCAGGGTGAGGATCTTGAGGTCGTCGAAGTCGCGCTCACAGTAGTAGCACCATGGACGAGCCAGGAGCTCGTCCATCGTCGGACCACGTCTTTTCTTGCCCATTGTGTTTGTAGGTGCAAAGAACTGACAGATTTGGCGATCAGGTAGTCCCTGGATATGGATGAATACGACCCAGACCGTGTCGTTGCGATGGGATGGGGCAGGATGGAAGTTGAAGTGACGCACTTTGGCGCTGAGCGAAAGCGGTCACTGGAAAACTACTAAGCACGTGATTATTGGTCGACACCTAAGGTTGTTTTCGATGCCATTGATTGGCTCATGCTGGCTATCATACACCAAACAGAATGGAAATATGGAAAAAAAAAAAAAAAACGAATTGTAGAATACACATCTGGCCTCTACGGCCAGATGGAAAGTCCCAGCCACCGCCCTCCCAGTAGATGTACACTCTTTGTGCCTAAAGGCACACCAGACCCGAACCCAGACCAGACGCCCATTGCGCCGACTCCAAACAAAAAAAAGAAAAGAAGAAAGAAAAGAAAAGAGAAAAGACAAGACCGCCGAAGCGACCCAGATCGAACCCATCTCGCAAGCCTGGTTTGTGGCTTGGCGAGGCCAAAGTGATATTGTACATAAGATGAAGATGAGAACTGCTCTGCTTGCTCTCGAACAGAACAGCCCTCACCTCATCTATGCATGCCGGGCACCAACCACCCTTAGACACCTCGGTGATGAGGGTCGCGGGGTGGTGGTGGTGGCGGCGGCGGCGGCGGACCCCCGGGCATTGGTCCCATCCCATACCCTCCCGGGTATGGGAATGGCGCGAACTGTGGCATCGGCTGGCCCAGCCCTGCCACCGGCTGAGTGTACGGGTTAGGAGCCCCGTACAAGCTCAGCGATGGCAAGGTTGGACCAGGACCAGGACCCGGCGCCAGGTGGGGTACACCCACCATGGGGGGCATCCCCATGGGGGCTTTGGGGGCAAGATTGCCCGCGGGGAGTGGTGCCAGCGAGGGCGAACCACGGCGGCGTCCAGAAACCTCTTTGGTCTTGCGGCTTTCATCTGCCACCTTGTCCGACTCGATCTGCGCCTTGGACCGCTTGGGATTGCGGATTCGACCTTCACGGTTGAACCGCTCCCAATGGTCCAGCATTGCCTTGGTGCGCTTTGGGTTTTTCGAGTTGAGGATCTTTTGCCGCCGGGCCTCCTCGGGATCCTCCACCACGGGCGTCTCCTTCTTGATCACCGGAGCAGGCTTGGCCGGCGTGGGCACCTCGGGCATTGGTGAGATGTCCACGAAGGAGGGCGTGGACTCCTCTGCCGAGGCCGCATAGGCAGGAGCAACTGGAGGGCCTGTGGCAGTGGCCACAACCGTGCTGGCGCCACGACGACCGCGCCCACGACCAGACGTCACAGTATGTGTGGTGATCGTCTGGGCTGCATCAGCAAATGCACGCGATTCGACGGGCTGCCGTCCAGCACCACGACCCCGACCACGACCACGGCCACGACCGCGCCCACGACCACGACCACGACCACGAGGAGCAGGCACAGAGACAGTGGCTTCCTCTGGCTGGTAGGCCTCGAAGGTGGCAGTACTGCGACCACCTCGGGCTCCTCCTCGGGCGCGACGCTTTGGCGGGTGGGCTTCTTCTTCGGTCTCATCCGCATCAGGAGATTCTTGTTGTGTCTCCTCCGTGTCGGTCTTCAGGGTCGTCTCCAGTGCAGCTGCCTTGCGCTTGCGCGTCACCTTGGCCTGAACCGGGGCCTGCGGCTCTTCCCACAGCTTCGGCACCAGCTCGACACCATCGCGAATAATGGGGGTCCAATCATCGGGGTTGCGCTCGCCCGGTGGAACCTTGGAGGTCATCTTTCGTCCCTGTGCAGGGGTTGGCACAAAGCCACCCTGGACGAATGGGTTTTGGGGCACGCGACTAACCGCCGTAGCAGTGTTGAGCTGGAAGGGATTGTACCGATAGCCGTACAGCATGGCCTCCTTCTTGTCTTCGAAGTCAAGGTCAGGCTCTGCAACTCGGCTCATGGGAAGGCCGCTCTTTCTCTTGCCACCCTGCAAGAACTCGCGCTTGGCATCTTCAGTGATTGGAGCGCGGATGTGACGGTGGGCCCGCAAGTAGAGCTTGTCGAGGGCAACGTATTCGTCCTGCCAGACCTTCATCGCGAAGGCGGCTGCCTCGGTGGCTGCGTAGAGCTCTTCATATGAGAGTTGATCAGGCTTCTTCAACATCTCAACGAGATCATCGAGTGGGTTGAGCTCGAGATACTGACCCCGGTCGACCTTGGTCTTCTTGTAAGGGTCAGGGCGGATCAATGGCTCCGGTGCATCGCGCTTCTTGGACTTGGAGCCATGGAAGGTGTACTGCCAGGTGGTATCCACCTTGGCCCGTTCTTGTTGGTAGCCAGGGGAGAACTTTTCCACGTCATGCAGGGCCCAGATCTTGGGGAGGCGAGTCTCCATCTCTGCTTCTTGCCATTGGGCAACACGCTGGCGGTATTCTTCGGGGAAGTTGCTGCGGGGGTTAGACAGCTTGTTGATGAGTCGATCCAAGCCTTCCTGTCGCGCAGAGGCGGGGTCCTTGTGTTTGTCGGAGGTGAGTTTGAGGATGGGCTTCGTGGCCTTGGCGTTGTTGGTTCCCAGTCCTGCATCATTTTGATTGCCATTGACAGATGGAGCAGCAGTCACTGGCTCTGCCAGCTCGTCCTCGCCAACTTCGGCGTCGTGGGGCTCGCCTTCGTCACGAGGAGTGACATCATCGAAGGCATCAGCCTCGAGTTCAGCCTCGGCTTCCTCAGCTTCGGCAGTGGCTTCATCGTCGATCTCAGCGTCGACTTCAGCATCTTCTTCTTCTTCTTCTTCTTCTTCTTCTTCTTCAGCGCCTTCGATTTCGGCGTCTTGGTCATCTTCGCCGTCCTCCTCATTGAGGTTCAGCTCATCTTGCTCGTCGAAGGTGCCGTCTTCGACCTCATCATACCCCGTTTGACCAAACAGGTGGTCGGGGTGGTTGGCAAGACCGTGAGCAAGGATCACCTCTTCTTCCAGGCTCTCATCATTTGGGAGCTCAATAAGCTTCCCGCACCAGTCGCATTTGAACATCATTGGGCGGGGGTCGGGGGATTGGGAGATTTGAGTAGAAGTAGATTGAGGGCGGAAAGGTTCAGAGAACTGACGACGCATGGGGGAATCCTGACTATCACCCACATCAGAGGACGGGTTGTCCATGTCGACCAGATCAGCCCGGGGGATAGGGGCCATTGTGTGAGGAAGGGAGGAATGAAGAAGAGATGAAGAAAAGTATGAAAATGAAGAAGAGAAGAAAGTAAGTGACACCGCAGTCTACTCTTCTAGACTGGGCCAACGTGGCACCCGTCGTGCCGTGACGCAGCGAGAAATGTCTGGCGGGAGGATCTGTATAGATGAGTTAGTTTCGGGTGGGTGGTTCGCTTGCGGTGCCAAGACGCCAGTAAAGTAATCGCAGCGCAATCCGGAACCTCGCCCGGGGAAAGGGTGAGGTTGGCAGTAGGCAATCAGAGAACATGAAAACATGAAAACATGAAAACACGAGAAATACAGAGCTCCAAATGCAACGATCACGTAGAAATCACACGATGAGACATGAATATCCAGCCGAGTGCTCATGCAGCGGGTCGAGCAGGGTAGATGCAGACACGGTCGCGGCAAATTGTGTGGATCAGGATCTGACCCGAAGTGTATTTGGCAAGAGTACAAGACGCACTGGGAAAAGCCAACGGGCAACGCACGCGACAACGAGGACTTACCATCAAAGGATCAGGAGCGAATGGGGAAAGTAAAATCAACCTCGAAGAAATCCAGACCAATTACTGGCGCACTGGATCGAGGCGGTTGAAGAGGGTCGCTGGCGTGTCGAGTTGAGGTGCCAGGGATGTGTACAACGGGAGGAAGTGAAGAAGGCTGGGTGGATTCACGTTGGGAAAACAACCACCACGCGAGATGAAGAAAGAGAAAACAGATGAGAGAGGATGGAACACCCGACGAGACGATGCTTGAACTCGTCAGGAAAAGTGCGCGAAGGGGGAAAGGTGCAGAATGGGAGTGTACACGTTGGGAGAGAGATTTGTATTGTAGATGGAACAGGATGAGCAGGGCAAAAAAAGGACCTCACAGCCGCGGGACTGCAAGACCGAGAGAATGAGAAAGGGCGATGACAGAGACAGGATGAGGAGAGAAGACAGATTTGAAGAAAGATTGGGGGAGGAAGAAAGGATGGGAAGGGGGGCGAACAGGAGGAAGCTTAAGAAGAGATTTGAGGGCAGGTTTAGTTTGTACAGGTCTGAGGTTCCAGTAGTCGGGCAGGCAGTGTCGGAGTAGGCAGGCTCTCTTGCCCGGGCAGTTGGTCGTTGGTACTGTAGTCAGTCAGGACTAGGAGAAAAAGAGTGGACGCCGCGAAAAGCGTTTAGTCTCCTTTTGCTTGTCCATTACACCTGGCCCGGCTCCACCAGGCGACACGGGCCAATCAGGCTGCTGCCATTTAGTTAGCCACTGGCTAGTCAGCCACGCTAGATCGAAGTATCATGCCGGGAGGAGGACTATGACTCTGGAGTATAGAGATCCTGAGAATCATCCGAGTCCCAGGCGACGAATCGTGGTTCCAAGGCCACGAAATCGTAGGATTGCCAGCCTGGTACTTCTCTCAGAGGCAACCATGGAGGATTCTACAGGTAGCCTGACGAACTATCCCCCCGATCGAGGCAGCGGCTAACTTCCCGCCTATTCCGGAGACCACAGCAAAAGGCACGGAAATCTGTGCAGCCAGCAACACATCGGACAATCAATCTCAATAAAACACACACACACACACACACACACATTCATGACGCTCGACCGAGTAGAACGACTAGTGCCTCAATAATCACCATTCCCTCCATCCATCTTCTCTACCAAAAATGTCACCATCAGGGGCTCTTCCGCCGCAAGGGGAGGTAACTAATAGATCTGGGGACCGCATGGACAAGTCGATACTCGCACAAAGCACGTCTTTTCCAGTCGACTCTGCAATGCACGCGACCACAGCAGAAAAGAGGGTCTGGAGTAGCTCGTCACAGAATGCAACAAGAAAAAGACAAACCCCTCGCAAGTACAAGCATAGACCAGACCAGAAGGGTTTTTTTTTCGCAACTTCCCGTTGGGCCCCCTCAGGTCCGATCATCGCATCTCCAGCCCGCAAGCACAGACCGCCAATATGTATGGAATGGACATTTTTCCCCGAGTTCTCGCACCTGCACGCCGACCGTATCAAGGTTGGAAAGTGTCGCATTTCCTTTTTTTGATGTGTTTTCCATTTTAAGATCCTCATAGAAATCACCGATCTCCCGGTCACACTACAGTGGCGTTGTATTTGCGATCGTCGCGTGGGCGCTGCTTCGGATTACCTCCACTCTAGCGCCTTGACGTCGGGCTTGCTGAACTATATTGTTCCCGCTTACGAGATACTCGGTTGGTTCTCGAAAACTTCGAGACCGAAATACGAGCCTGTTTATCTACTGGGAGGAATGCCGGTACGCTACATGCTGCTTTGTATATCGATTTCTCTACCAGCTGGTTTCCAGTTCTCCATGGTTCCTTGCGCTAACGACTTGTATGCAGACCAGGGATACCACAATACCACAACAACAGACTTGCTACAAGAAGCTTACAGCTCTATAAAGACTGGCTCGTATGTCACGAGCCTGGAAGAACCATTGCTAAGCACCTACACCCTACGCCAGGTATATCGTTTGAACACTGACACAAACCCGTCCTTCTTCAGACAATATCCTACAAGCTTGCATCAGTCGAGATTGTTCTACGCTTCCGAGCCATTCTCATCAAGGCCACTTTACATTCAACTTTACATTCTTTGACAGCGTGGATGCCACTGCAAATATCAAGATGGCTGTTGTGGTGGATCAATGGACTCTACATTGACTGACATCCACGGTGTATCCAAACACGGTGCAAGATTCCAACTGACTCAACTTAACACCAAAACACGCATGCATGCATTTCCAAATTTCTACCCATCTCCCAAATCCCTAATGATTCTTCTCCCCAACATCCAACGCCACCAAAAACCGACTAACACAATTATACGCCGCAACAGTCGCCGTAATCTCCACAACGTCCTTATCACTAAAACACTCCTTCAACTCTCCAAACACCTCATCAGGCACCGTAACAGTCCTAGTCATAGCATCCGTATACCTGACGACAGCCCTCTGTTCCCGACTTAACGTCCTCTGCGCCAGATCGCTAGCAAAATCAGTCTCGGCATCCCCAATTACATTCAGCGCCTCGTCGCTGAGGCCGCCCTGCGTGAGAAGCGGTGCGTGCTGTTCCCATTCGAAGAGCGCGCCATTGATCACTGCCACGCGGCAGATTGCAAGCTCCCGGACCACGGTGGAAAGACTGGTTCGGGTGCGGATTGCCCCGATGAAGGAGTTCCAGCCGTCTGTGACGGGGAAGGAGTGGAGGAGGGCCAGGTCGAGGGGGAGGAGGGGATTTGGAGCACGGCGGGCTTGCACGTTGGAGAGGATTCGGGCTTCCTCTGGTGTGCTTGTTGGTGGAGGGTCTGGTACGTATGGGAGACGCATTGTGAGAGTATGCTATGGTTTGGGGATTGAAGACTCGAGCAGATTTGTAGAAGGATAGCTGGATCTAGAAAGCGTGTTAGTCGTCTAGTCACGGCGGGATCTTTCGTCCGAAGATACTCACGCTGTTTGTGGGAGAAACTCCAGCAGGTTACAGACTCGCTGTTGAAGTTCAAAGAGTCAATGGCTTGAGTAAGTGGCTCGGCGGGGGAAGACCGATTACTTATGCTGGTCATTCGGTATCGCGACCCCCGCATGGTCCCGCCGAGCGGGATGGATCCGAGCTTTGGGTTGTGACTACCGCGGCTATGACTCCACGGTCTCCGTGGATTACCGCTCGGCAGAGGCCTTGAATGGCACTGCAGATGCCAGTGTTAGGTTTAGTAGTATAAAACATTAGCCAGAAAAGCTGCTAAAAAGCAATATCTGTACGCCAACAACTACAGCGAGGGGCATGATAATCACTCCGCGGCTAAGCCTAGCTAGATAGTCGAGGGATTCATCCATTTTATTGTTCGTTGGGCTTTATATCCCTGTTTCCTGGGTGGGAAAAAGACATCCCTGGGTAGATGATAATTGTTCGCACTTTACAGGTCTTAGAGAATTTTGGTGGGGCTTCCAGGGCTGCTTTGGTCAAGCGCTTGTGCTTCTGCCTCCCTTATGCTGGATATATAGTTCAGAGTAGGCGCCAGGTTGAAAAGAGATAAACAAGCTAACAGCCCCAGCGAGTGACGAGTTTATCCTTGAATAAATATTTGACAATACAGTATATTCCATTTCTATCAGTTTAGCGCATAAATCTACTGCTCTCAAGGTAAGCCCGTGTTGAACTCGAGCGAATGCTGAGAAAATGTAGTTGAGCGGGTCTTGGCGCGCGGTCCCCACATGTAGTGCCGCCTTGGGAGCTCCAAACAACAGTGTCGTCACCTCTCCTGAACATACCCATCGACCCCCAAACAACCAACCATGCCTCCCAAGGGCGCAAAACCTACCAGCGATGAGCTGCTGGCTCAGTTCGATGACCTCGGCATCGAGCAGTCCGACAAGAAGCCAACAAAGCCTGCTGCTGCTGCTGCTGCTGCTGCTGCCACAACCGACAATGCACAGGGCGAGCAGGAAGACGTCTTAGCTGAGCTGGAGAAGCAAGCTTCCCAGCGGCCAAGCAGTGGCCCAGGTACCCCACGCCTATCCGCAGACAAGACACGCTCCGCGACTCGATCTCCTCGTCTTAGCGCCACGATCGACCGAAGCGGTGAGGACAAGAGTCGGTTGTCATCAGAGGTCCCTCGCCCGAGCGCACAGGAAGAACAGCAAAGGCAGGAGCCCGAGCCTGCTCCCCAGCAGCAAGAACAGAGTCAGGGTGGTGGTGGATGGTGGGGAGGTTTCTTTGCTGTAGCCGGTGCTGCTGTGAAGCAGGCCGAAGCTGCTGTCAAGGAAATCCAGAACAACGAGGAAGCCCAGCGGTGGGCGCAGCAAGTCAAGGGCAATGTGGGCGCTCTGCGAGACTTTGGTAAATATATCCTACTTCTATCGCATCTGTATATACCTATGCACGCTACTGACCATTTCTCCTACAGGCGGCGAGCTTCGCAACATGGCCATCCCAACATTCACCAATCTGATCCATACCCTCGCCCCTCCGATCTCCTCGCATGAACGCCTCCAAATCCACATCACCCACGACCTCTCCGGCTACCCAGGCATTGACCCGCTCGTCTACTCTGTTTTCTCACGGGTGATGTCCCAAGTAGAAGGCGGCGACCTCCTCGTGATCCAGCGTGGCCAAGAATCTGCACCAAAGCGCGGCCTCGACGTCGGCGGCTATATGTCTAGCACTGGCTGGAATGATGGGCCCTGGTGGCGCACCGTGACGCCCGGGACTCCGCGCACCATCAACGCCGTGCGCGGTGCCATCGAGGGCTCCAAGCTCGCCCGCGCCAGCGCCGAGAGCTACGCTACAGAATACTTCTCCACGCGGGGCGGTATCGAAGAAGCAGCGAAGCAGGCTAGCGAGGACCTCAGCGAGTCAAACCCCGTGCGCAGCAGCGATATCTTCATCGCGATCCAGGCTATCAGCCAGACCGTGTCGGCGGACCTCTTCCAGGCTGGCGCATCTGGCGAGAAAGCCGACACGCCCGGTGTGGTTGACCCCCCGGAGGCTGACGAGGAGATTGTGTTCGCGCTGTATCTGCACGACCCTGTGCACGGCATTGCCTTCCATACTATCTCGCAAAGCGTGCCGGCGAAATGGATCGAATGGCTCGATGCGTCGGCTCCCGTGTCCGAAGACCCAGACTCTGACGAGGATCTTTCCCGTGCAGTCGTCCCCGAGGCTATTGCCGAGATCGTCGAGAGCGGCGGTGTCGATCCCCGGGAGTGGGTCGCTGAGTGGGTGCAGGAGACGCTTTCGCTGGCTGCGGGTGTTGTTGCGCAGCGCTATGTCGCGCGTCGTATGGGTGTAGGCGAGGGTGGTGTTGGCAAGGGCAAGATGCGGGCTGAGCAGGCTTCGACGGTGGAGAGTGGTGCTGGGGAGGCAGCGCGTGCGATGTAGAGGGGGAGGGAAAGGTTTATGTTTCTATACTTCTGTCGTCGGTGGGCGGGAGATAGGTCTGTTGTTTATGTGATACACCCTGAGGTTTTCGAGTTGCTTGCGTATTACCAATTCCCCCCGCTCCATTAACAAATCATATCTGTTAGTGCATCGCGATGTAGGCGAGACTAAGCTTACAACTAACAAACAAGATATGCACCTCGGTAGTAATGCGGATATAATGATCTTGTTATTTCACTATTTCACATTCTCTTTTTCCCAACCATGTGCCATCCAGTATATCAATAAATCAATCTATACACAAATACGCCAGCGGCAATATCCGCTCCTCTTTTCCCCATCCATTGGACAGGAAATCGAAATCAAACCCGTGAAAAGAACGATCAAATGGGGGGTATGCGCCGCAATGCAATATGGGCCTAGCCCTGCGCCGGGTCGGAACACGAAACAAAAGAAAGAAAACATTATTTATGCATTCGTAAAGCCGTGTCGGGGGGTGTGTGGTCCGAAGACCAAAGGCTTCAATCCCTAATCCTGGTATCTAGATCTGGAGATCTCCAGATTGCTAGAATGTCGAGATCTTTATTGATCCAGGTGCAGAGGCCCGTCAAGACCGGGGACGTGCCAGAAGTTGGCGCGGAGAGCGGTGACACTATAGAACATAGATAAGCAGTCTGCCTTTTGTAGAAACAGAAACGGAAGCGACTGCTTTGCGAATCGCATCGTAGCACATACCTAGTTGATCCGTTCAGAACGGTGTGTGCATCTGTACCCTCCTCGCTCTCCTGGAGTCTCTTCTTCATGTCCGACAAGTCAGCAGACCACTTGAAATGGCGCTGCTTGCGGCTCGGCTCTTCGACGTGTCCATTGACACCGTTGACGCCGTTGGTGCCATTGACACCATTCACTCCATTCACGGCAGTCTCATCACGCTGCTCCTTGTGTACCCCATTCGTCAACGCCCCATTCCCCATCTTCTTAGTCTTCGGCTCAGTCTCGGTCTCGGCATATAAACAGCCACGCGACCAGTAATACGGCAAGGTACGCGTGTACAGAACCGGCTCGGTCTCGACATCAATGCGCATCGGGACATTGATATTATACAACTCCACCCGCTCATCCCAATGGGAAATCAAATGGTCTACAACCCGAACAGCATGCCGCGCCGCAGCGGAAATCACATCCGCAGGTTGCGCATCCTTACTACCAAAGGAAATCGCGATACCGCGTTGACCACAGAACACGGCCTCCAGGGCACCGCCCACAGTCCCCGAGGACAAATTGTAAATCGTCGAGGCATTGCGGCCATGGTTGGGGCCCGAAATGACTATGTCAATGGGCGGGCGGTCCGGGAAGAGATTGTATAACCCGAGCTGGGCACAGCTCGCTGGGGTGCCGTTCTGGATGACGACCCAGTCGGCGAGGTGTGCGGATTCCGGGGTTGGCTCGTAGTGTTCGTCCCAGGTTCCGTCGTCATGGAAGGAGTCTGGGTGGACGAAGCTGGCGGTTAGGGAGGCTTCGATGATGTGGGCTTTGCCGATCCATGAGCGTGAGGCGGAGGGGATGGCGACGGAGACTTGGTGGCCGGCGGCGTGGAGCTCATCGACTAGAGGGCGCACGTAGGGTGAGAGGCGCTTGTTGGGTGGGCCATCGTCGTTGACTAACTATTGGTGAAGGGTTAGCGAGGAGGGGTTATTCTTGAAGTGTGTTGTCCAGAATGGAAAGAGTCAAAATCCAAGTCGAATGTGGTCACATTCTCACAGATTCGACTATAGACTGCGCCAATGGACTTGGGGGGCTTTTCTTTTTCTTATTCTTGACATGGCAGTGCAGGCAGATCTTTCTCCAAATTGCCATTGCCAGGACGAGGCGACCAGAAATGCAAAGAGGCAGAAAAAGAAATCGAGGTGCGATAAGAAAGGTTCTCGTGACCAAGTTCAAAGAACCCTTTTGGCCAGGTCCACGTACCAGGATATGCATGTTGAACTACCAAACCAACTCCGAATTTCCCAGCGCCAAGGGCGTATATTGGAATCCTTTCGGATTTCTGTCCGTTCTTTTCTTTTTCTTGGTTTCTTGGTCTATAGCCGAACTGATAGAAGCGCGTCTTCTACCTTATTCGTCGTCACCTGGTCGAGCCGGGGGGTCTGCTGGGCGTCTAGATCGAATTTGAAGGGAGGTATCGAAAAGAAAAGCACCGTGAGACTTCACGGAACAGTCATCTCCACGGGTATTATGTACTTCTTAATAAGGGGGAGGCAAAGAACCGCAATTGCTGGATAAGGATTGAGCCATTTGAATTCCCGACACACACCGGGGAAACTGGCTGGGCACGGTGAAGCTGTTCGGGCTGCGGGGGGGGCGGCAGTTGGGACGAGCAGGGCCGGATGGAGTCTGCGGTGAACCGATCCGTCGAGTCTGGTGACGCTGCAGAGATTAGGGCTGGACGATGATACGGAGAATCATGGAAATGGCGATGAGGATTATTATCCGAGTGCGTGGTGGAATGGTCTCTACGGAGGATCTTCTTCCTAGTCTTGATTGACCTTGGTGGAAGTCTCTCTGACGAGAAGTCTGGATATAGTTCGAGTTCGGGGGGCAAAAAGTATACTAAAAGTATATGTACGACTGTATCGTGCCAAACCTGGGAGGAAATCTTGCCAAGATACAGGGATCCAGCCTGAACAACAGAACTGCAGTATACAACTCAGATACTGCAGACTGGAGTTACTACGGTACAGTAAGTAGTATCTAGAACTAGGAAAATTGCGGATAGTGATCTAATTACCCGAATCATCCTAGTCCATGACTAGGACTTATGACTTATTTAAGCACGGAGTACAGTCAGGCTAACGTTGTCAAACTCGACAAACAGGGACTTGGTTAACTTGACTAGTTTCATCCTGACAGGACTCCGTCGGGGAGTATGCATGCTCGGTGCTACAGCGTACGCCGTAGTCCCTGGTCTGGATCTGATTCATGTCCAGATGCAATTTTTTTTCAACTTACCTAAGGAGGATAGGGTTAGGTTAATAATCATGCCCTCGACTCCAGTACCCGGGACCCATGGTCACTGGTCAGTGGTCCTCGACTAGTTATCAGGGGCAATTTGCTGATCGACTCACGTAAGATCATTCCACCTCGTGCCCGTCAGTGATCAACAGGCCGTCTGCACAAGAGTTGGCAACTTGGCATATTGGCGTCAATTCACGAGTCCCAGGATTGGCCTTGAAGAATAGTACGGCAACACTGTATTTCTATAACAACTAGCTAGAATGTCAACAATCCCTCACTAGCATACATTATTACTCCCCTAAGGAAAACCAACACATCTCCTCTGAACTCCCACTACCTCCTCCCAGTACAAGCCAGTTCTCAACGGCGGTCTGTGCGGCTCCCAAGACACGCTAGAGACGATCGCAACACGCAACACTTTGTGGTGGGGAAAGTCAGCCATCTTCTTCCCCTCGACCTGCCATCATCATCATCATCTCAACCATCTTTTTCTCGAGCCTCCTAACCACCAACCCCTTCGATCTCGACTCTCGCACCCTCGGTCCCTTGTCGCGACCGATCATTATCCCTTCCTCTTCTACTCCCGCAAAGTTCGCCAAAAGACCCCTCCCGGTCTTTTTGCGATCTTTGCTCCGGCTTGGTCGGCAACCGACGACAACTTCCCAATCGCCTCACCTGAATGGACTGTGGAAGCGCTGCAACGGCTGCGGGGATCGACCCCAAAATTCTCGATAACTGGCAAACCGACGGTGCCTTTTCTGTCGCCTCGTGGGAACACCTTGGATACGATCAACCCCCCGAGTGGGATACCAGCCAGGATTCAAGCCAGTGTGCCGATGTCGCCGACCTAGGCGCCTTTCATGACCCGCTAACGGGCGCCCTGCTCGATCGCCCCCGCGATATCCAGCATCTGGACAATAGGTGCGCATCCATTCCCATCCACGATTGTCGCTGCGCGGAGGAGTCAGCTCCGATACGAGAGCAATACGAGGTACATAGGACATGACTAACGGGGTTGGCCTTGTGTCGTCTAGAAATCACGATGTAACGGAGAACTTCAACTACACCGATGGCGTCGTCGAGGGCACTGGTAGCGGTACTATCAGCCCTCGCACGCTGCCCTCGTCGGCCGACGACAACTTCCACGCCGAGGAAACGTGGCCGCACTTTCAACTGTTCAACTCGGTCGCAGCGGGCGTGAACCTCGAGCATCCTATGCTCTATCCATATGGCAAAGCCCCGAACAACTCGACCGGCGCGGTCATTGTGGAGGACGTGGGAGAGATGCCCCAGGGCCAAGGATTTTCGGATGCTTCGGCCGAGGCCATCATGTTCCAGCAGATCCCGCCATCGTTCCCAATGATGGCAGAGCAGTGGCCCGAGATCCCCCACGGCATTTCCTTGGACAATCTTCCTGGCCAAGGACCTATTCCACTAGCCGTCAACCAGAATAACTCCAAGAGTCTCAGTCTGCGTGACTTCCAACCATCTATTCGATCCCTCGAGTCCCGATGGCTCAACAGCCTGGAGTCACAACTCCCCGTGTCGCAGATGACCTCTGCTCTACACACGTCACAGAAGAACACCCAGACCGCTCATGATGGATTCCAGTACAAGTCCGAAAGCTCCTCAGTTTCGGGCGATATTTCAGGAATCTACGAGTGTTCGTACTCCGCTACGAGCGACGACGCCCCGGCCTTTGCTGCAGATCGCCAATTGGAAGATGATGCGCAGTGGAAGATTCCCACTCCCGACGCAAGTTCCCCGGAAAGTGCACCGTCGATGGCCAAGGCCACTGCGTTCATGGTCAGCGAGACTTCTCCCGAATCCCTCATCAGCACGATCCCCTCGCGATCTCGGGCTTCCTCGTCTGCTGGTCAACGCCCATCAGGCCGCCCCATGGCTCTTGCCATGCAGTCTGTGGCTACAGTGCGGAAGCGCAAAAACCGCTCCACCGGGTCCTCCATGGATCAGGCTCTGCCAAAGCCTTTGCAGATTGTTCAAGAGGATGGCCAAGGCGGGTCCATTGCGTCTGCAGACTTTGTGTCCCCTCCGCGAGGCGCTCGCCGCAAGGGTCCGCTGAGCATGGTCGGGCGCGCTAATGCTGGCCTGCGCCGTAAGAACAAGGACACCTGTGTCCAGTGTCGGCTGAACAAGCGCAAGGTCAGTGTTGAAAACAACTAGCAGATCTACTTGAGCACGACGGAAACTAATTAAAACACAGTGTGATGGAAGTTCACCATGCGATGCCTGCCGACCCACTCTCAACGAGCAACCCTGCGCTCGTGCGTGCTTCTCTAGCATTGTCGAGTTTGGAACCTGCAACTACATCTGTACGTCCCATCTTCCTCAGCCGATTATAAAGCAAATAAACTAACTCGATCCAGCTCAACGAGCTGTCAACCACCCAACATTGGATGGCACTGGCAGAGTTCGGATGGAGATTCCATCTGAATTCGACCTAAGTCAACTCTTGTCTTTCCTCAACGAGCGCCAGGGACGGTTCAACATCCGCGCCAGCCAGGGATGGGGCTCGCTGTATGTTCTTGACCTCGGTGAGACTCAGAAGTTCCTCAAGAGCCTGAGCGAGTACAACGGCAACTCCAAATCGACTTTCCTGGATTTCATTGATCGTCGCATCATTGAATCTAAGGACAAGTCTAAGAATTGGTTGTCATGCGTCAAGGACTGCGACCCAATGGCCCAAGCCTATGTGAGTTGCACAGGACCCTCACCATCAATATCATGCCACTAATCCCTTCAATAGACTTTGCTTTCGCGATGGAACAACATGCCTTCCCGCGCTAAATACACCTTCGTGCCCCTTGACGGCAACGGAGAAGAACGCCCCATGGACATCAACAATCCGGAAGAGCGACGCGACATTCTGCTGGCCGCACAACTCTCCCGCATCATCTGCCGCATGCTCGAAGTGGAGGGCTTCCGCAAACTCGAGCGCGACTTCTACAACATCAAGTGGAAGCAAATCTCGCACGAGACGCACATCCGCTTCCTGGGCGAATTAGGTCAGATCCTTCTCACACTGCGTTGGCGCGTGTCGTGGTGGAAGCGCCTAGGTGACGGCGGTCAAGCCCCCGACCCATCCCAGCAGCACTACATCGACCGGGTCGACCTCCTATGCCGCATCCTGTACGTCTACTACACCTGCGTACTGGCCAAGTTGCCGTCGTGGTCGATGGCCGATGTGCCCAAGGGCATCTGGTCGTCGTACGCGGACTCGGAGAACGCAGTTTGGGATGACTTCCCATCTGATGCCTCCGACGCGGGATTCCAGGCTTGGCTAGAGCATGGCCAGGAGCTGATCGAGCAGGCCGGCGTTCCGGCCAAGGTCTCCAAAATCTAAAGAGACGTGGAGCCGGAGCGCTGTACTACTGTGCAGTGCAATACATATATGGCAAAGGACAGGCAAGGTGTGGGCGGCACTGGAGTTGGACTTATAGATACCCTGATTTCTTTTTTATTTCGTTTCCTTTCTTGGTTTATATTTTGGTTCGATTTATTTTTTCTTCTGATCTTGCGTGCTTTGGATGGATCACGACTACTGATATACTCATTACTTTGACTCCTCTTTTGGAGTATACCTTGTCCACTTTCCCATCCGTTTATGATTTACGATCTCTGCTTCCGGTTTTTTCTATCGACAGAACTTGTTGGCTCATCTTCAACATGACTCTCCCTGCTCTGCGACTGAGTTTTTTTTTTTTTTTTTTTGGATTCTTTTGTACATGGATTTGAGCTTCCTGTTACATACTTTGTTTTCTTCTCGCGAGAGTTGATTTAAAAGATTCGATTAGACCAAACCTGGATTCTCCTTGGTAAGCCTGTTAACCCAGGAGCCCGCTTTCGAGCGGTCTTGAAAGAAATCCATGCACCGTAGTCCATCGGTGACCTTGCTGGCTTGCGGGTACCGGAGCAGATACACCACACCCATGGCAATAAAGACTCTCCAAGCACAGATCGACGTAATAAAAACGGGGTATCACATTTATAAGACCGCATTACTGACGAAAACATCTAGCCCAGCTCAGCCCTGCACAGATATCAAGTACACGGCACAACCAAGACCAAACACTCCTAAAGAACCATATACAAGCAACCCTTTGCCTTTGCCTTGCACCATCTTATTTCTTCTTCCCACCCTTATCACCATGATCCTTCTTCCCACCCTTCAACAACTCCAAATGCCCCGCCTTAGTCGCAAGACTGCGTTCCGTCTTCGTAACAAGCCCGGACGTGAGTTTCTGCAAGCGCAGAACTGTCAGTATGATGCGTCCACAAAAGGACGGAAAAGGGTTGATAGATAGTCCTGCACTCGCGTGGGGACATCCGAGGACTTTGGCAAGGGTCGGTGCATGTGCATACCTTGGTCATTTTGGCCTGTCTAATGAGGGATTGCTTCTTGGGTGCGATCTGTCGGGGACCGCGCTTTGTTTTGGAGGCGGCGAGGGAGGAACTAGTTATATAATGAGGGATTAGACTTCTAATGGGAGATCTCTTTTTCGTCGTTTTTGGTTGAGTGTGAGCTGGTCTTACCGCTTGGCGGTTGCCGTGGCGGGCTTGCTTTTCTTGAGAAGACCCTGCGCCATGGTGATATGTCGAAGAAGGGGTGGGGAATTGAAAGGGATCGAGTACTGCCAGCAGCACGGGTTGATCTTGGTAGGAGTGTGCGGTGTGGACTAGGGCAGGACGAGGAGGAGGAGTAGGAATTCTGAATTCTGAATTGGAAGGGTACTGTGGTGGTTGTCGGGGAAAATTCCTTATCGGAGTGAGTATGACTTATCGGGAACCACGTGACTGGGAAAATATACTTGGGAAATGGACCAATCACGATCTGATTTTGCGTGCGCGTAAACGTAAACACGTCGATATGTACTTTGGGGAGTGGCATGGTTCGTAGCATTTGTACATCGATTCTGCATGGCAAACAGGGTCCTCTCGAGGATAAGAGAAATGAAATCACTGGCTTTTTTTTATAGCCAAAGCCGTATTTCAGGTACATAATATAATGGACATGGATACCAAAAGAATACCAGGCTTTGAGGAGTCCACTAAACGCCTAGTCTCAGTGCCTATTTCTCAGCCCAGAACTATTACCCGTCTCTCTTCATGGCCCTGTAAATTGAGATCATTCATTAAGGAGTATGCTACTACCCCTAATAAGAAGCAACCAGGTGGTGCAAATTTATATGAGTCGATGTTACCACTTCTCAAGTGTAAACAGCCGTCCTGCTGACGGCCGTAGCTGGATCCTCTCACAATCTCAAGATGCTTGTGGCTTCATGCAACGGCAATGATATGGATCAAAAAGAGGTCACAAGGTCATACGGCGTGTCGTTTAAATAGAGATGGTTAATGGACGTAAATAAGAAACATTGACAGAGTCAGGAGGTCGCCAATGAATCAGGTCTTTCTACTGGGTCATTCGAGGGTCGTTCTATGCGACATCGGGACGAGAATCCAGCTAGCCTGAAATTCTGAATAGCTCCTTTTAAACTTAGATAGAAGCGCCGATCGTTTCGCCGTATAAGATAACCAGATCCCTACAAGGCTGGGGTGGGTCTTCCTCATAGCGTCCCACGGTTATATCTACATCTACATCTACAAGCCAACCTAGAACAGAACCAGAGCATAAAAGGCATGGAACGTGACATTACAAGTCCGGGAAGGGCTTGAATTCCCTTGAACATACATCCGAAAGAAAAAACATGGTATTGAAACGCGCACAAGCCCAGCTCAAATAAAAAGATAACAAAGAGTTTTGCATAATCAAAGTCAAGATGTTCAGATAAAAAAAGGGTTCGATAATCTCCTCATTAATGGTCCTGGCGCGGGCGAATAGTAACTCATACACACACACACAAACCAGATTCTTGTTGGAGGTCATAAGAAAGGTAAGATAAAATGCAGGAGGGTGCGCGCAAGTCGAAAAGATCGATCTGTAGATGGGAAGAATACCGCCGCCCTACTCGCAAAAAGCAAGTGAGGGGGGTGGGGTTTCAGTCGTGTCACGACACATCACATCGAACATCACAGTCCCACGTGGCTACACGCCCCCGCCCTGCAGTTCCCTTTTAAATTGAGATTAGGATCTCAATTTACAGGGCCATGAAGGCAGCGACACCAGCGACAACAGCACCGAAGGAGATGACGTTGCGACCGGCAGCGTTGAAAGCAGTGGTGGAGGTAGGCAGAGCAGTGGCAGTGGAGGTAGAGGTGGCGGTGGCAGTGCCAGCGGGGATGTAGGGGGTGCTCTTCAGGGTGCTGGAGCTAACGGGGGAAACGGCAACACGGGAGGAAGAAGCAGTGGGAGCGGGAGTCTCAGTGGTCTCGGGGCAGATGGTGGTGGTGACCTCCCAAGAGCTGATGACGGTGGAAACGGCAGTAGAGCTGCTCTGATCCTCGGGGCAGTAGGTGGTGGTAACATCATCGATGACGGTGGTGATGGTCAGCTTGGAGGTCGAGGAGGAAGTGGCAGTAGTGTGGGAACCGCTGGGGGTGGTGATCGCGGTGGTAGCGGTGGTAGCGGTGGTGGTGGTAGTGGAGCCCTCAGCCTTGGAGAGACCGAACTGGGTAGACCACTGGTAGGCACCGTGGTTGGCACCGGCATCCTCGACGACGATCAGGAGACCGTAGTGGGTGACATCGGGGGTCAGGCTGGCGCTGGGGGTCCAGACAAACTCGCCGGAGTTGGGGATGCTCTCAGCGATGGTCGCGATGGGCACGACGTTGGTGGAGGGACCGCGCAGGAGGACGATGGAGACGGTCTTGCCGAGGTCGTGATCCCACTTGATGGTGTAGGGCTTGCCCTCGGGGACCTGCTCGTTCAGGCCGGGGGCACGGACGGCGTTACCCTGAGGAGGGTTGGAGTAGTCGGGGGTGGTGTAGGCAGCAGCGAGGGCCGCGAAGGCAGAGACGAGAGCAGCAACGGAGAAGCGCATTGTGATGGATTTAGACTGCAAAGAGTGACTGGAGTTGGTGGTGGTGGTGGTGGGGGAAGGGAGGATGCACGAAGGCAGCAAAGAGCGACTGGAGTTGGGAAAGAATGACTGGTGGGTGGGATGAGAAGGAGAGAAAAAGAGAGAAGAAGAAGAGAAGGAGGGGAGTGGCCGTGAAATAATATAAGAAAGCGAGGGAAATCATCCAAAAGGAGGAGGACCGGGGGGTCAGGGTCGACGATTGGGGAATGGGTGATTTCCGTATGACAAGGTACAGAGCACCGAGTCCACTATACTCTGTAGAGTACCCTAAACTCACCCTCGACCTTTGATATTCGACGGAAGGACGGAGACAGGCCCGTTGGAGTGGAGTCCTCCACATCCACTACGTTTAATGTGGATTAGGTTGTACGGAGAGGACTGAATTTATTTTACTACGCTTGTACTGTACCCGACAGTCCAGAGAGAGGGACACAGGGCCAAGCATGCCCAGGCCAACCAGGCTGCCAGTCTGCGGTCATAGTGGGGGTCTCCTCCAAAGTCTACTTTTCCAAGCGACGGTCGGTTCCTGACGGCGTTGTTTGGTTGGGTACAGGGGATGGAAACGAGGCGCAGGGACAAGTATACCAGTCAACCAGACAGGTTGATGGAGAGAGATTGAGCGCTGTCACCTCTGCAGGAACATGCCGCTTGACACGAAGAGCCAGCTGGGCGAGACGGTTTGACATTGTGATCAAAAATATGTGGTGATAAATAATATAATAAATAATACACGGTGACTCTCGTAGTACTCCGTCCAGGATGGAATAATAATACCAGGCACAGCCGCAGGGCCTGAAATTGCGACGGTGTCATGCTTCCCTCGCCTTGTGAGTTGTTACCCTCGTGGGGCATGCAGGTCACTGGCTCGTGGAGATGCGAAGGAGGTTTAGCCTGGTTTTTGGGGTACAGGAAAACCCAGTACGGTGCTACGCTTTTATGTAAATTCTTGAAGCGACAAGGCTGGCAACACACTGAGTCGAGTCCAGACCTTCCGCAGCGTCCTCCATCGACATCTTACGATGGAAGAATATGGAGATGGACATCTTCCCGTCGTATCCGTTGGAGGCTCTCCGTGGGTCCAAAGGGTACTCGAGATTACAGTAAATGATTACCGTGATAATTACGGGATAATACCACGCTAATGCCAGGCTCATTTCGCAGGGCCAGAGATGCTGGGCCCTGATTTGCTTGAGAATGCTGGTTGTAAGATTAAATGCCAGTGCCGAGCCTGGCTAGTCTGTATGGGGCCAGTGGGAAATGACTGGAAGAGTATCTCCGTCCATCATACTGGAGCAGGAGGGTGGAATGGGGGGAGAAGTTTAAAAATAATCGTACTCCATCAGGGGCCAGGAATGATGGTCTCAGCTATTATTATGATGATCATGATGAGAATCACGGTTATAGATCGTTTGTGATCGGCGCAACTCCCATTTTCATCAAGGATCTACCCAGAGTCAAGACAAAAGCGATAGATAAATAGAGACTAACAACAAAAACAAAAACCAAAAAGAACAAAAAAAAAAAAACCGAGATCCAAGTGGGACATGGTGGTCCCTCCGGAGAATATCCGGTCAAACCGTTTGACTCGCAGGGATGCGATGGATCCCTTTTAGAATGACGACCCTGAACTACCTGTAGAGGATGGCAGGGTGATCCTAAAATTGCAGTCATACAGTCATACTCCATCCAAATCTTCCAGAAGCAAGTGTCCGACTCCTCTGTAGAAAAATAACAAAAAGAAAAAAAAAAAAAAAAAGCTAAGACACGATTCGCAATGTCCCAAAAAAAAAAAAAAAAAAGCCGAATCAATTTCCGGGCCAACTCAACGGCGAAGGCTGAGTGGACGCCACCGCCTCGTGTCAATTCTCCCCCTACCCATGCCAGGACCAGTGATGACGCCCAGTCTTTAGAGTCATCCTGGCCAGACCCTGGAAACATTACTGTATCGCTTCCCTCGACTTCCTTCTGGATGTTCACGACTCTCTGTGGTCTGTTGTACCAACATCATATCGTGACGATCGTGGACACCACCTCCACACCCGCTCCCTCCAGTTCATCGGCGCATCCAACACCACCGGGAGAGATCAACCGGTGATCAGGGGCAGAGTTTACATCAGCGAGGACCTCCCGACAACTCTACCCGGGACCACGCGGTGGTTGCGTGCTTGGGTTCGGGCCACTCCTCATCGCCTAACGATGAATCCCACCAACGATCAAAAAGCCTGTACGGCGTACAGCGTACGGTACACTCGCACAGATCAAGTCAGAGTGGCTGATGGCCTTGATCGAATGGGAAATTTCACTTGTCTCAGTGCCGCGCACGGGCATTCGCCCTGACTGCGAATTTCCTGTTCCTGAAAGAACCAGCGCCGGTGGAGACGCACGCTAAACTAGCTTGGGGATACGGCCGAAGTTAGACTGCTCGTCTCCGTTATCTTCATTGGATCAGTTGGATCACCTTGTGCCTCGCTGCCCCTCTCTCGCATTTCGCCGCAATCACTTTCGTCCTGGGCGGGCTGCCCAACTCGCCGCATGCTGAGTTGCTAACTCCCCGATTTTTTCGACCTGGCACCGACACTATTGAAGTCCGGTCCGTGGCTCCCAGCGCTCAAAATAGCAATCAAGCTTGACTTTCTCCAGCACACTGTTCTTGTGAACTTTGTCGTATCTTAGCAATCACCTGTCCAGTTCCCACTCGTGGGATACGATTGCCACTTGAGTTGAGCATGAACAGGCACGGTCGCTTGGCCAGCTCGGCCCGGATACCGCTAACACAACATGGCCAGTGCTAAATCGCAATCTAGTTGTCCAAGTTACGATTGGACCTGCAGGAACGAGGGCGGTTCAAAAATTTTACCTCCACGGATGCACCTGGTTTTTTCTTCGAGGTAACCATGCGTTGTCTATGGAAAATAGTCCAGTATGCATGCATACATCATAATTCCTCCGAACGGCCCCATCTCAAGGACCCTTTTCTCTAGGCGCCGTGATCCGAGCCTCGGTACGATACTGTACCAACGGGGCAAAGACAATACCCTCATCACTTTTCGCCTATCTCCATTTCAGATTCCCAGTCCCGTCTTACACTTGCCTTGTTCCGTCATTCTTGGCGAGGATTCATGAGTACTGTATGGAACAGGTCCGATCGTCAGCTGGCCTCCCAACCGCTGGGACCTTGTAAGACAACGCCTCAAGCGGCTGACAGTATGTTGCTCGAGCCTTGGCAGATGGTCTCGCTCACTCGTGGCCAGCCTCCATGCTATTTTCAGTGTCTGGTGGAAATGAGACTTGCCAGGCCCCAACCTGCCGGGCCCTTCTCTCTCCTTAACGACGTAACTTATCCCCTACGACAATGTACAGTAAGCATGGAGGATGTATTAGTTATTGCTTATGTGCAGTACTAGCTCTCTCACATCCGTCCAGAACAAGGCTACGTAACATACAAAACACCCCAGGCCTAGATGCCAGAAACTCGCCAGATCGCGCCTTAACGCCCACAAGCCCAGTCCAGCGCCTCAACCACATTCACCAGCAATAGCAATGGGTCCACCTACACTTTGGCCAGATTCCCCTGACGCCTGGTAAGATGTTATTCTCCGCCGTCCTGGTGGTGGAGCAACCGGGATCTGGGATTTGGGAGCGTCAGATTGTTGCTTTTCAAGTTGTCAGCGGCTGTCTTGATATGTCGAGTTTAGGTATCGCTATCGATAAAGGACGGTGATGGTTGAGGATGCCATTGGTGTTTTTGTCGTTGGAGCGTCATTCGCCAGGGAGTGCCGTGCTGAGCATGTATTTTGCCTGATAATAGGCTGCTAGCGAGCGTGTTGTAGACAACGACCTCTAGGAAATAGCGGCGACAGCAGGGAATGATCTGCGTTGACGTTGCGCGCTCATCTCTTTCTCGTCTGCTAGATCATGTCTGATGTAGATTGTGCTTTCTAGAATGTAGAAATGACGAATAGCTTGCTGGCGGCGCTGTACATGACCTGGTAAATAGTTGGACGCACTCCTTCCTGGCTCTGCGCACAACACCATAACATTCGCAACTTCCAACGTATAATTGCCGATAGACGAACAAATTTACCCTCTTGATCCATCTCACCAACAGCCTCCACGGTCTCTACAAATGGTACCGATTGATCTACGGTGTGGAAATAGAATTTTCAGCCGCTCCTGTGCTTCGAGGCAATCAAAGCTCTGGTCGAATTCGTCGAGGCTAGTGATTCCTGTGCTTTCTTTTGATTTCGGTGCTCGAAAGGTCATCACGGTCTCCATAATCTATGGGTTTGACGTCGATAGCCTTGAGGCTATGATCTTGAATATCCGTAGACATTGGACTTGAGAATCTTTGATGGACGGGTATAAATCTTCTTCTTGCACCGATCCTGCTTGTCCCTCTCTACTCCTTGATGAAAATTCCTCACAGTAAGATATCTCGATTGGCACAGCCAATCTACTTGAGCCATGATTCATTCACCTTCCAAACCTCCGAATTAGAGATGTGGACCTTGTTGAGTTGTCGAGGTGCTGAGAATCGGCAACATGGTGCTTCGCCGAAGTGGAACCAACCATCGACACACTCGAGGGGTTTCTCTCTCCCTTCCCATGTATAAGATGGCTTTCAAGAACCCAATGAGCTATACGTTATTGGATGTGTGGGGGTTTCAGCTGGATACAGTGTTCTGCGTGATAATATCTCAAATAATAAGGACACTCATGAAATACGAAGGCTCAGTGACTGGAGGACGCTCCCCAGCTACGAAGTAGCGATGAATCAATGGCGAGAACAAATTCAAATGGTACATAGGTTTATTTGGATGTTAGAAGCATCATTTATTTCGGCTGGTGTATGTGAGACCTGAGTTAGACCTGATAGTGGCAGTGTAGGAGAAGCCTCGTATATCGTTTAGTTGATATAAATTTGACAGTCATGGTAAGCAGTTAACAGGTAGAGACCACGATTGAAAAAATGGCTTGGTCATTGATTCGTTGAACCTTTAACAATTATACCCGGGTATCTAGGTTGGCCGTTAGAGGATGTTATGATTCTGACATTAGTATAGATTCCTCGAGTCGAGCAGTAGAATCATGCTCGCAAAGCCAAAGAATCTTCTTGCACCCTCTTCAATCTCTCACTCTCAAAGTGGTTGTTGGATTGAGCTCAGATGTTCTTATCTTATTCTTCGAGAAGTTATTGGATTGTTGTGTTCCCTCGCAGAATTGGCCTGGTAGGAGAAGGGAACATTTAGCCATTCACATAGACATGGCCTAACCCGTGAGTGATTTTCTCATAATGTGCACCTAAGCCACCAGTAATAACTTGTATTTGAGTAGCCAGAATACCATCCGGGTGAATGCAGCTGAGAGGCCCTGCAAAGATGAAGATGGGTTGTCACTCGGCAAGATTTCGGGTCACCGACCAGATGATCGGGTAGTAGCATCTTTCCAGGAACTATAACAGGAACGCCATCCATAAATATCAATGAATAATAATTTCCAAGTCGGGTCATAAAGTCTTCTTGGACCTTCAATGTTCACAACCAAAGCGCGCTGTCTCGTACCGAAGCTTCACCGTCAATTCGTCCTCTCCCGCAAAATTCAAAGTCGAAACTACTACCATCTAGCCCCTGCTGAAAAGAGTCATCTCATTCTACCCAACACAAACATGACGAAACAGTACCTTGATCTCCCAGTTGCTCCGGCAGATCTCGCATTCGGCTTGATGGCTGAGTTCGACGCGGACCCCCACCCAAGCAAAGTGTCCTTGATTGCAGGTGCATACCGTGATGAGAATGGATTACCTTGGATACTACCAAGTGTAAACGAGGTATCATATACCCACTTTCCCCCCAAATATGAGTTTAATTAGAGACAGAGGGATACTGATCTGCCATCCAGGCTAAAGCTTGTCTTGAAAAGAACTCGAATCACGAGTACCTAGGCATAGCCGGCTCACCCGAATTCATCAAACTCGCCCAGTCTCTCATATTCGGGGAAACATCCGAAACAATCAAAGAGCATATCGCAAGTATCCAGACTGTATCAGGTACCGGCGCAAACCACATGGCAGCGCTCTTCCTGGCGAAGCATCTTCGTCCACAACGCGTCTTCATTCCGTCTCCTACATGGGTAAATCACCAATCTATCTGGACTATGGCTGGCGTCCCCCATGAAGAATATCCATATTATTCGTCGGAAACTCGCACCGTCAAACTGGAAGGGATGCTTGCAGCCCTAGAGCAAAAAGCACAGCCCAACGACGTAGTCATTCTCCAAGCCTGTGCACACAATCCAACGGGCGTGGACCTATTCAAATCGCAATGGGCAGAAGTAGCCCGCGTCATCAAACGAAAGAATCTATTCGTCGTCTTCGACAGTGCATACCAGGGTTTCGCGACTGGAGATGTTGACGGCGACGCATGGGCTGTTCGATACTTCGTCGAGCAACTGATTCTAACCGCTGAATCGGACTCAACGCACCCTGGCCTTTGCATCGCCCAGTCCTTCTCCAAGAATTTCGGTCTGTACGGCGAGCGGGTCGGAGCTTTGCATCTGGTTGTCCCGCGTCACTTGTCGCCTCAAGGTGCGCAATCCGAATTGATGTCCATCGCGAGATCGGAGTACTCGAACCCGCCGCGTTTCGGGGCTAGTATTGTTCAGACTGTGCTTGGCAGTCCCCGTCTTAGGGACCAGTGGCAAGCAGATTTGAACACGATGAGTGCTAGGATCATGGTGATGAGACGTGCGCTCCGACAGAGACTGGAAGAGCTTGGGGCACCTGGTAACTGGTCGCACATTGAGAGCCAGATTGGGATGTTTAGCTATACCGGGCTAACACGCGAACATGTGCAGCGTCTACGGAATGAGTTCCATATTTACCTATTGCTCTCGGGCCGAGTGAGTATCTGTGGATTGAATGAGGGTAATGTCGATTATGTGGCGAGGGCTATTAGGGAGGTTGTGAGGACAACAATGTGATTCATGACGAGGTAGCTCCGGGTATGTTGTACGTCTGTTGGATTGTGCAAAAGCCCCAGTGATATCATAAGTATCATTGTACTGTTTCTCAAAATGTAAATTGAAAAAGGAAGAAATTCATAGCCCGAAGGAAACCATCACTTCGTGACTGTTTCACGCTATCTACAATGGGGTTGAGGGGTATCTATGCCTATTTCGATTATCAAGATCGATCAGGCCACCACTCGCATGATGCGACTAATTCGATTTAGTAGTCGCAGGATGTCCCCATTAATAAGCCAAAGGCTAAGCCAGCCTGGCCCCAAAATGATCCGAGCTCGCAAATGCTACCACAGTGGGGGCTCCTCTTCACCCTCCCCTGGCAGTTTTCACTTATTCCATCCAGGTGACAGTCTTGGTTTGCAGGAACTCATCGTAACCAGTGGCACCGCCGAAGCGGCCGAAACCGCTGCTCTTCCAACCACCGTGGGGCAGGCCAGGCTCATCGTGAACAGTTAGGGAGTTAATGTGAACGGCACTAGAGGAAAGCCCGGGTTAGAGGCCATGGTTCGATGAAAGCCGGGAGTATCCGGTGTAACTTACCCAGACTCAATCTGCTTGGCGACACGAAGACCGCGGAACAAATTTTGAGTGAATACGGCCCCGGTCAGGCCGTACTCGGTGTCATTGGCCACAGCAATGGCTTCATCCTCGGTATCAACCACAATCAAGGACACGGTTGGGCCGAAAGACTCGGTCGCATACAGGTCCATCTCCTTGGTAACTCCGTCGACGATGATAGGGCGCATGCATGTGTTGACGGACTCATTGGCACTGGCATCTCCGAAGAGGACATTAGCGCCGCGAGAGACGGCATCCGAAACGAGCTTCTTGTTCTTGGTGACGGCGGCGGCGTTGACGAGGCTCTGAGCCGGAGCATCCTTGCCAAAGAGCTGCTCGGCATTTGCGACGAGCTTCTGGCGGAATTGGTCGGCGATAGCACGTTGCACGACGATGCGCTCGGTGGACATGCAAATTTGTCCCGACTAGAGACGGGATGTCAATACAAACGTTAAAACAAAAGAATGTCGACTTATACGTACGTGCAGGAACGATCCAAGCGCACAGCTCAGGGCCGCCTTATCGAGGTCTGCGTCGTCCAAAACAATCGCGGAAGCCTTTCCGCCCAGCTCCAAAAGAACGGGCTTGATGTACTTGCCGGCAGTCGAGGCAATAATGGAACCAACATTGGTGCTACCGGTGAAGTTGACCTTGCGAACGGCAGGGTGGGCAATCAGAGCGGTGGTAACAGCCGCGGCATCGGAAGTCTGGTGGAACACCACGTTCAAGCATCCGGCAGGAAGACCCGCCTGGCGGAAGATATCCCCGAGGGCCCAGAAGCACTTGGGGGAGAGCTCAGAGCCCTTCAGGACGACAGTGTTACCGGCAGCGAGGGGCAGAGCGACTGCGCGCATGCCCAGGATGAAGGGAGCGTTCCTAGAATTCACGAAATGTCCATGATTAGTGATGTAAACCTAAGATGTAATCTTTGCACGGAAGCGCCTTCAGTGGGCACGCAACACTTACCAGGGCGCAATTGACAAGATCACACCGTACGGCTCCTTATAGACCATCGCGCCCTCTCCATCCACGGTCACGTTGGGCACGACACCTTCGATCGTGGAAATACGCGCCGCAAAGTCCTTGATGAAGCTGACACCCAATTCGAAGGTTGTTTCGGAAAAGGGCCGCCCCGCACCAGTCTCCTCTTGCTGGTACGCGATCAGCTCCTCCTTGCGCGCAATCATGACCTCAGCAGCCTTGAACAGAATATCGCGGCGGTCATATGCCTTGGTCTTGCTCCAAGCGGGGAAGGCTGCCTTTGCGGATTCAATGGCGTGAACCGCATCGTCGACCGAGGCACCAGCACAGTAGCTCGACAGCTCGCCCGTGGCGGGGGCGTGGACCTCGAACTTGACGTCGGTCACAACGGACTCATTGTTGATGAGGAGCGGAATCACCGCATTGGAGTTGTTCTGAGCCATGACGAGTTCTCTCGTTTGGGATGTAGGTACGTGGTGTGCGATCAGGGGGTTCGACCGGGGAAGGAAATGCAGGTTGAGAGGGGTACATTTAACGCAGCAAACATCGGGTAGCTGATCCTACCGCGTAGAGGGGATGTGGGGACGCACCGGGGAGGGGGGCTGCGGATGCAATCAACCGATGGTTAACTCGGCCATCGACTGTATCTCCGGGGGGTGACCCCGGGTCCAAGGTGGGATGGAGGATATCTCCGCGAAGCTATAAAACCTTGGGCCCCAGTTGGCCAGAGTTGAGGATGTCAATTGCCCGAATTGCGAACCGAGTGGGGGACCAACTCCCGAGATTCACTTCCACGAAAACCCAACTGGGCCCTGATTGGCCCGGCGCAATTCAAGGTTAGCTGACTAAGCGGAAAGTTGCCGGGAGAGTTCCGACGTGTACTTGGTAAGTGCTGACGGATTTCCAGCCACAGACATAGAAGATAGTATATATGTGAGATCGACAGACCGGATCCTCGCATCAGTTGATCTGCAGTCGAGGCAGAACGGATCAAATCATATAAACCCAATGTTTCCATTTGCTGATAAAACACCCCTGGATGCATCTAACTTGCCCAACGCCCAACGCCCAACCCATTTGAATATTTGTATCACTGCCCCATGGATCCCACACGCCTTTATATGCCATGTCCTGTACTCATTCAATTGGCCCAGATTTTCGTTTCCGTAGATGAACTCTTGGCAAGATCTGCAAACGGACACACGGAGGGTTGGGAGGCAGGAGTATATGTCGTATGAATGGTTTGTGCAGTGTCTGTCGACGGCGCAATGCTGCTCACCACGCTGGCCGTGTCATCATCAGCAGAGCTACTGGAGTCGCTGCCCAGGATCTTTTTATCCCCAATATACCCTTCTTTCCCCGATCCAAAACTGTACACGGACATTTCATCGGCGTACTCCTCGCCATCGCGAACCCGCCACTTGGCGAACAGATCGTTTTGGATCCAGAGAATCTTGTTGACGGCTCGAACGAGCGCGATCTTGCGTCGGAGGGAGATATGGGGGTGGGAGAGGAGTGCTTCGATGAAGATATCCTGGATAAAACCCATGCAGACGTTGGTGTGGACGAATTCAATGTTGAGGGGATGTAAACGCTCTTGACCGCAATGCATCATACTATGGGTTCGCCGGTTAGCACGGGTGCTTGGGGATCTTTTCTGTAGTCACCAGCTGACATACCCGACTTTGCTAAGATATCGCCAGAAGTCAATACTCGTCGGATCCTGGCATAGCCTTGTGAGGTACCAGCGAAGGAACATCTTGCGCCGCTGAATCCTGGGTGAATCCTCATCCAACCACTCTTGGTCGGGCTCAGTCTCGTCGGCTGTTGTTCGAGTGTGAAACGCCCGCGAGGTGATGTCATATTGAAGGAGCTTCTTGTATACAAGGTTGACCACAGCGGGGATAAGTTGCTTGAGGTACTTGGCTCCACCCTGCAGGGCTTCGATGTCGGCTAAATCGGCAACACGCGTTAGCTTCCGTGTGGACATGAAAACTATAGTCAACTGGAGGGGTAAGGTACTTACCAGAGTTGAAGTCAAGGAAGTCATGCAAGTACTTGATTCTCTCTTCGAGGTTGACATAGAGTGACTTCCTGTCGATATGTTTAGGCTCGAAGCCTGGACCTAAACCGTAATCGCAGGGCATTTTTATCAACGGTGGACAGCAATGCTGTTGTGAGCTGCGTCGTATGAGGTGGTCCGGCCTTCCACGAATGACCGATAGTCTTCTAGAAAAATCAAAGAAGTCGTAAAAGCGAGCTCAGAGCCACGGCTCAAGTCAAGTAAAAGGATAAAAACTGGGGAATCAGGTGGAAACCCCGTATGGCGAGGGCAAACAGTCCATTTTATAGTTACCAGTGCGATCGAAATCGTAATCCCCGTCCGATCCGGTCTTCCAGCATGATCAACACCAGCGAACAATGCGCATCACATCCAAATTGGGAGTCACCAGAAGTAGCAGTGGAACTCTTTCCGAGAATGGGGAGATATCCCGATTTCTGACTATAGTTCTCCCGCCTGGGAATAATGGAGATACAACGCATTACCAAAGGATTCCTGTCGAATCAGACCATGACATAAAGTCAGGAACTATAACTCCGGGCGGATATCAAAGGTCCCAGCAGGAGTGGGCTGATCCCTGCAATCTCCCCCGCCCGCTTATTCTACCCTAGAACGCCAAACTATTAGACGGCCATGGAAGTGCCATTGAGCAGCCCACTCAAGGAAAGGAGAAAAGCATAATGATGAGAAGGACTGAGAAAAAAGCGACCACGTGGAAATGCGGAGATAGAGATCTGCTCGTATCACAGCACAGCATGCCGTGTCGTGGCGCCTTGGTCCCGTTTGCTAAGGGCTCTAGAATTCTCGAATCTGAACGTGGACCTGAAACGGGAAGCAAAGAACGAAAACGAAGGATGGATAGATCACTTGCGTCAAATTTGGATTGGTCATTGTCGACGCTAGGCTCCTACATACAACCCGATTCAGCTTCACCGTTGACACATTGTGAAGGGGTACTACAGACTCCGCAGCGGTCCCCAACGGTTTCGTTTCTGACGGAGATCAGGTCCACTCGGACTCGGAGCCGACGGCTCAGCGCGCAGGATTTGTTTACTATTTGTGCTGAGTACGCTTGTATCCATCCTGCTTGAATATTGAGGCAGCCGATATCACGGAAGTAGACAGGGTGGAACGATTGATCTATGCGAGGTTTGTGCAAGCAATGACAACGCCAATATTGTGTCATTCTTGTTATCCCTCTAATTAAAGGATTGTGGCTCAGCCTAGCAGATAATTCCGACAGAAAAGGGGAAGATGCCAAACCTAAAATTATAATAAGACGAGAAAAAAAACCTCCGAATCGCTCGGTTGTTGTGGGTCCCGAGAAAAGACATGCAGGCGACCGCCATGAGCCAGAGAAAGAACAGCCCCAGTTAGAGAGCTCCTGAATCCCTACTGGGGCGAACGCCCAAATACATCCAATGGACGAGCGCCAGACAGTAATCGGTGTCGCGTGATGGCACGCGTGGCCTGATGCTAGCAGTCGATTCTACGACTTCGGGTGGACTCGGTCGAATGGCCTGATGACTCGGGAGGCTTCCGGTTGGACATGAAAAGGGGAAAGGGAAACGAAAGGGAAAAAATGGCATTGAAAATTTGATAGGAAATAGGGGTATACAAAGTGAAGGCCAACCCGCCATTTTCTCATCTTCTCTTCTCTTCTTCCTTGATAGATCCAAAATGCCATTGGTATTTCCCAGGCCATGGACCCTATTCCAACGGCTCCGCTTTCAACCTGAGACACGCTAGGGCGACTTCTAAACAGCCGCGCTAGACGATCCGCAACGCTTTGTGTTGATCACTGCAGAAGGATGATCTAGACAGTCCCCATGCAGATTTCTGGGCTTGGGGGCGTTATGTCTGCCCCGCGTTCTGCGACGCTTTGGACACTGGCTCCCACGAATTGACATGCCAAGCTAATCTAATTGAGTTTGATGAAGAAAGTGACAGCTGCAGCTGCCCGCTTTTTGGCGCGTTTGGGCGCAGGTCTTATCACAAAATCACACGAATGAAGAGCAGCACTGGCGAGGGGAAATGTGAACTATCCAAGGACCGGGATACGTCGTCTCCAAAAGTGGGATGCGATGAGTCCCAGTCCATCACACTTACGAAATGATCTAGACCGGATTCTTCATGAAAATTGCCAGGGCGGGGGGGGGGGGTGGAATGTGGAAATTCAAGAAATATATTTAGATGAATAGAATCAATATACTGAGGAGTTAGTATACTTGAGAAAACCTTCTCATACAGATAAACCCGATCTGTACACTTTCCCCTCATTCAGCTTATTGGGTCGACACGGTGGCGTTGCCATGTGCGGCAGCAGCATCATACAGGGCCTGGATATCGGCCTTCCATTGCACTTCATCCACTCGAGCCAACCGGCGGTCATAGGTCATCAGACCATTGACTTCTCCCTCGACATCAGTCGTCTGAGTCCAGATACCCCCACTGCATGAGAACCGCTTGACCTGGTCTTCCAACTCAGCCAGCATGATATGGCTGCGGTAGTTCCAGATTTCCATGGTCTCGTCGAGCTCATAAGTTTGATCGATGGTGTCGATGGCAGCTTGGACATTCCAGAGACTGAATCAACTATTAGTAAAAGAATTCCATTCAAATATTGCGATTGAAAAACTCACTGTTCAATAGAGACGTTGTTTCCAAGACCTCCGAATTCACCCTGAAGACCGATTCTCGTGTCATCGTACGGGCTCGAGTCGATGGAATAAAAGGGACTACCACATTGAGGGTTGGCATAGTGGTGATTGTCCTGGTTTCCATCAGCGATATATCCTTCCAAGTAGGCAATGGGTAGACTTACACTAAAATCGCCGGCCCCATGGTCGAACCAGCCAGTCGTGGAATCCACCAATCGAGTGGGATCCAATTGCTTGACCAGCGCTGTCAACTCGAACTCGGGATAGTAGCTTGTGATCTGGCCCCAACCCTCGTTATAAACAACCTACGGATAGCAATTAGTACTGTGTGTTCGAGGGTTGCATTTGGTCTCAGCTTTCATACCCAGGTTGCGATACTAGGGAAGCTCTTGTGCTGGTTGACCAACAGCTCCAGTTGACGCCCAAATTCGACCTGCTGAGCAGCATCGGGCAGGATAGTCTCCTGTGTGCAATTCGGGAGAGTCCTGCTCTGAAGCGGTCGCAAGGACGGCATATCCTGGATAACTAGAAGACCCAGTTCGTCACAGGCTTGATAGAACAGTTGGGGCTCAACTTTGATCTACAGACGGACAATTTCAGTATGGTACTATCCACAATATATCGTCAGCGAATACTTACGTGCTTCCGGACAGTATTAAACCCAAGGTTCTTCAACATCTTGAGATCATATACCATCGCCTCCTTCGTTGGGGGCAAATAGATGCCATCAGGCCAGAAGCCTTGGTCCAGAGTTCCAAACATGAAAATGAATTCACCGTTCAACAGCGGTCGAACAACACCGTTGACAGTGCCCTTTGAGATGGTCCGGAATCCGGTATAGCTCTCGACTTGGTCTTTGCCCATTTTGACCGTGATGTTGTACAGCTTGGGAGAATCTGGTGACCACAATTTTGGCGAGTCAACGGTGAACTGGAAAGGCTGATTGGATGGCCCTCGGTGAGTCGCAACTACATCACCATTATCATGCACAATTACCTGGACGTTGGTGGTGGTATTTGCCGCTGACGTGTGCACCGTCACGTTAACTAGAAAGTGTGGTCAGCTTTGTGCATCATTCCTTCCTATGGAAAGAACACACCTTGACCGTGCATGTTAGCATCGACATCCAGCTGTGTGATATAGTTCGCAGGTACGGCTTCGATCCAGACACTCTGCCAGATTCCACTGCATGGCGTATAAAAGATATGACTGGGGTGTAGTGTCTGCTTGCCAATGGGGATGACATAGTCTCCCGAGTCGGTGGGGTCGTGCACAAACACGAGTCTGGGCAAGGTCAACGTTGAATCTCTCTGGTTCCTCGTCGGATAACTTACAGTTCATTCTGTTGGCCTGGCTTCACGAATTGAGTCACATCCACAGTAAAGTGGAAATAACCTCCACGGTTGAAGCCAGCCTGCTTTCCATTGACGAAGACTGTGGCTTCATAGTCGACGGCTCCGAAATTGAGCAGTAACTGCTGACCATGCCAGTCTGAAGGAACTTTGAAAGAATTGGAAAACCACGAGTACAGCATGAAGCTTCCTTGAATACCTGTGTTGAGATCGGTAAGTAATGGGATCCCAAGTTTGCTATTGAATGGACAAAAAAGTGTCTTACCAGATATGCCGCTTTCCAAGCAAGATGGAATCAGCACTTCTTGTTCTAAGCTCTGCCCAAATGGAGGATTTTGGGCCTCAGCAAGACTTGAAGCATTTCGATATTGCCAAATTCCGTTGAGGTTCTGCCATTGGGACCGCTGCATTTGCGGCCGTGGATACTCAGGCCAGGGATCAGTCCCCACTTTGTCCGTCCATGGAGTTGTGAGGGGTGGCTCCTTCAGGGCATACTTTGCAGCACGAGGCTGGATAGCCTGGTGTCTATTGCCATCACCCTTGGGAACAGCCAAACTGGTGGTTGCCAGCAGGGAGAACACAATGCTCCGCAGTAGCTGCATGATTCGACCAGTGCTGAGCTATGCTAGACTTCGCTTATTTGATGATAAGTCACAAATTACAGTGACTGACGGCTGGAGAATGGATTTGTTTATGCTACTCACCGAGCACATCCCCGCGTTTATAAACTACGAATCTCGGACTTGAATGCAGAATGGAACTCCGACTAAATCGCCGAGCCATTGCACCATTCCTGCCAATCCCATGTCAAAAAACAGACGGACGGGATGAAAGACCCTTAGACCCCCTGCGGTCTGCGAGTGAGCAGCTAGACCGGCAATTTTGGACAAGCACTGCCCAGGCTATACCAGGCATAGCTCCACTAGGAGCCACTCATCCCCGCACAGAGAATGCATGGGAGATTCCGATCTGGGAAAAGTTACGTTGTAGTTAGATGCCGCTTACTCCGTGTTAAGTGGACCTGTGCATGCGTGAGTACCGACAAGGTCGTCGCTGGTGCTTGGCCGGTTAATAGTGGAGCGTATGCCCAGACCATCCCTGGCTAGCCAGCATGTCGGTCAGAGACACGTCGGAACACAATGTTTGATGCGTGAGATGTGGAGATTTCATGGATTCCTATGTTTAATATACTACTGTATAAGGATTTAGCAGATAGAATGTTGATTGGAAGGGGTGGAGAATCAACTGACTGGGAGGTGTTGTTACTGACTCGATCAGGACTAGCTGTGATGACCGGTTTTCGAGTCAGGGAGAGGGAGGAGACCATCTTTTCGGGCATGCAGCCGACCTTCCCCGACACAATTAGTGCACTGAATGGAATGGTATTTGGCGGCAACAAGGCTCCAATTTCTTGGTCGTAGACTAGTGGAGAAGTATCGGCGATCGCTGGAATATTGTCAACACCACAACTTGCATTGATCTGCCTATCCCATCGAGTGGCCGCCCTATCTAGATTCGAGTTATGTCAGGATATCAACTGCATCTTCAGTGCTCTATTATGGTGTTCAAGCTACTACAAGAAGTTAATTTTTCGAATTCTCTCTCGAAAGGGACCAAATCAACTGTCCCAAGCATTCCTATGTATGTCAACTCCCTTGCATCCCGCACGGATCAGGCCCCCCCCCCTTCAAGTTCAAGGTAAAAGTCGCGGTGGAGTTCCAAGCAGCCACTAAGCCCAATATCAAGCCATCCGTGTTCAAAGTTCAACTATTAAGTACTAACGTGGTACTTTAGCGTTCCATCGTGATACAAGATATATCTACCCCGCGGCTCTAAGTCAGCATATCAAAAAGCACGGGGCTTCCCCTCATCTTCGGCATTGCCTTGGCCCGCCGATCGCCTGCACATCATTGGATGGGGCGTCACGCCGTCCGGATGCTCAGATTCCTTTTTTGGGCCGGAGTTTTGAGTCGCTTCACGATTTGAACGATTTCCGCGGCAGATGTTGCCCGTGGGGTAGCGGTGTACGATGTCGTGCTTGATTTCAGTATTTGCGGGGAAGGGTAAATTGATAGTGATACATCTAGTCCATGTGCTTGTTGAGGGCATGCGTCTAGCGGATGCTTGCCAAGAAATCTACAAGCCGAATATTAACCGAGCTCATGTAAGCATATCATCAGGAGATGCACGGAGCAAATGGATCTGATTCATAGAGCAATGTATGGAAAGAGGAAGGTGAAGAGCACCTACCATGCAAAGATGAGATGCTGGATCTTCATGCCTTGTATATTGAAGGAGTATGAACTGCCATTTGGGATATTGATGGCCCCATGGATGGCTCGTGCAGGCACGAGAGCTGCGACTCTCATTCTTGCTCTTCCGTTGCCTTAATACCCTCTTACAGGTCCATTTTCACTTGTAAGCCTTTTCATCCTCGTTATTCTTTCACACATCATGAGATGTAGACAGCGGAGACTCTGTATACTAAATATTTACTTGTTTAATGATTGGACCAAAAGTATTTCGAAGAAACTTGTTTTCTATCCCGGGTAATGGTACATACTAGTAACGAATGCGATATCTATAGAATGATCTTCGACGTGCAGCGAAGGCAGACTTTTATTGGATTGGAAATATGCATGCCTTATGCAGGAACACCATTCGTAACGGCACCCCAACTCTTCATAGTCCAGTTACCAAAGCAGGCATACTGATACTCAGCATTCTTCAAATTCTGCTTTTGGACATTCAGGAAGGTTGACAGCTCACACCAGCCATCCTCACGATACTCACACTCGTTGAAACTCGAGTGTAGCGGAATGGTACGCTGGTTCTGAATGAAATGAACGTACTTGGTCGGGGCAGTACCGGCAATGTAGTCGCCGTTCTTGGTGGCCTTGGAGGAGCGCTTGGTTGAGACCTTGTGCGGTGCCGAGATGATCTCAATGTTCAGACGTCCCGCGAATGGAACGATCCGGCTGGTGTGGAACTGCTGGTTCTTGGTGGGGCCAGTGAGTGGGAGGGCGTCGGCAAATTGAGTCAGACCGAAGGCAGTCAAGACGGAGACAATGTTGGCATCATGGGTAAACTCCAAGTACAGCTTCTGGTCAAGGGGGAAGGTGACAGGGTTCGTATCAAGAGTCATGTTAGCTCCGGTGGTGTTGGCAGGAACATCCAGCAGATGGCCTTCGACGCGAGCCAGGAACTCTTGAACCCAGGCAATTCCCTGAGCACGACCAGTAGGGCTATGGAACCCAGAAAGACCCGCAAACTCAAGATCCATGAGATAAGCATAGTTCACCCAATCATCGTAGGTGAACAACTGGCAGAAATCACTATAGCCGAGACTGATAGTCTCGTAAGGGCAGAGAGCCTGCGCGTGGGATGTGTCAGTCACAGTCCAGTTATAGTTGCCCGTCAGCTTCTTCAGCTCCGCCGTTCGCTCCTTGAGATAAGTCGCCATCCAGGTACCGACTGGAACTTCAACTGACTGCGTCATGGTCTCCGCCTCTTTGGTGCAAGAAATTTCTCCGGTTGTTGCTGGGTCAATGGTGGCCAGAATGTTGGCATGGTCCCTCCAGCTCAACCCGAAGAAGCCGGCCAAGAAAATCTCACAGCTCTCCAACATCCGAGACTGCAGGGTTGTGCGAACAACGATCTTTGAGGTGGTGTTATCGTATAGATAGCCGTAGTTGTAGAAGTTCAGGACACCAGCGTCGAATAACTCCTGACGACCTTGGGGAACAAGAATCTCCTTGCCCAGTTTGTATGACCAGTCATTCAAGAAGTCAAGTTTGCCTTTGAAGACGGTCCCTTTGGCGGTGGCATTGGCGATGGTGGCGCCCCAAGAGTCCAGGCCTTCCGACGATGAGGGGTATCGTGCACCGTGGCGTTGAAGCATGTGCATCTGAGTGATGTTAGCACCCTTTGGCAAAGGGTACTCATTCACTCCAAAACCCTCGGACGGCGAGAAATATGGGCTGTTAATTAATTGTAAGCAATCAAGCCAGATGATCAAGGTGACAATTCTTCCTACCTCAGATCACCCATGAGGTGAAAGATATTCCGCCCATTAGCACCCTCAATGGGTTCCGACGTCTCCAATGGAGCATTGGGAACATAGGTAGCATCGCCGAAAGGCGCCGGGTTAATCTCAGCAAGGAAAGGAGCAGTTCCAGTCGCGACAGTACCTAGGTAATTCAGGTTAGAACATTGTATATGTATATATTATGACTCTAATCGATACTAACCAGTGTAGAGATCGGGCGAAGTTTGGAACCAATCAGGCTGAGTGGGGGTAGCTCTCTGGTTGATAGCACCTGCTTCAACGGCAGTGGCCATTGCCATAGTGAGAACGACTGACGTGAGCTTATCCATAGCTATTATTGCTAAGCATTCAATCGATACGCCTGTGCACAATATTCCATGACCAGCCGCAGCCCCTGGACTTCTTATACATCATTGTCGTCGTATTGCTTCGTATCCTTCAGTCGGATCCGATTGGGTCGCCTACGTGTCGGCAGTTTGGGCGACATCAAGGTGTTTACCGGATGATCGGATGATGAAGGCCCAGGGATGAAGACCATAAACAAGCTGCAATCACCATCCTTAAGCTCAACACGTGGGACAAAAGGCAATCTTATCGCGACGCCAAGCGGAGACTTGTAGTGGCATTCAGCCAATAAGCGGCTCTCGTTGCTGTAAGCGAAGGACAAGCGTGCCGCCTTACTAGCGCGAGACAACCAGGGTTTATAGAACTCGGAAATACTTATGCAGTTGATGAAGAATAAGAAACTAGCGGACTTCGCACCGATGTACTCCGTATATGTAGCACATAGAACGAATAGAACGTGTACGGCGGTTGATTGCGGCCACCGACAAAACCACCATGTCTTAAGGCAGAAAATCCGACAGGATCCTGACATTGGCCAAGTTCGACTACGAGAGATAAATGGAGAAAGATAATTAATAGTTAAGGACGAGAAAGGTAGGAGAAAAGAGGAGAGAAAAGAGGAGAGAAAAGAGGACTAGCAGCAAGAAAGGGCTAGGGGCGAGATTATTCGTTGATTGCAACGGTCGTTCCAAATCAGCCTAAACTGTCTACGTAGGGTATGTATAGGCCTTAGGTACGAGGCACGGTGTCAGCGCGGTCAAATATATACCCAATAAAGGGGTTCAACTTTCTGGCCGGTGGCCGCAATCGGCTGCTATAGAAATAACCCAAGAAAGTTCTGGATTGAAATCGCACTAAACATTGTGCAACCAGTCTAAGAATGGCCATACCGTGCCTTACCCTGATTATAGCCCTTGCTAGCAGGCTATGTCGGCAGAAAAGCCAGCTGTTTCATTGCCTTAAAAATGCTGTGCGCCTGCCCAATATATTATCTTTTGATCATGGAATGAACTTCTATTTCCTGTGCTGTGCTTTCATATCGCTAGAAACATTGCAAACTTTCCTGGGGACCTAAAGGCGGGCGACTCGCCGCCATATTACACTACCTGAACAGCCTGACTTCAACCCCATCCTTGAATGAGCCAACAATGGAATGCATCACTCCATGATTATTGAATAGTACAAGATCGCCTTCCTCCCAGTCATGAGTATAAACATACTCAGGATTGATCGCACGCCTTTGCGGTCGATACAGTCGCTCTCGAATTTCGGACATATTGTCGAGAATGCTTCCGTCTTCAAGATGAATCTTTCGGACACAAGTCGGATAGACCATCATTCCAAGTCTTCCAGTAACCGGGTTCATCCACGTCATGGGATATATTTTGATTTTGTCGTCCTCAAAAGGAGGAAGCTCATCCTCCGATAGCTCCAGGCCCTCAGAAACAATGCCGAGACCATTGGAGCGGGATTTGGCCTTGCTCATCCAGATGTATGGATGAGGCGCGTACTCGACTTTGCTGGTAAGAACAAAATGTTTCTCCTCTTCTGACAGGAGCTCGTAGAGACGATACCCACTGAAGAAAGCAGTTGTTCCAAGGGGGACGTCAAGTGTGGTGTTGGTCTCATCGTCATAACGACAAATTTGTCGCCATCCCTTGGGTACTTGTACAGCCAGTAGAGAAGTCACAAGTGGAGGATCGAGGTCATACATTGCAGAGTCAATGTGCCACCGGTAGAAGTGAGTGAAATCATGATCCTCCTCAGCTGGAATGGGGATTTTGTGAAACGATTTATGATGAGGGTGTCTCAATTGAAGGTCGGTGAGCCCCTCGTATTACTTGACAAAACCATGACCAATGACTTGAACTTGTGGTTGATGAGGAATTGTGGTCAAGTCGCGATGTAGAACGCTTCGCTTATCGATGGATTTCCCATGGCTGTATACTCCAGCGGAAGGGTCGAATCGTCGAGTGAGTTCATAAACCAAGCTGGACATCTAGTACTCATCATCTGGAGTCCAGGACCAGGTCAGATCAGAGACAAGAATGTTCCTTATTTGCTTGTCTCGGATGGTACAGAGCCTGGATGGACCGCTTCTCAGAGCACCTAGGTCAGTTAATAGGCCGATCGATCGGATATGTGAAGGTTCATATGCAAGCCAATTGAGATACGTCATATTCCAGTCCAAACCTAATCGCCAGAGCAGGTGGAGTGGCGTAGGACACGTGCATTCCTGGCCTGCATTCCTTGCGATCTTAGCGTTACAGTCAGCGACTCCTACGCTGCGTCGACCAGACCAGGAAATTGGTGGCGTTGGCCAGATCACTGTGACGATTTCTGATCCGTCAATGCCTGAGTCATTTATTAACAGCCAGTACTTTTGAATTACTTTGAATGGAGTCCAGTAGCTCGACATACATGTGTAAGAGTTCTGTGTTGGTAGAAGATGCAGATATCGCCGAAAACGGGCATAAGTTTGGTTTCCCGTCTACCCCGCGTCGGAAGCACCCGAGGTATCGATACTTTGGGTCCGACACAGTAGACTGACAGAGAATGTGCGCCAGGAAAAGATTATCAGGATATCCTAGAGTGAAGCAAACAGAAATATTCTAATGACAGAACGTCCGGTCGGAGTTACGTCCGAAGTACATTGTCTTGTACAACGTTAGCCTTGATATTCTGCAGCGATTTCTCGTGTCCTTCGACCCAAGAACAAAAATCAGAAGGGCCCATTCAAATTTTAGTTCGAAAATAATCGGTTTCGAAAATCTAGGTCCAGGCTTTCTTTAGTTCTTGTGTGCAAGGGTGCATCTTCCGCACGTGGCGGATCTCAGGCCGTGGCATGTTGCTTGGCCGCAAGCAGCAGTCCGCCGCTCAGCAGGAGAGCGGCCATATCGCGAGGTCATCATGGCGTACAAAATCGCAGTTGAGACCAATTTAGTCAAATTTACCCCTCCTTTTTTTTTAGCGGGTGACACAATTTGCTGTTAATATTGAGTAGTCATAGTTTTAGAGATTGTGAATACCGAACTTAGGAACTATACTTCTTAACTGAGATAACATTCAAGTAGCCACTGCAGGTGCCGAGACGGTCGTATACCATCGCTCTTTCTCGTCTTGATTTTCCTCAAAGACGGTAGCCAAGTAGATAATTCCGCTGACCCAAAATTTGCTTGTTTTCCAAAGTCTCCCCTCTGTTCTGCTCCTGCGTCGCCAGCTCACATTTCGGTGTGGACGGTCTGCGCCCTATTGTGACCCCAAGCTCCGCTTCATCCAGCCCATTGTCCGACAGAGGCCTCCACCAGCCGTCAAAAAAAAATCCGGAGGAAGCATATTGAATACAACTTTTGACCGAGAAAGCCATTGTCCGAGTTATCAACCCCACAAACCCCAGGGGGACCTCGACCCACCGTCCTCTGTTTTCGGCCAGGTCGCCTTCCCTTTCCGGAAGTTGTGATCGGTTGTCCAAACAGACTAGAAGGGAGATCAACAATTTGATCACAATATGTGAGTGGCTCCTCCTCCTCAGAAACCACGGGGATTTCCGTTCTCAAGCACACAAGTTGCACTTTCCCTGCATCCGGCTGACTCGAGGCCAAAGCATCGACGCGTGTTTACTTATAGCCGTCGATCTCCATGCCATTTGACAGAATTATCTTTCGCACTCATTCCAGAGCCCAGCCCCCTAAATTTTGGGATTTGACTTCAGCTAGGAAGTCCAGAATGTCATCTATTTTCTCGAAGAAGAGCCTGCTTAGGCTATCGCTGGTGGCTGCGCTAGCTTCTCCAGCAGTGTGAGTGGCGATAGCTTGATACTTTCATTTTTTATAACCATCTGGACAAGTAGACACTGACCTCACATTGATTCTCGCAGTGGTTTTGCCTTTGACTACGGAACCGAAAAGGTTCGTGGTGTCAATCTCGGTGGCTGGCTGGTATTGGAACCATGGATTACACCCTCAGTCTTCGACAACGTTGGCGCTGCCGCGGTTGATGAATGGTCACTCTGTGCAACTCTTGGGCCGGACCAGTGCCGCACCGTTCTCTCGGATCATTGGAACACCTTCATCACTCAAGATGACTTCAGCCAGATTGCGGCCGCTGGCATGAACCATGTTCGAATTCCTATCGGCTACTGGGCTGTGCAGCATCTCGAGGGCGACCCCTTCGTTGACGGCCAGCTCCAGTACCTTGATGCCGCGGTTGGCTGGGCTCGCGCTGCTGGTCTGAAGGTGATGATTGACCTGCACGGCGGTGAGTCAACAGAAATACCCATTGCACCCGGTAAACAGTCATTGACCTATATCACATAGCTCCTGGATCTCAGAATGGTTTCGACAACAGTGGAAAGCGCGGTGCCATTGCCTGGCAGCAGGGTGACACCGTTCAGAACACCAAGACCACCATTGAGTCTCTTGCTGCACGATACGGTAGCGATGCAGATGTCGTCACTGCCATCGAAGCTCTGAACGAGCCCAGCATCCCTGGCGGTGTAAACCAGGATGGACTCAAGCAGTACTACTATGATTCCTGGGGTGTCGCCCGCGAGGCGAGCCAGGAGACCACAGTAGTCCTTCACGATGGCTTCGTTCCTATCGAGTCCTGGAACGGGTTCATGAGCGAGTCCACCGGTGTTTACTACGTTATGATGGACACTCACCACTACGAAGTCTTCGACAACGGTCTGCTTGCCATGAACACTGCTTCCCACGTCAGCAATACCTGCAGCTTCGTCAACGATCACGTCCTCCACACTGACAAGTGGACAATTGTCGGAGAGTGGACTGGAGCCATGACCGATTGTGCCAAGTACCTCAACGGAAAGGGAATTGGTGCCCGTTACGATGGCACTTACCAGGGCAGCACTAGACTCGGTAGCTGTGATGGCAAGGCTGTCGGCAACATCGATACTCTTACCCCCGATGAACGTACCAACATTCGTCAATTCATCGAGGGCCAACTGGATGCTTATGAGAAGGGCAACGGCTGGCTCTACTGGACCTGGAAGACCGAGGGCGCCCCGGAGTGGGACATGCAGATGCAACTTGCCGGTGGTGTCTTCCCTAACCCGGTCACTAGCCGCCAATTCCCTGGCCAGTGCTAGAGTTGAAGATGGTTTCTATTGCTTTCTATACTTTTGATCGGCTTCGTTATATTCTATTATGGATGGTTGGTGTTCGGAGTTTGTTTATTTTTTTCACTGGATCATCGCTGCGGAGCTGGGTCCTGAATCATTCAGGCTGGCCATCGTCTCCTAGCTGCTGCAGATCATATTTTTTTTTTTTGTTTTGACTTAGTCAACACGTTGTTCTTAGTTAGCTTGCAGGAATTCAATGCTTACTTTTGTTAATCTATCTTCGTACAATCGGAGAAAGTACATGACGGTTTCACTCGCGAAGACAAGACTGTTTAAGCCATATCCAACTGCTCACACACAGAACCTCATGACAAAAGATCTAGGATGGAAAAACTTCTCACGCCCGTGAATCGAACCTATGACTTCTGTGTCGCCATACAAACATTTCGCGACAATCGATGATCCAGTACATCACCACAATGCTCACACCCAATAAAAACCACACTTACACCCCCCTCAGGAGCATTAAAGGGCTTTAAGAAGAAAATATTATAATCACCTGAATCTCAGGATTATTTCGATATAATAATATATGGCAAATATGGAAAATTCTGGCCACGGTGGTGGCATCTCTGTCCCGGCAGCATAAAAAGAGAGTAACCCTCCACCTTACCTGACCTCGGGGCAGCTTTACCGAAGCGTCATGGATGTCGAACCCCGAGGGCATCCAGTAGTGATACCACTAGGCTATTAGGGGGTGGAGGGTTACTGGGAGGGACTTTAACTGGGTTATAACCCCGTCCGAGTTCTCATTTAATATGCTAGGGTTTTGGTATTCGGTGGAAAAACATTCATACTCTGTAGACGTTCGATCGAGGGAAAGACGATACCAGTGATGATTATTTCATGAATCATGATACAAATTGGCTCGTATAACAAAACTGCGGATTTTGGTGGTGCATATCCAGTCGCAGCTAGGCTAGCACCAGCAGGTGGAAGCTCCTCCAGAATCTCAATATCTCAGACTCCTACTGCCGTGCACTGGAATAAGCGTGTTGCATAAGTCGACTTTTCTGAGGCATTTTGTTGCCATGACTTGCTACATCTTTCGGTATCTAATTCTGTGTGCGGTGTGAATAGTTCTAGGGTCTCAGGGAGGGAACCTGAGACGGTCAAGGGGATGGAGCACCGTGCTAGGATTGTCCTCGATCGCCTAGCTGATGGAAAATCCTAAAAACTCTAAAAGTTGACACAGGATATAACCTGTCTGCTATCTGTTAGGTACATCCTTCAAGTAGGTTGTCTATCCCTACCCAGCGAATACAATTATCACCGGTTCACTATTAACGTCTAGTCTTCGCAGCGTGCAGCGTAATCCGTAATTCATGTAGATTGGGGTATGTAACTAGAAAACATCCAAGGCATGCCGTCTAACTAGAGACCTGTGTCTAATGCGATGCATAAACGTGTTGTAATGGAGTAGAGCTGATCTCGAGCATTCAATGAACACTGCTCATCAATCGTTCGCGCATTAGATCAGACCCAGAGCACCGAACGCCGACACCACTTCACTGTCGACATTCACCAGCCACTTTTCTTGGAACCGCTGTGCACCACCACAAGCCACGATCAGCTCATGTAGACGGTGCCGAACGAAATCGCGGATCGGGAAGCGGTGGATCGCATCTGCGTTATCCCACTCGCGACGGCGGCGAGTCTCGGGGTCCTCGTTCTCATCTACTTCGGGCTGGGCAGTTGAGGAGCCGGCGGGGGCGTTCCAGCAGACCAGGAAATCAGCATTCTGGTCGGAGCCACCTTCCGCGAGCTCAATAATGATATCCGTCCAGATGGTGAGGTAAGACTGCAAGTGACTGAGAATGTAAGCGGGAGGGGGTGCGGGGTGAGATGGGTCGGATGGGGGGGCCTGAATGGCGAGGAGTTGTGTAAGGGCGAGTGCATGCAGTTTCTTCTGGTTTACGCTGCCGATATTATCGTAGTGAGAGAACCATTCGGTGATTAACCAGGTGAGGGTCTGCTCCTGGGTGGAGTTTGTCGCAGCAGCGACGGCCGAGGCAAAGATAGTGGGGTTTGCAAGCGCAAGTCGTGCAAGAACGGAGTAATAGTCCGTTTCAACGACACCGACAACGTATGAAGTCTTCCGGTTAGGGCCCGTAGTTTGACTCGCTTCGTGGGCGGTATAAAGGCCCTCGAGCAGAGAGTGGAGGAATGAGCTGTCAAGCAGGGACTGGGAGATGGCACTGTAACTAGCCTCGCTTCCACCATCGACAGCTTCGGCACCGCGAATCATCATATCGACTAGTCGAGGTACAACGCCGGTACGCTGTTTTGTCGTGAACTGAAGAAGGGTCTGTAAGGTGGTAAGAAGTGGAAGTCGGAACTCGTCGCTAAGTACTGCCTGGGGTGCAAGCAGAATGTACGACTCGATGATTTGGAGACCTTGAGGTGCAGCATCGGTTCCTTGTTCGAGAATGGGAAGGACGGCAGGGAGGAGGGAGAGAATTTCAGGGGAGGCAGGGCTGGGGGTTTGCATGATGATAGCGGTCCAAAGTTCCAAAGCCTCGTCCAAAAGGTAGACGATCGTATCCTAGGAACGTTAGTGACAGGCCGGCTAGAACATCAGCAGTCAATTTCTGGGAAGGACTCACGGATTCGGGATGGACGGAGCTCTGGATCAGGGGAAGGATGAGCGCATGGTACCGTGCAGATTCTTGTTTCAACGAATGAATCAACGACGACAGCAGGGTGAGAATTGCCTGCTTCATGAGATGCTCGTCTCCAGACTCCTCCCACAATGGTGGGAGTAGCGAGAGAATCTGGTCCGAGAAGGCGCCGATCTGGTCTGCGTTAGATATGGCATAGGTCATGCGTAGATGAATGATACTTACATGGTTCTCCATCTTGACCACGGCTACTCGCACCGTCTCCAGCAATCCCATCTTTGTTTCCGCTGCGTCGACCTCCTGTACAAGAGCCATGAGGCTTCCAAGGATTGACTGTGCATAGGGCATGAACCCCTCAGCCGTGAATTCCCAAGGGTCAAGCACGTTGCGAAGTTGGCGACCTGCAGTAATACGAACGACCAGGTCGTTCAGTGGGTCGTCTTTGTTTAGCAAGTGCTGGAATACTTGGTACACGGCATCTCGGTTCAGTTCACCAGGCTTGACTGGCACCCATTGGCCAAGAACGACGGCAATTCGTCGCCGCAACAACCTGTACTCGGGGTCGTGAATCTGGACTTCCGGAACCATGGTCTTCTCGAGGAAGCTGTTGAAGTCCAAGTGATGCTCGAGACTAGCTGCTGCAAGACCAATGGCCGAGTACAACGAGTCCTTCAGAACTACATTGCGGTTCTCCGTAGCTACATGTTATATCAGCACCAATCAATCGACATCTTGTGTGCAATCCAAACTCACTTGCAAAGGAATAGAACACGTGCAACAGCCGGGGAATAAGCAAATCCTTGAAGTGAATGACAAGATCCAGGAAGAGCTTCTCAGAGCATGAGCGGATGGAGAACTCCCAGGCCTCGGTGCTTTGTTCCTCTTTCTTTTCCCACGACTCGGGATCTTCCTCCCACTCCTGGAAATCAATATTCCGGAATCTGAAGAATTGTGTGACCAGTAGCTCCATAACATTGACCACAAAGTCCTCGGTAAATAGCTGCGTCTTGATCCGCTCGACAGCCTTCTTGCGCTCTTCCTTGTCCTGGGGAGTCTGATATTTAAATGTTTGGACCGGATTGAATGCCATTCTGGCGCAGGCTCTGATAAGGAGCAAGGCTCGGAGGCCTGCTTTTTCGAAAAGAGACTTTCCTTCCGTCTCGAGATCAGCGCCGAGACTAACATAGTTCTCGCTCAGCTTGACGACCAATGACCAGTATGAGTTGACCAAGGTAATGCTGTTGTCCAACAACGCGAAGGATGCGGGGTGGGTTTTCGCCATCTCAACGTGCAGCTTCGATAGTTGCAGAATGTGCTTCTCAATTGCCGCGTGGACCGACTGCGGTAATTGAATAGAACCATCCAGGAATGAGAGAAACCGACTGAAATGCGTACTGGTTAACTCCCAAATCTTCTGCACGTCTTGATCACGGCCTGGGTGTTCGAATCCAGAAATGATCAGGCGGCGGAGGACCTTCAGAGACACCAGGCTCTGTTCGATAACCTCCAGTAACGCTGCTTCGTCCGAGCCCCCGTGCTCCAGAATACCAGTCCATTGGCCAACTTTGTCCACATATATGCTGCCTAGCACCTGGAATATCTCGGGAGAGACTGATTGCAATTGAACACGGGTTCTCTGGATTCGGGCAGTTGACAGCTCTTTGATGATTTGTAGGAGGATGAGGAGGGTTCGAGGGAGCTGCAGCGGGTTGGCGCCAGGTTGAATGGAGGATCGAAGGAAGGTGATAACGGATGTAATCGCATCGGGCCTTGAAGGGGTCAGCATCAACAGAGATAGTATGAGCCAGGTTCACCTTACCAATCATGAGGAAACTCATAGCGCAGGATCTTGGCCACCATCAAGGCATTCTGGAGGGCAAGCGGACGAGCAGGCTCTTCTACACCAGCCTCCAGGGCTCTGGTCTTGATCTGCGCTTTCTCATCCTTGGAAATTGCACTTTATCCAACATTAGTATATATCCTGGAACGAATTGCGGGACGGCTGCAGCGCATGACCTACTTGGTGGCGGTCTTGCGCCAGTATCGATCAATGCCGTGCTTCAATCGTATAATGGCCAGGTAGCGTACTTCGGTCGGGAGGGAACGGTCAAGAAAGACATCCTAAAAGTTACACGCGTCAGTTCGAAAGCAACTTGTGTTAGCATCGAAGATGGTCCAGCATACCTGAAGCATGGCATGGTACAGAGCATGTCGCTCCCAGTTCTCCAGCTGCTTGGTTCCTGTTTGAACCTGCTGCTGCGTAGAGCTTGCAGCCAGCACTAAGGCATCCACCACATTGCGATGTGTCAATGGGTGTGCCTCACCGGGCAACTCGATCGTCGGGCCCATGGCAAAAGGTTAGACTGCTTAGTCGCCGGAGAGGTGACGGAAGCTCTGTCCGAGCTGGACCTGAAAGAAGAAGCAATGAGCAGTGATATCACGTGTCACAGGGTATCCATAGAGTTGATCACGGGTCGAATGGTGACTTTCAACTCGGTCGTCAACAAAGGCATCCCACCTGGTCTTCGAGGTCCACCGCCCTCTTGCCAGGGTCCCCTCATCCATCGCGGAATATAGTTCAACCGGCCCCAGTTCAGCCCTAGGGCTGGACCCTCGATCCTTCCTAATTGGGAGAATCAGTTAGGGCACGATAAGGCTATGAAGTCACTGGGATGATCATAATCATCGAATGTGGTCTTGTTCAGGGCCCAGGTCAATATATCATAGCTACCAACCTTGTTTTAAAACAATTCTGAAGTAGAGGAATGAGGTCTTGCGCACACTCCTACCTGCTTTATCCGGTGTCCGTAACAATAGGTGACATACCCATGATGTATAATGGTGGCAATGCTAAGACGTAGCTTGGCTCTCAATGGGTATTTATTCATCTGTCAAGACATTCACCTATGGCTTGATCAATTATCTTCTTCATCATCGTACTCGAAGCACTACGACTCTTTTCATAACATAAGTCCCGTTGCATTTTCTACATATCATCCTGCAGAATGGTTCATTTCGAAGACCTTCGCCAGACGGCCTACAATGCCGAGAACGACCTAAACTCGTACCAGGCTAAGCAAGGCCTTGGTCGGAAGAGCGACTCGAGTATGCACTAGTCGTCTTTTTGAGCACTTTGACCTCGATACTGACCAATTGACAGCCCTCGAGTCCGGCGTTGATGAGATGGTCGACCAGCGATTCCCTCAATCAAGAGGCGTCAAGTATGGCCCTGGATCAGTAGCTTCTCGTAGTGACCACCGCAAGATTCCCGAGGACGAGGGTGGCACCCGGGACGATCGTGGCAGGTAAACAACTGATCATCAATCAAGTCAGCCTCCTAGTTGGGTCGATGCTAACCTTTGGGCTCTTGAAATACAGACTAGCTACGGGAGAGCAGTACCTGGGAGAGGGTGGCCCGGAGGACAAGATTAAGATAAAATCCCAGTACCGGCCTGGTGACCAGGACAGTATCAATGTGCAGACTATGAAGCGCCGGGGAATTGCGGATTAGGATGAGAACATTGTACTTTTTTACATTAGATGGTCTATGTGGTTTTCGACGACGAAATACATGATCCGAATTGATAAAACTTGTGAGAATACTAGCTTGTACGTTATTTGATCGTTCCGAGACATTGGAACCCAAGTATGCATGGTCATCTGCATACCTAGCTGCAATGCACCCCTTTAACTCCGGGCTACGGCCGGAGGATACTCCAACATAGACTCGGCCGCAGATCAGGCCACCAGTCACATACATTCAAGCTCACGCCTCGTATTCCTCCAACTGTTTCTTCGAATTGAATCTCCACGTAAACCCATTGAGCTTGGCACCAGCTCCTTGGCTCAATCCTACCACCCACATTCGGTCTGCGAATACTTGGGCCTCTTCAATCCCACATCAACATCTCACCGCCCCGAGGTCTATCGAGCTCACATCCCTGCCCAGCTGTATACCTCCAACTAAAAGTAAAGATGGCTGGTTGCCTGAACCAAACAGTGCCTCGATGTTTTCGGTAGGATGATCTCAGTTCTCAAGGAGTCTTGTCACAGCATTGGCCCGGACATGGTCAGTCCAGGTCTCGTGGCTCGGCCTGGAGGGATAGACTGAAGGATTGCAGGCGGGGTTGAGGCGCTGCTTGGGCATATGCGGGGTTTCTCCATGGTCAGAAGGACGGTGCTCATTGAGCCCCTTGGTGCCTATATCTAGCCAGTCTTGCACCGAATTTCATGGCCGTTTGGCCTGACTTCGTATTGAATCGACGCGTTCATACTGTAACAAATCTTTTGGGTTCATCATACATCTGAGCATCATGGCCGCCGAGGCATCCCAACCTATCGAGACTCGTTTGTTTATTAACAACGAAGTATGAGACCCTCTTTTCCCCCAATAGGTCAATAATGCTAATGATCCAGTCATAGTTCCGCGACTCCTCAGACAAAACAACCTTTGAGGTCATTTATCCGTACACCAAAGAGGTCGTTGCAAATGGTACAGGATCCAAACACCACAATAAAGATCTCCTTCTTCCTAACAGGTACCTCTAGTCCAGCAAGCCTCTGTCGACGACGTAAACGATGCCGTCACCGCCGCCAACGCAGCATTCCCAGCATGGCGCGATCTCGGCATCGACGGACGTGCCCGTACCTACGCAAGCTATCCGAGCTCTTCCTCGAGGCCAACAATGATCTAGCTCGACTCGAGACACTGTCTACTGGCCGGCCCATCTCACAATTCATGGACGCGCACATGTCGTCCGAGCTATTCCGGTATTTCGCCGACGCGGCATGGAATTCGCAAGGCACGGCGAGCACTTACAACCCCGGATTGCTGAGTATGACGGTCAAGGAGCCTTACGGCGTCGCGGGTCTGATCATCCGTGGAACTTTCCACTGGCGAATTTTAGCTTCAAGGTTGCACCTGCACTGGCGGCGGGGAATACGGTGGTGTTGAAGTCCAGCGAGAAAGCCCCGTTGACAGTAAGTATACACGCCATTCCAAATATACCACGGCTTTCAAGTTCTCAAGACACTAACTAGACCTGATGATAATCAGTGTATTTACGCCGCCAAACTCATCCAAAAAGCCGGTTTCCCCCCAGGCGTCATCAACATCATCGCCGGCTACGGCAACCCAACTGGCGCCGCCTTGGCCGAACACATGGCCGTCCGCTGTATCAGCTTCACCGGCTCCTCCCTAACAGGCCAAAAGATCCAAGCCGCAGCCGCAAAGTCCAACATGAAACACTGCCACATGGAGCTCGGCGGTAAATCACCCGCCGTGGTATTCGAAGACGCGGACCTCGAGGCCGCGGCGATACAAACACAATTCAGCATCCAGTTCAACAGCGGGCAGGTCTGCGTCGCAAATAGCCGGTTATATGTACAAGAAAGCGTGTATGACAAGTTCGTCGCGCTGTTCCGCGAGAAATTCGCCGCCGTCACGCTGGGTGACCCGCTGGATCCGACTACTACGCACGGTCCGCAGATCGATGCTGCGCAGTATAAGCGCGTGCAGGAGTACCTGGCTAATGGACAGAAGGACGGGTCACTGACGCAAGGTGGAGACGCGAATAATGGATTCTTTGTCAAGCCGACTATCTTCGAGAAGGTGCCGGAGGACTCGCGACTGATGCGGGAGGAGGTGTTTGGCCCCGTGGTGACGATTAATACGTTCAAGACGGAGGAGGAAGCGGTGCAAAAGGCGAATGATTCTGAGTTTGGACTGTATGCGTCGGTTTTCACCAAGGATTTGGATCGTGCAGTGCGTATGTCCAAGGCGCTGCAGGCTGGTACTGTGGGTGTGAATTGTACGAGCCCGACTAATGCAAAGGATGGGGCTTTTGGTGGGTATAAGATGAGTGGGAATGGGAGGGAAGGTATGTTGTACAGCATTGACAATTTCTTGCAGCTGAAGACTATTTTGATCAAGTCGGGGCAAGGTTCTGCAAGTCCTCTTCTAAAATCATGAAGGAATCCAGTGTGTCCTTATTTGTTGGAAGTGAGAGAAGAGAGTTTGAAGGCTTGTGGAGAATTTAAGGTTCCTTCAGTATGCATATATTCTTGTGTTGTATTGCGAATCGTAGCTAAGACATCAAGGCAAATTGCCGAATTGAAAAAAAAAATATAAGAACTAATTTCTTTGCTTCTGCTTCGGAAGGAATAAATATGAACTATCCTCCCTGATCCAATCATAATTCTAATGGCAAAATGACAATTGATGAGACAGTAACCAGCCTCAAAATCCGCGTGGATTGGCAGAGAGAATCTATTATCTGCTTAAAGCAGGTAAGCAAACATAGCGACAAGAGCACCGGTCATGACGGTGAAGCCCGGGGCGGTGATAGCGGCAGCAGCACCCCCGGTCGCAGGGCTAGAAGCCGAAGATGACGAGGTGGTGGTGTTGGTGCTGTTGGACGCGTTCTTGCGGGTAACGGTGACCTTGGTGTTGTAGTCGGCCTTGGTGTCCCATGGGTAGGGGCTGGAGTAGTTGTAGGTGGCGGCCTGGCCAGCGTAGGTTTTCTTGACGATGTCCAGGATACCGTTGCCAGCCGAGCACTTGGCGTCGGTCAGAGGAACGGGCCAAGTGGGAGAGAACTTGGACAACTCGCCAGCCGACTCGGGGCCGGGGTAGGTCTCGTTCAGGCGCAGGTTGGTAATTTCCACATCAAAGTTGACATAACCGGTCTTGTTAGCGACAATCTCGAAGATGTTGGCACCGCAATCCCACTGTGATCTCTGTTAGTCCAATTGCTTTTGATTTTTAAGATGTATTCCATGACTTACGCGGCCGAGAGAGGGCAGACCCCAGTTGGCGCTGACAGAGGCAATACTGGAGTAGTGGGTGTAGAAGGTGTCGTCCGTGGTTCCCTTGAGGTTGTCGGGGATAGCACCACCGACGAGAATGCTACATGAATGTCAATAAAGTGTCGACAAACAGCAACGTGACGAATGCCATCGCTGTCTGCTTCTAATGTTCATAGCTTTTTTGGGCATACCTGTAAACACGGTTGGTCTTGTTGTAGGTATCATCCTCGTCAAAGGTCAACAGGATAAGAGAGTCGTTCATGAAGTAGTCGTTCGTCAGCAGCGAAGACATCCAGCTGCGCTCCCACTTGCCCCCAAAGGTAATGTTGGTGTCGTGGACATCGTTGGTCATGTTAGGGGTAATGAAAGCCCACTGGGGAAGCTTCTTGTCGGACAGATCATTCTCGAAATCAGTGAAGTTCTTGATCTGGCGAGCACGGGTCTCGTTCTGGACAACGGAGTCGTAGAGAACCAGAGGGTTGTGCTTGCGGACATAGTCATTGTCGAAGGTCTCCTGGTTAGAGTAGTTGAAGCCCTGGAAGCCGGGGAAGGGCATGTGCTCCTGGTACTCGCCCCAGGAAATGCTCTTGGTGTCGAGCAGATCAGCAACAGTGGAGACATTGGCGGGAATCTGGTTGAAGTTGTCATTGTCCATGCCAAAGGTGTCACCACCAGCAGCCGCGCAGTAGTTAGGCTCCGATGGGTGGGTGACAGCGTAATAGTTGGTCCTGGAATTTAGAGTTTAGTGGGGGGGAAAGGAGGATTCAGTGTGGAGGATGGGACGTCGATCACTCACAGCAGGATACCCTGGGAGGCCAACCACTGCATGTTGGGATCCGCGGCCACATCCTCGTAGTCAGTGTTCTCCAACCAGACCTGGTAGAACCGGTTGAAGGCAACACCCTTGACATCCGAGCTGGGGGACTCAGGGAGAGTAGTGGCAGCAGCCTGTCTGATCTCAGAGATCGAGGGCTCGGAGACAGTAGCAACCTGGGCACGAGCCAGGGAGGCCGCAGCCAGAAGAGTGGCAGCAACAGTCTTCATTGTAGCGATTGGTTATTGTTCGCAGGTCAATGAGTGTCGTTCAAGAAGGCAGGAAACGCCCAATGGAGATGGAGAGGGTGATGGTAGAGGAGGAAAGAGGACCACGAGGAGCAGAAAAGGGAAGGGATGCGCGGAGAGCTTGATTTTATATGGATAGGAGGAGCTTCACAGCACGTGGTCGCACAAACCTCAACCTGTGCACGATATTATGACCTCGTCCAGACGATCGGTTGGTATATAGCAATCAGAATCCCTGGATTGGGCCAGTCATGGTTGGTGAGACTAGTTACGAGGGTTCTCCGTATAGTAATCAGACCCTTCGTAGAGTTTACAGGGTTACAATGACAAATCTCCACGCGAGTGGTTACCTGGTATCCAGGGCGGAGTACAGGTTAGTGCTTGTTAGTGCTTAACCAGTGCTTTTCGGGGGGTCATGGCCTGCTCAACGGGGTTAGTCCGGAGCCCCGTCAATTGTTGGAGGGATGGGGCAAGGGTTGCGAGACAAAAGAGGGAAACGGTCGATCCCGATCACCCCGTAAGGGTTTGTTGAATGATCATTAGAGTTGCCTCCACGATGCGAATTGGGGTTCGTCTATTGGCTAGGCTCTAGTCACCCTCTGGTGGGGCAGGCACGTGCCGTGTTCGGGCGGATGCTTGGCACTGCCATCAACGCTTCCTGTACACTTACGGTACACTTTACACCTACTCCTTCCAGCACACAATCTCCCTCGATAGACGAGGTACAGGAAGTATACTCCGCCCTCCAAATACTATGTCTTACATTTAACATCCCACGTGTGAACCGTAACTGGCCCTCATCATTCCCTGCGCTATCCCATTGTACGGAGTACAAGTACAAGGGCTTGGCAAAGGCATCACGCCGTACCGAAGGGGGAGCTATACCCGATTGTCGGTTGCTTCTTTTCGAAGTCTTCTATTATCATTTTTCGGGTGATGTTCCCGCAGTGGGGAGCCAGCGGAATGATCCGATCAATAGACTATTCATTTCTCTTACCGAGCGCTTACATCTGTGAGTGTGCAGCGAACATTCCCGTTGCGCTCCAATCACCGTTGAATGATACTACATCGAACGTTCTACTACATCTAACTGGCTTATGGAATTGCTCCAGAATCCGCCATGGAACGAAGTGGAGATGCCTTGCAAACCATCGGGGTTTACTCAAGCACCGTGTCTGCGACGGGATAGAGAGCCATTTCCTCTTTCAATGGGCAGATCTGGTGGGAGTAATAAATCCCAGGCAGACATAGTCGGTGTTGTGGAACTTGTTCAAATGATTCATCTGATAATGAGATAACTATGCCGGGAGCTACCTCTGTACGGAATACTTCATGTACATTCATGATTGGATCAAGAGCGGTCCCTGTCAAAACTACTGTCGGGTATATAGTAGCTTGGACACGTGGTGGACAGAAAAGAGAACAGTCCCAGGTATAAGCGCCTTCTCAGAAGGAAGAAGCTTGCAAGATCTCTTGTTGCCGCCCGTCTCTCCAGCTCTTAGTACATAAAAGTGGCTACCCGATGGTGAACAATACCGAGCAATCTCACCTATCAATGGCCGAAGCTTCATGCAGGACTCAATGCGGTATTTGAAATTACATGGACTTCCAGAAACACAGATGCAGTAATTTGATTTTATTCAACAACCGTGAAAGGCTGTGCCTTTTCGGAAAGTTTGTTTACACTCGTCTTGGTCGACTGCAGGACAAGTCTGTAGTCAACCTCTACTGGTCCCATATAATGCACATCCATTCCGATAATCGAAAAAGTAGAAGGTGCCTGGGCTCGCATGACACCTGCTACCATAGTCGCAATGGTTCTGCAAATCTGTAGAGAACTATTCTCAACAGACTCGCCAAGGATGCAGGGCAATGCAGATATATCTTGGATTGAGGACCCCATGCACCTTTCCTTGAGTAAGCTCAATGAGCTTCCACAGAGTATTCAAACTTCTAAAGCTAATATATAGATACAGAGATCAATTACACTTTTACTCATTTCGTGATCGTGATCTTCTCGTCCTGAGCACTGATCTTCCATTCCCTGGATGCGTAGGTCACGTGAAAATAACCTCGGCTCCGCGTCTGGGGAAGCCGAGCACCCATAGGCCATCTCCGTGGGCCGACCCTCTTTCATCTCCCCCATCATCCTCTGCCTATCTCTCGACTCAACCACCGCATCATGATAATACGATGAGCTCAACAAATTTCGCCGCTGCACAGGAGCGGGTTCTCGAGCGCAGGCGCCTTCGTGAGGCGGAAGCGCGAGCCCGACATGCGGAACAGCAACGGGCGTCTCCGATTAACCCGGCCACCGTCCAGCGTCTTCCATACCCATTGAACCGTGTCCCCGGCGCTGGATGGGCGCTATGGAATTCGATCAAGGGCCGTGATGGGACGCGCCCAGCGTTTCGAGTCGGTCAGGTCGATGCCGAGTTATTGGACGAGGAGCTGCTCGGCCTGATGAAGAACCAGGTTGGCGATGCTCTTAAATACTTCGGGGTATGCAGGAGTCCCGTTCAAAGCATTAAATGTGGATGTTTTTTTGGATGCTAATTTATAACAGCCTCAAATGCGGGAGGACTGGTCACATGAAATTTTATTCGCGCTACGAGCGATCCTTTTCAAGCTCTCGATTTGGGATCACAATGCGTCATATGGAGCGGCCTTGCAGGGCCTCCGATATACCGATAGCCGAAGCCAAGGCCCCGTTCATTCTCCGCCTACCAAATTGCAGAAGACCATGTACGGATTGCTGACGGTCGGCGGGCGATATGCGTGGGACAAATGGGAGAGCTGGTTGGTTGGACAGGAGGGTGGTTATGAAGAGGTTAGTTTTTCACTGCTTAAGATCGAACGATTGCCTCGCTAACGACCGGGTAAAGCCATCACAGGAAGTTCGGATGTTCTCGCGCATTACAGACCTCGTTTCCACGACACATTCGATCGCAGCCTTCGTTTCCTTCCTTGTCTTCCTTGTGAACGGTCGCTATCGAACTCTCGTCGATCGAATCCTCCGCATCCGCCTCACGCCACCATCAGCTCAGGCTAGCCGGGAAGTTTCATTTGAATATCTAAACCGACAGCTGGTCTGGCACGCTTTTACCGAGTTCCTCCTGTTCCTCCTTCCTTTAGTTGGCATTAGTCGGTGGAAGCGATGGATATCACGCGCATGGCGCAAGACCGTCACAGCGCTCAAGTCGAGCGGGGATGACGAGGAGACGACTGAGAAACAAGGCGAGCTGGCCTTCCTCCCGGAGCGAACATGTGCCATCTGTTATCGGGATCAGAATCCAGCTGCAACGACGGAGAGTGATGTCCTTGCGGCCTCGGCGAGTGCAGGTGGAATCTCAGGATCTGCTCAGACCGATATCACCAACCCATACGAGACCATTCCTTGTGGCTGTATCTACTGCTTCGTCTGTATCGTACAGAAGCTGGAAGCGGAAGAAGGCCAGGGCTGGGTCTGTCTTCGGTGTGGTGAAATTGTCAAAAAGTGCCAGCCATGGAACGGCGAGGTCCTCGAAGAGGCGCGCTCGCAGCCAGGTACTGGCAAGATTGTTGGGTTTGCCATAGATGATGAGCCACACGGCGACTCCCAGGACACAGAAAATGCCCAGGGACAATCTGATAACTCCAGTCCCTTGGAAGAAATCACCGCCGACGAGACCTTGCAGCACTCCAGCCAATGGTCTACGGACGAGAAGGAGGCAGAGGACGAGCCTACGAACGGAGCGAACGGCTTCGCCGACAACCAGGAGAAGTCATGAGCATAGCCGACTGCTCCTCGGTCTTTGCGTCTACTTTCGACCTCCTTGTTTATCACTTATGCACTTCAGCTGTTCTGCGCTCGAATTGCCGCAGCACCTGTCATTTAGATACTTCCCACGATACCCACCCAACATGGGATATTACGCCTTGTACATAACCAATTCTACCAATCCTTCCTCTCTCCATCCCGCGTATATCTACCTTATCCACACAACCCCACAAACTCCAATAGCAGCCCCGGTCAACGGAAACAAAGCCCGGCAAAAGTTCAACTCTGCCCATTTCCACAATAACCCAGGGACCTCGTCATCCTGCTTCGCGCGACGGAACTTTTCCGCCGCACTCAACACCATCCCTTCCGTCCCCTCCGCCATCGCCTTATCGTCGCGCGTTGCATGCGCTCGTAGCCGGTCATTCGTATCCTTCATCGCCGTCAGCGTCCAGGGCACCAAACCCAGCGTGACCACGATCGCGGTGACGTAGAAGCTCGTCCAGGATTGCCCGGTCGCCGTCGGAGCCGGGGTATCGCGTAGGACCCAGGCAAGATACCCGTTGGCGAGAGAAGATACAATTGCGATTGGGGGAAAAATTCTCTTCCCGCGCTCGTAGACATCGAGCCACTGGTGCGTTATGTGGGGGTTGGTGTACCGGGGGCATCGTTCGTGGGAATCGTTGCGCCTAGCGGGCGGCGTGCAGGGAGAACCAGGTTGGGGATGTTCATTATGGAGAGGGTCATGATGCCGCCTTGATTTAGATATTAGCTTGGATTTTCCTCGTCATGTAGCTTTTAGACGGGGGGTTCAGTACCAGCCGCAAAGCTACACCCCAGCGTCCCGATCGCCTGGGCGATCATAATGGACGTCATTATCTCGGAAATATGGAGATGGTGATGCCACTCGGGCAATTTATGTAGGTGCAAAAACCAATTTCATAAAGGGACAATGTAAGACAAGAAGATATTCGCCGAGATGCTGAGGACTAGGGGAGGGAGTGTTTGGGTGTTGGGTTAGAGGCGAAATCGCCCCCTCCGTGAGCATGTTCCAGGTTTATGACGTTACACCGAATCGAGTTAGAGAGAGTTTGTGGAAGTCCTGTATTATGCGGGGGAACTGGGAATATAGAAATTTAAAAGGGATAATATATTGTTACTATACGTTCTAAGAAGACTGCTGCTTATATTGACTATCTATTCTTCTGTCTATTGTTCTAGGAAGCTACTGTAGCTTTCACGAATATCTGTAGGTCCTTTAAACGTTTTAGAGATATCCGTTCCTAGTTATTAATGTTAAGGTATATACTTCTTACAGACCAAGAGAACCATATATGACCAGCAATAATCTGATACAGTACTGCTAATTCGCATTGATATAGTTAGCTATAATGCGCGTACTGTATTCCCCAGTCGTAAGAATAGCTCCACCACGGAAGACTTGCCGAGGCCGAGCCGGGCCATAGGCGCAACTCCGAGACGAGCACTAATCCAATCACACTGACTGGCTGAGGAACGCGGGGTCCCACTGGGGTCGGCCAGGTCGGACTAACTTGCGAGATTCTGTTCGAGGTGGGATGAGGCATTCTTAAGCTCTGTTCCATTCCTACACAGTGCGATCCAGATTTCTGCTACACAAATTCCTTCATCCCATCATGGATCCCACGGAGCCCAGCAAGCTGGCTGAACCGCGCTACATCAACTTCCCCAGTCTGCCCTCCGACGCCAAACACCCAGACGGTACCCCCGCACTCAACCGGCACTCGTCAACGATCACCAGAGGCCATGAATTCCCAGGCGCACGGGTATGTTGGAATGCAGTACTCCAATGTCAATGCTCAATGCTAATCGCACCAGGCAATGCTCTTCGCTGCCGGCGTTCCGGACAAGGAAGCTATGGCTAAGAGCCCACATGTCGGCATTGCTTCTGTTTGGTGGGAGGGAAACCCCTGCAACATGCACTTGATGGATCTGGGAAAGACGGCCAAAAAGGCAGTCGTCGAGAAGGGGATGATTGGTTGGCAGTATAATACCATTGGTGTTTCGGATGCAATTACAATGGGTAGCGACGGTATGTCCGGCGGGCGGAGACAGCGAGGAATAAATACTCTTGGTTCAATGTGCAAGCTGACCCTTCAATTGAGGTATGCGATTCTCTCTGCAGACTCGTGAGATCATTGCCGATAGTGTGGAGACCGTTACCTGCGCTCAATACCACGATGCCTGTATCGCCATCCCCGGTTGTGACAAGAACATGCCCGGTGTGGTGATGGGTATGGCCCGCCACAACCGTCCGTCGATCATGATCTACGGTGGTACAATCAATATCGGTTACTCCGAGCATCTTCGTAAGCCTATTAATATTTCGACATGTTTCGAGGCGGCGGGTGCCTACGCATACGATACCCTTCGCCAGCCAGACGATGGCGGGGATACTAGCAAGACCAAGGATGAGATTATGGACGACCTCGAGCAGCATGCCTGCCCGAGTGCCGGTGCCTGCGGTGGCATGTTTACGGCCAACACGATGGCCACAGCGATCGAATCTATGGGTCTGTCCCTCCCTGGCTCGTCGTCTACTCCTGCCTCGTCGCCTTCAAAGATGCGCGAGTGTGTGCGCGTGGCTGATGCCATTAAAATCTGTCTGGAAAAGAACATCCGCCCTCGCGATCTTTTGACCAAGCGATCCTTTGAGAATGCACTTGTCATGACGATGGCACTGGGTGGTTCCACTAACGGTGTTCTTCATTTCCTCGCCATGGCACGCACTGCCGGCGTTGACCTGACATTGGATGATTTCCAACGGGTTAGCAATAAGATTCCCTTCATTGCCAATCTCTCCCCAAGTGGCAAATACTATATGGCCGATCTCTACGAGATTGGCGGTATCCCGTCGGTCCAGAAGCTACTGATTGCTGGAGGCCTCCTGGACGGTGACATCCCTACCGTCACTGGCAAGACGCTGGCGGAGAACGTTGAATCATTCCCGTCGCTGCCACAGGATCAAACCCTGATTCGGCCATTAGACAACCCTATCAAGGCTACGGGTCACATCCAGATCCTGCGCGGTAACCTCGCCCCTGGCGGTGCCGTGGCCAAGATTACAGGCAAGGAGGGCCTCAGCTTCACGGGCAAAGCCCGAGTCTTCGACAAGGAGAAACAGCTCAACGACGCTCTGGACGAAGGCCGCATCCCACGTGGGGAGAATCTGGTTCTTATCGTCCGCTACGAAGGCCCTAAGGGTGGACCCGGCATGCCGGAACAGCTCAAGGCCAGTGCCGCGCTGATGGGTGCCAAGTTGACCAACGTTGCCCTCATCACGGATGGCCGCTACTCCGGCGCCAGCCACGGTTTCATCGTTGGCCATATTACGCCCGAGGCGGCGGTGGGCGGACCGATTGGTCTGGTTCGCGACGGGGACATCATCACTATCAATGCCGAAACTAACGAGTTGTCCATGGATGTATCGGATGAGGAGATTCAAGAGCGCCGTCGCCAATGGACGCCACCAGAACCGCAGATCACTCGCGGAGTGCTGGCTAAGTATGCCCGGTTGGTGGGTGATGCGTCGCATGGAGCTATGACGGATCTCTTTTAGAAGGTGAACGTTGGTAAGAAAGGGATAGGGGGTTACGGCCGCAATGTGTAAGCCGTATAGGGGTGTGTCTCCAGCAATTTGACGGATAACATTCCCAGATGGCTGGAACCACCATATGGAATATCCCCAAAAAAATAAAAATAAAGAATTGGTTTGAAATGGTTTCTTGTTGTTGTATAGGGGGAGGGAATCTCCACTTGGTGCTGAACACATCAACTTTTCTAGAAGCCCTAAAAGTAGAAGGTCGAAGAACCCAAGCCAGCGAAGGCGGTCGATTTCGTCATGTGCAGGCGCCAAGTGGAGCTGGTGAGTCACGTTGGTTCCCCCCACGCTGCGCCGCCGGAGATTGTGAGTGGCCGAGTCTAATGCGTTTTCTCTGCCTCAATCCTGCCTCTGCGAAACTCCCGCCTCACTTCTTCATCCCTCAACGTTGTCGATCCAACGCCTCCCATTGGCGTCGTTGCTTTCCTCGCCTCGCCGTGATCTCTCCACTCTATCCAAGCAGCACCCGTTGTGGCCTCGTGTGGTCTCATTTCTCGATCCTTCCCGGGGTCCGGAACCCTGGGGACTCTCCATCTTGCGCGTGAGGGCAAGTGTAAGAGCTAAGAGCTACTTAAGCCGCCCACGCCATGGGGAACGATGGCGCCGGCAGTTCGATCTCTGCTCTTTACGAGTCACTGTCCTCACAATCCCTCAATAATCGGTCAGGCGTCGGTACCGTGTTGCATCTGTATCACTCGGCGCGCATCGCTGCCCAACAGGCCTCTTGGTCTTCCCTCGCAGCTTACTTTCGCTCTCTCTACCGCAATGACACCGTGAATTGGGGGCAAGTAGCGTTCTTGACTACCTGCGTGATTACAATGGTCGGTTGTGGCTTGATCTCGTCGCTCGTCTGGCGTGTACGGTCGCCGGAGAAGAGAAAATCTTCGTTCCGCCCGCGCCTGGGGTCGAGCAAGCGCTCGACTAAGTCTTCCACCAAGACTCTCACATCCTCGGACGATGACTACGAAGATGATGACTATGATAGCACTGGATCGTCGCGACATGGTACTGAGCCTCATCGCCAAGCAATCGAGTGGTCCTCACATCCTCAGCAGCAGACTTCCGATGGTAAGCGAAATCTCCTCGCCAGCCTTTTCCCCCTTCTCCATTGTCAACGTGGGCGTCACTGACACGCTCCAATAGCATTCAAGACGGATCCCGGTATCTTGAGGAAGTTCACCACCTTCGGTCCCTACACCACCTCCGTCGCGACATACCCAGCCGTTCGCACATTTTATTCCCCGCACCCAAACCTCAATCGCCTTCCTGATAAGCCATCTCCCGTTCCTCTGCTAGTGTTCATCCACGGACTCGGCGGTTCTCTGGCCCAGTTTCACCACCTCCTTACAAGTCTTTCCAATGTTGGGTCATGCTTCGGCATTGATCTGCCGGGTTGCGGCCTTTCCAAGTTCGCGCCTACCGATTGGAACGCATACACCGTGGAGGCCTTGGCCGAGTTGATTGCTGTCGCGATTGAGAGACACCGTGATCGAGATCGTGGTCAAGGCGTGATTCTGGTAGGCCACAGCTTAGGATGTTCCCTGTCAGCTCTGCTCGCATCGTCCGCCTCTCCCATCGGAGAGAGCCTGAAAGAACATATCCTTGGCATGATTGCGGTCTGTCCTCGCGCAATGCCTCCATCAGCGAACGAAGTTGCAACATTCCGCCGCCTACTCTCCATCCCCGAGCCGATCTTTGACTTGTGGCGTCTTTGGGATCGTCGCGGCGGTGCTCAAAGCACAAGTGTGTCGCGAATGGTTGGCAGCGATGCAGATGATGAGACGCGAGATCTCCAGCTCCGTTATAACAAGCATAGTCGGACACCAGTCTGGCGTCGTATGGCGTGGGGCACCCTTCCTGATTACCAGAACGGTGAACCTGTCGGAGGTATGCCTGGAGAGAAGGTCTGGTCTGCCATTCACATGCCCATCCTCTTGATTGCAGGCGAGGCGGATGCCGTGACCAAACCGGTGGAGATCCAGAAACTCCTCCAGTTCTTCGGGGATGTCTCCGCTCATACCACCATTGACACTCGCAGAAGCAGCATTATCCCCGATGCCTCACGAGTTCACGATCAGGAATCAACTTCTTCCACTGGTCTTGCTGATGAGGAGAATGTTGTCATCCAGCCTGCTGAAAGCGAGAAGCTAATCGGCCGGGCAAATCACAATGGCGCTGGCCGCAAGCGACTCGTCAAATCGGCCATCTTGCCCGCACCTGCATCCCATGCTCTTCTCTACGACCGAGCAACATATCGCACACTTTCGGGCATTATCCAAGACTTCTTGTCCCAGCATATTGACAAGCGCCTGGGCCTGGGGTGGCAGCTTCAATACATGAACACGTCAGGAAAATGGGACGTGAAGAACCTTGCCAAGTGGCAGAAGGTTGCACCCGTTTCCAAACCGATTGCGAACACCTTTGCCGCGCTGAAGATGCTCCGAGAGGTCGACGAAGAGCACAATCCGGTGCTTTTCTCCCAGAAATACCGCGGCAGCATCTATGCTGTCATTGACATCAGCCATGAGAGCCCGGTCTACAATCCGGCTACCATGGAAAAGGGTGGCATCCACTACAACAAGCATCCGACTGTGTCCAAGCTCCCCCCAACCCCCGATGAGACCCGTGACTTTATCGCGCTGGTTGATCGGCTTCAGAGGGAGATCGACGATCAGATGGAGAAGCGTGAGGACACCACCTTGCCCCGGCCACTGATCGGCGTCCACTGCCACTATGGATACAATCGCACCGGTTTCCTGATCGTGTGCTACCTCATCGAGCGCCTTGGCTTTGGCGTCCAAGATGCCATCGATGAGTTCAATCGGTGCCGACCACCTGGAATTCGGCACGGGCATTTCATTGATACACTCTTTGTTCGATACTGTGTCGGGCTGAAGAGGGCACCAACCCTGTGATTTGACATCTCTTGTCCATAGTTATTTCCTCTTTTTACTTCCATCGGCGTTTTTGGGTTAGACTTGGAAGGGGGTTAGGTTTGGAAGGCAAGGCATTCGGCAATGGGTTTGGATTTTTCCTTGGTTTTCGGCATTTTTACAGGTCATGAGAAACGATTACATTACTTGGTCAGCATTAGATGTGTGTTATTAGGATACGAATCATGGAAGCATAATATCATTTTGGCATTGATTTGCCCTGGGGAACCTCCCGGGCTTTCATAAACAAACTTCACTGTTGCCCCTAATAAGAGGATCGAAACTCATGGTACGGGTATCTGTTTTGGTGATTGTTAGTAAGGGCGTCATCTCCTGGAAGGGCTCAGCCTAAAGGAATCGATACGCACGTCCTCCAAGAAGTAAACATAATCCTAACATTCAACCACAGCCCCCACGACTTAGATGGTTTTGTTGATCTTCAATTGAAGTTGAGGGCAAAGCATATAACATGGCAAGCACTTCCGTTATTAATCTCCCGGTTTATTTTTGAATATTAAAGGCTTCCAAATGCTCGTTTTCGAACTGTTTATTCAGCAAGCCTGGGTTGTATAATAACTAGTTAGCAGCAAATACATCGTTAACAGCTAGTTGGAGGCTTCAATCAAGACCAAGGACTAGGCCTTGGTGCCTGAGGTTTCAAAGGCGGACCACTCATGGCTTGATTGCCTTAAATTCATGGCTCAAAATCCACCCATCACATGACCGAGCTTAGGGTACGGCTAACCCAAACAGGCTAAGCGAACCCACGGCACACAGACGTGACCACGACGCAGACCCAACGGGGCGAGTTTGTGTGTCTCTTGAATTTTGTGACTTCGACCCTGCCCACCTCGACTTCCGCCAACCGACTCTTTCCCCTACGCCCTCTTCGGACCCCTCGAGACCGCAAAAATGGGTGGTGTTTCCGTTCGCGATGTGGACGTAAGTGTCCTTCAAATTTGATGGCTTCAGTTCGCCTGGTCGTCGGCTGGTGTGCGCTGGTTGTGGATGATGGATGGGTTCGTCTTGGAGGAGGCAAAAGCGACAAAGGCAACGGGCATATGGGCAACACCGGGACAGCCTGAGTGGTTCGAAAACTCTGGTTTCGCCGATCTCAGAGACTGCTGGTCGTGAAAGCGCAGTAATGGCCATGTGTGAAACTTCAGACTTGATATCACAAACTCTCAGTTTTGTCAATCAAGATCCAATGATCGAACCACCAGGTGCAAAGGAAACAGCGCCAATGGAATACCGAGAAAGATGCATTGCGACAGGAGATGGAATTGCCTTCCAAGACGAACCCGACACATCTACAAATTTGCACATGGGACCCGACCACGCGCAACCTGCATTGATCTCCACGAGCCATGACGCTAACAGTCTCTCTCTTTCTATCCTATAGGCTCAGAAGTTCATTGCCGCCTACTCGGCTTTCCTGAAGCGTCAGGGCAAGCTCCCCATCCCCGGCTGGGTCGACACTGTCAAGACCTCCGCTTCCAACGAGCTCCCTCCCCAGGATGCTGACTGGTACGACTCTCTGACTACACCAACTCCAACAAATCTCAAGCAACTCTGTTAACATGCTCTATCTATTAAAGGTTCTACGTCCGCGCTGCCGCCGTCGCCCGCCACATCTACATGCGCAAGACCGTCGGTGTTGGCCGTCTCCGCAAGGTTCACGGTTCCACCAAGAACCGTGGTGCTCGTCCCTCTCACCACGTCGATGCCTCCGGCTCCGTCGACCGCAAGGCCCTCCAGGCCCTCGAGAAGATCGGTGTCCTCGAGGTTGATGAGGACAAGGGTGGCCGCCGCATCACCCAGTCCGGCCAGCGTGATCTTGACCGTATCGCCAAGACCACCGTTGACGAGGATGAGGAGTCTGATGAGGAGTAAACGTGTTCCAAGAGCTTAATTTGGCTTTCGGGGGGCTCGTTTTGGCTTTAGTCCGGAATGATCACAAAAAAATAAAACTTTTTCGGAGCTAGGTCCCGGCGATTTATCACGTTTGTTCTCCAACATTTTTCCTTTTTTTCACCTTGATGACCAGACGGGGCTAGCGGAGAGAAAGTGGAAGGTTTTTTATTTGCATGAGGAGTGCGAAAAATTCCCGAGAGCATGAGCGAGAGGACGAGACACAGGCATCCGGCTCGTTATTCAATCTTCGTGTCCGAGTTGCAATGACTCGGACTGGAGAGACGAGTTTCTTTTCCCTTACATATTTTTGATCTCCCTCACCTCTTTGACCCGACCTATCCCCCCTACGGCGTCTTTGTTCCTGTTTTCTCTCGCGGTCTCCTGGAAATAAAGAGCATGTCTGACCAAACACGTTAAAACCGTTCATCTCGGCTTGTAGCGACGTAAGAATATAAGCGTAGCTATGACGGGCAGGTATACTAGACTCGTTTACTACATACTGCCCTACTGTAGAGTTTGTCTGAAAGTGTGGATCATACGTGTGGATATTGTATACGCAGTATTCCTCTACAAATCTATCGACCTTAAGACATGCTATCCCATGCTATCCCTCGCCAATTTATTTCTTACCCGACTGCGCCGACGGATCCTGTGGTTCGGGTTAGTAAAGAACCCTTTAATTCGACAATGAGAAACGCTCACCAGGTACACCTGATAGAACTGCATCTTCACACCCTCTCCCTCCTTCCGCGGCGCAAACACCACCCGCCCAGCCCAAGGCACGTAGACATCGTTCTCAGGATCAGCCTTTAGTCGGTAGTTCACACCACCATAGAGCATGATCTCGTCCTCGCCGCTGAAGAAGATTCGGGCCGGAGTGTGCTTGCGCGAGGCCACATGCGTCCACAGGCCATGGCGTAGGGGGAGAATCTCTGTCATTTATAGAATAAGCATCCTGTGCTTAGAAAGTATCTAAATCTGAATATAGCATGACGCAGGAGAGTCGGGCATGGAGATATCTAGGCTCCATCTGCATGCTTTTGCAGACATGTCCAGCTAGGCCATGAATCGTAAACATACCAGTAGCACCCTTGGCCTCCTTCGGGCCCATGATCAAAGTCGCATCTTCCGTAAAGCTTTGCACATATTTCTCATGCAGGGACTCGGTATCACTGGTGCGGTAGAAGTCCTCCATGAAAGCAACAATGGCCGGCCCACGCGGCGGCGCAAGGGCAGCGTCGTAGGCGATTTTGTAGGACATATTGCTTTGCGTCGACAATTTGAATGAGAATAGAAATGATAAAGGATTTAACTTGGTATGAAATACGGCAAGTAAATAGTGTAAGGGCCAAGGTCTAGCTCGCACTTGTTGATTTGCGATCAAAAGGTTGATTTCATCATGAGGGGAACCGTCGGTCCGATGGCCTGGTGCTGCATCCGATCTTATCAGTAGCGGTTTCTTGAAAAACATAGCCGCGGGATTAATGCTTACCTGAATTCTTCAATATAGTAGACTAGAACTCTCATTCTATGGCTGAGGTCATTCAATTCGTCTTCTCATGGATGAATACCTCCGTCGGTGTGGCTTCGTAATTACTGGCAGATATCTATGCTTTCCGTGCCTTCCGACGGCTGCACATCCTTGTATTACGTCCCCCACTTCACACCTGCCATGACGGAGGGAATATTGGATAGAGCCGAGTGAGCCTCGGCAGTTGCATATTGATTGTTTGAGACATTTGAATTAACATGATCATGTTATGTTCTTACAGCATCATTCACCAAATGCAATATATTCTTCTGAATCTCGTAAGGATGCCATTTATGTACAATGCAATAGACCCAGGCTCCACAAGTAAAAACGAGTCACTCAACCCCAAAAGATTCAACACTTCTTAACATCCCCCTCCCCATCCTGTTTGAAATCCTCCCAACTAGCTCGATCCGACCCATTAGGACGACTAGCCCTGACAAACTGATTATCCACACCCTGTACCACAGCAACGGGACGCACCACCTCAATATCCGTGTTATGCGCTTTCGAGAACCAGCTCTCAGTCAACGCCTGCTGGTTCGCTTTCGAGGCAGAACCAGCGGGCACATACAGGTGCGGGAAACGAGTCTGCATGCCCTTGAGGACCGTTGACGAAATGCGATCGACGCTGTCGCAGTGACGCAGCTTGAAGAAATCGGCTGGCTGGGCAGCACGTAGTTTCTCCTGTACCTCGGCAGGGTACTGGCCCATGGCGAAGAGAAGAAGGTCATAGTGCATCAGGGAGGCTTTGCCGTGATAGGAGCCACCGGTTTTCGCGCGGTGGTAGAGACCAGAGAGAGCGGCGATGGCGCCCATGCAGCCTGTACCGTAGTCGGAGATTGGGAATGGGGGAACGACGGGGTTGTCGAGGCCCATGAATTGGCCTTGAGCCCACGCAACACCGGTGACCTGATAGAACACTTATGAGTAAATTGACCATTTGACAAGAGTTCAAGAATTGACTTACGCAGTCCGCAATCTGCTGCCAGCCCGCTCGTCCGGCCCACTCGCCTTCATAACCGAAGCAGTTCTCATTCACGTAGACGATACCCTTTCCGCGCTTCTCGGCCAGTGCAGCCATAGCTTGGGGGCCATAACCAAGCTTTTCGAGTGCTCCGGGCCGATAACCGTCGACAATGACATCGGCGTCGGCTACGAGCTTCTCAAACTCCTGCCGTCCAGCCTCGGTCTTCAGATCAAGGTCGGCGGCGTGCTTGCCCATGTTGCCATCTACCTGGAAGAAAGGCACGTCGGACAGGTTGGGGCTAGTGATCTTCAGTACGTCGGCGCCATACTCGGCTAGGATGCGTGTAACTGTCGGGCCTGCGATGATACGGCACATTTCGAGGACTTTAACACCCTCGAGGATCCTCTTGCTTCCGGGCTGGCTGGCAGGGAAAGGAGTTGGGGCCAGGTTTCCTGGAAGCTTGTCTACCTTCCATGCAGGCTCTTGGACGTTCAATTTGCCCTGCTCAATTGTTTAGCGGGAGGTCCCATCATCAGAGCTGTGCTAGAGGTACATACGTGGGGAGTCTTGACAAATTCATCGTACTTGAGCGCTGGGACACCGGCCTGCCGCCTCTCCTTGTTCATCACCTCCAGCTCGGAAACGGTATACTTTTGCACCTTCTCCTCGATGACTTTGATAATTTCCTCATAGTCGGTCAAATCTGGACGGTGGCCCTCGAGACCAATCATATTGAGGGTCGAAGTGGCCTCTAGAGAACCGTGGATATGATAGTATTCGCCAGGGATCTTGGTCCTGTATAGATTGGCCGACATGCGACGGTACCCGTTCGACTGTGCCGCCAAAAGATCAGTATCTAGAGGGATTGTGAGCAATACCATTCTTTTTTCCTCTTCATACGCACAGCAGCTTATCTAGGACGTACCCTTCAACTTAGACTTGACATTAGGATCCAACTTGGACAATCCATCGATTTTCGCCATGTATGCCTGGCATCCGAATGCCGTTGCACCTTCGAGGCTCACTTGAACGCCACGCGGCTGCGTAGCCTGTCCGAACCGCAGATCCGCAATTGCGGCAGCGACGGAGCCCTCAATACCCTTCAAAGCCGCCAACGTCTCGGTCTCTTTGAACGGGATTGGGAAGTAAATTTCATCATGGCTGGAAGAGAATGAAACATGGTCTTTGTTCGCCTGCACCTGTGGTGGTAGGTTGAAGCGTTCGGACTGTGCGCAGAGGTCGGAAAAGATTCGGCTCGTCTCGCGAAGGGGCGAATATGGCACACCGCTGGTGTGACCGTTGCTTGCCATACTGAGCAGTTCTTTTCGTGTCGTCGTCGCTCTTGAACTGACAACTGGGTATGTCGGTGGATTTATACGAGTTTGTCGTTTGGCAGAGAGAAAACGTCGCGTTGGTGTGATGCTCAGTCGGCTATCTATAGAGTTGCGGGGAGTGTTTGCACGAAGTCTTTAGATCGTCGATTATGCAAAGTAGAGCAAACCAAGAGGCCAAAATTTCGAACCGCGCGACAGGAAGGAAGAAGCAAAGTCTATATACGTGTACAAGTATGACAGCACTAGAGTCGGGTCAAGCAGGCCGGAAGTTTTCCCGTCGGGAGGCAACTGCCGCGTATCGGCCGTCGGGTCATATATCGAGTCTACGGATATAGAACTGACATACTGCGAATACGCAACTGGCTTGACAAACACTTTCTGAACCTGCAAACCACAAAGGGACCCCGCAATGCAGATCCGAAAATGAAACCGTTGCGGTTCGGAGACAACCCGTTCGGATGCGATACGATCGGATGTGGCAGTCACGTGAGTAACAGGGTGCCATGGATGGCAGGCGCAGAAGAAGCTACCAAGAGGTACCAGAGTCACAGAGGGTGTGCTAGAGCATATGAATACTTGTTCAATGTGGCTCATCAAAGTCCGCTGACATGACCACGATCGGATTTATGGACGGCCACTTATCGCTGCTTTTCACTGTCAAGTCTTCAACTAATGTTTCACCTATCGGGCAAGCGGCAAATGTATTGCATCTCCGTTCTTGTTGTCGGACTGTCCACTAAGAGGGAGAATTTTATATATTGACTTCCAATTGATATACTTTGCCTGCCAAATATGTATGGAGTTGATGACAGTATGTTTCTGGCTACGGTCCCCCCGTGAGATGTTTTAATGTACATAAGCGATGTGGGGGCTGAAGCCCCAAGTGTGGCTGGGCCTTGCTGAGCCTCCAAACAAACCCCCTCAATCTTCACATCTCCGTCTCCAATCTCCCGAGCACCCAGTCACAACAGCCCCTGGACGGAATTCTTCCGCCCAATTGTCTCTATGAGCCACGCATATGAGGGAACCATGTCTGGGGTTGACATTGTAGGTGTGGTAGCCAGCATCGTACAGATCGCCGAATTAGGGCGCTGTCTGTCCGTCAAGCTCTGCACTTTTTGCCATAAATTCAAGATTGCCGACAAAGCACAACGGTATCTATCCAAAGATGTCGCACTCACCTGCAATGTCCTGTGTCAATTGGGCGACAGCTTGGGGCAAGATGAGTTGGCTTCCTTGTATTCTCCGGATGCCTTTGAAACAGCCCAGGTTGTTCTGAGAGAATGCGAGCAGGTATTCGGGGACCTCGAGGCTGCCATCGAACAGCACTCTCCAGATCCACTATCTCAGTCTAGCATTGACGAAGTGGCTCGCAAGTTCAAGTTTATGATGAACGAGACCTATCTTGATACTGTGGCGGGAAACCTGGACAGGTTAAGATCAACCATGCTTCTGATGCTGAATGTGGCTATATATGCTGGCCAAATCCGGAGGTATCTCTCACCTAGTCCTTTCTTCCCTTGAGCCCCACTAATCATGGAGTAGTCAACGAGAGACACACGAGCTCCAAGAGCAGCGCCATCAGCTCCTCGTTCTGACCAGTGAAAAGATCGAGAGTGAGAAGGACTATGAGAGGCTTACCAGAACCCTTGAATTCACCAGCCTTGCTGAGAAAGGTGGAAACGTGAGGAGCCCTACCGGTGGTAATCAGCCAGACCAGCCGGATGAGACAACAGACGAGCTCTACCACGATCACAAGACACCAACGCAACCGCCACAAATGCTACAAGCACAAGCAATGCAGAGACAAATGCAAAGTCAACCACAGAGTCAAGAGCAGAGTATCCCGGCGACGGAGAAAGTGTCCATGGCACAGATGCGGGTCTATGAAGTGTTACGAAATCCGCAGCAGCGACGGCAAATGATGAGGGACATCTTTCAAAGCGAGCCAGAGATGCAGGAGCCGCCAGTGTTACCCAGTCAGCATTCAGTCAATCTCAACAACAGCAACCAGCCATTCAATCAGCCTCCAGACCAGCCAAATTCGTTGAACCATGGCCAACCAGATCCGCCACCACCATATTCACCTCTAATGCAGGCTCAATCCCGAGCAACCGAGGCTGGCATGCCTTCAAAGACGGATTCTTTTTCAGGGACTCCGCCGGTTGCAATGGATAAGTCCGCTGAAAGTGGTGCCAAGCAGGTTTCCCCTAACCCCGGCGTTCCTGAGGTATGTGTTTCTTCCTCGACAAATCAGGTCTCAGAAGATTGATACTAAAATATCCTCAAGAAGCCAAAGGCTTTCGAATTGGACTTCAGCCTACTTGATGATCCGTCCTTTATGGAGAAATTTGACTTCGACCAATTCTTGAGAGACGACGACGACGACGACGACGACACCTCAAGTTCCAAGAATGACCTGAACCAATTGATGTCGGATATATTCAGTAGGGAAGCGACTTCATTGCAAGATGAGGAAAACGAACATCTATCTAGTCAACACACGCCGCGTGACTCTAGCAATCCATCCCCGAAAGGAAAGAGCGAAAAACGGAAAGCCAAGACAGAATATGGGATTACTCCTGCGAATGATAATTCGGAGCCTTTGCCAAACTCCGAGTCTATGTCAGAAGAGGGGCGATCTAAGACGATACCGCGGGACCCAAGCACTTGGTCGGATGAATTATCGTGGTCTACGGTTGGTCCGCCTATCGCAAATGCTGGAGCTGAAACTGGAGCCCTTTCGTCAGCGGCCACAGAAGATCAGTCTTTAACCTCGAAGGATGCGGAAAATGAATGCCTGGATGCTTGGATTCTGCGATGGACAAAATTGGAACAGACGGAGCTGAAGTAGCTAGCCTACCTGGGTACGATGGCTTGACATTGCTGGGTTTGTGAAATAAGCAGAACAAAGCGAATATCTACAGCCTGGGAGGACATTAACTGTTTTGAATCGTTATGCTTTAGCTGTTAAGCCATACTCATATCACTGATATAACAAGTTGGTCGTGGTATCACTCATTTTATAGGCCAGCCACCAGATAATGATCATGGGGTAGCGCTGCGGCCGAGAGTAGATATTTTATTCGAAGGATAAATGACACTACCCATCTCGGTGACCAGTGGAGAGTCATCTGATTTAGCATGATCCTCAGCCTCAATATCGCCGAGTTAAGTTAATCGTAATAACTCAAAGGCAGATCCAAAGTACGACACTGCTCGGTCTCATCCAAATCCACCATAGAGGACGGCCACTGCAAACGCCGCATCTGATAACTGCCGCGCTTGAAAGGCGTCCATGGGCCAGTTTCTTCGACCTGTCGAGTTGTATTGACATATCCCCTTACTTTCGTGTATTTCACATCCGGCGTTGGATTGAACGTTCGGGCAAAACTAGCCCAAGAATCCAGCACGAACTGCTGGAACGGCAGATCGAAATCATCTCTCAATGCAAGGCTTTGACGTATGACGTTGCCGAATACATAGTAGAGTTCACCAGAGTGACACTTGAAGTATTCTTGGTTTGGATCGCCGTTGGGGTAGTCTGTTGTCACGGGTGCTTGGCAGAGAGGAGGATTAGGGGACCAGCCGGGCATCTGGTAGGTACGGTTGAACTCGTAGAAAAAGATTTCGGGGAATATGTGGTTGTTGAGTCCAGCGTATGCTGTTGCTTGGTCGATGCATCGGAACATTCCGTCCGTTGCCACTCGTGCTGTTGTGTTGAAGATGTCCAGTGTCTTGTTGGAGCCAGAGGGTACCGGGAATACCTGGCTTGGGGCAATCGTTGATGGTAGGCCACTTATGTTCAAGAACTGCTGGATGGTCTGTCCGTCTGTAGGATAGCTAATCATGGCAGCACCGTCATCTCGAGCTGTGCCAAGCATCAAAGGTACCCTCGCGGTAGAAAGGCTCTTCAGGTCGAGTTCCGAGCTTTGAAGATATTCTCCATCCACAACAAGGTAGCGCGCCGAATCACTGAGAGTGGAAATGGTCAGCGCGGGAATGGCTCGTAAGCATTCAAGCTGTGAGTGAGCATGTGTGCAATTCGATTCTCGCAGTATAGCGTCACCGACCACTTTCATCTCTTCCTTAATAGTGTAGTACTTCGAGTACGTCGTACCATATGCCAGACCACCAAGATTGCTCTGCATAATCGCACCTGCAAACTTCCCTTGAGATTTGGGCGATGCCAGCAAGGCCCGGACTGATCCTGCGCCTGCCGATTGCCCGAAAATAGTGATTTGGTCGGGATCGCCACCAAAGTCCTGGATATTGCGACGAACCCACTCAAGCGCGGTGATCTGGTCTGCCAATCCGTAATTTCCATTTGTGACGCCGTCGTTCAAGGCGAGGAAACCCAGTGTGCCCAGGCGGTAATTGGTAGTGACGACGACCACGTCTCCTCGCGATGCTAAATTCCCTCCATCGAATGTAGGATCACTGCCTGTACCACTTGTGAAGGCACCGCCGTGAATCCAAAACATCACTGGTTTCAGCTTTTTGCCGGAGTTGGCTTTTTGGTTTGGAAGATATGGAGTCCAGACGTTCAGGAAGAAACAATCTTCTGATCCGTCCGAGCCCTGCACACACTCGGAGCCGTAGTCGAGAGCAGATACATGATTGCCGTTTCCTTCATAAGACTCGGAGTAGGTCCATCGTTTTGGCTGTTCGGCATATCGAATGCCAAGGAAACGAAAGCTGTATCGATCACGGAAACTGGATGCCGGTTAGTCTAGAGGTCCAGCACATATCAACTGAAGGGCCTTACCCAGTGAGATATTGCTTATTGGAATTGACAGTGACCTGCCATGTAGCATTCGTGTTCTTTTCATCAGGCGTAGAATATGGAGCAGTCTGCGTACATAGCACTGGCAATTGCTCATTTGCAGAAGTTTTGTTCACGTGGCCGTTCACATCCACGCTGGACGGTGTACCGTGGACAGGGGCAATCCAATACCTCTGCTCGGGGGCGTATCGTCCTTGCAAGACAAGGTAGTCTAGATCGTTCTGTATATTCTCGGTACCTGAACTTGAGTCCCATAGCGACTCGCCAAGGCTGTTGCAACTATTCAGGGCACTCTGTAAGGGCATTGCATCCAGTAGGAGGACACCGGACCCAGCATTGGGACTGGAGCTTTCTATAAAATAGATTTAGCACCATGCCATTCCAATCTAATGGAAAAATCGCCCTTACCCAGCAAGTCATTGTGAATAAGAATCGATATGTCGGTATCCAATGTCCCCGTGCTCACGACTGGCCTAGCCGCCAATCCCAGACCTAGCATAAAATATGGAAGAGCACGCGACATTCTGATAGTCACATAGTATATTCCAGATAAGGGGAACTCAATCCCTGCCGAAAATTATCATCAAGCAGCTTTATCTATCTTGAAAAATCGGTATTTCCAGTGGACTCCTCTTCTACTCCCCGTGTCCCATTTAGCCATCCACTAGTAACCCCGCGCCCTCGCCGGCAAAATAGGTTCCACCGAAAGAGCCGTAGACGATGCTATTCGTCCGGCCACATGGAAAGGATCTCAAAAGTGCAACTGAAAACTTTTTTTGCCTATTCTGAGTGAAAGCGACATTAGCTTCTTCAAAAGCGATCGCGTGTAGAATCCATGGAACAAGTATTCAGTTCGGACAATCGACCTCCAAGTTTCGGCGGCAAGATGGCATCTCGCGTGACTTGAAAGGCAGGGATGCTGCATCTGACGTTTTTTTCTCAGTCTTTACACGGAAAGTGTGAAACAGTCAGCATTTTGTCGTTGAAGAATTTCCCCGTAACGTGTCGATCCATGGCGGCCATCACGGATAACCTGACGCTCAATTCGTTAACAGCGCTCGGTATAACTTGATAGATAAAAGCTTCACTATCCAACAGAGCGCCTTAACCCGCGGCTGCCAGTTGAACCTCCTACTTAGGTCTTTCCTTGTCGTGCTAAATATGCAGCGCCCCCGGCCGACCGATTCTTTTCTGCTGGCTCCATTTCCCCCACCATATCCCGCGCTGACAGGTCAAGCCTTCATTCACGAGTCATTGCGAGATAAATCTTGGGAAGCTGAGATTCGAGGGCTGAATGCACAGCTCGGGCTACGGTTACCCTATATTGATATATTGAGGGGCTGAAGTCCGAAGTGTGGGGTGGGGTTAGTATCTCGACCGTGTGGAGGGGAGGATGAATTGTACGATGGCCGATGAACTGTATTGTGTACAATCTATCGAGTATGAAGAGAAAATAATCAAGTATGAGTTTGTACCAATGAAATTGCCTCTAGCGATATCGAGCAGGAGAGTGTGACTCTTATCCAGGAAGAGGGATTTTCCTTTCTTTTTGTTGGTGGGGGTCTCGGACCATTAGACGAGGGTCACAAGGGCATACTGGACTTGCAAGTGAGATAAGAAGCAGATAGGAAAAGCAAGCAGCACTTGGTAAGGTATTCACCATAAAGAAGATTGCTATCCCTGGCCGATTCCGGTGTCAAGTAGTCTCACAAACTATCGCACGTACATTAGAAGAGTGGGTATATACGTCCTACATCGGAGAAACAGTCACTATACCCACCACTGGTGCGCGATTCAACGGAATCAAACTTTCTACCCGCATGATTTACCTCAGAACCATGAAAAGCATGCAGTCTATCATTCAATCATTCAATAAACGACTTGGAGTTACGTGGATATACAAATTCCAATGCCCAATGGTAATCGCGGATAGCGCCATGCTGAACAATCCAAGTATCCCAACGCAGACCTGGATATGGACGAGGCCGCAAACGACCAGGATGGCATTCTTCGGGAAGAAAAGCCGAGGATTGAAGGTTCGCTCAACGCTCAGAGAAAGCACAGTAGTCAATTCTTGTGGTTTTTAATTATATGAGTTATTTTTGTGGGATTTACTTCTCCTCGGGTCTAAATGTGTAGTAGCTCAACCCTAAGCGGGTTAAACTAATATTGCCCCCACGCCGACAAGGGGAATGGCCCAAACTGCGTCATCGCAAGGGACACCCCCAACGGGATATTAGACCCGCCGTCGTATTAACGACCATGATCTAATCTAGGATTGGCGATGAGCAGAAGGTAATTAGTAGTATGGAATTGAATTCTTATTCGAGGACAAACGTCCAACTTGCTTTTCGAGTCCACCTCAACAAGCACCCAACAAGGCCAGATCGGAAGACACGGGCCGCAAAGGAACGCCGGACGATATACAACGAGGGGCACTAACATTCCAGCAGGCTATCAATCGAGGTGCTCCATTCAACCAGCAGGTCCAAAAATGCAGCGAAGGAGTTGCGCATTCCCGAGGGTGGCTTTTGTCTCCAAACTCAACCTAAAGCAGCGGTCTAAACTCTCATTCCCATTGTGTACGTTGTATCTGGGTTGTCATGCTGTGGCTATTTCAGGTACCTACAGTAGTACAGTAGTAGTTCATTGTAGAGAACGGGCAGGCAGGCATTTCGCACCGCGGCTGGCGCGAGTCCCCGAACCCCCGCGCAGACTGTGGGGGACACGCGTCGAGGGAACAGCGAGGGGGCCGTGTTTTAGGAGTTGGGGGGAGAGGGGTATGGATGGACGGAGGTCTGTATGCAGAGAAGCTGGGCATAACTAGTCAATCGAGTGAGCCTCTCCTGTACCTTGTACAGTCATCACAAACAACACGTCCCTGGAAGACGCGGACGGTATTCGATACTCCGTACAGTACACGCTTCGGGCACGCTGCCAAGGTATCTCGGTACTTTGTGACGTCAATGCACAGACAGACTGGAGCGTCAGAGTCCAGATTCCGGCGGGCCCCAAGGACCCGCTTTCGGAGTGGATTTTGGGGATTGTAGTTCAATTTGGAGGGGGAGGGGCAGTTGAGAGTTGGAATATTGAATTTCAGAATCGATTTGTGTGGGATGGAGCAGTCGATGGGGAATAAAAGGTAGCGAGGTTGTCGCGAGTACCTCAGAAACTACCAAGTCCAGTCGACGGAGTACGGATCGGGAGAAGCGGAAATCCAAGAAAGTAGAGTTTCTCAGGCCAACTCTTCTGCATACTTGGCCAGACCACGTGCCGGCAACGGGGCTTATCAGTTGCAAGTGCAACTTTTGGCCCGGCAACTGGTGGTAGACCTGGGAGGGTACTGCTCCAGAGCACTAGGGTTACGCCCTGCTTGGAACCCGGTCGACTCCTACCGCGATATGCGTGCACGAGCACCTCTGGCCGCTTTATGAGTGGCCGATAAGGTGCACCGGCGGGCACGGGGCCTGTACAGTTGTACATTCAAGAGGGGTTTCCTCGAACCCTAGAATATCCGAGCCTGTTCTGAGCTTGTAGGTAGGTACCTGATGTAGGTACCTTGGCACTCGTCGGATCAGCAGAACTACAAGTCCCTCAGTGCCAGTGAGAATGGAAGGATCTCTGTTCCCTCGGCAGATCGGTTCAGGGATGATGGAATGGTTCGACCAAAAAAACACAGGGCATTCATCAAACACCCAATCACGAGGATGATACTGGGTATATTCATGGTCATGCTCGACGATTTAAAATCACGATGTCAAGATGGTCTCATCTTGACACTACGACGATGGCATCATGCACAGTCCTGTACGGAGTCACTCTGTATACTACGTAGATCCGCGATCGGGTATTTACTTTGGGATACTTTGGGACTCTCCAGTCCTGTTCCACCTACTGGTATGTATTTCTCTCTCTCTCTGCCTATGACGGAAAGGAACACGATCACACGCCCTTCCAGACCCAGTTGAATCCCCGGAACCTCCCGGGCTTGCTGGCTCTCCGAAGCGCCAATCAACACACCCACGCGCTGGCCCTGGACAGCGTCTGCGGAGTCCCAGACTTGGCCAGTCCAAGGCGATCAGAAGTGGAGTCAAGGAGGGGGAAGGTACTCTGTCGGAGGTAGCCTTACGAGTGATAATAATAATACGTTCTCCTCCTGGTACATGATTTAGTAGGAAGAGTATGTACATGTACCCTAAACCGGGAGCGGCTGAGTTGGACTTGCCCCGTATACTTCCCCCCTCGTCACACTCACACAAGCCCCTCCTCCTCCGCCAGCCCTGATCTACTTAGTCTCGGTGACTTCCTTCTTATTCTTCTTTTCCTCCGTTCTCTCAGACCATCCTATCTCAGGCCTCCCAGCTGTGTTCCCCTCTGACCCATTCGGACTCGACCCCTACCCGACCCGATCGCGTGGTTGATCTGTCCCCCTTGCCGCGTCGCCTCTTACCCGCTCCGAGTACGTGCAAAGTACCAAAAGCACCGCGCTCTCTGCAATCTGCCGTGTCCGGGTCTTCTTCCAACATACACACACTTTCATCCATCCACCTCGACACCCGGTCTCTTTGTTCTGAAGAGGTGAGTTACTTTCCTTTCTTTGTTCGCCCTGGCCACCGTCGCCACCCGTCGTTCCAAAGAACACCTCCAATCGCGTGGCGCGGCGTTATCGCATTTTGTATGGAACGGGACTGACTCATCTCCGTACTTGTTTGCGCGCGACAGACAGACCTTCTCTCCCTCTCTTCTTCATACCCAACATGGCTGCTTCTCAGACCAACTCCAGCATCGCGATGGCTCTTGCTGGCAAGACCAAGACCGCTTCTGTCGATATCCCCCATCCCCGTACCGGCGCGGGCGTCCGCAAACCTGCGTCGCGACCAGGCCACCCGGCTATGCTCCCAACGCCACCCAACTCCATCTCGCCCACCCTCCCCCCACAAGCCTTTAAGCATCGCCCCGCCCTGTCACCCGGATCGCCGCTATCCACAGTGCCCCAGTTGGACTCTGATATCGATCTTCAGGATGCCGTCGACCATGCCAATAGCCAGACTCACCCCGAGCCGGCTGCGCATGAGGATCTCGATAGCGCCGGTGCGATCACGCCCGCCATGCTGGCCCGATACCACCTGCCGGAGATTCTCCTGCAGCAGGGCCCTCTCGCGATCCGTCACGTTATGGGCTTCCTGACTACCTCGGTGCCTGGGTTCTCGCGCATCCCACCTGCAAAGGCGCGTCGACTCGTCGTCGCCGCGCTCGAGGGCCGCGGGAACGGCGGCGAAGCAGGCGGCGTGGATGGCGATGTGCTCTTTGAGAAGGTCGGCTGGGGACGCTGGGACGCGCGCCGTCGCGGGGACTCCCCGCGCGATCGTGAGCGCTCGTTCGCCGTCTCGTCGCCTCCGTCCAGCCTGGCAGGCTCGTTCCAGCAACGCGGGCTCCAGATCGAAGGCCGGCGCGGCTCGACCTGGTCGGCAGTGCGGAATCAGTACGGTGTCAGCATGGCGGACTCGACGGCCTTCTCCTATACGGAGGATTATGGCGGTCACGAGGACCTGGACATGCTCGAACATGAGGCCGACAAGATGTCGCTGGATGGCGACGACGGCCGCGAGTACTGCTCTTCCTCCGAGGCGCCGGACGACCTACAGGACGACGAGTGGGACGAGGGTGACGTGACAGACGAAGAAGATTGGGCGCAGATCGGCGCGGATGCCTTGCGCGCCCGCTCGATGAACGGCGGTGGTGGTTTCGTGCGTAACAGCAACGTTGCTGCTCGTGCGAAGCCCCTACCACTTGGGCCGTTCGGCAACGCCAGCTTCGGCGGGCCCACTGCGGCCAAGTCGGCGCCCCGCAACTTCGATACTCAGGAACGCGCTGCGGTAGAGGCGCTTCTCAGCCTGGGCTCTATGTAAAGGCTCTACGATTCATCATCATGACCGGCGTTCTTGTTTTTTTTGTCCCTTTGATCAGCCATTCCTCCTTTTCTCTGGGGATTTCTGCACGTTCTCATTTCTACACTTGGGTTTCTTTGTTTCCGGGATACACTTTACTATTATCCATAATGAGGTCGTCAAGGCTGGACCGGACCGCTCTTGACGCTTTCACTTCCCTTTCAGGACCACTGTCATGAAAAATACCAAGCTGCAGTTTCTTTGCAGACACGGGCACCACTGTTGCCACATGACTATGATTGGTGGGCTTGTTGTTATATTTGTTTGGCGTTGGGCATGAATACGTTCGGACTCGAATTCGAACGGGCGTTTTACACGGCTGTTTCCTCCGGTTTTTTTGTCTCTTATGAAACGGCTTGCCATTGGCACCAATTTCCATGGCGACAATTTGGCTACTTCTACCATCGCCGTGACGTGTCAAGCCTGAGTACCCCCCACTCCTTTTCTCCTGTCTCATTTCCTTGGGCTAGCAAGTTCTTACATTTGGGATTGTTGTTCGGTTGTGTTGTGGGTTATATGGCATTTTGGATTTCTCTTCTCTTTTTTGTTTCGCATCGAGACCCTGGGCTTCAACCATACCCTGTGGCTACTCGCTTCTTTTGTGGTGTACTCATTTTCTAATATCCACCGATTCTCTTGGTTCTCTTATTATTTCTTTGGTTCAGTTGAGATTATGTTTTCCTCTCCTCTTTCTGGTGCCGCCCCGGTTACTTTGGCTACTCGCGGTCATGCAGAATGTTTTGAGAAGGCTGGTCGTCTTTATTGCACTGCACTGGTCTCTCGGAATTATTCTGTGGCTTGCGGATTTCCTTTGTGATTGTTATTCTGGACTCGACATTCCTGGTCATCTTCACTGATTTCACTGGGTTCGTTGGGTTTTGGATTGACCTGCTTGATCCCTGGCGTGCTGTTGGGATTTTGTGTGTATGGTCCCTTCGTCAGGTTGGGTTTGAGTGGGCTTTTGGGGGTAGTGAGGTGAGATTTGTCTTTGGGGTTGACGGCCTTGGGGGTATACATTCGACCTCCAGGTAAACGGCCTGGTCAGTTTGCGTGTTGGATTTCAGAATGCCAAGTACATAGGCCAGAATGTGTATCATCATGCATGGCTTCTCTAGGTAGTTGGTTAATCCATTACGCTTGTGTTGGAAGCTTCCCTGGTAAATTCCTTCGTAGATTACGTAGTATGGTAGTGAGGACAATGAATTGTGTTTGACATTGCTTGCTATACGCTTAGCATTGTCGGAAAGGTCCTTCCCTTGACTATGAGCAGGCGGGCCTGTATAAATCCAACACACTCCCCCTTCTACGACTTTCCTTCTCCAACATCTCCTATCTACAAACCACGTCACTCATATACTCTATACACACATAACACCACACCGTATTCATTCAAGTCTCCTTCTTATATGACTGAGTGACTGACCGACTGAGTTGCATATTCCTCATTAAACCGTGACTGGGAGCTCCCAAACGCTCTTTTGCAGATCCCCTCGCCACACTTGTCTCCACTGCACCCATGAGACTGCCTATCATGGCACTGATCCCATCTCGTCTTCTAGCTCTTAGTATTGCTTGTGCGCGGAATCGAGCGCTAAAGTCGGAAATTCCCAGAGCAATGCATCTGACTCACAGTAGGTTCAAGTACGGAGGTAACTGCTAGAAACCATCTATACGAAAGCCAGGGTAGTCATTTGTCTTCCTGTTCAATGCTGGGCAAGGCCACGAACATGGTCACGACGCTTTGGGTACAAGCCATTGGGCGTTGGCCAGGTTCGGCATATAGGTATAGTGGATACTAGTGGATCCCAGAACCCCTGCCCCGAGTCCAAGTCGCTCATCGGCGGTACAGTTTGCACAAGCGACGAAAGGAATATTCACGATTGGCTTTTTACTCATTTTGAGCACTCGGTATCAAGACCGTGCTGTAAGTCTGCTGAGTTGAACTTGAGTATCTCCTACTCACCGTCTCAATCTTCTTAGGTGATTTGTCAGTGATGATGTACCATTCTGACCCGGCACGTCCTCGACAAGATGAACCTCCGCAACCTCTGCATCCATGTTGTTCCTAACAAGGATAGGGTTACCAAACCTGGCGATCAACCATCACCGCAATCTTGAACATTTTGGTTAACCAGAATAAAAAACCCCTATCTTGGGTCACTGCAATCAAGGAAAGGTAAGCTTCTCTTTTCCATCATTGCTACCCTCGGATTCATGGTTGATCATCTCGCACTAGCACAGAACAGGGTGTATGATCGGGGTTTTCAGAAAACTTCAAGGCTGGAACCATGCGGAAATTGCGACTCTCATGGGACTCATGAGCGAGTCCCGCCTGTTCGCAGGGAAGAAGGTCTGAAACGAAGATTTCCGCAACGCATATATTGGCAGCCACGAGCTCTGTATTCGGGATCCAGAGTGAGTTGTGAACTAAAACGCCTATCTTGACCGTGTCTCTGTTAACCAACTAAATGTTCTCCAGCGATTCTTGTGTGTTTCTTACCCTGTCTACATACCCTGCGGTATGCAACGATATCGACTATATTTATATCTTTGATGAGAGGGCCACCGAACCAGTGAACTTAGTCAAGTTTCAGGCCTTGACCTCGCTCCACATAGCGAGCAAGTACCTTATGACAGGATCCCAAGAACCCTATTGGCAGAGGTCTGATTATTCAAGCTGGGTCATCAATGCTCCCATCCCTCTTCGCAAGAGGCTGCCAGATATGGCCCTTTCCTCCTTCTTGCCCACTATTTCACTCACATACCAAAACAAGGGGTCTTATACTTCTTCTCATGACGTTGCACCTAGAAGCGTGTGTGCTACCTGGTATGTCCAAACGATGTCACGGAGTGTGCGCTTGAAATCATCCAGGCCCTATGCACCAAGAACGACGAAGACATGGTCAGGGTTTCCCTCAACAAGCGCGTACCTGTGAGCTCACAAGCCACATTTACCCTTCCAATATGCACCAACATTGTCCTCGACAAGCAGGGCAAGTACCAGATTTCACCTCCAAAGGTCAAGCTATCAGACGAACACGTCTATCTGGTTACCAAGTTCCTCTCCACCCAACAACGCAAACAGAAATTTCACCTTGGGCCTCGCACTCCCCCTGCGGTTACGCAGAAGACAAGACCTCCGTCAACCAACGGACTTGTTGACTTACTCCATTCCGGCACTATCTATCGGGGTCAGAACAGGATCCCTTAGAAGTTCGTCGTGAACATGAGCCAGCAAGGCATACGTGCTGGTTGACAGCTTCAAGCCAACATGGGCACCCGGCTTCTGGAGCCATTATCATGCTCGCTATATCATTCACGATTGTATCTGACTTTCTTGTGATGTGTGGTGGTGTGTATACCTCTCGGGAATTCTCACACTCGCCAGCATCTAGATAACGCCCTCCGTTAGCGGCAAGTCCATAACACGCTCATGGCGGTCTTGATGAATCAGACAAGCGACATCGCTGGCCAGTACAAGAGAGCTTGTTCCATGGGAGTTGCAGAAACGGAAGACAAGTCACAATCCAGGCCACTTTGCCATGTTCCACGGCAAGGCGAGTCAGCTGCAGGCCGTCATCCTCCTGAGCTTGGTTCTCAGTGCTGAGGTATTCCCTCTCCCGTTTTCGAATTTAACCCGCGGTGGTTGGATCGCCAGGCCCGTCTTCAGTTCTCACCGGCGATGGAACTTGATTTGAGAACGATTCTTTTCAATCCTGCTCTGATGTTTGTATATCACTCCTCGAGACTCTGATGTGGTGTTATACCAGTTACTGAGTTCGTCAACAGGAAAACCCAGCTTCTGAACGGGCTATGGAGAATCGGTGTAGGCCAGATATATCACTTGCCCAAGACGCTGTCCGAGCAGCTATCATGCCCATTCCTTGACATGGAAGTTGTCATGAATACTCTCTAGTTCAAAATTGTGACGACTTTTGTGACGGCTCTATAATTCTTCCTCTCTCCACAGCCCACAAAAGCTGGGCGAAGACATTGCTAGAGATGACCTCAACCCATTTCTCAGACTGATGAGCTATACTTTCTCTACACCTGCCTTCGGATGTCCCAGCCGTTGGTGAATGGGAAGGCTGGAACAAGGTGAGATATTCGACGGTATGCAGTGACCTTCCACGACAACGGAGGAGGAGGGATTTGCCGAGCGTCCAAACTTTTGCTACATCATCCGTTCATGGAGATGGATACGCTTTGGAACGTGGATGGTCAGACCTTTGACTCGTGGGTGGAGGGTATGAATTGGCAGCTGAAGGCTCACCGACTCGGGTCATTATGGTGGGAGGTTTGATGATGCTCCTGGTCGATACGTGTGGAAAATCTGGAGGTTTTTGTTGTGATGTCAAGTTGCTGGTTGGAGATAGACAGGAAGTGATATAGGGATTTGGGGGATGTATCTACCACTGCGGTCTATCTTGTCATCGTGGTTGCAGGATCTGATTTTGAGTTAATGCAATATAGTCAACGCCTTTGAATACTGTGCTACTTGTCTAGGGTAGTATACAGCAGGAAAGTATACAATAGCGTATTCAGTTACTGCTAGGGGCAGTAGATTCTACCTAGAGGTCGTGGTCGATGATCAAGATGGAGAACCATTTGAGTAGAGTATCATGTTGCGGTCCATAAAGACATTGGTAGATATAAATTCACTGGTATACCCGAGAATCAACGATCAATATGCGGACGCCAGTAAATACACAAGTAGCCAAACCCAGCCCTATCCATAATTCCAAAGAATAACCAACCAAACAAACAAACCACCACTCTTCGAGAGCATAGAGACCCTGAAAAGAATCAAATCCCAGATTCCAATACCACCCCAAGCCCTCAATCCCCAGCTCCAGAATCAAATTGGATACCCACACCCACAATCCCATCACTCATTCATCATTATCATGCGCACTATTAATCCGCTTCCAAACCTCCGCCTCAACCTCCGCCAACTTCGACCCAGCACTCTGCATCCACCCCTTAGCCGTACTCAAAAACGAAGGCTCATCACCCTCGGGGAAAATACTACTCGCACCACCACCCCCTCCACTGCTATAATGCAGCGGCAGTCCCGCAGCCCCAGACGGACCTCCGCCAGTCGGGGCCTGGTACACAGACGAGTATGGGGTTGACGTCGAGTTTGGAGTGTCGGATACAGTGTGTGGGGAGCGGTGGTAGGCGTAGGACGAGGTGAATTGGCTCGAGGGCTGAGGCTGGGGCTGATACTGGGGCGTTGTTGTAGCTTGCGCGGTAGATGGAAGGGAAGGAGACACAGCTTGTCCTGCCTTTGGAGGGGTGGAACTGTAGATTGTTCGCTTGTGCTTGGTACTTGTGGTACAGCGCCCGGTTGTGGTGGAGGAGGGGATTGTGTAGACGTTGTTGTTGGGAAGGTTGATGTTGGCGTTGGCATTAGATTGGATGCTGGTTGTGAGGAGGCGGCTGCTGTTGGGGCAGGGAGGCTTGCTGCGGCGCCTGGTTGAGCTGGGAGACTCTCTGGCTGTGCGGCTGCGTAGAGCGGGGAGTATGCTGGTGCCGTGGCCGTGGCTGATGTGTTCTGGGGTAGTGTCGCAGTGGTTGTTTCGGCCTCGATTGCGGTGGCGGGTTGAGGCTCGATTTTGGCTGCTTGTGTTTCCTCTTCTGTTTTGTTGGCCTTGAGAGGTGCAGAGGTGTAGGTTTTTATGCTTCCTGGAGTCGACATTATGAATGATTTATATGGGATCTGTGTGAGAGGCGATGTGCTGCGAAGGTATAAGAGGTTGGGTGTCTTGAAAAGAGAAAAGAGCAGGGGGAGAGCTTCCAAGCCCCGACGTCATGCGTCTTCCGCAGTGGGGCGCTTACGGCTTTGGCAGTGGGTTCGTTGCGGAGAGCTTCAGGGGGGCTGGTGATCTTTCTTCAACAAGGGATTGCCTAGAAAAAGATGTTGTTCAGTTCGTCTTTACGGGTTGGAGTCGAGGATGGCAAGGAAGATTGGTTTGCTTTGTTGGTGGATTCGGAACGCTTAAATATTGACGCCACGTATCAAGAATGCGAGATCCAGGAGTTGATTTTTGGAGGAACGAGTATGCACTAGGCAAGACACATGGACATGATACGCCTAAAAGTCTCTGCAATACTCATCCCTTCTACCCAAGTAGACTGTAAAGCATAAGCTGGATCCACGGCAACGGCAACACAGCCAAATAGGTGAACCCATCACCAAAACTACGATTACTTGAGGAGAAATTTACCAAGAAGATGTATACGCCAAAGAGTACAATTTTGAAAGAAAAGAAAAAAGAGTTTGCAGGCAGTAAAGTACATTGGGTACAAAAAAAAAGGGAAGAATCACACCATTCTATGCTTCAAGATCCCCCCGAACCCATTCCTTGACGCATCTATCTTTTGCAATGCCACAACCTCAACTTTCCCGTGTCCCGGAGTTATAGCCAGACCAGGGGGTTGTGTTTCGCATCCCCGACTCCAGTATAACTACAGGTGGCAAAATATGAAGAACAAAATCAAACCAGACGACTCCTCGCTAGGGGCGAGTCATCTATTTGAACTGCTTGCCGAAGAGGATGAGCTGAACCTGGTCGTAGATGGACAGGACACCAGCACCGGCAACACCACGGAGGATGTTAGCACCGGCACCCTTGAAGAGGGACTTGACACCCTCCTGGGCGACGATCTGGCGGGCAGCATCCAGGGAGGACTTGTACTTGACGGCCTCACCAGAGGTCATCATCATGCGACGACGGACAGTGTCCAGAGGGTAGGAAGCAACACCAGCAGCAGTGGTAACAGTCCAGCCGAGCAGGAAGGAAGCGAGGAAAGAGCCCTCAAGAGGACCAACCAGGAGAACGGGCTTGATGGAGTCGTACATGCCGAAGTACAGACCACGGTAGACGACAATTCCGAGGACGGAGGGACCGAAACCACGGTAGAGACCGGCAATACCGTCGGAGGCGAGGGTCTTGCGGTAGACGTCAACGAGACCGTTGAACTGACGGTCACCGCCACCCTTGGCGGACTTGGCGTCGTTGGCCAGACGGGTACGGGCGTAGTCCAGGGAGTAGACGAAGAGGAGGGAAGTGGCACCAGCAGCACCACCGGAGGCAAGGTTACCCATCATCCACTTGGCGTAGCCATCACGCTCCTTCTTGTAGGCGAACATGGACTTGTAGGTGTCACGGAAGGCAAAGTTAAGAGCCTGGGTGGGGAAGTAACGAATGACGTTGGCGGTGTTACCACGCCAGAGGGAGACGACACCCTCCTGAGCGGAAGTGCGCTTGAAGCAGTCAACGATACCGTTGTACTTGCGGTCAAGGCGACCCTGCTTGAGCATCTCATCCTGTTGTAGAGGAAGGCGGGTTAGTGATTGATCAATCGGGCGAAGATAGTTCATAACAAAGCAGGGTCCGACCGACACACGGACCACGAGCGAGAAGGAAAAATTTTTCATCAGGTCAAAGCATTGGCCATGTCCATCGGAAAAGCCAATTGCGACAACCCATCATGTATATGATTCTCCGCATCTCGTTCTGTGTTGTGTTCGGTCGACAGGACTGCTTGTCGAATTGTAGACTAACCTGGTTCTGGATCAGGAGCTTGACACGCTCGATGGGGGCAGCAGCGGTTTTGGAGACAGCGGCGGAAACACCACCCACTGCGAATCAGTTAGTATTATTGATCATGATGAGGTGAAGCGAACCCAGCGCCCAGGCTGGATGGCTTTTCAATGGTATCGAAACGTACTCAGGAAGTCGACAACGAAGCCCTGTGAAAAATTTTTGTTAGCGCCATCTGTTGACACGCGTTGTGATTCCGAGCCAGGCCAGCTGGGTGTTTCTCAACTCCAAACTTGCGATCACTCTGATGCATCGAGGACGAATTCGATGGCATCAAGATGATATTCGTTGCCAGTCGGAGTCGATTCCCAGCTCAGCAGGCGGGTGTCATAACTGGTGAGAAGAATGAGAGAGACTTACGGGCATGCCCATGAAGGACTTGTCGCCCTGGTTAACATCACCGGCGGCCATTGTGAAGGTTGCAAAAAAGAGATAGATGCAACAAAAAAAAAGGAGGAGAGGGATGGAGTGATCAAGGAAGAAGGGGGATGGGAGGGAAGAAAAAGAAGAAGAGAGCGAGAAGGGGCGGAAGGGGGAGAAAAATACCTGTACGCGGGTGGAAGCGAATGGTGGCCACTAGCGCCCAATCAGGAAGGCCAGGGGCCCCTACCGTCTGAAAGGACGCGGTATGGCCCTGTATTCTGCCGTATTGACTCGGGGCCCTGCCGATATCTCCCGATCGCAGAGATTTTTTTCTTATTTTTTTGGGGGGGGGGCCCAAGTGGCCATTCTTTGGCCTCAGCATAGAACTGGTTTCATCGCATCGAGTATCTCGATTAACCCTATAGCATCACTCTTTGTCCTTCAATCCCTCCATCGCCCTTCCACATCAACCCGAATTCCCTGAATATCCCGACGGATCATGAGCCCTCAACTGTTCAAGACCATCAGGTGAACTGTAGTCCGGAGCAACGGCGATGTCCATGCGTCTGGCTGCGGTAACACTCGGTACGGCGTATCTTTCCCCGTCCAATGCCGGCCCAGCCTCCACATCCACACCGGGGCAACCTCCTTTTTCCTGGGCCCGAGTATCCGAACGAGAGGCCCGACAAATTGGGGCTTGCCACCGACTCCCCTTCCCCGAGAAATTCGAGCCTGAATGTTCACCTACGCAGTTAGCCATTTGCCTCTGAGACCGTTAAAAGAATTTATTAGGAATATGTCCTTGATGATTAGCTGGGTCGTGATGAATAAGAGGCTCGGTCCGAGCATAGACGGGTAGATTAAACTCTGATGAAGAATTTCACTGCGACGGCTGCAAGGTAGGTTTTGCCTACAGTGGCAGTGCAAAAGTTTGAAACTATTTCCTACTCACCGCCTATTACCCACTAGTTATACCGCCTACTTCTAACACGCGACGCGTTTATACACCACATTACTATTCTACCTACTGTATTATCCACCACACTGCCTACTACACTACCTACTACACTGCCTATCCTATCTACTATTTTGATATGCCTCCTATCCGCGTGGGTAGGCGTAGGCCTACCCCTAGGCCTAGGCCAGCGGTATCACCACAACAAGCTCGCCGGCCAAAAGCCGAGCTTGATGCATATACACGCACAAAGTTCGTGGAGTTAAAGGATGTGGCCGGCTGGACCTTCCAGCAGATTGCTGATTATTATACCGACTATTCAATCAATACAATCAAGACTTCCTACTATCGATCACGTTCAAGAATCAATAACGAAACCTCGCCGCGCTCTGGCCGACCACGCAAGCTTAATGAAGCTGATAAAACTAAGCTTCTTGAAGCTATTGATGAGAATCCTCGTATTACGTACGAAGATCTTCTTACTACTGTCGATAACAAGGTTAAGCGGCACTCGATCTGGCGGCTTTTACACGAAGAGGGCCGACGCAAGTGGCTTGTTCTCGATCGGCCAGGCTTAACGCCCGCCCATGCCGCCCAAAGACTTCGGTGGGCACGCACCTATGAATATTTTACACCTAATGATTGGGCTCGTGTGTTCTGGTCTGACGAATGTACAGTTGAGCGTGGAATTGGCGAGCGCCGCGAGTATACTTTTACTCCCCGCAATAAACAAATTCAAGAGCGTGACGTTCGTGGAGTTCCGACGAAGGGGAAACAAGTGAAACAGATGTTTTGGGCTGCATTTTCTGGAGCTACGCGTCGTACTGGCTTAGTTCCACTATTCCGAAACCCAGAATCAAACCGCCGAGGCATTGATTCGACTGTGATTCGTGATCTATACGTTCGAGTCTTACCTACTTTGTTCCTTCATCGAGATGGTATCTTTCAACAATATAATGCCTCTACACACACAGCGTATATCGTCCGGGATGCGCTACAGGAACTAGGTATCGAAGTTATGGAATGGCCTGCGAAATCTCCTGATTTGAATCCTATTGAAAACCTGTGGACATTGCTTAAAGATATGATCTATAAGCTACATCCTGAGCTTAAGACTATGCGCAATAACGATACTACACATACTGCTTTGATTGCTGCGGCGCAAGAGGCTTGGGATGCGTTAGATCTTGATATACTAGCCAATTTATCGGCTACGATGCCTCACAGGGTACAGGCAATTATTGAGGCAGAAGGGTGGTATACAAAATACTAGGTTAAGGAGGATTGGATCTAGCCGTTTTAGTATTTTTTACCTGGCAGAAAATTCTTGGCGTTGAGGGAAATAGTTTCAAACTTTTGCACTGCCACTGTACATGTCGATATCGATGTGGGACATTTCTATGCATGTACCTAGTACAAACTAGATAGATCAATTTTTCCATGCCTAGAAACCCCCGACAGGACAGTCCTGAACGTGCCAGACGACAGTATGCCTTTCTGGGCAAATACCCATACCAGGTTCGATGTATTTGATATGAGACATTTTCACTCAGTGGCTATTTATGTAGCGGGTACAAACTTTATAGTGGAGAGGAGCCGCATGTGAAAAGTACCTGAACAAGGACAGGTACGCGCCAATAATACGTCCGGATCCACTTTCCAACTGGGATCCTCGGCCCTGTGGAACGGCCATTTGAGACTGTTTTGACATGGAATCCACAATAGACGATAATCATACAAGAGTCCAATTGAGTGGGAAGTTAAGAGTCGAATGGAATTAGATATCCTAATCTGTAGCATCAATCCTATGACCCGGCCAGTTTGCTACTCTTCAACGTTGCCCAATGCGGCTTGTTTGTCCTTAGGTCTATCAAGCAGCATCATACAGCGACAACCAGATTCTCTTCTTCCAATGGCTTCGAAATTGGATTCATGAGAACAGCTTTCTTACCATGTACCAACACTAAAGTCTATTCAATTGGAGAGATTGCTATCCGCATGATCCAGTGTATCCGTTATTTCGCTGGGGAGAATACCCGGCTGGATATATATGTGTCCATCCAGCCAGCGAGGTCCGTTCTGTGCAAAAGTTTTTATTCACCACTACACCTAGCTACCCAGATGAATACCTGGAAAACGTGAAGAGTCCAATCGTCAATATACAAAGATCTAGCAACAGACAAAATACAGCTCTCATGACAAATAGTCATTAATATCAATAAAAACCAAGAACAACTCCATGCTCCAGATAGTGGTTTAACAACAAGCTATGGACAAAAAAACGCTTTTTTTCTGCGCCCGCGCTCAGTGCTTCTTGGATCGCTTCCGCTTCTTCCTCCCACTGCCGTCGCCCTCGCGAATATCAATCTTAGTCTCATCACCATCTTGATCCTTGTCGGCATCACTCTTGCGCTTGCCGGTACCGAACTCGAACGCTGGGCCTTCCTCACTACCGAAAGTGTCCTTCCGCCACTGGCGCAGACGGGCCTTCTTGCCCAGTTTCCGCTCATCCTTGGCCTTCTTCTCGACATCGCGGAAGGCAGCAAGCTTCTTCAGGCCGGCGAACTGGTTGAGCTGACTGTCATCGGCCATCAGGATATCGCGGGCGGTCAGACCGAAGCTCTGGGGGGAAGTCTCGCGGTAGCGGAAACGAGTGGCGTTCTTCTTAGTAGCACCCGGGAGCAGGGTGATGTCGAGATCCAGGTTGCGGTCAACGGCCTCTTCAATGCGGAGACGGTCCTTGCGAGCATCGCGCTTTTGTTCACGCCTCAGCTCGGCCTTGCTCTTCTTCTTCGACCCAGATGCATCCTCCTCCTCTTCCTCGTCATCTTCTCCCTCATCCTCAGACTCAAGGGAGGGCTTAACACCCTCTTCATCCTCGTAATCAGGGATCAAGTCCTTAATATCAATGTCGTCATCCCATGTGGGCTTCTTGGGGTGCTTCTTGCCCTCCGTCGCGGGCTCCTCGTAGTAGTCCTCTCCGAAGCGCTTCTGCATCTCCTGCTCCCACTCCTTGTCGTCCCAAGCGTCATCAAGGAACCGGGCCCAGTCCTCATCCGTAAACTCAGCGGCTCGAAGACCAGCCACCTCCTTGATTTGTCCGACCTTCTTCTGAAGTTCCTCAGTCTTGAGCTTGCGGAGACGATTCTTCTCGGTTTCACGCTGCTTCTTTTCTTCCTCCTTGCGTTGACCCTCGGCGTCCCGGAGCTTCTTGCGCGCGCTCTTATCCTCACGACGGACAGACAGACTGTTGGTGGTGTCACGAGCGTGGGTCATAATCTTTTCATTGAGCTTGCTGGGATCTTCAAAGCGGAAGTTGTAGGCTTCCTCGAAAACATCGGCCCGATTGAATTCCTCGTCGTCGTCCGAGTCGAATGGATGAAGCTCTCGTTGACCGCCCTCGGGAATCCAAGCGCGGGCGGACAGGAAATTAGACAAGAAAGTCTCGGGATCCTTGTCTGCATTCTCAATATCCAGCTTGATCTCCTTATCGGGAATAACGTCAGCTCCACCGGCCTTGCGGACCAGGAAGTTGTCTTCCGCATCCTCCATTTCGTCGTCTGAGTCGGCTGCGTGCATTTCCTTGACCAAGGCATCCTTCAACTCGGCCTGCTCCTGAGCAAAGGTCTTAATGGTCTCCTTCTCTTCCTCTTCCGCAGCATCGACTCCCTTCAAAAGGTTCTCGCGATGGTAGTCATGCAGCGTCATGGATTTCTCCTTCTTTGCCTTGGGGGCCTCGCCGTCTTCATCAATCTCGGTGTAGAAAGTGGCGGTAGTATCATACACGCGGGGATCTTTCTCCCGAATAGCCTTCAAAGTAGCCATGATTTCGGCATCAACAGCTTCGGTAGCTAGCTCGCCATCGTCGTCTTCTTCCTCATCAGAGGAGGACTCCTCGTCGGAGGGTTCATCGGCTCGGTGCTTTCCTAAGCTGGAGGTTTTGCCGTACTTAGATTCCACTAGAAGACAGAGATGATGTTAGCGACCACTAGTATTAGACTGGCAGAGCCTGTAGTAAATCCATACACTTTTGCACCTCTTCTCTCTTCTTATTATGCTCAAAGCGGCGGGCATAGTCTTCGTTGATCTTGAAGCCTGCCTCGGAGGCCTTGGTGAGAGAAACACCGCCAGCATCATCGCCAGAGTCGCTGGAGTTGTCGTCCTCCCAGAGGGTCCGCGCTTTCTTCGATGGAGGCTCCATTGCTGATTTCACGAATCTGCTGAATGGGCTTTGCACCGCTGCACCGCAAAGAAACCCGCGGCCGGCAGAAAGAAAAAAAAACACACACCGCCCGCCTGCCCGAGAACCACCTATGCTGTATGCCTGAATTCCAAGGCATAATTGAAGTCATCTTCAGGCTACAACTCTGGGGGGTCTTACTGACGTAGCCAATTAGATCACCGCCAACCGAGACTGAAGAGGTTCACGACACTTACCAGCACGTGGGCAGCTCTCTCCAGGCTCCTTTAATACCTCCTTCGTTCTCTGGTCTGGTTTCTCAGTTACTGGAAAGGATCTTGTTGGAGCATCGCACTGTTGTGCTTTCTATTTGTTCACGTCAAGTGTGTGGCTGGAGACATGCACTAGATGTCGACTCAATCGCACACCCCGTTACCCCAGGTCGGGAAGCTCGTGAGCGTCGTGTAAGCCTGGATGCATGCATGCTGTTGGTCTCAATGCTAATGATATCCCGTCTTGCTAGTCCCGTTGGTCTCAAAGAGGCTGCGCTCGACTCGCCGACCTTCCGCGCGACTACCCTCCACTTCTGCGACCAGTTTGAGTTCATTGAGAGATGGCTCGATGGGTATGCCAAAGCTGCGGCGAAGCTCGCCTCCGAGGTGGTGGCCATGGAGAGTGTTGTTAATAGCTTCCTTTCCTATTCCAACCCTCTGGTCGTTTCCGAGGCCGTCGTCGACCATGATTATACGCTCTTGGCAATGAGAAGAAGCGGAGAAGGATCAAGGGATCTCTGGAATGGATTGGTGATGGCCACTAAGAAGATGGAGTCCCTGATCGCCGAGCCTATTCGTGTGTTCATCCATGAAGATCTGCGGCACTTTAAGGTAAAACGCTGGCGCCTTTTGCATTGTTTGTGGACGTACTACGGGTGAGTGATAGGGCTAACATTGATGTAGGAGAACCGCCGCGCTCTCGAGCTTGCCCAGAAGCAGTACGACTACCTCCAAGCCAGATATGCCTCGCAATCAAAGTCAAAAGAAGCTTCCGCGTTGAGGGAAGAAGCCTTCCAGCTTCATGAGGCTCGCAAAGCATACCTGAGAGCATCCTTGGACTTTTCCGTGCAAGCTCCCCAGGTACGCAATGCGCTTGATCGACTCTTAGTTCGAGTATCCTTTGATCAATGGCGAGAGTTCCGTTTGTTCCACAACAACAACAGCTCGACGTTCTCAAAGTGGTCAGGCGAGATGGATCGTATCAAAGGCTGGGTTCATGAGATGGAAGCGAGTGACCGCTCTGCCAAGCGTGAGCTTCTAGCTACGCGGAAACAAATTGAGGAGGCTGCAGAAGTGGTGGCCCGTCCACCCCGCGAGCTCGAGGACTATTCAATTTCTACTGTCCCGTACCTCGGCTCTCGACCTCTGTCTACGCTGAACATGGGCAAGGAGATTAGACCAGAGAAGCAAGGATGGCTCAATCTGCGAACATTGTCAGGCAGACCTAGTCGCACAGTTTGGGTGAGGCGTTGGGCCTTTCTCAAGCACGGTATCTTTGGATGCCTTGTACAAGGTTCCCGTACTGGTGGCGTTGAAGAGAGCGAGCGAATTGGCGTGCTCCTATGCAGCATTCGCCCTGCTTTCCAGGAGGAGCGACGGTTCTGCTTCCAAGTGAAGACCAAGAATAATAATATCATTCTCCAGGCTGAAACCCAAAAGGAGCTCATGGAATGGATCGGCGCATTCGAAGCCGCCAAACAGAAGGCATTGGAAAACCCCACGAGCACCGATTTATCCATTTCTGGGAAAGTCACAGTTCAAGATCCTGCTTTCTCGATATCGCAGCCCCCTGCCCCGGAATTTACTGCCGATCCGAGCGAGTCTCTCACTCCGCACCTGAGTGATGAGCCGTCTCATTCTGAACGGAGCTCGACACTTCCAGTGCCAGACCGTGATGGACTTGCTATGCGGAATAGTACCGACGTGAGCAGTCGACGGCTTATTGGCTTGGATGAATCTTCTGCCCGTGAAAACGCTAGGGAGCACACGTCTCGGATTATTCAAAAGTTGGATCTCCACCGCAAGTCTAACAACGCTGCACCCGTGTCCCCGTCGATTCCTGGCCCTGCGAGCGGTATTGCTAGTCTCATTTCCGCCAGTCATAACCTTCTTCCTTATGCAGGCGCCGCAGCCGCTAGTGCTCGGGATGGCGAGGGCAACCGGGGTCGCAGCTCAAGCAGCTTGGAGGAGCCCGGGGCCAGCCTCGCCCCTGCTACTCTTGCTAACCCTCCAGCGCCTACAAGCATGAGTAAAGCTGCAGTGGTAGTGAGTAGCGAACGAGGAATTGGACTTGGACTTGTTGATAGCACAGGCGGAATGCCCAGTGGTATGATGGCCAACCTGTGGGGTAGCTCCAATTGGGGATTTATCAACAAGCTTCAGCGGGAACAGCCTTATACAAATGGTGATCATCCGGAGAGCGCATCTGAAGGCCGCCCGGCCTCTGTCATGAGCGATTCTGATAAGCAGAATGTTGCTGCTCAAGCAGACCTTCCAAGTGCATCGACAACACCTTGGCAGCCATCTGGACCCCGTCATCGACAGACCGTCAGTCTCGACGGAGAGGATGCGTCAAAGATTCAACGAGCTGCACGAGCTATCGTCTCTGAACCCGAATATCCTAGCATCTATCCACAGCCGTTGAAGATCCAGGATGCCCAATTCCGGTTGCTCTTCCCTGATGTCAAGAAGAAGGAACCTTTGGTTTTGGTTTTCAGGGCAACATGGAGTCCGAACGAGCAGCAAGAATTCCCTGGCAGAGCCTACGTGACAACTCGCAGCATTTATTTCTACAGCCACCACTTTGGTCTGGTTTTGACTACCAGCGCCGCTTTGGACAGCATCAAGGAGGTGACTGCTGCTTCTGGGCGTGACTGTGATTTCCTCTTCCTTCACACGATCCCTCCGCTGGGCAGCGATACCCCTGGTCGAATCACCATCAAGACCTTCCTTGAGCCTCTTCGACTGCTCCAGAAGCGTCTTAACTTTTTGATTCAAGCATCCATTGCCGTACAACCGATGACTCTTGAAGGGATTCTCAGAGAGCTTATCAAGATGGACACTGGTTCTCCAATCCGACCAGCCAGCGCGGACAGCTGGGAAGACGTAGCGTCTGGAGCAGACACCAAAAATGGCCATGATATATACCTTCCTATCTACATCGACAAGGATCTTGACATCGATGGAGGCAAGGATGGTCGTGGTAAAGATCATCCGAGATTCCGACTACCCACCCAACCTGTGGAGTACGTTCCTCAAGGTGATCTTGTTCTGGCGGTGGAGAAGATACTCGACGTTAGCCCGAAGGCACTGTTCCATATCCTATTTGGTGATAAGAGCGCAGTATGGCAGCTGTTGCTTCATGAACGCCAAGCTCGAGGTATGTAGATCATTCGGAAGAGTTTGAGATGCACCAGAATTTCGATGTACTAACTCAGGCCGTGAAGAGATCAAACAAGGGCCTTGGGCCAGCACCGAGGCACGGCATCTTCGCAGAGACTTTCATTATCAGATCGAGACGACTGATATCTTTGGTGAGACTTTTCCCAGGAATAAACTTTGCAACTTGCTAATTCAATCTCCAATCAGGACGGTCTCGCAACAATGCCATCTCAGATTATCAGATCATTGATGTGCTCAACGATCATCTCTGTTACGTGATCACTGACAAACGAACCCCGTGGCATCTCCCCTTGCGTCGCTCATTCCGTCTTGTCAGCAAGGTTGTGATCACCTTTGTGACAAAATCCAAGAGCAAGCTGGCCATCTACACCAAGGTTGAGTGGCTCAAGTCACCCTACGGCCTGAAAAGTGAGTTAAAGTGGACTGCTGGATTTACGAAGCTTGATTCTAATTATGTGTTTAGATATTATTGACAAGCGCGCGGGGGCCGACTTGGAACAGGACGCCTTGGATCTCGTTGACTTGGTCAGTGACCAAGTGCGTCGCCTGGGTGCGCACAGTCGTACCAAGAAAGCGATCACCATCTTCGGCCATGTCGGCCGCCAGAGTAATGTGACTCAATTCACAGGTGCTGGTGGCAATTTGAAGTTGGAATCCCGCAAGCGCACCCAGCGCACCATGCTACACCTCGTCATGGAGACTGTCCTGTCATTCTTGGAAAGTGCTTTATCATTCTTGATGCAGTCCTCTTTCGGCCTTGTTGGGTGGGCTCTCAAGACTTTGAGCACGCACAAGGTCATCTTGGTCTTGCTGGTAACGAGTGCCCTCATGAACGGCTTCTATACCTCCAGAGATGGCTGGGACTGGTGGCACGAGCGACATGCACGCAATTTCATGTCCAGGCTCGGTGTCCAACCAAATATGGTCATGAGCAAGGCTATCTACATTCGAGACATTGACGAAGCAGTCGCCAACTCGACTATTTGGCCTCACAACGGGAGCACCAGCACATGCTTTGGAGCATTCAACGAGCACAGCATGCGATACGCGGAGCTACCTCTCTCCCTGAGCACGACGAACCCGCGCGACACAGTCGCCAAGAGTGCGACCAAGCGATTCTTGCAAACCCGAGAGCGTCTCGGGATGTACAGGCATAACCTTTTGGTAGCCCTGCGCGTGGTGAACAGTATTGAAAAGGAGGTGATTCAGACCGAGTGGGAACGGTGGCTTCGGGATGAATTGCGCCGCTGTCGTCAAGTCGAGATTCTTCTTGGAGGCAACACCGCCGAAGGCGACGCAACCGCACAGGTTGCCCAGGCTGAGCGGATCTTCGCCGAAAACACAGGCAACATCAAGGAGTGGTATGAGCGATACTGCACCAGTTGTCGCCATGAGCAGGAGCAGGTCCAGAAGAATGACCGGGAGAACCTGCTGATCTGAATTGAGCGTCCCCCGAAAATCCTCCCCCTTGAAGCGTCTCTTTTTTCCTGTACAATTCCCGTGGCGTGATTTTTTGCACTCTTCTGCCCCTCGCATTTGCATTGCAACATAACACTATACCCGGTGGCAGCTCCATGACTGTATGTTTTCGTGAGATAATCTTCGCGTATGTATTGATGCCAATCCCCATTTCGCTTCTTCGCAGATATTTTCGAGCAATATGAGTACAATTTTGCTCCCGAGTTGAGTTATACCTCCATCCTGAATAGAGTAACTCTGTAGGCCATGAGACATTCACAGTCCATGACGGCTCAGTTCTGCCGCGGCTTGACGTCACCTTCCTGGACGACGTAGTAGACGACCGTGCCCTCTCCACCCATCCCCCTATTCGTCATTGCGAGAAGGGCTCGCCTGGTGCCCCATTCTTTCGTTTCCCGAGCCCTTTCCTTTCGCTCGTAGTATTCATCGAGCTTCTTTGCCTTTTCAGGATCCACAGACTCATTGCTCGACACCGCTTCCTCGTTCTCAGAAACTTCGAGAGCAGCCAGGGAATCAAAAGCTGCAGCCATGCGACGCAGACTCCACTTTTGGCCCTGGGCCGTGGGAATCACGAATAGTCTTTCCGGTCGAAGATCATCCTCCGCGATGCCCTTGTCCAGCATATATAGCTGCTCATCTGGGTGCGTGTATACGCGGTGCGGTGGAATACCGGAGATCAAGGTTTGCGGGTCATTAAATGCAATTGAGTCTGGGGTGTTTGGGTCTGTGGCATTTGAAGTCGTTGAAATGTCGTGGATTTGGAGGAATGTCCAGAGATGTTGGTGCTGGAGATTATGGAGGATCTGGATTGTGGTCGCGGCGAGGGGGTTCCCGGAGGCGGAGGCGGACTCGATGAGTTTTGTCAGTGCTGATGGTTCCAGTGAAGGGAGCGGTGTTTGTTGAGAAGCCATTTTGTGCTTTGAGTGCTGGCTATTTCTTCTGGGGTGTGTTTGGCTACTGATTTGCATGGCGGGCTTTTTCTACGAATTTGGCGGATAAATTGGGCGGAAGTGACTCACCGCCCTCTGGAAGAGTGTGACCTGGGCTGACCGCTTTCCAAGCTCGAATCTATAGATTCACTTGTCATCGTTCTCAAAATAGATACATAATACATACGGAGATTATTCTGAGTACGTAGAATTGAGATATTTTAAAAATAGGTATAACATCGCATTATTTGATATTCGGGATGGGCAATTCTGAACACGAGAGCACTAGTGGGTCACTTGGAGCTATATTTTTCATGTCTCCCATACTTTAATTGACGCTGAATCTGCATATTCCTAAGGGCTCTAGCAACGAGGGGTACTTCTGAGAAGAAAACCTGGCAACGTGTAACAAGGGCACATGGGATCTTTCCGTAAGAAGTCATGTATGTACATTGAAACCTTGACGCGTTCCTGATAGGCCAAACTTGGGCGACTCTTCAGGGCTCAAGTGGGGCGCCGACTATCGATAAGCCTGAGCTAAGAACACATGGCATCATCTTTTTGGGGAATTTCTTAAAAGCTCAGCGGGTCTAAGGGGGATTATCCGTTATTACTTCCTTTGCGAGCCCGGTGTCAACGTTCCTTTACAGTCCGTCCTTCTTTATTTTTGTTTCCGTGATTTTTGCCGAGTTCGAGTCCGAGTCTCACAGTCCGTCGCAATGGGCCGGCAAAAGCAAACTACGCCGCTCCAGCGCAATCCCTCATCGCAGTTGATGCACACTCTCCCTGACGAGCCTGAAGCAGCGCAGAAACATGCAAATGGTGACGCGATCGCACATTCAGGCGCCAACGGCAAAGCCACTTCTCCAGTGGCCGTCGTGCCGGATCCAGTTGCGGATAGCCCTGGCTTGATGCAACTGCTCATCTGTGTCCTCGGTATATATGCAGCATTGTGAGTCGTCCCCTAAACGTACAACACGGAATTCCTATTATGCAAGAAACTAACAAACCATCCAGCCTCTCATGGGGTGTCCTCCAAGAAGCCATCACCACCACAAGCTACCCCCTGCGCGCCCCATCCGCCGCCGAACCAGAACCGCCAACGGAGCGCTTCACCTACTCCCTGGTCCTCAACACCATCCAGTCCACTTTTGCCGTAATCACAGGCTTCCTATACCTCTTCTTCTCAACGCCAAAAGGCCAAAATATACCCTCCATCTTCCCAACACGCCGCATCCTCTTCCCCCTCCTCCTCGTCAGCATCTCCTCCTCCCTAGCCTCCCCCTTTGGCTACGCCAGTCTCGCCCACATCGACTACCTCACCTTCATCCTCGCCAAGTCATGCAAACTGCTCCCCGTCATGGCCCTCCACCTAACCATCTTCCGCAAGCGCTACCCACTATACAAGTACGGCGTCGTGCTCCTCGTCACGCTGGGCGTGGCAACCTTCACCCTCCACCACCCCGGCACGAGCAAGAAGGTCGCTGCGTCGGCGGCAAAGCAATCCGGTTCTTCGATGTGGGGTATTTTCCTGCTCTCGATTAACTTGCTTCTGGATGGCTTGACGAATACCACGCAAGACCACGTTTTCACATCGCCGAAGCTCTATACAAAGTTCACAGGCCCGCAGATGATGGTTGCGCAGAATGTGCTATCGACTGCCCTGACCGCTGCGTATCTGCTGATCATGCCGCACGTCTCACAGAGCGGGATCTTGCATAATCTGCTTCCCTTCCCGATTCCCCCGTCCACGGAGACGGAGCTTTATTCTGCTATCTCGTTCTTGTCGCGGCACCCTGAGGCATTGAACCATGTACTGGGCTTTGCGGCGTGTGGTGCCGTTGGCCAGTTGTTTATTTTCCATACTCTGTCGCGGTTTTCGTCCTTGCTTCTTGTCACGGTCACCGTTACGCGTAAGATGTTGACGATGTTGCTCAGTGTGTTCTGGTTCGGACACTCGTTGAAGCCGGGGCAGTGGTTGGGTATTGTGTTGGTCTTTGGTGGGATTGGTGCTGAGGCGGTGGTACAGCGACAGGAGAAGAAGGCGAAGGAGCGGGCGAAGTTGGAGGCTGCGAAGAAAGAGCAGTAGATGGGTTTGTGAGTTGTATTCTTGTTTGTTTGATAGAATGCATAGGGAAATGCCAGAATCGAACTAAAATCTCTATCATATACCTTGACCAATGCTTTGCGAAGAGACATATTAGGGCGAAGTGGATGGATACACATAACTAGAGCAATAGCCAAATCTTGGTTCGTAGCACCTGGTATCATTTGTACCCTAGACAAGATAATCCATGGATCAACATTACATGGAAAGGCATCTCTCATCCCAGCTCACTCAAAAATCCAAAATTACTTGCGCCCCTCGACCATGATAATATGATACCCAAAGCCCGTCTTCACCTCCTGATACTTGGGTTTCGCTGTAGTACTAGTCTCCAATTCAAAGGCAACATTTTCAAAAGCCGGATCCAGATCTCCCCTAGTCTTCCAACCCAGGGAACCTCCTGTCACATAATACATTAGCAATCCTATCCTGTACATTTCTCATAATCATCCGAGCATATGGCCGCGAGAGAGTCAAAGAAAGAAACAATAAGAGATGAGATGAACCGAGTTCACTAGATAGATAGAATACATACCCTGCCGCGCCTTATCCTCCGAGAACTCACGAGCGACCTCATCGAATTTGGTCCCGTTGCGCAGTTTCTCGAGGGCTTCTTCTTTCTTAGCGTGTTTCTCGCACTGTGCGTTCATAGTCATTGTTAGTCTCTTGTTCCAGGATATCACGAGGTCCGCATCAGTAGAGGCTAATGTTATGCCTCAATGTGGAAGGAGAGATAGAGTAAATCCATAGATAGTGGCTTGAACTGACCAGGATATGCCGCACGTTGATTGACTGTGCGCCCTTGACTTTGCTCTTGTCGTCGTTGCCGGCGTCTTTGCCCTTGCCCTTGGCCGCGGCGCCTTTCTTGTCGCCGCCTTTGGCGTTGTTCTTAGGGGCCATGGTCAAAAGCGTGTTGAAAATATCTTGCTTGAGATCCTTGGATCTTGCAAGTGTGTCTTCGTCTCTATAGTTTAAATAGTTTAGGCTGGCGTGCAGAGTTGATGAATGTTTGCTTGGACGGTTCTGACGATGTGGGGCATGCTGCCTGAGGCAGGAGCAGCGTGTGACGTGGGGGACTACTTTGATTGATGATTACAGTATTGTCTTGCTCGGAGTTCCTTTTTGAGATTCTGAGAATTGACTGGACTATCTTTTCTTAAAGATAGATCTGGGTATCTACAGCTTGTGTAATTGGTCTACAAGGCGACATGGCCTATGATCTGGACGCGGCGCGCATCACCTCTCTTCCAGACGATGCATTCTACATACCCAATTTTATCTCCGAGGAAGAAGAGCAGATCCTGCTACAAAAGGTGAGTCTGTCCAATCTCGTCCCACAATACCCCCTAACCCAAGTCGAAGTCCATGACATACACTCAGCGCAGATATCCACCACATATAAACCGTACCCATAGCTCCTCCATTCCCGCACCCACCAGCCCAACGCTCCTCCATCAACCAACCTCCACGATTCAACATCCCAACTAACCACCCATCTACAGATCTCATCAGCCCCCTCCCCCCGCTGGACCCATCTAACGCACCGCCGCCTACAAACCTGGCCCTCGGCACTAACAAAAACCAACACCCTCCTCTCCTCCGCTCTCCCATCCTGGCTGACAACGCCCATCATCGAACCCCGCTTCAAGCAACTAGGCATCTTCGCCGACGCACCGCACGGCGCACCGAACCACGTCTTGATCAATGAGTACAAACCTGGCCAGGGGATTATGCCGCACGAGGATGGACCGGCGTATTATCCGCTCGTGGCGACGGTGAGCTTGGGGGCGGGTATTGTGCTGGATTTTTATGGGAAGGACGCGGAGGAAGAGAATACGCCTACTTCGAAGGGAGAGCCGGAGTCGGAGCTGGAGTACCTGAGGGTCCCACGGTTCCGGGTATTACAAGAGAGGAGGAGTTTATTGGTTACTCGGGGCAAGATGTATACGGATTTTCTGCATGGGATTGCCGAGAGAGTGGTGGATGGGGATTTGGGGCCGGAGACGGTTTGTAATTGGGGGTTGTTGGGGGAGAAGGACGGGTTTCTGGGGGGATCGTTTGAGAGGATGACTCGGACGAGTTTGACGTATCGTGATGTTTTGAAGGTTGCCAAGGTGGGGAATACGTTGAAGTTTTTGGGTCGGTGATGGATGCTTTCTTGTTGTGATATGGTTTGTTTCTTGTATCTTATACCCTTGTCCTTATTGCCGTGTATCTGGTACAGTCATTTTGTAGAGATGGATAGAATAGCATTCTCATTGATCTATATGTTTGCCTGATTATTTCGGTGGCTGTTAGTAGATATATGGAATTATCAGCCATCGATCTTGCACCGCCTCCCGGCCAAACTTTTGCATATACCACGTCTTGGTATTCTGTGCTGTCAACCCCAGGTTGACCGCTATAAAAGCTAGACAACTCAGCATGGTTTTGTTGACCACCTGGCCTGGTGGTGCAGCCAGGTACGTGAGAGACAAGTAAATTAGGCACTCGGCGCCGTAGTGCGGGCAGACGATGCCACAGAAGAGCGGGTGATCCGGGAGTGTGTACTTCTTGAGGGAGAAGAGGAAGTGGTGGCAGTCATGCTGCAGACCGGAGGCAATGAGGAATAGCGGGACGCAGAGGAAGGTTCGTACAGTGGGCGCGTTGGTAATTTGGAGATCGGCCAGCGTGAGGCTGCGGGTGCGAATTGCGCCTGAGGTGGAACTGTTAGCATGACTTGACCCGACATTTTGTCGTCTTAGGTCCTCGGTTAAAGGATTCGAGGGCGTTGGTTCGAGAAATGGGCATACCTGATCCCTCAATCCAAATAGCAATGCCCGCGGCGAGATAGAATCCCAGCCCAAGCAACCAGTGCGCAAACCCCATCTTCGACAAAGAGGGCTTTGCAAAGGCGAAACTCTCCCACAATCGTCGCAAGCCCTGAATAGCCAGGAGAACCCAGCATATAAGCACCTGTGTAAGCGACATGGACTGCTTCAGATGCTCCTCGCTCACACGGGACGCAATCGCTTCGAACACAGGCCCGCGCCAGCACAGCTGCATCGCCCAGAACACCGACGATGCGACAGAAGCAACATAGAACTGAGCGAAGTAGCTGTGCGGCACCTGCCAGGTCGCGAGGTAATCGAGGAGCCCCGACCCCGAGGATCGGGGTTGTGCTTGGGCTTGAGTTGCTGGCCGGGACCCGGCGACAGGCTCGGAGCCCGTCGCGGTCGCACGGGGGCCATAACGGAGGAAACGGTCACGCAGCGCGGAGGGAATGCTGACCGAGACGGTCTAGAGAATCATGAAGCAAAAGAAGGAGCCGGGTTAGCTTATCGTGGTGGAAAGTGATTGGTGAGGCAAGGCGCCGCGCGGTGGCCGTACCGTGGCGGCAGCGAGGAGGAAGAAGGCGCGTAAGGCGTCGATGGCATCCATTTGTGCCGCCTCCATGGCAGTATCGACATGCGTGAGGAGGTCCATTTCTTTTCGCAAGGTCCTTGCCGATGTCAGATGGAGTGGGATTGATGGTCGTTGATCGAGTTAGTCTTGGGTTGCGCGGCGTGTCCAGGCAGAAAACTAGAGCTGAGCAGTGGAGTCGAAGTGTCGCTGATCGCCCGGACCCCCCGAAACGCGACCGCCTTGAGCTTCCAAATAATCCGGGATCTGCTGTGTGGACGGCGGATATCCAGGGTACAGAGCAGGATACCGAGTACAAGGCACGGTAGATATCCCGGGATCCTCGTCTGGGACGATGAAAATGAGGGGACGAGGAGTGTCAGTCAACTGTGGACTGTTGTCCGTCTTATCGGAGCTTTCGCAAGCTTACTCGTCCGGGTCACTAGTGAAATCCGTCCCAGCAGGTTCCAGGCCGCGCTAGGAAAAGACGGGTTAGCAAGAAACGGGCCAAGAGCCAGTGGCTCGCTGGTGCGACCGTCCCAGAGAGTGTTTGGGCAAAAACCGAATACGACCAGGTTTTGGGGGGAGGGCGCTGAGTGGCCGCATCGAGGACGATCGCCACACGAGTGGAGCCTGCAAGTTTGCTGGGTTTGCGTCTGGAATGGGGGCAGCGAGAGACGGTCGCAGACGAGGAGGAAGATTTCAATCTTTTCAGGATGAGGGGGGAGAGGACGGGGACGCGAGAACAGGTGGACAGTTTAACGAGCGCAGGAGTCGATGGGTGCGGAGAAGCAGCATACTGTACAGTATTCTGAGGAGGATGCTACCACTCCTGGATGGAGTCATGGACACACTCTCTCTGTTCTGCCATCACTCCCATCCAGTTTTCCCCCCCTAATAATTCGAATAATCAAGTGTCTTTTTTTCATGTTACCCTCCACTAACTTCCCATTCCAAGTCTGGACTATCCCAAGTGTAGGGGCATGGGGCTCCCCCTAAAAACCAAAAAAAGCCCCCCCCCAAGATTCGGTGGACGATGATTCACCGCGCCCACTCGATCGGCCCCCTCCCCGTCTCCTCGTCTTCCCAACTCGCTCCTCCTCTCCTTCTCCTTCTTCGTCTCCTCCTCTTCCTCTTCCTCTTCCTCTGCATTCTTCCCTCTCGCTTCTTTCTCCTGTTCCTTTCCTTCCCCAACCACCTTATCCACCCATCTAATCTTCTCCCTTTCCACCCGCCTCTCTTCCTTCCGACTCTCGAAACTCCGACTCCATTCTAATTATATACCGAATCTCTCTCTTCTTCCCTGTCCCGTGTTTCCAACTCTCAAGTGGCCACCACCACCACCACCACCACACACAAGCACCTCCCACCGGTCGCCTTCCACTCGCCTCATTATAATTACTCGTTTGAGGTAGCGTGACCTCTCTAGTCTCGACCGGCGAAATTGTGAATCCTGTTGGAACCCTTGGGATTGTTGGATCATCCTCGCTGTGTGGCCGTGATCAGCGCCTGCGTCCCACTGCTGGCGTTGTCGTCCCCAAGTTCGGTCGCTCAGGCCTGTCGCGTCCCTCCCAAAATGACGAGCGGAATTCTCCCTCATCGAGTGCTATCGCTATGAGTGATGTCGAGGCTGTCTCCCTCCCCACTGCCCTAGATGTCGGACCAAATAACACTCTCGCGGCGGTGAAGACGGATGGCGATGCAGCAGACACGCGCCCATCGGGACGGCCTTTGTCTCCCGACCGCAAGGACAAGGCTGCAACCCCGGTTCCTGCCCCTACCGCAGCCCCAGCTGCAGACTCTGCTTCTGTACCGGTAGCTGCATCGAAATCGGCTCCCTCTGCTGCACCCGCTTCACCCCGACGAGAGCGCGCTGGATCGCATCCGGTGGACGAGGAGGAGAATGAGCAAGGCCCGCCTAGTCCCAAGGCGGACTCAGAGGCGGAAACAATTATTCAATCCGGTCGAGAATCCCTGTCGCCAGAGAAGAAAAGGAAACACATTAGACATGATCCGAATCGTCCGGGCGTTGATGGAGTGGACGGCGCTCAACGGAAGAAACCTCGCATCGATCGTGATGGCGAGGATCGCGCTTCGCGGGCGCGGAGCCCGCTGGACAGAGCTGACTCGCCCCCATCGGTTGTGAAAGTTGAGAAGGTGGATGAAGGGCCATCGGTTTCTGAGGACGTGATGGACGAGAGGGTTGGTCGTAATGATGGCCCCGAGAGATCGCGCAACTATCGAAAGCGCAGTTTCAGCGACAGTGTGGATGAAAAGAGGGAACGCCGTCGCGATTCGACTGCTCACGCTACTCGCGATCTCAAAAACATCAATCACGCTCGCCTTTCCCGTCCCTCCGCCAGTACTCGCTCGGTGTCTCCCGGTCGCCCCTCTCACCAACGCTCTGCGTCCGGCTCGCAACTACCCTCTAAGAAGAAGGTTCCTACGCCTCTCTTGACTGGGTTCCAGCGGCAAACCTCTGAGGACCGACAGTCCACCTCTTCATCCGCCAGTGGGTCACCGCTTCCCAGTGCCCACCTACGGAAGCTCGGGTCTGGAGTGGGAGCGTTTGCGTCGCCTGCGAAGCACATAGGCCCTAAGAAACTGCGCGACAAGAGCGGTCGCACTCCTCTCGCGCGCGCATGCGCAGACAGGAAATACGAACATGTGGTTTTGCGTTATGGCGAACGTCCGGAAGATTTGAATGTCCCCGATAACGCCGGTAATACCCCTTTGCAGGTCGCGTCGCTCAACGGGGAGGAACAGATTGTCAAGTTCCTCCTGGACGCGGGCTGTGAGATCAACACGAAGAACATTGACAAGGACACACCTTTGATTGATGCAGTGGAGAATGGGAATGTAGAGGTCGTGAAACTGCTGCTTGAGGCAGGTGCTAATCCTCGAACCGTGAATGCCTCTGGAGATGAACCATACGAGTTAGTACCGACGGACCTCAAGGATGATGAGTATGATGAGATTCGAAAGTTGCTCGCGGATGCCAAGGCGAATTGCCGTCCCGGCCGACGATCCGAAGAGCAGCAAGCTGGACCTGACAAGCCGCCACGGTCCCGACGAGCGTCTGTGGCCAGTCCTTCTCGAAGTCCACCACCAATGTCGAGCACAACTGGTCGTCGCAAGACTGGTCGAAGCGAAGCAACCCGCAACGACTTGTTGTGGACACAACCGACCTCCGAGAACTTGCGCGAGTTTGCCGCCAAGGGTGACGAGCAGGGCGTGGTCAGCATCCTGAATATCTTGCAAAAGGCTGACAATGCGTCCCTGATTGCCGCTGCCAAGGGAGGCCACTTTGATGTGTTGTCTCTCATGTACGCCATCGGCGACGCAGATGCGGATCCAAACCCACTGCGCGGGTCTGGCCATAAACCAGGTTATAACACTCCCATGCTTGCCGCCATTGGTCGAGGCAACATGGACAACATTCAACTCATTCTGGGTCAGCCCGGCTTCGACCCGACACGCCGACTGTTCGAAGATAAGACTTACTATGAACTCTCCCGATCCCGCCAAGGCGAGAATTGGGAGGAAGAATATGATATCCTGAAGAAGGCATATGAGAACTACGCGGGCTCAGGAAAGGGACGCAAGGATCTCTCGTCCCCGCGCCGTGCCCGCGGCAAGGACAAGGAAGAAAAACGAAGCGCCCGCCGAGAGTCTTCCTCGCCTGTGGCTCGCACGAAAAAGCTCAACGACAGCAGTCCCAATGCCAACCGTCAAAGGTTCCCCAAGGATCATGACGCTCTGAAGGAGAAGCGCCGCGAAGAGAAGAAGGCCGCAGCCGCGGCGGCTGGCGGTCGCTCAAAGACTACTTCGCGGGAGACACGAGATACACGAGATGCGCATGACAATGCTCTTGCCAGCTCTGATCATGATTCAGCACGACCAGAGCCCAAGAAGCCCAAGGCTGCCCCCTCAGCACGGAGAGGCAGTGAATCCAGCGGAGTTGCTCGAGCAGATGAAGTTCGAAAGAGACGTCTGATTGCTGGGCGTCGCCCTCTGGATGGCGATCGACGACCCAGCCTTATGTCTTCCGATTCTTTGTCCGGGCGCGAAGAAGCTCCCAGGTCCCGCGACACCGCTCCCGATTCCACATCCTCTCTCAAGCGCATCCGAAATGATACTTCTCCCGAAAGATCTCGCTCACGGGACGGGGATAGTGATCGACTGTCGCCAGAAGCTCGGAAGAAGAAGCGACGTGTGCTGGCAGAAGAGAAAGCATCAAACCTGCCGAATGGGCCTCCGCGGAAAGCAGAAGACACCAATGGAGACAAACTTCAACAACGTCGGCCGAAAGAGGAAGCCTCACAAGGCACCGATCCTGCGTCACGCAAATCAACTGAGACCTCAAAGAAACCCGACCCCTCATCTCACAAGTCGGATTCCTCTTCTCAACCTACCTCTTCCCAGAAGTCAACCGATTCCGATCCACCCAAGAAGAACGGCGACGTGAAGACCGAGCCCCCCGAGCCTACGCCCAACTCCATTCCCGAGGTCTCAAGTGACGATAAGCGAGCTGAAATTGAGGCAGAGAAGCGTCGACAAGCCGAAGTGAAGAAAGCGGAAGAGGAACGTGTTGCTGAGGAGAAGCGCCGCGAGGAAGAAGCTAAGCGTGCTCGTCTGGCCAAGGAAGAAGCTGAGCGTGCGCGTCTGGCCAAGGAAGAAGCTGAGCGTGCGCGTCTGGCCAAGGAAGAAGCTGAGCGTGCGCGTCTGGCCAAGGAAGAAGCGGAACGTGCTGCACGTGAGAAGGCTGAAGAAGACGAACGCAAGCGCAAAGAAATGGAGCAGCGCCGGGCTAAGCAAGCTGAAGATGAGCGCCAGAAGCGATTGGAACAGGAGCGGGCTCGCGTGATCAAAATGCGCCGTGAGCAGGAGGCTCAGGAGCAACGCCGTCGTGATGCCCTGCCTGGTCGCTTGCGTGCCTCTGCCAACTTTGTGGGTTCCAATGATCCCCGCGCGCGAAGTCACTCCTGGCTCAAGAACTTCATGCCCTTGGTCACTGTTCTTACCCGCCAACTTGACGCTGTCTGTGCTAGTGATGTGGCGGACGAGAAATGGATTCCGAACTACTTGGTCGCTCCCTTGCTGGCTACCAATGACCTGCAGCTCTCTCAATGTAAGTTTCTCTCTGGTCTTTGCAGAGATCTTTCAATATTTTGCTCCGGTGGCTAATATCATTGGCACAGATGCCAGCTGGGAGAAACGCAAAGCAACCGCAACCCAACGCATGAACCTTTGGCGATGCACACGCCGGATGTTGGTCTACACGGACGACCCCAAGTACCATAATGCATCCTTTGGAGAGGTCATGCAGCTGGATTGCGAGACTCGACCCAAGTATTTCGAGATGGAACATGTCTTCTGGATCAGAGTAAGTTGACGCTGGCTCTCAAACCGTTGATGCATCCTGCTAACCTATTCCCTTGCTAGCTCTCTGACTTCATGGACCTCGTCCCACACATCCCCCATCTCAACGGCCTCGAGCTTGAGTTTGTGAGCATGCACCTCGACCCGGAGCCCTCCGCAGGCACCTCCCACCAGACGAATGGTTTTGTGCCCAGTACCTTTGCCACGGGCACGAACGGCATCGGGGCTCTCAATGGCCATGGCCCTGGCTACCCTCGACCCGGTACATACTTCTAATGTTCTTGCCTTTCTCTATGTCTCTTTCTTTGCAGCCTCTTTCGCTACTAGGCGCTGGCGCGATCGGCAGAACTCCAGCGGGTGATGTAAAGGGCGGAATCTGATTGTACGATTATGATACCTCTTGCTTTCGTGTAACGAATCTATTTTGTTCGGTAGCTTGAATCCGGACTTGGCGAGATCCGCCTGATTTGCTGCATCATGTGGTATTGACAGAGTAAATGGATAGTGCCATGGTACTGACATCCAGATAAAATTCTTAAGTATCTAGAAGAAAGTAGGTGTAGTGGTTCTTCCGAATTGGGACAGTGGCAGATGCGAGTTCTACCACGTGATGATGACATAAGCGTAGGGCACACACAGCCGAAAGAGTCCAAATCCCCACCAAAAATTTCCCAGCGCCGAACTTCATCACTCAAAACTAACTCTTCGAGGATAATTCGACATTTAAATCGAACATACCTGCACAACAAAATGGTACGCTGAATTCCCGAGGCTGCATGCTTTCCCCAACGAACATTGTCTACGGCGCACACGATATGAGGACTTGGAATTGAGATATCGCCATGGACGGACCTTGGTGGCCCCGACACCTCGTCGTCGCATATGAATCTCAATGCTAGACGCAGGGAATCACAACGCCGTTCTGGGATACTCAATACAGACCTCCATCATCGCAGCCATCCACACCACCCCTCAAAGCCCCGACCCAAACAAAAGCTAACATTCTCCCGCACAGTCGGACGGAGAAGAGACCCAGTCCAACCCCCCGTTGCCGCCGCCGATGAGGTCGAGGTTTCCGCCGACGCTGGCTCTGGCCAGATGTCCGTCCTCGACGCTCTGAAGGGTGTCCTGCGCATCTCCCTGATCCACGACGGTCTTGCCCGTGGTCTGCGTGAGGCTGCCAAGGCCCTCGACCGCCGTGAGGCCCACATGTGTGTCCTCAACGAGGGTTGCGAGGAGGAGGCCTACAAGAAGCTGGTCGTCGCCCTGTGCTCTGAGCACAAGATCCCCCTGATCAAGGTTCCCGATGGCAAGATGCTCGGCGAGTGGGTCGGTCTCTGTAAGTTTTTCCCCCCGGTCTTCGAAAAATTATCCTTTTCGTCAGACGTTTGGCTTGACTGGGGGCATTGTGCTAATGCGTTTGTCTTATAGGCACCCTTGACCGTGAGGGTAACGCCCGCAAGGTCGTCAACTGCTCTTGCGTCGTTGTCAAGGACTGGGGTGAGGATAGCCAGGAGCGCTCCGTCCTCCTCAACTACTTCCAGACCGAGCAGTAAATGTGCCTTTAATCCAGTCTCATGGATTAGGTCGTGCTGTCGGTTCTAGGAGGTGGCGACGTTTCCAGGTGTTCGCTTGATGAGTGGATTTTCGCTGATGGGCGATTGCGGAGGATTTACGGGAACACGTTCAAATCATGGTCTGGCCGCTACGGCTAGTCGGACTTGCTGTTTGGGGTACTCTGGGATTCTCGGTGTCTGTTGGCGGTCTCTCTGTGCTAGACCCGTTTGCTCGGGTGTGGTACTGTAGCATCTGGGCGTCTAAAATCTACTGGACAAAAACACGATGATGTGATGACAACTTTCTTCAGTCGTAGTTTCTCGGTGTAGGGTTGTAGGTTGTAAAATCGAGCATGTGGATGGGTAGCAACGGCAAGGATGTCTTGTAGTTGTGGTTCCCTTCTACATCTGTAGAAGCCATGTCTGTTCTAACAGGCCTTGCACCGGTCATTACACTTGCGCACCTTCTATAATTCGTGATTGTCCCTCAATTATAAACGTCCAGTATCTATTAAGTATTTCCACCAAACAAAGAGTGGAGAAGAATTGCCAACCGAGTCCCTCAGACTTGCTCAGAGGGGGCCTTTTTCTTCCGAATGTCTTTCCAACCCATTCCAAAAGAGAAGATCAATCCCCACACTCCCATCGCGGCAACCAAGTAGAACACATGATCCACACTCTTTGCATAAGCCTTCAATACCCCAGGAAGGTCTTGGATGGAGACCACGTCCCGTATACCAGTGGCACCTGCAGCAATAACAGCTTGAGCACTGACGCCGGGTGCATACTTCGGTATTAGAGATTTAAGACCAGTGGAAAAGATCACGTCCGCAAATGTGAGGAAGACTGCGCCGGAAAGGGTCTGGATGAACATCAGGATCGACATGGCGATTGAGATTTGACTGGGCGGGAGTGTGTTTTGGACGGCGATGATAGGCTGTATATTGAATCAAAGTTAGCAGAGGGCACCAGTTGTGCAGGCAGGGGGGTTCCTTACAGTCTGGAAACCAGCTCCACGACCGGCTCCTGCAAGGATTTGATATCCAACCCATTTCCCAGTGGTGGTGTTGGGGGTCAGTGTCGAGAGGAGACCACCGCCAATGGATGTCAGAATTCCACAAACCACGGCCCATGGAAGGTAATATCCCATTTTCCCAACTGAATGGCATTAGCGCATGTACATAAGAGATAACGAGGGCGAGTACTTACTTAAAGCCCCAGAAGTGACTGCCACTGCCAATTGAGACAAGATGCTCGGCAATATGTACACACCACTCAACATGGGAGACTTGCCCTGAATGGCCTGGAAGTACACGGGAAGGTAGTAAGTAGTACACAGCGTGATAGCGAAAATGGACATCATCACCAGACAGCTTGACCAGACGTTCCTCTTTGCTACCATTGAAAGAGGGATCATCGCTTTATCGCCTTGACGGTATTCCCAACCCAAGAAGAGGATGAATGTGCCACCGGCTCCGCAGAAAAGACCGATGACGGTTGCGCTATTCCATGGGTATTGATTTTGACCATACTCAAGGGCGAGGAGGAGCTGGATTGCTGCTGGTGCAAATAGCACGAAGCCAGTGAGGTCGAGTTTGTGGGTTATAGTGTTGAACACTTCTTTGAAGGGAGGTTTGGCTGCTTGATCGGGGATATCGATGAAGACGAGGAGAAGGGCAACCAAGGCGCCGATGGGAAGATTGATGTAGAAACCTGGTGGATGGATAAGTTTTCGCTTTCTGGGATTTCTCCAAAAGAAGGGTCTGACATACACCATCTCCAGGTTGTATATTGTGTAAAGGCTCCTCCCAGAAGAGGACCGAGAACGATTCCGAGTTGACAGACTGGAAGGAGATGTTAGCTGCAATGCAACACAATGAGGACTGAGATTGCCTTACACCCCATCATCATCCCGATAAGAGCTGTGATATTGTTAGCTAAAGATCAGATTCACGGGATCGACATACATACGTGGCGACTTATGAAGAGGAACTGAGGACGAAATGATAGTCAAGGAACCATTCATCAGTCCTGCAGACCCAAGCCCGGCCACTGCGCGAGCAACGATCAACATTTTCGAAGAGGTCGCCAGACCGCAGAGGAGTGAGCCTAGTTCGAAAACGAAGAAGAAAGACATGAATGCCCACTGCATCTTAATTAGGATAGACTGCTAACAAACGCACCCTAGTGACTTACTTTTGTTCGAAAGTTTGTATAGATCCTCCCCGCTAGAGGTTGCAAGCAGGCACTGGATGCTGTGTTAACACGGAACTATGGCAGACTAGTACTATCCAAGAAAGCTTAGAAAGCTTACCTCGCAATCTGATATGAGCTACCATACCAACCTAAATCTTCCAAAGAATGAAAATGAGTGGTGATCACGGGAATGGCCTAGAAGCATTAGCATTTCAGGAAGGCGAGGCGACTCGTAGGGCAACTCACCGTGACAATGATAGAAGTATCGAGAAGTACTAAAAAGCAAACCAGGGTGACACCCACAACCACCATCCCCAGTTTGAAGCCTGTAATATACTCCCGCTCTTCATTTTTGATAGTTTCTTGAGCTATTTTGGTAGCCTCCTCCGAGCCCTCCCCCGTCGAGCTAGTATCCGACCTAAGCTCCTTCGAAATTTCCTGGACATTGGATGACTCTTCCTCCGTCTGAGAGTCAGAACCATCAAGCTTAGGGAACTTTTCGGCCATAATGGAGTTGCGCAATAAGTCAACAACCAGATCTCAGGCTTAGAAAATTAGAAAAAGCACAACGAACTCTAGCATTGGAAGTCTAAAACACTATCTTATAGGGAATAAGACCGGTGACTCGATTCTTAACTCCATAACTCCATCGAAATATACGAACTTGAGCTGTAAAATGTCTTCGGCCTTACAGGGATTTAATATCGTTTCTGGTAATTCGGAGCTGGTGCCTACTGTTTATGGCCATAGTTGACAGGATTCGGAGCTGTCGCGCGGGGAGTTGGTAAAATCCGAATCCCGAATCCCGACGAGGCTCGCGTTTCAGGCTGGCAGAGTGGAATGCCTCTGATGTATGAAGTAGATAATGCAAAGGCTTTTGGGGAGCCATAGGTGGCTCAGATAGCCTGACAACTACGAACTATTTTATAGCAAAATCATCGATTTGTTATTCGAATGAGCTGTAGATTTGATGCCTCAACCTGGCCCAAATAATCTATCCGTCGGACTCGGATGAATAGATAGATGGACCCGTATTCACCGAGGGTTTCTATTGGTCAACTTGAAGGCAATGAAGATATCCTGTATTTTCTTCAAACTCAACGGTTTTCTCTTTAAACGGATGGAAGGGGACATTGGATCTTCTGTTTGACTGAACATTCATGTACTCAGAATGAAAATTTCCACGCTGGTGATATCCTCATTTGATCATTTTTGGGCTGGACGCTCCTACCAGGAGGTAACTATAGTGAGGTAAAACTGCAGTTGCTTAGTCACAGCCTTCGTGTGAGATCTCAAAGTCAATCGGATTTCGACGTTTCAATCCCGACCGACTGTTCAAGACAAGCCTCGTTGCTCGTTGAGTGTTGGGGAATCTCCCTGGATTTTTTTTTTTGTTTCTATCGGCAGCGGATATATGTTCTAGTGAATCCCTTGTGGCGCTCGATCCCCGAAATTCACCCCCCTCGTGAAGTCCTGCGTGGCACATTCTCTGTCCTACCCGAACTCCAACGGTCGGATATCGGAATGGCGTCCACCCAACTCCAAAGTGGGACCCCTGCACCCTACGGCCGGGCTTGTATCAACTGTTCTCGTGCCAAAAGCAAATGTATTCTTCTTGCCGCTGGAAATGGTTGCGAAAGGTGAGTAGTGCAGCGATGGTTGAGAAGAATACTTGGTCAACTGATATTGTGTTAGATGCCAACGGCTCAGTAAAGAATGTCGGCCATCACCAACAGTGCGAAAGCGAAATGGACGCTCCTCTGCTTCGAGAACGGCTCAACTAGAAGCCAAGCTTGATAACATTGTATCATTGCTCCAGACTAGCGGCGCGCCAACCGGCATCCCCACCGATTGGGAGGCCACATCGCCAGCCACGGGGCAACATACTTCACAAAGTCAAGCCACTGCTTCATCATGCAGCTATCATTCGGAGGGTATTCCTACCCCGCCAGCAACGGCGTCACCGCCCCAAAGTAGCAACACAATAGAGGATCTCTGTGCTGCTCTTCCGATTTCTCCGGAGACGGCCGAACAGACTCTTACTTTCTTCCGCACGGAGAATATGAAATATCTCCCATTCGTGCACATTCCCTCTCATATGACCTCACAGCAACTACGCCAAGAAAAGCCATTCTTCTGGCTATGCATTATGGCCGTTTTGACACCGGGGAGTATTCAAAGGGATTCTGTCTTCTTAAAAATCACCGAATTCATTCACCAAAAGGTACTTGTGGATGTGGCTCCAAGCATGGACATGCTGCTTGGGATCATGACTTTTATATCATGGTAAGTCCAAACCCCTGCTTACAGTTTCATTCACCATTGCTAAACATTTGATGTTCAATCACCTGTAGGACGGTGTATTCTCGAAGGCCATTCCTCAACTTCTATGCCCATATAGTAATGGGCCTTGTTTGTGATCTCGGCATCAACAAACCAGTTCCCACAGAATATTCAACCATGCAAGCCTTCAAATGTGCCGTAGGTGCTAAGCCGAATATCCCTACCTCCAGAACACTGGAAGAGCGAAGAGCCGTGTTGGGTTGCTTCTTGATCACATCAAGGTATTTGAGACCTCGTGTCTATTCTGTCATTGCATGAGATACCCCGCTAACACGTTGTCCCCAGTGTTGCATTGACAATGTCAAGAATTGATGCTCTCAGATGGACTCCACACATGGAAGAGTCTTTGTCAATTCTGATGAATGCCAAGGAATGTCCCGATGATGAGCGTCTGGTCACACTAGTCAAGATCCATCTAGTCATGGATAAGGTGTACCATCTGCAACGTGATGGAGACAGTCACCTCCCATCCACCTTTTATACCAAAGCATTTCAATCTCAGCTTGAATCCGTCAAGAGCTCAATTCCAAGTCACCTACAAGAGGACAGTATGTCTTGCTCTGTTTCCTCTGAACTTGACTCTTGCTGATACCACGAAACAGGATCTATCCTCTTATATCTTGCCAACGCTGAACTCACCATCCATGAGGTCGCCCTACGAGAACCCTCTACACCCAACTCGCCAGAATTGCACAGACTAGAAAGTCTCTACACATCTCTCCACGCAGCAAAATCCTGGTTGGATCTCTGGCTATCTGTGCCAACCGAAAAGTACATGGCCGTCTCCTTCACTATCTTCTTCCAATTTTCCCGCGCCCTCGTGAGCCTGTACAGACTTTCAATCCTCGATGACCCTGCTTGGGATAAGACACTTGTGCGAAACACGGCCAATGTTCTCGATTATCTCGACAGAATGGGCTATATGATGAAGAAATGCGCGGACCACCTCGCAGTACCTCACCAGCCAGAATGGAACATCTTCGAAAAGGGAAAGACGATGGTCCAGTGCATTAAAGAAGGATGGGAGCCAAAGCTCATGGAGATATGGTATCCAAGCTTACCTTCTAACGGGGTGGAGACTACGCTTGATCCACCTAATCCTGCAATCCTTGCTGACATATTGCCGATGAATGGGTTTGATGACGCGTGGATGATGGAGGTATTTGGTTCGATGTGATGTTGTTGGGGTGCTTTTCAACTGACTGTTTTCGATCGTGATGAGTTCGACGAAACTTGTTCACTGTACCATAATAACAATCTCCGAATAATTTAATAATTTAATGGCGCAATAATGACCTCTTCTTTTTCCCAATAACTAGTATTCACTTACAATACCAGTGGTGACTGTGGGAAGAGCTTGTCTGCGAGAAGGCTACCCGCATTGCCCAAAGGAGGATCGCGAGGCGATTGCCCACTCGCAACAGCAATGATGGAACCTCAGGTTGTGGTTTCGTTCTGTTTAAATACTGACTGACTGTAACAATTCTAGAGACCTCTTTTCGCCTCGAATTCTCCATTATGAGATACGAATCATTAGCAGCTTCCTGGAGAACTTTGCTTGATTAGAAACCTCCCCCATAAGAAGAAAATTAGAGTAATGAGCTTCCTTCCAGCTAACTTGATGTTGAGTCTATAAACTGCCCGAAGTCCAGTACCAACCAAGCCTTCCGGTATCTGATTGCGATGTATCATTCAAACGCACTTCAAATGAATGAATCCAACCGAATACAAACTATGCTCAGCCTTTATTCCTGGTAAATATTCATCTACTGTCTGAAGTCTGTGAAAATTGAATGAGATCTTGATGGTATTGTGGGTTGCGATATTTCTGCAGCTACTTCAGCATGTAGATTGAGACATGCCAGATAAAATGTTAATTGAAGAACAAATCTTAGAGATCCAAGTTTCATATGCTCCCATCAAGATTCAATCTTCCTCCCAGCTTGTTGTTCGAGTATCCGAATCTTTCAAAGCAGAAGCCATTCAAAAGGTTGTCAATGGATATTGTTGTGGCTGGCGATGATCGTGCTTGGATTAATCCATCTTTGAATTTGTCCTGACACGCAAACCGCCATGCCGGCTACGTGACGCCTGTTCAAAGACTGACCCAAACCAATGTGTTGACGTAGATGAATCGAAAACCGAGTTGGCGACGACAAAGAAGAGTGATCGATGGATGATGCGTGAAGCTGTTGCATCAGCTGGTTTTCTCTTTGAATTTGTCCTGACACGCAGTCTGGTAGTCCAGCTACGTGACGCCTGTTCAAAGAGAAGTACCAACCAAGCTGCCCGAGAGAATTAGATTGAAGAATCGAAGTTGCAAAGATGATATCAGGACGGTGAACGAAGGTGGATGCGTCAAGCTGCTGTGTCAGCTGAGTTCCTCTTTGAATTTGTCCTGACACGCAAACTGGACGACCAGCTACGTGACGCCTGTTCAGAAGAATCTCAAGTCGAGTCCAAATGGGAGGATAGGATGTGGATCGGAGTAGTCTTGGTGGGATCGTGGACGTGGTACGTGGTGCGGAGACGAGGGTTGCTCTGGCGGTTCACTTGGCGACGGGTATGATTCAAGCCCCCTCTGGATTTGTCCTGACACACAAAACTAAAAATTCTAGCTACGTGACGCCTGCCCAGAAAAAACTTGAATCAGCCCATGTGTGGGACGGTGGAACGTTGAAAGGAGAATTCGGTGGATTGATGTTCGGTGGAAGTATTGGATGGCTTGAATGGAGTCCCTCCTGAATTTGTCCTGACACGCAAACTGAGGGACCAGCTACGTGACGCCTGTTCAGAAGGTTCTCTCTCAATTCAATCCATGAGAAAGACGTGATGTGGATCGGAGAGGTCTCGGTGGAATGCGGTTCGGGAAATCTGTCTTGAGGTCAGTGCATTTGGAGACTGGCTTGACGTAAGTTCCTTCTGGATTTGTCCTGACACGCAAACCGGAATTTCCAGCTACGTGATGCCTGTTCAAGAAGGAATCGACTCAAGCACCAAGACGAATGCGAAAAGGGAATGTTCGTGGCTGCGAGAAGGCTGGCAGATCGAGGGGTAGGTGGTGAAGAATGGAAGAAGCTGGCGAAAGCTTCGAGGTTTTTTCTTTTCGATTTTTGTTTTTGGTGTCTGCTTTTTGTTTTCTTTACCTTATTTGTGTCAGCATACTTTGGATGAGGAGAGACTTTGCAGCTAACCGAGTCTGAGAGATTGAAGAGACAAAAGGACAAGCATTCAATGGGTATCAAGTTGTGGGTGAATGATGATGGATCTGGAGAAGGACTTCAGTAACAGGGCAGTGATTGAATGAGTAAAACTTACGTCTTTCAAAACGTGAAAACCATGAAAGTCAAGCAAGAAGAATGATATGTTGACTGTGCCAAGAGAAAATAAAGCGAAGACAAAATAAAAGACGCAGATGATGGAGATAAGTCAACGAATAGATAGTTAACCTGTAAAAGCAACGGTTGAACGATCATTCAGCATATTCATGATGAGTTGAAGGGCATACCTTGTGACTGGAGATTAGAGCTTGATGGAGGTTGATGGAGGTTGATGGAGGTTGATGGAGGTTGATGGAGGTTGATGGAGGTTGATGGAGGTTGATGGAGGTTGATGGAGGTTGATGGAGGTTGATGGAGGTTGATGGAGGTCGATGGAGGTCGATGTGGCTGATGGAGGTTGAAGAGCCAAGGGCCAAGAGATGAAGGGCCAGGTGGACACGTTGTGTTGTGGACGTGTCAAGTCGTGGACGTGTCGTTGACAGGAGGAGATTCAGAGGACTAGACATAGCCAGGCATGAACTCAATCAGTGGCAGAGAAAGAATCAACACGACGTCGAGAGAGGAACGACTTCAAGGAATCTTGAGGTGATGAGAAGATATCATGAGGAGAGAAGAAGGGCCACGAGAAATATTGAGGCTGAGGGGACCCAGTCGATGAGACGAGAGAGGAAGAAGACATCTCAAAGGACAAGAGGTATTGCTCGAAGAAAGACATGATGTCTGAAGAAGGTTAAAAGGCCAGGTGGGTCAGGGATCAGAAGTGGGAGAGCGACCTGGTGGGCCACAAGAAGGTTGGAACTTGGAAGGCCAGTGGAGAAAGTGGATGAGGAGTGGGGAGTTGAAGAAGGAAGAAATTTTTGGAGGGAGCTGAGAGGGAGGAAATATTTATACCAGACGGGGGCGTGCCTTCCTGTTTGGGAGAGCTGGTGGGCGACCAGACACCATCGTGCCTTCCTAAAATGGAAAAGTTCTGTGCCTCGCCCTCGCGAAACCGCCAAACATGGTAAAGCTGTGCCCGGATTGGGCCAAATGACCTCAGTTCCGCGTCCCAAAACACTTACGTGGATCGAGCTGTATGCCAGTTGTGTACTGTAGAAACGAGATATAGTGCATTCTCTAGCTGGAACTGGCTGATTGTATCCGCTTGACAGCATCCTTTTGCAGTTCTCGAACAATATCTCCTGCATCCGCAACGTCGTGGATCAGTCCGATGGAAGCCCCTGCATACGTTGCGACACGTCCCTCGGGCCCCCAGGCGCTGTCACCGTTCTTCACAGCTTTGTCATGAAGCACCTTAAGATCATCAAATGCACAGCCTGCTTGGTGCTCGATGAACGACTTGTTGATGATCGTCCTGGGACTGTACTCGGCCGGCCACCCAAACGTTCCTCGAAGATGGTTATACAGCAGAGTTCGTGTCGTGGAAGCAGCTCCGTCAGAGGCTCGAACAATCTCGTTTTGATATCCCCTGCTAATTCGTGCTTCGTTCGCTGCCAGGAACCGTGTCCCCATCACCACGCCCGAAGCACCAAGGCACAGCGCCGCCGAGACACCCCGTCCATCGGCAATACCTCCCGCTGCAAGCAGAGGGATCTGACTACCTTCCATGGCATCTGCAATCTCGGGAAATAAGGCCATGAGGCCCATTCCATCCTTGGCTCGGCCGTGACCACCAGATTCTGCACCCTGTATGACAAGGACGTCCGGCTTCTCGGAGTTTGTGAGGAGCTGTTTTGCCTCCTTCAAGGTACCTATCTGAATCCAAATTTGAGTTTTTGGAGATGCCTGTCTGATTCGGCGAGACCAATCATCAAACTCCTTCAGGCTGTTTTTGGGAGCGTACAGCCAGGCAGCGCAAGGCTTGAACCGGCCGATCGCGGACACAGCGATGTCGATGTCGTCTCCCCAAAGCTGATAGCCAATACCGACGGGCAAGACAGAGTTTGTTGGTGACAATTTGTTGAAGACGGACGAAGAGGCCGGTGTTTGCTGGACTAGCTTCGATGCTTGTTCAAGATCGACTTCGGTGTCCTGAGTCTTGGCTCCAGGGCCAATGAAGCCCAGTCCACCTGCTTGAGATACGGCGAGGGCCAGAGCTGGGCCAGACATGACGCGCATCGGTGCGCTTACAATGAAGGGGCTCGTGGCCCAGGAGTAGCGTGATAACAGCTTGGCCGCCATGATATGTTGGATGAAGTTCTAAGTAGGTTCCCAGAACAAAGATGTGCAGAACAGGCTGGTTTTATCTGTATTTGTCATATGAACCATGCAGAATTCAGGGTACAGCGCGTACCGAGGCATTAAATCAGTTCGTGAGTAATACAGTCCGTGTGGCCTCCCCGCAATAACCTTCATGGTAATTGACAGGGTCCCCGACGATGACGTCTCTACCCGCTAGTGCCGCAAAAACCGTAGCACCCGCAACATCCACCCGTCGTCCCTCCCGAGCCACGGCCATCACATCATCTTCCCCAGAAACCAGATCGAAATGGAGATTCCACTGGATACACCGAGTTCTCTGAAGCGGAAAAGGGCCCTGTTAGCCTGCATCCCCTGTAGGGAGCGCAAACGAAAGTGCGATGGGCGGGACCCATGTTGTACATGCACCTCATGGGGTTACGACTGTTATTACCTGGCGCGCCGACCTAGGTCCCGCAAAACAAGGGCTTCTACCCCGGATCCCCAACCCAGGCCCCGGTCTCCACCCCAGGAAACCTCTGGTCCGAACATTGTCGAGGCCGTTGAGGCCGACCGTGGTGGACTGGTGAGACGCCTGGAGGCCAATTCAGGGGCTGCATTTGTCAGGAAGCTTGGCCTCAAAATCGACCCTGCCAAAGCACCCAAGCTCAATCTGTTCAGCTGGAATATTGGCACCAGGCAACCGGCATCTCCAATCACTTCGTCTTCAGCTATACCGATTGTAGAGATCACGTCGCTTGACCACATGAGGGCTATGGCCCAGGTTTATTTTGAGAAAGTCCATCCATGTTATGGATTCATCGACCGGGATGATTTTTTCGATCGACTAGATCTGCGTTGGAAATCTCCGCTTCTTTGGGACTTATACGATAGCACATTAGCTGGTGTTGCGGCTCTTGGGTGTTTGTTCTCGCTGCGAGATGCTACAATCACGGAGCTACATCTTATTCGGACAGCTCGCACGGTGCTAGACATGCAGCATCTTTCTGGTCCTCCTTCGATCGATCTATTGACGGGATGGATCCTGCGGTCTATCTACCTGCGGATGACAGACTCGCCACATTCCACGTGGATTGCGAGTTCGACGTTAATGCACCTTGTGGAAGCATCGGGACTCCACCCAGAATCACATTCGGTCCTGCCACCAAGAGTACAGTGCGATCCGGATATTCAAAGACGGCTCGTTGGTGTTGCGCACCATTTGAACGTGTGGACTTCTTATGATCTCGGTCTTTCCCGAGTGTCTTTCCAGAAAAACGATCTCCCGGCGCTTCCATCTCCAAAGCCCGGTGACTGTACAGTTGAGGTTCTCCGACTCCTCCCAGTGTCCGTCAGCCTTGACCCAGGCAAATCGAGAGATGAGGCAGATCTCACATCCACACTTTCCAGCCTTCTTGACGGAACTCACACCCAACCACCATCTGTCATGGCACAGTGTAACCTCGTTCTCTGTATCCTCCGGCGCATCCATACCCAAAATCTTGATATCCCTTCCGAGCTCGCGGCGAAGGTGTTGCGACTCTTGAAGAAAGGACTAGGCTGCGCGCGAAGTATGGTCATGGACTGCTCTCCTTGGCATCAAGTTGCCAACGTGCCTTTTCACATCATCTGCGTGCTTCTTGTCATGGACACACGTTCGTCTCTTGCCATGCTCCCAGAGGCAATGCAGACCGTGGGGCTAGTTGCTTCCACTTATGATACTGAAACGATGAGGGAGGCTTACAGCACAGCCTGCTTGCTTGTAATGCTGCATCAACAACGAAGGAAGGACGATCTAGCGGTTTTTGGCGAGGCCCTCAACGTGCATCAGCAAGAAAGACCGCTCGAATCGCCGCCGCAACTCGATCCTAGCTCCGAGGAATATTCATGGCTGGGAGCTCTTGTAGCTGATTTGCCTGGTCTTCAAAGGATTGATCTTGACCAGTTTCTGAACGCAGATATGATCGATACGTCATTATTTAGTGGACCTTGATGAGATGCTCAATTTCCCATGCTAGCTTTTTGCAAGATAATATCGAATCCTGTCGTAACAAGGAAATTCGCTACATGCATCAATAGCAATTAGATAATCAAACATCTTACCCTGAGAGGTGGCTCTCATAAAGTGATTTGTAAACAGTGAGACACCGAGTGAATCTCGGGGGCCGAGATGCCACACTTGTTTCAAAGGCCATACAGGGGTTATAGCTTATAGTGGTCACACTAAACCTAGGAGGGATTAGAAATCTCAATCCCCCTAATTTCCAACCCTACTAACCTACCGTAGCCTCAGATAGGTCAGAAACAGTATATATTCATACTTCTTCTTTGTATAGTCTCTGTGTAATTAACGTTGCACGGTTTAGTTATCGATCTAACATTACTTACCAGGTCTCCGAGTATTCTTAATTTCTAGCAGGTCTTTCACAGGTCTTTCAAGAACACCAGAATTAATCAGACAATCTAGAGATCTCTAATGAAGCAGAAGGGGAATGAACAGAGAAAGCTTCTCATAGGATATAAAAGGAATCTACTAAAAGAAAATCTCCATTAATTATCAACCTCTCTTTTTACGCTTGACGGAGATTCCCCTGTCTACCTGATGATTGAGGCTCTAGAGCCGACGGGGTCTTTCATTTCGGAGCTTTCCTGATTGTTCTGGCCTTTCACATATACAAGAGTCTTTTATTTCTCTTCCGTCTTCTTCTTCTTCTTCTCTCCCTTGCTCTCGTCTTCTGCACTCTCTGATCCCGGTCATCTCCCTTCACTTACATCTACAAAACTGACTTCAGGGTATTGATCCTTCATCATGAGTTTCGACAACGAGTTTCCGACTGAACGGTGACCAGGGCGTTGGAGTTCGTGTCCCCTTGACCAGACCTGGCTTACTTGAAGAATTGTGCTGACTCCTGAATAGTCCGTCCGACTTGTAAATACGTACTTCAAACCTACCCTTTCGATCGAGATTAAGGTTTCAAAATCCTAAAGAATTGCTGTCCCCATATTCCTGGATTGGACATGAAGTTCACGGACGAGCCATATCACCCTGGAACTCCCGAAGAATCCGAGGAGGACTCCAAAGAGGAATCCAAGGAGCCCGATGATACAGATGCAATTCATAAGAGAGCCAGACAGGAGTCGGAGTTTGGGTAATACGCCCAGGCTGTTCTGGAGGAAATCCGCAACCTCCAAGACGGGCGAGTTTCCTCCTTCACGGCCGACGATATCTTCCCCCGTCAGGTCTTCCAGCAGAATCCTCCAACCGTGAACGCTTCCCTGCCCAAGCCACCGCTCGGGCTCATCGCAACGTCCATGCTCACGGGAATAAAACAGAGCAAGACCCAGAATCAGCGCTATGGAGAATTCTTGGCGTCAACTCAAGGGATCGAGGACGGTGTTTGTCGGTCATTTTTTGAATAGTCTTTCAACGGGTCTAAAAAAGAGAATAAGAGAGAAAGAGAAGAGGAGAAAAGAGCATAGACTAGAATCCTTCATCAGGGTTATATACAGGTGCAATTTTCCGTTAGTATCTCGAGTCATGAGTAATTCCTTACCAAGGATAAAGAGTAGGATAACGGAGATAAGAGGCAAGAGATAGAAGGCATATGATAGAGTGGCGGACGCAGTGGCGTAGCAGGAGTAGTAGAGGATTTGCAAGCGTTTATCCAGAGATATCACTTACATTTGGCTCTGCAGAGGGCTCGTCGTAGCCCTCAGCCTCGTTGACCGGGGTATCCTCTTCTTCGGCCTCTGCAGCCGGGGCAGGCGAGGGCGACGGGTTGGGCATACGAGCCCGCGCGGGCAACGGTGGACACTATTCAGCTATATTCTGTGATCAGGGCAATGGACCGCCGAGCACAGAGCATTCGACAAACCGCATTCTCATCCCGACGCCAAAGAGGTAGGCCTCGGGACAATCGGCCACAGGGCAATCGACCACAGGCGACGACATATCTTCTATATTTCGACCGGTTAGTATATGTCGAGAAAAACAGGCGATCGGTGTTGTGAGGAACTTGGATTAGGGAGATTCTCAGTACGTTACCTTCTTTGTAACCCCCGAGCCCGGCTTACGGCCGCCTTGACCAGCGGCGCCACTCTTCTTAGCCTGAGTGGCCATTTTGATGAGTATATTTTTGAAAGGTTTAAAGAGAAAAGTGAGTCTCTACGCGAGAGAGAAGGTCTTGGTCGTGGTGTAGGGGTGGGAAGTGAGGGTGGGAAGTGAGGTGAAGGGTGTGGACAATAAGTTGGGAGCACAGGACCAGGAAGCCCTGCGTCCATTTCAGGAAGGCACGACCCAACAGAGGCCTCGCCAGGTAAGAACTAAAGCGAACTTCATTTTTCATCTCCCACTTTCCCCTTATTCTTCATATTCCCTTGATTACTGACTTGACACTTCGTTGGTTTACCTCGGTCCCCTTTGATCCATCGTGAATTTACGAAATCCTATTCTGGTTTTTATTGCTCGAGCGAGTCATGCTTCTCGTGGTCTGTTCAATGAGAAACGAGACCGGTTGACCATCTCTCTCGACGCCGTCATGGAGTATCACGAGGCCACATTCCCTGGCCGCTTCGATGGTAATTCCCTTGAACAATTCGTCCAAGTATCGAATTCTCCATTTCAACCAGGAGGAGATGTTATGACCTACTTTAGAGCCCTCTTTACCTGCGCTGAGCAACAAGATCGGGATATCCGGCTTATTATGAGTGGTTGGAATAGCTTCACTATGAACCAAGGAGCATTTCAAGAGCTGTTCTAGCTCCGACCGGAAAATGTTTCTGTTCTTCCGCGGATTATAACCGTGGATTTTGATCGCTTAGAGGATGCCGTTCCTCTACCCCGTATGTACGACATCGATATCCCCCAGGTTTGCGCTTTCCTAACCTCCCTGTACTGTCCAGCAGGCTCTCATCTCTGAGCTCTTTCGTCGAGATTCACTCCTTAGGCCTTACCCTCATCACCTTGGTGCCGTCTCCTTAAACCTCTGTTTCTGCACCTCGCTAGTGTGCAGCGCTTGGTCACTCCCACTCTCCTGCGCTCGTTGATATCTGTCTTTGAGATCTTCCAGCTCGACACCATGGCCAACTCCGTCCAAAACTCTCAGGCCAGCATCTTTCCCTTCCTGTTGCTGCCAGCGGAACTTCGATTGATGATCTACATGTACGCCCTGTTCACCCCTCACGGTATCTGGATGGATGACCACCGGCGTGACATCGTGGGGATCCTTCGCCAACAGAACCACAGTCCCCCGACCTCCGACATTCTGGCATCCCGAAGTTTCTACGGCATCGTCTCGCCTGCCCTTTTACTGGTCTGCAAACAGATCTACCACGAGGCCAAGCATTTTCTCGGACACAACCAGTGGCGCCTGAACCGCTGGAGCACTGACCCGATTGCCAACATCTCGGAGTCGGTCCGCAACAAGGTCATTTCGGTCTTCCTGGGTACCAGCCACTATGGATATGTCTCGCCCGTTCGCGATCGTATCAACGGCACCTCATGGCTGTCCTTGGTCCAATACCTGCCGAACATCCAGCATCTGACCATCGCAATGATGGAAGACGACAAAGGTCTCTCTGGCAACCACTCGCCCGAGGTCGAAGTGTATCATATGGGCCACCTGGCGCACTACAGGGAGCTCTTCCAGCGATGCTCGATCAAGTCGATCAGCCTCGAGTACATGAAGACATACCCCTCCAATATGTACCCGTGGGTGTACTTGTGGAGCTGGGTCACCACCATGGCCGCGTACGTCCTGCCGCAGACGAGGAATAACCAGAAGATTCTGGAGCAGTGGCAGCTTCTGGACGAGGTGGACGAATGCCTCGTATCTCCTAGTCTTGATTGGCGTGGGCTGGCAAGATACCGGAATTACGCGCCCCTTCTAGGGTCCAGCACCGAGTCGATCTCACGATACCGGCTCCTTTCGCGTCGGCTTCAGGCAGCGTGGGAGGAGTTCGGGTTTCGCGTGTCCGCGAGAGACCCAAGCCCGTTCGAGCGAGGCACAGTGATCGTTTTCGAACGGATATCCACGGGTGGCTGTTCGCCTTGGGTGTCAGCGGTGGGGATCGTTAGTTAGTCAGGGGTGGCTCATGGTGGTGGTGTGGTAGTTGTGTGTTGGTTCGGGGTACGTGGACGTTTGTTCACAATTTGTTAGAGAATGAGAGACAGCCCCTAATGGGGATAATGTCAATACAATTTCATTTCTCAATCTAATCTGATGCTTATGTAGAACTTATTCACCTTAATACCACCTTAACTTTAAGGTCAGACTGATGCAATTCTAATTAATAGATTTGTAGAATCTGAGTCTCTGTTTTGCTTCAAGTTCCCGCTAATACCCATCTTCATCCTCAGTCAAAGTCAATCTACTCACTATTGGTATCAAGAAAACTATCCGCCATCCATCCCGTCAGCGCACTATAATCAGCCAGTGGCGTTGTTCCATGCAAAGTCTCCCAATGTCTTCGTGGCCCACACTCGCGCAGCTTCGTCGAGTCAGCATTGACACAACGATTCTGCATAATAGCAGCAATATTCTGCCCGGCATCCCGGCCCTCGAACCAAGCTCCGTGGAGGAAACCAAAGTACGTAGGACTCGTCGCTTCACCGGCGAACCAGAGCCGGTCTGTGTTAGCGCGCAGGTTCTCGTGCATCTCGAGGGTTGTCGATGGAGGCCAGTTGGAGTAGCTACCGTATGACCAGGGCTCGGTGCTCCAGCGTGGGTAGAGGAAAGCGGTTGGTTCTGGGATATTCTGGTCCGGGAACATCTTTCGGAGAACAGTCAGGATTTCTTGCTTTGTTGTTTCGTCTGATTGTCGCTCGGCGCGCCAGGCGAGTTCGTTGGTCACTGTTACAAAGAGGATATTGCTATCTGGGAGGAATTCGGGCATGGATAGGGATTGGAAGACCGGGTACCAGCCGCGCATGGCGGGATCAGCGTAGAGGAAGTATTGGGTGTTTTTGGGCCAGAAAGTCTCGTTGAATTGCATGAAGATCTTGGTATAGGTTCCCATGGTGAATTTTTGGATGGCGGTTTGTTTCCACTCCGGGAGGGACGGGGTAAATTTGACTGCGTCATTTTGGAGGACACCAAGGGAGAAGGTGCAGATAGCATATGCGGCGCTGATACAGCTGCCATCCTTGTTGTGGATGGTGACTCCGTCTTTGCCGTACTGGATCTCTGTGACCTCGGTATTCAGGTGTAGGCGTGGGTCATTCTCTTGCATGAACTCGGATGCCATGCTCTTGATGATGGTGTTGAAGCCTCGTTGGTCGATAACGAAGTTATCATGGTCGCTGAACCCATTCACAGTCAGGTTGTCACCAGCACAGCCATAAACGAGAGAACTTTCCAGCGGGGTGAAGTTGTCCTCGAAATCTAGATCAAACACCACCTCTCAGCCAGTGAAGGGAGTCATTGAAGATCAATATCTACTTACCCCATTTCCACCAGTCAACTGCCTGGGCCTCCATATCATGCTTCTTCGGATTCCATCCAGCCAGGGCAAGGCCGGATTGAGCAGTTTGGTCTTGCAGGTTGTTGAGGAGAATGTCCCCTGCCTTTGCATTGGCAATATCATATGCGTCGTCGTACTCGCTCAGTAAATGGCTGTAGTCCTTGTAGCCATGCTCGTTATAAGTCGAGATATTGTCATAGTCAGAGTACTGGGTCTTCAGCTGATATTTTTGGGCCTATGACGTTCATTAGAATATTGATCTGGAAGGGTTGAAGATGAGGGACAATGCTCAAATACCAAGCTCCATATAGGATTTTGAGGGCCACCAGGGTTTCCGAGACCTTGGACCTGTTCCATCAAATAAGCAATATGTCGATAGACCACATGTAAGTCTCGTACCCAATTGGCACCCATCTCAATAGTGTAGGGCTTCCCATCTTTGTTTTTGCCAAAGGGCACATGCCAGGCACGACCACCAATTGTATCGCGGTACTCGAGGATAGCAAAGTCATGCACTGAAGCATTTGACAATGCTTGCTGCACGCAGTCAAAACACTTAGCCTGGCTAAAACAAAACTTGGTGGCGATGAATACTTACTGCTGCAGCAATTCCAGCGATTCCACCCCCACTTCACAGAATTAGCTCGTTAGTCGCAAAGCCCTCCCTCAAAGGTTCAATGCTTACAGGATGGCAACTGTTGTCTTCTTGCAGGTACCAATGTCCTGAGCTCTAGCAGTGTGGGGCACAGCATCGGCAGGTTGGACCGCCAAGCTGGCTGCGGCCGCCAAGAATGACAGATTGCGCAGTTGCATCATGAATAATTCCAAAAGGAGATAATTGTGATGAAAAACTCGAGTCAGTCCGGGGCCACGAGGTGCTCATAAATAAATGCCGCGGGGAGACCTGCGGGACCTTTTTCCTGCAGGGATGGACAGCTTGCGATGCATGAGAACATCACATAGCGATACCCAGAAATGGACTGGATGATCGACAGGGCCACATGTAACCTATGCAACGACCGCGTAGTGCAATCGGGTAGGTACATGCGGTCATTGAGCTGATTGTAGAGCAACCGATACATCGCGATGATCCACAGTAACCAGTCTGCCTCGGATAAGCATGAAGCGGAAGTTATTATGGAGCGAGATCCGTAGAGACCAGAAGTGCTGGCTTGGTTGTTCTCCACTGTTCTCTCCGCATCCCCAGATTATTACCAGAGTTCGTTGGTGGTTCTCATTACGTTTGTCGTTGTGAGTTAGTATTCCGGCCGGGCTTATGCCGCCCTGAAGGAAACTGCAAGCGAGCAGATATTGCATGCCAAGTCTCAGGTGTAGGCAGTTAGGCAGCCGATTACCGGAGTCAATAAATCGTACCTTGGAATCTCAAGGCCATGCTAGTAGTGCAGGATTAAATGCCTATTTCCATTTACTGAAGAAGAACAGACGGGGAATGTCCCTTGTCCATAACATTTGCAGCGTCAGTCGACTGAATACACAATGCAACTCCACCCAGCTATGCAAAAAAATACCAAAGGCCAATAACTGATCATCATATGAAGTGTCATCCTGAAGTTTTCCCAAACGCCACATCGAGGCAGAACGTTTGCAATGCATCCAAAACTCACGATTGGTCATGTCCCAATGGAAGACCGAAGAGCTCAATACTGCCCAATATCACAGGCAAAGATGAGCGTCCAAAACATGACTACCTATGCAAGATCTTGTCCCACTAGCGGAACTTGTAGGATGGACGAATCATTTTCGCCGTTTCTGGTTTCAGAGACAGTTGTTGGTAAGGCGAGCTGCCTGGGTCATAGTACAAGCCTTCGATGTGGCCATCTTCACGGCGGAGAGAGATGTAGTAGAAGCCGGAGATTGTGAGACCCTGACGCGCATCGGTTGGGGTGATGAAGCATCGCTCTAAGATCGTGTCAGTCATGTCAATGAGGATAAGATTGAGACAAATATGTATAAACTCACCCTTCCATCGCATTAGGATCCACCCTTGAACCAATTTCTCGGTAATCCACTTCTTGCTCACGAGGTTCTTGGCAATCTCAGTATCGGGCAGATCCTTGAATGGCTGCAATTCTCGCCAATATGTGCTATCAATATCTGCATCTGCCTTGAAGTTCTTGGTTTCAAGAGTATGTTTGTTGAAGTCGATGATTTCGCCTTCCAGGAACGTCACAATATGTGCATCGTGGCTTGGTGAGGACTTGTCGGGGATATTGTAGGCCTCCATGGTACCAGACAACGTCATGTCGGTGTAGTTTATGCTGTGAATCGTGACCTTAACAGGCCAGTTTTCATCCCGGGCATTAGCAAGATACCGTCGCCCGGTTGACGTATATACACTGATGCGGGTGCTGTCGCTGCCGTTGACGATGACTGGTTCGTTGGGTGTATGGGGACTTTGTACACGTTGTGACAAAACAGAACAGCCCGCATTCGCGGCTCGCTGGCAGCCAGAGAAGACCACTCCAGGTCGCAGCCACGAGCTTGGTGCCGGTGGCACTATGGTGTTGATGTCCAAAATGAAGTCACTGTCCTTCAAGGAGAAATTCTCTAATGAGATGAAGCCCGTCGCGGCCGCAGAGCTGATGCTTTCCTCGAAGGAATTGGAGTATCGCAGACGATCAAGGTAGTTGATTGTATCCTTCAGAACCGAGTCGCCGGGAGCGCTCGAATGCAGTTGTCGATGTGCAGCTACCCTGGCGCGCAGGTCGCTGTGAGTTAGAGGTCGATGCGAGTCGCTCCTGTTTGGTGGGCGATATCGATAAGCCCTTGTCGAGGACGAACTCCCTGTCAGTTCCGTGTCCTCGAACTCCTCATTTGAACGAGCAGCATGCCCATCCAAAAGGAAACTTTCCAGTGTCCGCGTCCTCGCCAATCTCGGTTGTCGCCTTATCGATTGCAACAGCTCCACCGGAATCGGCTCCTCTAGCCATTGTGAAGGAAAGTCCGTGTCTTCATTCGGTGGCGTGCGGGCCGTCGGTTCATGTCGGCGCGATCGACTTGATGTGGCGTTGCGATCTGGAACAGCATGGAGGAAAGGCTGGATCCGGTCGTCATCCGATGCTTCGCGGCGGGGGACCTCGTCCTCGTCATCTGACCCAGGGGCCCATCCATACAATGAGCGTGAATTCGAGCGGCGACTCTCGTAATTAGGTATATTCCTGGGTTCTTCACGTTGGCGACGAACGATAGGTATGCGACGGTTGATTTCGACGGATAACCGGAGGTTACTGGGCTCGTCCAGGTCCATCCGGTCGTCAGCCGGCAGGTCCTCCATCTGTCGGGGGTGCGAAGTCTGGTATCGACGACGGCGATGTCGACTGAGCGACGGAAGCAGTGGATTGTACAATAAGGAGCGAGATCGCAGGAAGTTCACATTATCGTCATGGGCGTTATCGCTCTCTGCAGGAACTGGGGAATCGGGAGTCGACGATCGTCGCGATAACGGCTCGGGCGCGAGTGAGGTGGGTGACAAGGCTGGGGTGCCGTGCTAGATCAGTCAAGCATTAGTCGGAAGGTCGACGACCGTGTGAATATGAAGGGATGAAGCAGTCCTAGGGGTGGAAGGGACAAAACATACTGATGCCGAGTTGGGAGGCGGCATCTCCTCGGGGGGAGGCGCTGGGGCCGGGATCCGCCGTAAGGGAGGTCGGGCGGGTGGATCAACCGGGGAGTATGCAGCAGACTAACCCCAGAAATTGTAGAAAGTGTAGTTGAAGGTTGGGCAGGATGCCGACTTGGGGGAGTTGAGGAAGAGTTGGGGGAGAGAAGGGTGTTGTTGCACGCTGATGCCGAAGTGACGGAGTTTGGGTTGGCTTTGTCTTCAAAAAATGTGGAGAAGCAGCGCATAACACGTCCGTTTCTCCGTGTCTATGAAAAGACGGTAAATATAAATCCTTCTAAGCACCGCACCACGACATTGATAAATTATCTATCCCACGGGTTGTAAGGACTGGCCCTCTATTGACCTTGCCACTGTCAACAGATTACGCATCTCCCATGTTCACCAGTCCCAAAGCACGACACTGCCGTCCATGATCTTTGTACTCTCCGTGAGTGGTTTCTCTAGTCTCATTCTACAGGCGGGCACCAGAATACTAACCGCCAGCTACTACCTAGTCTAATCTCGCGGCTGGACTTGGTCTACAGAATATCCTGCCGTCGCATACCCCAGGCGGTTGACTGAGAACCTTACCAAGGGCTTCGGAGTCTACCCCGAGCCAACATGCGGAGCCGCCACAGCAGCACGATATTGAATAAGGGTGCCCGCCTTAATTGAACGGCACCTTAGCGCCATGCCTAACGGGGCGATTCCGATGGCATTGCTTGGCTGATCCCTAGCTTTGTCGGGACATGAACCTCTCCTCCAACTGGCCTCCTAGTCTCGACCTGACAAGCGGCAAGTCGACAACCCCGTGGAGTCTACAGGACAAGCACAGCATACCTGTGGTCATTGATGGTCCAAGATATTGGATTTTCTCATTCTTACTTCTGTGGCTCTCCAATAGAGGGTACCCACGAAAATGGTCAGCGAAGTTGAGTTGCCAGCATTCCCGACAGCGATAACAAAGCTCTGAAAGGCACTCGTGATATTCCGTGCCAATACAACACCTTCCGGGTGGCAGATCTCGCAACTCGCCGTCTAGGCCGTGGGCTGGTACTACCCAGCCTGACAATGTTGCTTAGCAGCCAGTAGCGATCTAGAGAATGGCTTTAAAGCTGGCAAAGCCGATGCCCTGGGATAATTAAACTGACTTGGTTGTCTAATTTTCTGAATCTGGGGGTGGTAATTAGGCTGGTATTGTAGTCCTACACTGGCGCGATTTCCACTGCCATGTTTGGTCATGCGATGCAGGAATATATACTACAACGAATGTCCAAAGCCCGATCCCCCGAGACCCCGTATATTCAATGACCCTGGGTTCCAAAATTGTGCATATACGAGTGAATTTCTCACCCGGTATTGTGAAATTTCCACTGACTTGTGGCCGGTCGTTGGACCAAGATTGAAGCAGACGTCTAAAGGTGGTGTTGTGACCACATAGTCAAGGCTTTCTCGGTTAGGTTATAATGCATTATATCTGGTCGATCATCGCAATCAAACCCTCGATGGTGTAGTTGGATATCACGTTCGGCTGTAATGGATCATCATATAACCGAAAGGTCACCGGCTCGATTCCGGTTCGAGGGAACATTGCACTTTCTTTTTTCGATTCTCTTTTTCCTACTAGTATTTAAATTAATAGATATTCTCTACTATCTCCAACCTTTTATTCTTTCTATTATTATAAAGAGAGATATTAAGTAGAGAGGCCTAGAGATCGCTCTCCATATAAGAAAAACGCTTTAAATTACCTAATCTAATATTAGCTATCTCCATCTAGTAAAATAAATAAATCTCCCATAATAAGAAAATATTTAAGGATTTATTTTAGTAGGAGATAAATTAATGTAATTATGTTGAGAGGGGAAAAAAAAAAGATAATGCAAGTTCCCTCGAACCGGAATCGAGCCGGTGACCTTTCGGTTATATGATGATCCATTACAGCCGAACGTGATATCCAACTACACCATCGAGGGTTTGATTGCGAAAATTCTAATCTACTTTGGCTATATGAAGGAGCAAGACTCTGGCTTACCCGTGGCACTAAAATCATTTTGTATAGCTGACAGACATAAAGTCAGGCGCAAATGATGTTTAATGCTCGGGACATCGCCGGTGGGACTCTTAAAAAATATTTCAGTGTGTGGCATCCAAGGCGAAATTCCACGGTTTCCATATTGTCTTGAGTCCCAACAGCGTGGCGTGAGTTCATTTCGACTTATTGTCTCTAACCCACCGCATAACATGCACAGCGGATTATGAGACGGACTTGGGGCGGAACCTTTCAGAAACCATAGCCCGGGCAGATTGGCCTTCGGAGAATCTCCTCGTAGATAATCCCAGATACGATTGTATTCATTACTGTAGTCCACAAGTGTTGCGCTGTTAGATATCATAAAGTCTAATTTGAAAAAGATCCACATCTATGAATTTGAACATCATGAGCGAGCCGCATTGCAGTCGTCAGCCAACTGCACACATTTCAAAATCATCGCCCAGAACGCCTCCAGGTCAACGCCCCTTGGAATTGCCACACCAGGGCCAGCTACTGGCGTAGCAATCGAGCGACCCAGTTGGCCGGTGGCAGAAACATCCTTGCCATGTCGGCCGTCCGTCACGATGCTGACAGCAAATCGTTCTCCGCCTCTGTCGTCAAATTTGAGAGCTTCTTGAGGGTGCTGCGAAGCGAATGATGGGTTGAGTGTCGACAGGATGACCGCCACAGCTAACGGGTCATGCAGAGGGGGTCCAGTCGCCAGGCCAAACACTTTCTCGTATGTCGCTGCAAAGAAAGTGAGCAGAGCGTGCAGAATCTGTCGAATCACTGTAGGTGGCTTTGACGGGTCGCTCCCATCATGCAAAATGCGTGTCTGTACTGGCTGAGATGCGAGGACTTGGTGGGTCAGATCCAGGGCGGCCATCGTGGTCTTCGCAGCCAGAATGGGGTTACTAAAGATAGACTCGGAAGACTCGGGATCACACTGTATGCCAAGAGAGCAAGCGAGTCAGAGCAGTGTGGCGCCAATGATCACAAGAGTACAATCAAGAACGTACATAGATATTGAACTCGGCCCAGGGAGTCACGTTTCCGATACGGAACTTTTCACCCGGAAGCCTACTCATGGGGGCATCCGTGAACCCCCCACCGATGGCACCTCCCATAATACTCAGGCCCTGGATATGTTCTACAACCTCTGGGAATGTTGCAAATAGCAAAGCTACATTGGTCAATGTTCCTGTGGCAACCACCCATGATGTTCCCTTTGGCTGGGACAAGAGTGCATTTCGCATGGCCAGGATGGGATTCTCTTTTGTAAATGGAGGAACAGATGGCTTAGGCAGGAGGTCAGTGCCATCAAGACCAGATTCACCTGTTAAAAAAGCGTCGATGAGAAAATTATAACAAGCAAGTCGATGACGAGTCAAAGACCAAGAGGCATGCCATACCATGGATGTCTGGAGCATGCAATGCAGGACGTGAGAATGGTTTCCGGCTTCCAGGGTAGACGGGGACCTCAGGCCTGCCAATAGCTTCCAGGATACTTCCAGTATTGTAGGTAGTGTTCTCCAAGGAAGCATTGCCATGGATAGTCGTTATTCCGAGAAGATTGAGAGATGGGTGATGCGCAGCAATCAAGATTGCAAAGGCGTCCTAGACAGCAGATTCAACATGTTAGTCTTTTGTTATTATGAAGTACTATTGACATACATCATGCCCTGTAGATTAGGATTCAGCTTGAGCGACACTTGAAGGATAATTTTTCAATTGCCAACCTGGATCACAGTCTAGCCAAAGTGGTATTCTATTCTCGCCGTGGACGTGAGGAAACATCTTTGATCGTTGGAGACAGAGTGTTGTTGATGAGGAGAAGCGCCGAACAAGGGAACCAGGTCTCCCATCTCCCCGCACTGCGATAAGGCCCCTTATCGCAGCCCTAAGCCCTACTTTCCTAATCAAGAAGGCCCATATCATCAACTCCGTGGTCGCCGCAACAGCTAAGAGCTACCTTCACTCAAGAAGGGTGAAGCTCTTGCGCTCTGCGGTCTCCAATGAACTGACCTGAGGGAGCTCATGAGCCCCTAAGATGCCATGAATGACCCCCTACGACCCGGTTTGCAGCCAGTCTCGCATCTCAAGGCTGGACCGACCACCGCAAGCTCCAGGCCTACCGCGCTACTTTCCCCAGGGCAACCGCCTTTGACACGACCATCCTCAAGACTACGAGCCCAACGACCACCCACTCGAGATGATATGACTGATGCTACGAGTAACAAGGCCACTACTGCCTTGATTCGACGTGTCCTCTACACCCAGGCTGGCAGCGGCCACGGCGCATCCTCTCCACAGCCTTCGGAAGAGCTGTTACCTCCCCTCACGAGCTCCAATGACGTTGATCGTCAGCTCTACGCCATACTCGCTGTTATAATCAAAGAATTTGTGTACTCGTGGTACACAAAGATTACCCCTGACCAGGGCCTTGTCAATGAGGTCCTCCAAGTCGTTGCACATTGCACCCGCGCCCTGGAACAGCGGATACGCCAGGTAGATGTCACGCAGCTGGCCTTGGATGAGATTCCTGCCTTGGTGGAAGCACATATATTCTGTAAGACCCGAATTTGTCTGGGGATATTCGTTTTCGGAAACAGAGACATCCTGGAAAACGGGAATGAGAGACGCGATTGCTAACTCAGAAACCATCTCGTCTAGCCTATCGACTTGCCAAGGAAAGGTCACACCTATCAGGACTACCAACGTCACATCGTGGGTTATACCACGAGCTGAACCCTCATCCTGGGTTATCACCAGTCCCGGATCCCGCAGATCCTGACACAGTCAACGCACAGGCTGAGAACGAAGCCGTATATCGGAGATTACTTGCTAGCGGGACTCTTGCGGTTCTGCTGCCCACGGAAGATTTGGAAAGTAGCAGCCTACGCCTGCTCGTGAGCGATATCCTATCAGACTTGATTCTAGGGAAAGAGGTTGCTGGTAGGGTCTGCCAAGGATGGTTCTTATGGGATGCCATCACCAAAGTTACGGAGGTAGTGAGACGCCCGAAAAGTTTAGAGAGCACAATCTCCGCCAATGATGTCCCCCCAAATCGACTCGAGAGATTCGGGCTGCTCGCAGACAAAGACGATTCGGCCAAATCTCACGCAAGCGCTCAGCCTCGAGCCACCGCTTGGATATGGAGCGTTCTCCAGAATATCTATCTTGGCTATGTTGCCTTGCGTTTTATCGCGACAGGTCTATTCCGCGCCACATCAGATCCAAGGCAGGGATATTCGCACGGAGCCAGTGTTTCATTTCCCGCTGCAACGCCAGGCCTTTCTAAGAAGGAGGGTGTCGACTCGTCATCGTCAGACGGAGTTACAGCTAAACGCCCGGTCCTCGACTACCGAGTGTACTCGATGATCTCGCAACTTTTGGGTATTTCGCGACGAATGCCATGGCTTTCCGGGATATTGTCCCTTGTTCAACAGCTCGTTCTGACCGGACCAGGCAGGCTCGGGGACACAGATGGGATTCTTGACAGGTGAGTTTATTTCTTTTATGGTTTTCGGTTGTTCTCTGTTGTCGGAGTATTTCCCCCACTCCATTTCCCTCGTGTGCGCCCAGGGCTCAGGCCCCTTCCTTTTTTCGCGCGAACTCTTGACAGTGGAGCAATTGTGCGATCTCCGAACTGCGATCTACAAGGGTCAAGTGTCACTTGTGCAAGACATGGTGGGACGACGAAGTGTCTTGCTCGCATGCTGCAGCGATCACTTGATCCCGCCCACAACGGCTTTTTACGGGGCCAGCGAGTAATACGGGCGATACGGTGACCGTACATCGTTTGCTGACTGACGGTACGGTCATTACGGGCTGACGTTACGGCTGGGCGATTCTGGCGCCAGATTGGCTGCCCCAACCTGGTCCGAGCGAGCAGTGGACATCACAGGGAGAGGGAGGACGAGCAGGGAACAGAGAGGGAAGACCAGGCTTTTTCCTCTTCACGCCGTACCCACCGTCTCATTTTTCTGGCCGCGATAGCGCCGGGGCCCGGCCCTTTCCGTGCCGCTTCCTCCTCTTTTGCGCATCTCAACCCTGCAAAACAGTCCTCAGCTGCCAATCTATTGACCGCCGACATTGCACCCCCTTGGCGAAGGGCTCGCCTTCTCAACCTAAAAAAAAGAAAAGAATCGAAGAATGAAGCAGAGAACTCCACAAAATAAAACAGAGTTTAGGGGCTGCCGAACCAGATCCAAACTGTGGAAACTCTACTGTGATTGAAGAGGGCGCAGGCGAATCGTGCGCACAGCAGACATCGTCTGCCGATCCCCTTCATAGACGGGCATAAATGGGCAGATGGATCACCTTACCAATCTGGGGGCGTGCATGAAGACCAGGAGCAGCGGCGGCAGCAGCATTTCTCTTCGTCCGCCGAGGCTAGTGCCAGTGTTTTACGCACTGGTCATCCAATCAGCGAAATTCCTGGGAGCGAGTTTTCGAATTTACAACCCGGCCGAGGTTGGCGCATGAAGCCCGCTTTTTGTACGCCAGGTACGCTGCTGGGATGTTACCCGCTGGGACAGGGGCATGGTAAAGAGGGGGGATAGACGACGATGAGGAGCAGGATGAGCGCGGACTAAAGAGACCAGGAGATAGGCCCGCCTTGTCGGTTTCCTGCGATTCACTGGTCGCTACTCCGTCACTTTGAGCTTCTCTCCTCTTTCTTGAAGGAGTGACATCCCTGTTGCACCAATAGTTGGCCCAAGCTTCTCCTCACAACCCACACCGAAGCCGATCGTGCTCCGCCTCGCTCCCCACTTCTCTTCCTCCCTGCCCAAGTGCGGGTTGATCCTGAGCTCTGTCTCTCAAGCGGTGGGACTGGCCCGAACTTGCACGAAGGAATAACGTCGCGGCGATAGCTCCACTGTCAAGACTGAACTTGTCGCTTCACTGTTGATTTCCTTTCTTTTTCTTTTTGAGAGATATTTGCTTTTTTTCTCCCTTTCGTCATTTCTCATCGGCTCTCCCGATGTCATGATTTGAAGCAATCATAACTGACTCCACAGATTTCTTCGGGAAACCATCGAGGAGTACATCCTGCCCCCCACTTTGTTGCCCAACCTTCTTCTCAATACACGGTCTGCGCTCTTTCCGGCCAATGCCCGCCCAACTTCCCAAGCACCAGCTGGGAGTACTGGAGCAGCCCAAGGCCCAGCTCCGCAGGTGTCCGTGCAGCCCCCGACGCCGAGCGGAAAATTCCCCCTCGCTACCACTGTGGTTACCCCTTCCGCGCCTTTTTCGGAAGGTAGCAGGGTTCCTGGACTGGGTGCAAATAATGCAGTTGGTAAAAACAATATTGGCAGTAGTAATAGCAGCAGCAACAGCAGTATTGGGGTTGGAGTTGGTAGTGGCGGTGATCGTCTGCATGCTGGTGTACCACCTCGATCTTCCACAGTATCACCCTCATCGCCAACCATTGCGATAACATTGGACATTGATACGGCCCAACGAGCTTCTACGGAGGTTTCAACCGGGCCAGTGAACAGAATAGGCCCATCTATCTCGGAGATCGCCGCTATTAAGCGGCGATGTGCAGCTAGTCTCCTGGCTGTGATCCCGCTCAATGTCGCACGAACCCTCTTCGGCGTTCCGCCGCCCTCCAGCAGTGATCGTACCTGCAGCGCCGCCACTGGGAAATCCTCCTCCAGTGAGCCGTCTCCACCGACATCACTTGATGAAGATGGTGGGGGCCGTCCGAGATCTTCATTACAGGGCAAAGGAAGTGATCTCTCATCACAGGCGTCGCCATTGCCCTCCTCTGTTACTCTAGACGGGCTAGCCAGTGAAAGTGGCGACTATCCGGCGGCTCAGCGCACGGACGACCAGAACGAGGAGTCCAATATTGACCTGGAGGAGTTATATTTCCTCGAGGCCATCGAAACAGATCTATTGGATCTACTGGCGGACGAGTACTGTAATAAGCACCTTGTGTACTCGATCATCGAGACTGTACTTGCTAGAGTGCTTCCTGAGCTGACTGAGCGCAGCGTCGAAGATCTGATGGAGGACCGTGGGGTTGCCCTGGTTCCCGGCGGCTTCTAAGTAGAGTTATGGCTACTGCAGCACGTTTTTGTAACCTTCTTTCTTTTACATACTTTAATGGTACTTACTTAGTTAGATCTACGGATGTGGCTGTTTTAGTTTTGCGAGTATGGAAGTCAAATATAGATGTAGATAAACAGATGTTGAAACATTTGGAACTGGGGGTATACTAACAATGGAAGATATAATGTGTCAGGATCTCCTTCATCGACCGGGAAAGATACTCAATATCTATGCCTGGTGTCATGAATGAGGTAAATGCAGTAAAAGCAAAGAAAATAAGTAGAGAAAACAGAAGGTAGGGGGACTAATCTGACAAGAAAGATTCAGCTGGAAACTTGTGTATATGAAAGATGCCAGTGAATTATGTTCTTTCCGCGTGAGCGGCCCGATTTAGGAATGAGAGCAAGAAACGATAGAAAAGGTATAAGGAAAGAAAGTGACCTTGAACGAGAGTAAGAAATAAAGAGGTATGACAGTGGGGAGAAGGGGGAAGAAGATGGCCGTGATCAGAACAAACTCACTCTGTGGAGGTGAATATGTTAAAAGAAAGGGAAGGGCATTGCATCGATACAAGCAAATGAGAAGCAAAAGAGAAGCGCAAATCAACTCCAAGTAAACGAAATCCAAATCCAAGACCCGTGTCATATCACCCCCAAGATCCATGATCCATATTCCCATGTGTGATGTCTCGTGTCCCATGAATCCCATGAAGTAATGGACACAGTCCGTCGTCCGAGGTGTATGCGAATTATACCAGCGCCCAAAGAGAATCAGGAAGAAATAGTAAAGAAAAGAAGTAAAAAACCCAAACCCCAAGTCAAAGCAAGGTCGAGGTCGCCCTCTGGTTGTGTGTATGATGATAGCTACCTGTTGATTTTTTGGATAGTTGCGCCGAGAGGAGCCGAGAATTGGCGCTGGAACGAATAAACAGTTGAACTGGGAACAAAAGATACAATGACCAAAGCAGGCTTGGTTCGTGGAGAAAGACAAAAATGCAAATCAGAAAGCTAGATAACGCAGCCGCCCAGGAAAAACGAAATGGCGTAGAACATCGAGATAGAGGGGAATCACAGAATGAAGATATGAAAGAAAACCGGAAACAGAAACAGGGTGCTACAAATAAAAGCAGAGGGCGTGAGCCGAGCTGAGATGAGAATATATAGGGCAAAGGTGGAACGACGGATTTGACCATCCAGGAGGCTTAGCCCCTGGATAGATCACGCAATGTTTTGGATGCTCCGTTTCTTGCTGACACGAGGAACGTCATCGTGCTCATCAATCCTCGTCAACCCACCTAGGAGGGGACCATGTTGGTTCTTCGTCAGCTCAAGGCGCTCCATCAACTTGCCGATGGTCACATATTCCAGGGCAGCAAGCCCAGTAGGCTGGCTTTGGAAGTAATCTATGATAACCTCCAATGCACGTCTTGCCTCGTCCTGCGTTGGGGAGCTAGTTGCATTGATTGGAGACACAGTACTAGACTTGGAGATGCTAGGTGGCGGCTGCATCGATTCAGTCTTAATATCCGGGTCGCTGCGGTTGCGCTTGATCATCTTGATTGGATCGGTTCCCTTGATCGCCATGTGAGATTCGTGATCGTCCATTTCCAATGGTGACTCGAGGATAGTCACACCCATTTGTTGGTCGGTCTTCGCGCACTGCGAGTCGTCGGCGGACAAGAGGCTGGGGTCAATCGGGACCAGGGGGAATGTTTGGCTGCGGGGACGGTTCATGTTGGGCCCGGCGGTTGGGAGGCGATGTTGGCTTGTTGGAGTGAAGGGGCTGTCGGACACTAGTGTAGAGGTAGGACTAGTCATCCCAACTGAATAGGAGGTGGTATCCAACGCAGTGGCGCTTGTTGAATAACCATGTTGACAGCCACCTGCCAACTCGGGAACCTCATCAGTTCCCTCCTGCTTCATGCCCTCGTGACTATGTGTAGGAGAAAGGGGCGAGCCAAAGCCATTAGGGGATACAGTCGAGCGTCCACTCGGGCTGTGAACGGTCGATTCGTTGGCCGAATCGGTATTAATGCGGGTTGGACTGTTCGAGTTGCTGCGCACGCCCTTGCGACCTCCAGAGCCCTTTCGGGACTTTGCGACGGGCAATGTATTCTCCTGCTTGAATTTCTCCAACCAGCTTGCGGACAGCACTTTCTCCTTGCTCTCAGGACACCCACAGGTGCTTGCGAAAAAGCGCACTTTCTCCTTGATATTTTGATCATTGAGAGTGTGGCCCGAGAGTTGGTAATTTCTTGCCCAGTTTGATAGCGCCTTCTCGACATCAGGGACTCTGCCCTTGGCCCGTTTGATGGGTGACCGACTCCCATCATCGCGGTTGAGATATTTCTCTTTCTGGCGGAGAACCTTGGAAACAGTGCTATGATTGATGTTAGGGCTGAGAACGGCATAATCTTTAACAAAGCATCTCGATAATTACCTTCTTTCCACTCCAAATAGTGCTAAATAATCTTATTGTCAGCGTGTATTCCTTCGAATGTATAGAAATGCTATATTTCCAATCTTACCTCCAATATCAGTTTGTTTGGCCTGTTTATTTTCCTCATGGTATAAACACATCTGTCGTCGATCTTCATCGGTAAGCGTCCTCCGCGGCGTTGCACCCCCCGTGGATGTCTTCCGAGTCGGGGGCATTGGCGCAGAGGGTGAAACTGAGGCTGGAACCGAGACTGGAGGCAATCCCGACTCGTGGAAGGCAGATTGGTGCGTAAGCATGCTGGGCCAGGCATGCGAAGGCATTGGGAGAGGCATCGAGGCATAGGGCGGTGGTATAGACATGCCATAGGTAGCGTCGACAGCCATTAGCGGTGCAGCGCCATAGTCAAACCCGCTATATTCCGGCATCGGCGGCGAGTGTTGGGGGAAGTAAAGCTGCCGAGATCGACCCAGGGAGAATGCACAAATTCGCTATCTGGCGCCGTGTGTGTTTCTATTTCCATGGCGGATGAGGCGCCCTCCATGGACTGCGACGATCAGGATGATTCGAATGATCGTGACGCCGATGGGCGTCGCACGAGTCGGGTAGAAATGCTGGATCAAAGGAGATAAAGGAACCGTCCGGGGGAGGAACAATGAGACGGGGTTTCAGAGGTAAGACAATGGAGAATAAAGCATGTTCCACCAATCCACCACGGTGAACCGTAAGCTTGTATAGCAGGCAAGGGTTCAGGGGAGGAGATATTTGCCGCCCAGACAGAAAGTCTGCAGTTGGTTTATCTGGACAGAAAAGGATGCTAGTATGGATGACTAGCAACAGTAACAGTCTAATAGGGGATACCGAGATATGGAGATCGAGAGAGGTGGTGAGATGGAGGTCAAGTATACAAGTATGCATAAGCCCCGAAGGTGGAAAGAAGAGTCGGAGGAGTGCGTGGTGTGCGGGTAAGGCAATGGACGGAGTTAAAAGGAAAATCAGGGCCAGCGAGGAACGGCGATCAATAATCGTGTGGATTGACAGAAACGAGTTGAATCTCGATTGCAACTGGCACGAGAAAGGCACACAGTCCGGAGAAATGCCATAAATCCATGATAACCTTCTGCCCCCGAGACGAATACAGCCGATCCCCATGGTGATTGGCCTGGTCATTCGAAAAGCCATCCGAGAAGAAATATTAGCCAGGAAAAAAAAGAAAAAAAAAATTCATTACGGAAAATCATTTTAATGATGGTCCAGTATTTGACTGCACCGTGAGAAAAAAAGAAAATCAAATAAAACACCCCTGTGCCTGTAGAAGGGAATAATGGCGTCTGGTTGGTCCGGTGTGCGATATATTGAGTTGCAGGAGTTGCATCTCGTCAGGCCCATTTTTCGTTGCTGGTTCGAGTATTACCAGGACGCGGTTTCGTATGGAAAGTCTTCTCTTTAAGGGCAAACGCGGGATGTCCGGGCATCAGCGTTGGTCTTTTTCATTGCTGATTTCTGATACTACCATACCAAGTACGGGTGTATACTCATGGAGGCCTCTCCATTCTTGCTACTGGTCTTGTTTTGTTATGATCATAATTAGTCCCACTATTATATAGCATTAATGTGAGGGATATTCGAATGACCAGAGTGTGTAATTTTTTTTCTTTCCCTATCCTGGTCCTCGTTCCTGCTGCGGACTATCGGTGGCCCGAGTTGACCGGGTTCTGAACGGGCTTTGGGTATAGACAGCAAAGAACTAAATACTACGATCTCTTTTTGGGTACCCAATGTATTATATCTTAGACGTAACTCTCAATTAACTACCTACCCCATGGAGATGGTAGGTTCCGATCCCCCAAGTTCTAATGTTCTATAGATGAGGGGCTTGTGACAGGGCCTCCTGCTCCCCGCCGGCGTGTCCGTGGTTCAGCGTATTTTTACTTGCCGTTTTTGAACTATATCTAATGCCCTATTTATCTGCCATACCGCTCCTCGGATCCGTTTTCATGTCTGTCAGATCCTTCAGCATGACTGGCCGTACTCGGCAGAGTCCTTCTCTGCACCAATTCCACACAAAACCATCGGGGCAAAGCAGATCACCCGCGGGAACCAGAGAAAGGCTCACTCGAGGGGCCAAGAATCGTGATGATTTGCTGGGGCCCGCATAGCGGACTGATACACTTCTGAATCTAACGCCCGCATGACATTCGTGTAGGCCGGGACGATCAAGCGGACCAGGCAAGGTCCGTACACGCTCCTGCTAGAGGATAGAAACGGATAAGGCGATTGCGGCGGTGCTGAATCTCGACTATCGCCTCATCAGACTATCGTTTCGTCCCGTCCCTTTTTGGGATGAGGGTCTTAACGGTCGGTTTACCAAAGCGACCAAGGAGAACATGGAAACCAGCTTCTGGGCCATCTCATGTGATGTCTCTAAGGGCACGGAGCACCGATTCGGTTGAAGTACGGAGTAGTGAGAAATAGTAGGCATAGAAAGTTGCGAATAGGAAGCCTGAAGCTGCGATCTCTGGCCTGACTGGATAGGTTAGCCTTCGTTCTCCTCTCACCCCATCCAGCCAGAATTGGGGAGGTTGGGGAGGGACTGGCGGGTGGCATTCGGGGGTCAAGAGGAAGGGAAGAACACATCCCCAGATTGGATGGACGCCGCCCATAGTCCATAGCCCATGAACTGGCCATAGTCAGCCCATACCCAGCTCAGTGCAAGACCGAGGACCAAGGGCAAGACCGACACCAAAGGGACTATTGCCGGATTGGGCCACTATGGATCTCTGAAGGACGTGCCGATCTCCCTCGTCTCTCCAGTCAAGGTGAGAATGAGTAATTTTGTAGGGATCACGTCTCTGGTTGGTTGGCAAAATCAGGGATCTGAACGCATCAAACATCCATGAAAGATGACACGGCAAATAGGCAGATGAGGAGCAGCATGGATCCTCTCCGGCTGGGCGAATCCCTCGCGGCCATTCGCCTGCGGACAATACCGCGACGATACAAGGGCCGAACAAAGACGTAGCAGCTGGCCCTATCACAGGGCAGAAGAGCGAAGGGACGAGAGAGGGGAAACTCCCCCAATGATGCGATCGGTCTGCTTTGGCGCTAACGCTCAGCCCTCGTTTGGACACTCCACTTTTGCGACCCACTGCGGTCCTCGACGGGCCGGAAACCTTCAGTAAACAAGAACGTCAAGGGCCTAGGATCCTCGACAGCTCTGCACGGATCTTCTCCACGGCCAGGCCATCCATGGTTCGAAGTGAGTCAAAAACGGTCAAAGAGACGAGGAATATAGGACAAAGTAGAAAGAAGAAAGAGGAGAAGGTGAAGATGACGACGGTGGATGACAAAAAGAGGGCAAAGTGTTCCAAAGATAGTATCCCCCTCCTAAGCCTGACCACAACAGGCCTGGGTGCTTCCTGGAGGTTGCTTAGGTGCTTATCCAGGCCAGGGTTATCGTTTACGATGGCTAACTCCGTCACAAATACGGTTGGACACGATTCTATCGCAATCCAAAGGGAAGAATCAATCCATTTACTGGAGGTGCGGTCTGGGCCGCATTCACGATACGAGTTTACTAAATGTCTGCTGGTTAGTCTGTCTACCACGGTCTTACGTGGAGTTGTTCTCATTGGAAAGGAACTCCAAAACATCCTATCAATCATGTAGATATTCACTCCAATCATCGATTGGCAATCTTAAGGGAAAAATGCAACCCCGCTTGTTCGACAGAACCACGAGGGAGCCCAATGTCAAATCGGTCGGATTCGCTGACTCAGTGACAATTCTTTTCCGTCGGGATGGAATGTCTGATTGACAATAAACCAAGTGACAAATTTCTTGGTAAGTGCGACAGTTCCACCTAGGTTGGACAAGTTAGACGGTCATAATCATGGCCTGCCAGGGGCGCAGATTACCCGTCGCGGACGGGGCGAGCCTCTGTTTTGACCGCAACACCAATCATCATGCGCCTTGCCGTCAGTTTTTTGGCTAGTATGCGCTAGTCAAATTGTCCATGGCAGAGGAAAAAAGCAAAATTTCATGACAGAAAAGAAAACGGCTCAGTGTACAGAGTACAGTACTGTAGTTCAGGGCATATCCATACCAATCGCATCAGATCAGGCAAGAAGCGGGCTGACGCCATCCTTTTTGCGAGCCGAATCGTGCCTTGTTACTATGGATGTGATGATGAGGGGAGGAAAAATGAAAATGGCTGGATGGCGGCCGCTTGATCCAGCGCGGAGGAGAACTCTCGGCGGATCTCTGGCGCAAGCCATTGGGGTCGCTTCGTCTGTATTGCGACTGGGTTTCGCAGTGTGGTCAATTTCGGAGAAGAAGTACAAAAAAGTCTAGACTGGTCAAAATCAAAATTTCTGGTGGTCTTCTGCTCGACGTTGTAATAATTGCTTCTTTCGCTTCCCCATCGATCGACATCGTTCTGAGGATCGCAGAGGCACCCGCTGGTTGGGATTGACGATTATGGCCTGGGGTACGACCTTAAAAGGCCTTCGCCAAATCGCAATTCCCGTAAAAGTCTCAGGAACGAACTGGTCCGGGAGCACAAGGTTGCAAGTCGCCGCTCGCGGTCGTAGATAGCAGCTCAAGAGGATGAAGCGGGGGCGTCAGGGTCAAGTTCAGGTACTGATCGACACAACTTTTTCAAACTGCAATGCACTGTCCTGCGCGGACCTTACAATCTGGACTGACAAGGATTAAGATGTACGGAGTACAGAGGATGGAGTACACTGTATTCTGCATAGTACCATGGCTTTCGCCCCCCGTACAGAGGTTGAGCGTCGTCGATCGTCGTTAGTGGAGTTTGCTGGAGGGAAAACACGGCGAACTCGACGAACTAGTCCTAAGTACGCCTTAGCTATGGCTCTATCAAATTTTCCAAGCTATACTCCAAATGGGCTTCAAACTTCACGACATGGGATGAATGACATAATGGTAAGGAATCGAAGCCGAACCCTAGAATTCCGTGGCGTGCGGAGCTCAATACCCCGAGTCATGTCTATGAAATTGCACTGTGCCTGCGACTCCGGGGAAGGAAATTGCAGCGCGGCCTAATGCAATGCAATGCAACGAGGTGTGGCAGATGGATCTTCCACGAGCAGGGCCGAGGGGGTCAATTCGGAGAGGTTCCTGTCGCCAAAGCCGGGATCGGTCCCAACGCAGTCACCTGATGGAAGACTACCGAAACGAGTTCATTAGACGGTGAGAAAGCCTAGTTGACGGCTTGATAAGTTATGAACGATATTCAAGATATGGAGACTGGGGGAACCAAAAAACCGGATTGATTGATGCTTTACGGATGAGTTCTTTCCTCACCGTGTATGGAGGGTATAGAGTACATCTTTTCTGACATACATACTAACATACGGTGGGCCTTACAAGCGCACAAAATTATTGTATGTTTTTAGGCATCTTTCAGTAGTTTCCTAACATGCTAATGTTTGGTAGGCTAGTTTCCCCTTGTATACACTAACTATCCCTTCGACCATGGTCCATGTCGTCCAAGTCCATACCTCAATCCATGGCACCAACTGGATCTCCAAGAGGGTACGAATGCAGTAGCTTAGAGTAGCTTGGAGAATTCTGCCGATCTTGTCAACTTAGCATCTGAGAACGGACCAGATCGCGAACCCGTCATCTTCGTGAGTGTCCGGGCTATCGAGATCGGCGATTTGCGGGAGATGCTCCACTACGCTAACTCCTCAACACTAACTGCTCTGGAGTGCGCTAACCAACCGCACTAAGGCCTCTGCGAGGGCAAAATGAGAAAGAGGGGGAGGTATCCCAAGTACGCTAGGCTACTGGTGTCCGCGAGTCTCCGCAGCCGTGAGAACGGATGCAACCGATCGTACGGAGCAGTTACGAAGACAGTATGTGCATGTATGTACAGCGGGCACTAACCCTATCTGGAGAAGAAATTGAAATAGTCTCCTTCATCCTCAACTCTCCCCATTGGACTGTGACTTTCCAGAGACCTCACCCTCCTACCTGTTGTGGCACCTCAATCCCAGTACACCGAGGGTCACCGGGTCTTTCGGGGGTAGAGATGATCAGATAATCGTCGCGAACGCAACCAGGCATTCCATACTGATATTCTTTTCACCGCTTGTTGCGGGTGGCTCTTACCTTCCCGAATGAATCTTTTAATGGCATCACCGTTCGTTGCTCTCGAACCCTGTCTCTCAAAACGGCGTAGTTTGCCTCCTCTTCTGAGTGTTCTCGTTGAATGTAGGCATGTCAATCTCGCCGCCGCCGAACGCAGATCCTTCAGGGAAGGAAGCTCGAGAGTAGAGCTCAGCCCTCAAAGAGTCCGGACCTGCCCTACCTGAAAGGCACACAATCACATACACACTCGATGACCTTGGCCTGGGTGGTAGGGTAAGTACAGTAGCATGCCCTACTGGAGCATGGCGGGCGGGGTTCCCCTCTCCTCCCCGGCTCTACGTACTTTTGACACGGGCGATCCAAATTTTGGTACCGAGCAGGGGATAGTTGTAGGGACACGGACTGCAGGAAAACGTGCTCCTGCTCCTGCTCGGTCGACATATCATTTTTGCTTTGCGCCCCTTCCACTCAGGCCCTCAGGGCAAGCCATTGAAATAACGCCCCAGGCCTATCGGATCCCGGAAAGTCCCTCGGAGTCTTTAGCCTTAAGCTGCTGAGCTTGCGGGTATACGCATCCCCCGAATCGAGGAGTATAATCATCATCGTCATCATGATCGCCGTTGCCGAATCAACACGAGGGCCTGGCCTGGGAGGGGCCAGATGGGGCCAGAAGGGGGAGCAAGTGTACAAACCGTCATTAGCTTGTAGGTCAGTGCACTGCGGGCGGAAGGGAGGGTCGCGGTCTGACTGTTTCTGCACGCTATGCACACCATAATTGCCTTTCAAAGGAAAGGGACGGAAGTGGGGATGGAATTGGAGATCGAGCAGGGAAAGAGTCACTCCCGTTCGAGGCTATCAACTGTCACTAGCAACGTGGAGCTTTGACTAGAAGTAAATCGACCCTCCAGACCATAACTTGGCAGCAGATCGGCGAAAGGGAAACTGGTTCTGTTCCAGATTGAAGGTGGCTTGATAGGAGGGGGAGAAAATCCTCTGATGGAGGGTGGTTGCTGGTTGTCAATGCCCTAGGCTTGCCAGCCTCGTTAGAAAGTAATTCAAGCGTCGGGTCGGGGCTTGTTAACCGCAAATTCCGGCAAAAGACACCAAAGACGGCACTCGTTGGCAAGACAGAAAAAAAATCCAACTAGCAAGGATTATTGTGCGCCTGCAGCATAGCATGTACAGAAGGAGATGTCCAAGATGGAAAAAGACGCCAGGTTGGGACCGGCATCGACTCATGCGGGATAGCGAAGACATTTGGAACCGATAAGGATATGGGCCTGCATCTAGTTTAATTAGTGCTCGTACTATAGCGTGGCATTCTATATACAGGGTGTGTCATTGGCACATTTGATCTCTTCCGGGTTCTGCTAATCCATGCATGTCGCATATCGGTCGAGGTAGTGTGGCTTGCTTTTTCGACCCTGGTGGGTTGCATGCTCGAGATTAAGGTGCAAGGCGGTTGGGCGACAAAAAGGCAATTTACGAAAAAAATGGTTCATTGGGTTTGAATTTTTTTGGACGGTAGTCCACCCGGGGGTGGCAACGATAGTGAGGTAAGTCATGATACCGTACTTCTGCACCTCTAGTCCAGTTCGCTATGCTAGACCGTGATCTAGAACTTTTCTTGCCATTTTAGGATGCTCGTGAAGCGAACAAAGGGATCAACTTGCGCAATGGACAGTCAATGAGTAATGATAACGATATGGGCCGGGGGCTGCAAGGACCATAGAGAGTATCAAAAAGAAAGAGAAAGTGTGGAAAAAAAGAAAATAAGGCCTTGTATCCGCAGAGACTCATCAAAGAGGAAGAAAACATATCCATTGACCCTTCCCCCGTGCTGCCTCTGGGGGCCGATGTGCAAATTCATCGGCCCTTTCTCCAACTCGACGAGCTCCCTCGTGGATTTAGGTCACACCGCACTCGGGAGCGCAACAGGGGGAGTACAGGAGAATGAAAATCACATTAACCAAGCTGTGCATGCGCGGCCCCGAAAAGAGTTCGTTCACAGCCCAGTGATCAGTCCCTTCCTCGACAAGTCGTGTGAACTTGTCAAGGCCCCAATTTAGTGAACTTGACTGTCCGTGCGGAGAGAGCTTCTTTTGCCGTCCAACCACACTGGGATGCCGTGGCGTCGTACGGGGAGCTGTGATCCAGAACTTCCCCGTACCTGTCAGCATGGGAAGACAGAGGTTCACATAGTGCTGACTCCAACCACGGGCCATGTCCCAATGTGATTGAGATTGACTCGTCAATTCGCACGGGAGCGAAGACGGTCAGTGATAAAATCCTTTAACGCTTCACAATAGACACTATAACGAGAAAAGGTTAGCTTTCATCTCGACCTAGGGGGGCTGATTGTTGGATGGCGGGGGTAAACCGTACCAATATCCTCGTCAGCGAGCTCATGCGCAAGGCCGACTCGCTGCGGCTGGTGCTTAACAGACCGACCGTACACAATAGCATGCTTGAACTGGTCCTTGATTGTTCGGTGAATGGCATTACACTGTCACTGGTTAGCGTGGTCCAATGAACGGTTGCGGGTAGAGATATACTTACGAAGTCTTCAACGGTACATCCAGAAGCACGAAGCACAACAGGTGCTGTGTAGTCGGGAGCACGACCCTTGGGCTTGGTATAGATTCGTCGCAGGTTGAGCTTCTCCCACATCATCTCCAGAAGCTCGTCAATGTTCCAGCCGTGCTCTGAACTGATAGGGACGGCATTCGGAATCCGGTAGAGAAGATCCAGCTCCTCGATGGAAATGGCATCGATCTTGTTGAGCGCATAGACGACGGGAATATAAGCTCGGCTCTTAGCTTCCAGAACGTCAATCAAATCATCAATAGTCGCATCGCAGCGAATGGAAATATCAGCAGACGAGATCTTGTACTCGTTCATCACGGCTTTGATTTCCTGAACCAAGAAATCAGTTATGAATTCCAAAGCACCAAAAGACAAAACACTCACCTCTGGAGAGATGTTCGTCAAAGGAACGGTGCTTGTGATAGCGATGCCACCCTTGTCCTTCTTCCTAAACACAATATTGGGAGGAGACTTGTTGATACGAATACCGAAGCCCTCCAATTCGTTCTCAATGACTCGCTTATCGACCAAAGGCTTGTTCACATCGAGAACAATGAAGATCAAATGGCAAGTCTTAGCCACCGCAATGACCTGACGACCACGACCCTTGCCATCCTTTGCACCTTGGATAATACCAGGAAGATCGAGGATCTGAATCTTGGCACCGTTGTACATCACCTGTCCGGGAACGGTTGTAAGGGTCGTGAACTCGTAAGCGGCAGCTATTCGATGAGATCAGCCATTGCTCAATGTAGGTCATTCTTCAAGCTACATACCTTCCGAATGCTGGCCGGTCAACTTGCTCATCAGAGTACTCTTGCCGACGGAGGGGAAACCAATGAAACCACTGCACACTCCATAAGTATTCTGCCTTTCCGAGTGATTTTGCGTCTTTGTCGAGATTTGACTTACACACTGGCAACACCAGTACGCGCGACATCGAAACCGGCTATTATATATCGAAGTCAGAGATTAAATGGAAGTCCAGAGAGGGTTGATATTGGGAATCGCTTACCACCACCGCCACCACCACCTCCAGATGGGGTCAGCAGCTCTCGCTTGAGCTTCGCAAGCTTTGCCTTCAGTTGTCCTTCACCGATTATTAGCCCCGTCACATTTAGCTGGTCTAAGCGTCTTTGATCGTGCCGCATCCGTACCCAAATGGAAGGAGGTGTTCTTGTTCTTCTGAGTCCGAGCCATCTCGGACTCGATCTCCTTGATCTGTACCCAGCCATGCCCTCGTTAGTAACTGTCTGTGGTGCGGTTTGGTTTTGAACGAGCGGAGCCAGTCAGCGCACTAACCTTGTCAATGGTGGTCGACATTTTGGCGGTACAAATACAAGGCTGTCGTAAAAGAGTGAATATGTTCTATTTGAACGTAAAAAGGGGGATCGCAAGAGCTCAGTCGACTCCTTCGTCGTGTAGCAGGACAAAATCGCAACGAAGGCGATAAAATTGGCGGAGAAACAATCTTTGAATTGTGGCACTCTTCTTAGTCAGGCGGGGTTGTGGCCTGAGGCATCAGTCTATGTCATTGCAAGCACGATACTTCAGGCATTAAATTAAGCCTCAGGCCACAATATCCTTATCGTTTATCATGGTTCGGTTTTGGCAGGAACCAACAAGAAGGCGACCAGCCGATTCTCCAACTGTCGTTCAATTTCGCCATTCCGAAGCTTGATGGTTAATCGCGTGTGAGTTACCTTTGTGTGACATGGTGACGCTGGCACGCTTGAATCGCAACTCTTGATCTCGTCCGGAAGAAGTGCATAAAAGAGCAGCATTCCTCCCATTTCAGGGTGTGGGCATCCGAGTCCAAGTCCGATAACCGGCCTGTTCGGTTTGAGCGCCTCATCATAGGCGTTGTTGGTTGAATCGGCTCTCAACAAAGACAAAGCAATCTCATACCAGGATTTCGCCTTCACCATGCCGTTCATTCAGAACGAGTTTGATTCGCCCGTCAATTTTGAAAAGACCCCCGTGGCCTTCGAACAACTCATCGAGGACCTCAGTGCTGCTCTCGGGCCCAGCTCAGGTCTTGACTCTGACGATGTTGATCCCATGAACATCCAATTGTTGATGGAACGATACGTCTCGAACCAGACAGAATGGGGGTCATATGCTTTAAGGGATCCTAGCCGGAGCTATACGAGGAATCTAATCGACGAGGGAAATGGCAAGAGCAATCTGGTGAGTTGATCCTCGACTTCGCACCCAGATGAATCCGTATGTCTGGTAAAGTTTCTGACGGCGACATGAACTAGCTGATCCTGGTCTGGAGCCCTGGAAAGAGTAGTGCAATTCATGACCACGCAAATGCACACTGTGTGATGAAGGTATAGTCGATTCATGTAGACCTTATTTTCATAGACTCAAATGCTAAATAGATGACAGATACTCAAAGGAAAGCTCAAGGAGACGCTCTACTCCTGGCCAGACAAGAAGAAGATCGAGCGAGGGGAAACTTCCCCGCCACAGGTCACTCGGGAAACCGTCTTCGAAGAAAACCAGGTGACTTATATGTCTGATAAAGTGAGCAATCTGTCTTATATAACGATGCTTGTTAGAGTGCTAAGTGGTCGTATCAGCTCGGTCTCCACAGAATTTCCAATCCTGACCCAGACGACTTTGCCATTTCACTACATCGTAAGTGAGCCAGAGTGTTAGATGGAGGGGCTCGCCTCTCGAGTAATTTTCATCTGCGTTATGACTTTATGTTGACTCTTCCACAGTCTACACCCCCCCTAATGCTGCTAGCTACGGCTTCTCTCTCTTTGATGAAAAGACTGGGAAGTCAGTTCACATCAAGCAAACCAATTTCTACTCTGTCCGTGGTAAACGTCTGGATGACGGACATGAGTGAAACAGTTACACCAATGAAGAAGATTGTGGCTCGGCCAACCCAGTCGACCTGAGAATACATCCCGCTACTCATACCTAAGCTCTTCCTGGCATCATTACATTTTCTTTCACCATGGTTCAAGGCAGCATTCTGTATAGAGAAGCCCTTTGTGCACTCATTGCTTTGGGTGTCTTGCGTTTGTCAATGTTCCCATTTTCTTTCGTTTTCGGGTTCCTCGTCTTTAATGGACAGCGCATCGCCATCGCTATTTTTAATGACCGAATGACAATTATGCATTAAGCCTATCTTCCCTGTAATCTCTACCGCAGCTTTGTAAACTTGTATGTTGACAGATCTTTCATTTCGTCCTGGCTCCTGGAATGTTATGAAAATTGATATTATCGGTTTTTGGACTGTCCGCAGGATAGATTCTGCAAATGAAACAGCTTGGATAGAAGAGGTTTTTGTTCTGATGCTCCATGGTAAATTTAATCACACAATGACCCAAAAGGTTTTGAGTTTGAGCAGGGCACTTTTAGACATAGGTTTGCAAGCGCCTAGATCACTTTACATAAGACCGATGTGTTTAGCCCCACACTGTCAGTATCCGTTCAACGGCCTTCCTAAATGGGAAAAGGTTGAGTTATCAATAAGTATCCAAATTTAGGCAGAGTTCGCATCTTGCAACACTTTCATCTGGGTATCTCACACGAATATGTGGATAACGAATCCACCACGGAAAGCTAAAAATGTTTGTGAGCCAGTCGATGAACACATCCATGTCAACAACAAATGATTGAGATCTCGAGTTGTACTTTCGTGCTTGCGAAGACTTTGTCAAAGTGATCGATTTATACCAGTAACTTCAACATGAAAACAATCCATTGTCATGGAGCACCTTACGAGGTAAACCTCTTGCCTGCCTTTTCTCGTCTGAACTTACACTATGAATTGATGGTAACTTCGTACAGGTTGGGAAGGCGCATGGATTGGGGGCACAAGAAATGATTTGTCGCAGCATATCATTCTACCAGAGGATGTTTGTTCACACTTGCAAACTGGAGTGGAACGCCGTGCGCGACGTAGCCAAAGACTGGCAGTATCAGATCGAGCGAAAGTGGCCAAGGTATGGTGACGAGATACAGGGTATGTCCGACAGCATGCTGTTTGGTTGATCTTGGGCTTCCAACTGATATGTCGCTAACGTATTCAAACAAAAAAGGAATCTCAGATGGTGCTGGGCTGCCCTTCGTTGATGTTCTAATCCTAAACATCCGTACTGAGATCGCGTTTGGAATGTTCAACGATGGCTGCACAAGCCTGTATTGGAAAACCAGCCGTGATTCTTTTTTGGCTCAGAATTGGGATGTAAGCCTTGTTTGATCTTAAGTCGCTGTATTCAACTACTAAATTTCGAAAGTGGATGGAAGAGCAGAAGCAGAACCTGATCATCCTGGACATCACCAGGGACGATGGACCTCGAATCAAGATGATCACCGAAGCTGGGATGATCGGGAAGATTGGGTTGAATGAACTAGGAATTGGCGTATGCCTAAATGCCATTAAAGTGCCAGGGTGCGACCCTTCCCGTCTTCCAGTTCATCTTGCTCTTCGGTCAGTGCTAGATAGCCCGTCGGTCGACGATGCTGTCCAGCAGCTGGATGAGGTCGGAATAGCTGCCTCGGCTCATATTCTCATTGCAGACAAACGCAAAGCCATCGGATTGGAGTCGACGGCGGAGACTATCAGACTTGTTAAGATGGATAAAGAAAATCGCATCTTTCATGCAAACCACTTGTTATTGGCACATGATGGCCCTGTGGAAGCTGGCTGGCTGGCTGACTCGCCTTCTCGCCAGCAGCGAATCCAGAGACTGGCTTCAGAACTGAGCTCAGACACCGACGGAAAGCCAAATGCGACCGATATAACACGCATTTTTGATGACCATGACGGGTTTCCGCATTCGATCTGTCGTTACGAGGAAGGGCCATTGGGGATGGATGCCACACTTTTCAGCATCGTCATGGAACTTCGCGGTAGAACTGCTATGATATCCTTGGGAAGACCATGTCAACCAGACGAGACAATAGTACTAGAATTTGAATGATGAGCCCGAAACATACCTCGAAATATAGCATTCCGGCTTTTGTACATTACACTAAAAATAAAAATTTCTTACGAGGCCTTCTGCTGGAACGTCAATCAAGCACGTTGATTTGATGGTTTCAGAGACAACTCAATTAAGTCAATAAATCAGGTATACTGAAGATGTTTCACTACAGTCAAACTATAGGGATTGATGTCCTGTAGCACGGAATTGCCGTACTAGCCAGAAAGCATTATAGACTTTGGAAGTCACGAAAATATGCATTCTTTTCCAATACGTATGATAAACAGCCATAGTTATCCAGGGTGAGGATCAAGTAAGTGGAATTTTCCAGAGATAGATAGAAGACATATGAGATCTGAAGACCCAAGATGGCACTGAATCCAAGAAGAAAGGAGTGCTTTTGAGCCACATAAATTTCGAAGGCGCAAATTTCTCTCGGAGATCAACTTATTTATCCCCATACGCTGCCTGAACTTGGATCTCCACCAGTGCCTCTGGTGGGAAGAGAGCGTTGACACAAATAGCTGCCCACGCAGGCTTGTTTTTTCCGAAGTATTTTCTAGCAATTTCGGCGATCTGTAGTTGTTCTTCCCTTGACAAAACGCCAACATGGAACGATGTGACATAGAAAACTCCCTCCCACAGTTGTCGTGGGTCAGTTACATGTGGAGAGGCCGCCGCCAAAGATCTCTCAATGTTGACCATTGATTTTTCGAATTGCTCCGCATGGGTTCCCCACATTGGGTCGTGGTTGTCGGCAATTTGGCCAGAAGTAGCGACAATACGGACAGTCGCTGGAATGGAAACGGCTGCCGAGATGTTGAAAATGTTTCCCAGTTGCTCATAGCCCGGGAAGTCGGATCCAGTGACGACTGACATGTTGAGTTATGCGTGGGACGAATTGTGGAAGAGATGCTTAGAGTGTTCCAATGGTAAGGTTCAAACTGCGTGTTGGTCAATGACTTTGACCTTTTTTGTTTGTCCTTAAATAATCTCAAGGTATCTGAAGATATGAAATAAAAAGATCATTCGTGAAACTATGGTGACAGGTCTCTAGTGGTAGATCCATACTCCTTTGGGTAGGTGAATGATATCGGTGAAAGAGTGGCAATTTTGCGCCCAATCTACCTCCAAGAGACATGGCAAGAGACACAAGACTTTGCGATTTATCTTAATACAAAGCATCAAGCATGATAAACCGGACATCAACATCTTGGTTGAATGCTCGATCGTGATAGGCCGCGCGAGGCAAAAAAAGTATATCTACGGACTATTCTCAATTTGGCATATAAATGAGATACCGTATTAGGTTCGAAACCCAGCCAAGCTTTCTCCATTATACCTTTGGGTCGAAAAAAAGAATTATTAACTGGTCGGAATAAACAATGGGTGGGTTTTGGAGGACCTTTTTATGGGGTTTGAGGCACATATCTCTCAACCCTCATTGGTAGGAGTGAACCCTATCAGCAGGCAATTTGCGGGGAGATACTGGATTTCATGATATATAATGTACATAATGATCTAGATAATGGATATTTTCTCATGCCATTCCTAAAGTTCTACCCTTTGGCTGTCATCAAGACTGTTGCTTCTAGCTGAGTTGACTTGCGATCAAGATGACGGGTTCGACAACCGATTCCATGTCTAAGCCGCCAGAACAAGTTGACAGAACCTTTGACAAGGGTGAAAATATGGATTCTCCCCGGATTCATGAGCCAAATGAACTTCCTCTACAATTTTCACTTTTCTCCACTCTTGCATTCGGATTCAGCATGACAAACTCCTGGCTTGGTTACTCTGCCACTTTCATTACACCACTACTACTGGGTGGGAGCCCTACTGTATTTTTCGGTCTAATTGCTGCTTCGATTGCAAGTTGCTTCATCAGTAGGAGCACCATTTCTGGATCTCACCATAAGCACCCTTTAACTGACTCCTTTCCTAGCTGCCGGCCTGGCTGAGCTTGCCTCGGCCTACCCCTCCAGCGGCGGACAGTATCATTTTGCTTATATGGTCACCCCTCCAAAGTATCGTGCTCTAGTAGCGTTTATCCTCGGATGGCTGAGTGTAGTGGCATGGGCCCTTACCAGCGCATCTACTGCTCTAGTCTGCGGTGAGTGTTCGGTGACAGACTCCGGGAGTAAAAGGGTGTCAGGGCTTATTGATATCCGCTCGCAGCTCAGATGGCCGGAAATCTGGCTGGAATTTACCACCCCCACTACGTTGCAGAGGCCTGGCAGACATGGATGATCTACTGTTTGTTGGTAATGATCGCAACAGCAATTGTCTGTTACCTGCCAATGGCCCTCCCTCGAGGAGAAATGGTGATGTTTGTCAGCAGCTTTCTGGGATTTGCCGTTAGCTTTGTCACTGTTTTGGCCATGCGGGCGAATGGCCAATCAGCAAAAGCAGTGTTCATTGACTATGACAACACCAGTGGTTGGAGCGACGGTACCTCCTTTATAATCGGGCTTGGGACCTGTATGTATGCGTATCTGGCCATCGACGGAGCTTGTCATATTGCAGAGGTAATGAACTCTCAATCGCAGCGTTCTCTCATGCGGTTGCTTACCCAAGATTAAAAGGAACTTCCCAATCCCAGTCGCGATGTCCCTCGTGCTATGGGGCTTACCATGCTGATCGGGATATTGACGGTCATCCCTTGGACAGTTGCATTCCTCTTCTCCATTACAGACACAGATGCTGTAGCCTCCTCTTCAATCCCGGTATATACAATCTATTTACAAGCCACGCGAAGTCAACCTGCTGCGACAGTTCTCACTATATGGATCCTTTTTGTTTACTTCGGTGCCTTGATCTCATGCATCGTGACGACCGGACGACTAGCATATGCTTTTGCCCGAGATGAAGGACTACCATGCTCCGAATACTTCGTCAAGATTCATCCCACATATAAATCCCCCGTCTATGCGACAATGGCCTGTGCTGTGGTGATAATAATTTATGGATTAATATACATTGGATCTGCAGCGGCTTTCAATAGCTTCATTTCCATGTCCATTTTATCACTCAACTTGACTTATGCTCTACCTCAGGGAATTCTTTTAGCCCGAAGGCGAGATCGTGTCCTACCAAAGCGGTCCTTCACTTTGGGTAGGCGGATTGGACCAATCTGCAACGCATTCTCGATTCTATGGGTTCTCTTTATCACCATTATCTTTTGCTTTCCAACCTCCATTCCGACTACTGCCGCCAGTATGAATTATGTCAGCGTCATCATAGTTGGTATCTCGTTCTTGATCCTCTTATCTTGGTGGGGAGGTAAAAGAAAAACATTCTCCGGACCGGTAGGACTTCCTTGTCTGGTTACCCAGAGCCTCATTTTACTTTCTATTTTGAGATTTTGTAATGCTAATTTCATTAGACAATTGAGATACGAGGGTTCGAGGTGGTGCTACGGGATCATGATCTGCCCTCGGGCATATCACCTATAAGGGATAATTAGAGCGATGGCCTAGATAAAAGCAGATTTCTCTAGCTTAAGTAGGCAGCTGGTAATGGTTCAACTGTGCAAGATTATATGTATCCCAATGTTGAAGTCACCCATCCACATCTTTCTTTTCGTAGAAAAACACAATTTATAGTGTAGTATGATACTCCCCTTTTGGGAGTTTTTCAACGGGTCTTTCAACGGGTCTTCCTAAACCTCATTCTATATAGCTTTTTGACGATTATAATAAGTAACATCTACTCGGTAGTATAATCATATCATTGAGCTAAGGAAGAAGGAAGTGCTAATTTAGACATTATACGAACCTGACAATACAGCCTGACTCGCAAATATTGTATTAACCAACAAATCTTGTCCCTAACACTCTCTCGCTGCTAGCTATCCAAATCCACCGCTATTTGCTAGTTCCCTTCGTTACTAATCTCAAATCATGCTGTTAACCCAGCAGCGAGAGAAATAAAGGGTTAAAGAGGGACTAAGTGGAAGAATCGTTGATTTCTTTGGTCGTTTTGAAGTAGCCTAAGTTGCCTAGATAGGAAATATAGGCCTAGGATCAGAGAATAAACCACGAAGGCATGGCGGTCAGATTGATACCTTGGAAATCAGCCTCCGTAAAGCAGAATATGGCTTTCGATCTATCAAAATGGCCCATACGAAGTTTTTAAGCCTCTCAAGTGGTCTGGGGAGTCATTGACAAGCATAGACTTACTGGGATTGTATGATACTCCGCTTGGCACTCGTTCACCACCCTTTGAAATTTCTCACTTACCCTTGTATATGACAGCCACATGGCATCTTTCGCGATTCAGCCTCATTGTATCATCGTTTTTGTTTAGCATTATCGCTTCTTGCCTCTCTTAGCCTATCTCAGATCCACTCTCTACGTACGTCCACAGTGGACCACCTCATTTAATTACCGTATTTGGTTAAGATCGGCGCTAAGTCCACAAGAGGTCATTCTGGACTTATCAGTTTTCTGATTAGGCTGCTGAAGCCGACACAGAATGATCATCCTCTGAAAGATCCAACCAAGAAATATTTGATATGTCTAGAATTACCTAAAATAGTCATAATGTGATTCCAGATTGGGTGAGTGTTTCCTACTCGTTCGACCATCACGTTGTTGGCTCATTTTGCCTCACGTAATGTAACTGGCAGAAATCAGGCGATTAGAAAGGAGTCCGATTGAGCCCGTTTGGCCTTTCTGAACTCAGCCAAGTTTAATCATAGTTATAAAGAGGGTATTAAAATCACCTATGAACTACCTCGAATATCCGGCAAAATTTCAAAATCAAGTCGTCGCCAAGTACCTCAACAAAATGGAACCTCACCTGTACTACGCCATCGCCATGCTCGGTACAATAGCAGCGATTTTCAAGTTCTTCTTATATCCTGCATTTTTCTCTCCCCTCGCGAAAATTCCCAATGCGCACTGGTCTTGCAGTTTCAGTTCTATCTGGATTTTTTGGATGAGATGGACCAAGCAGGAGAACAGTCGAGTATACGAGCTTCATATGGCCAAGGGCGCTACTATTCGATTGGTTCCAAGTCTCATTAGTGTGAACTCCTATGAGGACGGACTAAAGAAAATATATCACGGAGGTTTCCCTAAACCAGAGTTTTATTTCAACGGGTTTGCTGTATACGGGTATGAACACTTTGAGCGGGCCACAGAGAGATGACGCTAGCTAATTTCGCCAATAGTACCGACAATCTATTTACTATCAAGGATAACCAAACTCATGCTGCGCAGAAAAAAGCACTGTCAAGCCGCTTCACAAAATCCTTTGTCATGTCATCTCAGACTGCCCGCGGCGCATCGCGAGACATTTTGTTCAATCGCGTCCTTCCCTTACTTTACAAAGCATCCACTAAGGACAAGCCTATCGAGGTGATGGATCTCACTTACGCCTATCTCCTAGACACTTTTGTCCAGTGGCAGTTTGGAAGGTCGCTGGCCAGCAACACGGTTGAAGACGAGAAAGAAAGACGGTTTTACTTTGATGGGTTTCTTGGTGTGGCTGAATACACCTTTTGGCAGTACCACTTCCCTCGTCTGGTTACCATGTTCCATAAAATCGGGGTTCATTTGATTCCTAAAAGTGTCCTATCGGCATTTGAAGGAGTCGAGAACTGGAATCTGGAGAAATGCGATCAAGCCCAACAACATTTAGCTAGTGGAAAGCAGTTGTCAGTGGATGATCAGCCGGTCGCATTCGAACCAGTACTCAAGGGGATGAGTGAGGTCAACGCAAAGCCCAAAATGTACCCACAGCGACTTCGATTGGCAAGCGACATGTTCTCGTTGAATTCTGGAGCATTTGAGACCAGCGGAAATACCTCAACCTATCTGCTCTACGAGTTGAGTCGCCACCCAGAATGGCAGGCCAGACTTCGTGAAGAACTGCTTGGTCTCAACCCGCCTTTGAAGCACGTACCTGGGAAGCTACTTGAAGTCAGTGACATCACAAACCCTCAGGATATCGATAAATTACCGATACTTCATGCTGTTTTAATGGAAACTCTTCGACTTTGGCCCTCGGTGCCAGGTGGCCAGCCCCGGGTAGTGCCTCGGCCTTGTACTCTGGGTAGCTATCACGATATCCCTGCTGGAACCACTGTGCAATCATATGCGTCTGTTCTTCACCGAATGCCTGATATATTTCCGGAACCAATGGAATGGAAGCCAGAAAGATGGATCGATTCATCGCCGGAGCAGTTAGCTCTCATGAAAAAATGGTTCTGGGGATTTGGGAGTGGCGGAAGAATGTGTCTTGGAATCCACTTTGCGTATTATTGTGAGTTTTCTGGCACTGTATCAAACTGAACTATGCTAACGGAGATATTAGCAATCAAGTTCTTCTTTGCAAGTGTTTATTCCAATTTTACTACCACCATTTACGACCATGGAGATATGGAAGCAAGCGATGGTTATCTCGCAGGCCCAAAGGGTCATCGTCTGGAACTGAAATTTCACCTTTTAGAGTGATCCACGTCGTATGGGGGGAAATATTTGACTGTTGGTATTTTAGAGATATATGATGTATCATTTTTTTTCCTACCTGCATCTTCTATAGAGGGCAAGATACTAGGTTATAGGTTGCCTCTGCAACCAAATTTGGATCAAGATTTCCATGAGAGCCCACAAGGAGACAAAAACTAGATGATGAATTTTCGTCCTACCTACATTTGACTAATTTTGAATTGAAATCCAGTATGATCCCTGCTATATTGTTTGAAATAATCCAAGACAGTGATGTGCTCCAGTTTCAAGTACTGTCAGACCTAATTCCATTGTTTTCAAAAATTTGGGTCTCCTAATTCACTCGTGGTCTTTCCGACACTCGAATTACGCAGCACATATTAATCTATTCAATTCCACCCTCCACCGTGAAGCCTCCAATCCGTCCCTCTTTGAATTCCTCGACCATCTGCTCAAATGTACACCATTCCACACCATAATGCGAATTGATATACTCAATGAGCCTCTCATGAAGTAGAATAACCTGAGGCTTCCCACTAACCTGAGGGTGAATCGATATCGGGAACACAAATGTATCGTACTCTTTATAGAGATAATCAAACTGTGCTTTCCAAAGTCGTTCAATGACATCTGGATCCACGTATCCGTGGGATGGGCCCTCTGTAAGTTGAAACGGTGGCCAGTCATCCAAATGCCAGTTTGCAGGCACTTCAACAATCTTGCTTGGCTTGAGCTTCCCCATGGGCTTCATCCACTGCTCGGCGGGTTTTGAGAGGTCAGTGGCTACCAGTTCACCTGAGTTGTACGGGACATAATAGAGCTGGGAATCGTGATGCATGAACGAGTGGTCATATTCCTGATTGATAAATTAAAATTCCAATTCGAATGTCAGTGGAATTTTCACAGACTAGCTTACCAGGCCGAATTCTTCGAGCAATTGAATAGTGCGGCTTGATGTTCTCCACGACGGTGCAGTCCATCCTTTAGGATGTTTTCCAGTGAGTGCAGTCACCACGTCGATTGATTTTGCAAGCACATCACGCTCTTGCTGTTTAGTTAACATGTCGACATGTTCGTGAGTATATCCGTGCAGACCACTAAATATTGACAGTTCATGGTTAACATGATCAATCGCAGCCCACAAAATTCATAGCTAGTGGGAGAAATACTTACATCTCATGTCCGGCATCGCGAATCTTTATCATTTGACCCGGAAAAGACTCAAGTGAGTGAGCAGGGATAAACCATGAGGTCTTGATGTTGTATTTCTCCTACAATTTCAAAAGCCGGTCAATTCCCACTGTGGCGCCAAAGATGCCACGCGATATATCGGTGAGGTCGGGTATGTGGCCGTCTTCGGTATTGATCCTTACTCATTTTCAGCTTCATGTCCTGGTTGAAAGGGGAAATTCAGTCATACCACCCACTCACTGCATCCACGTCGATGCCGTATCCTACAAGCACGCGCTTTACCATGATGTCGAGTCGAGTGGGCTGCCAGACCAATTTCAACAAAGAAAAAAAAAAACCAAGGCAGATGAACTCGTAGACAGGGACCCCTCATGATCAATTAAGCTCGAGTAGGTAATCAAAAGAGCAATATATCCTCTGGACTCTCATTGGTCAGCTCAATGACCTTCCTAAAATGGACAAAGGATAAGAAACCTCGTGCCCTCGGGTACACCTACAAGGGTGCTCCTGCAAATCAGAATCACGTTCGGAGGTCTTTCATACGTACAAGATAACAAATGAAGTAAAAACGGACACCTAGCACATCAAGTAGCATAATTCACTTCCTCCGACGTATTGTTGATCACGTTATATTCCACGCATTGCATAAATTAGCTAACCGACGGGAGTTCCCCATAATTGTACGGAATGTGGGGAAACGGCGAATTGGCGTTCTCAAGACTCTTGTTGATAGGAAATGCCAGGCCGACCTTCTGAATTGCCCTGAGAGTATCAGTCGGGCCTATGAACCTTGCTTATGGACCTGGATGTAGATTTTGAATTTATTTTTGATAGGTCTGTGTGATGAAATACAATTTCCACAAGATAAATAATATCATCTCGAATAATCAGAATGTGAAGCGTTCAAGAGTTTTAAATCAGTCCCGACGATAGCGATATTGCGGCGCTGGTTCTTCCCCGCTCTTCACCGCGAGATAACCCCAGCGCCACTAGGTATTAGTGATTTCGATTCCGATGCCTTCGACTTGGATTCTTCTTCACTTCTGCTATGGCGAACGAGCGATATTTTGGTAGGGCATGCAAAACATGTCGTCGCCGGGGACGAGGATGCGACCGGCGCATGCCTTCATGCAACACCTGCGAGGCTAGTGGCCAGACCTGCGAGGGTTATCAGCTACAGTGGCCAGGCTTAGCAAGCCGCGGCCAATTGGTGGGCAAAAGCATACCTGTAGCAGAGACGACAAAGCGTCGACTGTTCCAAGTCCACCTCCGCCTACCCTTCCACAATCGCCTCAAAACCCTGCCAACGATAATGATCAGCCTGAGCTCCAAGGCGACCAATTCGAGGATCTGCTTGACCCTATTCAACTCTTCGTGGATATTGCCGATCTAGAGACACCATCAGATCCCTTGATATGGTCCAACGATGTTGCTTTGATCGATAACCATGCCGAGGACATTGTTGAGCATCAACTGAATTCCGTTCCCGAGTCTTTCTCGGAGGACCATTCTGAGAGGCTCGGAGGGTCGTTGGGGCTGCACCATATACTGGGCCCAAGTCTTGATCTTTTGGGGATCCCCGATGAACTCAAATTTATTATGCAGTACCGTTAGTTCTGAGCATTCATTCCACGCAAGGTCAAACCGCTAACTATGGATTTCAGATATCTGTGAAGTGGTGCCAAAGTTATGCGTGGACAACCTATCTCCTCAGAACCCGTATCGCGATTATATCCTGCCTCTCGCCAACGAGGTTCCATCATTACTTTACGCAAGTGCGGCGTTGGCAGCATGTCATTTCAACGTACGCCTCTCCACCAATCAATTCGAGCGCGAGTTTTTCCGTTTCAAGGGCAAAGCTATGAAACGATTGCAAGAGGATCTATATTCCCAAACAAGAGCAAAACATCCGGGAACACTTGCCACGATCCTCATGCTTTGCTTGTGTGATCTTTGTCATGGAGGAAACTCGGACTTCCAATCGCATTTTCAGGGAGCCAAAAGACTCATTGAACTACGTCAGGAACGAACAATCAGTTGCTTTGTGGAACAGTATCTAGCATGGTAGGCTCATCCACCCTATTCTTATGACTTCGACTAACGAGTAATACCTACTTCAGGCTTGATGTCATGGCAGCTGCTTCCCATTCGAGACCCACAGTATTTTCGTCAGAAGAGATCAACACCATTTTGGGGGAATCGCAAGATCGCTGGGGCTTCGATACAATACCTTGCCCTTCGGATCAATTCCAAATTATTTGCGAAATTGTCACGTTATACAAAAGCCAACTGGATCCCGACAACCCTTCCATTCAGACTCTGAATCAAGTCCAGGATATCAAGCAACGGCTATTACGACGCCCAACTCATTGCGATAAAGGCCCAAACTGGCTTCATATGACTGAAGCGTATCGATTTGCCATTATTCTTTACCTGCTACGATTATTCTCTCGTGACATTGATGAGTTTGAGCTGTATTGGCTGGTTAGCAGTGTGCTTTATCATGCGAGAGCTACACCGCCAGCATCGGGATGGTCAGACCAGTTACTATGGCCCTTATTCCACGCTGGCCTGGAATTGAAAGATGCCAGACGTCAAGAGTGGGTTCGGGAACGAGCGAGGTGTATGCAGAGCTCTGGGAGATTCGGTAATGTACAAAGCGCACTTGTTTACTTGAGGGTGCTTGGAAGGGACAGCGACCAGTGAAGTATATTGACCTGATGCTAGGACGTGGAAGTGGGACTGTACTCCTAATTTGACGTCTTGAAATTTTGTACATTACTCAATATTAACAGAATTGTGTCAAAACTACAGCTTTGCATGCTGGATACATGCCTTGTGGTTCTCAACCATATCCCTTGCACATCGTAGACCAATCAAGTATGCATTTATCTGCGTGTGATTGCTGGTACAGCAAGTAAGTGAATGTGACATGCAAAGAATTCAACTCGGATAGCTTACCAAGTTAGAATAGGACAAACGCTCAAATCAGCCACGCGGAGATTTTTCATTCCCTTGACTCTGAACCTAGAGTCGACCACAGCATCGGGATCACTAGTCTTACCCATACGACAGGTAGACATGCTGTGGTAACCTTGGTCCAAATTTTTGCGAATAAAGTCCAACATCACCTCGTCCCTGATCGCGTCAAGATCCGCCGTTCCAAATTCAATGTCCGGACCATGGACCATTCGCTCAATAGTACCTTGATAGGCCTTGGTGCGAGCAATCTTCAACGCCATGCGAACAGTTTCGATAGCAATTCGCCGATCGAACGGATGATCCATGAAGTTTGGGTTCACAATCAACTGGTCTCGTGGGTTTTTGGAGCGAATCAAGACTGCCCCCTTTGAAAGATTGTTCTGCAGCAAGAGCTCGTGGGTCATGTAGCTCTCGCTTGGTCGATTATCCTGAAAGACTGATGGCCCTAATCCGAGCCAAATCTCAGCAGATGGCCTGGTGAGCTCCATCAAGAAGCTTCTCTCCTTGGCGCTGAGATCCGAGAATTCTTTTGACTCAAATAGGCGTTGAATTCTGGGGAATGTCAAGGTACCACTAGATCCAAACATAGCGAGAGGTCCGGTGTGATCCTTTGCGTATCGTTCCTCGGCTTTCGCAAGCGATACAGGGTCGAGAAACAGTTGGTTGTGGGCGGGAATTGAATTTCTCACTTTGTACTCGCATGTTATGATTGAGTGGTCGAGCATGTTTTGGCCACATCCTATAGTAAGTTAAAGGGAGTCAACAGTATGTAGACAATCTTGTTTCAATCCTCAAAATCGGCAACGCACCTGGCAAGTCAACGTGTACGGGAATTTTGAGACGCTCCAAGGTATCTCCGGGCCCAAGACCGGACAACATGAGAATTCTAGGAGATCCAAACGTACCAGCACAGAGAACAGTCTGCTCACGACAGTAAACATGTACTTTCCCATGTTAGTACATGATCTATGAAGACGATTTTGGAAACTCACCTTTTGCCCCATTCAGTCTGTCATACAAGTCTACCCCAGTGACAACTCCATATCTGGAGTGAACTCGGTCGCACTCTGTGTTTGTCACGATGGTTAAATTCTTGAGCGATACCCGAGCGGAATCTCTCAGAAAAGCGTTCGCTGCATAGGATCTCTCTCCATTCCGATCGTTAAATTGGGCCAGTCCGACCCCCACTGGGTTTCCCGAATTGATATCTGGGCACAATGGAATCCCAGTCTCCAAGCACGCGTGGACAAACGTTTTGATCCCAGGGACCATTTCGTCCCCAAACCCGATCTTCAGTGGCCTGAAGTGATTCTATCAGCACATCTTCAACAAAGAAAGAGATACTTTACAGGCTTACCCAGAGGCTCCGTGGTCTTCAGGTCGTGGATCGGCAAATTTTGCGAGGTACTCAGGCAAATTCGGGTCGAAATCCTCAAGCTGTCCTCTGTCAATACAGTTCACCAGCAAGCTATCTAACGACTACAGACCTGTTTCATCAGAGGTAAGATGTTTCTCCACTTCCACCCATCATCACCAACAATCTTGGCCCACTCATCATAATCAGCCGCCGGGCCTCGAGCAAGCGCCATATAGTTCACAGCCCTAAACTGAAGTGTTAATTTCACCGCGATTTTCTATCGATCAAGAGTTACTCACGAACTCCCTCCAAGCTGCTTCCCTCTGAGGAATACCAGCTTCCTGGCATTCAATTGTGGCTGCGGTATGGTTTCCAATTCCCACAGTCCCTCTTTGTCCTCATGTAGTTGCTTGACATATTTGCCTGGCACTAGAACATCGGGTGTAAGACCTGAATCTCTGCCCGCTTCAATTAAAAGAACAGAGACATTTGGAATCGTAGCAAGCGCTGCTGCAATGACACATCCAGAGGTACCTCCACCACACACGATGTAATCGAATGTTTGGCCGGAAATGGCTGTGGCGTTTAAGGTTTGGCTGGGCTGCATTTGAGACAAGTGTGACTTGACGTTACTATGAAATTTGGCGAAACATCCAATTGAGCCAAAGGTACTGAATATTTAAGGAGAATTATCGAGCGCTTTCAAGGTGGGTAGATGCCTCACGGATCTACTCTCGTATCTCAGTGGGTGTCCGAAATAGGAAGTTCGATGAGTAGTAAGCGTTCGCTCGGTCTACAATCGAGCCTCGACTGATCAAGTCCCTCGATCTTTGACTCAAATGAGAATTCTAAAGCGCATAAAAATGAAAAAGTAAATGACAACTAGATATTTATGATATTTCGAAACTAACAACTCCGGATAGATAGAAAGCTCGAACCAGTGTCTTAAGTAGCCGTCTCTGGAGACCGTTTTACCTTCTTACGCGGATAAACAGTGCCGTAGATCAATATTATTTAGGTGTAGAAGCAAATGAATAAGATGATTTAGTCGGGAGCTCTACTGAGAAGTGCTGTTGTAAACTGGTAAAGTATTTGTATGTCTAGCTTCTATTCTATAGAAATGCATGCCATGCAAAAGGACCAAGGCATCTATATGCAAATATGCCAAATCGTAAATGAAGACATGGCAAAAAAAATATACATCAAACATAATTCACCAGCCCCAGCTTAAGTGGAAGAGCAGCTGAAGCTTGCGTTGCTGGTATCATCGTGGATAGCCGTGCCAGAGGCATAAAGACCCAGCACGCATAGCACCAGACCAAGCAGGGCAATAGCGATGTTAAGAATGGTCAGGGCAATCTTGCGCGGCGAGGCAAACCACTGGCCGGCGTTCAGGTGCAGCCAGTAAATACCGGACAGACCGTAGCTGAACCAGGAAGCGAACAGGGCACTGATGAGGGAGTTCAGGTCGCTGAAGACGGGGATGGCCTCGGCGATGATCCAGGCGACGATCCAGCAGGACACGCCAAGGGCGAGCCAGAGACCGACGGACTTCCAGTTACGCTGGTGCATCAGGTCGGACTTGGAGGTGAGGCGGAAGTAGATGTACTTCAGGCCGATGTGACCATTGACGACGCCGGCGCCGATGATGGTGGGGATGGCGATGCCGAAGGCGATCTTCTTCATGAGAGGGCCGGCGGAGATCAGGGCGGGAGACTCGACGTTGGTGCCGACGTAGTAGTAGATGACGATGGCAGCGGTCAGATAAAGACAGATCTCGAAGCCCTGCAGCATGAAGAGGGACTTCTTGAAGTCCTTGGGGGTCTCCATCTCAGCGATCAGGCCGAAGAAGGCGACGTGGGCGCAGTAGGCGAAGACGATGTTGGAGACGGCTTGGAATGCGGTGTACAGGTTGTTCTCGACGGTGGCTTCGATGATGCGGCCGGGGTGCTCCTCCACGCTGACAGAGATCATGGTGATCATGACGGCGCTGAAGATGGACAGGAAGGAGGCGAAGGAGATCCAGGTCATGCCACGCATGGTACGCGGGATGGACAGGACGAGCGAGATGAGCATGCCGACCAGACTGAAGACGATCGAGCAAGTGCCGTGGTCGGTGATGGTGTTCATCATGACACGGAAGGTCAGGATGTGACTGCCCATGACGAAGATGCAGAAGAGGAATTGACCGGCTCCGAAGAGCTCACGGCCAAAGCGGCCAAGCAGAATCTCACCGGCATCACCCAGGTTCTGGATGTGCGGGTAACGTTCACGCATCAGGCCAATGTTATAACCAGTATAAGTGGCCAGCAGACCCAGGCCAATGATCAGAATCACACCACTGGAGAAACAGATATGTTAATGATACACGTTCTCTTTGAATCCATAGATCAGGAATACTCACGGCACCAGGCCCAGCGTAGCCATTGCAGAGGGCAATGACAGGACACCCAGCGAGACAGACTCGCAAATCATAAGCAGACCACATTGCCACCACTTCAAGGTCTTGTACTTGATCTCGGCATACTCCTCGTTACCAAAAGCATCGGCCACCTCGCCATACTTGAGGCCACCCTCCTCCTCAAAGCTGGGAGCATGCTTCTGCTCGCCAATCTTGTCATTCTGATAGGCCGGAGGCTGGGGCGTCACAGACTCCATATTGACTGAAACTTGGTCGATGGCAGTTGCAATCAAAGAAAGGAATAGAAAGCACAATCGATGCAAAGTCTAGATATCTCACAGTCTTCGAAAGTCAATCACTCCACCAAAGAAGAAACAAGAACAAGAACAAGGAGGTGAGTCAAAACGAGGGGAAGCAGAAGAAATAGAGGAGTCGTGAAGGGAGAAAAACGGGGGGACTGGGGTATTCAATTAATAACAGAAATCTCGAGAGCCTGCCATTTTGAGTTTCGGTATCCCCCATTCTCCGCAGCGCCGATGTTGCCCCGTGGGAGGCAAATCTGCACCAAATCTTCACCAAATCTGCACCGAACGTCCCATGGAAGACCCGCCGAACATTCCGTGGAATTCCTTGATTGGTGCATTCCACTTCAGAGAGGAGCAGTCGGGCCGACTTTCGGATCGTGAGCCAATCAGAGGCCCGGAATGGGGACTATAACGGAGCCATGGGGTTGATGTAGGTAATGAAAAAGGTCACCCCAATGACTAACGAAGTTGCTTTCGTCGAAGCCATTGAGGTTGTGGCGTACTGCCCCAAGACTTTCCAAGCCTTCCAAGGTCTCTTCTGCCCTTGGAGATTGGTCGTATGATGCTGGAGCGGGGGAGGAGGGGCCGAGGGGAACGGGTCGTGGACTACAATGTACTCCGTACTGAGGGTCTACACGATGTCTGTCTTTGTGTGAAACCCCAACGGATCGTCGTTGGCCCTCGGAGGACCGGCCAGACTCCCCGGTATAACTATACGGATAACTCCACGAATGGTAGACTTTCCGAGTCTTCCGTTCAGAAAACTGGCAGCCTACCTGGTGCCAACCTGCGTAGCGGATGACAACGCAACAAGGTCAGATTCAAACTACCAAGTAACTGTTAGCCTCAATGTGGCTGAATATTCCTCCCCTTAAACATTAAGCCCATAAGCAAGCCACAAAATAAAAAAACCCCCTGCAATAAGACACGCGTACACACGGCTCAGCAGTTCCGAACCTCAGCCAGGGACCATTTGGTAATCGTGGACGTAGAACCTTTTGACTTTAGAGTTCGCCATCCCGAGTCACGAGACCAGCCACAGCCAGCCAAAGCAAAGAACGCGAAAAGTGAAAGACACGAAAACTTTAAACAAATCAGCCACTAGCTTGGAAGCCCAGACAGAACCAAGGAGTAAGAAAATTCTCGATGCTCTAAGGCGCAGGCGCCAGGTCCTGGAATTCCACAAAGGCAGCATTGGCGACACGTAGTCGACCCAGATCGAGGACCTTTTTTCTCTCACCGGTTCGCCACACAATTTTAGGTTGATTTTAGGGTGTAGATAAGCATCTTCCTAAATTTTCTTCCCGTCCCGCCCATTGGCGTTTCCTAATGCTAGTCCTTCTAGCGCGGCCAGTCTGCCCTATTAGGTAGGCGAAGACTGCGACGCGGCCTGGAGACTCAGGAGTAATATATAGCCTGTAGCCAGCTGGTCTTGGTCCACACTACAGTATTATTGATTCATGCTCGGTGTATGTAGTCGGCATCAGAGATAAGCGTGCATGGCGAGTGGAGAACAAATCCACACGGATAGGTCGGATATAAGATAAATTTCACCGGAGAAAGCGCTTGAATGGATGATTGAAATTCGCAAAGAATAATTCATTGTGGACAAGCTGATGCATATGCAATGTACAAAATGCAAGAATGGACGAATACAAACACGCCCTAATGTCGCAAACATACCAGAAAGAATGAAATCGCATGAGGGATCAGGAAAAAGGGGGATGCCAGTAGAATGCACAATAAACAAACAGGAACAGAAAGAAAAAATTAAGAGTTTCTCAGCCAAGTCATCGCCAAGAAACGATAATCGTACTTCCAGATCAGGAAACCCAGCACGTTCCCATCTAGCTAGCCCCTTCTGCATAGCTGCAGCTACCCGGGGCTCCATCATTAGTAGCTATAGTCAAGACCTTTACCCTCGCCCTACAGACCAAGACCCAGGCTCGCGCGCAATTTTAGCAAGCCGCTCCTCTAACCGCTCCGGATGCTCCAAAACCTCGGACTGCCGGCGGTGCAGTTCTTCCAGACTGGCCAGGGGATTCTGTAGACCGCCACAATAAGTACGTTGCTCGGAGCACTTGTGAAAACGCATCAACCGTGACACCCACCCATTCCTGCTGACTTGGGACCCCCTCAGCAGCAGGGAGGGCCGCTGAACCGGAAGCATCGTACTCGTCGCCGTCGCCGCCGATGCCCCTGTTGCGCTGGATCGGCGCGGGTGTCACAGGAAGGCTGGGGCGCTCGACTTCTGTTGGGAAGTCGGTGAGGATGATGCTGGGCCGGTGGCCAGAGGGGGTCTCCGTGATGGTCGTTGTAGATGAACCCGTTAGGTCTTGGCTGGATCGTGTGCTCGTGCTTGGGTGGCTGGAGCCAGAGATCACTTGCGTGCGAGCGTGTCGCGCTTGTTGAATCGATTCGATATATCGTTGGATGTGGGGGTCTTCGTCCCACGCGTTGGAGCGGCTGTATGACTCCCAGGTCTCGGCGGAGGGCTCGAAGGGGGCTCGTAGGGGCAAGACCTCAGATGGAGCCAGTGGCTCACTGAGCTGCACTGGGAGAGCTTCTTCAGGTGGCGAGGCCAGAGGGAGAGGTTGCTCTGGGGCAAAAACACGAGTGGGCTTGGGCGCATGAGTTTCCCAGGGGAATAACTGCGTAAGCCGCTGCGGCTCTGGCTTTGTCGCTGGAACTTGATAGTACATGTTTTTCGGAGCCTCGGGGTAAGAAGGGGGTGGTTGGAACAGCGCAGTATCTTCGGACATGGTGTATGCTTGGTGCTTGAAGTTGGCTCCTTCTGGCCTGGAGTGTAGTGGCGGTGGCTCTCTTTGAAGTATAAGCAGATAACCCTCGAATAGTGAGACATGTACGAAAATCAAATCCTTACCGTGAGGCATCCCATTCTGCCTTTGGCGCTTCGAAAGATGGGACCTCTGGCTTCGGTGGAGGAGAAGGTTGGCGAGGATCATTCACCGGTCTCGGGGGTGCAATTGGCTGTGGGTGATGCATTGGAGGGCCGGATGTTTGCGGCAGCGGGTGGTGCTGATGCTCTTGAGGAGCCTCGGGTTGCTGTAGGTCATGGCTATGCGGGTCTCGCTGGATGTCTCTCTGAATTTGGAAAGCTGGGATTTGAGGACTGGGCAATGGAGCAATGTATGTCGAAACGTGCTCTTCTCCGCGCACATATTGCGGGACCGCACTCAAGATCGGTATAATGGTTGCAGTGCCGCCTTGGAACTTCTGATAGTCATCGTGAGGAGCTTCTTGGTGGCTTGAAGGTTGCTGCCAGGTAGTATCATGCGTCTGTTGTTCAACTGATGTAGGAGCTGGGCTATCTTGATGAGCGTGAGCGGCATCATCATGAAACCCTGCGGGAAAATGTTCATGAGACTGGACATTCTGAGGCTCCACCGTCTCTACAACATATGGCTGTCCAGATTCATCCTCGAAATGAACCCTCTTCATTGTATGACCTGATGCAGACCGAGAGTGACCCCGATGGACGGACGTGTCTCGTGGTGGAAGTGGCACACCACTCTCTACCTGGGAAACAGATACCTGAGAACCGATTAGTTTCGACAAATCTAGGGTTTGCCACTCCAAACTCACAAATGGCGGCCGATAATGCTTGTCATAAATCGACCACCACCGTCTCAGCAACTGATTATACGGTGACTCGAGCGGCACCACCTGCCGTGGCAAGGTCCACGGCTTCTGCGCGCCAATGAAATGAACCAAGCTGATGGAGCCCTGGAAATGCTTATACGCGGGTATGTACTGGTAGTTTGCACTCGGCGTACAATTATACGTGAAGCTCAACCTATGCCAGTCCCGGAAATGCATGTTGAGCAAACCCTGGTCCGCACCATCGAAGCTGATGCCCCGTTCCGCCAGCGCCTTTAGTGCATAGTAGTCCTGCAAGTTAGGTCGTAGCACCATCAGTCCGCTATTGAAACAATCAGGCCAGCCGACGTCGGGTGCCGCGGCAAAGTTCACATCGAGAGCGAGTAATTCGTCCGGAGCGCGGATAGCGACGACGTCACAGTCGATATAGACGACCCGCGAGAATTGCGTCAGACGCCAAAGCTCGATTTTTGTAAATGTCGCGATTAGGTCCGGGCGGTCCATCAGCCAGAGATTTGCGGGTGTGCCGTTTACCAGTGAGGATACTGGGATCAATTCATCGTAGACGGTCTTCGGGAGCATAAGCAGGTTAGTCGTGGACATCCGGAGGACGCGACTGGGCTGCTATTCAAATGACACACACCTTCAACTCGCTGATTGTTTCTTGTCGCAACCGTTCCGGTGTGTAGAGGACGACTAACCTCGCCTTTGTGCCATTGTCGCGCAAGGAATGCGCCAGGACCATGGCACCTAGACCGAAGGTCGAGAAATTAGATCAAAGCGCCGATCAACGCAAAAGACACCAATTGCTTACCCGGCAGGTAGGAATCGCTCAACAGGAGCTGCCAAACAAATTGCCATCAGTACTCATCCCATTCTGCATACATGGCATCCTCTTTCCAGACGTCAAACGAGGGTCGTAAAGGGGGGGAGCCCAAACCGTGCAATAAACCGCACTCCGCTCCGACGCCATGACGTCCCCTCAACAAAACCAAAGTCCGTCAGTCAACGGCCTCCTTCGACGATCAGCAACAAGAGCAAAGCGACAATTTTCTCGGGCTCTTCGGAGAGAAACAAAACGAGCGACAGATACCAGCCGACCGGGGCCTATATTTATCGTGGTCGGGGAGGTTACGCGCTGCTTTCTGCCGCGATAATTCAGTTCGGACTGGCCCCGTCAACAAGCAGCCCCTACCGGGTGGTACCTGGACCAGACGTTCGAGTGGACGAAAAACAGTTGGAGGTTCACCAGCGCTGCATCATATTCGTTGTGCAAGGTCCGGGTATTCTGTGGACGAGGGATGGAAATCAGGGGGTAAGTTGGAGAGATGGTAAGGTTCGCACGGTTGGAAGGTTGAGGAGAGCTAAGATGGAAGCTCCGAGAGCTCTTCTGAGTTCTGGCGGGGGTGGCGGGACGAAGTACGATGACAGGTGGAGATTGCGAGTGAGGGGGGTTGAACAAAGTACAGGGACAACACGATGATTATAATAATAGGAGTATTATTAGTTAGTTATTCTGTTCTCCATAGTCATACCGGACCAGCATTGAAAGATCTTGAGGGGCAAATTCCCCCTCACCGAATCCACTTGGGCCACGGAAGATCCGTCACTTAGTGTCCGATCCAAACAATTAACACTACGAGGGGAAAAACATCCCTTTAGAATAGACTCTGTTGACCAGATTTCGAGCTTTCTCACATGTAGCTAGGGAACTGCCTTGCACTTGGGGCCCCTGTTCCTGTTTACATGAAACTAGCCAGGGAATAATAATCGAAATCACAAAGTCTCTGGTGGCCGCGTCGGGGCCAGGATGTGGCCGGAGGGAGAGGGGGCCTCACAATTATGCAAGACAACCCTTGATGGTATCTAATTCGGGTACTGAATTCAAAAGACCTCTCTAGCAAGAACCTAGAATAAATAGAACGCGCTCTGGAATTTGTTCTAGACCATCGACACACACAAAAGGGAAAAGGGGTAGCCTCATAGCGTACACGAACTGCAGGCCTCCGACCGCGTTTATCGCCGAGCAAGGACCTTGGCGCTCGGATAGCATTCCTGGAGAACGGCGCCGATATCGCCTTTCTCACCATGAATAGCCCATTCCACAGCCTTCACCAGGGCTACACGGCTCTCTTGCTCGATCGGGGTGAAATGGCCAGACTCGGTAAGCATCACGACCTGGCTGTTGGCAACGAGATAATCGGCCATGCCATCCAAGCAGATCTGCGGGCTCAGTGCAATGTCCTGCTTGCCCCAGAACACGGTCGAGCTCGCCTGTAGAGCACCGGGGGTACCTTCGTCCAGTAAGCCGGCCCCGCTGTTGGTACGCCGAAGCTCGCTGCCTCCAGCAATGCTGTGCAGATTGGCGACGGTCTCGGCAGACTTTCGCCATCGCGCCACGGCTGCTCCATCGCGGTAATAGCCAGCCATGTTCATGACGTTGGCGAAGTCGTGGGTATACTTGATCGTAGTCGGGTATGACTCGCCGGTGGCGGTCTGCGTCTTCGACTCGGCCAGGGACGGGCCCATGCTACTGGCCATGGAGGTACCCTCATCACTAGGGGTGAATTCGCCTCGCCCATGGGAGCCTTTGTGAATACCTGCCATGAGGGAGTAGTTGCCTCCCGTCAGGAAATAAGTCGGCAGCGGAGGAGGCAACTGCATAGCAAAGACATAGCCCGACATCTTGAGCTGGCGGAGCAGGGGACCTAATGTTCGCAGAGCCTGGAGTAATGGGGTACGGGATGAGAGGGGAGCGCCCAGAGCAGTCTTGAACATTTTAGATGCTGATGCCAGTATGCGGCGAACGTTGGATTGCACCAAGCTCATCTATCAAAAAGAACGTAAGCACTCGTATATCGGAAGAGGTGTGAGCTTCAGTGCCAATGCAATACATACCAATGGACCGTTTGACAGGATGAATCGGTGTGCCAGAGATGGCGCTTCAGCTGCGAGTCGCATCGATAGTACACATCCCCAGTCGTGAGCCACGATGATGACCCGCTTCTTATTTGTCTGGGTACCCTCATCGATGCCATATTTCGTGCGAAGGGTGATGATAAGCTCAGTCAACGTCTCCAACACGGCCGTGGCTGTGTATTTCTCCAGGCTTTCAGTGCCACCGTATCCGGGTAGGTCAATGGCAACGAGATTGGCGGAATTCTGCAGAGATGGCGAGCTGGCGATATGCCGCCAGATAGCCCAACTATCGGGGAATCCATGGATAAAAATGACCAAGGGCTTGTCTGATGCTAAGACTGACGGCGAGCCAGGAGCTGCATTGCTCAGAAAATGGAATTTGAACCCGCTTTGGAGCGTTAGGAAATAGTGGGAAAGGCCGGCGTAGTCTTTGGAGAGGTTCCACAGGCGATCGCGAGCTATGGATCCACCATGATCAGTGACGGGGTTTTTTTATCTGAACATGGCCCGACCGCTAAAAGCAAAGAAACAGTGATGGCTCAAGAATGAGGGACCTACCAAGCTGCAACCCCAGATCCTGCCTCTCGGTGCGTTTCTTGAAAAAGGTGCCCTTTCTGATGGCCAAGTAGCCATAGAGGAACATTGTGAAGAGGCCATAGCTGAAGGCGAGCAGCCCAGTGATGGCCTTGGTGATGATATTGCCCATGCTGGAGCGAGAACCCTTCACTAGCTCATCTGATGAACAGGTGTAGGAGTGAGAAAGTAAGCACTGTAAAAAGAGTATAGTATCAAGACAGAAATCACGGGGGGAGGGGGGCGGGCGTTAGCACGGCTTGGTATCCCAAGAAGGCTCCAGGAGCTCCATCGGGTGGGGGGGGACCTCGGAGCTTTGGCAAGGTTTCCAGGTCGTCACGAAAAGATGGTTAGTCAGCTCAGCTGGGTCCGCTCTCGGAGCGCTAACCACCCTCGGACTAGCAGAAGGGCCTAAGGTTCTGATAAAATGCGGGCAGTCTGGGAGAATTATGCAGGTACCATCTCCGGGGTCTCGGTACGGAGTGGAAGATCAATCTGCAAACCAAAGGATCTTTAATAGAAATGCATTTCTGATATGTAGATGATAAACATCAAGATGCAGCCTTGGGAGGGCCCATAAAGGCTCCCGTCTCGGAGAACGCCAAATCCCCCACATGCAAGTAGATCAAGTAGAAAATAGGTATCAGATCTTCGACAACAGAAATGAGTCTGACTGGTAGAATAAAATGAGAAAAAAAAAGAAAAGGGTATTAACACATGGATGGAACGATCCAAGTAGAGCGAAAGGTCAGAAATAAAACCATAAAAGCCAACAAAAGGAAACGGCCGTGATCTCGTCGAGGTCCCGCAGGATGCTGAATCGAATTTCAGCCAGCTGAGCGGCGGGAATATTAGGATATATATACAAGGGTTGACATTTGACGAAGAACGGAGGGTGAAGATACATGCGACTCAAAGCGTGAAGCCTATTTGATCGCGGTTGTCGTCGACTAGGCGGCCATATCTGAGGAGAACTCGATGTCAGCAAGGTTATACCATAGTTATTTGACTCATGAATCAGTCAATGATGGACAACTTACTCCAGAAGGAGACGGAAAAACCAGACCTCGAGGTCCTCATTCCGCAATACTTGCTGCGCCCACTGCTGGCCCTGAGTGGCAATCCGAGGGGCTGCCTTCCTACCCTCTTCCTCCGTGGTGAAGTATCTCATGCTCTCCACATACTCATTGCCCCTCAGACTGAGCGGCACATAATGCACCCACGGTTTGAGCCATTCGTCGTGCCACTCGCGGAAGATGGCAATCTTGTAGACGAAGCTATTACTATGAAGGAAAGCGTAGAACCGACCACTGAAAGCGTTTCCGTCAATGTCAACCAGGTACTTATGTGCCCATGCATCCTGCTGTTTAGCAGCCTCGACAACCTCAAAATATTCTTGTTGTGCGTGGCAGTCATCAGGATCACATTGGCCGATCATCGTGAACTTGACATCGAATGAATCGCGGTACGAATCCCGGGTGACGTTCTGTGAGACCCAGGCGTCGTCTTGCTGTTGCGTGAGAACCCTGGTAGGTTCCAACGAGTTGACATTGTCCACGAACTGTTGGCGATGTTGGCGGCGCCAGCCCCCGCACGTGAAAAGCCACCGGTTGTGGTCCCGCGCCAGTACATGCGGTCGGATTTGGCGTCCCAGCTATAGTCCTTGGATTGTTCGTAGGGAACCTTGTCTGCCCAGTACCATGGACTAGGGTAGAGGATATCCTGGAAGCTAGAGATCTTGCTTTGCGAGAACACCGGGAACAGGTCGTGGACAACATCGAACGCATTTGGACGATCGAAAAAGCCGTATGTGTATCGAAGGGATGGAGTGTGGCAGATATCGGAGAAAGCGGTGGTATTGTAGATGAAGCCCAATTCCCCATACGCATAGGGTGCGTCATTATCCTCGGCATCTTCATCAAGAGATCGGGAAGGGCTATCGACGGGGCAAGAGAGCCGAGAGTTGGTCCAGGTCGGCTGGTGGGCGAATCGGTTAAAGCGAGTGGTCCGCACCTCGTCGATGCGATCGCCCTTGTTCAAGTCAGGGGCGCGAGGGGACCATCCATTGGTCGCAGACTTCCGGTTAAAGGCAGCGGGGATGGCATGGTCCGTTGCAGTCTGCACCAGACGCTGTAGGTCGTCGCCAGGGATCACCACACGGGGCTCGTCATGGGTGTTGAAAACCAAATCCATGTCCGGTAGATATTTGACAAACTTGTCCATCATGCCGACCGTGGCCTCGCGCTGCCATTTGCGACCATCACCACCACCTTCCGCCAGAGTCACCTTGCCATCGCGAATCAGCAGTCCAATCACCGCATTTTCAAATCCCAGAGTCTCGCGAGCGCGGGCGCGAATAGTCGCTGGCTTCACGGCCCAGAATGGCAACAGGGAGTGGTAGATCGAGTCAAACTCATCAACGAGTTTCACACCTTTGGCCTGGGCGAACTGGAACCACTTGTCGAAATGCGGCGGCGGGTGCATCTTGTAGCGGCGCTGGTACTCCTGGACCGCCTCGGCCAGGGTTTTCGATTGCCGGGTCTTTACATTGTCGAACTGCTGCTGCGCATCCTGGACCAGTCTGGAAACCGGGTGCACCTTTTCAGGTGGGTAGGAGGTCTGGCCCGAATGAAGTTGATGGTGTCTGATGGGCTCGGGGGGAGGGAGGTCTAGCGGTTCATGTTCGGCAGTTGACTCGGACTTGGGACGGAGGAGGACGAGCGAGAGACACGCGAGGAGGACGATGGCGAGCAGGAGGATCAGACGGTGGGTGCGCATCCTGCCATTTGAGGGGGGCATGAGAACCGAGGGGAGAGGTTCGAGGGCCAAGGTGAGAAGAAGGGGGAGAGGGGGGGGGTAGGCAAGAAAAAAGGGTCTTAGGAGAGAGAGAGTGTTCTCTCGGGAAGATTGTCTGGAGTGTCCGGCTTTGGCTATCAAACTTTTGGCCTGGGCCTTTGGGAGGGGGCCCGCAAAAAGAGACACGCTAATCCGCCACGCCCCCCGCTGCCGGTCTATGTCCTGTACCAGTCCGTTCTACCGTTTGTGTTACTTCAAATATCAAATAGAAGTTTGTCTCCTCAGTAGGAAAGTCGGTTAAACTCCTGAGGAGCCTCTCAATTCCACCAAGAGGCCAAATGCTCCGTTGCGAACCTTGATCAGTGGCAAATGGTTCACCCAGGGGCAATCCCACGATTGATGGCGATGGCATATCTCTATGAAGAGTTCCATATATCACATTACCTGGAGGTGATGGATCCTCTTCAATCTCAAAGTCGATAGCGTGAATAGTATAACCTGCTTCCGTAGCTCGTAACTCGTAGCTCGTAGCTCGTGGGCTACAGGTGTCATCATGAAGTAACCCTGACACGGATATATCCATATGTAATTCACTTGTAATCCTTCTGAATCTCTTTTATTTGCTTCCTCTGACTCCTTCCTCTCATCAACTGATTTGTTTGCTCCATCAATCATAATCATCATCGCCGGACTTCAATCTTGTTCGGTCTGTTCAAAGGGTTTGTGCGGTTCTAAGTCACACCATCGTTCTTTCCCATTTCACATCATGGCCGAGACTCCGAGGGAACAAGGCAACTGCGACCTCGATCTTGGTGGCAGTTTCCTGAAGGATCTGCCACCTTCAATCCCAAGATACACATACACAGGAGAGTCTCAATTCTTGGATATTCTCCAATCCGAATACGCTCGTCTCCGATCCTCAAACACCGCAAGCGAATTCCTCCTCTTCCATGCGAGCAAAGACACCATCAAATCCATCTTCAATCCTCAAAACGGAGATACTTCTCTCGCAAGAAACTTCAACTCCTTTGATACCACCGAGCAGCTTCTCCTGGCCAAGATGTCTTTAGATCCACACGGCGTGGCAGCCCATTTCATGAACATTGCAATGTACAACGTCTTCAATACAATGGGCCTTGGTAACATCATCCATGGACACCCGGGTGTGAAATTCGAAGGCAATGATCGGGGGAAAGTGGCAGACTACAGCTGGGGACCTGTCAGGGGGCCGCGTGATGGACCTAGATCACCCTCCGTCGCGCTCGAAGTTGCGTACTCGGAGACAGACGTCAAACTGAACTCCGATGTCCGATTCTGGCTGGATCCAGACAGCAGCCAAGCAAACATATGCTTGACACTACGGATCAACAGATCTCGGCCAGAAATTCGAATTGAAAAGTGGGAGAGACGCAACAACCGAGCTCATCGGTCTCAAATCATTTGGATCACCAGGAAAGGGGATCAGAGCAACGTCAGTCACCATCCTCTGGTTATTCCGTTTGAAGGTCTATTGCGTCGCCAGTCATCTTGCCCAGGGGAGAAAGATTTGGAAATCTCACAGGGAGAGCTAAAAAAAGTCGCGGAGGCGATCTGGAAAGCGCAGGAATTGTGATTTTCTTTCATGTTTTTCGGCCAATACGACTATCAATCCAGTATCGTATAGGGAAGGGATAGTGGATATGGATTGCACTTAGATATCTCTCTACTTTTGTTTACCTTAGCTTCGGTTGAGTTTCCCCAGCAAGTGAGGTTGCTGTTAGAGAGAGCCATATTTCCTTGCTGTTATCAATGCTATTCATCACTGTTCACGAGGTTCTTACTCCCATGACTAGCCTGCTTCTATAAAATCAAGTCCTATTTATGCCCTCCCCATCGAACAATTGCCCACGAAAACGCCCCATTAACCAGAAAAGCGCCAAGTGCCTGAATCATATACTTCTGCGCATGTACCACATGATAGTACGCCGCAAGGCACAATAACATCACCAAAGATATGTGCCCGTAATAGAAAGACCGTCTCTGCTCTTGCATCGACCCAGCGACACTTCGTCGCTGAGTTCCGCCTTTCGGTGCTGCACCGCGAGGTCGCAGATAAAGAACAAGGGAGATCACCATGGAGATAGCAAACAGACCACATTGTACGTCCAGGTCCCGCACCCTCTTGTTCAAGAGAGAGCCGAATTCCGGGTGGCTGAGTTGAACGAAGAACAACAGGTAGAGAGTCGCGTGGCCCAGGAGCAGAGGCGAGATAACCATCCGTCCAAAAAGACGGTGGTAGGGTGTCACCGTTGCTTGCGGGATGGAGGTCACGAATGAAAAGATTGAGGAAGCCGATGGCTTCGAGGTCGATATATACGCTGCAGGAGACATCAATACTTGAAGGGGGATCTGCGAAAGAGCAACGTGGCTCAAGGCCTTTGTGAGATGCATGTAGTCTGTGACCTCATATTAGCAAATGGTATGCCATCGATCATCAAGGCGCAAGGCGCTCGACAGCAAAGGAAATCGGGGCATACCGTCGCCGCTCTTCCAGACGGACAGACTGATCAGCCATAAGAGCCACAGCCCGCACAGAGCATACTGCCGACGAGTCTCGAGCCATCCGGCTGCAATTGGGCGATCCCACCATGAAGCAGGCCCGCGGCGCTGTTTAGACGTGATCTCAGTCGCAGAAACCGACTGCGCCCAGCCTTGATAGACCCGGAGCACGATGATCACGGCGATGATCGACCATTGCGCGTAGGATCCCCGTAGGTCAAGAAGCTCCCGGCGATTGAGTATTTCCTCTTCGGAGAGGGTGAGAATAAAGCGGTAAGGCCAGGAATATTCCATAGTGAATACAAGAATATCAATCAACCAATCAATCGGCAAACTATGGAAGTTGCAAGAGATGGGAACTGCGTATGCCGGATATCGATGGTGGAGCTTAACGCCAAACAGAGATCTCGGAATGTCGTGAATGCAACTGTTTTTAGAATAACATGATCGACGGTTTGTCTTCTTCAGATGATGAAAGACAGTATAACTGCTGATGATTTGCTGAAAAAGGAGAAAGTGAACTTTTCGTCTTCTTACGTGTCCAAATACCCCAAGGCGCCCTGGATCCGCTGACAAATAACTTGATTTTAAGTTACGCGCCAGTCCTCGGCTTCACAAGGACGCTCACAGGAATTCAACAAACTTTATTTCAACTTAAATGCGCTGGTCGTAGCCAGCTTGAGTTAAATAGACTTGAGCAAAGTCTGGGTTAACTAGAATCTTGCAAGAATACACTCGGTGAAGTCCTGACATCCCCTCGGCCCCTCGCGACTCTATGCAAGGCCCATTTCCATAAATTCTCGTGAGTTAGCGCCTTGCCGCCGCTCAAGTATGCTGTATGTTGTAAACGACTAAAATTTGAAAGGGGATACTTCAAAAGAACTCTCTGTCTAGGTTCTTCATCTTACTCAGCTGAGCCGGATTCGAACCTTTGGTCTAAGTCCAAATCCCTAGGACGGACATTGGAAAGAGGATACAAAGCCATGTATGCATGCAATCGCTTCTGACCAGCAAAGGAGGAAAAGATATTCAAACTGGCGTGATTGCTTTTTATGACTACCTCGAGCGGAAACGGACGATTCAGTTATGCATGGAGTAAAGAAAAGACCTCTACATTAAAAACGCCATCAAGATATCTCATCCCAAAGCTGGCTATTCTCTAAACTGACAGGATGCCCCATGCCCATGCCCGAGCTGTTCTGCAGGCGTTCTGTCGTCGCTTAATTCACCCATATGGGAGAGGGCGGTCTGAAGAGAGTAGTTCATACGATGTCACCGGCACCAAGTCACCCGGCATCCTGTCTTAAGGAGAAGTTTGCATGGACTCCTCCTGAGCGCCACTGGCAGTGGTAGCGAAATAGCGAACATCAACATCGTCATCCTCCTGCAGCTTCTCCAGGCTGGGCAGAACTTTTTGCTGGATCAGGTCTTGGGCCTTGGGCGAGGGAGTAATAGTCTCCTCGGACTTTTCCACCTCGACCAGAGTCTTGTCCTCCGGCAGGCGGCGCAGAGTATCAATCAGAACGGCATAGGACTTGGCAACATTGAATCGGATGTTGGGGATCTCGTCTGCTACAAGTCGGTCCAGAATGGGAAGGATGGAGGTTTCGATGATATCAAGAGTGACAACGGGGGCGAGTGTCTGAAAGAATCAGTATCAATAGACCGAGCCCAGCAACACATTCAAGACTTACGGAGATAGCGAAGCATGTGGTCATGCGGTAAAGGTAGTTGGGATGCTGTCCCATAGCCACCACCTTGGGAATAATGGACTCCTTCGACCATTCCACCCCAAATACCTCGGTGAGTTTCTTCAGATTCTGGGTAGCAGCCTCTCGGATCGAGAAGACAGTGTCTCCTAGCCATCCCATACAAAGGTCACTCAATTGCTCATCGAAGAACTTGACTCCTAGCTGGCTGGCAAGCAGGGGAATGTATTCGATGATAGCGAGACGCACTCGCCACTGCTTGTCCTCGGCCAGCTGGACAATCGCAGGAAGCAAAGATTGAGAGAGAAGCTCAATGCCGATGACTGTGATAGAGATTAGATGAATAAGAATATTGCAATGAGAGGACATTAAGAGGCATACCTTTATTAACTTGCTCGAGCTTGGAAATGATGTGCAAACGAACGTCGGGGAAGTCATCCTTGAGCATTTGGAGGAACATCGGAAGCAAATGGGCGATAGTCCTATGAGTGGAACGAGTTAGTGAGCGACGGTCTCCAGAAAAAGGGCGCATATGAGACTGACTCTTCCTTCCCAAGAATGGGCGCCAGACCGCTGATCTGAGTGCCAAGGGCAGCACGGACATGCTGAGACTGATCAGACACCAGATCTTCCACACTAGTCATGATCTCGTTAAGCAGCGTATCCCGGTCGATCAAGCTGCAGAATCCTAATCATGTTGTTAGTTTGTATCTTGACGTCATAGTTTAATGGACACAAAACATACCCGGAATCTGGCCCGCAATCGCAGTGCGGACCTCAGCCTCGGTATCCTTCAGAAGCTTGACAAAAGCGGGGACCATATCGCGTGTAACAACCTCTTCGTGTACGGCTTTGGCAATCTGTTATGGGTGGTTTTGGATCAGTCTTAGCTGCCTCATACGTTTGGGACCAAAGGTAAGAGTTATCCTGACCTTCTCGTATCTATCAGCAACCATATAGCGGACCCTCCAGCTCTTATCCTCAAAAAGGTTGCGCAGCGAAGTCAACAGCACACCGTGACTGGGCTGCTGCTCTTTGGGGATTTCCTCTGCGATCGCGATCAAGATGTCCACAGTCAACAGGCGCACGCTATCCTGATCATCACTGGCCAAATATTGGAAAAGGGGTATCATTTCATCGATAATCACGGGAGTATGCATCTCCTTGACGAACTTTGCCAGGTTGTTGGCGGCTTGACGGCGCACCATCGGGGTTTCATCATGTACGAGGGCTCCGAAGTGCTGTCGGAGGCTCTGCTGCAGCGCCGGCGCGGCTTTTCGGTATGGTGAACAGTACAGACCTGTTGCGGAGACCTTGGAAGTGAACCAGTCGGCCTTGGAGAGGTGGAGAACCAGAGGGACAAAATGCTCTTCGACTTGACCTTCTGACAGCTGATCACAGACCTTGTTGAGCGACTCCACAGCCTAGTTTGTGACAGTCAGCAATGCTGCTCCCAGATCCCGTGTATAGCATAACCGACCTTCTCCCGGACCAGAGGCTCCTCGATCGCAGCCAGGTTCTCCAACGGTGACAGAAGCACGTGTGCGTGTTCTGGTCCCCCAACATACTCTGTGAAGTTACCCAGCTCTTCGCTTAGCGCGGTCAAAACCTCATCTTCGTCCTCAACGGAGTCTATTTATATGATGTGTTAGGCGTATGTCGGTGACTGAAAAAAGATGGTGGGGGTCCGGAGGGAGACGAACCGTCCAGGAATGGGATAAGCTCATCCCGGGTCCGCTCGGGGCCCAGGGCCAGCGCGATCGTGGATAGACGACGAATGGCATTCAGTCTGAGAAGAACATCATCGTGCTATGACATTGAAGTGTGAGCTTAGGTCAGTAGGGTTCCCCCTCCGCAGGTGGAGGGGAAGGCAACTTGAGCGGAGCAGAGCACCTGCATACCTTCAACTCATCGATGAGTACCGCGATGGGGTAGAGTTCATCGTTCTCGTTTTGACCCTCCATCGCGTATGTGCGGATTGTGTATTAAGATAGAACAAGAGACGGGGCGAAACTGGGAGATTGGGGGTGGTCGGTCCCAGTACTGAGGAAGGGTTGATATCGAGGCGGTCTTTGGTTAGAGCCACCCGGGAGAATGAAAATTATCGGCAGGAGGAGGAGAAGCACAGCTTCATGAGCTTCGATGACGAATATAGCAACTGGTCCCGTGGACGGGTTAGTTTCGACTTGGGAGGGCGTGATGGGGGTGGGAGGTTTCAAATGGGAAGGGGAAGGCCGATGAGGTTTCGTGGGGTTTTGGGCCGCCGGACGCCCACCTTCGCGCAGGAGCAAGAAGCGTACCTCGGGAACAATTGGGGAGATCAATGTCCCCAAAAAGGCTCTCACGGGATAGAAGTGTTTGGGGTGGCGGTTGGAAAAAGGGTCTTGTAATCAGGGAATCAATTGTCTCGAATGATGATGATGGCCAGCGAGCGATTACTCTGAGCTTTCACCACCACAACAGCTGCGGCTGGGTGTAATTTACATACCGCGTGGCCTTCCTGGACGGGCCATAGGCGGTCACTCGGAATGGCCGACAAACCGAACAAACCGGGTTGAACTGCTGGTCAAGTTGGCAACGCAGGGGCCAACGTGACAATACAATACCGCGCGTCAGAAAAGAGGGGGGACAACCGTGGCGGTGTGTGGCTGAGGAGGCAGAATTTCCAGAAGTCCGATCGGAGTCATAGCGATCATCTTGCTGATTTGCGCTGCTCCTCCGCTTGTGTGGTTTTTTTTTGGTATGCAAAGTCTCTTTCCCGGACAATCCAAAGAGACCCTCGGGTTTAGACTTCGGGCACTTGCTAATAAGATCGTTTTATCGCCTGTTCAGATTTTCATCGCATTGCGAATCCCCCCGCCATGCCCACTATCTCGGTCGACAAGGCCGCTCTCTTCAAGGAGCTGGGCCGGGAGTACGTACATCACCGTGATGATGGGATATCGTGTGCATTTCTAATTACTTCTTTGCGCGAGTACAGGTACACCACGGAGGAATTCGATGAGCTGTGCTTCGAATTCGGTAGGTCTCGTTGACACAAGAGCCTCCGCCGGGCATGATAGGCTAACTCTGTTGAACAGGAATTGAGCTTGACGAAGATGTACCGATCCTTCAAAATACTCCAATATGGAAGACCGCCGGCTAAGAAATCGCAGACCACAGACCAGGATCGCCCGATCGTCGACGGCGTGCAGGAACCCCCGCAGCTCAAGATCGAGATCCCCGCCAATCGGTATGCCGAATATAAGCCTAAAGTACATTGAGGGGATTTCTGGGCTAAGACCTATTGCAGATATGACTTGCTGTGCTTCGAGGGCATCGCGTTGATGCTCAACATCTTCTTGAAACGCAAGGCTCTGCCTGAGTACAAGTTGGTCCCGCCCGCCAACGGCCAACTTGAGGAGATCATTGTGAAGGAAGACGTGGGTATACACCGGGTAGTTTCTGCATGGAGTACCTGCTGACATTTCTGAGTAGACCACGAAGATCAGACCCTATGTGTCGGGTGCTATCCTTCGAGGTGTGAAGTTCGACAAGGCTCGTTATGAGTCTTTCATTGCCCTGCAAGACAAGCTGCACCAAAACCTAGCCCGTCAGCGGACCCTGGTCTCCATTGGTACCCACGATCTAGATACTGTCAAGGGCCCTTTCACCTACGAGGCTCTTCCTCCCAAGGACATCAAGTTTGTCCCCCTGAACCAGACCCAGGAGATGAACGGCGAGGAGTTGATGACTTTCTACGAGGTATGTTGATCAGATGGCGTTTTAACAATGCTATCTGTCCCGTGTATATTGACAATTGAACAACAGAAGCACCAACAATTGGGCAAGTACCTGCACATCATTCGCGACTCTCCTGTGTACCCCGTGATCTATGACTCGCAGCGCACTGTCTGCTCTCTGCCTCCTATCATCAACGGTGATCGCTCTAAGATCTCCCTGAACACTACAAATGTCTTCATTGAGATTACTGCTCTTGACCGGACAAAGCTCGAGATTGTCAACCGGATGATGGTTACTATGTTCTCCCAATACACCTCCGAGCCGTTCACGTAAGTGCTTTTTCCCGACAGATGTCATGACCTTTGGTACTTACCTCTCTGCAGCATTGAGCCCGTCAAGATTGTGTCAGAGCACAACGGTCAGACTCGGGTCACCCCCGATCTCGCTCCCCGTACTACCACCGCTGAGGTGTCCTACATCAACCAGTGCTGTGGCTTGAACCTTACCTCTGCTGAGATTAGCAACCTCCTGACTAAGATGGCATACCGCGCCAAGCCCTCGACAAACAACACCAACACCATTGATGTTGAGATTCCCCCGACTCGCGCCGATGTGCTTCACCAGTGTGATATCATGGAGGATGTTGCCATCTCTTACGGCTTCAACAACCTCCCCCGCTCGTTCCCTAGCAAGTCCGGCACTGTTGCCCAGCCCCTCCCCATCAACAAGCTCTCTGACATTGTCCGTGTTGAGGCTGCTATGGCTGGGTGGTCTGAGGTCCTGCCCCTGATTCTCTGTTCGCACGATGAGAACTTCGCTTGGTTGAACCGCAAGGACGATGGCAACACCGCCGTCAAGCTTGCCAACCCCAAGACCACCGAGTTCCAGGTTGTCCGCACCAGCCTGCTCCCTGGTCTGTTGAAGACTATTCGTGAGAACAAGGCTCACAGTGTGCCCATGAAGATCTTCGAGGTTAGCGATGTTGCTTTCAAGGACATGTCTTTGGAGCGCAAGAGCCGCAACGAGCGTCACTTCGCTGCCGCTTTCTACGGCAAGAGCAGTGGCTTCGAGGTCGTCCACGGTCTCCTCGACCGTGTGATGTCTATGCTGAAGAGCGCTTTCATCATCGCTGAGGAGGGCCTGGACAACCCCGCCATTGGTGACTCCCAATACTTCATTCAGGAATTGGATGGTATGTTTGTTTCCAGTCGTGCTAGTGACAACTTGATCACAGACTAACATGCTTTCTTTAGATCCTACCTACTTCCCCGGCCACAGCGCCTCCATCCACCTGCGTGTCAGCGGCAAGGACCACGTCATTGGCTCCTTCGGTATCCTTCATCCCACTGTGCTGGGCAAGTACGAGCTCAAGTACCCTGTCAGCACTCTGGAGATCAACATCGAGTCTTTCCTGTAGACCTTGGTTTGAGTATTTCCATGCTTTGTGATGCAGATAGATGATGACATGATGCGGAGCGCTCTATTGTTATAAGCACGATGTTCAATGCTGCGGAGCCAAAAGCAATAAAAATAAGATTTCCAGTGTTCAGTATATATATTACGTCAAAGAGAGACTTGGCGTCATGAACCTGAGATTTGCCGAAGTGATAACTCCATAGCGAGGTGTGTAGTCAAACACAACCAGCGGTCTATAAGAATCTCTTGGCGCTCGTGGTATGAAGGAGACGCTAGAGGTCATCTGACGGGTGTCCCTCTAGAGGACTTATCTCGGTTATTTGTTTTAGACCTCTTTTGAGAAGCACCCAGGGGTTGGCAAAGATTCGGCACAATCCATTAGATGAGTTGGAAAGTATGTCTGGAAGTCCACGCCCCGCGGATACCAGTATATGATGTATGTGTTGAACTCAAGAAAGTCTGATTCGGAACCTTATCAACTAGCATGGTGATTAAAGCAACCTTCGTGATTAGACAGTAACTGGTAGATGACGAATTCCAACCCAAGGAGTAGATATACTACGATGAAGGATCAAGGTCATTATCAAATTTTTCTCATGGGATTATCCTCGACTGTAGATCTTTGTACATCGACGTCCATTCCTTCATGAAACCATTCCCGTACCCAAAAGAGCCAAGGACCAGTACTGAAAGCGCAGACTAGACATTCATTCGTCAAAATTTTGCAACAGAGAAACCAGGAGATTTTTTGAAGTCTTCATGTAATTTTGATTGCGTGAGGTAGAGAGTATAGTGAGGTTAGGACAGGAAGCGAAGATAAAGGAAGAGCCGGGCCTGAAAAACAAGTTTACTCCTGAACGAAGCCCTCGGCAGCACCCTCGGCGGTGGCGGCCTGCTCCTCGGCCAGACGCTGCTGCTCGGCAGCCTGCTGGGCGGCGAGAGCCTTGGCGCCGTAGTCCTGGGACATGGGCTGCAGAACGGGCTGCTCCTCCTTGGGCTCGATGATGGTAACGGAGTCGGGGAGGGTCTTCTGGGGGCCGGACTTGCCCTCGGGGTCGGAGCCGCGCATGATCTTAACCTTGATACCAAGGACACCCTGGCGGAGGAGAACGTGGCGGGTAGCGGAGTCGATGAACTCCTTGGCGGGCTGACCGGAGTGGATCATGAAGCCGTCCTGCAAAGATGAAATTGGTTAGAGGTGTTGTTCCCAGAGCAATATCATGTCAGAGAAGCGGGGCTCGTGCAAAGGTTCGAGAGAACTAAGAAGAGAATCCCCAGGTTTTTCCCAAGTACCAATGCACAACATCTCCCCCACGATATTCTCCTCTAACAACCGGTTTTAGACGTACAGTGAACTTCATGGACTTGGCACGGGCGGCACGGAGCTTGCCGGAGACGACAACCTCGCAACCCTTGGCACCACTCTCCATGATGAAGCGGAGGACACCGTAGCAGGCACGGCGAACGGCCAGACCGTTCAGGAGCTTGTAGCGGAGGGACTCGCACTGAGCGACGGCGGACAGACCGCGGTTCTGGACCTTGGCGGCATAGAGGGAGACGGAGTTCTCGGGGAACTTGAAGCGCTTCTGGATGAGCGAGGTGAGCTCACGGATGCGGCGACCCTGCTCGCCAAGAACCTCCTGGGTGTGGGTGGCACGGATGACTGTAGAAAGTGAAGACATCCGTTAGCATCGAATCCTGCCGACATATGTTGACCGCATAATTTCCGCCTCGATAACAATATTGAATCTCCATTTCATCACAGCAATTTCCCAGCTCTTGCAGATCCCATCCCAAACCCAAATTCATGCGATCCAAACGGAAGAGGGAAAACTCGAGAGATGCGACGTACTGATGTCGGTGACGGTGGGAGTGACACGGACTTCAACACCGGAGTAGCCCTCCTCAGCGAGCTCGCGCTGGAAGAACTCGTTGAGCTCGGCGTAGAAAACACCGTCGGCGACGAACTTGCGACGCTTGGAAATAGCTCCCTGGACAGCGGCCATTTTGACGTTCCTGGTGGGTGGAATTGGGGGGTTGTCGACGGGGGAAGGCGAGGTCGAAGTCGAGAGGGTTGGTCGTTGTGAGATTCTCTGATTAGTGGGGATTTTTTGGGCGAGGGCTTCCATTTCCCGTTTGGGCTAGGGCTCAACCCTCGCTTGCCCTGCTGGAGGGAACGGGAGCTATTCCTCTTTGGGACTAGGGTATATACTCTTTTTTCTCAGGCAGTAAGGCTACAAGGCATCGATAACATCCATTCGGGAGTACAAGCATGGCATTGAACCTGTTCTTCCAGGCAGATTCTTCAAAAGTACGCTGAACTCGAGCAAATCAAGACCCCTGTATTTTCAATGGGTCATGCAATTAAATCAAACTCGCCGCTTCACTTTACTGACGTTTCAGGGTTCCTCCTAGGGAACCATACCTTCATCAGATCAAATCACATCTCATCCCCCCTCTCTCATTTCACTTATTGCATTTCCAACTCCATCTTGTTAGCTTCACTCTCCTTGGAACTCCTCTTGTGATCATTTGAGACACCAAGATGGGAGACCCCCTCTGTGACAGCAGCAATGCCAGATGCTGCTACATGTTGAACATCTGTTCCGGTTGGCCCTGTCCCAGTCGAGTGGGCGGTCTCAATCCCAGTCAGAATCGGGGCTCGGCCTGAGCCAGGACTTTCGGTTCCAGCACCTCCCGTCGAGCTGAGAGGCCCATTCATCTCAGAGTCAGAACGGCCAAACGCCTCGCTCCACCATCGAGTCTCTTTGACTCGAGGGAAGATCAACCTCTCCTTCCCACGCTGGTGGTCGTCAACGACGGGATCATACTCTGGGTTGGTGAATTGTTCCCGTCGAGCGAGGAAGTAGTCCCATACACTCCGCGTTCGCTCTCGTGCGTTCGTGTCCACACGCTCTTTCTCATTGTTGAAAAGGAAGGTACCAAACTGGCAGGCGTAAAGGTGGTATAGAAGTCGTCTTAGGAAACGTTCATTGAACTCAAACCGTGTCGGGTACTGATGAAGCAGCTGGTATGTGGCGTCGAGGAACTGATGGAAAACAGGGCTGGTCTCTTTCACCTTTGTGATCTCCTTCTCAGAGACAAGGCTGCGAGGCGCGGAGCTCGGCTTTTTGGTTGGACTGTCCGAATCATAGCTTTGGAGCTCTCCCTCGGAGTCAGGTAAAGAGTCCCGGCTCGTATTGTCCCGGTTGAAGAATCCTTTCGCACTCAGGAAGGCATTCTCGATTGCCTTGGCAGGACCTGCACCTCCTCCTTCCGTATCACCACCAATGCGCTCGTTCTCAATCTGGAACCACTTCTCACTGTTCAAATGACCCGATCGGTGTCGGAACATGTGTCCAAAAGACATCCAATCCTTCTCTACCAGGACCATGAAACCTTCCATTGTTCGGAAGTATGGGTCCAGGCAAATTTGACTCAGCGCACTCAACTGGCTTGTCCGATCCCAGCCGTCGGAGCAGTGAATGAGCACGTGAGAATGCTGGAGACCAACCTGGCGTGCGATTAGGCGTGCACCTTCCAAGATACCCCCAATATGCTTTAGCCAGCCACTCCGGGCAAGCTGGTCGCGATTCGGCCCCAATGGGGTAACGTCCGTGTCTTTCAGGGCGTCAATGACCTTATTCAAGGAGTCACGCATAACGTGAATGTTATCAATCCCGAGGTAGGCTTTGGTGGCAAACTTGTAGTTGTCCATGTTCTCGGAGCCCAGGCCAACGGCCTGCATAGCAAAAGCATTTACGGTAGGACGCGCATCAACAATCAAATTTTGCTGCTGAGCACCATAAATTGCACGTTCCTCAGGATGGACTGCACGAGCAGCAGCGAGCATTTCATCTTCGATCTCTTCGGCATTTGACACATCTAGATCGGTCGTTGATCCGCTATCATGGCTCGAGTCGGAGGCTTCCCTGTCCAGGGTAAATTTGGCAAAGCTAGCCAGCGGTCTTTCCGTGCGAGAAGTCGAGAAAATTGTGGCGAGAAGCTTTTCATCCTGGATGCTGCGGTTCTGTCGTACACCAACCAGAGGTTGGGAACTCCGTGTGATACTGCAATTGTTGACGGGGTGGAGATATGTGAGTGCGGGGATTCTCTGTCTAGAGCGATATCTTCCGGCATAGTTGAGTGTGTTGTCTGAGATCGAGGAGGGCACGGGGATCAGTGCAGGGTAGGTCGGAGAGAACTGTAAACCTTGGTCAGCCTTGGACATATCCTCGTCAAGTTATATAGGTAAGAGTCAAGTCAGGCCACAAGGCCACGCACTCCATAATCAGTGTTGATCTCCGAAACTCTCCAGCCAGAGTTCTCTTTAGAGAGACCCTGGCGCTCCCATTCCTTGCGTGGATCATACAAGTCCCACCCATTGAACTCCCTCTCTGGAGGCGGCGGCTGGTAACTAAACGCATAGAGCCTATCCAGTCTGCCAGATTTGCATGTCCATTGTTTAATACTGTCAAACACCTCCTTCGCCTTTTGTTCGCTGGTGAAATAGAAGCACACAAAGGTGAAGTCGCGACATCGAAGGCGAATGGAGGAGAGCTGGCGGGAGGCCGCGGGAGCCGGTCGGAGAGTGCAAAAGGAAATGATCGGGTAGGTAATCCAGAGCTCTTTCGGTCTTATGGGTACACCTTTAGCGGCATCTTCGCTCGAGATTAGAGGAGTGTAGGAGAAGATTAGGTGGTGAGGGGTGAGGTGGAGGGCGCCGTCGACCTGGTCTCCACGGCGGGCCAAGGTCACATTGTCAACCTAGAGAGTAGCAAACGATTAGCAAGTCTTGTCGCGTCGATGAACTTGGCTCGACCAGACACACCTTGGCAACCCGTGTTTTCTCCATCCCGTGAGTCTGGATTCACTATGCGCGCATAGTCTTCATACTGACGGAGGGGAACAGATTCGGGTGGCTAGGCAACGGGCACCGAGTATCGATCACTGGCGCTGGAAAACTGTGAAAGACAAGATTCTGAGAATCAGCTTATCTGATTAATCCTAGAACCCTGGGGAATGTAGTCCTAGGACAGGGTTGGAAGGTGTTGGGCCAGAAGTGAGTCCGGAGTACATGTGCAGGTCAGCTTCTGGGCACCCGATCAACTGTGGGGCGGGAGGTTCGAGGGCGTTCACCTGGACCGATGTCATCCCCCCCCAACAGCCAACCAACAAACCCTAGCTACGAATCCTATAGATACCCCAGTCACTGGCAGAGGCAACAACATCAAAAATCTACTTTCTAAGAGATGATAGAGCATGCCATTTACTCCATAGGGACAATTCATTGTCATTGAAAAGGCATACCCACATCAATTTAGATTATGTAGCCAACACAACATGATCCACTTCAAAGGTATTGCGCTGGAGATCATTATCATAACATGTGATTGTTTTCTCTGCACTGCACGTGCCTGTATCTCATTGCTCATCCTTTACAGCAATGTCCCAGCTCCGCAAGTCCTCTCTTACATCGAACTCGCACAGTTCGTGTTCAGGATGCCGTTGCTTCCATCCCCGTCCTTTCGCCCCATCATAGAGTTGCTGTTCAATGCTGCCACCCTTCTGCGAGTGTCCATGAGTGGAATGTGAATCAGGTGTCTTTCCACTCCCATGTGAATGGCTGCTCGAAATGCTCTTGTGGCGCCTCTCGAAGCTAGGTGACAGTCGTTTTCCAGAAGGTGTTTGCTGAGACACAGCCTCTGCGCTTAGGTGATCATTGTGATTGTCTGCGTAAGTGTCACCGTGGATATTATGGGATTCGTTGTTCCAACAGGAGCTCCCCGCGAAAAGCTCCTCAATGAGCTTATCTGCGGGTAGATCACAGGCTCGAGAAGTCCATGAGGCTGCAAGGGTGCGGCGATACATGTCTTGCATATCAACCACTTCTCGGGTCTTTGTGATAATAGATGGAAGATGTCCGAGTTCCTCTGAGTCACCCGGTTCGGCCGAGTGTACAACTCTTGCGATTCCTCCAAAGACGGTGGCAGATTTCAGAGGTGGTCTAACGCGGATCAGCATGATGACAACTAGAACCTTGATAGAGCTTTGCATACGTGGTGAAACTGCGATCTCCTTCAATTTGGCGCATAGCAATGCCAATCTTGACGGTGCTATTGACTTTGCAGTCCGACATCAAGTATCGCCTGACAACCCCCTCGTCTTCATCAACCTTGTCCACATATTCGGCAAGATTCAGTTTGATTTTCCCTAGTGCATTCTTCTCATTGGCGGGAGAAGAATGGAACTCTTGGATAATCTCAAAATTGATCTCACACTCCTGGAGCATGGAGTTTCGGTCAATCGTAAGCCTCACTTGGAGGGCCTTCTCATAATTCCAGTAAGCACGGTGATCAGACAGGGGCGCTTTCTCGGTATGACCCTGGTGTTCTGTGGCACTAGATGATGGTAGGCGCCAACGCGCCCAAACGGTCCCGTTGCCCAGAGGGACATTGTTGATATCGTTTATCTGTAGAGATGGTCAGATTATGAATACCATTTTCGCAGTCCACCAAAGCCACACTTACCCTGAGGACAAGCTCAAATCTGGGCTAAACGCGTGTGTTAGTCTTTCGCAATCTGTCGTCCGGAGTATCACGGAAACTTACCCTCCGGTTCTTTGGAACTAGAAGAATTCAGAGAAGTTAGTGGATGATCATTATAAACAGAAGTCTTATGAACAAGGTGCTCGGCCGCGAGGACTTACCGAAAGCCTGCATGGTTTGAGTTGTATGCAACTAACTCGTCGGAAGGGTGAAACGAAACGACCATGTAAGGGTCCTGTGCACCCACTCTGACGGATCGGGTCCACCACAAGTAGTCCACTCAGGACCTGCCTAAGGGATTTCTCTTGTTTCTCAGTTGACGGCCCCCTTCAAACATGAATATTGGTGTGGCTGGCATAGTCCGGAGAGGCTCCCCTCCCCGCATATGATGATGTCTTGGCGGTGAGGGGGGTTGCGGCAGAACCTCCGAATCCAGACGATCGAGCACTCTTTCCAAACTTCTCCAATCATCCTGCTCTTAAGGCCTATTTTTTTTTTTTTTCGCTCTTTTGTCTCGGATCATCCTAAACACTGCGGTCATGGTGGAAGCAGAGGGTCCTCTTCTCTCTCCGCCATCGGAGCCAGCCTCGACTGTCCCACTGGGTTCCTCGATTCGTACCACTCCCATACACCCAGACCTACCTGACGTTCAAGTACCAGGAGGGCCTCTTCCCGTTTACAGCTACCATCCGATCACTTGCGAACCCATCGAAGATCAAGATCTCCTCTCGGAGCTCGAGCAGCTGCGTCAAGAGTTTCCTTCTAAAGAAGCCGCGCTGAGAGCCCAAGAACAAGCCGCCAAAGAAGCGAGAAGGAGAATTGAAGAAGCAGAAAAGAAAAAAGAACAGGTGCAAAAAGCGATCGACAAGAAGATTAAGGAACGAGACACGGAGATGAAGGTGTTGTCGAAATATCGGGAAGTCAGGGCATCGGATATTCCAACTTGAGTAGCAACAGCCGAGCACAGTGAAGCCATCCATACAGTATGGGTAACGGCACGGTCGACACGATATCAGCAGTCCACGTCGACTTTCTACACGCCCTATACATGAACGGCAATGCTCCTGAGCATCCCGGCTCGCTCCGTTCGCTACGAGCGCAGTTTCAGCAGTCTAGCTCGGAGTGGCACGGCCTTCTTGGATCCAAGGTCCCCCGTCTTGACGGCTCGCAGTTCTCGTGCGATCAGTATCACGAGCTAGAAACTAAGGCGGACCAGTAGCGTCTCGCCACCGCCTGTATGGTCGAAGAGCTCGCCAAGATGATAGCCCAGGATCCATCGGTCTCCCCAACAAAGCCCCGCGATATCCAGCTACGAAGCATGATCGCCACAAGAGGAGACTACGCGCCCTGGATATTCTATCGGGAACCAACGGTCTTGTTTCGGCCTGGAATGCGCCGCTCCTCAGCGACTCGCTTCCACCAAGGGAACTCCATGGCCGCAACGACTATCTTTGGTGTGCACCTGAATGACTCGTATCTCAACCAGATTTAGCACTGCGCAGTGTCCAGCCATCACCACAAGCCGAGAGGAACTCGCTCCGGGAGAGCATAGCATGCTTCCAGGAATCCGATGTGAACCACTTGATTTATACTTCTTAGTCGCCTGAGACATGTCGGCTCCCGATATCCCAGAACGCAAATGACTCGTCATGCATGGGTGCAGCCTCTCGCAGATACTTGTACTTGAACTTCGGTTTTCATATTTCCAATCACCAATGTATAATATCCGCAATGGCCAATCCCAAGAAGCACTCCCAAAGCTTCCCTGTCATCCACCTCCTTGACAGCTTTCTCGGCCAGTCATTCACAGTAAAAATACTCATCTATGACCCATAAGCCAATATGATGTTCTTGTACAGATGGTGAAAGCTGCGGATGCCAGTTTCTGCAATTTTGTCACTCAGGAGAGGGAAGATTACCAAGCAAATATCAGGATTGACTTGAAGATCTTTGACTTAGACTTGATGCTTCGTTATTTTTGTTCTATTGCCAACGGCTGTACATACTTGTAACGATCCAGTCGTTCGGTTTCTGGAGGATTGGAGTTCCAAGTCGACTTGACCTTTCTTATTGTTGTCAGAGGTCTGCAACCCATCTTCATCTCCTGCGGGTGAGATCAAAAATCCCAACCATGAGAGAATCTTGGAGCATGAAAGCACAGCATGTCAACTTTGAGGGCTTAGCTGGATCTTAATATGAGCCTGTAAAGTAGATTTCACCTGCCGGCTTTGAGAGGGTTGTCAACCTTATGCCAGACAACAGGCACTGTGGTCGAAAAAGTTCGTATCTAGCAGGACCGTCAGCAGTGGATTAATTTTATATGACTGGACTGGAGAATACCCTGCTCTTCACCACTCTCCAATGATCTCGTGGGATAGGGGTTGCCCTCGGCCGGTATACATCGAGTCTTTTCAATTTGTTTCTTTGCCCCCATATATCGAGTAGAGGTAAGACAAAATGCTTGTGTGCAGAGTCCAGCCTTAGAATGGCATATTGAATGTTTTGAAGCAGCTCTTCACTGATGAACTCGGTGATGTCCATCTGGCGCATGGCTAGGTATGTCCCAGGAGTGCCCTCCAAGTTGAGCGGTATTCGATGTAAAACATGAAGGGCTTCGCTGGTTATCTGTTTGTTTAAGAGGAGAATCGAAGGTGTGTAGCGCTCAACATAAAATCGAGGATCAGCACAGCTAGGTCCTCGAGACCGGTCCGTATGTGCTGTGATCATGGTCTCGATCTGCCGGTAGCCGCTCAGATAGTCATTTGGGTTCAGCAAGTAAGCATAAATGATCAGCCGGATTTCGCCCGGCAGATCAAGGAAGGATATCATTGCGACGATACCCGCTCGCGTTCAAATGATAGAAGAAGCTTATGGTTCTTGAAGTAGAGCCTTGCCCCTCTTTCTTTCCCGTGTTGCCACCTGCCCCCCACAATCCTTCGCGTGTTGCCGCGGAGAAACTGGGTGGACTTTCCTCTGTCTATTCCTCGGGCTCTGATGTTCAGAAAGCTTGAACTGCATATGGTGCGGCTGAGAAGGCTCGATATCTCCGCACGTCTGACGGCTCGCAGTAATCAATCAGTATCGCAATCTAACATTTGCCAACGAAGCCTTACAGGCAGCCTTTCCCGAAATCGGCTAAGTCGAACAATCCATGCTCTCAAGCAAATTGAGAATGATAGCATTGCTCCCTGTCTTTTTGTGAAATGAGAAGCAAGTCCGCGTGCTGTAGTTAGAGCCTTTTTACCTGCTGAATCATAGACAGCGATGATCGAATTCAAAATCATCGTCATTTGGGTGAACACGATCTACTTCCGGTAGGAGAACGATCAGCAGTCTCAACCCCATTATCTACCATATAACGGTATTTGGGACTCAATTCCTTCGAATGATTTTATTGGGTTCCGTTCGGAAATTTATCCGAAGCGACGTAAGTAGTGATGGCGCATTATCGACAGCTTATTGCGGGGTCGGACTTGCCATCATCTCGATGAACGACCATCTTCTTGCAGCATCTTCCTTCCCTTCAATTGCTTCCCCAAACTTCTAACCTAAGTCAATAAACAAAGTTCAGAATTTCAACATGACCTTGGTCACTGCTGAACTCGAAACTGCAACACAAACCTCGGCTCTTAATACGACTAAGAACGAGGATGGTCAAGTGAAAAGACTCCATCATATTCCACGCCCTACCACAAAAGAAGCCGAGCGAACATGGCTTCTTCAGCAAATGGCAGCTGCATTCCGCATATTTGCCAAGCTTGGCTTTGCCGATGGAAGTAGCGGCCACATTAGCTTGCGAGGTGCGGTTGGTACTGGGACATATTGAAAGTCATATTCTCAATATTAATGACCAGCAGATCCTATTGAGATCAATACCTTCTGGATCAACCCTTATGCTGTGCATTTTGCTTTGCTGAAAGTCTCCGACATGGTTCGAGTAGATGAGAAAGGCAATCGAGTGGATGGCGGATATAAGCCTGTGAATGCGGCGGGCTTCATGATTCACTCGGCAATACACAAGAGGCGCCCAGATATTCATGCTGCTTGTCATATGCATAGTCCGTATGGGAGAGCATGGAGCACATTTGGAAAGGGAATTGACATGTTGAATCAAGGTACGGCCACCTGTCATAATTCCCACACATCCCCCAATTGCCTCTACAAAGCCTTGGCTGGTACTATGTTACTCTTTCAAATAATACTGATATGATTTACAGATTCCTGTATGTTTTATGATGATCTCTCTGTCTACCCTGCCTTTGGAGGCGTGGTCTTTGCCCAAGAGGAAGGCGAGCGAATCGCAGACTACCTTGGCCCCAAAAACAAGAATCTGATTATGCAGAATCACGGCCTTCTCACTGCAGGTGGAACGGTGGCCGAGGCTGCTGCCTTTTTCATAGCTCTAGAAAGAGCATGTCAGACACAGCTGCTCGTGGAGGCAGCAATCGCGCCTGGGACTGTTGGCCACAGTATGGGAGAACTCAAGAAAGCACTCATTGACGATGAGACTGTGCGGTATACTAAAGATGGAACAGGCAGCCCTGAGGCGATGTACATGCAGTTTGAGCCTGAGTTTCAGCTTTTACTAAAGGAAACTAATGGCGAATTTCTGCTATGATCTGGAAATAGGCTGTGCAATAGCACAGATTTAATCTGACGTTTAGTTAGATAGAAAAAACTCTGTAATATACAACAGTACGGTGCAATGCACTCTAGGCTAACACCGTAGGGATATCAGCATACCCGTAGCCAGAAATTGTATTTATCACAGTTGCTCAAAAGCGTCGAGACTGGTGCTGACTTGGGCTCTATCGAGAATCAAGTTGATAGGTAGAGCTCGAAATAGGGCTCTCCTTATTTCACCATCATCACTGCTGCGTATGTAAGACTGCTTGCTATTAGCTGGGGAGGTGCGGGCAGAGATTGATATAGCATTCAATTATAATTCACAGACTGTGTGAATTTAATAGTGAATGGAGTCACAACTAGATAGATCATCTATTTGATAACACTTGGAACTAGAAGATCCAAATCTCGTCTACCTTTCTCCGCGGAGTGGTAGAAGTGAGGTAAAGTGGGAGAATCCAAGGATCGTAGGATTGTTGAAGAAGCCGAGATCTAACAAGAGGTTGGAGGATCTGAATAGGCAGGATCATGGACGGATCTTGCCACATTTCAGACTACCATTGAAAGTAAAGGAGGGAAAGAAAAACGATGCAAAACGGGATATAATGAACACGGGTCTACCAATTTGGTAAGAGAAGCAATGTGGTTAGGAACAGTACAGTAGTATTTGGAAGAAAATTGACTCTTGAGGAGTGGAATTCACGACTTCTCTAAGGCTATTTAACATGGCCAAAACGCAAGGGGATTGAGTGGTCCTCCTTATCGAATCGTCTGACTACGTGTTCCTCATGCAAGCACGAACTCCTGCATGAATACATACATATTGCTAATGCTCACTAAATGCATAATGGATATACCCTTTATTCGTGCTGAGTACGTTTTCTCGAGTCTTGACTGGGATGAGTTGCATAAGAGGACAGTGACCTGTTGATTGGGTAAGAGGAAAGCAGACGTAGGATGAAGAGAAAGCGACCAAGTCAATTTGGAACATTTCTGAATACTGGACATCTTTCCAAGGATGTATCTTCACCCGTCTACATTGTATGACATCGTTTACCCTCCTAAGCGGTGCTTGATGAAGAGAAAGCCCTGGTGGTTCTAGATTTCTCAGCGATTTGGCTACGGGGCCTTCATAGACCTAGACTTTGACGTTCTGCAGCTAAATATATCGCTTCTAAGGGCATAATGATATCATCATTGCGAATCCCAGCGGTAAATCATCTCTGAAACACTAGGCAGTCATCTCATCCAGATACTCGACATGATCAGGCTGGCGCGTAAAATCCTCAGATAAGCCAATTATGTGTTTCTTCGGTTTTGGCCCTAACCACTCCTGGAGATAGTGGCCTCTCAGGTCGGCGATTTAGGAGTCACATTTGACCCGCCTGCACGGACCTTTCGCCTTTCCATGGATCTGCTGTTATTTTGCTTTTGCTATTGTTATGGTGAACGGCGTTGTTGAATTCAGAGGATAATACAGTACAATAGCATTGTAAATACGAGACTGTTTTGAAGTAGAAACCATAATGCGCTTGCGGGGTAATAATACAGTTGTCGAGGCTCTTTTCAGTACTAGTAAGATTCATATAGCTTCATGAATCCTGATAAAGGTCATATCTCAACATGAGATGGTAGAAAGATGGAAAGTGTTGATGAATTAAATGTTACCTAATGGGAAACTGTTTCCGGTCTACCGAGGTCGCCACTTCTAAATACGAGGGTGCAAATTTCTGAGTCAGTCGCAATTTGGTTATCCCGCACGACAACCCCGCGATAACCCTCAGTCCACAAGGATTCCAAGATAATCATGGCCGCTGAACAGCCAGATATCCATTTCATCGGCACTTATACCCGCTATTCCAGTAGGTCCAACATACAGTCTTCTCGCGCAATTCCTCGCTAATGGGACATAGGCTGGACGAGTCGAGTCGAGGCGGTCTTGGAGTATTTCAAGATTCCGCACACTCGCCAATTCATCAAGCTGTCTGATGTATGATTATTCAAACATTGCTGCGCCGACTCTTTCCGCAAAAATCTGATGGTTTCATAGGTGAAAACTGTTTCGCCATCCGGATATGTGCCCTTCCTGGAATGCCGCTCCCTCGGTGGCACCAGAATCTGTGACTCACTCGCAATCTGTGAATTCCTGGCTGAGTCGCACCCCGAATTACCTCTCTGGCCTCGGGATCGCCAATTGAGGGCTCTGGCTCGCAGTGCTACTTCTCAGATGCACTCTGGCTTCACTGCGATCCGAAACTCGTTCTCCACAAACTTCCTAGCCCACTATACTGGCAACATCCCGATCTCCGATGAGGCGCATAAGGAGATCCAGAAGATGCTCAGTCTTTGGGATACCGCTCGTAAAGGCACCAAGGAGCGCCTTGCAGCACTGGGCGAGACCGATGAAGGCTTCCTGTTTGGAGGGTTCAGTATTGCTGATGCCTTCTTCTGGCCGGTTCTTACGGTACGAGCGAACTTCGAATTCCTGTTTCCATTTTGTTTCAAATTTTTACTGATTTAACTTTAGCGATTCCGCACATACGACCTGCCTCTAGATACCGCTAGCGAGGACGCTTTGGCTTGGATGGCAAAGATGTGGAACGATCCAGTCTTCAAGGGACTAACTCACCGGTACTATGAGCAAGCTAAGGATCCAGAGACTCGCATCGAGCACTACGACGACATCTTCCGAGGACGGGATGATATCCATTACGACCAGTTCCCTGAAGACTGGACCTTCTCTGTTCCTGGCAAATAGGCGAGTAGTGGCATGAGCCCGAGACATTAGCCTCTAACGAAGAAAAGACTCTCTTCTCTCGTGAGAGGCTTTCGTCTTTATCAAATTATGTCAAAGAAACAGTCGGTTTCACGGGTCAATCATCCCAAGCATTCAATGTACACAAGGTGTTTGGAATCCATTATGGAGCCAGGCTGTAGCAAAAGATTCGTCAAATTTGAAAACTCCTGGGAGAAGTTTAATCTCATCCTACGAAGGTTTTTTCAAGGGCCTATAGTGCTGCGAGAGGAACCGGGCATTGCCTTATCCCACTGCCGGTATATTGCCGAAAAAAGTCGGTGTAGAATCGACCGCTCGATTTCAAACTGTTAGTGTCTTCGGAATCACCATGACTCATGGCACTCGGTCAGGTGCTAACGTAGTTGTTGCCATCAACATTTCAATAATGGCAATTCCGCTGGTTTTGACGTATATGTCTACTAGCGGATACGTTCAGCCGTCTCCGTCACAGCACTATCTGTCGGGCGACAGTTGTCGTTGTGTTGCCTGAAGCCGCTGATGTTCTGCAACTCGTTTGAGAAACAAGGTTTGAACTCTAATCTATTGGATAATAGCATAAATCAGATAAACCGGTTACCGGAAAGTTATTTAGGCGCTGGAACACAATGAGAACAATAATGTTGTAGCTATGTTGTTTTCCAACCACGTCGTAACTTCACCCGCCACGCACAAGCCACGTTTTGGTGGGGCAAGTGGCGAGTGACGTGGCGCACAACTCAGTAGAATCGAGGCGCAGTCAAGCAATTCCTGGAGTCAACAAGTTCCTATTTTAGAAATCAGTGAGCAACATTCGCCTTCTCCGAGACCCCGCCCGTCAGCATGAGCCAGCACACGGAGAAGAAGGCTTTTCGAGAAAAATGATTCCGCTTGGGAGAGTTGACGAAGTGTCATTCGATCGAATATTGGAATATGTTTGCATCGTCACCTCCGAGTCTCCGACTCCAGCCGCTTCATGCTTGTCCCGCACTCCCTTGCACTCCACGACCACATGACCAACTTCATATGCCGCCAGGCTTCAAGGTTGTGGAATCAAGGCCTCTGATTGCACACAAAACGCCTTGTTACGCATGATATAGGAGTCGGTGCCGCCCTGTGAGATGAGATCACCGCGAATGGATCATGTGCGCTATACTCAGGACGGGAGTCAACGGTCGCTGAAGAACAGGACTACTCCGTACATAATGTGGATATACAACGGTATGTACATACATATGTACTCTGTACTGTAGGTTAGGTTACGAACAGCAGTGCTTCATTCGGTATAGTTGCGTATTGTCCGGTATAAGATATCCACAAGTCAAAAGCCGGATGGGCGCCTCCCCAAAGTCTGGCAAGAGACTATCAGCGAGGCTCAGCCCAATCGCAGATCAGAGCAGGGATCTCAGCTTGGAGCGCTTTGGCTGGACGCGGTGGGCTTCAGCGAATCCGCGGGCTGAAGTGGCCCAAGACCGAGTTGCCCCACGTCTGCTCGACCCTCCATCAGCTGAGGTTGTCCACTCACTCTTCGTACTAGCGGCACCCGATACGTTCGAAATGGTGGGCAAGGTTCATCGAACAGGGAAAACTGGGTAGTTTCATGTATGACTGTTCAAAAACTGCAACCCTTCCACCCCCTATTCTTATGCATATTCGAGTGATTCTATTGCAGCCTCCCTGAAACGCACAAATCTAGCAGTCGGCTTCGGGGAACGTGGGATGCCACCTTTTATCTGTTGTGCGATAGGGTGGGTGCCAAACTAGTCTTTGCACTTGTTAGGGTTTTGTGGAGTAGATTCTTCCTGCATGGCGCTCAAATGATTCATGTTCCTCCGACCCAGAAGGACGGGCCTGCTTACTTGTTATTAAATGTTATCCAGTTGCAGGAGAGGGATCGCATGAGATTGAACGATCATTCTACCACTTTTCCTATGCATAGGGTATCTATGGACAGTTGCAGATAGGTATTGCAAGCGAGTATAGTACTTGCATCCGTCGAGTCCAGCTGAAATGTGGACACTAATCAGCAACGTGTTTCGCTCTCCGTGATTTTTTGCCCCCAAAGGATAGGAAGCTTCCCTAATCCTGAAAGCGTGCAGGCCGGGGCGGCATATGATGCCCTGTTCTCAGTGTTCAGTGAGTCGCTGACTAGACTCGGAGGATTTTCCTCGCTAGCAGAATAATGCTGTTTCGCAGTGCGGATCATCGGGGCTTAGCTTTTGCAGTTTGGGGCATCTTGCAGGTTGGTATGGCCAAATGGGCGTGCAACGCGCAGGCCCAGGCTGAGACTGGGAAATACTGTGCGATCAGATATTTTATTCGTTTTTGGTACTCCGTAGTGATGTTGTAATTATTCTCAATGGTTTTTCTGTATTTTTTTTCTATAGTTTCTGTTGTGTTTTATCTCATTCTCTGCTTTTCAATTGAGTGGTTCTTATTTCCGCGATGAAACACTGTCATCGGTTGGGCCTTGTAGTGTCCGTTGCTGTATTCGCTGCCGTTTCAACCCCCGCTTAGTGCTTGGATAATATAGATCATAATGTAGAGACCGAGTTAGTATTGATGTATAGTTACTACTACATACTACCGAAATAACACTGCTTTGCAGGATCACTTGCCACCCAAAATCCCGAGCTTCTGGAGTCGCAGATCGGGGAGTCCGAGAAAGCATAGCCAATGCGCAGGGTGCATGGCCCCGTAAATGGAGTCTCGTACGGTATACTCCGTACCTACATACATACCAGCTATGCTACTGTACGGCGTATACTTACACAGTTACAGCGTGCACACTCTCAGATCTCAGACTCGTAAACGAGGACACGAGTAAAACTAAACTGGGACACGGTACTTCCGAGAGACTCCATCAGCCTGCATACATACACCCTGATACGAGGGCTCATCCAAGGTCTTGTCTCCCACACTTACATGCTGGAAATTATAATTATAACAGTACGAAATAATGTGTGCGTACCACTAAACTATATACATAAAAACACTACGTACGGCTACTATTATTTTGACTTGCCTAGGAGAATAATTCTAATCCCCACTGTATTGCTTCTTCCGGTCATCGCGGATCCCGCCCCTCCGATTCTTATTCTCGCCGTCTGCCACCTTTTTCTCTCTTCGATTTCTTCTATCATCGTGAATGTTCACTGTCCTCTCCTTTTTTTTTATATCTAATTTTTCGCTTCTTTTACACGCGCATTCGCCCGCACTTTAATAGATTTATCCTCTGGCCGATTCCTACAACTAGGCTCCCACTCTTGAGTGATGCGATCGATCTAATCCTGCCCAGAGAAACTCGCCTTGTCCAACAACAACTGCAAACTAAATCATCTGTGAACCGGACATTTTCCTTCTCACTCGGGTATTTGTGTGGGCGAATGTCGCCTTTATGATTCTGCTTTTGACTTATTACATTCTTTTATAACACCAACTCTTATTGTTTTTCTTTTTTGTTTCTTGGAATCTCCCTCCCCTTCTCAAAACGCCGGTCGTATCCCCTTTTCGCACAGAGTCATAATGCCAACAATTTTACTTCCTTCTTCTGCTGCTGCCTTTGCGCCGCGGTCATCGCCCAATGTGGTCCTGACTCGAAAGGTTGCGCCGTGGTTGACGGCGACGTTGAAGCGAGTCAACCGGGTCAAGCGCCCGCTCAACAATGTCACTCAGCACACTCGGTGTTTAACCGAGACTCTGTCATCCAGCAATGCGATATGGACCCTTTGCTCGATGATGTTTACTAAGGCGCCTGAAGCAGAGCTACGGAAGGACGAGAATCCGCTCGTGGAGGGCCTGTTTAACTACCAGATGATCCACATCGAGGCTTATGTCGTACATGTTGACATGGTTTCGCGTAACGAGGTGGCTTTCAAATTGACCCCGGAGACTATCGAGTCCCTAGTGGACTTTCATAAAGATATCTATTCGGTTGATGCCGCTGCGAACACGTGGGACTGGTCAGGCAAGCAGGCCCAGCTGAAGAAGTTGCAGGAAGAGTTCGTCCAAGCCGCCAACAAGTTCGTCTATCGGACCGATGCCGAAGCCCTGGAGGGACTCGAGGAGGATGGAGCCGGAGAGTTACTCTGCGGCCGGAGCGAGGAGGCCAAAACAGCGATCTCGAGTCTTTTCGTGCCGCTGTTGCCTCCGCCGCCACGGGTGGTGGACGTTCTGCGCCCAGTACCTCTCCTGCCCAGCTCGACGGGCCCTGAAACCTGGTGGCATACCCCGATGCCTCCCTCCGCCCCAATGGAGTGGAAAGTACTGCCACCCAGCCCATCCCCGCCTAGCACGGGTGATTCTAATCCGAATCTGTGGGCCAGTCTCGCTTTCACTGAAGGCCAACTGCCATCGCCGACCCCCTCCTATAGCCAACCCTTTACCACCGCGGCTTACCCGACGTACGACATCAGTATGGCAGCGACCTCGGCATCTCTCGCGACCCTCCCGCTCCCCAGCATGCTTGTGCAACCGTGCGGCACGGTTGCCAATATGGCTGGCTTCGGTGGCTGGGGTGACTTTGCCCCCTTGCCCTACGGCACGACGATATAGCCCGCTGCATGGAGGGGAAACGATAGACTCGGCTTTTCCTCCACACAGCAAGCGGCACTCTCACAGCCTCGGCCCTTTCAGCCTAATACTTCACGTAGACCGTGGAGTACGCAGCAGCAACTTATACCTCCTCCGCCTCCTCCTCTACCTCCACCTCCTCCCTCTTCCTCTTTGAGCGACCCTGTCAACTTCGACAATACCTTCTGGTATTGATCCTCTTGATAAGGGTTGCAGCCCCTATCCTCGACTAATTGGCATTCTCGACGGCGTTCTTCTTCGACTCTGTGTGCATTCGTGATACTCCACTTCGCCAACTGCATCATATCCAGAATAATCTTGTTTGATGGGCATGCGTTTTGTTATTCATTTTCTCTTGTTCTTTGTTTTTCTTTCCAGCCAGCGTCAGCGTTTGTATTTGTTTTTTTGTCTCTTTCTTGCATTGAGCAGCGGCGGGTCGGCTCTTTCTGTTCCTTTCTCTTTGTTTCATTTCCCGCATATATGTCATGAAGACCAGGTCTGCCTCGCGGCATGGGATATGAATTCGGATGTGGAATGACTTTTTTCTTTTGTCACGGTTCGACGGGATGCGACATCAGGATTTACATCGCCGACTGGTCTCAGCGCTTGGATTTCTTTTGTTGAATGTTTCCGTTGAGGGCTCTCTTTCTGGTACAGGATGCCGGACTGGTGAGCACACCCCTTTCCAGTGGGTCTGCTTGAGGACAAGTCTACGTGACGGTGCAGCTTTCTACCGTCATCCGTGATGCTCGGTTGGGCTGCGCCCTTTCTCGGCTCGCCGTGGTTTATGATTGTGAGATTCATGGGAAGACAGAGACACTACGCTATCGGAGTCGTCAGATTCGGAATACTCGCCTGTGGCGATGACCGGCGCAAAGGGCCTGGGATCGAAACGTCCTTGGCGTCCGTGACGCTGGCATTTCTACATCCCGCCCGACGTGACGAACAGCTCGACAAGCTAGCACTCTCTAGTTGACTCCGCAATTTCACCATCATAGATGCCTGGCTAGCCTTTTAGGTTCATCTCCTACACCATCCAGGCTGGGTTTTTGGTTACCTGGATGAGCTTGGTTTGTCGGGGGCTCGTTGATCGAGTTTCGTTCTTTTTCCCGACACTGAGAATCGGATGCTGGGTCTTTTGGTTTCTTCTTGTCTGCGAATGGAGGGCTAGTTCCCCCCACGCTGGCTGTTCCTCTCTTCTCCTGTCTTTTCATCGATCTATCTACTTAGTACCAAACTGTATGTATCTTGTTAGGCTTTAGTTTGAAAGATGCGTGCAACTACAAACTGGTTCGAGTAAACCGTAACCCCAATGAATGAGTAGAGGATAGAGAAGGGGCAATTTTTATAACAGGACAGATTCATTAATTCTTAGTGCGAATCTTTTTTCCCCCTGTTTTCCCTCTCATTCATCGAAGCACTCATCGCTGCTCGTACTATACGGCCATCTTTGGCAATGTGGGCTCAGCTTCCGTATTCGCCAGATGGGAACAAAGCTATAGCGAGTACCAAAAACAAGACATTTGTATATCAGGATTGACCATGGAAAATCAGGTAACAGTTCTAACTAATTTTTCAGGGCTGAGACGACACAGCTCCACTATTGAGGGACTAAACGAACTGGTAGAGTGCTGGGGCTATCGGTGACGTCAGAAATCCGGGGGAAGCGCCAAGCAGGGATGGAGCTACCTCGTTCATCGCAGTGACTTTCTCTGAGGCCCAAGTACTTCGTCCTTCCCACAGCTCGCCCAGGTGGGTTCTTCATAAAAGTTTGGTAATCGAGGCAGACGGCAAACCTCAATTCGCCACTTTGCCTGTTTGTCGGGCCGTTGTGTTCTTTGAGAGCTACTTCCGCCGGAATCCTGCGGCTTATCTCTACCCCTCCACGCGCTGCTGGATCTTTTGGTTTGAGGGCTTCAAATTGATTAAGGTCTCGCTGACGCGTGTATTTCAATAGAGCTTGGTATTTCTCTCTACATTTTCTCTATTGACTGGGGCTTTTGGTGGAAACACTCTCGTTCAGGAGGGGTTACATTGGAGCCTATTCACTCATACGCCCTGACGATCACTACTAACATCCCTCGGGAATCATAGAAACTCTACGGTCATACTCCTATCTCCGAGCAGTGCAACACCAATCGAGTCGAATATCGGCTCTCCGGCGCTCCTATGGCCGCCTTGCACGATGCCCTCCAATGTCTTCTGCCAACGTCCTGGGACAAGGTTCCTAAATCCCCCGATGAGCTCCGTGAATACGTCCGCGATATCTTCAAGAGTGGCCGGCTCATAGCAGAATCCCTCCCGGACCCTCCACCATACGATCGCGAAGAATATCCCGACCTGGAACCCCAAGCAACAAAATCCAGGTCCCACACCCGAATCATCCCATCGACCGCACGGGTGGGAGAAACCGACTCGGAGGTCACGTCGCTGCAGAAGCAATGGGGGAAGCCAATAAAGGTGGGCAGTCCAAAAGACAACCCTCTTGGAGTACATGTTTGGAAATTGTCTTCCAATGACGGGAAGGGGTCTTGGTTTGGGCGACGAAGCATACATGAGGGGCTTCCATTCTCACAGTGGAGGAAGAAGCTCTCTTCGGAATATGAAGAGACTCTGAAAGTCAATCAACGAAAAATCGAAAAGGGAGAAACGCCCGATAACTGTATCCGTGGTATTGGAGCCGAGAGAAAGGTTGAGTTCATCGAGGTGAAAGACGAGGATAGCTCCGTACTAGGCCAGGTGACGGTCTATCATGTCTCTGCCCAATTTCCCAAACCTACCGCGCCACGAGACTTTGTGGCTATGGTCATCACTTCGGACATCGGGCTGCAAGTGGGTGGAACGAAACAGCCTGGCCGGAGCTGGATGATGATCTCCAAGCCGTGCGACCATCCCGATGTACCGCATAAGAACGGGTATACTCGAGGCGAGTATGAATCTATTGAGCTCATCAGAGAGATCCCTAAGATGGGTAGTACCAACGGAGGTACTACAGAGAATCTGAAAGAGGGTGGCTCCAACGCTACTAGCTCTTCGAAAGCCAAGAACCAGAGCAAAGATGCCTTGGCTCAAGACGAACTGGGTGCTGCAGATGGCGAGGAGGAAGAAACAAATCCTGTCGAATGGATCATGGTCACCAGAAGTGATCCTGGAGGCAGTATCCCTAGGTGGATGGTTGACAAAGGCACTCCAAAGAGCGTCGGAGTAGATGCTGCTAAATTTGTTAACTGGGCCACCGAGGACGACAAACCGCGAAAGCTTGGCAAACAAACTGCAGCATCGCCTATCGGGACATCACGAAGCCCTGAGATTCAGCCCAGGGTTTCTACCGAAGACCTCGATTCAAATGAAAACAATCTATCAGATTCAGACACTGACTCCTCGGACACTGATACTCAATCCCACCACGGCCTGATTGCCAGTGTGACTGGCCTGCTCAACTCCGGCCTCGAACGATTCGCGCCTCAAGCGTTTCTCGACTATGTCCCACATCATCGGACAGCATCGGGCCATCTAGTAGATGGCATTAGGGATGCAGGGGATGAGAAAGATGAACATCCAGCTCCACAGCCAAAGTCAACCAAGTCATCAGAGACCAAGCTGGTCGATCCTCACCCTGACCAAGTCTCGATATCCTCCGCCCACTCTGGATTTGGCACTCCGGCACTAGATGATATCCCTCAAAATAACCTCCCGCCGGCTGAGTTGATGCAAATAGCCAAAGCCGGTAAGCTCACAAGCCATGAAAAAGAGCTAACCAAGCTGGCTTTGCGCAAACGTGAAATCGATGCCAAGCTCGAAACTGTCCGCTCCGAGCTGGACAAAATGCACATACCTGCGCGAAGCAATACATCAACTCCGATGCGCGGCGTCTACAATGACGTAGACAGTGATACCAGCGGACTGCTCAAGCGCGCAGCGGAGAATTCCTCTTCGACCCCAACCACCTCCTCGAGCACTCAGCAAAGCCAGAAGATCAACGGTAACAGTAATAGCGGCGGCGGCGACACACCATCATCTGAACACACTCAAAAAGCAGAAAGCCCACCGCATAATCACAAAGCCTCTTCGCAGCTCTTCCATGAAGAGTCAAAGCTGTTGAAGCAACTGCGCAAGGTCGAGGGCAGTCAGCTCAAGGTGGCCGCTAAGATTGAGGCTCAACAGCGCAAGGACGTTGAGCGCTTGGAGAAGTCAAAGTCGAAATCTGAGAATGAGACTTTGCGACAGGAAGTGAAGGATTTGAAAAAAGAGATTAGCCAGTTACGTGCCGAGCGTCAGAAGTGGTTGGATCTTGTGTCCTCTTTGCAGGTGGAGAATAAGAGGTTAGCTGAGAAAGAAGAAAATTGTTGAGTGGGTTGGGGAGAAGGTGATAGCGTTTTTTTATGTCTTGATATGTACGTAGTCATACTTGAGCATTCCTTGAACATACAGTCCGAGTTTCTTACTAACGATATCTTCTTGCTTGCTGTTCACGTGCAAATATTTTTTTTATTACGGCTGATCCTTGTGGCTGTGCGTGATTTGAATGGCGTAATGGATTCCCCATTGATAATTGTTGCTATCTACTGAGTCTGAGGCCCCAACAGCCATATGCTTTCGAACTACCACTTTGGAATATCTGTGGTTACGAATCCACCAAAGCGAGTTGTCACGCCAAGCTCCAATTTCAGTCACTCGCTGGACCAACGAACATTCAATTTTCTGCACTGTGGCATGTGTGGTGCGACTCGGCCTGTCGAGGCACGGTAAATGCAACCTGTCTGAGAGGCAATGCGGTACTGTTGCCCGCATACAGGAGGTGGGGGATGAAGTACTGTGCAATAAGACACATTCTCCAGTCTATCTTTGTGTTCAAGATGGCGAAATGGTATTCAGAAGCCCTTGGCATGGATATCTTTTGGGCAGGATCCGTATCTCGGTAATTGGGATCGAAGCGAGGTTGGCGGGCTCTTGGAAAAGCTTCACTCGATAGCAAGCCGTAGGGTATCCGGTTTTGTTGTTGCGTGATATCACGGTCATTTCCAGGAGATGTTTATTCTTGCGTCTAGAGGTTCAAGAAGAACATTGTTAGCGACCAACTCTCTCATGACCCGCAGATGAGCGCGAGCGAGCACGTACCTCTGGTGGATTACCAGCACCCCTAACCATCTTCTCCAACATCTTGGTGCGAACCTTCTCCTTAGGCTCGCCCATACCGACAGCCATATAAGAGAGCAGAGGGTTGTGGCCGATGTACGAAGCACAGCTGTCGCGCTTGATGTTGGACAACCACTCGTACTTGGTCGTGTCGGCGTGACCTGTACCGATGTAACGGGCCTGCAGGGCCTCGAGGTTCTGGAGAGTGCGGAGCTTGTCGGCCATCTCGAGGAAATTGGAGGATTTAAGGTATCTGAACGTGTCTGGTGGGAGGGAGATGGAGTGACGGGTACTTGGAAGCCTTGAGACGATGAGGTGAGCCGTCGGTCACGTGACGGATATAAAATCACAATTTCAGCAACTCGACATTTTCCTTCTAGAATCGACATATAATTCATCTAATAATTATGCGAGGCTATATATACCACTCTGAAAAGGAGTTCAATGTCTGAGTCCACATTAAATGCGCCGCTGGCGTCTCGAATTGCGTCGCTGATTCACGCGCATTTCGACGGCTTGCCTGCGCGTAGCAAACCAAAGATATTCCCCGATGGATCCAGAGAGTGGATTCCAATGACTGGTATTGTGGCTGTCAAGGGTATTTTCTGGTCATTTCTATTCAAAATTGCAAAATAATGACTGTGCAATAGGAGAAAAAACACTCTCAGAAAACCTACATTGCATATCTGTTACGTACGTTTTCGATTCATCGGCCTTGCAACCTTGCAACCTTGCTCGATGAATAATGATTATCTTCACTGGTTTCTTTCACTAACTGGGTTATAGGACTGGAGCAAAATGCTTAGCGGCTTCCCATATCTCGCGCTGTCAAGGTCTCGTTCTCCATGATTGTCATGCCGAGATCTTGGCCATCCGCGCTTTCAATTACTGGCTTCTAAATGAATGCCACGCTCTATTGACCGAGGAAATCAAACCCACCATCCCTCCAGACGAGACCCTCGAAGTTGAGCAAAACCATGTTTCAAGATCTCCGTTCATTCGGAGAAGGACCCAAATACAACTCGAAGCCGGTACAATGACACCGTCAGTCAATTGGCCGCCCTTTGAGATCCAACCCGATGTCAAGTTCTACATGTACTGTACATGTGCTCCATGTGGGGATGCTAGCATGGAGCTATGTATGGCAGCACAAGAGGACGCAACACCATGGGAAGTGACACGCCAAAACGATCCAAGCCCGACACATCAAGGCGACCTTCATGAGGAGAACATGCTAGACGGTCGAGCTCACTTTTCTCTTCTCGGCGTTGTCCGCAGAAAACCCGCCCGGATAGATGCAGAATCAACCCGAAGCAAGTCTTGTTCGGATAAACTCGCTCTGCGTCAGGTATCATCCTTGCTTTCCTGTGAAACGAGCCGTCTAGTCGCACCAACAGAGAATGCATACTTGGCTGGTCTCATTCTTCCAGAAGATGAGATTTCTCGGGTTGCGTGTGACAGATCTTTCGGGGAGAATGGCCGTATGAGGGCTTTGGCAGGTCGCTCGTGGCCGATGAATACAGGACATGATGGAAGTGCGACTGGGTATCGGTTTCGACCGTTCGAGGTGCTCTCGGTGCCTGTTGAGGAAATTGAAGCGCTTTGGCCATTTGCGAAACCAAAGGTCGTTCGATCCCGCTCTGTGCTACTATTGGAGCCGCAGAGTGAAAGCCGAGTGTCTACTGTCGTACCCAAGAAGAGCAAGCCAGGTAACGTTAGCTCTATATGGACGGTCGCGTCTTCACTGTCACATCCTTGTGCGATGACAACGGACAATGGTAGTAAGACACTGCCGACCTTGGCACGGTCGAAGACGGGCCTATATGAAACTATCATCAACGGGGTCAAGCAGGGTAATAGATTGGCTACTCCTACAGCACGAGGTGCTTCATCGCTATCTCGCGCTAAGTTATGGGGTCTTCATCGAAATATCATTCGATTAGGAAAATGCACTCACAAACACGAGAACTGCCAAAACCTTGGGCAGGGCAATGATCCATCCTGTTCTGTCAAAGATGCAAATTCATACAAAGAATTCAAGCGGACTGGAGACGATATTACGGATCCTCTCTATATTCGTCAGGAAGCGATTCGTGATGCCAAGACAGTCCTCAAGGGATGGGTGTCGAATACGGGAGATGAAGGCTGGAGTCTAGATGTTCTAGTTGGTTCAAAAAAGCGCAAGAGTGAAGCAAGTTAATAATGAAAATATTAGAATTAATCAATAACACGTCATAAGCCGGCATCACGTATGTTGAAGCTTTTTGGCCTCTTGGGGCCGATGAACTTGGATATGGCCACCCATAGTGTACATTTTTTGGACTCAATGGAACCCCCCACCAAGATTCTCTTGCGGTTAATATAAGACAAATGGCCTTCTACTTTCCCCAATTCATGTCAAGTCACGCGAACAAATACAGGATTACTCCCATGGGCAAACGAGGCAGATTTGACTCGTTAATAGATGCCCGGGATGATGCGACTGCGGACCATCGAGGTATAACGGTCCCAGTCAGCACCATATTTCTTCTTGCACTTCTCCTCGTCACGCATCTCGCGGTGAATGAGCAAAACTCCAAAGTAGAGAATGTAGAAGTAAGTGAAGATCATGCCCCAGCCGCGAGCCTCGGGAGTCTGCACGGCCTGCTTCTGGAGGGCGCCACTGGCAGGGTTGATGCTTTCAATGATGGCATAGCCAGCAATACCAGTAGGCAGACAGTAGGACCACGACATGATCCAATCTCCGAAGTAGTTGATGTGGCGGGCCAGACCCCACCAGCCGGAGGTCATCAGCTTCGAGCCACTGGCAGTCTCGATAAACTTGATGTGCTTCACACGCGGGTCATTTGGATCCCTGCGGAAGCGGTTCTTCTGGTTATTGGCGCCCCGGAAGATCAAATATCCAACAGCGGTGGCTCCGAGGACGAGGGCCATTCCGCTCCAGCCAAGCTCGAAGGGGAAGACGGCGAGATAGCGGCTCTGAGCGCTGTAAATGTGGGGGAGCCAGACAACGTCACCGAAGGACAGCATGAAACCAAAGCCGTCCATGATCACATCCATTGTGGTCAAAATTGCGGGCTCCATGTAGAGCGCGTCCAGGATGTAGAATGCCTGGAAGATAGTGACGAGAACGATGGAATCAGTCACGTAGCCGTAGGTGCGGTACTGATGGGCCACGTTGGAGAGGTTCAGGATAGTCCAACCAAGCAAACCAGGGCGCATCTCCATGAACACCTTAATATCAATCGTACGCGATGCCTCGCTGACGAATGGAATAGGCAGGCGAACGCGGGGGTTGAGCTCCCGACCAATGAAGAAGTCGTAAAGAATGTTACCAGTGTGCCCACCAGGAGCCAGTTCGCGAAGCTCCTGATTAGGCTTACCGGGTTGGGGAACCGTGAAGCTCTTCAGGTAGACGAAGATCGCAACTGATGAAGAAATCAAGAGGTTCGCGGTGATCACCTGGACGTAGTTCTCCCACAGGAAGGTCCACACGACAAAATTTGCGCCGTACATGTAGGTACCAGTGGCCAGACCCGAAAGGATGATGAGGGCGGACGAGAACGCTAATATACCATGGCGAGTTAGTAGTCTTCCTTGTTTTTTCGACGTAAAGAATTTCCCATTGTATGCGCTTCACGTACCATTGAATTTGTACTTCAGTCTTCCACCACATGCCAGGGGCACACCGTCCGCTTCCTGGCCAGGCAGGAAGACCTGCAAGAACAGACTGAAGGCATAGTAGCTCAACGTCCACAGTGTAACCTGGGTATCAAACAGGCCCAGAATGCCTTCTTCCGGCCAACCCACTTCACGCTTGAGCTGGTCGAGGGTCAGGGTCGAGGGGCTTAGGAGGGACGGTGCAGGACACCCCGTCACATCATTGCAGACGAAAGTGAAGGTATAAACAAGAATAGGAAGACCGAAGACGATTCCGAAAGCTCCAAGTCTGTGGCGCAAAGTCAGTAAGAGGCGTTCGATCTAGGGTCGGAGCCAACGTACGGCCCTCCAAATTCATAGCCGCGCTTCTCTGGGACAGGCTGGATGGGGATCTGTGGTTTCTCAGCCTTTTTGGGCGCCATTGTGGAAAGCGCAATTGAAGGCAACTAGAATGGAGCAGGGGTCGACAGGTGTGGTAATCAGGACGGGGTGATAGGCCGAACTAAATAACCCCCGTCGAAGCTGAGGGAGTAAGCTGCGGAAGCTTGGCCGAGAGCGCGTACGACGCCGGATCCCGTGAACCCGTCGAAACTCCCGTCTGGTCGGCGCCCGCGGGTCACTCTCTCCGCATCGCTCGTTTATCGTATTCATCGCCCAATCAGAACCCCCACGTCGCTTGCAAACGTAAGCTGCCTGAAGGTCTCAGCCTCCTCACCTTGACAGCTTCCCAGCCTTTGGGATTATTGACTCAAACATCAATCACAAGAAGAGAGCTGGCCTCTTGACGATCCAAACTCAAACACTCGTTTTATCTTCTTTTCTTGTCCGGTCCTCGGCGACCCCCACTACAGCCATGAAGCTGTCCGGTTCCGCTCATTATTCGCTCCTCCTCTGGTCTGCTATCGTCGGAGTGTCCAACGCTGCCTCGGACCATAACTCTCATCTCAATGATGACACGCCTTGTATCGCACGATCACCGACGAGCGGCCTCTACTTTGATCTCAATGCGATCTCGCTCTCACCACCTGAAATGAAGAATGGCAAGAAGATCCAGAAAGACGCGCGAGACGAAAGCTGGCACGCCAGGGGGCACGACTACCCCGCAAATTTCACGATCAACATATGCGCGCCGGTCATTGAAGATATCAAGGATGTGGTCGGAGTAGAGTCGTCGCATTGGAAGAATGTCAGCGCATATTACGAGCAGGCGGGGAAGATATACTCGATAGGGTATGATGCTCTGCATCCATTCGGCAGTCCGCTATGGACCGGCCGTGTTTCTGAATCCTGCACATGCTAATATTTCCTCGCGTTTGCACAGTGAGCAAGCTTCCGAGCCCTTCTTCCGGGGTCGCAAGCTCGTCCTCAATTATACGAATGGCTCCCCATGTCCCGGTGATTACAACACCGCCAGCAGCAAGAACTCCTCTGCGCGCACCAAGTCCACCATAATGTCCTTCCTCTGCGATCGTGACGCACCTGCAAACACGGCTACTCCTTCCTTTGTCGGTACCATGGATTCATGCACATATTTCTTCGAGGTTCGCAGCTCTGCTGCATGTGGCGGAATCGCAGTGGACCCGAATGCTGGTGGACTGGGACCAGGCGGAGTCTTCGGTGTAATGTGAGTCTTTTTCCCGCAATGTTCAAGTTAACTAGATTCAAGCCAAAGCCATGCTGATTGATGTGTAGCATGCTCATTGCTGTGGCTGCTTATCTGATCGGTGGCTGTGCGTATCAACGGACAGTCATGCACCAGCGCGGTTGGCGCCAGTGTCCCAACTTCAGCCTTTGGGCAGGCATGTTCGATTTTATCAAGGTATGTCTCCTGGCGTTGGTGCCATGTCGGTCTCGTCGAGTGTTCAGGCATGGCAATGTGGCTTCGTACAGGCATGGAGATTCCAGCACGCCCGGGTTACCCGTTTCACGATTGGATTGAGGGCATTCTAGCTGGTCTAGAGCCCAATTGCATTTAAAAACGGCGCAGTCTTATTGTTTTCGCCCTCTTTACATTCATATTTTGGAATTGTCTCGCTCTGTGGTTAGTCTCGATCATGTCCTATCCGCAGCATCCTGCGCGTTGACCACGGCATGTACATTCCTCGTGACTTTCGGAGCAGGACAACACAATTTCCAATTTTCAGTGCACTTTGCTTTCTTATATCTAGTCATCTTCGAGTATCATTGTACCCAGTACTTTCGGGTGTCATACACCACTGCCTCGCGAGACTCGACTTCGTTTTTGCTTTATGGCTGTTTCTATGAGAGCAATCAGGCTGATCATTTTTTTTCTGTCGCACCAGGATATGTTCGTCATCATCTTCTCGTCACTCGGGAGATGTCTCCGTATCAAGCGATCCCCCTCCAGTAGTGGCTACGTGCGCGCTGATGGTGAGGGCCGTGGAGGCTTTATCGGTGCGATCGGTGGCCGAGGGGTCGGTCACGGTGGGCGTCGGGATGTCGATGCTGAGAATCGTCTGATAGATCAGCTTGACGAGGAGTGGGATGACTAGAGAGCTTCTACTGCACCCTACTTGTATTTGTGGGGTCTTTGGGGTTCCAATTGTCTCTTCAGCTTTCGCTAGCTATAGATCTTCGTCGCATGCAATCAATGATTCAAATGTTCAAAATTTGAACTGAATACCTGGGTAGTACATCATTTTGGAGTTTGTACGTAGGATGGTCGCAGCTGGGTCTGTATGGGTGGAGAACCCAACTGACTTTCGTCGTCGGTAATTTGGGATTTGTTATCTCTAGGGCCCTTGCGGGTCCACGTCTTTTTCAAGAATCTGCCATGCACGTCATTATCGTTGATCTTTGTTTTCTTTCGGGGTACCACCTGGGCAGCCTACCTTCAGTCTCACCCAATTCGTCTCCGTGTTGAAGTGGATATGCCCACGCTGTCACCAGATATATAACGGCGAGTTGCACGCATCTTTACCCATACCCAGGTTCCAATTATTTAATCCAGTCAGGGTCAAACAATACCTATTTCCCACTTAAGATCTTAGTACTCACCAGCAAAACTTTACTTAGCGATATTTAAATGCATATTCATTCCAATATTATAGTATCTTAGTATCGGCAAGCCGATACCAGGCCGACACCGGCACCCGTCAAGTGGGGCGTTCTAGTAACAAATTTTCCCACAACTCTACAAGAACCAGCATCATTGGTCTAGTGGTAGAATTCGTCGTTGCCATCGACGAGGCCCGTGTTCGATTCACGGATGATGCACACCTCTTCTTTTTGTATTTTTGCATATGCTGCTAGCTGATGTTAGGGCCTGCTTTTGGGTATGTAGTGGGACCATAGAGGCTGCAGGGGCTGCACGCAGGTCGTGGAGAAAATATTTCATTATTGGTCAACTTGGTCAACGCGCGGGTTACCTAGTAGATTCTAGGTAGATACCCCCTGGCAATTTGCTATGTAAACTCACACCAAGAGACTTACCATAGGGCACAAGGCTGGGAACTGAATTGATGAAAGTCTGGGCACGCGCGTAGGCGCATATATACACACTCAAGGACAAAGGCATCACAATTACTCCAGGTTTTCCACATATATAAGTGACAGTACAAGGGAAGAGAAATACACCAGACCAAATACCCAGATCGAAATTCCTCCCATATAAGAATTGCAAAACACCACGTCGCGGTCATCGAAAAGAGCAGCAGCAGACATATCACCGGGGGTATCCAATATTATCAATGCTGTCCATCTGGTTTCATGTCTGACCCGGGTATACCGAGGTCATACGAAGGGTAGGTTGCCCCCTCCACCCAGCCCTGATAGATCGCTGCCTGGGCCGGGAGCAGAAGTCGGGCCTCCCACTGATTGTGGGGGCGGGCCGTTGCCAATCGGATCGAGGTTGAATGGGAGGAACCATGCACTGGGCTGGTAGAACTCGCCTGTCCCGGCCGGGGCGCTTGGGTCAAGGTGGCCCGTGAAGAGGGAGTGGTCGGGAGTTTGAGCCTCGACACCGTTAACGGGTGGTGGGGGTGCCATCGAGGGGTTATTTGGCGCAACGAAGTTGGTAGGATCGAAGTCAGCAAACGACCCGTATACAAATTGCCGATCCAACTGCGGCAATTGATCCGGTGGAATGCTAAAGTCAAAGGGTGATTGACCGAATGACATGGCCCCATTTTGGGAGAACAAAGATGGCTGGGGAAGGCGCTGCCTGGCACACCGGGAGTATTGCCCATGGCGATATCCATGGACTGCGTAGGAGATTGGTCCATATTAGGATTAGGGGTACCATCGGACAGTTTGCTATTCCTCCGCGGGCGAGATCTGCGAGGAACAGCGTGCTGTGGCGTTGGAGATAGACTGGCAAAGAAGTCTTCCACGCTCTGGAGGTCGGGCTTCTGACCCATAACTGCATCCTCGCCTGTCTCCTTGTGTCGAGTGTCCGGATCCTCCCAGTGCAGTCTCGAGACGCCGTGGGGATACTTGTCGAACCAGTCACCATATTGGAACATGGGAGCCAGCGAGGTGCCATTCTGAGTCGCTACAGACCCCTTGATGGCGGCATCGGCGAATTGTCGGTATCGGTCTTTAGCACTCTCCACCATGTAGTGGAACATACCCCAATACTTTTTCATCTTATTGAGATACCGGTAAGTGTGGCGCAGATTCTCCTTCGACCGAGCTTCCAACTGCACATTCTTGGAGAAGATGCCCCAGATATGAACAGTGCTTGCCGTATATGCACAGTACCCAGCGAAGGGAACAGTAAGCGGATAGGCCGATGCGCGATCAAAGAGCACGGAAATGTGATGAGCAGCCTCCACAGCGGCTCGACCAGCGTTACTCAGGAATGGTTTCGGCATGTCCCGAGGCGGCCGTCCTCCGGGCGATAGGGGAATAGCAAATTGGTTCAAGAATAGCATGTTCTGATGTGTGATGATGTGCAGGAATAAGAACTGATTTGCGATCTTTTCCGCGGCATGAATCTGGAGGTTCTCATAGGTGAAAGTTAAACCGTTGGGAAGTGAGGCAGAGAACTCTTCAATTTGCCGCTTGAGTCGGTTATACCCCGAGTCCGGATGCCAAAGCGGTTGGGGATCTTTTCTTTTACCACCAAGATTCAAATAGTCAACGATGCGTCCCCAAATGACGATGGCTCGGATGATGTATGCCGAAACGCCCATATTTTCCTTGGCGTTGGAAAGCTGGCCGGAATTTTCGGGTGTAGGATTAAGCACGTCCCCGTCCAGATCTTCCGTAGGCCCTGGAATTTCCATTTGGAAATGTGTCTCTTTGATGGGCAGTTGAATCTGGAGGAACTTATCGTTTCCAATGGGTGGCCGTTGGCTTCCAGATGAGTTATACCGATCCATCAAAAAGCATGCCCACATTGTGCGCCGCCGGATTTCCCGATCTGTGAAGCTTAATTGCGAGTTGGCGCCGTTATTCTGATTGAGCAGCGGATCGCTCTCAAGCTCTTGATGAAGCTGAAGGGCGTATGCCATCCTCAATGCTTGTCCTCCAAAGGACCAGCTTCTTCCACCGTGACATGTTCCAAACTCATGCAAACCAAGGAGTAGAAATACGGTCAAAATAGTGATATTCGGTTCATCGTGCCGGCTTAGAGCGATGGCTGCCGCGGGATTGGCCCAGTTCTCCCCCCGGAGGAAAGGAGGTTCTGAGTTGAGCTGTGGGTGAGTAGAGAATCGAGCGGATACTGCACAGACTGCCAGAATAAGGACGGGAGGAACGGTGCCGGCTTTGAGTCTTCGCATGAAGCTAGGCTTATGTAGAAGGAGATATGACTGGCCGTATACGCAATCGAAGAACACCTCTGCCAGATGCTCCTGAATCTCTAGCGAGGGCAAAAACTCGGCGCCCTCGGTCAGAAGTCCCGTGCCATCAGAAGACTTGGGTTCGCGACTCATGGGGAAGGTGTCATGTTGCGGGCGACGCTCTCCTCGCGCCCAGCCCTCCATCTCAGCCGCGAATGCTTCATCCGCGCTCCTCTTCTTCTGAGCCTTAGAAGCCTGTGTCTGCACAGAGGGCTTCACTACCGACCGCCCAATCGAGTGCATATCTCTCGTCTCATCTTTAGGAATTGTCTTGATCACGCGATCTTCCATCCGCTTCAGGCGTTTGTCTAGCATGGCCATATAATCGGTCCGCGGGGCTGCCTTCCTCGTAGTGACCTTATAGACGCAGGGAATTCGCGAGCGAGTGCAGTGCTTGCACGCGGGTTTCTCGCCCGAGCACCGGATCTTCTTCCGGCGACAGGCGATGCAGGCCAGCGGCAGTCGCTTTCTCTCTTTCCCCGCCTTGGTCTTCATCTCGGTCCAGGACGGTCTGCCATCTTTATCCAGTGGCCCTGATTCGGGCCCTTCACCGGCGCCGTCTCGTGTAGTGTCGTCGCCCTGGTTGTCTAGTCCAGCGCTGTCGGCCCCCGTCGCGGGGTCATGGGCATTTGTGCTACCGTGGTCGCGGGAACTCGCATGGCTTTGTGTATCAAAATCATCCAGGCCTGCCGATGAATCCTCCTGGCCCAGGCCGAAGCCAGCACCGGAAGTCTTCAATGGCGAGTCGTCGGAGTCGGGAGGGATCATGACGGGAGCGGATACCCCAGGACCCAGGCCCGGAGCATCGTTCGGCGCAGTCGGGGCAGAGTGGAGGAATGGAATTTCCAGCCTGGGATGATGCGATGAAATTTTTTTTCCCGGCGTGATGTAAAGGTGGGATGCCGGGCGAGTGCAGTGGGAGAAGTCGGGGTGGAGGAGAAAATGAGGAGAACGAAAGGAACATGGGGAAAGGTTCGGCGAATGGCGGCTTGGCAACCTCGTCCACTGGCAGCGCCTTAATTACTGAGCTGTCACGTCCACCTCAGCCGTTAAAGGAGCAGCGAATAAGAAGCTCTTTGACCCCAGCCACAAGATGACGAGGTCTATGGCTGTGGCAGGAATTAGACCAAAAGGGAGAACAGTGCTGATGCCTACGAGATTCGAGGGTACAAGGTTACATACTCCGTGCTGCACATCCGAACTCGGCTATGACCCCATAACTACTGTACGGCACATCCTCTCGATCTGCAGTACACCCGTGGGCCTTTATTGATACTAAGGAGAAAAAGACCTAAACTAGTCCTCTAATTTAACTATTCCAAAGCTATTGGATATCCTATTTGAGGCTATACAACCAGCACCCATGTTCCCCAAGTTCCCTGCAGGTGGTCCACATTCGGGCCGAACCTCCACGGTAGGACGATCGATCGGGTTGGTTGGCGTCCGGACTGGTGACTGGCCCGAAAGGCCAGAAGTGCTCCGATTCTGGTCAATAATATATAGATGGATATAGAAATGGTACAAGGGTCTTCCCTGTCGCCAAGAGCCTCGAACAATAAAATCCACTTCGCCATTCTCACATGAGTCATGACGCACAGCCTCTTCCACTCCCACCAACGACTCTAAACACAATGAGATACAGACTTGCTTGCCCATTCTGACATAATTCATTCATTCAATAGCACAACGACCCGGCCCGAGCTTTATCATGAGCCATCGTTGGGCCATTCAGGGCACATCGCCTGATATTCATCACCAGCTCATGAGGACTTCGGGCGGCCTGGCCGGCGCGGTGGGACCTGCTCCAGGGAGTTCAGGATTTCTTCACCAAGAATATAAATGTTATAGGCAGGGAACACAATCCAGAGACCGCTATAGCAGACGAGTGCATTAGATCAGAGTTCTGAGGGAATTTGGTCAGGCTGAACTTACTTGGGAATGATCCATAGAAGAATAAGAGAGGCAGGACTGTTATGGCCAATATTATCAAAGCCCGAGAAGAGCTCATTCAGCCCTACGAAAGTTAACACCAAAAACTCACCCCAAAAGGAGACAAATAGCGACTTACAATAGAGGATGGTCTTGCTCAGAGTCATTACCGACGTAGTGAACGCAACCAGGAGCGCGATCGCGCCTGTCCGTCCAGCAACCACCTTTTCACCAGTCAAAAGCCACACGAAGCCCTTCTTGAGCTTCTTGCCGCCGCGACCAGTGACGACCGTGGCACCGTGTCGGTACACAATCCACAGGTAATACAAGTAACCCAACGTCTCGACCACGTTCAAAATGGTTTGCGCGGCAGTGAAACCATTACGCGCATTGTATGCGGGCCAACCATAAATGTAGTCGACGGTTCCGTATAGCGCATAGGGGGTCCAGATGGGGGAGTGCAGGCGACCACCAGGCATACTATGAGGTCGCAAGAGTACATAGCCCGCATCCCATATGACTAGGGGTATCGAGACAACAAGCCAGATCGTTAGCGCGGCAGATGGGGTATGAACCCATTTGCGCGCAGTGCCGTTGGTGGTCGGCGCAGGGGACGACTTGACGAGCTCTTTGGCAGCTTTCTCCGGCGAGGGAAAGTCGCGAGGATGATGTCGCGTGGAGACCATGACGGGCTCGAGCGGGTCGCAAAGCTTAGATCTAAGTCGCAACAGGTGGAAGAAAGGGTCGCGCGATCAATGAATAGCAGTAGCTTGGACCAAGGCAGGTACCACAGCAGTAGGAAGGTGCAGGAATGAACCTTCACGATTAGCGCCGAGGGGCATAGAATTCAGAACCAGCCGTGCTCGAATTAGCGCCCCGAGGGAGAATGCTGGGGGCGTTCGCATGCCAGGCGATCCGAGAGCTGACAGAGTTTCGCCTCGACTGACTGGGCAGTGACGTCGTTGGAGTACCCGAAGTGATCGTTTGCGGGTAAATTATGCAGTGCGAGTGGCACGCTTTGGGCGAAGATTTGCCTTCCTAGACTGGTCTGGAAAATTGACCATGTTCATTATTGGAAAAGCGGAGTTCACAGCCTCATAGATCAACGTGATGAAAGTGATACTGAGATTCCCCGCTTCAAGGGTCAAGCTGTCGGTAAAGCCATGACTACTACCTTCCAGGTTGATCCTGGAGAAGGCTCGTGCTTTGCTGGGGGCTGGGAGAGATCACCCAATCGGCGTTACTTCCCCTTTTTGCCTCCCGTTGTGTGTTGAACCCCTGCGCTGACCACCGCTAATCTGAAGGATCGGGGCTCGGCCCAAAAAGGATACAATATAAGGTCAAAAATTTGCGATCTTGGAGGAACCTTTGGCCATGAACTGTCAAGAGATGAAATTAGAGTTACGAGACTGTCGCACTCCTAGGCGGATACCAGATGCGGATACCAGATGCATCAGGCAGGAAACGTGCGCAAACACGTGACATGCAAGCCACCACGAAATAGGGTTCGAAACTCAGGAGACATGGAATCATGACGTTGCGATTCGATTCTCGCGGACGCCTGGAGGCTTGACCCTATCCCTGCAAGAAGCCGTATATTTCACTACGCATTTACATTTGCGTGAGATGGACGCTGAGAATAGCCAGAAGGTGCGTTGCCCGCCCAGGACCCCAAGACCGAAGAATGCTGGTGCCTGACTCCTTCTATGAAGAACGTTGAGCGCCTGGCGCGCGTTCGCGAGAACCAGCGGAAGAGCCGAGCGCGCAAGCAGGAGTATGTTCGTGAACTCGAGCAGCGACTGGCGACCTTCAAGAATGAAGTCCAGCAGAAAGACATCCAGCACAGGCTGGCCAGCCAGAAACTGGAAGCAGAGAATCGCCACCTGCGAACGTTACTAGGTTCTCTTGGAATCTCGGCGGAGCTGGTCCAACAGTATCTACAGCTAGCCGACCAAGGCACGCAAGTGAATCGAAAAGTCGCGATTCCTGCGATACAGCGACCAGCAGAGCCGCCCGTGTTATCGCCGTCTACTTCCTCGGAGACCAACCCACGCTCAAGCTCTGCGCGCGCAAGCGCCTCGAGCGAATGTAGCACGACAACAGATGGCTCAACCCCGACGGAAAGCGGCGGCACGCCAACCCGGTACACGCCAGTGACTTACGCTCCCACTGATTCTGCCCTGATTGCTTCTACACGAAACACTTGCGCGCCCACAGCTTGCGCGCCGAGTAAATGTGCACCAAACGGATGCACACCTATGAAAGTTGAATCAGAAGAGCCACAGCAATTGCAACAGCCGCCGCCGCAACAATTCTCGCAACCCTCGCAACCGACGACGCAGCCGAAGCGCGCGAATCCTTCCCTCTGTGATTGCTCACCAGGAGACGAGATGGCCGAAGGAGATGGCGATCTGCTTAACACGACTCTTTGTGGCATGGCAGAGGAATTGATCAATCAATACAATACAAGCGGCATCGACATCGAGGAGATCCGAAAGAGACTCTGGGCTGGTTTTAAAGCTGGTACTAGAGGGGATGGCTGCCGAGTAGAGAATCAAGTTTTGTTCCAAGTTTTGGACGAGATCAGCAACAGGATTTGATCTGCTGTCCCCGGAATTAAGTTCATTACTATTAATATGGATTTGAAAGTTCACGGCTGCTGCACTACCAACTATTCCGCTTGGCATACCACTTGACGGCATACACCAATCCCAACAGCACGGGGACCTCGACGAGAGGGCCGACAGTCGCTGCCAACGCTTGATCGCTATCGACTCCGAAAGTAGCAATTGCCACTGCGATTGCCAGCTCGAAGTTGTTGCTTGCTGCTGTGAAGCTCTGGGTGCATGACAGTTCATATCCGAAGCCAAAGCGTCGGGTTATCACCAGAGTTGCCAGGAAGATCACCGCAAAGTACACTATCAAAGGCGCCGCCACTCGGATCACAGATACAATCTGATGAACGACCTGTCGACCCTGCGATGCGAACAAGACGATGATCGTGAAGAGCAGCCCAATGAGAGACAACGGGCTGATCCACAGGAGGAATTTCTTGTCATACCATTTCCCTCCAATCAGATTGCGCAGCCCGAATCGTGTCACTACCGCTGCGCCGAGCGGTATGCCGAGGAAGACCCCGACGCTCTTGGCGGCTAGTGAATATTGCAAATTGATATCGTCGTCGCTGATGACTCCGATGAAGAATATGGCAATCGGTGCAAACAGCACCATCTGCAATACGGAATTGATGGCCACTAGAATGGCGCAGTACTCGTTATCTCCACCGGCAAGACCTGTCCAGATGAGCACCTGTTGTTGTACCTTTTGTTAGCTAGACACCCACAAAGGTAATATCTCGGTTCTATAGAACTACAACGTACCATTGCAATGCACCGTGCGATTCCTACCAAGATCAACCCCTCTCTTAACCCCTTCTCATCTGGCAAAAATGCCCATGCTAGTCCCAACTGCGTACCATTAGTTAGTACAACCAAAAGACTGGATTAATAATTCTTCGTCAAGAACATACCATGAAAAGAGGGGCCACAATCCAATTGACAACGAGACTGAACCCAATCTGGACCCACAACGCTTTCTGTCGAAGGGTTCGGTGCAGCGTTTCATATCGTACTTTGCACAAGATAGGGTACATCATAACCAGTAGCCCGACAGCTAAACGCACTGATATCAGAATTTGAAACTCTCGACCCTGGACCCTTCCCTTGATCCGTCACGAAAAGAAAGAAAAAGCAAAACTCACCAATGGGCACAGACACTCCGACAAATTTCCCCCTTTGCAATGCGGGCCCTGTACTTGGCACGAAATTCCCCAGTATAATGCCTATCGCCATAGCAAGAAAGATCCAAACAGCAAGGAACCGGTCCAGGAGTCCAAGCTGGTCGAATACCGACTTATGCTTGTCCTTCTGGGCAGCAGCATTCGAGCCAGAGACCTCGGTGCCATTTTCACTGGTCTTGTGTTCAGGGAAATGATGGTTCTCCAGGGCCGAAGCCTTGTTGGCCTCTAGATCGGCCATTGCCAGCGTTTTGCAGAGCTTTTGATGAATGGAAAGGGAGTGTCTTCATGAAGTATTACCATATTCGCCTCACGCCGTGTTCGCAGCGGTCTGAATAGTTTTGGGATTTAGGGCCAATCAGCGCCTACGGGTGACATCTTAGAACGGGATGTTCAAACACGTGATTGCTACAAGGTCCAGATCTATCAGGAGAGGACGGAGGAAAGTTACAAAAACTGAATTTATGATACATTTGCAGCCGTGGCCTAGTCGTCAGGGCGTCCGTCTCCTAAACAAGGTTCCTAACGGAAGGTCCCGGGTTCAAATCCCGGCGGTTGTGTTTTTGCAGCCTACCTAGTTAGTGAGAACCGAGTCTATAATAACGGGCTGCCTAGGAAACATCCCAGTTAAGGAATACTCTCGGATAATAGGCGTCGGCCGGCGGCTAGCGACTCCTATTCGCTTTACTAATAGTAATGTGGGTGTTAGAATAGAATTTGATCAATATTCACGGAATACCAAGCAGCGGCAACGTTTCCTCACCGTAATCTTGCCTCGGATAAAGATGTCAAGTGTACCTTATACATACAAACATCCTCCCTAGCTATGAAGATTGGCAGTGAAAGATGAACAGACGTGAATATAACATTCACCGATGTTTATCCGTGAAACTGGTCAGCTCTGCAATAATGATGCTTAGAGTATGAGTACTGACTCAGGCAGTAAAGTAATCAAAAGACAACGGCAGACTTCTTCTTGTTCGCAGAGCACTTTCTGCCTCAACGAATTCTGGCTACGTGGAGATCCCCAAGTGTCATGACAACCACGCCATTTGACATTTTTCTCAGTCCGTTCTTTGTCCACAGGCTTGCAAATCCAAGAAAATAAAGTATAGCGAAAATAAATTATGGCATATACCATATTATTAGAAATCTTCCGGGAAAGCCAGTTTGGCCGAGTGGTTAAAGGCGTTTGACTTAAGCTAAACCCGGTTGGGAGAGCTCAAATCCGTGATGGTTCGTCGGTTCGAATCCGACAGCTGGCAATCTTATTTTTTCTTTTCGTCTTTTCCTAGACCATGGCCATACCAGTCAAACCAGAGGGTAGAAGAGATAGAGCGACTAGGCTGGAACCGTATTTATGACATTATGCTATTCTAAACTGTTGTTATAACTAGTTATCGGTGATGATCTGTATGTATGAAAGTCGAGTGCTATGACTAGATAGCATAATAACGAGAATCGCTGCTTGCCACCACTACTAGACCTATATAGGAAATATTGTCGCCTGACTGCCTGATTACCACCGACTTTCATGCCGATGACAGTACATACATACCTTTTACCGGGTATATCGGCGTCGGAGTCGGAGACGAGATACTTACTATTATAAATTACGTTAGTAAAGACTTTGAGCGAGGCCCAGCCTGATTTAGGCTATAAGGACGATCGGCAATTATTTCGGGAGTATTGGCTTTATACTGAGATTCTTCTTGGCAATCTGGAGTCCTGTCAAGCTGCTTTAGTAGTCGACCGTGATCGATAGCGAGTTGGGAGTTCCTCCTATTTTGTTCTGATACACATCAAGATACTCGAATGCGGAGGAAGTGCGGGGGAGACGTTGGTGGTTGGTGATGGTGGTCAGCTTACTCTAAACAGTACCGAGAATTTACAAATCATCCGGCTGACAGTAGTAGCCGGCTGGTCAAAGCTCGTTGGTCGCTGGGCGCTGAGGCGGAGAATTAGCGGAAATATGAAAGAGCGCGAGTGGATGCAGTGACAATAATGGGAAAACAGTGGGAGGAGTGGAGTGGCAGGGTAGCAATGGAGATGCCGCCCGAGGTTCAGGCGGATGCCGTGTTCGGCAGACACGGGAATTGGATTGTTTGTATTTCACGGATTACCATAATTGCTGGTACAAATCATTGTATCCCTGGAAGTCCTATTCATCACGCAGCTAACATTTAAGATCTATCACGGGCAACGAGTTGAAGGCTGGTGTTTCAACCGTCGAAAATTCCCTTGATATGTCAACAAACTAAGTTCCTCGACTCTATAGATCTTCCCCCTCACTTTCCAGCCACGACTTTAGATAATGCTGGCCTAGAAAACAAGAAGGAGAGTGATTCAATGACATCTGATCCGATGGCTAGCCTTGGTTGTTTGTTTTTATTCTGTACCTGACTTGTAATCAGACGTATCATGCACCAATACTACACTATGTTTTCCGTGCCTTCCAGCAAACTGTCGATCTTTACTCTTTCTCTGTTTCTCCACATCTCCACACTTCCTGCTTGCCTCTCCCCCGTTTAGGTACTTTCTACTGTTGTCCCTGAGATCTGATGGGGAAATTACGACACAGACCATCATCCCTGGTTCTTGGTTTTTGGAGGGTAAACATCACCTTAAATTCAAGCGTTCCCCCTCGCCATCTGCAGGTTGTGACGCTGTACTCCCCTCCATCTCTCCTTTTTTTACTTTCTGCTGCGCAGTTCAGCTCCCTCGGAGGTACATCCCGAGTCCCTGAAATTGCCCGGATAAGCTTCTTTACCCCCTAGCAATTATGAAGCTCGGGTGGCTGGAAGCCACCGTCCTCACGGCCGCTACGGTCGCCAATGCTAAAGTATGTCACACACATGAGCTTCGGAGTATATCTCGCGATAGCCGAAGGTTCGATCTTCAATTCGATAGGGGCTAATTGTACCTTGTTCCAGGATCTCGCATTCTCCCCTCCCTACTACCCATCCCCATGGGCGACTGGCGAAGGCGAGTGGGCCGAAGCCTATAGCCGGGCCGTGGAGTTCGTCTCTACCTTGACTCTGGCGGAGAAGGTGAATCTGACTACTGGTGCTGGGTATGTGATTGATGACTATGAGACTAGACGTTGAAAAGAATTGGTACTAACTGGCTTCATGTAGATGGGAGCAGGAACACTGTGTCGGTGAGACTGGTGGTATTCCCAGGTACGATGGTGATATGATTTTCAACATCTGGAGATGAGAAAGAGCAAAAGTGATTGACAGATGACGGTGAAATAGACTTGGAATGTGGGGAATGTGCATGCAAGATTCGCCTCTTGGTATTCGTGACTGTATGACGATCCTTCTCGATTATCAATATCGACACGAACTAATCAAATCTCCACAGCCGATTACAACTCGGGTTTCCCAGCGGGTGTCAATGTGGCTGCTACCTGGGACAAGAGCCTTGCCTACCAGCGGGGAGTGGCAATGGGGGAGGAGCACCGTGACAAGGGTGTTGATGTTCAGCTTGGACCGGTTGCAGGCCCCCTGGGCAGGCATCCCGACAGCGGTCGTGTCTGGGAGGGATTCGCGCCCGATCCCGTTCTGACTGGTGTGATGATGGCCCAGACCATCAAGGGTATCCAAGATGCTGGTGTCATTGCTTGCGCCAAGCACTTCATCGGCAATGAGCAGGAGCACTTCCGCCAGTCCGGCGAGGCCCAGGGATATGGATACAATGTCACCGAGAGTATCAGCTCGAACATTGATGACAAGACCATGCATGAGCTGTACCTCTGGCCCTTTGTGGACTCGGTCCGTGCGGGCGTGGGTTCCGTTATGTGCTCGTATAACCAGATCAACAACAGCTACGGTTGCTCCAACAGCTACACCCTGAACAAGCTGCTCAAGGGCGAGCTTGGCTTCCAGGGCTTTGTCATGAGCGACTGGGGTGCGCACCACAGCGGTGTTGGTGATGCCCTCGCTGGATTGGATATGTCGATGCCTGGTGATGTGATTCTGGGTAGCCCTTACTCGTTCTGGGGTACCAACTTGACCATCTCGCTGCTCAACAGCACTATCCCGGAGTGGCGTTTGGATGATATGGCCGTTCGTATCATGGCCGCCTACTACAAGGTTGGCCGTGACCGCGTTCGTACTCCTCCTAACTTCAGCTCTTGGACTCGCGATGAGTATGGCTACGAGCACTTTATTGTGAGCGAGAACTACGTGAAGCTTAATGAGCGCATCAACGTTCAGCGCGATCACGCCAATGTCATTCGCAAGATTGGCTCTGATAGCACTGTCTTGCTCAAGAACAAGGGTGGCCTGCCCCTAACTCATCAGGAGCGTCTGATTGCTGTCCTGGGAGAGGACGCTGGTTCTAACGCCTATGGCGCCAACGGATGCAGTGATAGAGGCTGTGATAACGGTACTCTGGCTATGGGCTGGGGCAGTGGAACGGCCAACTTCCCCTACCTTATTACTCCCGAGCAGGCCATCCAGAATGAGGTGCTGAACTACGGCAATGGCCAGACCAACGTCTTTGCCGTCACGGACAATGGTGCTTTGGATCAAATGGCCTCTGTTGCTTCTACCGCTAGTGTTGCCCTAGTCTTTGTCAACGCCGACTCTGGTGAGGGCTACATCAACGTTGATGGCAACATGGGTGACCGCAAGAACATGACTCTGTGGAAGAACGGCGAGGAGGTCATCAAAACCGCTACTGCTAACTGCAACAACACCATTGTGATCATGCACACCCCAAGCTCTGTTCTAGTTGGGGACTGGTACGACAATGAGAACATCACTGCCATCATCTGGGCAGGTCTTCCTGGCCAGGAGAGTGGTCGCAGCTTGGTTGATGTCCTCTACGGCCGTATCAACCCTGGTGGCAAGACTCCCTTCACCTGGGGCAAGGAGCGCAAGGACTACGGTGCCGCCATTCTGACCGAGCCCAACAACGGCGAGGGTGCTCCCCAGGATGACTTCAGCGAAGGCGTCTTCATTGACTACCGCCGCTTCGACAAGGACAACGTGGAGCCGATCTTCGAGTTTGGCTTCGGATTGAGCTACACCAAGTTCGAGTTCTCTGATCTGAAGGTCAACGCGCTGAGTGCTGACAAGTACACCGAAACCACTGGCAAGACCAAGCATGCTGCCGTCCTCGGTAAGGTGGGCAAGGTCTCGGATAACCTCTTCCCCAGCGGCATCAACCGTGTGCGCCAGTACCTTTACCCCTGGCTGAACTCAACCAACCTCAAGGAGTCCTCCGGCGACCCTCACTATGGCATGGCTGCGAAGGACTACATTCCTGATGGCGCTACCAGCGGCACCCCCCAGAAACTCCTGCCTGCCAGTGGCCCCTCGGGTGGCAACGCGGGTCTGTTTGAGGATCTCGTTCAGGTCACTGCCACTATCACCAACACTGGCTCAGTCGTTGGTGACGAGGTTCCCCAGCTTGTGAGTATATTCGGAACTTGTAACCAAAAAGAAGCATCTATGCTAACCTTCGTCTCTAGTATGTCTCCCTTGGCGGCGAGGATGATCCCGTCAGAGTGCTCCGTGCCTTTGACCGTGTTACCATCGCCCCCGGCCAGCAGGTCCAGTGGACTACGACCCTGACCCGCCGTGACCTGTCCAACTGGGATGTGGCTTCGCAGAACTGGGTCATCACCAGCGCCCAGAAGAAGGTGTACGTTGGCAACTCGTCGCGCAAGCTGCCCCTCTCGGCCGACTTGCCTACCGTGCAGTAATTGGATTACGCAGGTACAATATTGGTTTGGATACCCACTTGTGTCAACAGTGGAGACTTTCTTTCGTGGTTGGGAATTCTTGGGGATTTCCACCTGCCTTGCGGTCCTTGGATGGCTGCTCATATTGCATTCTGCACATAGCTTATATTGGCATACCGTTGCCTAATAACGAGATTCCGAATCGACATATTGTTGTTCTGTAAGCCTTGTGTTGAAATGTTTTTTGGTTGTTGACAAAGAGTAGCGTAAGCAGAATTGTCAGGGTCTCTGCCGGGCGGATCGAGCCGTGATGGTGTGATCGATCATTGACCCAATTGGTCTTCCCCACAGTCCACACTCACGTTACTATATAAAAGATATCAAACACATCAACCTCAGAATCTGTAACATCCCTATACCAACCCTACATTATCAATCCACAAACCATTCACCTCATCAATCAAAATGCAAGCAGTCCGCCTCCACCCGGCCGCTCCCCCCTCCCCATCCTACTCCCCCTCCAATCCCGCCCCCTCAACAGCCCTGCACCTCGACCAGATCCCCATTCCACATCCCACAAAACCAGGCCAACTCCTCATCCGCATAAAAGCAACAACCATCATCCGCGACATGCTCACATGGCCTGAAACCTACACCCACCCCTACACCACCCTCGGCAACGACTTTGCCGGAACAGTCGTCGAGGTGTTTCCCGGCGGGGAGTCCGCGTTAAAGGTCGGCGATGAGGTGTTTGGTATGGTCCATGCGGATCGACCGTCGACTTGGGCTGAGTATGCGATTGTCTTGGAGAGCGAAGTTGCGGTGAAGCCGAGGACGTTGGAGTGGGAGGGGGCTGCGGCGTTGCCGCTTAGTGGGATGACGGCGTTCGAAGCGTTGTTTGAGCAGGCTGGCCTTTCATTACCCGATTGGGGGCCTGTCTCTGGGGTTAGTGATGTTAAGAGACAGGGAGAGGTGTTGATTACTGGTGCTGCTGGAGCTGTGGGGATCTATCTGGTGCAGTTGGCTGCTAGTGCTGGATTGCGGGTCGTTGCGGCGAGTAGCTCGAATGCTCGCAATGACGAGTTTTTGCGGGAACTCGGGGCTCATGAGGCTGTTGAGTATTCCGGGCTTGAGGGGGTGAAAGACCGGTTTGATATCATTATTGATACTGTGGGTGGGGAGACGCTGGCTCGCTGCTGGGGATATGTTAAAGAAGATGGGTCGCTTATTTCCGTGGACTCGAGCAGCTTTAACTTTGTGAAGGAACATCGCAAGCAAGGGATTGCTAGAGATGGGGTCAAGGCCTTGTTCTTTATTATTGAAGGGAGCAGTCGAGCTTTGCGTGTTCTGGCGGAGTTGGTGGATCGGGGGTTGTTGAAGTCGTTTGTAGCCGAGACATATCCCATTGAACGGGTGCAGGAGGCTTATGACCATGCGAATGGCAGGTATACTGGCAGGGGAAAGGTTATTCTTACTTTGTGACTGTTGAGTACATCATGAACAAAGTAAGATATGATACGAAATTTATAAAACGGATCACGAAATGAACGAAAAAATAACCGAAATAACACCTGCTGAAAGGAAAACAATGAGACCAATCTATCCATTTTCACTCGCTATTGTGTCACTCTGGCCGACGCCGAAACGTATCGAACATGGCTTTAAACGCAGATCCCTCCCGTGACAAAAGCGCCTTGGGCGTATCAAACTCGACAATCCGGCCGTGATCCATAAATGCAATTTTGTCGTAGTCTAGAATGGTGTCTAACTTGTGCGCAATGGCAATGATGGTTTGGTGTTGGAAGTGTGTGCGAATGACGTTCTGCATAAGGGCGTCGGTCTCAGAGTCCACACTGTGGATCGTCAGTTAACGGATAGATCAATTGACGAGTGTTACTTAGCAATATCTTACCTGCTAGTGGCCTCATCCATGATAAGAATACTGCTGGGCTTGCAGAGAGCCCGTGCCAAGCAGAAAAGCTGCTGCTGGCCGTGTGAAAGAATGTCCTCGGACATGTCTGCGTCTAATCCTCCCTTGGATTCAAGATATGACCATAGGTTCACCGCTTGGAGTGCTTCAATAATGGTTTCACCTGAAGCAGTTCCTTCAGGGTTGGCATTAAGTCGGATGGTTCCATGGAGGAAGAAAGCCTGCTGTGGAATTGTGTTGAGGCGGGAGCGCACATGCGAGCGAGATACTCGAGATATGTCTACTCCGTCGATGTGTATCGAGCCGTGCTTGAGATCGAGAAGTCGCAGGATTGTTGAAATAAGCGACGATTTACCGCTGCAATATTGTCAGATTAATCCCAGAGGTGATTTCTGTAGGGAAACGAACCTGCCAGTTCTACCGCAAAGGGCAACCTTTTCGCCAGCGAGGATGGTAAGATCAATATCTTGGAGAACTGGCTCTGACGATGACCTGCAAAGTGTTAGAAAATCATCCCAGATCTCATCACTGCGGGACATACTCATAGGAAGCTGACACGCGAGAAATCTGAACATCGCCCTTCTCTGGCCAAAAGGTTGGTACAACCTCAATCTCAGTATCGAGATCCTCAGTCTTAGCGTGTTGCACATATGAGCGGATCCGAGAAACAGCCCCTATGGAAGTCTCAAGATCGATCCACTGGGTAACCAGGACTTGCAGAGTCCCGCTGAAGCCGACGATATTGAACAGCGCAATACCAAGCAGATTCAACGAGGAGCTTCCTCTCATGGAAAGTGCAATTGCAACCACAACAACGGAAATACCCGCAATAACCAGATCAAGCACAACACTCAGCCAGCGCTGAATGCAGTAAAGCGTGTAAAATGGTCTCTGAGAAGCCTCAAGAGCAACCATCTCTTGGTGTTGATAATGTTCGGACCATCCATAGGCTCGAATGCTCGGTAACCCGCTCATTGCTTCCAGGAATTGGGAGAAAAGAGGCGCTTTGGATTCGATATCTAACAAACGGATCTGTCGAGACGTGCGGACGTAGTATGTCCCCACGTAGTAAACTACAAGGACAACAAATGGAATCACGGCTGTCGTGACGTATGATGAGCCGACGAAAACCAAAAAGCCTTCAACGAAAAAGCCGAGAACTGCGTATATCGTCAATTCAAATGCTTCAGGAAGCTCTTCGTCGATCAATTCCAAGTCTTGGCTGAATCTGTGTAGCGAATCGTGTTAGAAATACTCATAGAAGAGCAAGAGAAGTAATGCTGGATTACCTGTTAGTTGTGGCTCCTATATCAGTCGATGTGACAAATGATGTGGTTGCGCTGTGCAGGAATGGTGAGTCAACGAAGAAGTATCGTAATTTTAATGTAGAAAAATACCTCATGGTTGTTCCTAGGAGAATCTCATGGAAACGACGGGCGGTCTTGGGTATAATGAGCATGCCAAAGACCCTGACGAAAGTTAGATTCGACTCTGACAGGTATCAGATCCAACATACCAATTTGCAAGAAATGCGGAAAACAGTGTGAGGAAACCCAGGGCGCCATAGACACCCAGCCAGTATTCGATATTCTCGTTTGGCCTTTTCTCGTTGGCAACAGTCCACCACTGTAGCCAAATTTCTGGAAGAAACATGGTCAGTGACAGTGAGATTCCTCAGAATGCAGATGTCCACTTACGCGGGAATATTAGCCCAAAGATAAACAAACAGGCACACGCGAAGAACAACATCAAAAGAGGCCATCCGATGTTTTGGAAGTAATAAAGATACACTGCCAAGTCACTCGTTCTGCGGCTAGTACTGTCGATGTTGTCATCCTTTTCTAGATTAAGCCCTTGCAAGGTCTCATCATCAATGACCAAGTTGGGCTCTCTGGTAGTCACAACCGTGGTGGCTTTGCTGGCAAGCATACCGACGTAGCCGTGACCGGCTACAAGAGCCTCGTACGAGCCTTGCTCAATTAGACGCCCCTCTTCGTTCAAAGAGATGACAAAGTCGGCATAAGCAAGATGGTGGGCTACTAGGTATTAGAAACATGTAAGAACACCAAAGAGTCAAGATTCAAACCTGAGTTTGTCGCCAGAACGACCGTTTGCCCAGTCTTCTTGATAAGACCTCCCGACGAGAAAACTACCTCTAGGATTGCTCTCTCGGTTTCTCGATCAAGGCCCGTCAGTACATCGTCAAGCAAAAGCACAGGCTCTCTAGAGTAGAGCGCTCGCGCCAATGCCTAGATTTAGAGTAAGCCAAAAGTCTGGTTCTGCCCCAAGTGTGTTGAAAGCTTACCACCCGCATTTGCTGACCACCACTCAATCGAGACCCACGAACGCCGACCTTGGTCTGATCTCCAGATGGAAGTTGCTGAAGGTCCATCTGCAAGGAGCATGCCTGAATGATGGTATCATACCATTTTTGATCCCACGGAGATGCCCCCACGACATTCTGTCGGATTGTCCCAAAGGTAATCCACGGTGACTGGCTGCAATAAGCTGCATTCTTGAAGGTGGTGGAAATAGTTCCCGAGGCTTCTGGAACCTCTCCAAGTAATGCTTTCAGTAATGTTGACTTTCCACAGCCGACTGGGCCGACAATCATGGTGATGAGCCCCGTTGTGATTGCAAAGTTTAGCTTCTTAAGTACCGGCTCGTTATCGACCGACCATGCCGCAGACAAATCCCTTGCAACGGCACAAGATAATCCATAGTCATCTTGCCATTCAACAGGTTCAACATCAATCAATCTGGAACTTTCGGCAGCGTGAGTCGTGCGACAGTCAATACGTTCAGTATCGAGGAGGTGCTTTTGAATCCTTTGGAAGCAATTCACGACTGCCATGAGATCTTCCGATCCGTCGACGAAGCCAATCATCGGCTGATCAAGGAGGAAGAAGAGGGTTAACGCTGAGAATGCCATGCTGTTTGTCAAAGTGCCTGAATCCTGTGATCGAGCTATGATGATATAAACACCAAAGCCAAATACGGGGGCAAGTGCCGAAGAGGCATAAGCTATGTCACTGGATTAGGAAATATTTTGTACGAATTCTGAAGATATACTGACAGAATGTGATGATGAGAACGGTGTATAAGCGGAAGGCAAATGATGCTCTGATTTCTTGTGTACGTAGCTGCCGAATGTAGTTTGCAATGACCTTCGTAAGGCCTGTCATTTTGATACTTTTCATGACCCCAAGCACTTTGGAGGTCACTGCAACACGCTCCTCTACAGCTTCAAGCCATGTGCCTTGAGCATCACCAGATGCGACCGCCAGTGGGATTCCAATGATGAGACAGACTGGTTCCGAATATTAGCACAGATATTTGTTGTTAGGCACGTAGGAGCCGATACGTACTGACGACCACCAGCGTAGATGCGATAGTTGCAAGCTTGAGGAGCCGGGCCAACAACCACAGGGCGAGAGCAACTTCTATGAAATTGGAGTATGTTTCGGGAATCTGTCTGATGCCGCTGCCAATACGCTCAATATCTGTACTCATCAATGTAACTGCACTCGCATCAGTCACCGCGGAGGAGCTCATGCGCAGAGTCTTGTTGAAGATGAGGGTAACCAAGCTTCCCCTGACCATTGTGACCAGACGGCAGGTTTTATGCTGGTACACGGTAAATGATACCTATGATGCTTGTAGTGAGTAATCCAAGTGTCATTATAGAATCTGGGGCAATAGAGCCACATACTGCAAGGCCGATATAGACTATCGCGTATGCTGCAATAAGGCCACCGGCGTAGTTTGTGGAATTCACATGCTCAGGTTCCGTCATAAAAGCTAGCACTCGCTCAACTAGAAACGGTTGTGCGAAACTGAAACCAGTGAATGCGATTCGCGGCAAAACACCTTCCATGATCTCCCACTTGTAGTGCCAGGCCAAGGTCCAAAGCAATGCGTTAGGTCGATACTTGTCGGCTAGAAATTGACGTCAGACTTGAGATAATAAAGGGTGTATATGTGTGAATGAAAATCACCTTTAGTCCAAGCCTCGATCAGGTCTTCCGGGGTTGAAGCTGCCTTGAGGGCATCATCAAGCACCGGAAGGCTATCCACTGTAAGAGTAGTCTTGGAACCTTCCCAAAGCAACCCGTTCAGCCACCAGAAGAGAGCTCGATTGAAAGTGTTAGCTGTTGACTCCAGCGAGGTTCCTTCGAAAGCCTTTTTCAACAATGATCGTTTTTCTTTAGACTCAAGCACAAGAATGACCAGCTTGCCAACCCAGCCGACGGTAAACAAAATTGTGATTGGGCGGTTGTTGGGCATGAAGTAAAGTGTCCGAAGTCGAGTGATGTCAAATAGTAGCGTAGACCCTACAAAAATGCAGATGATTGTCGATGGGCGCAAAGATCGAAGATGCTCCAGGTGAGACAGGTGAAGTAAAAAGATAGAGGCGGTCATGCTTGCAACAGCGGTTGGAATTGTCGCTCTTGTAGTGGGAATCGAGGGCTTGCTCCAAAGAATTAAGAGAACTAATTGAAGGGATATTTGTATGGCCAACGCCGTCTAATTCGAGAATAAGTCAGAGCTGTGTCCGCATCATGAACAGGTCAATGTAGGCCCAACCTCCTTAGCCGCGTACAGCCATGATCGATTGACTTTGTCTGGGGAGCAACGAAGGCTCCAGACACGTAGTACACCCGACAGAAGTAGTAAAGATAGAGGAAGGAGAGTCAAGATCGTCTCTTCAAAAAGCAGAGTAAAGTCAAACCCATGATGGCACGACGCGTTGACGAATGGACCAAACACGTCCTCATCGGCCACAGAGCATGGTAGAGGGGCGTCAATCATGACGGGTTATGATGAAATCTAGTTGATGGCGGGCAGAAGGGTATTCTGGGGAAGGCGATGTATAAGTATCAAATATCCAGGGTTCCTCACAAACACCAGTTCGATCGTGATTGCTGATGCCTTGGAGAAGTGGGTCCGGTCCCCAGGGCCGATGCGACTAAGCGTCGGTCTCCCGCGGCGATCATTCCAGCCTTGGGAGGCCGCACTTGGAGCCCGACCGTAACCTTCTTGGTAAGGTTGGCCCTAAAAGTCAAGTTGCACCTTAGTAGAGCCTCGCCATCTGCCTTCTTCTTTTTCCAGAAGACTCTATTCAAAAATTTGAAAAGACCCACGGTACATTGTTCGAGCATATCGAGAGAAGAGAGGTGCTATTCACGAACTCATTCAGTCTTTCTGATCATAAATTCCAAATGGGGTAAGCTGTATGTGGTTCAGGCCACCCACTCTGCACAAAATGTGAGCAATGATCACTCAAAGGCAGGGAAATCCACAATGACTGCGTCTTTTGAGAGTGCAACGAGACTGGCAAGGTATGCCAGGCTTACTGAAGATACAATTTATAGTTTATCATTAATGAGCAACAGGCTTGGGTGGAGCTTCTGGGTAAAACTTGACACGATCACGCTAATTGAAGATCGCCAACGCCCTGATGAATGAAGATGGAGTAAAAGAAAGTCGGGAATAGGACTGGCTGGCCTCATACAGCAGAGTAAGCAATATTGTAAGTTGGCTGTGACCCTTTCTGCACACGGTCGCGAGCCAAATTTCGAGTAATAAGGCCGGCTGAAAGATAGCTGATCATGACTAGAAATTCCGGAACTGTGCCGAAGATAATCTTCACTGCTAGGCTCCCCCCAGACGCATTTTGATATTTGAAAGCAATGACGATCGCATAGAGAACACGCGCACCGATCAGAGGCATGGCAATCTCCACAGCCAAGAGAAGTCTCTTCTCGTCACTCACGCGGCGGTGATGGGCATTAGCCCTGGCCGAGATTATCACCAGGCCAACAACAATCAGCCAGCCCGTGGCAAAGATGATGAGTCCGATTTCTAATAAATGAGGGTTCTTGCCACTGGCAGCAGCAAGACCAATTCCTCCCGCGATGACCATATGGGGGATAAGGAGGCCAAATGGGCCGAGAAACGCATGAAGCGCGGATTGAATCGAGTGATTTCTTTGTGGAAATTAGCATGCGAGATTGGCCGTGGGCCGATATATACTAAAATTGAGACTTACGCTTCATGAAGAATTCCGAGCGCTGCCAACAGAAGCGGCGAAAGACCAATCCCGCTGATAATCGAAGCGGATGTACTGGGTTTGCCGGTTGTTAAGAGTGCGTGGTAGGCCATGCCATTTCCTACCAGACGTAGGCCACACATTGCGAAGACATATAGCCATCCAATGACTCCATGCTTGCCGTGTGTAATGAAGCAGTATATGGCAGGAATTGAAGCAATGGAGTAAAATGCCAGCTGAGCTAGCTCAAGCCCCTCAGTTGAGGTTGCCATGAAGAAGCGCCGTCTCAAGTATGAGCCGCTGGTTTACTTGAAGCACCAGATATCGTGAATCGTTGAGAAGTGTGGAAGATATTGTAACCTGAGACCTGAGTTGAACTGAAGACGTGAAAGATCCGAGCTTCTTATAGACTCGTTAGCAGGGAAGCGTGGATGTCATATTTCTAATTATTGCTGTGGCCATGCATCCACCCGATGATAACTGCCCTGGGGCTGTAAACTCGAAGCCGAAACCGAGGATCGGCACAGCGACAAGTCTCAAAGCTCAGCTCAACCTTCTATCTTAAGTGCAGTCGATTGGCTGAGAAGCCATTAGTAGATCTTGTCAGCCAGGGGTCTCTAACTAGAGTTGGGGGACAAGCCGAAACCGAGATTTAGCGTTCCCGGTGGGGCTCTGCATAGAGGCCATCCTTCAATCTCACTTGAAGGCAGATTTTACTGGATTGTAACCCCTGAAATTCCAGAAATCAAACACAGATTAAATCAGGAAGGAGAAGGCATTGCTTGGTGTTGATTCGTAACCTGTGGTGGCCAGATGTCGCTGATTGTGGATTTGAGCGCTCATGAACGCCCGCGAGCATACAAGCACGTCCGTAAACCAAGGGAATAATTGAAAGTCTCGTTCTCCTGCAATAATTAGGCAGTGCTTCATCTTATGATATATATACAATTAATTTATTATTGTTCGTGGATATGTTAGACCAGCTCATCAATCACGCTTCGCATTGTCAAAGGAGATGAAGCCTCGCTCGCAGGATTATCCTTTGACACAAGACTGAGAGGCCAAGCCAAAGCCCACTTCCAATCAGCTGGCATGATACTGTCAATACCTCTCACCTCCTGTTCAGGAATCCCACGCAGCCACCAGATATTTTCCACGCTTTTACCCAGAGCAAACAGGTGTGCTAGGATTGCCAGAGCGCGCGGCCGTTTCTCACCGACATAGTCAAGGAATAACTTAGGAACAACTGGTGGAAAGCCGTTGAAGATTTTACGGATGACATATTCCGGTTGCCGATCTTGGACAGCAAAGTACAAGCGCTCAAGGTACGTGATGGTTCCGTAATAAGCATTGTCAACAGAGTCCGTCATCTCTTCCTGGCGATATTCCAGAAGATAGTGAAAGGGCTTGGCAGGACTCTCGTCAGAGTTGGTTGGGTCTCGATGCCAAATTGTGGGTTGTGCAACAAGCAGTGGGCATAAGCGCGAATTTGACGCCATTAATTGGTGATAAACAGTTTTTATAACGGTACGAATGCCACGTGCCATTGATAGCCATAGAATCGGGGGCTCATAGGGCTGAGGAGTGCCCTCCGACCGCAGGAATAAGGTGTATAGAGATATTAAAATAGCGTTCAGACAGACTGATTCGCTTGTATTGCCGTCAAGTTTTGCCGTCACGGGCCGATGCCCTTTGAGGGCAGAATCAATGTACCCATGATATATGGGCCGTAATGAGGGCGCTTCGCCAGGGAGCAGTGTTGTGCGATGCGCTGCCCCAAGGGCGAGTAAAGTGTGAAGAAGCGGCTCATACTCGAATGCCAATTGAGGCACCGAGACGCTCCACATTTCACGAACGGAGGATAACTGAGCGGAGCTCATTGTGTCCGCAGTTGCGGTGATCCAGTGGTGCATGAGGCGTAGCTCGAGGACCCGCCTACTGCCGAGCTCTGGGGAAGGCAGACTTGGTCGAGGGCTCTCATCATTCCTTTGACAAACAAGCGCGTTTGTTGATTTGGGTTTTGGCTGACTGGGGTCGTAGATCCGGGTAACCAGAGAAGGATATTCGCACGATACACTGTGGCGAGTGCAATGGCTGCATTTGGGTCGCTTTTCATCGCACTAGTTGAAGATGAGCATCCATATCCAGAGGGTTGATGTCAAGAGTGTCTTATCTCACCTTGACCTTCCTTGTTTTACATCGAAGGCAGCCAGTTGTGGACTTGCGATAGCTCAGCCGAGGTGGCATCCTTTGTGCAAATTATTCGTCTGAGCTCGGTCTGGGCTCGACGGAAGTTTCCTGGATGCAAATTATTCGATATCGCACCGACAGAGATCAGCTCGGTTTCGGGAAAATTGCTGTCTGAACTTCATCGATGATCAAACAGGCGCAATATTCGAGGCGTCAGCACCGCAGTGTTTTTAAGGAGGCGCAAGGCTGTGGCCCCCACATCGGCCTTTCTGTCGCGTTCGGGTTGTTGCACGATTTCGGGTAAAGCGCGAAACTACCTGGCGATTTGATTGGGTCATAGCAAGCCCCAGCCCCATTGTGGCACTCGATTTATGCTTAGCAAGTGGAGCCCCAAATCAGTGAAGAGTCTAAGCCTCGCCAATTTGACGAAGGAGCCACTTGAATCCATGTATACAGAATCTCATCCGTTCAATAGGCATCAACAGATGAGCACTGCCATATGTCACTGAATTATTGTATATAAATACAGCTTTCCTACTCCAAATGGCACCCGATATCCAGCTCGTCGATTTTTACAGTCTCCGCACAAACAACCTCATTCTTTCCCAAACCACACCATCATGGGCCTCATCAAGACCGGATTGGCTCTAGCTGGAGGCTATGGCCTTATCAAGGCTGCATCAAAGTAAGTTTTCTAGAGATCGACTTGCTGGACCGACCGTGCTGACAAAGTATCCCAAGAGCCGTCAATGACTATGAAGATAAAAAGCAAAGACGCTCAACTCAAATCCAACAGCAATACTACGCCGGTCATGAGCCACAGATGGGCAATATGCAAGGGAGCCAGATGTGCCATCAAAACTCTCAACCTCAATGGCCCTCATCGAGCGGTTCGCAGTCTCCCCAAGGAAATTACACTGGCAACCATTTCCCCCATCAGATGAATCCTCGCAGGATTCAAGACGATTCAAAGAGCCATGACAACTTCGTCAATCAGTCTCCTCCTCCATATCATCAGGGTCACGCAGCTGAGAGGGAGGGTGGTGCTCAACCTGGATCGGCCCAAGAATACTATTCTGGAAAGAAATTTTGAACGCGTCCGGCGATGAATGGGCGGATACTTGAAATGGTTCTCCCATTGTACATTCCGTGGATTTGAAACATTGATATCTGGATTAGAGGGAAGGAGTTACAGAGAGTGGCATTTTATGATTATGTTTGGGCTTTCATTTCACCTTCCTTGTCATGATTTACGAATTTTGAAACACATAGATAGGAAATCTTCATAGGCCTCACCCCAGGTACAAGGCTTTTTTTTAAAGAAAAAGAAAGGCCCGCTCATGGCGAGAACTCACTTTGAGTGTATCCAAGTGGCTCACAGCGCCTTTCAACATGATTGTGATCTAGAATATCACCTTAGTATATGTACAGTAGTCTCATGGTGTGGTGCCAAGTCTTGTGAATGGTGGTGGCGGGACCTTGGGGGCCAAGGTCCATTAGCCAATGGAGACTTTCCCATCAACAGCTCGGCGAGGCAGAACGAGCCAATTTGCGTTCGCATTAAGCGCCCGAGTGTCGGATCATTCTGTCCAGGCCAGCAATTATTGCATAGGTCCGGATAGGAGATAACTCAAAGACTATATGTGTTGACAAAAGTAATTGTTCCGTTCTGAGACAGTAATGTTTCCAGAATGATTTCATGAGACAGATCTGATCGATAACTTGTTAGAGATGATCTTCCGAGTCTCGTAGCAACCCCGCCTTCTTTGATAAAAATAGCGACTTTGGGGGAGATTGGCAACCAGTAAAGGATGATGGCTTCGGTCGAGTTTATACGAAGGAGCCAATTATGCCAAGTTGAGTGGGGTTCTTGGGAGTTTTGGCCCCAAACACTGTCAATGTCAGGAGAAAGGGGAGGTGGATGCCTGCGCCAGGAAACGAAAGATCCTGCGATCGACATCGGCATCGTTGCTGCTCGCAAAGCAAGCCCGAAGCATCGCCGCCCCGAGAGGTGCGGCTGCCAATGAGCCATGCTAATCGCCCCACTCAAGGAGGCCAGCGAAGCAGGCAAGCAAATCATATACGAATTAAGATGTAGACCAAGGCGTTTTCCTGGCGTTTTGTCATGGCTTGTAACAGGAAGATGCTTAACTATAAGTCACGCCTCTCATCCACAGGCTCCGGCTTTGAAGCGAACTACCGTGTGACCCCAAGCTTTCTACCTCGACACGTCCTCGTCAAAACCTATATCGCTGCCGTCAAGTATCGAGGCCCCAATATGGGTTCAACAGGCGTGCTGAACCGACCGGGGGAGTTCTGGGAACAATCCACAGCCAAATGGCAACAATCTACCACTAAATGGCAGCAGTCAACGACGGAAGCATTGCGTCGGTCTGCCAGCGCATGGCACGAATCCAAGGATCGATGCCATCAAACCACCATGGAAGCCTGGCACAAGTCAGCAGACTCATGGAATCACTCCAAGCATATGTGCCGCCAGTCAACTGCAGGCATGTTGGCTCGGTCGGCAAACAGAATCTACCAGTCAACAGACCGATTACAACACATGAATCTTCTTGAGCATCACGCCGATCAGATGCAGCCCGCGACCGAGCAGAGTCCGAAACCAGGTGACTTAGCTACAGAAAATATTTCTCAGACCTCAACATCACCACAAGCTGTGCAATCAGCAGAAACTAGATCCTTGCCGGAGGCCTCGAAGTCGTCGAAACCCGAGAGATCAACACCGTCACCTCCATCGCAATCCTATCCCGTGTCCTCTATATCCTCCCCCTCTACCCAATCTCCACAATCCCCATCTGAGACCGGTACCGATTCAACAGCATCTTCCTCTCTGTCGGTCGATCTGTCAATAAAAAGGCGGCGTCCGGATGAGCAGATTCGGGGGTTGCTCAAATTTACCGATCACGTTTCCTCGCAAGTCCACAAGGCCAAGCGGCTTAGGGATTCAAAGTCAAGTCAACTAGGCGAAATTGAACATAATTGGATCAATTCGACCATTGTCGATGCAGATGACTCGGCCCGGGAACTGGCCGATCTTCTTGAGTTATGCCGGTTGGATATGGCGAAGCGCAAGGGGAAAGGCAAGATTAGTTCGGCAAACCGGAAGCAGTGGAAGCTTCAGAGCCGAGGGCGCGCCGAGGAAAAGCAATCTCGCTTGGTTCGATATCAAAGCCGATTGGATCGAGTACTGAATCATCTCGAGAACCTCAAAATGCGTCAGGAAACTTCGGTTCAGGAACTGGCGAGAGAGAGCGCTGCCGAACTCTCAGTCGCGGAGACAATAGCAAAGTCTGCTGTAGAGCTGTCAAACGATACGTTACACGATTCAGTTGCAGAGCTGCCAAGTTCCGTGTCACCGAAACCGAAAAATTCTGTAGCGGAACTTCCATCGTCATCCGGTACAATAATGCGAAAGCCTGTGCCGATCCTTGCAGAGCTACCCGGAGATTCTGGGGTATGCATACAACCCACGCATACCGCAAGGAATATACCCAAAATCATCGTTACGAACACCCCAGATGAATCATTCTTTACCCTGGTGGGAAGTCCAGATACACCCAACGGAACCCATGAAAGTAGGGAATTGAACGAACTTCTGTCCTGGAAAGAGACACGAAATAGCATTCGCTTGCAGCAATCAGAGGCACTCTCAAAGATTGTGTCCGATATGGATAGCTCGAGGTCAAAATGAGGAATCCCTTGGATGGCTAATTGAACTTTCTTCGGGATAACATGAGATCGAATTGTCGTATCAGCGTGGAGTTCGGGTTAGAAATAGAGATATCAGCTTTTGTTATTTCTGAATCTTGGCCACTGGATCATCAGTCCAATGAATGTTCTTTCATCGTTAGAGCTATGGCCCTTCGATTCGGAGAATGTGTAAATCTTCGTTGCTGTGAATTAATTTATCTTACGTTTCGGATCCTCAAGAAAGGTCACTCTGGCTTTTGCCCGTATACTATATGAACCTTTGAATACAAATGGTTCGACAGATCTTTTAATTCATGGCGGACCCCTGCCAAAAGAGCCTCAATCCGCACTCGATCCCACCCTAGCATGCGTGTGAATAGCGCATAACTATAAGGGGGCATCGCTTCCAACATGTTGAGTTGATGATATCGTCCCAGCTCCTTCAGCTTGGGATCCTTAGGCCACGGACTTTGTGGCAGCTACATCAACATCAAGGTTAGTACGGGTATGATTGTGGGAGGATCCAAAGTCATTACCTTGAATGTTCTTTCTTCCACATTAACGAAGCCTGCCTTTTCCATTTTCTCCTTCCAGGTAAAGACGGATGTCATGTCCTTTCCAAACATCTTTGACCCTGCGTGTAAATGCGCCACGCTCTCAAGTAAATTCGTTGCTTTGAGATGAGTGTCGTCATCGGAATATGTGTTGACTTCAATCGTGGACATCTCCAGCCATCCGGTTGGATTCAAATATTGATATGATTGTTGGAACAATGTGTCGTGATCGCGGATGGCGCCTTCTAGCTCGCGTCCATGGATGAAATCGAATGGCTGGCTGTATGACCATCGTTGTTCGAAGTCGTCAATTTCAAAGCGACAGTTTGGAGGTACCCTAAACTTTTTCATCAGTATCTATGGATATATGAGCACAAAGAGCTATGAATAGGTACCATGATGGTTGAATGGAACTAAAATCGATTCCTGCATGGCATTAGTCAATAGCTCTCCATTTCAGCAAAAGCGTTTCCAAAATAGAGGAATATGGTCTCGTACCAATTACCTCTGTTTCCGGATGTTCGCTATGGTAGGTTAGCAGAGGATAGTTGAGCTATTCGCGATTGATGGATCTTACTCTGCAAAATCAATGGCCCATATCCCAGTACCTGTACCAAGATCTAATACCCTCCTAGGGCTTTTTACAGGAGCAACATGAAGCTCTCCCTTGAGGAGCATCAGATAAATGTGGTGGCTCTGTCATCGGCACTTGGGTTAATTTTGATAGAGGCAGATCGACAAGGCTGGTAAGCACTAACCAGATCAAGACGATCTTGTTCTTGTTCATCGTTGGGCTAGGGTCAGGAATTAGATCAAATTGATCAGCCGAAGATCGACCGAGATTGACCTACTAGGACATATTCGCCTTCATGGTAGGAGTGGTATCTGCGACCGTTCTAGATACTGCTAAGCAAGAGGTACCGATCGTGGTATCTGTTGTATGGTAATTACCTCATACCTGCGTTGTCAGCGACGTTTGATAGAAGCAGAAGCATGCATTTTACTCTTCTTTCTATCTTTCTCTTGTTCTGGAAGACATACTGATAATTTAGAGCAGTGGATGTGATACTGGTGGTATGACTGGCGTCACCTAACCTTATCGGAAAGTTAGCGCAGATAGACGCAGATGCTTGCCACCCTCCACTTACGACTCGGGGTATGTTGAATCGACATCCGAGAACTATGCGCGAAAGGAATTAGAACTGCAATGATGGCCCATCCAACGGACACATCCCCGAGCGGCACTAACATCAGGCTCGATGGCGTCCGAGTCCGAGCCATGTTGCATGTCGTGGTGCATCCCACGCAGGTTGATAAACGCGAGGCTTTCCGGCGGACAACTGCTCAGGATTCAACGATAGGGGAGGGACCAAAGGGTGTAAGAAAACTGGAGGACTGCCTCAACAGCCACACCAACTGGAGTCTTATGACCTCTCCAGCTTCACGACAGCCAGTTAGTGTTCCAGAGTGTCGGGTCCCGCGCTATTCAGCTTTTATTGCACTATCCACCGGTTAGCGCTTCTAGATCCTTTTTCAACGAGAGTGTACCGTCCCGACAGTCTGGTTCGGGCTTTCAAAGTCTCTCACGGGCATTAATGAACAAGCAAGGAAGGAGTCCACCGCTAGAGGCATCGAAATGCTCCGCAGTGATTAGCCCAGCTGTGTGTGCCGATCCCCAGGGCCAGGAAAGGGACCATTTTTTAGCCAATCCCCGACCGTGGTGGGGCACTTGCAACCGGTTGAGAGGCTGCGATATCCGTGCGGTTTTGGGTGGGCAGTAAGGCACGGATACAACGACTCGACTGGCGCCACAGGCGAATGCGACGCTCATCTCTTTCCCCGTCCATACAGTACATAAAGCAGGTTGGATCTTTGTGTTGAAAATGGTTACCCCAGCGCCTCAGCGGCGTAGAGTTAAGGTGATCTAGGGCGCCAGGCTCTTCTCATCGGTGTTGGTATGGCGCTTTTTAACGGCTATCTAGCATCCAAAGCCATGTTCAACATCCACAGGCCCAACGGAGAATTATTGGGCAGGCCCCAATTACGGTGTGGAGTTGGCCACGGAATTGGTATGCAAAGGCGAGCCCAGCAGTCTGGGTGGTTGCCACTCAAAGCGGAGATGAAGTACCCAGATATATAGTTATGGGCCCGCTCTTCTCGTTGAGCGAGGCTGGAAAATACTGTACTCCCATCTCGGATCGCCGGAGAAAAGATACACGTGCTATGGTTAAGCCCTACTGTAGATTTCTCCGTAGACAAGGAAGAAATTTTAACACAACATTTTAGAAGTGATCCATGCTCTGAAAGGTCTGACGGTATACAGTGTCACGTGTTATGGGCTGGGATCAATTAGGCATGTCTTGTCTTGAGCTTAATCTGTTTTACTTCGAATTGTGTTCAGTCAGCCGGAGTGCATGCCTATCTCGATTCAATCGTCAAAGACGGCTTTCCAAGAAAACAAGATTCATGTACTTGCCAAAAGTAGGACGGAAGAAATTGATCATAAAGAAGCTCCAGATAGATGTTCTAGAATGCATCAGCCCTCAACGTATCAACGCTGTTGACTTAAGCCACGCCAGCGCAAAGTTAACGGCACTGTACGCATATCGAAGACATCCTCTGTACATAGTTAGCCTGGATTTTTTTATGGGTAATATAGTTCCACTGATTAGAGTCCAGATACCTAGTTATGCCTGTCTATTAGTATGCTAGCATAATTCACACTAAAAATAGTGCTAACCGTTCTTCAAACTCGAGAAGCCAAGTTAGGTGTGCTGCCTGATTCCAGAGGCATCAACTGTTGAGTGCCTCGGCAGGCGAAGCGGATGTGAGACAGAAGCTGGGCAGGTCAGCACTGAGATCCTGACTAAGCGCTCAACTTGACTCTTAACTAACTAACTCACTAAGGTTAGGTGGTAAGAGTTCAGTAACTACTGACCCGGACTCTGAGCTGATGTCATCCATCCGTCCACCTGGGCAGCTGTCAAGGCGTTTACTTTCCTCGTGGATCCTGCCTACAGCCCCCTCAATCGTGAATTCTCTGCCCACAGTCGCTACAGTCGCTATCCTGACACTTCTTGCATCTCAAAACTGATTGCAGTCAATAAACTGGACGCGAGAGACTCCCGCAAGCCTGGGGTCTCTGCACTGACAACCATGGCCACACCCACTCGTCCTGCTCCCTCGCCGGCCGCTCTCTTTACATCCCCGGTCGCTCTCCTTATATACCCGGCCACTTTGCTATTGGGAACCTTATTCTCAGTGATATCACCAGTGGCCCGCGCTACAAGAGATCCTTCCTCACGTCTGCCGCAATCGTCCGCACCTCTAGCACCTTCCCTCGCCGCTGACCTTCACCTCTCCGAGAATCCGGTCAACTACTTCGCCCGCAAGAACAATATTTTCAATATCTACTTCGTGAAGATTGGATGGCTATGGACGACCGTTGCCTTTGCCTCGCTACTTCTCTTCCAACCCGCGTACCGTGCCTCGTCCTCGCTCTCCCAGGCGCAACAACAGACTCGAGTCCGACGAGCTCTCCAGGCCTTCCTACGTTATTCAATTGCGACAACGATATGGTACTTGATGACACTATGGTTCTTCGGTCCATCTATTTTTGATCGCGTCTTTGTTGTTACGGGCGGGAAGTGCGAGGAGGTGATGGAACGTGCAGGAAAGATGGACTTGGGTGGGAGCCGCTCGGCTCAGGTAAAGACCCTTTTCTCTGCTGCAGCCTGCAAAGCCGCTGGCGGGGCCTGGAACGGTGGCTACGACATCAGTGGCCATGTATTTATGCTGGTGCTGGCTACGGCATTCCTGGCCCATGAGGCCGTCGGTGCTGGAGCATTCTCTTCGTCTTCAGCATCGACACGGGCCGATGGGGAAAGTGTGCGTGAACGCAAGGCCAGTGACCCAGTTGTGTCTGGGACCATTGATCACGATGTCGACACCGGGCTGGCGAGGAAATGGTCACTTCGCTTAGTCTGGGCTGTTGTTGGACTAGGCTGGTGGATGCTTTTCATGACTGCCATCTGGTTTCATACTTGGCTAGAAAAGGTGAGTCGTTCTTGCAAGGCTCGATTTGACGGGCGATTCAAAATCCTGCCGTTTCGACTCTTATGGACCTTACACTTACATTTTTTGCCTCATAGTGGTCCGGGTTAACCATCGCCCTGAGCTCTTTGTACGTCCTCTACATACTCCCAAGAACATTCACGCCGTGGAGGGATATTGTGGGAATTCCGGGGCTATAGAAAGGCGTTCAGATTATCCGCTATGGCGCTTGTACATACTGTTTCGGCGATAGATGGCATCCTATACATGATCGTGCATTTTCGGTGGATATTTCATTGTTATTTATTTCATCGTATAGACGTCATTTCCTGCCCTCTACCAATCTACCAGACGCAGCTCATGCGATTGCCGCTAATCAGGTGACATTCTTTGGTTCAGGGCCTAGATAACCCGAACAGAAGGCTAGGAGCAGATATGTCAGTACCGAGAGCCAGTGCGAAACATGCCATGACTTCGAGTTCTGAACAGTGCAAGATAAGCTTTTGGGGCCACTTACCGCCAGGAATCAAAGCCGAAGCATACATGACACGAGTAATGGGCCGTAGATCAGCTGGGGTCAAGTGTGCCGGGGCTGAGAGCTCCATGTAAGGATCCCAGGCGGCAATGATTGCATCGGACCAGCTCTTGAAATCAACTGCTCGTTCCTTTTCCCCAGTCTGCTCTGATTCACATTGAAGACCCATACACGTGCCAAACTCCCGAAAAGCCAAGCGAAATTTGATGCTGCGTTCAAGATATCTGTTGATTTCGAAAAGATCGTCTACAGGCAGAATGTGATTAGTATTTCTTGACACTGAAGCTGATGCGGCGCGTTGAGAGAATTCTGGGATCCCACTAACATAGCTGCTCGAAGCACCTTGTGACAAGGCTTGATGCCCAGCTTTCCGTCTCAGAGAACCAGTGTGCCGTCCATAGGGTCATGCCCAAGTCCAGTGGATCCTTCGAGACAAAATGTGACCCCTTGCGGTCCATCACTCGCCTGTAGTCAGCGATCTCCTCCTCCAAGACGTCCATTTCACCTGCTGCTGCTGCTGTCGCTTGAAGCAGACGAAAGGTGACGTACCCATCGATGGGATCGAGGTTGCCTTCGGAGTTAACTAGCGGCTTTGACAAATCCATGGACATCTTCCAGATCATGCGCGGACGTGCAGCCTTGCGATCAACGAAGAACTTGGGGTGAATGGCGCGAGCTAGTTGCACGGCCTGTCGGTTATAGTTCATGTCGCCCGATGCCATCGCCATGCGATTCAGTGCAAACATCCATACTGTCAAGTAATGATGATACTGCCCATCGGAGTCAGGTCCATATTCGTCCGTCTTTCCTATGCGCAGTCCACCCCCGAGAGGGTTCTGGTCAGTGGCGCCTGGTAATCGCGACCGCCCATCTCGTGTTCGACCCAAGATATCGTGCACAGTTTCGATCAGTCGACGTGCTAGCACAAGATACCGATCATCTTGGTAGTTGTTATTGCCTGCTTGACGGTACTCTTTGTGCATAGTCAACAGATTGATCACCCCAAACGCGTCCGTCCACAAATATCGGCCCCGATGACCACCTGATTCCGGGGGCGGAGTCCACTTCTCGGGCTCTGTTATGTCGCTAAAGTTTCCATAGATAGACTCCATTGCTTGTTGGAATCGGCCCACTTTCGGAGATGGACTGCTTATCGGAAGGGCCATGTTGGTAATGTTTCTTGTGAGGATTTGAACGGGGGCTGTTGGTGGTGATTTGGCGCAAGGACTGTGCAGTAAGTTGTGAATGATTAAGCCACGGCCAAAAGGCATTTGAAATTGCTCTCATCAGCATTAATCTATCACCTCATCGAGTGGTAGAAAGCTCTCGCTGGGTTGGATGAGAGCTGTGGTTTGGATTTGCGGCGGCTGTGGCGATGTGAAGTCATGATGACTCCGCATTTACTCGGATGTGATCTCACTTCCGTCGGTATTCCCAAGTATGGCTCTCTCAAAATGGCGATCTATTGCAAGATGAAAAATCAGAAGATGATTCAGGACACATCGCATCTCAGCGGGATCGTTACATGCACTCATTATTTCTGCGACGTCTGTCTACATCCATGGCACAGTTACAAGAGTTGTTCAACCAGGCGGTAAAGCCTCTCCCAAAAATTGAGGATAAAACATTCGCATCCTACTTCGACTCGTTTGCAGATAAACAGGTGATGCTCCTTGGGGACGGGAGTCATGGGACATCTGAGTTCTATCATGCGCGTGCGGAGATCACAAAGCGGATGATCCAGGAACATGGCTACACCATAGTCGCCGTGGAAGCGGACTGGCCGGACGCCGAAGCCATTGACCGATATGTTCGCTTGAGACCTGGCCCAAAGGCGCAAATTGGAGGCATGGCAAAGGGATTCGAACCCTTCAAGCGTTTTCCGACTTGGATGTGGCGCAATCGCGAGATGCAAGAGTTCGTCGAATGGATGCGCGACTGGAACAGCACCCAACCACCTGAAAAGCGTGCAGGCTTCTACGGTCTGGACTTGTATAGCATGCGCTCATCAATCCGTGCAGTTATAGAGTATCTCGATCGCATTGACCCGGAAGCTGGGAAGATGGCGCGAAAACGCTACGGTTGCCTCGAACGTTGGGTTGAGGACCCTTCAGCTTACGGTCTAGCCGCCATACGTGGGATGGAAGATTGCGAGCCTCAGGTGATGAAGATGTTGCGAGATCTCCTTGCCAACAGACTTATATACATCGAGTCTGATCCGCGTGATGGCGAGGAATACCAGAGTTCATCGCAGAACGCATTCCTTGTGCGAGATGCCGAGCAGTACTACAAGTCGATGTATTGGAGCTCAGCTACTTCTTGGACGCTGCGAGATACACACATGGTCGACACTTTGCAGCGTATCTTGCAACACCGTCCACCGCCAGAACACAAAGCTGTAGTATGGGCACACAATTCTCATGTTGGTGACGCTCGATTTACTAGCATGGGAAGCCGCCGAAACGAAGTCAACATTGGCCAACTATGCCGAGAGCGACTGGGCCGTGAGAATGTCGCAATTCTCGGATGTGGAACACACACCGGCACTGTTGCAGCAGCACATGAATGGGATGATGATATGGAAGTCATGACTGTTAATCCATCCAGAAAGGACAGTTGGGAAATCGTGGCGCATAACACCGGCGTCCCTATTTTCCTGCTAGACCTTCGAGAAGAGCACATTGATCCGAATCTGCGGGCTGCACTCGCAAGAGAAAATCGTCTTGAGAGATTTATCGGTGTCATATACCGCCCCGATACCGAGAGAATGTCACATTATTCACAAGCTCAGCTCCACAAACAATTTGACGGCTACATCTGGTTCGATCGTACAGCAGCGGTTAAACCACTCGAGATCATTCAGCCCGTCACGCCGCTCGGAAAGGAGGAGACATACCCATTTGGACTTTAGGGTCATATGGCTGTGGATCGTGGAAAATGTTTCACTACTTCCAAATCTTCAACTTTTCGCTGCTCAAGATCTGAGAAGTATCCAGACATCGTTGTTGGTAGCGGCTACTTTTGAAATCTGCTCAAATTTACGGATTTTTTCTGTCTTCTAGAAAATACACCTCAATAATTGTGAGGATCGGCAGGCCCTTCTTAGAGAAATTTAAACACTCGAGATGGAGCTTTCAGCAATGACGCCAACATTAACAAGAGCTAAGGGGCGTAAAAAATAAAAAAGAAGTGATTTTTCTTACAAAGGATAAGCTTTGACGTTCTCTTGATATAGCTCATCATACTCCGCCATGAATTACTGAAGCTATCACTGAATAACCGATTCCACGCATGAACTCGCCTTGACAGGATGTCTTCTCTTTTCCTCATGCTCCTGGGTGGTGATCAGGAAATAGATGACCCAGTTCTCCAAGCCCTGTCAACACCAAAGAATCAAAATCTCCCCATCCAGTCACATCCCCAAAATGTGAGGTGGGACTCATATTTTCGACCACTTCGTTCACCCATCCAACAGAGTTCGAGTGATATAGAGGGGCCATGAAAGTGGTGCTGACCTGGTTGATTGGCTCTGATGAAGGCGTGAAACTCGATTCAGACTGTTGCTCGTGCACATTCAAGGATTCGGTTGATGGATCGCTTCGGTCTCTTGTTTGATTCATAATTCTTTTTGCTTCTTGTCTCAATTCCTCTAGGACCACGACGTATCGCTGAGGAAAGGATGCCTGCGTGCCGCATTTTGCAAGTTCTCTCTGTGCTTCCTCTCCTATTCGTAGATTATGACTGAGCGCGATATCGAGATTCATCCTGTTTTGAATGACGGAGACATATAGTACCACAATGGCGCAGAAGACGTAGTAGTGTGTAAACTGCGAGTTTTTTAGTCATATTCGGGGCCCCATAAGGCGATTCAGCCTTACGAAGAATGATTTGTACATGCGCTTGGTTCGGCACAGAATTTGAAATAACTCCAAAATTCTCGTCGCAGCTTGCAAGCATTTTTTGATGATCTCTTCACTTGAAGTGCGTAACTGAGAACTGTCTGGAGTTCTTCCCTTGTCAACTGATGCGAGATTCCGTAGGACAAAAGGCCTATAGAGCAGGATCTGGGCGTGAGCAAATGCAAAGTTCAAAACGGTATATTGCCGTTGGTATGTCACTTGAAGGAGCTCGATATTAGGCGTGTCAATGAATGCACCAATATCTCTCCTCCACTGAGTCAGGTCGGAACCGAATTTTTGTGCAATTTCTACTTGGATTTCAAGAGGTTTTTGTTGTATTCCGTAAAGCTCTCTCAAAATCCCACTAATTATTCTTGAAAGTCTTGGTGTCCCGCATGTCAGTATGTCCTCTTCAATCTGTTCACAATTTACCTACTTAGCATGGAAAATAGAAGCGAGCATGATGCTTTGTCTTTGGGATTCAGGGGGTAGAATCGCATGTCGCAAAATTTGGGAATCGTTCGCACAAGTTGGGAGTTCCTGAATAAGCATGTTAGATTAAGCAGACTTGCAATAAGAATCGTCTTTCTTACTTGGTCAATGTCCTCGTCATGGAATATTCTAGGACGGCCCAGCGCAGCACTCAGGTGATTGTCTAGACTGTAAGCACACCAAAATACCCTTCTCCTACATTCTTCTTCCACGTAGTCTGATATCATCCCTCGCCGTCTTCGCCTATTCAGTCCAATGGCAAGTGCTAAACGGGCAGTGGTTCCAAAAAGGCTCCAACAGTGATTGATTCTAGATTCCGATAGCAGATAGAAGCATTGTGCGAGTCGGGCTTGTATGCTTGTAAGTTTTATCGCGCCTTTCTCCGATAAAAGATGGCTCTCCGAGGCTGCAAAGTAAACGTTGCTTCAATAAGTTAGACAAGCTCGCTGTGACAAGAACTTTAAATCTTGTCCAAATGCTTCCCAGAGGATTGGAAATCTGACAGCTTGCGACTTACCTTTTCACTGAGTCCCCAACCAATCTATCATTTTCAGACAGGTATTGCTTTCCCTGTGCCAAGACCATCAGAATGACGGCCTTCACTGCCCGCTCAACAACATTGTTTGCTTCATTCACTCCAGAGTAGAAATCTTGGAGCCATGACTCAACTGTTCTTTGGTGGAGGAAACGATGTGTAGGAAATGAAAAGTCAAAGTAGCGATCAACCAGTACTTTGGCCTCACGAATTGGTGGGAGCACCAAGAATTGAGAGTCGTATGTGGGTAAAGGAGCGTCTCCAAAGTTGAATATTGTCTCAGTGGCAGAGATCTTGAAATTCTCATGAAGCCTTTTCTGTACACGGAGTAAAAATGAGACCCCGGAGGACGCCCCCAAGTAGTGTCCCTCCAAATCGGTTTCATCTGGCTCCGGAGAGTTGCGAGATGATGTGACCTGTGAATCAGCTTTCCTTGAAAGAGCATGAGTACTAGCTGAAGCCTGTAAATAGTGCGATTCTTGCGAGTAAGAGCTCACATCTGGGCTAGTACTTCCTGCAATTCCCGTAGAAAGCTCAGTGTCACCTCCAGGAATCAACTGCATGTCAAATCGGGTCTTATCTGAAGGATCCGTTTCGTGTTGCAATTTGTTCATTCTCTCTGCTGATTGATTGCCAGGCTTTCCTGGGACAGTTCGACCAGGAGTGTTATTCGGAGAATGCAATCCCATGATGGTGTCTTGGTCAATGACCGGAATTTCTGGAATTCTGCCTCTTCTATAGCCAGCATTATATTCACATTTCTCGGTCGACCGAATGCAGAGTGAGCAGGGAAGAGTCCCGGAGCAGCGGAGTTTCTTCCTTAATTTGAAATCAGTACATATATTGATCGCCCTATATCTTCACAAATCGGTACCTTTTGCATGTGTCGCATGCCCGGGTAACTCGGACGCGCACTTTAGCACGGCGACGCTTTTTCGGGTAGCTGTCGGGCATTTCCTTCTGGCTGGTGGTCCTTGCAGGTTATCTCAAATGGAAAGTGGAATTGGCGTTTCTGCAATTTTTGGGAGGGAATAATATCAGGTAAAAGCCAGGGGCTGCTGAGTCTGGGGTACCCCGCAAACGAGCGCGTGGCTACATGGCTCTCATAGTGCCACACTTTGGACTGTCTTTCATTCCACTAATCAGACATCTTTAAGAGTAGCCATGATATCATGAGCATATTAATTGATCTTCTCTTATCAATTCTCCTTATCTAGACACTTCGCTCGCTTTTCCGGAGTAGCTGGCCTGAACACCGAGTATTTGGTGTCACCCGAGCGGCTCCCGCTTGCTGTGAATCCTATGAACTAGGGAGAGATTTTTCCTCATATTGTGTGTGCATTGCGACAGGATCATGCAGCAGACGGACGGCTTTCCAGCCACCCATTATAATCATTTTAATCGCCACGGCGTACTTGGTTAGTTGCCCCTCATGCCCATGCCAAGACCGGGTTTTTATCCAACCGGAAAAGTGTTCGGAAAAGCGGTTTCCGACCACAGTAATGTTCGCCTGCCATCCTCAGGCAGGGCTGGGACAGTAATGTGCAAATTCTCGTATATAGAGATCTTTGATAAAGCTCCGCATACAAAAACCGAAACTCTCCACTCTTTTACCGTCAGAAATTTCCATCATTCTAGCTTTCCGGGATGAACTGCTTTCGCTCCAAATACAAAACAAGAACCATCATGTCTGGGAGCAGCTGAAAGGATTCCGAACACTCCCTGTGCGGTACGAATTTCGCTATAGAGCTGTTAGCACACTATTACAGCGCTTATGTTTTCACCATTGGAAACTTACGATATCGTCGATGCTCGAGTATAGCCCACAGACCAGTACTGCCAGCCCCATGAGGAAGACCAGGAAATTGATGATCGCAAAAGGCAGATTTTCCTTTGAAAACCACTCGCCCTTGCAAAGAAGTACCAGCCACATGATTGGAGGAAGATAGAATGAGAAACCGGACGTGAAAAGTGCCGAGATAATGGAGAGCAAGTCCGTGAAGAAAGGGATAGCTTCGGCAATGATCCAGGCGACGATAGTGATAGCGGCCACAAAGAGAATCCACGTGATCCAGCCCTTGGGCGTGTTGATATACCGAATCACGTTGTTCTTGTAAACTCGAGTGTGAAGCAATCGTCCGACAACGATCGCATTAATTGAGCCGGAGATGAAGATGACCGGCAATGCCACGCCAAAAGCGATTCGGCTGATCGTAGTTCCAGCCGAAAGAAGGGCTGGAGACTGAACATCAGGTCCAACGAATGCGTAGATAGTAGCTCCAGTAACAGTGTAAATGATGATTTCAATCAATCCCAAAACCCAGATGGATTTGGTAAAATCCGTGGGAGTGTGCATTTCCTCCATGAAAGAGAATTGGCACGTGGCAAACGAATATGCGAAGACGATGTCTCCGATGGCAACGTAGGCTTCCGTGAAAGTCACATTCTCCTTGGGGTAGGCAGACCAAGCTACTGTGGCAAGGCCACCTGGTGAGTTGCTTCCTTGAATACCCGTTGCGATGATCGTTATGCCAATAGCGATGAAAATGGACGCAAAATCAATGTAACCGAGAATCGTGATGTCGGCAAAAGAGGAAGGGATCGCGAGAAGGAATAGAATAATTGCAGAAACGATACCGAATACGAGAGAACAGATAGTGCTCTCGGTAATAGTAGCAAATGCAATCGTACCAGTAAGGCAGTGGGAACCGACGACGAAAATTAGTTGAATCACGAACACCGCAGAAAAGACTTCGTAGCCGGCTCGGCCCAGCAGCAAGCCACCAACATCTCCATAATGTTGCACAGAAGGGAATGCCAGCTTGACCTTGCCAATAATCCACGATGTGTATACTGCGATCAACCCAATACCGACACAACAGACCACGCCGGCAATCATGCCCAGAGTCGCGAAAGCCTGGGGGATAGAAAGAGCACCCAATGCAATGGCGTCAACAATCAGCATCAAAGTGAGCTGCTTCCAAGATAGGCGGCTATATTTCGCTTCGCCAGCAGCTGTGATCTGTTGCTCGGCCTCGCTCAAATCATAATCTTTGACATCTGAAGCTGAAAACTGTGGAGGCGAAGGGTGATCTTCCATGCTTGCTGTCTTCCTTTGTGCTTCAGCCAATGGCACGTCTGTGGCAGTATGTGCCATTCCCTCAGTGTTTCTCATGATGCTCGGCGTTGAGTCTCCGCATATACGCAGTGACACTTTCAGGACTAAGTAGTCTACAAACTCCAATTGGGGATTTGTAGATGCGAAGAAGCTGGCAAGTCGTATGTGTATCGCTGAATCACCGGGGACACCGCCGGTAGCTAGTCCCAAGCTGCGACTTGATTACAGGCTTCAAATTCTCAAAAAATTGTCCGGCTTCCCCGGCGAGCGGTTGAAACTACCGCAATGTTGAAGATGAAGATTCTTGTCTTAGTGTCAACCCCACACGGTCGGTATGCCAGGTATGTGGTACGGCCAAATCAGCCTTTGCAGATAGGATAGCTTAAAGAGTAAGAATCTTTCTTTTCGCTCCTTTCTTGCGGGGCTTCGATTCTCAAGATGAAATTTGCATGATCCGCGCTGCAGATTTCTATAGATCCACATCACGACGTAAGTGGCTGTGATTGGCTTAGTGGCGATCTTGCTCCACAACAAGAAGAGCTATTATTGGTTATCATAGTTTTTGTTAGTCAAACCAAGGCAAGCTGCCCTGACTCACTATTAGGGACTGCCAAGTCGGTTTTCAGATTGTCTAACATTTCAATATCCATAGTCTTGATGTCAATTCACCCGTAATACGTGTCATATTTCTTGAGTATTAATTGATGAGCCGACAGTCTAACACCGGCTCTAGCGAAACTGTACATTCTACTTGCCAAAACGAAATCTCGGATCGACTGTTCGCCAGGTGGGTATCACATGTAGATATTGTCGTGGATACTCAATGAATATATGTCATATTGCGCAGCTGCTACCATGAGACGCGTCCGTCGAAAGCCGAATGTAGTGTGCATGCCCAAGTAAGAACATACGGCATTGAGTGGTCAGTTCGTTAGTTCTGAACAAGAAAGTCGTTTGCTTAGAGCAAGAACCTGAATCCTCGCTTAACTGCTTGTCCCGGAAGCCCATGTTCTTCATTTCCTTCCGCCTGTTCTAGCCCATCAGTGTTGATGTTTGTCCCTTCTTCCTGGTCCAACTGTTTGTTCAAACGTCCAAGCACAATGCGAATGATAGTGGCAAAGCAAATTGTCATTGCTGACATAGCTATGTTGACCGAGAACGCAGTTGTGTACCTAGGCCCTGCCGAATCTATGATTATATTTTAGTACTGCATAAATATTTGGACGGATTTTTCACATACCAGGATACAAGTAGGGAGTGTAGATCTGGCAGACATTGCTCAGACAATTGATGAGAGCGAGGGCTGCTGCTCTCTTTGTGGCAGGCCGAGGAAGAACTGAAGTATCGTTACTGATTGTTCATCGTGAATACTTCGCGTATTGACTGACCATTTGAGATATACCCAAGTAGCACGACGTATCCGGCATAGATAGCTCCGATCATCAGACACATTGCACTTGATAGAAAATATTAGCGGACTTCGTAGTCAAAATACAGAAATCCTGACTTACACATATCGAGGTGCAAACTTGGTGGTAGACAGCGCAATCACAAAAGAGGCAATAGCAATAATTGGTGGAAGAGCAATATGCAAGTATCTCTCCCCTGTTTTATCTGCATGCCAAGCGTTAATCAGGACAACGATAGTACCGATCAAATATGGCGGAGTAGTAAGGAGTAGCGTGGTCACTTTATCCTTTCCGAGTCCAGACATGACACTTCACACACTTGGTTAATACCACAAATTTGTGATGATTAAGTTGGGTCTGAAAGTCTTACATTGGGAAGAAGGTTGTAACGGCACCTGAGGCAGTGCACCCGTAAATTGCGCCGAGCAGTAACCAGGCTTTATAGTCCCTAGAGCACGCTGTTTAGTATAGTTCGCGGCGCTGGGGCCATTTCTTTACATACTTGAAAGCAAGTTTTGCACCGTGAAACATGGACTGGTGTTGACTATCAACCCAATCATCTTCACCAATGTCTTCAGCGAGCCTCCAGGCTGCAAGCTCTTTTTCTTCATCGGTAAGCCACGAGGTTGTGCGTGGAAGATCTGGGATAATGAAGACCGAAATGATAGCGACGAATACCTATGGGGCTGTTAGTGTTATTTAGGGAAACTTCTTTGAGCCGTAATAAATACAGTAATAACTCCCTCAATAATGAATAGCCATCTCCATGCCGCAATACCTCGAGTGCCGTTGAGTCCATTGGTAATTCCAGCAGCGATCAAGCCAGAGAAAGCGCCGGAAAGTAACGAGCCAGAGTATAACAAAGCAGTCCGTTTGACGAGTTCCTTTCGAGTGTACCAAGCCGAGAGAAGGTAGAGACAACCCGGCTGGATATTTCATGTAAGTGAGAACATAGTACTTGATGGGTTCATCTTACAAAGTAGGCTGCCTCCACAAAGCCAAGAATGAACCGACATGCCAGGAGCCCACCATAATTTTGAGTTGCAGCGGTCGCACTAGAGATGATACCCCAGGCAAGCATACATGTTGGAAGATAAATCGAAGGCTTGCCCAGTTTATTTAAAATCATGTTGGATGGTACTGAAGGATTTCAGCAAAAGTGCACGATACCAGCTTGGCCGGAATGAACGTACCCTGCATCAACAAGTACCCAACAAACAGAATACTGACGGAGGTCTGGAACATCCCGTTTTAGCTTCATATCAGAATCATGAGACATCAAGCTTTACCTGATACTGATCACCACGAAGCTTAAGATCTTCTTGAAGTCCAGCAAGCTTGGCAGCAGCGATGTTGTTCCGATCCAGGTAGTTCATGATATACATGATCACGATCATGATGAGGAGCCTCAAGTCGACTTTGCGCACAAGCCTTTTCTCCATATGCTGCCGTTCCTCCGGAGTTAAACTTCGGAGGAACACTGGCATTCCTTCCATTAATGGATTTGGATCATTTTTGGTTGACGGGGTGTATTCCACATGGTCAGATGTGCTACCCGTGCCACCCTTAGCATCAGGCATGTCGGCACGTGTATGGAGCGCGATTTAGTAATTCAAGTTCGAAAAGTAACGGACTTTCAGGGAATTTCCAAGCCTGGCCAAGCTCTTGGCCGGAATTTGGCTTTTGTACTTCAGCTGTCTTGCTAGATAACTGGATCTTTTCCGGGGAAGTGCGGGGTTGGGGGACGATCTGTCTCCGGAAAAGGCCCTCGGATAAGTGTTTCCATAGTGATCTTGATCCACAATGAGACTGCATCGTAATGCCTTATGAAAGCTAGGAACTAATCCCACTGCAGAGAAGCGACGGGGGACATGCTGACGGATCGGCCAAAGAAGAAGACGCAGTTTTGGGATCATATCTAACAAGCATAGCCTACATATTTCAGCCGGAATAACCTCCCTACAGGTCTCAGATGCCAGGGTGAGTGCTAGTTTGGTGGCATGTGCCACTGGTCACCGACTCGAAATCCTTCTGGAAAAGGATCGGTTGAGTCCAGGACAACCTGCTTGAAGCTTGTAATCCAAGCTCGACCTTTGACGGTTGGTAGAACAGCCGAATACTTCCCGACCTTCGTGGTCCCCCTGATCCGGCTACTGAACTCAGTGCCCAAAATACTGCGATGCTTGAACACTTCTCCTTCTTGAATCTGGCCCCTTGAATGCATCACCGCTAACCGAGCACACGTCCCAGTACCACAGGGGCTGCGGTCGAATCGCCCAGGTGAGACCACCACGGCATTCGGAGCCACCTTTACACCGTCTTCTAATTTTAACGGCTCAGTGAACTCCAGCACGCTAAACCCCTTGATCCCTGAGTTTTCAGGGTGCACAGGAGTGTAAGCAGCTTCTGTTGCACGTTTAATTCTCTCCGCAATCTCCACCAACTGGCGGGCTTGTTGATTGCAGACCCCCAATCCCAGTGACGCGGCGTCCACCAAAAGATACATCATCCCTCCGTATGCAATATCAACAGTGACTTCGCCAATTCCAGGAACGTTAACTTTATAGTCGAGTTCCAGAACAAAGGACGGGACGTTGTCGAACTCCACGCTTTGGCACTTTCCAGCTTTGCATTCTGCAGTGACTGTCACCAGCCCGGCCGCAGTGTCCAAGGCCACCTCAGTCACGGGCTCCTTCATTGGAATCATCCCAGTTTCCAATAGCACGGTCGTGGTGCAGATGATGTTGGATCCGGACATTGGCGCGTATTCTTCGCTCTCCATGATCAAGAAACCAGCATCTGCGCGAGGGTCGCATGGTGGAAGCACAAGATTTGTGTTCATCGAAGCTCGGCCACGGGGCTCGTTGAGAAGAAGTTGGCGCAGGCTATCTTTCTTCGTTTCGAAATGGACAAGCTTGTCAAACATTGTTTTCCCAGGAACATCCAAGACGCCACCAATGATTACATCACCCACTTCTCCTTCGGCATGGCAGCCGACGATGTTTATCGAGCGTGAGAAAGGCATGGTCGATGTGACTTCAAGTTGCTAAGCAGTCAAACTGTTTCACTAAGGGTGTGCGTTCCGTACCAATCGAAATCTCTTCACTCTGGGATCTCGGACCAGCGCAATTCGGGTGGCTTTCATACACGAAGAGAGCCTGGGCTTTGGCTTGGTTATAACTGGCACTCTGCTCGATCGGGGGGATTTCCGACTTCTCAGCCTTTGGGTCACCTGGTCAAACTAGAAGATGATTCCGGCATATTGTTGGGAAGTGGTTCCGCATTATTTGCTTTTTTTGTCGGGAAACGTTTAAGTATTCAAATCTGTCATAGCTGGCGCTTTAAGCGCGGTATAATTGCGGGTTTCTCCTCGCGAGAGACGACGCGTTTGGTAAAGCGCATAGGTCGCGATCGGACGGTTGCCCCGCAAAATATCAGTCTAGACTCTAGACCCCTGCATATGAGCGCTTAGCTCGATGATCATAGACAAACAATGAGCTATTATTGTTCGGTTCAGCCAGTCAAGGACAAATGATTTGCTCCATAGTTCGCGTGCAACCGAGTCTGATGCCAAGGGCGATCTTCTAGTCATGTGGAGCGCAGCCATGCAAGAATCATCACCTGCACAGTGACTGGCCCCTTTCGGTTGAGGTTGCATATCATATGCATTATTATTATTTCGCATAGACTTTTGGGCTTGCGGAAAGTCGAATCACACACCAGGAACTTGTCTTCTTCACTCTTGCTGACCTTCCCCCTGTCCGGTCACGTGGTCGGCGATTCTGAGCGGGGAAAGTGAGCACGCCCAGCTTCCCGTCCTGGCGAAGATTCATCTGCTGGGTGATGGTCTTCTCCAAAAACAGATTCGGAGTCCGAGTGTGAGATATCGATCGTGATGGCTTGAAACCGACATGGGGGCTAGATCTCGCTCAGGGTGCTTGTCCTGTCGCCGTCGCAAGAAAAAATGTGACGAGGCGAAGCCGATCTGCGCGGCTTGCCTGCGCAATGCCCTTCCCTGTGTCTGGCCAGACACAAGCCCGCTAAAAGCAACCCCCGAGGTATTGTCAACTTTGCAACCGCAAACACAAACATTTACTGTCCGCCCAGTACCTGCGTCTGACGCGTGGGCCCTCACCATTGGTGCGCCCAGGGACCTGTCACCCGCGACTATCCCTGCGTCTCCGTCCAATTTTCCTCTGTTAGGATCGGCGGCATCGGGTTCGGAGACGTGGAGGCTATTGGATCATTACTTGAAAGATACGGCAAACCGCCTCGCATGTCTCCAGGATAGTGAAAATCCGTTTCTTCATACGATTCTGCCGGTTGCGCTCGGGGATGAACTTATAATGAATTCTATTCTGGCCCTTTCGGGGGTCCATATGATGCAGCGGCTCCCTCGGCTGAATCTCGAGATGCAGTCTTTGACTTGGTCTCGGTACACTCGGGCATTGCAGCAACTCAGGATTGACTTGACGGAGACTTTCAACGATGGCAGTAACGTAGACGCTGCCTGGCGTGCTTTGCTAGTTGTATTAATATTCTATCTTCTAGAGGTAGGTGCTGCTGTTGTCATATTTCTTATTGACAATCTCATACTTACAAAATTCACAGGCAACCAGGGGCAATGATCCCAAAGCCATGCAACGACATCTAGAGGGGGCTCATCATCTAATGGCTCATGTGCTACGCTCGTCTAAAACACCCACGCAGCCCAGTATTGTATCTTTCGCAACGGAACTTTATGTTTACAATGCTGCTCTCGCATCATTTACCATGAATTCTCCACCAGCCCTGATCATGCCTCCAGGAATGGAGCTGAATAATCTTGGGGCCACAGATCGTGAGATCGGTGTACTCTGCGGTTGCGCCTACGAGCTATTCATTCTCGTACCACAAGTCTCAGCCCTGCTCCGGAATTTCGGCTCGTGTGACTCCTCGGCGACATCCTTCAAAGAAAGTCTGATCATGGAGTATTACAGCATCAGAGCGCAAATTGAGAACTGGAAGCCGCGCAGCGATCAGCGAGAACTGGTACTTTGTGCAGAGCTCTACCAGCAGAGCCTTTTATTGCTCCTCGATTTCCGTTTTACCCTCAATTCAACCGATGAGATTGTCGACCACGCATTCTGGAGACTTGACTCCATCATATCACAATTACCTCCAAGCTCTCCCATTGCAACTACGGCAAATTGGCCGCTTTTCGCTTTCGGGATACATGCTCGAAAGCCCCATCACAGAGAGACGATCCGATCATATCTACAGTCCCTCGTCACATTCTTTGGGATGGGAGTGATGTCAACGGCGCTCAGGCAGCTTGAAGAGCTTTGGATGTCAGAACCTGACCAGGAGGTGATCAGCAAGTTCTTCACGAACCAGAATGAATTGCTATTGATTTGTTGAGTGATCTGTATGAAGCTGATGTTTGATTTTACTTGTACAATACCCCCGATAACTTTTATGAGAGAATAAAGCAATGTTAATTATGAACCTTCTTTTCCTCTTTTTTCGCATATTGAAGATCGCATCTCATTACTAGCAAACCACATTTACGCAATTTCCACTTGCGAATCCATCCACAATGGCTTGAATGCTGGCCTGTTGGCGCTCAATGCTCTCTGAGCTATACCAGGCCAAATGAGGCGACAGCGTCAAATTTGGGATGTCACCTGAGAGCAATAAACTATTCTCCTTGGTGGCGGGCTCGACGGGAAATACGTCTGTCGCATAACCAGCTACTTTTCTAGCCTTAAGAGCCGCAATCATAGCTTCTTCGTTGACCAGACCTCCTCGCCCAACGTTGACCACAATACAATTAGACTGAATCGATCGCAGCTCTTTTTCAGAGATCATATTGGCCGTTGACTCGTCTAATGGGCACGTCAACACGAGAACAGTTGACTGCTGAAGCACGATATCAAACGCAGTGCGGCCATCTCGGGTGCTTCCATCGGGTATTCCTTTTCTGTCTGCGATCAAAACTTTCATACCCAAGGCTCGAGCAAAAGCTTCGATCTTTTTTCCTAGATATACCATAGACTTTAGTGACAGACTCTTTGGGCAATATTGTAACTACCTTTGGACTACTCTCATCCAGAACTTACCAATTTTGCCATAGCCGATAAGGCCCAACGTATCTTGGCTGATAGGGGTAGGTAATCGGTCATATGCGGTCATTCCCGTAGATTCATTCTCCCACTCTTTCCCAGACATAACCCAATCGTGTGCCCGGACAACATTCCGCTTCGCAGCGAAATACAGCGCAATTGCATGTTCGGCAACCGCTTCCGTAGTCGCTGCGGGTGTGTTACAGACGCGGATAGATCGCGCCCAACATGCCTGAACATCGATGTGGTCAACGCCGACAATTGACACGCAGATGAGCTTGAGATGAGGGCATTGAGCGATAGTTTCGGCAGTTATAGGCACCGCCGAAGTCACGGCGATTGTGGCGTGACGAAGACGCTCTGCTACCTCCGTGTCCTGCGTATTGTGGTATTCGATCAGAGTGTGCGGGGTACAGAAAGTTGGCATCGCATGCTGGCAAACGTCTAGTGCAACGATAACTTCGGGCATTCTTCGGGCTCGACGTGTTATGATTCACCTACTTTCAATGTGATGAATTGGTACTGAAAGGGGACTTGAGAGGTGTTGCAGGAACAACTTGCTTTCTCCCTCGGGTTGTTCATCCGATTTCGGCAACGCGATGCGCTTAGCGGGGACGGGTCCTTATCTGGTCTATCTTGTCTAATTCTTGGGCTAGAGGTATAAGCACTTCTAGAATCTCAATTAAATTAGAGTTCATCTCATTTTATTCTTTCAAAAAGTAAAGGTATGTCTATACAATTGGACGTTGTATCCCACTCAAAAGCGGGCAGTACGGGATATCTCCACGGCATCAAATTAAATCTCGTTCATTGCTCGTGTAATCTAAAGCTTCTAGAGACATTATCCCATTATCGTTTCAAGGTTTCTTTCCATCATTAAGTCAAGCCAGTATATCCCCAATCCCGAGTCCGCCCTGTCCCAAACCTCATGGACAATCCCCGAAATACGTTGCATGGGTAACTTGGGAATAATCAAGGTAAGCTCTGATAATCGGGTATTGACTCGCCGCCTTCCTTGGGCAACATCAACGTCCAGAGTGTTCAGGCAAGCGAGAGGGTTCACCCCCGGCCCGAATACCGATTGATTAGAAAAAAAAAGATCGCTAGAAATGCAAGTCAGGAGCACAAGTTGCATAAAGCGTGTTCCTGATGTGGATGGAAGCTGGTCAAGAAGTGACACAATGTGCAGCGCTAAAATGCGGCGCATATCTTCTGGGGACTGGGCAGGGGAATCTTCTGGGAATAAGACAGAGAAAAGTGCTGGAGTATCTGCCTCAGGTCTCTGGTTGAGACGCAGCCGATCATCAAGAATGTCTGGGAAGACATGATAGATCTGTAGAAGACCCGCACAGCGATAAGCCTCCGCCAGAATTATAAAATGAGCTGGAGGCGTATTGGTATCACCAATGTCTACTGGTCCACAGTAAGATGACAGACCTGTGAATAAAATATCTTCCTCCAGGCGCTCGGCCTTCTGCCGCAATTCAATTTCTTCGACTAGATAGTCGAAATCAAATGTTGCCAAGTCGATGTTATCAACTCGGGTGCGATGGCAGATACGGGCCGCTCGAACAACTCGGGCTGTTTTATAGAACAACCTTAGTGCCTTGGAGAGTGGGCCTGTCCAGGGATGTGGAAGAGTCTGTCCATCAATGAGGTACACAGATGTTTCCAGATCAGGCCGCTCTAGGACACTTTCTTCATTGAGAAGGAGAGAGTCTTCCGCAACAAATGCAGCTAGCATGTTCCAATACAGGAGACACTGCTGAAATAATGGATACTGCTTAGCAAAGAGTGAATCAGGGCTTTGACACATTTGCTGCTGTTTGTTGAGATGATCTTTTGCCTCCTTCAGGTATTCCAACCCCAGATCAGCAGCATCATGCCATGCTGTAGTCAATCCAATCATAAGAAGAGCCAAAAATAACTCATCGTCTTGGTTATCGCGATGTAAAGTACCAATGCGTGGGTTATTTCGCAGGCAGGCAATGGCTTGCTGCTGGGTCTGTCTCCCAATGGTTCGCATGCCCGGAAGATCGTTGGCCAGTGAGGCCGCGGCCATGCTTTGAATCGCATAGTAGATGGCCGCATTCCGGCTCCAAAGACGGCTAACTATGAGGCGGAATGGGTTCAAGGGGGAGTCAAAAGAAGACCATGCCTTGCACACATAATCGAAATAGTATTGTATCAAAATGGCTGGCAGTTGAATCAGGAAGGATGGTATGGGTGTGTTCGCAATTCGTCGCCGCAGAATCGCCAGACTGTCATCCGTGTCTGCTGCATCTTTGATAGTCGCTGCATTGTTTGGCAATGAATCGAGTTTATAGCATCTACCAACAGATGGATCGATGTCCGGCAGTTGATCAAATAGCGTTGAACTTGCGCCGTCCCAGAGTTCCTGCAACTCTTTCGCGTGGCCCGCGTCGATGGTTTGGCTACGTTTGGTGGTTGAATTCTCCTGTTCTGACAAAGTTGAGGATGGAAGTTCTTCTGGAGACGAGAGAACTACCTGGTCTTTATCTTGCTGCTCTTCCTCTTTGAAGACGTATCGCCATTCAAGAGGTTTCTTCTGATAGCCAGGGCAGCTGAACCCCTTTCTCGAGCATTCCTGGCAGCTGGGCTTTGTCTCATCACATCTGCGCTGGGTCGTATGTTAGTGGATGATGAATCTCGATTGTCATGGAAGCGAAACCTGTGTATGGTTTACCCCAACTTACTCGCCGTTGCTTGCATCGAAGGCAACCTCCTTTAGATTTGGGTCTGCATCGATTGGGGTTCTTCTGCCTTTCTGGCTGAAGCATGGTCGTGCTCTTGTTGAGGGAATGCATTGTTTTTATTGAGCTGGAGAGAATGAAATTCCCGAAATTCCCCCAGCTCCCCAAGAGAAGCCCGCTCGTCACTGTGCGGAGTCTGTCTTGTTGTGGCGTCTTCAGGTGATCGGCTCGGCTTCCTTTGCTCACCGTCTACCCCGCACATCCTTTCCGCTTGAGACGGATCTCGTTGCAGCTTCACCGATTCGATGGAAAAATCGGTCTGGGTGTGTCTGAAATAATCACTCGAGATATCTCGCGTGCCACATTTTGGCGAATTTTCGCTAATCGCTTTCTACCCCTCTGGCCTCAGTGCGTCCTGCGTGGCATCATCTCGACTCTTATCGTGTGGCGGGTTCCATTTCCTTTTTGGGCGATCGAACACACTTACCAATCGGAAGGAAAGCCGCTTGGGCACTTTGTTGCCCCGAAATCAAGCAGCCTGAATTAGAACTTCTAAAAGAGGCAGAAAGAGAGAGAATTGCGTCCTTCGTTCACTCTTGGGGAAAGCAGGAAGGACAGAAAATGATGATGATACAAACATTTGCAAAATGCTAGGCCTTTTATGAGCGGAACCCTTGTCTTGTAGTTTTTCAGTGAGCGTTTTTGATGATTTTTTGAAATTCATCCTCTATTATACAATATGAATGTGATTTAATTGTCAGTTTGAGATCGTCTGCAAGTTCGAGGGCTCTATAAATTGCTTAGAGGCTACCAGTACCTAGTTCATCTGCTTCGATATGGCCATGTGCACTCATCCTGTCTGTGAATGCAATGACTGAATATCCAAATTTGAACAATTGAGTCACTCATAACCGGAGACTGTCAGTCGGTTGAATTTTATCTCATGCGTTTTAGAGTAAATATGAATCGCGGCATAATCCAAATCTTTCATGCTATTCACGCTAGTAGTTGCTGCCTTGACGATTAGGTGCCCAGATTTTGGATGCCTGTTAGAGGCAATTCTCACCTTCAGATCTTGACTCTATCCAGTTCACTATGTAGCACGAGGAAAATCAGAAACAATATTCGACGCTTATAACGGCGAATGACTATAGTGAGGACACATTCTAGCCATCAAATGTCTGTTGACGGCGTCATTGCTGATAGTTCGAACGACCACTCGACTTCAAATATTCATGATATATGACAGGTCAAGTACTCACACCTCTCCTGCTCGATAAAGAGCCATATCGCAACAACCACCATGATTCCAGTCGCGGAATGAAATGATAGCCAGTTTGAATCAATGCTTTGATGGCCTTCAAATCTGAGGGTCAAGTATGATTCAAGAAAGTATCAAATAATAACATTCGGACTTATTCATTGTCAAAATGAGTAGAAAATGTCTGTTTTGGCTTGTGGTTGCAAGAATAATGCATGTTATGCCTGCCTGAATACAACAGGGGATATGGCTGGGAAGGCTTGATGTTAGGCGTGCGTGTGGCGCGACGGAAATTTCCGTCTAACAAGGCTCCGGCATTTCAGATCTGACTTTCATCCCCCTTCTCGGTCACTTCTTATCATCAGATCAAAGCCACTAACGGCTACCTGCATCCACTATGTTGGTACCCGCATCTGAGTTGGCCCCCGGAAGCTTGTTTTCATATTGATTTCAAGGCAAGTTTATTGACTAGCATATTGTTATCTTTGACAGTTCCACTTACCCACAGCCGTAACTGCTCCGGACTGAACAGAGAGCCTCGGAAGATCGTAGTTTATCCGGAGTATGTTGTGGCAAACCATGGAAACTAAGGATTAGCGTAGCCGCTGTGCATTAGCGTAACCGCGCTGCTTGGCATCCAAGGTAGGAACTAACTTCCCATATCTTGAGGAAGTGGACCCTTTTCCACAAGTTGAAATGGTTGATGATGATATCTTTGAGCGTTAGGGGAATTTTAAACCACTCCAGGAATATCTATGCAGCTGGATCAGCCTTCACCTTTCCATATCAAATGACGCCTGATCTCCTATCTCTCCGCTCTGTGGGGCATACGCAGTCAGTCCGATGCTAGAGATTGGGAGGTACTCTAGGAAATCACGAGTGTATATTATTTGAATTCTCTCTGGATTAGGATCCCTTATTAACAAGTATTGCTTCCTTGTCATTGAGCTTTACCTCCCTGTGGTAGACAGATCTTAAGCCCATGGCAACCTTCTCCGCAAAAATCGGGGCGCAAATCAGATGCCGAATAGTGGGGACTGTTCATTGAAACGCGATTAGTACCGTTGGATCCGGAGTAGATTTACGGCATACCTCCGCATCTTACCTGCATCATTCATCACTGTCGAATCAGAAAGGACTGATAGGCAACCATCAATCCGCCCCCTGATTCATATACGAAAGGCCATCAGACCACCAACTGGCTAGTGCGCTGCTGATAATCATACAACGTCTATCTGGCCACTCTGTGGCCCGGATTAACTGATAGTCAGATGAAAGGGATGCCACTCTTCTCGTCTCAGTAGGATACTCGACAGATTCCTTCAATTCATTTACGAGTGAATGGTCAGAAGAGCATCAATGGCTTCGATTTATAGTAGCTTGAACTTTATGTAGAGAATATTGATATTGGAGTTACCACCAGTGGCTGACATGCGGGGTAAACATTATCTACCATGATTTGCCTATCTACATGACGATGTGCGAAAAATAGACTTTCCTGAAGATGGAGATAACTTTGGCCTCCGGTTGAGCCGTGCGACTACATCTTCTGTATATAAGCCGTGCATTTTCGGCTGGGGGTCTCAGACTTGCTATATCCATCCTTCCATCTTTGCATGGATTGGCCCAAAACAAACAGTTATTATCTTTTCAACGAATCGATTCTCTTTGATCATGGCAGCCAATTCTGAGCCTTATCAACATCAGCATTCAGAACCCAAATCACATAATTTCGATAACGAAAAGATGAAGTATGAGACAGAACTTGGGCAATCCGAGCCCGCTGCCGCTAATGGCTTGCTCGAAGCCTTGGGCTATGAACCTGAGCTCACCAGGAACCGTTCAACTCTCCAGGTAGCCTTCATGTCCTTCGTTCTCGCATCCATCCCTTATGGACTAGCTACCACTTTCATATATCCCCTTGTTGGAGGCGGCCCCGTGAACATCATTTGGGGCTGGCTGATTGTCTCAATAATTATTCTCTGTGTTGCGTTATCTCTTGGCGAGATTACTTCGGTATATCCCACTGCCGGTGGTGTGTACTACCAATCCTTTATGCTGTCGCCGCCCTTCTGCCGCCGGATCATCGCTTGGATCTGTGGGTGGTCATATGTGGTGGGAAATGTCATGATAACTCTCGCAGTCAACTTTGGGTCTGCCCAATTTCTCATTGCTTGTGTGAATGTCTTTGAAGTTTCACCTGGAGTTGGGGTTTTTGAAGCCACCGCATACCAGACCTTCCTCATCTTCCTAGCTATTACTCTTCTCTGCAACTCAGTATCATCTATGGCAAACAGATGGCTACCTTACATCGACGTGAGTTCTGCTGAACCCGAACCCTCTATCTCACTCATTAACATTCGTCGTCTTCCAGACCTTTGCCATTTTTTGGACTTTCGCTGGAATCCTTGCTATAATCATCTGCACCTTGGTCGTTGCGAAGAATGGAAGACACAATGCTGAATATGTTTTTGGAAACTTTGAACCTCAATCGGGCTGGCCTGTAGGCTGGTCCTTTTGTGTTGGCCTTCTACAAGCTGCATATACGACTTCCTCCACCGGAATGGTTATCTCGTACGTAACCCCTTTATTGTTCATTTCCTTGATTATTCTTCCACTTGGAAGACACTTTACTACTGGCTAGAATGCTTACAACAATGCAGTATGTGCGAGGAAGTTCAACACCCATCGAAACAAGTACCAAAAGCCATTGTTGGCACCGTCATCTTGAACACTCTCGCCGGATTCCTGTTCCTTATTCCCTTGATATTCGTCCTGCCCGATAGCCAAGAACTGATTGCTCTTGTGTCCGGTCAGCCAGTCCCAACTATCATGAAATCTGCGATCGGAAACTCAGCGGGCGCATTCCTCCTCCTTTTGCCTCTGATCGTTCTTGCCCTCATCTGTGGTATTGGCTGCACGACCACTGTCTCCCGATCTATATGGGCATTTGCACGAGATGGTGGAATCCCATATTCAAGTAAGTGGAGACGAGTTAACAAAAGCCTAGATGTCCCATTCAACGCTATGATGCTGGGTATGGTGGTGCAGATTGCTCTTGGGCTTATCTATTTCGGGTCAACTACTGCGTTCAATGCCTTCTCGGGGGTTGGTGTCATCACCTTGACCGTCAGCTACGCTTGCCCTATTGCAGTCTCCTTTATCGGGGGAAGGAAGCAGATCAAAAATGGCGAATTTGACCTGGGTAAACTGGGCGCAGTATGCAATGTCATAGCCTTGGGTAAGATCCAGTCTTTACTCTGTTAGTGATCGTATATGCTAATGTTCCTGTTTATCTACTAGCATGGAGCGTACTCGCCGTTCCCCTATTCTGCATGCCCTCTTCAATTCCCGTCACTGCAGAAACAGTCAACTACGCCCCTGTCGTCTTTGTCGCATTTATCCTTATTGCCACTGTTTGGTACTGGGTCTGGGGTTACCAGAAATACGTCGGGCCACCTACCGTCGATGATGCCGTGATCGACATTCGTTTTTCAAGCGAGTGATGTATTTTCTTACTCTGCAGTACTTCAGACTATGAGGCTTGAGCATATATTACGATAATTGAAGCGACCCATACTTTTTATATAATATTACAAAGCTGTTATCAATACATTTGCTAAATCATAGCCGTCTTTTACTTGTCATGGATCGCACTCACTCACACATAGCAATTTGAATCAAACATTAAGCTAAGGGCATGGAGAAGACTGTTAGAATGGGGACAGAACGGAGCACTAGAACGAAGACTAGATCAACGTTTTCAAGGACATTTTGAATAAATTTAAGCTGCGGGTGGCGTTATTGGTATGAAACTACCTGGAGTATATCTTTCTTACTGTTGTCATCTAATTTTGTGCGCAGGTACTAATTTCCAAACCAAAAGGGAGAGCTTTTCGCGCTCTGGGCTTGGTATCATACAAGCTAGGCTCTAACCACGGCGAAGATGTTTCTCGATGAACTCAATCATTTGATCAAATCCTTGTGGTTCTTTGATCCAATGTCCATTGGCCTCTGCGTCACTGTAGTAATGCCATTCTGTCGGAACCTTCAAATACTGCAGAATTCTGGCTGCCTGATGACCTAGCCGAATGGACACTACCGGGTCATCTCTGCCATGACTTAGGAGCACCGGGGTTGACAGAATAGATATATCAGTGGAGGCATCAATTCGAGGGAGGCCAGGGTCGTCGATGATGTCGCGGAACAAGTTTGACATCTGTCGCTTGTTATCAAGCTTACTTGGCTTGATCAAGGACGGGTTGTTGCTACTTTGTTGCAATAATTCCATCGCCTGTTGGCGGCGTGTCAGGTCCTCCGCTTTGTGAGAGAAAGGAAGCCAGCCACAGAAGCCAATTATCCCGCCCAGAGGTTGGTTGATCTGCCCTGCGGCGCAAAAGAAGGTCCACAATGTGGTTGCCATGCCTTGACTGATCCCGCAGAGAAAGACACGACTGGCGTCGCCATCAACGCGCTCAATTTCATCGGTCAGAAGTTTCAGGATATAAGAGACCGATTCTCTCAGGCCATCGACTGATAGTTCCTGTTGCTCTTCAATGTTGTCTGTAGACCAAACATCGAACCAGGATGTTTCGTCTTCTTGAAACCTCGAGCTGTAACGCGTCTTCGCAGTTGGGAAGACCCAACGCCAGCTAGGCAGGCTGTCTGGTAGGCTCTTCATGTTTGATGTCAAAGAAGTAAAAAGGTCTTCACAGAATTCCGGCCCGTTGCTTCCCCGGCCGTGGAGGAAGATGGCCGTATGGGTGTGCTGCTCCAGCGGAGCGTGAATATGAGGCAGGGGGAAATCCATAATCGCCTAATCGAGAACTGTAGTAAGTGATTTTAAGTAGGACGTCCCCTGGGCACAGTTGTTCAAGGGTATTAAGTCACTGAAACTTGCAGTTGGAATGTGGAAGTTGACAGTTGGCGTGGGATGAAAATGGCGGGGCACCAGCCACAACGGGAAGACAGCCAGACAGCCTGGACTCATTTGATTCGTGCACTCGATCAACCTATCAACAAATCGCGCAGATAAATAGCATTGGATGATATCTTAGAATCAGCCGCAAGGAGGCCTTCAAAGGTATACGTATGCAGAGGATATTCTCGACGTCCTCAACAATAGAAGCGCAGTAGTTTTTAGGTCTCCCTTTCCAGGCCCAAGGGAACGAAGCACACTTTGTTTGTAACTACACAATTTTAAACCAGTGAACAAGTATGGAAGAGAAGTACATCGGAGGAGTACAGAGGGATGGTTGTTACCGACACGACCAAGCTGGAGGAGCCTCAGGTGGCTGCCCCCTGTATATCTGCTTAGTCATGTGACGTCAAACGCGTTTGTTTACATTCGAGAGTCTTCACTTGCACAACATCACCTCACCGACTCCCCCTCGTCTCCACACTCGGCCTATCCTCAATTGTCCTTGAACTACACATCCCGAATTTATCACGACTCTCTTCCTTTCACACACTACCACCTCTAGTCATGGCGGTCCGCCGCTCCGCGCGCCTGCGCAGTGCTAGCGCTCAGCCATCTCCCGGCCCCGAGGTCAGTGTGCCCCGGTAACACCTGTCACTAGATGAGTGCAGGATGGCGCTGTATTTGTGTTGAATATCAGCTAACATAACATGGAAGGATCAGACTCAAGAGTCGGTTTCTCACCCCGACATCAGATACAGACTTGCATCCGTCGAAGAACGCGACGAGACTCCTGCCGATAACCTCCCTTCCATCCGCACCCCAGTCACCAAGAAGGGTATCCAGAGAACCCCTACCACGACTTCGCATCACAAAGTGACGGATGCCAGAACCCCAACTTCCAGCTCGGCAGTTCGTCCACCTCTCGAAGAAATGCATCCTAGCAAGGCACAGAAAAGCACCACCAAACGGGTCGACTCGGGATTGATCCTGGGCTTCAATCCCATTCAAAAGGACGCCGATGGCAATATTGTGAAGAATCTCGCCATTCAAGACACCCCGTCCAAGTCGAAAGCCTCCCCGGCACCCACTCAATTTGGCACACCAGGCTACGAGTTCAAGCGTGGCCAAGAGTCTCAGCTCAGCGACGAAGCCAAGCAACTGATGGACAGTGTTCGAGGTGAAGTTGCACGGATCAAAGCCCAGATGATCCTTGACAAGTCAAAGCAGGATCAACAAGAGTACGAAGCCGAGACCATGCATGGCGATCGAAAGATTGCGAAGCCCAAGGGCAAGGCTGGCCGCTTCAGCGACGTGCACATGGCTGAGTTCAAGAAGATGGATTCAATTGCAGGACATCCTTCCTCTTTCCGGGCTACACCAAGTCGCTTCCAGCCTGTGACAAAGTCCTTGAAGCGTACCAAATCTAAGGCACAGCTTGATGAGCCCGAGCCACAGACCTCCTCTCCGTCGCGATCTACAGCGAAGCCTTCGACAGGAACCGCGCCCACTACCTCCACCCCTTCAGCAAAGCGCGCGAAGCCTAACCCAACTGCCAACACATCGGTTGTCCGCTCTGAGATCGCGCAAAAGGAAACTGCAACACAAAAACCTGCTGGCCTGCGTCCTCGACCTCGAATTACTAGCTCTCTCATGACCCCGACCCGGGCTTCAATCGCCCGCTCCGGGTCGGTTAGTATCAAGGCTCCAAAGACATCCTTGATTCCTTCTCTGGCACGATCCCCCTCCACCAAGGGTCTTGCGTCCCCTCGTACTCCGCGTACTGAATTCAACCCGCGATTCAAGAGCAGCCTGCCCACGCTGAATAATCTCAAATCCATTCTTCGCAAACGCCAACCCCTGTTCTCCCGCGACCCCGCCAAGATTGCTGCTGGAACGCATGTGGCTGCTCCCGACTTCAACCCTGACTCGCTCTTCGGCACTCAAAAGGAAGCCTCTGACTCCGCTCCAACTCCATCGCCGAGGAAGCACGTTGAATTTACCCCCAGCGTCAAATCTCGTTATGATCTGTCTCAGGCGTCACCTTCCCGGTCCAAGATTCCCACCACTCCCTCTCGTTCTAACCTATCAGATATCGTCTACCCTACTCTCCCTACTCTCACCCCCGATCATAATGCTGCTTCTGCTGGCGCGACTCAACCCGACGCGAATTTGTCGCCCACGATTAGACATGTCCGCAAGTCTAATGCCGCCGAGGAGGGATCTATGTACCCTGAGCTTCCCGTTGTAACACACGGAATCGCGCATGGAATCGGCAACAAGAAGAGACACAGGGACGAAGTTGACGATGACGATCTGCCCAATGCCGAGGATGCCGAGAATGTTCCTCCGGCCGACTCGCAGGCGGAAGAGCGCAGTACTAAGAGACTGAAGAAGTCGAATCCGCCGACTCCAAGCCCGGCCAAGTCCCGACCCATCAAAACCCCTGTTCGCATGTCCTCAGCCCGCGTGGGCACTCCTTCCAGTGCAACTGCTAGTGCGAAACAAAAGTCCCGCGGCGTCCTCAGCCTCAGCCGTTTGAATATGCTCGCCAAACCTAAGGGACAAGCTTGAACACTCTTGAGGTGGTCGGGCAGACGCCTGGTGCGTTTGCCCATGTATTGAGGTGCAGTATTCCTGAGATCCTTCCGGTGAATAGTATACTCATCTCGATACTCAATTTTCAATTCTACCAATGTCTATTTTCCACACCTTGTTTGATCCCTGCCTCTGCCTGTCTCTGTGGGGCATCGATCAACTCAATTTTGTCTACTGTTGAGTATCTACGAATTCCCTTGATTCGCTCTATCCTCACTCATGTGTTCCATGGTACTCTCCGTTTGATCTGCGTTTCTTGTTTTCGGGGGGAGCGGGGGGGGGATTCCGTGAAGAAAATTCGGCGTCTGGGATACATCTACAATTACTGTTTCGGGCAATATTGGTCGGGGCGCCACGCGGTGTCATTTCTGTTGGAGTTCCTTTTATTGTCAAAATATTTTAGCTGTCCAATGTTCTTTTACTGTGTGCTGCCTCTACAGCCCGTAGGGAATTGGGCTTTCTCTTGCATAATATCAACGAAGCACTGTCATATGGCCTTATCGACTGCCATACTTGAGCCTTTTGTACGCCTATATCACGTCCCCGACTTGTACATGCGGGCGTCACATGAGGTGGCACGCTTGATTTGTGTTAAACTAAACTCTTTAGCTAAGATCTGCGGGCGGCTTTGTAGTAGTATGGAATACCTAACTATGTCGTATAACTTAGGGGACGGATTGGTATGAAGACGAGAGTAGGTGGGAATACTAAGTCGAGCAATTAATATCTTGTCTGCGAAGAGAGACTTGCAAGAATACCCTTGTGGAATGGAACCACTTATCTATTTACATGCGAGTTATCATTCGTCGTGGAGAGAAAGGTCAAAAACTAAAAATACATGAAGGGCTCGAAGAAAATCCACGTAGCAGAGCAGATATCTGTTCGTTAAAAGCCAAAATACCATCCCTAAAAAAAACCGATGAAAATAAGAACTATTCGCTGATTGATGCACGGAGAATTATTTTGGGGGAAGAAAAGCAAACGCGAGGAAGAATGTGGGACGTGACGATCGTAGTGGAGGAGGTTGACTGGAGACGAATAGGCCGCGTCTCTGGGCCATAATAGATGAGTACCAATCGGGCAGGCAGACTGGTATGGTGGAGGGCAAGTCGGCGATTAATTCTTCATCGTGGCCAAAAATGAATCCAGGTTGTACTCTTCTTGGTATTGCCGATCATCCCAGAGTTCGCCGAGGTCGTCGAGCCAGCCCTTCTTGCCCTTCTCCTTGACCTCGCCATCGATGTCGACCATATCGACTTCGTTGCCAGTGGGCTCGACTGGTTTCTCGGCCGTTTCTGCTGTTTCGCCTAGACTGAAGAGATCTAGGAGTTGGTCTGTGTCCATGGTGCCAAGGCCAGCGTTTTGTTGATTCACCACGGTGGAGGCGACGTCAATCTTGAAGCGTTGCAGGCTGTAGAGAAATTGTTAGTCACGGCCGTTCCATTTGTTAAAAGAAATCGTAGGAACTTACTTCAAGATCTTCTCCTCCAGAGTACCCCGGGTGATCAGGCGATAAACGTTGACGACCTTCTTCTGGCCGATACGATGAGCGCGATCCATGGCCTGGATATCCTTCTGCGGGTTCCAGTCATGCTCGACAAAGATGACAGTGTCGGCTCCCGTGAGGTTGAGACCAAGACCGCCAACACTGGTGGTCAGAAGCAGAACGTCGTAACTTGGATCGGTGTTGAAACGGTTGACAATGTCCTGGCGCTTGGTCGCCTCTACACCACCATCCAGGCGAAGGTACTGGACAGACGGGAGCAATTTCTTAAGAACATCGTTTTGCACAATGTCAAGCATCTCCTTCATCTGACAGAAGACCAAGGCACGGTGTGGGCTGACATAGCTTGCACCGGTATCCAACTCGCCCTCGGCTGAGTGATCGAGGCCAATACCACAGTCAACAAGCAAGTCATGCAGAGCGGAAAGCTTGGGTGCATGCGCCACGTCCCGAATGTTAGACCGCTTAGCAGACAAGTAAGACTGGACTTCGTTGTACTGTTTGTGGCCTTCCTTGACCACCAAAGCGGGTGAGTTGCACAGACGACGCATGTACTGCAGAGCCTGGAAGATATGCTCCTTGTCGGTGCGCTCTGTGCTGCCAACCTTCTCTTGAAGCTCCTTCTGCTCCTTCTTGGAGAAGTCTTCGAACAGCTTCTTCTGCAGGTCACTCGGGTCGCAGTAGTAGTTCTGGATAATCTTAGGCGGCAGATCATTGAGAACCTCTTCCTTCAGACGACGAAGCAAGAACGGCAGCACCTGCTTGTGCAGGGCTTCGATCGCCAGAGCACCAGCCTCTTGCTCTTTAGACGAAGATTTGCTGAAGCGACTAGCCGCAATGGGCTTGGCAAATCGGTCTAGGAAGACCTTCTCAGTACCGAGGAAGCCAGGCATCAAGAAGTCGAACAGTGACCACAGCTCCAGAACGTTATTCTGGATCGGTGTGCCGGAGAGAATCAAACGATGGTTGCTCATCAATTTTTTCACGGAAAGTGTGATCTTTGCCTTGGGGTTCTTGATGAGATGACCCTCATCGAGAACACAGTAGTTCCAGTTGATAGCATTGAGCAAGTCATTGTCGTTACGGCAGACGTCATAGGATGTCACAACAATGTCTGCCTCAGAAAGCATGGGCTGGATTCTGGCGCGCTCCGAAGGAGGTCCGACATATGCGATGCAGTTCAGGAATGGTGCATATTGCTTTACCTCCTGTTGCCAGTGACCAGAGAGAGACGGCGGGCAGACTATCAAGCTCGGCAGCTTACGAGAATCCGCAGCTTGGCTCTTGGCAAACTCCTCTGCTCGCATGTGGTGATCACTGGCGACAATGCAGATGGTCTGCAGGGTCTTGCCAAGACCCATATCGTCGCAGAGAATGCCGTGAAGGTTGTAGCGATTGAGGAAAGCAAGCCAGTTGACACCATCTTGTTGGTAGGAACGCAATTCAGCTTTGATGGCGACGGGAATTTGGAAGGGCTCCACCTTGCGCACATCCAGCATCTGCGACATGAACTTCCTCTCTCGGTCACGGCCCTTGAGTAACTCCTCGGATAGGCCAGGAGGGTCAGGAATACCTGCCTCCAAGGGAACCAGCTTGACGAGCGTCGCGAAAGAGGTAGTCGCCAGCAGCCGGGTATCATTGTCGGAATCACTCATACGGCCGAGAACGGGGACAACAAGGAAGATGACATAAGGCAAAATACCATCCTCCATGACATGGATCAGATGGTAGATGCACTCGATGGCGCCTTGACGATGATGGATATCTAGGGCGTTATTGATTGTCGGCAGCACCTTCTCAACTAGCATCGTCATGCCATCGACTGTGATGACGCTGCAGATCGTCGCGAAGCACTTGGCAGCTGCATACCGGATGACAGATAACCGGCATTGTAAAGCCTTAGCAATGAGCGGCATCAGACCAGTAACCCAGGAGTAAAGGCCAGGATCGAACTTGGGGAGAAGGGCACGAAGGGTAGAGAAACCATCCACAACCTCCTGGCCGAGCTCGTTCTCGGGACTTGTGATTATTTCGGGGAGGTCGCCTTCTAGAGCGTCCTTCAAGGGCCGCTCAATAAGGGATGCCAGATTTGGTATCTTCTCCATGAGTTGTGCGCCGAATTTGACTGTCAATTGCTCAAGAGCATCCTTGGCACCCCGTCGCATGATACGAGCCTCCTTGGCGTCCCGCTCAAACTTGGCAGCATCCGGGTGGTCTCGGCGATCCTCTTCTTTGCGGAGGGACAAGATGGATTTTTCCAGGTGAGCGTTGTGGGGGAATTCGGGCGTTTCAGAGGTATCCACACAGCAATATTTGACCAGGTTTCCGATGATCTTGTCCACCGGTCCACGCTTCGTTGCGGCCGTGTAGTGCTCGATCAAGCTTGCGACTGCAGTAGCAGATCGTTGTTGAAGTTCAATATTCTCCTCTTTCTTGACACTGTCCATCATACCCTTGATGATATGGCCAGGTTTCTTGGGAATATCACGTAGCGCGACCAATGCACCTGATGCTGCTGCCAGGACACGCATGTCCCGTTGCTCTCTCATGGCCCGTGCCTCATCGACCGCATACTGCGCCGTGGTGCGAGTATCGGTTAAGACCTGGGTCGCTGTAATTCGCTGGGCTGGGGTCAGATTCTTCTTCAAGCGGTCAAAGTCTGGTCCAATGATTTTATCGGCATCAGCCAGACAAAATGCATTTGGACCAGCTTCGGGGTCGCCTTGAACCACAACGGCTAATGTTGGCAACCGAGAGGGTGGAACGTGAGCGTGATCCCGGAAAGTGTTCAGCAGGGAATGACACTGTGCGCGCGCAACATGTAGGTAGCAGGAAATATCGGAGTACCAGGATGGGCGCTCGTCTTCGATAATGGGACGCAGGCGCTCACACAGAGATGCCGAATACTTACTCTCCGGTCCAGAAAGTCGAGCATACTCCTCCACAACCATGGCTGACGCAAGCTGGGAGGTGGATGCTAGGTGGGAAAAGCCATCCAGGATTGTCGGCCAGAATGAAGGAAGCTCATGCTTGTCCCAGAAGGAGAGCAGCTCACCGAGTGCCTTTGCCGCATAGATCTTGGATCTGAGCATAGTATCTGCGCCAACGAGATCGATGTCGCCAGACAACATATGTCCATCCACATTGTGTGCTGACGGCGGAGGAACTTCTTTCTTCTCCAACTTGCGTTTGCGGCCAGGCTTGCCCTCGGGGGCGCCTGGGGTGCTTGTGGATGGCGAGGAGGGTTTGGCAGGAGGAGGCGCAGCGATGGAGAAAGCTACTCCGGACGGTTTGATGAAAAGAGAAGCATTCATGGGGATGGGGTATCGTGGAACTCCGAAGGGTCCAAGAGTGAGGTTGACAAGTGGCTCAACAGAGCTCGAAAGCTCGGTAGCTTGGGCGAACGATCCACGGAGCTCGATTGCTTTCAGTAGCTCCGACCACACTTGCAGGGATAGTTTCAGAACGCTCTCGTTGCGTTCCACGAGCAAATTCTGGAAGATCAGTCGCAGCGCCTTGCCATCTACCCAGTCTGTGCTTCCTTCCCCCTCGAGCTTCAGGAACGTCATGAGAGCGCGAAGAACGGCGGAACGGACACTCGTGATGGTATGCCGCAGGAAGGGATAGAGGCGGGGCACCAAATTACCGAAAGAAGCTTCCGGATCATCTGCCGCATTCGCCTTCATGGCATCCAATACCTGAGAAAAGGTACACAATTTGGCTAGAAGGTCCATAACAGATCCTGTGCTGGCACTAAGATCGTCCTGCAAATTGGAAAGGCAGTCCCAGACGATGTTCATCAGAGTGCCCAGGGTGCCTGCACGGGATGTGACGAACTCCTCAGCAATCGGCACAAGCGTGGCCGCACTGACAGCGCGCACATCATCATCGAAGTCTGCTAGACCTTTCATCACGGCTTCGAGAACGCCATCCATCAACAAGGAGTACTTGAGAAGTACGTCTTTCCGAATGGCAACCAAGTATCGTAGACCAATCATGCCACCGTGGCAGACCTCCCATACTGGACGATCCAGATCCAGGTCTTTCTGCATGATGATGCGGTATAGGCAGCTGTAGACTTGCCGAACAGACCTGGGCGAGAGATGGGAAAGGAGAGCTCCAAGAGTCTGGCCCACGGTTTCACGGATAGGGGCAACGACGTTATCTGAAATATAATCGCCAAACCGATCCAGGATGAGAACGCACACTAGACGGCATGCAAGGTCATCTAACCATCGACGGTTCTGCATGTCGTTTTCTTGGCGAGTCTTGCCATCCACCCGGCCGGCTCCTGCGCCTTGCACCCTGATAACCTCTCGCAGAGCCATCGCCGCGCCATGACGCACCTCCCAGTTGGGGTCGAAAATGTCCACGGACAGGAATTCACACATGCATTCCAAAGGCCACCCAGCACCCTGGTCCACCAAGTCAGGCTGAATGACCGGCTTCTCGGGAGCAACCGGCCCTTTAAATTCGGAGACAATTTTAGAATCGTCGTCGCCAGCGGAGCGCTCCAGCGAGAAATAGTCAGGTTTGACTTCGCCATTTTGGTCCTCGCCATTCTCCGTTTTGATGGGATGAGGTGTCGCAATCGGAGTTGTGACATTCTCTGACGTCCGACGTGAGGACGATAGATCCACCACGCGCACCTTGTTCGCTCCAATTTTGGCGCTGTGTTTATTTTTGCGTTTGAGTTGATTTAGCTGCCGCTTGCTAAGTCCCGATTCTTCGAGCTTGGAGGCTTCGTTGGGCGAAGACGGCCGCCGAGAAGCATCCTGTAGGCTATTTTCACGAGAGATTGGAAGGGAGGGGGCCGAGGTTTCCTTTTTGGGGGCTGGTGTGGGTGGCTTAGGAATGACAACGTCGCTGAGGTCAATATCATCCTCCACATACTCCCCTTCCAGACCGAGACGACCGTAAAGAGTTTTCTTTTGGTGCTGAAGACGAGCTGCCGGGTCCATCGCTGCGAGGGAGTATTCGTACTCCTTGCCGGCACTGCCGAGTAGTCGTTTACCATACTTCAAGACGGAAGTAATATCTAACGTCTCAAGATCGAGAAACTTTCCTGATGTGGATGGCGTCTCCTCTGCTTTGACTTCAGACTTGATCTCCACATCGTCGTCGTCATCGTCGGCTGCAGACTTGATCTGTAGTCCATCGTCCTCGTTTGGGTCATAGACATCTGCATTAGTCACGATCAGCCCAATTGCCCGGGCAGCCGCAGTCCGCGTGTCCCAGGATTTGGAGCGTAGATATGGTAGAATGCGGCCCAGAAGATTGAATAGCTCGTCCGGATGTTGTTTTTGAACGTCTGCGAGTTGCTGGGCAGCAGTATTCCGAATCAACTGAGTGCTGCCGGTTTCAAGTAATCTAGACGATGATTGGTCAGTAACTTGGAGGTGATGGATCGTCCTGGATGACGACCACGTGATAAGGGTATGGCACTCACGTGACCAGGCGGTCAAGTCTGCGGTCAGGTTAGTATCAGGTGACTGACGCGTCATGATTGGATGAAGGCACTTACCGGGAAGTCATGGCGGCCCGTCACTCTGATGCCGAGTGACCAGCACCACCCGAATTAGATAGTCGTTAGGTGTTGAATAAGAAAAGAGTGAAGTAAGAGGACGCGCCGAGATCGCGTCACGAGGGCCAGGCAAGCACGGTGAACCAATGGAAAATCAGAAGAACGCCCAACACCACCCAGAGGCCCTGTGGCTGAGTCAGCAGGGAGGATTAGATTCAGTACACAAGAGGAGATTCGAGGTCACGCAGCTGGGTTTATATCATTGGGGGGCTTCTGCCCGGCGCGCCGGTCCATGTTTGGGTGTGTGGCACTAGTCCCAATCAGGACTAGCCGTGGTTGGGCCCCCACTCTCAGGTTTTTCTGGTCACGTGCACTTTGCGTTTAATGCTCGGCTTTAGGTTTGCAGCTGCAGACACGAAGCAGCCCCTGGAGCCCTTCGATTGGATCAATGAGAAGTGTCCTTCCGGCGAGTGTTACCAAGAGACTTCGAAGCTGTCTGCACTCAGAGACCCCTTCGTATGCACTGTCGATCGATCTTCCTATGATGACATAAGCTATAGTTTGGCCCATCCTCGACAATGCCAAGGCATGCCAGATGGCCTCATGGGACCCGAAGATTCCCAGTGATCGGAAGGGATCACCCGGGTATGTAGTTTATCATAAGTGAACAGCGATACACCTTTCTTAAGAAACATCTTTCATTGAATCTTGTCGTCTAAGATGTAGATGATCGTGCTGTTTCCTACCAATGGACGTGTTCATATTGCAAATTGGCGGGAGCTAGCGATGTCCACTCCTCGATATATAACTATGTGCGGAGGTTGTGCATGACAACCACTCCAGCACTGTCCAACGAAATATTTCTCCGTCGGTTGAGCAGTTTGAGCTCGACGAAACATTTCGGGTGAAACTTGAAGTTTCAATAATTGCTCCTACCTACCTAAATCCCTTACAATGTCGGAAGCTCAGTCATCAACAGGTCCATACGTACATATGCTTGGAAGTCCAGTCCCCGTGTATCGTACCTCCATTGGACGCACCTTTCCACTCGAGACCTCCAGTACCTTGCAATGTTTTCATCGCATCTGGACTTCGAAAACATCCTCAAAGTGACAGATTTTGCCATTCCATTCAAATAGGCATTCCTTCTATGACAGTGTGCTTGGCTGCCAGCCATTGTAGTAAACCCTATGCCCAATCAACTCGCGCCAGTCGAAAACTACATTACAAGGCTGAAACTCATCAACGCACATCCTGTGATGGGAAACCGGAGTATCATTTCAAACAAATGACCAAATGGTCGGAAAATTGAGGGTTTCTATACAGTCACAGGCCCCCGGAATTTGGCTCCGGCGAGCAGAAACAAGGATCATACGCATCCAAAAAATGAAAAGAACCAACGCGCCCTGGATTTGCTCATCTCTCTCTTATGACCGCTGCGCCACAAGCACAGCATTTGCTTCCTCTTCCTTTCCAAGTAGACCCAAGCTCCGGATTTGCTCAGCCTTGGGTGCGTTCTCGCGGGGGTGGGCAGCCTCGGCCTTGCGGTATGCGGCCTGCATCTTCATTATGCGGAGAGCCTATTGCCGGAAATTTATAGTCAGTCCTGTCCTTCAGTAGCTCCAAACGAAAGACCCCGATCCATTAGGATTCCAGACATACCTCTTTCCGGTGGTGGAGGCACTCGTAGTAATCCTCAAGGGCTGGGGTGCACTTCTTCTTGCCGGACTCGCCCTCGCCGGAGTTCACGACGTAGCACCCAAGAACCTCTTGCCAGAAGGGGTAGCAGCGGGAGGGACCTGAAAAAGGCGAAGCAGAGTCAGCTGGGGACCAATTCATGGGGCAGAGGAGGGTGGTCCCAAGATGTGACCCGGCAAGTCACCAGCCGCGGACCGGCCACAACACCGGAAGGGAAGTCGGAAGAGCACGTACCGCCATTGAGACCGTGTCCGGAAGCCATTGTCGAGATAGAATGGAGGAATTGGCAGCGGTGGGAGGCAGAGAGGCAGCAGGAAGGTGGTGAGGTCGGTGGTGGATGCGACGCTTTCCCTTTCGTTTCCGACATGGCCCGTGCGCCCCGCCGTATGCGACTTGCGGGTTGACGTCGCTAGTATAAGGACAACTCATCCTCCTATCTTTCCCCCGCGCAATCGCCATGGCTCCTCTGGAAGGGCTATCGGATGCTCATGCGATTCTGCTGGCTACACACATTTGCACCACTGGTGATGTGACCGACTTACCTGCCCTGCAGACGCACTACCCCCATTGTTTTCCACTGGAACGCCTGCTACGCATCATCTTGACCTACCTCCCCGAGAGCACAGAACCTTCTACATATGTCCCAGTCCTCCAACAACTGACTGAGAACACCTCATCTGTTCCAGAGGATCACAATATCGATACATCGGCTGTTAAAGACTTGTCTGAGGCAGTGGCGCGGAAACGTGTTCGAAGGCTTCGTCTACAGCCGCTGAAGCGCGAGGACGAGGAGGAAGAAGTCCAGTCTGCAGACAACTTAACTCAGTTCCTCATCCATCGAGCATATCTGATTGACACCGAAACCGCCCTGCAACCCCTTATCCTGGGCCTTCTCCTGCCCTTCTACGAACAGCGCCCCGTCATTCGAACATGGTTGATCTCAAGTCTACTGCCGGCCCTCCGACTCAATTACGAATACTACCCCAATCGAGAAGAGACGATATCACTTGAGACACTGGAGTTGATGGATGATCAGACCGCAATTAACGTTCTGCTATCGATCACTGGCTCTGAGGGTAACAACATGGATCTGGTCAACAATCTGAGGGGGCTGATTGGCCCATGGCTATATGGTAGCAACCGAGCAAAGAGACGGAGATTGAATGAGAGTGCGCATCAGAACTCGATCTCTTTTGTTCAAGGGACGCCGAAACCCCAACCTACTGAACTGGCCGTCTGGGAATACGTGAACGAATGGCTATTATCACGAAGCCTGGTCGATCACAGCAGTGTCGTTGGTGCTTTCACCAACTGGAACGGCCCTGAAGATATTGATTTGGGTGGTTATGACGATGAGGGAACTCAGATATCATTAAACCAGAAAAAGGAATTGTTGAATCGGTACGGCCAGTCTGGGTTGGCTGTGGTCTATGCCCATGCGGACTCATCACAGGCCGCATTGGATGGATCATTCCAAGTTGTGGCACGAGTTGCAAGACTACTTGAGCTCGAAGAATTCTCATATCTGAACTCATCTGACTCGGCGCTTCCATCCGTGGATTACGATACAGGGCAGATCTCTTCAACATCACGGGCTTCACTATTACAGAACGCCCTCCTAGCACATCAAAACCCCCTGACACGTCCATCGCCATCCTCAATCTCTTTCCTCAGTGCATTGCTCCTTTCTCTACGCGTATTGACTCAGCTTGGTCATCTGCTTCCGTGCCGGGCTGCGGCCAACCTTTGTCTGCATAGCAGTGAGGAGATGCAACTAGCGGAGTTGAAGAGTGTGGTATCATCGTCTATCAAACAGCAGCGGTCGAGGCAAAATTGGGAGTTGGTTCGACTGCAGCTACTATGGCTTAGAGATTGGCAAGCAGAGCATTCTGACAACGGATGGGATGATCCGTCTACCCATCATGGGCTTTTCTGGCAAATCTCGCGAGACACGGTCGAGACGGAGATTTTAAAGGCTCTACTCAGCACCCGAGGTACGTATTCCCCCACGATCAATAACCCATCCCGGGATAGTCACTGATAACCTCTCTCAGAGTACCAATTGGCTGTGGACCTATACAGCCAGTCTGAGTCACCGCTTAGCGCTTCGCAGGTAGAGACAGCCGTGGTAGAAGCCATCTTCGCAGCCTATGATAATGCAAGCAATGGCAATCGAACTCGCGGTGGAATGAAGAAAGCCTACGACATGTAAGTCCGGCCTGAGAAAGAATTTACCAACATTGCTAATTCTTCCATAGTTTGCAAGCATTCCAACCGCATTTCCAGGCTTCCACTCAGCTCAAGCAGATCGGCTCTCTCATTGCGGCAACACACGCCTTGTCCTTTTACTCCTTGACTCTGCAGCATGGTGTCCCATTCGAACCAGTCAGCATCCGGGTCCATTACGATCCTCTTTCTTTGGTCGAAAAAGTGCTCGATCAAAATGTCAAGAGCTATACCAAACTGGACGATCTTCTCTCCATCGGCCGCAATCTAGTCAAAGCCGGCCTCCCTACACACTTATCATCAAGCGAACATGAAAGCCACACCTCCCAAGACCCGCTCTCAGAGCAAGATGCCCTTGTCACGGCCGAACGACGCATCACCTCTCTCGCCATTTCCTCCGCCCTAAACTCCAATGACTTCGGAACAGCCTACTCCTACATCCTCACCCGCCTAACACCACCCTCCATGCTCCCAACCTCCTCTCCCCTCCTCACAACCCCCACCGTCCCAGACGATATCTCCTGGCGCGCCGTATACAACGCAGGCCGCTACCGCTCCGCCTCACCCAACACGTCCGCCTCCCTCCAATCCCAAATCACATATCTCTCCCAACGCATGGAACTTCTCTCCCTCGCACTAACCCTCGTCCCCTCCCCCGATCCCCTCCCCGAAATCCTCGGTGCCTGGCGCCGCTGCGACGAGGAGATGTCCTCGCTCCGCGCGCGCGAGCAACAAGAAGAGGACGTCTGGGACGCGAAGGGCAACAGTCTCTCCACAGTCCCGGGCGGTTTCGGCCCCACGGATTCCGAGCGCGACGCCTTTGACACTGCACAGCAGCGTGCGGCTCGGCGAGCCCGTGCTCGCGCCGCGATGCCTCATTCTCACCCGCATGAGGCGCCGATGGGTTTGTTTGAGGTTGCCCGCGGCGCGGCTATGGCGCTGCATAAGAATGCTTTCCCGTTGCGGGGAGCTGTTGATGCTTCTCGGGCGTCTGCAAGTGCTGCTACTAGGTCTGGGGATGCGGAGAGGTCCTTTTCGCCTGATCAGGGCGAGGGTCGTGTGCGGAAGAGGGATATGGTTAGTAATATGATGACGGGTGGATTGGCGAGTGGTATTGGATGGGTTCTTGGTGCCGAGCCAGTGAATCGCTAGAGAGGTGATCAGTGTTGAGCAACTTTATTCACTTTAGCTAGCTGTATTATGATAAGTGATGAGTCTTATTTGCAACACGTAACGGTGTTGTAGCTCCAACATTGAGTCTACTCTTTGTGTTATCTTAGCGCTTACTTATCAGATACTCGACCTCTTGCAGGTGGTCGCGTGCTTCTTGCCCGTAATGGTAGACGTGGCTTCAAGCACGGATGTCAGGCACTTTAAAAACTGCGATGGTATTAGGTACCTAAATATGTGCCGGATACTGTAATTTCCAATGCATTGCATACACCCACTCCTACCACCAAGTCCAAAGCAGCGTCGACTTCCCCAGAAACCTAAACAACGGGGGAAGGACTATACATCGAAGAAGTAACAATAGAAGATGATGATCAATATGTCCAGGCTCAAAAAATGTGACACATGAGGTGAGGAAACCAAAGAAAACAAGTAGGTAAGCAGAGAAAGAAGAAAAGGCGAAAAGTGCGGGCCAATAAAAATGAAAGATATGCGAGAATGACGGGCGGGATATCAGGCCGTGAAGGATCGTATGGGTAAGTGCGTAGCCGAATCAATGTCGTAGTCGCTGGCAGATGAAAAAATGACAGGGTATGATGAGAGCAGAAGGATGTCGCGTTCTACCGAGTGCCGGCCCAGGAGGAACAAAAGACATCGTGACAAGATGGATAGCGCCAAACATAGAGCCGAAGAGGAAGAAAAACACAACGGATTGAAGCACTAGATTGTCGACGGTGGTCGATTTTTGAGTCGTGTTGACAGCCAGGTCAACCCTTGGGGGTCCAGCCACTCATACTCAAAAACAAATCGGGAACCCTGGGGAATATGACGAGAGGAAGAGAAGGACAAATTTGAGGAGGTCCAGTTAGGTGAAAGGCTTTTTGAACTCCTCTCAATCTTTCCAGTCCCACACCTGCTTCACAAAGTTTGCCATGTTGACCTTCTTGTTCTTCATGTCCACAATCCAGGGATGTTCCAGCATCCGCCAGGGTGTCGCGCGTCGAGGAGGTTCTTTTTCAAGACTGTAATGACGTTAGTGGAGAGGACCAAGGAAGTATCATAGAAGACTATCAAACATACCAGCATTCAATGAAGTACTTGAAATTATCCGACCAGCGAATATTGTTCTGCGGCTCATCCTTCAGTTTAGGGATCGGCTGTCGCACAATATAGGTGAGAAGATCGATGAGACCAGCGCGGGGTTGCATCTCCGTTCCATCTGCGGGGAAGGGGAATCGGTGCTGTGCAACTTCCAGAAGAGTCACGCCCAGTGACCAGACATCAGAGGTGATGGTGTATGATTGACCAGTGATACGTTCTGGAGCCATATAGTAAGAAGTGCCGATAAAGGTGTTCGCATCGCCCTTGGTGCCGAACTCGCCGCTGACACCGAAATCGCAGAGCTTGACTTGACCGTCCCGGCACAGGAGAATGTTGGAAGGCTTGATGTCTGTGAAATTGATTAGCTATTTGAAAGGGTCCACACTGGCCATAAAGATGCCTACCTCTGTGGATGATCTTTCTGCCATGTAGGTAGGTCAGTCCATTAAGAACGCCCTCCGCAACCTTGCCGAGGACCTTCTCTCCGGTCCGACCACCAAGCTTCTTGACCTCCTTGTAGATACTGTCAAGACTTCCACCTTCGCAGAACTCCATGGCAATCGAAATCGTGCCCGTAGACTTGTCCATAAAGGCGCCGTAGTAGCGACAGATATGATCCGACGCGCAGTCCTTGTTGAAGTTGAGTTCGCGAACAATCTGCTTTTTCACGTCGGGGTTGGGATCCGTAGTGATAATCTATGGATTGAAGGCGAGGTTAGCCATTTTCCCAACAGAGAAGTGTCGAGATGACAGAGAGCAACTAACCTTCAATGCAAATACCGTTTTTCCATCCTTCAATTTGCATCGAGTGACAGCACCGCCGGCACCTTCGCCTAAGCTCCCCAGCTCAACAATCTTTTTTGTTCGCTAGCAGCATGCCAACCCTCGTCGTCCAAGTCCTCCACATCCAAAGGCCGGCCCTTTTCCAAACTCAGCTTATCTAGGTCCGGTAGCAAGCCATTCACACTGTTCTCACGCTCCATTTGTACACCGCCGTCGCGATCTGAATACACCGAACTGATAGCCGAGGAGGGGTCAGAGTTACCGCCCGCTGGTTGGCGGAGACCCATCGCGAACGAGAGAGCCGAGTATGAAGAATTCGCTGACGTCGGACCGCTGCCTTTGGTCTCCAGATTATTCTGCCCATTCAAGTTCGTGGTCAGCGGTGGTGGGGCCGGCCGACCGTTTGGCTTCAGAGTTGATTCCTGCGGGACACTCTGACTGCTACCCATTGGGGTAGCTAGTTGTAGTCGAGGCAGAGCTGGCCGGGAGACAGGTTGTGGCAGCTGCAGTTGCGGTGCATCATTTCCAGCGGCAGGGCCGGGAGCAGGGCCGGTACCATTGACGGGTTTGGCGTTGGGCGACGGGGGGATGCCTAAGGTGAGTCTTGGGGCTCGAGGACTGCTGGTGTTGCTGCGGTTGCTAGGAACCGGTGGGCGGAGGAGCGGTACAGAAGGAGACGACATGGCGAGATTGTTCTGCCTATCGCCGGGCAAGAACAACTCGTTAGGGTCAGCCAAGGTAGCCACAGTGTCGTTGGAGTGGTCCACCGTGGGCGACCGAGAGGGGTGGGAGCGAGTGTTGGATAGAGGGTGTAGCTGGATTGGATCGGGAGAAAACCAGTAAACCAACCCCGAAACGAGTGGAAGGGGGAGGGTAGTCAGAGAGGAGCGAGGGGAAGGATAGAAGAAGCGGTGATGATGGATGAAGGAGGGGGGAGGAGATTTGGCGGTGATTGAGGAGGAGGAGGAGGTGGTGGTGAAGGAGGAGTAAGAGGAGTAAGAGGAGCAGGTGACCGCGGAGAAAAAAGCGTTGTGGTTCCACCTGCCAACCGTTTAAGAAATCTTCCAAATTAGTCGATGATATGATTTGACTACTACCCTCAATTTGTTCACACCAATGGAAGAGCCAAGAAAGTTATCATCAACATCGTCATGAAATATTAATAGGACAGCGACACAGCCGCCGAGTGGGACAGGGCGAGGACGAGGGAGATCGGGGCCTACGGGTGGTGGTGGGGCTGTTTCGGCGCCTCAGCTGAAACACGGCGATCGCATCTGTCTCGACGAAGCACTTTGGACTTGATGGGAGAGCTTAGAGATGGGAGTAGGTTCTGCTTCTCTATACATGGCAAGTGTTGACCGTGACAGGAGGGGCGGGTCGTCCTTGATGTCGAATCTGCAGAGGATCGACGATCTAGAAAGACCAAAAAGGGCTCGAAAGGCAGTGAAAAGGCCCATCAGTCCACGGCGATTGAATCTCAATTCTCACTTTGTTCCATGGATCCGGGCCTGATTCTTTGACCCTCCTCCGAGAGAGGCATTCGAGAGGCACAGTTACTGTACATGTGTGCATGCATAGAGACCTGCAGCGTTCAACATGCACATTGTTGCTTCTAGGCCTTCCTCGCTGTTTTTCCTTCGGGCCAATTTGCCTCATTCTTCGTCTTTCGCTGTCCTAACAAGGATATTAGGCACTCATACTGTGCCGAACCTCTTGCCTCTCCGCTGTCAGCGTCGAATTTGTTGTTGCCTTGAAGCCGCAAATTCCCTTCTCCGAGACTCCACCGCATCTGTCCTCGCTAACCACCCTTGAGTAGTTCATGGTAAGAGGCGCCCGTCGACATCATTGCCAACTCACAACTCACTTGTTATTGTGTATTCAAGATGGTGGGCCATTCTACAATCCCCACCTGGTGCCGTTGGTTCCATTCTGCCCTACCAACATGCCTGTGTTGCATCTACGGTCTCATTCTTTCTTAGGTAAAAGGACTTTTGTACACCGACAAGTCTTTGATTTGAGCTCTGGGGGGTGAGAATCAGTGAGAGGCGTGCCGTGTGCTGTGTATGAGTATATACTATCCAAGAGCCCGTCGTCGCTCACAATCCGAGCGTACATGTAGCTGTACTGGCATAAGTCTGCAGTAAATACCACTAGCATGATCTATCAGAACCTGCCATGCACTCCCTACTCTCGTCATTATCCCTTGAGGGAGGCGTTGGCACAGTTCAACATCTTGGACTCCTGCACTCCCTTCGCTACCATCAAAGTCACGTCCGATGTCATCATGCAGCGCATGGACCGCAAAGAACCAGATTAATCTGCTCCAGGCTACTTACGGTAGTTTTCGTGACACATTAAGCTTTGCTGCTTTCCAAGCTCCCAATTTGAAGTCCCAATGCCGAAATCTTCAAGATCAACACATTATTAGCTAATGAGGGGTATCATCGACTGCCCCGCCAACGTTTCAAATCAACACCAAGGAATTCTAACACAGCTTCGGATAGTCGGCCAAGCACATGCACTATTATTCATGTCAAACCTATCAAGCCCCTTCATATTACGGTGTGATCCACAATCGGGCTTCCCGAGTTGGACAGCCACAGCCACAATTTGACCCTGGAGAGACCTCGATGCTAACAATTGCAGGGTCGCAGCCACAATGGTTCTGGCCAACCCCTTGCAGGATATGAGAGCATCCACCAAGGAAGCTCATGGTCGATGTCATCTCATTATTATGTCGGAATTGGTGTCCGTCCCTTGATCCCGTAAAGTCATGGACCGTAACGATTCAGCAAGGTAGGAACTGGCTATTCTGATCCCGACATCGACACTTCGATTACAGTCGTGTCATGTCATGTCAAGCTATCAATACTTCGAATTGACACCTATACGTAATCCTTGATAACGACAGCCTTGGGAAAGAAACACTCAAGTTCTAAACTTAATCAGTCACCAGTCCATGTTTGTGATGCACACTCCGTATTCCGAGCGTTTAGCATGCCAAAGTCCACCTACCCTATCGACGGCTTGACCAAACATGGATTTTGAATAGCGAGATTCATCTATGGCGGTGACGATCCGCCAAGTATTGGGACTTTGATGTGTGGGTGAGTCTGCAATCGACGCATTGTCGCTAATCTCTTTGAACCCAAATCTTTAGAGTTGTAAACTCCGGACTATAGTTGGATAGTAGGGTAATTTGGCATGCCCGAACGATGAAGGCTTCGTCTGAACCTGGCGTCGAAAGCTCGGGGCTGGTGAAGAAACCATAGAAACAGGCGTGCAACCAGGCCTGGACTGCCGACTGAGAAGTTGGTCGCCTCCCTGACGACGAATACTTTGTTGCTCAGATGGAAACTTCATGAGATACTTGGCCTCGCTCCACCAGCAAGCACCTTCCAAAGTGCCTCGATATCATCCACTGATACTCCTGGCTGTCGGCATGTTCCTATAGCCCCTTTTCTCTTCGAACCTTCAGAAGTCAAACATCTCAAAGAATGCATTGCGCCTTTCGTGCTAGGATCAGGATTGAACTCAGGGATGAATTCAGAGTCCCGATCCACTCTTACTATTATTAGTTATCTCATGAACGACACCCCTGACAGATCGTGAACTCCCCGAAGATAGGACAATCTAAACATACAACGAGAAAGAACAAAACAATGATTCAAAATGATAAAACTGGGGTTTACACTTTATATTAGGACCATACATGCGTTCTCACAGATAGAATGCATCGAGACCCGCCGTTTCTATAGAAAAGAGGGCCAGGAGACGTAACAAGATGCGACCAAATTCGATAGTTTGGGCACGTCGACTCGACAAGCACCACGAGGTACGAGGACCATCGGGACTTGTTTCTGGCAATTGAGAGCGCCTTCTTCACCCAAGAGAGTTTATAGTTTATACACGTCGTACAAGCTTGCCAATTATTCTTCAAGTGACTGCTTTGCGCAAGCTCAGCCTGTCAACTTGCGAACTCTCCTTCCCCCTATCGTGGAGCCTTGAGCATAACCCATTCCAACCCGGCCATTGGACACGGCAACAGGAAATGGTCACCAGGTACCATTCCAGAAAAGTATCTGGCGGTTCTCACAGCCACTCAGAGAGTAATGCCCACGGTCGAGACTCGAGAAACTGTGGTCCCCCCGGATATTCGATCAACATCTGCGCACAGATACTTCCCTCCAGTTCCTGCGCTGAGACCAATCTCATCTTACTGGCTCAAGGTGTTTCTTGTACAGTAATCGGGCATCCATATTTACATGTAAACAAACTGTACGGCGTGCATCTGCGCATGAGCAGCGCGCCCAGGTCTCTGGACCCTACAGGATTTGCACTGTGCGATGCCAGGGACCAGGCACCAAAGGTCGAGACCCCGTCACCGTCCTCCCCCCTTTCTCAGTAGTATTATTACCCGATATTCCGCTTCATGGAACGGGTATTGTATCTTGCCTAAGCCGGCACGACGACTGCGCCCGTCGAGGGATCCAACCACAGATCTAAACCCGCCCAAGCCTGGCGTCTTGGTCTCCGCTCCTGGTGGCTTGGGAAACCATCCGAGTAAGCACCGTCAAGCACTTTGACAAGAGACCTGGGCTAACCGTTCAGAGAGTGGTTACAGTAAACCCCGAAAGTTAGCCCCTCCCGCTCCGGGTACGGCCGCATTGGCAATGGCAATTGGAAGGTGCAATGTAATTGTGGTCATTATTATTATTACTGTACGGAGTACGTACTCCGTCCTGGAACGGGAGTGTGTGTGTGTCCTGCGTATGTACTCTGTAGATTTGGTTGAAGCGGTTCGCTTACAGTCGAATCAGATGGCGGATCTGCGTTGCTTCATGGATATTTCTGGAACTCATTTCCAGCCGACGAATGATTAGTGACCAGATAGATGGTTATATTTAATAAAGCGGGAGACCTTGGTACATATCGAGTCTACAGCTCTGTAAAGCTCAGAAACCAAATACCAAATCGAGTAATAAAAGTGCGTCAAACTTATTGGTAGATAGATTCATTATCAGACTGGCGAACGGCGTGCTTTCCACCTGGTTCTTTCAATGGATTGAGGCGGAGTCAATCGAGAGGAGCTGATAACTCCTTTTAGGCTAGGGAATGTAACTTAATTACGGACTACACTCATATAGTCACACTAGGATGAGATTCGACCCGGACGGATCGAGCATCCAGAACAGCAACCCCCAGCTAAAAGGATCAGGGGGCTAGGCTCCACTCCAACGGACAAGTCATCTTGGAAGGGTTATCGCTTTCTCGGCAAGAGACTAGAATAGAACAAGATTGGAAGAGGCCTCTAAATACTCCATGCAGTAATAATATGGGTCTAGAAAGGGAAGGTGATCCAGAAACCGCGATTCGCCCTCCCCACGGTAGGCTATCACCTGGGGAAACGCAGGGAAACACGGTACAGTACAGCACTAGTATAGTACTGTAGGGAGCCTCGGGAGCGTGGGATTGAAGATCAGAGAGACTTGAACCTTGGGATTTGAACATGAACATGAACATGAACATAAACACATGAACATGACGACCGTCCAGAGTAAAGATTTGCAACCAGCGTCATCGAGAGCGGCCCCAAAGTGGACTGAGCGAAGTTGTTCTCACCGTGCAACCAACTGCGTTGTTGACGGTGATGGACCCGTGCCCAGTGGAAATCAATCCATGGACGGTTCAGGGGTAAAGTGGAGGCCTTGCCACACCCAGAGGCCATCGTGAGTGGCTATAGCGCGAGGGAAGCGGCACCAGGAACAGGCAGTGGGTCGGCGGTGGATTGGTGGATTGGCAGACGGACGATGGGGGACGCGGGCTGAAACCCGCTAACTGATCATGTTCATTTCTCCCGTCGACGATGCAATTTGCAGGCTCAAACAAGGGTCTCTGTTTATTAGGTGAAGATGAAATGATGTCGGAAAAAAAATAAAATGAGAGGGAAGAGCGGACGGGAGTGGCGGTCTGGAATATACTGCCCATCTTATGCTGGCCCGCTACTCCGTACAGGAGAGTAGTAATGCTGGAGACTACTACTGTCGTAACTACGGAGGATGGAGGACTCACTGTTATGGCTCAAGTAAGGCGGTATCCAAAAGTCGCCTGTCTCACTCCATTTCGCAACGTGCAACCTCGTCCGACTCCACTCTCCTCCACCCTCCATCCACCCACCTCCACTGCCATTGCACCAGTTAACCTTCAGGTTCTCATTGAACTAACCCCCCGATCGGCATCACCTCCAAGCTAACGTTGCTAGTGACTTTCAAAATTACCATTTCCCGGTCGTCATGGCGAAACGGCTTATCCCACGCGCCTCGCTGCACCAATGAACAACCCCCTGCCCCTGTGGCTCCGGGGTCCAGCCATCAGGGCTGTGCGTGCAGCCCAGTGGAAATTCAGGTACGGATGGAAGAAAGTTCAGGTTCCTGGCGTCGCGTTGCTCCAAGGTACCGACGACTCGAGCGGCACAGTCTGTACACCGCAACGTGTGATGTACTCGGAACTCCTCCCACCTCTCTCGATGACCTTTAGCGACTAACCCACCCAGGATGACGACTCCGCATGTCTATCAGCGTGCAGGTCCAGTTCAGACAAACTCGGCCTTCCCCTTTTTTTTAGGGGCGGAAGTTGCTGGCCCCGCCGATCAGCCAGTCTAATCTCCCCGTTCATACAAAGAGCCCCTGGCTCCCCCGTGCTGCCCTGTTTCTCTTTCTTCCCTTTCCAAGTCCATACTTCGTTGCCATCGCATCAGTCACTCTCTCGACTTCGGTCATCCACTCTTTACCAACTACCACACTCTTTGCAAACAAAAAGCTACGCTTTTTAACCCGCCTTTTAAATCACCTTTACGGTTTATTTTCCATCTCCCAAACAACAATCAAAATGCGTTTCGCCGCTGTTACCCTTGCCCTTTTCGCCGGCCTGGTTGCCGCTCTCCCCAACGGCGCTGAGTCCACTGTCTACCAGACCGAGGAGGTTACCATCACCTCGTGCGCTCCCACCGTCACTAACTGCCCCGGCAACGCCAGCGGTGCTACCTCCGCTCCTGCCATCACCACCTCCGTTCCCGCTGGTGGTGTCTCCCCCGTCGGCAGCTCCTCCGTCTCCAGCATCCCAGTTGTTGTTCCCAGTTCGGTTTCCGCCCCCGGTGTTCCTTCCGTGACTGTTGTCCCTGTTGTCTACACCACCTGCGCTGCTGTGACCTCCTGGTCCACCGTTGCTGTTCCTCCTGCCTCCACCCCCGCTGCCTCCAGCGTTCCCTCCAGCGTTTCCCCCGTCAGGTAAGATCCGTACTTCATGTGCATCTGATAATCAACATTGCTAACAACATCTCAACAGCTCCGCCACCGCCGTGCCCACTTCCACCCCCGTCTTCAACGGTGCCGGTGCTCTGTCTGGCTCCCTTGGCTTCGCTGGTGTTGCCGCCGCCGCCGCCTTCTTCCTGGCATAAATGACTCCGTCTGTCATGGACTGCTTCATGTAACGCCATTCCTCAGTGGAATGGTAAGCGTGTAGTTGTCTTCGCATAGGAACTGGGTGCGGGAGAAACGGAGAAAGATGCTCTTGTGATATAAACCCTGGGTTTTTGGTGATTTTATACCTGACTCAATATTGTTACTTGCTTCTGATTGGATATGCTTATCCCTTGTTTTTATTCCTTTCTTGCTCTTCTTGATATACATATTTTCTTCTTTGGCTTCTCTGGATAGCTTCGGAGTTGTGTGTGAAGCGCTTGACGGCTTGAACACGACCTTAATGTAAACCATGACAGCTTTCACCATGATTCCTTTGCTTCCAGATCCCGTAAGCCCCACCCCCTTTTTTTTGTGTGAATGTATACACATCACTTTGACTATCTATTTTCCTTTTATAATCTTAGATGTTGTGAATGCATTAGCTAATTTCCACTTATTACGAGTGTTCTGAACCTTCTTTAGAAGAACCGCCCATCTATTTTCCAGTAAGAAACGTGTTTCCCTCAGCTTGAGGGCCCTTGAGGACCCTCGATGGGGGCCTGTATGTTGCCCTTGTGTTTATAATGGTTGAAAATCATTCTCCCTTCTTGAACACAGAACAGAAATTCTTTCTTGAAGGTGACAGTTGTCTAATCTAGACCCTTAATCATCGTTCATTCGGACTGGACTATGGCCGTCTTGCAAACAACACCCCTTAAGCGCGTAGCACTCCATACAGATATAGAATCCCCTCGGTGGCAAATCTCACATCGATAGTGAATGTTGTCCTTGGGCATACCTAGGGTGCACACGTCTCAATATCTTGCATCGTCAATTGGTATTAACCGCATATCAACATATTCTTCAACACACAGTGATACCCCTTACTCTTTAGCATAGTCAACTAGCAGGTTCTCAACATCCGCGTTCCCACCCCTTCTAGCCCACCAGAACACAGACCGTCCAAAACAACCTCGAGTGTCACCGGTGACAGTTCCCGTCGCTAGTAAGACCTTTACTAGTTCTAGATGACCGTGTCGTACGGCTATTGATAATGGCGTTAAACCATACTGATCTCCCAGATCTGGATCAACAGTAGCATCGACGAGGATTGCTTTTGCAATATTTCCATGTCCGGAAAAGGCAGCAAGAACAATGGCGTCTAACCACAATGATCTTTCGTAATTGCATCGTTCTTCTCCATACCGAGCAACATTTTAGCGATACCATAGTGCCCTTACATTGCTGCCTGTGACAGTGGTGTGAACCCATACGTAGGATCTCCGACATCTGGGCCGGCTTAAAATTCCATTAACTTCTACACCACTATTTCATGACCATGGAACAATGCAGCAAGGAAGGCAGTGCAATATAAACCACCTGGGGTGTGAATGTTAGCCCCTCGATGCAACAGCATTTGCACTACTGTATCGTCTCTGGACGGTGCAATTTGGAGTTCGCTGCTAAATGCCTCACACCGGGCCTTGACGTCGGCACCTTGATTCAGAAGTATCTAAACTACCTTTTCAGGGCCGTTGAATGATGCGGCCGTGAGTGCGTTGCTATTTTTTTCACACTGGGCGGTGACGCCCGCACCTTGATCAAACAATATTTACACCAGCCTATCATGACCTCCGTATGATGCAGCTGCGAGTGCGTTGCTGAACCGCCTCTATGGAGTATTCACGATGTATGATGCGTCAGCATCCCTTGTGCTGAAGGTATGATACTGTTCAAGGCAAATTTCAACACCAGTAATGTAGCGTAGTACACAGGAGATGCTATATATCTTAGACGAGAGTCAATGTCGTCGTACACCACATCCACATGCCACAGCTGGTCAATGTCATGTAGCTTTATCTATGTCACGAAAGCTGTCGGTTTGTCTTTGAGATTACGATTTTACGTTCTTTGGAATTGGTTTAATAATGAAACTAATGCATAGCCGCGAAATAAGTAAATGGGAAATCTGCGAGCTTTGCCTCGTCTAGTATTTCGATAGAGACAGTTAGCTCTAAGAGGAAGACTAGGAATCGAATACATCACTATTGGCTGCTTTCATCACTTGGGACAAGGGACTCGATCTGCAGCAGGTGGGAAATTTGACACTCGACACACGGCAGCAGTTTAAAGACTTGGTTTCAAAGATCAAGACTGATATTGAACAAGCTCTACCACCCTATATGATACCTGCTCTCTTCATCCCAGTCCAGACACGGAGAAGAAGAGCGAAAACATCAGCCGGCATGTCAACTTTCTTTCCCTGGGAGGAGATTCACTGGCAGCAATGAGGCTTGTTAATATTGCGGCAAGAGATTTGCGATTGACTCTGACTGTCGCGGATGTATTCAAATCTCCGGTTTTGGCGGACCAAGCGACACGTCTCCGGCCACTTGTCCAGACGAAGCACGTCGCGCCGTTCGAGTTGATGATGGATGGAAATCTTCTGATTCAAAACTTGGTGGATTCAGTGGCAAAGCAATGTGAGCTGACCTCTGGCAAAGTCGAAGATATCTACCCATGTGCTCCATATCAGGAAGAAATGCTGCACGATTCGCTATATGGCGAGCGGACACAAATGGGCCAGGAAGTCGTTCAACTTGCCAGTGATTTGGACCTCCCGCGATATATGAGCGCATGTGCCCGGGTTTTCAAACGGTTCCCCATTCTGCGTACTAGAATTATTGAAGATTCAGGCAAGCTCCTTCAAGTTGTTATTCGAGAAGATCTCACTTGGCAGCAGCCGACATCTCTCCCTGCGTATTTGGAGGCTGAAAGTCAGGAGAGGCCATCGCTGGGGAAAGCCACTCGCTCGATGGGCATTGATATCGGATGGCATACACCTGATATTGTCGATTCATCATTCGATATTTGATGAAATCTCATTGGGCCAGATTCTCGGCGCAATATATGCTGTAAACCAATCTATTCCACTTCCCCCGGTTAACCTGGCCTTTGCGACATTCCTTGGGAAGATCAATAAACCACACCATGATCTATCAGACGACTCCAAACAGTTCTGGCGATCTTATCTGTCTCCGACTCCGGGTTCCAGTGATATTCCCCTTTCAGATGACGAGTCTGCCTGTCGACCCTGCGCCAACTCTGGCATACAACGTCTAGTGACATTCCAGGCTGGTGCAGTGCCAGCTTTACAGCAGCATGGGACAGAAGCATCTCTTGTCCGCGCAGCCTGGGCATGCGCATTGGCTAAGCACCATCAAAGTCCCAACTCAGATGTTATCTTCGGTACAATTTTGACAGGACGCAATATTCATCTTCCCGGTGTCGACGCGTTAGTCGCACCAGCTCTGCCACATACGCCAATTCCTGTTCGCATGTCTTCTGTGCAATATGAGAAACCAGCCCATTTCCTCGCCCAGATTCAGGCTGATGCGACAGCCATGATTCCATTCGAGCATGACGGGATGGACCGTATCCGCGCTATAGATGACCAGGTACACGTGTGACAACATCCGAACCTTGCATGTGATTCAGCCGATTCCGCAAGGGTTGACTTTGGATTCAAAATCTCCCTTCCCTGGACCTATCATTTCTGACCCCCGTGTTGAGGCTCGGGAGATGCGGCATTTCCACTGGTATGGCCTCCTTGTGGAGTGCACGCTGTTACCAACTAATGGCTTCGTTATTCGAATGTGTTTTGAGCACAGAATTTATCCGCCGGAGAGTGTAAAAGGGCTGCTGGATGATTATTCGCAAGCTATCCACGAGCTGGCTTGTGGGTTGACTGAAGGGAGCCTTGCTTGTCAAATCACCAGATCAGAGATTCTTTGTCCTCTTTATCAGATATTTCCATGGACGAAGAAAGGTCATGATTTCCTACAGAGATACATTGCTATGAGCTGTATATAGTGCCTCGAAATACCTTTCAAAGACACTCTGAAGAGAAAGAAGATTCTGCGTAACCCTTGCCAGTTCGGCATCTTAGTCCTTGAATGTAGTGTAAAACCTGACCAAAGACTGTGTGACTGCAATACCAAGCGAAAATAGCCCGGCGATCCCGGGGGCGATTGAAAGTGGATCAGCCACCGTGATCGATAGTTCTTGGTGCAAAAAGTCCAGGTGGTTCCGCCAGCGGTTAATTATACATAGCGTAGCTGCTATCTCAGAGCTGGTATTCAGCCTCGGCAAGCGGGGAGCACAGATGCTTCGTTGCCCAAAACGGGGCTGAGCATATCGAGGTCGAGAAACCGTTGTATGAGCATTCATTCGATGTGTCTACGGCCTTTGGCTTCGGCGGCCCATCCGTCTGCCATGCTATGCTATACAGAATCGAGTTGAGCAAACGTATGGGGCCTCTTACTACTGTAGCAGGCCACCATTGCGTTCTTTAATTCCTCCCCAGATATTTGATTTGTCCGATCATCCTCCTTGGCAAGCTATTTATTCCTGGGTGGGGTATGATGAAGTAAAGCAAATTAAATTATGGCTCGTGTGATTGCGATCTGTCATAATGAATCTCTGATGGGGATTAAGAAAGCTCCATCTGTTGTTGACGCTCATCTTGTCCGGTATGCGGGTCGTTTATCCATCTGGTCTGCTCAGGTACATGCGACGCATACCTTCCCCAGATTTGGTCAATCTCCCGCACCCCTTGAATAATGCCGTAACAACGAATCATTCGAGCGGGCTTTTCGATTATATCTCTGGCCATGTGGAAGGGCCCCCACGATTGCATTCCGTCCCTGAAGGGTCTAAGCCCCCCAAAAGCTTACTGCGAGGACGCCTGGCCCCATTGGCCTCCCAAAAATAGGCGGTCCACTCGTAATTTTACAGGCGCACGGCGCTTCCAACAGCCAAACGGGGCGAACCTCGTACAATTCTGGATGAAAGACGATGGTTAATGCGTAGTACAATGACTATGACCTCGGATACCATCAATTACACCCTGCTCGAGGGTCTTGGCCTTACGAAGGGGGCACTGAATTCCGCCAGCAGGGTTGTCGGTGTCCCTCGTCCAGTCTGCCTCGTTGGAAGGGGCGGCCCCTCTATATTGAGGACCTCCAGGGCCAATGATTGAGACGCTAAAAACATGAAACCAGGAAGAACGTAACCCTGATTCTAAGGCACACATCAACTTATGTACTCACTCGTTTCAGAGGACAGGGTTTAGATCCAATGTCATGTCGCGGAAGGTCGGTAAAGATGATGTTCGATCTCTAACAGGGCCTTGTGTGGCAGTGAAAGCCAACATTACTCCGGCCCCAACAAAGGATTCTCATCCTCCCATCAGCTTAGAGCAGCACCCTTACAGTCAGACGAATGCGGTTTATAAGGCGACCTAAACCCACACAGGGGCAATGGGCCTTCGAACGCCTGGCAACTATCTATATTGCTACCGAGAGGCAAGCTAATCGACCCGGAGAACAGTTATAGATTTCGTGGCTCGCTCGCGTTTCAAAAAGTATAACACGAACGAGATACGCGCTTGGCAAAGAACCCATTGATCGACGGTTTCCGAAGTGGCTTCTCGCGTGAATGCCGGACCCCAATTCCAAGGCCTTGACCTTCCTGATCTTCGGTTCCGGATACGAGCTCTCCAAGACGATCCACTATTTACGTCTATCCAAGCGCACGCCATTCGTGTTTAAAGATAGAAAACCGGATACTATATAAACTGTGGCCGCTTGGACTCCTCCTAATGTCCCACGAGAAGCTATTCTGCTCTCTTTTTAAGAGATCGCAGCTAGCATCGTCTCGCAAGCGCCAACACGACTCCAAACTACCTCTCATGGACCTCTCGTCGCTCGAGGGTCCTCCCCTCGCTGATCCGAGGGTCAATGTCCCCGCTGATTCTACATTCCCTCGTATCGAGGAAGAGCCCCCAACGCCGGAAACTCCGAGTCATTATCATACTTATTTCAACCTCTACACAAAGCCGTTACCCCCACGGCCTGCCTCGGCGGACCCTTTGGACTTGCGACAATCACGGCACTCAAGATCTGATATTCATACTGCCGGGTCTTCCACCGATCAATTCCGGAGTGATAGTGATCTGCGGCGTGTGCCGGCGCAAAGAGGCAGGAGGAGTACTTCTAATGAACTGCGGCCCGGCGAGGGCATCACCGGGACAGAGCCCGTACGAGAAGCCCGTTCCCGCTCGCCCCCCGCGAATCTGTATCTATATGCTGAGTGCCGAGTGCCTAGACGGCCTCGAAGTGCGCCTCTTGTTTGGCTGGAGGATGAGGAGCTGTGGGTGGTCACTGGGAGTTCTACATCATCACAACGTCCTCCGACCCGGCCTAGTCGGCCGGCTCGACTGGAAACACACATGAGTGAGCCGCTCCGGCACAGTGAACCTCTTCTTGATGAGGACTTGGACGTGGATCACAGTGCACTCTCGCCTCCGCCGTCGTATGATAGCCATGGCTTCAGTCATACGCACGTGGTTCGACAGCAGCGTGGCGTCGAGTCCCGCTGGGGCGCCGTTGCGCGGCGTATGCATAATTTGTCGAATGGATGAGCACGCGACATACCTCATGGAAACTGTCCTCTCTTCTTTTATTGACGTGATCATGAAGGAGATTGGGTTCTCAGGGATGAAGAATGGTCGAAGATTGACCTATATGTTCAAAAAGTGTCCCGACATCGGGGATTGGGCCGGGACAGGGATTCAAACGAGTCATTGCCACTCGCCCGGTCAAATAGAGTTGACGGGGCTGAGTTGAAGTCGAATGCCGGAAGATCTACCGGGACACTCTGTTTTATATCCTCGTTCAATTGGATATTCCATCAATGTGGCTGGTTCAAAAGTACGAAAAGTACAAAATCAATGCCTGGGAGCTGAGGCATCGAATTCAAACGTTGATACCCCCGAGATCGCAAATCGCCTGCAGCCATCGACCGGTTCTTCTGTTGTTTCTTTTTCGTTTGTCTCTGCGGAGACTATGGAGATCTTTTGTGCAATTCTGTCCATATATACCCACCCGGTCCCTGTCTCTTGGGGTAGAGAATTCAAGACCATTACCATTGATTGTTTCAAAACATCCGAGTCAACGGAGCTAGTCTAGTCATCAGCCCTAGAGTCAGCATTCTCACACTTTGAAACAGATTACTCACTCATTATTGATAGCGTTCGTAATAATCACCCCCTCCTCGTCTCTCCCAGTGTATCCCCTGTGATACTGACCAGGGCATCCCCTCTTCTTGCAGAGAGCTGGTCCCAGCGTTGAGCGTTGGCGTGTGCCTCTTCCAGCAAACTACAGGATCCACTGCTCCACCTCGAGACCTCTGACCTGTCCGATGCTGTGTGGCTGCGAGCACAGTCACAACTCGAAGGGGAGTTCATCATCCTGCGCTGGGTGGACCAGCAGAGAAGAAGCTTCTCGAATTCCCCCAGCCATTGTACTTTTACGTGCCGTCATGCCCGGCAGGAATTAGTTGACTCCACGTCTCCAGTCGTCTTGCGCGCGCTAACACAGACCAGCAGCTCTCCAGCCTCTGGAATAATTTTTTTTTCTTCTTTGGGCCTCGTGGCCCGCCAGGAGCCAACAGAATAGGATCGAAGATATAGGATGGAAGACGGGACTGGACTACTGTAGATAGTATATAATCTGTTCAAAGTACGAGACGTGGGGGAAATACCCCTCTCATCTGTGTTTATACCTCTCTTCTGTGTTTCCTATGCTCCCGTTGTACGTCCGCTGGTCTACAGTAGCATCTTCTGCCCCTGACAGGTGCGACTAATGACCGATAACCTGATAAATTGATGACTGGATCATGCCTGGACGGACCTGACCTGACCTGTTTTGTTTTGTTTTGTTTTTTTTTTTTTTTTCCACTTTTCTACCTTTGCTATTCTTTTTCTTCTCTTCTCTTTTTATTTCCATCTAGCTCCTACATTCGTGCACTGGACTCGACTTCTCCATTAACCTCTTCGAGTGTCATTTTTTTTTCCAGATCCGAACCGTGGTTGAAGTCCCCGATTTCCGCGCTTCTACCGCCTTCGTCGTCCTTCGATCCCACCCCCGAAGAAGGAAAAAAAAAAAGGCGAAAAAAAGGGCAAACCCAACTAATGGTCCAACTCGCCCACATCTTCAAAAAGGACAAGGACAAGGACCGGGAGAAAGAGAAACCAGAGAATCACCAGAAACCAGATTCCTCTGCCTCCGCCACTGCACGACCGCCTTCCACCTACGATCTTCCCGACCCTCCGACCCTCTCCTCGCGACCTTCTTTCTCCAAGTCGCCCGCGAAATCCACCAAATCCACCAAATCCAAGTCGCCCGCCAAATCCCCCTCCAAGTCACCCACCAAGTCCTCCTCCCCGACCAAGAATCGCTTCTCGCATAGTCGCTCTTCCTCGTCTACTTCCACCCAAACCGCCCCCTCCTTCTCCAAATTCACCCGGTCTTCACGAGACCAGGACCTTCACCCGCTCAATCTTCCTCCTGACGAGCTACGCCGTCGACTCTCGGCCATGGCGGCGTCCCGGGATGACCAGCGGAGCTCCATGGACATTGATCCGCAAGAGCCTCAGCTGAAGCAGAATGGCACCAACGGCACCGAGGAGCGCAGTCCGACTCCCCCGCCGCACAAGTCCTCCGGCTCGACCGACGAGGCTGATTCGTTCAAGTTGGCGGGCAACAAATTCTTCAAGGATGGTGACTACCGCCGCGCCATCGAGGAATATAACAAGGGTATGTTATTCATCTGAATTTTCCTCATTCGGTCGCTCCGTTCTGTGGGCGGTTTCTTTCAAAAGCACACTTTGGCTGAGACTTGGCTTCTTTTTCCCTCTTTTAGCAATCGAGATCAACCCGAACTCATCGGCCTACCTGTCCAATCGGGCGGCCGCTTACATGTCTGCGAGGCAATACCTGAATGCGCTCGAGGACATCGAGCGGGCCCATGACCTCGACCCCACCAACACGAAGATTATGCACCGCATGGCCAAGATTCTGACCAACTTGGGCCGGCCAGCGGAGGCTCTGAATGTCTTGTCCCAGGTGCCCGATGCGAGCGCGACCGACCGGGCCCCCGCAGAGAAGATGCAGAAGTTTATCGCACAGGCCGAGGAGACACTGGCGGAGGACCGTGGTGGCTCGATGGCTATCTTCTGTCTGGACCAGGCCCGTCAAGGCCTGGGCCAAGGTGTGAAGGAACCACGCAAGTGGACCCTTTTGACCGCCGAGGCACAGCTGAAGATGAACAACAGTAACTCTCTGGGCAAGGCACAGGATCTCGCCATCACTTTGCTTCGCGAGAACAGCCAGGACCCGGATGCGATGATGATCCGTGCCCGCGCTTTCTATGCCTCCGGCGAGACCGAACAGGCGATGAAGCTGCTGAAGATGTGCCTCGGGCTGGACCCGGACATGAAGCAGGCCATCAAGCTGCTGCGCATCGTGCAGAAACTTAGCCGTACCAAGGAGGAAGGTAACGCCGCCTTCAAGGCCAAGGACTACCGCCGCGCGATCGATCTCTACACTCAAGCCCTCGAGGTCGACCCCGCCAACAAGGATATGAACGCCAAGATTCTGCAGAACCGGGCCCAGGCCTATATCAACCTCAAGGAATATGACTCGGCAATCGAGGACTGCACTGAGGCGCTGCGCCTGGACCCCGGGTACGTCAAGGCGATGAAGGTGCGTGCCAAAGCGTACGGCGGTGCCGAGCGTTGGGATGAAGCCGTGCGTGAATATAAGAGTGTTGCGGAGAATAACCCCGGCGAGAAGGGCATTCAGGAGGAGATCCGCCGGGCCGAGTTTGAGTTGAAGAAGGCCCAACGCAAGGACTACTATAAGATTCTCGGGGTGGGCAAGGATGCTTCCGAGAGCGATATCAAGAAGGCCTATCGCAAGATGGCTATTCAACACCACCCGGATAAGAACCCGGATAGTGAGCACGGCGATGAGAAGTTCAAGGAGATCGGCGAGGCCTACGAGACTCTGATCGATCCTCAGTAAGTTTACTTATCTCTATTGTGGTATGTACTATCTGATGGGACTATTCTAACCATATTCCTCTTCTTCAGGAAGCGTGCTGCGTACGATAACGGCGACGACCTGATCGACCCATCCGATATGTTCGGCGGCGGCGGCTTCGGCGGCATGGGCGGTATGGGCGGTATGCATGGAATGGGAGGCATGGGAGGAATGGGCGGCATGAACGGCACGCACATCAACATCGACCCCAACATCCTGTTCAACATGATGAACGGTGGCGGTGGTGGTGGCTTCGCCTCTGCTGGTGGTCATCCCTTCGGCGGCCAGGCTCGCGGTGGTGCCGGTGGCTTCCCCGGCGGCTTCCCCTTCTAAACGAGCCTATTTACCCCGTTACTTCCTCTCCTCTCTCTACCAAACTCCGACCTACCACGCCAAGCCAACTGGGGAGCGAGAACAAAACAGCAGCTTGTGCCGCAAGTCGAGCCCCGAGTCCCAATACTGAGTCTCGAGCACCGTAGCCGCTCAGTTGACTTCCATCTCAGAACCCTGGTGAGCTATTGGCAAGGCTCCAGGGTCAAAACGACAACCGCTAGAACGCTATATTTCATCTCCTCAACCCTGCACGTAGACGACACGATCGATTCTAAAAAGGCGTTTTTGTTCCTCCTTGACCTCTCTCATCTTCATCTGTCGTGACCCAGCGGTGTCTTGTTTCCTGCCTCTTACCCATACCATACTTCACGGAAGCAACATGATTCCCATATGATAGACCTTTGTTTTTCATGTTTGATGTCAGCTTTTTTTTTTCAGTTTCCCCGCTTGAAATTGGGTTTCAACGTTTTGCTACTCCCTGTTCCTTTTTCTTCGTTTTCCCATCTTGATCTGTGACTGGGTCGAATCCGCTTCGGTGCCTTGGCTCTAAAGTTGGAGGCTTGTCTTGTATATGAGTGCTGCATGGATCGATGCATAGAATCAAGGTGATGGTGGTTGCGGTAGTCATCTTGCATTGGCCAGACGGGATGAAATTGGAAGATTCCTTGAAGGCTGGGGTATACATCAGATATCATTTATGGCGTTATCTTTTTTGTTAAAGTTCCTCTTCATGTGGTGTTGTGTTTTTGGTTCCAACACTTGAGATGAGTACATTGCTCGGATTTATCTGAAATGAGTCTTTACAAGTTGCTGGCATCTTTTAAAGTGTGGATTTACTCCTCTCCACGAGGAGAATTGCGTAATTTATCATCGGGTTATCCGTTCAATTGCTATCTGCATTCGAGAGTCATTGATTTCTTCAGAACTACGGTCCTAGGCACTTGCCGCTAATGCGGTCGACGACATTATTGGCGCTTAGGAAGGAATTCCGGATTCGATAGGATCTTGCATCTAGCCATGAGAGACATCCACAGTGACTACCAGTAACGGAATAATACCTACGATGGAGCTAGGTATCCAGGATCAGAAGCAAGTTCGCAAATACACCTCGAAAAACATTGATGCTATGTCCGTCTCCAACGACACCTCAAAATCCACATGCAGATCAACTATACTTCAACCGTGACATAACAACCTACAAACACAAACAAACAGGTATGTAGGGGGGAATCTCGAAACTATATGGTGGGGGGCATGGCAAGAAACGAATGAATGTACTGTAGATAAAGAGGAAGAGTATGCAGCAAACTCCGCCGCTAATGAGGAAAAGAAACCAAGTCGAGACGCTGATCGAGAAAGCAGCAACATGAGGTCTGACAAGGGTGGATATAAAGATGCTCAGTCCATCATACGGTTTCAGCTTCTGTACAGAGTGGAGCCGTGTAGCGCAAGCTGTTAAAAGATGACCATGGAAATATCTTCAAGTATAGCCCAGATTGTTGAGAACAGTCTTGCAGTCCGGAGCCGGCAGGGCAGAAACACCCAGAGCCCGGACGAGAGCACCACCACGGAGGCGCTGAAGGCCGATAGCAACCTTCCAAGCTTCAGTGTCTTGCAGCACAAAGACGTATCGCTTGCCCTCTTGATCCCGCAAACTAGCGCGGAGAACATGAAGACCGCGGAACTCAGCCCCAGCACTCGGAGAGGCCAAGCGGCAGGTATTTTTGCAGACTTTGAGAAGACTGGCGGTGAACGCGTCGGACTCCTCGTTGGTAGGTACTGAGTGTGCGGCGCCGCTGCGACGGAAGGAGAATGGATTGCCGGAGGCTTGTTGCTTGGAGCCCTGTGGTGTTCCCATCTGAGGACACCACACCTCTGCCATTTTCAGGGTCCAGGCTTTGACGTCCCATTCCCGCTGTCCAACGCCCCGAAGGTCGTCGTCCACGAATAGGCCTTCGGTGGTGATGCGCAGTACGAGGCCGTCAGTAACCATCCCCTGCCCGGAAACTAGCTGGGCCACCGGCGTCTTCATGAACGCGTTGGTGAACTGGTAGACACCCAGAATCACGATCTTATCTGGATCCTTGGTGGAATAAGTGCCGCGGTGCGACGGAGGAGGCGTGGTTCGTGCTGTCGACTGAGAGGGGGCATAGGAAGACTCGGAATATGCTGATGACCCGGATGCTTGCCCATACGGTCGTCGCGGACGATCGTAGGGCCGAAAGGAATAGGCATCATCTTCCTCAATAGTTGTCTTAGCCGTTGGGAAGGGCGGTTTCTTAGGCGAGGGAGTCCGAGGTGCGCTGGTTGCGCTTCCAGCCTTGGGCGGCGTCTCTTTCTCCTTCTTGCTCTCCTGCGCCTTCTTCTCAGCATACCTCTTGGCTGCCGCTTCTTTGAGCGCAGCAAATTTGGCCATGGCCTCTTTCTGGGCTGCGGCCTTTTCTGCAGCAGCTTTCTCTGCAGCCTCCTTTGCAGCCTTCTCCTTGGCTTCGGCTTCACGGCGCTCGGCTTCAGCTTTGGCTTCAGCAGCGGCCTTTTCGAGTTTCACGCGAGCTTCGGCAGCTTCCTTTTCTGCCCGTTCGCGGGCTTCCTTCTCTGCCTTCTCTCTGGCAGCAGCCATCTCACGCTCGAGCTGTTCACGGCGCTCTTTCAACTCCTTCTCCATCGCTTCTCTTTCCCGTTTCCTCTCCTTTTCCTTTGCTTCAGCTTCTCGCTTGCGCCTAAACTCCTCCATCTTGCGGCGCAGCTCCTCCTTGCGCTTCGTCTCTTCCCGCGCCTTTTCCCATTCGTCGCCATTGGGACCGTGATTGTTATGGTCGGACTTGGGAGGAGCTCCAGGGTCTGGCCCGGCACCACGTTGATTGCCAGCATACTGGTTGCCTCGGTTTGGTCCACCTCCAAAGTTTCCTCCCTGCTGTCCTTGTTGACCCGGGCCACCATTGCCTCCATGTGGCTGGTGCTGCTGCCCAGGCCCATTTCCGTAGTCGGCTCCTGAAGATTGACCCTGCGAATTCTGCCCGCCAGAGCCCCCGAAAGACCCAAAGCCACGACCAAATCGCTTGCCACCGTTGGCACTACCATTGGACTGGGACATGCCAAAGGCCCAACCAGCCACTCCAACTCCAAGCGCAATCACTACCATCCCAATGTTGTTATTGCTAGCCATGACTGCGACCCACCATGTCTTTACGAACGGCGCGACCATAGACCAGATCAAGACCACGGACAGGGTACTTGCGGCGCCCGCAATGAAGCTATTTCGGTGGCATTTTAGCGACGGGAGGTAGAGGAATCCGGAACCAGCAGAGTGAGGTGGGACAATGAAGATATCGTAGTTGCCAGGCGGCATGTCGGAGGCCTTGCGATATTCGCCCTCGGTGGTATGAGGGTTTTCGCCGTGAGGCGGCGGTGGCGGCGGCGGTGGTCCATCCATCGCGACTGGCGCGTATCAAAGTCTGGCGGCAGTTTAGATGCGATCGTGATCGAATTGTCGGCTCAATCGATCAGAACCGTTGGATCCGCGATATTTTCCTGCGCCGGTAATTCCTCTCTCTCAAACACCTCAGTATATATCCTCGGCGGGGCCAGTAGCCAGACTGGTCGTCCCACTATCTCGATGCGATGGCCTGATCAAACCCCTAGTTGGATCGATTTTCAGAGTTGATGCGAATCGATAGCCAGGTCATGTTCGTCGAGGTGGGAGATCTGCACTGAGGCCCGAGGCCACTCAGTGCTCGGGGAGCCGTTTCGATGGCAAGCGATAAATTAAACCAGCAAAGAATATATAGCCGGTAATGAACCACCTGTTTCCAGCGCCGAACTGGAGGGTGATCCAAAGAATTGGGGCGAGGCAGCGGAGAAGTGAAAAAGGTTGCTATGGGGGTCGAGTGGGTTGTTTAGGAGAAGTGGGAGCCGCTAAGGATCGGCGGCTCCATGCAGTGAAGACGTGGCCATCACACACGGCAAAAACAAATGGAACCAATAAATCCCCCGCCTGCTGGCGGCTTTCAAACCATCAGATTCTTCTAATGGGAATCTGATCTGTTCAGCAATGTGGAATTCCTCGGACTTGCCACGCGATGGTAGGCCTCGTTATTAGTGGATGAACCAGTGGTACAGCATCGAGGGATGCTACTGTTGGATGGACTGTCTAGATTGTCTACAGTTGGTCCTTGCTTGAGCCAAGACCGCGTCGATGAATGTGGACATGGTAGCAGGGGTAATTACAGAGATAGAGATTATCTTGCAGGACATCTGCTGATATCTTTATTTGATGTCTTCTTCAGTAGTTTTGAGGGATTGACTCGGTATACTTTTCAGTGGAAGCCAACAAAGTATTTGTTTTGGTTTTGCCACTTTGGGAAGAGTGACGCTTACGTCATTCCTCTTTATTGCGGCCTGATGGTTGTGGCTGCCTCAGGCATACAAAGGCCAAAACCTCTCTGTTGCTGGGAACAACACGGGGACAACAAGCCACGAGGATGACTCTCTGAGGGTGTCAAAAGTGCAGAGAAGAATAAATCTTGCGTTCTACAGATTGGCTGGCTTTCCATGATATATCTCGAAGTCGCCTTTGGGTCTTCAGTTGGGTTGTGCTATGCCTCATGGATATCAACTATGAACCCCCCATGTGCGACATGCAGGAACATCCAGATCTCCAGTGAGCTGTAACCTGTAAGACCAAGCAGTATCGTACCGCAGCGTATGTTGCCGAGGGACAGAATAGCGAACTGGGTCGATATTGCGGTCAAGCGGTTGGGGAAGGATAGTTCGACCGCAGTGGGTCCGTCTGATACTGGTGGTCAACAGTAATCCTGCCGGAGTATGTCCGTCATCGTGAACGATGGGAGAGGCAAAGTCACGTTCAATGCCATGCAGAGTGACCAACGTGATCAATTCAGTCATAGAGAGATTCCCAAAGACATCTGTTACGAGATTAGCAGCCACTGTAGATCTCATGGTCGAGTGTTGGCGCCATCAACAGTAAGACGTGGTCCCATGATCGGAGCAGACGATGCGGGACCCTGATCAAGCCCAGACAGCCAGACGAGGCGGGCGTCCACAAGCCAAGGCCCACAATATAGAGTCATGTCCAGGTGTCACCGCTCTCTGTCATGACAAAAGAAACGTGTGTTTCCATCGGATGGGCAAAAAGCAGCAGTGCATGACGGTAGTAGAGTACAGTCGATGCCGAAGTCCGCCAGAAACCTGCCTGAGGAACGTGACCTGCCGCCGATGATTGGATGGTGTTCCCCTCGAGATACCATCGCTCTCTGGTTCTCCTCTTACGCTTGGGATCGCCCATCTCTCCAACTTCCTTGGAATTAGGGAACTCTCTCGTCTCGTTGACTTCGCTTACCTATTGCGGTAGTCAGGTACTACCCCCTCAGTCCTCAATTTACTCCGCCCTCCCCGCCAGCCTGTCCTCTTGGCCCCATTCCCAGGCATCCATCACCTCCTCCGTGTTCCCTTCTCCTATGCCGCGTCGATAGCCTCCAGGGCCCGAATTTCCTCCTCTTCCTCCCCTTCCTCCTCCTTCCCCCTCCTCCCTCAACTCCTTCTGCCCTACCAGGGCAGTTCAGACCACCATGTCTGCCTACCAATCTCCTTCCCACCCCAAGCAGGGCCACGCTGCGGTCCCGCGACAGTTCCCCGCGTTCAACCCGGTCGCCGCTGTCACGGCCCCCGCGGGGACCTTTCTCCCGGGACCAAGGTCCAGGTCGGCAGTCATCGCGTGGTGGTGGAAAAATACCTGTCCGAGGGTGGCTTCGCTCACGTTTACGTGGTGCGGCTGTCACACCCGATCAATGGCACGGATACCGCTGTGCTGAAGCGGGTGGCCGTCCCCGACAAGTCGGCTCTGGCCAACATGCGCACCGAGGTAGAGACCATGAAGAAGCTCAAGGGACACCGGCATATTGTCAGATATATCGATTCGCATGCTTCGCAGTTGCAAGGAGGCGGATACGAAGTTTTCCTGCTCATGGAGTATTGCGGGGGCGGTGGTTTGATTGACTTTATGAACACGCGGCTCCAGAACCGGTTGACGGAATCTGAGATTGTCAAGATCTTCTCGGACGTGGCTGAGGGAGTGGCGTGCATGCACTACCTTAAGCCGCCCCTGCTCCATCGAGATCTCAAGGTAGAGAACGTGCTGATCTCGCGCTCTCAAGGCTCGACCATCTATAAGCTGTGCGACTTTGGATCCTCGGCACCTCCCCGTCCAGCTGCTACATCAGCTGCTGAAGGCCGCTTGATTGAAGACGATGTGCAGCGGCACACGACAATGCAGTACCGCAGCCCGGAGATGATTGATGTTTACCGAAAGCAACCAATTGACGAGAAGAGCGACATCTGGGCGCTGGGCGTGTTCTTGTACAAATTATGTTACTATACGACTCCGTTCGAAGAGGTTGGGCAGATGGCCATCCTCAACGCGAGTTACAAATTCCCCGCATACCCTCAGTTCTCAGACCGGTTGAAGATGTTGATTGGTAAGATTTCCAAAATGGGAGAAGGAGAATCATCATGATTGACTGAAGTCCTGGAATAGCCATCATGCTCAAAGAGAATCCACAAAAGCGTCCGAATATATACGAGGTGGTCAAGGAGGTTTGCGACATGCAGAAGAAGGAAGTGCCCATCCGCGATGTTCGTTCTCCCCTGTGTGATCCCAATAACTGGACCAAATTTCCTGACCATTAACCATTTAGATCTACTCCAATCGATCTCTCTCCGAAGCGCGGCGGAATCAAGAACTCCCCCCAACGCCAACGGAAGCACCTGCAGTGGGCGCCACGTTCTCGCCTCCTATGCAAGAGACTGAGATCATTCCCGAGATCGCACCTATGCGAAGAGGCCGGCCTGGAAAGCCTCAATCATCTACACATAGCTCTGCCAAACCAAGCCCTTCTCCATACCGAGGTGGCTCCAAGGCTTCATCTCACGACCCCTTTGCGGCACTGGACGGAGGTCCAAAGAAGAATCCGGATGAGCTGTCGAATCGATTCCCTACACTGGACCAGTTCGATATTCTGCACGAGAAGGGAGACAAGTTTGAGTTTGAGCCAACAGTGAAGGAAACCAAGTCCGAGGACGAGGACCTTTCGCAGAGACTCACCAATGCGTTGGCTGATGATGCGTTTGCACGACAGCCCTCTCCAGAGCGACAAGCGCCTCCTGCAGATCGGCGATCGCAGATTTCTCCAGTCCGTTCACAGAAGCCTCAAGAAGTGGCTACTCGGCAACAAGCTCCACTGTACCAGCCCACTCCTAAGCGGCCTGCAATGGTCTCTACGGGCACGATGACCTCTCCATCTCAGACACCCCGTCTGCAAGAACCGAAGATTTCCAACCGACCAATCTACCGCTTCCCACCTCCTGAGCATGAGCGAAGACCCTCCAGCCAGCCCTGGACCGAGGAGGAACAAAAACGCTCTAGGTACAAGGCTCCATCGCCGCCGTCAGCCAGTTTGAGACCAGCAGCCAGCCCGCGGCTATCTTCTGATCGTTTATCCCATCAGTCCAATTCCGCACGCCCCTCCATGGAGATCCTACGACGGCCATCTGGCTTGGAGGCAACTGATCCAGTCGGTCGGTCCAAGTCTGCTATCGCGAAAGCGCGCCCTGTTTCGGTTCAGGCTTCATCTCGTTATGACCTCCCGCATGACTCGGAGACGTCACGTTCCTCCTTGGATCTCCCGCATATGCAATATGAAGGCGGTGCTCCTCTCCGACCAGTGCGCACAGAGATTGATCGGGACTATGAGCGAGCCAACATCTCCTCCGATGTGGACTATCTACGAGCGAAAGAAGAAGAGGAAAGCAACCGCAAGCGAGAAAAACGGTCCAGCAGCGGTGCTAAGCATGCCAAGCGAGGAAGCTTGTCTTCTTTGTCACTCTCTGGAAGCAAGACTTTGTTTGCTGGCCGTTTCGGCGAAGCGTTCCGCCGTTTCGAAAGCACAAACCAGGAAAAGGCTTCCCCCAACGGCGGAAGAATATCCTCAGCACCACAAGGCTTTGACCAATGATTCGGACGCTTTGGACTCGCCACCAAATGAGGGCCTGTCGTCATATGAAGACGACGTGTTGGAAGATGTGGACCGCGATGATATCTCCCCGGAAATGCGCCGCGAGCTCGAGCGCCGCCGCCTCTCTCAGGAAGAGAAACGCGTTGCTAATGCTGCTGCAGAGTATAGGCGCCGGGTCGCCGAGGGTGATGGAAGCAGTCAGCATCGATCTCGCGCGATTCTGAACCGGGTGCAGACTTTCATTGGCGAATCCAACAAATCCCATGTGGCTCCCAAGACTGCAACCGGGTATGGGAAGTACACCGATGGTAATGCTTTGCAGGCAAAGCAAGGTGGCAGTGACAACAAACTCCCATCACCGAACACAGTCCCCATCTCGCGTAACCCCGGTCCCATTTACGGTGCTCGTGAAGGAACCACGGCGCCTCCAGACCGCCGCGAGGGTGCCAGTGCTCCTGCGGGTCTGCCCCAGTCTGCCACCTCCAATTCTGCTGGATACCCAGCTGCTCGTCAGTCGTCACGACCTACGGCCCCGCCGAAGCCAAAGAATCTGCGTGTCGGCGGACAGGACTCATCCCGGCCTAGCACCAGCCAAGACCACAGCCCCTCCGTCCAGGCGACACCGACGAGTCCTGGAGGAGAAGATTGGGAAGCTAACTTCAGCCGGCGGTTCCCGAGTCTGTCTGGTCTAGAGATGGAGACGGAGATTGAGGTTCCGAAATACCCTAAGCTTAGAACCCGGGAGGTTTAGAAGGCGTGTACGGCTTTTCGGTATTGATAGATGTGATTTGTGTTTGGTTCGATATGTCGCGGTTCTTTAGCGTGTTTCTCCCAGGTTTGACTGTTTGCCTGCTGGGAGTGTATGATGTCTTGAGGCGATGCATATAGAGAGAAGTGACATAATATTCATTCGAGCAGAGCTTTTGTCCAGATATCCTGTAGGATTCGTATTGTTTCAAGTAATGGGAAATGGACGACCCAGGTTTGATCTCGACTAGCTACGTGCAAGATACTAATGAACCCAGAATCTTCATCATATTATTCTGTACATCTACCAGGGACTTGGGGTGCCACCGATTACATTGGTCTCCGCTATCTTGCCCAAGTATCTGCTCTGCTCCTCACCTCAATCTCTCTCTCTCTCTCTCTCTCTCTCTCTCTCTCTCTCTCTCTCTCTCTAGTTTGAGATTTGCAGTATCTGCTGTTACACGAGACCTAAACACTCTCACTGAATCCCCGCCTTTCCAGTCACCCTAGAGAATTCACTCTGCAAATGCTCCCATATCTTCTGCGTTCCGTCGTTTCTGAGCCCATCCAAAACCTTTTGTACTTCTTGACCACCACTTTCACACACCTCATCCACAATATAAACACCACTTCCCACAACCCCATCACTACCAACAGCAACCTCCGCCCCATCTGACAAGGTATTCCCCTTTCCCTGTGTCTTCGAGGCAAACCTGGAACTAGTCGCCAAAAAGCAATGCCTCTCCCCCGTCTCATCAAGAGAAATATACTCTTTCGTAGAGAATAGACCGGTAAACCAAAACACCGATCTCATGAACCCCCCCCCCCCGTAGCCCCTTTCATCGACTTTGCAAGCGGCGTAGCCACGAATCCGGGGTAATTGTGCACGAAGCTTACCCCGGGCGCTCGTTTAGCAAAATATTCAAGTGTAAGGGTGATCATTGAGCAGAGATGGCCTCGAGCTTTCCAGGGAAGGACTCTTCTGCCTGGAATGTCGTTGGGATTGATAGGTCCTTCTTTTGTGCCAGCTAGCACGATGACTACTCGGCTGAGTGAGGAGCGTTGGAGGAGGGGGAGTAAGTTGGTGATGAACCGCATTCGGGAGTAGTAGCTTAGTGCCATGACAAGTGGTAGTTTTTCAGATGTTTCTATCTTTCAATCAGTAAAGTAGTTTGTGAATCGGCATCCTGGGCTTATGCCCTATCGTGAATCGTTCACAGTACCTGTACTAATGTCCAGAGTACCCTGACTCTGAAAGAGGACATCAACCTTCGTCTCCTTTGCTTGTATTGACTCGCAAACCTCGTCTACGACGCTGAGTAGACTTGCGTCGGCTTTGATGAATTCGTATTGACCATCTGGATTGATTTGTTTCAACTGGGGTAGAATTTCATCCGCGGCGCGTTGTGAGCGTCCGATGAAGTATAGTCGTGGTTGTCGGGTATATTGTGCAAGTTTCAGGACTGCTGCTTTCCCGATTCCGCTGGTTGCGCCGACGAACACGCCCACTAGACCCAGTGGAAGGGTTTTGGAAAGGATGGCATTGGATGATTGAACCGCGGATAAAGCAACCATATTGTAGCAAGTGGTGTCAACAAAAAGGCTTGAGATATAACGATGCTTGTCTATGGCTGGTTACTAGAGACTCGATTCCAATTTGCACCTGATATCAAAGAAAGCACTGCTAAGTGCTTACATTTATAGTATCCTACAAAGGATCGAGATGTTAGACGGGCAGACGATAATCGATCTCAAGTAGAGAGTCTTATACTACGTCATAGCATCTGATTGGCCCATCGCCTTGATCGGCGATGTGTCCTTCGAGCAGTGGAATCGATCGCTCGAATGCTTGTCCTGAGCCCGAGCCGCAGCTAGAACGTGGTTAACTTATCGTTGAGAGTTCGAGTCGGGCGGGTAATTGGCCCGACTTGGTGAGGTCTAATAGAAGCAAGGGAAGGAGAATTGAAAGTTCATGGTTGCTTCGATTTATCTAGACCCGAACAGGTATATGCAGCCTTCATGAACCATGTAAGTCTAGATGTTTGAACTTGATGTCATTAGTTCCACATAAGAGGAGAGGTTTTAATCGAATAACTGGTCTTTATTTCTGGTTAATCTTATCCAGATTTTAGAGCTTTAGTGGGGAGTCATTTGATGTTGTTCGTTCTACACTGTACTTGGCGTGCTGTAGCTCTCGCTATGTATTATCAGTCATCTGGGCCGAACATGCCCTGCTTGAGGAGATCCAGGCAGCTCTGATTATTCCCAGCAGCAGTAACTCACCTACTAAGAGCTTGATCTCACATATTTTAAACAGAGACGCCTCATCTTTCTCTCTTCACTTGTGCACTTCACCATCTTCATCTTCCCCACCAAATACCTCTTTAGCCGCCACCTCACCGCCTTTCCCCACCGCGTTCCATCTCCAAACTCCTTCGTCGCAACCCCAACTGGAAAGAGAATCAACTTCAACAATCATGGCGCCCGTAATGCTGAAGACGGTCGATGGTCAGTGCTGAAATGAACCACAGAAGTGATCACCATGCTAACTAGCGGGTCGCAGACGACATCCGAGACGTCATCCAGCACCTCTTCGAAATCCAGTCGGCCGTCCACGGCTACCTAGGCCCAGAGACACAGCAAGAGCTGGTCCGGAAGATGTACGTGTGAACTCCAGCTACCAGGTCCTTCCCCAAGTACATCTGTCCTCTTCTACAGAGAATGGAAATTTTGGAAAACTCAAGCTCTGCTTTACAAGATCCAGCGAAAACCATACGATCAGGACATCAAAAGATCATGCCAAAGACACCAAGCTAACCAAATTCCCTTCTCTTCTCCCCACACAGCAAAAACCTCACCCTCTCTCTCTCAACCCTCTCAACACACACTACCCTCCCACCCAACGCCTCCGAAACAATCACCCCGAACACAACCGACCCCTCCAACCCCCCACTCGCCAGCATCCAACTCCCACCGGAGATAATCGAGTATGTCGACGCGGCGCGCAACCCGGACATATACACGCGCGAGTTTGTGGAGCTGGTGCAGCGCGGGAATCAGGATCTGAAGGGAAAGCGGGAGGCCTTTGCCGATTTCCGGGATGTCCTGGCGAGGGAGATGCGGAGTGCTATGCCGGAGTGTCGGGGGGAGGTGGATCGGGTTATGGCTATGACAGGGGGAAAGGCTGGAGATGGAGGTGGAGGTGGAGGTGGGCTTGAGGATCGGATGGATGGGACTGCGAACTGATCCTCTTTGCTTCTTTCCTACGGTCTGACCCCCGTTCTTGGATGGTCGTGGTGATTTGCTACAAGGTTAGCGGGTTCGATGGGGCTTGCGATTGAGGCGTCATGGTTGCGGGATGTCAATTGATCGTGATTATGGGCTTTGACTTTGTGGGGATTCGAATTTCCACCTTAGAGTGCGCGTCGAGTCTGGCCCCTGGTCCCTATGTTGGGTGCGTTACTCCTTTCGGAGTCGTCTGCGATGGCTGGACCGGGCGATCCTGGTTCTTGGCCTTCAGGGGTCTTCCCGGGCTCATTCATAACAATGAGTTCCCTGGCCGCCTAACAACTGGGGAGATCAGGATTTTCCCGGGGAGTTACGGGACTCGAGGACCCGCGGAGGAGGCTTTGGGAGAGCGATTTTAGTCCTACTTTTCTAGATTCCGGCATTTGTTTCAAGCGAAGGCGTTGGGGCGTTTAGGGATATCATTTACACTCGTGAATTGAAAGGGCCAGACTAGGTTAGACTCGTAACCATATGGATTGCGCACTCTGGAGTCTGAACGGTGGATTATGTTCACCGCGGTAATTGAGGGAGTATCCATGCATTCTTCTGCTTGAGGGTATCGCCATTTCTTGGGGGCTGGACACTGTTCTCCATACAAGACATGCTTATAAACATAGAACATAGTGTATTGTATGATTATAATTAGTTAGACGTGCATATGTAGTCAGCTGTTTCAATGGGTTGCACAGGATCAATTGCCTTGCCGAGGTCCCCATATTCTCCCCATCCACCACTAGAATGGAGCTGGAGCTGGAGCTGGAGCTGGAGCTCAGGTGGAGGCCACGACCCATAAACGGTATTTAAAAGGAGGGGCTATCAGATCAACTGACTTGTCCATATGGTTAGTACGTTGATGATTACTGTCAGTCGTACGTTGTATTATAGACACGTCGATGTACACCTTCTCAGAGCCTCCAGTTCTTGCCCGCCCCCGAATGGTGTTAGTCCCTACCCTGTACTCCATAGCCCATCATTTCATCAATGGCACGCCTAACACGAAGTCACTGGCCGTGCCCAGCACACCGCGCTTGCTTCCCGCTCATGTCTAACTCGCTGGTGGCTGTGATGCTACGTGCAGAAGGTGGGGCCGCCTGCTTGGCCCCCAGATTGTAGATACTACTATGTACTCCGTACTGTATGTACTATGCTAGAGGGAAGGCCTAATAATAATAATTGAAGATCATATTCGAGATCCTCATACCGAGTGGATAGAGTGAGAATGATCACTGGAGGCCAGCTGGCATGGGAAGTTGTTTTATTGTTGAAGCAGCCAATTACTTACTTACTTACCTTACAGAATAGGAGATGATTTACCAAGGCACCTTCAATCGTAGACCAGGATCTGAACTGGTTTAGAATGTCAATGATCAACAATATGATGCATCATGCGATAGAGAGGCTCTGCTCGGAGACCTCCTCCACTTCCACCCGGCGATAATCCTCTACTCTACGGAGTGTTCATACTGATGTAGGACTCGGACAGACAGCAATGTCCGCCAGCAACAGGCCTGATTTCTGCCCTTCCTCGTGTGAGCATGAGCCTGCCAAGTGCCTCCATTAACAACCTTGAGGGAAAAGCGATCAGCGGGCCCGACCGCTTGGACGAGGCGCGCGCCCCCGCTTCCTCAGGTCCAACCAACCCGAGGAAAATAGCCTGTAGCAAGAGCAGTATTAGCCTATGCGTATGGGATGGGAGACGCGTTGCGCTAGGCTGGGCAAAAGTAAGCGACTCAGTAGCGTATGGATCAAGTTACGTTCGCTGTTTTTTTCCTGAATCGAGGGGGCCGTGAAATTAACTGACGCCTCGCTACGACGCTCATCAGTAGGCGACCCCAGCATTACGGAGGACGGGGGTAAGGCTATGTATGGGTGGCGGTGTACAGACAGCCTAGTTTACCACCCGGCGTGTCTGGTTCTGGGGATGTTTGTCCAGGTCTATCGCTGTTCATTTTGAATTATCTAGTCTTTTCCTATGGGGAGTATGAGGATACTGCTTCTACTCTACTCCGTGATATCCAGGACCGAGTCCATACTGGATCCTGTCAAAGGATGTACTTCGGTACGGAGGAGACTCCGGGGGATTTCTGGAGTAACCACTCAACTCTAAAGTTCCGTCAATCTCCCCTGACCCACTCCTGGTTCCGAGGGAAATGGGCTGAGACAGTCCTGACCATGTTGCGAGGTTCTCGGATTGTTACTGAGTCTCATAATAATACTCAGTCGTATCAAACAATAGAAGAGTGAATGCCCCTGTGATTTGTCGTATTACAATCAGATAGAACATCATGCAATCATCTTATTTCTCGGTCAAGTGCAGGGACCCGGTCCTGCGCCCACCGCCCATCGTTGTGTACAGTACAATACTTGCTTGCCTCGAATGGGACTAGTACTAGCTCATCCCTTCTCCATCCCTCCTTCATGACTGAACCCGATCTGCTTTTGTCCGGGGTATTTGGGCCTGCTCGTCCCCCTCCTTGGCCCTAGCGCTGACGGTTCGCGGGTCATTCCCGTTCACTATTTCCCTCCAGCAGTTATCGACCCTCTATTCTCCCCCATCATCGTGGATCAATCTCAGTTGGGAACACATTATTACCCACTGGATGACCTTCCCCTCGACCTGTTCCCTAATCTGGACGGAGGAGATCAAACCTTCGAGTCCGCCCTTCTTCCTCACCTGATCCCTCCGGCGCCGGCCCCCATTGGGATTCCCAGTTCTCTCCCGCCTCGTTCTCGTCTAAATCTTCCCTCTCTTTCCTCGGGCTTCCTCCTTTTCGCTCTCCTCTCCCTCTCTCTCTCCCTCTCCCTTTCCATCCCATCCCCTTCTCTCGTCGCATGCCGATGATGGTGATCCCACCGTAATACACAATCCGCCATGGCCACCAATACCGCTCCCGGGGATGGAATCACCGGCGGCTATACAGGCCAGTCGCTGGGCATGAAAATCGCCATCGCAACTCTCGCCGGCATTACATGGTACAACGCCTTCGAACTGGTCATCCTCATCTTTGTCACTTTCGCAAACTATCGCGGTCTCTACTTCTGGAGTTTACTCGTCTCGTCTGCCGTCGGGCTAATCCCGTATTCGCTGGGCTTTTTGCTCAAGTTCTTCAATCTCACCTCCGCCACATGGTTGCCGGTCACCTTTCTGACCGTGGGTTGGTGGGCAATGGTGACCGGTCAATCATTTGTGCTATATTCCCGCTTGCACCTGGTCCTTGCCAACCAGCGCATCCTCCAGCGCGTGCTGCTCATGATCCTCGTCAATGCGGTCCTCTTGCACATCCCAACCACCGTCCTGACATACGGCACGAACCTCACACCGTCGAGTTCAATCTTGAGCAACTACAAGACCGCTTACAATGTGATGGAAAAGATTCAGATGACGGGATTCTGTGTCCAGGAATTCATCATCTCGGGTCTTTATATCCGAGAAACCGTGCGCATGATTCGCATCGACATGGACCAAGGCAAGCGGAAGATTCAGTACCAGCTACTGGCCATCAACATGATCATCATCATTCTGGATCTGGGCTTACTGGTCGCCGAGTACCGCAATTACTATATCATGGAGACCATGCTCAAGGGTGCGGTCTACAGCATCAAGCTGAAGCTGGAATTCGCCGTCCTCGGAAAACTTATCCATCTGGTCCACAATCATGTCTGGAAACCCGAATCCTTCTCCCCACGCGATCTCCCTGATTTCGTCGATGCGACCCGTGTCACCACCGACCTGACCCACGCCGCACCAGTCCACTCCCACCCAGTCCGTGCCTGGATGGACGACGATATTTCCATTGCCATGTTTGAACACTCACCCCCTGCGGATCCGCAAAACGGCCACTCAAAGACCTCCAACTCATGGAGCAGCGACACTCGCATCAACCCGGGATATCCCCATTCTATCGACTTCTCCTACCAGTACCAGCGCAAGTCTGGAAAACTGAGCGAAAAGCCAGAGAAGCCCGGGTGAGGTGGAGAGGGCTCCGCCCGAGTTTTATAATCTCCGTCTTGGATGGTTATTTCCTGGCTTTTATCTTTGATGAATCGCACGGCTTATGAGATACGCCCGTCATTTGAGACTTGATATCCTAAATATCTTTGAACATCTTCCCATTGGATCCGACCTTCCCTGGCCGCTACCTAGAAGGGAATGCCACGCTCCGCAATACGCCTATTGGAAGGCTTGCCGATGTGCGTCGCATCCACTATCGACCGAGCTTGGCCTCCTTCCCTCACGGGCTCACCGGGCTTCACGCTCGGCCATGATCCATCTGCTCCCGAGATCGCAATCTCCGCAGATCCGGCTATTCGTGCGGTAAAAGGGTCGGCAATAATGCGTCACCCGCGCGCAGAAGGAAGCTGGGGAATGTAGATGTCCCTGGCTGCCAGCCAATGGCTGCAAGCCTTTTGGATCTACTTGTATATAGATTGGCCCCTTCTGTACTCTGTACAGGACCAGGCTTTCTTGCCTGGCTATGATGAGCTACATTGACCTATTATCAGAATCTATACAGGATATTTCTATTCATCTGACGTACATCATTCCAATTCCAATGCTTCCTTTGTTCTTTCAACGTTCCTTCAACGTTCCACCAACGTAAGAGGCGCGCGGAGAATTGTCGGGCAGCAGGAAAGTTTGTCCTCCATGTGGGGACGTGCCTTTGGCAGCTCCACATTTTTTCTCACTTTCCCATCCCCGTGGGGGGGCAACCGGCCCACTTTACGCCTATCGACACTACTTCAGGAAGGTCGATATCGCCACTGCAATACCATGACCCCTTGCTTAAATACCACGAGTGCTCGACAATCTGTCTCATCAGGGCAGATTCATCTCAAGAACAACCGGCATCATGAATTACCTCCTGAAGCTGTCGCTGTTTGGCAGCTTCGCGGCTGCCGCAGCTCAGAGTGGCGACGCAGTAAGTGGCGCCATATACTTTCAATAGCATCATCCCGCTCACTAGCTTCCTTTCCCCCAGCGCCTCCACGCCCGCTCTGGCGCTCCCAAATGTAGCAACGCCCCCTCGACACTATCGCTAAGCGATCCGCCCTACGACAACTATTTCTACTCGGACTGCAATGTCGCGGCACAGGCTGTCGTCACGAGCCCGCTACCAGACAGTAATCTCACCCTCATCGGCCCCCGACTGATCGTGGCATGGCCAGCAGGCGATAGCGGCGTATGCGCATACTTTGCGCCGCAGAATGGCGCCAATGGCACACTCTCCATTGAGATGGTCAACTCTACAGCCGGCCAGCCCCTGGGCCCCGTATATACAGCTGGATCGAACACTTCCGCACCTCCCACCGTCGGCGTCCAGGGCGTGTTGCACTTCAATTCTTCCGCAACACTAACCGTCCCTATCCTGGGCAGTATCCGTACCATCCGCGACTTTGTCGAAGGCCCTAGTCTCCTGCAATCCGAGATCCAGGATGCAATCCAGTTCGTCGCGCACAATGATGGCAGCGCCTCGCTGCAGCGTACGTGGCTGGACAATGTCACCACGACAACCCTGACATTCACCCCGTACCAGAACGGCACAAACACCAAAGTGACCGTCTCCAACCGCACACTCGACTTCACAGCCGGTGAATATCTTTTCTCCGCGTCCATGAACTACCCACAACTCACGGCTCTCAAGCCCTCTTCCGTGCTGAACAATGCGTCTAGCGATCTGACCCAGACTATGTCGGGCCAGGTGGCTGCGCTGTCGTTCTTGTCGTACTCGGAGAAATTGCTGGCGGGTGCGTGGCGCTTCTTGACGTACTTTGGACGTGACTCGATGATTTCAGCGCTGCTTTTGGAGCCGGTGCTTAGCTCGGGGAAGGGCAGTGCTATGGAAGCTGTTATTGGGGCGGTGTTGGAGCGGGTGAATCGTACTGATGGGAGTGTTTGTCATGAGGAGACTATTGGGTGAGTTTTGCGATCTGGTACTGAAGTTGAGTATTTGGCTTGGAGATGCTGATTGTTGCAGCGACTATGCTACGTGGACGAACTTGCAGAATAACGTTACCAGCAATGCCATGGTCTGCGACTATAAGATGGTGAGTGTGTAGTTGCAATTCGGGCAATTGTCTATGTGGCTGTGATGAATACTGACTGCGTGCAGATTGATTCGGACTATTATCTCCCCGTCTTGATGCAGAAGTATTTCCTTGACAATCCTGTCGGACAGAAACGAGCTGCGTCTTTCTTCAAGTATTTCAGCACCTTTCTTTTACAGTTTGATAACATGGCTAATGCGGGAAAATAGCACCTCGGCTGGAATGATCAACGCTGAGAATCAGAATCTGACATGGGGCGATCTTGCACTGATCAATGGGGAGCGCATCATGCGTCTTGCTCGTCCTTTTGCCGAGAAGCAAACCAAGGATAACCTCGTTCATCTCAAGGATGGACAGGTCGTTGGAGAATGGAGAGATAGCGAATATGGTAAGCCCAGATCTGTATGCTCGCTTCAGAGGACTATCGCTAACTCACCCTGCAACAGGAATCGGTGGAGGCCGCATCCCATACGACGTAAACACAGCCCTCGTCCCAGCAGCCCTACGCTCCATCGCCGTCCTCGCCCAAAATGGCCTCTACCCCAAGCACAAGCAATGGTCCCACCTCGCCACCATGTACGCACAGATCTGGGAAGACAAGACCCTCGACTACTTCAAGGTGTCGATCCCCCAATCGAAAGCCCAAGACCTAGTCGCATCCTACAAGAACGAATCCTCGTTCCCGGGCCCCGACCAAGCCGCCTCCATCACCGACGACGTTGTCTTCCACGCCCTCTCCCTCGACGGCTACGACAACCTCACCAAAGTAGAGGTCATGAACACGGACGACTGTTTCCGCCACTTCCTCCTCAACACCACCGACGACACCCAACTAACCTCCTTCCTCAACAACTCCGCCACCAACATCCGTCGCACCTTCCCCGCAGGCCTGATGACCTCCGCCGGCATGGTCGTCGCAAACCCAGCCTTCGGCGGAAACCCCGTATACGCGCAGAACTGGACTACAGGCGCGTACCACGGCACGGTGATTTGGTCCTGGCAACTGGCCATGATGGCAAAGGGACTGGAGAGTCAACTTGGCCGTTGCCAACTGACCACCAACTTCTCGGTCTCGCACGGCCACCGTCAACAGAAGCAGGGCAGCAGTGTCGCAGCGATCCCGGCTTTCTGTGCCGATGATTTGGTTTACGGGAACGTCAAGGCGGCGTATAATGAACTTTGGGATACCATTGAGCAGAATGAGAGTCAGCTTTCTGGGGAGGTTTGGTCGTGGGTTTATCGGGATGGTGGCTTCCAGGTTACGCCTTTGGGTGTGTTGCCGGCGCCTGGTGGTGTTTCGCAGACTGGTAAGTCGTTTGCCTTTCCTCCTTCTCCCCTCTGCCTTTGGCTTTTACCGTGTGTTTGGCGACTTGTACTGATTTGATACAGAATCCGATATTCGGCAGTTGTGGTCTTTGGCTTTCCTGGCTGTGACTAGGAATTCGGCTTATAAATAGGTGTCTAGCAGGAAGATGACCACCCATGTACCTAGGTTAGGGTTAAGAGGTATATTTGATGGAGACTGATACTCTGTGCCAACTTTTATGCTGTAATACCCGGACCTGTGAATTACGCGATCCGGTTAGTTTTGCCTTTTTTTAGTTTAGCGCCCCAATACCTCGTTCTGTAAGCTCCGCCTTCTGTTGCGCCGGCATAAAAAAGCTCGCCCTGCCCTTTCGACCTCTTTTCCCTCTCTTACCTTCCCTTCAACTCCTCTATCTTACACTCGTCGCCACCCCCTTTTCTTTCATCTCGCCCCCACCCTTTATGAGGGCGCGGAGTTCATTCGATGCAGTCGTTCGACTTGTACTATCGTATTTCCATCGAGCCCCACCGTGCCTCACCAATCACCATCGGTACCTTGGGCATACGCATTCGGCAGTCAGGGCATTGAAGGGAGAAGAAAACGTCGGAATATGATAAATTAGCATTGTTTACAAATAACGAGACTTCAAAAGGATTAATAGACTTAGGTAGGTAGGAATACACATGAGTTCTACCCGGCGAAAAACAGCAACTGCACTTCAATCTCCATTTAAACGTAACTATTCAATCTAACTATTCGATAGGGCATCACGACAGCATTGAGAAACCCAAATATCGACCAAGCTCCTGGTTCTACTCACAGTCTAAATATCAACAGCCTACTCCACATTCTTCTTGAAAGAATCGCTGACCTTCTCAACGAAAGCCTCAATGTCCTCCAGGAATTCTTCTACTTGTTCTAAGCAGGCAAAATGACCTCCCTGAGTAATTCGATTAGCGATCTCATCGGAGCTCTTACAGACTCAAAAACAACTCACTTTACTATGGCTTTTGTAGAAAACCATGTTGGGATAAACCTCTTGAGCCCAAGCTTGAGGGAACACCACGAGGTCATATGGAAACCATGAGTATCCAAGAGGCTTCTCCTGGGAAACTGGGAAAGGAGTATTTGAGAGGTACCTCATTGCGGCTGTTGCGTGGTACAAACTTGTAGAGAAGGTGCCAGTAAACCAATATAAGGTGACTGTGCCCAAAATGTGATCCAGTGAAAAGGGTTTCCGCGGGTCTGTCCATTCCATCAATTTTTCGCCAATCCTGTATGGTTGTCAGAGAGACCTCGAGCAAGAATTTTGAAAGATAATTACCAAGCTAGCAGTGCAAGTGGGCTAGATGAGATGGCCAAACCAGCCGTCGAGGGACGAGTTCCATGCTCCAGAGCATATGCCATCCCGGTTGGACGCCATTCTTCTGTTCGCTTGAGGTGATGTTTTTCTTCGGGAGTAAGGGAGTCGGAAGAGGGGGATGCTTGACCCGGATCCAGCACAAGCATGTTAACTATGCTTTGTTAGCCACTGTCCAAGTAAAGATTTCTGATCGACGGGGTTGTTGAATATAGGTATACATACGGTGGAAAGCTTTGCATGTCTCGTATTCAGCAGACATGATACGAGCAAGTAAACTTCCGAGATCACCCCCCTGGGCAATATAACCGCCACCAAATCCAAGGTCAATCATCAGTTGATTCATGATGCGTGCGGATCGTTCCAAAGTCATCTCCGTATTTGGGGTACGAGTACCTGATAGTCCGTAATCGGGCAACGATGGCACAATAATATGATAAGGCAAAGTTTCAGGAGTGTACTTGTTGGCTAGTAAATCCATCATTGATAAAAAGTCGGCAAACGAGGATGGAAAGCCGTGCATGCAGATGATGGGAATGGCATCATGTTTAGCTGAAAAGAGCGCAGCAAAATGAATATCGATCTCGCCAACTTCAAAATCTTGAACAGCAATTTTGAAATTAGGGAACTTGTTGACATATTCCTCATGAATGCGCCAATCGAAACTCGTGAGCCATGTTTCTTTCGCCTTGATTAACCATTCACGAGAAACTCCGAACTGGGAGTTGTTTTGTTGATTCCACCAAGTCGCCGGGCCAATCTTCGATAGCTTCAGAAGATTTTTGAATTCAACTACCTCGTTTTCCGGGATATGCAATTCGAAAGGCCGAAGATTGGCTAGACTTTTGGGAGGAACGTTGAATTTAGCAGCCATGGTGAGAACGGTCTTTGATTAAAGTGGGTATTCGTGAGATATCGTAGGATATGGTTAGATAGTAGAACGAGAGATTATTGTCATTTGATCAGGATAATCAAGCTAATTTATATGTGTGGACGCCTAAAAAGAAGTCCCAATATTTGTCCTCCGAGACTATGGACGACTACAGAATTCCTTTACTTTGTTTAACGGCGGACTATCCGTGCCTTTCTGCCCACCCAAAGCGCTTCCCGCTTTGGGTGCGCCCGGTGTTATGGCCATTCCGGTGTTATGGCCAATTTTCATAGAAATCGTCAAATTTACCACCCAACTAGCTAATTATCAATAAAAAAAAGCTCTCCCGCCCGTCTAGCCGCTTCCTCATTAGCAATTGGCCGCTGGATAGATTCCTCCGATCGCTGTGTGGGCTCGTAGCCATAAATCTTCTTGAACTGCTTAGCTAGCTTCCTTTCCTGCTTGGCTAATTCCTCCTTCTTCCTAGTATCAATCGATCGATTCGCATCGCGTGTAGTTAATATACCAGTCTGGCTAAGTGGCTTAACCTGTCGCTTGGTGTATTTTCGACGCACTGGGGCCTGCGCGGCCCTAATACGCTGAATTGTATCCCGCGTTATCGAAAGCTCCTCCGCCATCTCCCGCTGGTACGCTATCAACCTCGATAGATTTCGCTGTATCTTATCTGATAGATCCTCGAGGTGTTTGGTAATCTTCGTCTGGTTCTTATTTAGTGCTTTAATAGATTTTGGAGGGCTATTTTCAACACTAGAAGACGAGAGATTAGGTGGTAGTGGTGATGGTGTATGCGAGCCCTATGAGCGAAGATCTGGTGCGTATAGATCAGGAATCACTAGTTCTTTAGCAAGATCGTCAATAACCTTAGTACTATCAACTAGATAGATTCCGCGATCACTAAAGGATTCGCGGATAATTCGCTGCGTAAACGCCTTCTTGCGAATTAGCCCGATAATCGCGAGGAAATCTGATTTCCTATATGGCTGGCTACCCTAGAAAGCTAGTTTATTATTTATTAAGCGAAATTGCTGCTTATAATTCAAGAAGGGCTTTCTGTTAAGTAGCTAGCAAAGATAGGTTGAATGCGGTACGAATACAAAAGGGATAATCGTATTATCCTCGCAAAGTTGAAGAAATTCGAGTATAAGATACGCGCTATAGCTATCGAATATAAGAACGCACTTTTCGCCCCGTTTCACACGATGAGCTATTAATTGAATAAAATAGCCTAGCCAGGCTAGGGCTAATTTATCAGAAATCTAGCTATTAGGAGAAATAGCCGTTATCGTGTCTGGTAAGAGGGTTTCGCTACCGTAGAACCAGGCCTCTATAAGATTTTTACTAGTTCCCTTGAATATAAAGAGAGGGTCTATCTACTAGCCGTCCGCAGCAATACACTCTAATGCAGTAATATTTTTGCCTTTCTCGGTCTTAGCAAGGTCAGGGCAAGATGATTTAGCACTAATAACGTTTCGTGATCGCCCTTGACTAGGTTGAAACCCGCATTCATCGAAGTTGTATACTAGCCGGGCAGGGACGTTATAGAGGACCCGTTCTAGCTGGTCGTACCAGTGCTGAAGAAGGCCTGTATCTTCCGATTGGATTCGCTTCAGTTCCTTGGTCTTTTGCTTTACAGGGCCTAGGCCAAGGTTTTTTGGTAGGCGCTTTATAAAGCCGTACGCCCAGTTTTTACCAACCTGCCTATCTGGCTGATCTGTTCGCGCTAGTGCGCGATTTGCCCATGCACCTACTACCGCAGGGGTAGGTGGGAGATTCCAGCCATGCATTTAGACTATCCAGCTAATCAAGGCTTTCTCCTGGTATAGCTCTAGGGCGTTTCTCAGCGATTTGGTAGGTGTAGTAGGCGATTTAGCTATTTCGACGCGATTGGCCAAGGTCTTGCGAGCCACGCCGAATTCACGCGCAATCTTAGAAAAATTCGGTTTTTTGCTGGATAAGGCCACTTGGCAGGCCTCGGCCAGGCGAGATTCATCAAAATTGATAGATTTAGGCATCGTTGGTGGTTGAATTAGCTAGTAGAAGGCTACTGGTAGAAAATTGGCCATAACACCGGAATGGCCATAACACCGGGCGCACCCAAACCGGGAAGCGGTTTGGGTGGGCAGTAAGGCACGGATAGTGGGCGGACTCGCGGCGGACGAACAGGATCCAATCAGGCGTTCCATCGGCAGCAGCCTTGTGACGTAGGCGGTGCGGGGCCAAATCTGACTCAAGTTCATCCACCGAGCTTCCGGTCGAACCGCTTTCTGCGTCTTCCATGTTCTTACCTTGTCTATGGCGGGGGAAAACATTTCGGAATAATACCGGTTTTATTCATTTGACTTCTATTTTCTTTTTCTGCCTACATTTCGCTTACCTGGGCGTAGCAGACATAATGTCTCCCTCTCGGTCAGCATTGCGTCCGCAATCTTCAGCCAATGATCGTGATATAGTAGATGATATGCCTGAGTCGAAACGAAGGAAAATAAGGAAAGGGACCCATAGCTGTTGGGAATGCAGACAGCGAAAAATGAAGTGCATTTTCGCCCAACCTACGGACCATACATGTGTTCGCTGTCATCGACGTGGTGTGAAATGTGTTGGCCAAGAATACCCAGAGGAAATCACGGCGTCTTTGGACCGGAGCCTTCAAATTAGCGACCGTATGGCGCGGGTGGAAAATTTACTCGAAGACATCCTCAAGAGAGACTCTATGGGAAGAAGTACCACCGGTCATGAGGAACATAATCAGACAGCAGTCACTTCTGGCGTCAACTCTGGCCCTGCACAAAATGCGGCCCCATTCAAGTCTCCGAAAACGCGTTCCTTCGAAGCAACGGAGCCCCTACAGAAACCCGAAACAGCAGGCTTCGAGATTCTCGATGGTGGCGGTGAGGCCCCAAATTCCGAATCATTTCCACAATTTTCTGTTAAACCTGGCAAGCACGAGAAACTGTCTCAAACCCTGTACGCATCCTTGCCATCGGCAGATGATATCAGGATAATAGTTGAGGCATGTGGCAACACCTCTTCTTTGTTCTACCAGATGCAAATCATACCTTACAGCGACCTGGACAGGACAATGTCTCTCGAGAGCATATTTGCGAGGCCAAGTCCCAGTGCGCATCCTGTTCTAATAGCGAGAAATATGCTTCATGTCGCGACAGCCTTGCAACATCTTCATCCTGATTTCAATAAAAATGGTCGACAGTTATCGGAGCTCCCTAGGGAGATGATGAGGAGATTATCAGCGATTGCTACCAATATCGTTACAACAAATGATGACCTCATGTACTGCATTGAAGGGGTGGACAGCCTGTTAGTAGAAAGTTGGTTTCATACCAATGGCGGAAATCTGCGAAAAGGGTTGGTCACTACTCGGAGAGCTTTGACTATTGCGCAATTGATGGGCTTCCATCGACCAGGAAGGGCAAAATGCAAAGTCGTTGATCCGAAAACGAAGGCTTATCCAGAGTTCATCTGGCACAGAATTACTGCTCTTGAGCGATATCTCTGTCTAACGCTGGGGCTTCCTGAATCAACAAACGATAACAGTATGGTCTCTGAGGAAATACTTCTGAATGATACGCCAATGGGACGTCTTGACCGTATACATTCCGTGGTGACTTCTCGAATACTGCAGCGTAATCAATCGAACTCAAGTCCCAGTGATCTCTCCTCGGTGCAGGAGTTGGACAAAGAGTTGCAAAAAGCTTCAAAAAGCTTTCCAGATAAGTGGTGGCTCATCCCCAACCTAGCCACCGTTGCAGATCAACCAGAGGCGCTGTTCTGGGATATGCGCCGACTCTTTCACCACTTATTTCATTATAACCTCCTCATACAACTTCATTTGCCGTATATGCTCAGCTCTGCAGCTGCTGAAAAGCGATACGGGCCTTCACAGATTATCTGCGTCAATTCTGCACGCGAAATACTCTCACGCTTCACCATGTTCCATAGCTTCAACCGCATTGCCTTCAGCTGTCGCACTATCGACTTTTTTGGCTTAATGGCAGCTATTACCTTACTCATTGTACACATCGATGGACACCAACATGAGTCACCTTCTCTCAATAATCTGCACTGGCAACAGAGCCTTGCAATGCCAACAAATAACCTATTTGCGCACCAAAGACCGAGCGACCGCGCGTTAATAGAAAATATCCTAGATATTATGGACGAAGTCAGCCGAGTGGAGAAAGAGACTATGACTGTTCAGATATCCAGCATTTTGCGGCGTTTGATGACCATCGAGGCTAAAGCCGCGGAAGGACCCACACCTCAGCCTACTGCACAGATTCCAGCAACAGGAGAAATCCCATGTGCTCCAAATAGTAATGAGACTGTCAGGGTGTCAATTCCCCATTTCGGTGTTATCAATATCACCCGGGACGGCATTATATTCAAAGACTCTCCTCAGATTCAGCGAGATATGGCAGACGCTTCACAGCCAAGACTTCAAGTTCCCGTTGGAACCAGTATACAAGATACTCATGTGCGAACTGGAGATAACATGTCTTGCTCTGAGTTACTCCCAGCGGAGACAAATTTCCAGCAGCACGAACCCCTTTCCCACTTTGAAAGCCAAGTTTCTAGTGCTGCCCCTCTTTTTCCAACGGAGCAGACTAGTAGTTCCATTCCTGATGCCATTGACCATCGGACCAATGCATTTCCATCAACTGCTGGGGATAACCACAGCGCCGGGCAGAACGCCGATCTCGCCTTTTTTGACTCCCTCATGAGAGGAATCGGAATAGATGAGAACAATAGCATCGATTGGCTGGCTTGGCTAAATGTGCCTTGACTTCAAACAGTCATCAGTCCTATACTATCTAAAAGAACTCTATATTGACAAACGCCCCGTCGCGGAAAGCAAGCGAGATTATTTAAGCAATTAGGCAATATGCTAATTAGTAATCGCCGTGCATGAAAAATTTGGTTCTAGTGGTGAGTATCAGCATCAAATTCATATCACAGGCATCTATAGGCTAAGAGTCATCTTATCCATCAGCACCCTCCGGTCGACCTTAAATGTGAGGACATCGAGAGACGGGGGAGAAGGAGCATCTTATAAGCGCCCGGCCGGGCAGGGCGAAGAGGGAGGGCGTCTGGATGGCACTGCAGAGGGGAGCCATTTTCGGCGTCGTTTTGGTCGCAAGTGGAATCTAAGGGAATGACTGTTGAAAGAGCGCCAAACACCAGGGCCAGTTGATGATGACTAACGGTGCTTGGTGGGTGCAAAATAGTGATGGTGCTGGATGGCGAGCGGTGAAGCGCCGGCTCGCCCTGCAAAGTACCGGGTGGAAAGGCGGCCGTTTCTGGCGTCAAAAGCCGTCATTTTCGGCGTCGATTTCACAGGTCCTTATATTCTGGATAAAATTCTTGAATCATTCAGTATTTTAGCTTATGGTCGTCTGTTAATAGGATGCTCGAGATAGCGAGTGCGTAGATATCTACCCGAAAGTTCAATATAAAGCCTGATATAACGACGAGTTACACGCATTAGGTACAATTGGAAGATAGCTTTGCCTATAGACGATGAGTGCTACCTAACTAGCTAATAACGGTATCGAAGGCAAAGTCTATAGTGGGCCAAGATTCTGCCTATTCAAGCACAGAAGTTGATTCCCATACTCCAGCCGTCCAGGGAGTACGTGCCACTATTGCTATGTCCAAGGCACTGGTCGATAATCTAGAGCCACGTTAACAATTTCAATAGCTTTATAGCAAGAGCTATAGAGATAATTAGAAAAGAATATGTTGATTACATACGTCAAGGGTGCTATCATAGCACGACTGTTCATTAGGGATATTAGATGGCTTAAAAGTTCCCATCTGACCGTTGTCACCCCTCCATTCCTATAATGTAACAATTAGAGATTATTTTCGCCTAAGGAATCATGGTCTATAGTAGGAGACTGCTTACAAAAGGGTAATTTCGCCCCCAAATCCCGTTAGAACAAAAGAGCTGCAATAAGTATTAGCTCAAAAGCATCTTCAAAAAACTCTCTAGATCCGTTATCCTTCTACCCAATATATTTATTAACTTACCCAGCGGGAATATAGAAGATCAGTAGAATTGAGACAGGTTTGGGATCCGGAGTCCGAAGAGCAGTCAGCAGCGTTGGCGGTAGTAGCCAAGAGTGTCGCGACTGGCAAAAGAACTGCGAAGAACTGCATTGCTCGTGATGGAAGAATGATTTTTAAATAAAATTGCGAAGTGCGGATGCGTATTTTGTTCTGGATGGACTTGCTAGGCTGGAATTGAAGTAGCGAGTAGTGCATGTTATATAAATCGTAAGATAGACTAGGAGCGATGTGGACTTTATTACTGAAACTTGGTGTTTGGAGGTTTCCCCGATCTCCTTACGCGCGTAGTAGACCTAAACATAGGTGTCGATCCCCCTGAATCCGCCCCGTGCATAGCGACTAGAGTGCTTACTATGTAATTGTTTAAGTAGGCCGTCTCTACTGCTGAATTAGGCCTTAGTGCGTTCGTCATGGAGTGTATAGCTGGCACGGAGAACAGGATGACCTACCTTCGAGAACAGCGAAAGGAACGCGAAGGAGACCTGGAAGTAAGTAAATATCCACTAGATATCTACTAGTAGAGCGGCCCGGTGTTAACCGAATGACTAGTGGTTTAGAGGAGCGGAAGCAGAGATAAAAGGGTTAGGGGATTAGGAGGGATTTTTCGTCATATAATCTAGTTTAGCGCCTACCTATAGCGTTCTACCAGCAAATCGGGCTACCGCCTAACAGATCCGCGTATGAATCCATCATCATCAACATCATCAGCCTATTCGCTATTGGATATATAACGGTAGGATTGTGGCACAGTTTTCGTAGTTGCCGTCCCTGTCCGAAAGATACAGCATCGACCGAGGCTACGGGCGTATACGTTATTTTCGCTATTAGTCTATATTACCAGGATATACTTTCGAATATTCATCGACTGGGCAGAGAGGAACCAGAGAGACCGACGATGGCGACAACTCGGCGCTTAACCATTTTTTGGAACAAAGAGTCTCTAGGTGTCGATGCGGTCTCACCTGACATCCTGGTCGAACACTCTTAACACCCTAAATTGCCGAGGGGGGATACAATGCAGATACCTTGCCTCCTTACCTAGCCTTAGCTACAACCTCCGGCCTAAACCTGGGCCTAACATGGCTACCAGTGGCTCGGCTTACTCTGTTGACCAAGAAATCGCTGATTTCTTCCAGAAGACGACAGCCACTCGCTCCGCCTGTGACAGCTTTGCGAGGGCGCATGTTGGTGGCGACGTCGTTCCGGTACCGGTGCAGGGTGTGTGTAGCTGTACCGTCTATGCCGGAGACAATGCCGAATTCGTCGTGCAATTTCGCCTTGCGTCCCTCCAACTAAGTATGAAGATTGCGAAACTCGCTCGAAGTATCTATGGCCAGTTTGCACCTCAAGTGACCGTTTTAGGTCAGATTGGAGAAGTTACCGAGAACAAAGAAGCACTTTATATATCTGTCATAAGCCGACTACGAGGCATTAGTTACTTGGATTTGATCCTGGCGTATAACAGTCTAGTACCCGAAATCTCCCCTACGTTTTCTTTATAGCGCAAGAATATTATAAATAATATCACGAAGTATACTTACCTAGCGTTGGTATTACAAATAAACCGATTTGCTAATTATACTACGCCCTATTAGATTCTTTGCTCTTTCGTGGAAACTTCCGTAAGATATCGATTAGACGTATAGCGATAACTTACATAGTCGTTATAAAAACGACCTAGATTTATTACTTGCTTCTCTTCTAGGCCGCTTCTACCTATTAATCAGGGAGTCTCTTAACTCATTATCCGCTATATTTTCTCTTCCTATAGTACTAGTCCATAAAGACTTTGGCGTCTGTAATATTATCGTGAACGAAACGTCTTGCAATATAGTCAGGGCAGTATATTAGGCCGAAGTAGAGATTGTGCTATTTGGCTTTAACCTATTTTCTCACTAGCGACTGATAAGTAAGGTCCATCTCAAGATATGCTAGGTCCGGTATGACGATTACGTTACTTTAGAGGATATATTCTAGAGTAATTTTAGTGTGGAAGCTAGAGGACTAGATGATAACACAATCAGAGCCATCAAAGCAGCTAGAATTGTAGGACTACTACTGTCTCGTGGCTTCACAAGTCGTGTTATAAATAGGCCGGAACCAGTGCCTATTCGGGATGATGAAAGTGGAGCTTATAACATGCATGATCTGGATGGGCTGTTAATTAATCCGGCTATAAGGTTTACAGATTTAGCATAGACGATAGGCACTGCAAGTTATGGGTGGAAAGGCGGCTGTTTTTGGCACTAGAGGCTGTTATTTTCGGCGTCGATATCACAGGTCCCTATATTCTTCTTGGAAAAATGAGATTCGAAGAATTTCCAGTTATGAGGGAGCAAGTCGGTACTGGTTGACTAGACATCGTCATCGTACTACCTAACAGATGCGTTAGCTACACCATGGAGCCATTCAGGAGATTCAATCCAGCAATGTGAAGCTCTGGATGGACAATATAACTTCCAAACCGGTTGAATCATCTCAAAGCACACCGATGCTATGCGCTTAGTAAATGCAGGTATTTTCTCCAACGATTCTGTCTAGTATGCTTATATGGAGCCGCATAGCTACTACTTGATACAGACACATGCAGAAAATCTCGACTCATATCAGTATTGATATGGTTACACGGCTTTATTCTCCCTCACGCAATGCACCGCCATTAACTCCGGAAAGCCCTGGAAGTAGAAGCGCTGGCACATGCTGAGGGGAAATAACCACCTAATCACCAAGGTGAAAAAGAATGAGTCAATCCTGGAAATTGGGCGTAATATGCCGTGAAACAAAGTAGTGGTCTTAATTAGTTTGAAGCCGACAGTTGGGGTCCACATAACTAATTTAATTATTGTTAGTACTACCCAAAGGGAAAGAATTTTGTTCAGCCCGCATGACCTCTTGCCTCGTGGCAAGGAATAAAATCTTGTCAAATCGACATGGTGCTTCTATGCTGCCGATTGCTCTACATGATATACCCCGCTGACCCAGATATTCAAACTGGTCAAGATCCTCTAGATACTCTTTTGCCGAATTGCGGAACTTAACGCATGGCATGTCCATGACCTGCATTCAGGCCCATGGAAGTCGGGCATAAGAGGACAAGGAGGCCCCTTCCTCAATAGCAGTCCTCCAGATCTCTCATAACTACGAGCTAGAGGCCCATTGTTGACTAGCAAATACTACATAACCACCGCTAGCGCCTTCTGGCCATGTCGGTCTACGATCTATCCTTCTCCTTTGGCAAGCCCGGTACATACACCCTCGATCATACCGAGGGACATTACAGGTAAGTATCAAGTATTTAACAACGAAGAAAAGAAGGCTCTGATAATAGATATACAGCCAACGCATGCCAAACCGCTACTACGAATGGATTGCCAAGCGCCCCATCAAAGCAATCAAGAATCTAGCGTGTGATGCGCACGATAACATCTTCATGGTTTGGACTCCAGATAATCGCACGCTCGGTAAGTAGCCCCTTGAATATAATAGAAGGGAGCCAGTTGATTCAAATCCACAAGTGTGCAAATCACATCTTGACCCAATTTACCTCCCACTGCAGCGATTCCTCACTAAAGAAGGGGATGTCATCTGTCGAGTTCAATTCGGCCCCGTGGTGGGAGAATACTTCGTCTCGAGTGAAAAGACAGGAAAATGCCAATGGATCTCTCAACAGCTGGACAGGGATATGGTAAATGAAACTGGGCGGTTCAAGATGTGTTCGCTGGGCATTTATGACACCTACGTGGCCATTTTCGCAGATGGCTCGGCGAAATGGTCTCTCGGAGATGAATATCCAGGACTTCTTAAGATTCTCAAACGTATTCAACAAGGTGATCTCGTGGTATGCTTTAGTTCTCCCTCATCTATTTGTTCCTGAAGACTAATAGTCCGACTCGGTGTTAGTTCGTCGCTCTAAACCCCTACCGGGCGAATGAATTCTTCGTCGCCCTCGCTGATGGAATCGTGCATATCCGCGCCAGCGCACTTGTCGAGAAACACGTCCTGGACATTCTGGCTCAGTATCCTAACTTGACGGTAGTCACCAGCGATGTCATCAAGTATAATCGCACTGTATCCGGGGACCAGGGACTCCTGACAAAGTCCCGGACGAAGGATTTTGTCAAATTCATAGCTAAGAATGTGGCCGGAGGGGTGATTTCGTCTGCGGTGGCTGCTACCTTTTCCTGCACTGTGATGTGAATACGTCAAGGGTTTATGATGGAAATTCAATGATAGTATCAGCAGGAATGCAAGATCAATACCATTACCGAAACAAATTGGGATTATGGTGCTATGGGCATGATACTGCATACACAGGATTCATCAGACAGCCACCGGACTTGAAAAGGAGTAAAGAAGACTATAACGCCCCCAAAACAAAACTGACCGAAAGCACAATCCATGGTCCATGGAAAGCATCTCACTGGATGGTCTTCTGCTCCCAAGCACCAGATCCATCCTGCACAAGTTCAAACTCCCGGTACCCCTCAACCAAGCCGTCTGCCAATTTGGTTAGGGCGACCCAAGCAGGAATGTATTGCCTGGCTTCAGTTAGGGCCGGAATGAGATCAGGGCTATTGTCATCGCTCCACAGACACGAGACACGACCCTTGATAGAGCCATGTTCATTGAATTCGACGTCCACCGTCCACGAGCCATCCCACGTACGACTCCAGAGGCGGATCTCTTTCATTCCATCCGAAGATGGCTTGATAAACCGCTTATCGGGCGCAGAGGATCCGACAACACTGAATGTTTTGATGGGGTGACTTTCCAGGGTGATACGACAAGCGCGGGTATTCAGACCTGAGACTTCGAAGCGGACCGAGCGAGTGCTGCTCTCGAGATGAGAGATGCTATACGAGACCCAATCTACCGATGGACCAGTGGAGGCGTTTTTGCTATGGACAACGTGTGGTTCGGCTCCAGGCCAGGAACACTGCAAGAGCTTGCCGTGTCTGACAACGGTCTTGCACTCTGTGTTGCCCTCTGCATTGGGTAGACCACGAACAACGTCTTCAACGAAGGGGCTGACACCGGCGAGATAAGCGGTAGAGTTACCCCTGTCCAGGTCGACCTGCTGCGAGAAATAGAGCTTCACGCGGTTGGAGTCAGAGAAGGGAAAGGCAACCAAGTTGTAAATGAGAGTGCCAATGAGGACCAAGAACAGGAAGATTGGGATGTGGTAGGTGAAACGGTGGATGTAGGGCAAGATCGGCATGAGGATCAGTGTGATGAAAAGCGCCATGAGCAGGTACACGACCAGAGTGGGATCGCCGTCCTGGCCCGTTTGGTAAAGAGCGCTGGTCATGATCAGAGCCAGAGGGGCCAGCATGGTGATATTAATCGGAACGGTGAGAAGGAGCTGGAATACCCAGGTCCAGCTGGGCATCGATGCACTCCATGCTTGCTCATTTCCATACACGTTTGGATCTTGCTCTTCCTCCTCATCAATAGCTGTTGAGTAGTCACCAGGAACGTTGACGTAGTTTGCGAAGGTCGTACGTTGACCACGCAGCAGCGATGTCGACTCGGTTGGCTCCTCTTCGGCTGCTTCGTCGTTTTCGTTGTCATCGCCCGTACCAAGTCGGCTGCCGTAGCTGCTGGGCTGTCGCGAGTCTTGAGCCAATTGACCGACATACTCGGACTTTCTTGGAAGGGAGAAGAGTTCAAGGTAGGAAATCCATGTGGCCAGGAAGATACCCGCAAAGTAAAACAGTGTGAAATAGCCACCACCCATTTGATGCTCATTCTCCAGGACAGTGGCGAGGACCAACACCGCCCAGGAGATAACAAACATCCACGTGTAAGTATACACCCTGTGGAAAGCGGATGGGCGCGCAAAATCAGCGACGCAAGACACAAACCAAGATAAGAAGATCCATGCGGAGATCATCATGCTCCACACGGCATAGGAACTGCTGTGAACAATGTACGGATTGACCTTTGCCAGCATATAAGCAAACCCGACAATAACAGCGGTAGGAATCACAATCAAAAACGGGAACCGGAAGAATCCCCGAAGACCCTGAAGCGGGACCTTCTCATCGCTCGTCTCCAAATGCACCGAGGAGCGGAACAAATACATCTTATCTGCCTGCGACAGGGCAATGCTGGTTACCAGCAGAGTCAACGGCGCCACAATCAGCAAGGTGACAGATAGCGCGAAAAGAGTATGCAACTGGAAGACAGCGAATGCGCTGCCGAAAAGATCGAACCAGACAGCCTTTGTACCTTGACCATTGGGTACATTGCCATCATCTCGAGCACGGCCATCGAACCGGTCAGTATCGTCAGAGACCAGATCCTCGGTGGTCGTAACAGCTGCAGAGAGCATATGCCATAGAGAATCCATGCTGGTGTGTCGGGCATCATCCTGATCGGTGTGATACCGAGCGCGCGGCTCGTAAAAGGCAACATCTAGTCCCCGGAGCCCCATCTCACCGTCAAAGACGATATAGTCTGTCTGACTACCGACAAGTTCAAACCCATTTGCGCTGACGATAGATCCAAAGGGGTGCTTGGATTTCGCATACGCCTGGGTGACCTCTGTATCGGTACTGCGGAACAGAGTGGCCCGACCGCCAGCACCGGCGCCTTCCAGGTTGAGGAATGTATGGGCGAACTTGGCCATCGGGTGCTGGCTGTACGCACGGGCACCATTCAGGTAGTCCTCCTCGCCGTTGTTGAACAACACCACCAAGCCGCGGCGCGGCGCATGGCCCGGCGAGAGGAAGTATTCGACAAGCTGCAGACATGTCACGACACCGACACCATCGTCCGTAGCTCCAAATCCAGTCGACACGCTGTCGTAGTGCGCGTTGACCAGCACTCCGCCCTTACCGGTGGGCGACTTCCCAGGAGTCTCCCACCAATTCTCCTTCGTATCTTCCCAACCGCGGATGTAGACCAGGATATTGGTACCCTCAAAGTACACGCCACTCCGTTGGTCGAAGAATGTCAGGTTCGATGTGAGATCATCGAAAACGAAGACCTCGGGCTTTTCCTCGTTCGGCTGGTAAGCTTCGGCGGGTGGGGCGGATCGCTGGATCGCGTCGATGCGCTCGAGGAGCCACGCGCGAACATGATCATTTTCATGCGAGTTGTACGGGTGATAGCCTCTGGTGAGTGACTGAAGGTCCTGCCATGCCTCGGTCAGGTTCAATCCTTCAGGGCTGGTCCGAGGTGCGGCGGGGACGTTCAGGTGGATGACAAGGATAGGGATGATCAGGGCGAGAAACACCGCAGTGGTGATGATGGTTACCGGCCACGGCGTAAAGGCCAGAGGATTTCTGGCCCTGGGAGGAGCCATCGCCGGAGGAGGTTGAGTGGACTACGCGGTCAAGGGAGAGGGCGTGGATGTGAGGTTGGAGAAGAGGAAGCGGAGTGCGGGGGCAGCTCTCGGAGTTTATGGCGATTTTACGCTAAAGTTCCAAGGTTGCAACGAGGTTGCACGACTCCAGCCCCCCCTGCATCGATCGCAAGGTCGAATTTTGAAGTAGGCTACGAACTACGAACTCTTCTCTGAATGTGCATAAATGCAATGGAATTCAAAAATACCCAAGTAGATAAGGCATGGAATAAAGGCCATTAGGCCGTGATCGCTACCACACAATGCATTTCCCAGAATAACAGACAGCGGAGGGTGGAGGGTAATTTCGCTCATATGGGATAGAAATATGACAAGGTTGCTCGTGTTCCTGACTCCAAGGCCTGCGAAAACAGAGCCAAAAACGGACAGTCAAAACAAAAGCAGGGGATGCAAATCGAGGGAGGGCCTGCTGTTTACATCGACAGAGACAACAAGAAACGAAAAAAAGCAGCTGTTGATAGGATGGTGTACCAAAAACAAGAAGGAAGATAGCGGAAGTGGGTATCGTATCATTGAGGAGGGACATCAGGGACGTCCATGTATTCTTCGTCGTTGATGCCGGTGGCGTGCATCAGACCGGTCATCTGGCCCTCGTCTTCGTCCAGTTCGTCATCATCGTCGTACATGGTGGCTTCGGTTTCTTCGGGATGAGACGTCAGTTCTCGATTGAGGTACTCGCGAAGCCGAGTCACGCCTTCGCCGCTGAACACACAAAACACATCTCTTTGTTGTTGAGTGAACTCTGGTGGGGCTTCACGACAGAAAGCCGTGAGGTCCTCTTGAAGGAATGCTTGCACACCAGTCAAGCTCAAGTGCGTGAGGCGTGGGCAGTTATTGATCAGAGGACGGATTCCCTGAGCAAGTATTGTCAGTATCGAGTATAGAAAGCAGAACTATGCAGAGTGACGGAATAGGAGTGGATCGTACCTTCATGTCCAGGCCGACACAGTAACTGAGATGGACCCGCTCTAGGTTGCTGACCATCGGGTGATTGGCTCTGGGAGGGTGGGCCAGAGCCAGGATGCTTTGGTTTGTGATAGCCTGGCATTTGACCAGACCGATACGGCGGAGTTTCGGCAAAGTAGCCAGTTGCTGCACACTGAGATCGGTCAAGCGGTTGCAGCAAGCCAGGTCGATGTAGCGAATGCGATTACAAGACTTGATCAGCTGAATGACCGCGCCGTCAGTAATGTTTGAGCAATGGCCCAGATGAACGTAGTGGAGGTTTTTCCCCAGCTTGCAAATGGCAGACACCGAGCGATCTGTGATGAAGCGGCACTTGGCCAACACCAGGTTTCGGAGACGAGGAGCAGCGTTCACGATTCGCTCCACAGCGTCGTCTTTGACATTTTCGCATGCCGTCAAATCGAGAATGCGCAAGCTGTCGAATGTCATTCGCTCGGGCAGATTCAGGAATGCCGAGTCATTGATCTCCGAGCAGTGTGCAAGCCGCAGCTCTCGCAGGTGACGTAGGGTGGTGAGCAAGGCCGTGACTGACGGGCTGGTCACCAACTTGCAGTCATGCAAGTCAATCTCCAGGATTGCCGGACAATTTTCTGCAAATGACACAATTGACCGGTCGGTCACGTTGGACACGCCATTCAGTTTTAGTCTTTTGATTTGACGACAATTCTGCGACACGACCAGCAGCGAGTCATCTGTGACCTTGGAGCATCCTGTGATATTCAAGCCTTGCAGGCGCGGGCAATTCCTCGCTACCGCGAAAAGCGTGTGATCGGTCAAGGATCGGAGGTCGGAAACATCCAGCGCTTGTAGATGTCGGTTGCCCTCCACCAGATCGGACACGCCTTTATCCGTCAGTTTCGAGCAGTTTGTCAATGTCAACCGCTCCACGCGCTTGCATTGTGTGAAAGGGACGACCGTGCCATCACTGACATCCTCGGTCAGAGCGGACAGGTTGAGCCGCTTAATGAGATCCGCGTAGGCGAAGAGGCTATCGGGCTTCCCCACAGATGACGCAACGCTCTTCAGGTTGTCCCAGTTGTTGCACGACGGGCGATGCCATAGAATTCCAACGCTATTTGCAGCCCAGTTTCGACACACCAACATGCAGTTCAGCATGTCCATGGGCGACGCGAGTTTGGAGAAGATGGCAATCAAGATCTCGGGAGGGAGGCGGCCGATCGGTGGTACTGGGGCAGATCGACTCGCGTGCACGTGGAGGTCGCGGAAAGTAGCGACGCCAATCGACGACTGCGAGTCGTTGGCTTGAGCCATGAAGAAATCGGTATCATCGTCCGCAGCGCGTTCCGGTGACGTCGAAGACGAGGTTTCGGAGGGTGCTTCGCTCGAGAGTCGAGCGGAAGGGCGAGGGCGAGGAGGCATCTTGGCCGGTAGGGAGAGGTCGGTACTCGAAGTCCAATTCGATTTTCTTTTCGGGTCGTCGTAAGGGTGAAATCTCATTACTTCGTAAATGGTGGTGGTTGCATGGGCGGGTGTGTGTGTGGTGTTTGTGTGGTGAAGCGAAGACTGAACTAGAGTGGTTCTGGATCTTCAAAGGCTCGATCGGGCAGGATGCGGGCCGGCAGTGAGCAGCCAGTCCTCTGAATTCGATCGAGTACTCGGGCAGTCTGGTTGTAAAGGATGCGATGAGATTGGGGGTGTGGTTTATCGAGTGATGTGATGGGGTAGGAGGTGACGCGAGTGTAGCCTGAGAGCTGAGCACTGTAGCGCTTAGACGTTGTGGATATGACGATGGTTTGGAGGGTTCCAGGTGTGAGGAAGGATGGGCGTCGCAAAGTCAGAGAAGTGAGAACCGGTCAACGCATGGCCTGCAAGCCCCTTGTAAATCCCAAGGGGGGAAGTTGAATGCAGGGCGAGTGTGCGTAAAAGGAACGCAGGCGGCAATGGAGGGGGTGAGGCAAATGGGGCCGGTCTCACAGGCGCGGAGGGCGCCAAGCAAAGGTGCTTATCGACGTGATAAGATGGCGGAGGGGGAGAGACGGGGGCGAAATGATTAGAAATTCAGGAGAAACTGAAGACGACGAAGGAAGAGGGTGTCTTTTGTCCATTTGCTACGGTACTTGGGTACTTTGCATGGATGCTTACTACTGCAGTATACGACCTACTCCGTCCAGAGGCCCGACTCGAAGGCCGCCCGCTTGATGTGGTCCCGTGCCGTTGCAGCTGATGATGACGATCCTCGGACTGGACTCACCGATCAGCCTCACGACCCTCCTGGTCTTCTCTTACATCCCAACCACGACAAATAGCAGATAAAAAGAATGAATGGCTCTATAACTCTGGGCTTCTTATATATCAGTTCCCTACATTCCGCTCGGCTCCTTTCACCCACTCGCGCAACACGTTCTTTCGAATCTTGCCCGTGCTGGTCTTGGGGAGCTCCGCCACCACTTCGACCTCACGTGGAATCATGAACTTGCTGATCCCGCTGGAATTTCGAGCCCAGTTGATCACGTCGGTACCTTTTAGACTCTTGCCTTCTTTGACCGTGATGAATGCCTTTGGTCGTTCTCCCCAGTGGCTGTCGGGAACGGATACAACGCCGGCCTCCAGGATGTCGGGATGGGTGGCGAGCATCGACTCCAATGCGACAGAAGAAATATTTTCACCACCTAGATATGCCGTTAGTGAACAACGCACAAACAAAAGCAAACCAGTCAATAGTCGAAGGACCACTTACCACTGATGATAATATCCTTGGAGCGATCGAGAATCTGAACTGCACCGTCGGGGTGCCAGACAGCCAGATCCCCCGAGTGCAACACCCCACCGGCAAAGAGCTTCCGAGTCGCCTCTGGGTCCTTATAGTATCCCTTGGCACAGATATTGCCGAAGAAGACAATTTCACCAATCTCTTTGCCATCTCGCTTGACATTGGTGATCGTGTCCTCGGGCAACTCGGTCTTTATGACCCGTACCGGCAGACTGGTGATGAAGCCATGGCCCTGCCGGGCCATCTTCTGGTACTTCTCTTTCAATGGGATAGTATCCCACTCTGGGAGATAGTAGCCCTTGGTGATCGGTCCATAGGTCTCAGTCATGCCGTAGACGTGAACCGGGTGGAGGTTCAGGTTGGTCATTTGCTCGAAGAGGTGAGGGGTGGGTGGGCTAGCTGCCACAGTAACACGAACCGGCTCGGGAAGCCGTTCGGCTTCTTTCGCATTGCACAGAAGAGTGTTAACTGTCGGCGCTGCGTTGAAGTGACTGATATGCTCTTCTTTCAGTAGCCGCCAGATCTCGGGGTAGTCGATCTTGCGGAGACAGTAGTGGGTGCCACGAACGGCGGTAATAGCCCACGGGAAGGTCCATCCTGTGAACCGGATCAGTTGTTTGAGCTTTCGTTTAGAAATAGTTTGCGGAATAACATCACGAACCCATTGCATGGAACATAGGCAATGTCCACAGATACTTAGCCCGTCCACGGTGGGAATTCAAACCAGACTCAATGACATTACCCAAAGCAGCCAAGTAACAACCTCGATGGGTATACTCAACACCCTTAGGTCTGGCGGTAGTGCCGCTGGTATATGCCAGTGCAATTAGAGATTCTTCATCGGCAGCTTGAGCTTCGAGGCCTGCCCAGCCATGCCCTCCAGTCTCCGAATCGTGTCTCAAGCCTTCTAGCACTGCATCGTCAAAGGGACCCGACAATTCGCCTTCAGTAGCATCGGTATCAGTATCCACAATAATGGGAACCTGAGGATGTTGTGACCGATAGAGTTCGAGGAGGGGGGCAAATTCTTGGTCCACAATGATCACGTCTGCATCGCCGTGATCAAAGATGTACGTGATATCTTCTTTTTTGAGGCGGTAGTTGACAGCTGTTTTCGTCAAGTCGTATTAACCAGCATGCTCGTCTCACCAAAAATTGTTTATGGGAGAACTTACCGACGTTGATAGCACCGGCCGCGGCAATTCCAAAAATCGACTCCAAAAAGGCCGGAGTATTGGGGCAAAGAATGCCAACTCTTCGGAAGCCCTTCTTTTTCAAGAAATAAGCCAAGCCGCGTGCACGGTCTGCGGTCTCGCTGTATGTTCGGTGAAGGATCTTATTGTTTGCGGTGACGTGGTAAATTGCCTCGGCCTGTAATATTGCTGCTTGGTCAGAGGATTGCTTTCAATAGCGTGCCTAAGATAGAGCAAGACGCGTTCCAAAAGAGAATTTCCTCAGTATAAATATTGATTCACCTACATTGGGTTCAACTGCGGCCGCTCGAGGAAGGAAAAATGTCGGCGAAAGCGTGTGGTGGTTGATGCGATGCTCAAACGGGGCTGGTGCTGGAGACCCTGTGAAATGGGCCAGCAGGCCCGATAGCCGGGACGTGACACCGGACATTATGAGCTTTGTCGCGTCTAGGGATCGATGCAAAATACAATGATGTTCTTGCACGACCGAATGACTCTGCACCTCAACTTGACCGGAACAAGGAACAGGGGAACTCTGCAAAAGTAAAGTCGATTCAGCATATTGGAGAAATGCGGGGAAACCGTCCGTTAGTCAGGCGGGAAACCTCGGGGCCGCTGCTATTGCGGGCCGATCATTTCCACAGGGCGGGTATTCGGGACTAAGACTAGGACCGCTGGAAATGTACGGGTTTGTTCCATCTTATGATCCAAACGACAACAGTGACCTTTTAGCATTGTGTTTAGGGTCGCGGTATGGGCTAAAGCAAGGATTACCAGATCGATAATAAGGCAGATATCTACTCAACTCTTGTTGCTGGAACCCAATCTGGGTCTTAGTCACGAATGTCTTCCTGTCGGACGCATGGAACGGATCGATATACCGGAGATCCGAGGTTATATAGTCCGGATAGAAGGAGGAATTTCGGTATAGCAAAAGTCTTGATGGTTGGAATGGTTATCTTCAATTGAAATTTCATAGACGATTTAGATACGAAAAGTGTTGTGGCACGGCTAGTTCCCGCTCCAGCATTTGTACATCATATCATAGATCTCAAGATCCTTCTTGGCATCTTGGACAGTTGTCTTGATAGTTTTGCCGTGCACAAATGCTTCATACATTTCCTGAAGCTCGGCTGTATAAGCATCCTCATACGAAGACAGGATAGTCCGCCGCTGAATCTCGCCATGCTCATTCGGCTCCTCCACTTCCACATAAATGGGTAGCCCTTTGACGTAGGGACTGTCATACTGTAAGAGACATGTCAGTCTCTCCTTTCCACTGATAAAATCAGGATAAAACATGAACATCATTTACCTTGATCGTCACTCTCTTGTTAGCTCCATACACGGCAATATGGGCGTCAAATACCGGAACACCGTCAATACCACTCTCATAAGTGGTTGAATAAGTAGAGCCATCTTGGTTGCGGAAGGTCATGATTGCGCTGTAGAAGGGATCGTTCGCAGACACGCCAACGACTTGTTCGGGAAACCCAAGGACTTCACGCATAAGGGAGATATCGTGGGACCCCAGGCCACCAAGGAAGCGGCAAAATTTGCGCTTTTCATCTGTGATCTCCTGGTTTGGGAAAGCCTCTGCATACAGGGCTTCCAAGCTTGCGTTGCGCTCTTCTGCTGCCCCGGCGGGATAATCAGAATTTTTGACCTGGAATGTACCACTCTGAGTGACGAACTGCGCATTCGGTCCGCTAAAGTCGCGGACTCGCGCGTACAGAATTTGTGGAATACTTGCAATCTCTCGCTTGAAAGCTTGCAAGAAGCTGGGGGCATAGCGGCGCATATAGCCCACGAAGACCCGCGCACCCCCAGGTGCATTGCTCTCAGCGTTGATGATCGATTGCATCGAGGGTAGGGACAGAGAGACCGGCTTCTCAACAAAGACATTCTTGCCCGCCTTGAGGCTCGCAATGGCTAGTGGGGCATGGCTTTCATCTGAGGTGAGGATGAAGACTGTGTCCACGTTGGGGTTATCAATCACCTCTTGCGGGGTGGTAGTCTTGTGCGGGACATTGAACTTGATCGCGCAGTGATCTACCGTGGTGGGCGATAGATCACAGATAGATTCAATCTTAAACAAGTGCGAGAGAAGCAAAAGGCAAGGTCCATGGCAGACTTGGAAGACCTCCTAGGGTGTCTATTAGCCACACGTCCGAGATTCAGGGAGAGGTTTCGTACACCAGCGCCAATGATACCAAGGCCGATTCTTCGAGGGGAAGACATGTTGTTAGAGTTACCTAGTTACTGAATGAGGAACCCAATTGGAATGAAACTGCGATATTCTTGCTCATAGGGTTAAACGCTGGGTGACCTGATTGCAGTTGGATGTTGGAAGTGGGTCTCATGGACTGAACATCCCACCATGCGGGGACCATTCTGCTCCGAAACCCTCATCTCTCACACATACAACGCTTTCCAACAACGTATACTCCCGCAAGCCTCATACGCATGTAGAATGAGTTCAATATGGGGAGTCATCTAGCCTTTAGTAAGGTTGGCTACGCTGATTATATTTACTTCCAGAATCTTTCGTAAATGCGAATAGATTATCGACCAGTTCAATGATCGAGCATGCCACAACAGAATACCACAAGCTCCCGCTCACCGAGCGCGTTTGTAAGCTGCACTAAAGCCCAAAAATATGCTGAACTACCTGACTACAGGGCGGCATATTGATTATTCACTTCATCAACCTTAGGCCTCATTCCTTTGGATGTCGAATGTCACAGGCGTAGGCCCTAATCAGCAGGCCAGGGATGACTATAACCTACCTAAGCTCTCATTTGATTCATTGCCCATGATGGTAAACGACTTAGCATTTGGTTTGGTCAGATTAAAGTGACGATGATAAATTCTACGTTGATGATGGTATACCTGCCCGGTACCAATCCGGGGTAGGGACATCGCCTTCAAGTTCGCTGGACTTGATGCGGGTGATGGCTCCAAAGATATATATGGAGAAAATGCGCGTACTGCGGGATGGAATAGAAATGCAGCTGATCGAGGAAAAAGGGTTGATATAATACTGAAAGGCGAATTCCAGTGGAACTAGTATGTGAGAGCATCGTTAGGTCTTGGGGCTGAAGATCCAGATGATGGACTTTGTGGAGAAGGGTTCTGTAATCAGGTCCTAACTCTCGACAACTCCAACTGATAACCTTCGATAAGCCACCAGCTTTGGTGATACGAATGCGAGATAGCGTCGCAGGGACCTTGTAGCAAATTGCCAAGCTAATCCAGCATGTACATACTAGTATACGGGGGAACTGAAGAAAAGAGGGACGCGCAAGGTAGAAGAAGAAAAATAAAACCTGCATCGTCATAAGATCATGTTGAAACTCTTTGGTGAACTCTTGAAAATTTGTTTTGGATTAAACCGCCACGGCGCGAGACAACAGCCAGCTATTTTAGACAACCTTTCATCCCGCGACTCCGTTTTTTCTGCTTTTGAGAATTTCCGAAGAAACCCAGTAAGTCCCCCGCCAGATCACCGTTCCCGACCCATGTCCGTCACGACCCAGTCAAGGGCAGTGGTATTCACGAGAAAGGAAGACAAGATAACACAGACGGGGGGTCCAGGCCCAATAGAAAAAGGTCGATCTCGGCTTGCCGTTCAAGTTCGCTGCAACAAAACCGTTCGCGATCCCAACCCAGGTCCGTCACTCACAACAACCGGCCGCTCTTTATGAGGTATCTAGTAGCCGAGCTGAGCGAGCTGGCTCTTGGTCTTGCTGTCAACATTCGCACCCTGCTCCGCCTTGGCAAGGTTACGGCGAGCGGCCTTCTTGCGCTCGTAGTAAGCCTTGCTCTTAACCTTCCGACGCTCCTCAAGGCTGTAAAATGGTGTATTAGTATCATCTCAAGTCATGGTGATAGGGACCATTCCGAATAGGATGTGGTGGAATGTAACGTACCGAGAAACGACATCCTGGTACTTCCAGCCAACCTCGTGGCTGAGACGGCCGACGGTGCAGTACTTGCGGCCGGGGCGCAGACGCAGGACACGGAGGGCCTGGGGAACGACAACGCGCTTCTTCTTGTCGTAGGGAGGGGGACACCCTCGAAGACCTTCAGGCGCTCCATAGCGGCAGCACCGCGGGCAGTCTTGTGGGGGATCATGCCGCGGACAGCCTTGTAGAAGATGCGGGAGGGAGCGCGGAAGTGGAAGGGACCACCGCGAGTGGGGTTGAAACGGGTCATCTTGCGGAGGTAGGCGTGGTACTTCACTGTATGTCGACGAAAAGAGTCCAAGTTAGCTTTTGTGTTCGCCACATATTGTCGTGGGTATAATCCTCCAAGATCCTGTGTCGCAAAATTCGAGAAATGTCCTCCCCTTCTTCCTTCGCAATCCTTTTCGACAACCGCATACAACAAAAGAAATCGGGAGAGGGCTGAACGTACGCTTCGCGCGGAAGAACTCGCCGGAGATGTTGAGGGCCTCACATCTCACAACGACGATCTTCTGGCCGTTGAGCAGCTGCTTGGCGACAGTGCTGGCCAGGCGACCAAGGAGGTGTCCTTTGCCGTCGATGACGACCTATATTCCAGAAACAATCAGTCAGCAATCACTGTCTTTCCGGATGTTCCAAGCCAAAGTTGAAGATGTTGAAGATTTGAGGTTTTGAGGGTTGAGAGGTGGCGGGCGAGATCGAGGGCATGGTATGCAAAGCGCTGGGGATATCAGGGAACGCACCACTGGTTCGAAAGAGGACATCCTGCTCTGTCACCTTTGTGGAAAGGAAGGTTGGATGGTTGTCGGCGGTTGTTGTCGTTGGAGTCAAGTTCAACGCACACAACGAAGTCGGATGGATCGCAGGCGAAGGGGGTTAAGCGAGCCCCGACTGCACCGCTGTGTGTGGATTAGCGGGTGAGGGCCGCAGCCCTAAGACCAGCCAATCATGGGACCTGAAGATCACGTGTGGGCAGATACCGGGTCCCGCCTGCCGCCGAAAGCGCTGATTATGTCATCCTTTCTATTTCCCCCAATACTTGGAATTGTGGTGCCCATCACGCCCGCGCCTTTAGGGCATGCCACTAGGGCTGCTAGTGTGGCAATGTTCTAGAAACCCATTGATAAGCCGGGGACGACCGTGATCTACTGGTGGTGTGAGATCTTATTGGGCGAGGGTTCCTGGACGTACATACATACAGTCAGGTCTCTCTCAATACTTTGCCCTCAACCAACATCTCAATCTGCTTCCCATGGGCCCTGTGCCACCGCCGATAACTTCTGAAGTTCTTTCAATAATGTATTGCAAGGCTGAATGTTATAACTAGTTAGTTAGTTACCTGATGGCTGGATCCGATGACTAATGCGAGTCTATGAACCCCTGTAGCCAACTACATCCATAACAAAGGTAGCTTAGTGTGGTCATCGCCCACTGACTAGAATAGTATCAATTCACCCTCAAACTCCACCCATTTATCCACATCGCAAATGCTAACAAGAAGTTTCTATCTGCACGCTGAGTAGCTTCAATATTCTGCGATATGAATGAAAATGGCAGCACTGAACACCCTTTCCAAGCCTTTCTTCATATCAATATGAGGATGTTGGTCGTTGAGAATTGGCCTTCTCTTATGAACTTATCTGAGAAAGGTATCCATGACAGATGCATATCTAAGTGAGAACAAGATATGAGCACATGATATTTCTCGAAGCAATGGGGAAGTTGAAGCCATACCCTGCGGTAGCTACGATAATATATGCAGATCTGACTGAAATCAACGACAGGCTGGCTGCGAAGACAAGTAGCGTTGCACTTGAAAGGACGAGTCTCGTCTAATAGACATTTGGGAACCCTAGAACTAGAATAGCCATCACCAGATGAAGCAACATACTACATGTCAGAGGGATTCGAGACAGTTTTGCTAAGGCGTGCTCGGAATAAGCTGTGATGTTGTCGGAATCATACATCTGATGTGCGGAGGTAATCAGTCAACGGACACGTACGAGGTTAATCAATATTTAACACGATTTCATAAAGATAGAATGTACAATCCATCTATACCTGCTTCTTCAAAGGCAAAGGACACCACGTTGCGAAATCTTTCTCCAAAAGCTTCTGCAGTCATTCTTTTGTTTTTCTCGTGACTTGCGTGAGCTAGGATGGTTCGGGTGCTCTAGAAATCCATATTCTTCTTCATCGAAATTCTCTCCTTGATACCAGTTGAAGAGACGTTGCGACATCTGGAATAGCGGTTTCCAACGCACTTATTGGAGTTTGGAGAAAAAAGGCCTTTTCTGCTCCATGGCCCTACTGGACTGGTGCTACAATGATGGGAGTCATAATGACTGCATTTTTCTGATTTGTGGTCGATTTCCGAGAGCGGACTCTGCAATCGAATTCCCAGTCCTGATTTCTGCGCATAATCACTTATAGGCTGAGTTCTGTATTGTATAAGGTGCAGACTACTCTAAACGGCGTATAGCAGTTCGCGGCTGGATATTCTTGCAAGGTCAAAATCCACGAGTGTGCAAATTTTGCAAACGAATTGCAAGAGCACGATGCTGTGTTATCATGCAGTCATTCAAGGAGAGAGCTGGTCTGATGTGCCATTGATAGAATGATGGTTCTTGTGCCTTTCCCGCTGCATTCATCTGTTTTCGTGTACAGGTAGACCGTTCAAGCCATATACTTCCATCCAAGAAGGACAGGGGCGAGAAGAAGAGCTTCAGGCTCTTTCTAGCGATCTGGGAAACGCATAGCAGGAGCAAGAGAAGATGTCTCAGATCAATGCCCCATTCAAAATTGTGGGAAGCAGGGCATGGGTCGACAATATGATGTCAACCCAGAGATTGAGGAATTTGTAAGGATCAGAAACAGCAGAATGGAGCATATCGGTCAAATAGGCCAGGTAGGGTACAGTGAACGGGCAAAAGGTCAAGCCAAGGGCCTGAAGTCAAAGGACCTGTTTGATGCATTTCTCTCCTGGTACAGCACCTGAGAACATATTAAGCGGCCCTCATACCTTCTATCAAAGCGAGTCACCGTTGACCGTGGCGGCTCAAGTTGAAGATAAATTGGAGGCTAGGCAGCTGCTGAAGTATGGCGCGGATGCTGACTCTGCCAACCTCATGTCTTGCCTGCCAAGAGCAGCGAAGCACATCGAGGCTGCTTTCGCTATGTCGACTGAGCCGCTATGGTCTGTGGCTGGCTTAGTCGCTCGATAAGATGTCGGAATTCGCGCAGGGCCTAACCAGACAGAATATCTCCGGCTCTGTTGCCCAGTGGTTCTTCCTAGCCTTTGATAACAGCTGGCCTAGGAACATTATCGGTTGGACCTTTGTGGTCGGGGTGGCTTAGTGAGGTTCTCATGGACATGTCTCAGATAAAGGTGGTCGACTTGCGCACAGTACCCTCCTTGTTTGGAGCTATCCAGTTCAATGCGTACTTTTCTAGTACAGTCATATTGTGCCAGCCATTCGACCTCCTTGAACCTAGTCTGTGGTGGACACATCAAAACCTGCTTGAGATGGCTCATTATTGATTGTGGCTTGTTCACTTCATCGATGCTTTGAGCATTGTCCCATCATGTAGGCAAAATTTGACACCTCAGACATCAACCGCCCGGGTGGTCTAGTGGTATGATTCGCGCTTAGTAAGCTCTCCCTGCAATCAACCAATCATCATCTATCAAGTTACTAACAGCTCCTCCAGGGGTTCACCCAAAGCATTGACTGCGCGAGGTCCCCGGTTCGATCCCGGGCTCGGGCCTTTCTTTTTGCTTTCGCCATCTAGAAATGAAGTTTTCTGCGTCAGGGCAGCCTTTGTTTTTCTTTTTGGTCTATCTACCTCTCCACAGTGATGGTATGTATAGTCGTGGACGTAAGAGTAGGTCCGTGTGTTGTAACTTATAGAGAACTGGTTCGGCCAGGTTGATGAAGTAATAGGCGCTGTTGTTAAGCTGCAAATCAATACAAAGTTAGGTAAGAGAGAATTTAGAAGCAATCTAGGTTGGATCCGACTAGAGTCCTTGAGTACAGGCATTAACATGACGGGCATATATGACCATTAGCTTGATCCGGGCTCCAATCTGGTACCCTCTGTTACATGCCTGTAGGTAATCAATTACAAGCAAACCAACATTCATATTTCTCTAAAAGCTTGAAGGCTAGGGAAAGAATTGACAAGCGTAATAAATAGAGTTTCAAGAAAGGGCCATTCTCAACGGTCTTCTCTAATCAACAAGGCAACATACAAATCTCTAACCAGACCAAGGGATTTACATTACCCTCCCCGAATTTCAAGCATCGAAGATAGATTCATACAATTTACGGGGCTGTAGTGAGATGTAGTAGATCATTCGTAATCTATGTGCTACCAGATCGCTCGGTGAAGGCGTGAAGCACACTACAGTCTATGTTACTATTGGTCTCTCCCATATCAAGTTTGTGCCCTATCTAGCGTATAAGCACTTCACGATAGACTGCAACTAACTATCGTCACCCGTGCTACTGATGCTTTTCCACCTGATATACAACATTTCCTTTACCTTTAACCGAGGTAGGCAACAGATTAGCAATCCGAGTAGAATGAGTCCTTTATAGCTGACCTTTCCGTGGCTGTGAAGGAAAGTCAGTCGTGTTGGAGTATTTGACTGCATTTATCGCTTGGTCAGCAGGCCCATGTCTGGGGCCTCATGAAGACTCTATCAAATCTCCAATTATTCCGCAGTGCTTTTGATGCTAGTCAAGCATGTCATACATAACTTCACTCTTTGTATTGTTTGGGTCTCTTCTCCACCCCCCGGCCGCGGAAGGGCCTCTCGACAATGTTCATACAGTCTACTTGGCAAGGAACGTATGTCTGCTATGTCAGATATCTACAGAAGCTTGAGAATGAAATACTTTTTGCAATCGAGGACCTTAGAATAAACCTCAAGAATCAATTGAATTGGGATTATGCATGAAAGTGGTCTTTTCGACTATGGATCGTTGCCATTTGCAATCATCCTATCCTGTTCCTGTAGCTCCATTGCATGTAAGCCAAGTTGATTGCAAAAACTTCTCCGCCCGACATTTAGACTAATTGCCATTCAATCATCCAACCCCCATTTGGTGACATTAGGCCCCCTGTCTTTATAATGGCATTATGGTAGGATCGATAAAACCTAATTTTAAATCGCAATAGGTGGTATATGCTGAATCTAGTTTGAATAATATTTAAAATTGTGATCAATATAGAAAGAAACCACGTATAAATAATATTATCATAGTAACGCTGCCGAACCAAGCTAAGACATTTTGCGTGGTCATAGGATTTGTTACGACTCGCGGCCGGACCCGCTAACCGGACAGGCCAAAAGACCAAATATGTCATAAAATAGTGTTCTGACATGACCGGGACCGATATAAGTAGCGCACATAGCGTTAAGAGTGCCAATCCTAACAGGATTGCACATAGTTATCTCTTTAGGTAGCTTAGAGGAAGCGACTCTAGCCCCCTAATCAACCTGGCTCCACATCAATGCTATCAAACTTCGAAAGGCTTCCGAAGATCCAAAGGGCTACAAGTGCTACACAGCCGGCTAGGTCTTCACCTATAATCACATTCTATTTCCGACGAACATAAACACTGATAAGTCAACCCTGGCGAAGCTAGTATTCTAGCTACACGAGACCACGACAAGATCGAGAGAAATCCGGCGCCTTGAGACCACTAAGGTCACAGTTTATGGACCAACACAGACTACTAGGAACTGGCACCCGTGTGGATCCTTAGGGACTTCTATATCGCATGTTCGAAACTTGTCCTCGAAACCCGATCTTTCCTACGGGGACTCATGCGCCTCTAGCCATTAGTTATTCGGAGCTTAAGTACGTGAATAGACTAAGGCCCATAATCCCTGTAGCAATTCCCTCTCTCTATTATATAATCTTGTGAGAAACTTGGTAAACGATGGGTTTTTCTTAGTGGGTAGAGAACTATTTATTAAGCCAAATACGCTTGCTTAATCATAGCATTACATCAGTGGTGTCCATATACAGCTAGGAAGAATCAACCCTGCTAGTGATAACCTATAAAATTCGCTTTTATGCTACTGGGGCCTTCAACCAGAGCTATTGCGTTACACTATGATCGGAAATCATAACTATAGGGATAGGACGTCAGGTAATTACCTGATTATTAAGCCTGCCTTCGCTAATATTCCGTTTAGATACAAAAGGAAAACTCTAAATTAAAAAAAAGAGAGGCACATAGTAAAATGAGAAGAAAGAGAGAAAAAGAAAATGCAAAAAAGAAAGGCCCGAGCCCGGGATCGAACCGGGGACCTCGCGCAGTCAATGCTTTGGGTGAACCCCTGGAGGAGCTGTTAGTAACTTGATAGATGATGATTGGTTGATTGCAGGGAGAGCTTACTAAGCGCGAATCATACCACTAGACCACCCGGGCGGTTGATGTCGAGTTTCAAAAAATTTGCCTACAAGTTTTCGACCTCAGCATTACATATCCTACAGGGTTGCCGATACGCCTGCCATTTGGCATCATAAGCGCTGGCCCGATATAGAGGCATAAAAAGAATAATTATACTCTCCATTCAAAGATGCCCAGCAATTCAGAATGAACCATCGCGACCATTTTCTTCCCATCTACAAGAAGCCTAGCTATGCACCTATGTAGTGACATGGTATTTAGCATCATGGTGTGCTGCTTACGCGGCGAAATGCACTCTAAGTATAAGATGGCTCGTTGAGAAGATCTATCATTCTATTTGGCTAAACTGTCTTAGAATCTCCACAGTCCTTTCGAGGTCTACTGATTTCTAGATGGTACATAAACATCATCACATCGATCGAATTCAGCATGGAACGATCCCGCTCCAAGTGGTTTTCTCACCACTGAACAAGCCCGACTCTTTACGTTTGTCCGGGTTAAGGATCGTCCCCCCACCCCCCAAACACATTGCCGCAGGGCTATCAAGAAGCTGGAATTCTGTTCATACTTCATCCATTCTGCGCTTCTTGCGCGGTTCGAACTTCTTGGCAGGAATCAAGGTAGTGTGGTCGTCCGTGTAGAAAGAGCCAGATTCTGGAATACCTCGAGGAAGGGTCTTGGTCAATGAACTAACGACAACAAACTGCCTTGGCCTTGCGATTATGTCCGAGACTCCTTCACCCTCCATCCAGTGAACGAAAGAGTTGGCTTTGTACAGATCTCTGACCAGATTTGAAGTCACATAGGATGATATTTCCGCGGTACCCATTGTGTAAGTAACGCAAAAAGCCAACCGTGACCCCGAATCCGTCGTGAGCGTCTGTTGAGCCCATACGTTTGGATTTCGCTGGCCGGGTGGTTCAATCTCCGCTTTCACAATAACTTCCTGTGGGGGATCTTCCGTACGAAGGAAGAGCTCAATGCACGAATGTATTGTCAAAACAAAAAAACCCTTCCGACTGTCCGATTTCCGAGATATTTGCGGCCTCGTAAGAGTTCTTCTCGAGTTTTATCTCCTATGGTGAAGCTTCGATCACCAGCATTAGCACGGGGCTTTTTCCTTTCCCATGGAATAACTGAGGTCTCAATTGCAAGAGCCAAGGTTCCATGGTCATCAACACAAACTCGAGAAGTTTCCAGGGGTTCTCTTTCGAGAACATCAATCTGCCCAACATCATCTTCCAATTCTTCCTCCCTGCTTTTGATATCTTGGATTAAATCATCACTAGGATGGTCAGAATCAACTGGGTGCTTCTCTCTCATTTTGTCACACAGCTCCCGAACAGCTTCAAGTTGGGCTTTGTCAATCTCAAACTTCGGGGAATGATGCTTCTCCGATCTGCGAAATGAACTCATAGAAGAAGTTGTTGAGACACTTTGGGTATGACGCGGGCTCACATGCAGCAGAATAAGGATTGCATGGCTAAGACTCCCCCTCCCCCCGTTTCTTGCAAGAGAGAGATGTCTTCATCTTTCGCAAACCCCCTGCGTGTAAGCCAAAGGCGAGTCATTGGATAGAGGGATTCAAGTGTCAACGGTTCCTTAATCCCTTTCCACTCATCCATGTAATCTCGGATGGCCTTTGTCAGGACACATCCATTATCACCAGCGTAGGGGGGAATGCCGCCAGTGCGGGTAATAGCCGATGTGAAATGAAGGATCTCAGATAGTCTGTGGGTCTTCCGCCAATCTCGTAGTAGAAATGCATCAGTAGGATTGGGTGTCAGAACGTAGATCCGTTTGATAGCTTCATTTTCAATGTCGAGAAACATAGCAAACTCCCCCGCTTCTAGCTTAAGGCGTGTCTCCTTGTACCCTGCGGGTAGAACAAGGTGTTGCACCGAGCGTCCACACATAAGAATCACCTGTAATCCACTATGTTGGATAATTGTTCGGTTGATCTGAATGAACGAGATTGTTTCTGGTTGTTGGATAGACTGGAAAGGTTGCGTCATTTGGGCCAAATCTCTCAGAAGAGGGTTCGCAGCCCAGGTAGGAGAGTTTGTCATGTTCCAGCCACTATCCTGGAATTGGCGCGGAATAGATATCTGTGTGACGCTCGAGTTTGTTGATTCTGTATCAAGATAATCCTCCAGTACGAAGCCAACCAACGCTTGGAAATTTCCGTACGGAGAGGCCCAGGGAAACCCTGTTGGATCCAAGTTCCTTTTTAACAGGTCAAAAAGCTCGAACTTGGTTAAGGCCGAGTGTGGTAGAGACTCATTTCCACAAAAGGACTGGTCTAGCCGGAAATGCTGAACCGCTTCTTGTAAACGCGCATGGAAATCAGAGGATCGCATTAAGGATCGCTGAAAACGGATTGGGGTTTTCTCAAACTTTTTTCCGTACTCGTAGCGAAATTGGGGCCACCTCTTGATGTCGGGGTCCGCTGATATTTTCAAGCTAAGAGAGAAGGATTTTCGTGCTGAAGGCCCGAGAGAGAGACCTTGGAGAACAGGAGGAATAATATTCAATCCCAGATTGGAGTAATATTTTCCATCCTCGTTTGGTCCATAGTAAGCCTCTAAAATGCTTCCAGGGAGTGATTGAAAGGCGCGACACATCGTCATTTCTAGGACATTGAGAGCCACAGCTCGAAAGGCGGATGATAGTTGGAGACCCTTTGGAACTTCCCAGAGCTTAAGCCAGTTCGCTGCTCGATATCCTTGTCCTTGCGAAATGACATAGTAGTGCAATGTACTCGTCGATCCGCGAAGAATTTGTCGATTGTGGATTTTGATACGTTCTGATGGGTCCTTAGACTGACCGGGGTACGCACGCCAATATTCTATGTTCCTCAAGTCAGTGACGATGTCCACATAACCTCCATCTGGGCCCCAAATGTTATTCTGACGTGCCTGCGCACTGAGAAGGCTATGAAAATGTCAGAATCGAGGATAACAAAGCTGGAAGTCAAACTTACTCCTCCGTCCGAAGCAGTCTACCCTCAAGCGTCCTAATATGAGAATCAACCCACTCCAGCAACATCTGGGCAATCTTTTCTGGACCTCCGTGACCCGTAATCACAGATTGATATGGCAGTCTTTGTAGATAGATATTGGGATCAGTCGCGAGACGCGAAGCCAAATGATAAATGGTGCGGTAAAGATTCGGGAAGATAACGTTTGGCGTCAGCTCCCACGAGTTCTGATTCTGAGTTAGCAGATAAGTTTCCTTGAGTCACTTTACAACTGACTATGGTAGTGTCCTGGGTGTTCTGTTGAAGAAGCTTTGACTGGTAATCAACTGCGGGTTGGCAAGCCCCCGCGCGCTTTTGAGGTGGAAATGGACGAGGATCCGAAGGCAGAGAAGGAGATACGCGGGTAGCCCCTGCTGGGAGGTTTCCCATGGATGGGGTTTCATTTGTTTTGGAGGCAGGCTGGCAACGATTTTTACGCTCAAGCCTGGGACACTTGGATTTGCAGTGTCCCATTCTGCGGCAGTAGATACACTCGGTGTTTGGGCAGTCGTCACCGATGTGGCCGTGGTTGTTGCAACGAAAGCATTTGGTTTGCGGGCAATTTCTCCGAGTGTGACCCTCTTCCATCAGGCCGCAGTTAGTGCAGGCTTTTGGCTCCGTCCAAATAACCATATTGAAAACAGACGTCGTGTTGTCTAGGGATCATAGAGCATTTCACGATTAGCTCATGACGAGAAGCCAAAAGTAGACCCTACATACTTTGATCTTCAGTATCTCCAGTGGCAGAGAGGGGGTTGAAAAGAGTATGAGACACGATTGACCAAATGAACAGTGAATTCTTTCAATGGAGTACGCAGAAACGTAGCCACAAAAGGGGAGAAATGGTGAGATACGTAGGGAAAACGCGAAAGTCAGTAGAGGGTAAGAATTGCTGACTGACTCAAGACCCAATCCCCTTCTTGAGAGATCTCCAAAAACCAGGAGCAGGATAACACAAAGAGGGCCTTTTATATGCTAACCGCCTGAGGCAAACAGAGAACGTCGTCGGTTATGGTAGTCTCCATAATGGAAACCGGAAATCTCCATCACTTTTATTCAACTATGTACAGCGAGAGAGAAAGAAAAAAAAAAAAAAGGTACGGTTCCTACGGGTATGAAGGGTGAGGGAACCATATGATACGAGTGAGGCCACACCGTGATTCCACATGGCCAACATCTTCAAATGCCTATTGAAAACCTCGAATTTCCCTCTGTAAGCAAGAAGTGTATCAAGTCCTCGTGCGGCAATATGACCACCAGACAAAATGAACCGTGGGAAGCATCCTCAAACATTGCCGTCAATTATTGTTTTGACAATATGGCTTTGATAATATGGCTTGAGGGGTGTCCAGTTTCTCACTGACCACGAAAGGGCTGAGGGAATCTGCACAAGTGGCCCATTCGGCTGGGCTCGATGTACTTGCCGAATAAGCCCTGGCATTCAACACACAGCACGTATAGAGATAAAACCCAAGCAATTAGCTTACTTCTATTGCCACAGTCATCTCCGGAACCTTCACTCTAATTCGAATACCCGTCGCGGGATGCTCGATAGCTAGTTCTAACAAGGGGTCCCGGAGTGAACCATGGCGATTATATGACAGAGTGCGTGTATAAACCCTGCGTACAATACTTATAATACTCGTTATCAGAGACTCTCCAGTATCAACCGACCGAATCAACCGACGAACCTACCAGTCTCTAGAAACAACCTTGAGAGCCCATTGTTCCAGAGTCACCAAGGCGAGAGACGGAAGCGCTGTTGCACACACCCTAGACTCACTAAAAATGATTGATATAGTAATTTATGATAAATATATCTCTATATTTTGTAATATTGGTGACGGTAAGGCTGCCGCCTCGGGAAGCGATCGGCTCCCGGAGCCCAGACTGAGTTAGTCACCCCGTCGCCCTGAGCAGCCCACTGAGCGACCCTGAGCTGCTCACTGAGCGGCCCTGAGTTGCTCACTGAGCACCCTGAGCGCTCACCCTGTCGCTCACCCCAGACCAGCCCCTTTCATTCCTCATCTTGTTTTCGGGCCCTTTACCTGCTCCGATGGTAACCGCGCTACACCCTACTTGCTCCTGGGAGTCTAGTTCAGATGACGTCTTCCAACGTCGCTGCAATAACGCATCCTACTTTCCAACTTCGATAGACTCGATTCCTTCAATCCTGCTTGAGAAATTGAAATCCCTCGTGACTACGTTCTCTCTCACTTACCCTCTCAATACTGGTGACTCCCACTAAGCGAAGCTTCGTAAGGAAATTCACGGAAATTCTCTTTGTCCTGATCTTCTTTGCTCAATATCCTGTGCCAGATCCCAGGAACAACATTCGTCTTCTCCCTGAGGGACGTAGTTTTAGAGCTCTGGAATGGGTCTGGAACACATCGCTGCACCACATGACGCAAAACGGCGACCTAAGGCGCTAGACCTAGCATGGTCGAGCAATATATCCGCCACAGCGTGAATGAATTAAGCCAGACTCCTAGGAACTCGAACTAGATATATTCAGCCCGTTGAGAATTCTATAGGGGTCGATTGTGTGACGAGTTTTGGTTATATAAAGAGCCGCCTAAGACTTACCAGAGTCTAAAAAGCATAGCACTAGGTAAAACGGTCTCCTTCCAAACGTGTTGCTCGATATATTGTACTCGCGACATGATCTTGTACAGTAAGACAATTTAGTTACTGCCGAATTCTCAAAAACGAGGCGCTTATGCACGAGTAGTCTATGAGCGTTTATAGGAGCTAGCTCATTCCCAGTGACGTATCTGCCAGTTCCCAGGACCTCCTTGAATCCCAGGAGATGTGGCCGGTCCTCCTGGGACATTATCGCATACTGCCAGGAGAATTGTTCTGAGTCCTGGGACCACTTCGCCTCCTGGGAGCGCGAGATTTCATGAATGAAGACTACTAAATTTCTGAAGATCTGACTAGTGATTCTATCGTTTCGGTATCACATTTTATTTTGCTATGTATGAATGCCCCACTATAGTGGTACATCATCTCACGATAAGCCTCGTGCCTTCTCTGAACTAAATTGCTAGCCCGTCACATTTCATGCCACAAGAGCATCTGAAATGCTGTTATCTCCACTTCTTTGCTCCCCATTATCATTTGAGTAGGCGATGCTTTCATTTACCAAGACAGATCTTTTCTCGTATTGCCTGGCAAGTTCATCCATCGTTTTTCTAATAGGCAGTGGATGTGTTGAGTCCTTGTTTGGTCAGCCTATACGTATGTATTTGAAATTGAAGGTGAGCTTCACCCACCAGCTGGTCTGCAGAGAGCGGCCATCTTCTCGTGTTTGAAGTCAACGTAAAGATCTGACTCGTCTTTCTTACCCGTACGACAATTTGGACATCGGCATCGCATTGGGTGGCGTATTCAAGAGCCTTCTTAAGAAGGGTCTCCCTTCTTCGATGCACCCTTTGATGACATCTTCGTGCGTGGCTCGTTTTGAAGTGTTGAGCCGTCAGTGTCGGTGGCTCATTATTCGACTGCAAAGAGCTCCCCATTCCGCTTGATTGATCTTGACAGAAGAATAATATGGGAGGTAAACTCTTGAACGACCTGATGCTCCTGTCTTGCGGATATCGTCTTGCGTATCCCAATTTTGGACGACGAGTGAATTGCCCATTGTCTCTGCTTGTATGATGTCGTAGTAATAGGCTGGACCCTTGTGAATAAAAGCCCGGCTGTGGTTACCGAGTCTCGCAATTTCTCCAGATTCGACATAGATAGAAATGGTAAGGATCTACATGAATCATTAGATCGGTCTTTGCAAATTGCAACCATGGCGACTGATTCACGTACATATCCATTAGCTATAGTGTCATCCTTGAGCAAGCAGTTCACCGATGACTCTGCAGGAATCGCCATGTCTGACCCGTTAGCATCTTGAAGAACACACAGTGGACGGCCTTACCCAGTGTTTTAAGTTGCCACACCAAGTGCACACGCTGTGTACGACAAGTCGAGGTATTATAACCATATACCAGCTTTTTGAGATATGGTAGCACAGCAGCGATGCCAGAGCCACTAGCTATCAGCAGAAAACACTGATACTGGGTGATCGATTTGCTGATTCCGTGACGGCCTGTTATGAATGCAGGAAACGAAACTGATCCATTCAGTGCCTTTCGGGCATGGTCAAGTAATGTAGCTGACAGACCGCCCCGAGCTTTCACATAGATGTCCAACGTAGCTTGTTTTCCTCGAGACCACGAAGTGACTGTGAAAGGATGGGTTTGTGCCCATGAGAACAAACTTAGTGTGGGCATCCAGACATTGACGTATTGTCCTGCATCCAGCTTCATTGGGCGAGGCAGAATAATTTGGGCCGTAAAAGCAAATGTGTCGCACTTATCTTGTCCTCCACCACGACGCCGACTAACAATCAAATAGAGGAGCTGATATCTGTGGTTGAGTCCGGCCGCCTATGCATGTATCTGCATCGTACGTATTATTCTGGGCTTGATGAAATTCTAAGCTGAAGAAGGAAATGGCGTTCTCCCTCGCGGCAGAGTATTAATTCGACAGACGCGAAACTTAATGCTTGTGGCAGGCAACGTTATTGTATATCAGCTTGGGGAGAGGTCGCTTTTTGCCAAGCTAGTACGATCGGAGCAAAGACTAATGATAGCTAACCGCCCGGAATGGCAATCCTCTGTCAAACCGAAGAGCAAAGGGTTAGGGATCCGACGACTTCAATCAAGGGCAGTCTGGAGTACCGGCGACCTTTCCTTTTAAAGGGCTCATGTTCTCATGCACGTGACGTTGCAGATCTGGTTCTGAACTGACGGATTCGCGAAGGACAGACACTACTTCTCTTAGACACTGGACATCATTGCCAGAATACAGCAGAGTACCTTCCTACGAGGTACACAACCTTACTACCCCCCCCTACAATCTGGCGAGCAAGAATCCACCGCCACCTCGTCTAACTACGACGGGGCCAGCGTCACAAAGAAGGAGCTGTTCACGTAGATCGGCTTCCGCTGAGGATCGGCCGTGTTGACGTATCTCTCCATGAAGGCAATCTTCAGCGGCAGCTGGGGTTTCGCGTACGGCGCGATATCGACCTCATTGAGGATGAAGCCCATCTCGAAGCCGCTGGCCTTCAGGTCGACGCCGCCGCTCGCCGTGCGCGGGAACAGGCTCGCGCAGAGCAGATCCGAGCTGGGAACAAGCAGCGGGTTGAAGCGCAGGTTCGCCAGCATGCGCGACCCACTGCCGCGGTACGAGGTCATGAACTTGCCCGCCGCGGGTGGTGGAGACGACGAAGAAGAAGAAGAAGATGTAGAAGAAGTGCCTGTCGTCGTCTTGCTCGGAGCCGAGTAGATGGGGAGGTAGATGAAGACGCCGGTGAAGAGGAAGCCGTTCGTGTTCAGCCACTGGACGTCACCGGTGATCTGCGCGGCGAAGACGAGATCGACGCTGTAGCCCGTGTTGGTGGCGATGGTGGCCGACGTCTGGCCGTGGACCTTGCAGGTGATCGTGAGGGCCGCTCCGGGGATTCTGGGCACCGTGCCGGCGGGGGTCGTACGCAACGGTCCGAGATGTTCCGGTGCCGAGCTGACTCCGAGGAGTTTTGCGTGCGGCGCCGGGGCCCGAGGATGGTGCTCGGCGGTGGTCTTCGTGGACGCATGCTTCCGAGCGGCGCTGTGAATCGCATAGGATATCTTGGTGCTGAGTTCTGATGGCTCCCTACCAGCGTCTCGAGGTTGGCGAACCCGCCGTGGCTTCTTAGGCTTCATGCCGGAGCTGGGAGCAACAGGCCTCACGGCTGCAGGCTCCGTGCTGGCTGTGAGCTTTGTCTGCTGGGAGAGGTCGAAGCTTAACTGGTACGTGGGATCGTTCAGCTGGATGCCCATGAGAGCGGCAGATGCGACCGTGTCGGAAAACTGATCCTTCGTCAGGTACTGTTGAACAGTGGATAGTACGTTCTCTGCATAGTTCTGGACAATCATCATTCTACTGTCGAAGTCAAACACCAAGCAGGGTTTGCCTGGCTCTTGGTAGAATCTGTGGCTAGAAAGCTTGGTTTTCCGAGCTTCTCCGGTCGGCTGGTTTGTTGTGGTGTAAATCTGGTCATACGATACTTCAAACAGATTCTCATTGTTGGTGGTGTCGAGGCCAACGTTCACTGCTGCGGCGAAGCACTGCTGGTGAGGAGGCTGGTCGACGTTAGCGAGGCTATTAGAAGCAGGATATAAGGCAACCACTGACCTGACTAATGGTCAAGTCACCCAAGAGTCCATCTCCGGGTTGTCGGTCAAGTAATACGAGCATGACTTGTTCGTCAATGTTCTCTTGGCGCAGTATTGCTGCCATCTTGGCTCGAATGGGTGGACTGCCCGTCGCAGGTGGCGCCTTTACGATGAGGTCGGGGAACATTTTGACAACAGCAGATCTAGCAAAGTCAGTGTGAAGTTTGCATCAGCAAGGCAAGATACCACTGCTCACCGAAGAAGAAACCCGTAGGTGGGTATCTGCGGAGCGTAGCCCAGCACTGGGTCCGGCGTCTTGCGGAACTCCTCAATTGTCCCTTTGATGGCAGTTCGAATATCATCGTCTTGAGGTTCAAGATGACAGCATATTGACAGGGACCCGTCGACGAAAGCATCGACCCAGTTCGCATCGACGGAAAAGAACCGAAGGCTCTCGGCTGGAAGATGCGCAGGGTCTGCGATGAGGTAGTGCGCTGGAAGACCGACGAAGTACATGCGGTCGAGGATCCACTTGAGCATGAGAGCCCAGTCGGTCGAGAAAGGCCGATTGTGCTCATTATAGAACCAGTAATTGTCCTCTGGGGCGTCAAGACTCGAAGCCAGCTGCTTGGCCACCTTCTTTGCCTCTTCGAGAAAATTGTCCTGGATAGTTGGGTCGAAGAAACCAAGCTTTGGCAGAGGCTTGGTTGATGTCCGCTTCCATTTGCGCACGGGATCCAAGGTGTGGCCTTCACTCTTCTTGTGGAGGTTGCCAAGCAGTGCCACGTCTCTCTGAAGGTTGGCCACGACGTCGACGGCCGTCTTTCGCCTGGCTCCCAGTGCGACGCCCTTGAGGGCCTGTGTCGCTCGGTCGTGGATGATGCCGCGGAGTCTCGCAACGGCGGCGGTGAAGGCCTGGTCGGCGATGGCCATTGTCTTGCCGAGCTGCCACGCCAGACTGTACGAGATGTCCATGATGCCGGTCTGCCTGTCTAGGATCTGGAGATCGGTGGAGAAAGTGGACTGGCAGCCCTGCGGATTTCGGGGCACACTTGTCGGAACGAAGGGGCCCCGGACCATGGCGGCGGTTGTTTCACCAGACTTCACTCGCCAGCGAGTTAGTGTGTAGCCGTCGTTCATGCGAGCTGCCACTTGTGTTGCCGCTGGGGTGGCTACGTTTGCCGACTTCGCGTCATTCGATGGCTTCGGAGGCACTGCCCTGAGGGGTTGATATGTGCTTCCAAGATGAACCATGGCATCGTAAAAGTTGATCGAGTCGTTTGGCAGATACTGGTACGTCCAACTGTAGAGAGAGCATAAGCTCACGTACGAAGCCGGCTCGCTAGGTAGCTTGGACAAGTCGATCCTTGGTTCGACGCCTTCCAGAGTGACGAGGTGAACGACAACTGGCGTAGGTGACTTCGAGTTCCATGGGCCGGTCCGATGCCCAACCACAACACTGAATAGCTGATCAACAGCCTCACCAAACTCATCCACGCTTCCGACATTGGTCATGCCTTCTGTGTTGATGTTCCGCACGTGAGACAGGTACTTATACTTGACCAGATCCGGAACACTTTCGACCTTGCGGGAGCCGTCGTCATTGTAGGACCGAAACAGGGCATCGATGTGGTCTTTTGTGACGAAAATGAAATCCGCTTTGGTACTCGCCGTCACCGGATCGATCTTCTCTACCGGGTCGTCCTGTATGACGGGCGAAATAACGGTATTCTTGCCCACCATTTTCCAGATGTCGTTCAGCGTCATGCTTACGCTGAGAGTGGTGCTTTGGACGACATCAGAGGGGAAGATGCGTGAATCTCCGGCCAGCTCCTCGGGTTTGAGTCGCAGCTCATCCTGAGTGAAGACAAGGAGAGCAAGCCAGGGAATGCGGCTCCGTTCCGGCGACTCAACCTTGGTGGACACGGATCGCTCCCACGGCAGATGCTCGTCGGAGAAGACCATGTGCGGGAGAATATTGTTGTGATCCGCATGTCCCTGAGGGGGGTAGACGGAGTGGATGTCGCTGGTGGGCAGCCAAAATCTCGGCGCGATCACGTCGAAGTCTTTGGACGACGTCAAGTGCAGCGGCTTGCTGTCTGTCGCTCCATCTGGCGGCGTAATACTCTGCAGGACCGAGATCGTATGTGAGCCGGCTACCAGTGCAGGCGCGTACAGGGAGAAGAGCTGTTCCTGGCCGGGAGGCAGCTTTGGTGGACCATCGTCCCCAGTATTATCGTCATCGACAGCAGCGTCTCTCAAGGCACGGAGCTGCTGATTTTTATGTGCCGTCCATAGTGCTTTGCCCTTGCCCAGGACAAGATGACGGGGTGATCGCGTCTGGCGACTCGCTGCTTGCACTCTTGCAGGACCCATTGCCAAATGCTGTCGGCTTGGAAAGGAATAGGACAAGACTATGTGATGAATGCCCTCACGGTGTCAGTCGAGGACAAGAGGGCTTCGAAGCATGGATCTCTTTTCCTGATTTGTTGGCGTTGTCACTTCGGAGGAGCATGCGCACGCACGGGCTCCCATCTCGTGACGGAGAGACAACTCGGGCAAAGAAAGCCGACTCAAGAATGACCACATTGGACCTCGTACCGGCGCTTTGCTGCTGGCCAAACGGACTGCCGCGATAAGCCTTCAAAGGCTGATCCATCCCATGATCTCGATCCTCGACTCTTGATTCCAGCTAGCCAGTGTTCGCAACGAATAGTTGCAACAAACCAACAAAGCCGACCACCCCGGAGTTGTCTTTCTCACCCTCGCGTTTGCGGCGTCTTTGACTCTTGGTAAGATCGCTGCAGTTGAAACGCATTATTACGGTCTCTTCAGCGTGACTCCACGGCTCAGTCTGGCATCTTACCCGCGATATTTCACCATTTCCAGATCGTTTGCGAATGCCGTCAAGGGAGCATTGACAAGTGTACATCACCATCAAATGGCTTCCCCCTCAAATGTCTGTCTGCCGATGCAGGTTCAAGCCTTCATTTTGAATGAAGCGGTTGCCGATGACCCAAACGCCAAGATTGCTCCTATTACACAACCCAACTACACGTTCCTCCGCCTCGATCAGCAAACGATCCAGAGCGATTTGCTGGATCACATTGACCTGCACTATACCAGCCCTAGAGAGAACAATAGCCGCGTAAGAAACCTGGGAACCGAAGCACCCCTCTCACAGAGATTCGGAGCCTATATATCATGGGTCATTCCTCGAGCTTACCGCTCCGGCACGGCAGCGACGAAGGCGGATGGCGCCAAGGACAGGAAGCAGAAGCAAGGATTTCCAACAAACCAGCAGGGAACTCCCGACTACTCGGCACCGGACTTTCGGGCGGTGCCTACCAGATGGCTCGTCGTTCGCCACATTGACCCAGCCAGCGTCAAGCCAGCGCTATCTCCAGCTGAAGGGCAGAGAGTCCAATGCCGAGCCTGGGTCGTTGAGAGTGACCGAAAATGGGATCTGGACGACATCCCAACAGATGATGATCTTCAGGTCAAGTATTCGCCATTCGTCGGTGAGTTCAACCATCAGAACCACTGTCCCTCTCGCACGAACTGACATATTCCTCAGCGCCGTCCCGGGTGAATGCCATGAGTGATGTGGTCCAGCAGGCCGAAGTCTTCATCGGCAAAAAGACCGACATCACGGCGTGGGGCGAAGATGATCCCAAGAAGCCTCGGGATAGAATCAAGCCGCTCACGCTGCTGAATTCTTCCAACCATCTGTTTGCTGATTTCCAACCCCACAACTCAAATGTATTCAGCTTGCTCGATGATTTCACCTATCAAGCTGATTCTGGCCAAACGACGGTGATGCAACATGCGCAAGCCAGCTACTACGTGATCGGATGGCATGCGGATCCCACCGAAGACCCGTTCTACATTCCCGCGGATGTTGCTACAACCCACCAAATCCGCATCAACGCTCTCATGATGGACGTTCCAGATGCCGGAAAGGGCGGCCCAGTTGACAGCTGGATGGGAGCGTCGGACTCTACAGCCTCGCTCTGCCATGGTGCCGTCTACGATGTTACCTGGATCGCGGACCAGTCTCCCGCGGTCGTTCCTGCGCGAGACGCCGCCGCGCAGTTGACCAAGAACAAACCGAACATTCCCGTCGCAATAGGCTCGACGCCAACGGATGCGTTGATCACGTACGTAGGTGCCCACAAAGACACTGAGACTGGCACTATAAAAGAGCTGGAGACGGACCTTTGGGCAATTCAGACGCTGCTGCTGACACAAGACGATGGGGTCGACGCCCAGCTGGAAGCCAAGGACCTGCTCTACAACCATGGATATGAGCGGAGTGACGGCGGCACAGTCTGGCACATGAGCGGCGCTGACAACGGCGCGGAGCCGACTGACACCCAGAAGACGACCCTCGAGCTGTTGTACAAGACCCAATTCGCCCTCGACAACGCCATGCGGACTCTCCGATTCCTTCGATGGCAGCTCTTCTCCGTTTGGTGGAAGTACGTCAGCGGAGCTTTTGGTAACCCCGTCGACGTTGGCGCAACGGTTGCCACGTCTCGTGTCGCGCCTCTCGTCAACCGGATCAATATGTTGCTAGGCCGATTCCCTGGACAGGACCCAACGAGCTCCATTGCGTGGCTCGTCACTGAGCAGTCGAGGTTGAGCAAGGGCCTGCCGTTGGAGCAGGGCGCGTCTCCCTCGTTCTATCAAAAGAAGGACCCGACTTTGATGATTGGCGGTATCGAGGCTGGATGGCCGGCAGACTATCTCGATAGTCTTATTGTTCGCCTAGACTTCCAGCTACCTCAGTACGATGTGTCGACGGACTCGTCCTGGAGCGATTTCGACAAACCCACCACCGGGAACGGCTTGGTCCAGACCATCGTCTCCAAGCTCCCACAGGGCCTGGGAGCCACGCTGACCAGCCTCCTGCGAGAGTTTCGGGCCTTGGAAACTTCAACGACACAGCCCTCGCCAGGAAAGTACGCACCATTGTATCACGACCAAGGTCCCAAAGACCCCGATAATGCGCCACCAACAACGGCTCCATGGCGTGATCGTTGGTACGGGCAGCCTTGGTTCCCTCTTTTCGTTGAATGGGAGGCCGACTACTTTCACATTCCCTTTGACGATTTCGACCTGTCTGCCCGGCTACAAAATGACTCGGCATCGGCACAGAATGTTTTACGCTACGGCATTCGCTCCGGAGTTGACCTCATGGGTAAGGTCGACGACGTTCGGAGAGTCTCCGGCCGCATCCTCCTTCTCCCGCAACCCAGCTTCTCTCTCAAATCGGCCGTGACCCAGCTGTTTCGCAACATGCAACCGGCCGATCTCGACCAGCATCTTACCAAAACCGACAGGGACTTTCTCCTGAAGAATATCGGCCAGCTGGAGTATCTGTCGCATCCTCTCAGTGGGATCACGGACCACCTTGTCACCCGAGTCCAGGGAACGCACATTAAGCCGAACCAGCGACCGCCCGGAGAAGCATTGACTGCCATGGACGCAGCTGTGGTAGCAAGTAAGCTTGCGGGCATCGGAAGCGACGAAATCTTGCTGCAGGATGCTGAAACACACGTCACGCCTTACGGTCGCAGTATTGCTGCCGTTACCTACGACGGGTCAGCCAGTGTTTCTCCTCTGAAGCCTGTCACGCACGGCCAGCTACGTCTCACAGCACTGAACGTCATAGACAAGTTTGGACAGGCCATTTGTGCTCTGGATCCTAAGCCGGTGCCGATGGCAAACTTGCCGCATGTCGCACCAGCCCTGTCCGACATCTACATATGCCAGGAAAACGCTACGAATACGCCAAATGTCGTGGCCCCGGGACTTGAACCCCCAGCATGCGAGTTTATTCAATTTACTCCAGCTATCAACCAGCCGGCGCGGCTTAATTCCTACTTTGTCGTACAGGACCCCGAGAACACCAGTACGTGGCGCCCGGCATACGACTGGGAGAGCCCCATCTGGGGTTGGGCCGTCATCAACTACGTCGAGTATGCTCTTCAGCTCTTTCTGCCAGACGGGACCTTCTACCGCGAGGTGGTTCATGGAGGTATCAACAAGGATACCGTATCGCCGGGTTGGTCGCCGTTCGCCAAGGGAGCAGCCCAGAAAGTCCCGAAGCAGCTGGACGACCTCATTGTCCAATTGGGCAACGATGCCTATCTGGAAGCTTTCTTCACCATGATCGACGACGCATTTGCCTTTTTGCCGCCGGCGCCGGGATCGTACGCGCAGTACCTGAACAGCATCGTCGGCAAGCCACTGGCCCTCACGAATGCCGGCTTCAGCCTCGAGCTGTCGACGCCGGCGCTGCAGAATGAGTCGGTCCTCAACGACCTGGCCGAAGACCGCTACCTCTTACCCCCTTCGACTCCTATGCTACCGACCGGAAGGGATCCAGCCAAGACGCCCAAGCCAGATCCGAAACAAGCTCAGTACAGCTTCAAGATGCAGCTCGGCGACGCCACGCGGGCGTACGACGGCCTCGTGGGCTTCTTCAAGCCGCTGAAGAACGACGACAACACGGGCGCGTTTGACATGAGCACCATCTTCACCTTCTGGCCGACCGTCGGCTTCGCCGGCACGGTGGGCATAGCGCCCGACAACTTCCCCGTGCTGACGGCGACCTTTGTCTCGCCCGACGTCCTCGTCAACCCCGACGACACCAACGGCGGGACGGCGCTCAAGTCGCGCGAGGCGGTGGCGGCGGAGCGCAACGCCAACCTCGGCGTCGTCGCCTGCGTCATGGACCCCTTCACGGCCGTCCACGCGTACAGTGACCTGCTGCCGGTCCAGGCCCTCAAGCTGCCCGAGTGGACGACGGAGCGGGCGCTCAAGAAGATGACGGCCTTCTTCAAGGTCGGCCCGCTGCTGGTCACGGCCGACGTGCCCGCGTGGAGCGACGACCTGGCCAAGCACGTGCTGCAGCCGGCCGACGCCGCCGACGCCGTCCTGCCGGGCAGCCAGGTCGCGGTGCCGAGCGTGGGCAAGGCCGGCTGGGCGTGGCTGCAGCCATACCGGCCGCCGCCGCCGTCGTCGGACGCGAAGGCGGCCTCGAGAGGCAGGGCAGTTCGCGGCGTAGGGGACAAGATCCAGGTCGATCCGCCGCCGTATGTGGCGTTGGGCGTGGGTGTCGTCGATGGGAGACCGAGATTCGAGGACTCGCCGTACACGGTGGTCGAAGGCTACCTTCGTCAGACGGCGCCACTGGAGTCGCCAGAGGGGAAACCAAGTTGAGTTCGCTGACGGACAAGGACAGAATTTTAGATTCCAGGCTTGTGGAACGAACTTGAACCACATGTGGGAATTAATGACTGGCATGTCTGTTTAATAGCATTTGAGGAGCCGGGTTGGTAGCCACGGATATGTACCGCGCACAAAGGAGATGCCAGACAGGGCAAAGTTGAAGGTACAGGAGCTATTTCTAAGGGTTTATGGTCCAGAATGAATAAGATTGAATGAGCGCATTATCATGTATTCCATGCAACCAAAACCAAGTCGTGACAATTATCGCCAGAAATCCACAGCACGGCCTCTGCCTCGAGTCCCTTCAAGAGCGAATTCTTATTCCGAATATTAGCCTTTACTTGGAGATTATCGAGCTCGGTCTCATGCGACATTTGTTCTGCCCCCCTTACGCACATTGACAATATGACGCCGGGATTCCTCGTGTCTCCGATGTGATCTTACAAAGACCATTTCGACGCTGGGCAGGCAGAGCCAAGCGACGAGATTCGGCAGCCAGCCAAGATTCGCATAGATGACGGCCTTTCCGATCATCCAGTGATCCGAAGTGATGACGCTCGGCGCGCTCGAGATGAAGTCGCTATCGGGAGGTTGCTGATTCACGAGCAGCTCGGACAGGACAAGAGTTCCGATGGCGAATGTAGCGATGGACAGGACAAGCATCATGGACAGGAATCCGCGGGCGAGGACGAATCCTAACCGCTGCTCCTGGTCCGGATGCCGCCAGCTACTGAGGCGATGCCGCCAAGCCGGCGCCCGCACTCGCCGCGTGCATTCGGCGCCCGACTCTCCGTTGGCGCCGGGCTCGGACCCGGGCAGCAGGGGAAGCATGGCGGCGAGGGCGAGCATGGCGTAGACGCAGGCCACGCCGGCCAGGACGCAGCCGGCGACGAGCAAGTTGGAGCCGACGTCCTGCTGCTGGCACCACCACGCCAGGTCGCCGGCCTGGCACCCACCCGGGTCGCAGGTGGTAAACCACGGCGCCGCGGGGTCCGTCTCATTCCGCTGGAAGGTGCACTGCTTTCTCGGCCCGCGAGACACCACGGCCGAGAGGTTGCGCGTGTTAATGGACGGATGAAAGGGATCGACGTCGTACTGGGCCTGGGTGGCCCAGTCTGGCGAGGTCAGCGCGATGATGGTGAAGACGAAGGACACGACGCTGAGGACGGTCGCGGTTGCGGATGAGAGGAAAAGCAGCGCGTCCGAAAATAGCAGGTTCATGGCGACAGAGTGGTTGGCGACAGAGTGGTTGACGACAGAGCGGTAGGCGCGGAGATATCTTGAAGTCGGACAACAACGGCGAGAGAAACACGACGCGATCTTCAACTGGTTTGTACAATCGTATCATCAAGTACTCCAGTATGGCTTTTTGCAGGACGTTCGGTCCACATTGCTGGTTCGGTTGCCCCAGACGCGTCCACACTCCAGACTAGGCGTGGCTCCTATTGCTATATCCAGATACCTCGATTTGCTGATACTGATGCATCTACGCATAACCGCTGGCTGACACGTGGAGCTCGACCCCGCCCGGAACTAGAACATGAACAGACGTTCAGCCATCCACAAGACGGTGGGGAGTTTCCCGAAACGACGTCGCGGATCACCCGATGGAACGAGGCGGTGAGATCATGACTTATTAGTATCTGATCCGGCTGGCCTAGGCTGGTCTGATCGCCAATCTGCCACGATGATTGGCTTCATAAGTACCGGTGCAGGAGCTGGCGCTGAGAGATGCATGTCGGCTTGGTTCACAGCTTTACCCTGGAAGCGACAGGAGATTGCTGTCTCCAGCTCCTGGTCTGCGAGAGCAGCTAGACAACTTACGGACGGGCAGCCAGCCAGGTTAGGGGCGCCTACGAAACTTGGTGGTGGACTGTGAACGGCAAACTGCTGAGGCTTAACCGCCAGCTGACTCGTGGAGCTCGACCCCGCCCGGAACTAGAACATGAACAGACGTTCAGCCATCCACAAGACAGTGGGGAGTTCCCCGAAACGACGTCGTGGATCACCGGATAGAACGAGACGGTGAGATCATAACTCATTGGTATCTAATCCGGCTGGCCTAGGGGCTGGTCTGATCGCCAATCTGCCACGATGATTGGCTTCATATGTACCGGGCTGCATCCGAGCTGAGGCGGTACAGGAGCTGGCGCTGAGAGATGCATGTCGGCTTGGTTCACAGCTTTACCCTGGAAGCGACAGGAGATTGCTGTCTCCAGCTCCTGGTCTGCGAGAGCAGCTAGACAACTTACGGACGGGCAGCCAGCCAGGTTAGAGGCGCCTACGAAACTTGGTGGACTGCGAACGGCAAACTGCTGAGGCTGGGCGCGGAGAAGTAGGAATCTCGCGCGTGAATAGTGGGAGAGCGATCACCCACGAGCTCCTTCATCGCGCTCTTCGCGGACAACATCCTGGCTGTCAACAGCCTCCTTGCCGACTTCACTCCCAAATAGTGAAGGACCGATTCCTATTCTTCCATCACATCCATTCACGGCATCGTCCGTTTCAAGCAGAGTCGCAAAACTTGAAACTCATCGCAGCAACGCCTTTCCCACGCCAACATGGGTGACAGCCGGTATGGCGTGAAGTCTTTCCACATCAACGTCCAGGCAGGCGATTCCGCTGTCCATCTCTTGGTTCAACTTTCTGGAGACCGGCCAGATGGCCAACCCGTCGGGAACCACCCGTTTGTGCTCTCTGCAGTGCTGATCGACGGTGGTGACAATGCCCACGAGGCACCGGACAATGTTTTGAAACTCATATATTCCCTCCCGGGAGCCTTCGACTTCACTACCAAGGAGAATCCCAAAGGAGTCACCAAGTTTGATGCCGTGCTCGTCACGCACTGGGATAAAGACCATTGTGAGTGGCTCTGTGGCCGAGCCTGGATCTGGCATTGCTCACATTCTACTAGACGATGGTCTTGCCAAAGTGCTTTTGGGAGATGTCTCCAGGACCGTGTCGGCGAATGGGACGATTGCAGTCAACGACATCCAGATATCATTCTTCAAGTATGGAGATGCCACGGGGCGCGCTCACCCACTGACAACTTTCTACGCGCCAGTTTGGGACAAGATCAAAGGGACCTCAAAGGCTACCCTTGTCAAAGGAGCTCCGGTCAGCCGATGGTCCAAAGACCAACTCTCTAACCAAGAATACGTCAAAGTCACATTCTGGACGGGCCAAAAACCGAGAAGCGATATAGCTGGTCTTAGCTTCATCGCTAAGCTCGATTATACTGATCTTCTGGGAATGGACTTCTTCGTCGGCAAGAAAGTGGACACGACGGACCTCACATCGCCAACACTGCTACTCGAGAAGCATAAAGCAACCACTCCTGCATCACCATGGCCCGACGCTCCGGGAATGTATTGCCTCGGCTCGGGCAGCAAAACATTGCCCCTCCCCAAGCGTGGACTCGGCCTCGTCGACGAACATGACAGCGGCACGAATGCCTCGTCCATCGCCACGGCCATCATCTGGCCAACGTCTCCGCCGCGCGTTTCTCATTACTTTGCGGGTGACTCCGAGTACGAAACGGAGGAAAGTATCGTAAAATGGGTTGGAACTACCAAGGTGAAGAACGTGAAGGCAAGCCATCACGGTTCCGCCTTGTCTTTCCCCGTCTCTATGTTTACGGAATGGGAGCCAGACAACATTGTCATTAGCGCAGGTGCGGCGCACGGCCATCCGCGATGGGAACTTCTTTTCTACTTCTACTACCATGCCCTTCTCCGGTCGATCTTGAGCGCCGGGAAAGATGTCCCGCAATTGTACTCCACTTGTTATCCGTACTGGTTTGGAAAAGACAAGACCGGGCAGTACGTGATTCCCATACAAGTCCGGAATGGCAAGGTGTTTTCGAGAATCTCGACAGACGCATTCGAGAGTAATTCGACCGAGAACAAGGCCTACCGGACTGCCCTAGGGGCAGTGTGTACTGCACTAGAGAAAGGTAAGGCCCTGGGAGTGGTATACGTCCTTACCGACTACTTTGCACAGCCCAGCGATTGGAAAGCGCAACTACGATACATTGCTGCAACTAGTTGTGCGAACATGTGGCGGTTCCTGTCGCCCGTCACACCACCCTATTATCCTGCAGGCACGCATATGAACGCCTGCATCTGGGCAGGCCCAACCTTGACAGCAAAGATTCAAAAAGTATCATTGTCCTGCGTCCGAGTCGAGTCGCAGGCTGATGGAAACGACATTGCCGGTTCGTATGACTGGAACGGACGACGGATCGGGGTGAACGGTGGGAAGCTGTCGCAGCAGGAGGTGCAAGTTGTGTGGGAGGCCTTCCCGCTCGCGGCCCACTGGCAACCCGGTGGCCCGAGCGAGGCAGATGCTGTGACCGTGATTGATATCGCCGGGGATGGCTTCCTTCAGGAGCCAGAGTTGGATCCTGACGAGGACGACGAAGGCGGCTGGGTACCCGTAACACTTGCTAGTCAATCCCTGGAGGGAGCGATGAAACACTTGACACTGTCGGACGGGGACAAGCCGTCAATCCCGCCCACGGGCTACTTCTACTGCAGCAGCAGGACCTACACTCCCTCAACAAGAGCGGGCGATCTCACCGGCCTGCAAGATGGGTTCGTCTCGAGGCTCCACATGGCCTGGATAGGCGTTGAAGCAGCTCCGACATCGCCAAGCCAAGAAGTCGCGGTTCTGAGCACCGACGAGCTATACAAGTGGCTGGACGCGGTCTACGGCATTCAGAAATTCACCCTCCAAGGAACCGCCTCAAGCATCACCGAGATGAGCCTCAACCTCGGCTTTGCAGGCTGCCAGCTCGAGTTCAGCACAGACGCGACGCCATGGGTCTTCGGCCTCCCGCTTGCCGTGCTACCTACCATTCCTCCGTCCACCGCCTCTCCTGTACTCTACTCCGACGACATGCTCATTTTCGGGCTGGCCGGCGTCACCGGCTCAACGACCACGACGCTCAAGGCGGTCTGCAACGAACTGATAGTGCCTGTGCCAGCCTTCCTCGCTGCCGGAGCCTCGGCCATAGGTCTTGAGTTGACGCCGGTAGCGGAGCAGGGTCATCGGAATGCGTTGTGGTTCATGCCTGGCATGGACTACGAGCCGGTGCTGCGTCTGGCTTTCAATGTCAGCGGCATCGATCCTTCGACGCCAACGGATCCTCTCAACAGCAAACTGTTTGCGGCACTCAACCTCGTCGTCCACTCGGCAAAGATCATCGTTCGAAAGTCGGGCACGTTTACAAACTCCAGCTCCGGCAAGGTGGCTATCAGACGTCAGTCTCAGCTGGCCTTCTCAATCGAGCTTGCGCTGAAGTCTGGAGGTACCACCGATCCGACTGTTGACGCCACGCTTGTCTACAACTTCGACGACGGGACGATGAGGATAGTGGTGGAGTGTAATCCGCTGGACGTATTGGAGCCCTACCTGCGTTGGATAGAGGGCAAGATGGGAATCACGACGGATATTGCAAAGTACCTCAAATCTGACTGGATCCCTACGCCTCGCCGTGTCACTCTCGATCTGGCGGCAGACCACTCCGTCCAGGGATTCGAGATCGACTTTGAACTGACGGCACCGTTTGGACAGGGTGTCATATTCTTGTTCACATTCTCCTGGACCAGTTCACAACAGCAAATGACGGCCAGCCTCTGGCCGGGGCCGATCACGAACACCTTGCTGCCATCGGGCATGACACCCAACATGCTGCCGAGTTACGAGGACTGGGATGTTTTCCAACCAACTCTCAAGAGCGCTGGGCAGAGCGTCCATCTGCTCGATCTAATTCCTGGTAATCTGTCAGAATCAGACCTCAATCTGCCAAACTCAATCAACGCCGATGTCCTCGGTCTCAGCCTCACCTTGACGAGGACTGTGCAGTCGGGCACAGGAGGTGATCAAGTGGAGGTAGAATTCTACGCTGCCATGGGATCAAATACTTCCGGGAACTCATTGGCGCAGTCATCCGGCTCCACCTTGCCCCAGATTAGTTTGGAGTCTTTTGGACTCGACCTGAGATTTGTTCTCGATCGGTCGGCCAGCTCAACCGGCTCAACCAGTTCCAGCTCCACTAGCTTCACCCTGAACCTGAACTTCAGTATTTGCATATACGCCCGGGACGCGGCCAACTACGAGCCGGCAATCCTGGGAGGTTCTGTCAATTATGCCAGATCAAACGGCAATTCGTCGTGGCAAATTGGCGCATACCTCGATCAGCTGAAGCTTGGGAACATTGTTTCCTTTTTCGAGGCCGACTCCCAAAACGGCGTGATGGATCTGATCGAGCACATCGAAATCAACACGCTAGAGTTGACCTACGATTACGACTCCGCGGGAAATGGGAGTCATTTTGTCTTTGAGGGGATTCTTCTCATGGGCGTAATGGAATTCGACTTGACTTTCGAACACTGGACCGACCACTGGACCTTCAAGGCACACCTCCTTGCGCCGGACACGACGGAAACCGTTGGTTCCGTCCTCGGCTACTTGACGTCGGACGTGGTACTCCCATCCTTTATTGGCAACATCAACCTGCTGGGTCAGAATACCGGCATTTCTCTCGAGATCTGGAAGGAGAAGCTGCTCATCAACGGCGTCGAAGTCGACTATATTGTCTTCAAGACGGACATAATTCTTGACAAGTTTAGCATGACATTCATCCAGTACAACACGGCTGGCTGGAAGGGACCGAAGCGAGTGTTCCGCGCCGCAATGTCTGGACCCCTCGACATTCCGAAGATTCCAGTTGTCGAGAACTTCACCCAACCTTTCGACGATCTCTACTTCCTCTACGTCCAGGACAAGTCCGGCCAGGCCCAAAGCGGCATCCTCCGCCAGGAGCTACCAATGCTCAATGAGAAGCTGGAGCAAGGGGAGCCGCCATTCATGTTCAAAGAAACTCACAAGCCGAATGCCACGGGCGCATACACGGTCACTGACACGGTCATTGACACGGGCTTGAGGTTCAGCGTCGTGGCTACTATCAACGGTCAGCCGACAGTCGTCCTCGACCACGCCTTCGGTTCGACGACGCCTCCAGCGTCGACTTCGGAAATGACGGTAAGACGCGGCGAAGCTCCCCAGGAGCCAACGACGTCCAGCGACTCCTCAATGTCTAGCTTCCACAAGACCATCGGGCCGCTGACCATCTCCAACATCGGCGTCCAGTACAAGGGCGGTCACCTGATAATCCTCCTGGACGCCACCTTCAAGCTCGGTCCGATCGACCTGTCCCTGCTCGGCTTCGGCCTCGACCTCGACTTCACGCAGTCGGGCGTCAGCCTGCTCCACCCCCGAGCGCAAAGGCCGCGATCAGCGGCCTGGGCTTCGGGTTCGCCCAGCCGCCCGTCACCATCGCCGGCCTCTTCGAGCATAAGGACATTCCGGGCGGCGGCGACCTCTTCCTAGGCGGCGTCGTAGTGACGTTTGAGCCTTATCTCTTCTTGGCCGCCGGGTGCTACGGCATCCTCTCGGACGGGACCAAGACGGTCGGCCTGTTCTGCCTGCTGGAGGGCCCGCTCGTCGAGCTCGAATTTGCCGAAATTACGGGCATCTGCGGCGGCTTCGGCTACAACACGGACCTCAAGTTCCCCACCATCGACACCGTCACGTCGTATCCGCTGGTCAACCATTCCCAGCTCGGAACCGATCCGCTAGACACGATCGAAAAGCTCCTCGATCCAGTGACCGGCTGCATTACCACCAAGAAAGGCACCGTGTGGCTTGCCGCCGGCCTTGACGTGGATGCGTTCAAGCTCTTGAACATGAGCGCCGTCGTTGCTGTGGAGTTCACGGCATCGAACATCAACCTGGGCATCTTTGCGGACGTGCGTGTATCCTTCCCATCACCGGCTCCGCCAGACCAGTCCAGCCAGGCCGTGCCTGCGTGGGTTTACGTGGAGCTGGGCATCGTGGCGACTGTGGACTTTGGAGCCGGGACGATGCTGGTGCAGGGCCAGCTCGCACCGACCTCCTTCATCCTCGACCCGGCCTGTCACCTCACCGGTGGCTTTGCTCTGGCCTACTGGTTCGGCTCGAACCAGCACGCCGGCGACTGGGTCTTTACCGTCGGCGGCTACCACCCTCGCTTTACGCCGCCGTCGTACTATCCCAACGCGCCCCGACTCGCCATCTCTTGGTCGCTTGACGACAGCCTCAGCATCTCGGGCCAGGCGTACTTCGCCCTGACGCCGAAGGTGGCCATGGGCGGAGGCGAGCTGAAGGCTTCGCTCTCGCTCAGTCCCTTGTACGCGTACTTCGACTGCTATTCCGACTTCCTGATCAAGTTCTCACCCTTTTACTTCATGGGCGACGCGGGAATCGACGTCGGAGTGCAGTTCACGCTGGATCTTTGGATCTGCACAATCCATATCAACGTCGACATCGGAGCACAGCTCTTCATCGAAGGGCCACCGATTCACGGATACGTGCACGTCGACTTCTGGGTGTTTGGATTCGACATCTACTTTGGAAATTCAGGTGGTGCTCCTGATCCCGTGACCCTCAAGGACTTCTATTACCTCCTGAAGCAAGCCGAGGCCTCCAAGTCAGCTGGAACGGCTCCCGCTGCCTTGGCCATTGCGTCCAAGGAGACCGAAACACAGAGTGGCCCCGAGAATGACTTCGACACGATCGACGGAGCTCAGCAGCTCAGCTGTGTCGGTGGTCTGTTGACGTCAGCAAACCAAGACCAGACGACGCAGCCGACCGTGGCGTGGCCGGTCCGAGCCGGGGCTTTCCAGTTCAGCGTTACGTCCCCGTTCGCATCGGACAGTGCCGGCGTAACCAGTGGCGCATCGACTCTGGGCAGCGGGCAGACCATATATGCTCGACCCATGCAGAACGCAAACAAACTGACCAGCGTGATGACCATCACTGTCACACGGCCAACCGAAGTCGAGGAAGGTGCGGCCGCGGAGGCGGCGTCGGATGTGACGGTGTCCGATTTCCGCATTCAAAAGACCATTTCTCAAGTGCCAGTATCAATGTGGAAGCAATGTGAGTGTCCTTTCCCCCTCTCGAATCCCTGTCTACTTGCCGTCCCCCTTTCTATTCATAATCTGGCCGTGCAAAAGACTTCCATATGTATCAGTTGCTGACCGGCTGCTGCGCCAATAGACTCGTCGGACGAAGATCCGCTCGCGGGCGGCAGCGCCGGCAACTTCATCGACACGCTGCTCGACGGCACCAAGGACACGCTCCTGGAGCACATGCTGGGGGTGACGGTCATCGCGCCCAAGCCGTACTGGCCGCCGCCGACGGTCGAGCCGCTCGCGCCCTTCAACGTGTCGGAGGCGAGCTCGCAGGACGTCCTCGCGCAGCTGCCGGCGGCGCCGCTCGACGCGGCGAGCACGGCCTGGCAGGCGCAGGCGCCGCCGGACCCGGACGCGTGGGCGCGCGTCCCGCAGTACTGGGCCACGCCGGCCGTGGCGCCGAGCGACAGCGTGGCTGCGTGGGCGCTGGCCATGGGCTGGAAGGCGACGGACTTGACAGCCGATGCGCCCGCCGACCTCGTGGCCGATTTCGACGCTTATGTCATGGCGGTTCCGCAGATGACGGTCGCAGCGGCCTGATGGGGAGCTTACAGAGAGGCGTTGTCGTGCTCACGCGCGCGAATGTTGAGTGCATGTGGGAAATCGTCGGTCGTTTCTCGTGGAATATTATTCCTGGTGGTACTTTGGAAAGGCGCACACATGTGAATCCTTCACCTACAATAAAGGTATATGAGGCGATGTGGTTTACGAATCCTTGGTATGAGGGGTAGGACAGCCATGGCAGAGGATGTCAGACTGTCTGGCTATTTGATGCAGCACTCAGAGAATGTGTTTCTCCTTCATTTTATCCCCAACCAGATCGTTCACACGGTAAGGCTATACATACAAGCACAGTCCAGTAATTGCGTGGTTTGTGGCGTGACTTCTGGCGTGGGAGCCCGGGGGCTTTCGACGACAGAGAATGCACTTCACTCGGTCTCCTTGCCCCAAATCCGGTCACGCCATGGTCAACTGCGGCGGAGTTTGTCCGCGAGTCGCGTGTCACATACTGAAATGTGTTAATTATAATACCTTGAAAATCCCGCAGAAAGTTGTCGCTTTCATGTTGGGCGTAGAACACCGCGACCCGAGAGGCCTTGAGAGCCGAACATGGAGTCGCATATCCGCACCCGTACCCGCGCCCGCGCCTGCGACGGCGACGGCGACGGCGACGATGACGACGACGACAACGACCAAGATGCGAAGCCTGTTTCAGGATTTGCCAGACTCGGACTCGACGTGCCGACGGTTGTTGTCATGCTAAAGTAAGCTTCAAGTCTCATCCGCTCGATGCTCTGTGTCCTCGCGCGACAAGCTGCTGATGGACACACCTCACGTACCACAAAAATAGGGGCTCATTACCTCCCACCATAGCAATTGCTATGTATCAATCTAGCGTGGTGTCTGGCTACTTCCTGACCTTTGGCTACTTCATTGCTGACTCCTGAAGACAGGGCTTACCAATCTGACATGTCTACAGATGAGTCTCCTTCCAGCCTGCCTTCTACTAGATCGCTTGTTCCCGACCATAGTCACCATGTCGCTTTTGATATTCAAAAAGTCAGCGTCAAAGCACAGGACCCAATTCCCCGCCGGCTGAATTCCGGAGCCTTTGAAAAGAGTAACGCTGGTGGTCCAACATCAGCGTCACCTAGAGGAAGACGCATTCCGGCCATCCAGCGGAGAAGAACAATTAGGGGATATCCAAAAAGCCTGTCCCTCCCCAAGCTCTGCAAGTTGGACAACATCTCCGCAGTGCTACTTGTGAGACGGGAATTCCCATGGGATACGTATCGGCGGGCCATGACATGCGATACAACAACACCTTAGCAATCTACCAACCCCAAGACAACCTCAATTAAATATCATGCAACCTCTTCCCATTTATGTACCCTACTTTCTATCTTCCATTACTCACTCCTGCGAGACTCCACGTTCAAAACCGGCAACACAATATCCATCCTATCTTGCACAAATGGTTCCTTCCTCACACCAACCTTTATTTTAGCTCAGTAGGCTAACAAACTTCCAGAACTATATTTCTGATGCTGGACCCTGCCACATTCATGATAGAATGCGGTTGAGAAAGCCACATCTTAAAGACAACCTCCCAACCCAACTATGTCTTCTATGCAATCGGGCTTTCTGCATCGACCACAAGGGAAAGGAGGAGGGTGTCTGCGAGATCAATCATGAGACATACTATCGTAACCATGCGGGGGTCCAGAAGTACCTGTATCGGACGTATGAGGAATGGAAGAAAGATTATGAGCAGATGATGGTTGATGAGATGTCGGGGAATGAGGGGGAAATGGTTGGGAGAATAGAACCCGAGTCCCTGGGCAGACAACTCACATGTGGGTCTTCCAAAGAGGCATGAATGTCTGACAGGATCTTCAAATACGACTTCCACCTCAATAAGTCCCATATTCGAGAAGAGTGAGAAGAAGCATTGCTGAAAGTGACAACTGGGAATGGGGTTGATTTTGCTACTATTTCTCCAACAGGACTAGCTGGTTCAGAGCCCGCCCAGTTTTTTCAACGTATTCGGTAAGCGAGTCGGACACCCATGTTGCGCGGTATAACTGGATAGGTCTCATGCGACGCTACATGAAGAATATACCGGCATTCTTAGAATCTAGGATGGGCAAACCACGATCCTTGAGCTTTGAGATATCCAATCTTGGCTCCTTCAACATCGAGACCATACCTCCGACGAAGGCATTCGGCGAATGGTTTTCAGCCAGTCAATTTCTGCCGTTGATAGTGCTCTGGCTTCCACGGCGAGGGAATCACGCATTTGCTGGAGTCGTACTATCTCAGGATGATTTGATAGAGACGCTACCATACTCTCAGGCAAGTCGTCATATGTGGACGGGGCTCGAGGGTCAATGTAGCGACTCTGGTGGCTCAGAATGTTCATTAACGCATCCTCAGAAGGTATCCCAAGAAATGCGGCCTGAACATGGGTCTGGACACGTTCGTCCATGTATTTCTGGAACGTGCTGGCATAGACATGACCCATCACTTGTTGGAGCAAGGGAAGCGATGCAGTTTCTGATCGAAGTTCCTGCGTTGGTTCCGAAAAGCTACTACCTCGGGGAGGTAACAGGACTTACTATCGACAGCCTCGCCTGTACCTCGCCGGAGGTCGTAAGGTCTCATTGCCCGAATCATACCAACTGCCAAACTCAGCCGCTGGAGAAAATATAGATACGTGTGGTACTTGGGAGGCTTCATGCCATCAGTGCTCATCCCGGAGGCGCTTGAAATAGGTTGCCGACAGATAGGCACGTTGAGTTTGTCTGGTTTGAAACGCATCTTCAGGGAGCGGCGCGGATAGCGAACACGGGTGCTGAAGGTATCCTGAATGGAACGTATGTCCGATACGAATGCATCGTCAAGAATAGCCATTGCAAGCACAAGAAGTATGACATCGAATATTGGCTCCTTCACCCCGGACATCAAATATATTTTCCTTTCAGACATTGTTAGTCTGCTGATGCACGATCAAAGCCATAACACCACTCACCTTTTTGGTCTGATATGATGACCCTTTGTATGCTTTAAGTCGACTTCCATGACAAGGTGATCACGGATGCCGCCAGGATTTAGTAACAAAATCAAGCTGATCTGGCCATAACAAAGAGTTTTAAGATCCTCATTTCTGAGGTCCCAATCTTCAGCTTCAGCTTCTCTGCCATCGTCCGCGTTGTCAAAGAAGTGTTGAACGTTGGTTCGCTCATTCTTTTCGACGTCAACTAGAGCCCCTGGCCGGCTTGCCGTATAAGCCGACACTAAGAGAAGGAAGGCGAGCTGGATGATTTGCCGACCATCAGGATACGGCGTTGTGTCCTTTGTCCAATGGTGATGAAGGACAATATACAGGTCATCAACTTTCATGACGGGTTTCTCTCCAACGGACATGTCGAGGTTATAATGTGTGACCAAATGTTCTTTCATATACTATCGCTCTTTGTCAGAACCCACTAATAGTAAGAGAGGCATAGTCACTCACATTATTGATGTCCTGGCAGCACTTCGCATGGAGGCTTCGTCCCACGGCTTTGCGATAGAGCTAGCACCATAACCTCCAGTTCTCATGTAAAGCGCTAAACTTTTTGATATTGGAGTTGTCAAGCATCCACTCCAGAAAAAGCATGACATCTTCTTTCTGTGCCATGACAAGGAATTGGAGAGGGTCCTCCCCTAAATGGGCACAGTGTCTGACTCTGTTAGAAGAATCCCGAAAGGTAAGGTCCAAAGCTAGGCTTATCTGACCCATTTTCTTTTGATTGACTGGATGTTGTTTTTGGTTGAAACGGCATGTCGCTTCTGAACAATACCTTTCTCCAGTTGCTGGCGGCGCCGTCGATAATACTCCGGGCTGCGGACATGCTTCTTCTTTGAAGCAGGATGGTTCAAAATAGACATGCCTCAGGAAGTAACAGCTTCGGCCAAAGAAGGTGGGCAAGCACTGAGGCCGCCGAAGAACAATTGGATGACGAAAGGAAATAGTAAAGACTGGAGTTCAGAAGAATCCAAAGAGTAGTAAGGCCCTCCTCTCTCTTTTACGCAGTCCACCGAGCAATTTCTACGAGCTGATGGTGCGGGATAGACTCATTAAATATTAGAGGAAAGGGAGGGCTGAGATATTTCAGCGCCAAAAAAAGACCTTTCTAATTTGGTAATAAGCGGCTACAAGCGGATTACGGACAGGGCAGGCCATTACGACACACCTGATCGTCTTCCCTGAGCTCCCTGAGTGAAGGGTGAGCTGATCACTGAGCAACCCTGAGTGCTCAGTGAGTATATACTAAAAAGGGTCGTGTTGGATCACGTGCATTATGGTGACTAAGATTCTTGGTAAAATGGACGCTTAAAGTGGCGTCAGAAGTAACCATTTTCAGCGCCCAATTTACCGTCACCTAGTGTTGTGGTGTAATCTAGTATAGGATATGTAGCGACTATGTTATATTAATAGATTTTTAACGGTTTAGAACTAGAGATAGATATAGCGTATAATAAGGCTTATCACCTGGTAAGGTTACATTGTGTGACTTCGCAGAGCTCGAGAAGAAAAGGTGGAGTAATGTTCAATTCTTTAGAGGAGAACTCTCCTTCTGTATTCTTGTGATCAGTGTGTGAAGCGGTGACTCCTTCACCTCGGGCGTATTTTATAAGTCCTAAGACCTTTCAGGAGCAAGAGTCATCTGAGGCGAAGGAATTCAGGTTGCCAATGAGGCAGACTGCATATATTGTGCCTTTGTTCTGGAGCCCCGACGGGACCCGCTCCAGCTTTCTATTGAGAAGAGATGTAACTTGTGAAGCAACATGATGGAAGTCATAAACTTTCGGTGAGCTTGGCAATGGGATTTGATATATTGCAGATGCCGAGAAGATAGAGCCGGCAAGATTTGCTGCAAAGTTGGTGTGGCAACGCATTTTGGGAGTATGTATTGGTAAAAATGCCCCTTTCAAGTGAAGTTGCGAGCGTATCATGGTTACAGTTGATCGAAGTTCTGCATCAGATGGTCGACACTAGATATGGCCGCACGGAACACGTGCCGACCGCCGATATGGTCTGTCAACGACTTCGCCAGTGTGAAATCCCAAAATCCCACTGAAAATCGTGGCTTGATGTTTCCGCGAACTTTCCATGGCCCTTGGTTGAGGTTCCGATTGGGGAGATCCTTGCAATGACGAGGGGATTTCGCTATCGTAAACACGTTCCATTTTTCCATTCGGAGCATCTACGACCGCCAGGATAGTGCTCGTCGCATTTTAATTTAACTTGTTACAACTTTGACAGCCCGTTCGGGGCTTGGTGTGGGGTCTTCGTCCTGTTCTGGAGGACTTATTCCAAACGAAATTTGCCCAGGCATCGTATTTCATTGGCAATGCCATTCGGCAATGATTAGGAATGTTCGCTGGGGCAGCAGTCGTCGAGAAAGGATGTTTCTGATTGACGTCAAAGTGAGGCTAAATCGATATTCCTCATATGTCGTAAAGGTTTCCAGAAAGAGGGAATTCTCGTACCTCGAGCAAGATCAAACTCTACATAAGGCATCTTGAGGATTTTCGTAGCCTACTGAGCCCTGACACAGCAGCTTTACGCTCACCTAGACTGAAGTGTTTAATTATCTCTGGCCAGCTTCTCTCAGCTAATCCTGAATGTAAATCGCTGGTTGCAGCATGTATATAAGATGGTGGATAGATTCGGTAGACAACCCACTTTGTCCAGCAATCTTTTAACTCGTTCCATGGACTATATTTCTCAGTATTGCTTTGTCAACTAACATGAACTTTAACATACCTCAACCACCAACAGAGCTAGATCGATAGCCCATTCTGTCTTCCAAATGTGGCATCCGCGTCTTCTCTCTTCAGCTAGGCTCTGTGTCACTCGGAGATTCCTGGTCATCCTTCATGGGCTCAATGAACAACCAGCAGGCATTCAAGCTGCTTGACGCTTATGTGGCTTCCGAAGGCAATTTCATCGATACGGCAAGCCACTATCAAAATCAGGAATCCGAGATTTGAATAGGAGAACGGATGGAAGCCAGTGAAAATCGCAACTAGTCGGTTACTACGACTGAATATACGTTTGAATACCGGACGTGTGAGCTATGCTCGGGAAAAACACCCAATCACTGCAGAAATAACCAACGAAGCCTGTATATGACGGTCCGGGATCTGTTCGCCAAACTGAAGACGGCATGGATTGATATCCTTAATACAGTGGTAGGACCACGCCATGTCCATCGAAGAGGTCATAGACAATCTGCATATCTTGATAGAGCAAGGGAAAGTTCTGTATCTTGGAATATCAGATGTCCTGGCGTGGAATGTTGGTGTGGCCGCTGCTTCTGTCGGGATGGCCCTATTCTGTATCTACCAGAACCGCTGCAATGCTATGCTTTGTGGCTTTGAAAGTGAGATTCTTCTTATGGCTCTTTTCTCGCTCCATGGGCCATCTTGGTAGTGGAAAGTCCCAGACGAAGGAACAGGCTCCCCCGGCGAGTAGCCTCAGGTCACACATAGATCATCTTCACAGCTACTTGCCAGCGCGAACCCGATGTAGGGCCGGATTCTAGTCCAAAATATGAGAAGCACAAAAGGTACGCTCAACACTAGAAGCCTCAAGCTAAGTTAGATCAGATATGCAATTATCAACCCGTGCGTCATCCATGTTCCATTAAATTAAACAATCCATCAGCTCTCCAATTCAGCCACCGTTCTAGAAATCAAAACACAACACTAGACTCATGCATAATAGATCAATCCCTCTAATAGGCCTATGATCTACCGAACAGTCTACTAGATGAAGCAGGTAGTACGTCCCTTCCTTCAACCTCTCTACGAGCGACCCGACAAAACCTGCTGAAGAAACCACTCCCTGTAGTTCAGATGATCTGCCTTGCGTCTTAACAGGCCACAAGTGTGAGGAGAGGGTCTGAGACGTAGCACATGGTTGGCGCAGAGGGGCTTCCGGTTATTGCGTGGGTAACCACTGAGAGGGCGTATATAGGCGCCCTAGGTGATAGGCTTTACAGGTTGGAATCCTGAGGGAGGGGTCGAGACCGGGGAGATGGGCTTTAGGTTTGGGGGATTTGCGAGATTTGCAGTGCAGATGACTGAGGTGGAGGGGGGAGATGTGATGGGGGAGGCGATGTCACACTTTTTGCGGCGGCTTTGGCGGGCGGGCGATCTGTCAGATGCACAACGGCGCAAATGGACATATAGCGTGATGTATGAGGGATGATGGACCATAGAGAGATTCGGGGCTTGCGACTTACTGTACTAGTGCGGGGTCGCTGTGTTTAGAGTAGAAGAACTTGAAAATGATAGTACCACTCTGATAATATATCCTAGCAGCATTATCAAGTAATCTCTTTGATATACGGGTAGCTTACTATGCAGAAATATTGCAGAAGACACTAAGCTCAGACATCTTCGATTCGAAGGCCGATCAGGGCACCCCCCGGAGCATTACTCGGGTCCGTTAGCCAGTCCGACGGGTCCCAGCCTCGCAGCCTCATAGCCTTGAAGCAAGCTGCATCGTAAACCTGCAAGAGTCCAGGTACTGGTAGGTAGGTCCAATCCCGCTACCAATAGTAGGCAACGGCCAGCTCGTAAACAATAAATGATGCAAGCCTTTAGTGTCCGACAGCATCGCCAGACGCGCCAGTTCCCCTCCAGCCGGGTCGCTATAAGAGGTATACATGCATCAAAGCGACCAACCATCGACATGCAGAGGGTCAAAGCTCTTTACGAACGTCCTGCTTGACACTAGAACATGCACCGGATCGGAGTGGCCCCCCAAGCCACAATATGCAATATGCACAGCAGCACCTGCTCACAGGTGCCGTGCGCACAAAATGATTTACCGTCGTGATAAGACTGCTTCGAGAAGACTGCCTGCGGTTGTAAATGCCGCATCGGGAGAGGAGGGTTAGACCGAGGATAATTTAGGGGTCAGATGCACCCCCGACGTGTGGGAGTGCGATGGATGCATGGTCGCCCTGTCGGAGGGCGTGATGTCCATCAATATTAAGCACTCGCCCGTGTACTGCGGCCATTCAAGTGCTGCCGATGGAGTGAATGCTGCACATCGCTCTTCTTAGCAGGTGCAAGGCATGACATAGGGCTTGGTGGCTATCTAGGATTTGATGATCGAGACTGGCAGTCAAATGCTATATATTGTCGAGGATGCTATGTATGGTCGAGGTGTATCACCACTGCCTTGCCCAATCGCAGGCTACAGATGGCTCTTTCTAAACTCCGGCTGATCTCAACCAAGCCGCCTTGCCATACCTAAAAACAGAAGGTCCACAGCTTTCCCAGAACTTCCACATTATTTGTTTTCTGATGCCTATTAGAAACAGGGTATCCTAGATAATATCACTATCTCGTCTACTAATAGGTGCGAACAGCATGCAAGCCTTCTCAAACTTGCGTTATTCATGCGCATAGTCGTAAACTGCTAATGGCGGCCTTATGCAATCTAGAATCTAGGTAAGCGCATTGTATCCAACGAATGAATTTTCTGGCAACTTGTCTTAGTGAGGCTATGATGGTACCTGTGTCTCAACAGCAGAGTCTATGTTACCCAGGTAGCAGCAATACTGCGGCTCTGTTTGTATATTCGGTCTCCTTGTAAATGTGAGTGTAATGGCTAAAGCACCTAAAAAAGAGAGAGCATGACTCGTTCGTAATGCCGACGGAGATGTTTTTTGTTAGGTGCTAAGCAGTGAAATCAATGTCGCGGGACCTACCGCTGCTGCCATGCAAATATCTTGGGTCTCTAAGAACGTGGACATGAAAGAAGTTTCTGCGCTTTCGCTATAGGTAGCTTCCCTGGAGCTTTCAAGATCAAAGGACAGTGATCGGTGGCGTTTTAAGTCAAAATTTGGTTCCCTGGGCTTAGCTCTAGGAGTATTGGATGAGTCCTCTAGCTTAGCTCGTGATGGTTCATTAATACTGGCTTGCTTACTCCATCGTCAGCGTGGTCTACCCAGGACTGGGCTATCTTTCAAAAGATTCGTCTCGAGCTGCTTGAAAGTACCAGGGAACGATGGTGGCTTAGTCGTGAGTAGTTTATAGTGCTGAATGGCATAGATATTAATACAGAGCGGACTTAGTAGGACAGGTGCTTCAGGCATCTGTCTCGCTTAGTGATGTTTGCTACTTAGGGAATCTGTGACCAGCTTGATAAGGGTCAGCTAGATTCTTTTTTCAACAAAACAACATCCATTGAAGATTCTGCGTTTGCGTACAAGGCTTTGTTTGGGTTTTGTAGAAAGTGAGCGAGGCAAAAAGAAAAAAGAAAGGCCCGAGCCCGGGATCGAACCGGGGACCTCGCGCAGTCAATGCTTTGGGTGAACCCCTGGAGGAGCTGTTAGTAACTTGATAGATGATGATTGGTTGATTGCAGGGAGAGCTTACTAAGCGCGAATCATACCACTAGACCACCCGGGCATTTGATGTCTGGAATGTCGGATTTTTTGGCTTTACGCTCTCTTGTTCGTTTTTTATCCCGGTATCCTGGATTTTCTCGCGGTACGGCTGTGGTCCACTGTAAGTCGGCTAGCTTAGCGAAACTTGGAGATATCATTTGAGGCTCTTGGAAGTGACCTACACGATCATGATCTGCCTAATGTCCTCGTCGGGGCCTGGAGGCCCCTGGTTAGTCCCTAGGCGCGCTCGATATTTGGACACTACTAGTCGTTTCGGACTTGACTACGCGGCTGGGTGGCTAAGGATCTTGACAGTACTCGTTCGCGTATAGCGGTGAGCTTAGCGGCTACATCATTGAGAGCTATATTATATCAGATGCAAGTAATAGAACTAGGTGGCAAGACGAGGGTCCAACGGTTCTATGGTTGCTGGATTGTTAATTTTGATGAAACTAAGATCATTAGAAGATCTAAAGGGGTAGTATAATGTGCTGAATAGCCTGTATGATAAATATCAAGTTTGTCGGACAAAGACGGCTCAGCCTACTCTAGACATGTAATGTGCTAGCATTTGAACGCCTTCGATGGTTAAGGAGATAAATACCCTTCTACTTAGAAACGAACCCGACTTACTATCATGATTATTTAAGGAAACACGTTGCGTGTATCATATCTGAAATGCTCTAGTGCTGGCTAATAACAGGACTACAGTTTCGTATATTTGAAGTTATAATCGTTTCTGATATAGAGGTGAAAGTACAATTCAGTCCTGCCCTCGGGGCCACGGGGCCCTGGGTTTGCGTCAACTATAAATAATTTCCTCATCAAGGCAAAATCTGATGCCTCAGACATCAACCGCCCGGGTGGTCTAGTGGTATGATTCGCGCTTAGTAAGCTCTCCCTGCAATCAACCAATCATCATCTATCAAGTTACTAACAGCTCCTCCAGGGGTTCACCCAAAGCATTGACTGCGCGAGGTCCCCGGTTCGATCCCGGGCTCGGGCCTATATTTTTCCATCTCTGTTTTTACAGTCAGGCCTACCCTACCACTGTTGCCGTATCCATGGCATCACTTACTCCTTGTCTCTTGCGTCCTATCTTAAGCTATGTTGCTGAAAGCACTTTACTTCCTTATTCTATCATATGATTCTTGTCCCACTAGCGATGATCGGATCATCAGTCCGGATCGTAATGTCGCAAGTATTTTTTTATGAGTTAACTATAGATGCAAAACATAATACAGTCGATTCTTTTAGCGCTAGCTTGTTTGCAGGTAACATTATTAACATTATAACCCTTTGTTTCGGGAGGCAGGACGCGTGTAACTTGAGTAGTGATGCTTATACGACCGGAGGTTTATCATTAGAATTTGGATTGTGGCTGACGGCCAGAACTGGTCGAGATTGAAAGGAGGTGGTGGGAGCCTGTTTGAGTGGCGGGGCTTTGTGACTCAGGTCCTGGGGTTGAGTCTGATAGGTTTGAACATTACATCTGAGCTGAAACTTGGACATATCTTTTGACGGGTTGTGAGTTCGTATCCATTAGATTGAGAGGCGATTAGTGGTCTCATGGATCGATGGATGAATGGATGTAGGCGTAGCTGCAGAATCCATCACACTCTTTCTTATCCCGAGCGTCAAATGACCGAGACAGTTTTACCTACAGTAGAATATTGGACTAGACTGGGCAATATTTACCCGATTTCAGACAAATGCTCCTCAAGAATCCATATCGCTCAATCAGTATATTTTTACGTACGTACTCTACTCCCAGACCTAAAGCCGCCTCGGTCCAAGACTTCCCAGGCTGCATCCAGCTGATGAGTTCGCAGGAAATCGCTAGCTGGACCGCAGCATCGGGATCGAATGACTGCACAGCCGAAAAGACCCTCATGTAGCTCTCTTTCTTGGGGGAAGTCGTGAGTACCCGTCGTTTGTGGTACTCCGCACGTAGTCGTACACAGGTGTAGGGTGGGGGCCACTAGCTATTGGGTTATTGGAAGTGTACAGCAGAGAGGGACACGTTGGATCATGGGTCCTGGTGGGACAGTGTGAATGGACTGAACGAGGAAGGCGATGCGATTTGTAGGCGGGTCCCCGACCTCGGCCCCGTTCTTGGGTCTCACAATGAGTGGTTGACCCACTGATTTTCATTTTCTACAGTGGTACTCCGTAGATCTGGTAGAAATGGGAGAGAGATAATCTTACAGTAGTACGTAGTAAGTGGCCGGGGAGTCATGTTCCAGCGACCGGGCAGGATCCTGGACTGGAAAGTAGAGTCTACCTCGTGAATGGACAGATCTTTGATCCCAATACATCGCCGTACATACTTTAAATCACCCACCTGATGCTGCACGCTGACCAAGCTGACCCGTCAGCTTTGTGCAGCAATTATAGCTGGAGGAATGCATTTCCTCTTCGCGATACATGGAATCGAGAGCGGAATAATATTAATTGTATCACGTAGATGATCCCAAATGGCGGGGGAAAAGTCGGTGACATGGTCAAATTCTATATATAGGGACCATCGCCTGGAAAAACGGGACTGGGAACTTCTTCAAGCAGGACTCTGGAAGGATAAGCCACAAAATAAGGTGTCCACGGAACCACCCGGCCACGAGTCTCGGGAAACCAAACATTGACAAGGGAAGGACCGCCAGGGACCACGTTACGGTACCATTCAATGAAAGTGTTGTCAGCGTACTGCCGTTGTACCTGTCAGAAAAAGAACCAGGTGTGGCGAGGGGATTTCTGTCAGATGTTTGTGAATGTCTATGTACTTTACATACAATTGGCTTACGAGATATACATGACGCATGTACCGACCAAACCTGCGCCGCCAGGCACAGTAGTGATCCAATCGCATGCCTCAAGAGCCAAGGCTGGTGCCAGCTTTGACGTGGGGCGTGCGAGAGGGCGAAAAGAGACGAGGCGAAAGGCCAAAAACCCGCGCGATGCGGGGTATCCCATTGGCTTGCCAGAACGGACAACATCGGACATCTCGCAAGTTTGGACATTCTACATTATTGTTGGTTGGTAGTAGGGGCGAATTCTTGCCAGGGGCGACTGACTTGAGGCGTGCGTAGGCGTTGACCAACCAACAAACTATAGCCATTACAATAGGAATGAATGATAAAGATGAGAAAAGAAGAAATGATAGGCCCTGAATAAGCCCCGGTAAAGCGATCAAGGCTGCCGTGGGGTACATACTCCAGTACCTGTCAGGAGGCAGTGTCAGTTGGAACTTGGGGAGGGGCCTTGGAATTGGTCCAACCCTGTCAAGCAGCGGTAAATCTGCAGGTCTGAGACTTGGTTCTCCCGAGACGTAGCAAGCCAGCCATGCCACGGACTACTAACTAGCAACATACGTAACTAGGGAAACTCCCCTACGGACGTAGGTAGCAAGCATCCTTGGGGAAAACTTTAGCTCGGTGACTGAAGTTGGTGCAGACCGAACCGAACAATAATAATAATGCGGGGCAGTGGAATTAGCAGTGACCATCCCGTGTCACTCTGCTTCGAGAGACTGGGATCATCGACATCACAAGCATAATCAATCAGAATCAGATGTGTAATGATGATTCTCAGAGTCGATCCCTGAGGAATGGAGAGCGAGCGGATTTTCCCTCGTGTTTGATTGACTGCCCCACTTTAGACGGACGACTGGTAGACCTGTTCTCCCTCCGTACGTTTAGACTCCGAATCATAATGGAGTAGACTGACTTTGGAAGTGGGATCTGCCCCATCCCCGTAACTCCACGGAAATACCACGCCCGTGTGATTGGCGGACAGGGCCCAGGCCAAATCAGACAAATCGGATTCGAGACGCACCGGCCTTGTGGAAGATGGTGAAGACACACCAGTCAGGGCGGCGCAACTAGCGCCTAGCCAGGAGGGCGTTGGGGGTGATGAGTGATAGGCCCCTGGGCCCTGTGTGGAGGGTGACATTGCCTCGCTTTTTTGTTGAGACTTTTTGGAGGTCTTTTTGGAGGATTTGCACTGCGCTCATGGCGGTATTAGTAGGAGGACCTGTCCAGGGAATGGAAAGAAAACAAGAATGATGACATGGTAGTGATCATTCTCCAAGTTCAGTCCACACTGTGATAGACACTCTCTTACCACTCCTTCACTTTCTTTCCTGCTTTTTGTTTCTCTCTCTCTCTCTCTGAGACGAGTGCCCTCTTGTGTTGGGCATCCAGTACGGAGCGAGGAGGAAGTGAGGCGACCCAGGCCAGTTCTGGAGACATTCCACGCAGTATCTTCAACCGCCACCGCACTGGCGTGTCGGTAGTTTGCAGTGGCGGAGTCGAAGAACTTGTGCCTGCCCTCAGCATCATCCACCAATACCAGCCACGTTACCATACCAATACCAGACGGACAGTACCTCCAGTGGCATCCACTCTATATCCGTGGTATATCCGTGGTATATTCGTGGTATATTCGTGGTATATTCGTGGTATATTCTGGTATATTTTGGTATCCTGAGTACTGCACTACATTCAGCGACGGTCTTGGATGACCATCGGATTTTCAAATTAATCTGCTATATTCTTACATCACTACGACCACTCTAATTCTGATTCTAAAGTTGGTCACCCTGACGGATTCTGACCGAGACACCGAAAGATCCAGTCCCTGTACCTTTTTGTGTTTTTCGATTTTCTTTTATTGGAACGGCCCCGATCCCGACTCTCCTTTCCCCCCCCGACCGCCGCCGACCTTCCAGCGCCCATTTCTAATCCTTCCATCTTGTGAAAAAATCAAAAAAATCCAGATTAGCTGAGGATTAGATGGTCGGCTTCGGCTCAATCTCCTGACCGTATTTCTATCTGGATTATATTTGCCCCTGACACTCTCCTGATCGGTCATTCCGGACCCTGCCAGCATCTTCTGGATGTGGATTCCTGTCCGATCTCCGTTCCCCCATTCCATACATACGTCGCTCTTGCTCCACCGCCTCTTCGTTCCCCTCTTCTCCAATCCACCAACCTCAATCCTACTCCTCTCTCTCCCCTCTTCATCTCCTTCAATTCCTAACAGGGCGTCACCACCCTGTTGATGGTTGACTGGAATCTACCCAAATAACCCCCTTGATACCCCTGATCACAGACCTCCTTCCCCCCCCCGGAACATGACTTCGCCACCCGATCTGGACCCATATGTGGTGCTGGGCGTTTCCAAGGATGCTACCGTCGCCGAAATCCGAGGTGCCCATCGAAAACGAGTATTGAAATGCCATCCCGACAAGGTGCAAGATGAATCCCAACGAATTGCCGCTCAAGACGAGTTCCAGCAAGTGCAACAGGCCTACGAAACACTCTCTGATGAGACACGCCGCGCCCGCTACGATCAAAAGGCCAAGCTAGCAGAGCTCAAGCGGGAATTGCTCGAGAGGCGCAGACGGACCGCCGAGTCAACACCGTTCTCCTCTCCACGAGGCAGTGGAAGTGGAGCTTCCCGTGAAGTGCGAGAAGGTCGTGTCTTTGAGGAACGAGTGCCAGTGGATATCCTCTTGGATGAGGAATTGCGGTACACAGAGGAGCCCCGTTCAATGTCGCGCAAGTACGAGGAGTTTGGCATGCGATCCAAGTCGAAACCGACCGAAGATAAGAAGAAAGCTCGTACGCCCGTTAGCAGCTATCGAGCCGCCAAAGAGCTGCGCGAGACAACCAAAGCAAAGCTGGCTGATCAAGCCAAGCAACGCGACCGCGAGCGCCGCCGCCAAGCCAGCGTCAAATACGACAACTATGATTCGTATGCAGACTCCGACAGCGGTTCCGAATCTAGTGGCTCCGATATCTACGTACGTCTTAAGAAGCCGGCTCACCGATCCCGCGAGCCCCGTGAGTCTCGAGAACCTCGGGAATCCCGATCCCGGCCAGCGGAGTCTATGCGACGCCGTGGTCGTTCCTACGATGACGATGATGAAGAAGATGAGCTGCCCAGCCGATACACCGGCCATAAGTTTGACAGGCAGCAGTACCTGGCTGAGGAGCACATTCAACGCTCCAAGCATGAAGCCCCGCGGGGGTCTCGGTCCCCACAGCGACACCATGGTTACGAGTCAGCCGAACCAGAGATGAATACCAGTCGGCGCGCGGCTCGGTCCTCCCGCTCGACCCGGAATCAGTCTTCCTCACGTAACAACTCGTGGGAACACCTCGAGTCCCCGCGACGGGAGCGTGAAGAGTTCAAGGTGCCCAAGATGCCTACTTCCTCCACCTCTCCCGGCTACAAGTCCTCTATCCGCCCTTCCTTGTTTGGAGCCCGCGCCACCACCTCGGCTGGCTTCACTCGTCCCAAACGAGAGGGTTCTAGCCGCGAAGAGCCCTCCCTGGAGAAAATGTCCCGCGAGCAAATCCCCACACGACCCTCAAGACGCTACGACTCTGGTTACTCCAGCCCCAGTACCCCCGAGATGCCCGCCAGGGGCTCCTCCCCCAAGACGACCGCCCGCTACAAGATTGTCCCCGACGCGGTTATCATCGAGCCTGCGAAACCCGCCAAGTACCGCTCGGTATCTCCCGAACGGGCTCGTATGGCGCCCAAGCGAGCCAGCACCTTTGCCACTTTTGAGGCAGAGTCTCCCCGCATAGAGGTCCGCTCTGTGCGGCCTGTGCGCCAGTACGATGATGTCGAGTACACAGCTCGCCCTCGGGCCCAGGACGTTAAGTACACTCGTGAGATTCGACCCAACGACGTCCACGTTTCGCCCGGTCGATCTCACTACTACAACGACCACCGCCATCCCCCAGCGGGAAGACGGCAGTCAGCTTATGCATAATCAGAAACACATCAATGACGACAGCGCCACGCTCGTGCATATTTTTCCCCGTTGCGCTTGATTCAGGATTTTCTTCACCGTCATCGATTTCGGTTCTCTCGCAATATTTTTTTCCTTTTCAATCACTTCTTGTCAATATTTATGGGTGGTGGCCTTTACCATCGCCCTAGTCCACCCACCATCATACTATCTTACGGAAAGTCCTGGCTCCCAGCACCCATGCTCTCCATATGGACACCCCCCGACAACGAGACACGGGATTTACTTCCACCCTGGGCGACGATATTCTTCTCTCCCCACTTTCTAGCATTGGGACGGTTTGGTTTGGTTCGGTTTGGGTATCCCTGCATGATCAGGCACTCCCGGTGGGGGCGTGCCCTGCACTCTCTGGTTTTGGTTATTGTCGGCGCTATTGGTTCGGGGGAACGGTGTTATTGATTCATGATCTTACAACCAACATATCATACTACAACCTATTTGGCGTATCTGTATCTTTTTGGGATGTGATTTTCTTCTGGTGCTTCGTGTTTATTTGTTTTGTCTGTGCTTGTCTGTGTCCGCTTTCTTGCTCTTTTTATCTTTAGTCCGGGACACATTTATTTAGAATCCCGTTATATGACCCTCAGTGGGGCGAATGCCTTGCTATTAACGAATTGATGCATTTTGAAATGATGATTTATGATTTATTTGTGGGAATTGTGCTCTCTTTGTTGGTGTTTTTCTAATTATGCGGTGTATTAGGTAGACTGGTGCGGTAGCAAAATTGATTAGAGAATCTGACCTAATTGTTTTCATTTAGTCTCAGAATACCTTGAATAGTAGATTTTCCAATTGCTCTGAGTCATTATATGGGCATATGGAAGTAACCGATGTAATACTGGCTTTGGATTTCTTCTATGCCCAAGCTACATACCCAAGTATCTCCACTCTTCGTTGATTCCGGGTCCATTTATGGAGGACCGTAACAGTTGAAAACTGCATTGATATTCAATACATATAATTATGAGCATAACATAGTTCGATTCATTGCAACTTTGTACAGTTTCATCCCGGGCATGCACCTCAATCAAATCCATAACCGAGTAAATATAGCCAAGGGGTATTCAGTAGAGTACGCATCTCCTAACCTTCTTTACTATACATGTCCAACCTATCCGTGGTAAATGATTTGCAAGCAAGTACTCATATCTGCTTGTCCACGGTCCAAAGCCCATACGGTGAGAGAACGCGAGGCTCAGACTAGGACGTAAAAGACGCACATCTGTAATCAGAGTATTAGCAAGTGCAGAGTGACGAGCAGATACGGCGATAAAGATAAACTCACCATCGAGAGACCCAGGATCATCGAACACCAGAAAAAGACATTCTATATATCGAGATTAGCTCTGCTCCCGAAAGACGGGGCTAGATCTGCCAGCACTTACGTTAAGGGTCGTTCGACCTTTGAAGAAACGTGACTTCTGGACAGCCACAATCGGCAGCTGAAGCATCATAGCTCCAAAGCCATAGCCGCGCAATTTCTTGGTGATGCAGCTCATGACTACCTCGTGGAAAATCGAGCTGACCAGGAAAGTGATAAACATGGCCACAGGCTGGGAAAACCGCGAGCGGGAGGGGAAGTAGACGTGGCGGAATAGGAAGTGGTGAACGGGGGCGTTCCACTCTCGCGAGAACTCGAGCCTAATATAAGTGTTAGTACGGCGTGGTCAGATTCTTTAGAGGATGTCTTTGATCTCACCAGTCGCACGAGTTCCACCAGTCAGAGTAAAAGTGCCGGTCCGCAAACCGGGTTAGTTCTGCGAACGCACCCAGCACGTACTCGAAGATCACCAGGAAGACTAGCAGGAATGTCACCATGAAGGGGAATAGCAGCATGCTGATGGTCTCGGCCAAGATGAGCGCCTTATCGGTCACACTGTCGAGAGCCTCTAATTGAAGGTGTGCCTCGCTCAAGACAGGTACGATGAATTCCTCGCTCGTCAATGTAAGCAAAAATATACATCCAAAGACGGCTAGAGTCTTCCATGCGATCTCATCCCAGCGACGGTCAGGTCGGCGGGGGTACTCTAGCTCGTAGCACAGAGTCGGACAGCAGAGGAAGTCGGCGTAGTTCCCCAAGCTCAGGTTCTGCGGGTAGGAGATGTTGCCCAGAGGCGAGGTCAACTCTGTGGCCAGGTCTTCACGCAAGCGGACCAGCGGCTCGGTGGAATCGTCCTCGTCATGCTGGAGCTTCATGGACGGGCGGCGGCGGTATGGCTCCGGATACCGGATTGCGGCCGGGGAGGTCGGCTCAATGGGGCCTGGCTTGTCGAGAGCGGCGAGGCGTCGCTCCATCTCGCTAAGATGGCCATTATAAAAGGCGTATGAGTGCAATTTCATAAGGATCGTCAAGAGGTGGAGGGTGAAGAACACTTGGGCTGTCCAAGTCCATAGGCGCATAAACGGCCAGCTTTTTGGGCCATAGGTCAGCTCAATGTCTACATTCCAAGCGTCTAGATTAGGGACGAATCTTACTTGATCCACACTGCTAGCCACAGCGCCTCTCCAACACTTTGGAGGACCACTCCTCCACGTGCCCACCGCAGCCACCTCGGCCCGCTGCGGTAGAGCTTATGCATGGGGAGGACAAGTGCCGAGCTAGCCACCATGGCTAAATCGCTCAGGCCCAGTTCCCACACATTGGCCGATAACAGGCTCCAAACTCGCACTCGCAACGGGTATCCAGTATCTTTGATATTGCGTAGCACAGTCGTAACCACCATAATCACCAAGCTGATCCAGAACAAGGTAAAGAACCCCCGGAAATCGTGGTGGTCGCTGTCGGGGTCGAAATGGGATACTCGAGGGACATAGTCAATGGTATAGAACAGGCGATTCCGCGCGCGTACTTGCTTGCGCGCAACCACAATCGATTGCGCCGAGGGGGGCGCATCTTCAGGGATGGGGGTTGAGCGGCCGCTGCATTTTGCGGGTTGAAGGCGTTAGAAGGCATTGCTGGAGACTCAAGGGCAATGTATTTGTGCCGGGCGTGGGGCCACCTACCTTGTGTCTGAGCTCAGTCTGTCCAGTATAGGAGGCGTGAGAGTCGCATCGGCCTTTGTGTCGGGCTGAATGGGAACAGTGCGCGGTCGGAGGACGGACGGGTCATTCTGGGCGATGGCGCTGGACATCCTAGGGTGGACGAAGAGAAGGATGCAATTGCGTGGATATTAGATGGAGAAGGGAGAGTTCACATCGAAGACAATAGACAGTGACAGGGGAAGTCGTAAGCAGGTCAGATGTGGATTGTGTTTACATGGTTGACTGATCTATGTCGAGGTCCGAGGGGGACCGGACGGAAGCCGAAAAATGGATCCAACTACGTCAATGATGAGCCTTAAAACCCTTTAGTGGCCTTGGAGCCTTACGCCCGAGTACTGAAGAAAAGGTGGCCCTGCCATGTGCTGCATGAACAGGGCTTAGCTGCGAACTGTTTGGTGTTTTACGGCCATAGCATTTAACCCCATGACCAATTATCTACAAAGAGGTTTTCTTTTTTTTTTTTTTTTTTTTTTCAATATTCGTCATCGTAGCTGCTTCAAAAACTTGGTAATTATACATATTACGTGGGGTTTCTTTTCTGGGACCAAGATTTGCCAGGTAAAATATGTCTAGAGCTGGTAGCTCAGCTCCCAGGTAAGGTCCACGGCAATAGGTAGTCCGTAATATTACTATGATCTATTCAATAATGGCCTATAGAAAGAAATATCGGGCGTATCAATTCGAATCAATTAGGGTGCTCTATCTACCACGTGTACCGTGGGCTGCGAGTTCTTCCAGCGCTTTGCGGAAGGCTCGTAATCGATCACTAACGAATTCGGACTTTGACCGTTAAAGCCGGCGTGGCCTAATGGTAAGGCGATAGACTTGTGCGTATCCCACTCGTTTTGGACCATTTCTTGAATCATCGTCACTAACCTTCTACTAGCTAATCTATAGATTGCGGGTTCGACCCCCGCCGTTGGCTTCTACTCATTTTTTTTTCTTTTCAAATTCTTTTTCCTAACAAAGTCCCGTTTTCCATTTTTGGGTGATTATATGAACATTAGATAAACACCTGTGATTTCTAGACAAGTAATAAAGATTTTCAAGACAGAGCTGGCTACAGTCTTCCTGCCTGAAGTGCGCATTTGCGAGATCACCTGACAACAGTAGCTTACATCAGCAAACGACTGTCGTACTCCCCGTTCGGGACTAGTGCAACTTTCCCGCGCCAAGAAGCCAGGTCAACCCAAATCACGGGCCATCATAAAGCCAATCCAGACCGGACGCTGAATTGCTTCAACTACTGTCGTGCGAGCTACCTGGTCTGTCTCGGATCCCGCCACGGGCCCCCTTCCGGACTTTTCTCATTGTCACTTCTATCTCCTGACCCCGCCAGGGGTTGTGGATCACCATGGCTTCCCGTAAGTTGGCCGCCCACCGCCCCTCATCGTCTCCCCTGAGGTTGATTCATGGTCTAACCCCCGCATGACCAACAGTGAAGCAATTTATCCGCAATGTTCGAGCTGCTAAAACCATTGCGGATGAGCGGGCTGTCATCCAGAAAGAAAGTGCCGCTATTCGAGCCTCGTTTCGCGAAGAGAGCCACGACTCGGGCGTCCGGTTAGATCTCCAACATCCTCTTTCCCCCCCCCTTTGACGTGTACAGACGGTCCTAACGAGGGTTCATAGGAGGAACAATGTGGCCAAATTGCTCTACCTCTTTACACTGGGTGAGCGAACTCACTTCGGTCAGATCGAATGTCTAAAGCTACTTGCCTCGCACCGTTTCGCCGACAAGCGACTGGGGTACTTAGGGACAATGCTATTGCTCGACGAGAATCAGGAGGTGTTAACGCTAGTAACCAATTCATTGCAAAAGTCAGTGGCCCTTTATTGTGACCAGAGAAAGGAAATGCTGACGACCAGCCAGTGACTTGAGCCACTCCAACCAGTATATCGTCGGTCTCGCCCTATGCGCACTCGGTAACATCGCCTCCATCGAAATGTCCCGGGATCTTTTCACCGAAGTCGAAAACCTCATGTCTACAGCGAACCCCTATATTCGACGGAAAGCTGCCATTTGTGCGATGCGGATTTGTCGCAAGGTCCCGGATCTGCACGAACATTTCCTGGAGAAGGCTAAGACGTTACTTGGAGATCGGAACCATGGCGTCTTGCTTTGCGGTCTGACTTTTGCAATCGATCTGTGTGAGGCTGAAGAGGAGGAGGAAGGCCCAGAGGGAGTTATTGAAGTGTTCCGACCGCTCGCCGGAGGTCTAGTACGCGCTTTGAAGGGTCTTACAACGTCCGGATATGCTCCAGAGCACGATGTATCTGGCATTACGGATCCATTCCTCCAAGTGAAGATCCTCCGGTTCCTGCGGGTTTTGGGCCGAGGCGATGCGGCTACCAGTGAATTGATCAACGATATCCTGGCCCAGGTGGCCACCAACACCGACTCATCAAAGAATGTGGGCAATGCCATCCTGTACGAGGCTGTGCTCACTATTCTCGATATTGAAGCCGATTCGGGGCTGAGGGTCCTGGGTGTGAACATTCTCGGAAAATTCTTGTCAAACAAGGACAACAACATCCGCTACGTGGCATTAAACACACTGAACAAGGTCGTTGCCATTGAACCGAACGCGGTGCAACGGCACCGCAACACCATTCTGGACTGTCTGCGAGATCCTGATATCAGCATTCGCCGGCGAGCGCTCGACCTCAGCTTCATGTTGATCAACGAAAGCAATGTCCGGGTGCTCGTGCGGGAATTGCTAGCTTTCTTGGAGGTCGCCGACAACGAGTTCAAGCCAGTGATGACCACCCAGATCGGTATCGCTGCTGACCGTTTCGCCCCGAACAAGCGCTGGCACTTGGATACCATCCTGCGGGTTCTCAAGCTGGCTGGGAACTACGTCAAGGAGCAGATTCTGTCCTCGTTTGTCCGACTGATCGCCACCACCCCCGAGCTGCAGACCTATGCGGTCCAGAAGCTCTACTCCTCTTTGAAGGAGGATATCTCGCAAGAGGGCCTTACACTGGCTGCTACTTGGACGATTGGTGAATATGCCGACAGTCTACTGCAGGGCGGTCAATACGAAGAAGAAGAACTGGTTAAGGAAGTCCGCGAGAGCGACATTGTTGACCTGCTCACCAACATCCTCAACAGCACCTACGCTAACCAGATCGCCATCGAGTATATCATCACCGCGTCAATTAAGCTCACCACGCGCTTGTCAGACCCCGCTCAGGTCGAGCGTCTGCGTCGTCTCCTGTCCAGTCGCACTGCCGACTTGAGTGTCGAGATCCAGCAGCGTGCCGTTGAGTATAGCAACCTATTTGGATACGATCAGATTCGCCGTGGTGTCCTCGAGCGCATGCCTGCGCCCGAGATTCGCGAAGAGCAGCGCGTACTGGGCGCACCTACCAAGAAGCGCCAGAGCAAGATCCTCCGCGGCAAGTCTACAAAGGTTTCTAAGCCCGCTGAGCACGACCTGCTCCTCGATTTGATGGGTGGCTCAGATGCACCCGTGACCAGCCCGACACCAAACGGGTCCAACACCGCCGATCTGCTGGCAGATATTCTGAGCGGAGGAGACTCGAGCACGTCGTCACCGGCACCCGCGCCCATTGGTCAGACCTCCATGAATAACGCTGTTATCATGGACCTGTTCGGCTCGAGTGGTGCCTCGCCTTCGCCTCAGCCGACCCAGCAGCCTGCCTCTGCCTCGCTGGACTTGCTGGGTGGAGGTGGTCTCGGTGCTTCTGCGCCCTCGCCCGTTTCCTCGCCTGCACCTGTGTCTGCCTCTACCCCTGCACACAGCGTCTACAACAAGAACGGTCTCGTGCTTACTTTGCAAGTGCAGCGAAGCGGTGCCAACGCTCAGATTCTTGCCCGCTTCCGCAACGAATCCAACTTCGACAGCTTCACCAACGTCGGTTTGCAGGCTGCTGTGCCCAAAAGCCAGCGGTTGCAGCTGAGTGCTATCAGCAAGGCTGATCTTGAAGCCGGTGACGAGGGGACTCAGACCCTGCGCGTGACTGCAGTGAATGGGGTATGTTCTACTCGCACACCTTAACTAATTACTACACATAAGACTAACCACTTTAACCCTTAATCTAGGCCCTCCCACCCAAGCTCCGCCTTCGCCTCCGAGTATCATCCACTTGGGACGGAAACCCAGCGACCGACCAAGTCGACTGGTCCGAACCATAAGCCACCCTGAAAATTCAACTCATATTTGTATCTTGCAAAGGGTAAAGCTTACGGTTGGGACATTTCCAGTCACAAAATCTTTCAGGCGGATGAATTTTTTTTAAATTCAATGAGCAGCTCCAAAATCACCCCCCAGTTTTATACACATTCCCCCCTAGTCACATTACGCCTTCATACTTTGTTTCTGCTCGGCCTCATCTAGACATTTCATTCCTGCTGTTTTTCCCGTTTCCCCAACGTATCTTCCTCTGCCGTGTTTACAATTGCTTTCCATCTTAGAATGGAAACCCCCTTTTACTTTCGTGTACATGCTTCGTTAGCAGATGATTCAGTGCATGGACAAGTGCTGCATGGTGCAAATTGACTGGTTCTGTTTAGTGGTGCCGTACTTTGGTGTAAAGTGTGGTCAGATTGACAAGGATGGATGCTAGGGTAATGATGGACTCGGGTTAGGTGTATGCATGTTTTCTGGTTGGGGAGGAGAGAGGCATAGGAGCATTTTGGTGTTCGAAGGACTGAGATTACTTGTCTGCTATTTGCAAGCACCTAGCTAGACATTAAAAGAGAGACGAGTCTGAAGATCAATGATGTTGGCATAAAGGACCCGAGAAAAGAATCCTAAGAAACCCAGCAATTGAATTGACATGAACAGACGAAAACCACGAAACAAATGCCTGACAAAGAGAAGAGCGCAACAGAACAGAATAAGCGACACCAGTATATATCCAGAAAGAAAAGCACCAACGCAGAGAACGCCAACGTCCAGCGTAGTTGCCAAAATGCAAGAAATGTATCAAAGATGCTGACCATGCAGGTCGAGCTAACTATAGCTGACCAAGACGAGTACTTGGTCATATTTGTACCGCCCTACATGTGCTCAATGGGTTCCTCGGGGAGTAGCACCTGGCCCTCTCTCCGGCTTGAGGGAAGGCACGCCTTGAGAGGGGGGCGGATGATATCGTTGAAGAGGAAGGTGCCGTACACGAGCAGTCCGAAGCCGACGACTTGGAGCCACTTGAATGACTCCCAGCCAAGGCCTAGGGAGACGAGCCAGATGAAAAGGGTGCGGCAAGTGTCGATTGTGCTGCGCGAGGTGGCAGACACGGTGCGGGTGACGGATAGACCGAAGAAATTGAAGCCGCTAGGTATCACAGTTAGTAATGATTCGAATGCTTGTAAAGAGACTATTGCAGGGTCGAATAAAAGTGGGAGATATAAAGACGAATATGGAGAGGACATACCCAATGCTGATCATGATCAGGATACTCGACATCGCTACTGCGCGATTCGTGCTGACCTCGTGCCATCCCTCCTTCATATCAAAGTAGCCATACCGTCCGGCATCGGTACTACCAACAGCCAAATAAAGCATCACCATACTAATCACGGTAACCGAGAACCCAAAGATACCCTCCCAACCCACAACCTGCAGCGGGTCCATAGCGTAATTCTCAAGAATCCACTCCTCAAGGACAAACTGGCTAGCAGTAAAGATTTGAGCAGCCGCAATCAACAGCACACCAATAATAGTCTGCACCGCTTCAGGCGTCCTTGCATCCGCATACACGACACCATCATCCTGGGTGATATCATGGCCGGTACCGCCGCTGAACAGCGCGCCGGCAAGACCAACCAGAGCCACGCCCAGAACTACAATGAAGAGCGCACTCCACTGGTAGAGGAAGAGTTTGCGGCGGAGGAAAAGCACACTGAAGAGGCCGACGAAGAGAACGAGCGCTCCACGCGTCATCTGGTAGATACTAGCTGCGACGAAGAGCAAGCCCACGTTCATCAGGGTAGTTCCGGCGATGTCGCAGCAAGCCGGCGCAGCGAGCAGGAGAATGCGCCACCCACGCAGCTTAATGCGATCATCGTGTTCGTGCGCGGGTTTGCGATGGGCATGGCCGTTACCCTCGTCCAGCGTGTGGTCTTCGTCTTCGTCCTCCTCGCCCACGGGCTGATACCCGCCCTCGAACAGCGGGGATGGCTCTCGGGTGAGCCGGGGTGCCACGAAGCGCTGATAGAGAATGGATAATCCGACAACGAGCCAGCAGCCCATTTCACCGATAAACATTTGAGCCCTAATCAATCCAGAGATATATCGTAAGCCCAATGTCCGGCCCAGTCATTGTCATTACTACCTGTGTAACTCTGCTCCCTAGGGGTGCCACCTACGTCTGAATCACGGGCTGCTCAAAGAGCTTATGCTCTTTGGGATTGGGAGAGTCGCAATTCCGTACACATTGCATGTCCTTTGATCGGGATCTTTGTTAGCCTTAGATCCTACTGGGCTATCAGTCGGGCAGGTGTGGATTACCTGGAACTTGTTGAGAATGGTGTTGCAAACTCCGGTCACGAGCATCATCGTGACCAGGATGGGGATAATACCGCGGTCCGCCATGGTGTCCCTATAATATCAAGGAGGGACTTGAGGCGGGGAGGAAGAATGAAGAAGAGGAGAAGAGGAGAAGCGGAGAGGAGGTTGGAGTTGAACAAAGAGGAGATAGCCTTATCGGCTGATAAGCGGACCAGCTGACGTGACTCGGTGGGTCCATTCCAGCTGATCAAACTAGACAAACTACTCCGCCCAACGATAAAGAACCATCTACGAGTCAAAACTACAAGAAACATGGAAAATGTTAAAATCAATGCCCTGATATTGACAAGGTCCTGAAATAGAGAATTATCAAAGAGAAGATGCTCTTGGGAAGCATAACATCCATCCATCACCCATCCCGGCGGTACCACAGAAGACCCACCATCTTTTTCCCCACAGCATGAACGCCATCGCTGATCCAGATGGGAATCACAAATCGACAAAGAGAAAAAAAGGGAGAAGCATGAATCCAGCATCCACGCACAGTGATCGCTGAAGGAAAATGAAGGAAGAAGGGATGAAAGAGAAAAAAAAGGGAAAATGGCCAGAAAGAAAGGATGAGACAAAACAGGAGTTCCGTGTTGGGTATGGTACACTCGCTTTCCAGATTGCAACCCATCATCAAAGAGAAATCGAAAATGACAGAAGACCGTACCCCTATGTACGCCAGAGGAAACCCGCCAGGATGGGAGGAAAAGAAATATGAGGAAAAAAAAAAAATCGTGAAATCGGTATGTCTCATCTCTCTTGTACCGAAATGGAATTTGAAGAAGATTGTCAAGAGTGATCATAGATCACTGACAGAGTCTCGCACTCAGACAACAGTAGTCATGACAAGGCTACCTCCGCCACCGAGGCTAATCTCCTTCTGCTCACGCTCCAGACGATCAAAATCGACCCGCACACCGGGAATCCCGTCGCCAGAGTTGTCTTGAAGCTCGGGCGGGATGTTCATCCACTCAGCGGTGAGCCGAGCAGATTCTTCATCGTACACAGACCACTCAGACCAATTGATAGGGTCCTTGAGATCATCCTGAGGAGTCTGGGTGGCTAGCGCCAGGTCATTGGAGTCGGGCGTATCCTCAGTCGGCTCACGACGACCGGAGTCAGCCACAATGAAGGCGTCCAGGCTCCAAGGCTCACCAGAGAACAAGCTGAGCCCATTGCGATCACCGATCTCGTCGAAAAGTGGGTCAAAGGTGTCATGAATCTCCTTGGGAGTCACCTGGGAGTTAGCCCACGGCAGGGTGGGTTCCGATGATTGGTCAAGCGCGCCAGGCTTTGTACCTGGCTTCTTCGCCTTGTCCAGTTGAGGGGTGAGCTGCTGAGCGGAGGTTGCGGGCGATGCGCCCTTGGCAACGACCTGGCTCGTGGCTCGCATCATCGGGGTTGCGGTCGAAGAGGCAGGAGTCGCCAGACCAGGCTTGACAGGAGAATTCATCAACCGAGTGGGACCAGCGCTGGTAGTAGCGATCTGTTTAGCTCCCTGGGTATCCGCGGTCAGCCCAAGACCGATGTCAAGGCTGTCCAGGTAGAATTGGATCGGATCCTCGATCACTTCTTCCGCCTCCGGCTTGTGACTCTCTTCAACGTGCTTGTCCAACGCAGGCTGAGTCGGGAAACCTTGGAAGTGGTGCTGGCACTCAATAACGCTGCACTTGAACGCACCAGCCAGAGCGGCAGCCGTCGACTTGGCGTCCGCAACGGCCTTCTTGTAACTCGCATCGGCGATAATGGGAGCACTGGCCGGAACAGGAGACGAGGAGACACCAGGGTGAGACTGCTTGCGCTTCTTAGGTGGAGGAAGCTTCAGTTTATCGGGGGCAAGTCCTCCAGGGCCATATGCCGGAACACCTTGAGGGGATGGAGCACCGAATGGCGCGGGTGGAACGGGTGCAGACTGGCTGGAAGCACGGCGAGCATTCTGCAGAGCCTCATCCTGTTGCTGCTGCTGTTGCTGCAATTGTCTGAGGTTGTTCGCATTCAAGGGGGAAGTCTGTACCGGCTGTTCGGGCTGAGCATTGGGGGCGTTGGCTTGGTTGGCGGCCCGGCGCTCATTCAACCGCATCACTGCCGCCTGGAACAGCTTGCGGATGAAAAGAATCGCACCAGTCAGATAATCGGGGGTGATGGTGAACTGGTCATTGATAATCCAGTCCGCGCTGTTCTTGAACTGGCGCATCAACTGAATCCGCATGGCAAGCAGATTTCTCAGGTTGCGCTCTTGATTAGGCAACTTTGGGAATCCATGCAAAGCCAGGACATCCAGTCGAGCCAGGACCTCCAGCGAGTCTTGCAGTTGCCGAGTCATGATCGATTTCTGTTCTGGAGAGACAGTCACTATATTTGAGGCCGGAGCAGCTTTGGAAATCTCATTGTAGATCTCCAAGAGCTTCGGCGGCAGATTGGTGCTCCAATTGTGTTCAGCAGTTGCCCGATTGGGAGGAGGGCCACGGAAATACCCCTGCTGCTGGCGCCGCATTGACTGTTCAATTCCCAGACGTTGCTCGGGAGTCATGGCAGTGAAAGGCTCCTGCGAAGACGGTTGATTGCCCACCTGCATTGGAGGCGCGGGAACTGCAGGGGTTGGAGTAGCATGGGTTTGCTGTGGGGTCGGGTTCATGACCGGCTCGACGACCACATCATCTGGGTTTGGTCTCTTCTTCGATCTCTGCTGATTCACAGGCGGGGCTTTAGCGCTCTTCGGGGCAGGGCCGGTCTGCTGTGGTCTCGGATTCGAGGGCTGCAGATCGCCAGGGACTTGCAAAGGCTGCTGGGGAACAGGAATTGGTTGAGCCTGTGCCTGGGTTGGAGGTACCGAGCCAGGGAGTTGAGGCACTGCTTGACCTAAAGCAAGAGCACGTTGCTGCGCAGCTTCGAACATCTGTTTCTGCTTGTTTCGAAGAATCTCACGAATCTGGTCGTCGTTAAATTTGGCCGCTTGGACTCCCAGTTTCTGGCGGGTTGCTTGAACATCCTCATTTGTGATTTGTCGCATTGGAATGCTAATGGGCATTGGATGATTCGGTGGGGCTTGCATCCCATTCTGAGAATTCTGGAAAGTCTGCTGTATTTGGTTTTGATTTTGCTGGTTCTGTTGACTCTGCTGGGCGAGCTTCGTAGCCAGGATCTGGGCGAAGTGAAGCTTTTGCAGAGTCACGAGCCGGTTGTAATCCACCCCAGTGGTGCTGATGGGGTTAGCGTTGGCCCAATGCTTGATCTGAGCCCAAGTCTTGATGTGTTGGGGGACGTGGGGGTTATTGGCGACGAGCGAGGGCGGGAAAGAAACCCGGTCCATCTCCTTTTGCTGCTCAACGGTCATCTCGTGGCCATTGTTCTGTTTTCGGAGAGCATTCAGCCTCGCCAACTCATTCTGTCGCTGTTGGTGCAAGGCCCGTTGCTGAGGAGTCATCTGCTGCGGGTTTTGAATCAGGCCAGCTGCCGGGTTCATGCCTTGTGCCATACTCATGGAGGCTCTCATTCGAGGATTGTTGACCATTTGACCGTTGAACATTGCTGGATTCTGACCATCTTGTGGAAGAGAACCAGGCTGCGTCGGCTGCGGCTGCGGCTGCTGCTGTTGCTGTTGCTGTTGCTGCTGCTGCTGCTGTTGTTGCTGCTGCTGTTGCTGTTGCTGTTGGTGCTGAGACTGTTGCTGCTGGGCATTGGCGCGAGCCATGTTGCTAGCATGCATACGACGTTGATTCTGCAGGAAAGTATGAAGCTGCTCATTGGTCATCTGAGCCAGATGATCCCGGACCGTCTGGGGTAAATTGGGAGGAATCTGAGGCCGAGGCTGCATGGTAGCTTGTGCACCCTGCATGCCAGCTGGGTGCTGACCCATGTTCACTGGCCGCGATGGAGGCCGAACCTGAGCCGGCATTGGAACGGGGGAGATCTGACCAGGAGGCATGCCCTGATTCAGCATCGGCATGACAGGACTCTGCTGGGAGAACTGGGCCTGGCCTTGAGAGTTGACCTGGCCGGACATTGCCAGCTGCGCTTTCTGGGCAGCCTGGGCCCGAGCCTGGGCTTGCTGGGCTTGAGCCTGCGCCTGTTGAGCCTGTAGTTGCTGGGCTCCGTTGGGGAGACCCTGCTGCATGTGCTGTGGGTTGAACATCTGGGTGTTCATGCCCATTCCATTCATGGTCCCGTTTCCTTGGCCATTTTGCCCTGTCTGCTGTGGAAACAGGTTCTGCTGGTTGTTGAATGGCGCCTGATTCATTTGGGTCGAGCTGGCGGGAACTACTAGCTGACCGGCTTCCTGCGAGCGAAGACCGTCAGCTTGCTGACCCTGGATATTCTCCACGTTGCCGAAGAAAGCGTTGGGATCCTGACCCTGTGCTGGGGTGCCAGAGAAAGTCGAATTGCTGCGCTGCAGATTCATCATGTTTTGGAACATTGCCTGCTGGCTCATCATTGGATCATTGAGCATGCCATCAGGGTTGCCAACGTTCGCGGAGCGGCCCATCTCCATGCGAGAGCGACGGTATCGGCGTAGTTGACTGAGGGCCTGGGTGCGGAAGAAGTAGTTGACCGGATCGATGCCCTTGCGCTGCAGGTACTGTCGCTGGTCTGGGTTTATGTTGGCAAGATTCTGCTTGACCTTTTCAAGGTCCTCTGGAGAAGTCTTGGACAACATTTGCTGCGCCAGTCGTTGCACGTGTTCACCATCAGGGTTCTGGAGATTCAGAAGCTCGTCGTTAAGTGGGAGATTGATGGTGCGTTGCTGGGCTCGCTGTTGCTGTTGCTGTTGCTGTTGCTGCAGTTGTTGTTGTTGTTGTTGTTGTTGTTGTTGTTGTTGTTGTTGCTGCAGTTGCTGTTGCTGATGCTGCTGCTGAAGCATAGCTTGCTGTTGTTGCTGCTGTTGCTGTTGGCGCTGCTGCATAGCAGCCTGTTGGTTGGAGCCATTCATACCCATGGCCATCTGAGGCTGACCCTGCGGAATGGGCGAGGTCTGCATGTTCGGATTCATCTGAGGGGGGAATCCACCCTGCAGCTGGTTCTGCATAGCGGGCCCACCTTGGGGCATCATCCCGCTCTGTTGAAGCGCAACGGCAGCTTGTCTCTGGCGAGTATCCTTGATGTGGAGGAGCTTATCGGTGCACTCTTTCTCGTAGTCGCTCTATCAAAGGGAAAACACCCGAGTCAGTAAGGGTTGGAAAATTCCGGCGAGGCAGATCAAGGATTGACAAGGGACGAGAAGAGAAAGGCAGTACTGGGGGAGGGGGAAGGAGGAGGAGAAAGGGGGGGGAGAGTGAGGGTAAGTGAGGTAAGGCGACAAACCCGTTCTTTGGCCTTCTTGAAGGCGTTGGTTTCGAAGGCAATTGCGGCGTTGCCTGCCTGCTTCAGGTCGATTCGAGGTTGGATCAATCGGAGGGAGGTAATCCTAGGCAGTCACCAGGGTCAGTGATAGGATGAAAAAGGGCGAAGAGATGAATGGAGTGAATGAGGTGCCATCTGCAGCCGGTGGGTAGGCTGCGACCAAAAGGTTGGCGGGAAGAAGGGAGGGGGTGAGCATCATTGGGGAGTTCTGTCCATGGCACACTTACATTTGGTAGACGTTCATAGCTCGAACCTTGATGGGAACTTCATCTCGCCATCCACCAAGTCGAGGCTGCAACTGTAACTCCTGTGCGACGGTGTTCATGATCAACTGGGCGTTCTCATTGCGCTGCTGCTGTTGAGCTTGCTGCTGCTGTTGCTGCGGCATGCCGGGGTTGACGAGCCCAGGCATGCCCCCGCCGGGGTTGGGAAACTGGCCGGGATTCATGACAGAAGCCCCATTAATGGGGATCAGGGAGCAATCCGCGGAAGGAGGTGGTGGTCGTCAGCATTCGCTAGAGAGTTGTGATTCGGAGAGAGACCAGGAGGAAGGGTGAGAGTGGAGAGGTAGAAAGTGAGCGGTCGAGCGAAGTGTCGAGACGAGGGTTGATCGCGTGGGTTGGAATGAGCGAAGAGGAGAAAAAAAGGGTTGAGACGAGGAGAAGTGTCGAGGGAAGTCGAGAAAAAAAGAAAAGAAACGGTCGGAGGATGTGGTTGTTGACCGGGAGAGATTGGGGGGGGGAAGGTGAAGTTGTAGAAAGGTAAGTTGCAGATCGGTGGGTGGAAAAAGAGGAAAGCCGGGTTGCTGGTGTGGGACCTGGTGCTGAGACGGAGTCGATCAGGGCGGGTGGGGATGGGGTTGGAAAATGGTCCAAACGGAGGATCGGGAGGGAAGAAAGAGGGAGAGGGAGAGGGAGAGAAACGTAAATTGACCTGCGCACCCAGAGGCCAGGTGCTTAGCCACTGGTGGCCTGCGATTTCCGGAATGAGAGTGTGGCTTGAGGAAAGGAAAAGGGAAGGGAAGAGGATGGAAAAGGAAGAATTGAGGATTTGGGAGGGGATGCTGCTGCAGTTCAAGTCGCACTGGCTCATCATGTGGCCCTGGGCCCCCCGTATCGGTATCTTACGGAGAGAATGTTAACTGTACCTGATGGACACGATGGACACGATGGACACGATGGAGATTGTACCCAGACCAGGTCGACCATGAACACGATCTCCTAGCGAACCTAAAATCCTCAAGACCGGACCCGGTCGACCAGCGCTCGATCCTGTATCTACGCTGGAAGATCCCTACTTCGGGACCATGACTTGGGATATCGTGCCTGGACCGACAGTATGCTGCGATGATGGTGGTGTCCCAGAACATGCTACCTCTCTCGGCCCAGCTCTGGATGAAATGATCGCCTGCCCTACAAGTCCTGGCCAGGGCCCGGTGACCTCCTCCGTACAAAGCCAATACTTGACAGGAGTACGGTGTACATAATAATATACTAACAGAGTACTGTACTAGTTATTCTCCAAACTCTTATCACCATGATCCGCCTCAGGCCCACCAGATTGCCCGTTGCGGAAACCACATTCACTTCAGTGGTTTCTCTCGTCCGCTCGTAGTGGTCGACCGACTACGGTCAGGACTGTTCTGGGCTCCTGCTCGCTTCTTTTGCCTGGCTCTCCAGCACATTCAGTCCCTCGACTGGGTCTACCATATCCCCATCGGTATCTTTGACTCTCCGCCCACTCCTTTCCCATCCTGACATGATCTGCTCCCCCCTCCTCCAGTCGGGAGATCTGTGCACTCTTGAAACACAAGCCTGCCTCGTTGATTTCGGAACCCTGCTGGCGCTGCCCTTCTGCGTATGGATTCGTTCGTTCCTTTTTTCCCCCCTCCCTTTTTCTGGCTCTTGTGATTGACTCTTTCTCCCGCGGCTCTTCCCCTCCAAATTTCGCTCCCGATGGCATCGTTTGATCCTGCCCAACGGTCCCCACTTAATCCTGTAATTGACAGGGGCGCATATGGTCGAAGTATAGGCAAACTCTAAGCGCATCTGCGTCTGCCTGGAATGGTTCATGATTCAGGGACTCGTGAGACCTCGAATACCATCAATTGCTTCGATCTGCAATCGTGCGTCGATGTGGTGATTCCAGAATTCTACGATGCTATCAGTGGTGTCGCACCAGTCGGTCCCTGGTGCCGGAGTTGAGAATCTTGCAGCCCAAACCACGCCGTCGTCATAATAAGTGGATCTCGCCCCGTCCACAACCCAGTATAGACCCCAAGTATGGACTGGAGTCCCGAGTCCTGTATGAGAGAAGAACGAGAGTGCGAGAGACATCATTAAATCACTCAATGATCATTCGAGTACACCAGTGCTCGACAAAATAATGCTTGATAATACCCTGATCATGCAAGGGACGACCCTCAGTACCTGAGCTGTTCTGCTGCCGCCGTTCCCGACCACTTAGTCCGAGCAGAGCATAAACTCCAGATCGCCGCTTCGGGGCAACTGGTCGTGAGTCAGGGTCTTAACTGCGTGGCTTCATAATACACAATAGCATCTCATAGTTTTAACGGTGGTCTGCAAGCATAGCTACCCCCACGGAGTCTCCTATAGCATGGAATTGTTTTTAAGTCTACTTAGCGATTAAAATCATCGCAACCTCACTGACGATCCCCAAAAAAATCCCACGATCGGCATCGTTCTGGCCCTGGCCTGATCCGGGTCACGCCAATTGGGCTGGCGCGCGGCACAGGACTACGCCCGTTTGGCCCTCAAGCCACTGGCCAGTCGGCCACCAAGTACCGGGTACCCCCACTGGGGGCGTTCCGCCACCCCAACGGCTGGTTAAGTCCCGTATGGAAAGGGGGGTCCTGGCAAGAGTCAACCAAGTACCTGGTACCTGCTAAGACCATCAGGATTGCGTGGATCGCGTTGATTGCGTACCCCCAAGCTTAAGTCAGCCACGACTCCCCTGGAAACGTCAACTGTTCTATTTCTATCTACCAACTCCATTGTCCATCGCCATCTCCATATCCATCGCCATCGCCATCTTTTATTTACTTCGCCAACACCCATCCTCTCTCTACGATCCGGAAAACTCGGCTTCTTTCGCTTCGATCCGTCACCTTCCCACGAAATTTGCGATCCTCGTCATGAGAAACGGCTAAAGATTCTCTCTTTCATTCGGTTCTCCCTCCCCCCTCCGCCAACTATGTTCTCTCTCTCCGTGTCGCCCGTCTCTGTGGGCTCCAACATCTTCTTCGCCTTCGCCCTCTGCTCCATCTCCGCCCTAGTCTTACTGCTATTACGCCGCTTCTTGACGATCCGCGCCACGCCGGCCTATTTGCTAGTTCCGATCTTCCTTGCCCTCGCACTCCCCGCGAGTGTCGTCCTCCTCGTCCCGATCGATCTCGCATCCAGCGCGCGCAATGGCACCGGCCCCAAGGCTATCTGGTTACCCGACCGCATGGTCCTGGTATGCTGGCGGATTGCCTATTGGCTCATCTTCATGCTGACCTGGTATGTACATCTCTACATCTCGATCTCTTCGGTCGCATATTGCAATTGCACTCGGTTCACTAACCTCTTTCTCTTTTCTCTTCAGGGCTATTCTTCCTCTTCTCGGCGACTATGTCGACTCCGGATATCGCGAACCCAAAGCTCGCATTCTCTACTCCCTCCGCTCCAATGCCCGATACCAATTGATTGTCCTCACCTGCGCGGTCGTCGGACTCATCTATATCTCCATCTCGATTGGCTTTGACCCCACCTCGATCAAGGGTACCGTCATGGCCTTGGCCTACGTCTGGGGCCTTGTTCTCGCTATTTATCTGATGGGCCATGGCTTGGTCTCTATACCGCGCAACCTATTCCGCAACGCGAATGTGAGCGGCCGCCTGAGGCGCATCCAAGCGCATGCTCCCAGAGTGCACGACCGGTTGATGGACGCCGTCAACGAACTAGAAAGCCTCAACTCGCAAGTCGCTCAACTTCAGCAGCGCAAGACTGGAACTGCGCGAGACTTCCAGGAATGGATCGAAGACTTGTCCGAAACCTCTGGCTCCGGCTCCGGCGACGTGCGAGTCCCTATCCTGGAGACCCCCGAGACGTCTGGCTCCGTTCCCTCTGTCATCACGGAGCGCTACCTGGCCGATCTGACCAGGCGCTTACAGCGCGCTCGTCATATGAAGGCACGGTTTGTGGATGAATGGGATCGCGTGGTGACGCTGGCAGCGGACCTGCAAGCCATCATCAACTCGGCAGCATCGAAGAAGCTCGAGTTCGGCGCTGGCCCCCGTCGGTCGTCCTGGCTGCCGAAAGTCAAGTTTTTGAACCCCTACCTGCGTTATCACCTATATTCTAATGTCATCCCCGGCCTGCGCTTGGTGTTTGGCGGTATCTTCGCGGTTGCCTCGGTGTGCATTGTCTGGTCGGAATTGATCAAGTCATTGGCGCCGCAGTACTCTGCCATTACCTTGACAGTCATCCCCAACTGGAAGGCTGAACAACCTCTTGGTTTCGGAAGCCAGGTCATCGCCTCCCTCTGGTTGCTGTACATGTGCTCTGCTGCCCTGGTCGGTGTCAGCGATGTCAAGGTCTGGGGCAACAGGGCCTTGGTGCGCCGTAACACCTATGGCGAGAGCGCGTGCTGGTACGCCAGTCTCGTAGCTCGTCTCACCGTCCCCATTGCCTACAACTTCTTGACGTTCTTGCCCAAGGATTTCCGTCGCACCACCACCTTCTACGAGTTCCTGGGTCGTCTCATCAACCTGACACACCTCGGCAAGGGCTTTGACTACTTCTTCCCCATCTTCATTCTCCTACCTATCTGCGCCACCATGTTCAACCTCTACAGCCGGGTCAAGAACATCTGTGGCTTCGGTCTGGCCGAGGACGATGACCTGCACGACGTTGAAAACAACCCAGCCGGGTATGGCATGGGCGGTTGGCGCGAGGGCCGCGACCTCATCGAGCGCGAGCTCAACGGGTTCGGTTCTCTGGCCGTTTCCTCGCGTGGCGGCCGCTCGACCTGGGCCTCGGACCGCAGCGACGATGACTCGCTTGGCTCTTCACGACTGCGTGTCGCCACCGGTGAGGGCTCCCGATCCCCGCGTCCCACCCAACGTCCGGTCACCGCGCCCACCGTTGTCGATGGCGAGGAGGAGGCAGAGGAGAACTTCTTCCAGTCCTTCGCCCACCGCGTGCGTAACACCTTTGAGACCGCTAACAAACCGCAATGGCTCCAGGGAGAACCCTTCCGCCTGCCTCGCTGGATGTCCGGCGACAATAACACCACCGAGGAAGGTGGTGTGACGCGGCTATTCGGTGGTCGGGCCGTTCCTGGCCGAGTGCGTCTGGGTTGAGCCCGTGGTTGACCGGGCTTATATTGACCCTTGTATTTTTTATTTCCCTCCTTTTCTTCTACTTGGTTGCATGATGCGGTGTTTGGGCCTTCCATTGTGTTTCTCTAAGCTGCTGGACAGTGGTAATATAGATCCTTTTATTATGTACATACTATCTTTTTCCTTTTGTCTTATGATTCATCTCAAATGAACATATCGTACTTGAATCCCGAATCCCGGTATCAGTCGAAACAATGGTTATTAGACACCTGCCTCGACGGCTGGCCTTGAAACGTTGGTGTCACACAATCCCCATGGAGTAGCAGCCTGAGGGTCCCTGTTTAGATCACGATGTGGACAAGAATAACTCGCATCTTTGTTTCAGCATTGGTACAAGGATGACTCGCTCTGTGTGTAAGTGAGGCTCTGAGTTGCCACATGTCCTTGGTCGTGTTGATCAGCACCAGGATGTCGAGACACTCCACACTACCGCACGCCTACTAATCCCATATACATATTCACTATCTACCAGTCTTCAATCTGATCTCTTACTTGCACAACTATCTATAACGACATGAGATTTCTTCTATTAGCACTGCATTTGCATACGTTCGCGAACATCCAAATTCAACACTCCTCCACTTTCCATATCTTCACCTAGCAAGTATTCCAAGCCCCCGCATCAAGAGTAACAACCCTACGCAGTCTTATAAGATACCCACCACGAATCTTTCCAAGCGCGATACCCCAATGAAACGAACACTTGCACAAATATTTCAATCACTCTTTCCAGCACCTACCAAAAAAAAATCAATTAACCCCACCAACTTCAACCCCCCACAACTTACCACCAACTTCATCTTCAACCCCCCAAAAACGAAACGCCAAAAAGAAGAATCCATTTGCCCTCGTCCAGGTTCGAACTGGAGACCTTCGGATTACCACCCTGTTGAGGCAGGGTCGTCATAAGATCCATATGAGACCGACGTCATAACCAACTAGACCACGAAGGCGATTGGATGAACGGGAGCCAGAAATTGTGGTTGTCGAGCCTGTGCAGTGGGGCGGGTTGGCTTTTTTTTTAGGGTTGGGACTTGGGTTATGTGTGCTGTGTGTCACGTGGGTGAGTGTACCTTTCTGGTTTGGGGGGATGTTGATGGATCAGGATCATTCTGGGTATTGTTAGTCTCTGTTTTACGTTGGGAGGCTGGGCTGGTGTTTGTTCTTGCTCGTTTATGTCTACTTATCATGTTGGGCTTCGATGAGATGCGAGCGTACCAATTGCAAGGTCAGAGTTCAGAGAGACTAGAGGCAGCTCCAATTGGATTCGCAAGAGCACATGATCCCTTTTCGATTTATTTTCAAAGCTATTTGAGCGGGTGATCCAGTAAAATGGGCTTATTCTCTTGCTCTTGGTTCTTTTGGTTGCTCATTGCGTGGGATTGTACAGTTAGACTCATGGAAAGTTCGCCCGGCGATATATTCCGGTCCATATCCGCGTCGTTACGTATGTCCTGGGTATGGTGTAACCTTAAGATTCTAAAGGCGATGGCAAAATTTCCATCCCAGTCATACTGCATATGAAGTGCTCCTGCTAGCCCTCAATAATTAAGTAGATAGTGTAACCAGATTATCCTCTGGATAAACACCACCTGGGTATGTAGTGATTGGTTCAGCATGAGAAGGTTCCCCGGATGACATCATAGGCCTCCCATCAACTGGCGTCTAACAACGGTTGAACAACATTTTTAGAAAACAGTAGAGTCTGAACGCAGTGAGATAGATGGGCTTGTCGCTCTGACCAACTATATACACTCAGAAAGGGAAATAAATACAATTCTATACATGGCAGAGAGACAAAGGCTTGGTACCTGTACGAGCCAAGGCCAAAAAGGACCCTCGGCAACGCGGCAAACCTCACAGCCTTGTAGAAATAAGGTGGTGCAACGTGGCTGTGTCGGGCATCTCACACGACCAACGACCTTCACCAGCATCAAAAGGTCATCCGAGAAATACGGCTGACCTTCAAAAGACACAAGTCAGCTTCCTCCATGGTTGACCCCCACACCTTCAAGGAACGATGGATTTGACCCCGCCGTCATACGAGTCTGCAACAGACCGGGATGCATGGGCCATCATCGCCCATTACATTCCCTCCAGCGACCTCTGCGCAGCCTCGCTGGTCTGCCATCGATGGCACGATCTGTTTATGCCGTTCCTATGGGGTGACCCGGCGTCGCATTTCGGTACAGAAAATGACGCAGTTTATGGTAGGACCGAGGAACCCCATTACCTATACTGATCTCGTGCTGACTGAATATGTTAGTGGCCCTAACACGGTTTAGAAGGACTCTCAAATATGCCAGGCGAGAAGTACGGGCACTAACCCATACACTTCATTTGCCGCCGGCATTGTCAGAGATCTACGGTGGTCCCCGACCAGGCTGGCTGAGAGATATTCTAGAGTATCTGCCTTGTCTGCAATGTTTGATGGTCTCAAGGCTACCCTTCTTTGACCATAATGCAATGGTTGCTCTGAGAAACCAACCAAGATCTAGTGAATACAACGTCCGCCTATTGTTAGCGGATCATGAGCCTAACACGACTTCGGCTGGACTGGCGGAGACTATTCTTCGTTTTCCGAGGCTGACGTATCTGGATCTCTCGTATACCAAGTCAGCGCGAGACCAGAGTGTCTTGTCTTCACTATCTCAGCTTGAGCACCTTCAAGTATTGAAACTGCGCGGTATTGGATTGAAGGACACCGATGCCGAGTTCCTGGCCAATGCCATTGGAACCAGAACTCGTTTCCTGGATGTGCGAAACAACATGCTCACCGACATGGCAGTCCGGTCCCTACTACAAGCGTCGTTTAATCCACCGGATCAACCAGTTGGGCGTGGTATAAGACAATCCGGTAATTCGCCAGACCATGCGCCCCCAGCAACCCAGCAGAGCCGCCAATCAGAATTTCTCAAGTCCCCAGACCTCGATGAGCAATTCCTCAAGTTTCTCGCACAGCCTGGTTCGAATCACCCCTGGATAGAGGACCTACCACACACGGGGATCACTCACCTCTACATCGCCAACAATCCAATCACAGTAGAAGGTGTAGCCGGTCTCTTAGCTTCATCTCGCCTCCACGCCCTCGATGTCGGTACCGTGAACACCGCAGATGTCATTCACAAAACAGCCTCCAGACATGGGATATGCCCCGGAGCAGAGAAGCTAGTACCTATCCTGGGCAACATCGCCGGAGACAAGCTCACCTACTTTCGAGCACATCATGCCGTTGTTACTGCGGAGCCTCCGGCGAAAGACTCGGCAGCCAAAGGCGAATTCATACCAGAGCTTCCTTCCAGCAGCGAGGTGCGACGTGAAGCTGAGTTGGATGCGTCACAGGAGATTTATGAGCTGCCAGGAGAGAATCTTCCGGTCTTTGAGCTTGCAGACACGTCAATATCGGATTCTCAAGGTTCGACGGTTACAACTCCAGTCCCACGGCTGAAGAATCCATACGAGGATGAGCCGTTGCCTGCAGTTAGGCGTGGATCTGCATTTGCACCGGAAGTTGTACTTGAGCCAAGTGACGACAGCAACACCATGACGTCCAACGGCTTTACCAATTCGCTTTCCTATCAGGAAAATGATGAAGGCACCCTACAATCAATCTCGACCCTTTCTGTACTCGATGACAGCTCCATGGCATCAATCCCACAATGCAGCTCTCCAATATCAACAGACGACCCCCAGGCCCAGAGAATCCAGGAGCTGCTAGCGAAACGTCCACGAAACCAGTCCCTCCCTCTCCGAGGTGGGAAAGAAAGCCGATTCCCTTATTTACACCCATCCCATATTCCCCATCTCGAAACATTGGTCTTGACGGACGTTCCCTCACACCTCCTGCCCAATTCTCCGATCCTGTACACCTTGACTCGATTCATCACTGCTTGCTCCAACGAAGCTCTACTCGCCACTCTCCAAGCTGGATCGGATTATTCCCTGCCACCTGGCCAGGCACGCATGCGAGCTGAACAAGAGCGCTCCCGAACGCTCTTTGGATTACGGCGAATAGTCCTTGAAGTCACCCCCACTGATAGCTCCACCCGACTGACTACGTGGAAACCGGGTGTCCAAAACTCAAGTACAGGTGATCGCGACTCGGAGGCTCTCTGGGCAGCAGCCGCGGACGACTTTAGCTTCTTCGAGGAGATGGAGTGTGGTATCCCCGAAAATGACCCGGGCAAATACTTCCCAATGGCCGTGCTCAACGAAAAGGTCTCCCTCATGCCCTCGGACGACGATGCCTCCACACATTCTGGCGCCGAATCACCCCTGCCGAGCCACCATATCTCGCAGAAAAGCGCAACATCTGCCGTACGCAGTACACGCAGTCCGTCTCGACCGGTTACAAAAGGGTCGCAGCCCACACTCTTGAAAGAAATTGATCTGGTGGCTGAACTCGCTGCCTTCCGTCGTGCTAAGAAAGTTGAGTATGAGCAGGCCGTGCGTCGGGAGAGAGGACGGCGCAGCACTAATGGGACGGGGATATCGAGCGTGCCCGCTGTGACGACGCCGCAGATCTCGATGGCACAATTTGTCGAGGGACATTGGAAGGGTGAGATTAAGATTGTGAGGAATCCGACGTCGAAGATGCGTAGCGGGATGGTGGATATGTATGGGAATTATTTCGAGAAGGGCTACCTCTATCCTTGAACGTACATAGCATATAGCATATACCCAATGACCTTGTATCTTCGAAGACACTGCGAAGAGACGCTACGTTTACTGGTACGCGCAGGTGCCTTTTTTGATAAATTTTTGATATTTTTCCAGTCAGTAAGGACACAGACTGATCCTTGCCTCCAGTCATGCACATGCCATCGTGATTTGGCTCTCGTACATCGAAGGGGCACAAGATACTGCGAAACGCGAAGGGAAAGCACATATAAGAAGCGATAAAAGAACAATCCTTGAATCGCCCTTCCTATTTGCGCAGCCCATCCCCAGAACCGAGTATCTTTTTTCGAACACCCCAATGCCGTTTCCTCCATTTTCGTAGCAGCATTTAGCTTGTCCGGCTGGAATGCCACAGATATCCGTCGTTCAAGAGCACCACAGCGGGAAAGGAAAACAAAATAAAAAGATTCATTTCAGACTAGTTCCATTTTTATTTTGCTGGTTTGAATGGCGTTCCTCTCCTTTACATAGCCTTGGCGGCCTGAGGGGGGTTCATCTTCTTGCCATCCTTGTTGTAGCGGATCCGTGGGGGAGGAGCACGGTTGCGGCGGCCTTCACGGGAACGGACACTGTAGAAAGTGAATTAGTATGGGAGTTGACGACGAGCGAGGAGGCGCATGAGGCGTTGGAGGGCATGCATACCGAACGATCTTGCCGTGAATAGCGCAGGACACGCAGTACTGGAGCTTCAGGTACATCTTGGGGACAGAGTACTCGGCGAAGACGGAGGCATCGGAGATATCACCTGTAGATCGAAAGAACGTATGTTAGTCCATCAATTCTTGAAAGCGAAGCGTGTGATGCGTAGGCGGGTCCGGTCCGTTCGTATCGAGTAAGATTTCAATATTCTTCCGTCGATTCGGGTCGATCCAGAATCCTCCTCTTTGGGGTGTAGGGTGCGAATGGAATGAAATTGTCATGTCGAGAGGGTCACGTACGGATGGCAGCAGACTCGACCATGTTGCGGATGGTGAAGCGCTTGATGGCCTTGTCCTTGGGGGTGCAGCGAGCGCAGTTGGAGCAGCGCACGGGCTTGACGTGGCCGCGGCCATTCTTGTTACGACCGCTGGAGAAATTCAATTAGTTCCCATGTTGCCTTGCGAATATGCATTTCACGATATCCAGTCTCCATTCCGTGTTGATTCGGTCGTCAATGCGCATGAGTCGTGTTTTGCGAATGTTGCTATTTTCTTTTTTTTTATCATATCGAGGGTTGTGGCGTGGCATCGAATTCGTCGGCGTCATTGCGGAGGTTCATATCGGATGGGAGACTGGATTCGCGGAAGGAGGAGAGATCGAGTCTTACTTGTTCGCCCGCTTCTTGACCATTTTGACGGATTGCTCTGTGGACAGTCAGAGAGTCGATCTGGGATGGAAAGGAGGAAAGAGGGGGGAGGGAAACGTACGGGTGTCTTGTCGGGAGTGGGTTGTCGAAGCTCGCTCACACAGACGCTCTGCCAGAATGGATGGGGTGGTTGTGTTGTGGGAAGCCCTAAGCCCTTAAGCGAGACCCAGTCACGGGTGTAGACACCTTGGTGCCTGGGTGCCTGACAGACTGTGAGGCCTGAGATATAAGGCTGCAAGGCAGTGATCGGGACATCGAGAATGAACTGATCATCACGTGGTCCATGCCATCCCAAAGTAGACTAGCGCCCGGATCGTACCGTTCATCCCGGCCAATTACATAAGCCCCGTGTTTACATGGCCGAGAGTTGGACTTAGCGTTGAAAACACCGCCAAACAGCCCAAACACCCCTGTTCAGATCGACCATTCACTGCCCTTTTCCTTCTCTCGAACTGGAAGAGTCTCCCTTGCTGTTTTCCTTTTTTCTTTCTCAGACCTGTTTCTCATTCTTCGCTGTTTGCTCCACTCTCGTCCTCCCCTTTGTCTCTATTTTTGTTGTGTTCCTTCCCCTCCCTGGCTTGAGTATGTCGCATACAGGCACTTTTAGGGGAACACCCAATAAGACCATCGGGAGAGGAAGGCTGCCCGACTTCGAGAGTTCAGGTGCTTCCCACATCCCCCGACCCCGTTCAGACCGTCCAGAATCCTCCGCCGCATCCACCCACACCCCATCCAGCGACGTCGGAAGTGGCACTATGAGCGCCGCCAGTAGCAGACAACGACAGAACCAGTCGAAGCGTGATGAGGTGTGTATCTACGGAAGCTGTACAGCTTGACAGGACCCTCATAATTGATCCGCCATTTCCTACTCGGCTTGCCGGCTAACCCTCCCCGGTTTGTTTTCATAGGCAATCCGTCGCAAGATGGAGGCCGACCTCAACAAGAAGAAGCATCACCCGACCAAGGCGAGAAATGCCCGCAAAGCCCCGCCGGGCACCGTGCTCGCCCTGAAGCCCAGCCAGGCTCTCCAGATCAAGCCCACCCTCAGCATTGCCGAGGCTGCCCAGCTGATGGCCGCGAAGCGGGAGGATTGTGTGTTGGTTACCGATGACGATGAGCGAATTGCTGGTATTTTCACTGCAAAGGATTTGGCTTTCCGCGTGGTTGGCGCTGGCCACAAGGCGCGAGAGGTGACCGTGGCCGAGATTATGACCAAGAACCCCTTGTGCGCGCGAACGGACACTAGCGCTACCGATGCGCTTGACCTGATGGTTCGCAAGGGCTTCAGACATTTGCCGGTCATGGACGAGAACCAGGATATTTCGGGTATTCTGGATATCACCAAGTGCTTCTACGATGCGATGGAGAAGCTGGAGCGTGCCTATAGCTCGTCGCGGAAGCTGTACGATGCTTTGGAGGGTGTTCAGACCGAGCTGGGCTCTAGCCAGCCCCAGCAAGTTATTCAGTACGTCGAGGCGCTGCGATCCAAGATGTCCGGCCCGACTCTTGAGACTGTCCTGGATGGCATGCCCCCCGTGACTGTCTCCGTCCGAACGACTGTCAAGGATGCCGCCGCATTGATGAAGGAGCACCATACCACTGCCTTGCTGGTGCAGGACCAAGGCTCCATCACTGGTATCTTCACCAGCAAGGATATCGTTCTTCGTGTCATTGCTCCCGGTCTCGACCCTGCCACCTGCAGCGTGGTGCGCGTCATGACTCCCCACCCTGATTTCGCTCCCTCCGATATGAGCATTCAGGCTGCCCTCCGCAAGATGCACGGTAAGTTCCTTTTGAGCTCGACCAGTTGAGGTCCAGTGATAAAGTTTACTAACTATCGGAATAGATGGCCACTATCTCAACCTCCCCGTCATGAACGAGGGCGGCGAGATCGTCGGCATGGTGGATGTGCTGAAGCTTACCTATGCCACCCTCGAGCAGGTAAGCCTCCCCTCGTTAATTGAAGAGATACCCTTGTGTGCACGAAACTTATCACGGAATATAGATCAACACTATGTCGACCCAGGATGACGAAGGCCCGGCCTGGAACAAGTTCTGGCTGTCTATGGATCACGAATCCGACTCTATGGTCTCTGGAAGCCAGCCGGCGCCTCACACGCCGCACCGTTCCGTCATGAGCCCCGATCTGGCTCGATCACAGTATGATAACAGCGTGCTGCCGAACGAGTCCGCTTCGCACCACGGGGGTGACGAGCACTCTGAAGTGGCTTCTCAGCACCACCAGCACCATGCTGAGAACGCGCCGTTCCCCTTCAAGTTCAAGGCTCCTAGTGGTCGTGTTCACCGTGTGAACGTCCTGAGCTCCTCTGGCGTCGCCGACCTGGTCGCCCAGGTGACTGCTAAGCTCGGCGCCGAGCTTGAGGCAGTGGGCGGCGAGGCCGTAGTCGAGGAGGGTCGACTCAGCAACACGGGTTATGCTCTGAGCTACATGGATAACGAGGGCGACACGGTCTCGATCACCACCGACCAGGATTTGCTGGATGCTATTGACCTTGCCCGCCGCGCCCGTCGTGACAAGGTTGATCTCTTTGTTCATGACCCGGCCCAGCCTCCTATCCCTGCCACCCTCGACCCGCAGCCCACTAAGCCTGCGACTCCCGTTATTGAGGAGCCCAAGAGTGTGGTGCCAGAGACTCCATCGGAGGAGCCTCTGCTGAGCAAGCCCCGACAGGCCCTCCCTACACACCCCGGCCCCGAGGAGCAGTTCATCTCTGGCGTTCCCAACGAGCTCCTTCTGCCCGGAGCCATCGTCACTCTGGCGGCGGTCATTGCGGGTGTATTCATCCTCAGCCGTCCCAGCGGTCGTTGAAAAAAATAGTTGCATTGTTTTTCCAGTTTCTAGACATCACTCCCTTGTCCTCATCGGTCTCATTCCTCCCCTCATCCCCTCCCAATAATCTCGACCTCCCTCCCTCCACTTTTCTTCATTTTGGCTCCTCCTGATGTTTTCGTTCTGCGAGAGTGCATACCCCCCTTTCTAATTATCGATATTTCGTGTCGCGTTCAGATACCGCTGTTCTAGTCATGATCAGTTGCGGCCAGTAGTTTTAGCCTTTCAATGCAAATACTTGTTTTTATAGGAATGCTATATCAATGGAAAGCTGTAACTACCCTTGTTACATATCCTTATCATTCAAGATTTAAGCTACGGTATGAATCCTCGTGGAATGAACTTATCAAGGAGATTGAACTGGGCGTGTTCGCGTTGATCTCCACCGCGGGAATCGAGGCCGTCAGGCTGTCCGAAGTACCCAAGTACCGGGCATCAATAGGTCTCTGGTAGCCCTGTCTCTTGTATTACTAGTCAGGTTGGAATGAGAGCTTCTTCATAAGCTCCTAGTCTCTCTCGTCTCCCATAAATTTAATCCTGGACTCTCTCTTCCCGTTCTTTACTACTCCTGTTTCCCCGAGGTTGATCCATCTAAGTGGTTCCCAGCGCCTATCGCATATCGATTGCCCCGACAGCCGTAATCATCAATCTTTTTTTCCTTTCCTTGCCGCCCCACCAAAAACAAAACTCCTTCCACCCCCCTTCAAACCACACCCCTCTTCAAGCCCCTCCCCGCCAACTAATCCCGCTTCGAGGGTTCCAACAAATTGGGTTCTTTTTGTCTGTTGGATCTTGGGAACAGACATACCCACGATGTCCGTGCTGCCCCAAGAAGTCCACACCGCGCTGTCCCAGCTGCTGCGCGCTCTCAGCACCCCCGACAACGCCGTTCGATCCCAGGCCGAGGACCAGCTGAACAATGATTGGGTCCAGACCAAGCCGGACATCTTGTTGATGGGCCTGGCTGAGCAGATTGCTGGTGCCGAGGACACATTAGTGAGTGCCAACTCCGACTTGACTCTACCTAGGGAGGGGGAAATCGTGAGAGCCAAGAGCTGTCGTCTGTGTGGGTGACTGCTCGATGCACACGACCGACCCCCTCACGACAAAATACCTTGAACAGATACGCTATAGAGCATGCGCTGACTCGGGGACTTTCGTATCAATAGACTCGTGCTTTCTCCGCTGTGCTTTTCCGAAGAATTTCTACCAAGACCCGCAAGGACCCTATCTCTGGCGACGTCAAGGAAATCTTCTTGAGTCTGCCCAATGAGCAGCGTGTTGCGATTCGCGAGAAGCTGGTGATATGCCTGACCGCCGAGTCTGTCACTGATGTGCGCAAGAAGATTGGAGACGCTGTGGCAGAGGTGGCCCGCCAGTACTACGACAACGGTACGCAATTCCAACACAAGCCAAAAAAGTCCCCGTTCACCGTTGAGACTGTTACGAAAGATCTGTTCCGTTCTAACGATTTGATTTTTTTGGGGATGTATAGGCGAACAATGGCTTGAGCTACTTGGTGTTCTCTTCCAAGCCAGTCAGTCTCCCGACTCTGGTCTTCGCGAGACTGCGTTCCGCATTTTCACAACCACCCCCGGCATCATTGAGAAGCAGCACCAAGATGCTGTCCTCAATGTCTTCACCAAGGGTTTCGAGGATGACAACATCTCGGTATGCCTGATCCTCGCCCGATACAAAGAGCCGTCTAGCTGATTCCTTCCTCTCCAGGTGCGCATTGCCGCTATGGAAGCTTTCGCCTCCATGTTCCGTTCTATCGACAAGAAGTCCCAGACCAAGTTCTTCTCTCTTATGCCCGCCCTTCTCAACATTCTTCCTCCCCTCAAAGAGTCCAGCGAGAGCGAAGAGCTCTCGTCAGCATTCTTGGCTCTTATCGAGTTGGCCGAAATCAGCCCGAGGATGTTCAAGGGCTCTTTCAGTGACTTGGTCAAGTTCAGCATTAGTGTCATTGCCGATAAGGAGCTCAGTGACCAGGTCCGCCAGAATGCGCTGGAGTTGATGGCAACTTTCGCCGACTATGCACCCAATATGTGTAAGAAGGAGGCCAACTTTGCGCAGGAGATGGTGACCCAATGTCTGAGCTTGATGACTGATGTGGGTGTCGATGATGACGATGCTGAAGAGTGGAATGCTTCCGAGGATGTGAGTCCTTCTTTCTCCTTCGCCTGTTGGCAAGTATCAAGCTGCTAACGTTTCTATAGCTCGAGCCTGAAGAGAGCGACCTCAACCACATTGCTGGTGAGCAATGCATGGACCGCCTGGCTAACAAGCTCGGCGGAGAAGCCATTCTCCAGCCTGCCTTTTCCTGGATTCCTCGCATGATGTCTTCCACTGCCTGGCGCGATCGCCACGCCGCTCTGATGGCCATTTCCGCCATCTCGGAGGGCTGCCGCGATCTTATGACCAATGAGCTTGATCAAGTTCTTGCTCTGGTTGTCCCTGCTCTGCGGGACTCCCACCCTCGTGTCCGCTATGCAGGCTGCAATGCTCTCGGCCAAATGAGTACCGACTTCGCTGGTATCATGCAGGAGAAGTACCACGGCATTGTTTTGAACAACATTATCCCCGTCCTTAGCTCCACCGAACCCCGTGTGCAGTCTCACGCCGCTGCTGCTTTGGTCAACTTCTGTGAGGAGGCTGAGCGTAGCATTCTCGAGCCCTACCTCGGTGACCTTTTGAGCCGCCTTTTGGAGCTTTTGCGCAGCCCCAAGCGCTATCTCCAGGAACAGGCATTGTCGACCATTGCTACTATTGCCGATTCTGCCGAAACCGCCTTCGGTCAATACTACGACACCCTTATGCCCCTGCTGCTCAACGTTCTCAAGGAAGAACAGGGCAAGGAATACCGGCTGCTTCGTGCTAAGGCCATGGAGTGTGCTACTCTGATTGCTTTGGCCGTTGGCAAGGAGAAGATGGGCCAGGATGCTCTGAACCTCGTCCAGATTCTGGGCCACATCCAGCAGAACATCGTCGACGCTGATGACCCTCAATCGCAGTACCTCCTCCACTGCTGGGGCCGTATGTGCCGCGTTTTGGGCCGTGACTTTGTGCCCTACCTGCCCGGTGTCATGCCTCCCCTGCTGACCGTGGCCGCCGCCAAGGCCGACATCCAGTTGCTGGATGACGAGGACCAGATTGAACAGGTTGAGCAGGACGAAGGCTGGGAGTTGGTTCCCCTCAAGGGCAAGGTTATTGGAATCAAGACAAGCGCTTTGGAGGACAAGAACACCGCTATCGAGTTGATCACCATCTATGCTCAGATACTGGAGGATGCCTTTGAGCCTTATGTTCTAGAGACCATGGAGAAGATTGCCGTCCCTGGTCTTGCATTCTTCTTCCACGATCCCGTCCGCGTCTCGGCCGCTAAGCTGGTTCCCCAGCTGCTCAACTCTTACAAGAAGGCCCACGGCGGCAACTCCCCCGGATTTGCCGAGATGTGGAATAAGGTGGCCGAGAAGATCATTGAGGTGCTCAGCGCTGAGCCTACCGTTGATACCTTGGCCGAGATGTACCAGTGCTTCTACGAGTCCGTGGAGGTCGTTGGCCCCAACAGCCTGTCCCCGCAGCATATGCAGGCGTTCGTCGACTCTGCCAAGTCTACGCTTGAAGACTACCAGATGCGCGTGAAGCAGCGGTTGGAGGAGCAGGCTGAGCTTGAGGATGGCGATGAGGAGAACCTCGACTTCGAGTATGCCGTTGAGGATGACCAGAACCTGCTCAGCGACATGAACAAGGCCTTCCACACTATCTTCAAGAGCCAAGGTACCACTTTCCTGCCCGCCTGGCAGCAGCTGATGCAGTTCTACGACAACTTCATCACCAGCCAGGACCCGACCCAGCGACAATGGGCCCTGTGCATCATGGACGATGTGCTGGAGTTCTGCTCTGCAGAGTCTTGGACCTTCAAGGACCACATCATGCAGCCTCTGGCCTCTGGTCTGCTGGATGAGAACGCTGCCAACCGTCAGGCCGCCGCTTACGGTGTCGGCGTCGCCGCGCAAAAAGGTGGTGCTCCCTGGGCCGACTTTGTCGCTGCCTGCATTCCCAGCCTGTTCCAGGTGACTCAACACCCCCAGAACCGCACCGAGGAGCACGTCTTTGCTACTGAGAATGCTTCGGCCAGTATTGCCAAGATCCTGCACTTCAACGCCTCCAAGGTGCAGAACGCTCAGGAGGTTGTGATCAACTGGATTGAGACGCTGCCTATCACTTATGACGAGGAGGCCGCACCCTATGCTTACTCGTTTATTGTTCAATTGGTTGACCAGTATGTATCCCCCTCCCTTTCATTTTTTGACGCACCCTGGATTGTCATGACCGTTGAGCTAACACACCCATCTAGGCAAAACCCCGCGGTCCTTACCAAGGCCGACCGGGTCTTCGGGTTCATTGTGCAAGCCCTCGATGCCGGCACTCTTCAAGGCCAGACCGCTGCCCGTGTTGCTCAGGCAGCCAAGCAACTTGTTGCGGCGACCAACTTGAACGCCGAGTCAATCCTGGCTGGTGTTAGCCCGGAAAGCCAAGAGCGGGTTCGCAAGTTCTTCCAGTAGAGTCCGACTTTTGTTTTATATCCGCGGCAACCGCCCCTGTCTGCCCATCCCGGTTGGGTTTTATCTCCCTGTTTGTTAATCATTCCCCTTGGGCCATGTGAATCCGATGCTAGTAAAGACGTGAAATGTTTTGTTAATTCCCACCCAATCCGTTCTTCTTGTGTCTCCGTGCCACGATCGTACGAAAATACCTTATCACAATCTCGAACTCGCCAATGGCAAGGTTGATTGGTTTATATGCTTATTTACATAGATGAAGTGACGGTCCTATGATTTGGTATGATCTGGAGTTACCGGCTAGTCAATCATGACCAAGGCTTCCATAGCTTCTTCGCGGTTCTGTACTGGCCAAATTATAAACTGCTAGACTCACGAATTTCCCCGGCAACAATCTCTTCCAACGACGTTGTCTTGGGCTCTCCAATCAGCCCATTCGCCCGCTGCTCATACAGCGTGCCGCCTTCCGACCAGATTCGTCGCAGAGTCACCGCCGTCGCCCCCGAATTCCCAGCCCCCCACGCCTCCCCTTCTAACTCACGTAGTCGCTCGAGCGATGTATAAGACACGTCCCAGGGACCTGGCACGTGGCGTTCAAACAAAGCCTGGATCTCAGCCGGGCTGGTCGTAAACGAATTGACACAGAGCGGGCGATTGCGTGTCTCCGGGGTAGCATGGAGAAGAGCCGACACGACAAAAGTCCCCACACTATATAGCAGAAAAAAAAGGCCCAGTTAGCACAATCCCATTCCTTTCCTCCAGGAAAATCAAAAATCAAAAATCAAAAATCAAAAACTCACTCTTCCATCGTCGTCAAACTAACCCGCTCCTCCCCCTTCGCCCCCAAAAGCACCGCCTTCCGCCCCCTCACATCCCAACCACCGGCCTCCTCCAACCCGTGCGTAAAATGCAAATACATCTCCGCAAACGGGCCCGTCACGATATACGAGTAGTCCAGATCATCGCGGGAGATTTCGTTTTCCAGCACGGCGCGCACCTTGAGTTTCTGCTGGTGGGGCTTTTCGTGGGCCGAGGCGGGGCTGTAGGCGATGTCGGTGCCGTATTCGGATGGGAAGAACCATTTGACGGTTGGACTGGCGGCGGCGAGGCGGATTAGGGGGATTTGGTGGGCGAGGGTGTTTCGACCCAGCGCGGAGATTACGGTTGTTATTCCTGGAATTGAGGTTAGTCTTCGTTGTTGTAGGTTGAGTAGAGAGTAGAGAGTAGAGAGGGGGGTGGAGGTGTAGTCCATTGAGGATGGACTTGCACTTTGTGTATGTGTACGTGTATGTGTATACTTACCCTCGTAGGCAGCCTTGACGGCGCTTTCATCTTCGATACTGCCGACGATCACTTCAATGCCTTGCTTCTTGAGCTGTTCTCCCTTGGTCTCTGCAGTGCGTGGGGAGGTGAAAATTGCGATGCGGCCGAACTGGGAGCGCTGGGCTAGGAGGGCGTTCAGGATGAAGCGGCCAATGGCGCCTGTGGCGCCGAAGAGGAGGATGTTCTGGGGAGCCATGGCATAGATACAGTAGAGGCAGTGTGTAGAAGGTAGAAAGAGGGAAAGGAGATATCTCGTTACATCATCGGAGAGATCCCCGACTGTGGGGTCGCGGGGTAGTTTGGCTTATCAATCGACTTGGAATTTACCCGAATTCGATGCTGTTGCGGTCAATTGCGCCATTGCAACTAATGTTCCATCTCAGACTACCATTTCTAGAATCTCCAAGACTTGCTCTTTCTCCTTCAGCGGCACCGGATTCGTCTGACACCACCGGTCATGCAAACTGTGCTTGGCCAGGGCATCCAACTTATCCCGGCCCACCCTCACATCTGCCAGAGACCGCGGCATGCCCAATTCGCGAATCACCACATCCAGGATATCGCCCAAATCCGAGTCCTCCACCTTGGTAGAACGAGAGCGTAGAACCTCCGCGACGACGGGATCACGGATGAGGAATTCACGCACTCGCGCTTGCCGCTCGCGATTCGCGTTGTGCTTAGCATTGAACTTGCACACCGCTGGGAGTAAGATGCAACTTGTCTCGCCGTGTCCAACGCCCAAGGGGCCGAGCTAGAAATGAGTTGTTAGCTATCTTATAACTCCATATAAATGAATGGACGCTCTCCACAGGCGGTTCAATGTAGAACGAATGACGCATACCTGATGTCCAATCCCATGACTAGCCCCCAACTCCACCGAACCACTTGTACAAGCAGCCATCGCATCCACCGATCCCAATTGACACTGCAAATGAGCCTCCCGATTCCCCCGATCCCTCTTACACCGCAACAACCCAGGCACCAACAAACCCAACGCATGCTCCGCAAGCTCATCCGACGCCGGCGTCACACCCACAACCGCACAAAGCGTCTCCACGCAGTGATCCACCGCCCGAATCCCCGTACTCAACCAGATCGAGTCCGGCGTGGTTTCGACAAGTTCAGGGTCGAGGATGATGAGCTCCGGTCCGCGGAGGGGTGCTTGGAAGCTGTATTTACGGCGGGAGTTGTCCTCGGTGCCGCCGGCGAAATTGGAGTATTCGCCTGCGGAGAGGGAGGTTGGGACGGAGATTATTGGGATCGTGGGTGGATGGATTTGAGAGCGTTTGTTGGGGCCTTCGGCGAGGGATTCGAGGTCGGAGATGGTTTGGACTTGGTTGGCGAGGGCCTGTCTCGAAGAGTGTGGTTAATATATAGTCGTGGTGGAAATATAGACTGTGAGCAGGCATGGAATCTATGCTTCCAAGGTGGACTACCAACCCAACATCATATACTCGAAAGAAAAGAAGGTATACAATACTTACGAAAGCAATAATCTTCGCGCCATCCGTCAAACTGCCAGCCCCCAGCGTCAACAGTAAATCCGCCCGTACACTCCTTGCCTCCTCCACAATCTCCAATACCTCTGACCACAGCGTATGACTCTGCATTCCAATGCGACACCCCACGACCTTCTCAGCGCCCAGCGCTGCAGTCAATCGGTCCAAGGCATCTGTATTCCGTGCCAGAGATCCAGAGCAGATCACGTAGACACGCGAGGCACCGAATGTCTCGGCGACGTGGTCGGCGGCTGCGGTGGGGAAGGGGATGCCGTAGCTGAGGAGAGGGCGCTCACGGTCTGCGAATGCTGGGCGGACGGTTTCGGTCATTTTTCGAGAGATGTATAGTGGATAAAGAAATAAGGGTTTTTTCGAATTGTTATTCAACTTTTCGTATCTCATTAAATTTCAGGGATTGCTGGCGGAAATTATATCATCGTGAAAGGAACAAGCTTCTCCACGTGGGAATGTGGGGCTTCAGTCGATGTGGGTTCACATGAAAGGGTCTCATACTTTGTATACTTCCACTGCTGCTATGGATTGAAGTCCAGTATAGTCGAAGTATTCGAGAACTAAGTATGACTATATCCACTCAATTATCAATCTATACAATATACCCACCGCATCAACATCCAGTCAACCCATGAACCCCTCCATCCGCCGTGTACTTGCACGAGCCCGTTCCAGCCGTCGTCGAATTGACCGGATACAATACCACATTATCAAAATCAATATTATAACACGGATGCACATTCGAACACGACACTGACGCAACCGTACTCTTACTCGTCTCAATCTGCCCCGTGAAATTCACAAACGCCACATTCGAAATAGTCATCAGACTCGTCCCCGAGTACGATCCATTATTTCCACTATCCTCCGTAATCGCGGGTCCCGCGTTAGCGCCCTGGACATCAAAGTTCGAGAATAAGACGTTGGACACGCTGCCCCAGCCACCGCCACGAGGAAGACCCGCGCTCTCGTAGGAACTTTGCGGGACCAGCGCACCGACCCATGTCTTGATGTATGCGCTGTTGTGCATGTCTTCGTTATACCGGATGAGTTTGACGGTGTCGACGATGATGTTGGAGACGCTGGAGTCTTCGAGGTACTGGCCCAGACTGCCGATAGCGATACCGTTGCCACCGCGGCAGGTGACGTTGTGGATGTTGACGTTGTAGGAGCGTGGCTTGATGGCTACGCAGTCGTCGCCGCCTTGGTAGACGAAGTTGGTTAGTTCGATGTTGTTGACGTCCATGGTGTCTGAAAGAAGACCTGTTAGTTCACTGATTCTATAGAAGGAGAGAAGAAGGTTCGAGGAGGATGAACATACCAAATCCATCTGTATTCTGCACCCAGTTACTGCCGTATGGCGCGTCAACTGCAGTGGCATTGCAGTAGATGTTGTTGAAGCGCATGTTGGTGCCATTCATAATATTCAAACTCCACAAGGGAGGATCCTTGACATAGAAATTCTCCACGCTGACTTCGGACACATTCCAGAAGACAAAGGGCATGGGTCGTCCTGGCTGCGTGTTTCCCTTTTCGGCAGTATACCACACATTGCCATTCCCATCGATTCCACCGGTTCCATATCCATCAATCTTGATGTTGTCGCCTGTGATGATAAACCCGGCAGCGTGATTCTGGAATGCAACCGGGTAGGAGTGATTACGCCAGTAGTCCAGGTCGTCGGAGAACTGGGAGTGATCAGTGTTGTGTCAGTCAGAAACGAGGATTTGAATTACTTACAGTCCATTTCCCGCGCCATTCAATTACCACATCATTGACAACGGGGTTCAGGCGCGTTGCGATCCAGTAGGATTGGTCTTCTGGGAAGATCACTGTACCGCCGTGACCACATTCTTTGAATGCCTTCAGGATATCTGGGACATCGTCTCTTTGATGGCCATTGGCCTTGACGGTGCAGACATTCGGACCATTTTTGATCACAGCCGCATTGGCAGCACTAGTCAATGCAAGCCCAAGGGGCAGCACAACAGAGATAAATTCCGGCAAGCGCATTGTCCCGAGAACTTGTCCGTGTAGGTCTGTCCAGCGTAGAGTTAGCGCTTTATAACCGACCTCCAAAACGCTAAGAGAGGATCTGATCCCCTGTTAGCCTTCTTCTCGGTAACATTTGCGCCGAGCTTGCTCTACTCCCCCTTGAGACCCTTGAGGGTCTGGAATTGCGGAGAAAAGCGTTTGCGGGGGAAAGTAGCGCCCGGAATGGCGTGGGATTTGTCAATTCGGCAGTTTGTATGAGAATGTCGATGCTTTCAAAGCCACACGAGTGCTTGTCCTGCCGATCTTTACCCTGATCCTGGTTAAGTGCAATATCGCTCTATCCGCATTGTTCCACCAATCAGGGGGGTCTCATGCCCTGCCTCCTCTATTTTGTGCATCAAATTGTCAAATACAGGTGCTTCCCTCTGACTAACTCGTGCTATTCTTGACCGAGAAATGAGATTCTACTGTGGAACTCTCCGTAACCCCGCCGGTATTTGGGTTACTATATGTAGTTGGCATATTAGGGAACTTGATCCACTTTTACCCCATACCAGAAGATAGGAAAAAAAAGTTATTTCTCTGTGAACTTGCAAGATGGTACAGATCCATTGGTCTGGCTTGCTTGTGAGCTTCTGCTCTTTGCTTTCTCTGAGTGAAGCACAGTCCTGTTGGCGGAACACGACTTGCTCGGGTCCAACAAACAGCGCCTTCAGCGGTGTATGGGATAAAAACATCTATGCACCATCATCGCGAACTGTGCGACCCGCATCGACTCTCTCCGAGTTGAAAACAAATGCCATCACCAATCGTGGCAAGCCGGCGACAGCATCTCTGCACGGGAATGGATCGCTCGTGGTCTTTGACTTTGGCAAGGAAGTAGGTGGCATTGTCCATCTGGACTACACTTCCACGGGCAGCGGAGCCCTTGGTCTCGCCTTCTCCGAAGCCAAGAACTGGATCGGAGAGTGGTCCGACTCTTCTAATAGTCTCTACCACGATGGCGCCTTATACGCTAATTTCTCATCCTCGGGGAAGCATGTTTACGATATGCCCGACCGATTTCTCCGTGGTGGCTTCCGATACCTGACAATCTTCCTTGTTACGGACAGCTCTACGAATGTGGACTTGACGGATATCACTGTGGAACTCGATTTCCAACCTACATGGGCCAATCTTCGTGCCTACCAGGGGTACTTCCACTGCAGCGATGAACTGCTGAATCGTATCTGGTACAGCGGTGCTTATACGTTGCAAACCAATGAAGTCCCCGTTAATACTGGACGTCTTAATAGCGGAGTCAAATCTAGATGGCTGAACAATGGAACGCTCGGACCTGGTGATACTATCATCGTTGATGGTGCCAAGCGAGACCGGGCTGTCTGGCCTGGTGATATGGGTATCGCGGTGCCGTCAGCCTTTGTCAGCCTGGGAGACTTGGATAGCGTGAAGAACGCTCTACAGGTTATGTACAACACGCAGGTAAGTGAGCCAATGCTTGAATACTGGGTTTGGCTTGCATTGACATATATGGTAGGCTTCCACTGGTGCTTTTGCTGAATCAGGGCCTCCACTCAGCCAGCAGGGCTCGGATACCTACCACATGTGGTCCATGGTTGGCACTTACAACTACGTTCTGTACACGAATGACACGACGTTCCTGCAACAGAACTGGAATGGCTACCTTGCTGCAATGAATTTCATCTATGGCAAGGTGACTTACCCCAGCGGCCTATTGGATGTCACTGGTATCCGCGACTGGGCCCGTTGGCAGCAAGGATATAACAACACAGAAGCCCAAATGATGTAGGTTTTACGTCCTATCTATCTCAGAATATACTCACCGTTTACAGTCTCTATCACACTCTGCAAACCGGAGCGTCCCTAGCCACATGGGTCGGGGATACCACCAATCTCTCCAGCACCTGGACCGCGCGAGCCGCGGCACTCAAGACCGCAATTAACACTTACTGCTGGGATGATTCATACGGTGCCTTCAAAGACAACGCCACCGACACCACTCTCCACCCGCAAGACGCCAACAGCATGGCCATCCTCTTCGGTGTAGTCGACGCAGACCGCGCAGCCGGTATCTCCGACAAACTTCTCAAAAATTGGACTCCAATCGGAGCCGTTGCTCCTGAATTACCCGAAAACGTGGTCTCCTTCATCTCCTCCTTCGAAATCCAAAGCCACTTCGAGGTCCAGAAACCTGCCCGCGCTCTGGATCTCATCCGCCGCAGCTGGGGCTGGTACATCAATAACCCCAATGGCACGGAGAGTACTGTAATCGAAGGATACCTTGCCAATGGAACGTTCGGATACAGGAGCAGCCGTGGGTACGGCTATGATCCATCGTATGTCTCGCACTCTCACGGCTGGTCTTCCGGACCTACTTCCGCATTGACCAATTACATTGTTGGTCTTTCGGTGACTTCGCCGCTGGGTCAGACGTGGAATCTTGCGCCGCAGTTTGCGGATCTGCAGCATGCTGAGGCGGGATTTACGACTTCGCTTGGAAAGTTCCAGGCTTCTTGGGTGAAGGAGAAAGAGGAGTATACGTTGAAGTTCTCGGTTCCGAAGGGGACGAAGGGGACTTTGACGTTGCCGTTTGTTACGGCGTCGAAGAAGCCTTCCATTACTATTAATGGGGATCGAGTGACGAAGGGGTTGACGTATTCTGGGGAGACGGCTACTTTTGGGGTGATTGGAGGTGGTTCTTTCCAAGTTGTTGTTCGTTGAGTCGAATTAGGTTAGACGAGAGTTATATTAGGGGGCTAAGTGATGGGTAGACCAGGTTAAAAGAGTCTGTTATGTTGTAAAGATCAGTCATCCTTGGATGTTAGCAAGAGGTCCATTCCTCCTATACTTCCATTAACATTTCTCTTCAGAGTAGGATAGGACGGTAAGAATAAAGATCAGTATCCAGACACCGGGAGTTTTTGAATATCTGCATAATATCCAGCATTCTTCCCTACCATCTGGTAAATCCCTCCTTGGGCTATCCACGGGTTATACACTTCGAGTCCCAAGACGGGCATAGCGCTGGGTAAAGCAGGATAAAGTGGGTCCCTTAGTCACCATCCCAACCAATCAAACTCTACCTTCGAGCCCTACCTAATAAGCGGCGAGTCATGTGACGCACAACCCACCCGCGTTCAATTTTCACCTCACACAAGTGACCTTCTTCCCCGACCAACGACAACCCGTGCACTTGAAGCCATTCACGACACCCTCCAGGTCGCTCCGTCAAGATGGCTGTCCGCAACACCGGTGCGTACTCTCTCTCGCCCTCTGATTCTATATCCCTCGCCTCGATCCATTTGCAATCTTCCGCCCGAGTTCTCGCCCATTTTCAATATGCAAAGTACTGACGAACCTCTGCAGCCCTGGCTTCTTCTCGTTCCAAGAGCCGCAAGGCTTACTTCCAGGCCCCCTCCTCGGAGCGCCGCATTCTCATGAGCGCCCCTCTGTCCGCTGAGCTGCGGGCTAAGTACGGTGTACGTTGAAAATCAATTCGAATCGCATTCAACCTGGGTGTGGCACAATCTGGTTTTTTGGGAGCAGACGGGAAAATCGGACGATGCAGGCACCAGCAGCAAGGGAAATGGGACATGCAAAACTAACGCAGTGTTCTAATAGGTTCGCTCCATCCCCATCCGCAAGGACGACGAGGGTAAGAAATCTATCTGGCACCAATTTCAGGATCCGGGGCGCAATCCTAACAATTCGTCTCTAGTCACCATCGTCAACGGCTCCAACAAGGGCCGTGAGGGCCGCATCACCACCGTCTACCGTCTCAAGTTCTGCGTCCACGTCGAGGTACTTTTTCAATCCTTCACCAACCACCACACCAATCCAGACGAAACAATGAGAACTAACCCTCTACTTTTTTTTCCTTATTTAGCGTGTCGTCCGCGAGAAGACCAACGGCCAATCCGTCCCCATCCCCATCCACCCCTCCAACGTCGTTATCAGCAAGCTCAAGCTCGACAAGGATCGTGAGGAGATCCTCGCCCGCAAGGCCAAGGGTCGTGAGGCTCGCAAGAACAAGTCGACTTAAACGGCGTCTTGTTGGTGTGCGGGTTTAGGGTTCATATTGCAATGACGGTTTAACGGCGCGGGTGTATTGAAGGGACTCCCACAGAATAGGGAGGATCCAACATACCATTCTCAGGATCAATGTTTCTGACACCAGGTGCATTGCGATGAATGAAAAATGAAAATATCCTTTTCTTCTTCCACTCGGAGTTGGATCTACTGGACAAGTTTGTTCTGGTGGGACTAGCGGTCCTGTTTCTTTGCATTGATGGGAGAACTTCACTGTCTCAGACGCGGTGATTCGTTTTCTATGCGTAGTTTGGGGTAGTAGGGAAAGGAGGCAGTTGGAGATTTCAAAATACACTTAGCGTCATGCCTCAACATCTGACATGCTTGTGCCCATAAAAGTCTTACGAATAGAAGACAAATCCGCCAAAGCATCAGTACTACAACGGCTCGAGGCCGTGTTTCCCTGTAGTAAAGCAGACTAATTGGCACCGCTACACTGTTTCAACTACACTGCGCAGAGTAGTAATCTAGAACAGGAAACTGATTCAAAGTCGAATGCGCCCCATCCCCCGGGGCCATCTGATTGCTGAAGCGATTCTCGCCTCGAGGGAAGACACACCCGACCCTCCACGTCTTGTCTTCCCACGATAAGAAAACTATATGAGATACCCATATTCTTGAATATGCCCATTTTCTAATATATCCGAATGATACTGTTTCACCATGCCACATTCCATTCTTTCGCAGATAGGCTGAAGATCAGCCAATATCACGTGAATCCCCACACTTCGAGTGGAAGTCAACTCCAATTCCGACAGCAGCCGCTTCCATACACCTCCCGAAAAGCAATCCCAACACCATGTCTACTCATCTTCGAGCAAATCCCTGGCGTGCCTACCAGAGCCTTGCCCGGCAGCGCCTCGGGCAATGCCACAGCACAACTAGGTCCTTCACCACAAAACACTCCCTCCGCTCCGCCAACAATGCCAGCAGCAACCCACTTCAGTCAGCAGCACGCGCAAAGAGCGAGCAGGACTTTGCCAAGTCCAAGCGCTCAATTGCGCTCTCCGCCGCGGGAATGGTTATCTGCGGCGCTGCAATGTACGGCGTGATCAAGCTGGATGTATTCGGACTGGATGCCCTGGAGTCCAACAAAGACAAGGCAGCCGAAACAGAGAACAAGTTCGAGGTAACTCCAACATCAAACAAATCGATGAAGTTGGATGGACCTCCTGGATTCCCCAGCACAGGCGGACCCTCGGTAATCCCTCTCCACGGCCAAGACAACGTGGACCAAGTAGCCACAGGAACCAGCACAATCCCGTTCTTCCCAACAACAATCCGACTCCCCGCCGCCTCTGAAATCAACAACAAGCAAACAGGCGACGAACTCTCCACCTCCGACGGCGACGAGTACCAACTCCTCGGCCTGGGCATCCGAACCGTCTCCTTCCTCTCGATCCAAGTCTACGTCGTAGGTCTGTACGTCGCCAAAGCCGACATCACCGAGCTCCAGCGCCGCCTCATCCACACCGCCGTCCACCCGCCAACCTCAGACGTAACGGCCGTCTCAGGCGTCGGCGTCGACGCAGCAACATCCCTCGTCTCCCCGGAGCGCCAACAGCTCAAAGCGCTCCTCCTCGACGCGGACCGCGGCGACGCAGCCTGGACTGCCCTGCTCAAGGAACCCGGAATCCGCACCGCCTTCCGCATCGTGCCCACCCGTAACACGGATTTCATGCACCTGCGCGACGGCTGGGTGCGTGGGATCACGGCGCGCGCGCAGCAGAAGAAGGCTCTGCCTGGGACGGCGGCGGCAGGCGAGTTCCAGGATGCGGAGTTTGGGACGGCGATGAATGATTTCAAGGCTGTGTTTGGTGGTGGGCAGAGGAAGAATGTGCCCAAGGGTCAGACGTTGGTGTTGTTGCGTGGGGCGCAGGGGGCGATGGACGCGCTGTTCCAGCCGGAGGCGACGAAGCCGATGCGGTGGATGGGGCGGGTTGCCGATGAGCGGGTTAGTCGGCTTGTTTGGTTGAATTATTTGGCTGGGAAGACTGTTTCGAGCGAGGGGGCGAGACAGAGTATTGTGGAGGGGCTGATGGCGATTGTGGAGAGGCCGGTTGGTACTGTTGTGCAGCGGGTTGTTTGAGGGTGTGTGACCGGTCTTGAGGTGAGATTGTCATGTCATTGCCTTGTATTTGTATATCGGTGGCCGGCTTCTTCTTGCCACGTTCTATGTTGTTCTCACTAGTTTCCCACCTGTACTCTATCTATCGCTTGATACCGCATTCTGGGTTTCAAAACTTCGTGGAAAGCGGAGGATTCCCACCTCCCAACTCAACTCTACAACGGAATCCAAGGAGCATGAACGTAAATCCAAACATTCTCTATAATGGGAAAAGATTGCATGCGTAGTCCCAATGCAGAGACAAGACTACTCGTCTCTGCAAAAATCATATTCTTAAAATGATATCCATTGCCTATTTCACAAGGCACCAGCATCCTTCAGCAGAGCGGGGAGCTCGCCGGCAATAGCCTGGAGGTCGGAGTTACCACCGATATGCTTCTGGTTGATGAAGATGTTGGGCACGGTGCGCTGGTTGGAGATCTCCTGGAGAGCACTCTGGATCGCGGAGCCGTCATCTAGAAGAAAGAAGTAGATTAGCATTAGCATCGGATCGCAACGCGGCCAAAGTTATCGCAGTGCCATGCGCCAGTCAAAATCAAAATAGACAGGGGATATATCCAGATATCTAGTATCAGAAGTGGAGGAATGTCCCATCCTCGGCCTCGAACAGGTCCTTCCCCGAACTCCCCGCGCAAAACATTTCCGCTCGTCCTCCCCGAACATAAAAAAAACGACAACAAAGTTAATCACAGAAGCACAACTCACCAATCAAATCAAGCTCCAGCGCCTCATACTTAGCACCCAGCTTATCCAGCAAATCCTTGCTGGACTTGCAATAGGGGCAATAAGACTTGGAGAAGACCACGACGCCATTCTCGTTAATGAGGTTCTGAGCCTTAGTCTTGGCGGCGGACATGGTGGCGGGTGAAGGGCCGGCGAAGGAGCCGAAGAGGCGTTGGAAGATGAAAGAAATGGTGGGCGGGTTTGGCGGGGAAGAAACCGGGGGTGGTGGTTTCTTTAATAGTTGAGAGAAGAGCAGAGGAGAGAAAAGAGAAGAGAACAGGGGAGAGGAGGATTGGTAATTGGGACCTGAGTTGTAGGTTTCGGGGAGAGGGAGCGATCGGGGAGGAAGTGCGGGATTCGGTCATTGGGCTTGCGAATGATGTCAGGTGATGTTAGGTAAGCGGGTGTCGCTGCCGTTTGTCAGCTTGGGGTCTGGCCCAGGGACAATTATTATATCGGAGAACGGGGAATCTATGAATGATCTACGCTGGAGAGAGAGTAACGTGTTATTTGTCGATTGTATCTTTTTACTCTATGGCCTTCGCTTATCGCTACCAGCCCGGCTCAATAGGGGGTTCAACAAATAGACAGTCAGAGACGGATGTGAAGAGTCGAAAAAAGGAAACAGCAGACCGCAGAAACGCTTACAAGAAGGCTTGGGAATATGGCAAAAGGAGGGAGCAAAATGTCCAGCGGCAAAAGGCAAATAGCATCGGCAAAAGGGAAGCAGAAACGGAAGTTATGCCAATAAAAACCAAGTGAGATGTGAAGATGGCGAGAAAGGAAATGATGCATCGGATGTGGAAGCAACAAGTCAAGCTGATGGATGGTCCATGACAATCCGATGGGGCGAATTTTGGAGCTCACTTTCTCTCTCTGACTCGAAAGAAAGCAGGACGAAGGGTCACTGGAGAAGAGAAGGGAATGGATAGGGAAGGAATGAATAAGATGCCATGCCCCGGTGGGTGAAACACGAAGACCAGATTAAAAGAGCTTCTGAAAGGGATGGACCAAAGACAAAAGGGCTGAAAGAACCGACTGAACACCATTCCCACCAGAAACATTGAAAAGAAATGGCAAAAATGGACAGAGAATGGGAAAAAAAAAAAAAAAAGAAATCCAAGTAGTCGGCTTGGGAGTCAGGGTACGTGGGCGAGTATCCAAAAGTTCTTGGTGGAGAGGGCAGATGAGGACATGAGTAGTGCCCAGCAATAGAAGGCGTGAGCGTGGGCCGTGAAGAGGGCCAGTCGAAGATAATGCATGTCCATCACATCACAATGCAACATCCACACCCCTTGTCCTTCTTCGGTGGCTCCCGTGCAGTCACCACGGGCGGGTTCCAATTGGGATTGGGCGTCAGGCCCATTGGCGGGGTGTCCTGCACCTTGGGCATGGTGCTGTAGCCAGTACTCGTGTTCGGTCGTGGCGGTTCTGGGCTCTTGATCGGTCTCGGCGGCTCCTCTACTTTTTCCTCCGGCTTTTCGTTTACCACTGGCTCCTCCGTCTTCTGCGGAACCGGGGGCGCATCGTCTGGGTGGACGGCAAGAGGTGCAAAGTTCCGGTCATAGGTGGTAGGAGCACGACCTTCCTTCTCCCATTGCTCTTGCTGCATCTTCCGGGCAAGTGTGGGGAGCATCTGCTGGTCTGGTGGCAGCCGAGGGTCAGGCTTGTACATCGTCGCCAACCATGGTGGATCACCCTCTGGCCGGTTGATGGCCGTTGGGGGTCGGGCCTCTCCACCGCGGGTGACGGGACGCTGCGTGGCATTTCCAGAGACAGCGCGTGACCTTGCAGTGGAAGTCTTTCTGTTCGTCGGTGGAGCAGAGGTCTTTCGGGTGGCAGAGCCCGCAGAGCCAGTCACCTTGCCTGGAGTCTTCTTCGCCGGTGTATTTTGGGTGGTGTTAAACCCACGACTTCCTGGACGGCTTCCCGGCGAAGGAGTCGAAGCCTCCGGCTCAATCGTGGTGGGCTCGCTAGCTCTGCGGCCTCGGCCAAATTCATCGTCGTCGCGTTCATCGGTTGCCGCACGGCTTCGGGGTCCGCGAGAGTCGCGGCCCGGCATGATCGGTACGGGACTAGCGGTCGAAATGGGTATTCGCGAAGAGCTCTTCCGAAGACCGGGGATGCTGTACAGGCTTGCTGCAGCTTCATCCGCAGCAATCTCCTCGGGTCGGCGGAGATCCCAGTGTTTCCGTTCCTCATCCTCGACCGCGTCTGGGCCGAACTCCTTTTTGTTCTCCTCCCTTAGTTCAGGCCAGGGCTCAGAGTGTTCAGCAGTGGGCGAAGTCGCCGAAACGGGGCCATTGGCAGCCCCTAGGTGAGAATCGTGGCTCCTACCCCGTCCTACGCTCGACTTGCTCTCTGCCCTCATCCGTCGGTTGAAGAGAATGGCAGCTTGTTGCAGCTCCTGGCTCTCGATTTTCGCCAATTTGTCTCGGTGAATCCAGTTCTCGCTGATTGCCTCAGGTTGCCATCCATATCCATCCCGGGATTCTGCGGGCTCGCCGGGGGCAGTTGACTCCGGCCCAGAGCTGTCTCTCGTGCTGCCCAGGTCACTTCCATGTCGATTGAGGCTGGGATCCCGGCGTCCGCGGCTCGAGTTTAGATACGACGGGTCGTGCGATTGCACGGTTCGGGAGACGGACGAGCTGCGCGAGCCATTGGAGTTGCGGTTCTTGATCGATCTCGCACGAGCGGAGCTTGAATCGTGGGAATTGCGGATTCGCGAGGAATGCTGGGGGTCCTGTCGGGGAGGAAATAGCATAGTTGTCAGTATAAAACGCCCTTCTCATTCTTCCGTCCTTTGTGCTTTCATCCACTACTGGGCCAGCGTGATTCGCGAGCGATTGAGTGTACTTCAGACGTAACGACCAGCAGGGGGGAAAATTCCACGGGGAAGAAAACGTACATCGGTTGAGATCGGCACTGCAAACTCCCATTTCTCATTCTCCACGCCTCCCGATGAGGGCAGGGCATCTGTCGAATACGCGGTGGCTACGCCCGCCATTCCAGCCGGGTGTACGAGGGAGTGTCAAGAGAGTCAGTGCAAGAGGCCAGTCCAGCTGGAGCCCGCTTCGGAGGAGCAAAAGCAAACGCGGTAATGAGAGAACCGGGTCTGCTTCGGCTGGTGTGTGATCGGGGTTGCAAGGCACTCGTCTCACTCAATCCATGCCAATGTCTAGGCGAAAGCCCGTCACGGAAACTAGCGGGAACCAGGGAATGGACAAGAAGGTCGAGGGGAGGTTTTCTTTCGGGGCGGGAGGGTTTCAATAGTAAGGGGGGGGGGGAAACAAGCCCGCAGTGGGGGGAGACTGGGAAGAGACCGAAAGCAGTAAATTGTCAATACTGCAGGGGGTGGAAGGTGGAACCGGACAGCAGGTTACCGTGCCGTAGGACCGGAGTGGGCGCGCGCAGGGTTCGGTCGGTTCGTGGGTTTCGTTTCCAGTCTTTGGGGGGAGGAGGTGCAGTCGCGATCCACGGGTCAGTCCAGGGACCACACTAGTCAAAATCCGTGGAAGCCTCCAATCGAGTCGGATCGGCCCTCGGCAACGGTCAATAGCGGCAGACCTTCCAAATAGTCCCAGCGAGTGACAGGTCGATCTGGAAGTCGGGTTCAGAGGGACCACGAGGGGGAGGGGGAGGTGAGGAGGAGATCGTGGGTTGGCGACGACGAGGAGGAGGGGGGGGAAGGTGGAAAAGGAGTGGGGGAAAGAGCAAAAGGAAAAGAGAAAGCTCAAGGTTGATCCTCCAGGTTGATCGTACAGCAAGTCAGCCAAAGACAGCCTCCAAAAAAAAAACCAAGAACCAGCGCCAGGACCAGAAGGGACGGGGGGGAGGAGAAGTAAACCAAGAAGATGAAGAACAATCTCAGGGTGAAGAAAGACCCGTCTTAGTGACCCCCAACTAGTCCAACTAAAACGCCCGACTGGGAATAGCATGGCTTCTTACGACCTAGACCGTGAGCTTTGCTTTTCTTTTCTGGTCCTGTGTCTATCTACTCCGTACAAATGCAATTATTGATGGGATGCACTGCTGTACAGAAGACTCTGTACAAGACAATATTCTGCCAGCCTCCTGAAACAATAATGGAACTATGCCCATCCTTATTGATGTTATGTATATCCTTTCATCCAACTTGGTTGAGACGAGCCTGGTCTTGGACCGTGCGTGGGAGAGACTGAACCCCCTGAACCATGCTGATCCCGTCGAGAGAGATCCCGCTAAAGAGAACCACAAGAAACTCGGGGACCATGGACAGAGGATCAAGTACATCTATGGAGTAGATATGGCCGGTTCGCCCTCCTCCCCCACCTTCATCCTTTCATACAATCATCATACAATCATCATACAATCGTCACTTCAGACTTCCCGTCTGACGGGCTGGTTCGAGGCCTAAGCGGTGGACTGCTCAGAAAACCCTAATCCCCGGATACTGCGGTGCTGGCAATTGAATTGTGGGAATGGATAACTGAGCCCGCCCCCAGTGACATTTTGTGTACACATCACAAAATCTGGTCCCGTGGCGGCGGGTCAATATGCATACAATGTAAAGTGCAAGGCTGGCGGGAGAATCCATCCAATGTGTGGAATTCAATAGTCAAAAGAGTCTATGTGTAAGAAAGATGCTATTTCCCCCCCCGGAGATTTGAAGAAAAAAAAAATGTCCAAGGATGGAGAAGCGAGAGAGAAGAAAAAAAGCAAAATTGTACATGATAATCTTATGATTGTGTTTTCCCAACCTGATCCAGCCGATTCAATGACGCTTGGGCTTCCTTGATCAGAGCTTTGCGTGCATTCCGGACAGTCTCGTTTCCATCCGGTTCGATCCCATCGGCCTTCAACATCACCTGCGCCAAGATCGTCTCGCTCAACTTGCGGTACTCAAACTCCCGCTTCTTCGGGTCAGTGGGTGGATCAGCCAGGTATTCGTCACAGAGAGGGAGCAACTCCCGCTGGAAGTATTCGGTCAATGCGTTCACCTGCTCCAGTGGAGTCTTCAATGTCTTCATGCTCGGGGATGGAGACGGGGCGGCTGAACGACCCGCCGACGTAGGTCGCGGGGGTGCCAAGGAGGAAGAAGCTCCCAAGGGTTCGGGCGCAAGTCTCTCTTCGCTGCGTTTGCCTCCCTTCTTCTTTTTCTTCTTGTTCTTCTTCTTGCCAGGGGGGTTCGCGGGTCCAGACACGTCATCCCCATCGACGAGAGATGACGATGACCCCGGACGAGCAACGGGGATCTCATGAGCAGGCGCACTGTCATAGTCCGACATATCACTGGGCGTGTTGGAGCCAACTTCGGAGACAACGCAAAGCACCTGAGAATGTTGCTTCAGCCCTTCAGCCTTGCAGGTCCGAGCATCATCCTTTAGCAAGTTCCCTTTGTACAGCAACCGAATTTGGTTCGGGTTGCTGGCACCCATCTTCGCAGCAGCCGTATGGCGTAGGTCCCCCACGGTCAGGAGACCATCATCGATGGCATAGGCACGGAAATGGAGCGGGTAGATGGTGCCACGATGCTTGAGACAAATGATATCCGGTTCATTCTCGGCAGAACCCGCTTCATATTGCGTGCCGTATCGAGCAGGCTGAGATGGCGGGTCAACAATGTAGCCTGGTGTGATGTAGCTGTAATCATCCTCGCGGACCTGCGGGGCAGCACCGTAGTTCGGCGAACGGCGCCAGAAGTTGTTAAAGGGGTTTCCCCAACTCATCGCGACCACGGTCAAGAGACCGATCAGGAGCGCCGCACCGAGAGCGGTAGCCTGTTCGTCAACGTCGAATGGCAGCGCCTGCGCAACCGATCGGAAGGTGGTGGTCGAGTATGTCAAATACGGGTCCAGTCGAGGGCGGAGGGAGTGGAGGAACACGGGGAGGTGGTCGCTAACGTGGTCCAAGTAGAGTGCGCACTTCTCGCCCAAAGTGGACTGAGCGAGGGGCGAGGGCAGGAGAGTCATGGATCACTGGAGGAAGGCAGGACCAAGAAGGTGGTGAAGTCATGCCCCCAAGCTGCCCCGAAATAGGCTGACAAGGCGGAGAGCCCGCTTTTTTTTGCCTGCTGAGGTGGTCTTGTGGCAGCCGGATAGGTTACCGCCTAGATGGGGGCCGCTATCGTTGAGAGTATGCTGGATGTGAATCTTCGTTGCCATGAATTGTCGCCCCTGCGTTTATTCAGACGAAAGGGAATCGCGGGATGTTCTGTGTGTCGTCAGACGGTTTTACCTGTGAGAGGCAGTGGACAAATTAGGCAAGTGCGGTTGATGGGTCGCGGGTCGCACCTGCCAAAAGGGCTATCTAGTCAAAGTTCAGAAAAGCATTTCATCTAAGCCTTCGTGGTCTAGTTGGTTATGACGTCGGTCTCATATGGATCTTATGACGACCCTGCCTTAACAGGGTGGTAATCCGAAGGTCTCCAGTTCGAACCTGGACGAGGGCAATCTTTTTGTTTTTCCTTTTGTCCCTCCGAGGGCAACACATGGAGTAAAGATTTTTTTTGTTTAACATTTGTCTATGGTGTACCTAGAAGTACTCTCTTTGCTAACGCCGTCTATGTCCAAAACTTTGTTAGGCCTTGTGTATAGCCTGCTGTTGCGGCACTAACGTCGGGACGAAGTATATATTTCGGACGGAGAGACGAGTGTACCGCCCGGATGTCGTGCATGCGCAGTAATACTCCCCTCCCCCCCCTGCCTTAAAAATTATACCTTAGGACGGCGGTGCGCCCTAGCAAATCAACACTGTATACCTAGGACGAGTATTCAGGTACGAAGTACGCTTCAACGGACCAACTTCACCTATCGATACCCGCACTATTGTGCTCGCCCTATGGAAGATACTAGGTAGTGCTTGTAGTGCTTGTAGTGCTTGTACGATCCTCAAATCACAACAACCACGATCAGTCCTCTATATTTCCAAGGCTATAAAGTAATAAGCTAATCTAGAGCATCCCCTGAGCCCCATCCCCTCCAATGAGCGGAAAGCCCAATCGACAGCGCATCGCTTGCTGGAACATGCTATCCCCGTCCACGCTAGCCCCCTCCTCACTCAGCATCGTTTTGCGTAACCTCGCCTGAATCACCGCACAAGTTTCAGCCCACGCACAAACATTACCCGCTAGCCCCTCGAACAGCGAATATGGATCATCAGGAGTACGGTAATCGCGATCAGATGTCCCAGGTGAAGTCTTATAGGGCCGAGTTTCAAATGCATGTAGCATAAAGGCGAGTGCTCGGGACAAAAAGAAGTTCGGCGTAAGCTTCTGGGTGAAGTTGCCATCGGGTTCCGCAGACTCCTGAGTACGTTGGAAGTACTCGCGTCGTGCATCGTCAATGCTATTTGAGTGGTACTCGAAGGCATCATGAAGTAGCAACCACGGCCATGCATTGCCGGAAATTCCGTGACATAGGCTGCCTCCCTTCGAAAGTATACCTTCCTCCCAAGTGCGACAAGTGGCCTGGTACAAAGTCTGGTCCCATGTGGGGTGCCAGTATGCCCGAGTCAGCTCGTCATTGCTCAAAGCTGTCCCCAGGAGTAGAAGAATTCCTGGGCTGCCGTGGCAGAACTGGACCAGTTCGGAGGGCCTCTTGGAGCCACGAGAGGGGAGTGCCATTGGGAGATGACCATTATTCGCGGTACACAACTTGCAGAGCGCAGTTATGGTCTCTCCAATCTCAGGCATAAAATCCGATATTTCCTCTGGTTTGCAAGAGAGGAGAATAGGGAGGATACCAGCTGTCGCAAGTAAGTATAGTTAGTGGAGATATGTCAAAATGGAACAAGTTTAGTTTACTCACTGATTCCGTGGGCGCTGTTCATCCGCTATAAATTAGCGTGTCGATCCAAATTTACGTGTATAACAAGCGAGACTCACGCGCCAAAGGCATAGTGACCTTCCATCCAGACATACATCAAAGGATGGGCGTCCTTCTCTCCATGCTTCTGCATAAAGTCCCTTGAACCTTCGCGGCCGGCCTCGATGATAACGCGGATCAATTCAGGGATCATATTAAGTACTGGAGCGAGTGCTGTCTGGGTCTCTTCACTGAATTGATGGACGCGAGCATTCAACAGAAGCCACAACAGCCCTGCACGGCCGAAAAGCATCTCATCCCCGCCCATCCTATGTTCGCCATGAGGTACGATAAATCCATTTTTCAGCGCCTGGTTGACAGCATCCTGAAGGCATGTGATTATTTCTGGGGAGAGGCTGGGCTTAGAATCAACTCCCCAGTTAGTCTCTGCCACAGCCGAGAGAATGTGCAGAGACACGGCAGTTATAGGCGAAAAGGACCCCGCGGGTGATAGCCGCGACGGGAGTAAAGGCATATCAGGTAAGCCTGAGGGAATCCGCTTGAGGGCATGCTGCCGGAACTCCGTAGATGCAGCTTTTTGATTGGCTAGGATCGAGGATTGGTAGTCGAGACGCAAGAAAGCAAGGGCAACGCCTACAGCGATGAATCAGTCCCAACATGCATCAAGTTTCAACAGCTGTAAAAGCAAGCATGCGCAGCGGTTTATTGGAGGGATGATAGATATATGGTACCTGGAAAGTGCTTAAACATCCCGCCAGAACTCCATTTGTCCGGAATGGGCTCATTTGCATGGACTATTTCTGCGCCATTGTAAACAGCCTCTCGAAGCTCTCGGAGAGTTTCAATTAGGGTCGCCGGATTGATTGGGAGCGGAGTCAGTGTGTTTTCATAGTATTGCGGGCGTTCGGTTTCAGCCATTGTGAAGGTAAAATACTAAGTGTGATGGAAATGATGGTTGAAATGGCGTGTTCAACTTATGAATCGATTGGAAGCTCAGTTTTACACAAGGAGATGCCACTCCGCCAGATGGTTTTCGGCGGCAGCCTCAGGCACTAGACAACTTCGTCATCCTTTCCCATAAACCCCTCGACCTACACTGTAGGTGTACGGGCCCGTAATGACGAATTGAAGTTGGCCAACAAATATCGGTGACCGATTTTAGCTCCACTGGACGGTCTGGAGAAGACACGTCGCACCCTCATAGAGATCAGTCTGCAGGGTTGAGGTGGGGTTTATCGACGATCTCCTCATCGGAATCCGATTGAGGATATTCAGCGCCTGAGAATACAGGCAGAAAATACTGTGGCCTTGATGCCATAAGGCTCCAAGGCTGAAAGATGAGTCAGCGGGGACCACAGCTTCTGCAACTTGCGTTGCGGCTATTCCGGACTCGAGAATACTCACGCGGTCCTCGAAGTGCGATCAACGAGCTTCTAGAAGCAATACAGAATGTCAGTGACCAGAATCCCTGAGACGTCTAAAGCAAGTCCCTGGAGTGGTCTTTGTGCTTGTGATAGACATGACCTGCTCCTGGTGACTGCAATCCCTTCTCCAGGGGACCCCCCTTTCTGTGGTTCCAAAGTGTTGAGAGAACCACCGACTAATATGGCAAATAGTCCCGTGATCAGCACCGCCGGACTACTATACCAACATGTCTGAAGTCCACGGTGATGCTGAGCCCGTTGCAACGGGCCACGAGCAGCTGGAGTATCCTTTAGCGTTGACTCCAAGACAAGTCACTCTGAGGGACCGGGTGACGGTTGCGACGCTGATGCCGTTTGCCTCTGCTGACGATATTCCTCGACCATTGCTGAAGTATCTCTCCGACCAATTTAACAAGGAAATTGAAAAGGGAGATACTTATGCCATGACGGAACCTATTCCATTGGCGCAATTTGGACGGTATTGGTTCTCCAACTTCGGTGTGGTCATGCTGCTCGGCGATATCCAAAGTGTTGAGCAGACTCATTCTATGGACCGGGCCGGTGCGAACTGGACTAAGATCTGTCTCGGTGGCTTCCATATTCGACCCAACTACCCGGGTCGTAGTAGTCATGTTTGTAACGGCACTTTCATTGTCACAGATGCTGCTCGAAACAAGGGTGTAGGTCGCTTGATGGGCGAAGCATACTTGGAGTGGGCGCCCCGGCTAGTAAGTATCATCCAGTGACCTGCAGGGCCATAACAACGATCATATCTCGTCTAACATGAGGCAACACTGCAGGGCTACACATATGCTGTTTTCAATTTGGTCTATGAAACCAATGTTGCCTCCTGCCGCCTATGGGATTCATTAGGCTTCAAGCGGATTGGCCGAGTCCCTGGTGGAGGCCAGCTAAAATCCCAACCCGGAGAGTTTGTTGATGCAATCATCTACGGCCGTGGCCTCAGCTTGGATGGCGAAGACTCTGTTTCACAGGACCGCTTTGAGAAGATTCGATATTACTTGAAGCACTCCAAATACCCTCGGGGCGCTGATCGAGCCGAGAAGAGTCGGCTCCGCAGCGCTGCTACTCATTACAAACTGATTGGCGGAGACGATGGCGAACCCGAAAGGCTGATGTTGAAGGACAAGGAAGTTGTATCTGATCCGCAACAGCAGTACGAGATTGCCAAGGAAGTCCACATAAAACAACATGCTGGAATTAACAAGACCACTGCGGCGATTGCCGTCAAGTATCATTGGGTACGGATCAAGGAGACTGTGAATCGAGTGATTCGAGACTGCCCACAGTGCAAAGAGACACTCAAGGCGCCGCCGATTCCCGGTACAAAAGATGAGGACAATTCCGCATCGGTTGAAGCTCCCGAGATGGAAGAAGAAGAAGACTCGATGGACCACGAACAAACAGAGACATCTGGTGTTCACACCAGTATGGCGACCGATATCTCCCAGGCCATGGACGAAGCACCCGACGAATCCCCCCAACCACAATCCGTTCATGCACCCCGCTGTCCCGGCAAATGTTCCTGGAACCGTTCACCCCATGGCAAGCTTCAACCCAATGCCTCTGGACCCCCAGATTATGCAGCTGCAGCAACAGCTACGGCGCTACCAGCAGCAGAACGCCATGGCCGGTGCTTTTGCACCAGGGCCACAACACATGAATATGTCCAACTTCGATGATGCTATGCGTTACCATACTGCCAGCAATGCTTATCAGATGATGGTAGACGATGGTTCTGACCCCTTCCGACAAGAGGTGCTTGGGTTGATGAACCACCCGTCACACCAGGATTTACAACATGATGCCGAACTGCTCGCCAAGTACGAATATGGCAGTCCATCGGACGGCAATTATGACTTCACTTGAGCTGGTCTCAAATTTGTATTTTTCTCCACCTATTCTACTATTTCGGGATGTTTTCGGGCGTTGAGTCTGGATTCCACTGTTTCTATGCCGTGACGGATGTAGAGGCATGTTTGTCGAGACTAAACTTTCTGCATATTTCGGGCTTTCATGTTCTCTGAATTCCTCCATACTTGTCATACTACCAATATAAACCAATCGCGAAAATGATCAAATAGAAATCTTGGTAGAAAAAAATAGGGGGAAAGCGTCCCTCCTTTTAGTGTGTACTCTAGTAGTCTATCGGGGGCACACTGCGTGCTGGTCACCGCCTTTGGGGCTTTCGGGGGGTTCTGAGGGGAGAATGGAAGCTCTGGGAAATTTTGGCCGTCGAAGATCAGCGAAACCCCTCCGACTCCTCCGTACCGACCAGGACTAAATTCATTCCTTTTGGAAATTCATCCTCTTCCTCAAACGGTCGCGGTCCTCGCCTCGATTACGCCATGGCCTTCAACGGCCAAACACCCACGATTGTCGTGCTGAAGGAGGGTCCGTGTGCTCCAATTCCCCCCGTCGGGCAGTTTGGTGGGATACCTTGGATCAGGCTAATCATTGTCGCTTTGGACGTACAGGCACCGATGCTTCCCAGGGCAAGGGTCAGGTTATCTCCAACATCAACGCATGTGTTGCCGTGCAGTCTACAGTCAAGAGCACTCTGGGCCCATACGGTGGTGACCTCCTGCTTGTTGACAGCAATGGCAAGCAGACCATCACCAACGATGGTGCTACTGTGATGAAGGTATGGAGTCTTCCAAAGCAGGCCTTGAATGGGCATTGTCGAATCTTTGTTCCTGACATATAACTTGGGCAAACAGCTTCTCGATATTGTGCACCCCGCCGCCCGCATCCTTACGGACATCGCCCGATCCCAAGACGCCGAAGTCGGTGATGGAACAACTTCCGTCGTCGTTCTGGCCGGTGAAATTCTCAAGGAGGTTCGTGACCTCGTCGAGCAGGGTGTGAGCTCGCAGACCATCATCAAGGGTCTCCGGAGAGCTGGCGCCATGGCTGTGAACAAGGTTAAGGAGATTGCGGTGGACATGATTGAATCGGCAGGAAGCGAGGAGAAGAAGATTGAGACCCTCCGTCGGCTAGCGGCAACCGCTATGAACAGCAAACTGATCAAGCGGAATTCGGAATTCTTTACGAAGAGTGAGGGAACCCCTCGAACCCCTTTGGCCTTTTGAGCTTGGTGGCTGACTATTGTGTGATTTTCTTACAGTTGTTGTGGATGCGGTTCTCACTCTGGATCAAGATGATCTGAACGAAAAGTTGATTGGCATGAAGAAGGTTACTGGTGGTGGCCTCCAGGACACCCTTTTCGTCAACGGTGTGGCTTTCAAGAAGACCTTCTCCTATGCTGGTTTCGAGCAGCAGCCCAAGTACTTCAAGGACCCCAAGATTGTGTGCTTGAACGTCGAGCTGGAGTTGAAGAGCGAGAAGGATAATGCGGAGGTTCGCGTGGAGCAAGTCTCCGAGTACCAGGCCATTGTCGATGCCGAGTGGCAGATCATCTTTAACAAGCTGGAGGCTATCTACAAGACTGGTGCCAAGGTTGTGCTTAGCAAGCTGCCTATTGGTGATCTTGCTACCCAGTGCGTATTCCGTGATATCTTCTTCTCACGTTCTAGTTGCTCCAAGTTATATTTACTGACGAATCCGTTTGGTGATATAGGTACTTTGCTGACCGGGACATCTTCTGTGCTGGCCGTGTTGCTTCCGATGATATGGACCGTGTCTGCCAGGCCACCGGTGCCGCAACCCAGTCAACCTGCACTGATATCCAGGAACGCCACCTCGGTACCTGCGGAACCTTCGAGGAGCGCCAGATTGGTGGAGAGCGCTTCAACATATTCTCCGACTGCCCCGCTGCTAAGACCTGCACCCTGGTGCTGCGTGGCGGTGCCGAGCAGTTCATTGCCGAGGTGGAGCGCAGTCTGCACGACGCTATCATGATCGTCAAGCGTGCTCTGCGTAACACCACCATTGTTGCCGGTGGTGGTGCCACGGAGATGGAGCTGTCTAGCTACCTGCATGGCTATGCCGACCGCAATGTCCCCCACAAGCAGCAGGCCGTTGTCAAGGCGTTTGCCAAGGCCCTGGAGGTCATTCCCCGCCAGCTTTGCGACAACGCTGGTTTCGACGCCACAGACATTCTCAACCGGTTGCGCGTAGAGCACCGCAAGAACAATGTCTGGGCTGGTGTGGACTTTGACAATGAAGGTGTCCGCGATAACATGGCCGCCTTTGTGTGGGAGCCCAGTTTGGTCAAGGTTAATGCCATCCAGGCCGCCGTGGAGGCTGCTTGCCTGATTCTGAGTGTGGACGAGACGATCAGTAAGTGACTTATCAACCCCTTGCCCCTCCCTCCCCCCCCAATCTTTCCGCCTTGGAAGTCGTACGTGACTAACGCATTCACCAACAGAGAACGAGGAGTCTGCCCAACCCGGCGCTCCCTCGCGCGGCCTCCCACCCGGTGCCGCCCAGCGGGCTCTCCGGGGTCGTGGCCGTGGAATGCCTCGTCGAGGATAAATGACTTAATGCCACGAGAAGATGACTCAGCTGATGAGGCACCTGGCCCTCTGTAGAATGGAAGGAAAATAAAAACAAGAATGGAGAGTCTTTGTAATGACCTGAACCCGGCTACAGGGACTCCAGCGAGTGGGCCTGTACTCTGGTGTTTATTGGACCATGAGGAAGAAGATGAAGAGGCTGTGCGATATGGAGGAGAAGAAAGGAAGTCATAGACGAGAGCAGCGTGGTAGATATCCTCATACTCGGCCTTTGATTATAGTCTCCCGCAAGTACATATTCAGTCATAGGACTACTATCTTTGCTTGCCAGTACGCTGTCAGTGTAGTCTCTCGTTGTCTCTAGACAAAGAACTATGTAGAGCATATCCACTACGGGACTATGAGCCGTCGAAGCACAGATTTACTGCAAGCGAAGTAATTGATTACCCTGGTCTTCTCCACGATCCCCATCCACAGACTTGGGCCTGCCAAGATCGGGGGTTCCACCTCGGTATTGAGCGTATCTCGTGCAGGATGTGTGATGTGATCTGTTTCTTTGAAGGCAAGTGCTTTGGTGTCCCCCCTCCTAAAGGACCTACCAACGAATCCAGTATCCTTACTACTGTAGATGACAGATGGATGTGCATCACTGTTGAATTTCATACACAAACAGCCCAATCCAGAAGAGTTCTCGCAAGACTAGAAGGGTCATGCAGCGAATTACCATCACCATTCGACTTCAGCCCAATGCTCGCTCGGATTTGCTCGGCGGGGCGTGGGCCCTTCTCAGGCTGCAGGACATCTCGGGGGCGCCGATGGCCAGCAGAACTGCATGTCAGATATAAAAGTCAGACAGCACGAACTGATTTTTTTGGCTCTCTCTTTCCTCCCTATTGTTGCGATTATATTAATCTAGAGAATCAGCACCAGAAAACTATTTTACAAAAAGAGTCGAATCGTTGTTTCGTTAAGCTCTTGTAAGTAAAGTCTCTTCTCTGGGCTTTCCTCAACCCTGCATTCTATTTTCTGCCTTCCAAAGAGAGAAAAATATTGTATAAGAATTGCTCTATGTTGCTCTATGGATTCTTCTGTTTATTCTCCATCATGACCTTCTCCCATACATAACTCCCTTTTGATGATGATCGTTGTGGTCGTATACGGACGTACGGTGCTGTCCGGGGCTTGGGCATCCGTCCCGGTCTTCCGATCTGTTTTGGCGTCGGATCGACCCTTCTCCACACCCAAGCACTTTCAACTTCCCTCGATCGCGTTGTTTCAAATTCTTCTTTCGCATCCCACGCGCCTGGCTCTTTTCTAAAGTGATCGTGGTTCCCACCTCCCAGTGATGTCCTATTACCCGCCCTACCAGGGCGCCCCAGGGTATCCCCCGCCGCAACAATCTTACCCCCCGCAGCAGCAACAGCAGCAGCAGTACCCGTACGCGCTTCGTTCTTGTTTTCCCTTTGCTTGACCCCGCTCGTTCGTGTCAAAGTTGCTAACGAAAGTCTTTTACGGTATCGCAGCGGCATGCACCATCAACAGCAGTCTTATGGTGGCTACCCTGGCCAGTCCTACCACCAGCAGGCGCCGCCGCCGCAACAGTCCAACCCATACGGATACAGTCATTCTCCGCAGCCGCCTCATCAGCCTTACGGGTCGCCCCCTCCACCCCACGGTTATAACGTATGTCTCGTGGTCGGTTTATGACGAGATTTGTATAGGGACTGACAACGCTTGCCAATTCTCAGCAGGGACCTCCGCCCGGATACCAACAGCCTCCCAGTGGTCCACCCAGACACCAACAGCCTCCCAGTGGTCCGCCCGGATACCAGCAGCCTCCCAATGGTCCGCCCATGTACCAAGGCGGCCGCCAGCAAGGTTCGTAATATCCCTCTGGGTGCATTTTGCGACAAAGGTCCGCTCTTTCGATTGTGGCCATTATTGACTTGTACATCTTAAAGGAAATTATGTTCATCAGTCTGGTGGTGGCCGCCCGCCCCCGCCTCCAACTGCCCCAGTCTCCTTCGGCAACGGTGCTCCGCAAGGGTATAGCTTCCAGTACTCGCGCTGCACTGGTAAGCGCAAGGCGCTGCTGATCGGAATCAACTACTTTGGCCAGAAGGGTCAGCTGCGCGGTTGTATCAACGACGTCAAGAACATGTCAGCGTACCTGAACCAGAACTTCGGTTATGCCCGCGAAGACATGGTCCTCCTCACCGATGATCAGCAGAATCCCATGAGCCAGCCGACCAAGGCGAATATCCTGCGCGCTATGCACTGGCTAGTCAAGGATGCGCAGCCCAACGACTCGTTGTTCTTCCACTACTCGGGTGAGTGACCTAGAATGAAGACTGAGTACTTTTATGTCTTCAAGCTAATGGAACGTCTATTCCAGGCCACGGCGGTCAGACACCAGATCTTGATGGTGATGAGGATGATGGGTATGATGAAGTGATCTACCCTGTCGATTTCCGAGTCGCGGGTCACATTGTCGATGATGAGATGCACCGGATCATGGTCCAGTCGCTGCGCCCCGGTGTGCGCTTGACGGCCATCTTCGATTCATGCCACTCCGGCTCCGCCCTCGACCTTCCCTATATCTACTCCACCTCTGGTGTGCTCAAGGAGCCCAATCTGGCCAAGGAAGCTGGCCAGGGTCTCCTGGGTGTGGTGTCGGCGTATGCGCGGGGCGACATGGGTGGCATGATGTCCACCGCCATGGGTTTCCTCAAGAAGGCTACCAAGGGTGATGAAGTGTACGAGCGCAACAAGCAGACCAAGACCAGCCCTGCGGACGTTATCATGTGGTCTGGTAGTAAGGACGATCAGACGAGTCAAGACGCCCAGATCGCTGGCCAAGCCACTGGCGCCATGTCGTGGGCTTTCATCGCTGCCTTGCGGAAGAATCCCCAGCAGAGCTATGTCCAGCTGCTGAACAGCATTCGGGACGAGCTTTCGTCCAAGTATACCCAAAAGCCGCAGTTGAGCTGCAGTCACCCTCTGGGTAAGTTCTCATGTTCAACTACCTTCTCATCAACTCCTAGTCAAGTGCAAAGCTGACCGTGCTCGACAGACACGAATCTTCTTTATGTGATGTAAAATCGCCGCTGGAAGTGAATGCCCCTCGAAGTGAAGGCTAGCTAGCCGTTATGTTCTGTGTCTCCGGAATAAGCCTGATTTTGTTTATTTTTCCCATAACGAATTGCTTTCACTGTATGTAATTTCATTCGACGGTGTCAGGACTGTGTATCGCTTCTTGACTTGGATAACCCGGTGCACCACTTGTGATTTATTCTAATGAGTTTTGTGATTATCTTTGGATTTGATCTTCACAATGTACTTCCGGCTGATATACTGCCCTCCTAGTGACGACGGCTAGTGGTGTGTCTGACATCATTGTAGGCTATCATATCATGAAAGGCTACATTTGCAAAGCCCGTATAAATTTCTCCAAACTTTTATTGATAAGAAGCTGGAGATTGTGACCAACAGACCTTCTCTTCGTTCATACAGATGGAGCGCTGCACTGGCGGAAAAGCAAGCCGAAAGCGCTCTATTACCACCCCCCATTGGCCTTGAGAACATGATCAAAGTAGGTCATTTGCCACCTAGGTGAGCTCCCGACTGAACGATTCCATTGCTATCTTTGATTGGGCTTCTCGCTGATTCTACCTGTCTACCAGTTGCACAAGCGTGGCCTGGTCATCCACCCAAATCTCGCAACCTCCGAACCTCCCTAAGAACGATGCAACCGTACCTACAATGCCGTCGAATCTACAAACAACTTCAGAAACAAATAGTGACAAAACACAAAGGCTCAGAATATATCCAAACACATGAACGACGGTACTGGTACTTACCAGGAGGCGGACTTAGCTCCGAGTCCGGCGATCCCCTCGAGGAATCAACAGCGCAGAGATGGCAAGAACATGGTCATCGAGCCTGGCTGGGAGGGCCAACGCTAGAAATTCATACGGCCCGCTCGCATATGTGATGGAGACGTTGAACGTGCGGACTTGGATCCGGAGATTTATGTTGATCCGTACACAATCAATTCGCGTGACACGATTGGGGCCAATGTTGATATAATGATCACGGGTGTGGAGAGAGCAATATATGCGAATCCCCACGGTGATCGAACCACCGAAGACGCTGGATATGAAGAACCGACCAGGGCTGAGGAGTTCGTTGATCATACAGCCCGTGAGGAGAAAAGAAATGTACTGATTGTTGTCTCCTATGAGGGTGATCTGGATCCGATGGACCTGCATAACTTGCCGGTTCTTAGGCGTCTTGCATACACAACGCTTATTTCCTTGCTTGGAGCATTGACATTGTTTTCGTCTACTATTGACCCTCTAGCTTTGATTGAAACTACACAGGTATTTCATACCACGTTTGAGGTTCAGAGTCTTCCAACTGGTAGGTTCAGCTGCGTCTGATCCTCTTTTAGAAACAACACTGATCAGTCTCGCCCTGCCCTCTTTCTGATTCTGTCGGGGCTTGGAAGCGTGTTGACTGGCCCTCTATCGGAAGTAATGGGGCGGAATCCGGTATATATCGTCTGTTTAACCCTCTTTATACTCTTGGATTCGGGTGCAGCCCTGGCCCAAAACGTGGTCCAGCGGATCCTGTGTCGCGGCTTGGTTGGACTATTTGCTTCGGGCCCATTGGTATGCTCCGGTGTGGCTCTTGTTGACCTCTGGTCCCTTGTTGAGCGCGTCTACGTATTCCATTACTACGCCATGATTATAGAGCTGGGTGCCACCGTGGGCCCAGTGCCCGGATCATACATCGTTATGGCTACTGCAGTCAGTTGGCGATTCGTGGACTGGGCGACTATCATATTAGCCGGAGCTCTGTTGACACTTGTGGTCCTCTTCCTTCCAGAAACTTATAGTCCAGTTTTACTCCGATGGAAGGCACAGCAACTTCGTCGCCTAACCGGTGATGACCGTTACCGAGCACCACTGGAGTTCAAGAAAGTGTCCCTACCACGACGACTTCGCAACGCATTCAGCAGATCTATCCTCTTTTTCTGGACAGAGCCCATCATTGTGATATTTGCTGGGTACATGGCAACCGTCTTTATTATTCGGTACACCTTTACCGCTGGCTTTACCTCGATCTTTGAGGACACCTATAAACTCAACAAAGGCGTAACGGGCCTTTGCTTCCTCGCAATCTCCACGGGAATCGTACTCGCTAGCTATCTTGCCCCGGTAACAATGAAATTCGTCAGGAGAGACACCTACCACGCTCGCCGACACAACTTGCCGCGACCCGAACCCGAATGTAACCTATACATGGTCATGTTCGAAGCACCGGGAATCCCAATATAACTACTCTGGATGGGCTGGACAGCTCGTCCCTCAATCTCGATATGGTGTCCCTTGTCCGTGGCACTCGTGTGTTTGGATTCGGCGTCTGGGCGTCGTCGTCGCTTCGTATCAGTATATCGCAGCGACGTTCGAGTACTACACTGCTAGTGCGCTGTCCACCATCCAGGCGACACGGGTTACGGCTGCGGGCATGATGGCTGTGTTGGCGCAGATTATGTATAAGAATCTTGGGGCAGCTTGGACGCTGACGTTGTTGGGGGGTATTGCGATGTTGTTTTTGCCATTGCCTTATCTGCTGTTTAAATGGGGGTCTAGAGTGCGGCATTCGAGTCGACTTGCAAGGGAGCATGAGTGAGAGTGAGTTGATCATTTTGAAAGCGTGCGTATCTATAACAATGCATGTGCCATACGAAGAATGAAAGTACGGATAAATTCGCATTTCATGGGGGTTGGGTGCCATAATGTAGTGCAGACACTGAAGTATCAATTTGGCAAGCGAGCGATAGGATACTGTGTCTAGTCGTTGGTGGGAATGGCGGTCTTTTATTCGAATTGATGACGAAAAGAGCCTAGAATATGAAACAGTAAGGCTGCAGATATTAATGTCCAGTTGGCTCTCATCTTTCACCGACTGATCTATGGGCTCACGCAAGTCACGTGTGGTGACCCTTATTTCCCGATTGGGGAAATTTGAATCTGGCCGACGCGTGCATCACGCGTCTACCACAGAACATGGACGCCACCAACCTGAAGTTGAGAAACTATTTTAATTTCAAAACCTTTATCTTGTCAGCATCTGATTTGCTTACTGAATGATACCGTCGTCGGTGCCTTTGTTACGATCAGCAGATCTTCTTCCACGATGTCAATAATACTCGATTCACCATCAGCCCAGCACGACTTTCGCCGAGGTCCACACTGGTATCATGAAAGCCCATTTCTCCCAATTGGAGAAAAATGCGATAGAAATGGGCCTGGAGCATCTTCTCTGAAAGACATCGCCACTAGACGCCTGCTGATGGACCAGTCAGCATTAAAGCCCGAGCTTTTTGAATATGTGCCATGGAAAATTGCGCAAGAGCTCTGGGAATTCTTAGGGAGAAGGTAGATGATTATCTTCAAAATTTGAAGGACTCGGTGACTCTGTACTAATGACGTCGGTAGGGGTAAACAAACGCTCTTGATGTGGAAAATCCTCACAATGAGGTACTCAGAACACTTTCCCCAGATCAGCCCGTCCTATTGTTTGAGGACAAGATCTCCTAGAATACCTCTGAAGGGATATATTGATATTATAAGAAGCGATGACTGCCATTGGCGTGCTGCTTTGTCTCTTTCCACTGCCTATGCCAGTGTATCGGACCTTGTTGATATTGGCGACCTCAAGAACCTGGTGGCTCTTGAGATCAACGGCCGAATATTCGACCAGAATATGTCAGCCAACATGGAACCGATTGAAAGGACGGAATTGAATGATGGAATTGTGCGCAGTTGGGTCGATGTCACACAGTCTACAGGATCGCTGGAGAACTTGCAAGTTCTGAGAATCTATCAGCAGAATAGCCTGACGCATCACATTTTCTGGATGCTTGAGAAACTACCACGCCTGAAGCTTGTCGTCATATACCATTGTGAAAAGTTCACGCAAGAGTTCAGTCATCCAAAGGCTAGAACTAAAAACGGAGTCCAAGTGGCAGGATGGAATGCTCAAAGATATGATTGGCTTCCAGACGGCCCCCAAAAGACGGACGCCTTGAAATATTTGGGACCCCTCCTCAAAGTCTACGAGGAAGGATTGTGCCTCAAAGATCCAGACCATAGGCGGAAGGCCCCCAAATTAGATCCCAACATCCCAATGATGGAGTTTGGCCTCCCTGCCCTCGCTTGCGATGACGCTGAAAAAGAAAGGAGGAGAGCACAATACGCAGCAAAGTCTATATTCCTATTCACTCGGGATAATGATTACAATGATCGAAAAAGAGCACCACATGAGATTCAACAACCTCGAAATACTAGCAAGCGGAGAATGAAGGAACGGGGAGGAAGAGAGATGGCAGATGTGCTTGGGGACTTTTTCGGCATGTGAGCGAGTACCATACTACTTTGTCATGTCACTGAGAAGCTGTCATCTTTCCCACGAATAAATTACTCTTTCAGCGTACCACTTTCAACACAGGGATATAGAGCAGTCAATTCATCTGGGAAACGAATCTTCGCCATGTACTTCCACTCTCCCGCCTCACCAAAAGGCTTGGCATTAATTCTGACATAAGCACATGATGTCAGAAATCTGCCGACGTTCATTGGCACAGCCCACTCAACCCCCGCGTCACCTGCTCCCTTGACTTTCAACTACTTCGCTGCTCTCTCAATTTCTTGCCAAACCGGATAGATTGGACGGGATTAAACATGGCAGATAGCCAGCTTAGTCGGGAGGGTTCCGATACCTCTCTCAACGCGTCTGCCGATCCCATCAACGGCCCTGGTGTGACGTCGCCCCGATCCAGCACCGATACCCGCTCGTCATGGAATCAGAACCAGCTGCGCGTTTCACATATGCCTCCTGCCAACCATCAACATCGTCAGAGCTTAAGTGAGACTCTCCGTGGTCCGCCGGGCTCGCCACGGAATCGACGCCAACCCTCCCTCACACAGTCTGCCATCCAGAGCTTGATTGATAACCCCCCACCGCCGAAGAATGTTGATCCTGCATTTATTGGTCGGGACTGGCGAGAAATCTCCATTGGAGAGCTGGTCAGTCCGGAGGACCTGCAATTCGTGGAATTGGACACGGGAATTGAAGAGGCGACGAATGTGGGTTCTCCGGGAGAGCAATATCTTGACTCATTGTTATGGTAACTAACACTGCGTAGATCTTGATTGATACCGCTGCCCCTGTACTACTCATTCGCGAGACTGCCCAGCACAATTCTGCTGTAGCTACATTCGATTATTCTGACCTGAATACCTATCTTTTGTTGGCGGCGGGTTTGACGACCCCGCATGAAGGACATCGCACATCGTATGATGAGCTTGCCAAGAAAGCTCGAGATGGAGAGAAGATCCCTCTCAAAGATGTCAAGGCTCTGGGCATGGAGAAGGAACCGCTAGTTACACTACCGGCATCCGCAAACGTTCTCACAGCGGTAGAGACGTTTGGCGGCGGTATCCATCGCGTCGTCGTAACCAAGGAGTCTAACGACCAAGAGGTGGTTGGCATCTTTAGTCAGTTCCGACTGGTGAAGTTCCTGTGGGAAAATGGTCGCAGCTTTCCTGCGATTGAGGAGCTCTATCCGCAGGCTCTAAACAACTTGCGGATCGGATCTCACAATGTTATCTCCATCAAGTAAGCCATATTCCGGTGCCTTGCCCTTGACTCTGCTCAGAGACTAACCGTCGATATCCTTCAGCGGCGACAAACCTCTTAGTGAAGCTCTTCAATTGATGAACACTGAAGGAGTGTCCTCTCTCGTTGTGGTCGATAACCATTTGAATGTGATTGGTAATATCTCTACGACGGATGTCAAGGTACATATCAAGCAAAATTCGCCCTCAATACGTTGGGGCAACCGCCAACTAACCTTTGTAAAGCTTCTCACACGGTCCTCGTCCTTGCCGCTCCTTCAAAATACCTGCACGCACTTCATTTCGGTTATTCTGTCCACCCGCGGGTTGATTGAAGGCAAAGACTCGTTCCCGGTGTTTCATGTGAACCCTACGTCGACGCTCGCTCACACAGTTGCCAAGCTCGTGGCGACACGATCGCATCGGTAAATAAAATGCACCCGAGACACAAGAGAGAAAAGCTAACGAGACTAGACTCTGGGTGACCGACCCGTTGTCTCCATCCTCCTCCGGTCCTCCAACTCCCTCCCACTCCAGTGTACACATTCCCCTGGCAGCATCGATTTCCTCCGCGACAACAGGATCGAACACTGCACTCTCTCCACCACCTTCACCACTTCCAACGCCCATGACCCTCCCTTCACACTCTCCGGGCCCGGCGACGCCCCATTTCCCAACTCCACAGCCCTACGGCAACACCGTCCCGTTCCCACCAGTTGCACCAAGCGGAGTCACTCCTCCGCTCGCTCCTTCAATTCCAGCCTCATCACTACCCGGTGCTCGCTTATCCGGACGTCTGGTTGGTGTTGTTAGCTTGACTGATATCTTAAATTTGCACGCCCGAGCAAGTGGCCTGAGCCCCGCCGATCCGGCCGAATCTCGACGCCGTCGTCGCAGCAGCTCTTCAAGCTTGAGCGTTCGCCGTAGTGGTGAAATTGGCCGAGAGTTGTTTAGCCGGGGTGGTGTTTAGAGTTGTTCTGGACTGAAGACGTCTACAAACAGACATTGTGATGGGAACACAAACTCATTTCCTGATTTGGGAACCCTCAATGCCAAGACAAGACATACTCCCAGTATAATGGGTTGGGCAAACAAACACTCCTCCATTCTCTTTTCCACATCAGCTCACCTTTCGCGTGGTGTAGCCACAGTCTGAGTCTTCTCTCGCCTTGGATTTCCTGCTTTTCTCCACGGGCGCTTTTTCCGGGGGCCTTTCTTCTTCTTGGAATTTCGGGCTGCTCTAGCCCTGTCTTTTTCCTGTGATAAATCCTGCGCTGTGGATAGTTGATATCATCTTCGTCTGACTCGTCCCTACGTTGTGTACTTTCAGAGTTTGTCATATCGTGGGCCAACGTCTAACCATGGACCCTGAACGGCCTCTATAGCCACAATGAATCAGAGCAATGAAAGCAACTCGGTGCATGACCGAGTCAATTGTCAAGGAATTACCCTGAACTGTAAAGACCAAATATGAGTTTTCTGTAAAATGGCGTGACACTTTGCACGATTAACAAAATCTCTGCATCCATCGTCCGCGTAAACGGGAGAATCGCAACAATTCCGATGTCTAGAGTGATCTACGGTAAATCCACAAGGAAATATTTACCATTGGCGTCTTATTTGTGGCCTCGGGCATGCCGGCTTTCGGAGATAGCATAGCAGCGAGAGTCAACCAGACCTGTAGAGGTAGATCAACCTATAAGGCCGCTATTTGATTCCAACTTTGTGGAGACCCAGCCAGCACCGTGCTCGAGGGTCCTCACCTCGCATCCTGAGTCGCTACAATCCATGATCCATCACGCACGTTCCATGCCGTCCCAGGCATCGGCACCTGGATTTGTGATTATTCACTGCACCGAGTCCAACCGTGCCCAATCGTGTGCTGTACAGATTGCTTATCCTGATCTCCCATTTGCCCGCCTCCCTTCTCCCCCACGGTTTCGCCCGCCAGTATAGACTGTACATAGCAGTTGAACAGCCGCATCGTGTCGATCATAACTCTACTTTTATCGGGTCATCTGCTCGGTGGATTCTCTCGGCTTGGCTCAACACGAGCTGGGTACCAGGGTTCTGAATTGAATGAACAGGGGATTCCATTATTATTGATCAATGAGTGTTTGATGCCTGAGTTTGTTCTTTATCATGGCAGGCTTGTGGTTGGTTGGTGAGCGTCGCCGGATTTGGAGAGACGTCTCGTCCGAATGTGTTATAGTGTCTGTTTCTTCAATGGTTCGCACATACTGTATGCTCTGAATTTTCATGAAAAGGTACGTTCTACTGATGTATTCAATAGCTTAAGATGTTGTCTCTCTAATCTTGCATTAGTGCGATATCAAAGATCGACTAGGATCTGCATGTGGCGTAGCGTAGTTTATATCATGCAAATACCGCATGCGGTAGTTATAAAATGAACTAAAGTCCTCTATATGATCTATATGAAGTACACCATGATAAAAGTAAGCCGTGTTAGCTGCCATTTAAGGCTAGACCTTGATGTTCATATTGCAAGGCATGGTCATCGCTAGAGGACCTTGACAAGTTTATCGCCGTCGTCTAGACCCCCTGTCAGAACCTGGAAAGGCGAGAGGGGCGCAACTCTCTCAGCCGCCACGAAAATCTGGAGAAAACACGCAACAGCAACCCGATCGATCACTATGATCCCTGGCTTCACTTGCCACGGGCGGTCAGTCCAGGCCTGGTCTTTCGCTTGGACCTCCCCACTACCCGCTGGAAGCACTTATACAGATCGGGGTTGCGGAAGAAACCTTCCTGTTGTTGGTGAGAATGCTGATTGGTTGATCGAGTCAGCTTGGATACGGATCTGATTGCTCTAGCTGACATGTGTTTATATGTTGTTATTCGACGGGTATATGTTTGTGGCGGTGGCTTCAATCAAATTCATACAAGCGAGGCTGCAGAGGCCTGTGCCAATATTGTTTGTCGACAGAAATGGCAGGGGCATAGAGAAAGAGAGATAGTATCGCGTGCCGAACCATCTAAAACACGCAATCAGTTCTAGAACGAATACCGAGACAAGTGTGTTATCAGGAAAGAGTCTTTCTCTCATAGACTAAGGTACCCAGTAGATATGACAGCCTCGAACATCGAAAGAAACGAAAACAAGGTAGCGGATAGCTGCATATGCAGCTGCACATGTGCTTTCCACATGGAAAGCCCAAATGCAGCAGTCTAGACCGTTGGCAGATGGGGCCTATCAGGCCATCCGTCGGTGAACTCGTGCCATCTGAACACGCCATCACGCTGATAATCCAATTAGAAATGCTCAAGTGGCGAGCTGGATAATAGCTCCCTAACAGGAAACCCCCTCTTCCTCCTGTACAGAGTAAGCCGATAAGGATAAGTACCCGACTAACCTGATTCCATCTCAACATCAGCTCGCCCACCCCTACTCCGCATAAAAGCACCAGAACGAGCAGCGCGGCGCCCAAGAAAAAGGCATCCGCATCACACCAATGGCCGGTCCGGATGCATGCACGGGGTTCCGATTGCAGAGGCCCTTTAATGGGACTACTCCACCGCGATCCATTTCGATCCTTGTCTGCCCCGGCAGAGCCCCCGTCTGATCTCTGACTTATCCGCCTATCGGCTGTCGCCCCACGGGCGAGCGGTACGGGTGATCCGTGGATACAGATTGGCGCTAGTCCTAGAACAGATAGATGGTCTGTGCGGAAGCTGCAACCTTAACCCCGCAAATTTCGTGCTTGAGCTCGTGCAAGTCTGCAAGTTTGAGAGTAACCTGGACGCTTGCTAGAAGTGAAGTTATAACCTGCCACTAACTATCATGAATAATCAAAAATCCAAGCTCTTTCCGCAGTTCAACTGTAGAGTTATCCGGGGTATTCTCTCCGTACAGAGCGATACTAAATCACACAAGGCTGCAACCTGTAACAGTAAGCATACAGCGTACAGTCCTAGTACGCTATCCAATTGGTAGCTTGATTAACCATCATGCACCAAGGACCCAGATCCGTTCCCTCGGGAACGCCAACCTTACAGATTACCCCAATCGCCTCCCAAATAATGCCCTGCCCCCCCCCCTAAATCTCTGCAAGGCACGGGGGAGGGAAACGTTGACCTCACAAAGCATTAACTCGATAAGGTAACTGGTGAAATTGAATTAACTGAGCAGCGCAAAATCCAAGCCCATTAACTCAATGCTAGCAACTAGCCGATGACAAGCGCGAGGAGAAACCCCCCCCTCACGCCCCTCAATACCTAATCAGGGAAAGCAAAACGAGCTGATATGGCGCTATTCTTCACGCGATAACGCTCGTCATGCTGAGTATTGGGCGTGTATTGAAACTTAAGCGTATCTTACTCCTTGAACAAACTTCGTAATTGCTGTCGTTTTTGAACAAAAGTACCTGGGGATTTGCCTGGTTGATGCGCCGTTGCGACCGTGGCTATGGTGATTTGGAATCATCGCCAAATCTGAGATCACAACGGCGGAGGAGGAAGGGTGATGTCAGGGTAGTGGGGTGATTCCTACCTCCAGTTAAGTAACAGGGAGGATGGATGGGAAGCATGAGCATTAGCGGTCTGGTTAGCTGATTGGTTAATTTGGCAGTGAAGGCCCAAGTACCTCGAGTACCGTGGATGGCCTGAGGTTTTATGAGTCGCGCAATAAGGGCTGTCGAAACAGCGATAGGCTGTGGAAGGAGAAAACTAGAGTTTCCGGTGGAAAACGCTGAATTAGCTCGAGCTGGGAGCTTTGAGCTGGATATGGAGCTGGAGCTGGAGCTGGAGCTGGCACGGCCCGTGGGAGGGGATTTGTAGACAGTGGCTCGTAGTGGAGAGAACATGACCTCGAACAACTTGGAAGATGCTGAATTTCGCCGGAATAGGTACTCCATTGATTGTTTGCGGTCAGTGAATGCAACTGTACAAGCGCAGTCCCTGGGGATACTCCCATGGACGTAGATCTGCTGCACGAATAGAGGTACAAAGAGAGGAGACGAAGGAAAAAAAAGCCGCAACTTGAGTTGTCAAAAAGGTATAGATTCAAAGTGAAATTTCGTTTCTCATGAAGTAGTAGATGGGAAAAGTAAGTAGCAATGTGGATCCTGCCCATCCCTGGGACTAAGCTGTATGGTTCGGAAGCTGCGCTGAACTGGATTGCACACGCGCCCCTCCTTTCCCCTCATCCGAGTTCCCAAATCCAAAAGAGCCCAAGTCCCGAATCCCGCGAAAAGTTAACGCCTGGCTTTGGAGCACGCAACGCATTTCTCATAATGGCGACATTGAAAACAAAGTAGGTAGTAGTGATAGATCAGAGAAAAATAGGAAAGACGAGAGAAGAAGCGGACAAGAAATCCAAGATATGGTACAAAGAGCAAATGTACAAGCCAACACAGTCATATACATCAAAAGAAACGGGGGAATCATGTAAAATAGCCCCTCAAGAATGAAAGGCAGAAATAAAAAGTGCAAAATAAAAGACAAGTGTGAGAAAGGAAAGTAGATCGGGAGATGCTTTAGCAGGAGACCGTACCAAAGTCATCTAGAGCCACGAACTCTTCGAAGCCAAAGGGCTCCCGCTCAGGTAGGGACGTGTTACCCAAGCCAAGAGCAAATTGGCTGAACTCGTTGTAATCAGGGTCCAGCTCCTCATGAGAAACCATAACGCCATCACCGCCCTCACCCTCTAGCTTGACCACGGCCCCACCTTGGCCAGTGCCCAAGGCGGTAGGAGACAGAGGGGTGTTAGGAGTGGGACAGAACTCGGGTGTAGACTGAGTCTCCGCAGAATAAGACTCGATCTTGGGGGAGCTGGTGTTCGACGGAGCAACCTGGGCCAGATGTGTGCCCTGGGTGAGGAGATGGAGGTTGTGGAAATTGTTGCTAGGCTGAGAGTGGCCGCGGGAGTGACCGTGGCTGCTGCTGGGTCCGGATATGGACGCGGCCGGTGCAATGGGGGGTGCAAGGTGCTGCACTGGCAATTCTGGTGCGGAAGCCAGACGCTCTCTGAACTGGCGCATTTGAATGGCAGCTGCTGCATCGGTGGGCATCTGTGCTTGCTGCATCATCTGTTGCTGCCACATATGGACGGCCTGGGCATCGGTGGGTGTCTGGCTAGGAGTGGGGACCTGCTGTTGCATAGGCGCCCAGCACATCTGATTCCAGGAGTGAGCCGGGGTCTGCGCCTGAACGGCGTAGGCGGGAATTTGCGCTGATGAGGATGCCGTAGTGACCATTTGGGAAGGGAAGCTGTTAGAGCCGTCCATGCAGCCCATGTATGATTGGGCATTTGAGTCAAACGTCGTCGTGGGCGACACCAAGTAGCCCTCCCCAGTAGTCGCGGGGCTGGTCATCGAGTTGGAGTCCATGCCTTGCGGGAATGGAGATCGCAGATTCGACAGGTCTAAGCTCATCTTTCGTGATGAGCCTCCCTCGGAAGCACGCGGTGTCAGGCTTGCCCTACGGCTGGCAATCGAAGATGCCGCGGAGCTGGAGTTGGCCCTGGCAGCAAAGGCCGCGAGCAAGTGGCGATGGAATTGCTCTTCGATCTGCATGTTCTGTGCTTGCAGCATGCGAATGCGCTTCTCTTGATAGCGCTCATCAACTTCTTCATACATGGCTTCTTTCTCAACAATCTCCTTGGTGATATGGAATGCCTTGCCAGTGCGTTTCTTATGCAGCATTGACGCCCGATTGGCTGATTCCAACCGCGCATCCAAGCTGCGGTCCTTTCGCCGCGAAGCAGCAATAAAGGCCCTTGAAGCATGTTAGTTTATGTTTCTTTCTCTCTCTCTGTATACATCGGATAGGAGGCGGTAATCCTTCCATGAGCAGAAGTACGTACCTCTCCTGATTCTCCTCCCGAGATCGGGGAACAGGAGAGATATCCTGATCGAGATCTGGCGAGGCCATCTCGGACAAGAGAAGAATGAAGTCGGTAAAAGGAAATAAAAGTGATTGATCAACCAACGGTGTGGATGAGTGTAGATCTGAACTAGGATTGTGATATCAATCTAGAACCAGTGGAGGTGGAGGGGGATTGAAAGGCAATAAAAAGGAGGAGGGGAAGGATATTAAATAATAATAACGCCTGCAGCCCTTCAAAGCCTTTTTGCCTGAGTGGTTCAGTACTCTGGAGAGGCCGTTTCCCGATTTGACTTTCTTGGAGGGGGCAAGGCGAGCTGTCAGGACGAGGGCAGTCTCGCAGAAGCTTGCGAGAGCGGATCCATGGGACCCAAGGCGATCGCAGTTGGGACGCCGAGAAAAGTCTCGTTCAGATTCGAGCCATGGAATCGCTGGACCACTGGCCCCATACGGCCCAGGATGGCCTGGCGGGCCCTCGATGGCTCATTATTTGCACGGCGAGCCCGTTCGATGGCGCCACAGTGCCGCGTTCTCTCAGTCAACTGTACTCCGTGATACGAAAGATAAAACGGGGAGGGGATGAAGAGCTGGCGATGGGCGATGGGCTGTTTGGTGAGCCGGTGTTGGTAGCGAGGGTCGTCATTCGCTGCAGGTCAAGGCCCGGATACTTGTTCCCGTTTTCTGGGATTCCCTCTGCACCTTTGCTAGGGTTCCCTGGGCGGATCCTTGGGTCTCCAGGCCTGAGAAAAAAAAGGATCGTAAGCCAGGCTTTGGCTGCTGCTGCAGGCTTGGCTTGAGCAGAGGCAGACAAGAGGCCTAGACCGGGCATTTGGTATCACTGGGAGTGGAGCACGTTCTCCAAGGTCACTCCCCCCACGATGCGACTTTGCACTGCGCAGATCTTCCTAAAGCGGGTGTGTACTCGTGGGTGAACTGGCGATGTCGTTTTCCTGATCGAACGAGTGGTTTTTGCGTCTCTCTCTCTCTCTCTCTCTCTTCATTATTCCAGTAGTACTAATCGCAAGATTCTTTGACGAGGAAAAAGACTGGAAAGAGAAACTGGCCCCCGCCGCAGAATCCCACGTGACCGAATCCGGCGTAGAACGAAAATTTGGATCTTCTCTTTTGTACGGAGTATACTCCCCCCGTGCAATCAACGAGGCTCGAGAGAAGGGGACCACGCCATTCTAGCGACCCGACGATAACAACCCCCTAATCCTCCCAACACGAGGGTTCCTGCAGCCCGATCCGCACGGGGCTCTCTTATCCTCGTCGCACGGACGGTCGATGCCTGGAGATTTCCTCCCCATGCCCTCGATGGGATAACTCAAAAAGAAATAAAAATCAATGCAAGCATCGGCGATCGGCCACGCTTAGCGTCAATTCTACGCATTCCCCCAATCTGAGCTCATATTGCGCCCGACTGATCACTGGCATTGCATCTCTACTCTACGACGATCTTTTGACAACCGTAGCCTACTAGCCACAGCGCCCGTGCTGCGATCGACGCGCATAGCCACTTGCCTCGGAGAAATCCCAAGATAGCGTTGGCGTTGGGCGCTAGCCTGAGCGTTGAGCCAGTTTACTCTGCAGGAAGCCTATCGGAAGGAATGAAGGCGCCCGTCAGCCCCGATAATCCTGAGTTTCGACTGGTCCTCTACCAGTACCTCAATTGGAGTACAAGATACATTAGTGGAGGAAGCCACGAATAGTTCAAAAGTATGAAAGATTGGCCTTTCATTTCCATTTGCCTAACTTCGACCATTTCACCGCGCCGCCATGCACAATTCGGAGTAAACATCAAGACTCCATGTATCTATACATCTATATAGCCTCGAGCCTCAGCACTGCCCGGAAAACCCTTTGCCTCCTATGTCGCGGCAAGCCTCTCGAGCCCATTTCCACGGGTAACACTGCGGGATGCTCTCCTCGGCCCTTGGGGCTCGCCACCTTTCCGAGCCTTCCATGGTCTGCCCTTCCAAATGGCCTGAGCAGACGCCCGTTGCTGGCCGCTGCTGTATTTGTCCGGCCGAACCTAAACCTCTTCAAGGGAGGGCCAAGATACGGATTCTTTTGTGTCGCCACTGAACGTTTTGGGCAGGTCGGGCGCTCCGAAGACTTCACATGTTATGAAGTACGCAGGGCGTGGGGGTGTAGAATTCAGAGTATGTAGGGCTGTCATTGTAGCAGTGGTTCCAGCATCAACCGAGGGTTGTCGAGGATGGGCCAGCAATTACATGGTCGTGAACGTGGGATTCCAGAGGGCTCTGCTTGATACTGCCTGTATACATCCCCTCATTGCTCTAACTATACGTTCGCTTCTATGGATGCCTATAGGTCTAATTCTCTGGGTAATGTCTGGATGGTACTTTTGCAAGACTAAAATATACTCTTTTAAACATGTCCGTGCTTGATTCAAGGCCGTGGTCTTTAGATACTTTCTCATAGATACATTACTACCACCTCTGTCCATACACATGCAGCTCCAAAAAGTCTTATCACCCAGCAATGGTTGCTTCCATACTGATTTCCACAAACAGAAAAGTCCTTATTAGAACACCTTTACGACGTCAATTTAGCAAAAAGCTCACAGAGATCCAAAATCCTGAAGGATCTGGTGTTACGTTCGGGCGAACAGTGGAGTGCCATCGTGGCGGCTCCACAGCGGACCATTCGGCTCTCTCAAGAGATCCAGTCCAGGACTAAGAATACCCAGTCGCACAGCATGCTCATAAGAGCATCCTATGTAATCCAACATCAGCACAAAAATCTCAGAATCGAAGCTCACATCATTTAACTAAACAAGATAATTTCAGACCCGCTCAGAGCGACTGCAATCCATTCGGAGAATCATCGGCGGGCCACAGGGCCAATTGTCCACCCCACCCAAGTTCCAAGTTCCAATAGACAATCACCCATTTCACCGGAATTCTTATCCATCCTGACCAATTTCTGACAGATAACTTAAAGCAAATGAATGACACAATCGCGGACATAGGCGCCGTTCTTTCCTCAGATCTCACTGTAACACACCAATCTACACTTCCCTCCCCGGAGAGAGAAATCTGGAGGATCTCCGACGAGAAGTGCCGGATCGGCATGATCGACATAATGGCCTTCCAGGAACGACCACCCGGCCCTGGGGATCGAGCGCCACGGTGACGCTTTAAAAGTGCGACGACGACGAATCCCAGCGCGCACGAAGCTCGGATTTTGCTTTAGGCTTTTGCCTTTGGGGACTTGATGCGTCCATGCGCGAAGGCGCTTCGGGGAGAGATAGAAAGGGGTCTTGCCTAAAGGGGTAGAGGTCGGATGGAAGGAAGGACTTCAAAAGTTTATCAGTTAACCTGGGTAATTGATCTTAAAATTCCTGTACTGGACTCTGGAGTCGGGAGATGAGGAAGGATTTAAGCTTACTCCAGGGCTGTGGCGGAGGAATCTACGGGAGATATGATATTTGGCATTTGTAGTCGGTGAAAGCAATGCGGGGGAATTCCACAAGGTGATCCTTTATAAACAGCATGAGGGTGGACGCTAAGATTCAAGAGGCCAAAATAAAGACACGAAAACAGAGAACAGGGTAGAACAGCACGGGAAATTTGTAGATCAGAGACGACAAGAGAGCAGAGCCAACAAGGCTCACCAACGTGCATGACGAGAGAGAATTTGACCGAATATCATAGTCCTTCTGGTCTCCTCAAAGCTCGCATTGAATGTCCTCAGACTGTTACCAGCCCAACTAGCCGAGGAAATACCATCCCCGGCCGGACGGCAAATTTGAGATTGAGACACAGTGGTAGAAGACATCCGCCACCAAAGTCGGACCCTAGTCAGGCTGTCCGCCTTGTGGGACTGGTTTCCGCCGAGGAACTTCGAGCTAAGAGAATCTTGAATCTTCAGGCAATTTGCACGCATGCTTCTTTTCAAGCAATCCCTAGCGCTGGAACCATGCCTTGCTCCTCGCGAGCCTCGGCACCAAGCCTGTAGGAAACCTTGAATCGAATTTTCACTGAATTGCCCTTTCCATTGTCGATGCCATCCAGGACCATCTCCTGCTTCACGCCATACTGCTGCTGTGGAGCAACTTCTCGGCCAGATTGGGGGCGGAGCTGTAGGGTGTATGACTAAAGACGAATCAGTAAACCAGTTGGGATCTCAAGCTTGACATATCCGGAAGGTAGAATTTACCTTTTCCACTGCGACTTGGAAGTGCAGTTCCCCAATAGGCTGGGCGGTGGTGTTAGAGAAGACAGCTTGAATGTGGATTTGTCGCGGCACACTTGGCACGCGACGAGCGACAAAGTCGATGCGGAGCTGCGAGTTGAGCACGAGCACCTTGTTCGTGGAAGGCAAGACATTGCTCGGTGGTAGCGAAGATGCAAAGTTCCACTCGTCATCTTCGGCTGCGGGCGCTTGTCCTGTCGGCTGCGGCTGTGATGGTGGACTGACACCACCTGCCAAGTCAAGCAATGACGAGGATGGCGCGGGTGGCTGGAAGGCCCCGGACGCTGGCTGAGGACTGGCGGATACCAGTGCTGCAAATGGATCGGCTGCCTGCGGAGGAGTTGCAGTCGATCGGGGCTGAGGCGAGACACCAGGGGCTGGGGTGGATGACTGAGAGCTGGGCCGGGACGAGTTCATAGATGCGAGAATATCATAGCTCGGTTTGAATGCAGCTGGTGCTTGCTGCGAAGGTTGAGGAGAGACCGCAGGCGGAGATGGTCCAGTCTGTAGTGGAGGGAAGCCCACTGGAATTTGGGTTTAGTGACTGTGTTTTTTCGAATCATACATTTAAACTTACTCCTGGAAGACCCCAGAGAAATCCCACCACCAAGAACTGGGCCCTCATCGCCGAGGGATAGTCCAAGAAGGTCATTTTCCAATGCACTCCCACCCTGGGATGACGGCTCGGCATTGCCATTGGAACTCGGGGCTGGCTCGGGATCAAAGTCGATCAACGAGAATTCATTGTTTGCATTCTTGGACACGCCAGTCGTGGTACCCAGAGTGCCCTTGGGAATTCTCGATGCCGCATCGAAGTCGCCCTTTCGAACCAGCTTGTAACGCTCAATAGTGCGGTGTATGCTGTCATTGATTTCCAGCAGCTTATGAACAGCTTCAGGGTCTTCCGATTCCTCCTCGCACATCTTCTGGATCTTAGGATGCGCACTTTGAAGAGCATTGGCAAGCTCCTATGAACGAGGGAGTAAGTAACAACACGCGCTTATCTGCTCATCTGGGAGAGCGTTGTAAATCACTGACCTCAAAGACATCTCCTTCAGGAACACCGTCGCCGGGTTTCTGGCTCTGCAACATCTCCTCCAGAATCTTAGCCTTCTGCTGCACCTTGGCAACTTCTTCTGCAGCCTTTGCACGGTAATCAGTTTTATGCCGGTTGTCATATCCAGCCATGACCTTCATTAACCGGTTAGCTTCCTGCAGGTCCGCAGGTGTGCCTCTCCGGATCAGCTCCTGAAGCTTAGCCGATTGTGCCTCCTTTTCTTCCTCCTCCATCTCCTCAGCCGAACGAAGGTTCTGATTGATAAACTGTTAGTATGATGTCTTGGATGAATGGAATTGTATAATCAAAACACCTACGTCACTCGGGTTCAGCACCGCCGCATCTTCACGGCGAACTTCTGGGAATGCATAGCCCTTGTATAGAAGAAGACGGTGCATATCTCTGATGAAACCTAGGTCCTCCTTGTAGCGCGATGTCTGGCAAATGGTCTGGCGCCACTCCTCAATCGACTCCAAGATGCGATGTTGAACCCGCGAGGGGCGCATAGGCGGCCGCTCGGGGAATCTCCGAACCAATTCATTGAGAAATTCCTTTGTACTGATTTGGAGGTGGAAGGGGTATCCGCAGTTTTTCACACAGATGTCGAGGAGCTAATTGTGTCGGAAAGCTAGCTGTCAGCTTCGTCCCGCGCGCCAGCCTGTCATCTCCACTCGAATCGGGTCAACGTACCGCCAACGCCAACAACGCGATGTTCTGGTTCCGGGCATTGATAAGGTGGACGATCTCGACAGCGGCTTCTCGGGGTCTATGTATGCAAAGAAAGAATCAGCATTGCGCAGCCTTCTGAGACTTCAGCACTTCCGACTCACGCATTGCCTTTCTTGGAGTTGACCAAGTCCGCAACTTCGAGGTTCAGGGCCAGATTGGGCTCGTAATTTTGTGGATCGCAAGCATTTCCTGAATAATGTGGAACGTCAGAGAGCTGTCCTTGTCTATACAAAGGATCAATGATGTGGGTGTCAGCTCACGGATTGCTCGCTGTAACGGTGATAACCCGGGCTCAGCATAGGCACCGAAGCGGTCCCTAGCCGCCATACGTGCGGAAGCAGCCTCCAGGATGACGGTGGGGGAATCAGCAAGGAGGTTGATCGGATAGTATGGGATAGAGGAGCTCGAAAAGTCCTCTGGCGCAGTTTGATGTGGAAAGAAGGACTGCCCCCGCAGCTGTGGAAGTTGTGTAGTTAGATGGAGACCTGAGGAGGGCGGGCGGCGGGCGGAGTGACTCGCACGTGTGGCGCTTGTCCTTCAACTGGATTTTTTTTTTGAAACTCCAACAAAACGCAGCAACCAAGTCTCAACGAGACCAGATATCCTCCTCAGCTCCTTTATTTACAGTCACCAACTATGGTCCGTCATAAAAAGGACAACTTCTCGCGTGGAGGCAAGAAATCCTCCAACCCCCGCCCCCGACCGGTGCCCCGCGGCGATGGCGATGACGCTGCGCCCTCTTCGCGACCGGCATTCAGAGCCGCCTGTTGGGACATGGGACACTGTGACCCGAAGCGATGCTCTGGAAAGCGCTTGATGAAGTTGGGATTGATGCGCGAGCTTCATATTGGCCAACGATTCCCTGGCGTGATCGTTTCGTATGTGCACACCCCCGCCAGTGTTTCCCGTGCCTCGCCTACTAACAGCTGGATGACCAGGCCCAATGCGAAGAAAGTTGTATCTCCTGCCGACCGCGAGCTGATGGAACAACATGGTGCTGCAGTGGTTGAATGCTCCTGGGTGCGAGTCAAGGAGGTGCCTTGGTCACGAATTGGTGGGAAATGCGAGCGCCTGCGTACGTCTTTGCTGTTGCGCCAAAGAATGCACCAAGGAATCGCGTTTGACTAATATACCAAAATATATAGTGCCATACCTGATTGCTGCGAATACGGTCAACTACGGCAAGCCCTGGAGATTGAATTGTGTCGAAGCGCTGGCTGCTTGCTTCTACATTTGCGGACACCCGGAGTGGGCAAAGGAAGTCTTGAAGAATTTTAGATACGGTGAAGCATTCTTGGAGATCAACTCTGAACTCCTTGATCGTTACGCTGCCTGTCAGACTGAAGAAGATGTGAAGCGAACGGAGGAGGAGTGGCTGGTCAAGATTGAACAAGAGTACGAGGACAGCCGCGTAGAGGGAGCAGACGACATTTGGACTGTTGGAAATACCAATCGACACCCCGCAAACCAAGAGTCGGGCGATGAGGATGAGGATGACGATGACAAAAGTGGAGAGGATGATAGTGAGGCCGAAGAAGAGAGCGAAGACGAGGAAGACAAAGACCCGTTTGCAATCTCAGACGATTCCGAAGACGAAGAACAAATGGCCGAGATACGACGCAAGATCCTGGAGTCCAAATCATTCCAAAACCCTTCCGCATCAGACAGGGACCAACCGGAGAAGATTGCACGGCCAGAACAGCCTGTGTATGTCGATTCAGATGCCGAGTCTGGCTCTGCTGGAAGCGAGGACGAAGATTTTGACAACATCATCAACGCAACTACGGTCACAGATCGCACAGGCATTAAGGAGATACAGCAACGGCGGGGCAAGGAGACTGTCAGTGCCTCATTTTCGCGGACGGAGATTTCTGCACCAAAGAGATGGTGAAAAGAGAAATTCGAGTGGTATTAATGTGTATTCACTGACATAATACGAGAAAGAGAGCATGAGAATACTCATATTTCTGGTCACATAAATCTTGAGAGAAGTCGTCTATTATCTCGCGAAACAAGGACGAGGTCCTGAATAGCAGATGCGATCTTCCGGCAGTCATTCCATCCTGGTTTCAAGTGCAAGGCTTTCTTCAAGCTCGGCTATCGCCATCTCAAATCATTACTGTCCCACCGACTGGATGGATGAGCAAGGCCGCGCAACTCTCATCAATTAGGCCAGCTAGCACGTCAACAAGCATTTCTGTCTGATCGAGCTCAATCGTGCAAAATTCTGGGATAGTCAAGGGAGTGATGTCGCCACGCACTCTCAAGCCTCCATCAGGAAGCATCCCAGGATCTGTTGTATGCTCGGGTAAATCCCTTCCCAGCCCTCCCCACGGCGCTATCCAGCCAACAAGAATTAAAATCAGGACATCCTAAAGCCTCGAAATAGTATCGTGAAAAAGATAGAGTTTCCAGTCATCGTGAATCCCTTCCCTAAAAGCCGCGTGATCCTCTGCGTTGGTCTCTGGTTATACATTTCGCGCGATTGCCCATATTGGGCGTTCCTTGACATCGTGTGCACTCCTTCGTGCGATGCCTCGGCCACTCATGTGTCAATGAGTGCCCAGCCGAGTTGTAAATAAATGGATTTACTTCGTTGTAAATGGGAATTCCGGGGGATTTCGTTCGGCGGGTGGTCAAGTGTATCCATGGTCGTGGAGACGGTTGCAATGGTATAGAACGTTGATAATTCATGTTCAATGAGGTATGAGTCGATATATGGAACAGCGCGAACTGATCTGCTTGGAAAGATGAGATTTTTGCTTCTTGTTGTTTCTGTCTTGCATAGGAAAGGCTATATAATGTTGAGAAACAGTATTGGTAGATATACTGTTGGGCGAAGGGATACCTTCCTCTTGCCCGCCACTCGCCTCCTTGAAGGCGTTGATCAACCACCATTACCACCACCATTTGTTGTCGCTGTAAGGGTGGCAACTGATACTTATTCCAAGACTAGGATAATGCAAGGTCCATGGTATCTACAGGTAGGGGCGGTTGTGCTAACCTTGTCTTAGACTACGATCTCACTTGAATAAGAGATGTGAAACATCGTTACAGATCTGAACCAGATTATATCAAGGATTTCTATTTTGTTCAATATTATTAAGAGACAGATACCTAGGAGGAGGACCTTGGGGGAGACAACTGTCAAGGTACATGAATACTTCTTATAGCCCTACGTATACTAATGGAGCAGACCACTCCTAAGTTAGTGTCGCCGATTTTCCTAAAGCATGGGATTTCTTATATACCTACTAAGAACCCTAGGCCAAAACGACCACAGATGGATTCTGTCTTCTAAATGTTCCGTCGGATTGAGAACTCCGAGTTTTATGGACTAATAGACAGCGGGAAGACGGATGTTGATCATGCACTGACTATAGACCATTACTACTCGATGTACGGCAGAGCCTCTGCGATGCTCTCTGAAGCTGCTGTCTATGAATAAATCAAGTCAACCCCATAATATTTTATTAGAACAGGATAATATACTGAGTGTAAAGTCAAGTCCCATGTGCAGGTGGGATCGCGTGACGGTCGTAAAAATAAACCTCGTGCTTGGGACACCCGCGCTTGAGCCTTGTCACTCAGAAACCTTCCAAACAGCCTTCCTGGAGATTACGGGGAACGCTCCAACCTTATCATACAGGCACTGCCAAGGCTTGGCCTTGGATGAATTACAGGGCCCAAGAATGAGATCCTGGCTGTCCTTTCTCCCTGCGAGTATCCCTTTGCGATACGTCTAACACCCTCCCTCCGAGGTGAATTCGTATGCAGGTTCAGTCAGCCCTGCCAAGCCACGTCCGTTCGCCTGACGGTTCGAATGATGGCAGTCACCGGGCCACTCAACTGACTGAACGGGCTTGGCCTTAGGGTTCACAGCCTCAAACGCGAGAGCGATCGGATGGGGGAAAAACTAAGAGAGAAAGTAATCCCGGGGGGGCTATCAGCCTCTCGGCGCTAAGAGGAGATCGTCTCACGCTATATGTTCAGCTCCGATTCCTCAGATGAACCACCTTCAGAATCTTTCGTCTTCTAACACGTAAACGGCTTTCTAGTGGGGGTATTTATCGAAGACGATTGTCCTAATTCCCCTACTTCCGTTGGATCTCATCGCCCAACTTCTACTCATACATCAACAAACACCCAAACCGGGTTAGTGATTGCGAGCAAGGCTGGAAACGCATAATCATGGCGCAAGAACAACTGGCCAAACCTTCGGCCCCGACCACCAAGCCCAGTAAAACTGGGAACGCAGGCACCGATATTGCACAGCGACCAACAATGCCAGAGCGTCGTGGGTCTTCGTTGCTAGATTTCTTCTCCTCATTCTTTGGCTCGAAGAACCCCCTCGCCCACGCTGCGGACCCACGCAAACACACCGTGTGGTTGCTGGATAACACGGCCTATCAGCCTGTCTTGGATACACCGAATCAAGACCACACCGCGCAAGCATGGCAGGCGGAGTTTGTCGCATGTATCTTTGAGAAGGGGGGTCGCAAAGATGTTGGTAAGCTTGTTGCTGCGATCGCTGATGATATCGGTATCGATGGGGAATATGGCTCGGATGATAAGGAGACACGCGAGCGTATAGAGAAGCGTGTACAGCCTTTCCTGGACCAGGTTTCTCCCGCGCGAACGGTGAAGCTAGAGATCACCATAGATCGAGCCAAACAGATGCACCACCTAGGCGGTTCAGATCGCAACGGCATCATCAGCCAGATTGTCAACCTCGGCGCATCTGGAGTGACCGATGGCACGGTCATCCACCCACGAGCCCACCACTTCGACGGGCCGATGGCAAGGATGGAAACACGATTCGCTGCGCCCGAGGGCTGGATGGTAATCTCGGATATCGACGACACAATCAAGCGGACCATGACGCTCGAACCAACAGGTATTCTTCGCACGACCTTCGCCGAGGAGCCCGTGCCTATCACCGGCATGCCGGATTTCTATCGGCATATACAAGACAAGTTGAATCCGACGTGGTTCTATCTCTCAGCCTCACCCTACAATCTGTATCCATTCCTGCACCAGTTCCTACACGAGAATTATTGCCCGGGAACCTTGATTCTGCGTGACTATTCCTGGATGGATATTAGCGGGCTGATCAAGTCCTTGACTGAAAACACGCAAGAATATAAGGTTGATCGGATGGAGAAGATCCAGAGTTGGTTCCCGCGACGTCGGGTGCTTTGTATTGGGGATTCGACGCAGAAGGATCCCGAGGCATATGCGGAGATGTACAATCGTTATCCGGGTTGGATCCATGCTATCATTATTCGGAAGGTTACTGATGTGGAACATATGGAGGAGAAGAACAAGCCCGAGCGGTTTGAGGAGGCATTCAAGAATGTCCCGGATTCGGTGTGGACTGTCTTTGAGGACACGCAGGAGTTGTATGCTTTTGTTGACGCGCTGGGAGTGGACGATCGGGCCCTGTAGATACCATGATTATTCTCGTCTTATTGCATATACCTTTCGTCTGAGAGACGTCCTTCTTTAAGTATTTTCCTAGATTGAGGGGTCTTACAGCCAGAATAGGAAGTAAATATGACCTAATAAATCTCGCTAGTAAAATCCGCGCGACTTTGGTGACCGTGGCAATACTGACCTAACTTCCGTCATATGTAGGTCAACATGAGAACAATAGGCCGCACGCTATACATAGTATAATGGAAGGACTGTGGCCTTGACGAGGAGTCGAGAGAAAACATGAACATCTTTCTCGCAGTTCAACACTGAAAATGGACCGTAGATCATCGCGGAACGATTACGCCCCTACATCGGAAGACAACGAAATCAGCCTGATACCAGCAGACAATGTATCACCATCAAGCTACACATCCAGCCAGGCCGCCGATATCCCACTGCCGACCATTAAAAACGACAAGCGAGCATCAGCGGCAGGCCGACGAACATCGACAAACAGCAAGCGGTCATCAGCAACCCTCAACGCTCAAAAGTTCGTGCCACTCTCCATGCGAGCCCTCTACTACTCCGTCGAAACAACAACAGACCCATCAATGGAACCAATCCCTGACGGACCAGTCAGCCCTAAACCTCGCCGCTTCAGCAACCCAGGCACACAACTCATTCTCGATCCAAATTTCCCAACGCCGCAGCCTTCGCCGCAAGAGTATCTTCTCAAGGTACAGACTGCCGCATTCTGCCATGATGAGATGCGCCTAGCGTCAACGCTGAACCCGCCGAAGACCACGCCGCAGATCCCACTGCACAGTCTCTGCGGGACAGTAATCAGCACGCCGACGCAGGACCTTGAACGGCCTGAAGGATCGAAGTTCAAGATCGGCGATACTGTCTGGGGCGTGACGAGTTATACTCGTGATGGAGGTGCGGCAGATTATGCTGTTGCCACGGAGTCGGAGCTTGCGCTAAAGCCGGCGAATATTGGGGCCCAGGAGGCTGCTGCGCTGGCGTTGCCTGGGTTGACGGCGTGGCAGGCGCTGTTTCGGCATGCGGAAATTGATCCCGATGCCTCTGTGAATGGCCATGGTAAGGGGAAAGAGAATGAGACTGAACATGGGAACGGATATGGGAATCGAAATGAGCAGCGTAATGGAGGTGATCAGAGAAGAGGGAGTCCTTGGGCCCATGGGAATGGCAATGGTGGTGGTAATGGGCAGAGCATGTTCAGAACGGACATATTTGGAGAAAACAACAGATCCGGCAGTGGCAGGAACTACGTGAATGGGAATGGGAATAGAAACGGCTACGCTCAGAAAAAAAGCATCTTCGCCAATGGTTATGGCAACGGCAGAGGCAACGGCAACGGTCAAAGTTGGCTAAGGAAGAGCGTGGATGGAATCAACAATCTCGTGAGGACCGCGAGTGCGATTACCGGTACAAATGGAACTATCAATGGCAGTGGCAACGGCCACGGGTATGGCTACGGCAGACGCCGTAGTAGTTGGCGAAGACCAAGTGGTGGTATATGGAGAAGAAGACGAGGCTCACAGATGAAACTACGCGTGTTAATCACCAACGCCCGCGACAGCGAAGTCGGCCGAATCGCCGTGCAACTCCTTCGCGCAGAAAAGCTTTTCTCATTCGCCGAGCGGCCGTGGATCTGCGTAACCTGCACACCCATGGAAGCAGATATCGTGCGTGGAAGTTGGGACGTGGACGAGGTCATCGTTCTCCCAAACATGCCCGAATTCGACGAGTGCGACTTGGGAAAGGTATTCCGAGCTCAGCGGTGGGATCCTGTTGATGTGGTCTTGGATTGCTTTGGAGGAGCTGTCTTTCAACAAGCCCATTCACCCATAGTTGTTCAGGATGGAGGCGCAGTTTTGACGGCCGTGGATCCCTGGCCGGCGCAGGAACCGGCGATTTCTGACCCGCTTGATACCCTTGGCCGACGAAATCGTGGCCTGAAGACGGTGTTTGTGCCTGTGAACCCCGATGCTACCTCACTGGCACGCATTGTAGAGCTTGTCGAGAGCAATATGGTTCGAGGAAGACCTGAGCAGGTCACAGATCTTATGTACGCAGATCGATTGTTGAAGGACCATGCCGTGGCCGCTGGTGCTGCTCGCCGAGGAGTCATGATGGTGGTTCGCGTCAATTGAATGCCCTGCCATGGGACAGACTTTGTTTCAACTGGAGGAAAGAGGACTAGGGCTAGAGTTACTTCAGAGTTCAGTTTGAAATTGATATTCCACAGCTCAATGTGCAACCAATCTAGTCTCCAATCTCTTGTACGGGCATGATTTGATGACGGCCCCAAAACCCAAATTAAGCAGAAACAAGAAAACACCAGGCGATAACACCCTAAGTCAATTAAAGATGGCCATGTCAGAAGACAAATCAAGAACGTAGAAAAGATTTTCCAAGAAGAGGAGAAAGAAAGGCCCAGCGGAGAATTGGGTATGCTGGAAATTGATCGCATGTGTCAAGCCAGGAGCGATAAAACCGCAGAAGCTTGAAGGAAAGTCGAAGATTCAATAAAAGGCCCAACAGAGGCTGAAAGACGACCTGGATCAGTCCACACCTATGATGACCTTGAAAATTGCGTCAGCTTTATCCGCGAGGCCCGGCAGTACTCAAAGTTCTGAGAGAAAAAATATTTCCTTTTCGGGTCCACCAAACGAAGAAGACAATTGAGCGAGAATAGAAAAGTGAAAGGAGAAGGACTAGTGACCAGGGAAATCGATCGGAAGCTCAGAAAATATTCCATACAAGAATGAATTTTGACCAGACAGTCCAATATGACAAGGAAAGACGCTCTGCCCAATTCCAACCCACATGATGACAAACTACATGAGTGAACAGAAGAGAAGTAAAGTCCCCATAGAAAACGGGGAAGCCAGAACACAAGGTGAAACCCATGGAGAGATGGTAGAGAATGGAATGAGGCGGGGAGATATAGGGGGGATAGAAGAAGAGAAAAGGACACTGTATTAAAAGCGAAACGGTATATCCGCTTAGAGGAGAGAATCAAGTCTGGTGAAAACGCTCAGGCACGCCGCGACAATCTAGATTAATAAGTTAGCGACCTGGGGGCAGATTGACTATAGCGGCATCAGGTAGGACGGAAAACATACCTCCAATTGGAGCTCCCGATCCTTGTTGCCCCGGTTAATCTCCTCGTTGATTGCCTGAGCGAGGTTGGCTCCGATCGCCTGCGAGCCACCAGCCCGACGACCAAATGGCCATTGCGAGTATTCAGCCAGAAGCTCATCTACCTGCGCAAATGCTCTCTCGCGAGCCTCATGGCTCATCGTCACAAGAGCGTTCTCCAGGACGTTGGCCGCATATGCAGCACACACCATCGTCACCGTACGAAGGTAGCGGAACTCGGCGTCCTCAGGGAGCCATGGGCTTGGAGGAATAATGACTGTGCGGTTACTGCAGATATTGCGTACTCGTTTGTGAAGGTCGTCCTTGGCACCGCCGTCGGCCACGGGGTGTGTGGCCATGTCGAAAAGAAGGAAGTTGCGCTTCTCCGTCCGCAGGATACCCTTATCCACAAGGCCCTTGGCCAATCGTTCGCGTACTTGTTTCAATTGATATCCGATCTTCATCAGGTTCCAGGTCTCGCCTATATGAGGAGAGAATCACCGATTAGCCTTCCTGCCAGGTTGCCGGGAGCCCTTTCCACGTGGTCATAGGACACATACCACTCATCAAGTCAATCCAAGAGTTCACACTCATCTTCTCGCTTGATTTCATCATCTTTAGCGCCTCGTCCAGCAAGACTTCGCCGGTCAATGTATCGTCGACGACCTCGATGATGCGGTCGGCCAGGGAAAGCGTCGCCGCGACGAATCCTTCTGCATGCTTATCCGGCCACGGAGCGCAAGTTCAATAACGATACACCCTCGCAGGGCATAGGAAATGTTCTCGTTCCAGAAGGACAGGTAGCCCTATATTACGAAACAGTCGCGCGTCAGCATTTCAGGCTCCCGATGATCGGCCAGCATATGTCCCTCTATCCCCTTTGTCCTCGACCAGGCTTACCTGCTTATCTTTCAACCCCAGCAATAACACCTCCTCCATCAGGGTCAGCTTCGGTTGCTTGCTTCGTTCTTCGGTTTCGCTGAGGTCGCGGGGGTCGAATGCGATCTTGTGGCCATTCTCCGCGTTGGTGAATGAGGTCTCCGGACCGCGAGTGTCCATCGCGGAACCGTTCCTCGAGACAGGCGAGGATACGCGGCTGTCATCTTGCTCGTCTGCGCCAGCGGCTCGACCGCCGCCTCGTCGGCGAGTCAAGCCCCCGGAGGACATGAGGATACCGGTTGAGGGGGAGCGGTGGGGGGAGGGTGGAGGAGAGAGTGAAAGAGAGACGCAGTGGGCGTCACAAGACTACTAGGAGTCGTATATCTGTTTCTTCAATCACAAAGAGCCGATCGGCGTGCCGGTCGCAGTGAGCATTAATTGTCCGCGTCGAAGAGAGATGTCAGGAAGTCACGAGAGTAGACCGAAAGTCTAGCGTTGCCGCTTTCTCAAGTGGGACCGGTCGGCGTCAGGGGAAACCAGGGACCGAGTGGATTAGCAGGCAGCCAAGGAAGAGTATTCGGTGAATCTGGTCGATCAATTCTTGGAGACTTCCCTGATAGTAAGAAGCGAAGAAAAAAGGATCAGGGAAAGGAGAGAAAGAAGGCAAGTGTGTTTCGGGAAGGATAAGCGGGTTGGGGTCGAAGTTAGTTCGGGCCAGGTGAGGTGGCTCTTCTGGTAGCATGACAGCGCCGGACGAGCAACCAAAGAGCCTCAGTACTATTTCATGTACGTCCACTGTATATTTCCACGATATGGTCAGCAAAGGCTTCTTACTCCCAACCCGCTATCAAAGATTGCTTTTAGCTATAACGGCCATCGTTTTGCGCAGTTTTGATTTCTTTTTTGACTGTCAGCGCACTCTCCAGAACATCCGATCTCGGTCTAGTCCGGTCCGGCCTCTCGTCTACTTTTGTATCTTTCGTTCATACCAAAAGCCTTGAAGCAGAAACCTAAACCATGCAATAAGACCAAATCTAGGTTGTTCTCACAAAGTATCGTAAAATGGGCCGAGGGAGAGAGAGAAAGAATAGAGAGAGGAGAAAGAAGCGGTAGCCCGCAATCTGATACTGCTTCAAAACTGCATTCACAATGATATACACGATATAGAAGGATGAGAAAAAAAACACTGGCATGTATTTCAGCATACAGAGCAGCGCCTGAAGCCACGAAGATTCGCTCTCCAGAGCGAATTTCCCGGCGGACGCCACCATCCCGATTCATTTTCTATCCGACTGCCCAAACGATCGGTCCCCGAGGTCTTCAATTAAGTATTTAGTGGGCTATGCGTCAATTTTTACATTAGCTTGAGTCAAACACAGAGGTAAATAGGAAGCTCGTGAACATACCATCGGGCTGAGCCTGGATGTACTCAACAGCCTTCTCAACTGCTCGCACACATTCACACGTTAGCGTCCATCGTCGGACATGAGGTTCGGCACAGGTCACCACGGTCTATATACTTACCACTGTGGATCTGGTCGGCCTCCTTGTCGGGGATCTCAATGCTGAACTCCTGTTGGCGTGATAGTTAGCTATCTGCGGGGCGGGAGTCTTTTCCGAGGGAAAGAAAGCAAGTCGCATACCTCCTCGATGGCCATCACGACCTCAACGGTATCCAGGCTGTCGAGACCGAGGTCGTTAGAGAAGTGGGAGACGCCGGTGATCTAGTAGTTATGGTTATATCAGTATTGGTGGTGTTCCCGAAGTGCCCGATTTTAGCTCGTGGCGATGCCGAGGGCAACCGATGGGTAGATGTCGCGTTATCGAAACTGACCTTGCTGGCGTCGGAAACCTGAAAAGCGCGTGCATGTTAATGAGTTGATTCAACAAGGATTCGTGAATTTGCAATGTGCGAGACAGGTTCACATCGCGAGTCCACAAAAAAATAACATTCTGACGCACCTTGTCGAAGTTCTTCAGCAGGTTGACTATCCGGCCCTCAATCTCATCCTTGGACAGACCAGCGGGGGCAGAGTAGAAGCGGATGCTCTGGGAGACAAGGCTGGGAGTGAATTGAGCAGCAATGGGGGAGCTGCGGATCTGGAAGGGAGCCGGGGTCTTGACAGCGGCACGGGGGGCGGAGGCCCTCAAGGAGCGGACAATGGCGGAGCGGAACATGGTGAATCGGGTATATGAAACGAGCACAGAGGCTTCGAGTCGAGCAGAAACTGATCGAGGCGGGAGGGTGGGGAGAAAGAGAGGGATGGATGAAGGGAGATGGACGGGAAGAGAGGGAAAGAAGATGGTCGGAAGTGATGCTCCTGCGCAAAATCCTGCCGCCCGCCAATCAGCGCCCAGCAGAAGTGAATGACCTAAGCCCCGAACCTGCGAACACCTCCAACCTCACCAAAGCACTTCTTCCCCTACCTCCCCTCCCCAGCTACGACCTTCCTCCTCCCCACCCCCCACTCTCCTTCATCTCAATCGCCTCTCTGCGTCCTCGTAATGGCCACCTCTCGCTCGGTCGCCAGGCTGGTCGCCTACCGCCGGTCTCCCTTCATGCCGATCGGGTCAACCGCAAACTTCTCTTCCTCGGTGTCCCGCGCAGCAACCCCAGCGGGCCCTCCTCAGCCCGGTTTCCGTCTGCCCCCGCCTAAGCGCTGGGATCAGGACTCGGAGTCTTCTCTCGACAAGGCTAGCAAGTACTTCCTCATGGCTGAGATCTTCCGCGGCATGTACGTGGTGCTGGAGCAGTTTTTCCGCCCACCGTAAGTCTCTCTGCCAACGACTGCCGACAGAGCCAATTGCATGTTGGACACGTCATGCAGGCTCGATTGAGCTGGAATCGACTGACACGATGCCTCTTTGCTCTTAGTTACACTATCTTCTACCCCTTCGAGAAGGGTCCCATCTCCCCCCGATTCCGCGGTGAGCACGCTCTGCGTCGTTACCCCACTGGCGAGGAGCGCTGCATTGCCTGCAAGCTCTGCGAGGCCATCTGCCCGGCCCAGGCTATTACCATTGAGGCGGAGGAGCGTGAGGACGGAAGCCGCCGGACGACCCGTTATGATATCGATATGACCAAGTGCATCTACTGTGGATACTGCCAGGAGAGCTGCCCCGTGGACGCCATTGTGGAGAGTAAGTGAAAAACTGCGAAGGCATCAAACTATGATCTGACTGTCTTGTGTGCTTTAGCCTCCAATGCCGAGTACGCCACCGAGACCCGCGAGGAGCTCCTGTACAACAAGGAGAAGCTCCTCGCTAACGGCGACAAGTGGGAGCCCGAGATTGCGGCTGCTGCTCGTGCCGATGCTCCTTACCGATAATCAAATCGCTCCATTTCACCGTTACTCACCGTGACACTCAACACTTCCAAGATGCGAATGATGAACTTGGGCCCGTACAGGCGACCCGGGCTCAATATCAGAACGCGCCAAGTGGCGTACATCCAAAATCTAGAAAAGGGCTTCATACCCGCCCTCTTACCCCAGCACACCTTGTACATAAATCACCCTCGACCATGTGTTATCCCTCTGTCGTACTAGTCGATTCCCAAAGGAAGTTTTCGCTTCGTTCGGAAACTGAGCTCCTTTGTCTTTGTTTTCTTTTTTCCTATGTTCTGGAATAGCAGGTCTCTTTTATTTTCTTCAAAGCTCAAATTCGATTAGCAATATACCTGAATGATACAGTAAATCGTCTACATCGTTCAAATTTATGTCCTCAGAGCTGCTTCTATCTCTGCCTTTTGCGGTCTGCATCGAGGATATATATTCGGTTACAGGTTCCGGTCTAGGCTTTCCCTCGGTACCTTTTACAGCCTCCATGTACCTTCACTTTGACTAGAAACATGGATGCATCCTAAGATTGGATAAAGGAATTGAATTGGTAAAGGGTTGAACAAGATATATTTGTATTCACAAATAAAAAATGGATCGCTACCCATGCTGACGTACATACAAGACATAACTGCCGCTGAAACACAGCGCAAACACCAAACACCAGAATCCCCGGATGGATATTTCCCAGATCGATGTCTTAAAAACACTTTTTCTTTTTTCAAGTTGTGGGTATTCTCCAGCTTCTGCCGCCATCTGAGGGACGGAAGTAGGTTGAAATGAAGGAGGAAAGTTGAGAAGGCTACGGGCAAGTAGCCGTAGCTTTGAGGGAGAATGGAGAGGAAGGTTAGAGGAGAAAGATTATTTCTTCTTGCCGCCAACCTTGGCCTTGAAGCTGCCCTCAAACCCAGGGCGAGCCTTCTTCTTGCCACCGCCGGAGGGCTTCTTGCCCTTACCCTTGGTGCCTTTCTCGTCACGGCGCTTGCGCAGGTTCTCTTCACGCTTGGTTTGACGTTGTTCCTTCATGCGAGAGACAGTGTCGATGCGTTCTTTCCAATCCCGCTCCGACCTCTTCTTCGCAGTCTCCTTGCGCTTAAGGGCCTTCTTCAATAGAGAGGTGTCATCACGAACTCGTTCACCGTGGGCGCGCTTCTTGGCATTCAACCAGGCATCCTTCTCCTCCAGCTCGGCACGCTTCTCCGGGTCCATTTCGGCGAGGCGGGCCTTCTTGGCTTCGGCGGCCTTGAGATGGGCGGCGGAATCTTTGTCCTTGGGGCCGCGGGTCTTGGAGTGATCGCGGACGCTGGAGAGAGAGGCATCCGCGAGTTGACCGTCGGCGAACATGACATGGCCGAAGGAGAAGTTGTTGCTGGAGGATCCAACAGACTCGGCGGGGGAGCGAGGAGAGGCGAGCAGAGACCCGGACCCGCCTGGCGAGAACCGACGGGCCATAGCCTCATCCTTTTGGCGCTGTTCTTCCTCCTTAGCCTTTTGGCGCAATTCCTTTTTGTGTTCCTTGCGCTGCTCGGCCTTTTGTCTCCGGGAATCGATCAGCTCTTGACGGTTGCGTGCGGGCTTGCCGTTGAAGCCATCGGCGTGTCTCTTTGCTCGAAGCTCGTCGAGACGCTTTTGCAAGCGTTGCTTCAATTCTTCTGGAGTGGCTTTCAAGGCCTTGGGGTCGACCGACTTGGCATCGGTGGCAGTAGAAGGAGGGACAATGGAGGATATGGAGGAGCTGCCTGATTGGGGATTTGAGGCATCGGGGGAGTTACGGGTGGATGAGGCGGAAGAGGGAGCCTCGGGCTCTTCATTGAATTCCAGTGAGAATCCTTCCTCGGGGACTCCGCCCTCGAGATCGTCACCATCCTCGTTATCAGACACCGTGGGCTCCTCAGCAGCCTGTTCTGTCTTCGGTGTTGACTTCTCTGCAGCCGTGGAGGAGGTGTTCTCAGTTTGTTGCAGTTTTTCCTTTCTGGCACTCTCCTTCGCCTTCTTCTTCTCCTTTTGCGCAGCCTTCTTCTGGGTCTTCTTCTCCTCCTTCAGCTTCTTTCGAGCCTCAGCGTCGTCTGCCTTTGCTTTCGAAGCAGCGTCCGATTTCTCAGTCTGCTTTTGCTTCTTCGCCTTTTCTCCGCGGGTGAGACCCTCCCCGGGTAGTTCGGAGCCTAGTTCTTCACTGTCCGATGAGTCGCTTTCGAGAGATCCATCCTCACGCTTGCGCTTGCGAGCATTCTCATCCATTACGTCTTTGGCGGTCTTTGCGGATTCGGGACCCAACTTTGCACGTTTGGCCTCACGGGCTTGCTCTTTCGTCTGTTTTTTTCGTTTCCATTGATCCTGCATGTGCAGACAGCCATTAGATTAAGGGACCCCGAGAATTAAACGAGACAGTAGGCAGGGCGGCAAAATCGAGAAGAGGGGTTGATCAGAGGGGATCAGAGAGCGCACGTACACTGGTATTGTCTTCGCCGTAGTAATATTTGGCGGGGATTAAGGACAGTAAACCGTCGAATGCCTGCGCATGGCTGCGCAGTCGGTCCTGGATTGAGTTAGCGAGATGGACCGACCGAAAACGCTGCCTCACGAACCTCGATGTCATCCATGTTCCCGTGAAAATTCCCGAACTCTGAACTGAAGGCGAGTCGAAGTAGCCGCTACGAAAAATTTGGGGGTGAGGAAATCTTGGCGTTCTCCGCTCGGCTCCTTCACCGCCCACGCACAACAATTTTTGGCTGGTGGTCCGTGCTCGGTCGAGTATACCGGTGGGGACGAGAGCCATGATCAATTATTGCAGTCTTCAAAGGTCTTAAAATAGGAAATCGAGATTGAATATCTGTTGTTATTGTTCGTTTGTGATCTTGACTATGGAACCTTCACTGCTGTCATCCTCCAGGCAGCGATTCATCGTGAGTCATGATGACAAGTCACCTGACATCGTCTTCATCAAATCGCTGATCCCCTTCATACTCCGATGCTTAACCCCGAAATCCAATGGCATACTGTACCCCCATTTACCCCCCTGTGGTTAGCGAATATCATATCCACCCTTGATCCCCAAATGAGTGGATTGTACTGACGGCCGCTGTTTCCATATTGAGAGTTATTCAGCACCTGGGCTTTTGTAACTCTATTTACGACCTTTCAGCTACTGCATGGGGATTAGCGCCGCTGGCCTCTGCATATTGGGTCAACTCAATCTCCTCTATACGCAGGCGATCTTCCTCGTCCCACCCTTCACGGTTATCTTTGACCAGTCGAACAAATCCCACATCTAAAATGAGGGCAATGACGCTAATCGCAACACCGAAGTAGAGCGCTGACCGATACCCCATGATTTGACTTCCCGAGCGCTTAGCACTTTGAACTTCAATAGTGGAGGCAAATCCCAAACCCAGACTGTTGCCGTACAGGTTGAGAGTGCCGATGATGGATCCAGCAATACCCTGTTGATGCCGGCGCACTGAATTACTGGCAATGATCTGTCCAGCAGTGTACACAAAATCCGGACAGAAAGCAAACAGAACGACAGAGGGGAATACCTGAGCCCAGTAGCTTTGGCTAACTGGCACAGTGGCCATCAGAGCATTGGAAATCAGGATCGTGCATGTACCGATCGCTAGGATCCATTGCGCCGCCAACCGAGGCACCAACCATGCAGCTAGACATGCGGCTGCCGTGGCACAAATCACGAAGGGCGTCCAGCCAACGGCAAATTGTAGAGGCGACCACTTCCATACCTCTTGCAACCAGAGGACCTGGTACCAGATTAAGGTTCCGACAGCCATGTAGTTGAGTAGGACCACTAAGAGCACAGTGAGGAAGGAAGGTGCCTTGAAGATCTCAAGTGGCATGATGGGGTAGGAGGTATACCGTTTTTCCCAAACGAGAAAGGCCCCGAAGAGCATGATCGATATGATCAAGAGAGCGATCTCATAGGGTGTCTGCCAACCAACGCTAGGGGCTTGACTATATGGGAGAACAGTCGTCAGCTCTCAAGACTCGTTCAAACTCTCGCCACACTTGTTGGGACTTACTTCCAGACAAAGTTGAAAAGAATCAATGAAGAGGTTCCGAGAGCAGAACCAACGTAATCGATTTTTCCATGCTGATCAACGGGTGTTTCTCGCATACTCAAAAACCAAATCGCAAGCGAGGTAGCGATACCAAGACCGGACCTAGACCTCTATAGTCAGTAACTGTGGGACCCAGCATCGCTAACCTTCGATATTGTACTTACGTGAAGACGAAAAACCACTTCCATTCTGTCGTTTCCATGAAAGCACCCAGAAATAGTGCGCCGAAGTAACCTCCCATTGGAGCCGAAGCTGCAAAAAGGCCCAAACTGAGATTCCGTGCTCGCCCCGGTGGGTTCGTACTCGAAATCATAGCAACAGCATTTGGCATGACGAAAGCTCCCCCGAGGCCACCGAGGGCTCTCATAGTGAGAAAGGCAAAAAATGCTTTATCGCAAAAGGCACTCGCTAGGGTTGTGATCGCAAGCCATGCGCCTCCAGCAAGGACTAGCTCCCTGTAACCGTAGACATCCCCCAACCGACCACTGATCAGGACGAATGTTCCCTGTGTCAAACTATTTAGTGTTAGTATTGAACGAAAGAAAAATTCATGTAGACAATTCTGAATAATTGGAAACTCTCTTACCCATAACTTGCCCCAATCCAAGAAGCATAAGTGGACTTGACACCCATCGATTGGCTTAACGTTCTACCTCCGGCGATACCAGCAAAATTGACTGTCATCTAACAAGTTTTGTCAGTATGTTGTTTGCCGTAGTCGTCAAGAGCTGTGTCTCAGCGCACTCACTTGTACGAGGTTTGCTAGAATGAGCAAGGTAGTAAGCACTACACGACGAGACTGGGTGACTTTGGCAGATGGAATCCGTTCAAAAACGGGTTGACCGGCCCTTGGGGCAGGCGATGGTCCTGTGAAATCACTCGGAAACTCTGCAGACACCTCTTGTGCTGGAGTGGTTTGAAGGGAATTCTCTGGCGAAGCCATCACCGCTGGGTGGGGTGAGGATACAGTAGGAGACTTCACCTGTGTGGGAAGGGCTTGCGTCGCTGACATGGGGCTGGCTGAATTTTGGACACGATATGGGGTGATCCGATAGTGGAAAATTTCAAGGCTCGCTGCTGTCTGTGTAGGATTCAGAAGAGGAAAAGGATTATGTAGTTACGCTTGACTCATGTGTGCGTGACCGCGGGCATGGTTCCGATGCATACAGGCATCTTATAAATCAAAGCACGTCCAGGCTGATCTAGGAATACCCAAAAGGGAGATTACCCAGGAATCCGCCGAATGTAGAAATCATACCCGCGAACACGTTGGCATTGGCATTGATTTCTTATGGGTACTTTGTAATTGCCACCAGGTCAGCTGCACCCTACTCCACATATCTGAAGTGGGCCTTTCTGCATGGTCTGTGTGGTAGAGCCACGATATCCGCTGGTAATACAAGGGTGCAAAGAAATTAATGTAGGATTGGTACATACGGGTGGTCAGGCAAATCTGGCCACCCACCCTCTCCGCCTACCTCATAAGAATTTAGATAACATCATGTAAACAAAAAATGTCATGTAGATAGTACATTAATCTACTGCCAAATCTACTGCCAAATCTACTACCAAATCTACTACCTATAAATCTTAGATGATTTAGGGGTCTTTTACTAGTAGTTAAAAGGGCCTATTCGTCATTTAGGAAATGGAACAGGGAACTATTAATTTAATGCGATTTTGCTAGTATATTCTACCGTTAATTAATCGAGTTTTCTTCTTACTCATGATTGATTAGATTAAGCCACTTTTGATGCAAGATAGCGTAAGAGCTTAATAGTTAAGATTTACACGCGCATAATTAGATCGATAGGATATTAAATATACTAATTATCTACTATATTCGCCTGATCTAAATCCAATTAAGAATGCTTGGATAAACCCTGGCTGAATAATAGTGGCTCAAGTACCAATCCTACATTATTTTCTTTGAAACCCTGTAGGTTCATCGTCAGCTTCCAGATTTGGATTTTAATTATCCGAGAGCTATGATCAATATACTAAATTCTGAAGCTAGACACAAGTGCAATGGCTATTTGTGTGGTAAAGGCCGAAGCTGATCTGTGCATTGTACCTGCTAATAGAGAAAAGAAAACTACAGTGCCTTGGTTGAGCTTATGATAAATACCTGTTTCTCTGCCAGCAGGAGTGCAAAGGGTTCAATTGGAAAATATCCATTCGTGAGTGGTAGACTAGACTAAGCAGTTATAATATCCAAGCCTTTTTCGAATGCTCTTCCGCCGAGTCTATGACTCCACAGTGGAGTTCCACGCCCACGCAACAGAGTGTCGGTTGACTTCAGAGATTAAAGAGAGGAAGGGTCACATGTTTGGCCCTTTTGAGCAGTGATAACACTAATCTGTATTCCACCCACCCAGGCCGCATTGATGTCAAGTGTGTTCGTGATATTCTCGATGGGATTGCTGCTGAGGAGCAAAAGGTCCGCTCGCATCCCAGTAGAAATGGAACCTCGATCATACAGCCTGTAAAGCTTCGCAGCTCCTGCAGTAGCCGCCTGAATGGCCTCAGCGCTTCCAAATCCTGCATCCACCAAGTTCTGAAGTTCACAGTGCAGCGACCGACCGAATGGGTAGTTGATAACCCCGGGAAGGCTCCCAACAGAATCAGTGCCGACCGCGATAGGAACACCAGCAGCATGCATATTGACGACATTGGTCTGGATGTTGGAGTAGTTGCATGAGGCATTGAAGCCCAGCACTGGCCCCAGAGCCGGATTTGAGAATGCTAGGCGATAGAACTCCATGGTTGGAGTAACGAATTGACCTTGGCTGCGAATCTGACTGATCTGAGACTTTGACAATAGGCTGTCGGCAGGTGTATGTTGGATGCCATCAACTTTGGACTGGATGGCTTGATCATAGTACTCCATCAGTGTCGCATGCGTAGCTGCGAAACTGCCGTGCTGATGAGCAAGTCGCACCATGGTAGATTGTTGTTCCAGAGTAGGACCTTTGTCCTCGGCAACGATCTTAAAAAAATCAGATCAGTTACCAAAAGTATAATTAACCAAGGCAGAGAGATCTGTATCAGGCCCAATTGTTTCTGCCGATGGGACCCCGAATGCAATTGCATGGACACTGCCGGTACCGCAAGCAATTTCACCCGCAGTGATATAGTCTGTGGTACCGAGCTGACCTTTGAGCTGGGAACAGGTGGTGTAGTTCAGACAAGCCATGTTGATTGCAGTAGTAACACCGTAGTCAGCAAGGTCTGCCAGATTACTGCAACTTGCTGGATGAACATGACTGTCGATGAGACCAGGAGTGAGGTATTTCCCTGTCCCATCAATGCTGTTGATTCCTGGAGGAATGGCACCGCCAACAGTAACAATTTTATCGTTGCTGATGATGACCGATTGTGCGCTTTGAACTCCACTTCCATTGAAAACTTGCGCATTTTTGATGGTAAATTGAGAATTGTTCAGGATTGCTAACACAGCTACTTGCGGTGGAGGCTTGGGCAGCTCTTGCAATATGCTCTGTCAGGCACGCCTGAGAAGAAGCAAGAAAGGATACCACGAAGGCAAGAGTAGCTATCTTGATCATTGAGAAGTCGTGCTTATAGGGACTGAAAACAAGTAGATATAATTTGAAGTGGCTGGGGCAACCGTAGCAATTAAAAGTATTTTGATCGTTCTATACCACCTCTTTTATATGCCCCAAAGGCATACCCCTGTCGGTCTTGATGCTTTAGAAACCAGGATGCGCATTGTGATCTCTGAGCAGCGTCTTGAAGGGTGAGACATAGGTACCGCAAACTGAAATTTAAACCCGGGATTCGTACCCTTGGAATGAAACGAGTCTGGATTTCTAAAAGTCCTGTACAAGAAGTGAAGAATTTCATCCGTGTTGTGGGGCTTAAGCCAAGCTTAGTAGATTTCGGTGTAATAGAAGAGGCGTCACCAAAGAAGACGTAGCTCACCAGAACTACCTAAGGCCCACCCCCGCATGTAACCCCGGAAATCCACCTAAAAGGGGTATATCCATGATTGAAGAAAGTCGAGATCCTTGGCATTACCCTAAGAGGTCTTGAAGGACCCCAGCTCTCAATACATAAAGCGCTTCCGAAACAACGCTGTATAGTCTCAGAGAGCCGAATTATAACATTGCTCATCCGGATTGAGTATACAGCGCCCGCTAAGAGGGCAAACATGATGTTGTGGTAGTAACTTGGAGACCTAAGTTTAGCGAAGTCTGGCTTTTTTCTAGTGCTTACTGTAGGATCGACTTATAGAAAGAAGGACCCGCATGGATTAAAGAGTTTTAAACACGATCGCTCAGCCTGACCAATGGTGCTATAAACCTCAAATTTGTGGGACCTAGAGCATGTAGAATAGGGTGTTAACAATGAAACCCAGGAATGTGAGGCCAAACCCACGACTTCAGACTAGATGCGTGTAGAATGGCAAGCAACGTCATACTCCCAGATGGATAGTGGTGGAGCCGTACATGTTGGTTATCAAATTGAGCAGACTACCAATGCACCCCGAAACAAGCTCACAATGAACTAAATGCGGAGTTTCTGCCTCGTATCACGCTAAACCTAGACAGGATCCTCGATTCCGAAGAGGAAACTGCTGAAATCAAGATCTAGATCCTTGAAAAGTTCGTCGAAGCAGAGGCCAGCATTATCTTCATTCTGCGACGAACCTCCACCATTCATGGTATTCGGATATCGTGTTTCCAAGATCCTCCCCGAGAGTGTTTCAAAAGTGGCAATGCACTGTGGGATAAACATGCTCAAATGCTCATGATGGCGAAGACCCGTCAACATGTTGTGCCAAGATTGTGACACTGATTCAGTGAAGAGGTCACTCAGCATCGCGGCAAGAAAAGTAGTTCCCGCTATGTGCAGATAATAGACTCGGTACCACCATGGTAGAAGCCCGATCAATGCATTCGGTTCAAACGAGTCGAGAATCATGGTGACAATTCTCTGAGCTGTTTCAACACACATTTCAGCACATTCTCTCAGGAGACGATGACGCAGACCAAGACCATGGGTCGATGCTTGGGCCCCCGATTGCATAGATAAACATCGTGCAAGCATGGGCCGGTACAAAAATATCCGAGTACCAAGAAAGCTGAGTTTCTCAAATCAGCAAAGCCGCCAATCAAATTGGAAAGTGAACACATAGGAATGGAATGCTTATTTGGGTCCCACGTACCGAGCATGTAGCAGAAGTGCCTTCGATCGGATCGATTTCTCCACGATATTTCGTAAATTATCAAACTGCCAGTCGTTGGGAAGACTATCTTCCCATTTTCCAAGGCAGGTGTCTATCTGTACTGCCACGGCATGGTATTCATCTTGTTGATAGAGGCGGGGCAGTCCCAATCTAAATGCCACTCTGTTTCGCGTTTGCCCTTGGGCCAACTGAATTTGATTGCCAATCTCATGAAGCTCGAGACCACGAACAGCACATTCAAGGTCAGTACGTAATTTATCGTCAATACAACTGGAAGAAATTTGAGAGGAAAAGTCAGGCAGAGGAATCATGGACGGCACCGAAGTCCTTCCAAGAGACCAAGCAACACATCTAGAGACAAGTTCAAAATGTATTCAAAATGAAAAATGGTTATGTAGACCAGAAAGCTTACCTGTCAAGTGCAACGCAGCTCGCCCACACTTTCTGGCGTTTCTCTCGTTCCATCTCGGGGTTCGGAGATAAAGATACATCAGGAGCCTGGCAATTCATGTTCTGTGAGATTCGCAACGCCAAACCACCAGTCATCCAGGTCTTCTGTTGGTGAGAGGTGCAGTGAAGATACCGATTCATCAGCATCAAGCACTGAACCACTTGGACTGTGCCAGGCTTCCAAAGGAATTTCTCTGGCCGTAAAAGCACCCAAGCCCGTTGGAAATAAAGGTTTGCTTCTGCATCACGTTCCCCCGCGGGGATCGATTCTTGCCTCTGTACTGCCAAAGCAAAGACAATGTTGAGTATAGAAAGCCATATCTCATGATCTGCTAGGAGCAAGTCCCAAGGTCTTATCCAAGAAGCCTCATAATCGTAGAAAAATTGATCTCGATCCAAAACTGGCTCTACAGAGTCAACGTTTTGCCAATAAATGCTTATCAGCTCGTTAGCACGTCGTCGATGAGGCAGATGCGCGACAAAGTCACGGCTTATAGTCCGAGAATCCAAGTCAAGTTCTCCAAATAGAGGCGCGTCCACAAATGGGACCAGATTTGATATTGCAGGGGGTGGGAGGCCTGCCCTCTGGTCATTTGCGGCTACCGCCTCCCTAACCTTGCCATCAAACCGGCAATGGGGTGTATAGTAAGTCCGATTTGGGTCGAGACCTTCATCTTGCTCTTCATCAGGGACCAATGGTTGCTCGAGCGTTGTTGATAATTCTTCAAGTGAGTGGTTTCTGTATGTCTCATCCTCATCTTCGTCAATTGGGCGGCGTCTTTTTGCGGCGTGGTCGGTCGCGGCCTTGCGCTTCGATCCTCGTCCAACTGCAATGTCCTCTCTGTTATAAACACATGTTTCACCCCTCTCTAAGCATCGGGAACACGCTGAATAATGACAATGAGAGTTAGTTCATATCAAAGTAAATGGCATTCAGAGCGGATGTGGATTGCGGTTTGGGGAGAAGCATCAGATGTACCTGGCCGACCACCGTCGCATTTCACCTTCCTCGAGCGACAAACTTGACAAGCGTTCGAGATCCGCAGTCGCTCTCTGCGCAACGGGGGTTGCAATTGTGGATCAGACTGCTGTTCCAATTGAACCGCGGGAGCCATGATGAGATGTAGCGCTGAGTGGCTTGTCTGGGAGGAGATTCCAGCATAAGGAGATCGATCAATTCTAATCAAACTAAGAAACAACTAAACATACGAGGCGGGGTATTCCGACCAATAAGACAGCTTACCGAGCTGGCTCGATGCTACCACGGAAAGTTTTCTGATTGGCCATTGGCTTCAATTCTAAATCACCTTATAGCCAATCAGCAGTCATACCGTCCTGAGCTTGCCGAAACTGGCACCATCAACAACAGATATAATACCCTCGATACAAGCTCGATGTGGTGAAGGAATGCATATTTAAATTTAACTTAACAGCAGAAGACCCTGGCCTAAATTTAACAGCTATGCCTCAACAAATTAACTCAAAATTGACAGCGAATGCTGGCGATATCGAGACTACCGATGCCTCTAGCGGACAAGGCACTGTGGAGGATCCTTTCGTGGTCGAGTTTCCTGAAGGTGACCCAGAGAATCCCATGAATTGGTCTCCCTTCAGAAAATGGTTCATTACAGGAATTGTAACTCTTTCCGTCTTTGCTATCACGTTCACATCCTCGGCATATTCTGAATCCTCGATCGAAGTGATGCAAGACTTGAACATGGGAAATGAGGTCTTTATACTGGGCCTTTCTTTGTTTGTACTGGGATTTGCTATTGGTCCAGCCCTCTGGGGTCCCTTGGTTAGTGTCTGATTTACTCTTTGAGTGGCATGGGTCGCAACATACAAGCTGATAATTGTTATTCTATAGTAAGCCGACATTCATCTCCCACCTACAGATGTTATCTTGACACTAATCATCTACAATACGTCCAAGATCCGAGCTATATGGTCGACGTGTCCTCTGGATAATCTCTCATATTGCTATGGTGGCCTTCATTGGAAGTTCTGCAGGGAGTAAAAACATTGCCACGCTTATGATCACACGATTCTTCGGTGGCACATTTGGGGGATCCCCGCTGGTTAACTCTGGTGGAACAATTGCAGACCTCTTTCCTCCAGCCCAAAGGGGACTTGCCCTGACACTTTACTGTGTTGCGCCTTTTCTTGGCCCCATTCTGGGTCCCATTGCAGGAGGGTTTATCTCTGAAAATGTTGGTTGGAGATGGGTTCAGGGAGTGTGCACTATCTTCATAGGAGTGATAGGTAAGGATAATCTGACCTAGGGCCGAGGAGATGTCACTGATTTTAATGATAGGAACTCTCGGTGTTATTTTAGTACCCGAGACATATGGACCGGTGCTGTTGACGAAACGGGCCGATGAATTATCTAAAGCAAACGACAAACTTTACCTAAGCATTCTCGACATAAGGCAGGGTAAAAAGAGACCATCCGAAGTATTCCAAAGAGCTATAGTGCGACCATGGGTACTGTTGTTCAAAGAGCCCATTGTGTTAATAGCCTCACTCTACATGGCAATCATCTACGGCACTGTGTACATGTTCATGGGTGCCATGCCTATTGTCTACAATGAAGACCGCGGATGGAGTGAGGGCATTGGAGGACTTGCTTTTTTGGGTATAGCCATTGGTATTGTCTTCGGATTGATCTATGCCATCTGGGATAACCACAAGCGCTACATGAAGCTGTTCCTCTCGAAGTCTGCAACTGCCGAGTCACGATTGCCCCCTGCCATTGTGGGCGCTATTTCTTTACCAGTTGGAATGTTCGCTTTTGCATGGACCAACTATTCCAGTATTCACTGGTCAGCTAGCATTGTCCTTACAATGCCCTTTGGCTTCGGATGCGTCCTCATCATCCTTCCGATTGTCAACTATCTTATCGACTCTTACACTATTTACGCAGCGTCGGTCCTTGCAGCTGCGGCTATATTTCGCTCGATTGTGGGTGCTGTGTTTCCCTTATTCACAGCTCAGATGTATCACAATCTGGGAATTCACTGGGCGTCATCGATTCCGGCATTCTTGGCATTAGCTTGCATGCCTTTTCCATTGATTATGTACCGCCATGGCCCTGCACTGAGAATGAGGTGCAAGTATGCATTCGAGGCAGACGAGTTAGTGAGAAAGATGCAGATGCAGCAAAACCCCACTTTAAGGCAGCAGGAGGAGGCTGAGCCATCCCAGTGAGCAAAGAGATTCCGAGATATCAAGTAGAAATGGGAATAAAAGGTCAGATTTCAATTTAATGCGTGAATCCGTGGAGAACAGGAGTTCAATCCTCGCGGGAAATATAGGGGAGATCAAGAAAATATTCACTAGGCAGCCTAAAGGAAAATGGAGAATGAAGTGCCAATGTCGGATATTATTTCAATCGACCTAATTTGCAGCGAAAGTCCAGATCTGGTGCATTGGATCAGTTACCTGGCTCACCCTGACTTCATCGACTTTTATGAATTGAGCTGGATGGCCATCTTCGCTCTTGAGACAGGACTCCAGTTTGTCACCATGATTGTTTCCGGGGGTGTACGTTTTCAGTTCCGTGAGTCGATACAAAAGCGACTGGTGAAGCTTCGCATCGCGCGGGATATCACGATATGACCCATTGTTTAGCGGGAAACGGACTTTTGCCCATTTATCATGGACAATCTCCCATCGCGTGATGAATGGAAATATTTCTAATGCGAAACCAAGATCAGATTATGCAAGTAGAATACGAAGAGAGGGATTGGGGCTCTTACCTAGAAATTTCCAGAGCAGGACCCTGAAAAAGCTAGAGCAATTTCCAAAGACCAAAGAATCGTGGATAAATCCACGTAGAGCTTGGTTTTGACTTTCCTCACGAGCAAAGGCTGTCTTGTAACCGTCTTTGCTCCTTGACCACTTGACGCCAGCTTGTTCATCAAGGCTTGCGACGTACTCTAGCTCTCGGATCATCCATGACAATGTCACATCGCTCATTTGGAAAGCGTCCGAACGAACATCCTTACTGGCACCATTGGGCTTTAGGGTAGTCCAGAACCTCTTGAAGGATTTCCAAACCCCTTTGTCTTCGGGTTTATCCTGGTTACTGACACTATGAGCTGCCGGCCAACCGCCGCCAACATCACCGTGGCACCCCGGGAACCAAACTTCTTCGACGTTTTCAGTGGAGTCTGGAGTATCCTGCGAAAGCAATGCGGGCTTAAATTTAACCCTTCGCTCGTCGGTGGCCACTGCATGCCGAACGAACTTCGCGGTTCCAGCGATACTGACTGGCATGGGTGGAACTCGCTCCAAGACGGCAACGGAATTCACGCAATCCCAGATACCGAGGAAATAAACCTTGACATTAGCCTCGACATATTTGGCGCCACTCTTAATGGGTTCCTTCCGACAGAAGGTGTTGCTAAACGCAGTGATCTCGTTCCTTGCCGATTCGTAGGTATCGCTATGATACTCGTCTACTTTGTCGCCATCTAGCAGTGGCTGCAGGTCTCCATTCTGCTCCGAGTCATCCTGACTGGAATCTGCGTTCTCGAAGTCCTCAACTTCACCAGCGAGATAACGCTGATAAAGAAGGTATGCGAATGGAACCATCTCTTCATTTCCTCTGCAAAGTAGCCCGACCGTATGAACCATACGCGCCAGGAACTTTGCAGTGAACGCCCCACGGCTGAAGCCGAACATATAGATCTTGTCTCCCTAAAAGTGCTAATGTAAGCAGATGTTCTTGCACTTTTTAACATGAAAGTCTTACTGCCTCATAGTAGCGCATCAAGAATCGATAGCCGGCCATGACATGCGCATCGAACGTTGTGCCGACTCCTTGATCAATGGTTTGGGAAATGCTGTTTCGAATCTTTCCAAACCACGATTTGTTGACGGACGTTTCATTGATGTCATATGTACCGAGACCAGCTAGACTCTGTTAGAACCAGAACCAAGTATATAGGCAAGTATCCTACTTTGATAATAATGGTACTGTTTTGGGTGATGTCGGTCTAGCTTGTTCAAGATCTTGACCACATTGGTGTCGGCACTGGAGCCGCTAAACTGGTTTCCCGTACCATCGAAGCAAAGGATGAGCTTATTCGGCTCTTTGACGAACTCATTGCCAAGAACTGCCATGATGTTTAAAAATTGACGAAGATCTCCGGGAAAGAAAATTGGTCGATCCCAGATTGAAAAAAAGGACCTCTTTGTGTTGCTGACACTGAAGAAATTGAGTGGGGGTCCGGGCTGATTTTCTACTTCCTCCCCAGTCTCTATGGCGCTGTTTCTGAATTACGAGGTCAAACCAGGCGGGCTGATTCATTCGTGAAGGCCAAGGAAGTTCATGTTCCGATTGATATTCAGCTGGCCATCCATGCTTAGAGTTCGGATAGTCAGCGAGTAGGAAAGCCACCCGCTCGACAAACTGGACAGCCTTAGGAACGCGTCAGGCACTAGTAGAGGCGCGACGGCCACCCCGTACGAACACGATCCACATCCTACGATAATCGGTATCTGTTGCCCAATCTTCCAATCTTCGTGGGTCAAAGCCATCCTTGTCCTCGCTCAGCTGCAAGTGTCGGCAGTTTTTACCTGGGGCGGAAAAGCCATGACCCCGACCTGGGCTAGATCCCGCGCATGTGGCGCTCTTCATATGCACCTCGATCGGCAAATCTTGCAACTATTTACCATTAAATCAGTGATAGAGGCCCTCACCCAGGGTGCCAGCATTTTGTGGGGCTGCGGTATCTGCAGCATGGTCAGCCTAGTATTCGGTCGCTGTGCTGCGACTTGTGTGATAAGAAAGCTCGTGAGACTTCTAACGTGCCATCTTCTCGTGGATTATCGTTCCTGAAGAAACTACAGCTAGAAAGAAACACGATCATAGATTAAAAAGCATTTCGACAACGAAAGAAACCTTGGGCCTCTCAGCTCTGAATCGAGCATTCTAACGCAGCCCATGTCTTAGGGTTCCACTTTGAATCCTTCATATTCTCACAGCCTTTCTTGTCCCAAGAAGAATAGACTTGACCATAGCCATCTGACTTGCATTTATCATTGTCAAACACCGTGCAGGTACCACTCTCTACATACCACGATTGCGGCGATTTCAGTGAGCTCTCGTCGCATGACTTCCAACCCGATTTATTGTCATCTGGGAACCATCGGCACGTAGGGCTATCACCGGAGAATAGACCGCTCATCCCGCCGTACAGATTTAGACACTCGTTGGTCATATGTTCATTATGACCCTGTACGACGTAGTATGCCCCTTTGCAATCCTCTTTGCTGTAGATCCGGATTATCCAAGGATCTGAAGTGGGACTGATGGCGGCGCTGGTTATCTTCGTCGTGGAATGGTTCGTGGACTGGCTCGTCTTTTTTGAATGGGTGGTACTAGTTGAATGTGTGGTGGTTGAGTGGCTGGTGCTCGTCGTGGAATGCTTGCTTGTGGATGTGGAGAGACTAATTGAAGCCGACTTTTTTGAACTCGTTGTGTGAGTCGAAACAGATGAATGCTTTGTTGTAGGTTGGGTGGTTTTTGTGATGACTTGGGTCGAGGTTATAGGTTTTCCAGTGACTGTGACCGGTATGAATATAGTACTTGTGCTTGACGGTGGAGATGGAATTGTACCTTCAGCTGCAGTCGAGGATAGAGATGACGTGCAGAATTCTGCAGTATTGCCACATTGACCATACGGGGAACACTGCAAGGATAGGTCAGACATTGTTGCGTAACAGGATTGATACCATAACTTACACATTCATTCAGCGGGCATGGATTGAGGGACTTGAGATCGACCCAGTTGCCAGGACGCAGTGTTCCGGGCACTTGAGGTCCACACACGGCACTTGCAATGGCAGCTGGCATGGGAGGCTCACCTGAGCTAACACATAAGAGCCTTCCCGGCTGCAATGCGTTGCACCCAGACCACCCCCAAGTCTGCGAATTGTAGCTCTCAAGCTCTGCGACACGAATACCATACTTTGGCGCAATTTGATCACAGTAATCGCCAGCTTTGATAGTGTATGTGTTACAGACATTGCCATTGCTTGACTGAACAGATGAGACAGAAGTACGTTCAGCGGAGCAACAGACCGAGTTGCCTGGAACTAGGCTCGAGCAGAGAGAGGCTTGGGGGTTGAAGGAAGTAAATTGGCTTGCCGTTATACCGCATCTAGCAGCCAAGCTACCGCAACTGTCTCCAGAGACGATCTGAATGGGGGAGCACGTGGTGCTACGTGAGTGGATTTCAGAAGACTTCAGACAAGAAAGAAAATCAGCATTCATGTTAATAAGGCTAAGTCTCGAGTACACTGACCCTATGATGATAGGCAGGAGAGGCAGCTACCATACAGATCAAGAGCAGAACTCATAGAGCGTAGTACGTCCTGAGTCGATAGTGGGCCATCTTGGGTAGTTGGAAGAATGCATGATCGTCGAGATTCCGAGAAGAAAAGTTGAACTTTATAGATTCTGACAAAGAAGCAATCTCCGCGAGACCCTTGTGCATAGGGACATTCGATGCAATATGCGGCTCAAATCTCAAAGAAAACAAGCATCTTCGCAGAATTACGGCCATTGCGAGAGGCTTGGTATATCAGAACAGCAACCTAATCCCCGTGATGGTGCAATGAAATAAAATCTGGGAAATTAGCAAGGCAATCCAAATGACAGCGATAAACAAAGGAGAACATTATACTGTTGCTTGCTCGAGGGACTGTTCTTTGTCAGAGTTTTCCACACCCCTTGCAACATCTCTGCAAGGTTGTAAATAATCTCGAATAGAGATGCCGATATCTGGAGTGCCTGTCTCACTGCAAAGCAAAAGTGGAAGACATCCCCTTGACCGCCAAGGGGCAGTGGCTGAGATGGCCGAGTCCAGCATGCATTTCTGAGGCTGAATTAGTTGGGAGCCTCCATTCTAGGGTGTTTCACATCTTGAAAGACGCTTTTTCTGTGACACTCACCAAAGAAAGCCCGGGGAGAATAAGGAGAAGTGAGAAGTCAAGCCTGGACAATAAAAACACAGCGGCACGTGATTTGCTCTTGTATAAAACACGTGACCGTGCTCTTGTCAACATTGACGGAGCAGCAGGATTGGTGGATACTCGGAGAAAGGAGATACTGTATAGTTATCCGCATAAATTGCCAGCTAGGGGCAGTATAGCAATTCAGACTTGTTGATATCCTATTGGTGCGCAGAATGATCCACTAAGCAGGAATTCCGTCAAACATAACACGCCTCAGGCCACAAGGCCTCCTACCGTTTTTCTGCTTGAAGCCAGAGGAATTGGTATCTTTGAATAAATGGTTGGTCTGCAAGTCACCCAAGAACACGACTCGTCATCGTTGCAGTGAGTTACAGGGAGTGAACGTGAGACGTACAAGTTCTGTGGAACAGCTAACGTCCCGCCTCTTTTTGGCAAGTGCGGCGAACGACACGCTCAACCGGGTACTATTCCCCGCGAGCACCGAGTACCTGCAATGCGCAATGCGGGGAATTCTCAGCTACCCCTCATCCTCATCGCTGGTCTTGGGAATTGCCTGTTCTAATAATGCGGGGCATCATTAGCAAAATGGCCACGGGACATCCCCTAGGCCACTCATGATCCTTGACCCTAACTGACGTCGGAAACAAATACAACCGATTTGGGTACGACTGCCGGGACTCGATGGAGTCATAGCAAAAGCCGCGACGTGATCTCCGCGTATAAATGGTTTGAAAGAACCCACGAGCGCCCGACGCTCGCCAAATCTTCTTTTACGGAGACTTCCTTTTCCACTCATTCCACAATGGCATCAGCTACTACCATGCAGGCACTGAACTATATTGGACCGTACAAGGTCCGAGTAGAGGAGGTTGAGAAGCCCAAGATAGAGCATCCGGATGATATTATTGTCAAAGTCACCACTGTGAGCTTACCTTTTTTGGCACCGCTACTTCTTGCCGAGTGATGAGCTGACCAGAATTCAAGGCTGCAATCTGTGGCTCAGACCTGCAGTAAGTACAGGGTGTGCGGGGTGAATGCGAATACCGAGAAATGGCACATGAAACTTATTGGCTTACAGCATGTACGAAGGACGAACTGCCGCAGAGCCAGGCATAACATTCGGTAAGACAACGTCCATTATATCGGGAGAAGGACTGGCGCTGACCAAAGTCAAGGCCACGAGAACATGGGTATTGTTGAGGAGCTGGGAGAGGGTGTCACCTTGTTGAAGAAAGGAGACCGTGTTGTCATGCCTTTCAACGTTGCAGATGGTCGGTGCCGTAACTGCGAGGAAGGGAAGACAGCTTTCTGTACTGGTGTCAACCCGGGATTCGCAGGTGGCGCTTACGGTAAGCTTGGAAAATTCAATGGTCTATAGTGCTCTTGCTGAGAAAATGGCAGGCTATGTGGCCATGGGACCCTATCGTGGAGGTATGCAGAGCAATGATTTCCTCATCTAAAGGTTTACAATCTTGCTCACCAAGACGGGACACAGGCCAGGCACAATATATTCGCATTCCCTATGCGGATTTCAATGCTCTGAAACTACCACCTGGCAAGGAGCACGAATCTGATTTCATTCTTTTGGCTGGTATGATCCCCTCAATCTTTTTTAATGTATGTGCTGCTTATTCTAATCACCGTGAATAGACGTTTTTCCCACCGGTATGCTTCCCACCCATGGTAAATATCTACGAGGAGAATTGGCCATCTGATCTTGGTAGTACAGGCTGGCACGGTGTCGAGATTTCTGGCTTCAAGTCGGGTGAAAGTATTGCGGTTTTTGGCGCAGGTCCTGTCGGACTCATGGCTGCTTATTCGGCTGTGTTGCGGGGTGGGTCCAACATCTATGTTGTCGATCGTGTCCCTGAGCGGCTGAAGGCCGCTGAAAAGATCGGTTGCATTCCAATCGATTTTACGAAGGGCGACGCTGTCGACCAAATCATCGCTCACAATATGGGCATGGTTGATCGTTCCGTTGATGCCGTTGGGTACCAGGCCGTGAACCCCAATGGATCATCCGAGAAGCCCAACATTGTTCTTGAGAATATGATCCGCGTCACGCGGCCTTGCGGTGGACTGGGTATTGCTGGCCTCTACGTGCCTAGGTAAGAATTGTTCAATCCGCCTTGTGCTGTTCTCAGTGTCTGATCGGCTATTCGCTTAGTGATCCTGGTGCATCTGATGCGGCATCTGCGAACGGCATGATCAGTTTGAGCTTCGGTAAACTCTTTGAAAAGGCAAGTCATCTCTGCCCCATAGAAACTCGGACTCATTCTCTAACCCGCTACAGGGTCTTTCCATCGGCACTGGCCAGTGTAATGTCAAAGCATACAACAGATACCTCCGCGACATGATCATTGCTGGCAAGGCCAAGCCTAGTTTCGTCATCTCCCACGAGATTGGACTGGCGGATGCGGAAGATGCGTATGATAAGTTTGATAAAAGGGAAAATGGCTGGACCAAGGTTATCATTCACCCCAATGGAGGGGTTTGATCAATAGTTTGGAGTCCCGTGTTTATGTGAGGGAGATTTGAAGAATTCACAACTTTCGCCGTATCAATGCAGCTCCATGACGGGATCTAAGTAAGGTTGATCATACAGAGCAGAGATACTTCTCATTCATACCTCTTCTTGATCTTAAAAGGTTTCGTCGCCCCCTGCGCCAGATTTGCAACGAGAAAGAGATTAGTCTCCTTCAACACGTAACGCTGATCGATTTCGCATCGCTAAATTTGCAAGTCCAACAACATCTACCTCTCCAAAATGACGCGATTAAAGAGTGGAATGATGGTGGGCTGCGATGCACAGTACGCATATCGTGGGGGCTTCGAACCTCATACGGCAAGCCTCGCCGATGGTGGATCCCCATTCACAGAAGGCAGATCAAAATTCCAAGATGCATCGAGCATTTGAAGGCACAATTCCCGCGTTGCGTTGACCCATGGCCAATAGGATAACAAGACTATGTCCAAAGAGGACCCACTCTTGCGGGAAAAATTACTTGGTTGGGACGGGCAGGGAAGGTGGGTGCCCTGGTGCGGAGTAGTGTATACTAGAGATCGAAATGCTACAGAGATATAAGTAACTTGTTGAGCCTCTATCTACCCCGTGTACATCAAAAGGATTGAAATCATACTCTGTGCAAATATGAAGATCAATCGCCTGCGTTCCGTCTGGGGCATTGCGCCAGGTCCCAACCTGGACAATTGGGCGCAATTGTTCCCAGACCTGAAGAAGCAGGGTTACAGTATGTTTCCTTCACTTTTGAACGGGAATGATTGTAATGAATCAAGGAGACTGATTTGATCTTGCTTCAGTCGGAGTTGAGGTGGACATCCATGGAATCGTTCCCGAGCGCGACTTTCCACGACTAAGGGAAATTTGTGACCAGGCAGGTCTCGAGATTGGTGCAATGTGAGCAAGCCAAGCAGCAATTTCCACAAGATCTACGAATTGGAATATTTATGGACATGACCTAGGGTGCACTCGTCGTGGTTTATGTATGCTGGACCTCGTCCAGTCGGCCTGAAAGCAGAGGATCACCTCCGAAATTACAAAGAGCTACTTGAACTGGTCAAGCAACTGCGACCGATTACTATCAACTTCCAGTCCGGAGAGTAAGTATATTCATGGTCATGGTCATCACCAGAAGACTTTTAATCACACTGAAACTTACTAGGGATGCTTGGGATGTCGAAGAATCAATCAAATTCTATCAAGGGACTATTCATATCGATCAAGAACTGGGACTCACTGGCCAAGTTACCCACGAGACTCATCGCAACCGTTCGCTTTTCACCCCTTATGCAACCCAGCGGATTTTGGAAGCTGTCCCAAAGTAAGAGGGATGTATCCTCTGACATGCCTATCGCAAAGCTAACCCTTTTATGAACCATACAGACTCCGAATTACCGCCGACTTCTCGCACTGGATGGTTGGACTAGAAAGACTTTTGGATGTCGGCGAGGGTGATCGCGTTATGATTGATGCAATCATCCCGCATGTGAGTTGAACAGGGTATGCCGAGGAGATTGGAACTAATAAGCCTCTAGGTGTATCACATTCATGCCCGAATCGGAACGACACAAGCATCCCAGTGTCCCGAGCCACTCAACCCTGTCTTTGAACAAGAGAGATTGTGTATGGAGAGGATCTGGACAAAGATCATTCAGAGTCGGTTCAAGCAAGATGGCCCGGACGGCATAATTACATTTGTCCCTGAATATGGGTATCTTTTGTTCTATCATTACCATTCGGTTGGAGACTGAAACTAACTTGCTACTAGGCCGTTCCCTTATCACCCCATTGGAAGCTCTAAAGCCCACGGGCAGGTAGCAGATGAAGAGGGGGTGAGATTGCAAAACTTGTTCGAAGGCATTGCAGAAGCTCTTGTTAATGCTTGATTGGGGTGAGAGGGACATTCACGATGATGTTGGAACCAAGCCTCGAGAATACACTGGAAAAGTGCCAGGATATTACTAAAGGCCGCATCATAACTATAGATCAGGAGAGAGCCAACCACATGCCTTGCACGGCAATTTCTAGATTTTCCCTGTCAATATAGATGAATTCAAATAAAAATCTAGACTTCAACTTGGAGAAGTTCTCCCGTATGATCGCATGCAATCATTATGCAGGTTCTTGAAATCTCGATCCTCGTCAAGCATGCCCAACAATAGCTGGGCATTGACATCCATCCATTTAGGGTACTGAAATATCGCAATCGTGTCTGCAGAAATGCTATAGTATCGATATGCCTATTGCGGTGACATTTTGTGGGTCGTTTTAACACATTTTCCCATCAAACCCGAGGATTCACAGGTACCAAGTATCAAGCAGGGCAGAAAAAGAAGAAAACGGTTCGACCCAGTCAGATCAGGTTGAATTCTGAATGGCTATTTTAATCCGTCTCAAAATCAAGAGGTAATTAGTTTCCAACTACAACTATAGAGACACTAGCAGCGAATGAAACTTGGGCATATCACCGATTTTGTTCCTGCTTCACCCACCAGTGGCTGTTTTATTTGTGGGCCCCACATGTCTCAGAATTGCCAGGCGATATAAGCGAGTCCAGCCGACGTTGCCTGTGCCTGATAACACTAAGTACTTATTAGTTATCTCGAGTAAGCGTTTCAGATCGAGCACGTTCAGCGACGATTCGTATACATGGCTCCTAAGGAAGGGCTGAGCAGTTATTTGAACATTTGGACTCAAAGGGGACTGTCAGAATGATTCAGGGGGTTATTTTGATCCTAACCAGGTTTTTCTACGCAGGGAAACAGGAGTAGAGTTATCAGGTATAAAGATTGAATCTCTTGATAGAACCTCAAAGAAACCATAAATGATCTAGATTTGATCTGTCAAAGAATGCTGCCAGCGCCCACAGGCTGGCCAAAAAGAGGCCTAGCACGCTGGGCGCGGTCAATGAACATCCTAAACAGGCAAATCTTGATGCCCATCGGCCCGCGGCTATTGGCCCAGGGTGGAATCCCGGGGAAAGCGGGGAAACGCGGTGCGGGCGATGGGGACTCCTTCCGATCCCGCGTCTCCCTAATTCACCCTGGCTCACGTTTTAACCCATAACCCATAACCCACACACCCACCTCACCCCCAAAGCCCAGTCCTCTATTTGAACTGCCCTTGCTCGCTCTAAACCCCGATCCCGATCGGCCTTGCCGCTGCCTTCGGCCGGCCTCTACGACTCTACTCCTAGAGCACCAGAGACCATGGTTCTGAAGGCATGCGATCGGTGCTACGCGAGCAAGGAGAAGTGCACATTTACTGGTAATGATCAGCAGTGCACAAGATGCCGGCGCCTCAAGATCGCATGCTCGACCTCGCGGCGTAACAGGCGCATAGGGCGCCGCCCTGCCGCGAAAGCCTTTCCTCATGGGGAGATGCAGGTCTGGAGCGTCGATTCAGACCAGCAAATTGAGACGCAGCCACAGCAGCGGAGCCCGTCCAGGTCCAGCGAGGGCTCATCCTCTAGCTCTTCGCTCACTCGACGGTCCAAATCAATATCACCCTCTAATGACTCGGTGGAAGAGGTAAGGACCACCCAACGCCAGAATACGCTGGTCTTGGCACCAGAGAGACTGCTGGCATCCCCCACCACCCTCAAAACCACATCCGATGCCTTTCGCACAGTAATGGACCCGGAGCAGTTCTCAGTTATACATATGCCATTCATGCTGGGTCCTAGCTTTGTTCCCGAATCGCAAAAGACTGTCTATACCATCTTATGCCTATCTGCCCCAACTCTAACTGAGGGTTACTTGGCATTTTTGGGGATGATGACCCGGTATCAAAGATCACTCGTTATGCGTCAAGAGGAGCCGGATATGGTTAAAGCTGCAAAGGGCCTGCAACGCTTGCGGGATGTAAAGATCACCCAAGACTATGATGCAGCTTGTGCTCTCTTTCTGGGTCAAACAATGTACGTGTTCAATGTACTTACAGCGCCCGATTCTTCAACCGCCCACTCGATCGTACGCAGTGCCCTCATGTCGACGAAGGCATGGCTTCCGAGGATGGTCCATTTTCCGATCATGGACACCATCATCATGACACCAATGTTGGTCGATACGGTCGAGTGTTTGGTCCGGCGAGAGGTTCCTATCATACGGATGCCCAGCACGGAACGCATCATCGTTGATCGGTACGCTGGTGTCTGCGCGACTCTCTTACCTTTGCTTTATGATCTCTGTGTATGTAGCCATACCATGAGGACGGGCGTTCTTGCCGTTGGGGAATCTCCGTCCGGGATGTATGAGCAACTTGCCGACATTGAGCGAGTGATTCTTGACTGGAAGCCCCCCAACACGCCTGAAATCTTGCTCAAGCACGGCCAATATGAGGTGCTGGCAATGATGACGCAGGCAAACGCCTATCGTCTGGCGGCTTTGTTGATCATTCATCGTCTTCGATATCCTCTCGGAGTGGAAGATGAAACGGCACGAGATCTTGCGAACAGCATTTTCTCTATCATATCGCATTTTGCCGATTCAGCCGCCCAGGAAACAACAGCGTTGCCGGTAGTTTTCCCCTTGACCATGGCGATGATTGAAATTGAGGGACCAGGGGAGAAATTGTGGGAGAGACTATCGCTGTTCGCTGTGCAAAGCATGAGTGCAACGCGACTCCGAGGATTTATCAAGCAGGTCAGAGCGTGTAGGGAGACTGGGTATGAAGGTCTTTGGTTTGATTTGGTTGAGACACAGCTTCATGTTGCCATGCCCCCATAGCTCGCGTTCTGTATGGTTAGCAGCTTGCAAATCTATCCTTTTCTTGTCAACAAGAGGGCTAAAGCGTCATGACACGGTAGTATGCAGAATGACCATAGTTTGGTGGTCGCAGGGTAGCGCCACTCCCGTCACCGTCGGTTCTCATCTTGGCCAGAGTTTGACATTCCATGAGGAGAGCCAGTGCGATGGGGGGAAATGGAAACGTAAAAATATCGTCATGCCAGCTGGCAAGAGCTAAGGCCGCCAGTTTGCTTTTCTGATGCTGGGCCGGTTGGGGGGAGGGGAACAGTAAGGGGATATATAGAATTTAAGGGGCGTACAAGCCAGCTCTATATACTCCGTACGGAGAACTCACCCGAAGGAATGACGGAGCACGGAGTACGCAATCTGCCTACCTAAATAATTGGAACCGGCGGTGTTACTTGATCAGAATAAGCATGCAAACATGAGGTGTTTTCCCGGCCATAACCCCACCACGCAGAAATTTTCCCATTTCCGATTAAGTTGACCATCCAGAACGCGTCCAGCCCAGTCCACTTGAGGATCAATAGATTCAGTAGACTCCATCGAACGCATCGACCTGCGTCCCAAGGCCCTCAATAACCCCCTCGTTGAGGCGCCACGAGTGCAGACGCAGCCGGAAATGGTAAGAAGACACCGGGTCGGCCACTTGACACGATCCTCCGCTAGTCGACCGCTCTCCCGAGTCCCGAGCCCCTTCCCCAACGCCGCGCCTAACCCGATTGAGCAGAAACTGTCCGGATTACGTCGTTGCTTCTATCGCGCCCAGCCTTTATCGTGCATTTTTGGGCCTATCTAGTAATAATCCTCCGAGTATCCAAGTATATGATCCTATCCCCATCGCTTATTTTGAGCCGTTCAAAATTCAGGACGAGATAGCCCACCTGATCCCCCTTGGAAATTGCGGGGCCCCAGACTATATATGTGAATCTATTTTCCCAGAGCCTGGGTTGAGTCGTCTTTTTTCCTCTTCTTCCACTTGATTGTTCCTCCAGCTTTATAAAATTCATACTTCGCGAATGGAGTCTCCCTAACACTTGCCCCGCGTCAAGTAACAATTGAATATTCAGTCAAAATGTCCACTACAAGACAACCATCCATGTTCCTCTCTGGCAGAGCTCAAAAGGCCTGCCAGTCCTGCCAAATCGCCAAAGTACGCTGCAATGCGGCCGCGGGGTCTCCGTGCCAAAATTGTATCCGAAAGGGCATTCAATGCGTAGTCAATAGAAGGAATCGACAAAAGTAAGTGTTGCCTCCCATTATTCTAGTGGTCGGTTACTGACAAAGTATCAATCAGGCCACGACGCATGTCAACCCCGATATCAAAGTCATCTTCATCCATTAAAAGTGATCAATCGTCGCCTTCTTGCGTTTTAGAGAGCCCTCGATTGCTGGAGAACTCCCCCTCACAAGTTTCAGCGAGGAAGATTTCTGGAATACATTCACCAACCTAGGCTCTTCGGCACCCTGCACACCTGGAGTCTTTAGCCAACAGCCAATCCTGCCCGGATTTATCAACCCACTTCCTTCGATGATGAACCGGCAAACTGTTGAATGTCTTCGAGTAAATGGAGTATTGTCCCTTCCGAGCATCCGCCTCCAGAGTGCCCTGTTGCAAACGTTTGTTGAGAGCGTGTTGCCCTCCATGCCAATCGTGGAGTGGCAGCAGTTTCTTACTGCCATTCGGGATGGAAATGGTGCTCATGGATCTGTGAGCTTGCTGCTATATCTGGCTGTGATGTTTTCCGCGACTACTTTTGTAGAACTGCAACATTTACTCGCAGCCGGGTATTCTAGCAGAACGGAGGCCCATGAGGCTTTCTTCCAAAGAACCAAGGTCAGTCAATGCATACTTCATGAGAATTTGGGACATTTACTAATCAGGAAGCAGCTTCTGTATAAAGTCAACTATGAGTCAGATCCTCTGACCATCGTCCAGTCACTACTTCTGATGACCTACCGACTGGATACAGCGGATGGTCAGGACAGCCGTCACTGGATCAAAGCTGCAATCACCGTGGCTCGATCAATCGGCCTTTTTCAAGACGCTTCAATAACAATGAACTTCCACTATAGCCCCAAACTGTGGAAACGAATCGCATGGTCATGTTACATGACAGACTGTGTGATTGCATTAAGATTGAGATGTCGAGCCGCCATCGAGCGGGCCGAATTCTGCCACCCACTCCTCACAGAAGAGGATTTTGAAATTTACACCCTTCCATTGGAAAACCAGATCCTGTCTCCTGAGTGCACGCTTGTCAGGAATATCAAGGCTCAAAGGGATCTAGCCCATGTCTGTATCTCTACGGCCAAGCTTTGCACTTGCATCAGCAACGTCTTAGATCTCCAGGGCAAACAAAATAACAACTTTGCCGTCTCACCCAACTCACCCTCGGCAAGTCCCAGTGATGACTATACTGGCCGAATCTGCTCTTCAGAAATGGAACTAGCAGACTGGGCAAATACCTTACCACCACCCTGTCAGGCCTGTCCACTCGAGCCACACAGCATCGATGAAGAACCTACCGTCATCCTCCAGCGCAACATCCTCCACATGATCTTTTATACCACCATCGCCGTCTTCCATCAATCACAACCATTCCCCTCATCAAAGTCTTGTGTCCAACTTGCCGCCAATCAAATTTCTCGAATTACTTCTGAACTCTATCAACAGAGTTTGCAACACCGATTACCCGTCGTTGGCGTTACGGCCATCCTTGTCGCACTGATTATTCACGTTTCCGAAATGAAAACGTCTCACTCCGAGCAGCGAGATGAAGCTGTACAAAATTTCCAGTTATGCCTTGATGTCATGAGCAGTCTTCGGGAGTTGTATTGGGAAGCTAACACTGCTACTGCGTGGGCGTTGAATGTTATTCAAAAAGTTGCGTTTAATGCGGGTTCTGGGTATGACTGTCGATTCCGAGAACGATCTTTTTCAAGCGATAGCAGCTTGACGGAGCCGCTTGGTACAGTGATGCCGATGATTGGCATCTCGCCGATGGATCAATAGCTTAATTAGCTCGGGTCACTCGGTGTTGACTAGCGGAACAAAACGCTGTAGCTAAAGGGACGTTATATATTTGAAATAAAATAGATCAAAATCGGTTATGATGAACCAGCACTCCATCTATCTCTCCTTATCAAGCTTCCAATTTCAAATTCTGATAGGTCCACGCATGCTAGCGTTCCTAAATACCATAAGGCCAATAGTACTGTGAGTCGTAGTTGTTGCAGCGTTCGTGTGTTGCGCTTTAGGTCAAAGGTTGGCTTTCCTGAGTTCCATAGGATAGGCTCTGATACCAGCGGATGCCCCTCCTTAGCTTTCCCATTCGGGGTTTCCACTCTCTAGATAGCATAGCCTCTTGTCCCTTAAGGATATAAATCGGGTCTTTGTCGTTTGGACCTCCGCCGACAGGAAGGTGAGTGTCCTTGTTGGCCATGCGTACGTTGATGGGGACAACGGGGTAGAGTCGCAAAGCTTGGTAGGATACGTTAGAGTTTATCCTCGCTTGGGGTGGGGAGACATACTCTCATTCATAACCCAGGTGAGATAAGAGATAGACTTGAGATCTTGAAATGATGGCTTGCGACCCCGAGATTAAGCACCTCCCGTCTCAGCTTGTTCCAGATATCGGGCCGTCTCGCCATGACGAAAAACGTAATACTTAACTGACTAGCAGTTGTGTCTCGACCCGCGGGTAAGATATTCAGGAGTTGGTCGGTGAATTTGGTTTTGTTGAGTGTTCACTTGGACAACTGGTACAAGAACACGTATTGCTGGTCAACCTCATGGGGCTTTTGTAACCCGTCATTACCGCTGTCCAATGCCATTCGATAGTCTATCGCCTTTTGAACAAACCAGTCGACGTAAGCCCGAGTATTTACCACTGCCTTCGAGAAATCCTTGTCGTAGTGCAAGCCCATCAGAGATCCCAATCGGCTGCGGAGTGCCAGACCCTTTTGAGATTTATTGAAGACCTTTGCGAAGGACGAAGCTGACAGCGGAACACTATCATTCAGAGAATGAACAGATTCTCCAAACAGAAACTCCGTTGCCGAGTCTAGGGTCTTGGAAAGTCAGGAGGAGAACACAACGAATCCGGTGTGAATTACCATTCGGAAGAAGAGGTCCTGCATGTCCACAGTCGATCTGTCACGGCAATCCTCTTAATCAAAGCCTTGACATGAGTCTCATAAACGTTGATGTCAGTAATCTGGTTACGGGTAAAGTTCGGGCGAATAAGGGCACGCGAATGCTCCAATTTACTTACCTCGGTAGCGAAGATGCCATATCCCAAGAGTGGACGCATCGCTTTGTTCCGGTAATCACCCAGTTCAAAGTCCTTAAACTTAAGAGCCAGAACTGTCTGTACGTCCTTAGGCTCGACGGTGAATACAACTTGTCGGCCAATCATTTTGGCTTTGAAACTCATTCCGTAAGCTCGATGTCAGCCACGGACATGTTCGAGGAATCGATTCTCCTTGGCTGCTGAAAGCATTTCTGTCACCATTCCCAGACCGAGAAGGCCGTGGGAGATTGTGTGTACTGGTGGTTTACAGCCATGCTGGCGAGAGTATTACCAGCCTTGTCTTCTGTTAGTCCATTCGCATCGATATTCGGCTTCAAATCTGTTTTATTTACCTCAGAATATATGAAGTGCTTTAAAAGCTGAAAGCACTAGAGTTGCAACTCCAGCAATTAGCACGTAAAAGGGAGACGGAGATGAATCACGAAGTGTTGGCGCCATGATAGATAACTCCACTGAGTAGGCATCTCATGGTGGCATTTATCGCCAGAGTCGAATATATTTGTACTATGAGGAAGTCGGCATAATATTTGGCCATGATGTGGTCGGAATTTCAAAGCAATCGACATTGTGTGGTCAGATACGAAGCTTGCAATCCAACGTTGCAGGCTGCATGCATGCAGTATATAGTAGGTAGGTGAGAGCCTATATAAAATCCAATTAGGGCTGCTTGTCACCGGGTCGTTGCTTGGGAAACTGGCATAGATCAACTATTGAGGGGACAGGCTTCGTGGAGTATGTCAAATATATGATGTGTGAGGGACCCGAGAGCTTGCGGGGTTGTTGCCGCTAAGGAGGCATGACCAAAAGTGTTTCTTAGTTGGGACTCCAGATTGTGACTTCTTCCTTGAGTAGCTGTTGCCAGAATAAACAAAGTATGGAGTAGGATCCGCCCAAAAATGGCTGAGAAAACTGAGTGTCAATCTTGAATGTTAGCCCTATTTTAGCGACATTCTGATGAAATTCCACAATCACATAGGGTATTCTGGCATTGGTCTAGATATCAAGACTCTGTCTGTACTCTTAAGAAGGAACAAGAAAGTAAATTGGAACGCCATATGAATCCCAAGAACCCAAGTTGCATCAAAGGTTAGCAAACAATCCTTAAGCGGTCACTGCAGTGGGCTGAGCCTCATCAATATGCTCAGCCACCACGTCCAACTTCTCGTCAACCTTTTGTGTGACTTTAGTAGGGTAGAAGTCAATCTTCCCTCCCTCTTTGATAACGCCCGTACGATCAAGGAGACTGCGAGCGCGCACGTATGGATCAAGCTTCCAATAGTTCGCACTTAGACTTTTGATCACCTCGTCCCGGCGACTTAATGAAGACTCGACATCGATTTGGGAGATCCAATTAGCGGTGACGCTGAACAGCTCGCCTCCAAGGTGGTTCCGCTCTTCAAGGATAATATCCCGCGTGACTGTATCCTTCAGTCTGTCATTTTCGTTGGGCAAGGGTTCGATGTACTCGTAGTCCCAATCTTCCTCACCGCCGACTTCCTTCAAGATTTGTGATTGCGGAATTAGTTTTTCCAGCTCCTTGGCACCGGTGACGAAATGGACCTTAGATGCGACTACCGGGTCGAGGATACCGTGGATGATCTTCCAGAATCCTGAATTGGAAAAAATAATTGTTAGATTCTAAGCTCACAGTTGGTGGTATGGGAGTTCTCGAAGACAAACCGGAGAAGATCCATGGCGCATTGTAGAATATCATAGCACCCAGTGATTCAGGATAGTTCTCTTGAAAACTGTCAATGATGAACTTTACAGGAGGGAAATCCTTTGGCAGCGGATTAGCAGGAAATTATAACAGGATGAATTTGACTTGTCGCGTACCCAATTTGAAAGACTGAAAGACGTGAGGTCAAAAAGAATTGCCTGCTCCCCGCAGTATATTAGCCGTACCGTCCACATGTCCAGATTCGAGGAAAAAGGATGTATTACCATTGACTCAACGGGTGGCACTTGTAGATAGCGCACTGACTCGATACAATGAATGATATAGTCGAACAGACCCTTTTGTGTTTGTTGACTTGGATCGTGGATTCGCACCCGAACAACGCAAATAGGGCGACTCCATTTATCACAGCCGTGCAAGTACCCCTTACCAGTCTTCAGCTGAAGCACGTAGCCTTCACCGTCTTTCTTATCGACGGAGTTACCCTCCAGGCGCGATTTCTGGAGATTGTGCTCTTCCCCCTTGATCAAGACTTCTTCGTCGACTTTGTATTCATTGACTCGCCAATTCAAAGATGAGACAAACTTGATCCACGCTTTTGGAACGTTCCATTTTTCTGCGCGGAGGAAACGCAATAGGAGCGCGTCAGGATGGTCTTGTTTGAGGAGAGTCAAAAAGGCAGATCGTAGCTTGTCGCCAGGAAGTTTGATCAGGAGTGATCCGACGGTCTTCAACTCATTTGGTGCGACATCAAGGCTCTTGAGGGTTGATAGTAGATTTGCCGGGATTGCAGCTAGTTCTTCCTCTGTTGGTTGAGCTGGTGAACGGCCGAGAGAGAAGAAGCTTCGATGACCTTTGCTGGTGGCATTCGAAGAGATCGATGATCTCCGGGCTGGATCCAAAGGAGGGATGTCCGAGTCCCATGATTGCATCAGAATCCGCCAAAATTGGTGGAGTCTCTGCTCCTGTGTTGAGTCGAGGTTGCCCACATAGCCGGGCTCGATCTTGGTGGCGGTTGTCATGACAAGAACCAAGTGAGATTTGTAGAGTATTGATAAAAGGCTCCGGGAAAAGAAGGGGGGTGTGAAGGGACGCTCCTGAGCACAATGGCAGGGTCTTATGTAGCTAAGAACAGAAGGATCTGCGTTTTATTCCGACGATGGCCACATGTAATCAGCACAGAGCCAATAGGTAGGAATCCGCGACAGCGTCCAAAAGCTGATCCATGTGATAACTTCTTTCTTTTGACCCAGCTACCTCGGTGATAAGAGGCAATGCCGCAGCAGTCTGCGGGGCTAATGCAGGAAGAGGGGTAAGATGCCAGGAATGTGGGCGATAGTCAAATTATACCATGACGGAATGAGCTGAGAGTGGTCACAAAAACCCGGCCAAGGTTAAACCTTAAAAGAGGTGCGCGAACTGGGCTGAGTCAAGTAGAGTAATGATGATACTCAACGAGGTCCCTGGGTTCTCAACGCTGGGGATTGGCGCTGAAGTCAATATGGATTATCCGGGGTCAAGAAGCCAAACCAGGATTAGCTTAACTTGATTGGACGACGAATCTGTGGGTTCGCTTGGGCAACCCCGCCTCCCCCTGGGGCCTTGGAGTCCCGAGATCCACTCGAGGATCCAAGGATGGCAGACCAGCTCGCGGTCGCTGCCATCGTTTTCGAATTCCACGTGCATCTGCGATAGTTTTTAGGAATCCGCAATGTGAGATCAATAATAATGTTCCTTGACAAACAAGCCACTTAATGATTGGGCCGGGATGGCGGTATAGAGCGTCGGCTGTGGTTGGGAAAACAGAAATGGAAAGCCAAAGAAAAGCGGGAGGCTGACCGGCCACTAGGGCCAGAGCTGACTGATTATTGGGGGCTGGCCTTTCAGCACGTACTACTCCTAGCACCCGCAGCATTAGCTATCACGACAAACAAAGAGTTGATTCGGCCATGACTCTGGTTCAAGATCATACCCCTGGTAGAGCTAGGGCGTGAAGAGGTGAGGTGGTTATCAAAGTTGGCTCTTGGCACAAGAAGCGGTCATATCCATGGATAACTAGCGGGCTGTATGGCGTATGACATAGCAAGTCTTTTGGATATGTCCATTGCGGATCATACCCAACAGAAAGGCTTCAACAACCCTCTCGTTCTGTTGAATTCGATGAAGGAGGTTATCTCGTTGAACACGAGTGGGGCCGCAAACACGGCAAAATCTGCCGTCACGTGCGAGGAATTTCCCAGCGCCCATCCTGCACGTTTCATCACATCAATGAAAATTCAAGCCGGGGCATGGAAGAGCGGAGCAAATTCAAAGAGTTGCCTATCCAGCCCCAGGGCATCTTTTGGGAAGATGACTTTATCTCCCCAGAGCATGAGCAACGCCTCATCTCCATCTTCCAAAATGAGCTAGAATGGGCAGATCGCCCCGGCCGTCTGTCACTCCACTACGGCTACACATTCGACTATAAGACATTTGGCATCGATCCAGAGATTCCGTTTAAGGAATTTCCAGAATGGCTGCGGCCACTGATTCCGATTACCGAAGTACGACCTCCGGATCAAGTCTGCCTACAGTACTACCCACCTGGTGCTGGGATCCCACCACACGTAGATGCACACGGTCCATATGATCAGCTCTACGCGTTATCACTCGGCGGGCCGGCGGTGATGCAGTTCCGAAAGGGAGAAGAGCGGATCGACATTGATTTGACTCCTCGAAGCATGATGCAGATGTCGGGAGACTCCCGACTGCATTGGACTCATGGCATTAAGAAGCGGAAGAACGATACTTTGCCGGATGGGATGCAACGGCCGCGCACCAACCGCTGGAGTATCACTTATCGCTGGCTCAGAGATGGAGGTGAATGTGAATGCGGGAATATTGTCCATTGCGATACAGCTCAGCGCCGACTGGGCGTCGAGAAAGAGAAAAGGTCGGTTCTGGCAATAGCAGCACAGGCCAGCGTCGTGGAGCAGCCATAATAATAAAACCACCCATATTGCCTAATCGATCTCCTGGCAAATGTCCCCATTCAAACAATACCCATTGTGTGTTATGGAAGAAAATTGAACGATTTTCGATCAAGATCTGCTGAGAGATCTCAATGATAAACGAATCATTTATTCACAGTCTGTCTTAGACATGATATCTTCCCACTCATCACAAGTCTGTAATCGCTTCAGGAGGTCCTCGCGCATGATACCGAATGTATCTGATCCAATAGGTAAGCGCAAGGGGATCTCTTTACCAGAACAACTTCCTTCGCCCCGGACAGCATCAACCACCAATTCACATCCCTTCTTCGCGTCCCCCGGCCAGGTTCCATGAGATTTCTCCAAATTTTCCTGCACCGCATTGTTAATCTCGTCGTAGTCAGACACCTTGTTTGGTGCACGGAACTGTATATTCTTTGAATGTAAGATTTCAGTGCGGAAATGACCAAAGGTGAGGATAGATGTTCGTATTCCAAATGGAGCGATCTCGACTGCTAGATTGGTTGCCAGTCCCTCGAGAAGTGCTTTAGATCCGATGTAAGAAGCACTTGTCGGCTTAGTGTAATATACGCTCACTGAACCGACAAAAAGTATAGTTCCCGCCCTGCGGGCACGCATCATGGGCAGAAATGCCCTCGTCAAGTTGATTGGCCCTAGAGCATTTACTCGGAGGGAACGTGTGACAAGTTCTTCGCTATTTATCAGTCAGCTTGACAGTCTGACGACAAAAGGACGAGCCCAATTCTATGTTACTTACCTCATCTCCTCGAGAATACCGCCCTCGATGTAGCCAGCATTGTTAACAAGCACGTCAATATGTCCATATATCTCCCATGCCGTTTTCGCTATCTCGTCCAACTGCTCCTGGGAAGATGTGACATCCAACTCTAGTACAGCAGCTCCGGCATCTTTGAGTGCAGACAAACGTTCAGAACCGCTAATTCCTTGGCTCGCGCGAGCAGTGGCAATAACTCTGTCACCCTAGGATGAAGTCAGATTAAACAAAACAAAGTAATCACCTGCTGATTGGACGTACTTTCGATAAAATAGCCTTAACCATAGCCTCCCCAAGGCCAGAGGAACAGCCAGTAACAAACCAGGTCAATTGTGCAGCCATATTGAGCGTTAGATAACAGCTGGAATCTGAATGCACAGCGTAGGGAGTCCCGGCAGGTGAAAATTGCAAGCAGGAAATGCCACATATTTATTTCTGAGCCACTCACAAAAACGTAACGTTATGCTGACTGTACAGACGAGGCTGGGTGGATGAAGTGGGGGCTGCATCGTACATTGTCCGAATCATGCTCAATCATGCTCAGATATGCGTAAGGCCTCCCAGTCTTGTCTCTGACTGCGTGTCCCTCTGTGCAGGTTTCGGCCCCAACAAAACTCGTGACTACGGTTGAGGGGGTTTCAGAAGGCAGAATCTTCTCTGGGAGCCCTGAAGCTCTAGGGTCTTGTCTTCAATTGATGCTACGTGCGGCATGACTGGTTCAAGTATGGAGGCTTTACAACAGAGAATCGAGGTAATTTTATCGACCTTGGGTGCGGTTTACCAATTTTCCTTTTTTAGGATCAAGTTAGATAAGGTGATACTTGACGTCGTATCTATCGAATTAGGCCTAACGCACAGCTCAACGACAGGAAAACGGTCACTATCAACACGCCAACATCCATCAGACTTCCAAAATCGGCCTTGTCAAGTATTCTTGATCAAGTCGTCCCATAATTTACGAGAGATCAGGGCGAATATGATGGCGACGCATGTGAGCCACCTCCCGGCGTCTCTTGGAAGCGGAGATGGTCAAGGTCTCAGAGATACCAGAGGTGCATTCAGTACCTTCAGCCACGCCCTGAGAAGCATCCCACTCGCCATTGACGCAGCGTTGGAAAGCTGTTCCGCCATTGCAGTACCAGTAGCCTTCCTCGCTGCACGCACCACTAAGGACACCAGATGTCGTGGTTGAAGAGCTAGAGCTAGATGTGGCAGTAGTAGTGGCGACAGCATCGGAGGTACTAGGGAGATCCCCACCAGCGGCAGGGCGCTCGGGGTGATTAGGCTTGGTCTGACCGGTGGGCTCAGATCGTGAAGACGTAGCCAGGGTAGTTTGAGACACAACAGTAGTTTCGGCAGCGGCGCTTGTGGTGACCACAGCGTCGGCGGAAGAACTGGTGGTCGCCGCACCAGTAGTGCCAGCACTGGTAGTGGCCGAAGTGGTGCTTGCCGCACTGGTAGCTGTGGCTGTGCTTCCGGCGGTATACAGAGTAGGCCCAGGAATGATATACGTGCTGAGTGTATTCCAGATGTCAACGTAGATGCCAGGGTCGGTGTCCTTATACAGAGCGGTGCCGAGAGTACCACTAGGAGTTGCGGTGCCGCTGCCAGTAACCTTGAGATTGATGCACTGAGGGTAGTTTTGAGCACCGTCCAAGTCTTCAGCACCATGCAGAGCAATAATCTCATGTCGAAGAACGTAATCACCAGCTTCGATATCAGTGGGGATGGTGACAGTGCGGCTGTAGCTATCTTCGATGAGCTGATCAGAAGCCCAAGTTCCAGGAACAGTAGCATCACTAATCAAGCCGCCAGCATCGATTTTGAAGAACTCCAAAGTGGTCTTATCGACATCAGAGCAGTTGCCGTTGCAGTTCGCCATATACGTGATAACGGGGCCATGGTGATCATCAGGCCAAGTGCTCCAGGTCAACTTGACAGAGCCACCTGGGGCTACTGGAGCAGAAAGAACTGCCGGGGCTGAGCCACGATGACAAATGATGCTGGAGTTGTCGTATGCGGTAGGAGAGACATAGCCATCGTCGGTAGCAGTGGTGGACCAGGCGATCAGCTCAGGAGGGTCGGACTCGTAGTAGTATGTATCCACCAGATACCCTCCATAAGTGGTGCCATCCACGTCAATACTCGAGACATATCCGTGGCCTGCGGCCAGCGCAGCCGAAGCAAGGAGGATGCTTGCAGTCTTAGAAAGGGACATAGTAAAGAGTTGGTCAAATCACGCACAGCGGAATTGGGTTGAAGGATAGAAAAGAATGGAAAATAACTTCAATCAATAAAGCTCGAAAAAATGAAGGTATGGGAATGAACCGAAAACAAATTTGTGTTCTAGGGAGCCGAAAGTCGACCAAGGATGCCTCTATTTAAGGCCTTTCAGGTCAAGTCATCATGCTCGATCACGCTCGGCAATACTGGGTCTTATTTGAGCCCATCGGTGCTAGTATTAGCCACTGGCGACTATTAAGGAACAAGGAAATTGCAAGCCCTCGATTTTATCCTGTTGATCGCGTTCGAGATATCAATTTGGGTATGGGGGCATCAGCCGTCAATTTCACCTCACATAGTGTGTTTCACAACTTTTTGTGGCCACTGCGTAGCCCCCATTGCATGAAATATACTGGATGGAGCTCACCCGCATATGCCTAGGCCGGTTCTTCGTCGGGACTGAATTTGGTCCGCATGTAGGCGGCGGATACAACATCGAGTACCTCACTCTCTCTCCCTTGATCGCCCAACAAGCGAGGAATATACCACTTTCTGTGGATTAGATATGACACCTCGGATCTGATTACGCTCATATTAATAGGAGAATAAAGCCGAAATCAAGCTAGTCCGCGTCTGAGATTAATTGGTGGCATAGAGTTCGCCTCAAATGCCGAGATCTTGAAACGCGCCAAAGGCTAAGCGAGATCAGCGATCGGGAAACCGCGATTTCTGATGTGGGGGGCATGATTCGGGTTCGGTACATCTACTCGGTAAATCCAGAGTGACGTGTCCTCCATTCAAATCAGGAGACAATGTCTCATTTAAATTGACCGGCTGTGTGTGCATTCAAGCTCGTTCTTCCTAGATGCAGGACTGGTTGGATCATGGGAAGTTCCTTAACCGCCAGGTGTTGTCGTCACGGAAAATCAGAGCGCCTTGTGCTGCCGGTTCCACAGCCCCGCCAATTTTGGCCTGATTTGGAGGGCCATGGGATGAGTAAGCTGTAGTAAAGGAAGGCTAGTTAACTTATTCAATTTGTACAGTGATTCTGCATCTCCAGATAGGCATAGTAGCTGATATAACCAAGCCAGGGGTGCGTTAGATATTTTTGTTGGCAAATTTGTGACCAGAGAGTATACAATGGAAGCAAGTCACTCACCGTATGCTTTCGTAGTCAACTGAAACCGGGAAATTCAATGAACATCTCGTATCCTATGTAGCCAAGTCAACAGCCGTTATGCTACATAAACCATGAGGATGGGACTTCAACGGCACTGCCAAGGAAGGTCATTGATATTCATAGGTGGATATCAAGCCCCTGCCACAAGAATATTACCGCCCTTCAGCTTTTTTTCTCTGGTCATTGAGATTCTCTATGTACAGGTTCTCCTGACTCCACCGAAAAGTCCTTTTGTGTTGCCAGTTGGCAACACATCAAAGGTGCGCAGTTTCATTTTGAACACGACCGCATTGCTAACCTAGACTTTCCCTCGTCCAGCAGTATAGCATTCAGCCTGGGAACATATCTTCCTACAAAAGAGTCAAATATATTACCGATCAGAGTATTACCTGCCACAATTGAAGAGATTGATGCTGCTGTTAATCCTCCAAGTCAATATTGTATCGAAGTCCTTGTTATTTCGGATGTACAATTGGAGGTGAATACAAGGTAAGGGCCTCGTGTATGGTTGACGGTGCGCCCAATTGGTAGCAGCAAACAAATCCGAATATCATCAGTGGCGGCTAAGAATAGGGGCAATTCAAAATTGTTCCGGTCGTTGTATGGAGTTCTCAACTAGAGTTTAAGCTCGATTAACTAAAGATAGATAACTGCCTATACAAAGGTGTGCAGCACTTGATCCCTCAAGGAATGAGCGAGCCAATCCCCCAATCTATTTACTCCCCAGGGGAGTTAGGGATTAATTAAAGAATTGAGATATTGTAGGGCCAAAAATTGACGAGAGAGAGACCGAAAGGGAGCAAGGGGTGATGAATTGTTTTGAATGATTATTATCGGGGTCACAACATTGATATCTGTTCTGTCAACTTCATGAAGCTGATACTTCCGCTGCAAACATTAAAAAACTAACAGCATGATTCGGACACGATTTGCAAACCGTTGACATACTAAGCGTCAACATCAGCCCCGCTACAATGTTTCACAGCTATCTGGTAACGCTAGATACTGATCGGTATTCTGTCGGTGGCTAGACCCGACATCACAAAAAGCGAGACTCAGCTGGTGACTAGAAATTTAGGCTTAAATGAGTGAGATAGTTCAGATTTAGGCTAATCTCCATACTGTACCATAGTTGAATGGTTTATCAAGGAGTCTCGAGGACACTAATCGCCGCGGCATTTGTTTAAGTTACAGCGATCCTGTCGATTGGTTGCCTCACCCGTTGGGAGAGCGGAGTAGAATGTGCCGCCGAAATCGAGTCTCAACCCAGTGAGTTGATCGTCAAGTCACGATGTACCTCTCATAGTCAAGCAAGACTTGAGCATATACAACATATCCCTCGAGACTTGGGCTGTCAGAATGAGTTGACCATAATGCTTCAGCTAAGGTGAAGTAGCTAATTGGGTTTCATCTCCGCACTGCGGTACTCGGATCCAAAAATCCACGATGGGGTGGATTCATATTCTTCGAGTGCAACACTCCTTTCCAACTTTTGGGCGAGAAGAGTCGTTCTTCATTAGTGGACGGCCATTCCGCACGATGGCAAATTTTTTGTGGACTTTTGGAGAGTAATCAAGAATATAAGCTTTTCCTTGGAGGCTAGTGAGGGTACTAATCTCCATAAGTGGGGCCCGCGGAGTTATCGAGAAGAAGAAAATGAGGTTCTTTTGGGAAAATTTAGTAATCTTTAGGTTCTAGTCCACCAGACGGACCTATGGCCATTGATTTCGGTCTGAAGTTCAAAATGTCCGGAGCGGGGGCTTCACTTCGAACCTCTTTGCTCAGGGGCAAACCCTGCCAGCACAAACTTTTGATGTTTATAGATAGAAAGTCGCGGCGTTCCTGCCCTGCGCCTACCTGCGACTTCAATCCATCTTTCTTTAGCGATTTCCAATCAATGCGATGTTGAGCATAGCGATACACTGGCTGTTGGCGCCGGAAGGCCCCTCACACAAATCACTCCAATCTCGTTGGGATACCTCGGCGGATGTGGCAGCGAACTCACCCAACTCGGCAGCTGGGTCATGGATAATCGATCCGCTGCCTTCGCTGCAACGGACAGGCCTAATTGTGGTCTCGGCGTTGGCAACCGTCTCTCTGATTGCCACATTCAGCTTGCTATGTTTCTTCACTTATCGCTTTATCTTCTGGAAGAAGTACTATAAGCGGTATATTGGCTACAATCAATATGTCGTTCTCATGTACAACTTGGCACTAGCCGACTTTATACAGGGCTTGGGGTTCATTGTGAGTTTGAAATGGATTGCCAAAGACTCTTTACATGCAGAAGACCCAGCATGCTTCTTGCAAGGCATTTGGCTGCAGATTGGCGATCCAATGAGTGGATTGTTTGTTCTCGCGATCGCTTTGCATACTTTTATGCAAGTAACAATGGGTCGCCAACTCGGTCATCGCACATTCGTGGCAATTGTGGTTGGTTTATGGGTATTCGGGGTAATACTTGTCATCATCCCAATTGCACTTGTCGGCCCTCACGTTTGGATGCCTTCCGTGGCGTGGGTATGTACTCGCAAATCTCGAAAACGAATTATCTAGCATCATTATATAGCCTGGCTAACTTCTCGGTTTCGACAGTGCTGGATGACCACGCAACATCCCTCCCTCCGCCTTTGGACACATTATTTCTGGATCTTTGCAGCCCAGTTTTTCAATCTTGTTCTGTACGCCATCATGTTCTTCCAGCTTCGACGTCGAATGTCACAGTCAAAAATTCTCGGCCAAAGTTATACGGAGAGTGTTCGCCGCCTCAATCGAGTTGTCTCTTATATGGTTCTTTATCCAATTGTCTACATCGTTTTGACGCTCCCATTATCTGCGGGCCGGATGGCGTCCGTGAGCGGAAATAGCCCGAGTGTTGCATACTTTTGCGTTGCAGGTGCCCTCATGACACTTTCCGGGTTCTGCGATACCCTTCAGTATACCCTGACTCGGAAAAGTATCGTCTTGGATTCCGAGACGAGAACAAAGAGAGACGATGGGTACTACGACCTCTCGAGGAGTGGACAAAAGAGAACAAAGCAGGGCAATATGCATTCAATGAAGTCAGAAGACCAGGGTCCGGTGTCTACAGTCTGTACAACATACCAAAGGGGATCTTCTACCGATGCAATTGTTCCCAAAGACGAGATAGAGCTCGCATCCGTGCCCCAAGTGTACCAGCACACTACAATTACGGTGACACGGGAGCCGGCTTACTGATTTCTTTTGTTTCAAAAACCCTCACCTTTGGTAATGGCGACACGGAGGTTTTCTATTTGAAAAAAAAAAAACCGTCTTTCTTGTCACATAGCTTTTCTTGGATTGGCATAGTAACATGGGTGGATTATGATCAAATTCAAAACAGTCTTATACATGAGCACATAGGGCATTCGAGTGGGCCACTAAAAATCATTTTAGCCCTCCACGCTAGGTACTTGGATTGCAAATGCGCCTGTGAGCCTATGACGTTCGATCTTCTTCATTGATTTCTTGATGTCTTTCTCCTCGCAAAACCATATCGGATTCAAATATCGCTCGTATGTCTGCATTGAACAAAAATCTGGTACTGACTTTACCATTGGGTAACCTCATGCTGTTAGCAAAACAACCTTATTTAGTACACGGTTACGATAATGTCTAAATACGGAGTATAACGAAGGCTATCTGATACCCAATTTTTTGTAGAATAGAATGGTCGTCCCCCGAGGGTTCTCTGGCTCCCAGGTGGTAGTTGAATAATAAAGCATCATTTTAATAGGTTCATGCTATCAAGAGAATTTGACAGGAGGAACTTTAAGGACAAAGTGACAATCTGGATGATTTCAGGAGCCAACTTCAAAAAGGGTCTCGACTCTGACAATAAATACGTATCCAATGTGTTTTTCAAGATCTCCTATGTTGTGCCTATCACCACCTCGTCGTATTCCTTTACAGGCGCTGAACCTTCCTCTTTCTACCATGAACCGACACTCGGAGTCGCGTATGAGCCAGTAGCCGAGCCACCCTGGCACTGAGTAGGAACCTCGTTCGCAGTAGAGGCTCCCCAGCTTGCAGGCACAGTCCCATCGCGACGAGATGCAGCGGTCAGGAAAGCAGCGTAAGACCAGGTCAGATCGCGCGCTGAAGTTGGTGTGCCATTATCACGGGTGAACTGCTCCGCCAAAGAGCCATTGCTTGGTGTGTATTGCTGAACAATCGACACAAATCCATCCGCATACTCCTTGACAGCACTGGTGACAGAAGTGTATGTGGAGGATGAACTTGAGTAGTTGCCGGTCGCGGCAGAAGAGACAAGGTCTTGGAAAAATGGGAGACTGGTCTGTGTAATTGAGAGAGATCCTTGAGTCTTCCACTGGTAGAGAGCATTGTAGAGCTGCTCAGCCGCGGCGAGAGTTGCAAGATACCTGATTACGTATTAGCTTCGCTGATTTATATGAAATGTGGCTAGGCACATACCAGGGATTTCCTCCTTGATAGGTGTCCTCGGGATAACGTCCAACCGCGGCAGCAGTTCCGGCCTTCTTGTCACTGTTGATGGTATAGATTGAGCGGAAAGAATCAACCACCAGCTTATGGTTGGAAAGAGCGCGGGCCGAGCACGGCTGGAATGTAGTGTCATCGCAGGCAGCGCTAGGATCGAAGGTGTGGATAGAGCTAATCAATGAGTTTGCATCCAACCCTGACCGTCCGTTGTTCGCCAAGTTCGATATAACAGCCATGCCATTCCAGAAATCTTGCAGGAAACACAGGATTTGAGGAGCCTGAGAATCACAGCCATCACAGGTTTCTCCCAGAGCCTTGGCGAAAGTGCTTCCCTCCACCAATGCGCGGTGCTGTGCGGCCACTGTGAAGAAAGAGGACCCCTGGACTTCTTCCCAAAGGTCAAATCCAGTTTGATTCCAGTACTGAGCCACGTAGTTAAGATCATTAGACACAATTGGCCAAATATTCGACTTGACAACCGACTCCTTTCCCTTAGAAAGCAACTGGTTGCCATAGGCAATCAGGGCTGTTGCCCGTAGAGCAGGTCCATCTCGCTGAGGCCGACCCCAAGCGCCCGTAAATGCAGTCTCATCGACATTAAACTTAGGCTCAGCCAAGCCCGATCCATCAGACAAGCTTCCAGAGGGGTTAGAGACGGTCTGAAGCTTGGCCTGTGCAGTGATGTATTGCTGGATCACAGACTCGAGGGAGCTGTCTCCCGCAATAAAACGGTCAACAAGCATGGTGACTGTCAAGGCTGCATCTCTGGTCCAAGTATAGAAATCTAGTCCTGGTCAGTAAATGTAATGAATGCCTAATTCATGAGTACTGACAATCTGGGTTGGACTTGGAGGGCGACGCGACAACGATGCCAGCAGAAGCCCCGGTGGCTCCAGTGCCATTGGCTCCGATGTTGTTGAGCACGCCTTGCAGAGAAGCTGTCGACTCCGACTGAATGAATCCGCTTAGGCCCGACTGTCGACGAGATGGGTGCAGAGCCGAAGACACAACTGCGGGTGCCAGTAAGGCGAGCGTCAAAATATCGAGGCACAACATTCTAATTTGGAGATGCTTGTTTGATTCTCAGCATCTTCGTTGAATTGGTTCAGTCTTTATGTCTCCAACGACGTGAACTGCTCTCATCTTCTGCATCTCCATCATACCCCACGGAGAACAAGGATGTGAGACATCCCCCTCATGTCGTCTTTTGATTCGGTCAGATCATGTTGATCTTCCAGGGTTCGGGCCGATCGATCGGAGATTAAGGAGGCCGATCAAAAAGCAGGGCATCCGACTGAACAAGAGCCAGAGAGATCAGATTTGATCCTCGCGTACAGTTGCAACAATGATCTCAGCGGGTAGACAAATGAAGTGCGGTGGATTAGCTGGCGAGTCTTTGGCAGCAAGCGACGGAGTCCGGGATCGACAAGGAAGATCCCGAACCAAGTAAAGCACAGTCCGACAAATGGCCGTTTTCTGTTTCAGGATCCTTCCTTTGGTCTCTTATGACGTGACCCCGTTCTCTAGAAATTCCTCGTGTTGTTGATAGTGGCTTTGGCCTGTGAATCTTTGTGGATTACCTGTCGATATGATATTGGTTTGATCTCTGGTGAGGTGATGTCGTATTCAATGACTCGTCAAAGATTAGGGTTCCTTAGTCCGTTCTAGGCTTCAAATAATACTCAATCGAGTCGCCACTTCGTATACGGAGGACCCGAGAGGCTCGTATTTCCCAGTCTTCTGTCGCTGGACTATCGGAGTTCGGGGCTTGAGATTCCCGAACTTCGATCAGTTCTTACTTTTTTGCAGTGCATCAGTATTTGCCTGGGATCGAACATTACTTATTATGGCGGATATGTCTCATCGCTGCCCAGCCTCGTCTCCTCGTCCGACTTCACTCTCTCACAGTAAACAGAATCCAAGTGATCGACATGACGACTTCAGTGCTAACTCGAGCTGGCGATGTGTCTTATACTATTCGCGGAGAGGGCCGCCCCTTGCTCTTACTACACGCTTTGCTACATGATAGCCACGATTTCGACCCTATCGTGTTTCAACTAGCTGATCGTTTTCAGACGATAGCAGTTGACTGGCCCTGGCACGGTGCCTCGCTAGAAACCACGACGAAGTCTCGAGAACCCAGCGCAGTCTTGATCGCAGAGGTTCTCGAAGATTTTGTCACGGCTCTCGATCTACCACCTGCTATCATCATAGGAAACTCAGTGGGTGGTTTTGCGGCCGCAAGACTAGCCATCACCCACCCAGAACGTGTTCAGTCTCTCATATTGGTGAATACGGGCGGGTTCCCATCCTTGAACTTTGTGAATCGCTTCTTCTGCTACTCGCTTGGCTATCCGGTAGTAGCGCGCTTAGTACTGCCATATATGATCCCTGCGTATATGAAGTCAAAGACACCAAGCGATACAGTGATCTCGCAGAAGGCGGCATCCCGGGCGAGAATATGGCAAGGGGCTTCGATCGCGGCAGCCATCTGGAGAAGCTTCCTTGACGACAGCCACGACCTTCGAAGCAAGGGTCAGGCTATCCGTGCGCCCACACTAATAATCTGGGGAACCAAAGATATCGTGCCTGTGGAAACCGCACATCTTGTGAAAAGATCTATTCCAGGGTCCCAGCTCGAATTTCTAGAGACTGGACATGTGGTTTTCTCTTCAGACCCCGACGGCTTTCTTGATATTGTGAATAAGTTTCTGGAGTAGCTTGTGGACACATTTCTTTACGAGAGTTACAATATCTGTCTTAATATGGGAACGATCTCTCTTCTTGCTTTACAATGCCTCTTTCTTTCTGCAGCCGGTCCTGCTCATCCAGATATGGGAGCAGTATCTTGTCCCAATGAGACTTGCCCTTGTAGAAAGACACCGTCTCATCCCAGCTAAGAATAGCTTCAGCCAAACGACCGGGGATATGTGGTTCCTGTGCAATTCGTGTTACTGGCTCAAAGTATGTACGAACAGTAAATATGACTGCCTTGGAGCGCGGTAGTCGGCGGAGAGTCTGTCTTTCGGAGCGGAAGTGGATTTCATCAATGGACAGCCCCTTGCTATTTGCGGTAGCCCATGCTATTCAAAGAAAAGCTATTAGCGGGCTATATGATTCGTATCCGAGCGACTGACTTACATGCAACTTCTGTGCCTGCTTGGTCACCCATGCGATGTGACCAGTGGAGTCCATCGTCCAGCTGAATGAAAAACTAGCAAGGTTGTCAGTGTCGGAACGGAGTAAAGGTAGAAATTATGCCATTCATACATTATTTCTTTCCACTGGCTTGTCGGGAGTGAGGTTCTGAAAGAACCGGTTCATTGACTTTTGCAACTTAGCAGCATAGTGAGGAACACCAGCCTCGAAATGGAGCGTGTCGAGTGACATGCGAAACTTTTCTCGGAGACGCCAGAAGCCAGGAAGGCAAACGGCTGCAGCGTCAAGATGGTATTGTCCATCTATCAGGGATCAGTGTCTGATATCCTTGGCTCGTGAGGAAGGGGTTTTACCATCATTCTCGACCATTATCACCAAGTCGTCTTGTACTAAGAGAGCTGAAGTTGCCAGTGCCTCGTCCGGAGTGGCTGTACCGGTAAATCGGTTAGCTCTTTCCAGCCAGTTTTGTTTCAAAAACATGGTTTGTCATACTCGCGGGGAAAGGAAATATTTCTTCCGTCAGGCTATTATGCATTTTGCCTCCCCGCAAGCGATAGATCTTGGGATACCGATGCGTTAAATATCGAACTAGCTCTTCATAAAGCTCAAAGCACGCATCCTTCGTCACTGCATTGTCGACATATTTGACATGAGCGTTGAAGTCTTTTTTTAACTCCGACGCTTTCATGTCATGATATCGAAGAAAGTAAGAGTCCATTTCGATCCAATTGTCCCAGTTGAGTTTGCGAATGCCCATTGTGATAAAATTTGGGCCGTGTCTGAATGGACGGTACAATTTGGGAGACGTCCTCGAAGGGTCATCGGTCGCTGGGGCAGGCAGAGGAGTAATGAATGGTTTCTCATCCTTGCACTCCTCTATTTCAACATGCTGTGTCTTCGAATGGAACGGCCAGCGGATGAATAGCCAAGTCGCCAGTGATAAAACGAGACCTAGAAGGGACAGCGGCCCTGAAAATATAATAGAATCTCCGGCAGATATCATTGTTGCCAATCCCGGACGCAATGATCCGTCGCTCTTGCTGGATAGTGAAATCCAACCTCGAATGCAGCAACCAACGAACCTTTTAAATAAACATGTCATAGATAGACTGCGTTATCTGGGCCACTTGGTCCCTGCACTAACTCAGTCTTGTCAAGCTAAGCCTCTTTGGGTAACTTTTCTGGCCATGTCCAGCCACTAACCAGACTCGGCACTTGAGGGTTGGATATTCGGGATGACTGATAAGAGCCCCCGAGGTCGAGGTCATTTCCCCGCATTTACAACGGGGAGGGCAACCTCCACCTCTTGAGTTTCGTCGCTAAGTTGATCTTGCGAGAACATTGGTGATCTTTGAGCATCATGGGAATTGGGGTCTGACAGAGTGAGAAAAATCGGGGAATAATTCGCAAAGCAGGCAGTCGGCGACATCCTACATTATTCCTGCACATATCGCCAGATATACCTCGGATCACCTGTCCTTATCCGTCGCTACTCCTACCAAAACCATTGCCAAGCTTGATCCAGTCTCCTGGGCCTTTCTTAATCTACTCCAATCTTCCCCCGTGGCCATCCATACGCAACCTCCCAACTACCTCCCTCCACTTCATCTACCAGCGAGGAAACCCCTTCCCAACTCGGCAATACCCACAAAGCAACAACGCACCGCAATCCGTGAACAAATGCCCCCAAAGCGCCAAAGAACGGTCCAGGGCTCCTGTTGGCCATGCAAGCAGCGCCGTGTGAAATGCGACCTCAGTCAACCTCGATGTCGCCGCTGTATTCTCTCTGGAGCCAAATGCAGCTTCGATAAGATCCTCGTGCGCTGGAATTCACGTCCCACCAAAGCAGCCCCAATTTCCTACCAGACACCTGCATCCTCTCCAAGGATAAGCCTGTCTAAACAGGTATTCGACAGCACGAGCTTAGCCTCGGGGGAACTGAAAGCCCTTGACTACTTCCAGGCGGCATTATGGCCGTTGCTGTCAACAGCGACCCAGCCGTGTCCACCACCGATCTCACTTGCGCTAGAATCGGAGCCCGTGCTGTTGGCCATGTGCGAATTAGCAGAAGCGCATCGGCTACTGCGGCAGGACAATAGTCCTTTTCATCAACAGGTTATCAGTGATAAGCGGTCAAATTGCTTAGGGTCGGTTCGGAAGCAATTACGCGAATGTTTGTCAAACAACGAGTCGCTATCGCGTGTACTAGTCGCCGTCTTACTCTTGTACTTTCTAGATGGCTACATTGATTGTACAGAGCAGTCGGCATCGACCACAAGCCATCAGGTTGGAGTACGCGCAATCGTGGAACAGCTAGGCGGGTTCAGTGTGCTGATTGATGAGAGCGAGAAGGAGATCCCGCATATGTTGCTTTCTGAATTCGCATCAACTGATCTTACCCGAGCTTTACTCGACGATCGACCTCCATGTTTTCCCGCCAGAATTTGGCTCGATATTGAGCGCGGCCCCGTCTGGTGGGAAAAGCAGACCTATGGTATCACCCTAGCAGCTGTATTTCGCACCATGGCACAGCTAGCCTTCTATCGCCAGTCAATATATAATGGCGATGAGGAGCTTGATATTGAAAAGGTTCGAGACTTTGAGAGATGCCTTCAACCAGCTTTTCAAGTCTTGAGCCTAGACCATTTTGACTGTCCGGAAGAGGACACTGTTTCCCGTGGCGAGCTCGGGCGAGTGAACCAGACAATTGCTTTCACAAGAGCATTCCAGCATAGTGCATTGATATATTTATACCGCGCAGTCTGTGGGTTACCGCCGAGGCATCATCTAGTCCAGCAACACGTGAATTTCTGCATGGGCTGTATCAACGCCATTAGCAGTAACTCCAAAGTACACAATTGCCTCATCTTTCCCGTCTATGTTGTCGGTGCTCACTCATTTACTGAAGATCATCAAACGGATATCCTTGGTAAGATTGACTGCATCTACCGGACAATTCGTTTCAACTCTCTATTGAGCATCCGCGCTGCCTTGGAAGGCCTCTGGCAGTCTGAGAAACAGGAGGGAACATGGGCAGACATGTTTACTTCGTTGGGGAGGGATGTCTTAGTCCTATAGGATAGTTTAGAAATTCTCTTCTATCCCGTGACGTTGAACCAATTTAATGCCGATTGAGATCTGGTCACATAGACAACTTTAGATTTAGTCAGGTTTCTGGGCCCTAACAAGACTAGGTTGTAACCGATAAATCAGGATCCATGCTCGCTATTTCTAGACCATCGCTAGCACAACTTGGCAGGCATGTCTCTTTTAATCTGGTACCAAACGAGCAAGTGGTGCGGGGTAGCCAACCTTCACTCGCCATCTCTATGCCGCTTGGCCTGGCTCTCAATCTGGCTTTGCCCAAAGACTTTCCCAGTCCGGTAATTTGAACCGTCTCTTAGCAAAGTTAAAACATATTCACAGCTTTATATTCTATCAGCCGCGGATATGATCATTCTTCTCCGCAGCGGCAGGCCCCGGAGCTTTCCGTGCTTTCACAGATTCACATTCTAATACTCATGGGATGCAAAGGTTAAAGAGAACTAAGGGCGATTGATTGTGGAACATTGAAGTCACTATCTCTCCCGCTCATTTCTAGCACATGTCTGGTCCATGGCTGAGGCTATTGTATATACAGGAGAAGCCTTCAATATATCCTCCATTATATTGAACCCGCCGCAAGCTTTAGAACGGAAACTGTGCTTCAACCTCAATTTCAATCACCATCCCTTCAATCCCCAGCTTTCCAATCTCCACGCATGTCCAGATAGGTCGGTGACTTGGAATAACCTTTTTGAAATTGCTGGTGACCATGTCAAATGTCTCCTCCACGCTGATATGATAGCTTCGTACTGCGTAGACATTTTCCCAAGAGAGCCGCGAGTCAACCTCTTTCAGAGCCTTTTCGACGTTCTCAAATGCTATGGCGACTTGCTTCTCGACGTTGGATGTAATGTTTCCGCTCTCATCCCAGCCACCTTGTCCGGATGTTTTTACCACTGTGCCGATTTTGACAGCTTGAGAGTAGTGAAAGGATTCTGAGTTGGCTTCGGTTCCTGGATAGTTGAAGAATTGCATGTTGGGAATGATAGAAAGGTTTGTAGACTGGGGTAGGAAAATGAAATGAAAACAGTTTACTATGGTATCTTATCCATATTTATTGGGAGGACTTTCCCTCGTCTTCATGAGCTACCCGTCTTATCCGGCTAAGTATGGCCTGGATACTTTCCTAAATTGTAAGAAAGCATAAGTGAAAAGGGTCTTGGCTTGGATTCACTACCAAGTCCATTCATCATAGGGTTCTCACAGCTCCAGGTTTCACTATTTCATTGGGGTAGTTCTACTTCTGCCTGGTAAATTTGGCCCCAATTTTACCCAGATCAGGAAGTTTACAAGGCCATGGACTGACAAGCAAATGTACTGATCGTCTTGCCCTAGCCTGAATAACTTTGGCACCTCTAACAACTGCAGCCCCCGTCGAAGTCTATCACTACTAGGCAGGCCAACGGCCTCTAACTACCCCGCATGTGTCATACTTTCCGCTGGTGTTTATCAGCTAGAGCTATTTCATGGAAATACAAAAGGTGCCGACGGGCGGCCGATGTATCTATAGTTATGCGGTATGTGTAGCTCTTCTTTTTATACCAAAAGAAAGACAAAACGGTATTAGAACGGATTCGCATTCCTCAATTCAATGCTGGGCTACTAGCCTCGGGCGGTAGTCAAGGCCCGGACAGAACTCGCTTTCTATATTTGTGACCTCTTCATACGGGTAGGGAATTGTCCAAATGAGGTCAAATCTAAGAAAATCAGCACCCATACAGTGTTCATGATGTAAAGACTCCAAACGACTAAACCAGAATCGAAATGATAAAACATCACCTACCGATCTTCAGGATACTGGAGTGGATCGGGGGAGCCCAAGTGCTCCTGGAGTTCCCCTACGTTCTTATGTCGCCAGGAAATCAAGATATTTCCAGGACCTTCGTATGATCGAATCGTATCAGCAACGCATTGGGTATCTTTGCGTGAGCAGTGGGCGTCGATTTCAAGACCGAGGTCATTGGCGAGGGGGAGGACGGTCATATACGCCCGCCGGTGCTCACCATCTATGTATCAAAACAGGATCAGTCAATCCATCTTTTCAAATTGTGTTTATCCATCTCCATGTAGCTTTTTGGTCATAATGAGTATCATAAGACTCACTCCACTTGACTGTAGGTGCCATGATATGTCCAATGTCGTAGCTCGAGTCTTTGCCGAAAACATCCCGCAGGCACTGTGATCGCTTGATGCCGTCTAGAGTCAAGCCATGATCGTCCGGGTTGGGAGGTTTCTCTCCATGTCGTATTATGAAGACTTTGGGTGGATTCCTGGCTGACACAGCAACTAAGCAGCTAGAGACGAAAATATATGCGAACGCTGAACGCAAGAACATCTTGAGAAGAAGATAGAATTCTAGTAAGCACAGAGTGTATGGAGCGGATCTTTAAGAAGAGAAGTGACAAGATTATGAGAATCACTATTCCGACAGCAGGGACGAGCACCAGGCGTGAACGTCACCCTCAATTTATACAGTCAGCAAAACACACAATGATCTGACCCATCACGGCAGGTCCATTAACTAACTAGTTAACTAGATCTACACAAAATAAAAAAAAATACTTTGAAGTAGATCAGCTGTTTCATGCGGTGCGATGGCCGTCCAACACATGGAGAAGCCAACCTGCTCGAAGAGGCATTTGAGAAGAGGGCTGCACCTGTCCTGATCGGCGAGTGACGAGCACCACGGGACGGTTCGTCCGATCTTAACAGCCTGGGTGGAACGTGTGGGTGATTTGATTGGCCTTTTCAAAGCCCGCATCCGCAGAGGCTGTCTATCGTTGTTGTTGTCGATCGCATGGATTTCATTGTGAAGTCTCTACGGGAACATGGCCATCTGGATCTCCGCGTGTTGGTGGTGTGAGTGGAGAAATTGATGGTTACGGGGACCTTGGGAGACGCCAGCCTCGTAGGCAGGTCCTGTCGTAGAAGTATATATTGGCTTCACGGGGCTACAACAAGTACAATGCTCGGCGAAGAACATATTTCTAGCGTTAACCTACCCAAAAGATTTTCGATCTGGTTCACGCTCGTTGAATAAACATCCAAAGACTGAACAACAGCGAGAAAAGGTTCTACGAATAACACATCATAGGCAGCGCGCAACTTGAGCCGACAATAAATTTGCATTTCATCGCAGCACAAGCATAGACACGGGGCAATAAAGACCAAGAGAAGGGGGAAGAAGGCATCGTTACACCTTCACAAGATAATGCCTGCGATCAGTCGATCAAGGAAAACATCTCCATACTGAAGCCACAGTTCTGTCCGAGTCAAACAGGGTCATCGGGTCCATCAAGAGAGGGACACCTTGGCTGAGCCGTGTGACAGGTGCGGGCATCTGATCTTCATGCCAGCCAGGGAAGTCTATTTCGCTGGACTGCTCCTCGATTGCAAGGCAATACTTCTGCAGGATCTTGAAAGTCCGGACTCACCGAACACCTTCTAGGTAGGGTTTTAGTTGTCCAGAACTGCGCGCCTGGACTATTATTATGATTTCGGCACAGAGGGAAGCCACAAGGCTCCAGTCGAACGACAGCGCTCTTCAGGATCAAGTTCAGGGGTGTTCTTGTTAGGTTTGGGATTGATGACGAGGGTGTCAAACTGGCATATGGGCAGACCCGAGGGGCGCATGCACACGATACTTTTCTTTTCACGGCCACTTACCGCTAGTTGCCGCGATACCCTCTTGCGTCCAGGGACATTTTGCGAGGAAGCACACCCCTCCAAATCTCGGAGTGGGGGCCATCATGGAGGGGTCCTGTATTTTTGCTTGTACAGTATGGTATTATTATTGATGATCGATCCTTGTCACCTATAACCATCTACAGGGCTGAGGATGTTACACTGAGCCAAGACGGCGATTATTCTCAGGGCTTCGCGCCGCTAGGCAGCCAGAATAATTCACAGCGAGAATTCTGGTCGATTGCGTGCCGAGCGGAGTCGCGCCAAGATAGGTTCTTCGCGCTGAGAGGAAGAAGGGGAGGAAGTCATGGGAAATGATTGTGGTGGGCAATAAGAAGAAGAGCGAATCATTGAGAACATAGCCCGGATGTTTGGGTAGAACCGTCGAAGAGTAGCCGAAGATCCGTTAAGGCCGTAAGGCGGGAAATGAGATGGTGCTATTTTCGGAGCCAAGCATGTACGGTAATGGGATTGACCGGTTTACCATGGTTTCGTATATTGTTCTCTAGTTTACTATGCGGTGCTCGAGTATGGTAAGTGTACGGGCCGCACTTTTTGGAGGTCCGTGGCCCAGCCTTATCGTAGGCATAGCCACAGGCTTGTAACCATTGAGGTTGGACACACCGCAGCTTCGTCGCTGGTTGTGGCGGTGCTCTGTAGTTCAGTGAACTGGGATCACAACTGAAAGGGAGAGGGAAAGGGAGAGGAAGAGAGAGAGGCGTAGCTATCCAGGACCAAAGTGGACAGCAGAGCGAGGCTGATGTACTGCGCCTCGTCGTTCCGTAAGATTGCGACCATGTGGGGGGGCAGTTCCGTCAGCCCTGTGGCTCCGGAGGACAGAATCATTGGATTGGCATGTTACAGATGTCCGCATTATGTACGTATGAAACTATCCTTCTATGATCCGTGATCCGTGATACGTGATCGCACCCTATGATCTCCACTCTGCTGACTCTGAGCGCGGTACGGAGGAGTATCCTCAATGTAATCAGCTCCAGTACCGGAGGGACGGTACCAAACTTATAAAGAGGCCACGACCCCTCTCTGCTCATCCCACTCTCACATCATCAATCTCATCCTTCCTCCTCCATCCCTCATCACCCCGACTCTTTACATCCATCCTCTAACTTTCCATCTTCAAACCTCACATATCATCATGTCTGGCTACGGCGATTACAACCAGGGCTACAACCAGCAGCAGCAGGGCCAGGGCCAGGGCTATGGTCAGCAGGGTTACCCCCAGCAGGGCTACGGTCAGGAATCCTACGGCCAACAGCAGCAGCACCAGGGCCAGGGCCAGGGCCAGGGCTCTTCCAACGACTACTATACCGGATCTCAACAGCCCCAGTATGGTGAACAGCAGGGCTACGGCCAGCAACAGGGTTACGGCCAGCAACAGGGTTACGGCCAGGAGAACAACCGCGCTGGGTATGTTTCCTCCTCATCTCATTCTTTTGGAGGTCCCGCACTAACAGAGTACAATAGATACGATCAGCAGCAGGCTCCCGGCCAGGCCCAGGAGGGCGAGCGTGGGCTAATGGGAGCGCTCGCAGGCGGAGCCGCCGGAGGATTCGCTGGCCACAAAGCGAACCACGGCATCCTCGGAACAATCGGTGGAGCCATCATCGGTAGCATCGCTGAGGATGCTATGAAGAAGCACAAGCGCGACGCCAGCCCTAGCGGTGGTGCCCCCGGCGGTTCCTATGGCGGTCCCGCTAGCAACAACGGCAGTGGCAACATGATGGACCAGCTCGGCGGTTTCTTCAAGAAGTAAACGGGTCGTCTCGCTGTAGACTCCATCTGCCGTCTTTCTTCTTTTGACTCGCCTGTTCTCACCGTGATGATCTCCACATACTTATGAATTTCCTTTTCTTGTCTTTCACGGGAAAGGGCTGGTTCATGCTTCCACTGGAATTGCTCTTGTTTCCAATTTTGCGATGTTTCTCCTTCCATCCTGTGATTAAATTTCTCATATGTACCATGACCGTTTTGCATTGATATCAAGATATGACTCCTAGTGGAGAACCAGAATTGCATCATTCGAACGCCATGATCGACTTCTCTGTAGATTGTAAATATGCCCATAATCGTACATACCGTACCATGCATGAAAACTTGACAAGTCGCCACTGGAACGCGGGGGGATCTCACCCGACCGCCCGCATCCAGATCGGGACTAGTGTGTAGCGTGACCCTGTGGCCTCAGGCACCAAGGCCACAAGACAGGCCATTTGCCAAGCCTGACAAAAGTTCGCGCGGACGGGCAATCTTGCACACGCTTCTTTCCCCGACCCAGCAACCACATCCAACATGATTGTACGGAAATTATGTATGCGTCAGAGTGAGTCGTTTCAATTTGCACCTCCACCGGCATCAGAATGATAAATTGACCACCCCAATTCCCTACAGGCCGCCAACTGCTGGCCCTGAACCGCCGGGCTCCAGCCTACTCTCGATTTCTCTCGACAGAGACACCAGTCGAGACAGCAGTGCAAACACCCGCGAAGGAGTCACCAGCTCCCGCGGAGAACCCCCTTCACCAAGTCGTTCAAGCATCAAGGGAAAGCCGAAAACTCAAACCCCGACAGCAATGGAATGAACTGGAGAAGCGGAGTGAGGATCACCCAACCCTTCCCCGAAAAAGACACCCAAGACTCAGCCAGCTAACAACGTCCCTGACTTCCAGGACACAAATTCAACACCCTCGGTTCAGCCGTGCAAGAATCCTACGATCCCGAAGATATCCTCCGTAATCCTCCCAAGCCCTCCGACATCACCCTCGAGATGCTCCTCGCCGCCGGCACACACATGGGCCACTCGACCTCGCGATGGAACCCACAGAACTCGCGGTACATCTTCGGTATCCGCGAGGGTGTCCACATCATCTCCCTAGACGTGACAGCAGCGTACCTGCGTCGCGCTGCGAAAGTCGTCGAAGAAGTCGCCGCTCGCGGCGGTATCATCCTGTTCGCCGGTACCCGCAAGGGCCAGAAGCGCGCCGTTGTGCACGCTGCTGAGCTGGCCAAGGGTTACCACATCTTCGAGCGGTGGATTCCGGGTTCGATGACGAACGGACAGCAGATTTTGGGACACTGCGAGACCAAGGTCGTCAATGCTTTGGATGAGGAGTTGCCGGAGTTCAAGGTTGATCTTGCGGATCGTCCGTCTGTGAAGCCCGATTTGGTGATTGTGCTGAATCCGCTGGAGAATGTGGTTTTGCTGCACGAGTGTGGACTGAATAATGTGCCCACCATTGGTATCATTGATACTGATGCTGATCCCACCCGCGTCACGTACCCGATTCCTGCGAACGATGATACCCTGAGGGGAACTTCTTTGATTGCTGGTATTCTGGGTCGGGCTGGTGAGGCTGGTCAGAAGAGGCGCTTGGAGATGGCTGCCGAAGGGAAGACGGATTATGAGCCTATTACGGCGCGCCAGTTGCGTCTGGATCCGCTCACGGGTCTGCCACCGCCTGGCTCGGAGCTGGAGAAGGGACAGCAGGCTTGAGCTGAGATGCTGCGGTTTGTTGTGGAAGATTTCATGGTGCAGGTACTCGATGGGTCTTGTGTGCCGGGTTCCCTGGCCTTGTATTGTATAGATGATTCCTCGCCTCGTGGGCGTTAGCACATCATGTATTAACAAGTTATATTCCTTTGCTGTGTTCGTTTCTTGCATGTTTGATTGACCGGGTCTAAAATACTACAATTTCATATTTAACTTCTTGACAAAAACAAACCCTCCGCCCCCTGAATCGAACCCCCAACCTCTTGGTTACCATATAAATGATCCGCGACACTCAATGATGCTCAAGTACTTCACCGCGATGCTCGCCCCCAAAATATCACAGACAGATACGGCCAAAACACTATTAGATCCTACAAAAGAACTTTAAGAAATATAGTTAATAGATTCTCCTGTTTATGACGATGATTTTGATCTAAAAATCATATTTCAAAAAGGGCAAAAAGTGAGCGTGTGACATAGCATCTCTGGCCCGGCAGCATAAAAAGAGAGTAACCCTCCACATTACCTGACCTCGGGGAGCTTTACCGAAGCGTCATGGACGTCGAACCCCGAGGGCATCCAGTGGTAATACCACTAGGCTATTAGAGGGCGGAGGGTTACTGGGAGGGACTGGAACTTGGTTATAACCTCAATTTGCTTTACATTTCCCATATCTTATACAAGTTCGAATTCTACATTTTCCTTATTACTTTCTGAAAACAAACAAGATCATACAAGTACACTGGCACCTCTAGATCCAGAAATGCAAGTAACCGTCAAGTTGGAATCATCCTTCAAGTCTATTCATCTATATGCCACGATCCCTGTAGCAGGTCTATATCATCAATGGCCTGTGGGGATCACCAGCCACGATCATCATAATACAAAAGAAAATTCATGACCATCGCCACCAGACTCAAGCCTTAACAGTGTACACAGCCCGACCCCGAGAGTCAGTGCCCTTGACAACAATGTCCTGGCCAGAGCTAGTCACAACACGGCGAGTATCCCCGTTGTGCAGGATAATATCCAGCTCCTTCCACGCAGGCACAAAGCCAGCTGACTCGTCACGTTCAAAGTGCACCAGAACCTTCTCCTCGGTCGAGCTATAGCTGAGCGTGTACACCGCAGTCCTGGGTTGTTGTGAGATACCATCGTCCTCGTACCATGTGTTGCTGTACACGGCACCATGGGAGCTACCCTGCGGCGGGAAGATCTCCACACCACGGTAGTCATCGATCTCCTTGACACCTTGCGAGGCTGCCGTCTTGTCATCGAGGACACGAGTATGCACGTCCTTGCCGACGGGAATGGCACCGCCAATCTTGGCGAGAAGAGGAATGCTCTCGCGCCATTGGGACTCAATCTCCACCCACTGCCCGGAGGCGAGGTAGTTGTAAGGGGCGTTCATGTTGACGAAGCCGTAGTCGAAAGCATCGCCCGTCTTGCGGGGGAGGTAGACTTTTGCGCTGGTGACGCCGGCACGGTACACGCCGCCGACGAGGATGGTATCGCCGAGCCAGAACTGCTCCTCGCCCTCCTTGAGGGTCTTGTTGTTCCACACCTCTGGATCGGACTCGTAGCCCCAGCCGATCCAGCGCTGTACGGGGGATGCGTCCTTGTGGCTTTCCAGTCCGAGTGAGTAGATGTAGGGCAGGATCTCGTAGCGGCGTTTGATGGCGTCGCGGACGAATGGTGTGATCTCGGGGTACATGAAGGGCTCGATGACTTCACCGACGGCGTTGTTGTCGGGGGAGGTCTTGAAGCAGTTGATCGCGAACCGGGTGGACATGCAACCTAGCTGGATCCAACGGAGGAGGAGCTCGGGGGAGGGTTGGGGGCCTTCAAAACCGCCAATGTCGTGTCCTTCGCACTATATAAGATCATGGTTAGTTTCCGGTTGGAAATGAAATCCTCTTTCAAGATGGCTCGAGGATTATCTTACCTGTAATAGGGAGATGCCTGCATTGAGAGACAGGGCGTTGGCACCCTTCATGTTCTCCCAGCTAGTCACATTATCACCACTCCATGTGCTGGCGCAGTAGCGCATAGTACCAGGAGTAGCACTGCGGGTCAGGACAAAAGGTCGCACATTGGACTCCATATCCAGCAGAGCGTCGTGGGAAGACTTGCCCATGAGCTCGGTGTGAAGGGCACGACCCCATTGACCGACGTTGTTCTCAGTGATCTCCTTCGCATTCTTGTTGACCATCGCATCGTCAAGGGCAAGAGTCCAGTCATCGCTGGGCAGCGTGTACTCGTTGTTGTCATTCCACATGCCGTCGATGCCGACCTTCTTCAGACTCTTGACACCCTCATACCACCACTTGAAAGCAACCTCGGAAGTAAAGTCGATGTGGCAGCCGTCACCACCGGTGGCTCCACCGGCACTCCACAGGCGCATGTAGCCAGGCTTATCCGTCTCAGGATCCGTGAAGAACCCACGGCCATCAATGAGGCGCTGGAAGTCGGGATGAGAAGCCAGCAGGAAGGGCTTGATGTTGGTGATGAGGCGGATACCGTGCTCGTGCATCTTAGAAATCCATTCCTCGGGATTCGGGAAGCGCTCGTTGTTCCAGGTGAAGACATTGCGAACCTTAGGTTCTACGGCGGCAATAGAATAACCAGACGACATCTGGTGAGCAGAGCAAGGGATTCCGTGTTCTTGCAGCTTCTCGGCGAACTCAACCAAGGCCTTGTGTGCGTCATCCAGCATAGTGTACTTGTAACCACCGGAGATGTATCCGTATGCCCAACGGGGAACCAGCAGCGGGAAGCCGACCAATTCGGCATATGAGCGGACAACATCCTTGATGGTCTTTCCAACAATCATGTACTGCTCTAGGCCGCCATAATCCTGACGGTAGATCTTGAAATGGCCCCAAAGTCCATCAATCTCGGCACCAACTGACCACGAGCCTCGGCCGTGGGATGTAGAGAACAAGGCAACGCAACCTTCTGGTGTCGCCTTGATCAGGAGAGGGATGTGCTTGTAGAGAGGGTCGGTCTTATAGACGTCGTAGCCGAAGCAGTCGGTGGCCGTGAGCTGGAAGTTGCGACCTGTGAGATCCATCGGCGCGGCCTTTTCACCCAGGCCCACGTGGAGAGCGTTGCGGTCGTGCACCGAGTAACAGGCCACACCCGGACCGTCGGCGACGTATGATCGTAGAGGCAGATCACGGTGCAGAGGCTTGTCGGAGCCTGTCCACGAGAGGGAAACGACTGGTGTCTGCTCCCACTCCACCTTCGCGGTGACACCACCGACATCAATCGTCTTGGAGGCGCCTTCCTCCTTCGCGAAGACATTGAGGCCCTTGAGATCGGTCTCGGGCTTGGTGACATTGGGGTAGGGCGGAATTGGGCGCTCCGCAGAGGAGAAAGTCACTCGGAAGAGATTCTGGCGAACCGCTTCGAACGAGAAGTCAAAGGCAGTCTTGCCGGAGGAGCTGCGGAGATGCACTGCGGCGTCCTGCTGCGCGCTCGAGGCAACCTGTTGGTACCCTTTCGGGCAGATCTCTTTTTGAGGCATGATGGGGATGTGATTCGTGAGGATAGTTCACGAGGGATGAATTGAGATCAGGCAATGTCCCCGGCAGTCCATGTTATTTGTAACATTCTGCACCATGGCATGTCTCCTCATGCCCCGCGTCAATTGTTGGAGAACTTCGTCAGCGTGGGGCAAGTATACAGTCGGCGATCGGGGCAGATCTCCGACAGGCGATGTGACTCTCTCTAGGGGAATTGCTAAAACGACACCCCAAATTGCTAATTCGACCCCGTATACCTTATAGCATCGTAATTGTATTACTATCTTCTAATACCCCTTGACTATTGCCAGACTTCTACTACTGCCTACCTCTCTCCTATTATACCGCGTATTAAGTCTTCTAATCTGCCCTTCAAGGATCGTCTATTTCTACTACTAAGAGACTAAACCCAATAAGGAAAGTAACGCTATTCGAGTTTTACTCCAGAAATCGCTGGATCTCCCTTCTAATCTAGGCAAATCATGTATATTATCTCCGTCGGGATACCTACGTATTATCTATCTATCTTCTCCTATTTTACCCTCACCCCTACTAGCTATCTTCTAGTTGATTTAGCAGTTGATTCGGCAGCGTATACTAGGAGCTGGGTAAACAGTAGTAGAAGACTTCTAATCGTGAAAGGGGGTAGACGGGCATTAGATGATAGTAATACACTTACGACGCTAAACTAATTATAGGGTGTGTGGTGTCGAACTAGTAATTTGGGGTGTCGTTTTAGCAATCTCCCCTCCACAATTCCTGCCACCAAATGGGCTCCAGGCGGTCTCAGGTGACCCGCGTGGCCCAGATTTTGATTTTTCGGAGAGTGCCCGATGGGCCGATTTTCAGTCGCAGCGGTCGGCCGATTCTCCACAAAGTCCACACCGAGCCCATACCAAGTGCCGAGAGAAAACGGGGCCCCAGACACGTCGGACCATACAAGATTTGGGCCGTCCGAAGCTAAAACGCCAACATCCCCGAAAACTTTCAGCCGCCCCTCAGGTAGCGTCGGTTTTGCCAGCCGAAAACCGACAGCTAAGCCTTCTTCAGCAGTTCCACCTTGCCCGTCTTCCATCCTGCTGGCCACCATGAATAACTTTTCCAATATCATACAACTGACCCTCTCGTGACCCGGCATTGATTGGCTCCTGTTCACGGAAGTTCTCCGCGACGGCAAAAGAGATACAGTCCGAGTTGAAGTCGGATCATCGCGTGGATGGGTGACTCGAAAAAGCCAACAAGGATGACGCGGGCTTCGTAAATTTCTCCAGACCGTCTCCATTAAGTTTCGGACTTGTGGTGCGGTTGTCCGGGGAGGTAATAAGCACGTCTTCCCCACGGGGTGCTATGTACAAGCCCTGATCTTCCCCAGCGTTGATCCTTTCCAAGACTGATATAACTGCTGCCTTTCACCCCCTACTTCGTCGAGAGAGTTGAGTCGGGTCTCTCGTTCAACTCGAGATTCTACTACAATCTTCTCGATCCCTTCCTATTGCGAGGTCTTCTCCTTTGCTCTATTCTATCTTCAATCATCTCCTTGCTCGACCGAGAAATGTCGCAGCACGAAGAAATTTCCCAGTCAAAGGGCCAGCAGGAAGAGTTTGTCGAGTCCATTGAAGCCATGGAGGCGGGAAAGCCGACTCCAGCAGGACATGTCGACGTTGGCCCCAAACAGGATCAGGCGCTGCAGTTGATCGAGGATGCAGGATACTCGACCACCCTGACGCCGGAGAACAACAAACGAGTGCTGCGCAGGATTGATCTGCGTCTACTCCCTATCCTCCTGTCCATCTACTTCCTCCAGCAACTCGACAAGTCAACTCTTTCTTATGCCTCCGTCTTCGGACTGGTTGATAAAGCTCATCTTCATGGCAAGATGTACTCATGGTTGGGCTCGGTTGTCTATCTGGCCCAGCTGATCTTCCAGCCCTTGGTCTCCTATCTGCTGGTCAAAGTACCTATGGGCAAGTTCATGGCGGCCTCGGTTCTGCTCTGGGGTATTGCCTTGTCTTGCATGACAGCCGCAAATAGCTTTACTGGACTGTTGGTTTGCCGCCTGTTCCTGGGCATTTTTGAGGCTGGCATTGGTAAGTTTGATCTCGCGAGGGTACGAAGTTCTCTGTGGCTGACGGTGAAGCACATAGCCCCGGCATTTATCGCAGTCACACAGATGTGGTATCGACGACTTGAACAGCCCGTCAGACTGGGCTCGTGGTATGCAATGAATGGTGTGGTCAACATGGTGAGCTCTCAGTGGAATCTTGAGTGATGGATATCCAAGTGGACTACTAATATAGTCCATAGGTTGGCAGTTTGATCACTTACGGATTGGGTCACATCAACTCTTCAGTCTTTGAGCCCTATCAGGTAGGCTATTATAAGGAGATATTTCGTGAAATAGCAACCACTCAACTGAGTACAGATTATTTTCCTCTTCTTCGGGCTTATCACTATTGGCGTTTCCGTCGCTGTTTTGTCAGTAGTTCCCTCTTATTATCTTGCAGCATAACTAACATTTTTGTCAATAGCTTGTTCATGCCCGACTCCCCTATGACAGCCAAATTCCTCAACGAAGAAGACAAGCTGGTAGCTATTGAGAGGTACCTCCCCTAAATCTATCCTGTCATAGGTGCAATCACTCACAAATACCCAGACTGCGCATGAATCAGCAAGGTATCGAGAGCCACGAATGGAAATGGGATCACGTCAAAGAGGCCTGCTTGGACCTCAAGTCTTGGCTTTGGTTTGCCTTGATGCTTACCATCTCGTAAGTATTACCAGTCACAGCTAGTCACTCGCAGTATTATTAACCAGATCACAGCATTCCAAGCGGTGGCATCACTACCTTCGGTCCCCTAATCGTCAAGTCATTTGGCTTCAACTCTCTTAATACTATCCTGCTGAACGTTCCTTTTGGTGCAGTTCAACTTATTGCCACAATGGGCGGCGCTTGGCTGGCTACCTACTGGAAGAAGAAGGGTCCGGTTCTGGCTCTTCTTTGTCTCCCTCCTATCGCGGGCTGTGTGATGCTTTTGCGCATTACCCACGACGCTGCTCACAAAGGGCCCCTGCTCGCAGGATATTACATTGTAAGTGCTTGGTGCCTGAGACATTGGCGTTTCGCCTTCTTTTTGCTGACCATCGGCTTCTTGAAATAGATCTCTGTCTACCCGGGTATTAGTAAGTTTTTGCGTACAGGTGACCATCATTCTATGACTCTGACCTTTCTCAGCTCCTCTGATCTACTCCTGGTCTGCTGCCAACACAGCCGGTGAGACGAAGAAGAAGGTGACCACGGGTATTCTGATTGTAGGCCAGTGTGTCGGTAATGTATGTCTGCCCTGCCGAATCTACTGTGAAGACTCTTTCATACTCATGAAAAATATCAGGTCATTGGTCCCACTCTCTATACCACCGAGGAAGCACCTCTTTATCACCGTGGACTCCTCTCCAAGTAGGTTCAGCGCAATGCCTCTCCAGAAATCATACTAACGTTCGGTAGTCTTGCCCTGTTCTGCGTTCTATTTTGCTTGATCCTGTAAGTTTCTACCAACCAAGTCAAGGTACAACTCATGCTAATTGAAATCCTCTCTCTAGACTGAATATGGGATACCTGACCATCCTCAACAAGAAGCACGAACGGCAGCGTGTTGCCGCTGGCAAGGAAGCCAAGGTGGTCGATCACTCAATGAATGAAATTGGAACCGCTCAAACCGACAAGGAGGGTGTACCGGTGCAGATCGTAGCCAACGATAATGCGTTCAAGGACCTGACGGACTGGCAGAATGAAGACTTTGTATACGTATACTAGGCTGGAGGTGACGGCGCAGAGGGCAGTTGGGCGGTGCATGTAAAGTTTTACTGTTTTTCTATGACTTGAACCTCAATTTGAATTTCTGGCATCTGTGTCAACCACGTTGACGCCCAAAATTACTTTAAATTTCCGTGGGGGCGCAGTTAGAGTCTACTGTACAGTAGTTTGCCCCACAAAGCCACCGTCGGCTTATGCTTTTAATCCCGGGCGACCTCCATTTGCCGACATCGGGGCACTAGCCGAACCCCGCGTTTTCACCTTCCCCAGGTTCATCACATTCGGAGAGATCGGTGAACGCTTTTGATGCGCGCTTAGTACATCCTAGATCTGAAAATGCAAGACGAAGACTCGCTGCATGTTGTCCCCGCACCGATCGGGAAAAAGCGCATTCCTGTACGTGCTGCAGCCCCTGAGCATCGCGCTAGTTGGAACCGGGGGGTTTAGATGCACTGACAGGCGGTCTTTCTATAGAAGGCATGCTGTGCTTGCCGACAGTCCAAAGTAAGTATGCAAGTTATGATCTTCCTGGTATTTGTTATTGACTCATTATAGGTTAGATGTGATGGGGAGCGGCCCTGTGGGAGGTTAGCATCTCGGCAAATCGTGTGATCCATGTGCTGACAGTCCCTGCAAGATGCCAAAAGCTTGACAAGCAATGTGTCTTCTTCGAGATCCCCAAAGATCCCGTGTCAGAGTACGATAGAATCATTTGTGTGAACACCCGGCGGAAAATATCCACTGACCTATCCCTAGGAGACTTGAAAGCGTCGAGTCGGAGATGCTATATCTCAGAAGACAGCTGGATGACATGCGGGAGCTTCTGCAGCGAACATGTGCCTCGCCATCAACACATCCTCAACATATGTCACCCCTACAAACACGAGAGCGGCAACTACACATCCGTCAGGATAGCGTATGCCCCTCATCTTGTTCTCAGGCCGCGCATTCTCAGGAACACAGTGGCGCTTTGATTGCCAAGAGCCACCCTGGGTATACAATTGGAACCAATCATTCCTATCCAAGATCTGTGCCCGATATCTCTCCAAACCAGATACCAGTGCACCCACTATGTGAATCACCACAAACAGGGAACAGGGCCTTGAAGAGGAAGCGATCCTGCTTTGAGATTCGTGACGACGCTGTGGTGGACTTTGTTGATAAAGGGCTCATCACACTCGATTGTGCCATCTCTTGTTTCAATACGTGAGTAAACACGAAAATTGAATGTGTCGCTTTTTAATTTAACATTGGGGTTGCTCTAGTTTTTTCGAAGGCTGCGTGAGTACAATGAAATTGCACAAAGCTCTATTGGGCAATGGTAATTGACTGCTTAACCCAAACAGGATCGATACATACCCATTTTTGATCCCGAGCATGATACTTTTGACTCCGTGCGTGCCCGAAGCAGCATTCTACTTAATGCTATCTGCACCATTGGTTGCATGGTCGAAACCAGTGAGCCGATCTCTACTAGAAGCTTCGCCAAAGCCTTCTTCCGTTAACCATCCATTCGAATAGAATCTGGCGGGCCAATGTCTGACATATTGCATGCCGAACTGAAAAAATGGATTAATGTCATCATTCAGAACAAAGGCCTCAATTCTCTCGAGTCAGTCCAGGCAATGCTGATAGTTGCCTGCTACTCCGGGGACCGCCTACTCATTTTATCGTTTGCCACTCGAATGGCCCTTGACCTTGGTCTTCATGAAGCCTTCGAGGAACTCACCGAACGACTCGCAATGAAAAATGACGAGAATAATTATGGTGTCCCGGATCATGACTTTGAAAAAGAGCGCGTGCTCATGCGCAAGTCAAGGACTTGGTTTGGGTTGTTAGTGTTGGAGCATATGTTAGTTTTCTTAAACTACTCAATGGTACACTTGCTAATGGTGGATATTCTAGATTCCGCGTCGATGCAGGCAAGCCACCAGGGATTCGGCTAGTTGGTAATTCCCGGAGATGCCGAATACTATTGAGCAATCCCTCGTCCACTATTTTGGACCTTCGATTATTCTCTCAAGTTGAGGTATGAAATCCAAACATCATTTCTTACCAGAAAGTCCTCTTCGAAGGTGCTGACGATATTGTTTTCAGCTCAACATTCTCAGGGGTGAGGATTGGCCTCACTTTTACACATCCCGTTCAAGCTGACCAAACCACTTCGTAGCAACCATCAATGACACACTAGGTCCGGAGACAACCCTTGATAGACAAGAAATATCGGATTTTGTCCATGAGATGAAGATCGATCTTGATCTGTGGTTCGAGTAAGTAATCCTCGTGGATCTCTGTCGTCTACAATACTGACATCAAGAAGTGACTGGCTGCGTATTGTCGGTAAGTGCTCTTTATTCGGTACTAGCAGTGGAAGTTGACTGATAGCTTTATAGAGGGTTGTATCCCCGCTCAGCAAGAGAAACCGTACCTTCTCGTTGCCCTCCGCGTGCAAAAATGCTGGGCCGAGATGATGCTCAACTGCAAGGCACTCCGGGCCATGGGCGTAGAAAATGTCGCGTATGTGGTTCTTTTGTCAAATTCCAGTCGCCGATTGAGCCAAATTGTATCGAGACCAAAGCTGACCCAGCAAACAATTCCAGTGCCATGACCGCCACTGAGCGACATATTCTCCTCGCAGCCAAAGCGGCCGCCCGAAGACATCTCCGCCTCATTATCGTCGAGCCAGACTTCTATCTGGCTAAGCTCAAATATGCAATGGATTTTGTATGGGCGAAATGCGCCTTCTCCTTCCTTCTTCTTCTGAAGCTCTCGCGTCTTCTTCCCGAACGGGAAGAGGAACACCACGAGCTTCTAGAACACGGCGGAAGACTGGTCGACGAACTCAGCAAAGCGGGTTCAAACAACAACCAGTCTGGTGCGGGCAATATCTATCTCCAAATTCTCAAAGTCAGCATCGAGAAATATGGGCGAGCATTGCGTGAGTCCCAGCAGCCTGGCACGGGCGGCTCTAGCGGCACGTCGCCATTTTGGGAGCTGTTCGACGCGCAGGCAGATCTGCAATGGTTCATGCCTGAGCAATTTGTTTCAGAGTGGGATTTTCCGGGATTGAATCTTTTCTATTTCCCCACCGCGATGCAGGATTTCTTTGGGGATTTCTCATTGGCCATGTGATTAAGTGGCAACGAATGAATACCCTAAGTCGGGGCATGAATATGTCAAATCCTAGTTCTCAATTCAAATAGCTTAATACATGGAAAGCTCTCGATATAGGGAAAGCCAAGGCAGATATGGAGCTAGAGGCATACGAACGTCTTCTCACACTTTCTTGTTGTCTCTTTTGCATCTCCGCCGGCAACCATCCAAGGGTCTTTCGAGCATCAGGATGCGTATTGGGCATAGAGGTGACTATATTACAAACTCTAGAAAGAATTGAATCCAAGAAAATTGTGAATTGGTTCACGAAACAGTCTATCCCCAGATCCTCATACCAGATGCCAATTGTTACAGATAAATGTAATCTCTAGAACCCAGGTGAATGTTGAACTTTTGTATGGCGCTCGGCCAATTTCTCATAGTAGGTAGGTGTTGATGGTATCAATAGCTTCGAGTCGCAAATAAGGAGGCATGTTATGTTCTAATGCTATCGACGACTTAACCCAGAGCCTTCATGGCAAGTTCGACACTGTAGATAGTTAGTACTCAATTGACCAGAAGGCGAGCTATGGCGTTGATAGAAGACAAATGACACTTACACAACGAAAGTACCCGCCGAGACGGGCATAGCTCTCAGCAGGGTCGGGCCAATACCCTTCCAGAAACCACCTAAGCCCTCGATGGCATACGTCTTCTTGAAGCAGTCGCGCATGCTGGCGAACTGCTGGTTGGCACCGAACCCGTCGGTCTGCATCTTACTCTTGACCACGTCGAATGGGTAGCTAGACAACCACAGAGCCTCACCAGCCAGACCACCGTAGGTGGCAACCTTGACGGCGGAGATCTCTTCACGTTTCACATTGTTGCGCTTGGCATCCATGTTCATCATGTACTCGAAAGCCATGAACCAAGTACCGTAAGCCATGGCCTCACGCAGAATAGTGATGGCCTGGCCACGGTACAGACCGCGCAGGGCACCTCCCTGAGCGGCCAGCTTCTGCACGCAGTCAATGGGACCCGAGTACAGGCGGCCGGCACCGTGAGGTTGGGCCTGAAGACGGATACGGACGTGCTCAATGGGACCCGAAAGCACGGAGTTGGTCACACCGGCGAACGAACCGGCCAACCAGTACTGGCCGTACGAGAGCGAGCTGTGGGCATACTTCTTCTTATTCAACTCCTCAAACTTGCGACGGGCCTGGTGGAAAGCACCAAACTGCACACTGACCTGTGGAAGGAGTTAGATGGGCGAGACGGCGAAACCCGGCATCCGGCAGACGGGGTCACTTACGCAGGCGCCAATTCCAATAAGGGGAGTCAGAGTACCCTTATAGAAAGCAGCGGGACCCTCTTTCCTGAAGATCTGGGTCGCACAGTCCAGAGCACTCTTATATTGAGAGGTGGTCTGCAGACGGACCTTTACGATATCTGCGATACCGGGGTTAGACACGCTTCACTGCGGGGGAGTCATTTGTGTGTTAGGGCCACAAACCAAAAGGTTGTCCTATAATTGTGAGAGTCAGTAATTGAATACATGAGATGAATCTTCAGTCCTAGCATCAAGGCCGGACGAGCAATCAATGCGACTTGCGCCTCATCAGAAACGCTCGTCTTCCCCGAAGCGCAGCAACTTACCCAGCAAAACCTGAGCCATTCCACCAGCGGCGCCCGCGGCCAAGTCCTTGATGGTGCGGAGGGCATCGGTGCTCTTCTCCAGATCGTCGAAAGCTTCAGACTCCATGATGACGGGTCAATCGGGTGATATGTCGGATAGAAAGAAGAGACAAGTTCTCCAGATGTCTCCAGATTTGTCGTTTATACCAGGAACCAGGGATCTTATCGAGATGGCGCCATCTGCATGCTGATTCGTGTGCAGCGCCGACTGTCAGCGGGAAAACGGGGGCCTTTGCCTTTGCCGTCGGGAAACTTACGTAAGCGCGGCAGAAAAAGCGCAGGCCCAAAAAAGTGGAGTCGCGTTTGGTTGGAGATTCGTTGGTTTACGACTGAGACTCGCTGGGATTTCGTTGGAATCCGATGAGGAAAGCTTGTCGCGTTTACAGCTATGCACCGCCGAGTAGTCTGGAGGGTATGGATTCTCCCCCCGCAATTCAATTCCCCCCCTTGACAATGATATCTGATCGCCGTCTAGCTCTCGCGCCGCATTGATTTATCGTCATCCACCACCCTATCCTCTCCGACTGTACCCCGTTCACGGACATTTCGATCCTCCACAGTCCGGTTAAGTTCTGAGAATGGCACTGGAGATGGGAATGGCGATGGTGCAGCCCCAAGTTCACCATCACCAGCACCCAAGTTTGGAAACCGATGGGGCGCCAGACAGGCCTCGAAGCCAACCGGCCTGAGCCCGGCAGAGCAGACGTTGCGCGATGCCATCATGGCCAAGAGCAAACGACAATCTGCTCCTCCAGAAATCCCGAATGGTCCAGATCCCGAGAAAAGAATACCCGGTACGCAGTTCTACGTCAAGAGCCAGAACAAGCAACCCTTCGTCCACTCTTCCAACCGGCCCGTCGACCACCAGCAGTTGCACAACAGAGTCGCCCGACATTTGAGGCAGCCGGCCCGGACAGGAACCGGGCAGTATCGGGGCAATCGTGAATGGACGTGTCACAGCTGCAACAATCTTGTCTTTGCGAGGCACACTATCTGTCCGTTCTGCCAGACAGCTCGACGGGATCCTCCTATGCCTCCCAGAGATGGACAACAACGGACGAAACGGAACTGGGATTGCCCCGGCTGCGGACAACATGTGTTTGCGAGACGGGATGAATGCACCTCGTGTGGCACTCCGAGGCCGGACATGCAACCATCAGAGACACGTACGTTGAGAAGGGACCCGGGTCGAACTAGCAAGCTCCAGAATCTCGGCCAGTCAATCCTGGCCGAGGCCGGCGAGGACCATCCTTCCTCTTTCAGGGGATTACGAAAGACTGGTCAGCAAGAAGCACCAACCCGGATATCACAAAGTGAGGGTCGCGAGGCCCGTTGGCGAGACGAGACAAGGAAGGACCGGAAGGGAGAAGATAAAACGGAGAAGGAGAAAGGACTCGACAAGAAGGATCAATGGTCCTGGGATATGTCCGCCTTGGATCAGTTGGAAGCCATTGAAACTCAACAGGCGCCTGTTGAGATACAGAAAAAGCCCAAAAAACGCGACTGGCGTAAAGACCGCGGAACGTCAGAGGAAGGTGATTTCGATCCCGAGGACCGTCAACGTCGTCGGGAGGATCGCAAGCGCCAGAAGAAGGCGAAGGAGGAAGTCACGGCTATTCCTCTGCACCTTCCCGAGTTCATCAGCGTCAGCAATCTGGCAGATGTCATCGGCGTACGACAGGCTGAGTTTGTGGCCCGCATGGAAGAAATGGGCTTCGAGGACGTGACCTATAACCACGTCCTGGACGCCGAGACCGCCGGTCTGGTGGCTGCAGAGTTCAACTATGAAGCTATCTTCGATACTGGTGCTGAGGATCTCGAGGCCGCCCCAGTGTCAGAGGATACATCTGACCTGCCCCCTCGGCCACCAGTCGTGACAATCATGGGTCACGTTGACCACGGTAAAACCACTATTCTGGACTGGCTGCGCAAGTCATCAGTGGCAGCCACTGAGCACGGCGGTATCACTCAGCATATCGGCGCCTTCTCTGTGGCCATGCCCTCTGGCAAGACGATCACCTTCCTAGACACCCCCGGTCACTCAGCATTCTTGGAGATGCGCAAGCGTGGTGCCGATGTGACTGATATCGTCGTTCTGGTCGTTGCTGCGGACGACAGTGTCAAACCACAGACCATCGAGGCTATCAAGCACGCTACGCAAGCCAACGTGCCTATCATCGTTGCGATCAGTAAGATCGACAAGGAAGGCCGCAATCCCGAACGGGTGAAGCAAGATCTCTCCGTCCACGGCGTTCATGTGGAAGATTACGGTGGTGATGTCCAGGCCATTGGCGTGAGCGGCAAGACGGGCGAGGGCATGATCGAGCTCGAGGAGGCTATTGGAGTCCTCTCGGAGATGCAGGACCACCGTGCTGATACGACTTGCAACGCTGAGGGCTGGGTTATTGAGGCGACTACCAAGAGCTATGGTCGAGTGGCTTCTGCTCTCATCCGTCGTGGCACCCTCCGCCCCGGCGATGTTATTGTTGCTGGTCAAACCTGGGCCCGCGTGCGTACGCTTCGTAACGAAGCTGGTCTGTCCATCGATGAAGCCACCCCCGGCATGCCGGTTGAGATTGACGGTTGGAGAGATCAGCCCGTTGCTGGATCGGAAATTTTGCAGGCTCCAACCGAGCAGAAGGCCAAGGATGTTGTGGCATATCGCCAGGACCGGGTAGATACCCAAAAGCTGGGCGAGGATATGGTTGCCATCAACGAGGCGCGACGAGAGCTCCTTGAGAAGCGCAGACAGGAGGATCGAGACTCGGAGGAAAGCGCCAGCACCCCTGCCGAGGCGTCCGGTCCCAAGGCTGTCAACTTCATCATCAAGGCCGATGTGGATGGCTCCGCTGAGGCCGTTCTCAACTCAATTGCCGCCGTTGGCAACAACGAAGTTTACGCGAACATCTTGCGCTCTGGTGTTGGCCCTGTGACCGAGTTCGATATTGAACACGCGGCCAGCGCTAAAGGAAGAATTATCTCATTCAACATGCCTATTGAACCCAACATGGCTCGCCAAGCCGAACTAGAGTCTGTGAAGATCATGGATCACAATATCATTTACAAGCTCATTGATGACGTGAAAGACGTTCTGAGCGAGCATCTTGCACCTACTGTGACTCAGCGTGTGACAGGTGAAGCCGAAGTCGGTCAAGTCTTCGAGATCACCGTCAAGGGTCGCGACAAGACGTCGATCGCTGGCTGTCGGGTGCGTAACGGTTTGATCAACAAAACGAAGAAGGTCCGGGTGATCCGCGGCAACGAGACCGTTTACGATGGTACGAAGACACATTCATGGGAATTATCTAGAAACATACTGACATCATTTCCCAGGCACCATGACCTCCCTGAAGAACGTCAAGAAGGACGTTACCGAAATGCGCAAGGACACCGAGTGTGGTATCGCCTTCGAAGGCTGGACCGACTTCGCCGTCGGCGATCATATCCAGTGTTACGAGGAGATCTTCGAGAAGCGCCACCTGTGAGCTGAGCCCTGCAGCTCGAGCTTCATGCGGCTACTAGTCGCTGTACTTCTAGATTTTTGTCAGCCTACACCCTTCTCTCCTGTCTTTTCTACTTCATCTTGTATCATATGCCCCCTTCTCTACATCGACATGTCTTGCATCTTGGGTTCGGGCGTTGTTCCATATTCACTCCACAATTTCTGGAGACATTCACGCTTGGACATGGAGATAGATGCTATTATAATACATGTACAGTAGTTCGACATCATAAACTTGTGCAGCAAGTTTCGGTGCAGCAAATGTCCAAATACGTAAAACTTCCCCCCTTCTTTATAGGCCCTACTTCGCCTTCCACCTTACTCTACCAACCCACTTCGCCCAATCCTGTACATCCTCCCTCCCCATAATCCGATCAACTGTATAATATTCCCGCGCCAGCTCCTCATTACTCGCCATACGATGCACAAAACTATGACAAGCGCGACACAGCCAAGCAACACTATTCAGTGTCCACTCATCATGCCACCCCCTCTTCAACACTTTCGCATGCACGCCTCGAGGAATAAGATGATGATACGATAGTGGGATCCAATTCCGCTCGCAGATCTCACATGCCTCCGTACGTGTGGTACTCCAAACCGGCGGTGCACTGGTCACGCTGGTTGTATACTCGCTAAGTACTGGGGACAGGAATTCAGGTAGGTCGTTCACGTCTGGGACTAGACCGTAGGCGGAGAGAGTGTCTGGGACTGTTCCGGGGACAGTGGAGCATAGCGAGTCGAGAGTATTGCGGTCAAGGGGTGTATCTGCGTCTGCGGGGACATAGAGCGATGCTAGGTGCTGACCGTGCTGGATTGACGCGTAAGAGAGGGTTCGAAGGGGCTCGGGGAAGGAGGTGAAGGTTTCCGTCGCGATGAACTGTGGTGAGCTCGCGTGTCAGCTTTGAAGCTTCGTCTGGATACGTGTCGAGGGACAATGCATGCGGAGATCAAATGGAATGCTGCATACATCGACAAATTCAGCTAATTCCTCGGGATCAACCCGTTCAGGTAACCCAGCGTCAGATTCAGAGATCACTTCTTTACCAGCATTGCGCTTGGCCTTTGGTCGCCGCTTGCTCAGTTTCGGTTTCTCGGACCGCGCAACAATCGCGCTCGAGAGACATTCTCGGAAGACGCTGTAGTTGTCATCGGAGGTCATTGGATGGTACAGTACTCATGTTCTTCGGCCCGAAGCTCATCAAGCAGCTCTTTGGCCTGCTTGAAACTGCGGAGCGAAGATGGAAGGTTGCCTGGCGGGAAGCTTGACATCATCGCTTTTCGGGCCGTGTCTGCCAGCTTCGGCTAGCTTCAAGGTCCTGTAGGGCACTAAAATATAAACTACTCGCCCATTTCGGGGGGATCTACTACTACCGGTACTCCTATAGAGGATTTAGGCATTCGTGATGATAATTATTCGGATCCAATGACACTCCACGCTAATGAGACCACAAAGCATACCTCAAATTTCTTGCCAGGAGATTCGATTTAAATTGCAATGTATTCTTGTATAATAGTCAGCTTGTCCTCTGCTTCTCAGCCATCATTTACCCTGTTTCAAATATGCTTTGATGTAAAATTGTGCGAAGAGGTAGATCAAAGGGATAATATAGATGCTTGTCACGATAATGGTAAATGCTTCACCACTATCGCTCAAGCATGATACTGCACTCTCACTCGTCGACACGCCCGTCTTGATGTCTGGCATGGGGGTGCTATCATGGGGTTTGCCAGGGTCCAAAGCTGACGTTGACCCATTATTGATACGTTTTGCAGTCACGTCCACTGGGACCTTGTAGCTCATGAACAAATATGTATAGCCCCAGATCCAGCCGACGAAGAATTGTGCAAGCTGAAGCTTGGTCAGAGTACGTTTGAAACCGACGGGCACAGAGATGCCGAGTGTTTGAATCGTAAAATACGTGTACTAGAAGGAAGAATGGGCATGATTTGTTAGTATGGTATATCGAGGCAATGCAAATGGGAGATCAAGTTACCATCAATGTATGAATAGCCGAGTTCAAAACCACACCAATAGCACCCAATGGGGATTCATATAGTACCGTTGCCCATCCACATATGATCACTCCGGCATGGTGGTATGTTTGTAATGTAGAGCTCTTTTTCCCGCGTGCGAGAATGACCAGGGTATCTACGACTTCGTAGAATTTGCTCATATAGAAGAGCCAGCCGACATAACTGCCTCCAGCTTCCCAAAGACTTTTGGAGATCGGCAGGACTAGAAGAATAACCATTATCAGACGATTCAGTGTCCTCACATTTATAATCATCTTAATGAGGGAAATCATACCTCGATATTCACTGGAGTCGGTTTCACAGAGTAGTTCCGCCACATGAGCGTAATAATTAGGGCCTGCCCCTGCGACAGCCAAGTCCCAAAGGGGCAATAGGATCGTGAAGAGCGAGCAAAAAGTCCATGCCGAAAACAGTGCGAGGAAAGCGTTGTGCGCCACAACCAGTGCCTTGAAGGTAGAAGTTTTGGTGAAACGCCATGGCCGATACTGGCGGCTTGCGTTAAATTGATTCAGGTAAAGCACTGTGGTAACATATATCGCGGTAAAGGTGAGGACAAATTTGATGTCAAGAGAAATATAGAATAGGTCAGGGTCAATCGTTATCCGCTGGAAAAGCGAGTTTGCAAGCACATGCGAAGGCGTGGCAGGTGGCGGCCGCGGTACTGGCTTGTAAGGCTGGCTTGGAGGAAGACTGAAAAGCTTCAGCGATGGAAAACCGAACTTGATCGGACTGTGAGCTGAAAGGATATCCATACTGACAGAGATTTTTCGGTTCAGAAAATGATCTTCATTGGAGGGGTACTCTTTACATTATGTGACAAGCCTTTATATACCAGAATAACTTATCAAAGCCCCTCATCAGATATCAGTCAGGCAGAAGAACAAACACCCATCCTGATGTCTCATGAGGGGCTAGCTGTCGTGTGATGTGGTGTAGATCACAAGAAATGTTTGTGTTATTGACTTGACCAGGCTGTAGTCAATGCTGGAAGGCTGGAAAAGCTGAAAGCAAGTCATGGACCATTGTGACTGGGCTGCAGAGTCACCTAGATCTCTCTAGGTCTGTATCTGATGAGAAGTTGAAGATGCTTTGCTACCCCGCTGGGCAGTTCGTGGGGCATAGAACAACTGCAAGTCTGATGTAGCCCTATCACACAATTTGCTTTTTCTCGATACTTTCTCAGCCAGCCATGCGGCAATCTATTGAAGTTTTGCATGTAGATCACCACGTCATGCTTAAACGACGATCGATGATTGATGATCCGGAACTAAAACCTCATGGTAGAGGTTGATAATATCGCCTACGGTATATTCCCTGTCTAACGGTTGGCTTTTTTGCCATACCTCGTTCGTGTAACTGTGATCAGCTCGTATCACCTCGTTTAGCAGGACCCAGTCACACCTAGAGTAGGAAACTTGTTCAGAGGTTTACTTCTTGTGTCTCAGCTAAGATTCGTCGATCAGTTGACAGAACCATCAAGAATCAGTGGTTATATTGAATTCATCTACCCTCGTGCAGCGGCGCACACATAACACAAGTCATTTTATCAATATATGGAATCTCGAAATAAGCCAAGAATGCAGCAACAACCTACTAGAGAGTCAGTGGGATCTTTGCCTTCTGATAAACAGGGCTATGTCTCCGAAACGAACCATTCTCTGTCAACGACCAGCAAAAGCTCGATGGTCATTGTTTTACGCTCGCTGAACTGGCCCAAGACGATCTTCCTGGTTGGCATCCCTTTAGCTGCTACAGTCAGTTTGCACTGGGTTCCTCTTCGTAAAGAGACCTTCTGGGCTGGACTCATCTATGCCTATCTTCGCGCTCTTGCCGTTACCGCTGGTGGGTTCTCTAGCCACTACCCGCCCACGGTGGCTTTGGAAAAGCATCTAATAAACGTGCCACAGGCTATCATCGCCTCTGGGCACATAAATCTTATTCAGCCAGCACCCCCTCAAGCTCGTCTTTGCGATCATCGGTGCTGGCGCTGGTCAAGACACTATCAAGAAATGGTGCCGAGATCACCGAGCCCATCATCGCTATGTTGACACCGATAAGGATCCATATAGCATGTCGAAAGGTTTCTTCCATGCCCATATAGGTTGGGTCTTATTCGAAAAAAGTGACCCTGCTCACGGTGTTCTGGCTACTGGCCGCGTGGATATTAGTGACCTTAGATCCGACCCAATCGTTATATGGCAGCGGAAGCATTATCTGCTCCTGCTGTTCATTGCGGGTTATCTTGCCCCTACGCTGTTCTGCGGTCTGATGTATGGGGACTATATCGGGGGATTTGTCTTTGCTGGTTGCATTGCGACAGCCTTAGAGCAACAGGGTACATTTTGCGTGAATTCAGTGGCTCATTGGTATGGGTCTCAGCCTTATGCAACCGACAAAACTCCAAGGGACAATCCCTTGACCGGTTTGTTGACACTTGGGGAGGGTTATCACAATTTCCATCATGAGTTTCCAATCGACTATCGGAATGGAGTCCGTTGGCATGACTTTGATCCAACCAAATGGGTGATCTGGTTGTGTTCCCAGTTTGGACTGGCTACTAATTTGAGACGCTTTCCACAAAATGAGATTGCAAAGGGAAGAATCCAACGAAAAAGAGAAAAGTTGGATGAGGAAAGTGAGAAGGTAGACTGGGGTGTGCCACTCGAGGAATTGCCAGTTATGGAGTGGGAAGAATTCGAGCAACAGGCAAGGACAGGATGTAATCTGATTGTTATCAGAGGAGCTGTGCACGATGTTTCGGCATTTGTGACAGAACATCCCGGGGGCCCAGCAATGATTACAGGGGCAATAGGCAAGGACGCAACGGAGATGTTTGAAGGAGGAGTGTATGGCCATTCCAATGCTGCTTCCAATCTTCTAGATACGATGAGGATAGCCGCGATCAAGAAGACACCTCATGTGGAATAGAGGCAGACAATTCGAACGGATCACTTTTTTCGGATACTCTTGATTATAGTATAGTGAATACATACTATTGAAATCTCTATTAAGACAATGAGCCGGTAAATTTGCCCCCCTCTGCCAGACCGAAAAATAGGACTCGAGGATCCTCAGCATCCGATATGATCCATTCGGTCTCAGATACCAAATTCGACACGGAAGATTGAGCTAAGATAATCTTGTGTCACTTGACGGAACTTAGCTGCATTGAAAATGTGATCAACCCGGTGGTAGACAATCGGCGCTCCGCTGTAGGACTGGAAAAACGGAACTATGCAAAGATTGATCACCTGAGTTCGAGTTGCAGAACTCAGATCTGCATCCTTCTCAGCCGGTCCATGAGATCTTTGCTTTTTGTATGCACAGTCTTTCACTTCGGGTAGAACTGTGAAGCTGATGATGCAGAACGGACTGGAGCCCGAGAGGAAGCAGTGGGCGTCGATCTTGCGTCACTTTCATCCTGATGGCTTTTAGGCTCGTCTCTACTTGCCTCTGCAGATAAACTCTTTGTTGGATTTGTCTTAATCAACCTCTGTTTGGGTTATTGAGTTTGGTACTGAATATCCAAGCCTTTCTCAGTATACCTTGAAAACAGATATCCGCTTGAACTACAACACGCTTCTCAAGAAGCATCTTGTTGCCAAGTTACTTATCTATACCGAGACTTATTTGCACTCCATCAACGGTTACTTGCTACAACCCACATCAAGTCTCTTCTATGTAAACAGCCCTAGTCATAACTGCCCATCAAACACTTGCACATGCTTGGTCGGAAAGGCTACCCATACCCTTCCCTTCGGAATGGAGCTTCTTAACACTTTCCTGCTCCTGTTCGGTGCTGCCGGTACTCTTTACCTCGTTGTCATCATCAATCGCCTCTTCTTCAGCCCTCTAGCTGACTTTCCCGGGCCACGCCTTGCGGCAGCTACGCGCTGGTATGAAGCATACTTCGACGTTCTTAGAGGAGGTCAGTTTATGTATGAAATTCAACGCCTACACAAAATCTACGGGCCTGTCGTTCGGATTGGCCCTAGTGAGATACACATCAATGATCCCGAATTTTACGACACGTTGTACGCAGGGCCAACTAGGCGTCGCCACAAAGACCCGTGGTTTCTCTCTTCGATTGCACCCGGCATGTCATTTGCTGCGAGCAACTATGACCACCATCGTGCACGTCGTAGCGGCTTGAGCCCTTTCTTTTCTAAAACGGCTGTCAGGGGATGGGAGCCAGTGATTCACGAAAATATCCGACTTTTATGTCAGCATTTTCAGCGAGTCCAAGGGACCAGCCAGTCACTTGAACTACATATGTGCTTTGTCAATTTTGCCGTTGACACTGTCTCCCAGTATGTGTTTGGCAAGGATTGTGGGTTCGACACATTAAAGGACCCCGTCCTTGGGGAGAAATGGAAGATGGGAGTCAATGGGATATTCGAACTACTGTTGCTCGTTCGTCATTTCCCTTGGATGTACTTCTTCTCAAGAGTTCTTCCCGTGTGGTTCTCGAGGCTGATTTTTCCTTCATTCGGCTATGCCGATGCAATCGAGAGGGTACGCATGTTTCTTTTTTCCTGAATGCAGGCGACAGTGGATCGGTTGTATTGAGCAAAACTTACTTTATAGGACATCGAGAGACACACTAAAGAAGTTTACCATCACCATATCGGTAGTGGCTCTGAGACCTCTATCATCGACCATCTCATATGCAACGACAAACTTCCGCCTGCAGAGCGTAGGTTGGCCCGACTGACTGACGAGGCTAAGTTCCTGCTAGTAGCAGGCACCGATGCACCCTCTCAGGTCATGGCAATCACATTATATCATGTCTTGAGCAATGCGAAAATTCATAACCTGCTCCAAGAGGAGGTGCAGATCGCCATGCCCGATGCGAGCGTGGATCCTTCGTTAAGCGATCTCGCGCGGTTACCCTATCTTGTCAGTACACTCCTTCCAACAAAATCGTGCGTTCCTACTAAGCAGAACTAGACGGCAGTAATCTCAGAGGGTCTACGACTCTCCGCGGTAGTGACCTCCCGTCTGCCGCGAATTGCCCCGGACGAGGATTTGACCTGCCACGGCTGGCGGATTCCCGCAGGGGTACGCTTTTGACATGTCTTGGAGGATTTCGAATGGCTACTAATTTTTGAGCATTTTTGATACTGCAGACTTCTATCAGCATGTCAAATCACTTTGTCCTCCGTGATGGTACGATATTCCCTGACCCATTGACCTTCCATCCTGAACGGTGGTTGGCATCATCGTCATCGACATTAAGCAGGTATCTCGTACCATTTTCAAAAGGTAGCCAGGGCTGCTTGGGTCCGAAGTAAGTCATCCACATGCTCACATTCCTTGGACCTTGATAAAGCTCTACTGACCGAACTAGTATGGCCTGGTCTTGGCTCTATATAGGGCTTGCTACTATTCTGCGCCGATTCAAATTGGAACTTGTCGACACGGATGAGAGTAATGTGACCATTGTCCGCGATTGTTTCAATGGGCAAACACCCGCTGGTCAGAACCGTATACAAGTCAGGGTTTGCTAGAAGCATCGTGAAGTATAACGTACAGCGCCAGTTCAATGAGACCGGGACAGGAAATCTCAGCCAGATATGCTCTCTCGCAGAAGAGAGGGTCTTCCCAGTTGTATTTAAACCATTCTCCTTGGCAGCCTAGACGATTTTTCTAACCTTCTCTTCCAATACCTGGCTAGTCGCATGATGTTGAGGTCGTAGGATCTCATCAGATTGAGGGAACACCATTTGTAGATCAAATAACCTATCACCACCTAACCTTGGAACTGACAGCTAGTGAACTTTGCACCAGCTAAAGCCTAGATAATTACATTCATTGATTACATCTTTCATTTCACCTTTGATGTAGTTATGACGACATCCTCTGCTGCAATTCTCGCAGGCTCTCTTGGAATGAAGGATGTTGATGGTGGAACCCGAAAGGGGTGATTGCTCCCATTTCTATCGTCTCTTTGGGTTCCGAGAGTTCTCATTTGTTTCGAGGTGACTACCGACGAATTGGATCTTACTGGAGTGTTTTAGGTTACAAGCGGGGTCGAGCAAGATCTCTTAAATAAATAGCCCATCGCTGGAAACAAAGCTTCAACAACACTCCATGCTTCATACTCAAAATGGCAAACAAAACGGTCGTCGCGTTTGACTTGTATGGCACGCTGCTGTCAACAGACTCCATTGCCACTCAGCTCGCAATACATTTCGGCGATACCAAGGCTCAGGCCATCTCCGCACTCTGGCGGAGATACCAGCTGGAATATACATGGCGCCTCAACAGCATGGGTATGGACCATCTGCCTGCTTATACGGGCGCAGCCTTTAACAGTCTCTAGAGCGCTATGAGGATTTCTCCAGCATCACTCGGAATGCGTTACTTCATGCCCTAGCCGAGAACGACGAGGAGCTGGGCGACAGCGAGATCGGCAGTCTGATGGGAGCCTACGATAGTCTATCTACGTTCCCCGATGTGGACCCAGCGCTGAACCGGATTACACTCGATCCGACCATCCAAGCTGTGGTGTTCTCCAATGGATCGAAAGCAATGGTCTCCAACTCGGTGATTCACTCCAGGGGCCTTGCCCCGCACGCCAGTGTGTTCCAAGACCTGATCACCGTCGACGAGATTCAGCGGTACAAGCCATCGCGAGCCAGCTATCAGCACCTTGCGGAAAAAGTCGGAAAGCAGCCATCGGAAATGAACGAGCTCTGGCTCATTAGCGGCAACCCGTTCGACATCGTGGGTGCGCGTAGCGTGGGGATGAACGCGATCTGGGTTGATCGAGCTGGCAAGGGGTGGCAGGATGCTGCGGTGCCAGATCTACGACCTTCAGCCATTGTACGCAGCCTGGAGCATATTGTGGACAAGATTAAGGGCCGTCGCGAGTGACAAGAGGCCTGGTCTTGCTGAAGAGGAATCACTCAGGCGCCCAAGGGGGGAAAGGAATGTACAGCTGAAGAAATATTTCCAAACGCTCCACGTAAGAAGAAGAATTTGGGGTAAGCCAGCAATGGATTATTCTATCCTTCCATTTCCCCTCGAAGAACCCATTGCAAGGTGGATTCCAGAGTGAATAGGAAGGATTTCAGTTTATGTATGGAAGAGAAAAGAGAAATCGCGAAGAGCGAAAAATCTCGGTAGAAAAAGAGAGCGCGGCTGGCGGGTGACTAAGCTCACGTGACCCCTGGAAACTCCGGACTTTGGAAGGAGACCCACACTCTTATCGATAAGCAAAGCTCTGCTGCCTTTGGAGGCGCATTCTCAGTCGCACTCTCTCTTCGTGCTCGAAGTTGTCCTTCGCTGAATATCGTTTTTGTGTATACCGCAAAACTGCAGACTGCAGGTAGCCTACAAGTATCATGCCGCAAGTGTTGGACCCAACTCGAGCAGCGTGGCTCTACCCTCTTCGGGTATGTGTTGATTCTACAAATTCCTCTTTCTCCGATGCAGGCGGATAGTTACTGACTGGAGCTGGACAGGGCATCTACTACTTTGCAAGCCATCGCTTCCTCTGGCCCTTGTTCAAGGCTCGACTTGTGCCTATCGTCCTCTTGTCGTCTTTCGTCTATTTCCTCCTCTTTTTCTTCACCTATCTGCCGCAAGTGGCATTCCTTTCCATCTTCCAAGGCGTGGGAGCATGGGTAAATGGTGCATTCCTCGTCCTGGGCGAAGGTGCCGCGATCGTGTCCGCCTTGTTCGAGGCCTTCTTTGTGGATGAAACTCTGGTTGATATCTTTGACTCGGTTCTGGTCAATGAAGGACAAGAGCAGCTCGTGCTCGCCTCGCGGGTCATCTATCCGGAGGCTGGTGACCCGGCTAGTCGTCTCGGCACCCCGACGACCAGCGCTGTGTATGCACCATTCTCGTTCCGGCAGATCATCGAGTTTATCGTGCTACTTCCACTTAATTTCATCCCGGTCGCTGGTACTCCCATGTTCCTGGTGTTGACAGGTTACCGCGCTGGACCTTTCCATCACTGGCGGTACTTCCAGCTGTTGGATTTCACCAAGCAGGAGCGCAAGGCAAGCATCAGTCGGCGACAGTTGCAGTACACCACGTAAGTATCCTTTTGCCCTGAAACTTTGACGCCAACCTGATCTAACTGAAATAGGTTTGGAACGATCGCTCTGATCTTACAATTCATTCCCCCATTCTCCATGTTCTTCTTGATGACCACTGCCACTGGTGCCGCACTGTGGGCGTCAGATCTGGAGCACAAGCGACAGTTGGCTAGTCAGCGGCCAAATAGACTGGGTGATGAGTATCATGATGATTTCACGGTTTAAGACATAGCGTTGTTTTTGGGTCCTTTTGATTTCCTTTCTCAAAAATAGGTCTGATCCCGACGAACGGAGTAGTTTGGAGGCCGCCCCTTAATATATACAATGCATGAACCCTGAATTTTCGACCGTGGAGCCCTAAATTGTCGGGCTTGTGTTGCCCATATGGGACAAACCCACCTCAAATGTAGAATGAGCCCAATCAGAAGCTGCCGCGGCGCATTTGACTTCGACCCTCTCCCTGGATGGCGGCACGTGACTAGGCGCCGCAATCCGAAGCAGCGCCAACTTGCGACGCTTGCCGCCATGGCCTCTTCACTGGAATGACTCTGGCCGGTGTTCAAGCGGAGTGCATTCTCTTCTCGGCAATTTTGGCCTCTCGTGGGCCTCGCAGTGATTTCTTAAGCCAATTGCTGTCCTGATCGGCTGCATTTTCCATCTCCAAAAACAGGCCTGAACCGCGGCTCAACCGCCTCTTGCGCGGAACTCAAGCCGTGAGAAAACGGGTCCATCAGCTTGCGAGGCGCGCTAAAATTGAGCGGGGCACCATCGCCGACAACAATAATCCCAGAGTGCGATCCGGTTTCTGCTCGACCCTTCCGTGCAAGTGGGCAAGGAGGTTGATCAAGAGTTCAACTTTGCAGTGATTTGGATGTACGGGACGCTGGGTATCGACGACATTCTTTCCATTGCATCGATGATGACTATGGCCTGACATTCCCGAAGCCCGGTCATGTCTGCAACGCCCTGCTTTCACGGATGGACCACAAAACGAGACTGCGCAAGGCCTGCGATGCCTGCAGTATTCGTAAAGTAAAGGTTGGTCCTTGGACACTCATCTGATGTAATGATTCAAACACTAATCTTTTCCCTGTCAAGTGTGATAACAGTGGGCCGCCATGTCGGTCCTGCGCTAGTTTGGATATTCCCTGCACCTATGAGAGGCCAAGCAGACGTCGTGGACCGCCCAATCGCCATGCGGAGGCTCTGAAGAAGCAAAAGCTCGAGTCGCCGTCGGCGGATGCGTCGCCAGGTAGCATCGCAGACTACCCTCTGGCGACCACGCCCAAAGCCTCTTCCTATTCATCGACCATTCCCCAACCAACGCCATTTGCCTCCTCAGCAGAGGCTATTTGCTCTCTGCATACTGTGCAGCTATTACTTGATGACTTTTTTACTTACATTCACCCCTTGGTTCCTATCCCTCATGAGCCTTCCTTCCGCGCGGCGTTTGAGCGCCGCGAAGATACCACCAGTGGCACATTTCTGGCCCTGCTGGCCTCTATGATTGGATTTCTGGTTGCATCCTTTCCCAGGCGACCAAAGCTCCGCCTCAACACGGAGGCAGAACGCTCCGCATTTCCAAACTCTATAGCCCTGGTTAAGCGCTGCCATGAAGTGGCAATCCAGGCTCGAGGTACCGGATATCTCGATCGCAATGCCACAGTCTACGACGCAGCCATCAGCTATTTTCTCGGCGTGTGCTCTGGCTACATTTACAGCATGCGCCGGTGTCGTACATACCTAGCAGAATGTCGCACAATGCTTCAGGTTTATGACCTCTGTCGTTCGCCAACAATTCAGCCGCCTACGGGAATGCTGAATGCAAGCAGTCCTGTGTCTATCGAACAGCCTGTCTCCAGTTTGACGGAAAGCACAAAAGTGGACTTGATCACGCAAGAGTTAGGCCGGCGACTATATTATGTCTCCCTGGTTGGGTATCAGACCTTGCACCAACTTGGGTCCTTGGACTACAGGGTACACATAGCCCCAGAAACACCAACAGACCGGTATCCACCCCTCCCACTGGAGGTGGATGACGAGTTTATCTTTCCAACCCACGTCAACTTGCAGCCGGCTGGTCGAGTATCGCAAATAGTCGGATTCAATGCAAACGTGCGGATCTACAGTTCCTACAACTCTATACTAGCATGGGAAATTGCTTTCGGCAGCGGGCGGGTATTCGATTGGGAGCACCAACGCTCAACACTGTGGGAATGTCTTGAAAAGACCAAGTCTGCACTTCTCGAAACCCCGCCTGAACTTTCTCTTCTCCATCCAAAAAGAAACCCACCTGCGTTCATGTCTGAGGATGGCTCCGTGTTCAGTTATCCGGATGATCATATCCATCAAGAACGACGCGCAATTCAGTACGAGATCCAGAAGGCCAATATCTACGCGAGTCAATTGTGTACGAGGTCATATCTGGTGGATAAGTATTGGAATCTGTTTGAGATCTTCAGCAAATATGGGAACTCAGATCGAGTGCCAGCTGCGAATGCTGTTGCCCCACAAATCAAGATGGAGACCCCTTCGGATGCACAAGACGGGACAATTTCCGCGTCATCTCAAACGTCGTCAGCTGTGCATCATGCACAAACAGATTACATCGGCCGTATGATGGCAGAAGAACGCAAGTTGGTCATCAAAGACTTATTCGTGCTCCTTCGAACAGTCAACGAAGTCAACATGGAACCCAATGGTGCCAGCATAGTAAGTGACTTCACCTTCCAACGATCTATCTTCATTTTGCTAATTTCACGCAGACAACCAAAATCCGCCAAGTAGCATCCACCCTGCTCAACATGCCCAGCCACCACCCAGCATCAAGACCGACGACTGGCCCCGACGAACCCTCACCAAAGTCACACCCACCCGAGACACCAACTGCCTCCTTATCCGGCCTGCACGTCCTCACAGCCGCAGAAGCAGAATCCTATCTCCATGCGTTCATCGATACCCTCGTCAGGCTGGAAGGCCATTCCTCCGCGACCACTGATTCAGGCAGTAACCCCGAAGGCGTGAGTCCACGCACGAATGGGCGAGCTATGAGTTACCTCAGCGACTATGAACGTGATCAGGAGGAATTGAGCCAGTGGGCGAACTTGAGGGAGTATCAGCAAAAGTTTGCTGAGGCAGGGGGTCTTCTGTCGGAGCTGTAGGATAGAAAACTTGATGATTATTTTTATACTCTTACGATTAATCTGGTTCGAGTCCTCAATACAAAATCGCCGTTTAATAATCAATTTGATGGGAGAAGATGGTTGTGTACATCCACTTTCCAAACCTACTTCACAAATGTTTCACCGGGGCCTGTTGAATAGTCATGCATAATTGGCTCGTAATCGGCCTTCATCAGCCCCTCACAGGGTCATTGCTGGAAATTTAGTTTGGAACCAGGCTAGAGTTAAACCAAGGTTGAATTTCGGTTTCATTGAATATCGTCTTGAGGAAAACCAACATTTTCTTATGTATTTCGTACGATACGGGGTAGATTTAAGTATCGTGAATCGATTTTTGTGAAACGAAAATAGCAATGATTATGGCAGCGTAGCTAATTATCAAAACAAGCATCCTCCAATGACAGAAGGAAATTCAAAATACAATATGTAGTAACTATCCCTCAAATTCCACCATCGCCGCAGCCTCACAATCCAAGGCCCAGTCTCTAACTAACAACCTGGATGCGAATCGCAGTCGTTGTCGCCGTCACAGTTTCGGTAGTAGTCTCCTTCCACGACGTCACTGTCTCGGTTTTCGTTTCTTTCCAGGATGTGACGGTCTCGAAATGAGTCACGAATATGATGCCGGAGGAAGGTGTGACTGGGATAACCGTCAACAGGCCCGAGTCGTCGCCTGAATTGCCAATGGTTGCCGTGGCCTTGAGGGCGGGATCTGCAATCTGGGTGGTCTGTGGCTCGGCGGTAGTATGGGGATTCGTCGATGTATGAGACTCAATTGTGGAAGTTGAAGCAGTGACGGTAATTGTTGGGCCGGGTTGGGTGACCGTCACACTCTGCGTCTCTGTAGCGTGGATCGTGTATATCTGGGTAATTTCCGGCTCAGTTGTGCTAGACGCATTCTCGGCAGACTGGGTGGAGCTAGCCTGCATGGGAGTCATCTCAATCGCAGAATCAGAGGATGTTGCCTCTGTAATGGTGGATGTGGAGAAAGCGGATGTGGCTCCTTCAGAGACATAGACGATGACTGGCTGTGTCACAACGGCCCTAGAAGAGGAAGCGATCGAAGCTGCAGCTACTTCAGAGGAAGTAGTCTGAGCTTGGACTGTCGAGGATGCTGAGATGACGGGGTTGTTGGACACTACCGTTGTAGGTGTCGCTGTGGTCGACGGAGCCTCGCTGGGACTGGTGGTAGAAGCTGAATCTGAAATAGGACCAACAATCCCGACACTTGGGCTTGTTGTCTGCACATCCGGAGCACCACCGGGAGTAATTACTGTAATTGATGAGGCAGGAGTAGCAAGCGTAGTGATTGAAGATGCCGTTATTGAGTCTGTCGGCTGTGAAGAAGCCAGCCCACTCAAACCGGATGATTGGACTGAATCAGCTGCAAACGAATTTGTGATACTTCCCCCAAGAGTGGCAACAAGGCCACCAAGTGTGGAACGAGTAGAGCCAGTGTTTGTGTAGACTGGGATGTGTTGTCGTGAATCACTGCTGTCTGTGGTAGAGGCTCCAACAGGAGCTGAATCAGGCACACCAGTGGTCCTTGGGGAGCTTGGGGACTGGTATGTAGAAATTCTGGACAAGTTCGAGGATGAGGCCGTCTCTTTGGAAATAACCGACTGAGAAGCCGGTGGCCTTGGAGAAGTTTGAGATAAACTAGCAACCTTGCTTGATGAGTGAGGGATAGTAGGCACAGAGTATGAAGTCGCAGAGCTTCTCTGTTCAGGGATGGAAGTCACAGGTCTGGTTGCGGACATGGACGAGTTGCGCGGTGTTGTGGTTGAAAGAGGGTATGTCTCTGTTGTTGTTGTCGAGATTCCCGATATCGAAGAGGATATAGTAACGACCAAAGGGAATGAGCTCGACGATTCGGCAATTGCAGGCGACGAGGATGAAACAGAAATAGCAGAGGGCACCTGAGAAGCCGCGGATGTAGGAGTAGAAGACGTCGTAGATGTAGAGGCGGGTGTGGAAGATGAGATGGATGAAGAAGTAGAAATTGATGGAGTAGCTACTTCGGATGGATGCGTAGCAACGGAACTAGGACTTGAAGTCGAAGTTGATGTCGAGAAGGTAGCAAAAGACGGTGCTATTGAACTCGTCTGCTCGATGGCTGTCGAAGAAATTGCATTTCCTGCTAGCACCTGGGTAGAAGTAGTACTCGACGTAGCAGGGTCTGATGACGACGACGATACCGTGGAGGATGCCTCAGCGGTAGAGGACGTCAACAACCACGAGGGCGTCACAGGAATGACAGTCAATCCACCATCATCATCACTATCATCCCCACTGTCCTTTTGAAGAGCAGCGGGCGTTTCCGATACCGTGAGAGAAGTTGAAGACACCGTATTAATGACTAGCGGCACAGTGGACGATGCAGCTTCCTGTCCCGGAGCAAGCGAGCGCGCAATCGGACCAGCCGAGCACGGCCAGGCCAGAGCCAAGAGGGCTGCGAAATGAGCGAGCAGCATATTGATCGACGAGTCTGGAGATGTTTGGATCAAATGAGGAAAAAGAGTGGAAAGAGTGTGTTGGCTGAATAGAAAAAATAGAGCAGAAACAAAGGAGAAAGAAAATGGGAATGATCAAAGGAGATATAAGCGACAGTAGCAGTGAAACGCGATTAGTACCAGGTAGAGAAGGGCATGCCCAGTCAGGTATTCAGGCGTAAGACAGAACAGATCGAGAACTATCCAAAGGAAATATCCAATTCAACAGCAGTATAGTGCTCAAGGCTGGTCCAGGCAGAGATCAGTGTATAGCGAAAGGCAGGGTCAAACAGAAACGATAGACGAAAGACAAGAAGAAGGCAACAGCCACGCCGAAGGCAGAACAAGAAAAGTAAAAGAATGAGGCAACCTGAGATAACAGGGAAAGAGAGTGCAGAATACCAAACAGAGGAGAAAAGAAGAAATCCAGCATCCTCGAGGCATTGGGCCTATGTCGCCCGTTATGAACCAGCAACCCGTCCACCTGTCAACCTGTCAACCGCATTGTTTTGGCATGGACCGGTCCAGCCAGTGCGCTTTTCCCCGAACAAACCGCCATTGCCAGGGGCCAGAGTGGAACGATGGAGTTTCAGTCTCGGCGAGAATAGAACTGGGAACAGGAATGAAAGAACGCAGAAGAAAGGAAAGAGAGAGGGCGATGGCGCGCGCGACACAAAACGCCGTTGCAGTTGACGCCGGAGTGGCATGGGTGATGCTGATTGGTTGACAGGGAGAAGAGTGGGTCTGTTACAAACATCTGGAGAGGATGTGAGGCATGTGATTGGCTGGATTTCAATTAAAATTAGAATTTGCAGCAACTCAAGAGGCTCTTTGATCGAAGACCAGGAGGTTATTATTATTCTTACGCCATCTTCCTTAGTCTTCATATCGACGCCACCAGGTTAGTCCAATTTCCATAATCATCACAATTCAACTGTTGCTACCTACAGAATCGCATGGAACATCATATAGGCTCAGCTAAGCAGATCTACGATGCCTTCACAGTAAAAGTCCCTCCAATCCCCTCAAACGACTGGACCTGCCCGAGCACATTCTTGTAGTCCCCATAGTAATGCATCCGATACGTGCCACTCTGCACGGGATTCGGATCATCCACACTGTAATAATCATCCTCAATCTGCCACTGCAGAGTGACCTCGCTATAGCCGAGTACGGTGTTTGTACGCGTCCATGTAAACACCAAATTCCAGTCACGATCATTCCGAGCAACCTCCCAGTCTCCAGAGTCCGTCTGCCGCTCGACGGCCGCATAGGTAGACTCCTGGTGGAGATTGTTGCGCGGATTGGCGCCGACAAAGGTCGTGTTGACGAGGTCTCCGGGTCCGTAGGTCGTTGCTGGTGGGTTAGACACGACGTCACCAAACGACTTGCCAATCGGGGCATTGTCGTATACCACGCCCGTGATAAAACTGAGCGAGTTGTTAGTGTTGACGGGTGGGTTTGGGCCCACCGGGATCGTCGGTAGTTTGGCGACATCAGAGGCGCTGCCGAGGTAGGGGAGATACGTGAGGGTGAGGTTGATGTAGGCTGCGAGCGTACTAGGTCCATAGAGGGTGGAGGCCCCTTCATAGCGCTGGACGTTGTATTCCTCTTCGGTCGCGACATAATGTGCGTAACTGTTAGATGGAGCTCCCAGCACGACCTGTGGGTTTGACACGGAGAGGGTATCCTGGGCAGCTTGTGCAATCGCAGCCTTCCAGCGGCGTCCAGACATCGTTGTGGCTTCGCTGGTAGACACGACGATGAAGAGCTGACCAACTCGCAGTACCTGAATGTCCACAATGTCCGCGGCCCAGGCATAGGGCTCAGTCAGGGTTCCCACGTCAAGGAGGATGTCTTTGGCTCCCTGACACTTTTCTTGCTCCTCCGTAGGCTGGTGGATAAATGCGCGAGCCACCTTCCACAGAGGATTTTGAGCGGCTGGGCCGGTCGCGTTCTGTGTAAAGTCAAAAGCGCCTGGCCCGTCCGTTGTCCCGGCAGCGAACGAGTATCCCAGCGCGGCGGGACATGTTTTCAAGGTGGTGCCATTGAATGGTGACGGGAATGTGTATCCGTTCATGTCTTGGTACACATGGAACGAGCGAACATCCGAGCTACCAGTGATGGCAGTGCCCCCAGAACCTAGTTGTCCATAGAGAGTCTTCGCTGCGGTGTACTGGCGCTTGCCAATTTCGAAGCAGCTCTTCGCGCCATTGTCCTTCTCACGGAAGAAAGGACCTCGACCGTGGCAGGCCTCGTTTGTACCTGTGGCACGACGGGAAAGGCCCTGCGAAAGACCTCTCGCGCGGGATCCAGAAGAACCTCCACAGGTGCTATCTGAGTACGTGCACATTACATTCGATCCATCCTCGCACCACGCGCCCTCGACATTCGGGCTCGTGTCACCGACGTTAGATTGAGAGAATCCGATCACGACGTCGTCAGCAAATCTAGAATCATTATCCACGCTTCGCTCAAAGAGATATGCCGCGACTCCTTTGTTGTCACCGGTAACGATGGTATTGTTATTGTACATCGACGTGCCATGAACCGGGAACCAAGTTAGCACGGCCGAAGTCTTGTTATCCGACTCACGATCGAAGCGCAAGAGGGTCAGTGTCTTGTCAACATTGGCCGAGTACTTTGCCTTTTCTTCCTCAGGGTTATGATCATAAGAGTAAGGGCTGCGGTTGATGTTGGCATCTTCCAGGTCAATCGACCCGAAGGAAAGGCGTCCAGGAGTCAGACTCTCATGCGCACGCTTGATGGACAGGATAGTGCCGTCTACGATCGCTTGATAGCTCTGTTTGTCAAATCCCTTAGTCGGGATCTGCGGCAGCAGGTAGTTCATCCATGCGCCAGGACCAGAGTGAGAATGTGTCCCGGTCAAGGCAACGTTGTGCTCGCCATAGCGTGCATAGTCACCACCCAGCGCGGCGAGACCCTGTAGGACACCATGTCTCACAGCAGTATCGCCGGCGAGCGTGTCAAGGACCAGGTAGATGAAGGTGTCGTCGGGGTTGTTGGGGTCTGCGAATATGAACGCACGCGAGTAGATTCTTTGTCGCAGACCCGTACCCAGCTGGTTTAGACTGGCATAGCCATTAAAGTCTACTTCGACGATGGGGCTGAAAACCAAGTTAGTGATGGGATGTCCAGGATATTTAGATGACAGGTGCTGAATTATACCCAGTTACATCCGCCTTGCCGGCACCCACCAGGAACAGACTATCATCAGTCGCAGCGCCCGCTCTGTTTCTCCACTGATTGAGGTTTCTGTTGAAGCTTGACGGAGGAAGTTGATCCGTGTGGCGCATCACGGCAATCAACTGCATAAAAACGAGCAGCGTCACCGCAACTGCACCAAAGGCGGTGCCAAGTCGAAGGTTCGCCATAGTTTGGGTTATATTGCAGTATAGATTATGACATCAGGGCGTGTGCCGCGTTCACAGGTCCTCCCCAACAGTAGATGTCCGAGGGGTTATGAGTGTTTTCGTAGATTAAACAACCGAGGCGAGGGCGACATGCGAGTACTTATGAAGCTGATTGATAGGCTCGGAGGCACGGGAAGCCTATGACCGAGGAGGCAGTCAGAGACGCAGTAGATCATTACCCAGCCTTGGCATAGGTAAGCCTTCGGAGCTGAACCCTAGTGAAGATAGTGGAAGTCGATTTGCAGGAGGGGAGAGTCGCATTCTCGCTAAGCGATGGGCGTGTGATGAGTGACGAGGAAGGAGCTGGGAACAGGGTTCGAGGGATCGTCCTGCATGGGAACCCTTTGGCATTCCGCGGGCCCAACTGGGTTTAGACTATCAGGCTATTAGGACGACAAGACTTGTTTTTGGTCAAGCTTCCCCCGCTCGGAGATGTACATGATCCCGATCTGTTGACATATGCATGGGTAGCTACTATGTACATAGGTCTCAAAGCAGATGCCGACCCTCTTTCTGGAGTCGGTTAGGTACTACAAGTAGTGATCAGCATTGCACTCAGGTACCGACACGATCCTGTTCGAGGCCATGATCATCAGGGTTACACCGCTGTCTGTTCGACCGGCGGTCATCGCGTGCCATTCGCTGGACAGCCACGGAGCCTAATGTGATAGTTGGACCGTCGGAGATCCAATAGTTTCCAGCGGGGAAGCACCAATCGATATTGGCCAGTTGATACGTACAGGACGGGAGGAGTCACATGACCTTGTCTTCAAACGACTCACCGCCTTGAGCGTGATCCCAGCATTTCCATCCGCTTCAGATTCGATTCCAGATCCACGCTTCAACAGCAGTAATTGACACCCCAAATTCTCAAAATGTCCCTCATCAACGAAATCCACGACTCTCTACCTTGTTCGTCCCCTTCACCACCCCATTGTCACATTTCAATCCGACTAACCCCAACCAGACATCGACGCCGAGCCCTCAGCCGTCGCGCGCCAAAAAGCTCAACAGCTCATCAACGCCGAGCTCGCCCCAGAACACTCATCAATCCTCCACCCGTCCATCCCCGCCAGTCCAGAATCAAAATTCTCCCCTTTCATCCAACAAGAGCTCGAGCGCAAAGCCACGGGTGCCCCCCCTCACTGGCGGCATCGATCTCTCCCGCTACGAAGCCCCGGAACCCCCAACCCGGACCTCCGACACTGATGCCCCCGATCTACCCGAGTGGCAGGAGACCCTCCTGAAGGCATGCACATCCAGCTCGCACTTGGCCAAGCGACACGAGAACCTCGCGCTGCTGGAAGAACACGGCAAGAACGCGTGGCTGATCGGTAACGCGCAATTGGAGGAGGTCCTGCGTGGGCTGGAGAAGGAGCTGGCAGAGACTAAGAGTGCCTCGGAGGATGTCAACAAGCAGCGCAAGATTGCGCAGGATGCAAGCTTTGGCGAGCTGGCTAGTCTCGAGGAGACGTGGAAACGTGGTGTTGGCGCGGTGTTGGACGTCGAGTTGGCCTCGGAGGGCTTGCGGATGCAGATTCTGGAGCAAAGGCGGTTGGCGGCGCAGCAGCAGGCGCGGTAAACTGGTTGACTGGAGGATTACATTCAATTACCTTTCTACGTCTTGTCAAGCGGGTTGTTCTGTTTCGCAGTGGGTGACACTGCACGACTTGAAAAAGACCTTTTTTCGTCCGTGCTGAACTGTTTGTTGCACGAGTTTTACTCTGAGAAACGACTGCGCTTGACACATGGGCTGGCGGCATGTCTGACAACATGGTTGTCATCTTCAAGGTATCATCGCGCAGCGGCCCCCCGATGCTATCGAAGACCCTTCCATTCTCAGGGTACACAATTCTTGTCCAAGAGCGCACCAGTGATTGTCGCGGGGTCGCAGATATTTCGTTGCTGCCATGCCTATCTCCGGCGGAATTGGCAAGGTGGTGAACACTGGCCTTTGCACGTATTGGAGAAATCAAGCAGAACTCGCCTTCCCGCTTTTATGCTGATACCTGAGACTATCCTAGTCGAGAATCATCCCGGAGCTTGGCGTCTCTGCCACAGTATCGAGTAAAATCGATCGACTCAACAGGTCCCACCTGGCTTGAGAATGCCACTGAGTCAATATACCCATTGCATATTGTTCTATCTCTCGATAATAAATGACTATTTACATTTTCCAAATTGAAGCCAGAAAAAGAGAAACCAGAAGCCAGTACAGAACAGAGTACAGATGTTCCATTAAACGCTATCGGCTATGCTCGATAAGAAATAAGATAAATTCAACACATACGCCTTGCGTTAAAGCCGCTATGCGCTCTCATAACTTCTTCTCCGGCGAAACGAGCTTAACCTCCACCCCATCCTTTCCCACCGAAAGCGCACCACCCTCCACCATCCCCTTAACCTCCGCAACCCTCTTCGCATCCGCCTTCCCATTCCAGTCCACAAGCTGCTTACACATCCCATCTATCGTCGTAAGAACAGGTTTATACCCCAACCCTCCCTCCTCAGGCGCCCTCCTCGCCCGCGCATCATCCGCAATACAATAAACATCCGAAATCGCAAACAGCGACGGCTGAATCTGCAACAGATCCCCCGTTACCTTGGGCAGAAGCCATGGCAGCACTGCGTGCTGGATGTAGACGTATGCTTCGACGAGGTAGGCTACCAGCAGGAGGGGCAGGGGTTGGAGGATTGGAAAGGCGACGGGTGTGGTGGAGAGGGTTGTTAGGATGGTGTAGATGTCAGAGAAGGCGATTGCGGGATTGGGGTCCGTTACGACGAAGGATTGGCCGCCTGTATTTGGGAGGGTGCTTGTGGGACGGGATTGTTCGAGGAGGCGGGCCTCGTAGAGGAGGTGTGCTAGGGAAACATTTTCGGCGTTGACGAAGCTTTGGATTACGGGGGAGACCCAGCTGTTGTTTGTATTAGTTGGTGTTTGTTTTATCTGCGATGCGTTCTGGTTTCTTGGTGGTCTGGATGCTGGATTCGATTGTGTCGTTTTGGGGGAGAGGGGGTTGTATACTTACGTAGGACTTCCGCCGTTGCGCAGATACACGCCGGTGACTGTCATGCTCGCATCGCTTCCAATACCGTAGATTCCATTCGCAGGTCTGATACAGCCAGTTCGGAACCCGGCGTCTGGGTCATCGGCCGCGCGGACAAGACGCTCCGCTTCAATCTTCGACACGGCATAATTACCGAAGAACTCATCATGACGCTCTGGCAGCTTCGCATCATCGCTGAGAATCTGCATCACCCGCTGAGGCAGCTTCTCCCATGGCATGATCCAAAAGTTCGGTTTGTGCAGGGTCACTGAGCCAGATGAAGTAGAGACGAAGCAGGTAGCGCCGCTTTTCTTGGAAGCATTGAGGATGTTTCTGGTTCCGTCGACATTGACCTTTGCGCATAGAGGAAGGTGGATCTCAAGACGCTCGAAAGGACGAATTGTTGCGGCAGTGTGGAAGACGGTAAGAGGAAGGTTGGCCACGGTTTCTGGCCATGGTTGCTCGAAAGATGTGGATACGGCGAGTTCATCGGTGATATTGGTCTTGATAAAGGTGACACCGCGGTCGAGAATGTCTTGCGTTGCTGGGAGAAGATCTAGAATCCGTAATGAAGCCGGATCTTCGCCTCGAGCGAGGAGATGTGAAACGATCCAGCCGCCCACGAGACCTGTCAGAATAAGAGTGTTAGTCAGGGGGCTCTATCTCATTGGGGAGTGTTCTTGCTTCTTCGGTCACTTGTTTTCCTCGCACGGTTTCAAATCAGACCGCATCAGGTGACAGCAAAAGCAATGAGGAAGCAGCATAGAAAGTACAGAAAGTACACAAGAGGGCCACGTACCCGATCCACCCACAACGATGTAACGGCGCGACTGCTTCGGGGGCAGACTGTCAGTGATATCGATTGGGTTCTCGAGGGCTTTCTTGTAAGCCGCCTTGACCTGGTCGACAGTCCAGCGATGCGGGGAGCATTTGCGGGCCTCATCGGGGACCCGTTTCATGGCTGCGTTGACATGGTAGAGATACAGCGCTGCCACGCCGAGGGAGGTGAATATGATGGAGATCATAGCTGTAATTTTGCAGTCCGCGATTCGATTCGATCCAGTGTCCAGGTGAACAATCTCATTCCAAGTTCGGACCAAAAAGAGCCAGCTTCGGCGAATATGAAGCTCGAGCTGGTGCACAGGGCGCTCTTCCTCCGTCCCTCAGTGCTCGCAGAGTATGATGTAGAGATTCTTGGTTGAACTCAGAGGGAAGAATCGAAAAGAAAGCGATGACGGGGAAAGCTCCTGGATCGCGGAGAGTGTCCGACCACCGCGGGCGTGGTCAACACGAAACAGTCCAGTGGCTTGGATGGCGCGTGTCTTTGCGTGGTGAGTCTGCAGGAAACGGGTATAGTTCGGGGAAGGTAGCTACAGTACTTGGAAGTACAGTACAGTCAGTCGCAAGGTAAGAAGGGGAAAAAAGAGACGAATGATGCGCAAAAAAAAAAAGCAGAATCATATTCCATATTATTGTCAAGTAAGACAAACTCCATCGTCAGCGAAGCGACGTGTCTCTAACATCCTTTATTGGTAGTATCATGACCCCATCATCGTCGCATCGTTGAGCACTGGGCCTATTCTTTTTTGGGTAGGGTCGCTTAGAGTTAGTCGGGTCGGTTAGTCTAAACGAGGCAAACCGTTGGCTGTGGTTGGCTGGCCGCATGCTTATTTCTCCGAGAAAACGGCAATGCGTGGGGGGGATTATTGAAGCGAGCTTGTTAAACCGGAATGGGACCGCGAGGGGGCGATCCAGATGGCCATTTAAGATTTTTAAGGTCGGACACTACGGAGGAGACATGTTTCTTTGTTTCTTGGCCGGGCCAGACCTGGTCCAATTGGTGCCTCCTTCTTTGACCGGTGATGAAGCTTGCTCAACGGAGCTATGATTAGCCCCGATCGGGTACGTTTAATTTTAAAGCTGGGACAACACATCCACGGATGTTGGCATGATGATAGATCGTCCACGTAGAATGATCAGAGCTGACTATTGAAAGTACAGCAATGAGTTGTCCTTCCATAGGCGATGGGACATATAGTAAAGTATAAGTAAGAGCATGGGGTACGTCTGTCTGGAAGCGGCAGTGGGCCATCTGAATCAGGAGACATTCAACCTTCAAACAGACTCAGTCCACAATACTTGGAATCTCTTCTAGGAGATCATTCCATCGGTAAACACAGGACTCCATGCGATACATCACTGATTGATGTCGAGAAATGCTTGTCGGAGGGGTTTCAACCTCGTGGAAACGCCACAGCCTATGCAAGTCTTAAGTCCTCAGCCCCAACTCCCAACTCCGCCGCGGAAGCATTCCGTCTTTCCGCCTCCCCCGATATCAACGCTCGCGGATGGAGATCGCACTTTTTCTGAACCAGAGTCGATCTCGCCAGCGTTCGGAACCCGTCCTCGGCATGCCATGGCCCACTTCAACCAAATGATGCCGGACGGGTATTTCCCTACCCGAAATCTCACCTGTACAGGGGCCCGATCTCGATATCGCCCTATCCCGGCACTTGCAGACTTTCTGTACCAAACTCTGTCCCCGTGCCCAGAGATCAATCGCAGCGAACACCGACCATGCAATCCCCCGCAGACTTGGCCCTAGCAGGGACCTCACAGCCAACAAAGTACATACAATGTCTACGTACTTCCTGTTGGCTCCCGACTTGCATATGCTTGTCGTGATCGTACCTGGGGATGGTGTATTCGGCAAACCGGCACGCTAAGGGCAGACCGCACATCCACTCAGGTGAGCACTTTGTATGTATCCACCTTTCAAGGAAAAAGGGGGATTTCCGAGTACGACTGCGACTGCCCTCGCTCGGCTTCAATTGGACAGCCCTAATGGGGACGGTTTACCCACGGGGAACCGCTCCACGGAGTCTATTCAGACTGAAGAGAGAGGGGGAAATAGACACAATATCCTCTCGGTGCGCATCATTATTACGCGGTAAATGTAAACCACCAAACACGCTGGAGATATATACTTCAGCGTTGAGTGGCTTGTACCTCGGTCTACTTGCCGAGATCAACACCCCCTCGGCTCTTCCTTTGGGCTCCCATTCCACACAAATTGCGTCGTCCCTGCTGTGCCACAAGGCTTTGACCCTCGTTGTCATAGAGCCTGGCCTTATCAGTTACTTTCAAGGCCCCACCTGGTCCGTGGTGGTTCGAAAAATTTCCTGTCCACAGGTTGGGTAGAAAGAGTGCTTGTAACGACCTCTTGCTTTCACGATTTTGCTTGTCTCGTTCTTTCTCTCTGCGACTTCTTGTTCTCTCTATCTCCCAGGGTGTTTCCCGTAGATACGAGCTCGATCTTGGTCGGTGGAGAGATCACTTCTATGCCCGCCGATTTCGGAGTATCTGTACATGCTCATGCTGTTCCTTGCCCGTGCTGGAAGCTTGTAACGAAATAGCATCGCTCACCAGCGGCGTTCGTCTCCAAAGAGTCAGCCCTAATAACACCCTATTCATTCAAAGCACGCCACATCCGAGGACACAGGCCCGTTTGATGCGATAAAGAAGAATAAGCTTGTCTCACTAGGTGAACTCCGAGCTCCTTCATCAGCAGATCGATCATCAACACAGAATGTCATCTCAAACATCCGCTTCCACAGAGTCCCACTCTCCTTCTGGCGAAAAATGGCCGCACAATACGGAGCGAACATCGCGCGACTCCGACTCCATCGTTTCTGTGTCTTCGGCAGATACTGAGACCGACCATGATGCACTGGGCAAGACGTTGACGGTGCGCGCATCGCGGGTCTCAGATCATATGTCCCTCGCAGAGCGGGTGACGACTATTCCGACGAATGTAACGGCAGATCCGAACTTTGAAGTTGATTGGGATGGTGAAGATGATCCTGAGAATCCGAAGAATTGGACGTTGCAATATAAAGCTATGGGACTGTTGTTTTTGTCCTGGAATACGCTGATAGTGTGAGTTTTGCGTATTGATTGGCTTTTTCGTGACGTCTTAAGCCTCCGTGAATGGGGACAATGAATTTGCGAATCGAGTGCTGATCCATGAAAAAGTGTCCTTTATTCCACATCCTATACATCAGGCGTCGAGCTCATCGGCGAAGAATTCCACAAATCCAACACCATCGTCACCCTGGGATTGACCTTTTACCTGATCGGTCTCGCCATCGGATCCATGTTCATGGCCCCGCTCAGCGAAGTTTATGGCCGAAAGCCCGTCTGTGTTGCTTGTTTAGCCGTGTTCACAGTCCTGATTATTCCATGCGCCCTGGCCAAGTCGGTGACAGCCTTGATCGTGGTCCGCTTTTTCGGCGCCTTCTTTGGCAGTGTGATGATTTCGACTGCACCGGGTATGGTGGCTGATCTGGTAGATGATGATCATCGGGCGTTGGCTATCTCGATCTGGAGTATTGGGCCGTTGAATGGACCTGGTTTGTGCACCTTCGCTGGAGTTCTGTTTAGATATCACTGACAAACGTATATAGTGCTGGGCCCCGTGATTGGTGGGTTCGTTACGCAATATCTGGGCTGGCGCTGGATGTGCTGGATTGCACTGATTCTCTCAGCCGTTGCCCTGGTTTTCGCTGTTATTCTGAAGGAGACATATGCGCCCACTCTACTGCAGAAGAAGGCAGCTCGGCTCCGCAAGGAAACGGATGACTCACGCTGGTGGTCTCGCTACGACCAGAAGGCGAGTCTGCCCGAGATCCTGGCACTGAATCTCAGCCGACCATTCGTAATGGCTGTTACCGAGCCAATCTGGTAAGACCTGACCCCACGCCAGCGTAGTCATGCAACACTCGCAAATTAACCATCTTCTCCAGCATCTTCTGGAACATTTACATCGCCATCGTCTACAGCATTCTCTACCTCTGTTTCACCGCGTATCCGATTGTCTTCCAAGACATTCGCGGTTGGGACCTGGGTTTCTCAGGCCTAGCCTTCCTCGGCATTGGCGTCGGCGTACTCATCACCATCGCCTGTGAACCCCTGATCCGCCGACTGATCAACAGCCACGCAAAGGACCCAGAGACCGGCCGTGTCCACCCCGAAGCAATGGTCTCCATCGTCTGCATCTGTTCCATGCTCATTCCCATCGGCGAGCTCTGGTTCGCCTGGACATGCTCGCCCGCCTCGATCCATTGGATCGTGCCCTTACTCGCGGGCATTCCCTTCGGCGCGGGAAACACGGGTGTCTTCATCTACGCCTCCAACTACCTCACCTACAGCTACGGCATGTACGCTGCGTCTGCACTTGCCGGCAACTCAGTCATCCGCAGTGTGTTGGGCGGTGTCCTGCCACTAGTGGGATCGTACATGTACGCAGGTCTTGGTGCGAATTGGTCCGGCACATTGCTGGGCTTGTTGGAGGTGGCTATCGTGCCAATTCCATTCGTGTTCTACAAGTATGGGCATAAGATCCGCATGAAGAGTACTTTGATCGTGCGCATGCAGGAAGATAAGAAGAGGTTGGAAGGAAAGCGGGCGCGGAGGACGCCGAGAACGCAGCAGGCGCTTGCAGGTGATGTTGAGAAGCAGGATGATAATGTCTAATGCTGTTTCGGTGTTCTCTTGTGTTTGGTCTTTGCAGTGGTCTGATACCCAGTTGTCTTTGCATTGGAGGTGTTTGAAAGTGTTGGTCAGTCGGATTGACCGCTAAAAATTTGCATGAGCGTTGCGATGTATTAATATAAACGAATTAATTTCATTCATTTCGAGGTTCGTTATGCTGGGTTCATGTTCTGTTCTCGTAAGGACGTGATATTATATCATACAGGAATACGCAGGCGCCGCTCCACGTCTTGTGCATTGCGCAGGATACGCTCGTACTCGCCCAATGCGATACCACCCGCTGGAAAGACCATCACAGCGTCGATGTGTACCGGTCGAGGTGTGACTCTAATTGGTGCCGTCACGGTCTCAGAAGGCCCAGTAGATTGCTGTGAGCTAAGTTGAGACGAGGAGAACGATGGGCTTGACGTGCCTGAGTCTCGGACATAGCCCAGAACGTTTAGCCAAGCGCCGACCCGAAGCTCCTCCGAGGTGAGGTCCTGCAGTACGGCATTGACATCCACTGAGACTGAGTTGGGGTCGGTTTTTTTCAATGGATAGTTGTGCTCCAGAATTAGATTGCCGGTGTTGACATCATATTGCCTCACGCTGAACTCTAGAAGTTAGATATTCGTCGTACATATACATTGCCAGGACGTACCAGCCTAGAAAGCGAACTTTAGTATCCGTCGCCAACGATGGGAGATCACAGAGAAAGACCCAGGTCGAGGGACGAGGCCCATTCATCCCTGGGATGAAGGGAAAATTCGAATAACTGGATCTTCAGTGTCGTTTTGATATTCTCAATAAAAAGAAGTCAAAGCAGCCGTCGGCCAGTTGAGGCGCACGCCACGTGACCCCCTATCAAGCGTATGTCATCGGCCCATCGAGGGGAATCAACTCCCCTCCATTTTGGCTTCGTCCGTGACTACGCCCGCCAACCCGTGATTCCTGAGCCTGTCGTGCCCTAATCTCATCCTTAGCCCGCTCATTAAACCGCTCTCCTCTTCTTTGACTTCTACCTTGACTCTACGCTATCCCCACGGCCCTTGACTTTTGCCGGGAGCCTACCCAACCCACCTCCGCCCTCTTACGAGCCGCACGAGTCGCAAGGATCCCTGCACTACCAGTGCTGCCTGATCAGCTCAGATAAACACCACCCACATACCCACCTACTAGACCTCACCAACGCAAATCGCATCTCGTCCACCAAACATGTGGTCCTGGTTCGGCGGCGCCGCCGCTCAAAAGCGGAAGGATGCCCCCAAGAACGCCATCCTCGGCCTCCGAGCTCAGCTGGAGATGCTGCAGAAGCGCGAGAAGCACCTTGAGAACCAAATCGCGGAGCAAGACGCCGCAGCACGGAAACACGTCGCCACAAATAAGAACGGTACAGTTCTCCCCCGGACCCCCGCAAATCTAAACTTTGGGGATAGCGCATGCCTGTAGAGTTTTGAGGGCGATAAGGGCTAACGCAGGGATTTTCTTGGTATTTATAGCCGCCAAAGCTGCTCTGCGACGGAAACATCAGCATGAGAAGAACCTTGAGCAGACCTCGGCGCAGGTCGTGCAGCTCGAGCAACAGATTTACTCGATCGAAGCGGCGAATATCAACCACGAGACGCTCCAGGCTATGAAGTCGGCTGGTGATGCTATGAAGCAGATTCATGGCGGTATGAGTCTGGACCAGGTCGACGAGACGATGTACGTGCTGAGTGCCCCAGAGACGAGAGGTCCTCCTGGATTGGAGATGCGAGTGATTCCGACTAGAATATGTTTGCTGATGATCATCTTGCAGGGACAAACTCCGAGAACAACATCAACTCAGCCAGGAAATTGGCGACGCTATTACGAACATGCCGCTGGGCGAGCAGATGGACGAGGGAGAGCTGGACGCCGAGTTGGAGGGGTTGGAGCAGGAGGCTATGGACGAGCGTATGCTCAACACTGGGCCTACGCCAGTGGGAACTCGGTTGGAGGGCCTACCTGCTGCTGGAAATACAGAGCGTAAGTTTCACACGACCACAAGCCGCCATTTGCTGGTTCTCCACGGAGTGCTGTGCTAACATCAGACAGTCAACAAGCCACACGCAGCCGAGGAAGAAGACGAGGAGGCCGAATTGGCCAAGCTCAAGGCTGAAATGGCCATGTAGCGAGTCATCGGTCCTTGAATATTAACATACGCATTTTGCACTTTCTCTTTGTCTTGTCTCTTTTGGTGCAGGGGAGGGGGTTCTTGTCTTCATCACCCATGCATTGAATGCTCTTCCTATATCGTTTCTTCTCTCGCAAGCAAGCCCTGTGTATCCTTTCTTTCCTTGTATCCTGGCGCTAAGTGTTTAACTCAAATGCTTTTCTTGATTTTCCCGCTCTATACATTTTCAATATGGCTCAGAACCTCCCTTGGAATCGCGATTGCTCTACTCTACACACTTCACATATTCCCGTCTTAAATAACCCGAGAAACCAATCGAGTCTGCTGTGCTCTTTTCTTTTCTACGTTTCTCATTTCTTTTTACTTTTTACTTTCTGTTTCCTTTTCATCATTAATTTTTCTAGATATTCTTTTATCTGTGGATGTAAGGTGTCTTATCATGGACCTGCAATACAACTGAACCAAATTTTGACAAGCTATTGGGCTATTGAGCATCTGTGCTACTAGTCTTGAAATCATGCGTAGAGACAACGCTCAGTTTCCTCGTCAAAATTAATCTCAAAGTACGAGGACAAAATCACTACATGTGAATCACTTGGTCGGGAATGTCTGTATAGTGGATGCTCGAAATATCCCCATTAGAATCGCCATAAGCCCGTTCTATTACAACTTAATTCATTACTCTCATCCAATAAGCCATGTAACGTGATCTACTGAGCGAGCTAGGCTAGGGAACCCGGAAGTGCAGTAGACATGCCTTGCCACCCGAGTCCAACTTGTGACGCGACATCAGATACATAACTCCATTCGCGCCGAGAATACATGAAGTACTGGAAGAAGAAAATAGTAATAGCATTTCCCAGAAACAGCAACTCCCATGGCACGTTTGTGGAAATCCCGCCAAGATTGAATTGAAAACCACACCCATTCCCATGCTAAACCAGAATCAGAAAAAAGTCCCCGAGATTGTTCGTCCAAAAAATGAAGAAACCCATCGCCCGTAGCAAGATACTGTTAGAAACCACTCCCCCATGAAGACGTAACGTAACTCCTTTTGAAAAGAACGAGTGTTGAAGCGAAAGCGAAAGAGAGTTTAAATGGGCAATGGAATGCCAGGGCATCCTCGAAGGGAAACGTGACCTTCGAACAGACTGGTGAAAGACTTGTCTGTGCGAGTATTTTGCGCTTCGTTTTCAAGGGTACCAGGCATAACTTTTCGATGGCTGCGCACGCAGCCCGTCTTGCTCCTCAGTGCTCCACTTTGACTTCCACTGAATCTCACGGGCGGCCGCATCGATCAGGGCGTCTTTGCAGTCATCGGGCATAAGGGAGATGATCTCGGGCGTCATGAACTCCGGGTGCTTGGGGTTGGCGATACTGGCGAGGCCATTGGGGTTCAGGTTTCGCAAGTCACCGTCTGGGCCGGGAATGCCCATATTCGAATATGGCGGTGACTCGTAGACAGTGTCCGTGACAACGTAGCGATCGGAGATGTGCGAGGGGACGGGCGTGAAGATGGTGGTGTTTTGGTCATCAGGCTTGTCGGCGGAGTCGGTGGGCTCGGCAGATGCAGATTGAGAGGCTGTGGTAGACTTCTTGTTCGTAATGCTGAGCGTAGACATGAGCTCGGCAGTGCTGCGGACGTCAGAGGGAGGCACACGCTCCCAGCGGGCGTGAGTGGGTTGCATGATTTGAGGGTATTGCATGGTGTTGGTGTGGACGTCGTAAATGCCGTCCATCGTGGCGAGACGCATTTCGACGAGCTTGGAGTTGAATTGGCTGGGTTGGTTAAGTCAGTTACAACGATCCTTGGGTTGATACTGGGTTACCAGGTTGAGGAAGAAATTCTTACCTTGCAGCGCGGGCATGCTCGAGCATCCAGTTCTCGTCTGTTACCGGGATTCGTCGCTTCTTCGGGTCGAGAGGCTTCCCGCCAGCCATCGGGACCGAAGGGGCGTTCGTATGGTAAACGCTACTAGCACCATGCCATGCGACATACTGATTGCGGTTGTATGGCTCCCCGGGGGCGGGGAGTTTGTCCTCTGGAACGGCCAGCTCTCCGTCCACATCACCGCGTTCCCGAGCAGCTTGTTCATCATAGTCGTCGGAAATTTTCTTACCGCCGACGACGATCTTGGCGCCGAATTCACGGAACACTGAGCGTGCTGTGACCACACCGATAGCACGACCTTTGTACGAATGCGGGATGATATCTCGCTCGATAAGATCGCGCTTGGCATCGTCGTCGATGATGATCTTGTAAAGCATCTTGTGCTTTTGGAAGAACAGGTACGAGTCTCGGAAGCCGATGCATCGCGCTGGCTCGGTCGACAGCATGTAGAGCTTGTCACCACGGTTGAGGATGGTGAAAGTACGGACTCGATATTCGCGGCCGCCGAGGAGATGGCCGTTCTCATCGACCTTGCTGTCACCCACCGGGTTTGGCGGGAGGGCCACTTCATCTCCAATCACATCCATCATGTTTCCTTCTTTGTCAACGGGGACTTGGGTGTTGTGGACAGGTCCGCGATTACGTGCCCAGCGGCCACCGCTTGCAGCAGGGCGACCTCGTCGGCGCTTGACGGGAGTTGTGACGCGAATTGGGGTTTGGGAGCCGTCTGGCGCATCCCAGTCTGGTGGGCGATTTTTGGGTGGACGACCGAGACGGCGTTTGCGCGGGATGGCGGGACGGCCAATCGCGTGGGTAGGAGTATCTGCCGCGCCTTCAAGTTGTGTAGTGTCGTCGACTGCGGGTGTTCCAGTGTTTTCTTCGTCCTTGGATTCGCCTGGCGTGTCGGCCTGCATTTGGTCTTCGTCTTTCTCATCGGCTTCCGGCTCCACGTCGGGGTCGTCGTCGGGGGAGTTTGGCTCTTCAATGGGGGGTGATGAGGGCTGTGAAGGAGGTGCATCTATCATTTCTTCGTCGGAGAGGTCTGGTAACGTTGGAACATTTTCTGGGGATATAGTTAGTCGCAACGCGTTTAACAGGGGGAATTGAATATAAAAACTGGGTGTTTTTAAAAGCTTGATCACTCTAGGGCACTTACTCATCGATTTAGCCGCTGCTTGGGCGGCCGCCCTTAGCTTTCGAGGCATCTTTGCGACAACTGGGGGAGTCTCAATGTGCAAGGCGATATCCGTCCGATGTGAACGGGCAGCTGTTTTGGCAAAACTGATGATCCCCGTATAATCACGTGATAACCATTATATCACGTGAACCAGGCCATTTGCTCACCGCCTTGGCGGATCAACCATTCACGTGACTGAGGGTCATGTCCTGGGCATGTGATCAGCCCTGAGCCCCATCCCATGACGTCACAGTACCCCTCCCCCTCGTTGAGCTCCAGCACGGCGGATCAGCAGGCCTCGTCGTCTGGTCGTGGTTCTAGACTCAACACAGCCCTCTTCTGTTTCAAATTCCATTATAATCATCCGGTACTGGTCAGTGGACAATTATTATGGTGTCACTGGACTGGACGACAATAGAGAGTTAGTTACCCATTCATTGCTGCACGATGAGCTCATGCTCGGGATTGCCATACAGTTTAGCCTACTCCAACCATAACGGTTCACCGGGCGGCTAACTAGCTCGCCGTTCTCTCCCGAGATAATCGTGCTTGAACAATGTTTTAGTCCCGCCGCTAGAACGGCCCCTAACCACTTAATTGCACTGTAGCAGACTGGCAGTTGCCCTACCAGACATCGAACCTCCGAATAGGTGGGCTCTGTGCGCTACGCTCAATATATCGTCGACTATGCTCCTTATGAAATCCATTAGTCTCCTCTACTATTGGATATCATTAAATTTATTTTCATTACTGAAATTATAGCTCTCAGTAGCCATATTAGGGTATACTCCTATACACTAGTAATAATTGTCTACAGACAACTTGGTACCGGCCTGGCTATCACATGCAACTATATCTCGATGTTATCCCTGTCTTTTCATCCTTCTCAGAGGTTTGACGTCCCATGAGACCAACCCAATTCATCAGAAGAAACCTGCTTTGAAGAATTTCATGGCCACTTAGACTCAACAACCATATACCACGATCTGCTGGCTCAGACCTGAGCATCCTGTGTCAACACTGGACGATGCAGCAAGCCCTTCCTGTCAAGCATGTCATTCTGCACTCTTATCAGCCAATCCGACGGCTTTCTGTCCCTCAACGCTTCCAGAAGTGTCTACTGGGCCCTTCGAATGCAGTAGGACCCCTCAGTAACCTCGGGAAGAGAGTCGGGTGCATGGCTAGCTAGACGCATGGCTGTACGGCTACATAGCTGACGATCGTGGCACAGCATAGCAGCTGGCAGGTGAGCTGCGAATAGGAATCTCCGTCGCTATTTTCAATTTCAGGTTTGGCCCTAAGGATTTTACTAAACTAGAATTGTTCATGCAGATAGTGTTATGCTGCCGGAGTGCAGGACTTGGTCAGGCAGGTAGCGGGTAACAAGGCATAAGTACACTTGATGTACAGAAAAATGCTGTACTACTACGGCTTTACTGTCGCGGGACTGGAATGAGGCGCTTACCTCGGAAAGGCCGAGGAACTTGGAAGATCTACATGAACCTACCGACACTGATCTATTCTCGTGCGTGAATTATTTAGCGGACCTAATATTGCAATACCGGATACGGCGATCCTGGACTATAGCAGAGAACACCCCGACAATTAGAACTCTCGTACCATAGACCGCCAACCCTGGTCACTTAATGGACAAGATTTTAGGATCAGTTTTCCGATATGATATCGAGATCCCGTTCGCTTCTCCTCGCGCGACCCAGAGGAGAAGGAGTGAGGGGCAGATGCAGATCGTCCCCCCGCCCTGAAGATGGGTTTGACGGACCAACGTCTTCCATAGCTCGAACAGCGAGAAGCGTAGCTCTGTCCTTTCCCAGTCCTCTATGTATTCATGTTCTACCCTCACATTTCCATCAAAATATAACAAGCTTGCATTATTTTGTATGGCATGTACATGATCAGGACCTCCGGCAGTTATCCAGATCTAACTGGCATGAGCTTAGGACCCCCAAGGAGGACGCGCCATGACGCAGTTAGTGGGGTTAACTGGGCATCTGTACTTCAATAGTCCGCTGCTAGTTTAGAACTCGGATGAAAAATCTCGTAACCTATTGAAGCTACAAGTACACGAAGTCCGAATTGATCACATACCGCCCCAAAAAAGACGCGGACGTGATTCAAGCGCCACGGGGTTTGGGCACGGGAGGGCTTTGCGACTGGAAGGAAGGAATGTAGCGATGAACAGCCACCTTCTTCCATGCAAGGGGAAACTCCGGTACGGTACGAAGCTGTGTGCTGCACGATCGCGATTTGCGATTATCTAGGAGATGCCGATCGCAGCTTGATCCTGGTTACGTTGGATTAGGTATCCATGGGTATTGAGGAAGAGAAAGGAGGTGAGTGTTGGATCGCGGGGTTGATTCTCCATCCCGAAAATTGAGAATTGGACCGGGATAGGGTCCACTACTGCTTGACGGGCTGAGAGGCGAGAACTGTTAATGTACAGTATGTACGTATGTACCTTGTACCCCGCCCTCGAAGCGGAGATGGCGGAGATTCTGGTGCATTCGGTCGGGTATATACGCGATAAGGGAAATGCAGAAAAGTTAAAGAGATTCCATTGATAGACATTTAGGAGAGCGGTGGCGGTGTATGAGCGACCTTGGGGAGAGCATGTATAAAGTAATGCACTGCAGATAGGCATCTTGAATCAAGCCTTGTCTTTGCGATTCCAGTACACCCTGGATCGGACCCGCCACATGTTCATTATTCTTATCTTTAATAATCGACTAGGTATGTCGTGTTTCGGGGAAAGAAAGGCGAAAGGAAATATTCTTAGGATTATTATGAAACTCTAGGCTCGACCCGTGGCTGATGCAAATCATGGGAATCGATTGGATGATCTTTGAACATCATCATCAATGATCGTCAGAGCAATTGTCACAGGTCAATATCTGGACAACTCAGAATAATATTTCCCTTAATCCATGCAATTATGCAATGAAGGAAATAAATTCCATGAATTATTGGCTGGTTGGTTCCTGATCAATCTTCCAGCGCATGCAGGATGTACAGTATGTCCTGCCCAAGTGTATACTTCGTAACGGAGGCCCCGAACGGGAAGAATCAGTTCGCCACTCGAAGGGGAACCCAAGGAGTCTCCACCAGTTGGGGGGGAGGTTTGCCTGGTAGTCTCGTTCTCGTTATCGGTATTCTTTGGGTTCTTTGGGTTCTTTGGGGGGACATTCTTTGGATCTCTGGGCTATGCCCTGCCCGTTTTTTGTTTCTCCTGGTTGGTTTGATTGCAGGCCCCTCTCTGGCTCTCCACTTTTGAGGGATTTGCCTCCCTGTCCATAGGGCCCGGTCTGCGGGTTGGGGGGACTCGGTCGCCCTCCGGACTGGTGGATTTCGCCGTGGAAAGAGAGGGCAAGGTGATCCGACAGCGAAACAACGAGCGAAGGTTAGAACTGTCGTAAATGACTCGAGGTCGGATCATCGAAGAGGTGACTCCAGGACTGCTACTATAGATAGGTTATCTCGTTACAGGACTTTCTTTCAAAGAATACGAGTCTCATTTGCTAACCACCAGATCTTTATGTCTCTATACAACGACCTTTTTTTGTTCTTTAACTACTGTAGTTAGAGAGAGGCGCCCCGTCTTATTCTAAACCAATCCTACCTGCACTCAGCTGATGGTCAGCCCTTTTTTTTTATTTCTTCAGCCCCTTTGATGAGGGTTATTTCTGTTTGAGTAGTAGAGCCACCGCCCCCCAAGTGGTGTAAAAGAAAGAACGAGCCCAATGGCTGAATGAAGAATCTCCTCCCCCCGTTGGCCGGGGGCGTTCTTTGGTTCCGACCTGCTTTTTCTTAAAACCATCGGATCGAGTCCACTCGAGTCTCGAGTCTCCTCGAATCCATTTTCTACTCGGTCTTGATCCAGTCAACCCCTTCTCAACCATTCTGAGACCATCGACACTCCAACTACTGGGCGTGTCTCGCACTATACCTGTATACCCACGCAACCGCCTGAGAGCCGAAGCCGATCGGAGACCCCCATCCCGCAATCTCCCTTAGCTCATCATCGGGCGGCGTCAAAGTTTCTTTTTTTTCTCTCGACCACCACCACCACCACCACCAACCACCGCCATCGCCAACTTTCTCTTCTTTCTCCTCTCCTCCTCCGACCCCCACTCGCCTAACGCCTCTCTATTTCTTTAGCGGAGGTCTCGTTGATGGAAACGCAATGGCTGCTGCGAGTGGAACTGAGTTGCACGCCGACGGCGACATGAAATCGCCCAAGTGAGTCATGCTGCTGTGAATACTGCTTGAGATACTTCCTTTTTACACCCCTCTCTCCATCCTGCCTTTTCCCTTCCCGCTTCCTCCGTGCCCAGCGATCTCGTGGTGGAAGAGAGAGATCCAAAAAAAGTCGGTCTTGGGACTTGGAGGGTTGCTCAAAAAAGAGGGTCCGCCATCCCCTCTCGCCTCACACTGCATTGCATGGAACTATTCTTCCCTGCAGTCCTTGTCTCAAGAGATGTCCCCCCGGTCTATACACACAAGTCGGACTCTGTGATGTTGGTTGAACCTCAACTGCTACCTTCTTCCACATACTTGGGACTTCCGGACGTTTCCTGCAAGAGAAGCTGAAGGATCGTCCCGGTCGCACGTGGAGATTTTTGGAGATCTAGATATGACCGACCGTTGACATGTCTATATATAATCGATAACCCGCCCCCTCCAGCTATCCCACCAGCGCTCATTGTCCGCACTCTCCACCATGGCAAATGCTAATTTCTTGCACCATTATAGCTCTGGCCCCGAAGACGATATCCCAGACCAGATCGGGTCAAACGAGTCCACTCCCACGGGCATCGCAACCCCTCAGCCCGATCCTGCGGACAAGCGTCTGCCTTCCATCATGCACAACTACTTCCAGGTTGGTCCTTTCTCTGGCGATAAAGCGAATTTGCCTCGCTTCTGGTCATATCTTTCGAAGCCTTCCTCGGCGAACCCCTCTCCATCACACACACCCTCATCATTATCCACCACCACTACCCATCACCCGGGCACTTCCTCCGAGTCCTTCGTTATGATGGAGCGGGAGGATGGAGAGGGGTCGGATCAGATGGAGGTGATACCCACCACCAACTTGCCCACTCCGCCGCATTCTTTACTCCAACAGGAGTCGGACGAGATGGACCTTGCATCGAGTCTCGATAAGAATGACGGGTCTTCGATATTTCACATTTTGAAGAAATATCTCGTCCCGCCCACCACCGCCCCTCATTCTCGCCGTCAAACTTCCCTGCCAGTCTCTAGCGTCTCTGATGACCCCGTTCTTGCTTCACATTTCTCCAATCCATCCATTCCTTCTGCTTCTTCCGATGCTTTCTGCCCCTCTGAAGCTCCCTCACACGACCACGAGATGCCGCATATTTCTATATCTTCCGAGAATCTTGCCAAGCTGACTGGAAACGCACCCGATGCGGTGCGTCTCAAGAATACCCCGCCGTTGACTCCCCGGGCAATGTCCAACGAGGACCAATCCGTCGACAAAAAGTCCACTACCTCCGCGCCGCGCGCGAGCGGATCCGAGGAGTCGCAGGAGGAACAACAACGGCAAGAACAACAATCACACTCGGACGGTATGGACAGTTCCACCGACGAAATCGCGATGAAACTCGACGAGGCTTTCCCCCGCAACTCCAACGCCTCCCCTCAGAATGGAGCTCCCGTGGGAGCACTGAAGGGAAAATTGTTTGTGAAGATCTCCGAGGGCCGCGGATTGCGCCCTAGTTTTGATCCCTACGTCGTTTGTGTTTTCGAGTGGAACGAGTATATCTCCAAGGGTGCGCGAACTGGGGAAGAGGAGAAGAAACAGCGGCAGATGCAGTCGGATGCCGAGGCTGGTATTCCCATGGCCATCCCGATGAAGAGCCGCCAAAGTAGCTATAACAGTGCACTGGACGGCCACGACCACAAGGGCCGAACACCCGTGACGGATCCCCATTGGGATCATGAGGCGGTCTTGTAAGCTTTCTCCACTCGAACACCTTCTTCCAAGTCCCCTCTCTTGCTAACAGCCCCTAGTGATGTACTCGGTGACCAGTCCGAGGTCGATGTTACCGTTTACGACCGTAGCAACCAAGAGGCGTTCCTGGGCCACGTGCGCCTCGCTATCAATCTGAAGGAAGACCACAGCCGGTTGGAAGGCTGGTTCCCCTTGGTCGCTCGTGCTGCGGGAGATAGCCTGGTGTCGGGCGAGATCCATCTGCAGATGCGTTTTGAGATGACGGAGCGGAGACAGGTGGGCCCGAATGACTTCCATATTCTGAAGCTTATCGGCAAGGGAACGTTCGGTCAGGTCTATCAGGTCAAGAAGAAGGACACCGGGCGGATCTACGCCATGAAGGTTCTGTCCAAGAAAGTCATCATCCAGAAGAAAGAGGTGGTGCACACATTGGGAGAGCGCAACATTCTTGTGCGCACTGCAATGACGGCGTCGCCCTTTATCGTTGGCCTCAAGTTCTCTTTCCAGACCCCCACGGATCTGTACTTGGTCACGGATTATATGTCTGGCGGTGAACTCTTCTGGCATCTCCAGCGAGAAGGTCGCTTCCAGGAAGCCCGTGCCAAATTCTACATTGCCGAGTTGATCTTGGCACTACAACATCTGCACGATCATGATATCGTGTACCGGGATCTGAAGCCAGAGAATATCCTGCTGGATGCAAACGGTCACATTGCGCTGTGTGACTTTGGTCTTTCCAAGGCTAACTTGAGCCAAAACGACACTACCAATACGTTCTGTGGTACCACCGAATATCTCGCCCCGGAGGTCTTGCTGGACGAGCAAGGATACACCAAGATGGTTGATTTCTGGTCTTTGGGAGTTTTGGTCTTTGAGATGTGTTGCGGTTGGAGTCCGTTCTATGCCGAGGATACCCAGCAAATGTACAAGAACATTGCTTTCGGCAAGGTGCGGTTCCCCCGCGATGCGCTCAGCACCGAGGGTCGGAATTTCGTCAAGGGCCTGCTGAACCGGAATCCCAAGCACCGACTTGGCGCCAATGGTGATGCGAAGGAGCTCATGGCCCACCCCTTCTTCAATGATATCGACTGGGAGGCGCTGGGTCGCAAGCAAGTCATTCCTCCTTTCAAGCCGAAGCTGCAGTCCGACACCGATACCTCGAACTTTGACCCCGAGTTTACCAACGCCCTGGAGACCAACAACTCCCTGCATGAGCGGGCCGCCGCTCTCGCTAACGGCTTGATGCCTGGATCTACCCCCCTCTCTCCCGGCATGCAAGCCAACTTCAAGGGCTTCACGTTTGTGAACGAAAGCTCTATCGACCACCACCTTAAGCACGACCCTGCGGACCGGATGGACGAGGACCCCTTGCACGAGGATACGTGGCAGCGCACACATCGGGCCACCAATTCGAATGACCAGCGCATGAGCGGTGTTCAGAAGACGGATGGGACGGAGCCAGGGATCTTCAACGTTGACGATAATTTTGACATGTGATTACGTATCTCCTTTTGTTCTCTCTTTCCTTTTCGTCTCTCATTGCATGATCATGGAGTCTTGATCCGGCATAAATCTTGTCCTCTTGTCCTTGTCCGTTGTCTTGTACATGTCTCTGGATGCATGCCTTGGTAGCTCAAAGCAGAGTTATGGGGTCTTATCTAGTCTTGTTCCCATCACGTTTCCTCCCTTTTCACCTTGCTTTCTCAGGGCCATATTCTGTTTCTCCCCCTCTCTGCCTGGGCGGTGGTTTTGGTTTCTGGCTTCATGTCGACTTCGATATCGATTTCCAACTTTGGCTTTTACCTTTTGCCTCTTCCCTCTTCCTCTACTCTGCACGGCTTTTGCTTTTTACTCTCGCATGCGTTTTTCGCAATCATTATCGTGTTCGTGTCCTTGTTCCTGTTGGTCGTGGTCTTCCTTTTTGTGTTCCTGGTCTGGTCTGGTCTCACAGAGGATGAAATGCCGGCCTTATTCACGGTCTTGATGATTGTGACCCAATTGTCTTCCCCCCGCGTTCTGTTCGGCAGTTCAGCTACATACATACCCCCGTCCCTTTTGATGCCTGAGTTTGTTTGGTAGTGCTCAGGAGGGCTTGCATTATCTATCCTTTTTTGCGCTGAATTGATATTTCGTGGTTCTGGTTCAGGTTCTGAGTTTGGATTCCGGGACTATCTTGGGTCTTTGTAGTATTCGTAGTAAACACTAACAGGGGAAGTTCCGTGAGGGTCTGGGTTGTTATGCTGCTCCATGACATACATCTGAACTATTACCTGTAATTTGCATATAACAGAGGGTAACCTTCACATCTACGCGTGTAGTGGTAGTTCAAGAGTCCGAAAATAGACATCGAGTAAAAAGACCATCTCAATACGCTCCCACTTTCTTTTCTTTTTTGAATTGTCTTTGTAGATAGCTCAAGCATTATTCCTCAAATTATCTTTCAAGTATGACCGATGAGATGACTTTGAACTTTCCTGGGTGTTTCAAACTTAGGGCACCTCCACTGTACTATAGGTGTGTCGTGTCGTCTGAATTGAAGCTAGCTGGAGGCCGTAGATATCCTAGGTGGTTTGCCCATCCCATCCGGGTACTGGGCCGGGTCTAGATACAATGGCCTGGATGCCGAGACCTAAGGAACATCATACTACTTTAAGTAAACCAGTCCTACTGAAATGTGGGTCTCCGCGGGGAACTATATAAAGCACCACCTTGACGGTGTGATTTAATCGCTAAAGATTCAATCTACATCTTATCAGTTTCTTATTCCTCAAACAATACCCTATCTCTATTCCTGTGTATACGTACTATCTTACCTACTATCAATCAGCCCACTATCAGAGAAGAACAAATCATGGACCCGCACCTATACCTCACCATTATGCCCACCCCACCCGCAAAATCAACTCTAACAACAAAAACAAAACCTACAATCATCCCTTCAACATACACAAAGACAACACCCCCCGAATCCTTCCCAACCCCAGCCAACGGCACCCTAACCTGGCACACCCTAATCTCGCAACCAACAACCCAAACATCAGACCTCTCCGCCGGCATCGCAGTCTGCCCACCTCGCACAGGACACCTCTGTGCACACCGCCACGTCCAGGCTGAGATATACCATATCCTCGAGGGGGAGGGGGAGGTTACGATTGATGGGGTTGTTAGTAAAGTTGATGCGGGGAGTACGGTATTTATTCCTGGGGATGTGAAGCATGGGATTGTTAATACGGGGATGGGGGATTTGAGGTGGTTCTATGTTTTTCCGACGGGGGCTTTTGGGGATGTTGTTTATAGATTTGAGGATGAGAGAGCGAAAGATTTGGCAAAGCTTTAGGTTTGTGTACGGATCAAATAGAGTATCGTAACCTTAGGCTTAAGCACTTACGTCGCCCATCTGAGGGAGCAATTCTTTTCCAAGAGGGAGGGGGGGGGGGTATCTTCCAGAGACAAAGAATAGTAAATCTTAACTACGAGCCTCGAGGGGATCATTATGATCAACTAGATAGCTCCTGGTCTGTGGCATGCTTCTCAAGAATCCTCTTCAATGTTTTCAAATCGACTTTGGCATCCTCCTTAAATTTTCTAAGGGTGTTGTTCCCAAATATCCCTGGACGATCTTCGCCATGCCTCTATCAGCGTCTTCCTACATGTTCAAAATATTCCAGGAGGATCTTTCCGGATCTACTCGACACTTCTCGAGCCCCCGGAATAAGATAAAATACTTATCCCATTCATCTTTGGACTAGTCATAGTGCATCCATTCAAGATTCCCTAGCCGCTCACGCATATTTCGATGTCGTCCAACGTTGTTCTAGGATAGACGAACCTATATCAAGGGAGCAAACAAGGCCTTCTAGACTATCTTTACCCAAATATTAAAGTTATGCTTCTCCCAAAAAGGTTGACTCGAGCCTTGAGGTAATGCACCAGCAAGTACATCTCGTCTCAAGGTATCACTACTGGAGCTGAGACCTATGGCTTACCATCTTCTCTCATAACTTCGTTTCCCAATTTCATGGACTTCCCTTGCATGTTTCCTTCACAACTTCCAAAGAACGTGCCTTCCAAACTCGTCCCCAACTTGCCCGCGCGGATTTCTCTGATCTTTCTTACCGAATCTCGTTTCATCACTTTCTCTCTCAGGCTTCACCTCGCATACCAAAGAACCAGCAGAGCCCCATCAGGTAGACGAAATCACAAACTCACGGTTCTAGCACATATCGAATCATCCACGGGTATCTTGAGCACAAACATTCACCTTTTCCTGCCTCCACAGAACAACAGCTTTCTCTCACACCTCTCTCTCCTGCACTTCTTACACAATTCATCTCTTACACTTTCACTTCTCACTTCTTTCCTAAGAACCAGCGACTTCGTCGACAAGACGATATCACAGACTCAACCCAACTCGATTCATAACCAAAATCTCACTTGACACAACCTGCTTTCCCACAACAAAACCCTCACCAGTATCATCTCGACGACCAGTGCTTCTTTCCTGGTTGATCAACAATTTGATCAACTCAACTGCTATGGCGTCCCGACAACCTGCCAGTACGGCTGAAGAGACTGTGAGCCTCTTCACTCACCTCCAAAGCGAGCCACCCAGACTACGAATCAACAAGGAATGGTGCACCGAAGGAGAAAATACCAAGAGCCGGCACTATTCCCACCGGGACATCAAGGACCCTGCGGTCTGGAAAGATTTCCATTTGGATAAGATCAGGGACCACGCACGCACCCCCCTCGAGACGACCCAGATTAAGCTAAGACCTCCATCAACTACGCCCAGATCCATTCATTCTGAATTGTAGTTTGCCTACGTTTTCTTCGAAACTGTCCATCCTCTCGCCAGAAGAGGTCTCACTTGTGGATTCGATGATCTCAAGTCAGGCGACTTACTCAAGAAGCAGGGCCGCACATCCGTCTACCTTGGAACTAGCAGCGATGTGGAATCTAAAGGAAGCGCGATACCAGACTTGCTGTTTTGGTCCGGAAGCAATGGTCAAACCCCCAGACGCGGGAGACTGCCGGGAGACTTCAAGCCATCTCACAAGTGGAGTTAAAGCTGGTCTCGGGGCAATGACTCTCAGAAGCGGCAATTCAGGCATGCCTTTTCTCAGGTCAATTTCTATATGGATAAATATGGGACTCACTATGGCTTCATTTTGACCGACCAAGAGCTGGTTGCTATTCGCAGAGTGCAAGGTCAGGATGGAAAAGCTGTCAAGGGGGATTTGGAACTATCGCTTCCTATCCCGTGGAAATCAGACAAGGCGCCCTATGAGCCTAAAAGCAGGTCTCGTTCTCAAGCACCTCGATTAACAGTGGCACTTGCTTTGTGGTACCTGGGAATGGCTGGCAGCCCAGGATACTAATTGGCCTCTAAACAATTCTTCCCAATGAGGAGTTGAGAGGCATACTTAGTTTTGATGTACACTAAGTATCTCTGTTCTCACCATAACCAGCTCCTGGTCAATACCAGCAATTTCAGACACCGCTTCATATTCCAGATTCGACCGTCCGTAGCGTTAAGAAGGAGGTAATACAGTAGTCAGGCGGGGGCGGGGGTTGAGTCCGGGGTGGCCTCAGGACGGCCAGAACCAAAGTTAGCTCCCAAGGTATGATTTGTTTGCCATACTCCAGAATCTGGCTACGGTAGCTCCCTATTCGAACGAGCCTTCAGTCCTCTCCCAGACCAACTTCTTCTCCTTTTCCTTCCCTTCAACGCTACACCACGAAGATTTTCAGATGGCCCCCAGTATCTCTGCTCTTGCAGGGGAGACTCGGGGCCAAGACTGCTCTGTCTCATCTCCAAAGTATCAAGCCCTCGAGATCGACTTGTCTGAGGTGACGCCGGTGGAGCTCCTTCACGAGTCCGATGATTCACGTGTTTTCCGAGGTCGATGGCAGGAGAAGGATTGTGTTTTGAAAATTTTGAGTTGCAACCCATAATCTGAAGAGCCGCTACTCACTGGATACAGTGTCATTACACCAAACGATACGAGCCAGACCTTTTGAAGGAGTACGAAATTGATCCATTCCTTTGTGAAAGTCGCGCTTACTGTCGGCTGAAGGCACGTGGGCTCTGTGAGAAGGGGCATATTCCCGACTTTTATGGCTTAATTCACAACATCGAACTCAAGACCGACGGCTGGGAGTCACACCTCCAGCCCTTTTCTGGAGAGCCCGAACTCCCAAACGCTGTGGTGATCGAATTTATCCCAAATCTGCGCCCATTCGAGCTGTCAACTTACTCCCCCGAGAGAGCGGATCAGCTCAAAGCCACACTGATTGAGATGCACGAACTTGGAGTACTGCACGGAGATCTTGAGCGGCGAAATGTGAAGGTGCAAGAAGAGAGAAATAGAGCTCTATGGATTGACTTTGATCGCGCCGTCATATTCCCTCTCGACTCGAGAACGGAGCGCGAAGAGCAGAACATGCGAAAGTGGGTGGCGGAAGAACAAGCACTACTGTCTCAGACACTGGTCGAGCTGGTAAGTCCATATTATTTGTCCGTGGATCGGACTAGACTCATTGTCTTTCTAGGCCGAAGACCACAAACGAGGCAAGATTTGGTGGTCCTGGTACTGGCATTATGGTTGGTTCGAGCCGTCTGGTTGGACCGAGGAGGACACAGTTGCTAAGAATGCTGCTCTCGATGCAGCGAAGCAAGGCACTTTGGCCGCAGAGCATGCATGGTTCAAACCTCCCGATAACTGGCCAGAGACCACCAGCAAAGGAACGTCGTAGAGAAAACCAAACCGAATGGCGGAGACAAGAAGGATAACAATAGATATGTCGACGTATGGTGATGGCCCTGTCCCAACTACAAGGGAAGTTCGCAGGCTCATCAACGGGTGATTTTCATCCAAGCCATTTCTCAATTTTCACTCAGTCCATTCACGACTTTGTGCTGTAAATTTGAAATGATGAGCACACTTCTACCTGACCCTATGTTCCTGGACCATAGCAAAGTCTCAACATGGAGATCTCTCAAGTAGATTCGGGCGAAACGAAGACTGCGCGACATTCTTTGGGCCAAAAAAGGTGCATTATGAGAATAGGCATAACTACGGAATACTTTATAAAGCAAAAAGCCAAAGCCTGGTTAATGGACATGTTATCTTTGATCTATAGAATGGCTATAGAAAGAACGTTCGTGGAGATCTACGAATTGTGAATTCGAGTTTCCTCAAGGGCGTATCGACAAGGTTAGTTGTTAACATCTGCACTGATCCATCCACGTACTAGGATTCCTCGAGGTGCTTCTCGACGCCCAAAGAATAAATGCAAACGGTGCATCCGCCACAATGCTTTGCAGAATCACAAACAGTCCCCGACAGGCTCGTGTGTATATAAAAACGCCACCATCCAAGTCCCAAAGCCTTGTCTCGGTAACTACGGAGTTAGAGTGGAACCAAAGTGAATTCCAAATCTCGTATGGCGATGCCGATGTAGCGGCAACCTCCCAGGTACAGACTCGCGAGGGACAGATCCGATGATACCATTGGCTCATGTTTCAGTGACGATGGGGTGGATTGTGTCCACTGGATCGGGCTTCAGCTGTGCCCTGTCCACATTGTTTATCTGATGTCTGCCGCCATACCAGACAAAGGAAGGCCTGCCGAGCAAGTTCATGTGGACTCCAAGTTCACTGTGTACAAGACAACCTTCATTGGGCTTTAATGAGGAGCTCTCATGGCGATGGTAGACCGCTTGCTGGGGATGTCGTGCCTGCTCTTGGCCAGAGAACATGATAGGGGTTTTGGAGAGCCAATCCACGGGCGCAGATCGTCATCGATTGATCTCGGGATTGTTTTGCCAGTGTGTTCTAAGAGAGTTATTAATATCATTAGTTGTCGGAGATGTTAACGTTTTTGAGACTTGGATGGTGAGATGCGGCAAGATGCGCCGTGTGGATTTGTGCAGGGTTTCTGTGCCTGGCGTCTTGTCGTTATGCAGTTCCTGGAGGCCGCTTGCCTAATTGAACGAGGGGCGTCAAAGTGTCTCACGCTCAGGCCGCAGTTCTTGGAAGATTCGGGCCCCCATTGACAGAAGCTGAGAAGCACAACATCGAAAGAAAGCCATCTCGTTGTGGTGAAACGTTCCGGTGCAGGTTGTAGAGTGCAATTCATATGAATTGTGGATGAAGTGCGTACACCTTTCCTTGGGACTAAATTGATAGGAAGAGCCTAGTACAGCTAGTTTGCTCCATAGCACTGTTTTCAAGGTTTGACACCAAGTTTCGCTGAGTCTGAGAAAACCTCGAGAAGGAAAAAAAAAAGGGGGGCCACGCCAGGCTCCATAAAAATAGACCCACTGAGCCAGGGTGCTATGCCTCCTGTGGATTAGCGCTGCAGCTCACGAACCGCACTCGAAGAACCAATGGCTGCAGAGACGTTCGTGTTTTGGTTTGCCATGCGTTCTGCCATGCGACAGAATGGGGTTCTGGTGGAATCTGGAGAAAGCTATTAGCAGTTAGTACACATCACTTGAAAGGCATTGCATGCAGAGAACCGAATGGATATCGTTCAATACAAACCACGGAATTGATAGTCAAAAAATTCAGGGCGGATCCCTCTCGCATCGGGCATAGGGCGAGGGACAGTCAACCCCTGAACCGCCCCCTGTCAGTGTTCCCCGCTGAGCACGAGCAGAAAGAGCCAATGTGGGGGTCGATCGACCAGACGCCATGCTGCTTTTGCCAGGACCCTCGAACAGAGAGAGGCACGAGTACGAGCGGACAAAAAAGCATTGACTAGTTGGAGGAGGCGGGTTAAGAAAAGAGAAGGAAAGGGCATTGGAGCAGAAGAATAAGCGGTGGTGGTGGTGGTATCGTGCCTGGTGATCAGCCTCGTTCCCTTTTGCCGGCGCTATTCTCCGGCTTCTTTCTCTCCCTCGTAACATCTCACACCCACACTCTCTTTTCCCTCTTTCAACCTCGTCTCTCGTTTACTCTGCAAATCAACAAACAAACAACAATAACAGTGACCTCGCTGGGAATTCTACCCCGGCGATCTCCCCTCGTTATAATACGACGCTGCCGTTATCTACCCGTGGATCAAACCCCCCTACATTCCTGGCCCTTCCCCGCCGTCTGCCATAAGCGCCACTTCTTTTCCCTTCTCCTTTGCCAGCATCTCCACGACTCCGATGCCCGGCGTGTCTCGTCACCATGAGTGTTGTTGCCAGTAGACCAGAGAGCCCTGCTGTGCCCTACACGATCCCTCGCGATGCCCCGAGCTACAAAGAATTCGGCGTAAGCGTCCAGCCTGTCGCCTCGCGCACCTCCTCCATCTCCTCCTATAAGACAAACTATACAACCTCGACTACGCCGACGACGGCCTACTCGCCCTCGTCGCCTACATCGTCCTGTCGCCAATTCGACTCGATAGGGTCCATCACGGAGCCCATCACCCCAATCCAACGCCGAGTACCACAGGAAGTTTACGACGTGATCCTGAACAACCTTGAGACTTTGCACAAGGCTCCGCACCAAACCGGTTGTATAACATGCTTCCAGCGCGACCTCCACGCCTTGTCCCTGACTTGTCGGTCATGGGAAAAGGCAGTCAGACCACGACTGTAAGTGAAGCAGTTGGAAGCTACTATTGGAAGCTACTACATTTGGTAGACAACACACCATTGCTAACGCAATCAAATACTCCAGGTATAATAAAATTCACATTGTCGGGAATGACTCCCCGGCACAGTTGAAGAAATACCGTCTGAAGAGAGGAAGTCGCCTGAAGTTGCTGCGCCGCACCTTGCGCGAACGACATATGCTGGCCCATCTCGTTCGCGAACTCCGGGTGCCTCAGATGGACTTGCTCTTCACAACGACGAAACAGAGTATGCAGTGGCAGGAGTATCGTGATATCGTCGCGTCCGTGGTCATGGTTTGCCCAAATCTAGAACGTCTCTTGGGTCTGTCGGTCCCGTACCACCACGAATTCGACCGTTTGACCCACGCGTTGTCGACCCGCAAGCGGCTCAAGGAGCACATTTGGGTACTGGGTGAGGCAACGGAGGTTTCGGAAATGTCCCCCCGGAGTACCTCCTGCCCCGGCAGTCTCGGCCCGTCCGAGATGTTCGAGTTTCTGAATTATCATGTCTCATGGTCGAAATTGGAGACTTTGATGCTCTACGGGTTGAATGGGAATGGCGCGTTGGAGCCAAGTATATTCTTGCGCATGTTTGATCTCCTGCCGTCCTTGAAGAACCTTTGCATCACTTCTTTTAATGAGGACGCCTTCGCGGATAGCACGCTGCTATGCCTTCCCCCGCTTGAATCCCTGCGCTTGGAGAACCTGCCCGGTGTCACGGACCGTGGCCTTGTCCAGTACACGTCGCGCCCCGAGTCTCGCTCGCTCAAGTCCTTTGTCTTGGTGGAACAGAATGTGGAATCGTTGCTGGTCATCTCCAAAATTCTCTCCTCCCTGACACAACTTGAACGGTTCAAGTTTGTGCAATGCGATAAATGCCCCATTATGCCTAGTGAGGGCATGGTCTTCCAACCTATATTGGCATCGTCCACTCTCAAATACCTCCATTGGGATGTTGCCTGTCCTGACCCAGGCACTGCACTGACCCAACTGGATTCTCGCCCCTTCCAGCACCCCCTGAAACAGTCCGATACCCCTAATTCTCATCTTGCTCAAAGCATCCTCTCCGCTGGTTTTCCTTGCCTCGAAACGCTACGCGCTCCCAATGACGTGGAGCCTCCAGGCGTTCTTCAGGCTTCTTGCCGGCCTATCATTAGGGGCCAAGCACTGCTTCGACCGGACCGGTATAGTCTGCCTCGCAGCTCGCACGGTTCTGTTAGCACCCGGCCTCTAGCTCTTCCAGCCGGAAATAATTTGACTTCTTCCCGAATCCGCGCGCAAACATTCATCGATATGGCCGCGAAGGATACGGAAAGCGGTATGCCAGTGTTGATCCAGGATTACTCGGACGATTTCACCCCTGACAACGCCCTGATCTCTCAGTTTGAAGATGAGGCCGAGCAAGAAATGGATGACTACGGTATCTGGGCTGCAGCCGAGCGATACAAGAATGCCCCTCCTAAAAATGAGGGACCCAAAACGGTCTACCAGTTCCACATGCCAGCATTCATGGGCCGATCAGGCATCAAGGATCCCGCAACGGGAGCCTCTATCCCCAAGTTCCTTTTGCGTCCTGATATTGCTGGGCAAGAATCAGACGGTGGATTGATCGGATGGAAGCAATTGCTTGCCTCTAATCAGTCGCTCTCTTTCGCTGCCGGAGTGGGGGTTCATTGCTTTGAAAATAGCAAGAACATTCCTAACCCGCCTCCGATCGATGACATTGCTTCCCCCTCTTCTAGCACGTCACGCTTCGGATGGGGCAGCCTGGGTGGTCGGTCGACAGGTACTCCAGCAACTCCCACCACCCCTATCACTCCAATGAGCTTCACATCCTCCCATGCACTCCCTTGGGATAAGGATACCTGCACTGGCTCCTGGAACCATAAGATGGGCCGGGACTGGTGGTTCCATATGGAACGTGACCGCCCTGGGAACTCTGAGCTCATCAGTGCGTTGCAGCTCTTCTGAACCCTGTCTCTTTCCAATCTTTCATTAACATTCCCCTTCATTACCTCTTGTCTCTGTTACCACGTCATATACCCCGCATTTGGTCGATACTTGTTACGTTTCTCTTTTGGTTTTTGATATCCCTCTCTTTCTCCCTCACGATACACATCACGCCGTTGGGTCTACTTGGAGGCTGGCGCTTGGTTGGTTTCCACATAACACATAGCTCTACTGCTCGGTTCTACATACTACCGTGCCGGTCAATCTGGTGTTTACCTGGTTCATTTGTCCATACTTTTACCCGCAGTCTTCGGTTCCTCAATATCTTTGTTCTCCCGGCGCTACGTCTCATTGGTGACATGGATCGAGCATTACGGTAATTAGGTGGCATTTTGTCTTTCATTGTCTATAACTTGTATTTTTGTGACCTTCGACCCAGTTGTTCGGGGTCTGTACAAACCCTGTACCACCATTCATGTACAGCTTTGCTTTACCATGTATTGATACTAGGTATAATCAACAGTAAATATTTATTCCGCGGAATTCTCGTGTCAACATATCAGTACCAACTTTCTTCAATGACTCATTATGAGTAAATACGAGCAATACCCGTCTGTTTACATGGGTATCACTCTCATCTTGATAACTAACTTAACCACTGGAATGCTGGTCTCTGACTCATCCGGGGTTTCATCGGCCCGATAAGCGAAATGGGAACTGATAAGCATCGCAGCCCCTCGCAAAATTGTTGTCTACTTACCCCACCAATTGCTCGCGCCTCACGACTAGACTCTTGGTTCATTCACCGATCATGGACCCCGCAAAGCCTGTCGAGCTCCCTGAGCGGCCCAAGGAGGCTGAGCCCCAGGCTGAACCTGAGGGCGAGCCGAAGATGTCCAAGGCCGCGGCCAAGAAGGAGGCTAAGAAGGCCGCAAAGAAAGCAGCTCAGAAGGAGAACAGCTCCCGCCCCAAGGAGAACAAGCCTAAGCCTGCCAAAGCACCTAAGGAAGCTGAGACCCGAGACCCTGAAGCGATGTTCAAGGTTGGCTTCCTGCAAGATGTCTACAACGAACGACCTCTTTCCGAAACGATTCCCAAGATCCGTACCCGTTTCCCGCCTGAGCCTAACGGATTCCTCCACATCGGACACAGCAAGGCCATTGCGATCAACTTTGGTTTCGCAAAGTACCACGGTGGTGAGTGTATCCTTCGTTTCGACGATACCAACCCCGAGGGCGAGGAGGATCGATATTATAATGCTATTCGGGATATCGTCAACTGGTTGGGATTCACGCCGGTGCGGGAAACTTGTGCGAGCGATAACTTCGATAAGCTCTACGAGCTTGCGGAGGACCTTATCAAGCGTGGCGGAGCTTATATGTGCTACTGCACGAAAGCAGAGATCAAGGCAGGACGTGGAGAGTCCGAGAGCGGACAACGTGGCGGAGATCGTTTCGCTTGCGCGCATCGCGACCAGGACCCCGAAACAACGCTCGCCGAGTTCCGGGCGATGCGCGATGGCAAGTACAAGGCTGGAGAGGCCTGTCTGCGCATGAAACAGGCTTTGCTGGAAGACCCGCGGGCCCAGATGTGGGATTTGGTTGCTTGGCGTATCACGGAGAATGAAGAGAAAGCCCAGCACCACCGCAGTGGTGGCACATGGAAGATCTACCCGACATACGACTTTGCGCACTGCTTGTGTGATAGCATTGAAGGCATTACACACTCCCTGTGCACGACTGAGTTCGAGCTATCCCGTGTCTCTTACGATTGGCTCAACGAGAAGTTGGATGTCTATCGCCCTATGCAGCGCGAGTACGGCCGTCTCAACATTACTGGCACTGTCCTTTCCAAGCGCAAGATTATCAAGTTGGTCAAGGAAGGCCATGTCCGCGACTGGGATGATCCGCGTCTATACACCCTCATTGCCCTGCGCCGCCGTGGTGTTCCCCCAGGTGCTATTCTTTCCTTCGTCAACGAACTCGGTGTGACCAAGGCTGTCACCAACGTGCAGATGCACAGATTCGACCAGAGCGTGCGCGTCTTCCTCGAGACTACCGTTCCCCGCTTGATGGTCGTCACTGAGCCCTTGAAGGTGGTCATCGACGATCTCCCCGACGACCACGAGGAATTCGTCGAGGTTCCCTTCGGCAAAGACGCCTCCTTTGGCACTCACTCCGTTCCCTTCACCAAGACCGTGTACATTGAGCGCTCCGACTTCCGTGAGGTTGACTCTCCCGACTACTTCCGTCTGGCCCCCGGCAAGACCGTCGGCCTCCTCAAGGTCCCCTACCCCATCACCGCCACATCCTTCGAGAAAGACCCCGCAACCGGCGCCGTCACCGTCGTGCACGCCAAATACGAGAAGCCCGCCGAAGGCGAGACCGCCCCGCGCCCAAAGACTTTCATCCACTGGGTTGGCGAGTCAGCCAAACACAACAGCCCTATCCGTGCCGAGATCCGCGCTTTCAACTCCCTCTTCAAGTCTGAGGATCCCTCTGCGCACCCGGATGGCTTCCTGGCCGATATTAACCCTAATTCGGAGGAAATCTACAAGGACGCGATGATTGAGACGGGTTTCAATGAAATTCGTCGTACGGCGCCCTGGCCCAAGGCTGCGGGCGAGGGTGACGTCGAGTCTAACCTGCACTGCGTGCGTTTCCAGGGCATGCGTATTGCGTACTTTGCTGTTGACCGCGAGTCGACGGCTGATAAGGTTATTTTGAACCGCATTGTTACTCTTAAGGATACTCAGGGCAAGAACTGAGCTTCTTTACATAATTAAAGCTCGTTATGTGCTGATGTCTGGATTTGAAAGAGGTGTCCGGGGATGCTGGGATTGACAGGAGGGTGTTTGACATGGATTTATGACTATTGCATTAGTATGCGTGATTCTCTCATAGTTTCGGGTTTAGAAGTGGAGAAATTTATATCCTGATAAATTCAAAATGAATGTTGCATCTTGGGCTTGTTACGGAACTTAGTCAGGATATGCAATGATAGCGTGGGTTTCATTACTGCATCAATGAAATGATATCGAATATGTTGCCAAGTCATAGCACTCCTTCAATAGGAGCCTGTGAAATGCCATGAAAGCTGTCGTAATCTTTTTGTTACCTCGTGTTTGCGATGATGTTACCACCTCAACACACCGCATTCATACAAGAGGCCTCATATCCGCTGGCCTTTTGCCTCAGCCAAGTTTCTACTGGGCCTCAGTGCCTGCCTCACGCACAGCGTTAGCCACGCGGGTAGCAAGATCGTCGGCCTCAGATCGGCTAGCGGCCTCGGCGTAGACACGAACGGCATCCTCGGTACCGCTAGCGCGAGCGAAACTACGACCCTTGTTGTAGCGAGACTGCAGGGACTCGATCTTGCCCTGGAGACCGACGGGAGACTCCAGCTTACGCTCGGCGTCGTAGGCCTTGAAGATGGAGCGATCGTGGACTTCGACGCGAACGAGACGAGAGGGCAAGTCGGTGTAGGTTCCGAGCCACTCCTTGGGGGACCAGCCCTTGTGAGCGAGGATAGCCTCGACGAGGAGCATATCGGATAGAGCATCGCCGACAGCCTGGTTGATCAGGTCGGTAAGAGCCTGGAGGCACTCCAGAGAGTGCTGCTGAGCCGGAGATTGCGGCTCGGTGTTTTTGATGACCTTCAGAGCATTCTCAGAGAAAGTGACGGTACCGTGGCCGTTGGCCTCGAAGTAAACACCGACATCGAACCGCAGAGCGGCGTGGTGCAGGTGCTTCACACCAGTGTTAGTGCAAATGATGGGGAGCTTGAGCACCTTCTCGATGTAGTCGGTGCTGGCACCGTTGGCATAGGCGGTCTGAACGACACCAATCTTCAGCTTCTGCGCAATACCAGCATTGCGAGCGAGATCGCCAATGAAAGAGGCCGCAAGAGTGGCGATACGGTCGCCATCCAGGAGGCGGAAGACATTGCTCTCGTCAACGAAGTAATAGACGAGGCGGTCAGCATCACCGTCCAGGGAGGCGCATCGATCGAGGGGAGCAGCCTTGGATGAGGGAGGAGCACGCTGCTTTGTCTTGACATAGTCGGCACCACACTAAAACAGTTAGAAAGAGGCTCAGTAGCTAATGCTGTCTTTATAGTGCAACCTACGTCGAAGTTCAGGCTGTCGGGGTTGATAACATCGTCGTTGACCACCTTGATATCGAGCGCAGAGTCCAGGTACTTGATCAGATCCCGCAGTTTAGGGCCTCCAACACCATTGGCACAGTCGACGGTCAAAGAGCCCTGGACCTTGACGCCCTTCATGACCTTCTTGAACGAGGCAGCAAGCTTCTCATAGTATCCCTGTTCCGTGGGCACACCGTACTCGTACTGTGTACCGAGGGTGTTCTTGCAGCGCACGACATAGTGGAGCTGGGGAGTGGTCATGTACTTGAAGTCGATGAATTCGACCTCGGTTGCGGTCAAAGCAGCGTTGAGAACGCCCACCAGACGCGATCCAGAAGCACGGGTATCGCGAGCAAAGACCACGCGGGCCGGGTTGGTCATCTTCACGTCGATCTCCTTCACAAGCTCATCGTAGACATCGGCGATCTGATCAAGCGGAGCATTGGCCAGCCTGGTCGCATATTGTTCCCACTCGGCCTAAATATAACGATGAGTTCGGCGGTTTCAGTTTTGAGATCGAAGGACGGGAAGATCTTACTTCGAGCATCTCACCCTGTTCCAAAGCAAATGCGTTAGACATGTCCGTCCGGTTGGAGTTGCAGCCTTCTGGGATTGTTTACATACCATAGGGTCAATCAGCTTGACACCATTGTCCTCCGCTGGGTTGTGGCTGGCAGTCACCATAACACCAATCCATTGTCCACTAAGCTTCTTCGAACGGAGACCAGCAAGAAGACCCACGGCGAAAACGACGGTGTTGAGGAGGTCACTGCGCCACGGTTTTCGGTCAGCGAGCTTCGACGTCAACAAACGGACGATCGCGGGGGGTTTGTGTGGAGGCGGGGTAGATTGATCCTGAGCAAAACTTACGCCTTCATACGGAACTATAAGCGCAAAACAAGATTGGTTAGCTAGCGATCATACGAAAACGTCCTGCGGGCTACGCGACATACCCCTGCGGTGCCATATTGGAAGACCTTGCCCTCGGGCTTCACGTAGTGCGCAGCGGCCTCGGTGATCGCTTTCTTGACAGCCGGGGAGGCCATTGTGGCGCGACAAGCTGCAATCAAGGTGGAAGTCGGAGAAAAAGGTAGGAAATCAAGGTGACAGGCGATGAATGTTCACACAGGAACGTTGGAGGGGGAAAGAGGGAGGAAGTACTTTTGAAACCAAAAAGGAACGAGGGGCTTAGGGTGAGACACGGCCTTAATGCGACGGCCGTCTCCTCTTTAGCGGTGAGCCAATGGCGGGGAAGATGCCCCCCCCACGCCTTGTTCCTGGCCGTGGCAATAACATACTACCTGCGAGAACTGCCGTGGAAATTACGGGAAGCCTCACGAGAGCCTTACGAGGTGGGGAGCCAAGTTCAACAATGATTATTATTAGCAACAGGTCACCGGGACTGCAGTCTGCTATTGTACATGAGAGGAAGCCCCCTCGTGCAAGTTGCCCACATCATTTTGGGAGTGAGTATATATATGACTGTCAACCAAGAATTTTCTTCCCTTTACGCCTTCAGTCGGTGTCCTGCGATATCGTCCTGCGCATCCTTGATGAGGAACCTGTCGGATACAGCCACTGCATTAGTCACGGAAGAGATAACGAAAAGATCCAAGCAAGGGATACATACGAGTACCACCAAGCGGTGGGAATCACAGTGCCCAAATGCCACAGACTGTGGGCATCGATCAGGCCACGCCACGGCGGGAAGTCGAACAATTCCAAGCTCATAGCGAGAATGACCCACGCGACAATCATACCGGGCCAGGCTGTCCAGGACTTGGTATACTTCTGATAACGGAAGATACTGAATCCGGTCCACAGCAGGTTTCCGATGATGCCCACTGCCACGTTCGCTGCCATATTGTACGTGTAGTCCCACTTCCAGAAGCTGAGATAGCAGACGTGCATGGTGTAGAGCAGGATGCAAATCGCTGTCCAAAGGCGACGCAGTGTGGGGCGATATTGGGGGCTCTCCAAGTCCAGGCGCATGATTCGAACCACGGCCAGGTAAAGACCGTACAATACGTTGGCGCCCGCCGCCCAGTAATCCAACTTCTCTGTGATGTCAAAGTCCCGGGTGTGGAAGATCATGCTGAATGTCCAACTAGCCAGTCCGATATATCCGAACATCATGTAGTATTTGCGCATGGAGTGCCAGGCGGGGATCGATTCTTGAACTCGGGACATGCCGTGCCAATGGGCTGCGAAGTTGAGGAAGGAGAATAACACAGAGAAGGGCTCCTGCATCCCCAAAATTCTCCGGAACGGCCATTTCCCATGGAATTGAACCACGGGGTTCAACATCGGAGGGTCACGCGAGACTCGACGATCGGTAATGACATGTTGACAGGTATAGTCGCATTCAGCCGGGCAGGTCCAGAACAACAGGCGGTGGTGTAGAGCTAGACAAGGTAGCAAGGTCAGAACGAGGAGAACCAGTAGAGCAGCCGTGATAGGTAGAGGGCAGACATACGTAGTACCGAATTGCCATTCTGGCAGTTCTCGGTTTTACAGACCTGTGGTTGTTAGCCGTGTACAAGGGTAGTGGTCGCTCGAGTCCGGACAAGGACAGTACCTTCACGCATTCTTTGAAATCGGGGAGGTGATCTCCCAGAGAAGCAGACGATGGGGTGACCAGAAGGGCCAGCAGCGCGAAAGTGAATAGAGTGGAAGAAACCACTCGTCCAACGCCCAGATGCATGGTGATCTGGCGAAGGTCTCAGGCCGGGAAACGCGTAAGCTTTAGGGAGAAATGACGGGCTTGCGGAGCTTGGGGGCGGCATCATAGCTGAGCTTCGCGCGGGTCTTGGCAACGGGTTGCTGGCAGGCTATCAAGGGTGACTGGCCAGGGGGATTGGCAATTTAGTACCAAATAGCCATTTCTTTTGGTAGTTGAATTTCTTGGTCGTGGATCCCATTAAACGCTGAGAGGTTTAGTACAGGTACCACTCACTTTCTTACTCAGTGGCTTGGGCTCTTGCGTTTTGATGCATATATATAGCTTCCCATCAATCGTTGCCCATCGACCGACATTTTCGAGTATATTTCAACAACACGAACAAAGAGCAATTTCATCATCCAGATGTGTTCCTATCGTAGTGTCTCCAGTTACCACATCTCCACAAAATATCTAGGAGTTATAATATACTACAGGATATACAAAGTGGCAAGCCCTAGTGAAATTAGGGCTGCCAGATCACGTGGAAACCCCGAAAGTGGTTTAGCGTGAGCGGGGACTTGGAGTTTAAGCTTGGCGCTGGGAAGTGCTCGAAAAAAAAAGTTGAGAGGCGAGGGTCACTTCCGTTATCTCTTGCGTCTAAGAATTCTATTTCTTCGCCGCAACTCCCTTCATTTGTTGATTCCTCCATATCCATACTTACCTCCGTCGCTCTCAAGATGAGTGGAACCGAGGCCGCCAACGCTTCTGGCGTCATTGCCAGCAGCGCCGATCGCATGGTTGGCGCGGAGCACGCTGAGGTCCGCTACTTCACCAGGTATGACTTGAAGGACATTGCTTTTAAATATCGAGTATTTCAGAGATACTGACTGAATTATAGCTATGATCACCACGGTAAATATCGACTGGAAAGCCTGGTGGCTATATGAAGAAATCTTCGAAAGAGGGGTTGGCTAACTTCGCTTTTTTAAACTTTGCTTAGGTATTCACGAGGAGATGCTGGTGAGTGACTGTTGCGCCCCTCAATACTTGGCCAAAAACGAATTGCTAATTGCTTTCCTTTGCTATCTGCAGAAAGATGATGTCCGTACGCGATCCTACCGTGATTCCATCTACCAGAACCGTCACATCTTCAAGGACAAGGTCGTCCTTGACGTCGGCTGTGGTACCGGTATTCTCAGCATGTATGTTCACAATGGATACACCGTCAATTCCTAGTAGCTGACCAGGCTTACAGGTTCGCTGCCCGCGCCGGTGCCAAGCATGTGATTGGTGTCGACATGTCCTCGATCATTGAGAAGGCCAAGGAGATTGTTGCCGTCAATGGCCTCAGCGACAAGATTACTCTCCTCCAGGGCAAGATGGAGGAGGTCAAGCTCCCCTTCCCCAAGGTTGATATTATCATCTCCGAGTGGATGGGTTACTTCCTTCTCTACGAGTCCATGCTGGACACCGTTCTGTACGCCCGTGACACCTATCTCGCCGAAGATGGCAAGATCTTCCCCGACAAGGCCACCATGTACGTGGCTGCTATCGAGGATGGCGAGTACAAGGACGACAAGATTGGATGTGAGTAATGGGTTGTCCATATCTCACATATATACTGTACTAATACGCAATGTCAGTCTGGGACAACGTCTATGGCTTCAACTACAGCCCTATGAAGGAGATTGCTCTTACCGAGCCCCTGGTTGACACCGTCGAGATGAAGGCTCTGGTCACCGAGCCTTGTGAGATCATCACCTTCGACCTCAACACGGTCACCACCGCCGACCTTGCCTTCAAGGTGCCCTACAAGCTCACTGCCCACCGCCCTGACTTCATCCACGCTCTCATTTCCTGGTTCGACATCGAGTTCAGCGCCTGCCACAAGCCCATCCGCTTCTCTACTGGCCCTCACGCCAAGTACACACACTGGAAGCAGACCGTCTTCTACCTGCGTGATGTTCTCACCGTGGAGGAGGGCGAGTCCGTCTCTGGTGTGTTGGAGAACCGCCCCAACGACAAGAACAAGCGTGATCTGGACATCAACCTCTCATACAAGTTCGAGGTTGAAGACCCCACTCGCTTCGCTGAGGGCAGCTGCTTCTACCGGATGTAGGTTTCTTCTGCCTCCGGGCCATTTCCCCCGTTGGCTGGACAGTCGCTAAACCTAATCACTAGGTGCTAATTTCTTTTTGAATTTTCTGTCTTGTTCAACGATCTCTTCGACAATTTTGCACGTAATTTCGGGGACATGATTCGGCACCAAATGCACTGCAGCATCGCATGGGCAACTCAGGATTTGCACAGAGCGATTCGACATGGTTCCGACCTCGCTTTCAGTTTTCTATCTCATCGGCGTTAGATATTTTGGATGTTTTGGGTGGCAGGTAAAAGGCATTACTATATGGCGCGATACGGAGAGGTGATTATGAAGCTCCTCGAATTTCCAAGTAGATACCCCGAGTCGATGCTTAGTCTAGCAACTCCGACGCTCTTTCTCATGTCCAGTCTTCAATTCTGTAGGCAAATTCCTTGTAAACCCCTTAATCTGTGGTTTCAAAAAGGATAGAGCGGGTCATTTTCAATTAAAACATCGAAGTGCCAAGGCGAATGGAGATGTCGCGCCGTCGGCTACGACGGTAAGTAATCATTATCAGATCCTCGGCTCAACGCCTCCCCGCAATTACTGGACACCTACTTTAGCCTGCCTGTTCTCCGCACTTCCCCCCAATCTTTCACTCCTTTCTCCCCTTTCATAGCCTCACTTGTTTTTCATCATGTCTGCCCCTGGAGCTGGTCACGAATTCCCTGCCAAAGAGGTTTCTTGGCAGAAGCGCGATGTCTTGCTGTTCGCTAACAGCATTGGCGTCAAGGCCGACGAGCTGCATTTCCTCTACGTACGATCAACTGTCAATTGGTACTTGGTCACGGCTGTATCTGACACTCATTAGGAGCTGCACCCGAACTTCTCTGTTTTCCCGACCTACCCGTTGATTCTCCGTAAGTAGCGAGGCTCGGCAAACCTCGTACGATCTATCGCTGACTTGTTACCCATTGACTAGCCTTTAAGCTCACCGATCAGGAGGTGACCGATTTCTATGCGCGCCAGCAGGCTACCAAGATCCCTGGCGTTCCCGACTTGGATCATCGCCACGGTGTCGATGGACAGCGCAAGATCACAGTTTTGAAGCCACTGCCACCTACGAGCGCCGGAAGGAAGTTCGAGCTGCGCAATAAGGTCATCGGCGTCTATGACAAGGGCAAGCCTGGTACTGTCGTTGAGACCGAGCAATCTATCGTTGATGCCCAGAGCGGCGAGGTGTACTCCAAGGTTCAGAGCAGTGGCTTTTTGGTTGGCCAGGGTGGCTGGGGCGGTCCTAAAGGTAATATTCCCAATTTCAGTAGACATGAGAAGATGGTCTAACTTGAATTTCTACATAGGCCCTGCCACGGTCAACTACCCCCTCCCGAGGGCAAGAAGCCCGATGCCGTTCACGTCGTACAGACCGACATGGAAACTGCGCACTTGTACCGGTACGTCCTAATGACTCTTTTTCGCATAGCTACAACGCCCACTAATAAATCAATAGATTGAATGGCGACTACAATCCTCTGCACGCCACCCCCGAACCCGGCCAAAAGATGGGCTTCGGTGGTACTATCATCCACGGCCTCTTCAGCTGGAACTCCACTGCCCACGGTATCCTGCGTGAGCTTGGTGGTAGCAATCCCGAAAATCTTAAGGAGTTCCAAGCTCGCTTTGCATCCCCCGTTCGCCCAGGTGACAAGCTCACCACTGAGATCTGGCGCACGGGTGATGTTCAGGCTGGTGGCTTCGAGGAGCTTCGCTTCGTCACCAAGAACCAGACCGGCAAGGTTGTCCTGAGCAACGGTCGGGCGCTGGTGAAGGTGACCGGTGTGAAGAGCAAGCTGTAAATCCAAGCGGAGGGGAATATTCGACTAAATAGTGCTTCAATCTTGTTCAAATACAACCTCCCGTGATTGGCTCTCCGGGGCTGCGAACGAATCTTTTCTGCCCCCATAGCTGTTGATTTGTGTTTATAGTCTTGTATGATGTTGTTTTAAATGGCTCTATCAACCTTTGAGACTGTTGCTTCTTTTAGTGGTGCCACAACCAGTTGAGGAGGAATGCTCATTACCATCTCTAAAGACACGTGACCGTAACCTCGGCCGTTGTATCCCCCGCGCTCGGACCATTTCCCCAGACCACAACAGTTGCACGATCCATACGTTGCACCATTGAAACCACGCACGTTAGAAACCTCGGAAAATGAGTGCGGGTCGTTTTGCGTCTCTCAGAGCGTTAGCACTAGGGAGCAGCTACAGGTAATTGCACAAATGATTACTGGAGATCTCCCGGGACTAACATACATGGTCAGGCCTCAAATCACGCCATTGCATGTCTTCAAGAGTGGAGGCACGGTAGGTAACACTGAATTTCCGATCAAAAGCTTGGAATATTCTTTGATCATAATACCTTTTGTGGTATTCTAATAGGCCATCGGATCCCGAAATGTCGCTCCTCTCGCTCGGTGTCCTAGCTGGCCATCCAACGTGACCAAGCGTCTACTGTCGGATTCTGGCCACCCGGAAGGCACTGCTCAAGATGCCAATGCTTCGAAAGATCCATTTGATGATGAAAATACGAAACTGGCCTATAAATCGGCTTTGAGAAGTGGTGATGTAGTCGTCAAAACAACTGGTAAGAATGAATCGGCACCCTTCTGGCAGTTGTAAGTTTATCCTCTTGTTGTGATCTGCAATAGTTACCTAACATTAGTTCACAGTGGATCTCTATATCTCAGGTTGGTTGCCCCATAGATTTTGAAAACTGGCTATCCTGACCGATTGGACATTCCAGGGAGAATTGCCCATGCCCTAAGTGCATCCATCCGGACACAAAGCAACGGATTGTCGACACATTCTCGGTATGTTATAGTTGTAGATCTGCTGATTTCTTTCCAGCTGACTCGCAGTCATACTTTTCAAGCTCTCGCTCCGCGTCAAACCCGAAAATGTCCAAAGTAATGGCGCTGATGATGTCCACATCACATGTGAGAGGTCCGGGGATATCGCCGCCCATTTGCAATACTGACACTGCTCCAGGGAGCGATGGACATGAGAGCACTTATTCCTGGAAGTGGCTTGCGGCGCACAGGGGGAATCTAAAGCCAACTATCAAATCGCGGGATGTAAAGCCAAATAGACTCCCTAGGTATGTCTGGAGCCTATTGCGTCTACTGCATTGCTGATGCTTTTCATCAGACCTTTCAAGGCGTATGATCCTCAAAAGAGTAATCCGTATCCTGAGGTGGTGTATGAGGATGTGATGTGTAAGGACACCGCAGTGTTGGAGTGGTTGGAGAACATCGTTAGTGTTCCTCGAAGAATTGCAACCCCCGAGCTATTCGGCGAATGTGGTGACTAAGTTTTCTAGTGGCTATGGGGCTTTTGCTTCGTGAAAGGTGTCCCCGTCAATCCTGAATCTACCAAAGCGCTGATCGAGAGAATCTCATTCGTTCGACACACTCACTACGGTACATTATTCCACCACGCTTGAATATAACTTGTTACTTATTGGCTGACCGATTTACAGGTGGCTTCTGGGACTTCACTGCGGACCTTACCTACAAGGACACAGCATACACGAACGAGTATCTGGGTGCCCACACAGATAATACCTACTTTACCGATCCCGCGAGGCTACAACTCTTCCATCTGCTCTCTCACACGGAGGGCGAAGGTGGAAAGAGCCTACTCGTGGACGGCTTTGCGGCCGCCAAAGCATTGGCCAAGGAGAACCCGGGCTTTTACAATACTTTATCTCTCTCTAGGCACCCATGGCATGCAAGTGGCAATGAAGATGTCTGCATTCAGCCATCTGTCACGGCACCTGTCCTCAACATTCATCCAGACACGAAGGCCGTTTACCAAGTCCGCTGGAATAACTATGACCGCGCGCCGAAGACAAAATGGCACACATCAGAGCAGAAGGATTGGTATAAGGCAGCCCGAGCCTACAACAATCAGTTGACCAAGTCTTCAAATGAGATCTGGACCCAACTACAACCAGGCACAGCACTAAGTAAGCGTAGTAACACACCAGCACAATAGTCTTAGCTAATGTCTCTGGTTTTAGTCTTCGATAACTGGAGAATGTTGCATGGTCGCTCTGAATTCACTGGAAAGCGCCGCATGTGCGGTGGCTATGGTATGTGCAAATCTAACGCCATGGTCATTTATTTAAGTATTGTTGATGCTAACGTACCGGGCAGTCAATAATGATGACTTCATCTCACGCTTGCGGCTTCTGAAGTTTGGTCGTCAGAGCGTCTTGGACAATCTTGGAAACACGAGGGGCTGGCAGCAACGTGACAACCCATACTCAATCTATTAGATCGAGAGTTGGAAGCTTTCGGAAGCCTGTATTTTAGATTGTACAGCTACATCATCCACCCCACCTTTTCGAACTTATAAGATCATCTCTGTTTCTACGTGCTTAATCTCATATTTTACATCCGAAGGAGTAAACTTAAACATGATTGGGACCCTGTCGAATATCAAACTCAAGACAGACATTCGTGTTTTGCCTGAGCCTGCGGAACTGTTGATAATCTCACGTGATCCGCCTGACGTTATTGGAGCTCGGCCACCGACAGCTCTTCTCCAACCTTCTACGTGCACTTCTAACATCCACCTGTACTCACCCCAACCGCCATCTAATTGCTACCTGGGTTGATTCCATCAGATCCGACCTTCTACTATCCCATACGTCACTTTTTCGAAAATGTCGACTCTTGAGGACCTCGACGACCTCGACGACCTCGAGCGCGAGACCAGAGACAAGAAGCAAGACCAGGGCGATGACGATGGCAAGAAGCCCAGCGGTGATGGCGATGCCGAGATGCAAGATGCCGAGAAGAAGGAGGATGAGGAGGAGCTGCTCGATGAGGAGATCTTGCATTCAAGCACGGCGGACATCGTCAAGAGGCGGCGGATGCTGGAGAACGAGATGCGCATCATGAAGAGCGAGTTCCAACGGTTAACACACGAGCAAAGCACAATGCGGGAGAAGGTTAAGGATAATCAAGAAAAGATCGAGAACAACAGGTAAGGCGCTGGATGAAGCTGTGGATGACTGTCCCGCGGAGCAAGCCTCCACCCTTCGCCCGTGGAGCTTTCAAAAACATGCAGTAGACCGGGAGACGGGTTCCATAAAGCTAACATCGGCTCTCTGCCTAATAGGCAACTACCTTATCTCGTCGGTAACGTGGTCGAGTTGTTGGATCTCGATGTTGAAGCTGAGGCCGCGGAGGAAGGAGCCAACATCGACCTGGATGCTACCCGCGTTGGCAAATCCGCCGTTATCAAGACCTCGACACGACAGACTATCTTCCTTCCGCTCATCGGTCTGGTCGACCATGAGAAATTGAAGCCTGCTGATCTTATTGGTGTCAACAAGGATTCATATCTCATCCTCGACACGCTACCAGCCGAGTATGACAACCGTGTCAAGGCGATGGAGGTCGACGAGAAGCCGACGGAGAAGTACACGGATATCGGTGGTCTGGACAAGCAGATCGAGGAGATCGTCGAGGCTATCGTATGGCCGATGAAGGAGGCTGAGCGTTTCACGAAGATCGGCATCAAGGCTCCAAAGGGTGAGTCTTTCTTAATTACTAATCTCCACTATCTATCTCAAGATGCTAATTCCTGGTCTCTATCATAGGTGCTCTGATGTACGGACCTCCCGGAACTGGTAAAACCCTCCTTGCACGAGCATGTGCCGCCGAGACGAACGCCACTTTCCTCAAGCTCGCCGGTCCCCAACTTGTGCAGATGTTCATTGGTGATGGTGCCAAGCTCGTCCGTGACTGCTTCGCCCTCGCCAAGGAGAAGGCCCCCTCAATCATCTTCATTGACGAGCTGGATGCTGTCGGCACAAAGCGTTTCGACTCAGAGAAGTCCGGTGATCGCGAAGTGCAACGTACCATGCTGGAGCTTTTAAACCAGCTGGACGGCTTCGCATCTGACGACCGCATCAAGGTCCTGGCTGCGACCAACCGTGTCGACGTTCTGGACCCTGCTCTGCTCCGATCCGGCCGTCTGGACCGCAAGATCGAGTTCCCTCTGCCCAACGAGGAGGCCCGCGCCAACATTCTGCAGATCCACTCTCGTAAGATGTCTGTCGAGGACACCGTGAACTGGGCCGAGTTGGCTCGCAGTACGGACGAGTTCGGCGGTGCTCAGCTCAAGGCTGTCTGTGTTGAGGCTGGAATGATTGCGCTGCGGAAGGGAATGAGCAAGGTTGGACACGAAAACTATGTCGATGCTATTGCGGAGGTCCAGGCCAAGAAGAAGGATACCAATATGGGCATTTACGTCTAGACGGTGGGGATTTTCTCTGGCTTGAATCTCTCGGTTTTCTTGTCTCCTTTCTCATCTCTATTACTTACCTATTCTTCTTCCTCCTATGTCTCGTCATGTCATGTATGTACGTTGTGCGGCTCGAATGGGTCTGAGCCGGTAATTCGCTCTGCATGCGAGCGGTCCTCCTCCAAATCCAAATAACATGATGATCCTAGAATGGCCACTATCGGAGCTTTTGACGTATTTAGCGTGAAAATGTATGATATCCTTGGGATAACGCCTGCTAGTTGTAAATTCTGTTTACCAGCCTGAGTATGAAGATCGCTTGCTTTTTTGGCGACGGCACTATTTAGGTAAAAGGTAGCTACAAGTAACTATAGCATAGTCCAGCTTACCAACCACGTGCTGGGCTCCATGGAATTATTCACGCCGTAGTATGTATGCCATGGGGATAGGCTCGTTCATTAGGTATGAATTCCTTCTCAAATCTCTCCGGTAACCTATTCCATTGTACAAGTAGATAACTTTTGATCGCTCTAGCAAAAATGGGCATTAATTCATACACAACGAAGAATGTCACTCCAATGGGCCAGCCACACTATCAAGCCTTTAACCTTCCTCCTGATCCATCTCATCGCGAGAGCGCTTGCCCTTGCCAAACCTCTTGCCTCTGGTTCCCTTCTTCTCATCGATGCTCTTCATCTCCATGATCGCCTGGCGTTGAGCCTCGCCAACCCTCTCTGCAAGCACCATGACTTCGTCCTTGGCGGCTTCATACTCCGAAAGCTGCTTGCCAAGAGCACCCTCGATTCTTTGCCAGATCTCCACATCGTACTGAGTGCAGAAGCTGATCGCTACTCCGGACTTGCCTGCTCTGGCAGTACGACCCACACGATGAATGTAGGTTTTGCTGTCGGTGGGAAGGTCGAAGTTCAAAACCACATCGACAGAGGGAATATCGAGACCACGAGCAGCGACGTCTGTCGCAACGAGGATGTCTCTGCTACGGGATCTGAATTTGCCCAAGGCACCCAGTCGAGCTGATTGGGAAAGCTGTCCATGAAGAGGGATAGCACCAAAGCCGAGGGTGCGGAGAAGGAAGGCAACACGTTGCGTCTCATGAACAGTCCTCGTGAAGATGATGGCCGACTGACCGACAAACTCATTCAGCAGGTAGATTAGATAGACATCTTTGTGTTTGTGGGGGCGGAGGAGGAAGTATTGTTGGAGGGTCGAGACAGTCTGGTATTTGCTGGAAGAGACTGATACTCGAAGTGGGTTGGAGAGAGAGGCGCGTTGTAACGATTCGACCTTTGAACTGAGAGTTGCAGAAAACAGGAACGTGCGACGCTCGCGGGGAAGGACCTTGAGGATCTTGTCAAGAAGCGGTCCGAAGTCCATATCAAGCAATCTATCGGCTTCGTCCATAACGAGATATTTCAGGGCACGCAAGGAGAAACCCTTTGTGTTTTCCAAATGATCAAGCAACCGACCAGGTGTTGCTACAATGATATGCGGCTTCTTGCCCAGAGCGATAGACTGGGGGACCATATCCATGCCTCCGACAATAACTGTTGTTCGAACGTTTATCGTAGAGCCAAGGGAGTCGAAAGACTTTCCAATTTGGTATGCCAGTTCACGGGTTGGAGCGAGACACAGCGCGAAGAAAGCAGAGGGACTCTCCATGAGCGCTTGAAGAATCGGGATAGCAAATGCTGCTGTCTTTCCTGAGCCTGTCTCCGCAAGGCCGATAAGATCACGATTTTGAAGAGCCAATGGAATGGCCTCTGCTTGGATTTGAGTTGGCGCTTTGTATCCGAGATTGGTGCACGCCTCACAAATAGAGTCAATCACTCCTAGCTCTTTGAAAGTCTTCAGAGCGCTGGTAGACTTCTCATCGGAATTGGTGGCCTCGTGATCGGCGGCCTCGTCGGCAGACTGAGAGCTCACAGAGCTGACATCGTTATCATCTACAGGTGCAGATGCAGGTGCCTCGCTGGCTACCTTGCGCTTCTTGATTGCCGGCATTTTGTGTTGTTCTGTCAAAAAAAGTTGTCGCTGATCGAGATCTTCAAATAATTTAGGTGGGTCCGCAACATTGTTGATCCGCGCTGGCTCCGCCTGGATTTTTTGGAGACAAGAAAAACTTCGGGCTGGCAGCCAACTTCAACGAGCTCACCAATCTTAGTCTTTGCCGCTCGGTAGTTGATTTCTCACCGAATTTACAATGGCCAAGGCACGCGTCAAGAAGCGCACCCATCTCCGGGCGCAGAATGCCTCGGCAGCAGCAGCTGGCAAAGGCTCCGCGTCTTCAATGACCAAGGCCCCGAAGTCAATGGTCATTCGAGTTGGCGCTTCTCAAGTCGGGACTAGTGTTAGCCAGCTGGTTAAGGATGTTCGTCAGATGATGGAGCCTGATACCGCTGTGCGCTTGAAGGTATGCCGACAATTGTATTTTGCATTCGAATCATATCTAATAAATATCTCCAGGAACGCAAATCCAACCGACTTCGTGATTATACCGTAATGGCCGGCCCGCTCGGCGTCACCCATTTGATGCTCTTTTCCAAGTCCAAGACAGGCAACACAAACATGCGTCTCGCTGTCACTCCCCGAGGACCAACTCTCCACTTTCAAGTTGAGAACTACTCGCTCTGCAAGGATGTCGAGCGATCATTGAAGCGCCCACGTAGCGGTGGACAGGATCACAAGACTCCTCCGTTGCTCGTTATGAATAATTTCAACTCGCCCAATGCGACCGAGGACTCCAAAGTGCCGAAGCGTCTCGAAACCCTTACCACCACCATGTTCCAATCCCTCTTCCCTCCGATCAACCCCCAGGCCCAACCTCTTTCCTCTATCCGCCGCGTCATGCTTTTGAACAGAGAGCCCTCCGAGTCTGAAGATGACTCGTACGTCATCAGCCTACGACACTACGCTATCGCTACTAAGAAGACTGGCGTGTCAAAACGCATCCGCCGCTTGGATCCTAAGGAAATTCGCAACAGAGATAAGAAGAAGACTGCCGTGCCCAATCTTGGCAAGCTTGAAGATGCTGCTGACTATCTCCTCGACCCTTCTGCTGCCGGATATACATCAGCCAGTGAGACCGAGCTCGACACCGACGCTGAGGTGGAAGTCGCGGAGAGCACCACCCGTAAGATTCTCAACAAGCGAGAGGCGCAACGTCAGAGGGCTGGAGACAAGGCTGAGAAGGCTACTGCTACTCCCGGTGTTGAAAAGCGCGCGGTGAAGCTGGTTGAATTGGGTCCTCGCATGAAGCTCCGCTTGATGAAGGTCGAGGAAGGTGTCTGCGAGGGCAAGATCATGTGGCACCACTTTATCACCAAGTCTGCGCACGAGGTGAAGTCTCTTGACAAGAGCTGGGAGACTCGCCGCAAGGTGAAGGAGCAACGGAAGAAGCAGCAGAAGGAGAATATTGAAAAGAAGAAGGCGGCTAAGGCTCAGGCCAAGGCCAATGGGGAGGAAGTCGATGAGGAGGACGAAGATGAGGACATGGATGATGGTGAATGGCTCAGCGATTTTGATGACGAGGATGAGGATGGTGAGCCTGAAGAGGATTCAGACGATTCTATGGAAGAGTAAAGGGGTGGAAAGCATCTCTCTACGGGATCTGTGACCCTCATTTTATACCCACGAGTTTTATGGTGGTTCTGTACATTTACACGGCGTATGCGAATAAAAGTTTTAGAACAGGCATATTGGGACGCTTTTGTCTTTAATTCAGATGCTCGTTAGTATGACATGACTCGTGCGGATTCCATATCCTTAGTTTCGAACCCCCCAAAATAGCACCAAAGCATCTCATCAGTCATGCTTTAAAGGAAACCCGAGAGGTGTTGCCAAAACTATCTAGAAAGACGATTCAAAAGACATCCAGAAGAACCTTTCGAAGAGAGGAAGATGGAGCATTTCTGGATCATTTTTTTCTCCTGCCTCTAGATTCAGATTCAGACTCTGGAAATGCCAATGTATCTCTTGTGGCTTATTTCTTCAACTTCTCGTCAACAATTCGAGACACCATCTTCTCCAAGATTGCAAAGTCTCCTCCGGAAGTACCGGCAAAATATCCCTGGACACTCTTCTCGACGTATTTGCCCACAATGTCGATTTCAACATTGACCTCCTCGCCAGGTTTCTTGCCCGCCGTGACGACCTTCTCCTGCGTGTAGGCAATGAGCATGACCTCCCAGTATCCATCCTCCCCATCGACCACCTTTGTAACCGTCAAGCTGGCGCCATCCAGGGTAACGTAGCCCTTCTCAACGATGTAGCGCAGCACATCCTTATCCCGCGGCTGCAGCCGGAACACAAGCGAGTTGCCGTCGGGCGTCACGGACAAAATCTTCGCGACGGTATCGACATGGCCCTGCACGAAGTGACCTCCCATTCGTGTATCCGCTGAAACTGCACGCTCGAGGTTCACACTCGAGCCGGTCTGGAGGGATCCAAGGTTTGTGCGTCGCAGGGTCTCCGGTGCGACGCCCACCTTGAACCAGGTCTTGTCGAAGGCCGTGACGGTGAGGCAGGTTCCTGTGCAAGAAAGAACAGTCTTAGAAACATGGTTCTCCAGTGTCAAGCCGAGTGTATATAATAATATGTACCATTGACAGCAATACTGTCACCCAAGTGCGCATCAGTGAGAATCTCCTTGCAATCGGAGATGGTCAGCGACGTGCCCCCGCCCCCGCTCGACGAGGTATCGAGGGGCTCCAGGGCCGTGACAGCTAAACAAGAGGAAATAGTTAGTCTCGTCGCATTACTATCCAGCAAGGAAACAATCTCACTTCCGATCGTCTCAACCAAACCAGTAAACATTGTTGCGGGCGTGACTGTACTAATCTGCAAGGGAAAGACAAAAGTTGGGGTCGGTCGACCTCGGCTTCGGGGCCGAGCCCCGAGCGGTGCCGTCGGCGTTTTGGCGGAGTTTCGATCTATCCCAGTGCCCCATTTAACCTGCCAGGACCTCGCTGGGGGGTGGATTTGGTCTATTGTTCTCTTCGTTTTGCAAGTAGCCGGACATTTACTATTGAACAATGTCGGTTGCGCTTAGGTTAACCGTGTTTGCCCGGCGGTCGAGTCCCTCCTGCTCAAGCAATGGCTTGAGGCACATCTCGCCGCTGCGGAGGTACTCCAGCGCTCCTTCGGTGGTAGATGGGACATTACCTCTGGCGGGGATTCGAGTGCTTGATATGACGCGTGTTTTGGCCGGAGTGAGTTGATATACTGCTATTATTTCCATCACTATTTCCAGCGGGTATGCTGACGACATATTATAGCCTTACTGTACTCAGATTCTGGGTGACTTGGGGTATGTACCGCAATTGATGCTCATATAGGGCCTTGATGTTATCCAATTTATATTAGAGCGTGAGAACTGACATTGGAGAATGCAGTGCGGACGTTATTAAGGTCGAACATCCCGTACGCGGCGACGATACTCGCGCCTGGGGCCCTCCGTATGCGAAATACGAAGATGCCTCGAAGAAGGGTCCTGGCGAGAGTGCGTACTATCTGGCGGTACGTACATGTCTCGAATTGCACTGATCACTTACAGATGCTGACATGTTGCATAGGTCAATCGAAACAAAAAGTCCCTTGGACTTTCGTTCCAACACAAGTCAGGCGTTGAGATTCTTCACAAGCTCGCCAAGGAGTGTGACGTCCTCGTTGAGAACTACCTTCCAGGATCACTCAAGAAATACGGAATGGACTACGAGACTCTCCGGAAGATCAACCCCAAGTTGATATACGCCAGTATCACTGGCTATGGCCAGACAGGACCGTACAGTAACCGGGCTGGTTACGATGTCATGGTGGAGGCAGAGATGGGATTGATGCACATTACTGGATCGCGAGATGGCCCTCCCGTGAAAGTCGGCGTGGCAGTCACCGATCTGACTACCGGACTTTACACATCGAATGCAATTATGGCTGCGTTGCTTGCTCGAGTTCGGACTGGCAAGGGCCAACACATTGATGCTTGCTTAAGCGATTGCCAGGTCGCTACCCTGGCGAACCTGGCTAGCTCTGCTCTGATCAGTGGTCAGAAAGATTCGGGCCGCTGGGGCACTGCTCATCGTAAGTCAAAGGTTGAGGTGCTTATTACATTATTAGCAGAGACTAACAATCCTTTGTAGCCTCTATTGTACCATACCGGAGTTACAAGACCCTCGACGGTGACATTCTTTTCGGTGGCGGGAACGATCGACTCTTTGGTGTGCTTTGCGATCGCCTTGGGTTCCCCGAGTGGAAGACCGACGCTCGATTCGTCACGAATAGCGACCGTGTGAAACACCGGGCAGATATTGATGGCTTGATTGAGAATATCACACAGCAAAAATCCACCAAGGAATGGCTGGATATCTTCGAAGGCAGCGGCATGCCATATGCAGCGGTCAATGACATCCAGGGAACCTTGAACCACGAGCATGGTATGTTTGCCTAGTGCTATCCTTATTGACTTGCAGAATCGCTAATTCTCGTCATAGTCCTTGCAAGAGGCATGGTCACTGAAGTGGATCACCCTGCCTGCGGTCCCATTAAGCTGGTCAACACGCCCATCAAGTACTCCGAGGCCAAACCTGGTGTGCGCACACCACCACCGACCCTCGGTCAACACACTGACGAGATTCTGGGAAGTGTCCTCAATTATGAAGAGGAAGATATTGCCCGATTAAAGGAGGAGGGTGTGGTATCATGAAATCCATCAGTCTATATAAATGGGTGGGCTTCTTCTGGAGAGGGATGACCACTTGCCCTTGTAAATAGATCAATTCATCGAAATAACGAAAGGAATAAGGCGAACAGTCCCATCCAAATGAAGCTTTCCGTACCAGTACCTTAATTTGCAGGAATGGGTTTGATTTTTGATTTCGAGATCTCCCATGGTCTGCTGGTGTTGGAGGCCGTCACGTGAGGCTATACAGATCTTGGGTTGCCGCAATTACCAATTCCGAATGGGGCGTTTTCCAAGGCTTTCAAACCTCGTCGTGGGTGATTGCCTATTCCTTCAGCGCAGCAAGAGCAGAGGCAGACATGCTTCAAGGCTACTGCGGCTACCTAAACTTCACTGGTCGAACATAAATACCTCTGCTCTTCCTGGCTTCCCACCTCCTTCTTTTCAACCCTCTCAACCTCTTCGCTCATTCATCAAATTCCAACTACACCTCGATTCACAGAATGAAATCATCCATTGCGGATAAGGCCATCTCCAGCGCCGGCCTGGCTCCTCCCTCAAACCTCAAGAAAGAAGTTCCCCGAGATCGACCCCTCTCTGGGCTCCCGCCGGCACATATCAGCCCGATGGAGACGTCCCAGGACCATGACACTCGTACCAGCAGGACTGGGCGAGTCATCAAGGCCCCAACGGCGTTTACTCCATCACCAGCCGCTGTCACCTCCGGAAAGCGCAAGGGTGGTTCTCGGAAGAAAGAAGCAAATGTCGTCTGCATACACTGCAATCGGGGGCAAAGCCCGGCCACCAACGCCATCGTGTTCTGCGATGGATGCAACAATACATGGCATCAAAAATGCCATGATCCACCAATTGACAACAAAGTCATTCTCGTGAAGGACATGGAGTGGATCTGCCGCAAATGCAAGCCCCCACGTCGTCCATCAATGGCAAAGAGCAAGCCCGTCAAAGTCAAGAAGTCAGGTCGAACCCTGCACCCCCGATTGCAGGCAGGCCCTCCGCTTGAAGCCGGGGCGGATGGCTTTACGGCTGATGAGAGACGTGCATATCTCTCTAGTCTTTCTCATGCCCAGCTCGTTGAACTGCTCGTCAACATCTCCAGCAAAAATCCATCCGTGCCTATGTTCCCTACCAACATGACGGATCTACCGGCGTCACAATTCTTCTACAAGCCGAAACGCAATGAGATTGCGAAATCAGATAACGTGGAACATGCACTCACGCCGAGTTCTAATAAGAGAACTCGCGCCGAGGAAGATTCAGCTGACCCTGACTTCACCACCAATCCTCGCAAACGATCTCGCACTACCTCTATTCCGGCAAAATCGCCTCCCAAAAATCTCTCACCCGACACTGATACTGAGTCACTGAATCATCTCAATCCTCTCACTACTGCCACGCCAGAGTTGATCCCCCCATCCACTTCCACCGAACCCAAGATTGGACCCGGGACTCCTGCCAACCAGTCGCAGGGAGACCGCATCTCATTTCTCTCTCGCGACACCACACCCGAGGATGATAATCCGGATACGGAGGATGATTCGTTTGAAGATACCGTTGAGGACCATCGCTTGTACCCACGCGCCGGCAATGGTTTCTCGCCAGCTCTTGACCCCGAGGATCTCAAGATTCTCAACGAGAGCCCGGACTCTCATACTTTCAGCCATAGCATGTATGGCCCGGCGAAGAAGGCAAAAGAGTTGAATGTTCCTCCTCGTGTCTGGCAGAGTCACAGGTAGAAGAAACCTCTTGGGCACTTCAATTCCTCACAATATTGTGATCATGATCGTGGCTTGTGTCGAGCCTGTCCTTGTTCCGCCCGATCAGACTACCAATGACTAGTCAATGAAAGAATTGAATACACAAAAATGTCATAGACTAAGGACGTAGCTCATATCATCTCAAGAGTCGTAACTAGCTCCATACATAACTAGTTACATACTGTAGTCCATGCGTTCATCGACCCTATCTTATCGGCCCCACCTTTAAGCGCTTGCATCTCTGAACACCTTCAGGTTGTGACACCTCCACCTCCAATGCCAGTGACTAGGTATCGGATGACACTCTACAGCATAGCAATGCATTAAAAATACCCAGCAGCCATCATCGATTCGAGGGGACGAACTAGCATCAACAACACTGCGTGCGCATCTCTCGACCACACAGTCGCGTTCCGCCTGCATCACATCACCAAACACGACCCAGACACAACCCCCAAGCTCACCATGTCATCTCCACCAAAGATAACATCAAAAAGCACCCTCCCAACCTCCTCCCCCCGAAAACCATGGTCTCACCACCTCACCCTAGACACCCTGCTCCATGTCTTAAGAAACACCCTCCTCAGCCCATTCATCGCCTGGATCCTAGTCCTCTGCCTCCGCGCCCAAGTCACGCCCCCAACAGATCCAGCCTTCATAATTGCAGTCTCATATGCAACGATCCTGACATTACTGTTTGTTGCGCGGGTCGTCAATCATCGTGTCACGTATGGCATCCCGCGTACGGTGGATTCTGCGAATGAAGTTGTTTTGATTACGGGCGGTGCGAGTGGACTTGGACTGTTGGTTGCGCATATGTATGCTATGAAGGGGGCGAGTGTAGCGGTCTTGGATATAAGAGATATTGGCGTGAAGGAGCAGGATGAGGTGTTTGGGGAGGATGTGCAATATTTTAGGTGTGATGTTGGAGATCGGCGGGCGCTTGAGGATGTTAGAGCGAAGATTGAAGATGAGGTATGTCTACGTTTGGGTTACTTGGTGACATGTTTACATGATCGGGTTTTGAGTGATATCTGCTTTTTGGACCTATGATCGCTAATGTATGCTGCAGCTGGGCACCCCAACCATCATTATCAACTGTGCCGCGGCTCAAATCAACGGCCATCCACTTTTGGGCTTGCCAGCAGAAGCATTCGAGAAAACGGTGCGCACCAATTTGATGGCCGCGTTCCATCTCTACCAGGTTTTCTTGCCGGGTATTATCGCAGAAGCGGAGAATGGAGGCACCATCGTCACTGTCAGCTCGGTGCTGGGCCAATTGTCTCCAGCAGGGCTGTCAGACTATTCAGCGAGCAAGGCAGGACTGAGCGCACTACACCGAACAATGGAAGCTGAGTTCCGCAGCGATGAGCGGATAAAGATGTTGCTGGTGGAAACGGGGCAGATGGCGACACCGTTGTTTGATTGGGTCCGCACTCCAAGTCATTTCTTCGCTCCTGTTCTGGAGCCAGTCGAGGTCGCTCGTGAGATTGTGGCTGCTGTAGATAGCGGTCGTGGTGGCGTGCTCAGGTTACCCGCATTTGCAACACTCGTTAATTGGTATGCTGTGTTGCCAGGTGCGGTGCAACTCATAGCACGATATCTGAGTGGAATCGACAATGCCGTGTCTTCGAGCATTCAGGAACGTGATGGAGGGAGCGAGCACAGGTATCCACTCAGGTCCAACAAGAAAGCGAACTGAGTCATGGATAAAATGGACAGATGATACTGCTAATCCACATCATTTGTAAATATGAGATGAATCACCCACATCTGCCGGTCTTATGTATAGCCAGCTTGCCGAATTCCATGATGGGTATCTCAAGGGGCATGAATCAAGCAAACTGAACGTCGGCGGAGCCGCGGAGGAAGCAAACTATTGCTCGCGAGCCAGAATCATTTTCTCACGCTCACTCTTTCTTGACTTAAGGTTGGCCTTGGCAGTATGCTTCCGCATATTCTCCTCGCGCCTCTTGATCGCAGCAAGCTCCTCACGCTTGATCTCACCAGCCTTCTTAATAGGCTTGGGCAAGTGACGCTGGCGCTTGATGCGGCGGATCTCGGGCATATGCCCGTACCGCTTAATCAACGCTTGGTCATACTCCAACTTCGTTCTCTGGCGAGCGCTTTGAATTCCACTGCGATCGGAGGCATTGGCACGCCACAGACGAATATTCCCGTCATCGGATCCGGACAAGACGTACTTGCTGTCGGGAGTGAATTTGACGGAGAAGACACTACTCAAGATGTTAGTTACGACTCGGTAAATATTGGAATATATGGCAACATACCGTTGCATCCGCTTGGTGTGGTAAATATCGCGAGAGTGACCGTGGTTTCTCTTCCACAGGCGGACCGTGCGGTCGTAAGATGCAGTCACCAGATCCTCACCAGTGGGGCTGAACTCGACATCCATGACAGCGGCGACGTGATCCTTCAGAACGTTGAGAGCACGGTCCATCTTTCTCATATCGAATATGTAAGCATTGTGGTCTTCGTTGGCAACCGCAAAGTTAAAGGCCTCCATGGGATTCCAAGCAATAGCATTCGATGCCAAATTCAAGACAAGCTTCTGCACCGGCAACGAAGTGCGCAGGTCGTACATAATAATCGAGCGATCAATAGCGGTCGAACCAAGGATGGATGTCTCGGTCTGGTTGAAGGCAATCGAGGTGATAGTATCGACGCTAGTTGGCCAATGAAGAGTTTGTGAGGGTGTGGAGGAAGGTCGGGAAAGGTCGTAGATGGAGATCACCGACGAAGATGCCGCAAACGATGGAAGATTACGATGGTGCGTAACACCAGTGAAGGCACTGGAGCCAAGGTAACTTGCCATGGGAGGCGCTTCGGGAGTCGAGTTGTACGGGTCCCAGAGTTTGATAGTCTTGTCGCTTGCGCACGACAACAATTTCCGTTCGGGAGTCCAACAGAGACCTTTGACGATATTTTCGTGTCCTTGGGTGTTCCAAACTTCTTCACGGGTTGTCATATCCCACACCTTCACTACACCATCACCGCTACCACTTGCAAATCGTTCGAGCGAGCCAGGGTCCTTGGCCATACTGTAGACGCCGTCGACGTGACCATCACCCATCTGGCCCAAGAACGGAGCTGCAAACATGCGCTCCATCTTGACGGCATTGAGAGCACGAGTGTACTCACGGGCCCGCTCAAATGGGTGTTGGGCCGGGTCGAGATTCCGTGCCTGGCGGACAGTGGAGGATCCAGGCGCCTGCTGTGACGCCGTCGGGCGAGAGAGGGCTTTGATTTTCTATTATTTATTAAGAAAACATTCATTTTGACAAAACAATGGACTTCAAACTCACCATGTTGTGGATGTGCAGGGTACGTAAAAAAGCGAAGAAGGCGGCAACTCGAACTTTTTTTTCTGTTGACGGGCAGATTTGCTAAGCGGGCGGTGAGCGCCAGAGCTGCCAGCTCCAAGCTCCCCGATTCACGTCCGGCCGACCTAACGACCGCTCTGTCATCAATCACCTTCCACGCCTCTTTGTGTTCAAACGACCTCTTTCCCAATCACCAATCCATTCCTTATCACCTTTTGCTTTCAATCATGGCCGCCTCCTTGCAGGTCTCGCCACGGATACAGGAAGTCCGGGACCTGACCAAGCAGGACCCTTCCAAAGCCGCCAACACTTACCAGACAATCCTCTCTGAAGGCCCAGGGTCCACAGAGGCTTCATCGCGAGACTATGAGCAGGCATTGATTGGACTGGGAGAGTTGTATCGGGATGCAAAGAAGCCACAGGATATCGCAGACCTCATCAAGACCAGCCGAGACACCTTTTCGTCATTCGCCAAAGCGAAGACAGCCAAGCTAGGTACATCGAAACCATCGGATATATCAGTAGCCCTGCTAACAGTGACAATGTAGTCCGCCAACTTCTGGACCTCATCAGCGAAATCCCCAACACCCTCGACCTTCAGGTTGCCGTCATCCAATCATGCATAGAGTGGGCCATTGCCGAGCGGCGGTCATTCCTCCGACAGAACCTCCAAGCGCGCCTGGTAGCAATCTATATGCAGAAGCAAAGTTACTACGACGCTCTCACCCTCATCAACTCCTTGCTCCGTGAGCTGAAGCGTCTGGATGATAAACTCATGCTGGTGGAAGTGCAGCTGCTCGAGTCCCGGACCTACCATGCCCTTGGCAACCAGCCAAAAGGCCGAGCTGCCCTCACGGCAGCACGGACGTCTGCTGCTTCCGTCTACACACCCCCGAACTTGCAAGCTGGTTTGGACATGCAGAGTGGTATGCTGCACGCCGAGGACAAGGACTTCACTACCGCGTTCTCATACTTCATCGAGGCTCTGGAGGGGTATAACTCGCTCGATGAAGGAGAGCTGGCTACTGCAGCCCTGCAGTACATGCTGCTGTGCAAGATTATGTTGAACCTGGTCGATGATGTCACTCAGCTTTTGGGCTCCAAGCAGGCCCAGAAGTACGCCAGCCCCCGGTTGGAGGCTATGAAGGCAGTGGCGCGAGCTCATGCCAACCGCTCCCTGGAAGAATACGAGAAGGCACTCTCCGACTACCGGTACGAACTCGGCAGTGACACATTTATCCGCAATCACCTTCGCCGTCTCTACGATGCAATGCTTGAGCAAAACCTCATTAAGGTTATCGAGCCGTTCAGCCGTGTCGAACTGGATCACATTGCCAAAATGGTCGGCCTGGATACTCAGCAGGTAGAGCGAAAGCTGTCCCAGATGATCCTGGATAAGGTCATCATTGGTGTATTGGACCAGGGCTCGGGATGTCTGATTGTGTACGACGAGACGGAACGTGATCAGGCTTATGACGCTGCTCTGGACACGATCGAGAAGCTGAGTAATGTGGTGGAAGGACTGTATACTAACCAGGCATCGCTTCTGGAGTAGAGAGAAATGGAGCACGCAATGGATTCATGGCAATGCGATTATGTTGGGCACCATAGGAAATAATCAAAGACTATGCACGACTTTTGCATAAATAGGCTCTTTCTATCCCCTAGTTTTCTTTCAATTCGCAACTAGTCATTATTATGGTCATTAGTGGAGTTGAGATGACCTATGGTCACAATAATAATAGCCTTTAGCTGTGTTGTTCGCGACTTTCCAAATCGGGTTAGGCGGTGAGCGGCAAAAGAATCGCGACTTCTGGTCCATCTCAACTCGTCCTCATCCTCCTCCCCATCTCGCCGGGGCCCCTGCTTGATTGATTGCCAATGAACGCTCCAATGCAACCAAATTACGCCCGGGGCTATCCCCAGACTGCTGGGCGTTCCCCAGCCGCCTCCCGGCGACCTCCAGGACAAGGTTCGTCCCCTTTCCAACCTCCCCGTTCGCGCTTCTCTAACCCCGAGGTAGCTGGCGCGATGCCCGTTCCTATGCCCCAGCATGCGGTCAACCCCCAGTATATGGCTGCGCATCGCGCAATGCCCCAACCTAATGATGCGGCTCTGCGCCGCAGTCGCAAGCCGACCGACAAGAACATTCCCGAAGGCATCGAAGAGGTGGTCATCGGTGAGGGCGTCGAACAATACAAGAACCTTCGCGACTTGGAGAAGCGACTCGACGCCGCTATCGTGCGCAAGCGATTGGACATTCAAGACTCTATCAGCAAGACTGTGAAGAAGTACCGTACCCTTCGCATCTGGATTACCAACACCGTCGAGAATCAGCCGTGGCAAGGAGCCGGCACCAACCCCGGTTCTGGTCGGTACAAGGTGCGCATTGAGGGCCGGTTGCTGGACGACGATAATGATCCTACCGTTCCCGAGGATGAGGATGAGGGTGAAAAGAGTGATGCTATGGACCAGGACCAGGATGCGGCAGGTGGTTCGAAGAAGACAGAGTCAAAGAAGCCTTCTCAGAGGTTCTCGCATTTCTTCAAGACTGTCACTGTCGACTTCGATTCGCCACCCAGCAATGTTGCTGATGAAGTCAAGCCTGTCGCCTGGACCAAACCCCAGGCGCCCGCAAACGCGACGTCAGCACCAGCAAACGCCGAGTTCGATAGCATACAGTTCGCTCGCAGTTCTCAGGAAAATGTGAACGTTACCATCAGCCTGGTGCGAGATGAGACGCCCGAGCGATACAAGCTGAGCAAGGAACTTGCTGAGGTATTGGACGTTGAGGAAGAGACTCGGAGCGGAATCGTGCTCGGAATTTGGGACTACATTCGCGCCATGGAGCTGCAAGAAGACGAGGAGAAGCGACAAGTACGCTGTGACCATCGCCTACGCTCGGTATGTAACCTTGATCCCTGGAAATGCTCTCATGCTTTGAATGTTGGCCAACGATTGAGCTAACCAAATCACCCCAGATCTTCGGCCGTGACCAAATGTTTTTCCCGCAGATTCCAGAGAGCATTGGGCCCCACACCAGCCCTATGGATCCGATCAAGCTTCCTTATACTATCCGTGTCGATGAGGAATTCCACAAGGACCCCACTCCCACCATCTACGACATTCAGGTAGCGGTCGAAGACCCTCTGCGCCAAAAGATGATGGCTCTGACACAGAACCCCCAATACACAGCCGGCTTGCGCCAGATCGCCGCCATGGACGACCAAGTCGCGCTCATTGTCCAGGCTCTCACCCACTCCCGCGCACGCCACTCCTTCTACACTGCCCTGAGCAAGGATCCCGCTACCTTCCTGCGCCGCTGGGTCAACTCCCAGCGACGCGACCTTGAGACCATTCTTGGCGATGCCAACGGTGTGGGCGATGGCAGTGGACCTGAGTTCCGCCGTGGAGGTCCGGAGAGTGCCTGGGAGACCCCCGTGGCGAAGGAGGCAGTACGTTATATGCTGGCCAAGCCTGAGGCGGCAACACCTCGGTGATTGACTTGATGTCGGGGATTTTTTTGCCATGGCGGCTTTTTATGTACTTTGACTTTCTGATTGTGGCGCTCATGCGGTGTTTGGTCTGGTGTAGCTAGGGTATGTATGGTAGGGCTAATTATTCATTTTCAAAATTTCGATGTTCATGACACAGTCCTTCAATTTCCTTGACATTCCAATTTTCTAAAGTGTAACTTATTGATATAGTGTTGCTGTCGCTGGAAATGCCACTGGGCATGCCAGGCGTACATGAAGGCTGCACAGCCAAGATATGAAACTGCCTTGGCTGTTTGGAACTACAACAGACTTCGACAACCGGTAGCTTTGGATAGAAAGACTTGCCCACGGCCTACCCCGTCGTCAAGTTTTGTTTACAACCTTTGTCTATGCAGCCATCTGTCAAAATGTCCCTGATAGGCTGCAGATGGTGTCTGAGATACATGCGAGGAGGTTTAATCAATTTGTACACATTCAGCATGAATTCGAAGACCTATGTAAAATAGAGAAGAAACTCATGAAAAACCAACAGAAACCCCAAAACGCGGTGTCGCGTTCATGCACGTAACGAACAAAAGCAAGATCGCCATAAACTCGGCTCCTAGGCTGGTCCGATTTAAAGACAACGCAGAGAGCTAGTGATGAAATTTCTCCCCACTGTCTACCTCCTTTATACAGAAGCGTATGGATTATGACCGTTGTAGTGGTATCTTAGCAATCAACTCTGCCCGGCGCCGTCGCAACTCCTCGGGGAGAGTGGCATCGATGGCCGATGAGATTTGCTCAGCGGTCAGAGGCAGCTCGCCCCTCATGACTACACCCTCCTCCTCTTCCACCAGCTTCGCGGCAGCCTCGATGACAACCTCGCGTGCGAGATCCTCAATATTCGCGGGCTTCTCCTCAGCCCGCTTCTTTTCCTCGGCACCAGCAGGGGGGCCGCGGAAGCGCTTGAGGACAGTATCCACCATCTTCGAGAACCAGAAATAGTTCAGGAAGTTCAGGATCAGATTGGACACAACATACGTCAGGATCAACCAGGTGGGTACGCCGCCGGACGTGTAATCCTTAAAGCGGGCGATTTCGGCATTAGCGCGAGCACATGTCTCGTCGACACACATGGCGCCGTCCCGCAATTTGAAAACATTGGCATTGATATCCACGGGTGCCTCAAGGGGCGACGCCGAAGCCGCAGACCAGGTGTGCTGGAGTGCATACCACATGTCTTTGTAGACAACAATGGATTGCCAGGTTCCCCAGACCAGGCGACAGCAGAAGAAGACGGAGAGGAGCATCATGCCGTTGTACCACTGGGCGCGGCTGCCGGTCATGTTGACTTTGTCAAGGAACCAGTGGATATTGAGGAACGGGCTGGAGAGCTCATAGAGGATGAAGACAGGAGCATAGTAGTTGACAAAGGGTCTCTGTTTATGATTAGACAGACGGCCATGTAAAGGCTTCTTCGGGCCATTGAAATGCTAGAGGGGAATTGTATTCAACGTACAAAGCCAAGGCTAAACACCCAGAGCGCGCTGACAGCATGGAACAGCATCCCAATGCCAAACATCGAAAGATGTTGAGCGCTCACGATCAGGTCATAAATAAAGTATCCAACAGCCAGAGCCTGAATCAAGCCACAGGCACCGGTATATCCGAAGACACGCTCACCAGCTGTCATAGACCGGCGCTCGTCATCGACGAACATAATCCACAGTGCCATGACATTGATCAGCACACTTTGAATGAAGGAGACGACATGGATATCCCAGTTCAACTTGGTGCGGGCATTAAGCGCCGGGTATGAGCGGGGGAAAAGGATCGGCGACAACCACGGCGAGACCACCGAGTGGATGAACTGATAGAAGAGAAAGGCGCCGATCACTTCATGAATATGTTCGGTAAGTGTTGGACTGTTCAGCGCGAGGGCATAGGGCTCGATAAAAGTCCGCAGCCACTCGGGCGGGGCGCCTAGGGGGTCCAGCATAGTTGCTCTCAGCAGAGGCGCTGGAGGACCAGCTCTTATCGAACGTCGGGAGCTTGGTGTCGAGAAATGAGGTTTGGGATGGTGGTATCTAGGCCGGGGATACCAGGAATGAATCCTGGTGTACCATCCAGCAGTCGAGGACACTGGCAGACCTCTGGATTATACAAGAGACGACTCCAGACGCTGTCAAGTTTGAAGAAAAGGAATAAGCAGGAGCGGAGTGAAGCTCCGGAGCACGAGGCCTCGGCACGGCCTCAGGCAGCCAGATCCGTTGGGACATCACCTGACCACCTGCCTATCGTGGCAGGTGACCCGCTGCTCAATTAAGATCGCTCACACGACGACAAAGAACTATGTACGATGTAAGGACTATCCTACGTAGTAAATGGGGAAAGACTACTGACTACACCACAAGATCATTGAGCCATCAGAAGATAATAATGATTCATGACTAATCACAAAAGGAATTCATACAGCAGTTCATGCAAGCCCCATAGGAAAAAAAACAAACAAACACACAAGTGGTATATGAAACGAAGGAAAAACACATAAAACCCGAAACTCCAGATCGTCATGAAACAAAAGAAACTCACGCAGCACTGATAGCTGACTCGGTACCAAGTGCACTGTCACCAGCTGGTTCAAGCATCTTCAAGACTTCAGCCTCCATGACAGAAGCATTATCCGAAATTGGTCGGTTGGCATCATCCCGTGCTTCATATTCATCCTCCGTCTCGGGGTCTTTTGCCTCCTCGTCATTTTCATCATCGTCCTCCCGGGCAGTCATGGCGTCGTCGTCATCTGATTCTGACTCCCTGCCAGATACATAGCTCTGGTCGTCATCGGTGGTAGAGCTGGTGGCGGCATCCTCGTGTCCACTAACAGTGCTCATGTCAACGGTGCCGGTGCTCATGCCACTGGTTCGTCGATCTGTTGACACCACGCTCTCAGCGACACCGCTGCACATACTGTCGGTGCAAGTTTCGGCGTACGATGTCTTGCGATCGGTGGGGGCATAGCTCGACCGGCGCTCTGTACCAGCAGTGCTGTCTACCTCACTCTCGGGCTCGTCCTCCTCGTGGAAAGCCTCATTTTCCTTGTTGGCCATAGAGGTTCGGCTAGGCAAGGAGGTTTTCCGAAGGGCAAAGTTGGACTTGACCGAGTGGCTGCGCTTCAGACTGAAAATGCCGCTGTTCGCGCTGACCTGGCGATCGGCGATTCGATTGCCCGTCACATGGCTCAAGCTGAGAATGCGGCGCTCCTTGCCAATGTTTGGCTGAATTGGGGTAGGCCCGCCTTGGAGGCTTGTGGGCATTCGGCGCTTCAGAGCCATGCCAACTCCATTCCCGAGAAGGCTGCGGGCATCCTTGGAATCGCGGGCAGTGCTGGTGGTGCTCATTACACTGGGACTGCGGGCACGAGTTCGGGAAGACCGTGTGCTGCGGTTGCGCTTCAGGTTCATGGCGCTTATGCTACCAGAACGGCTGAGCAAGACCGAGCGGGCATGGTCGAGAACGCCCTCCAGGATGCGCTTCTCAAGGCCATCGGCACGCTCCTCCATCTGTTGCATCTCCTCATAACGAATTTCCAGGGCAGTCTCGAGACCGGAGACCTCCTTGCTAAGCTTGGTGTTCTGCTTGACAAGTTCATCCTTCTCAGTCTTGAGAGAGTGGATCATCTTCAGGAGTGAGTCCTTTTCCTCATGGAGTCCGACAATTTCGGCTTCAACCTGCTCACGCTGGGCGATCCGGCGCTCCAATGCAATGGCAGCATCCTCGGCTTCACGACGCTTGCGCTCAGTGTCCTCGGCAACAATGGCGGACTGAGCGGCAAACATCTCGTTCATCCGGCGGGCGTTCTCCATTATGTCCTTGTGCATCTCGTCAAGCTTCATCATCTGAGTGACAGAATGCTCTGGCTCCGATGCGGGGCGTTCGAGCAGGGCATCCAGTTTCTCATGAACAGAGTCACTCCCACTAGAGGCGTGGTCAAAGATTTGGTTGAGCTTCTCATAGATTTCTTCGTTGCCGGAGCCTCGGTCTAGCAGACGATCAAGCTTATTATGAAGTTGGTCGTTCTTCGAATGATCCAAAAGCGTAGTAAGGACCTCTTGGACTTGGTTGTTCTTAGCATGCTCCAAGAGGTCGTTAAGCTTGGTGTGAACGGGATCATCATCGAGGTCCCGAGACGACTCAGGCGGAGGCAAGGCAGGCAGCATAGTTGGGATGGCACTTGGGAGGGCAGACAGCTCCGACTTGACCTCCTCGCTAGACTTTTGAGAGTGATCGTAGTGCTGGTTAACAACATCCAGAATCTGCTGGACTGTCTCCAGAATCTGGGGGTGAAACTCAAGAAGCTTGCTCTCGACTCGCTCAGTAGCAGCGGCTGCCCGCTCGGTCTCACCTCGAGACTGCTCTTGCTGTGTCTTGACCTCATTCTGCATCTCCTCCATGCGGTTGTAAGACTCATCGACCTTCTCAAAGAGAGTCTTTGTGTCAACACCAATGCGCTCATAGGTCTCATTTACACTAGTCCCCATTGCACCAATGACAAGCTTGATTTCCTCGGCAAGACCCTTGGTGCTGGTAACGGCCTCTGAATGCGCCATATCACGCTCTTCGCACTCCGAGAACTTGGAATGGAAAGAAGCATGTGCATCTTCATACTTTGCCATGACCTCCCCAATCTTCTCGTCAATCTTGGCACTAAGCTCGACGATGATGGCAGCGCGTGTCTCGTCGTGCTTGACCATGGCGGCGGCATCGCGCTCCTCCTTGTCAAGCTTGCCGGCATCTTCTTCGCCGCGAGCACGTTCGAATTCTCGGTTAATGAGATCATTCAGCTCTTTGATGTTCTCAACAGTGCTGAAGTTCTCGGCAGTGATTGCAAGGCCCTCCAGGAGGGTCTTGAGCTCGGTCAGCCCCTCGGCACTACCATCTAGCTTGCTCTTAAGCTCGTCACCCAGTTCACCAACGACGAATTTGGCTTCCTCGATCTTCTCGGCAAGACCACCGTGCTCGACCTTGCGGGCCTCGAAACCTTGAGCAGTCATCTCGTTGTTGGCTTCCATTTTCTCGCGGAAGTCGGTAACGAGCGCAGACAGCTCCTGGATATCCTCCTTGGTCGGGAGTGTTTCCACATCAGGTAGCTTCAGCTCATCTACTTGAGTCTTGACTTCGAAGATCATGGCCTCTACAGTCTGGAGGTCAGACTTCATAAGTTTATCGGTATCAGCCTCCACGTCGGCCTCCTCGCCTTCTTTGGTCTTGCTCTTCAATTCATCTAGGGCAATCCAGACGTCCTTGATGAGGCCTTCTAGAGCACCAATCTCAGCCTTGGTAGGGGCATCAGCGTCGAAGCGAGTCGAAAGATCGGCGATATTGTCCTTGGCTTCGCGGATCATCGTCTCAAGGGTAGAGATATGCTGCGATGTGGCGATCTCGTCCGGAGAGGGGAAGACAATGTCATCAATCTGGGCCTTGGTGCTCATAAGGATTTCCTGGATGGCATCGGTATCCTCCTTGCGAGCTGCGGATTCATGCAACTCCCGGCTGGCACCCATGTCGCCTAGAGCGCCCATGGCAACCTGAACCTCCTGGACAGCCATTAGGACCTCATCGAGATGGCTTCGCTTGAGGGCATCTTCGTCTGGCTCAGCAGCGCGAGGGGTAGAATCGATAGACTCTACCTTGGTCTGAAGCTCGGCGATTAAAGTCTTCAAACTGTCGATATCGTTGCCGAAAGCAGCCTCTTTGGCAAGCATTAGCTCGCCACCCCGAGTGGTCTCGGCATCATCCATCTCCTTCTGAGACTGGCGAATGGAATCCATGTCAAGCTTCAGGTCCGCAAGGCCGTCTTTGATGGTGTCCAGGATCTCGGAGGTGTCAAAGTCAGTGGGCTTGTCCATGAGCTTCTTCAGATCGTCACGGATAGCATCCATGTTATCGTGGAATGCATCGAGCAGCTCGCTGGTAGCAGAGAATGTGCTTTCAGCACCATCTTTCCTGGACATGGTTTCCTCACGGAGGTTGTCGAAGTGCTCCCGAAGTGCGGCAATAATCTCGTCCTTGTCAGCTCCGGGCTCGGCACGAACAACACTCATGTCCATGCGCTCGCGCAAGTTCTCAAACTCGACTCGGATGGTGGTGAGAACTTCCTCATCTTTGCTCTTGGTCTTTTGCTGTTCGGAAACATCTCGGATAGCATCCAGGATCTCATCCTTGTCACTGGTCGCATTATCGCGGACAAGAAGAGTGCTGATTGTTCCACGCAAGTGCTGAAACTCCTTCTCCATGGCATCCAGAAGTTCTGTGGTATCAGGGTTTCCACGGGAGGCATTGCCCAGAGAGGCATCATTGATGGTTTTCTCCATGTCAGCTTGGAGCAAGCGGAATCCTTCCTTGACAGTGTCGATGATTTCATGTTTTCCTGAAACTTCAGACACCGTGGCAACATAGGACTCGATCTCTCGTCGAACAACTTCAAGGCCATCCTTGATAGCGTCAAGTACCTGTTCAGTGTCCCGGCCATTGGCGGCGGAGTACTGCTTGAATTCTTCCTTCATGCCATCAACGACGTCCTGAAGGCGAGTCATGACTTGGTCACCAACGTTCAGATTGACAGAACTGCTTGCATCTTGGAGACCAGCGCTGATGGCCTCCATGAGATCATCCTTGTTGAGTTCGATCTCGCGAGTCATAGTGTTGGCACTTTCGATACCATCAACCACAGCGTTGAACAATTCTTCACGAGTGATACTTGGCTGCTGCACCGCGGTGCTGAGGGCGGACTTTTGGGACTCTTGAGACTTCTCGAGCGCTTCGGAGACAGCCTCTACAATCTCCTCTCGGGAGAGGGATGGCTGGACACTGGGGATGAGAGCCGACTTCTCGGACTGCTGTGACATTTCAATACCGTCGGCGATGGCTGCCATGATCTCTTCACGTGAGATGCTGGCCTCTTGGGGTTTCTGTGACATCTCAATGCCGTCGGCAATAGCTGCCATGATTTCCTCACGGGAGATGGGTGAGGTGGTCCCGATACTCAGAGCCATGTGCTGTGTGCTAAATGCATCGTTCACAGCGTTCACAACGTCCGCGCGAGAGATACGTGGCTCTTCCATCCCCTTTGCGGTCGTAAAGTGCGCCTCCAAACCATCGGACACAGCGCTGACAATCTCATCCCGACCAAGGCCAGAGTCGTAGGAACCCCTGCTGAGCATGCTCTGTGTAGCCATTGATCCAGTAAGAGCATTAAGAATTTCGTCACGAATTTCATTGAGATGGTGAACGTGCTCCTCGTTCAGACCCCTCAAAGAGTGATCGGGGGCAACGCGCTCTGAGATAGCATGAATGATCTCGTCACGAATGGAGTGGAGATGGTGCATATGCTCTTCATCCAAGCTCCTGGAAGAAGTCTCGGGAGTCGCATGCTCTGCAATCGCATGGAGAATGTCTGCGCGTATGGAGTGGAGGTGTTGAATATCCTCCTCGTCTAGGCCTCTCGATGTCTCGGGAACAGCACGCTCTGCAATTGCCTGGAGAAGCTCTTCGCGCATAGAACTAAGATGCTGAACATGCTCCTCGTCCAGGGATCTGGACGTGGGCTCAGGCTTCTCGAGGCACTCGCGGATGGTGAGAATGATTTCATCTCTAGTAATCATCGGCGGGTGGTCGACTGGAGGAGGCACAAAGTTCTGAAGGCCCGTTTGGACGGCAGCCAGAACCTGCTCGTAGGTAACAGACTGTTCGTGCTTTGGCTGATAGTCCCTGAGACCTTCTGATAGACAGTCGAGGATCTCATCACGTTCAAGACCAAAGTTCTGGAGTTCGATCTCTGGCTTGTAGGTCTCCCATGCCTCGCGAACTGTCTCCAAAATATCCTCCTTCTCCATGACTGGACCATGGGGCTCGGCATGCTGAGGCTGAGGGATCTCAAACTCGTCGAGGGCCTTCTTCACTGCAGCGTAAATCTCTGCGCTGTTCATGGCTGCGCGAATCTGGGTCAAGTCGGTGGAGTGCTGTCGGCTTTCGTTGATTGTAGCAGCCAGTTGATCTCGAAGGTCGTGAAGACTGTCGTTGACCACGGCTGCGATCTCTTCGGGTGTCGCAGTTTGTGGCTGCTCTTGGGACTTGTCGTTCTCCTCGATAGCCTCCAACTTGCGTGCTATATCGCGACCCATACCCAGAACCTCGCCTCGCAACTCTCGGACCAGAGCCTTGACGCTGTTGGTCATACCACCGCTCTCCATGACGCTGTTTTTGACGCTCTGGAGCAGGGCCAGCATGTTCTCATTGCCAGCGATAGTCCTGTCGCCCTTCGGCACGTCGAGGGCCCGTACAGCGGCAGTTGGGTCCATGATAGATCCCGCCGAGGCGGATCTCGCAGCTTCGACATTGGAGTCATTCGCTAGAGCGGGTTCACGAGGTTTCAAGGAGCGCACCAAAGCGTTATTGGAAGGATCTTGTTTGGCGAGGTTGAGAATCTCTTCGAGCATTTTTGTAATCTTGGCATCGGCATCCTTGTGCGAAGCGGTCGTAGCTGGACGCGATTTGATCTCATCGACGAGTTCCAATAGCCGTTCCTCACCTTCCTTTGTAGCCATTTCGCGTAGCACTTTTTCGAGTAGAGCAATACTGGCTGAACCGTCGCTGATTGGTGCGGGTGAACCGCCAATATCACGATCGAAAGCAAAAGGATTAGGGCTCGGCATTCGAGGGACAGAGTAGCTTCTCTTGGAGGTGGGAGAACTATCCGGCTCACTGTGGTTAGGGGCGTCTCCAGGCTTCAACAGCGCACTGAGATCTAACCTTGTAAGATCACCATCCAGCATTCTACTCGTCAGATTGGACGAGAGATCTTTCAAACTCTTCCGAATATCTTCATCGCGCGCATTGGTTGCTGCTTTTAGACTGATAAGATCGGTGGCGTTGTCCTTGCTTCGGCGGCTCAGATTGGCCATCTCACGCTGCAAGTTGCTAGCAATATCAGTCAAGCTGCAAATTTGCGATGCAAGCGTATCCATGGTATGTCCTTGAGGCTCTGCCGCGGGACGGTCGGTGATCATCTTAGGAGGTTTCGAGGGTGAGGGAGGGTCGGATTCGGCCGGAAGTTGCATGTTCTGAATAGCCAACATGGTTGCGGAGGGAGGAGTACTTTCTCCAAGAATAGGTTTTGAAAGGTAGCGATTCGACAAGAAGCTGGGAAGTTCTCGGTCTGCGGTTTTTGGTCTGGAAGGATCGGAGGTCTTGCTCGTGTCTTGCGATTTGGCCGTCGGGTCGACAATGGTAGCACGAAGAGGTCGCTCTGGAGACCGATTCTCGAGGTAATTGAGGAATTCAGATCGAGCGTCAGCCTTGGTGTCTGAAGGCTGTAGCGACTGCATGCGCTTGTGATAGCCTTTGACGAGTGACCGCTCTGGGGATGAAGATTTGTTGGGCATCGGGTTGATTGTGTAGGTGCTGAGAGTAGTATCGCTCGACTTGTCTGCGAACTTGGCTGCAACAGCCTGGATACCGGGCGACACATTGGATCTGGTCGCAGGGCTCATGGAGCGAGGGTTCAATGGCAGCGGCGGAGGCGCACGCTCGGGATCTGAGCTGTCCCACCTGCGTTTACGGCGCTTTAGTGACAATCTTAAATTACTCACGAGAGGCATGATGTCTGATCAATCGAGGATCGAGAATCAAGGGTAATTATCAATAACATCGACATACATTGGAACAGAAAGTCGGCTGGACTCGGTGTGAATGCCTGGAAGCCGGACCAGTTCCCGATCGCGGGAAGAAGCGTCCCTTTCTTGGGACGGCATGATGTGGGTATGGTTCGTAAGTCGTAGAGGGAATCAAGGTGTCTCAAAGAGGTATTGACAATAATCAAGAACGGAATGTGCTGAGAGAATGCGTGCAGGGATGAAAACAAGGGTCGTCAAGGCATATCAACACCAGAGGTTCGCTAAGAGACGCAAGAAGGACGTTTGGGAAAAAAGACGGTGAAAGGCAGGTATCAATCGCCGGGAGATCTGCTTTTGATAACAGGAAGAGCGGAGGTGGAGCGAGGAACCACTACGCGGCCACCACATCATCAAGCCATTGAAGCGCCATAGCAACAAGCAACGAGGGGGCAACGGGGAAGTGCTCCGTCGTCATGTAAACAAACCGCTTTTCTGCCCAAAGTACCCACTTTGTGGTCTGAGGGCGGTGAGAGCTAACTAATGAGGTCATCCCGGATTATATCTTAATCCGAGTCCCCAGCATCCCAGTCCCAATGGAGAAATACTCCCAAAACAGACTAGTGGACACCAGTCGGTAAGAGACCCAATCACAGACCAGCACACAAATCACGCTTGCCCTGAACCCTCTGCCCGCCCAAGCGAAAAACCGAACACTTCGATCTCGACTGTTCCGCACCTCGACAAACCACCCGCCAAACCTCGCCGCCACCGGGACCTTCACAATGAAGTGTACGTATTCGATCTCTACGATTTCCTTGACCGATTCCATACTGACGAGAATGTCGCGACAGTCATGAAAGTTGGCCGTGTGGCCATCATTACCCGTGGCCGCTTCGCCGGTAAGAAGGTACGACAAATCCGACTCTTTCCCTATTCCCCGAGCACCAGAGACCAGATATTGGCAAGGAAATGCGAATGCATGAGAACAAGAAAAATAGGAGGGAAATATCTGTTGAACGAGGAAGAAGTCGAGACCTGGACAAAAGAATCTTCAAATGGAAACTGGAAAATTCGAGATTTGGATGAAACTTTGGCTGACCAGCGCATTTGTCTCGACTTTTCAGGTCGTCATTGTCCAGCCCAACGACACTGGCTCCAAGGCGCACCCCTTCCCCTACGCCATCGTCGCCGGTATCGAGCGCTACCCCCTCAAGGTCACCCGCCGCATGGGTAAGAAGCTCGTCGACCGCCGCAGCCGCATCAAGCCCTTCATCAAGGTCGTCAACTACAACCACCTGATGCCCACCCGCTACACCCTGGAGCTCGAGGGCCTCAAGGGTGTTGTCTCCAACGACACCTTCAAGGAGGTTTCCCAGCGCGAGGACGCCAAGAAGACCGTCAAGAAGGCTCTGGAGGACCGCTACACCTCCGGCAAGAACCGCTGGTTCTTCACTGCTCTGCGTACGTTTCCAGTCCACCTGGTCGAACTGAGTCGACTTGCTGTACCACTCGACTTGATTCGATGTTGTCAATGCGATATCCACATTTTACTAACATTTGACATGCAGGTTTCTAAACGGTTTTACTCGGGCGTTTTGTCGTTTTGAGCGCGCAGGGGCCTAGGGGATGGCGAGGGGAAAAAAGCATCGAGCACATTCGGTCCCTGCAACGGATTGGAAGACATATACCATAGCTGGAAACAGAATCGGGAATGTATCGATGAACTCCAGTTTGCACGGCGGCGCCGCAAAGAACTGGCGTCCGTCTAAATGAAATGGAAAACATGAACAATTACTTTTTTTTCATCTGCTTCAAATTGATTCTCCAGTGCATGCTACCTAGCCTAACTTACACATACACCGTTATACCCGCCAACCTGCGCTTTCCGACTCCTCTTTTCGGCTGCAAGATTCGCACTCGCTTTTTCTTTGCTTCGGTTCGCATCTCGTTCCAGATGCATCGGGTGGGCCTTGATCTATCTTCCTTGTGCGCCAACAACCACCAACAATCAGTACACCTCCCCACCCGTCGTCGTAGATCAACGTCAAAATTAGATTCAAGTTAAGAATGCCCAGGTGACCCGTGGCTTCACACCCATGTGATCGTATCAGAAATCTTATCTCAACTACATCGAGCGTATGTACTCCGTACCGAATTTACGGTTTCCAACTGGCCCCCGGGTCCCACGTCGTCGGCCCTTTCCCAACATCGCATGTGAAATAGCTCGCCCCCCCAAACACAGGACAACGCGATTATCATGAGCTTCCGCGGTTGATAATTGACAGCGGCGACTATGCAGCACGGGTTACAGCCGAGATGTGAAGTTTTCAGGAAAGCATTGCGAGGCGATCTGCCACTTGCAGAGGTCCTCTTGTCTTCTGATAGGACCATCGGTTTAGAGAATTGGGCAAGGGTGGCTTTGATCTACCATTGATATGGACTATTTGAGCAGGTGGTATTTCACGCCATGGCTGATAATATCTACTGTGTTCGGAGTATCCATAGAAATTTCACGATCAACTGAAGCTGAAGACTTTTTACAAAGTACAAGAGTGCAAAACACTCCTCGGAGTGGCGCAACTCGCCACAGCGGCTATATCGAGAAGGGATTGTCGGTTATAAGAGGCTAACATACAACTTACAGTAGTCACAAAAAGTACGATGGCTAGGCGAATGATAATGCCAAACGAGAACGAGCACCCATGTCGAAACTATGCACACCTAGAAAAAGAACCAAACTATTCCGAGGGCATAAAAAACCTGAGACGTGCATAAACGAATCTCGCCATGTTACCCTCAAATACTCAAACCCGACTACTCTAGCACCTAATGCAAAACATCCCATCCCACTCACCGTCCACTCGGGCTCGGGCCCACGCTATTTTTGTTTGCGACTACTAGCCTACTGCACCCGGTACTCCGTCCATGGCCACTCTTTCCCCTCGCGGCTTGCCACCCAGATCAGCCATTCCATTGCCCACTCTCGATTAGCAACGCAATCATTTTAGTGGGAAGTTTCAGTTTCATAATTCGGTAGCCTCCGTGCTACTGTAAGTACAGTAGACTTACAGGAGCACTTATCGTCGCTCATCTGGACGAATAAGACACTGGACTGGCCCTGCGAATCAGTCGACAGAATCGATGAGAGACATGTGCTTGCACAGGGATTTCCAGAACAGTCGAGTCCAGCGCCATACTTGCCGTGCTTCGTGTTCCCGTTCTTTTTACGAGTATCGAGTATCGACAGGAGCTACAGTATTAGCATTTCTGTCATTCTCTGAGGCAATGCCATCGACTAATCCAGGAAGAAGCACGACATGACACCCGTTTTTGGTACCTTTGCTCCTATAGAATGTTAAACCCCATTGACCAACCGAAACCCCCGCGCAGTGGATAATAAAGCCCAGCAGGCCAGAGAAAGTGATGACCTCAACGGTTCTCATTGTGCAAGGCCAGATGGTCCAATCGCCGAGAATCGGATGATTTCAGGACGAATCACCCAGCTCGCCAGTTGCACGCCCGGCGGGCAGCGTCCCGGGGGCCCGATCGAGAACCGGGCCAGACCTAGACCCTTACAGTTGAAAATTGGGAAACCTTGTTGCGAGGTGCTTGGCATTGTATGAAGGACAGACTATCGAGTACAGAAGTACTGCGAAGGGGGGAGAGGTTGCCGGGTGAAAATGGCATGGCATGTACGGAAAGCTTAGGTATCCGAGTTTGATGGATGCGCATTATTTTCTCGTGAAGGTGCCCCCAAGTCTTGCCGTCTGTGAATGGGTCGAGAGCTGAGGGATGTTAGGTTCAAACGGACGACGCTCAGGCCAGAGGGAGTGGATACAATGGTGCAGGGCGGGCGAGGCTGGACTCGCGGGATAGGCGTAAGTTGATCCCGGATCTGCAGGTGTCACGGTCGTCGAGGGGCTGGCGGTAAAAGAGACTAAAGCATGCAGGTCGACAACATGCCTGATAAGAGTGAATCTGGTTTCCGGAATGGGTGTTTGGAAGGAGAAGTATGAAACACAGAGAAGAGAGTAGAGAAAGGTAAGGGGCTTCAATTGGTGGACAGAGGACAGAAGGACAATCGAGGACTCGTTTGTTCAGATGAAGCCGAGTCTAGATCGAAACAATAAGCCCCAAAAGAACCTCTTTTACGGGAAGCCGGAGGAGGTTGAACCGGGCCAGTCAGTTTTGTGGTTGACGAGAAGTTTGTACTGTCCTGTCGCTCTGGGCGAGCACAGCAACCTCTGGTGGGGCCTGAAAATCGAATGCGTCAACGTTGGGACCCGCAATCACATGCAAAAAATCCAGCTTATCAGAAGCTGCTCGTGTCGCAAACTCGACGAGAGCGGTAATTGCGCGCCAAACGACTGCTGATCGGGCGAATGATGAACGGTGGGCAGATAGCCAGGTAGTATATACAGTCGCGATAAGAACGGTCGCTACATTCGCTCGTGGTAACAGGTGGGATACGGGACTAGGTTTGGAGGGGGAGAGGGGAAGGGCCCAAGAACCCAAGAACCACGAGAGAACCCAAATGCAATTCCGGACGAGGAAGAATAACATTCGATTCAGTAGAAGTGGATGCGACACCTGCAGGATGGCAATTAGCTCAAAGTTCAAACCCCCCAAACCAGGGGAGTGTGCACAGATGATGCCATTGCGCTGGGGCCCTCGAGGAGGCCAATTGCATAATGAGAGCGCAATCGAGCAATCACATGTGAAAAATGGTCGTATATACTTCCTGCCAGCCCACCTTCCTCTTACCAAAAAAATACTTTATCCTAGTCTCCGTTGTCTCTCTTGTCCTACAGGTCCCGCTTGTCCTACTTTATCATACCTCGTCATTTCCTGGATTTTCTCTCGCTCGTCTCCCTCTTTATCTTTCTCTCCTCCTCTTCCCCTCTGAAATCTTAATGCCCCACGCCCACTCGGACATGATGGGTCAACCAATTGTGAACGGCGAGAAGACTCATTCTCAATTCCTCGATGTAAGAATATACCCTCCCCCTACCATCGATATTTACCCAAGATATCGATTCTAACATCCTCTCGTCTCCCCTTTCCAGCATCTCACCTCCTACCCCGTCGTCTCCGACTCCATCTCCCTCTTCAAGAGCAACCCCTACGGCGCCAAGTCCATCGAGCTCAGCGACCACGCCTACGCCCGCCTCGCCAAGCCAGTCCTGCCCTACTTCTCCACTCCCTACAGCTATGTCGCACCTTACCTGGCCCGCGCCGATGCTCTGGGTGACAAGGGCCTGAGCCAGATCGACTCGCGCTTCCCCATCATCCGTGAAGAAACTCAGAAGATCCGCGGCACCATCTACAACACCGCTGGGTTCCCGGTCCGTGTAGCTGGCGACGTCAAGCAGCATCTCTTCGAGATCTACGGCTCTGAGTACAAGAAGTGCGGTGGTGATGGCGTCGTCGCTTCCAGCAAGGCTATCATCACGACGAGTCTGGTGCTGTCGACTGAGTCGCTGACTTATCTCACTACCTGGTTCCAGAAGGCCAAGGAGGAGGCCAAGGAAGTAGTGAACGAGAAGACCAACAGCCACTGATGTAGATTGTTCTTGTCTCCTCCTTGAGCGTTTGGTTTTTTTCTTCTTTTCCTTTCGTGTGGTCTTTTTTGTTTTTTAGAGAAAATTATACCTGTCTTTGCGATCATTTATACTGTGGTTTTGTTTTCTATGATGATTGTTCCCTCAATTGGTTGATCTCCGTGCTTGTCCTGGGTCTATCGGGAGATGTAATTGCGACAGTTCCCGCTGATATATGTTCGCCATCTAGTTACTTATACTTGACTTGGTTAGCGTTACGTCATGCGAAAGACTGCGCCTATCCTAAATTCCGAATATGAACACAATTCAATTGCTGTGCAACACCGTAATATTGTCTTCGTCAATTGAACCTCTCACTGTGTAGAAAGCGAAAGACTCGAGGTAGTAGACGTAGCTCGTTCCTTTCCGTTCCGCAAGCGCCAGAGATAAGAGCCGTGCACGGACCAACGCCCGATTCGGCCAAATCAAGTGCCGATAGTCGCGTCGCGTCAAACAATTCCAGACTCTCGCGAACAAAGAAACCCCATCTCCCACACACCTTACACTCCCACTCACACTCTACAACCATGTCTCAAGTTCGCAAACGCCGGGCGGTAAGACTACAGACACCCCCCAAAATACCCTCCATCCTCCCTTCTAACCATCAACCAAAACCCCTCTAACACAAACTCCAGACCAACGCCGACCCCTCCTCATCCCGACGCCAACGACCACGCAGCGACTCCGCCTCCCCAGCAGCAGACATGTCTGACAGCGACAGCGACAATGGCGCACCATCCAGTCTAGACGCCATGGTCAAAAAGATGGTGCGCCTTGCACTGGCGAGCGAGTACTCGCGACTACCCATCCGGCGCACGGATATCAGTACCAAGGTACTTGGTGAACAGGGTACTCGACAGTTCAAGGCGGTCTTTGAGGCGGCGCAGAAGCTGTTGCGGAGTAAATTTGGCATGGAGATGGTTGAGTTGCCCGCGAGGGAGAAGGTGACTATAGGGCAGCGGCGGGGTGAGTCTTTTCTTCTTTTTATATGCTTCCAATCTACAACATCCCAACAGAGACAGATTCCTTCCTCATACATATTGGAGAACCAAAGACTAATCCATCTTCCTTTCCTTCTTGATATATAGCCGCCCAAAAATCTGAAAAACCATCCAGTAGCACCAAATCCTGGATCCTCACTACCACTCTCCCCACCGCATACCGCACACCCGCCATCATCCCGCCCACACGCGCACCCTCCACCACCACCGAAAGCACCTACACCGCACTATACAGCTTTATCATCGCCGTAATCTCGCTAAACGGCGGTTCATTGGGTGAGCAGAAACTCACGCGGTACCTGCGCCGCATGAACGCGGAGGACTACACGCCCATTGACAAGACGGATAAATTGCTCGCGCGGCTGTGTAAGGAGGGGTATCTCGTGCGGACGAAGGAGTCGGATGGTAACGAGGAGATTGTTGAGTTTATGGTTGGGCCGAGGGGGAAAGTTGAGGTTGGGAGTTCGGGGGTGGCGGGTCTTGTGCGGGAGGTTTATGGGCGTGGACGGGGTGCTGGTGCTGGTGCTGGGGAGGAGGGATCTACGCAGTTGGAGCGTGAGATGAGGGCGGAGTTTGAAGAGAGACTTCGACGCAGTTTGGGGATTGTGGGTGTGCGTGAGCACGAGGAGGAGGAGGAGGAGGAGGAAGACGAGGAGCATCGGGAGGAAGAGCGTACGGTTAATGGCCGTGGTGGTGCTGGAGAAGCAGTTCGAAGTGCGAGGACGAGTGGAGCACCGAGACGGTCTTCGAGGAGGGCTACTACTGCACACGAGTCTGAGGCTGAGTCTTCCAGTGAGGAATCAGACACGGAGGATTCGGTCAAGTATGAGAGCGATTGATTTTGCGTCTGAGGCGTGTTTGTGCTATTGATACCCAGATATTGAAGATAGTTGAGAATTTGTTTCAACGCCAGAACCCGGAGGTTAGGTTCTCAATTAACCCAACCAAAATGAATGAGGACCGGTACGAACCTAATGACATGACTATTAACAATCTAGAATCTAAAGCTTGAATTACAACCGAAACGAGTAGGCTTTCATCCGTATATCTGCGGACCGAAATGAAGCTAATCATGACCATGATAGACGATAAAGGACAGACCTATTGCCCCAGTGACTCATTTAAAAAACCCCGCGAAATTCAAAATTGAAAGCCGTCAGCTTGTTCCGACTACATGGTTACTGGTACTCGTGGCCAGTGCCACGATCGAATAGATCCTTAGTCCAGAACGAGCCCTCAAAGGCGACTTGTCGAAGTTTTCCGGCAATCTAAGTATCGAGTACAGTACGGGAGAAAAGCAAAGACAAGAAGATCTCCTATTCAAGCGCTACACATTAGCTAGGAGTTGTCCAGTCCATTGGACCTACCCTATCCCTAGAGGAGCTATGGCACTTAAAACCTTTCAGCCATTTGGCACACGATCGATCGCCTGCACGTTCAACTGTACCAATACTGTCTTCTCCCTATATGGTGGACTTCGACCTCGCAACCCCCCAGCTAAAACGTTTTTAATCGCACGTTTATATATACCACGTTTTAGTGGCATTATAATTAACATTCTCACATAAGATAATAAGCAAATTGGACATTATATGTGCCCATGCCCAGGGACTTGAGAAGAACACACGGTATGTACACCTGAACACCCTCTAATTACACAATCTTCTGGCACCTATTTACCATGTAAGCCAGGGCGGGAAACGAGTACTGGGAGAAAATGCAAAATCAAGATTATGGTAGAGAAGAATATTATCTGAGAGTTTCATGTTGACACTAAGGATGTACAATACAAATGTATGGAGTATGCTGTAGTACTATCTCCGTAAGCTGAGCCACCAGGGCCATACACAGCGCTTGGCGATGGTTGACCCCCACCACACAATCAACTTCAATACCACACAAGATGGACCACGGAGCGACCAAAACAAGAGACTACAGTACCGTATGACAGGTATTCGTCGACAGTATGGTCTATCTACATGTCATCTACAACTGCAAACTACACTTCTACTTTACGGTTCTTGTGAAGAAAGAAAGAAAACAAGTGACATGAGTCACGAATCTGTATGTAGTATTTTTTCAGACTACACAGCAAAGTCTAGCTCCCATCCCATCAAAAGCATTTTTGGTGTTAAGAAATAAAATTAAATTCATCACGGCGTCGCTTATGGTCATCCGCAAATCATTTATTTCTTGCCAGCCTTCTGGGCGGCCTTGGTGACCTTACCGGCACCACCGGCAGACTTGTCGACGGACTTGATGACACCGACGGCAACGGTCTGGCGCATGTCACGGACGGCGAAACGGCCGAGAGGGGGTAGTCGGTGAAGGCCTCAACACACATGGGCTTGGAGGGAATCATCTTGACGATGGCGGCATCACCGGACTTGATGAACTTGGGGTGGTCCTCAACGGACTTACCGGTACGGCGGTCAATCTTCTCCAGGAGCTCAGAGAACTTGCAGGCAATGTGGGCAGTGTGGCAGTCCAGAACGGGAGCGTAACCAGCGCCGACCTGACCGGGGTGGTTCAGGACAATGACCTGAGCGTTGAAGGAAGCGGCAGCAGCGGCGGGGTCGTTCTTGGAGTCGGAAGCGACGTTACCACGGCGAACCTCCTTGACGGAGACGTTCTTGACGTTGAAGCCGACGTTGTCACCGGGGACACCCTCCTTGAGCTGCTGGTGGTGCATCTCAACGGACTTGACCTCAGTGGTGACGTTGGCGGGAGCGAAGGTGACAACCATGCCGGGAGCGATGATACCAGTCTCGACACGGCCAACGGGAACTGTGCCAATACCGGAGATCTTGTAGACATCCTGGAGGGGAAGACGCAGGGGCTTGTTGGAGGGACGGACGGGGGGCTCAATGGCGTCGATGGCCTCGAGGAGGGTCTTGCCAGTGGTCTTGCCGGCCTTGGTCTCCTTCTCCCAACCCTTGTACCAGGGGCAGTTGGAGGAGGGCTCGAGCATGTTGTCACCGTTGAAGCCGGAGATGGGGACGAAGGGGACGGTCTTGGGGTTGTAGCCAACCTTCTTGATGAAGTTGGAGGTCTCCTTGACAATCTCGTTGTAGCGGTCCTCGGACCACTTGCAGGTGTCCATCTTGTTGAGGGCAACAATGAGCTGACGGACACCGAGGGTGAAAGCGAGCAGAGCGTGCTCACGAGTCTGGCCATCCTTGGAGATACCAGCCTCGAACTCACCAGTGCCGGAGGCGATGATGAGGATAGCGCAGTCGGCCTGGGAGGTACCAGTGATCATGTTCTTGATGAAGTCACGGTGACCGGGGGCGTCTGTAGAGGGGGAGATATGTTAGGACCGTGAATCATAAATGTGATGGGATAATAGAATTGTTGAGTGATTCTTACCAATGACGGTGACGGAATACTTGGCGGTCTGGAACTTCCAGAGAGCGATATCGATGGTGATACCACGCTCACGCTCAGCCTTCAGCTTGTCAAGAACCCAGGCGTACTTGAAGGAACCCTTGCCGAGCTCAGCGGCTTCCTATAGTGAGAGAGTTAGCATCGAAAATTTTTTCCAAAGTGGGAGACCACCCAGCCCCACTCATGGAGGGGTCGAGTGAAAATTGTGATTTCCGTACCTTCTCGAACTTCTCGATGGTACGAGTGTCGATACCACCGCACTTGTAGATCAGGTGACCTGTCGAGGGGATCAGAATAGGGTCATTGAGGATGAAACCTCGATGGGCGAGATGAGAGAGGGATGCTTACCGGTGGTGGTGGACTTGCCGGAATCGACGTGGCCGATAACGACGACGTTGATGTGGAGCTTGTCGTCTTTACTGTTGGGAAAAGTCAGCTGCCATTCACAGGATGATGGGGGTTGGGGATGAGTCGATGGCTCTCATCGCGATGAGATGATGGCTCTCATCGCGATGAGATGAGTTCGACCAGGCTCGAAGGACGAGCGCAAGTGAGAGAAGACGTACCCCATGGTGACGGTTGATCAAGAATGAATTCTTGTAGTTCTTTGTAAGATACTAGAAGGATTCCGAAGAAAATTGCTCAGAGACTACGGCGTGCGTAGAGGTACTGAACAAAGGAAGAGAGGTTAGAGGAGGGAAGAGAAGAAGGAGGAAGTGGAAAGGGGGGGGGGGGGGAAGTTATACGTACTGATGCGGACGAGGGGGGGAAAGGAAAAAAATCTGTGGGAGGGGGAGGAGGGGGGGAAATCCTTATATGGAGGGGCAAGCGAGCACCAGGCCAGAGGCGAGGTTTGGGTTAGCCCTTTCCGCGTGCTGGAAGGCTCCACTGTCCACCGGCTGTGGGCACTATGATTGGCCAATGCCCAGCTGATGCCTGTCCAGTGCGTGTGCCCATTGGGCAGGTGAGGGGCAGAGGTCTCCTTCCGCTGGCGGGGCCCAGCAGAATCTTCATCGGCGGCTGGGTGTGTACTCTCTACATGCCTGCAATAGGACACTTGCATTGTCATTCGAAGTATCGACGACTTCTCTCCTTCTGCGTTCCCTGGTTCTGTCCTCCTCCGTGACTCCACTCGATGCGAATTTTTTTTTCATCGCCCTCGCCCAGCCCACTTGATTTGCCCGTGCTGGCCCTCCTATGGGGGCGGCTGGTCGACTGGGCAGCAACGCATGCGGGCCAATCCCTCGTTCGACAAGAGTTCTGCTGGACAGAGTTCTGACTGTTGGATTTTAACCTAGGTTTTGGGGGTTGTATTGGGTTGTTTTTCTTTGTTCTGGTGGGAGCTCCTCGAGGCAGAGTTTTTTGCTCCTGCACCTCAGCTTATCGAGGGGCCAAAGAACCCCGCGGCCGAGGGGCAGTCCGTCACCGCCAAAGCAGGACCCACCACGATGACTTCAACCATGTCGTGCAGTGTTGCCACATTATTATTGTATAGAAAATAGAGAGGCACAAATCATACTATTGTCCTCAAATTGAGTACTTTTTTTTTTCCTGTTTTGTTGCTGTCGGGCTCTCTTTTAAGCCTAGTCCAGCGATCGCTATATCCATAGATAGTCCATAGTCCTGTATTATTGTCAATGACTCGACCGCTCGTGGGGACCCGTGGTTGTGGCCAACCCAATTTTTCCGGGACTCAATTTGGCCGTTTGATCTGTGCGCAGCTCCCACTGACGTCGATCCAAATTCAGCTATATCAACAACGCGGATAGATGAAGATATAGTATAGAAAATATATTCATTCGTTGTAGGGCCTGACTAATTCAACCGGGGTATCTCTATCGTTGGCTGCAGTCCTAAACGCCCTTTTCGCTGAACCCGGTCGCAAAATGCGCCATTTTTTGTGATATCTGAAACAGACCCCCGACGCCCGTGATATTTCCACATCCAATCCCTCGTCAAAGCAGAGGGATAAGAAGGAAAGCACTATAAAAAACCCCCCAAAAGCAGCAAAATGCAAAATAAACGAGGGGCACAGCGAAGCGCAAATGCTATTAGACCTCGAAGCAGAGTCAAAAACAATCGCTCCCTTCCAGGCCCCTCAATTCTCTCTCCACCGAGCACCACAGCTCGTACACTGCGCCTGTCAGTCATGCCCGTGTCCATGCAAACGGTAATCGGTGATATGTAAGGGAGAGACCGACCTTCAAGAACGTAGTCATCGGTTCGTCGGCGCTACGAATCTGCAGCTGGAAGAAGTATGCACGGTCCCCATTGCAGTTCTCCGCCGGGCATTGAGCTGCAGGAAAAAGGGAGAGAAAAAGCTGTCAGCTGTACTGTACCTGCAACCGGCCCTGAGACGATCCTGGGAAGACCCCCAGGATGTTGGAGTCTGCAACTTACTAGCAACGCTGTCGGCGTTGGCAAACTCGTTTGCGCCGCCAAAGACGTCTTCCACTTCCTTCTGCTTCATCTCGGTCTTCTCATAGTATGACTTGTCGCCGATGATGTCTTCGTAAGGGCAGGTGCGGCACTCGAAGCGGTTCACGCCCATCGGGTACTGAGTGGTCGAGTCCGCCCGGGAGATGGTCAGCACATTGCTGCAGTTGGGACAGACTATAGCGGGCAAGGAAATATGTCAGTGCAGGGTTCAGGCTATTGTTCAAGGTCATCGCTGGCCCAGCTTGACGCTGGACTCGGCTCGGGGGAGGAATATCACGAACAGACGAGCGGCATCTCGACAGCTTCTTAGGTTGAACGTAGTGGTCGATAGCTCTCTTGTTTGGAATGCGCAAGAAAGAGTGTAACGACTTTAGAGAAAAGAAACCAACGCCGCCAACCCTGCGGTCGTCTTTGAAATCGCTAACTGGAATCGCAAACCTCCAATGCGCGGAAATAGCTAGGCGCGCGGCTAACTCGTGCGGCGGGGGGTCCGGAAAATCACATGATCCGGGCATATGGGATGTCCCTGGGGAAAGCAACGCCCGGGATTTACTATTCGTGTCTTGACAAAAGAGCTTGGCTTGTTTTGTTTCGAACTTTTTTTCGCCGTGTACATACTATCAGTCCCTGCCCTTGCAGCAAGGTTTCGCGACCACTCCAATTTCCTGTTCTCTGGCTGGTCCACTACACACGGCTGCCTGCGTTTCAGCGTCACCAACTCGTCCCTGATTCCGCGCAACGAGATTCCTTACAACTCTCCCAAGAAAGCCTCAATTCCAACGATTAAAGACAATGGCTGACGACGAGGTGAGTAATTTGACACTGATATATTGCTCCATTAAGCTGCTGCTAACAAGACACTTTGATTTCAGGGTGCTTCTCCCCGCGAGCTGGTCGTGGAAGCCTGCCGCCGCGACCAACCACACCTAATTGAGCAAGTCCTGCACGACATGGAGAACCAATCCAACGAGGACGTAGCCAAATTCTTCAACAAAGTCACAGATTCCATGGGAAACCACGCATTGCACATCTGCGCCAGCTACGGCAGTTGTACGTCAGCCCCCCCTCGGCCGCTACTTACATCCGCACCATCCCATACTTGGACCGCAATACTAACTCATTGATGATTTCCTGCCACAGACGATGTCATGGACGCCCTATTTGACATCCAATACTTCGAATGTGACCCCTCACCCGCATCGACAAGGACACACCACTGCACACCGCCGTACGTTTCGCCAACGAGAAAGACGCCGAGCTGGGCGCCGAGATGATCGCCATGATGTGCGAGGCTGGCTGCGATCCGCGCGTGCGTAACAAGCATGGGCAAAAACCGGCGGACTTGGTCTATGATAAGCCTGCCATTAAGCAGACGCTTGCTTCGGCGGAGTATATCTTGGCGGAGGGTATTCGCAATGATGAGGGGAATGGGTCGGTGCATGATAGTGCCAGTGATAGCGAGTAAGCTGGTGATGGGGTGTATGCCTCGAGAGGTTGGGATCTTTTCCTCATAGATGCTGTTGGGACGGATCCAGGGGAGATGCTGTCTTTGAGCGTTGGTCTGTATTTCTGTCTGACCATACAATTTTGCACGTTAGATTTGGCCTTGTTATGTGTTCTGTTCTTTCGAGGCTATGATGATTACGAATAAAGTCCATTGCATGTTTTGAAGGTCAAGATAAGGTTACTGTAGGGTACTGCAAAGCTCGGGCTTGGGCTGTCCCAGCGGATGTATATATTTTGGGGCCATGACTGAACAGTAGGTGCTCTAGGTAGTGGACAACATTCAGTCTCCAGTACTGCAAAAACATGACCAGGCCTGGGGTTGGCAAGCCGAATTGATCTCATGTCTCGAATAACAAGCATTCTAGTTCTATTTAATCGCATTGAGCTAATCTCATTCTCCCCGATTAATCAAACCCACCCATCCTGCAACTTCAATCTATACTCCGCAATCATCTCCGCCGTGATATTACTCCCCCCACAAACAACAACCACCACCTTCGTCTCCGGCCTCAAATCGGGAATCAATTCCTTCAACCGTTCGCCAACCGCAACCTCCAAGCTAATACCACACGCCAACTCCACCTGCAACCGAGTCTCATCCGCCAATCGCACGACACCCCTCGCAGCCTCGGCGTCTGAGCCCACAACGCTGGTGACTTCAATGCCCGCCGGTGGGGATACAGCATTTGCGAGAGTCTTTTCCGCGACGCACAATGCGCCTAGCGAAGTAGCCCGGGACTCGATGGCAGATAGAGAAGAAAGTTTGCCTTGCCGAAGCGCATGCGCCAAGGAGTCTGCGCCGCGGGTTTCCACCGCGAGAACACGCACGTTCTTTGCTGGAGAGGTATCTGTAGTGGAAGTCGACGAAGAAGAAGAAGACTTGATGTACTTCTCCAACCCATCAATCATCCCATTAAACAACCCACCACCCCCAACACTGCACACAACCACATCCGCCGGAAACCCGCTCTGCTCACCATCCTCTCTAGGAGGCAATTGCCTCGCCATCTCACCAATCATACCCCCAGCACCCTCCCAAATCAACGGGTGATCGAACGGGGGAACATACACATTCACACTCTCCGCCAAACCAGCCCCAGCCCTAGAACCAGCCGCACTCTGGACCTGGGCCTGGGCTTGATTCTCAATAAACTCCCGTCGCAAATACGAATCAGCGTCAAACCAGCTCTCCCCGTGCTGAATCACCTCTGTCGCCCCGGCATCCCGGAGCTTGGCTATCATTAGCGGCTTCGTGCTGTGCGGGACGATCACGGTGCAAGCGCAGCCTAGATCGCGGGCTGCGTGGACGGCGGCTAGACCGGCGTTGCCGCCGGACGAGCTATAGAAATGTACGCTCTTGGCCTTGTTGGCATTGTTTTTGAGTTCAGAGAGGATTAGGTTGCCGATTCCTCTGGGTAAGGTTAGTTTTGCTGGGCTCTTGAATCGTAGTGTGGGGAGAAGGGGGTATTTAGGGTGGTGAAGGGAATGACTTACCGGGATTTGAAGGAGCCGGAGGGTTGGAGAAGCTCTAGTTTGAGGAATACGTGGCTGAAGGATGGCTGGGTTAGTATATTTGGCTTCTGTGCTATTCCTGGTGAGGGCCCCTTGTTTGAGGGGAACTGGTCTCACCATCCTGCTTGCTTGGAGAGGGTGGCCGATTCAATTAGTGGAGTTTCGATCCAGGGCTTCTTGGTGGAAGTGTGCATTTCGGCGATATCTTGATTGAGTTACAAGATGACAATTCGTGGAGGGCGTAGGTAAGTTTTATACACGGGGTTCCCTCCCCAGCCTTACAGCCTTACAGGGGTAGGCTATCAGCACCCCCACCAGCGCGGGATGACAACGACAGGGCGTGCCGAACTTGATTTGTAGAAGATTCGAGTCTTTGCCATCTCACTACATGTCTACCATACAGCAAATTATTAATCATGGTAGAAAGAACAGGATTAACGTAGAATACAAATCACATTGGATATCATCTAGCCCACAAAAAGACAAAATCGAAAATCTAAGTCTCGAAATACACGAATGCAGGCTGTGCTAGTAGATAGTCATAGTAGACGAGACAAAATTGAAACAAAATATATGGAACAAATGCATCCATCAGCCTAGCTCAACAACTCCTGACCGAAACAGAACTTTTACGTTCGAAACAAGATACATTCCCCCCTACTGCGCACCGGCGTTGGCCTTCTTGGCCAGCACGTTCAGCGCACTACCAGCCAGAATGAACGCAGACTGATCCTTACTGAGCGTGTGCTGGACAGGGATCACGAACGACTCGCCAGTCTTCTTCTTGGTCACGCGCAGCTGGATCTCGCCCTGGCCACCGGCCTGGAGGACGTCGTACAGGCCGACGGTGTCGACGACATCGCAGGCATCAATGCGGTCATAGTCCTCGCGGTTAGCAAAAGTCAATGGCACAACACCCTGCTTCTTCAAGTTGGTCTCGTGGATACGGGCGAAGCTCTTGGACACGATCACACGGCCACCCAGGTAGCGGGGCTGCAGAGCAGCGTGCTCACGGGCGGAGCCCTCACCGTAGTTATCTTCCGCAACAACAAGCCACTCGATGCCGCGCTGCTTCCACTGCTCGGCCAGCTCGGGGATCGAGTGCTGGTTGCCGCTCTCGTCGTAGGCAACATTGGTCTCGCCGGTGGCGGCGTTGACGGCACCGATCAGAGTGTTGGCTGAGATGTTGGGCAAGTGGCCCTTGTACTTGAGCCAGGGGCCAGCAGCGGAGATGGTGTCCGTGGTACACTGGCCCTTGACCTTGTACAGCACCTGCAGGCCGCTAAGATCGCCCTTGGGGAAGGGGGCGAAGGGCTCGAGCAGAGCCAGGCGGTCCGAGGTCGGGGAGACGATGACCTCCTGCGAGGGATCAGGGACAGCAGCGCTGGGAAGGAACCTGGGGTTACCCTCCTCGAAGCCGGCCTTGGGCAGGTCGAAGCCCTTTGGAGGCTGGAACTTGAAGGTCTCGCCGCTAGGGGTGGTCAGAGAGTCTGTCATAGGGTTGAAGGTGGTGCTGCCAGAGTAGGTGAGAGCGGTAACGAGCTCCGGAGAAGCCAGGAAATTCATAGTCTTGCGGTTACCATCGTTACGGCCGGGGAAGTTGCGGTTGTAGGAGGTAAAGATGGCATTGTCCTCGCCCTTGGGCACGCCGTCGGTACGGTTCCACTGGCCAATACAGGGGCCGCAGGCGTTAGCCAGGACGATACCGCCGGCCTCGGAGAAGGTATTCAGGGTCTGGTCACGGTCGAGGGTTGCGCGGATCTGCTCACTACCGGGAGTAATGAAGAAGTCCGACTTAGGCTTGAGACCAGCAGCTGTGGCCTGCTTGACCAGGTCCTCAGCGCGGGTCATATCCTCATACGAGGAGTTCGTGCAGCTGCCAATAAGACCGGCACCGAAAGTCTCAGGCCACTTCTTCTCGCGCACAGTATCGGCGAACTTGGACAGAGGAACGGAGAGATCTGGAGTGAAGGGACCGTTGATGTGAGGCTCCAACTCCGACAGGTTGATAGTAATCAACTGGTCATACTCGGCAGTGCTATCAGCCCGTAGAAGGTTACCAGGGCCAGAAGCAGCGATCTCAGCCGCAGCCCTAGCAACGTGACCACGGTGAGTGGCCTCAAGGTAGGGCACCATGCTAGGCGAGAAGGGGAACAGCGAGGTCGTAGCGCCAACCTCGGCACCCATGTTACAGCAGGTGGCCATACCCGTGCAGCTAAGAGTCTCGACACCAGGGCCGTGATATTCAATCACGAAGCCAGTACCGCCACGAACGGTCAGCTTACCAGCCAAGTGCAGAATAATATCCTTTGGTGAAGCCCAGCCGCTCAGCTGGCCCTCAAGACGAACACCAAGAATCTTCGGGGCCTTCAACTCCCAGGGAGCATCAACGAGAGCATCAACGGCATCAGCTCCACCCACACCGATGGCAATGGCACCCAGACCACCACCGTTGGGGGTGTGGCTGTCAGTGCCAAGCATCATCAGACCAGGGGCAGCATAGTTCTCCAGGACGCTCTGGTGAATGATACCAGCACCCGGAGGCCAGAACTCAATACCATAGCGCTTGGCAGCACTCTCCAGGAAATCAAACACCTCGGCATTACCCTTGATCGAAGCCGGCAGATCGGTATCGGCACCGCGCTCACCAACAATCATGTGGTCACAGTGAATACTGGCGGGAACGGCAGTTGAGGGCAGACCGCAAGACATGAACTGGAGCAGGGCCATCTGAGCCGAAGCATCCTGCATGGCCACACGGTCCGGCTTCAACTTCAAGTTGGCCTTGCCGCGGATATCACGGCCATTGTTGGTACCAGAGAGCAGCGATTCCTCTGGGTTGTCCAAATGGGCGTACAGGATCTTCTCGGCGAGAGTCAGGGCACGGTCAGCACCCAGCACCTTCCGGACCTGCTCGAGATTGCGGACAATCTTGGGGTAGGGCGGCATACGCGACGAGGCGGCTTCGGTGGCCAGGCCACGGGAGAGTCGTTGCGGAGACAGGCGTGCGGCCAGCTATGGGAGTCAGTCTTGCATACCACAATGGAACCCGGTAGCCAATGCAGCTTGGTACTTACCCTGCGGGAGGCGGCAGCCCGCTGCCATACTAGCTGGCTCACCATTCTCAATTGCGGAGGGGTGGAAACTGGGGAAAGAGAGGCAGGGTTGAGGAAGTTCCCAAGGGCTTTTTTTCTCGGTCGGCTTTTCGTTATTTGCAGAGCCGCTGATTGGCCTGTCATTGCGCCGATACCGGGATCGCCACGAATGTGGGGAAGCGATTCGGAACTAACCTTCGGACCTTCCAGTGTTCGTATAATAGGTCAGATAAGTATCACAAGAGCTATTTGAGTGGACTAGAAGCTGTGATATGTGGTCGAGAAATCCCTTTTCGGCTGGTATTTGACACTAGGGAGCGGTTCGGGTTTATCATGCCGAGTCACCCAGCTATAGAAGTCTTGATCTATCAATGTTGCTTTGTCATTTTTGTCGACCAAATCATGGATCATGACTGGAAACTGTTCTTGCCTAAAGAGCGATTTAGTCGAGCAATATACAACTTTTGACAAGGAAAAAAAAAATTCAATTGAATATTCAAAAATATTGGCATAGCAGAATCCCCTCCACCCATATCCGATGCCAATGCCCGACTCGAGCTCAGAACTGCCCCAGATTGAACGCCCCGCATGTCATCAAGAACCAGGAACAGAAACAGAAAAGAAAAATCATTAAACACGTAAAGTCACAGGGCAGTCGAGGGCATTTCATGAATGGTAAGTCCTCCTTGCACACAAGTATGAATGGAAACATGTCAGATAGAAGCAAAGGCTTGTTTCTACAAGGAAGACCAGCCTAGGATTGGGACTCATCCTCGGCAACGGCAGCCCGGAGCTCCCAGACCAGGTCGTAGCACTCGGCAAGTAGAGAGTTGACACTGCCTTGACCCTCTGGGATATCTGGACCAATGTAGAATTTGCCGTCGACCCGCATGTTATCAATCGAATTGAGCTACTCTCATTAGTATAGGAACCGTGAGGTGCGTAATACAAAGGGAGTGGAATGTCATACCTTCATACTGTAAGGGTACAGCTCGCGAGAGTTGGACACGCCTCCGGATTCCTTAACCTCAATGAGACATCTGCGAAGAGTCTGGAGCTGATTGTAAACAGGTAGAAGGGCCTCGGACACGGGCTCGGAGGAGATCAAAAGCGCGTAGATGTATGCGTAGCTGCGTCGGATAAGGTAAAGCAATGTCTGGATGGATCACGGAGTTAGAGAGACTCGACCGAAGCTATGAGGCAGAAGACTTACCCGCTGCGCGTGAAGATCGGCGGGTTGGCCTTCAGCATCGACAAAGTTGCCATTCACTCGGGCCTCGTCAATTCGATCAAGCTTCCGCTGGTATCCAAACAAATCGGTCTCCCGGAGCGACCAAGCTTGGGTGACCGAAAGTCGATCGAGCTGATTGCGAATCTCGAGAAGGCGATCGTACTGTTCCTGGAACCGTTCATCGATTTTGCCCTCGCTACATTTCAATCAGCCACTAGTCGATAGATCTCAGGAAAGACGGGAACTTACCGCTCGAGAACAATTTCGGTCCACCGCCAGCAGCGTTCCATCAGCGACTTCAGATCATCGGATCCAGCCTGAACATTGCCGTCGGCGTCCACAAACTTGCCATCCTTGAGAGTATTTTCAATCTTCTTTAGCTGTTCTCGAAGGTTGTTCACTTCCGTGGCAGAGAACTAAAAGGAAGGAACAGCGTTAACCAATATTCTCGTGGATACACATTCCAAAGGGAAACATACTTTGGACCGGGTGTTCACAGCAGCTGTGGACCTCAGGATAGACACCAGGGTCTCATGTGTCTGTACAAGGCCGGGCGCAAGAACGGCGAGTCCCTTTTGTAATTTTGCCAACGAGAGTTGGCAATGTTCCATCCGGCTTTCGAGGAGAGTGAGAAGAGCTGGGGAGTAGGCATCACGCCCGCGGTCAAGGGTCTCTCGCATGGACTCGAGAGTCTTCGTAATGGAGTTCAAATCTTTGGAGCTGTAGAATCCCGCTTCTTCGAGGTGATCGAGAAGGCGCTGAAGTAATCGAAAATATATTAGAACAAAACAGTGTAAGGTCAAAGCATTGTAGAAATACCTGAATTGTAGTTGCAAGCGAGTACCTGGATGATGTGTAAGTACGCATAAGAGATTCGCGGGGTACACTGGCAACTTACACTGCGGGAGCTTCATTGTTCTTACCGACGGTCAAGAAGAGCAAGGAGATCAACTGGAAGCAATCATCAAGGACATAGTCCACTGCGAAAAGATACAAAGTCAGCGACGCTCTGGCATATCCGAGCGCGGGGCATCCGGCACTTACATCGGTTATGTACCAGACGGCGGTCGTGTTCTTTCCGGGCGGCATTGAGCTTATCGACCTCTCCAACTACCTCCTCATACAGTGGGAGAACATCGCGAGACTTGATGTAAGATGACTTGTCTTGTTTCAGGAGAAGGAGGGCATCTCGGGTCCGGAGCAAGCGCTCAAGGATGGGCAGCTCCCGCGGATCCAGCGGGACCGGTACGGCGGGGGAGTCCATGGCCGGAGGCGCAAAGGAAGTTGGAAATGGAAGTTCGGGTGGGATCAACTGTATTTGACGATGCGATCTGGGGTTGAACTGTGGCTGAAAAGGAGACAGAAGATGGTTGTTGGAGGGAACCCCACACGATGTGATGTCAGTTCCGGGACTGATATTGATATCGTCCTGCGATACGGGCTGAGTACGTACTCCGAGATTATGTCATCATAGACTATGACCGGAAATGGACTAGCGTAGAGGCAGTCATTGAGTCACGGGGAGGGCTCAGCGCTAAACCATATTTGGCAAAGCCCTAAGCGAGGGCTTTTTCCCACACACCGCTGGGCTGGTTACCCTGTTCGGATAGGCCTTTGACGATACACTTCTTTCCTTCTCTCCCTTCCCATCTTCATCTTCAAGACACCCAGTCCGGTCAACACCACCCCGTCGACAAAATGTCTACCGCCGAGCTCGCTGTCTCCTACGCCGCTCTGATCCTTGCCGATGATGGCATTGAGATCACCGTACGTGCAATCGTTTCCTGTTGTTGAATTCAAGTTTCATGGAGGATGCCATTCAATTCACGCAACGAGGTTTTTTCCTCTTCGCGCAGAGCTCGAATCGCACCTTGGAAGGATCACGACCGCTGAACTTTGGACTCGACATTTTGTACCGACGAAGATTCTGGCATCAGTGACTAACTAAATATCTTCATATAGGCCGACAAGATCCAGACCATCCTGACCGCCGCCAAGGTCCAGGAGGTTGAGCCCATCTGGGCCTCCATCTTCGCCAAGGTAAATCCTTGAACTCTGCACCGCTGCCTCCCGATTTCCCTGCGACACCCGAATACACGTCGATTCGCGAAAGATTTGAAATATACAGTGACTTACCAACCTTCCAATCTACAGGCTCTCGAGGGCAAGGACGTCAAGGACCTCCTGACCAACGTTGGCTCTGCTGGCCCCGCTGCCTCCGCTGGCCCCGCCGCCGCCGGTGGTGCTGCTGCCCCCGCCGAGGCTGCCGCTGAGGAGAAGGAGGAGGGTGAGTTTTTACTTGATGGACCGTGTGTATGCAGAGTGAACCGATCACTAACTCCCTCACAGAGAAGGAGGAGTCCGACGAGGACATGGGCTTCGGTCTGTTCGACTAAGCGCCTTCACCGTCCCGAATTTGAAGTCGTTTCCTTTTTGCTCTTTCCCTCATCTCTTATTCCGCCTCCGCCTCATGGCTCCCTCGACGATTCTCTCTTGTACTCGATACTCCACGACCCCTGCTACGAAGATCCAAATCACGGGGAAGAAAAAAAAAGAAAATAGCAAAAGATTCAAACGGACATGGACATTCAATGGAGCCTGGGTGCTCGGGTTACCCCCGATTCACAAAGTGGCGGGGCTAGACCCGGTCGGTTGCCGATGTGATACCGAAACTATTGTTGCTTCCAGGATTTATAGGGGAATTGAAGACAGACGTTTGGCACACCTTTCTTTCTGATTTGTCCATGATCGTGACGAAAAAGTCCGGTCTGGCGGGTAGAGATGTATGCTGTGATTCCATTGTTTTGCCCCTGCTAGATGATCTAGCTCCGTTCATGTCCTCTTTCATGCGACCATGAACCAAAGTATTCTCTTTGTGACTGTGCTTCAAGGTATTTTCGTAGTTGAAGTCTATGGGTGAGGCAATATGTAGCAGATTCATCGTCGTTTGCCTTGCACTAGATGGAAGGCATGGTCATACAACCTTCCTAGTTACCTATTCTCATTGGTTACGTACTGTCTTCTTGACTTCTTCGAAATGATAATGGAAAAGTATCGGGTACTGCAAGTTGTGTCTTGCCTTCTGGCTTGTCTATTTCACGAGTAGATGACCAAGGCGGCCGTCAACGATCTTGAAGTCGAAGGATCTTTATAGGTTGTCGATTAAGTTTGATAAGTCCAAGGAGATTTCATCGTCAGCATGGGTCGCTGACTGAATATTACCAAAACCGAACCACTTTCATGGCAGCTAGCGTAAGACCAGTCATTCAGTCACCAATCCACGATACATGCTGAGCTATAGCAAAGTGCTACCGTTAAGCAATCCAATCGCCTCAAACATCCCAAGCACCTTGTATGTACACGGCATTGCATGTTTATCATATCCAAAAGACAAAGGAAAACAGAAAACAGAAACGCCATGCTCGCCTTTTCAAATCCACTAGATGCCTCCTAACTGACTCGAGATGATACAAAGCCATTAATCAAAGCCTCCCATAATTGCTGGGCAAAGCTATCAGACATTCACCAGAAGTGACAAATATTCCACCATAAAAAAAAATTACCCAGCGAAAAGATCAATCATGAGCTTGGCAAGGTTTGAGCGTCTTGAATCGCATAGAGGCGGAATTGAATGAAGATGACCACATCTTCCGCCATGGTGCCCAGAGATCCAATTAGCCAAGGCAGGTTGGTGACCACATAATCATGGTCGGTCGAGTGGCACAGGATCTATACTCAATGTTAGTTTGCTTTAGCTAGTCGCGTCGACTCGAGGAATACATACCCCGGCGCCATAGGTGAGGTTTCCCAGAAGGGAAAGAATGAAGAAGAGGAGCGAGAGGCCTGGAGACGAGTTAGTCAATATTGCGGTATCTTGATTGCTGGATCAAAAGACGTACCTTCACAGGACTGGTCCCGGTAATTCTTATAGATCTGAGGCAATCTCGCTCTGCAACAATGTTAGCTTTACGAATTTCTTCTCGTGAGCTTGGTGTATGACTTACCCAAGATAGCACACAGCACTGGCATAGCCCAAAACCGCACCACCAGTCACCATATCAGCTGGCTTGGTATTCTCTTGTGGTGCCGGCGCCCACATCCCCGTCTGCCAGGCAATCGTCCACCCAGCCATTCCAACCACAAAGATACCAATCACACTAATCAGGTTCTTAATCCATGCCTCGCGCCCGTACTCAATCTCCTCCACAATCTTGGCCAGCGGATCCTCAACCTGGCTCTCGCGACGACCCATACCCTGATGACCGCGCATCGAACCAGATGATCTCCGTCGGCCATGAGCGGCTGGGACAGAGTCGCTGAAACGGCGGCCAAGGAGCGGGGTGGTTGGATCGGGGGTCTCGGTGGAGGAGCGCCGGCGGCGGTGAATATTCTCGAGACGCGCGTTACGCGCCTTGTAGTAGAGACATTGGGCGATTAGCACACCATCTGCGATACAGAAATACACGGCAATGGCAACGATGACGGGAACTAGGCCTGCTAGGACGCCGCCGAGGAGGTTTGTGATATCACCGATGAACCAGACGAAGACGAAGAGGAGGGAGATAGCCTCCGCGTTGCCATTGCGATAGTTCTCGATCAGTTGGGGTACCTGCAGATGATATAGGTTAGAGAGCTGTAATAAATGCTTCTTTCTCTTTTGTTCAGAGTTTTTTTTCGCGGTATTTGGAGGGGTAACCGCTTCAATGCCCCGTGCACGCAGCACGGGTCGACACAATCATGAGAGACAGCGGTCATACCAATAGAAAAATCCAGCAAGTCATAGATACCGAGCCCAGAAGGCCAGATGCTGCTTCACGGGGTGTTAGAGGCACCGTATCCTGCGACGCCATTCTGCTCAGAATCTCCGAGAGTGCCATGATGTGCGTTGCGCCTGTGCAATTTCTGCACGGAGCTTAAAGATAAGGGCGAAGGGCGGGCTGAGCTGCGCGGAAAAATGCAATCGAGTGTCTCCTATGACGGAATCGATGCGGGTCATTCCCGAGGCAACGTGGGCGGCAATGCGAGCTGCACGAGGTACGTGAACGATAATTGGGACTGGAAACGGGTTAGAAATGGAAGTTTTTTAAAGATAAGAAGAAGATTTAGTTAGCGTTGCATCATTGAGAGCACGGTGCCTCGCGAAACAATGGCCGATGACTCAGCGAGTCGATGATGTCGGGCGTGCACGGATGATCGGCCACGCGCGTACATGCATCATCGGAGGTTTGTAGCCAATGCGAGGTGCCGCATTGGACACTCTCAGCCCTACATAATTCGATATCAGATAGCACAGTTACACCAATACTGTAGTCCCGATTCAACTGTTAGAAAGGATGATACAGTACCCAGTAGCAAATATATATATATATTCGTCAAGGATACTCGCGGCTACGTAGGAGACTCAGGTGAGTTAAGGGTTGTTATCTTCGAAGAAGCCTGACGGCGACCACCTAATGGAGGCTATCTACTACCAAAAGGTACTTCGTATACAAGTCCTCGGTATGGATGTAAATCCTACAAACTCCGCCCATCTATACGGTGAAACTATAAATCATTCTCTCCGTGACGATGGAAGCGCATCCAGTCGCGAGAACAGGAAAGCTATTAGCTGACACACCAAATCTGATGTATAAAGGGGTATGCCAGGAAAGTTTTTTCCACTGCGATAGCTGCAAATGTCTGCTTAGATATAGCATGCCCAAAATTTAGTGTGCGCACGGCAAGAATGAAGTAAGATTTCCCTAGTAATTGAGCACTGAAAGGCCTGACCTGGGCCACAGTCAAGAAAAATCGCAAATTGACCAGAGCCAATATTCGAGAATCACTATATGCAGGTTGTTTACCGGCTATGATGGCCATCCACCGGAGATGTTCCTAATTAGATGGCAGTTCAAAGGGAAATACGATATTATTATTCTTTTAGAGTTGCGCTTTGTATCTAGCGCATGAGGAATTCTGCGTATTCGTATCCATAACCAGCCAGGGACTTCAATATGACAACTTCCCCCTGGTTAAATACTCTTGAATAACTTAAATAGAGTCAGCACAAACCTTCTAGCTAGGTGGAAACAGCCCCTGACAGATAATTAAACGCCAAGATGCCCTTTCTCACTGGTCTGGAGTCTCTGGACCCTACCGGAAGCTAGCAGTCGGTGGATCCGATCCGAAGCTCCCTAACAGGAAGGCCGCAGCCAGCATTAAAATACGCGCTTGCAAAGAAGGCGTTATCAAGATCAAGCTATCAGTCATGGAAAAATAAAAATGTGGGGGTTCCGCATAAATGACGGTGAAACATTGTTTCATAAGGACCGGATTATACACCGTTTCTGGCAGTGGCTACTCTACTGGACTGGTGATGGGGAACTACGGAGCACATCATAATGTACATTAAGGGTGCGCTTGGCAGCACATGAAACACTCACCGTCCCAACCTCCCTCTTCAACGTTATTTGCTTGAAGCATGGCATCGGACTCGTCTCTGTACCAGGCCTTGAAGGCGTCTCCGGCTAATTTGTAGTGTTCGTCAAGACAAGGTTTAAAAAGGTGTAGATCCCGGCAGATCTACACAATCTCCATCAGACCCAGAAGCAGTAGCACCGACTTTCATTTTCCCTCCCCAAAATGCGTGGGACTTTCATTCTTTATCTGCTTTCGGCGGCGCTCGGCGCCTCTGCTGGTCTGACCTCTTCTAACCTTCAAACTTATGTCGATGTGCTGGCACTCGACAGTGCTTTCAATCCCATCAAGGAATCCTACTGGACTGGCTATCCTCACCACCGCCGCACTCCTTTCGCGGTGTCTCCTGATGGAAAGTCTGCATACATTGCCTATCTAGATTCTAGCGAGACTGATGTTCATATTCAACAATTGGACCCTACCACCTTCAAGGCTACGGGGACTACTGTTACCGTCCCTGGTGGAAAGGAAGGTAAGATAGACCATGACTCTGATAATCCCAAGTCGAGAAGATATTCTAAATGATTGAGACATTTAGCCGGGGGTCTTGTCGCTCACAATGATGGCTTCGCTCTTCTGACCAACGAAGCCATGCCTTCGGGTACTACCAATGCGCCGCCCAGCGATACCCCCGTTCCTGTCTTGTACCGTTATACTGATGGCAAGCAAACCTGGAAAACCTGGCTGGGAGGACCTGGAGTGCACGCCGCTGACGGCCTCTCCGCTTCCCCGGACCTGAACGGAGACCTCGTCTACTCTGAAAGCGAAGGTCTATACGGCGCCTACTTCGTTGTCACTGATTACACTGGCGATGCCTCCGGTCACTTCGGTGATAGCATCCAGTATGTCACCAATGCCGGAGAGCTGGACACTATCACCGGTGCATCTAGTTCCTGGGGATGCAGCCACAACACCGGTATTGCATTCGAGGCTGCCGATCAAGCTCCGTTCGCCAGTATCTGCGCCGAGGACCAGGGCGCTATCTGGTTGAATACCAAGGGACAAGGCATGATGAATGACGGAGTCAAGATCTCGAATGAGAACACTACCAACGGTGGTTCTGGTGAGCCGATGGGTGGTATGTCTGGTAGCTATAGCGCCTTGGCTCGCTTTGCAGACACCACCAAGTACATCTTCGCCTGGGTATCTCGTGGTGCCATCGATGTGACCGAGAACACATGGATGGGCGACGGCTACACTCACGTCAACAACCGCACTAACGGCCGGAACGTTGCCATCTCCCTGTTCACAGACAAGTACACCAAGGTCGGCGCCCAGGCAACCTCCGTTGTCGGCACCGAAGATGGAGACAGCCAGGTCAACTGGATCACCCAAGGATCTAATGACTGCTCCAACGCTCACGCAGCTACCTTTGGCACCAGCTCAGCCCTGGTCACCTGGGAAGAGATCTCGAACCCGATCTGTGACTACATTGCCATGGGTTGTCGCGGACAGTTTGCGGGCTCTTTCTTCCAGGAGGTGAGCTCGGATGGTAGCAAGGTTGGCGATGCTTTCTCGAGCACTGATGTCTATGTTGCGGGTGATATGGTTACTATGTCGGATGGTCGTATTTGCTGGCCGTATGTCAGCATGGAGTGGGATCTGTCGCAGGCGGTTGGGTTTGGTACTGCTGCGACTTATCAGAAGGTGTCTTTTGCTTGTATGAGCACTGGAGAGTCTACTAACAGCACCACAACTGCTTCTGCGACGACAACTTCTGCCACTTCCACCAAGAACACTGCTACCGCTGAGACTAGTGCCGCCGAGACTACTGCCGCCGAGACTACTGCTGCTGATACCACTGCCGCCATCGTTGAACCCACCGCTACCGCTAAAACCACAACTGTTCCCGCTGAGCAAGCCGTACAAACCGTGACTACCTTCACCACCCAGGCCCGCCAGACCTCCAAACCCAACACGGTCGTGGCCACCCCTAGCAGCGTTGCGAGTGCCCAAGCCATCCCAACTGGTAGTGCGCAGGATACGCTGGACTTTATCCGTGCCGTGTTCAGATTCTTGGTTGGCAGCAACTAAACATCGAGTGGGGCTGATTGTTACTTGTATACTGTGCTTTTCAGATGCTATAGGTTGAATCCTGCTTTGGCTAGCTTCGCTTTTTCTTTGCTTTAAGCCGGGGTTCAAATATCTCATAGCACACAAAGGGTACGAGTAAACAATTCTACAAAAGTATAACATGTCGATGTCACCCTGTAGACTTGATTCCTAGCGCAGGTAGCTTAAGGACAGATTGAGCTCACTGAACAGTGAAGAGCCTGAAATCCCGAGAACCTCCAGCATAATCGACTAAGGATTCTTGCTGACCACCTCCAAGTTCTTGATCTGGTATAGAGTTGCTATCATCAACACATTAGCTTTCGTATTAAATCAAACAAGAGGAGAGAAGGCGAACATACTCCCCGTCGGACCTGGACTTCCACTGCTCCCTTCCATCTGCAAATCAATTATAAGCTCCAATGGCTGCCCAACAAGTCCCTTGGCATATTGAGTAGTAATGAGGGTCCCATCCAGATAAAAGTTGACCTTAACGTCACTCCCATTCTCATCCCGCAATTCCGCAAGAACAGTGTGGAACTCGGTTGGATTGGGATAATTGACATTCAGAGCTTCTACCGCACTAGAGGTATTGAAAGTGTTGAAGCTGATATCTCCAGTACCCTTCCACTCGGCAATATCAACCTCCGGAGGCCAGGAGTTCACACCATTCAACCAGAAAGCAGGCCATGTACCCTTGGCAACTGGGGCGATAAAGTCGGCTGTAAAATCTAGACCGCCGGATTCTGCAACAGTGAAGTGCTGTTTGGCGTACACGGTTCCCGAATCATACGCATAGTCTGAGGCCCCGGTGTATACCGCTTCTAGGGTCAGAGTTCCTGCAGTGTTTATCACTGCGTTAGAGCTGCTCATGATTGCGGCGCCGTTGTGGGTGTCGCCCCATGGGTAGTTGTAGTTGAAGTACTCCGTGAGTGAAGAGGTGGAGTCAAAACATGATTTGGGTATAAGAGTACTGTCGCGTTTGATGATCTGGCTCTCAGGACTTGGTAGTGCCAATGCCAGGCAGGGCAAAGTAGCTAGGACAAGGGACCATGAATGCTTCATGTCTATGGGTAGGTTGTATTTCGTTTGCTTAGATTCTTTTTGCTTGTCTAGTGGTTATCTTTTAGGTATCTACTGCATTTATACTCGACTGTGTGATATTCGGCCTAGCTGTCGGATGCACTTTAAGTGCAGATCGGCCTTGACTTGGATAGCTTCATCTACAAACTGTAACCGATAGAACCTGATGCTCTCGGGAAATGATTTTCCGGGTACGAACGGCTAATAAATCGTTCATTATATCGAAGCTCCGGTACTGATCAGGTTTCACAATCGAAGCGGGGGGATCAACTTTCGATGACCGTCGTAGACGATCCCCGCACGGATTGTATGCCTTGATAGGTGAAGATGAGCACCCCGCCGGAGGACTCCTTCCAGAGGTTACATTTGCTTCACTTTTAATGTTGGGATATTACCCCATTTGTCAAGGGAGTTTCCAGGATCATGTTGCGATGAGAATTTTCGGAGTATTGTGACAGGAGGTACGCAGTCCACCGGGCTATTTCGCACACTCGTCAATCCTCCTGGAGAGTCTTGAAAACGGCGCAGGCATGCTATTGTTACAGTTACCCAGCAATCCGATGATGAGAGGATAAGTACGGCGGCCGATTACGGCCACCGACTAAAAACTTATGAATAGTTACCTACCCGACCGCTCTCGTAATTGCTCTATGCCTTACACTATAGTGCTAAGTATATATATATATATCCGAACGATCGTAGAATCAACGAAACTCGTAGTAGGCCCTCTCTAGTAGCTATAATTATACAAAGAGTCTTATATAAAGGGTCTTATCTTATCTAGTATAGATTTTAGCTAATTAATCTTTATGATTTACTTTTCTAAATAGCTTTATATAGTAGAACGGTAACCTTATAGTAAAATCGAGCTAATTCTTAGTCTAAAATAGGCGTATAGGTAAAAAAAGGCTACCCCAGTACTTAACTTAGCGAAAAGCGCGAGATTAGAGATACTACGAAGCGTATAGTAGCTAGAAGTAGCTGATTTAAGAATTCTACCGGTCTTTCTGCCTTAGAAAATTGGTTTTTTAGTTGGTGGCCGTTATTGGCCGCCGTAGGATGAGTTCGGATCTTCCATTCTTTTTGCAAAGACTGTCACATGGGGAAATATGCAAGAGCTCCATGACGGTGCTACTGGCTTCAGTCTTCTCCTCGCCTATTCGTTCAGTCTACTGGGACTTGATTGAGGATCTTACGCTTTTTATTGATGGACCTATCTAACTTTGAACAGGCAGATTGCCCGTTTTTAATCGCTATTTTCAGCCACCAGCTCATCCTCCATCATCTCCAGTTCATCTTCAAGCATTGTAACCGCAAATTCTCCGATCACTTCCTGGATTGGACCGTGCAGAAGTCGCTGGCGAGACGTCTCAGGCTGGATTTCCTGGAGAGCTTCGAGGTAATCGGTTAGCGGACCATAGTCCACAACATCACCCCAGTTTCCTCGATCAACTCCATATTCATGTAGGAACATTTGCAAAGACTCGAGTCCATCCTGCAATAGCCATTGCTCAAGCACCTGCTGATCACCAGCCAAGGCGCGTACTCGACCACCAGGCGGAGCATTCTCGGCCTCATCTTGCGGAGTATCCTCAGCATCCGATCCATCATCACCCCCTGGAAGCCCGGGGAAGCGAATGCCACCGCCGTTTTGCAATTGATCCAAAAGGTCGCGAAGCCATTGAGGCCGTCCTGCTTCCGGAACTCGTGCAAGATAGGATGGTGTTGGATCGGCCTGCTGACGGAAAGCTTCTGACTCATAGGGTGGAAGAGGATCTGAAGCAGACATCCGACCAGACACGAAGCGGGTGGGAAGATGGGTTGTGACTTTGGGAATGTCGGATAGGACCACGTGGCGGGCAATATCCAACGTAATCTCTGGTGCCTCAATAGCCTGTTGATCGTTGGACAGGGTATCGGCAACCTCGACAATGAGAGAAACAGCCTCCGGCGTATTCCAAAGGTCTTTCGCTCGCGAGATGTAAAGTTCGGTAAGAAGTTCGTGAGATCCAGTCGGAGGCATCTGGCCCCAGATCTGTTTGGGGATGTGTTGAAGGTCCAACTCTTGAGCAAGTCGGTTGAAAATCCACGGGTAACGGGACATGGCATGATGAAGCTGTTGGCGGGACTCCTGGGGCTTGTTCAACCGGAGATAGGCCATGACAAGCGAGCATTGGATGTTTGGAAGGTCAGCCCAATCACGACTGAACCGTGTCTGGGTACACAAGTCCACAAATTGAGCATACTCTCGGCCACGTAGAGCAAGATGATCGATCAAAAGCTTCATACAGTAAGGATCTGAGTCATTCAAGCTTAGAAGTAGCTTGGCCCATTCGTAGGCGGTTCTCCAAGTCCCCTTCATACCCAGGTTTGCTATGTACCTCCAGCCAACCAGCCACAACTCACGGTTCCCCATGTGTAAGAAGTCTAGCCTGGCTTGACCTTCTCTTAGTCGGGTGTTGAATGATGAGTGCGCGGAGCGCCCAATATTGAACAGTGCTCTCTCCAAGAGGTCAGCAGAGACCGCATGATCACTCTGGTGTTTGGCAATCTCAGAGACCTGAAGGAGAGTCGAGATGTGGTAAGGGTTGTATTGAAGGTGGTGAATCAGGCGTTGTGGGTCCATCGACTCAACACAGAGCTCAAACTGTCTCTGTACGTCCTGATAGCCCGCGTTGTGAACGATTCGGTACAGGGTGACGCCTGACGCGAGCTTCTCCTCGAGCTCCATGCCGAGTCCTCCACTTGGTGCTCGAGGCCACTCGTCCTTGCCTTGCATCAAAATATTCCGCCGAAGTGTCACGCCCGCTAAGCTCTGCCCTCTGCTGGCCGGACTGTATCGTCCCGTCAAGGCTTGGCCAAGGTCTACCGTCTCACGATTGCGATCCCGCCGACGGCCGGTACCTGCATCAGCCGGCTGGTCAAAGTTTTCCAAAACCACATTGCCAAACAGCCGTTTCATCTCATTTGTCGCATTCAAGAATTTGGGATCGACCGCCAGCAGTTCGTCGGTGGTCTTGGGGAACGAGGCATCCTCAGTGTTTGTCGTGGTAGCCGCACCCCCACCAGCTGGCAGTTGACCTTCCGTGGCAAGATCCTTCAAAGCTCGATCGATTTCATCCAGTTCAGCATCAGATTGATTAGCTTCTGGCTCATTTACCACCGCCGCCTTAGCCTTCTTCTTCTTCTTCTTCTTCTTTTTCTTGCTGGCACTCTTAGCCTCAGCCGGCGCGAGCTCAGGCTCCGGTTGCTGAATCACTGGTTCCTGAATATTCTCCTCTGATCCCGCATCATCTTCGTCGTCGTCGTCGTCGTCGTCGTCGCCATCGCCGCCGGCATTGAGAAGATCGAAGGCGTTAAACTTCGGCTTCGTGGGGCGTGGAGGCTCCTCGTCGCTAGATGCATCTTCATTTTCTTGTTGTTGCTGCAGCTCCAGCTCGCGCAGCTTCTGCAACTTCCGGATCGCACGAGAAGACATCTAGAGGTCTCGCGCCACGCGCCACAAACGATTGAAAGAGCACCAGTCTGTCGCGGGCAAGAACAACGACAAGTAAAGATGCCGCGGGGAATGACGAAAGGGGACCCGATGAGGCTTAGCGTGGTTCTTGCCGTATGTCCACGTGACCCCTTATCTGACGGTCAAGAACCGCGCGCATTCCCCAGTTCCCTTGTGTCCTTCATTCGATCTCTCGGAGTCGTCTTGAAAGGGAGCTCCCAATATCGTCCCGTTTCACAGGGACATAATCTATTTGCTCGATTCTCCGCAGAATCAATGCGTCGGGCGGCTGTTCAAGCGTTCCGTACTGCTCGGCGTGCTCCAGTATGGAAGGTCACCACTAAACGGCCGTGCTCGCTCACTTACACCCACAACTCGGTCCGAGGCCTACGGTCATATTCGGGAGGCCGACGCCCGTCATTAGCTCCAGCGGCCCTTCAGTCCTCCATGCATCTTCGCAGGTTCTCCCTTGCCGTTATTTCAACCGTTGTTGCTTCCGGAGCCTGGTATGCTTATCGAGCGGACGGCACCGCGCAGTCACTAGCAACGCAGGTTCGAGGATTCGCCGCGAGCGCAATAACCTCTGCTCACGCCGAGGATCCATCAGAGTCGACCCGTCGCGCGCTCTTAGTGAGCAACGATCAATTCTATACTGCAACGCTTTCCGGAGACCAGCCGTTATCGAAGAACACAGACGATTCGGACCGACGTGTCCTGGAGATGTTGACACCGGAACAAGCCACGGAGAAGCTGCGCAAGAATGAGGAGTCATACTTGGTGAACAGAGGCAAGGGTGTTGTGCGATACGACATTGTTCAGGTGCCTAGCAACTCCCCTATTGAAGACGACCATGCCGAGAAGATTGTCGAGGTGTCATCATCGACGGCGGCCAGTACGAACGGAGAGCCAAACAGTGATTGGATGTTCTGGGCAGTGTTTGATGGTCATTCGTGAGGAGACCTCCGGAGGTTGCAAATCGATATGGCTTTTGGCTAATTTTAAAATAGGGGCTGGACCACATCCGCCAAGTTGCGAAATGTACTGATCTCCTACGTTGCGCGAGAACTCAATGCTACCTACAAGGCTGCTGCGGCCGACCCCTCGGTTCTTGTGCCATCGTCCGAGGCAATTGATCAGGCAATCAAACAAGGATTTGTTCGTCTGGACAATGACATTGTGCACGAGAGTGTGGACAAGGTACTGAAATCCAAGTCGCGCCGTATGGCTGCTGAGCTCCTTGCACCTGCGCTCTCGGGATCTTGTGCTCTCCTAAGCTTCTACGATTCGCAATCTAAGGATCTCAAGGTCGCCGTTGCCGGTGACTCTCGCGCTGTTCTCGGCCGCCGCGGTCCCAATGGAAAGTGGACCGCCACTGCCCTATCTGAAGATCTTACTGGCGGTACCCCTTCTGAAGTCAAGCGCCTTCAAGAGGAGCATCCCGGCGAGCCTTATGTTACCCGGAATGGTCGCATCCTGGGTGGTCTCGAGCCGAGCCGTGCTTTCGGCGATGCTTTTTACAAGTGGAGCAGGGAAGTCCAAGATAAGATCAAACAGCAGTTTTTCGGCCGCACACCTCACCCCCTCTTGAAGACTCCCCCATATGTCACTGCTGAGCCCGTTATCACTACCACTAAGATTGACCCATCTCAAGGCGATTTTATCGTCATGGCCACTGATGGTCTCTGGGAGATGCTGAGCAATGAGGAAGTAGTTGGCTTGGTTGGTCAATGGTTGGAGCAACAGCAGTCTGGCAGCGGTGGATCTAAGGCTTGGCTGCAAAGCTGGTTCAGTTTCGACAGCCAAAAGCAGTTGCCCGTGGAGCCAGCCAAGGATCAATCTACTGAGGGCCAGCGCCGTCCCATCCGCCAACAGCAATATGATATCTCTGGTGCAGCCAGCCGATTTGTTGTTGAGGACAAGAATGCCGCTACTCACCTCGTCCGTAACGCCATGGGTGGAAAGGACAAGGACATGGTTTGTGCTTTGTTGACTCTACCTGCCCCATACTCTCGCCGATATCGGTATGTATCGTCTACACTCGTTAATCCTCAACGGTATGCTAACCGCTTGCTTTTGCATTTTAGGGACGATGTCACCGTTGAGGTTATCTTCTTCGGCCAAGGTCCTGACACCCGTACTGGTACAGTTGAGATCAACAAGGAAGCCAGCGCTTCGGAAGAGCCCCCCAAAGCGAAGTTGTAAGCTGGCTGGGTCTGACTTTGTCACTGTGCCTCCCAGAATAGGGGCGTGGGATACGGTGGCTTGGTACTTTACCGTTCTTTTCTCGAATGATTTTTCTCAAATACTCGTCCAGCACTTCACGGATCTGGGAGCGAAGGGAGCGAAGGCCCAACCTTAAGGGTTGTTGATTTACTGCAATTCTCGAATATTACCAGTGATTGGGTGGTTTTGTGCCTCTACGGGATTATCATCTGACATCTGTACAGATCTCTGCTATCTATCATGCGCAATATAACGATTGACCCGCAAGCTGCGGGGGAATTCTAAGAGATAAGATCCAACTCAAGTGGCGTAGCCTAATAGTTCAGAATCTACGTAGCAAGACGTGGTAGTTTAAAGTGAGCCTGTCCGTGTGGTGCGCGAGGAAGAACCGCACACAACGATAAGGAGGGAAAAGAACAAGCCGGAATATCGTGGACGTAGACAAATATCCTGATTGGGTATGGGTATACACCGTCAAAAGATTGATGATTTGGAGAATCTATTTTCTTCGTTGGTTTTTGATTGTCTTTAATTGTACAGGTTTGATGATATGGAGTATATAGTACAAGAGCCCCCGTGCATTGCGTGGCTATTCTGTGCCCGTAAAATGACAAGGGCCTGCAAGGAGCGAGAATGCTTGGAAGATAGCACGAGCGGTGAACTTCTCTTGAAGCCCGATTCGGCCCACTGAGCGTCCGTTTCGTGGTTTCGAATTCGAGGTAGCCGAGGCTACGAGATTTATTGCAGTGGGGGAATCATGATTCCGCTGGGGTCAATGCGTGTCTCAGGTCTGGGCCATCGGATGAGAATATTAGAGTATTCTTTTCCAGCCGGTTCACATTTGCTGTTTCTTGAGTTCCCTCAGCGCAGTTTCATATGGAACGGATCCGAAGCTTCAGGATTGTCGTAATCGACATAGCGTCTGGAGGACACTGGGATTGGCGGCTTCATGAACATCTTCTTCTCCAAAATGTAGGTCTGCAGCGTGGCAATACTAGAGCTACTGATCCAGTAGATCAAAAGAGCGACTGGCATCTCATAGAGATATGCGGACACGCCCACGTTCAGCGCCAGAATCTGGATTAAGAGACGTATACCGTTGAAAGAAGCGGCCCGGTACATCTCCATCTTTGGCATATCGGCCAGTTCAGCGCGCGATGTTGCTTTCCAGCCGGCCTGGACATTCAGAAGAATGGAAGCCGCGAGGACTGCCGGCAAGATACCGGTCGAGTCACCCGCAAGTAGATTGGGGAACCATAGTGCACCCTCATTAGCGAAGGTGGGTTCCACTACTAGATGGAGAGAGTTGACGGCGGCATCGGTGGCTTCCCGATCACCCTCTATCAATGAGAGTAGCCATGGCACCAGGCCGTTCTTATTCCCGGACATTCCACGGATACTCTCCATGAGCATGATCCAGACTGGCAATTGCAGAACGGGCGCAAAGCGGGCCGTGGCCGAGATACCCCATCGCTTGTGTACAAACTTGATCTTATCGTGGTATTCTCTGTCGATTTCCATACGGGGCTGCTTAGAGAGCGGGCCTCCGCCCAGCTGCTTCTTCCTTGAATCGGCCCAGTTTGCCCAGGCCTGCTTGAGGGGTAAGATGTCTCGTCCGCGTCGTGCATGGACTCTGGTGTACATTTGTAAGGGCAAGCCGACTAGTGTTCGCACCAAAAGGGCCGTGAGCGGGATTGAGGCCACCCATGGCAGGCCGGTGATATTGTGTACGCCATGGATGAGCCCGGCGGAGGCATCGAGAGCTTCATTGATCCACGGAGCTGGTTTGGTCGGGTGGAAGTGTCGGAGCTGCGAGCGTGCCGCCAGCGGCAGGGCCCTGTGGGGGGCGCGCAATACCCTGGAACGAACCGAGTTCATGACCGACCGGGAGGGCACGAGGGGATAATCACCAGCGTGAGAATTCCTGTTTTCTCCAACTCGCAGATCAGGTCAAAAGATCATCGAAGAGCTCCGAGCGGAGGAATGGCCGACTCGGGGAAATTCAGGTCCACTGGAGCCTGTATCATGTGACGCGTATTGTAAGTTACGTTCCACGTCAACTGATCGAACGGCGGGCACAGGCGGGGCCCTGGTGTTGACTGGCATCCCGAACAAGTCATCTCCTTCTCCTTCTTCTCTCACCATCCCTCTTAACCTCCCCCGGACACCCCATTCGAATCGCGGGTACTATGCGTGGATCCTGGTGAAAATCCGACGCAACCATGGCCATCCTGACCACCGCCATTCTCGTGCTCTTGATCGCCGCGACGACCGCCTTCCTGCTCCCTCAGCTTATAGGCAGCGTGGTAGGGCTGGTTCTGCGCGGCGCGGGGTGGCTGATCCGCCGACGCACTCGATCTCGGCGTGAATATGTGATCGCGCGGGCGCGATCAGATGAAGAGGAACTATTAAAGACGCTGCGCGCAAAGAACTTGACACACTCACTGGCGCGGAGCTCGGCCGAGGATGAGGATTGGGAAAAGGTGGATGATACTGCTGGATCTGGTGGAGTGAAGACGTCCAGCAGCAGTGACAGCGGTGTCGGTGACGGAGCAAAGAGACCGGATGACTGGAATGGAATTATCGGATTCTTCCATCCATTCTGGTAGGGCTAGCTTTCGATTTACTTTTGTTGTTTCGTGGAAATTGATCACTGACTTGGTGATTTTATAGTAATGCTGGTGGCGGTGGAGAGCGTGTACTCTGGGAAGCAGTGCGCGCAACACAGAAACGCTGGCCCAAGGCGATATGCGCTATCTACACCGGCGACCATGAAGTCAACAAAGCGACCATGTTGGAGCGAGTCGAGAACAGATTCAACATTCATTTGCATGCTCCGACAGTGGTGCTCCTGTACTTGACCACCCGCAAATACGTCGTCGCCAGCTCTTACTCACACATGACGCTGCTGTTGCAGTCGTTGGGATCGCTGGTTGTCGCATACGACGCCTTTACACTCCTGGTGCCGGACGTATTCATTGATACCATGGGCTATGCCTTTACGTTGGCACTATGCAAATGGCTCTTCCCTACCGTGCCAACTGGCGCTTACGTGCACTACCCGACTATTTCCACGGATATGCTCGCATCTCTCGACGACCAAAGCGGGATCCAAGGTTTGAATGCAGGAGCAGGCAAGGGGCTCAAGGGAACCGTTAAGCGACGCTACTGGCAACTGTTCGCCCAACTGTATGGCTGGGTCGGCCGCCACGTCGACGTGGTCATGTGCAATTCCTCTTGGACTGCAGCCCACATCCGCAAACTCTGGGGCACTGGCAAGGATAAAGCCGGCAACGATGCGACCACCGCTGGCAAGGGTACACCCTCCTCACCAGCCGTCGTGTTCCCTCCCACGGCAGTCTCAGAGCTAGAATCCAGCATCACCGTGGACGCCGAGAGTGAGAGGACCCGCCACCCGACACTGCTCTACATCGCACAATTCCGCCCAGAGAAGAACCACCCGCTCGTCCTCCGTTCGTTCGCGCGGTTCCTGCAAGAGCGTGCCCGCAACGCAGCATACGCCGACCAACCGCAACCGCGACTGGTACTAATCGGATCCGTCCGCCACGCCAGCCCGGACGAAACCCACATCTACAACCTCCGCCTGCTCGCACACGAGCTGCGCATCCGCGACCAAACCACTTTCCTCTGCGACGCAAGCTGGCCCGCCGTACTATCGCACCTCGGCACAGCCTCCGTCGGCGTAAACGCCATGTGGAACGAGCACTTTGGCATCTGCGTCGTCGAGTACCAAGCCGCGGGCCTGATCTGCGTGACGCACGACTCCGGCGGTCCCCGTGAGGACATCGTCGTGGACCTCGGCGACGGAGCGACTGGATTCCGCGCCGAGACGGAGGAGCAATTCGCGGCTGCCTTTGAGGCGGCGCTTGCACTGCCGGAGTCGGAGAAGGTTGCTATGCGTTTGCGGGCGAGACGGTCAGCGCAGAGGTTTACGGAGGAAGAGTTCTCGCGGAAGTGGCTGGGACAGGTGCAGAAGTTGGTTGAGGCTTCGCGGTAGAGTTGAGTAGAATATTTCTCTCATTTTGATATAGATGAAATAATCAGATCTTGCGTTGATGATGTGATGTGTATAGGTGTTTTGATTAGTGTCTGTCACTCCCTGGAAATAGGTACATCCTTGAATAATAACCGGATCTTCTAATAGACCAAACTGAAGGCACGGGGTATACTCGAGATCACATGATGTTCTGCAACCCTTATTTATGGACTGCGATCAATTCGGTTCTACTATAATCTGGCGCAGAGCCAGCTTTGTCAACACATGATGATGTATAATCTGAATTCAGAATGGTGTATAACTCCTAAATTGAGGTATCTCCAACAAGACCCAAGAAGAGTGATAAACACAAGAACTAACAAAGGTGGACGGGTATGAGGCATCATGCATCACATGGGCAGAACAAATGCACCGAGATGACCATGATAAGAAGAACAAAAGATCAGGGGATGTGAAGGTGGGTTGATGCCAATGCTGAATCACCATCATCGTCAGGGGAAGGCCATTATGCCCAAACGAATGCTAGTATATATGTTGAATGCAGGCAAGCAGAAACGCGTAAATAGATCAGAACCCCCCTTACTTCTGGCCATGGCCAAGAAAATCAAAATCAAAACCAAATCAGCCAATCTCCCACCGTGTATCAGAACGCCAGGAACCCCTTCTCTATAAGGGATAAGCCGGGGAATAAAGAATGAGAAAGGAGGAATCCAAGTAGGACCAAAAAATATCAAGGTTCGCACAATGCAAGGTAATACAGATCTTCTGAAAAACCATTGCTTTTCCTATTCCAATATCACAAGAAAACGCGAGGGGTATAAACGAGTGAAGGCAGCATCGCGTCATCATCAGTATCCAGGATCCCCTGGATTCATCCCAAGCATCTGACCTCCGTACATGGTGCCCTGGTTATTTCCATATCCACCACTTATGCCCGACACACTGCTAATGCCGGACTCGTCGTCGTCAAAGCCGAATTCGCCTCCAGAGCTGGCGTCGAAGCTACTCCGGCCACCGATGTCACTGGGGTCATCGCCCGCTGCGGCGAGCTGGTCCCATTGCAGCGTTTGCAGTGCTGGGTATTGCGCAAGCAGAGCTGCAGGAAGAACGAAGTTACCCGAAGTTTGGCCGTCCATGCCTGGAACGCCGGGCATGACGAGTGGCTGAGGGACGGGTTGCAGGTGGCCGGCAGGTTGCTGCTGCTGCTGTTGGTGTTCGGCCAAGATGCGATCACGTTCCTGAGACTCTTCGTCGAGTAGCGGCTTGATGCAGACACGGCCCGCCTCGGATCTGAAATGGCGGCCGAGGGCATCTGCACGCGCGAATCGACGGCCGCAGCCCCAGTGGCCGCTCCGGGCAAGGTCACCGCGGCAGACGAATTTCTTTTCGCCAGAGTGCAGGCCCTCGTGGCGCTTGCGGTCGTGTTGACGAGCGAAGGCTTTGCCGCAGACTGTACAGACAAATGGTCGTTCGTCGGTGTGGGTGCGGAGATGCGAGCGCAGGTTGTATGCTCGAGTGAACCGCTTAGGGCATAGAGTGCACTGGAAAGTGGCAGGGTGTTTCTGGACGCGCTTCGAGTCACCGGGAGCTGCACCAGGGCGTCCGGGGTCAGCCAGATCTAGAATGTAATTGCGACTCTCGATGGATGATGTCGAAAGACGTCTATTAGACCTTGACGGAGACACGTCACGGGAGCCAGGATTGCTACGCGAGTGAGGCGATAGTGATCGGGGGGAAGTAGGGGCAAGGGGTTCGAGACTGGTTGTTGAAGTCGCGGGGGATCTTTGACGAGAAGCAGGGTGTGCGTAAGGATCTGACTTGCTGCGTACACGGGGTCCTGGTAGAGATATGAGCACCGAGAAAAAAAATCAATACACGAGGTTGGAAAGCTCACTCATTGCGGGGGGACTCAAGGAGTCCAGATCAGCCACTGGCTTGGGTGGGCCGAAGCTTGGGCCGAAGCTTGGGCTTCGAGATGGGGGAGCAAATTCCACGTTAATCGATGGAGGCGCCATCTGGGAGGCTTGACCAATGTCGCCTGCGGGGTGCGATCCCATCATATCATCACCAGGCATTTCATACATATCTATCGGCGCAGGTGGGAACTGGTTGCTAGCCGAGGTATACTGGATACTAGGAACCATATCAGTGCCCTGTTGGGGCATGAGTCGCGGCGAAATATATGGGCTGTGGGCGGGGCTGAAGCCCTGCTGGTGCTGCTCTGACAGCGTAAACTGCTCAATGCCGAGAGCATTATCGTATAGAGCCGGATCATTCTGTGGAGCAAGGGATGGCGAAGTGTTGTTTTCAATAGCATCGTAATCATGCTGAGCCAAGTAGGGTGAGTGATTGGCCGACGAGACCTCTGAGACCTCTGACGGCGCTCTGCGATGGCTCTGGAAGGCGCTATTGTTTATCATAGACGGCCAATCCTGGCTCGACTGCGCACTGAGATAGGCGGCCGTAGCTGGATCCAACGAGGTATGCCGCGAATGCTGCGGAGTATAGTATGCTCCGGGAGTTCCCCCCGGAGGTGACATGGGCCCGGGGGATGACTGCTGTGGGTCTTGCGACGGTGGGCGTGAGGATGCAGAGGGATTGGAGATAGGGCTAATGAGATCAGCTGGATTGACCGCTTGGTGCATGGCCTGCTGGTGCTGGTGCATTTGTGGATCCAGCATCAGCGACGAATCATACTCGGATGCACTAGCACTGTGAGGGCTATGGTTCTGGTACGCTGAGAAATCCAGCTCCCCGGTGCTTGAATTGAGCAGATTGGAGAAATTCTCGGTGAGTTGTCCCGTTTGCAAGCCCGACACTCCTGGGTCTAGCTGTTCCACCATGTTCGGGTCAAACGATTGCGAGATCGCGATGTTGGTTGTATTCGGCGTTGGTGGGAAAGGCTGACTAGATGGAGGGGCCAAGCTCTGAGGCGGAAGCCCCGAGAGGTAATTCGCCGAGTAACCGTAAGATTCGGTGCCGCTGATGCTGGGGTCGGCATTGGAATTATCAAATGGCGGATTTGTCCCATATGCGGCTGACATGGAGGGGCCCAGGGCTAGACCCGCGGTTGGGTCGTGATATTGTTGTTGGGCGTGGGGTGATGGGCTCACGCTGCGACGCTTAATCTCTGCGGAGACGGGACCCGGGCCCTGGGTATGATCGTGGGATGCCATGGTGGTGGGGAGAATTCGCGATAACCGGCTCTATACCGCTGGAGGGTTATAAGGTGGGACAGGCGAGAGCGCGACACAGGGCGGCCGCGAGCGCCAAACCGGAGGGATCAGGGTGATTGGACGAGCGGCAGGAGGCTAACAGCTGAGACGGATAAAGTCGGTGGGGGATATAATAGCATTCACAGTGACGAGACCGGCGTGCGCAAAGAAGCATTCGCCAGGGTCAACGAGACAGCAACATCATCTAAAGACGAAGACGAAGTTGAAGGTGAAAGTGGTGGTGGTGGTGATGATGGAGGGACCCGATAAATGGCGACCGCACGTGTGCAAGGCGGTCTGCAAGAAGCAGACGGTATTTTTGAAAAAGTCACTTTTCCTTTTCGCGACGTGTTCGATGGCCCACCGGAGTAACTACACTTTCCGGACCAGGGCAAGGTCCCAGCCAAAAAAAAAAAAAAGGAGTCAAGATTTGGCCCCTGGGCATCGTGTGTCTCATACCGTATGGAGCATACAGAATGAACCCATACTGGGTCACTTACTCCAGGACTTTCTGGACTAGTCCCACATCGTGTCCACTACGATAACAGATAGGCACAAGAGCCCCCCCCTCTTTTGGGGGGGGGGGGGGGGGTTCGTTCCAGGCATTTCTCGCCATCACCTTTTCGATGCTATGGTGATGGTTATTTTGTTTTGGTGACACTCTTCCGTCCTTTGGTATGCCAGGGTCAGCCATCACTGCAGAAAGGCGATACCCTCGCACCGAGAACAGTCGCATCTACCAATCGTTCCCTTGTTTTCTGGTGGAGCATAGGACGGTCCGGCTAACGCAGCGGGGGACTTTAGCTTATGTTTGCACAGCCACGCAGCTGAGTCTCATCCACGGTCCGCGCTTCCAGTTGGTCTCTCTGCTTTAACCACTTCCAGGACTCGGACCTGGTGGATGACTGATTCGTTGCCGTTAGGGCAAGGCAGACTTTCTCGAGCCACTCTGCCTTACGTGACGTATATACTCCGTACTTGGTACATATCTAGTTAGAGCAGGGTCCATACTTCGTAGTGCAGTTTCCGGGGTTCTATGTTGACGCCTGATAGCTTAACTAAAGAACTAAGAACCAAGCCGCCAACTCCAAAAATATCCGAATGGTTAAAGTTATTTTCAACTCAGGAATGCTGCTGCCTCTGAACTGTAACTGTAATCCTACATTCCAGGGGTTTATTTCAAATTCACAATTGAAGAGACATATTCAATTCGGTCGGGTAGACCGGGCAGTACATACTCTTGGCCCATTGACTTGGGGGTCAAACTCGTTGAAACTACCATCTCTTAATAATATCTCACATTCAGACTGCTCAGCAGGATCCCACATTCCCATCCCTCCAACTAAACAGTCCCCAGCGTCGCCAGACTCGCCCGTTCCTCATCATTGGTATAACTGAACAACAGATTATCCGCACAACTGCTGCCCAACCCGGCATTGTCCAGCCACGCCGGCTCCCAGTAATAGATACCCAATCCACCCGAAACACCCTCAACCACCGCCGCCAAATCATTCAAAAACGTCTCCTGTCCCGCAACAGAGAACGGAATAGACGACAGATCCGACGGGAACGCGTATTCGGGACTCGGGCACGAATACGGCCAATTCGTCTCGACGACTAACACGTCCTTCGCGTACGTCGAGTGCAGATTAGTCAAACTCGTCTTCAATGACGCGAGGGTCGCGCTAGAGTCGTAGAAGGGGTAATAGGAGACGCCGATGTAGTCAAAGTCTGTCGAGACAAAGGTCGAGCCGCTGTCCAGCACGGTGTTGTAAAAGTATTCTTGCTCGGACCAGGACCAGCCGTTGTCAAGGTGGATCATGATCTTGGGGGTTGTGGAGAGACTGGAGTCCTTGACGCCCCAGGCGCCGGAGTGCAGGAGCTCGCCGATGTTGTAATAGCTGCTTGTCTCGCCGAGGGGCCAGAGGAGACCGCTGCGGATTTCGTTGCCGATCGAGACGATGTCGACGGTGAGTCCGTTCTCTGCGAATGTGTCGCACACTTCTTTGGTGTAGTTGTATAGTTGCCAGGTAAGCGTGTCGATATCGGTCGTCGACCAGCCAGAGGGCGTCGCCTATCCAGTAGACCATGATATTAGCCAGCGTATTCCATCAATCCAAGAAGCAACTTCTCTAAATCATAATAACAGCCAGGTAGTGACCATACCTGATGACCCGGATCCGCCCATGTATCACTCAAATGCAGGTCCAAATACGTCGTCATCCCCTGCGCCTGCACCCTCTTCGCCAACTCGATATTATAATCCAGATCGTACGACCCACCACTCGGATTCACCCACACACGCTGCCGCACAGAATTAATCCCCGCATCCGCCAGTATCACCTCCAACGCCTGCGTCGTCCCAGCCAGATTCTTATACGAGATGCCCGCATCTTCCTCCACAATCAGAGACGAGATATCCGCGCCGCGGATAGATAACTCCGCCAACGCAGGTGCCAGCAGCTGAGCGGCGAGCAGGAGAGCTGTTGAGAGCAGCATGGCGTGGCCAATGGGAGTATCCTGGCTTGGGTGATAAGGAGAAGCCGGGATGGCTATAGTCGTATCAGGTTCAGATTCTCGGGTAGCCAAAAGGAAGGAAGGAAGAGTTATAGTCTATATAGATCTTTCTCTCCTCTCTTCTACAAGCTCAAATCTCGGACAACCCTCGATCCGGAAACGTGGGACCGACGGGAGAATTACCGCGAATATACACTCTGCCCGCCGCGAAATTGCGCATTTTGGGATCAAACAGGCTACGCGATGGGGGGAATTTGTCCGAAGAAAATGGCCTGCTTGGGTTTAGCACGCGGGGTGAAACACCCGGTGTGATGGGATGAAAGGTGGGGAATCCTTGACATTGCTGAAGAGACTGGTTGATGCGGGGTGGAGTCGTCAGCGAGTCTTAATCTGATCGGAGGAATACTTTATTTGACGGGTGTGGCACGGGCGATGGCGTTTGCTTGTGTTGGATGGGGGGTTTGATGCTATTGATGGGTGATGTCGTGTGGGAATGGATCAAAGTTAATTTTTTACGATACAAGATGGATGACATGCCAGGTGGAATACTTGAATTGAATACTATGTTTGAAGTAAGGAATTGTCTAGGAGTACTTGCTTAATCCGAGGCAGAGGTTCGGGCTAGTCTACTTGCGACGATCTCTCTTCACACCCACGCTGGACCATCATTATTGGTGGAAGAAGAGTCAAGACAGTTGACCAGGGAATCTAAAGAACTGACGTATTCATCAGGGGTAACCCCGATATAAGGCCGTACCCCACCGGAGCAAACTTGGAAGCACCTGCTTCAAGAAGAACATACAAGCTAGACCAAGAAGAACATACAAGCTAGACCAGGTCCTAGTCCATATACTAGATCCGCATACTCCACTCCGCATTACAAAGAGACAAGCACATACAGCCACAATATTCCAAAAAAAGGGAGGGAAAGGATTGTCTTTCCCATTATTTCATTTCATCACGTATCATTGCAACGGGCAAACAAAAGCCCCTTGCCAATTCCAGCCCAACCGAGCAATCTTGTATCATGCAGACATTCACATCCTCACACAGAAATTCAATAACTGTGGAAGCATTTTGACAGATCCTCACCCAGACAACATTACATACAGGTAAGACGGTAAAGAAGAGAAGAAAGAACAAGAAAAGGCCTGCGAAGGCCTCCCGCTGTGAGATGGCCCCTGCAGACATATTAGAAGAAAGGGGAAGCACGCAGCCGATGCGGGGACCGGTTGCCGCTTGTAGCGTACAAGCGGGGGGCGGGTGAGGTATGGGAGGAAAGGCAGGATCAAAGCCACTGCCGGCGAGAAGTGTATATGTACAAGACATGTAGAATGTATGCCAAAAAAAAAAATTCTAGAATGTCAAAGCTTCCAGAAATGACACAGTGGTGAACGAATTGGGAAGAGCAAAACAGAGGGTGATGTACAACGACCTCGCAGTATACAGGAAGTGTCGAAGCGGAGGGGGGTCGTAGATTGGAAATTGGTGGGTAGTAAGGAGTGCTACCATCAAGAACCAACAGCAGGCTTTGCCACGGGCTTAGGCGCAGGCTTCTTCTTGCCGATCACGAGGCCTTCGTCTTCAGACTCGGTCTCATCCTCATCGTCGCAGTAGTACCTCGACTCATCTTCCTCTGGCCGCGGGGAGTCTAGCCGGCGGGGTTTGACGGTTTCCCCCGTTCGGAGAATGGACGGGACTTGGCTCGAGTCGTCTGCATCCTTATCCCTGAATCCGAGGTACAACCCATCGCCAGAGAGAGATGAGGCGCCTGATATCACAGAGGGAATGCTCGGATGAGACGCGCTCTGAGACATGCCGCTGGTAAAGTCATCGGCTGACGAAGAGGAGATAGTGGCTGCAGACGGCGTCGAGTTGGTAAGCCCCCTGTTCGGAGCCTCGGTGGAGCACACTGGTTCAGGGGCGGGGACGTGAGCGGGGACTGTGGTGGGGAGCGCGAGCGATTCGGTTGAGTACATGGCGTAGTCAACGCGATTAGCAAGAGCGTGAGTCTCGTCTGCCCCGGTGTCGATGTCGCTTCGCCGACGGCGGAGCAGAGCATCCCTGGTGAGGTGGAAAGACTCCGCGGAAGACTTGCCGATGAGCTGTTGGGAGCGGTTCCGTCGGTGGGCGGATATGGAGCCTGCGCCTTCAATCGGTGAAGGGACTTGAGAATGCCACAGTCCCGTTGTCCGCACTTGACCGATCGCAGAGGCATTGCTCAAAGCGAGACTCGGTTCGGAATGGCGCTCTGCATCCAGAGATGCCAGGGAAGCTGAATCGCCAGATAGCGAGCCACGTCTGCTACGGCTAGCAGTGAAGACACGCCGACTGGCGCCGGTGAAGAGACTCCCGAAATTCGTCGTTCCCAGGGCTTCAATGATAGAAGGCGTGCCTGTTCGCGAGCGAGAGGTGTTAGGCTCGGCGGTAGACTGCTTGACAGTCTTGGTCGATTCGGCAGTAGACATGGATGATTTAGCGCGACGAGGTGGACCTGGTCGGGTTGGCATAGTTGGAGCAAGGGCAGTCGGCTTCAGTTCGGGAATGGGCGCGGCATCGAAATAAGAGGCCGAAGGCGCACCCGACTCCACCGGGCTGGCTGTAACGCTCTGGGCAAGAGGGTGCTCTCCATGGGTGGCAAGCTTGGAAGTTCGGAAGATTTCTTCATCACCACGGAGACTTGATCGACGGCTGTCACGCGACGTCTTTCCGAATGTACTAGTGCTCGAAATAGATGACAATGTGTCGGATGAGTTGTTTGAGCTGCGCTTGCGACCTTCCTTGTCCTTGGACCGGCCAGAGAACCACTTCGCGACGTTGGAGCGCACACGCTGGATGAAAGGTACCTTGCTGACGGCACTGGTGACTTCCTCGTTGGAAACCTCGATCCTCTTGCCCTTGCTCTGGTACCCGGGGTCGGTCTCTTCAACCCACGCCTGAGGGTTGGGCAAACCATACAAGGTCCAGGGGTGATGTTTGATCTCTTTCAGTGTGATTCGCTTGATCGGGTCCTTGGTCAAAAGGCGTCGGATCAAGTCATAGAGTTCGTCATCAATCTCTTCGTAAACAAGCTCATCGACGCCGCGGTAGTTCCGTTGGCTGGAAATGGAGTCATTGTCGTCCATCACGGGCATGAGACGCTTTCGTGGGACAAAGACCTCCTTCTTCACAATGGTTTGGAACATGCTGTACTCGTCGTCGGAGAGGAACGGGAGACGACCAAAGATCATTCCGTAAAGCGTGACTCCCAGGGACCACACATCAATAGCGCCGGTGATCTTGGGCACCGACCCAATGTCGTCCACAAATTCGTCACCGGTATAGCAGAGTTCGGGGGCGTAGAATGCAGGTGTCCCTACAGTCTTGGACAGCTCTCGAGCATCATCCAGTTCCGCAGCATCAGTCTCGGTGACCTGCTCCTCTTCCTCATCACGCATGGGTCGTCCTAGGTAAGAGACGCCAAAGTCGGAGATTTTGACACGATGACTGCCGGTAACTAAAAGGTTGGCCGGCTTGATATCACGGTGGATAATACCCTGGTAGTGGAGATACTCCAGGCCAAGCACAGAGTCGCGGAACGCACTGCGAGCCTCAGCAATAGTCAAACAAGGGACATATGACATGTCATCTGTATCTGCAGACCACTCCGGTTCAGACGGAGCGTATCCAAAGCTGCTGGATGCGGTGCTGAAGCGTCGCTCGAAGGGATAATCCATATAGGCACCGTACATGCTGCCTTCAATCGCAGCCAGGGCATCTTGGGCAGAAGACTGACTGGGAGAACTCTCATCCACAAGCGCGGTAGATCGGTTGGATCGGGTAGAAGTCCGCCGCACCGTGAGGCAGAGTCCGTCTCCTTCTTCCTCATCTGATGACTCTGCACCGTGTTCCAGACTCCATGCGGGAATGGGGCCTTGTTGAGCGTCGGCGGCCTGCGCTTCGATGCGCTCTCGTGCCTTTTCACGTTGCCGACGAAGGTGCTGCGCCGTCCGGATGAACTGATGGCTTTCTTCCAAGAAGGCCGGGGTGTCGGGGACTCCGTTCTTCTCACGGTCAAGTCGAAGCTTGTCGACGTGGATGATCTCTCGGAGCCCCTTCTTCCGCCAAACGATTTCACCGTTCTCAACATACTCCAACACGATGTAAACCTTTTGCCGGTTTGGGTCGTCGATGACTTCCAGCAAACTCACCACATTGGGATGCCGCGCCTTCTTGAGAATAGCCACCTCCTTCTTCACCTTGTCTTCCGGGTTGCCCAGTTTGCCTAACCGACGACGCTTCGAGTAACGCTGGACGATCTTGATGGCCACCTTCTGCTTAGTTGTCACATGCTGACCCAGTTTGACCTTCCCGTGTTCACCCCGTCCCAGCTCTTCTAGAATCTCATATTGGTTGATGAGCTTGTTGCCCGTCTTCGAGTCACGATCCACCTCGGCGGTGTGGGTTTCCTTGGGCGGTTGCAAGTGTGAGGGATGGAGATAGGGGCTGCTGATCAAGCCTTCGTCGTCAGAGCCCAGTGGTGTCGAGCGTGGACTCCTCATCGAGAAAAGTCCGGGGCTCGACACGGGAGTGTTGCCCGCGGTGCGCGAGACACGAGGGAATCGATGGAACGTCTCCACGGCCGGTGGGGTCGAGTAAGAGCTCCGTGAGCGCAGATGTGGGGGCAGCCCCCAGGTGGGATGGACTTGTGACTGGAGGGAGGCATATGACTGATCGGGGTAGACGGGATATTCAGGCTGCAGGTCCGAATGCCGAGACGACCGTCGAGAAGTTCGTCCAATATTGGCCAGTTGTGTGCGGGCATCGACCACGGTATCCTCGTTCAGCGCCTGTAACGAGCTCGAGGAGGAACGGGTCGAGGGGGTCCGCGACGAGGTATACACGTGGGGGAACGCTTGCCGTAGGGTTGCTTGGGCTTCGGACAGGTCGGCGGCGGTGAATGGTAGGGGCGCTTGTTTAGTCGTCGTGCGAGCATCGTGTTTGTCGTTTGCTGGTGCAGGTGCGGGCACTCGTTCTTGTGTTTGTGATTGCAACGCCTCGTCCGATCGGCAGGAATCCTGCTTGGAGTCTTCCACGCTAGCATTTCGAGTCGACGGCTGGTCGGTATGATCCTGACCAGCCGTGGAAGATCGGCGCTCCGTTGTGTTCATCTTCCTTCCTTTTCTTATATGTGGTTTTGCTTTTCTTTCCCAGAAAAAGAAAAGGTTCAGGTGTGCGGGCCAAGTTTGCCGAAATTACAGTTGAGCATGGTCCTCACGATTTTTATCGAGTAACGGGTGGAAGAGGAGATTCGTTCACGGAGAGTTGACACAAGGCTTAGAAAGCACGCACGAATGGACCAGCATTACTTTTCAGCGCAAGGCGAGAGGATATGGTGGAAGGAAAGGCAGTGGATGGTCGCTGGCACCCGTGTGTACCGGACAACGGGCCGCTCAAGGGAGGGGGAGTTTGAGTCGTCGAACGAGTCGAAGGGATCGAAGACGATCAAGGTAGACCTGCTACCGCACGAGGGAGTCGGGTGTTCCCACACACGTGGGGAATGGTAGGAGGTGTTCCAAAGGAGTGCGATCGAGGGATGATGCTATAAATATAGGTGGGACGTTAGGGATGGTTTAGGAGGACTCGCTCGGTAGGGAGGGGGGAAAAGAGAAATAGAGCGAGATCGGAGAGATCGGAGGTAGGCGAACTATTTCAGAAGGAATGTGCCAACTGAACGGCACCGTCACGGAAGAATGGCCGTTCTGAAGGAGAGAGAGAAGGAAGGTAGAGTCGAAGTAGGAAGGGGGGGGGTTGGTGGAAGAAAGGGAGGTTGGGTTGGAGTTGGGTTGAGGAGGAGGAGGTGGTGGTGGTGGATCGGGAGTTTAGTTTAGGTGCAGTCCCCAGCACTGACTCTTTCCAGTGTGGTCCACAGTATGACTGACGGGGCTCCCAGTACGTAGACAGAGAGAGCGCGAGCGATGATCGGACACAAAAGGGGAAAGCACAATAGGGAAAATGGACAACCGATGCAATCTTACCTTGAACATGCACGTCCACATCCACTAGGACTACAATTCTGTTCTGCAGGGGAGAGTCCAGGATGGCCAGGATAGTGAATGGTTATACGGCGCAGTCCTATTTAATTGGAGCCAGAATTCAGGGATCTGCTCGGATGTCGTATACGTAGTCTGTCACTCTTTTCCTGTGGTTTTACGGGTTTACGGTTTTACAGTTTTACAGTTTTACAGTGAGATCCGACCGGAGCCAACTACGGCCAATACGGAGACATTACCAAAGATTACCAAAGATTACCGAAGATTCCCAAAAATGACCGTCAGAACCAGACCCGGACCACTTTGAGCCTTTCGACTCTTTTGAGACTTCGGGCCCGACTCCACTTGCTCTGCGTCGTCTACTTCGGCCGACACTCCGATGGCCCGTGTGTCCTTGCGATCGGCCCTGATGGCTGATGCCACTCACGCAACAGCAGGGGTAAAAAAAAAGAGACGCGTCGGTTTGATCTGCTTCAGTGGCTGTCTCCCAGTGGCGATTTCTGCCCAGCGCCAAGTCTCGAGTCCCAAGTTCCCACCCCCAAAAAGACCCAAGTTCCCCCCAAGATTTGGCAGATTACGTCGAGGACTTGGGGCTCGATATACCGGGAAGGGTGAATAACATCCAAAACTCCCCTCATGAGGTCCTCGATTTCCACCCGTGAATCAGTGCATTCTGGGCGGCTGGTCCATCAATGCTGGGACCCTTGCCCTTTGCCCGAATCTTTTTCCATATGGCTTCATACTGGTCCCAACCAGCAGCCTAATCAGGCTAACGGCATGGTCAGAGAGGGGGAGAGAGAGGCCCAGAGTCCAGACACGATGTAGCCATCATTTATCATCCCTGTGGCTTGCTTCTACGGAGTGATATGGCCGGGTCGTCCCCCCGGCCACATCGCCAGGACCGTGGTTGCCACAGCTGCGAAGTCAATCCTTAATTCAGCGACAATCCTGTTTCGCCTGGGGATGATCCGCTCAGGTGCCCATTTCGGCCACAGGCAGCGCCCACGGTGATCAGGACTTAAGTTCCTCCAGAAATTATGACTACGTTTCCACCCGTAACTACTTAGGAGTGACTACTATGGTCATGATGCCTCTTCCCTCTTTGGGACTTGGGAGGGGGCCGCGCGATCGTGCAGGGCCACCCAATCTGGACCATTATTTGCCCCCCAGCCGCGATCGAGCCTACGGGCACCCTTTGCCTCAACCAATTGCCCTCAGCTGAGCCGCGATGACCTTTTTCAGCTCAGGCAGGAAACGTGAAACTGAGTTCTGCCCACCCAAGCCGTTGGGAAAGAGAAGCGAAAGTCTGTTCTTTGTAGCTCGCAAGGCGCCCCCCTTCCCCCATGGCCCAACCCGTCGAACCCTGGTGCTAGAGGTCCAGAGCTAGTCTAACGCCGGTTTTTTGCCTTTTAATGGCCTGGGACCAGCGCACGCTAATGTTTCGCCCGGACATGACGGCGAGCCAGGGGTGCAGGGGGAGTTGCAGGTCTTCGAAGCGATGCGACTGGCCCAGCTGGGCACTAACGGGCGGTTCGTTCGTGGGGGGAAAATGCAGTCACGGATTTAGTGTCGAGTCGAGTCGTGGACTTTCTTCGATGTTGTTCACTCGTTGTTTTGTGCCTGGAGGACTACAGTACTACTTATCTACTACTGTAGTAATACTCTCGTACGGAGCCCAGCACTGTAGAGTAATATAATGCATAATCCCCCAACTTATATACAGCACTAACTAAATCAAATCCCGCTCAACCTCCTCCGTCCTGCACTTCGTATACCCCAGACATCACTCGCTCGGACTGCGGTTTTCTCGGTCCGCACGGACATATTGGCCAGTAGTATAGCACTGTCCCGGCAGAGTCGACCCATAGCTCGAGGGAAGGCCTCCGAGAGGCGTTCTGCAAGATGCCCCTTTCGAGGTCCTCCCGGGAATGTGCATCGCCTCTTTCACCGTGCGAAACGCCGTTCATCGCCCCATTCGAATTCGCCGTCACCGCAGGTACACAGGCGACGGTACTCTCATCGTTCCCCCTCGACGCCCCGAGCGTCGTCCGTGCGCGCGTCCGTCAAAGTTGACGCCGGATGGGGAGGTCTTACGTCATTAACAAAGGGTCTGGGCCGCCCTAATTAGCCTTCATTTTCTTATTCCTCTCATAACACTCTCTTGTGAGAACTTACAGTAGTTGGTTGTTAACAAGGATTTGATTTCAGGCACGAAGCAATGAGAGTGAGGTAAATTGGGACTAAAGTACATACGCTGTAAATTATCCTCTCTGGGTTAGTCTTCCCTCTCACCGCTGTCCTTGATATCCACACTACGACATCAACCACCACTGTATACTGTATGTACTACTACTACAACAACTAAGAAGACTGAAGCGATCCGGCCAGCCCGGACGTTTAGCTTTCCACGCACAGATCAACTCCAAGCGACGCGCACACTACCTCTTCCCGTTCAGACTTTGTGGCGTGCAAATCTCTTCAGCGTAATTTGCTTCCTGTCAACGGGGGAGGGGCGGGTTACACGGTTACACTACCAGGACCCCAAACTGTCCTAGTAGCGGATCTACCCATCTTTCGCTGTCTGAGATAACCACACACCCCTTTTGTCACACCTCTTATTCCGGAACTTGACTACTATATCTCAGGGACCGAAAAAGGTGACACTGACACTGACTGACATGGTCGATGATGCTTTCTAGGAGGCACTGCGGCCGACATCGGGTGTTACCTAGCCATTTCACTGGAAAGATAAGGGACTGAGGTACCTGGATGGGTGAGACAAAAGTTAATGAAGTGAAATATGTAGGTATGTGCTCAAAATCTCCGAGGATCATCCCAAGCCTATTCCTAAACGAGGTCCGCGCATGTCCGCGTAAGACTTACAGTGGTGTATTGAGGCCCTTCCCGTGCCGGAGCAGCGACTAGTCCTGTATAAAACTACTTGCATATGTAGCGTACATGCATTCGCCCACCGGACCCTGGCATTATAATACATACATGGACCTAGCCATTCTGTGAAGACTAGCCCACTTGCACCTAACTTTGAGGCTTTATTTTCTGATTAAAACTACTTGGCTTTCTATTTCTACGCTAATGCTGATAAGATTTCCGGCCGCTTTCTGCTCCAGCGCTCACTGAATCCAGGGAGTAGAACTGAGCACGCCTCTGATCAGGGTAGGTCAACCTTACATGCGTCTGGCGGGAGATCAATGCTCTTTAAATAAGCAAATATATAGTGCCCAGGGTCCCATAAACTTGAAACTCCGACTATATCTCGTTAGTAGTGTGCTGAATTAAACAGGATCTTATATAAGAGACAATGGCCAAAAATATCTAGAGCCAGTATTCCAATGTTTTTTTTAGAAATCAAAAACCACTTTTGAGAGAAAGTTGAATGTATCCAGAAATTCATTCTTATTGGTCTCTAGACTCGGAATTTTGAACAACCACTGTTTCTTGTAGGTCGTGGGCATCGTCGGGTGTTTGCATAGGAGACAAGACTGGAATTTCATTTAGGATAGTGGGAAATTAAAGTTGTTGGCTTTGGCTGTGTGTGGAGTTCGCGTGGCTTATTTGATTATGGCTTGATAGTCTTGCGTTAAGCCACCACGAGGGCTAACGCTGTTGTCCTCGGAGCTACACAATACGAGAAAACTCTACAAGGAGCCAGTAGAACATATTGATATGAAGGGAGATGACAGGTACATACACCATCATGAGTATAGAATCATACGATTAGGAGCAGTCTTTAATTCGTAAACACAAGGTTGCTAGGAAGTCGCCATGACGGGAGAACATGTAAAAAGGCTAAATTGAGTAATGAAACGACGAGGCAATAGAATCTGTGCCAGTATCTATATTCGGTGATAGCAACTCTATACCTTCCTATATTTCGTCGTGGTTGAAATCTGCCCTAATCGAATTTAACCGTGCAGCACCAACCGAACCAGCAAACACCGGGCTAAGCAGTTCCATTTGCTTATCGATTATCGCAGTATAGACATCATACTGTTTTTGCTTGCTCAAAACATCTTCGAGCACGTCGTATAGAAGCTGGTCCTGGGATAATTCACCTAGCAGGACCACGTTGCTGAGTGAGTTGAGCACCTCGCCATCGTATTCAACGGGTATCTTGATGAGGTCGCCGAGTGCTATTGAGAGCTTAGCCCAACGATCATCAGGTGATTCTTGTCCGAACAGATTACCAGCGCAAAGTGGCCTGTGTGTCGTGGGCAATATGAGCATTGTCGCTATGGATGTCCGCAATTCGCATCCTTTGTTTGTAGATGGGATTTCATTCGGCCTTGGCAACTTCCACATGGGCGTCATTAGGAAATTGAATGCTGGCAACACTATTTGGCTGGTTAGTTTACGATCGAGAATTCTAGTGGGGATCGTGTTTAACAGTTACCCGTAGTCAAAGAGTTAGCTCAAAGCCAACACCATAGTTCTGGTTGGCGGAGACAAAGCCCACGGTAAGGAGGCCAGTTGCCAGCAGATACTAGATCTGTCTGATCATTCTTGAGATTTTTCATTTTTCCGCTGATCCAGAGGGAAATTTAAAGGAGATGAAAGAAAGCGCTGGGAGTTTGGGGACTTTGAGGAAGATGGACAACCAAATAACCGTGCCAAGTGGCCCCACGCCCGACGCCAGGCGACTTGGCACACTCCCAACCATCGTCATCCATCAGTTTTCAGCCCCATCTAGCTCTTTCGCCTTTTGCATTCCCCTATTCGTTGGACAGTCGAAGAATATCCGGTTGGGCCATACTTTGGATCCTCAACATAGCCTCAAACCCTCCCATATCAAAACTAGAAAATATATAAGCACCTCCATGTCAATTAGATAGATACTCGGGCTATTGGCATCTGCAGATAAGACCAAGAGTACCACATCGGGTCTTAGTCTATATGCTCTTTTTCAACTAAATTCCATTCACAATTAGGGCGGAGATTACCAACAAACAAGAATGCTTTTAGGTCGAAGTGGATTTGGAGTTCTATTTCCCTTACAAATTCTTCCCCGTAAACCTCTTTGCCCAATCTTGATACATTTTCGTTCGTATGTATGTTGGCAAGTGGAATCAAGTGGAACTAGAATCACATGAAAAAGATGGTTGATTGAGTTGGAATTGAAGTACCCCTCTGAATGTTTCTAGTACTTGAAGTTACTATGAGCAAGTGACCAGGAAAACTGATCTACCATAACAAAATATAAGGAAACTTAGACCAATCTGCAATAATTATGTCCTAGTGGTATGCTACCGCTCGGGCCATTATTTGCCATACTGATCAAATAGTCTTGGACTGCACACATGGTCCTTTCGCCCGCCATCTAAACATTTTGGAGCACGGTGGGATCCGGCTACCACAATAAGACAGGCTGGAGGGGCTGTTGCTGGCTAGATGGCAGTAACATCTACCCAGAAGCGGGTGTCATCAGACTTATACACGGAATTGCTGTCAATTTGCCCTTGAATCCAGTACACGGCATTCTTATAGTCTGCGAGAGAGGAGTCAGTCAAACGGCACCCTGGGTACGAGGGGCAGGGGAAAATACTGTTAATATCGTCGGTGTTAGGATTAGCCAGTCCAGATGCGCCGTCCCGATGACCGGCAAACCAAAGGTCAACTCCATAGTAGTTTTGACAGTCCCAACGAGAGGCCACGTCGGCATACACGTTGGAACTAAAGTAAACGCCTTGTTAGCTGGAATTTCTACAGTAGACGGGGAAAGGACACATAAACTCATACTTGAGTAGAGCACCGTTGTTCCATTGAGCCTCGGTCTGGCCCGCTAGACCGTACCGAGTAGCACACACACGGAGCATGCCCCAGTTCTGTTTGAAGAGCCCGAAGTTTGCGGCGTCTTCGGTCTTCCCGTCGCCATAGGTATAGTCGGTTGTCATTGTCTCACTGTGCCATCAATCAGGTATATGTCTCCACAACCACCGAAAGTGGGAAAAGGAGGAACTTACGTCTCCAGCATCGCAATGGCAAGGTCAAGGGTGTTCCCGCCGGCATTCAATATGGCTTGCTTGCGCTGGCCAAGGCCCGATACAGTGTAAGAACCGCGGTCATCTCGTTTGACAGGGGATGCAAGGGCCCCAAAGACAAAAAGAGAAGAGATAAGAACGTGGATTCCTTTCATTGCAGGCTTTTGGAGAAGTAATGTTTGAGGCGGTTTATAGTCGAGTGATTAAGTCTGTTCTGCTCTTGACTGCGACTGTAATGGACGCTTTTATAACCCCTTCAAGTGAGACTGGCCGACAAATATAGCTGTATAGTTCTTGAGCTCGCCCCGTGCCAAGTCCGTACCTAAAGAAGGGGCGACATTCCCTTGTCTGAGGCGGAACGGTCATGATGCTAGCGTTAACAAGACGAAGCCGGAATAAGGTGAGCATCATGAGATCGACTAGGATAAATGAACCTATGTACCCTGAAGAATGTGTCCAAGCCAAGAGAAATTGTTTCACTAAGATCGGATTTATCAGATTAGTGCTGGAGCTCTCTACGTATAGTAGTATCGTAAGCAGAGAGACCTGTGGGGAGACTTATTCGCGGGGAACCTTGAGACAAACGAGCTAAACTGGATTTGCTAAGGTCTGGTTCAGACTCTATTCAAAATTGGTGTGATCGAGACCAGACCCTGACTTTTCAACCCCGCATATTCTCAGGCTCTCCAGATCCGACGGTGTACCCCAGATTCTGTCTGTCCCTTCCGTGTTCCTTTAAGACTAGTATCTTCTAGTGACAATAGACAAAGAGTGCCTGTGTGATCCTCATGAGATAAAGTCTAGATTAACTATAAAACAATGAGTCTTTTTATACTATTATCCCAAGATTTTCAAGATCTAAAGGGTAGCATGCCATGATAGGTATTTTTGTTTCTAGCTTTGATGATATATGGAAGTACGGAGAGTACTTTCAGAGGGTGGCTCGCAGTGTACAGGCGCTAAGCCGGGAACGACATAACAACTCACATAGAAGAGAATTTCTTTACCTTTGCTGTATACAATCCACGCTGGTTATTAACCACACTAGTGTGTTTAGTTAGTTACTAAATAGATACGGAGCTTGGCAGGGCCCTAACTAAAGTTTGCGCCTGACTTGGAGTATCATCATGAGTGAGAATAGAAGTATCTGAAAGAGGAAATCTCTAGTGTTTGGTCCGAACTTTGCTCCGTACTCTCATTTATTCAAACTCCCTTTAGAGTAAGCCGTCCTGATCAATCTCCGGCTCGCTCTGTTATCGTAATGTAGCGGCCCTAGTGAGTTTCCTTTACGCCACGCTCAAGTTAGCTTAGCGAGCCAACTCAGCTTCACCCCCTAACCTGCACGTTAACCCCGCACTAGATGTTCCAGGTTACATACGATACTCGCCAACGTCGATTCTCACATTAAGATCCGGTTTCGGAGATACGCATTAGGCGCGTGCAGTAACGATGTAAATATGGGCGATATTCCCCGCAATTTCTCCAGCAGGACAGCCGAAGCTAATTTCCGTAGCATGATGGGGTAAACAATGGCACTAACCAAAATCGGTAGTTCCGGGCTTTGACATACGATGCGAAGGATGCTCGCTAAATACTGTAAAGAGGGCATTGGATATGAAAAACCAAGGCCCCTCGCAGGTTCAGACCTTGAACGTCACGTCCAAAGTAGCTCCCTACCCTAGCTTCCTAATTCGTGCTATGGCTCCCGAAGAGCCGGCTCCGAGGACCTGCATAACCGGTGCCGGTGCTTCTTTTGGACCTGTCGATTTTTCTCCTACGAGGTAACACAAGCAGCGCCTGCGTCTTAGTCTAGTTTATGGGTGTGGTTCCCCAACGAGACTATCTTACTACTTAGTGTAAACATCTACAGAGTTCTAGTTCGAATACACCTCCCAGTTCGAACACTGCGTAGGTACTGGGGAAGGCTTAGCACATAAAGGGTCGTACAGCTTGATCGCAGGATTAGGCTTTGTATCGGGGTTAGGTTTTACCTAGGGGTAAGTCTTGCTGGCAAGTAGCCTAGTTTTTGATAATTTAGCTGTCCTTTAGAAGAGGCACTCCAAGCTCGCTTCTCTTGCCATATATGTGCTGATTCTTTACTGGAACATGTTGGCGTGCCAACCTGATGCCGCTCGCCTCGTGATCCATGGATCGTTCCAAGATGGGACCCACTGGGAGATTGAGCATAGGTCGCATTTTTATTTGCTTTGGAAGTTTAGATACTGAAGAATTCCTTGGTTGACGGCATTTTAGGTTCTGTGGTAACCAGAGGATGGTGATAGGGAAACTAAGGCGAGCACAGACAGGCGCGGGGAACTGCGAAAGGTAATTTGGCCGAATTTGAGGATTCAGGCTTGTTAGAGCCAATTTGCCTTAGGTTCCTTTTTTTCCCACTATTCTTTGGTTTGTTTCCGGTACTCGGGTTCTTATATTGTATTTCGAGAGCCAATAATTCCAAGACATTGAGGCAGGTAGTCTTAAGGTTGAAAGCCTTCCATAGCGCTGTTGACCAGTCAGGGGCCTGTTCCAAGCCGCTACCAGATTACTAAGGTTGGCACTATCATGGGTGTATATAATTATCAAAACTGCAGCTTGAAATAAGCGGCGGTTGTATAACATATTGAGCGAGAGTCAGCTTCAATGTTCTTCCGGATCCTCCTAACTTGCCGACTAGAACCCCTGATTCGGTTAGACTTCCCCTGTTGATTCTGGGAAGGTGAAGCTTAACCTCCTTCCTTCCGGATCAATAATCACCTATCCGGTATTCTCCAACAATACACCTGGCCATTCCAACACATAGCCCAGAATGAGTCTTTCTCCTGGGGGTCTACCCAGGCTATTATCCCGAAAATTCAATTCCAGCTCGCCCGCGTTCTTCAACGCGTCGCGCACAATCAATAATGCCAAACAAAGTACATGGCATCAGAACGTTATTCGTCAAAACTCCTCCTGCTCAACTTCCCCAGCAACTGCCACTCCCGACTTCCAAAGCAAATTGAAGAAATACACTCGCCCACCTGCCCAATTCTCCCCGGGCCAGGCAACCCGCCCTGGATCTCTGAACTCACCAGTGCCGACCGAATTGAGCAGGATCTCTACGATTACGGCCATCGCCTCTGGGGGTTTGTCATCTACCGGTGTACATACCAGAGCAATACAGCCTGGACCAAATTTCTGCGCCGTCTAGTCGCCGACACTGAGGATGTCCTAGAAGGGGCAGATGATCTACTTGATCATCTGGCTATAACTGTCCTCGAGGACCCGGGCAAGTTCGACGGGGCTACTGCAGCGGTGGTTCGAGAGCATTTCAATCAGTGGGCAGCGACGGCGGTGGAAGAGGAACAGGGCACCACAGCTCAGGGTCTCGTCCCGGGGCTGGAGGGGTTTCAACGGTATAGATATTGCATTCAGGTTACGCAGGATGAATTGGACTCGGTTCTCGCTGATGATTATGAGAGAAACGGGTTTCTGCGTATGATTTGGAGGGATTGGAAGGAGTATGAGCCGTTTGAGGAAGATGGAGAGAGGTTTGAGGAGGAGGAGGAGGAGCCGCTTGAAGGATGTACCTTGGAAGCGGTTGGGTGGATGAGGGTTCCGTTTTGGGGTGTGATGTTTCTTCCTTGGTCTCATTTGCGGGATCCGAATGCTTGGTATATAGAGTATCGTCGGCCGCCGGCGATTGGTCATTTTTAGTTTATTATTTTTTAAGCAAACTAGTCGCGTAGGAACCTTGGTGAATCGAGGATACCGACTGTGCGATAGCCGCCATTTTTAGTATGTACAAAGACCTAAGATGGAGCAACCTAGAAGACAGATATTCAGCATTACAAAGTCAGGATCGAAGATTAAGGTTCTCGTGAGTTGGGCTAGGGATAGTGATCTAGATTGGTTAATTGCAATATATTGATTATGATCCGTCAAAGCATCATAGTTTCGTGTATTACCTGCAGCTACGGCCGTCGATAAGTGCCACCAAAGTGCAAGCGGCGTTTCATTAATTTTAACGGTAGAATTCTCGATTAGGTCATTTTGCTGCTTTTAAACCTGAAAGATTAGGCTACCACGGCCAATATCAAACCAGAGGAATTCTGATTTAGCCAGCCAGGGCCCACGATTTTAATGACCCATCTCTCATGCGATTTGAAACATTTTAAATGCGATCTGGATTGTATACGAATCGACTTGAATCGAATTGAATTACATACGACTCAAACCACCCACTAAACCCCCCTTCCTAACTTGATACAATGAGTTGTCTCGAAAATCGAAATGTCCATTTAATTCTCCAGTAGTCATCTAGACAAAGAACCAATCCACGCTTTCAACTCAGCATGAAGTTCACAAAGCCCGAGAAATTTTTCAATGCCACCTAGCAAGAACGGGAGCCCTATTGGCACCGACAACTATCATCGCACCGGCATCAAAGGTGCAACACTGCCGCGTCGTGGATATCAAGTAACGAATGAAATATTTGACACAAAGTCAAAAAAAGAAAAGGGCCAAAAAAGGGTACAATTGAAGAAACAAATCATAGCGCCAGCTAGCCCAGAAATCAAAATCAGTGATCGTCAAAGCCGTGGAAACGTCAAAATCAGTCTTGTGTACAATCTTGTAAACCTCAGCTCTTGCTCGGGAAACGTCAAAATGAAGTGTACAGTGAGAAGAGGAAAAAAAGCAAAAGACATCAAGCAAGGGGGTGTCAGACCAAGCCAAGTCAACAAAGCACAAGACAAACCTAGGCTAGTCTAGCGACTAACCCGTCGCTGGCCCATCGAGTCACTAATCCGCCTGGCACCACCACTAATCGAACGCTCCGAGATATTATCCATATCCCGCGCCGAAGCATTGACAACCCGCAACTTCTCACGAGGCACGGTATATGTCATCTGCACACTGCGACCCTCCGCCGCACCTTCAACATCCCAATCATCCTCGTACTCGTCACAGGTCTCGTCGTCACCGAGGTAACCCGGTGCCCCGATGAAGAGGTCATCGCGTGTACCGCGAGACATGGCAACGGGCCCCTCGGATAGTCGCTTCTTCGCGTTCCAGTCCTTCGCGCCTTGTTTGCGGCGGAAGAGTTCTGCAGAGGCGCTGACTGCGCGGCGGGGGGCGTTGGCGCCGCTGCCGATGGATGGGGAGCTTGTGGCTAGGATGGTGCTGCGTCGGTCGATGCCCGAGGCTAGGTAGGCTGTTTCATCGACGTCGTCGTCGCGCTGGGTGGAGGTACCGCTGCGACGGGTGAGTGTTAGAGCGCGGCGGACGGTGTTGAGCATCCAGTCTGATGTCCTGGGCTTTGATGCGGGGAGTTTGGAGGGTGAGGATTCGGTTGGAGTGATAGGGGTGATGAGTTCGTTTGTATCGTGGAGGAGAGACTCGTTCTCGGCCTGGCGTTGGGAGAAGGTGGTTTGAGCGGTGGAGTAGGAGTCCGTTGAGATGGATTTCACCGAGGGAGCGTTCATGCCATCGGCGTCGCTGTGCGTTGATCCGGCTGCGAGTTGTTCAGCGCTGCTGCCCCAGCTCAGGGGTCTTTCCACGAGAACTGCGCGAGCCTGTGAGACCTGCCCGGTGGGCTTGGTTGTGGCGGAGCAGAAGGAGAAGGCTGAAGACTCAGACAGATTGGTGGATGTTCTGTCGCTCTTTCCAGCCGGAGAGGCACGGCCGTCTGATACAGAGCCATTATCCTTTCGGCGGCTGTAGAACGGCCCTAGGCCGACACCAAAGATGGTGGTCCGTGGCGTCACAAACGGAGTGTCTGCGAATGGATCCTCTTGCTCCTGGACGGCAGGCTTCGTGTCCTTTGGAATTGTTGCCATGAGCCGTTCCCGGAACATCGCCTCATCTTCCTCGCGTTCATCAATCGGGTGAATCTCACTCGTCGTATCGCTGCGACGGTAATCGGCGTAGCTAGATGGACGATACGTTCTTTGTTGGCTCATGGGTCGCGTCCCTTTAGTAGGAGAAGTGTCCGCCAGCAGACCAGTTCTTTCTGCAAGGCCATCATTGGAGTCTTTCCAGGATCCCGGCCGCGATGCGACACTTCGATTCACGGACCAAGGGGAAGCGGCTGCGGGCTCTTGTTTCTCGCTCATCTGCGATCCGCGTATACTACTCGCCTGGTGAGGCTCATCTCGAGTCCAGAAATGAGCACGTTCAGCGCCGAGGGCCAACTCGCGGAGTTGTGAGTCACGCTTGCTTCGGACGGTGCGCTTCCGATGGTATCTCCATACACAGAGGGCAATGGTAATGACAAGTGGTATTCCGAGACCTAGCCCAACTCCAAGTCCTGCTTTTTGACCGGAAGAAAGGGAATGGTGGGATGCTTCTGTGGACGCATAGCTGACAGAGGGATCGGAATAAAAATTCACCCAGCTGCTTGAGGTTGTGTTGTAGAGATATACCTGCGAGTTACGTTCCGCCAGGGACGTCGCTCGTTTGGACGATGATTGCTTGGGAATAGTGTATCCTCCAGCAATCATCAGTACACCTCCAGGGAGCATGGCCACCGAGTGACCAAACAGTCCAGTTCCCTCGGCAATCCCCACTCCCTCACAGGGGGGCACAGTCCAGGCCCATTCACCCGTGCCGCCATACTCTTCGCCGATATGAAGAACCGCAAATTGAGGATCCGCAGGCGTAGACGTGTCTCCTACCCAGCCTCCAACCACATAAACCTTCGTTCCATCCTGGGACAGCACAGCGGCGTGGCCAGATCGAGGTTCCACCTCTACAGCATCTCGTACAGCCAGTTCCGTTCTGGGCTTAGGATCTGAGGTGACACTGACAAAGGCCCAGCTTTCTTGTGGCACCGAGAATATGGCCAGCTGGGACATGTTGAGAAAGGCCTCTCGGGTATGGCCGCCGATAAACAGGAAGTCTTGTTGGGATTGGGTCCGCGAATGCATCTCTGAAAATGGAACTACGACCATTCCTGCCTCGGGGACAGGGGGTGCGCGGTCTCCAGTAACTCTAGCATCGTATTCAGAGGCGTGACTTGAATCAGGATCCATGACAACCATGGTCTGCGAATAGTTTGCTGCATAGATCCAGGTATCATCTGTGCTGTTTGCGAAGGGACACATCCCACCAAACGAGTAGAAGGTAGTTCCAGTCGTGTTGTTGGGCACGAATGAGAATCCGGCAGCCAGGTAATTCGGTCTTGTACTTCCCTCTTCCGAGGCCACCGTGAGCTGGGTCCAAGATCCATTGCCGATCGAACTGGTGTTGTCAGGCTGGAATTGCCACAAGGAGTCGGTCCCCGATCCATCGTGACAGTCTCCGGTGTAGACTGAAATGATGCCGCGATCGTCAATGACGGGGATGAAGGTCGAATTACCCTCCGTAGTCTGGAAGGGGGTCGCCGAGAGCAAGGTGTGGTAGGTGGGGTTTTGCGAGTCGAGGATCATGGAGATGCTTAGCGACAGGAACTCGGTCTTGCCAGTGGCGGAGCTGCTGGGCTGCAGCAGATAGGCGAGAGAGTCATTGTGTGATGGCGAGAGGAAGATGGAGGACGGGGTGTATGGAATGGCGATGGTAGAATCGAGGAGGCCGAGCAGGAGGGCAGCGGAAGAGAGTGGGCTGCGCTTGGAGCGGCGACGGAACTCCATCGCGCGTTTGTGAAGGTAATCTGAGACAAAATCAAGGCGAGGGATGCATTCCAAGATCGGCGAGCATGATGCCACGCGATTGACAGAGCCAGGTGACGAGTCGATGTGCGAGGGACCACCGAAAATGCCACGAGAGAGACTGTTGATCTGTCTTCAAGGCGTCTTGGAGGGATTCATTGAAGATTTGATGACGACAGGAGGGAAAGAGAGAACACAAATGATATGGTTGATGATTGACTACTGCAGTTGGGGCTGTCCCCTCCACTCTACGACTGACTCCTCCGCCTTTGGAAGTAAACACACTTCAACCACCACCCAGCCACACCGTCGTAATCACCGGTGTCAATTGGGCCAGATCGCATCGATGGTGAGTGTGAAACACCAATGAGCCTGCTCGACCGAGAGATGGCTGACGCCTCCATGGCCCCTCAACAAAGAAAAGTGGGAGACAAATCGAGTGCCGAGTAGCTGATCAACATGCTAATCAACCGCGTTGCGGGGGCAACGGGCGGGTGAGATGGTGAGATGGTGGGGGTTGGATGGGTCACCTAGCAGAAGTACTACTGTAGGATGGGAAACAGATTGCACTAGTGGATCGTCACAGAATCCTCGTAGCCTATCGTAACGGTTACTTTGCACTTTTCGTGATGAAGTCGCGCCAGAGTTAATCTAAGATAAAGTGGGCGGCGCTACGCTGTCAAGGCACAGGCCTCTGTCTCGGTGCGGGGCTCGAAATTATTATTCAAGACGGAGAAGATCTCGCTCGATACGCTTCGGAAGATGCGTGTGAATGTCTTTTGAAACGTCTTTCGAGTTGTCTCTGGCAATGTCTCTTGATGGGTTCTTCCAAATAGGCATTAATAAGCTGCTGTTGAACTTTCCTCGGAGGTCCCAACGGATGGAACCTCGCTGTACTCATCTCGCTACGTGGCTGATAGACTGCCCAGGGTTCACACTCTAACTCGAGGTAGTATTGCTAGATCCCATGAGTAGTGAACATAAGCGAGTCGCGTATTTCCCTAGAGGACATACCCTCAACTCTTCACTACTGCTCCAAAGTTGTCCAGCTCTACGGTCAATTGACTGACAATCTTCGTAATCATTGCTCATGCATTTCATTCAACAATTTTGTCTCGTCCGCGCGGACATTTGGATATATAAACTCCGAGAATACAGCATCCAGGCAAAAAAAGCTCCTCAGTAGGCAGCAAAGTCAACTATACCTATCTATGCTTGTCTGCCCAATCCCTGTAGAAGAGGCCCAACCGTTCTATCAGACCAATCCGTATCACGCTTAAGCACCGTTGGGCGCGGTAGCGGGCTTCGTGGGCAGAGTGGTGGACAGTGGAGGAAGCAGGTTCTTTGCGCCCTCGCGCGCGTACTGCGCCATCAAGGCGTCCATGATGACCAGCGCGGACATGGCCTCAACGATAGGCACGGCACGGGGCACGACGCAGGGATCGTGGCGGCCCTTGGCCTCGAGAACACCCTCCTCCAGTCCGTAACTGGCAGTGTTCTGGGCCTGACCGATGGTCGCAGGGGGCTTGAAGGCGATGCGGAAGTAGATGGAGGCACCGTTGGAGATACCACCCTGGATGCCGCCGGAGTTGTTGGTCTTGGTAGTGAGGCGCTGATCGGCGGAGACGACGAAGGCGTCGTTGTGAATGGAGCCAGGCACCTCGCAGCCGCCGAAGCCAGAGCCGATCTCGAAGCCCTTGGTGGCGGGGATGCTCAGCATCGCGTGGGCCAGCTTCGCCTCCAGCTTGTCGAAGCAGGGCTCGCCCAGGCCGACGGGCACGTTGCGGATGACACAGGTCACGGTGCCGCCGATGCTGTCCTGTGCATCGCGGAACTGCTCGATCACCTTGGTCATGCGTGCGGAGGCTTCGGTCTCTGGGCAGCGGACGGGGGCGAAGTTGTCTACCGTTGTGCGGTCGATGGTCTCGAGGAGCTTCAGGTACTCGGGGTTGGTAGAGGCGGTGGGGTGTTCGGGGGTTGGGGGGAAGAGGTGCTCGTTGCCAACGGAGGAGACGAAGGCGACGATTTCGACATTGTGCGACAGCTTGAGGTACTTCTCTGCGATAGCGCCGGCGGCGACACGACCTGGGGAGTGGTTGTTAGTTTTGGGATGCTGAAATGTCGATATCTTTGTTCTAAGACATTGCGTCACTCACCAATGGTCTCACGAGCACTGCTACGGCCACCACCACTGCTGGCCTTCACACCGTACTTCTCGAGGTAGGTGAAGTCGGCATGACTGGGGCGGGGGTACAGGTCCATTGTGCTGCCACCGTAGTCCTTCGGGCGCTGGTCCTCATTGCGGACAATCATGCCAATTGGTGTGCCCAGGGTGACTCCGAACTCTGTGCCTGACTGGATCTCGACTCGATCCTTCTCATTGCGCGGGGTTGTGAGGGCACTCTGGCCAGGACGACGGCGAGTCATCTGGGGCTGAATATCTTCTTCGGTAAGTTGCATGCCGGGAGGCACACCGTCGACGATACAGCCGACAGAGCGGCAGTGAGACTCGCCATAGCTGCAAGAGAAATCGTGAGCAGGTGGCGCTGTATTGCTGTGCGGAGGGGCAAACTTACGTGGTGACTCGGAAATGTTCACCCCACGTCGACATGATGGCGGGGATTAACCAAACGATTTAGGCTCGGCCAGGAGAGGGAATTGGAAGAGAGGTGAGAATGAGAGAAAAACCCCAGTATCAATTGGCAACAGCAGATCAACAATATCTCACCAAAAAGGGCAGGGATGATGCGAGACAAAAAAAAAGAAAGAGACCCGACGCCGCCGAAAATCGACTCATCGATAGTTTCCTATCTGGGACTAGCGCCACCGACTATCGGCCGCGCTGAGATGTGATATTCCCAATGATGCCACACTCCCCTTGCTCCTTTCCAAATGCTCGTCCGACGATGTCTAGCCTCGTCGCTGCGCGGTAGTGCGAGGCACATCCGATACAACTCGTCATATCCACTCGATCGCTTCGCAGAGCTCGCTAGTCGTCCATCGTCCCAGCACCAAATTTATCAGTCGCTTTCAACGGACCCTTACGTCAATCTCTCTATTGAGCACTTTCTACTAGAACATGCACCCGTCGACTCGAGCATTCTCTTCCTCTATATCAATCAGCCATGCGTAGTAATCGGTCGCAACCAGAATCCATGGCTGGAGACGGATTTGCGAGCACTCTACAATGACCGTCGGCCTGGCGCGGGTCAAGACGATGCAGCTGTCTATGTCCGGCGGAGATCAGGAGGTGGAGCTGTATTCCACGACGAGGGAAACCTCAATTACAGTGTGATCTCTCCGCGCACCACTTTCACACGCGATAAGCATGCGGAGATGGTAGTTCGGGCGCTGCACCGCATTGGCGCAGTGAATACCAGTGTCAATACTCGACACGATATTGTCATGACTCCCCCAGAGACACCAAGGGATGGCAATGAGCCGCCTTTCCGAAAAGTATCTGGGTCGGCCTTCAAGCTCACCCGCCACCGAGCCTTGCACCACGGCACCTGCCTGCTGGATTCGCCCAATATCCATGACTTGGGCCGTTTCCTTCGCTCTCCTGCGCGAGGGTATATCCAAGCGAAAGGTGTCGAGAGTGTTCGGTCGCCCGTGGGAAATGTATCGAGTGCGCTGGCGGACTCATTCTTTTCTATGCAGGCGGTGATGGACAACGTAGTAGAGGAATTTGCGCGGATGTATGGCGTTCACACTGACGTTGTCCGCCGGGCACGCCGGGCCCTTGCGGGCGAGCCTGAGATTTTTGCCGGTGATAGCTGGGTAATGGGAACCGTGGGTGATGCTCAAGGAGAGATGGAGCCGGAGATTGGCAAAGGAATCGCGGAGTTGCGGGTGAGTTGTGTTGGATACTGGCGATAAGCATGAGTTGCTGACAGCATGGTAGTCGCTGGAGTGGAAATACACTCAAACACCCCAATTCACCTTTTCCACGTACCCTATTGAGGAAGATTCTCGCGAGCGTGCACCACTGCCAGCAACCCTTCCCCCCTCGGTGAGCTTTCCTTCATGGAGACATCCAATAATGCTTTTTTTGGCACATTGCTAACAGTGATTAGACACGCGTGTTCCTCCGTTTAAAACACGGGGCTATCATAGAAAGCAATATCTCTACTTCTTCGGATGCATTGGTCGCATCTGATCAAGCCAACCGTGTGCATCAGGTCTTGAACGGCCAGAAACTGCACGAAATCACTGTCGAGCGCTGGACGGAGATGCTCCGTCAAGGCTTGATGGCCACTGATGGTGTAGACGATGCGCTTGTACAGGAACTGGCAGATTATTTGGGAGATCTGCTAGGAGGGCAGTGATACCGCAACGTGTGACTTGTATTATTATATATCGGCTGGCCATCCAGCTTACTGTACATTAATAAACCAAACCCATATTCGGATCGGCTTCCCCCAGCAGCCCTCGGACGAGGAGACTGGACCCTGCATATTCCTCACCGAATGCATACTAATTAGACCGTACACGCACATCACCATAACATATCGATTGTTACAGGGTCACGTTTTTTCCCAATGTGTCTTGTACCTGCATGTTAGTCTCTATTTCCATTGGTGGAGTATGGATTTTCCACTAATCACGAAGCGCACGGTCTTGGATGCTCGGCTTTAAGGAGGAGCAATGCCCCCTTTGCTGAGACAGAGTATAGTAGTATTGAGGGTCAGCATCTTGTCTGGCATACAACCTCACCATTTACAAGACTTACTGTCTATCAGCTTACTTTCAACCTGGTAGAAGCGCATTATCTTCGTATTTCTTACCATTTCCTTTGGCTCGAGGAGACTACAACTGGTATACCATATACAACCGTTGTAGATCCTCTCCCATATCCACCTTTTAACACGGCGTACCATTGAACTTGGGACCTTCATAGAAACGTGTTCATCCCGGTTAGTGCTGGCTTATCTGCACTGCTTATTCGTCTTTCAGACTCCAGCAGTCTGCAGCAACCATCTCACTGCCAAGGCAGGCCAAAAGTCCCTTCCCCGCATCGCGTTGTATCTACCTTATCAAGAAAGGATATTCCAGTGACTGGCTAAATCCACGTATTCAGCCACCGTTCTTTCACGCCTGTCGAGCATTGGCCATTCTGAGTCAAGGTCGTATCAGGATCCTCCTCCAACCTATCCCCATGGGGTGGTGATCTGCCCGTATCACCCCCACATCCCCGCCAGTCAAAGCTGGGGGTGGGGGTCCACATTCATGAAGAACACGGCTGAGAAGCTCATGTTGCTTTGGCCATATCGGACCAAGTGGTCACCATGCACAATTGGCACCATGGTCCTCTTGGCTATTCAGCACTGGCTCGGATTCGTGGAGGATTTCCCCCTCGTTTCCTCGCCTTGACTGCGTTCTCAGCACTCCTTATAGGCTGAATCAGACAGCCAAGAAGGCAGCTGGGGCGGATGACACCTTCTATAGACAGCGTCGCAGTCTGATCTCAAGGTATATCAGTAGCCGACGGCAATCAAGCTTGTGTAGTCATTACCGCGCTTTGGTTTAAATCATTAACTTCGGCCCACTTTGAACATTACTGGCCTGAATCTTATAGTCATTCTTCTGCTTTTTGCCTTGCGAGGGGCTATACTGTCACCATGTCGTGGCTACTTCAGAAGATCGTCCACAATGAGGCGATGAGAACTGACCCCAAGGAGATTTATGGGTGGAGAGTCTATGCCCTGGCCTGCTCCGTTAGTAACACTTGGATGCTCATGAGCAATAGCTATTCTGATTAAAGCTGACACATGAAAAGGCTTGCTTTGGTGGAATGCTTTTTGGTATGGACTCTGGCATCATTGGCGGAGTTCTCACTATGCCACCATTCGAATCGTAAGTCTCAAATCTATCTTTCAATCTCCCCTCCACTGGCTGCGACACATGCTAATCTAGCTGTCTACTATAGCAAATATGGCCTCACGGGTCTAAGCAAGACTGCGCAGGCTAATCTCTCTGCAAACATTGTCTCCACTCTCCAGGCAGGCTGTTTCTTCGGAGCTTTGTTGGCATCTCCCGCCGCCGATCGATGGGGGAGAAGGTATGCCCTACTCGGTGCAGCGACGCTTGGAATTGTAGGTGTCGTTATGCAAGCCGCAGCTAGTGGTCACCTCGAGGTCATGTATATCGGACGGTAAGAGTCATCATTCGGACCCGTGAGCTCTGGTCCCAATTCAAAAGCGTGCATACTAATGATAAACTCCATCAGTCTCATCACCGGCTTTGGTGTTGGCTCCGCCTCAATGATCAACCCCCTCTACGTCTCAGAAAACGCACCACGCGCTATTCGTGGCGGCCTAACCGGTCTCTACCAACTCTTCATCACAATGGGAATCATGCTTGCTTTCTGGATCAACTACGGCTGTCTATTGCATATGAGTGGTTCTTCTATGTACCTTGTCCCTCTGGCAATGCAAGCCCTACCCGCAGTCCTTCTATTCTTCGGAATGCTCCTATGCAACGAGTCGCCTCGCTGGCTGGCCAAGCAGGACCGATGGGAAGAGGCTCGCGCGACTTTGTCGAAAGTCCGAGCGCTTCCTGCGGATCATCCCTATGTGGAAGAGGAGTTCCAGGCCATTGCGACTCAATTGGAACAGGAGCGTGCTTTGGTTGGTGGCTCCGGCTTCTGGGACCTGATGAAGGAGATGTGGCTTATTGCTGGTAACCGGAATCGAGCTATGATTTCAATCTTTTTGATGGTGTGCCAGCAGATGACTGGTACCAACGCTATAAACTATTACAGCCCGCAAATTTGTGAGTTTTACGTTGCATGGAGTGATACTGAAATAGAAACTGACAGTATACAGTTCAAAACGTGAGCCTCCTCCCTCTCGCATCTCGACAAGGTCATGATACAAGTTACAACAACAGCAACATGAATCTCTAACACATATTCTTCTTCTAGTTGGGCATCAAGGGTAAAGCAACCAACCTATTCGCCACAGGCGTCTACGGAATCGTGAAAATGGTCAGCTGTGGCGTCTTCCTCATTTTTGTTGCCGACTCCCTCGGTCGTCGCCGCTCCCTTCTCTGGACTTCCATCGCTCAAGGTCTGGCAATGCTGTATATCGGTCTATACGTCCGCATCGCGCCTCCGGTTGAAGGAGCACCAGTAATCCCGGCCGGCTATGTTGCTTTGGTCTGCATCTTCCTCTTTGCGTCGTTCTTCCAGTTTGGTTGGGGCCCTGTATGCTGGATCTATGTTTCTGAGATCCCGAGCGCTCGTCTCAGATCGCTCAATGTGGCATTTGGCGCGGCGACGCAGTGGCTGTTTAATTTTGTCGTGGCTCGGGCTGTGCCGGTTATGTTGACTACCGTTGGTGCCAATGGTTATGGGTGAGTTGACATATTGTAGTGTATGAAAGTTGGAGGTCGAGGTTGCTGACAATGGGATTCTAATTTCTAGAACATACATTATCTTTGCATGCTTCTGTTTCTCTATGTTCTTCTTTGTCTGGTTCTTTATTCCAGAGACCAAGGGTATGTTTAGCCTTATCCCTAAGCAGGCTTGGACACAACTGACCGGCTTTCTATAGGTTTGTCGCTCGAGAAGATGGATGATCTCTTCGGAGTCACAGAATTGCTTCAGCAAAAGGCTGCTGATCCCGAGCAGGGTATTGTCACCGCCGATGCGGACAAAATCGCTGGCTCTCACGTCGAGCATGTGAACCCTTCGATGGCTAACACGCAACCTGTTAACAAAGTATAAGTCATGAGGTCACAGTGAAAGCACAATGTCGGGGTTTGAACGAGTTACACTAAGAATGTAGTCGAGGGAATCTACACCTAATCCTAGTTTGCTAGTTCTTGCAAATTAATACCACCATAAGAATCGCCATAACGGCTGTTCAAAAAATTGTAGTCAATAATGATTCTCAGAATCAAAATTGTGTATTCACATAGCTCATGTCGTCATATCATATACATCATAACCACTGAGCCTGATATGCAGGGCGGCCTCAAGAATGGCAAAGAAAACAGGAACAAGAAATCGCCACCGCTATGAATGGAACGCTCGCTGAAGCCAACCTCCTAATAAAATCGAAAAGTGGCAAAAATAGCTCGCCAATAGGCATGAAAATGACAAATGGACAGGAGGGAAGGGTGAAGCAACATTCTGCAGCAGATGGAAAAGTGAACGCAAGGGCATAGAGATGGGTGGGCTATGGGGTCGCCGTGATTATCTGACGGCACGACCAGGGAATCTTCGCCCCGTGAGGCCTTGCTGTGTTTGGCTGCGAGTAACGCGTCGAGACGCGGGGCGATCCTCTAGACTCAAACCGCCAATACCTGGACCAAGCTCGTTCCTTCGCGGAGAAAAGGCAGAACCAAACTCGGAGTTTGGATGCCTGCCGTACCGAATGTTACGAGTAGTGGCATCGGTCATGTTTGTGGCGGTGGTAGCAACAGTTTCAGTGTCTGAATCTTGATCGTAGTCCGACGGTGGATCATTCACTCGTAAGTCACTCATAGTGAAACTGTGAGGATTCTTGCGTGGTGTTGGGAAGCGATTGTGGGGATGAGATGAAGAAGAAGCAATTCGGTAATTGGGTGCAGATGGCAGGGCTGATGACAACCCCGAGGAGAAGCTGGAGCTACCGGTGGTTGTTGAGAAGGAAAGAGGGGGGCTTCTGAGTGCGAAGTGACGGATGGTGCCGGAGGGGGACTGCCGAACGTGGAATGGGTGGGAGACCAAGCTAGAGCTGGTTGATCTGGCGACAAAAATTGAGGAGATGATGGCTGTGGTGAAATAGGCTGAGGGATCGCTGGGCTGTGGCCGTGGTGTTGTTCCGGGCTCGCGGAAGTCGATGGCGCTCTGTAGGAAGCTAATAACCCGAGGCCTTCTTGAACAGCCATGAAGACAAGGAGCAATTTGCCGTATCGGTCGAAGTATTCGCGCTCATAAGATGCTTGAGGCAGGTGAGCCCCGAGATGAACGGCCGCTGCGAGCTCAGTGATGTAGACCAGGATCTCCATGCCATTCCAGTGCACCAGAGGTCGTTTCACAGCTTCCAAAAGAGCGAAGCCTGCGATAAGACTGGCGCTTCCCAAGGCACAAGCTTCAATATAGTTTCCGGGAATCGAGAGCTGGTGGTTCTGGGAGAATGTCCAGGCGGCCATGGATCCCATTAACAGAGCCAGTCGAAGGTATTGGAATAAAAGATGACTTGAAGGGGGAGAGTAGGGTTTTTGATTGGGCGATTGTTGCTTCCAGTCGCTCTTAGGGCTTTCGGGGTCAATGTCGAAAGCACGCTCGAATAATGTTTCGAGCCCAGTAGAGGTATTGAGATCACTCGTTGGAAAGAATGATGGAGGCCTAAACACCGGTTCAGGGCTCGAGGCCTTCAATTGCCATTGGTTTGGAGGATTGTATAGACCTCGATGAAATGGATTGGGTTGTACGACCCGCTCAATGGGCTTTGCTGACGGCTGGTTGCGGAGATTCCATGCCGGCGGCTTAGGAGCCGGTGGCAGGCTGCCAGTGAAAGGGGAAGGGCCGTCAAAAACAGACGGCCGCTCTCGCCGCTGGACACTCCCGTTCGGCTGGAGAACAGGCTGAGGAGCTGATGGAGTCCATTCCATTTCGTCCACCTCAGGGGGAGGTGTAGGAAAAGCTGGCGACTGACTTGCTGGGGGCAAAGGAGGTGCCAGCTTCTCTAAGGGGAATCGCTGGTCGAGTGGACCACCGGTATGACTCGGTGTGATAGTATCTCTTTGGGGCCTGGGGCTGGAGATAGGAGATGTTCCACTGCTTCGCAGAGGCCTTTCCCAGGAATTATCAGACCAATCGACCAATGGCTGAGTGTTGTAATCCACCACTCGACGAGAGATTACGACTGATAACAGCGTGAAAGCGATCATGAATGTGTGCAGAGCTGGAGGAAGGCTGGGTCCAAGAGCGCTTGCAGACGGGTCCTTGAGCAGCTCCCAGAAAACGCAACGAGCAACAAGTGTGATGAGTTGTGCCTGATAGTATTCGGCGAACCCGGCGAATCTGCCAGTTCGCCCCTCTACCTTCATGCGCAATTTTGGATTCCACCAGATGGAAAGAAGCCCTGCGATGAGGGCGAGTCCTGCAGTAGATGACAGATCGATTGAGCATTCACTGGGAAGACGACCCATCTGCGCTGTCTGGCTCACACAAGAAAGCACCGATACCGGAATATCCGAAGACAGGTCAGGATCAAAAGATGGACCAGAGCTCGTCAGTATGCTTGTCACGTCCCAGGTAAGCTGACCACCAACACTGGTCCAGTATCCGAACGCGCCAGCGTAAACAAGCAAGCTTTGCCAACTGCGGTCCCTGGCCTGCCGTAAAGTCTTGCTAGCTCTGCTGCGGTCCATCATGCGACGAAGATGATCTGCCTTGGCCTCGTAGCCCTTCTTGCGAATTTCTTCCAGCACCCGGGGCCCGCAGGCATCGCAAACTTGTGGGTATCTTTCCTCGAGGCCTTTCTTGAACTGCGCGTAGCCACGCTCATATTCGGCATCCGAGGGGTCATCAGATGGTGGGAAATATGCAGCAAGTGAAGACCGGAACAAATGCTGGTTCCGAATACATTTCGAACAGAATGAACTGGATCCTGCAACGTCGGTCGAGTCGAGGGCTGAACTCGAGGCGTCGGCGCCCTGATTAAAACGATTTGTGTCCTCTGCCGGGGGATCTGTGATATCTCCATTCTATTGAATCAAGCGATAAAGCATTAGTATCTTTCCAATGGTTCCGGCCTGTTTCTCATGATGCACACCTGATCCAAATAGTTATCAGCCTCACAGTGTTCACAGTGGAATTTGCGAACCGGCCCACGAACGGGCTGGGTAGCGCGCCGACCGCAGTAAAAGCAGGTCAGACGTTTTGAAAAGAGCGCCATGACATGTTAATAGTGGGGTATTGCTAACCAAAAACAATAGACGTGGATTGTCGTTGGTAGCAAAGGAGAGCAGAGCGGAAACATGAAAATAAACCCACGCAACCCCAGGCTGTGGCTGCGGCTGCACAGACCACTCGAGGCACGTGTTGCGCGGACGCGACAGCTTCAATTTTGCCCAAAATAAACGGAAACTACCACTTCATGAAGGGTCTGGGCAGAGAAAGTCTACTTCTTCGTCACCTTTTTCTGCTTTGGCTACGGCTCTATTCAAACATGTTTCTTTCGCCATAGCAACGCCGACCTTCTCTACCCACCCTCAAGCACGCAGCCGCGGTGACATCATGGCTTCGACTCCACAGACCCTCTGGGGTCTCTTCTTGAAGATACTCGGCCTTGCAGCCGCCATTGGGGTTCTCATCCTCGTTGTGTGTCCAGAACCAAGCTTCGAGAATAATCAATGCTTTCCAGAACTAACCATGGCTATCCTAGGTCATCCTAGTCTCACTGGTGATATCTCAAAATGCCACGCTTCCCAAAGTCCGTCGAAGGGGCACACCCGTCCACGTCCTTGTCGTGCTAGGCAGTGGTGGTCACACTGCCGAAATGTTCGCCATTCTCGAGAATCGATTTGACTTTTCCGTCTACACCTACCGCACCTACGTCGTGAGCTCTGGGGATGACCTTAGCGCTCAAAAGGCCGTTGATTTTGAAGACACAATTGCGCAAAGGAATAAGATCGAGGAGCCAGCCGATAACTACACGGTTGTTACCATTCCACGGGCACGACGGGTGCATCAATCGTACTTGACTGCGCCGTTCTCGACACTCCACTGCTTCTGGGTCTGTCTTCTGGTTCTACTAGGGCGACACCCAGACCAGCGCCCACTCCCCTCACAGTATCCTTCCGTTTACCCCGACATTATTATCAGCAATGGACCAGCTGTAGCCGTGTGCATGATATTCGCAGCGAAGTTCATACGGTTCTTCATTTTCTGTTTCCGCTGGGTATCCGGTCAGGCCTCCAAACCTGAGATATCAAGGCTCCGAACCGTGTACGTGGAATCGTGGGCTCGCGTTCGGACACTGAGTACTTCTGGGCGGATACTTCTTCCTATCGCGGACAAATTCCTTGTTCAATGGCAGCCTCTAGCGGGTCACCGAGCTTGGTGGGGCATGAAGAGAACAGAATACTGCGGCTGGGTTGTTCTTTGAACTGTTCTTCGTGAGCAGAGTTCTTTTCTACGATGCATATGCATACCATACCATTCACTAGGATATCATACTTGAATAGATGTCTACCCCAGGAATATTAGACATACAATGTGGAAGCTTTACTTGATTCTCGGCATTCTGGCCGAAGCTCCAGGCCACGGTACTTTTCCCTCCACATACCGATGTGGGGACTGCAGAACCACTTGTGGTAAGCAAAGGTAAGAGTACATAAGCACGGCGAGCTACAGCTGTTCTTAAAGAGGACCTTTTGGCTTCCAATAGAAGTGGCGAGGCATAATCAGCATCGGAATAATCCCGTCCCAATCCCCACCTGTTCTGATCATCTGCTGGGGTGGCTGTCATCGCATAACTAGCCCCGCATCCCCCCTCGCCGAAGTAACCCGTCGAACAATTACCAGTCAATTTATTTAGAACGATTGCACAGTTCTTGCCATTGATTCAACTTCCAAGTTTTGACAAAGAAAGTCCTCAACCCGATCAATTCACCATGCCCTACGCTTTACGGGGTCGGAATGTCCTGGTCACGGGGGGCTCACGGTATAAATGTCCCTTTTATGAACAGAGCAAGCACGTCGAATATCTAGAAGCATGGCTAATCTAAAATTTGGAAACAGAGGCCTCGGTGCGGTAATCGCTCAGAAATTCGCCGCTGAAGGAAGCAATGTTGCCATCAACTATGCATCAAGCAAAGAGACAGCTGATAAAGTCGCGTCAGATCTTGCGGCTCAGTATAACGTGAAGACGATTGTTGTTCAGGGCGTATGAACCTCCATCGAATGCTGAGAATTGATCCAGCATTGTCGTTCTGAAGCAGTTATGTGGCTGATCTCATTATGAATATAGGATGCGGGGAGCCAGAGCGATTGTATCAATGTCGTGAAAACAACCATTGAGCAGCTGGGAGGTATCGACGTTGTCATCTCAAATGCTGTAAGTCGACCTACACAGGTTTGTCAATACTCTGAGATATACTAATCTCCGGACAAGGGGTGGACGAAGATGACCAAATTCAGCGACCTGGATGCAATGGATGACGCAGATTGGGATAAGGTGGGGTTTACATGACGTTCAAGCCTGTTACCACCAGCGCATGAATGGCTAACAAGCAATAGTGCTGGTCAATCAATGTCAAGAGCAGCTTCCACCTTTTCAAGGCTGCTTTGCCCACTTTCAACGCCAATCCCGATGGTGGTGTCTTTATCCTCACCTCTTCAACCGCAGTACGTCTAAAGGAATGAGTATCAGCGCCGGTTTCAGACATTAACATCAAGTTCAGGGTGTTGTCCCCAGTGGCAGCAGTCTACCTTACGCAGTGACCAAATCAGCATGTAAGTACCCCGTCTTATCCTTGATGAACAAGCAGCTTGCTGATCTTGAACACAGCAATTCATCTCATGAAGTGCCTTGCGCATTCCCAGGGCCCCAAAATTCGCGTAAATGCCGTATTGCCTGGCCTTCTACTTACTGAATGGGTACGAAACTCCGTATTCAGTCTTCTTGTACGGAACTTCTGCTCACATCATCACAGGGCCAACGCTTCTCTCCGGAGCAGATCAAGGGCTGGGAGAACAGAACCGCGCTCGGACATACGGTAAGTAGTCGGATCTTTCTAATATTTGCTGGTTCTCATTATTCTCGTTGTAGCCCGAGGTGGAGGATACTGCAGAGGCCTATCTTTCCATTGCGAAGAACTCTTCTATGACTGGCCAAGCTGTCCAAATCGGTACGACCATAGTGTTCTAACAGGAAAAGGCTGCTGGCTAACCCATCCAGATTCCGGATTCCGTTAAAATCGAAACGCGCTCAAGGGTTGCGCAGGCAGGCAAACAACTTTATCAGTTTTCGGGAAACAATTTGCATACAGACACTCAATATTGTAACGGGTATCAGACGGATAGAATAGAACCATATTGTACAGGTTGCATTGATTTCATGCAAGAGGGTTGCGGAAAGGAGTAAACTCAGCGCCGCCAGACAGGAATGACCGATCACCAAACATGCGCGCCTTGATTGCTGCACGTAGTCCCTCGGCCACGGGCTCTCCCTCTACCTTCAAGTGGTTAATGCGCAGAGCCTTGCCGTCCTTAGTGAACACGTAAAGCGCCCTGTTCTTCTTCGGTTCAACCGGGTAAGGGGCATTCGTGAAAGGCAAACCAGGGACAATTGCGAAAGTCTCGGATCCCTTGGGAGGATCTACTTCTTCGACATCTGTAAGGATGACTCGCTTTTGTTGGAATGACATGGCTCCATCAGCTGGTTTGCTTGCCACGAGTGCCTTGTTCCATAGGTTGCCAAGCACCCGGTTGCGTCGGTTGAAGTCGACTAGATCCCAATTTGCCCAGTCAACGTGACGATCTTCAGGCTTGATCTTGGCGGCATGAATGAGGTTCTCGTCTTTTTCAGATAGCCATCCTGCATTTTGTACTGGGGGCACGAATAGTCCATTTTGGATGCCGTCAAACAGGAGCTGCGCACTTTTGACTGAAACCAGGCTGGTCAACTCGGGCACAGTACAAGATTCCGGGTTAGGAATATCGAAGCCAGGGGCTGGAGATTGAGCAATAATCGTTCCATGGTCGAAGCTCTCGTGATGCAACGTCTGCAGGGTCACACCAGTCTTGGTTCTTCCGGCCAAAAGAGTGTGGTGCAAAGGCGCCGGCCCGCGGAAGCTGCGGACATGTTAATTTTCCCTGTTCGAAGCTCAATAGGCAGATGAGTTTACGTACTCTGGAAGCAGCGAGGGATGCACATTCAAGCCTCCGTATTTGGCAGCATTCAATATCCGCGGAGGCACGAATAGCCCAAAAGATACAGCGATAATCAGGTTGATAGGGCCATTGGGAGTATCAGGAGGCTAGTCGAATTAGTAAAGCAAAAGGTCGTGTCAGAAGTGATATTTACAGTCCATCCTCTGAAGGTGTCAATTTCATGAACAGGAAGTGATAGGGCAGATGCAGCCTCCTTGATTGGCACTGTTTGAAACTTGGGTTAGACATTGTAGCAACTTCAATTAGTATGAGCAAATGGGACATACTCTCACGTATCTTCTTTAAACCCCTTCCAACTCGTTTTCCTGGCCGACAGACCACATCTATAGAGGAGATATGGTCGGGATGTTTCAAACGATAGTCATGGAGTGCTTTCAAGGAGGCAATACTAAATTCATCGGAGCCGCAAAAGAGGATCCGAAGCGGATCAAACGAGCGAGTTGCATAGCCCCGGTATGCAGACCATCGAGCATTACCAGAGTACCTGCAAAGCCCAAAGGCACTGCTACCACGAACCACGAACATATCGGGCTGACCTCGCAACTACTGGAGACAGCTGGAAGAGAACGGCTCGCTGGCCGAGACCAATCCGACTTATCGATAAAGTCGCCACGTGATGTCAACATCATCGGTCCCTCGACTTCGTCGCGAAACAATTACCCCACAGCTGCTTTGCGGTCGCTAAGATAGAGCAGCGGGCGCTTACGATGCGATGCCTGATACAGAGACAGACTCTGTGGCCCCTGCACAGCTCTCCTATCTCGCCATCTACAACCCAACTCTAGGCCCCACGGATGAGACGCTAGAGGACCAGATCGTATTCTACACCTCGAGATCGGGCGATCTACGACAAGACGACGCGACTGTCGAGCAGGATGGCAGTCCATCCTCTGGAGATGACAAGAACGAGAGGCTGCGCCAGATAGGCCTGGCGCAGGGCATGGTGAGCTTTGCCAGGTGGGAATCACTTCCTTGATCTCTGCAAGTGACCGAAACTCATGCCTCCCGATATACAGTACCTTTTCCTCTGGTAAACCACTTGAATACATCGAAACCGACAAGGCGCGGATTGTCGTGCTCGAGCTAGAGAAAGACTGGTGGATAGTTGCCGTGAGTATCGCTAGTCACCTCAGGGCATGATCTCGCAACTAAAACAATGCTAGTCGATCGACCTCACCCGCTTACCGGCCGATCCAGCCCAGACTTCTTCGACGGATAAATCAAGCTCCCCTGCATATCAATACTCCGCAAGAGAAATGGGACCTCCGCAGCTACTCATTCAACAACTGCGCCGCGCACACTCTATATTCCTACTACTCCACGATTTCTCAATGGCCGAGCTCTACAATCGCGTTGGAAGGTCTTCCTTCTGTCTTTTCTTGGAGCGGTTCTGGGGGAATTTTACCTGGAACTGGGAACTACTTCTGTCTGGGAACCCAATCGCGGATATGTACAACGGCATCAAACTCGCAGCAGGAGGAGAACTGGGCATTGGTGTCGGAGAGGAGGAATGGGGTAGCGGTGAGAGAGAAGTCCTCGAAGACTTCATCGCTCGTACAGACGGCCTGCTGGACTTGGTTGTCTCGAGATTCGGTGATCTGCCCAGGCAGGCTGAGGGGTCACCACCAGCGCCCACGGGCGACAGCGAGGACGCATGGCTAGGTTCAGACACCGATCCTCGGCCAGCCGATGGTGTAGTCTTTTCCGGCGCTGGCGCTGTAGATCGATGCTCTCTGGCTCGGATCTCCCACTGGATGGAATGGATATACCGATATGGCGACGCGGCGTATGGAATCGGACGGGATCCGACATCGCTACGCCGACGAAAGCCTCGGAGAAAGCGCGCACAAGCTTCCAACCCGCCTGCCACGCCAGAAAGAACGCATACCCCAGGAATACCTCGACCTCTTGTCATGGCAATGTCACAGCCACCTCCAGACACACAGAAAGAAAATAGTCCTGAAAGAAGAACCTCAAGCTCGCCGTCTAGCAGTGATCCAGTAGCCGACAAGTTGGCATTTGGAACGGACACGGTTATGAAGTATCTTACTCTAGGATATGGCTCTGCATGGAGCTTCTCTAGCAAGTCAGCACCGGCATCATCGCCATCTTCACCACCTCCCGAGAGCTCTCTGGGACGGCCGGGGCAACCCATCACCGGGAATGCGAAAAAGAACGAAGAGTCGAACGCTGTGCGCTCTCTGCCGGCTCCGAAATCTCAATCTGACGAATCTCGAAGTGAGACGAAAACCAAAATCCCCGGTCGTTTTGTACTAGGACCACGCGATGATCTAGACGCTTTGGATGATGTAGAAGGAAGTCCAGAGCCGGAAGTAGATGCTGGACGGCCTAAGAGTCGGATAGTTCATCGATCCATCTATGTCCGCTTAGCGGACACTTCGGGTGAGGGTTTGAAAAAGCTTCAGGCAGTAATCTATGTGGTACGTACCTCATCTACATCATGAAGTTCGGCTTCCTGGCTAACGTTCCAATAGCACCAACCCTTCATGTTCACCTTTCTCTTCGACCCAAAGACCCCAGCTCTATCATCTCCAGCACTGTATTCCAGCATTCACCACCAACTGGGCCCCCTTCAAAGGCCTCTTCTATCATCAACATCCCCTACAACAGCCGCCTCTCGCAAATCCATGTCCGAAACAGCCGGCGATCCAAACAAACGCTTCTCTACGCGCAGTCAACCCGTCTACGACTTAGTCTACGACCCATCAAACCTGACCATCCGCTCCTCAATCCCCAACATCCCAGGCCTCGGAAATCCCACTCGCGAAACTGAAACCTCTCAGTCTCCCCGAACACCATCACCCTCCCCATCTCGACCTCCAAGCACACCATCATTGTCACGCGTCGAGAGCATAGCAATCCACCAGCGCCTCCTATCTACATACATCGACACCCGCCCCCGACCCCAAGAACTAGAGCGCACATGCAAAACCAGCCGCGGATGGTGGATCGTCTGGGTCCGCATTCCACCTCCAAACACACCAATCCACCGGTCCCACGCCCTCTCATCTGCATCTTCATCTGTGGCGCTCTCCACCATGACAGAGTACGATCAAATGCCCAGATCTGTCTCGCCGACTTCCGAGCCTATTTCAGAGCCACAGGAAGCGTTTATCGTCCGAAGGGCAAGTGACTACGTTTCCTCATCGGGCCATGCCCGCATGAGCAGTGGTGCGCGGTTTTTCCGTGATCTTGGCGGTGCTTCTTCGTCGAAATTGGCGGCTTCGAGGGCTGATACTACTCCCTCGAAGTTGGTGGAAGGTTTGGGAATGGATGCGAGGCGGTATATTGAGGGGCTTTTGAGTCTGAATAGGTGAAATTACTTGTTCCTATCATGTCCGGAATGGATACAATATATACTTTCATTTAGCATTGCAACGTATCTGAAGCGATAGGTAATTACCATGGGCTGAGCCAAGGCTTCTGTATGCCCCTTACAACTTAACCTAAACCTGACCTAGACCTGAATTGAGATGGTAGTCGTAGACGAAACCGGAAACCGGGCGGGGCTCTTAAGTAGGGACACGGATACTCGCAAGGAAATGAAAATTATCTATCACCTACACGAGGGGGATAAATGGAGGATGGGAAATGATACCGATGCCAGGACGGAGAGGATACAAATAGAAAGCGTCACCCAAATACAGTACCGCACTACATGCAAGACGGGGAGATCTTGTTCGGGTGTTGTGTTTTTAAAATTTTATACTGCCACAAATGAAGATTGAGGCACTTTGTCATTGTGATCCAGATTCCATGGAGTCGGATTGAAAAGAAAATAGGAGGTAAATAGGGCGTAGGGGAGTTGAGGGGGCAAGAGGAAGACGGGACAGGAAAAAGAAGAACAAGCCCACAGGGTTATGATGAAGAACAACGCCTCCCTAGACAAATTCTGTAAAATCAAGGCAAAAAAGGAGGAGAAACACAAGAAGTCTGCGACCAACGGGGCAGAAGAGATTGCGGGTAATGGGAATTGGGGGGTAGAGGAGGAAAAACACAAAATGGGAGACGACAACAAAGGGGGGAAATTGCATGACTTCAGGTGCACCCGAATTCGACACTGTCCACGATTATCGCATGCGGGAATCCAGCAGCCATTTCCCCCCTCCTCGAACCTCTTTTAAATTTCTCCAGGGGGAATCAGAATTATCCAAAATTGTTTCCCGAATCTCGCCTGTTGGTCGGTTTGTTTCGCTCGAGCCAGAGAGCGCTGGATGGCCGGGGTAGTTTACAGGATCGAGCACTTGCTCTTCTTGCCGGGCTTGCTCTTGCCGACCTTCAGGAGGGCAGCACGGGTAGCGGCCTCGAAGACCTCACGGACACCCTCGTTGGTACGGGCAGAGCACTCGAGGTACTTGTAGGCACCAATCTTCTTGCGGACCTCCTCACCCTATAGAAGTTGTTTTAGTTTCTGAGCTTTGCGCCTTGGGAATGTCGGCGATGCAATCAGCAAATCGGAATAGACGTACCTGCTCGGCAGTGACGGGGCTCTGGGAGGTCTTGTGCAGCTCCTCGATGGTCTTGGGGTCGTGACGCAGATCCTTCTTGCAGCCAACCAGGATAATGGGGAGGCCCTGGCAGAAGTGGAGAACCTCGGAAATCCACTGAAAAAGACCGCGTCAGCATGGCTCCAGCAACGAAAGAAGCAGGTCGTGTGCTTCTAAGGAGATAAAGTTTCAGGCACCAACCTTCTCCTGGACGTTGTCGAGCGAATCGGGGGAGTCGACGGCGAAACAGATCAGGATAACGTGGGAATCGGGGTATGACAAGGGACGGAGACGGTCGTAATCTTCTTGACCAGCCGTATCCCAAAGAGCGAGCTCAACGTGCTTGCCATCGACCTCGACATCGGCGACGTAGTTCTCGAAAACGGTGGGGACGTACACCTGGAGCGACAAGAGTCAGAACGTGCATGGTGAGCGGGTAGATGCGGTTTTCCGAGTGTAAGGAGCAAGGAGTAAGGGATATTGCTGCGTGTGGTGGACGAGCGATCGAAAGATAGGAGATGGGGATTTAGGTTCGGGGGCATCGGAGCCCGGAGGAACGGCTCACCTCAGGGAAAGTGCCCTTGGAGAAGACGCTGCGAGAGAGTTCTGTCAGTTGGCTGATCGAATGGGGATTCAAGGGGGAAGGGGATGCGGAGTGGATGGTTCTGATGTCAGAGTACTTACATGAGCAGACAGGTCTTACCGCAGGCACCATCGCCGACGATGACGAGCTTGCGACGGATCTCGGCCATCTTGACACGGGGCAAAGAAGCGTTAGCAATGATAAGAGATTTCGGGTGTCAAATGAGATGTTAAATGAGCTGATGTAAGCTGGATATGTTGGGAGATGGCGGGCCAAGGAGAGAGGGGGATAAATGGTCGCCAGGCAGGACGGTAGACGAAGACGGTTGGGGAAAGGGACAAGTTCAGGCTGCCGGGTGTGGGAGAGGGGAGTGAGGAGGTCTCAGGGAGAAAAGGGTGGGTTTTGGGGGGTGCGTACTGTGATTCAAAGGGGCGCAACGGCGGGAGTTGACGAGGTAGGTGGGAGAGACAAAGCTAGCTATTGCAGATTTGCAGCAGCCAGAAGAAAGAGAGGATGGAGGCAAGAAGATGTCCGATGGAGGATGAGAGAGAGAATATTTGATGACTTGAGGGAGGTGGAGGGAGGACGAGGCCAGACTGCCTGGGGCGGTGGCAGTACCAGTACCAGTCCCGGGTATCCTGGTGGTATCGTTTCCAGGTACGGGCGTATGTGGATTTGTATTTGGATCGGATTCCGCAGTATGGGCAAAAAGGAGGCGGAGCCATGGTAATCTGGTAATCTGGTAATCTGGTAATCTGGTAATCTGGTAATCTCGTGGTAACGGTGGTCACATTGGTACCGTTGGTGTCTCTTGTGTCTATTTGTTGTGGTACTGCCGCTGTTGGTGCTCGCGTATCAACGCCGTAATCCATGGCTATCGATCCCCCTGTGCATCTGGTAGGGGCTTTTGGCCAGGCTTCTCGACGACCATTACTCCGTCCAAGACTCGACATGTGTGACTGCCTATGCACTTCCAGACCCATATCCAGAGACATTTCAAGGAACCAAAGATGACTCTATCAAAGATGTCTCGACCACTATAAGCGGACCTCTGCTTTCTAGGCGTGCCTGATATGCACCTAGCCTACCCTTTCTCCCCCAATCGGGGCCTTTGTTTCGGCCAATGTTAGCTGAAGATTATTTACAGAGAACCCTGAGGCCTAAGAAAAGACTGGACTCATCTCCCCGTAATACCGTTACTCTGCCAGCCCTAGCAGGTTATGTGTGGCTGAGCAGGTCCGTTTCCGCGTCACAGGCCCTCCTCCGAGGCCCACTCTTGGTCCTTCGTTCCCGGAAACACAGCCACCCGTGGCTGTGACACGAAGGAGTTATGCCATGATCCGAGATTCTGATATCATCGTAATGCAGAGGGGGGAAAGGGGGGCTCTAAATCGTGGTACCAAACTCAGTACACCTGAGACGAAGTATATAACAGCCTTGCAACCATATACGGTGCATGTAGTACCCGTGCCCTAATTGGTACGATCTGCCTATCTGTCTGCCTTTCTGCGCCCATGGACGTTCACTCCTGGCCTGTCGTCCGCTACAACGCCCTCATGCTACTCTAACCCCGTGGCTGAAAGTATCAGCTAAATGCGCTAACCCCGGATGATCGATCATAGAGAGGAGACCTAAGAGAACGTCCCGAGTCCATTATTTATTCAGTTTACTTATTGGGGATATGTCTGCCTCCTTTTGCATGAACTTGGCCTGATTATTCAGTATACCTACCAGTTGGTGGTGCGTGCAGATAACGTATAACCTGCAGATAAATATCCTGCCTAATATTGCCCATCATTGGCGCCATTTCTTTTGCTTTTTCCCTTCACAGATCCATTCTGGGGCCTATTTACTTTTGTACTCTGTATTGGATGTTGACAATGAGCTGTGTAACCCGAACGAGGCCTACGGTAAAGCAGTGTATCCATAGTGCATGGCTATGGATACCTGCACTCCCTCAGATGCTTGACTCAACTGTCTGCCTCGTCATGATTCCTCTAATAGCTTCCTGCATCTTCACTCCTCCTGACACATCACCCTGCGCAGATGGCGTCCACTAACAACTAGAGTGTGTGGGGATTTCCGGCGGCTAAAAACTTATGTCGACTTTATCTGCTTTTCTCTTTGGTCTGTTCCAAACTTCTCTGGTTCCTCTGTACGGAGTATTCAATAGCGATTATAGCTGATGGCTATTTAAAAAGGGGGGGGGGGGGGGGGGGGGGGCGCCGCCTCAGCTCCATTCCCATCGACGCGGTGTCGCAAATCTACCGATATGACCCCCACCTCCGTCCTCTTCCCTTATCCAATCACTTGCGCCCCTCGTATTACCTCCCGAGTTCCAGATCCACTTGAAACGTGCATCCCTGGAGTTGGCTTCAGGAGTTAGGCCTGACCCGTCGGGAAGCATGAAAGTGGTGGAGAACTGAGCACCAGCACCTCTTCCAAAACGTGAAAGGAGTCAGAGCCGCGTCTTGACGTTAGCTGACTAAAAATAGGTTCTAGAATCAAGGGCCAAGAATTTTGATGCCAGAGCTCTGTAAACAATGTGTTGGGCGGGATTCTCAAGGTTCTTTGAAAATAGGAGAAGTCAGACTCTTCTGTCAGTGTGGAATAGCCGGCTAGGCTACAGCGCTTTGTGAGTGGACGCGAGTTATCAGGTTAGCGCTTTTACTTTCGGCGCTATTTGACTACAACACGTACTTTGCACTTCGCACGTTGTCACTCCCTAAAGTCGGGCCATATTAACTATATACTACTCCGTTCGTACTGTACGTACTCAAATCTTTGAACCTTTTGCCGTGTTTTGTGTTGGTCTATTTCTGTCTTAAGCGCTCCTTCCACTAGCGAAAGCCACAGGTCCCAGTATGGCTAGCGCCTCTATACTGCAGGACCCATCACTGCAAGCCCGACATCAGCAATCTGTCAAGCTGTCTGATGGTCGCGTGCTGGGCTATGCGGAATTTGGTTCTCTCAACAACGATGCTACTACCATTCTATCTTTCCATGGATGGCCAGGCTCACGACTCGAGAGTGCCATATTCCACTCCGCAGCGAGCGAGTTGGATGTACGCATTATCGGCATCGATCGTCCCGGAATCGGTCTATCCTCTCCACAGCCAAAGCGCAAGCTCCTCGACTGGCCCGCTGATGTCCGAGAGTTGGTGCGACATCTGAAACTCGAGCGATACTTTATCATCGGTGTTTCGGCTGGCGGACCTCATGCTCTCGCATGTGCACATGAGCCAGCAGAGAATGAACTGCTCGGCGTTGGTATTGTGTCCTCGCCGGGTCCTTGGGCCCTAGGAACGAAGGGCTTGCGTATCGATCTGAAAGTAACTCTGAACGCCGTGGCTTACGCACCCTGGCTGGTTCGCTATATTATGAACTCCAAATTCGTCAAGTTTGCTCAGGACTCAGATCCGACTAAGCTGGATCAAATGATGAAATCCCAGATGAAAAAGATGCCGTCCGCAGATCTAGCATTCGCGGAGAAATACCCAGAGAAAATGGACATAATGATAGCTGCTGTGCGAGAGAGCTTCAAGCAAGGCGCAAACACCAACGTGCGGGACGGACAAATGTTGACTTCAGAGTGGGGATTCGATTTACAGAAGATCAAAGTTCAGAAGGTCCTCATATGGCATGGAACGGAAGACCTGAACGTCCCTGTCTCGAGGGGACGCTATCTTGCTGAGCATATTCCTCGCGCCGTCTTGAAAGAGTATGAGGGGGATACCCATGTTACCATTCACGAACATGCTGCCGAGATGTTGAGAGACCTAATAACCATATCTTCTGGGAATTGATATGCCCAGCCTGTTGACGGTGGGCAACGAAATTAATTTATCCCGTGAACTCCGAGATGAACAACTGATCGAGCATTGAAATATCAAGTTAGGATTGCATGCGAGGAAATTCCGTAGCTGGGATGGGAAGCAAATGAGTGATACAAAGAACATAATCAACCGGAGAACGTAATAGGCTGAAGGAGGAATGTGATTAAAGTATACAGCCTCACGCTGCAGGCAGTGACGAGAACAATATAATCACTAAAATGGGTCAACCAAGAGAAAGCAGCCAGTGAAAGGATTAACTGGAAACTCAAAATATACTCTTGCCGCGGCCGTTGGGTCGCTTCGGACTCGGCTCCGAGTTGTTTCACCGACACGATACTCATACTACTATAGGTTTGAAACAGCCTATATGCCATTGCCGAGGCAGAATACATTGGCGTTTGAGATGGCATCTTGAATGGGCACTTGATGCTTGGAAGATGATCTGGGGAAGCGGGGAAGGAAATCCGGGGTAATGCTCATCACCGTGTATAAAGCAAGCCCTATTTTCCGTCATCATTCCATTTACTATAGTACAACATCAACCACTTATTTCTCACTTTCTTTCATCAGATTCCAGTCATCACTATCATGACAGCTCCCGGAGAGGATCATTTTCCCTTAGAGGGGAGATCCAATGTCTGCCTCCAGGAACGACAGAGTGTCAAGCAATATGTGGCCACCCGGATCCCAACTTTGAAGCCCCCGTTAAACCCAGTACCGAACCCATTGAAAACGATATACTTGTTGAACAAACAGCAATGGGCATTCTTTGCTACAAGTCCTCCTCCAAGAATAACCGTAGATAGGCTTATACATCTAGGTCGCTTTCTGGGGTTGGACATGGGATGCCTTGGACTTTTTTACTGTCTCTCTGACAACAACAGATCGTGCAGAGACTTTTAATAAGTCTATCACGGATATAACATGGGGTATAACCCTTGTGCTTATGCTCAGATCGGCGGGGGCCATTACTTTCGGCATCGCCTCGGATCGTTGGGGCCGGAAGTGGCCTTTTGTGGTCAATATCCTACTATTTTCTGTCTTCGAGCTCGCAACAGGCTTCGCTCGGACTTTTCAGCAGTTTTTAGCTTATCGTGCTTTATTTGGGATTGCCATGGGTGGTCTGTATGGCAATGCAGTAGCTACTGCACCGGAAGATTGCCCAACAGAAGCACGCGGAATAATGTCCGGAATTCTACAGGTAGGCTACATGTTTGGTTACCTACTTGCCACAGTGTTCTCGAGAGCATTGGTAAACACCACATCTCACGGATGGAGACCACTCTTCTGGTTTTCCGCTGGTCCGCCAATCCTGATTATAATTGGCCGTTTATTCCTTCCAGAGACGAGAGTTTTCCACGCCCCAACGCCTACGAAATGAACTTGGAAATCAAGCCACCACAACATTTATCCAGGAGGGAAAGGAGGCTGTTAGAAATCATGGACTTATCTTTGTCTATCTGTTTCTTTTTGCGGCAGGAATCAACTTCATGGTGAGTAAGGGTATTATAATCAGAAGGCTCGGTTGACTAACGTTTCGCGCCAGTCACATGGATCGCAAGATCTTTACACGACAATGTTGAAAGTACAGTATGGATTCTCATCAACCCAGGTGACTATCACTCAGATCATAGCCAACATTGGTGCTATCTTTGGTGGCACTTTATGCTGGTGGGTCAGCCAAATCATTGGACGTCGCTTGTCGATAATTATCATCAGCATCATTGGTGGTGCCCTGATCTATCCTTATACCTTCGTGAAAGGCAATGCCATGATCACCAGTGCCTTCTTTGAGCAGTTTATGGTTCAAGGAATTGCTGCTATTGTTCCTATTCATATGTTGGAGTTATCACCAGCCTCGTCCTGCACTTTTGTCGTTGGTGTCGCCTATCAATTAGGCAACCTTGCCTCGTCGGCGAGTTCAACTATCGAATCTACCATTGGCGAGCATTTTCCATTGCACTCAACAGGCCCAGGGCAGCACAGATACAACTACGGCAACGTGATCTGCATATTCCTGGGCTGCGGGTTCGCATATCTCATATTGATTGCCCTGGTCGGCCCTGAGCGTCTTGGACGGCGATTTGACCCAGAAGAAGATTCCGATGTTGTTGAGAATTTGGCTATTCGTGGTGGTGAATTTGACTTGAAGGTCAATGTGAAACATGAGGGATGATGGAATGATCATTGCGACCCGCGTAACATGCTGGAGGATCTTGGAAATGGCCAATAGCCTGACATGGGGCCACAAGAAATTGTCTAGGTCTGAGTCACCCTGAGCAATAACTATACGCTTGGAAGGCAGCCTACGGTGCCATTGGTGGGCACTGGAGATATTTGTCTGTGGAAACTTCATTTGAATGTGACTCATAGGTTGAATGTCGCGCTTCGGCCCTCATGAAGTGATCCCAAATTCGAGTTGAGATAGACATTGAAATTGCTCCGCACTATCAACTCACATGGGTATTGGCCCATCTGTGCGGCAGATTCGATACACCCGTTCCCAGATGTGATATTTATAATGTGATTCCATTACATCCAATTGAAGGGAAAGGTCATTAGCGATTAGATTCCCAGCGTGGGCCATGTAAGCAAGTAACTGCTTTGCACAGTCGTACTCGAAAGTCTGGATCCGACCTTGAAGTCGTCCGTTGTTACCTAGTTCTTTAGCAACCAACAGTACTGTGGCTGCCGAAAAAGTGTTATGAACATGGCTGTAGTCCCACGGCCATATGTTACCGGCGGTCCAAGATTGTGTCATATCGCGACTGGAAAGCTCAGCATGATTGATGCATGTCTCCGCAAGGAATTCAATGGTACTTCGTATCGGTTGGCTCAAGGAGGACCAGTTTATCTGATGATAGGTGTGGAGTAGCAGTGGCCTTGTGGCGAGGATAATAGACTGTATTTTTTGTCAGCCGCACGTTCGTGGGTATGACCTAACACACCAACCTGGTCGTATAGCATGTGCAAGCAAAGCTTATGCTTTGTAACGGCCTCTCTCACATCAAGCGAGCTATAGCGGAGATTTTGAGGTATTTCGTCTTTCCAATCCTTTAACTGATCGAGCACATCGGATATCGAATTTACTAACTCATCGAGTCATTCTGGCTTTCTGTAGACTCGCTGCGCCAGCTGACCCGAGATCTCTGCCAACTTGATCATAGCAATCTCGCAGGCAGGATTTTCAAAATGAATATCTTCCCTTCTCAGTTCTCGGGGGAGGTTTGTATCGATGTCAACTTGGAAGGACCCTCATTTTGGGACCAAGCAGTACTATTCGAATTCTGCCGCCAACAGACTTTGGGCAGGGATCTGGAACAAGGTCGACGTACTAATCCCACATTAAGAGTAGAGAAACGCATGATGTAGGTAACCTGGTTCCTTCTCTTCCTTGGTAAGACAGGTATGACTTCAAATTTGGAACCTCAAGTAACTGCACTTTTCCGCTTGTTATAGCATTTTACACTTTAAGTTGGGATATAGCACTCTGATCACCATTCCCGGCTGTCACAGAAAATCTTCGACATACTCCTCATACTCGTGCATGAAATCCTCAACGCTGAATCTGTCGTTCAACTTCCGTGCCGCCAAGATTATCCTGCCCGCCTCCGAGTAACCACTTTTGAATGCTGAGAACAACTTCGGGTTTGATAGACAATTGGGGATAAAGAGGCGATTGTCACCAGTCACCATAGCGCCCTTGAAAGCTTGATATACCACGTCAGGCTCTCGCGAAATATCCACTTTCTCGCACTGCCCGAAATCGAGCAAATAGAGTCCCACCTCTCGGTGCTGGAAACCAAGTGGTTCAGCCTCTGATCCCTGTCTTTGGGTAGTGGAAGTTCCGAGGACGAACTCCACATCGTCACTGTTGACACAGGCAGCCCAGTGCATGATAGCGTATGCTTTGCCCATTTCCGTCGCCAGGGTCTCCACGTCCATGGTAAAGTCATTCATGGACTGCAGGTAGAGAGTGAAATTCCTCAGCGATATTGGTTCTCGAGGAATGATACCGGTAGCCTTGCCCAGATACACTCGTGCAAGACAATGCTTATTCTCGGTATGCATGAGAGCGCGTTCGAAGTCAGCGGAGTCGAACTGCTTCTGAGAGCCATAAAAGTGGTCTAGCAAACCCATTCGCACGACCTTGGGGAGAGGGAGAATTCGTTCCATCGTCACAACATCTCCATATTCTCGGTAGATTGACGGAATCCTAGGGGAGATATCGGACCAAAAATGATTCTTATCGCTTTTTGAAATGAACTCAAAAGCTCGGGGAACTCGGACCTGGCAGGAGGTAATGCTACTATAGTACCGGAATGCATCTGAAACAGCACAATGCATATGATATTCATGTCGTAAATTCGAGGACAGAGTCTCGTTTCCAGGCTTTTCCTTTTTGAACACGAGATGCATCCCAACTTGCTCAAAGACCGCCCCTTGTAGCCCAACTCCAATTTCGTTAATTTTTCGTAACTCGGGGCAAGAACAAGCGGCTTGAATCAGGAGAGCGAAGGAAGACGAGGTCGAAATGACCGAGTTCAATGAAAGGGACTGACTGAGAATGGCAGATTCCGCTAATATCTGTAGATCTTTTGCCAGAACAAACTTCCGAGACGCGCCTGATGATTCCAGGTCTTTTCTGTCAATATGCTGGTTAGGTTGCGACATGGATGTGCGTCCCTCAGATAAGAGGATGATGTTTGACAGCTAATGAGTCAAGAGAGCGGTGTAATGTGTGGCGGTTATTCATCAAGATTTCAAAAGTTATCAACCCCACGACGTTGAAGTGAGCAAATGAGCTAGACAGGCACCACCATCCCAAAGACACTGCAATCCATGCGTTCGAAATCTAGGCACCCGTCACTCTGACTAACAACAAACAAGCTGGGTCTATTTTACCACCGTACCTGAATATACATACTAACGAACAATCGTATATAAGGGCCATGAAGTGAGCACAGGAAAGACTTTGTGTGATTGAGCGATGTTTGTCAGGAGAGAGGGAGAGAGGGAGAGAGGAAAGAAGACAAGGCCTAAACAGGCAAGGGCACACATAATTCGAAGCCTAAGGCACTAAGCCCACAACTGTCATCCAACCTTGTTCAAAACGTCTCTACCCATATGTAAATTCCAGTTAAAATTCTAATTTCTTAAGTAACTAACAGAGTTCGATTATAAGCAGCGCTAGCAGAAGGACCAGAAAGCCAAAGATCTCCGTCCCCACCTCAGTATCGGTTTGGTGAGTCATCAAGTGGGTAATCGACCTGACGTGCGTGGGTGGAGAGGCTGTTGGGGATTTGAGGTTGCATGTTTTTCAACTCAAACACGTTGAAGTCTCTGGGGCCTGACTTCAGAAAGAAGCATACAGGGCAATCAACAAAATCAAGTCGTAGTCTGTCACTGTACTATCCCCAATTTAAGGGTTCGCGAATCATGACTACGCCTATTTATCTCGGAATCGTGGGTCTGATACATCTCACTCAACCCTTCCCTATCTTCATTGGAGTCGATCACTGACTGTATGATACAGGTGTTGGCGGTGTTGGTAATGCTTTCCTAGAGCAGCTCGGACGACTATCAAGTCCTCCGAAGCTCGTTTTGCTCGCCCGCTCGTCCCAAACGCTCTCCTCCTCAGTGCCAGCATACTCGCCATGCATACCATTCACTAATTGGGAGGATTCTGCCAAGTCAACATCTTTAGTCAAATCGGGTGCTTTGCCGCCGGCTGAGATTGCAGCCTTTCTTGCCTCTGCTCCAGGAAGAGCTGTTCTAGTGGACAACACATCCGACCTTGCTCTAGCCCAAGCATACCCGATCTTCCTGGAACGAGGTGTGTCAGTGGTGACGCCAAACAAAAAGGGCTTCTCGGAAGATATTGCCTTATTCAATGACATATTTTCTTCCGCTGTAAAGGGGAATGCCCTCGTCTATCACCAGTGCACGGTGGGTGGGACTCTACCGGTCCTATCCACGCTCAGGGATCTTATCGCAACGGGCGACGAGATTATCCGGATCGAAGGAGTCCTTTCTGGAACGCTTTCGCTTCTGCTAGGTGAATTCATGCCCGGAAACGGTACATCAAACGCGCGATGGAGTTCCCTCGTTTCTCACGCCAAGGAGATTGGACACACGGAACCAGATCCTCGGGATGATCTCAACGGCCTTGATTTTGCCCGGAAGCTCACGATCATAGCCCGAGTTATCGGCATCGAAGTCGGCAGTCCTGGTTCATTTCCCGTGGAGTCTCTTATCCCTATCGAGTTAAGTTCGCTTCCTTCATCGGCAGAGGGCATCGCAGAGTTTATGAGCGAGCTGCCGAAATATGATGCCAAGATGGATGCAGCAAAGAATGCGGCGCAGGAGCAGGGCAAGGTTCTGCGCTATGTTGGGAGTATTGATGTGCGTACTCTGGCCATCGAGGTTGGTCTTCGGCCTATTGAGAAGGGTAATCCGATCGCCAATCTTCAAGGCAGTCAGATTGTCAGCATCTATACCAAGAGATATGGGGCTAATCCATTGATATTACAAGGTGGTGGCGGTGGAGGTGAAATCACTGCCATGGGTCTAATGGCCGATTTGCTAAAAGTTATGGAGCGACTAAAGTGATTAAGCTCTAAGTAATGGAATTCTATCGGGTCAATGATATGACATTGATGTCCAGTCGTTTTTTATCTGGGGTATCTATTAATGACATGCGAAACGCCTTTCCAATCAGAGCATTCATTGTGTCCAGCCTCATTTGCCGGTCTCCTTCCCAAGCAATTGCCTCAATACCATAACTTCTCCTTCCCATTTAGCAGCCTTGAGTCGCAACTCATCTCTCTCTTTCGTCATCACTTCCAGTCTTGATTCAAGATCGGACATTTGATCCATTTTCTTTTGGCGTAATCTCCGAGCGGCCAATTTGTTTCGACGCCGCTTTTCCTGGAGACGGTCTTCATCTGAGTCTTGAGAAGAAGGCGAGACACTTCGAGCTGAGCCTTCAACAGATGCTTTCTTTTGTGGCACTGGGCTCGGATATCGAGGTTCCGGTAAGCCGAAGGCTGTTGTGTAGTCCGGGGAGGGAGTAAATTGCTGGGGTCCACGAACACCCAGTAACTGATCCGCATTAGGTGAGAGAGACGAATAATATGGGTGTGTCTCGAGTGACGAAATGGTTTCTGGATTGGTATCAAACCCCCTTTGACTATTTGAGACTGACATCGGGACAGCTGAAGGCACATGTAGGGTATTCGAATTGATATTATTATTGTTTGATGTAAAACCGTTCATCGGATACCCGACGGTGTTAAAGGTTGGCTCTGGTGGAAACTGCTCGAGACTGAATGCAATTTTTTCCAATAGTTCCGGGTCCATAGATAATATATCTGACGGTAGAGATGTTTGTGAAAGATCGGCCTCTGCCGAACTGGTCGAAGGCGTAAAGTCGGACCATGTTGTAGCGAATCCAGTAGACGGCTTAATAGCTCCAGATGGTGTGGCTGTTGATACTGAGAGCTCCCAGTCTGACAGCATTTGAATGGGACAATGTTCGATAGACGGACGAGAGGCCCTTGTTTGGGCAGGCATGATGGTGGTCAACACTGTTGGGGCCAGAGATGAATTGTAGCGGGTCGGAGACGAATTCGAATTGCTTCAGTACTTCAAAGGGACTTGAATAACAAATTTTAAAATATTGAGATATGAAGGCAAGATATGATTTGAATACCTTGGGCCTCCGACCGTGTTATATGTTCTTGGCTGATCTACGTAGCTTATAATCTCCGACGATTATCCATGGGCCAAATACTTTTGTCCGACGGCTAGAATCTGGAGAATTCTGGTCAAATGCGACCCTGGCGTGAATATGTCCGACGCTAAGGAATATGTCCAGAGTCTTCTATTGGATCATGGACGATCTGACCCTCTTTCTAGCTATTTACGGTTAGCGTGCGTTTAGGTAAGGACGGGGCTTCGTAGGGGGGCACGACGAAGTGAGAGATCCCCTCAACGCTTGATGTCCGCCTCCCATGCGGACTTATGCAGCAGGCGTTTAACATGCCAGGATGGAGTCTGTGGACATAAATTCCAATTCGGATCCGAGCACCCAACCGGCGAAGAAACGAAAGCCGAGACCAAAGCTGTCTTGTGTCCTCTGTCGACAGAAAAAGTCCGTGCCCCATCCTCATTTTAGTTGCCACTTTGCTTTGTGATGTTACATTTCCTCTATCTCAACCCTAACACGAGCGTTTTCACTGCGATACTGATCTCGTTCAATTAAACCCTTTCAAATGGAGATCCAATACTGACTGGACGTGTAGACTAAAATGTAATCGGCAGCAGCCCTGCAATAATTGCATCAAGCACAATAGAACATATATGTGCCATTTTACTGGCCCCCAAGGGTTGACAAGAAAGCAGTCCCAAGGAATTCAAAACCATCTTCACGAGATACAATCTCGCATTGAACAGTTATCTGCGCTCAATGCACAGCCTCAGGGGCCAGGTCTCACTGGACCAAGTCCTCAGCAACTCATTGCCAATGCTCCATACACTCAACCCCGAACGATCACGGAACAAGATCGATCAGAACTACAGAAAAGTTTCACTGGGAATATGGTAGTTGATCAAGACAGAACACGGTACCTAGATCCAACTCATTGGCAAGCAGTTCTGAATGAGGTAAGTTATTCTTTCAGGCAGCGCTTTGGCCGCTAGGCTCATTATGGATGCAGATTTCTGAAGTCAAGGAATATCTCCAACTGACTGAAGACTCATATTCTGAAGAGCAATTTGATGATTCAACCACCCCAGAGATTTCAGGTCCAGAGCTTCTCTTCGGCAATACGATATCTGCCCCCAAGTCTGATCTCATTGCTGCATTACCAGCTCGGCCAGTTGCAGACCGGCTAATCTCTCTTTATTTGAACTCGAAAGAATCTACACTTGGTAAATTCTTATACCCATACCAAATTTATGTCAATGATGCTGATCATGGGAAGTTCTCATGCACGTACCCACATTCACAAAAGAGGTAAGTATCTCACGCTACATGCCGGGTATTTCAAGCACTCACTCCAATTACATCTAGTATGCCCAATTCTGGAGAAACCCCGAAGATGTTTCCGTAAACTGGCTAGCATATCTGTTCAGTATTCTATGCGCAGGCGCAGGATTGCAGTTATTTTCCACGGCAGGGCGAGCAGATGGTGAGCTCGCCGAGGCTTTCGCAGAATATCACAGACTCGCATCACAATGCCTTACCATGTCCAACTACACCTCACCAGGTCGATATACCATGGAAACCCTAATTCTCAGTGTGGCGATGGAGATTCTCAGAAGCACAGATAACCATCTCGGTCCCTCGGTCCTCCTCAGCTTGGCCACAAGACTGGCTGTTCATGCTGGATATCACAGAGACTCGAAACATTATCCCGAGATCTCTGTTTTCGACGGAGAAATGCGTCGGCGAGTCTGGACGATTCTTTCTCTGCTTGATCATTACATCTCACTCCAGGCTGGTCTGCCGCCGACTACAGTGCAGACACAATCTGACACGGAGGAGCCCCGGAACTTGACAGATGAAGACTTGAGCCCGACCGCGACGGCACTTCCTCCTGCCAGACCTGCGACAGAGAAAACGGCTATTCTTTTCCCGGTCGCCTTGAATAGAATAATGTTTGCCGACGCTGAAATCATCAGCAAAGTTTGCTCCGCCAAGGGAGTTCCCTATCAAGAAGTTCTCCGCTTAGACGGGAAGCTCAAAGAGCTTCACGCAACTATTCCTCCTCCTTTAAAATTCCGGCCTTTAAGTGAATCTATTGCAGACTCACCAAACACCATCATGGACCGCTACAATATCGAACTCATGTATCAGAAAGCCCGCTGTGACCTGCATCGTCGGTATCTCGCACAGCACCGTCTGGACCCTGCATACGCATATTCTCGACGAGATTGTCTAGATGCCGTAAGGACTGTACTCCAGCATCAGTCTGATATTTTTGATGCGAGTAGCTCAGGCGGACAGCTGGGCTACACCTCCTTCTTCTTTTCGCCAATCGTCGCAGTGCATTTCCGTTCCGCGGCCATGATCATTTCCTTGGAGATTTCCTGCCAGTCTCGCCATGATCTGAAACAGAACCTGTCACCCGAGCAACGATACGTAATTTTAGATGAGAGGAGGCAGCTTTCTCAGGAAATCGAGAGAGCTTACAATATCTGGAACCATTTGCGCCATCAGTCTAAGGAGGCCACGAAGACAGCTGATGCTCTTCATATCATGCTCAAAGTGACGAACAACCACTTGCAGCACGGTGCGACACCAGACCAAGCATGGCCTTTAAGTCCTCATGTCGGTTTACAAGCTACGAGTGATGCACCCGGGTACGGTGAGTTGATCGGTCATTTAGTAATTATTGGCTTGGTATCGCTTGATGGCTAACGCTTCTTTTCCAGTAGATTCACTGATCTCGGTACCCACAACGCTTGATCACCAACTCTCTTCAACGGTTCTTAATACCGAACACAGTCCATTGGATGTTGATCTGATGGACGCAACATTCTATCTCGGACAAGATTCCCTACCCAGCACCAGTGATAGACGTTTCGCGGGCTCTAACAGCGTTGTCGACTTTTACGAGAGATACTGGGATAATCTGATGCTGCTAGGCGGAGATCAGTCATTCCTAGATATCCCGCCAGGTGGTGGTGCAGATGATGCTCATGCTGATCAAGGGTTGCTGTAGATATCTAATTTAGGCCTTCGGTCTTGTATATCCAATCATACAAAGCTTTGCACATAGAGGTTAATGGAACATTCTCTCTCATCTGAACATCTAGAATAGCGACTTGCTCTAGCATGCTTCCTCAATTGGGGTACAACGTGTAAATTGTCACGTCCGTGTTTCCGAGCATATTCGCCGATTGTCTGCTCCGCCCACGGCAAGGTTGACGAGATATATTTGGCCCGAGTGTAGGTTGACGTCAACTTCCTGCCCAGGTGCCTGGAAGGTCACGAGAGGATACCCGAGGACCAAATAAATTACTCATAATATGGGTTGTAATGAATGCTTTCCCATCTGAAGTATGCTAATCTACACAACTGTCTCAATGAAAGTGACCTAGCAGCCCTGGTTCCAGGACCTGATGTATAGAGATTACATAATCCACGTAATTGGAACCACATCACGTGGTTCAAGATGCGGCCGCAATTTTCCGTCCGCGCAGTCACGGAGTCGAAGAGCAGCAACATTTTAGCCATTGCTGGCCCTCACTCGCCCAACATGCAGAAGGTCATCCAAAGGACGGCCTCGGCCAGGAAGCAGGTCCAGAAGAAGCTCTTCCGGGCCAAGCAACAGGAGGAAATGATGGATCGCAGGGAGACAACCCGATCGCGCAAGGAATACAACCGAGCCATGATCGACAATCTCAAGGAAGCTCGTCACGCCCGCTGGGAGGACTGGCAGAAGGGTGATCTGGCTCCGAAGCGTGACACGGGGTTGGAAGCTTCAACTTACGGCGCCGTTAATGCTGCCCTGATGCACCCACCGCGGATTCCGAAACACCTCCGCCGAAAGCACATCCTCTTCGCACCTGGAGATCGAGTCTGCGTGATCCGTGGTCGGGATCAGGGCAAGATTGAAGAGGTCGCTCAGGTCAACGAAGAAAGCGAGACCTTGCTGATCAAGAACGTCAATGAAGTACGATTGAGCCTCCTTGTTTATCGTGACAATTGCCCTCTTCCCGCCCCGAGTTACTGACTGTAATACTTGGATTTAGGCCGATATCAATGTCCCCGAGTGGGCTAAGGCTTCGATGGGAATCAAAAGCGATGTCCTTGCCCAGAACATCCCGGTGCCAATGGACGACGTCCGACTCGTCTTCGCCATGACCGATGGTAATACCACCAAAGACTACCTTGTACAACACGCCCATGCCGGAGGGCCTTCCGTCGAGCGACCCTCTTGGAGCAAAGTGCCCAAATACACTCGATACGTCTCCGGTCTGAAAATTCGCATTCCTTGGCCTACCGAGGAGGAACCACAGTATGAAGACGGAGCACTCGACACGACACGAATGGAAGTCGAAGAGAACACCTGGGTGCCTTCACTGGAGAACCCGCCTTTCCCCTCCACCATCATTGACGAACTGCGCAACAAGTACTCTCGATTCCGAACACGCCACGACGAGGAATACGTGCGGAAGAAGGTCCTTGAAGAATACCGCCAGGAATATCTTACTCAACAGGCTATCTTGACGCCCGCTGGCGAATTGAAGAAGATGAAGGTTGAGCAGAGCATCCAAGCAAGACAGGCGCGCACGGATGAGAATGGCAACATGATCTTGGATTCGGAGACCACCAACTTCATTGAGCGCTTCATGAGCCAGAATGCGGCCCCCAAGCCAAGCAAGAAGGCAGGCCAGGCCAAGCAGACCGCGTAAGTGAAGCGGAGCGGAGGTGTAAGAGATGGACTGTTCCTTTTTTCAAAGATAGCGATGTGTATAAATTTCAACTGTATTCTAGTCTGGCATATGCGACCAATTTTATTTCCCTCTGGGTGCATTTTCTTTACGGATATTCCCAGCGTTCCAAATGCTTCTACACGGTGGCGAATGCAGGGTCTATCATTTTCAGTCTCTTATTATTACGCGGGCCGCCAGGGAGAACGATGAGTGGTTCCGCGTCCGCGCCCATTCATTCTCAATCTTAGGTTCCAACTCCCTCCCGCTCAATCTTTCTTGAACTGCTTTACCTTCGCCGAGCAGTTGCAAAAACCATGGCATTCGCTGCGATCAATTCCGCAGGCAAGCCCGTTACGGCTATCGAGGATGCCTTCGCGACCGAGCCCTCGCTCAAGAAACGAGTTTATGATGCGATCGGTGCGTACCCAGCTGGTGGGACATCTACGCCATCCCAGACAACCGCAATGACTTTTGTCGAACAACTGACCAACCTTTATTCAATTCCACAAATTAGGGGCTACTCCGCAGCACACACCTCTCTTTGAAGATCTCGCTCGATATACCTCCTCCCTGCTGGCCAGGACCGCAAAAACTGCTTCCCTCCCGCTCGTGCCGCCGCCCAGCGAGGGCCCAGCCGTGAAGAAACGCAAGATACAAAATGGGGAGTTAGGAGTAACGGCGCAGGCGCCAGCTGATGTCAAGGGCGATGCGCTCATCCAGTTCTATGTGGAGGATGTCTCGTTTGCTATACCGCAACGCAAGAAGCTCACGCTCGAGGTCACTGCCGGGAGCAAGTGCCTGCGTGCGAGGAACCAAACCACAAAGCAGGTGGAGTTTGGAATTCCGATGGACCGAATTCGTAAGTCTTTGTGGGCTGCTATCTTATTTATTCTCTTTAGCTTCAAAGCGATGTCCATGATGAGGAAGCGTTGCTAATATTCTCTATCGCCGACTGTTAGGTCATGCCCTGTGCCTCCCTGTGCCCGAGAAGACGCAGAAGCAGTTCAACTTTTGTATCATTCCCGAATATGCTGATGGAGTTACGCCACCCCCCGAGGGAATTACCACGTTTGAATGTATGGTCTTCACCGTACCCGATGGCCCAGCCAAGGCTGCATTCAACGGATCAGGGCAGCAGATTGGGAACAACACTGGCGAGACTGCCGAGGCGCTGATCCGGAAGGTCTTGAACGAAAATTTGACCACCACCAGTGTTGTGCGACCCGATGAGAGGCAATTCGTGAGCGCGATGCCCGAGGCACATCGAAAATCCGAGAAAGCATACCATATCAAGGCGTTCCGGGGCAGCAAGGAAGGTACGTTTACGAACTACTACGAGCGTGTCATGGCGAATGGCGCCCTCTTTCTTTTTTCATCTCATATTCATTGACCCTTCTCCTGATCAGGTTACCTTTTCCTACTTTCATCCGGCATTCTCTTTGCGTTCAAGAAGCCCCTTCTATTCTTCTCCTTCGACACCATCGAGTCCGTATCATATACCTCGGTCCTCCAGCGCACTTTTAATCTGAACATCCTAGCCCGTCCGAGCGGCGGCACTGATGATGATACACAAGAGCTTGAATTCTCAATGATCGACCAGGCCGACTTTGACGGGATCGATGCCTACATCAAGCGCCATGGTCTCCAAGATGCCAGTCTGGCAGAGGCACGGCGAGCGAAGAAATACAATGTCAATGGCGGGAACAAAACTGAAGATGGCGCTGCTGGCGCCGAGGGGGCTGGTGAAGAAGAGAGTGAGCTGCAGAAAGCCCAGCAAGAGCTCGAAGATCTGGAGGACGAGGATGAAGAAGACTACGACCCGGGGAGCGATGATGGGAGCGATGGCAGTGGTTCCAGCAGCGAGGAAGATTCCGACGAGGACGAGTTCCATGAGGATGCCGACCAAGTTAGTGATGGAGACGAGAATCTGGTCGAACAGGAGCTGGGTAGTGAAGCCGAGGATATTGGCGACGACGAATAGGTCGGACATCTACGGAACTCCCCTGGATCTGAATATCCGGGTCCCCTGGGACACTTTGTGTCACGATGGCTTCGCGTAGCTTCCTTGTGTACTCTCGTTAGAATTGAATGTTGATTGAATGTTCTAGCGGTCCATTGAACACCATTGACCTGTTTCGAACTTGCCGTGAGCTTTGCTCAACTCTCCTTCACCGTCTTCTGCGATGTCGAGCCTAGCGATCGCCCCCAGTGGGTCGAAGAAGACGTGTCAATTCCGGGACCAAGGGGTTAATCAATCTAGCGCTCTGCCTGCGAACGGGCAGCATCAGCAATAAATACGCCGCTGTCAGAGCCCGGATACATTACACATCTATAAGCTTAGCTAGCTTCGTTCTAGACTGGATATAGGTCTGACTCCTACAAGCCATCAGATTTCCAAGGCACAAAGGGCCGATCGCTGACTTCATAGTTTAGATTAACTACCTGTTGAACATGATTATTTAGTTCGCGATTGAATCGGGTTTAGGGCCGGGAACTTCCAAGGTTGGATGCGCCAAGCCCCGTAATCTTACCGCTGGGCTTTAAGCGCATTCCAGACACTCTGAACGAGAGCGAAAAAAAAATAAAACTCGGTTGGCAAAACGGGAAGTCCGCTGGGACGGCGATACCCGCCCTGGGCCATTGGGGCCTACAGTACGGAGTACAGTACTACTGTAACTACAACCAAAGGGCACTTCATTGTAACTAACCACGGTCGTTAGTCAAAATGGAGTGATGGTGGCTCCTATCAGAGTCCCCCGGTTCGGACCCGGCCAGGGCAATCTTGTCCACCTCGTCAAACTTTAGGCAGTCCGGCTCCGTGGCCGTGCCTGCAGCACATAGTACAGACCCTGCAGGGTAGCGCCCAAAATGAAAGAGAGAGGGAAAAAAAATACACATCCCGAAGGCCCTAAGGACCGATGGACCTAGGGACAAAGCTGCACTCGGCGCTAGAGACAGGTACGAGACCGCCGCGTCTGTGCCCTAGGGCAATCAAGAGCGTTTCACAGGCGCCCAAGGAAGTTGGGTCGAGTCATCCCATCGAGAGAGAGATATTCCAATAGTTACGTAGAGAGGCATTGACCACGGATTGTTTGTGAATGATGAACCTTGGAAGGACAGTAATTTACTTCGTGTCGTTTGCCTTTGATGAGTAGAGGAAGAGAGAGAGAGAGAGAGAGAGAGCGGTCTCAACGCTCGGTAACCGTACGAGGGCGTGACCACCCCATGACCGCCAGTTCTAGCGCCTCCCCCGTCGTGGACCCGTACCAATACACACTCAGTACCCTCCGCTCCCTGTCTTCGCTCAACTTCTCCCTCTCTTCTCTTCTCCTCATCTCCACTCTCTCTCTCCCCTTCCTCTTCTCCCTCCCCTTGCCCTGGAAATACTCCATCTGTTCAGTGCGGCTATACGTGCTTGCAGTCCAGTCCTTTGGGTGCTCGTTACTTTGCTCTTGTTTCGCTCTCGCTGCGTGTCTCGGCAATCCCCTCGGTTTCCCTTCAGCTCGCTCTGCCTGGACTCGTCCACCCCGAACCCCCCCCCCAAGCTCTTGGCCGTGGAGAACCTCCCTCGTCAATTCTTCCTCACTAGGTCCCAATTCCGTTCAGATTGCTACAATAGCTCCCGATACAGTCACGTCCGCCCGTCGTTTCGCTCGTCCAGTCGATCCTGTGTGTTCTAGTACATTGGCGAAGCCCAGCATATCCCCATTGAGATATCGGGAATCACTTCCAGGGCAAACCAGGAATCCCCTGCGGTGTATGTTGGCCCTGTCAATCAGCTGTCGGATGCTCCTGCATTGACATTGTGCTGACTGCGCCTCATCTAGACGGTGTTTCATCACGTGCCTACCTCCCCCGTGATCCAAAGTCTCGTTCCTAAGACCACCCTCCTCGTAACCCATTCGGCATGGCATCTTCTTCCTCAAACGTAGTGGGTGTCCACTACCGTGTGGGTAAGAAGATCGGTGAGGGTTCTTTTGGTGTCATTTTCGAGGGCACCAACCTCCTGAATAACCAGCAGGTCGCCATCAAATTCGTATGTGATCTCGGCCTCCTCGTACTCATGATGGAAAGGGATATCCCCTGACTGACCAAAATAGGAACCTCGCAAGAGTGATGCTCCCCAGCTGCGGGATGAGTACCGGACGTACAAGATCTTGGTCGGATGCCGTAAGTGTTTTGAGGATGCGCGAATTTCCGACCCCCCCTTCCTTGCATGCTAACCCATGTTTGCAGCTGGTATCCCCAATGTCTACTACTTCGGACAGGAGGGTCTGCACAACATTCTCGTTATCGACCTTCTTGGACCTAGCCTCGAGGACCTCTTCGATCACTGCAACCGCCGGTTCACGACCAAGACTGTCGTGATGGTCGCCAAGCAGATGGTTCGTATTGTTTGAGCCTCTTGAATACAAAGACTTGCAGCTAATCATTCCTTCTATCTAGCTTTCGCGCGTGCAAACAATTCATGAGAAGAACCTGATCTACCGTGATATCAAGCCGGACAACTTCCTCATCGGCCGCCCGTCTACCAAGGCCGCCAACGTCATCCACGTCGTCGATTTCGGCATGGCCAAGCAATATCGTGACCCCAAGACCAAGCAGCACATCCCTTACCGCGAGCGCAAGTCCTTGTCGGGCACTGCTCGCTACATGAGTATCAACACACACTTGGGCCGTGAGCAATCGCGACGAGATGACCTGGAGGCTCTGGGTCATGTCTTCATGTACTTCTTGAGGGGTGGTCTCCCCTGGCAGGGGTTGAAGGCTGCCACCAACAAGCAAAAGTACGAGAAGATTGGAGAGAAGAAGCAGACAACCGCTATCAAAGATCTTTGCGATGGATATCCTGGTGCGTTCTTTCATCTCTTGATTCTTGTTCGATTTAATTTACTGACTGGAACCGTTACAGAGGAATTCAACAAGTACTTGAGCTACGTTCGCAACCTCGGCTTCGAGGATACCCCTGACTATGACTATCTGCGCGATCTCTTGACGCAGGCCCTCAAGAACGCTGGAGAGGTGGAGGATGGAGAGTACGACTGGATGAAGCTGAACAACGGCCGTGGCTGGGATTACAAGTCCTACTCGTCACAGGCCCACCTCCACAACCAGCACCACGGCTCCTCGGCACGCGACATTCAAGGCAACCAGCTGCGCAACAGCCAACGGCCTGGTGTGACCGCCGATCGTTTAAACGCAGCGCAGCCCCCGCCTCCCTCTCCAGCCAACAAAGCCGGCGCGGGCAAGACACGCGAGCGACAAAGCGCCGGCGGCGTGCCACCTAAACGCCAAAGCGGGGGCTTGGAAGCCACGACCCCAGCCGCGTCCACTCAGGCTCAGTTCCAGAACTCCAATGCCCATCTTCCGGGTCGCTTGGGAAGTCCTGGTAATCCCGGGTTGAGCAGCCAGCAAGTTGGTGGGCAAGGGAACAGCGAGCCGCAGCCCACTTTCGTCCAGAAGGTGATGAAGGCTCTGTGCTGCGGTAGGTGATCCCTCGCCCATGAATTATTCTCTCCAGCTTTCGTGCCGGCTTGCTCATCATCATGCTCGAGATTGCAGGTTGAACTTGACCAATTGATGCGGCGACATGTCTGCTGGATTGAACACGGCCTCTTTACTCTTTCTACCCGCAATTATTGTATGGCCGAAGAATCTCCAAAATATCGTCGGCATGGGATTTCCACTCTGGCTTTCATCTAGATCATGCTTGCTTCGAAATTGCTAGGCTTTGTCCGTTATTGTGGGCAAGTCTAGCAAGTCGGACTGCTTGACCTTTTCTCTCTTAATATCATCCCTTCCCTCTATTCTATTCCCATTCGACGCTTCGACCTACATTTCATCTCGACCGTGGGTAGCAACGACCTTTCTCATTTCTTATTGATGTTACGTCTCATCACTCTTTTCATGGTGCTACGGCTCGGAACGGCGAACTTCAAAGATCTTTTTGGCTTCTGTTTCCCCATCTTTCCTCCCTCGTCATTATATCCCGGCGTCTGCGCCGACTAATGTTGTTTGGCCTCGTGATTGAGTGGATCTAGGAGGATGGCTTAACCCCTTGCCCGCCTGCTGTCATTTCTCAAGTCATCTGCGTCGCCCACTGTCTCCGTGGAGATATCTGTTGACGCGGCCTGTTTGAAATAGACATCCTTTGTCGCAGGAAGGAAAAAGCAAACAGGACTCGCAGCTTTTCCCCAGGGCGGAACTAAACAATGAATGGTACTCTGCTGAAGTCACTTGTGACTTGAGAATGGTAATCTCATTCATGAGCACCAGCTGTCTGTTTGTTTTCCTCATCCCATTTCGTTGTCTGGACAGGATGGGCTTTTTAATGTTGTCTTTGCTCTTGCTTCTATTCGGGTTGTTTCTCCTGCTGAGCTGTTTCTCATGATGACCTCTCCATGCGCCAACACCTTCATCTCTCCGGGATTCAATGCTGCATTCTTGATCGACTGCATCGGCCATGCGATTCATCCCGCTCTCTCTGGTAGGGACCGCATTGTTGCATATATTCCGCTGGCCCTTGGTCCCCCTCCCTCCATTTCGTCTGCTTGTCCCGAGTATCTTGGTCTTTTCATCCCTCATGTCGAATCTATTGGCCTTGTCTATAATCGTTTTTCCTGTCGTTCTGCCCTTGCTCCGTTTCAGAAGCGAGTTTTTTTGTGTTTACTGGTAGTTTTGGCATAAGATAGCATTGTTTTTTTTTGTTCTTCTTTTTCTCCGTCCCTCTGCTTCATTTGTCATGTTCGGCTCTGCGGCCTTGACATGTGTGATGTAGCGGTATATACTTGGTTCGCTGTTTGACAGCTAATACATTTGCGAATTCATCTGTGAGTGCTATGCATACAGTAAGATCTATAGAATAGTTGGAACATTGGCTGTGATGCCTTCGCTTGTAGGCTATGCCACACAGTCATTCCTTAAATGCAATAGTCCTGCGAAAATCATGCCTGTGCCGTGCACTTGTCTGATTTCACGCTC